AACACCCTAACACCCTAACACCCTAACACCCTAACACCCTAACACCCTAACACCCTAACACCCTAACACCCTAACACCCTAACACCCTAACACCCTAACACCCTAACACCCTAACACCCTAACACCCTAACACCCTAACACCCTAACACCCTAACACCCTAACACCCTAACACCCTAACACCCTAACACCCTAACACCCTAACACCCTAACACCCTAACACCCTAACACCCTAACACCCTAACACCCTAACACCCTAACACCCTAACACCCTAACACCCTAACACCCTAACACCCTAACACCCTAACACCCTAACACCCTAACACCCTAACACCCTAACACCCTAACACCCTAACACCCTAACACCCTAACACCCTAACACCCTAACACCCTAACACCCTAACACCCTAACACCCTAACACCCTAACACCCTAACACCCTAACACCCTAACACCCTAACACCCTAACACCCTAACACCCTAACACCCTAACACCCTAACACCCTAACACCCTAACACCCTAACACCCTAACACCCTAACACCCTAACACCCTAACACCCTAACACCCTAACACCCTAACACCCTAACACCCTAACACCCTAACACCCTAACACCCTAACACCCTAACACCCTAACACCCTAACACCCTAACACCCTAACACCCTAACACCCTAACACCCTAACACCCTAACACCTAACACCCTAACACCCTAACACCCTAACACCCTAACACCCTAACACCCTAACACCCTAACACCCTAACACCCTAACACCCTAACACCCTAACACCCTAACACCCTAACACCCTAACACCCTAACACCCTAACACCCTAACACCCTAACACCCTAACACCCTAACACCCTAACACCCTAACACCCTAACACCCTAACACCCTAACACCCTAACACCCTAACACCCTAACACCCTAACACCCTAACACCCTAACACCCTAACACCCTAACACCCTAACACCCTAACACCCTAACACCCTAACACCCTAACACCCTAACACCCTAACACCCTAACACCCTAACACCCTAACACCCTAACACCCTAACACCCTAACACCCTAACACCCTAACACCCTAACACCCTAACACCCTAACACCCTAACACCCTAACACCCTAACACCCTAACACCCCTAACACCCTAACACCCTAACACCCTAACACCCTAACACCCTAACACCCTAACACCCTAACACCCTAACACCCTAACACCCTAACACCCTAACACCCTAACACCCTAACACCCTAACACCCTAACACCCTAACACCCTAACACCCTAACACCCTAACACCCTAACACCCTAACACCCTAACACCCTAACACCCTAACACCCTAACACCCTAACACCCTAACACCCTAACACCCTAACACCCTAACACCCTAACACCCTAACACCCTACCCCTAACACCCTAACACCCTAACACCCTAACACCCTAACACCCTAACACCCTAACACCCTAACACCCTAACACCCTAACACCCTAACACCCTAACACCCTAACACCCTAACACCCTAACACCCTAACACCCTAACACCCTAACACCCTAACACCCTAACACCCTAACACCCTAACACCCTAACACCCTAACACCCTAACACCCTAACACCCTAACACCCTAACACCCTAACACCCTAACACCCTAACACCCTAACACCCTAACACCCTAACACCCTAACACCCTACACCTAACACCCTAACACCCTAACACCCTAACACCCTAACACCCTAACACCCTAACACCCTAACACCCTAACACCCTAACACCCTAACACCCTAACACCCTAACACCCTAACACCCTAACACCCTAACACCCTAACACCCTAACACCCTAACACCCTAACACCCTAACACCCTAACACCCTAACACCCTAACACCCTAACACCCTAACACCCTAACACCCTAACACCCTAACACCCTAACACCCTAACACCCTAACACCCTAACACCCTAACACCCTAACACCCTAACACCCTAACACCCTAACACCCTAACACCCTAACACCCTAACACCCTAACACCCTAACACCCTAACACCCTAACACCCTAACACCCTAACACCCTAACACCCTAACACCCTAACACCCTAACACCCTAACACCCTAACACCCTAACACCCTAACACCCTAACACCCTAACACCCTAACACCCTAACACCCTAACACCCTAACACCCTAACACCCTAACACCCTAACACCCTAACACCCTAACACCCTAACACCCTAACACCCTAACACCCTAACACCCTAACACCCTAACACCCTAACACCCTAACACCCTAACACCCTAACACCCTAACACCCTAACACCCTAACACCCTAACACCCTAACACCCTAACACCCTAACACCCTAACACCCTAACACCCTAACACCCTAACACCCTAACACCCTAACACCCTAACACCCTAACACCCTAACACCCTAACACCCTAACACCCTAACACCCTAACACCCTAACACCCTAACACCCTAACACCCTAACACCCTAACACCCTAACACCCTAACACCCTAACACCCTAACACCCTAACACCCTAACACCCTAACACCCTAACACCCTAACACCCTAACACCCTAACACCCTAACACCCTAACACCCTAACACCCTAACACCCTAACACCCTAACACCCTAACACCCTAACACCCTAACACCCTAACACCCTAACACCCTAACACCCTAACACCCTAACACCCTAACACCCTAACACCCTAACACCCTAACACCCTAACACCCTAACACCCTAACACCCTAACACCCTAACACCCTAACACCCTAACACCCTAACACCCTAACACCCTAACACCCTAACACCCTAACACCCTAACACCCTAACACCCTAACACCCTAACACCCTAACACCCTAACACCCTAACACCCTAACACCCTAACACCCTAACACCCTAACACCCTAACACCCTAACACCCTAACACCCTAACACCCTAACACCCTAACACCCTAACACCCTAACACCCTAACACCCTAACACCCTAACACCCTAACACCCTAACACCCTAACACCCTAACACCCTAACACCCTAACACCCTAACACCCTAACACCCTAACACCCTAACACCCTAACACCCTAACACCCTAACACCCTAACACCCTAACACCCTAACACCCTAACACCCTAACACCCTAACACCCTAACATTTTAATTACTTTATAATAAAAATGCTTATAAAAATATAATTATAAGCCCCTCTATTCTTTTATAATATAGTATATCTCTTTTAGAAAGAATAATTAACCAATCAGCTTAATTATATTAATAGGCTTTTATTTTACATAAATAGATAAAAAAACTGTTCTTAACTTTAATCTTTAAATTTATCTAAGATTATTGATATGCTTAGTTGACAGATTCCTTAACGACTTTTAAAAAAAATTATAATCAACCTAACAACTGGACTTTGGATAATCAAAATAGAAATGAAAGCTTAAACATTAAAGAAAAGGGGATGAATCTTTTTTATGAAAATTCTATGAGCTGCAAATTTTCTGTAATCAAGAAGTTTAGAATTGGACAGAAGCAGATTTTTACAAAGAAACTTATAAACCTTATTATAGCAAGGAAATTCATATCAAATTTGTCTAATTGCAAAGATCTTAATTTGATAAAAGAAAGCTACCTCAATAAAATTGATCTCAAAGCTTCACCATGGCTTAGTGGACCTATCAAAGATTTTCTAAATGAAAGCTTAAAAGAAATTTTATACAGCATTGTTTTGTTATCAAGAACTGCAGACTCAATTATTTTAGCAGCGATCAACGCAATCATGCTTCTAAATAAAGCTGGATTTTTATTTATAAATAAAAACTTGAGCAATCTAAAGATTCCAAACGCTGATTTGTCTTATGGGATGTTTATTGACACAAATTTCGAATCATGTAATCTCTCAGGAGTGAATTTCTGTAATGCCCACATATATGGATCAAATTTCAAAAACAGCAATATGGCTAAAGTAAAGTTTGGAGAGAAAGTTCTTATGTCAAATTTTATCATAAATGTTGAAGCTTTAATCTTTTCACCTTGTGGAAGATTTCTTGCAGTGGCTGAGGATAAAACAATTTATCTCTATAATTCGAAAACATACCAAAAATTCAAACAGCTAATTGAAGATTTTCCTATAAGATCATTATTATTTTCTGATAATGGAAATTATTTGTTGTCTCGAAATAGTGAAATGAATGCGATTTTATGGGACATATCATCGAGTCTTAAAATTGGCGAATTTGTAAGATTAATTGGCTCTTCTGGCTTTTCGCGTTGCAATAATTTTTTATGCTTTGCTTGTGCTTGTATTGATTTCAATAATAAAGCAATAAAGGTTTATAGCATAAACACAAGAAATATAATATGTGAGATCAGTAGTATTTCATTTCAATTTTGGATAAATTTCGTAATTTTTTCCTATTCAGGAAAAAATCTAGTAGTTTTAAGTAGCGGTAATTCTCTTACTGTATTGAATTTATCTTCCAAAAGAATGATAAATCAAATAGTTTGCCAATACCAAAACCCGATTGTGATATCTTATAATCGAAAATACATTGCTTTTCATTACGGCAATAGTAAATTATTCGTTTATAGCACAGAAAAACTAGAAATATTGATTTCTTTTGAAACAAATCATTATCAATTTGATCTTTTGGCGTTTTCTCCTTGCGGGAGATATATCGCTTTATCTTTACAAAAAAAAGCAATAGAAGTTTTTGATTTGAAATTAAAAGAAAAAATATACAAAATATTTTGTAATAAAACCTCTATTGTTAAATACATTAATTTTCATTCCAACGGAAAGAATATAGTTGCTATAACCTCAGATAGAAATTTACAATCTTGAAAAATCCCATTAGATATCGAAATAAGCAAGAAATACATTGCAAGAAAGGGAATGACAATGGCTTCTTTTTCTTATGATTGCCAATATTTTGCTGCTGCTGACGAAGAAGGGTGAATTTTTATATTCTTAACAGAAAACAAAAAGCTATATAAAGAGTTTCAGGCTCATAATAAGGATATTTTATGCATTTCATGATCAAGGGATGTTTTGGCTTCTTCTAGTAGAGATCTTATGATTAAAATTTGAGACATTTACAATGGGATTCCTTTAAAAATTATTCATACTAATTTGCTATCTAGCTGGATTGAGTTTTCTTCTGACGGTAAAAATCTCCTTGCTTGTGGATTCCCAAATTTAATAAATATATGAAATATTGATAATTGTCAGATACCTAGAACTTGAAGTCACCATTGCAAAAAAGTCTCTATGTCCCATTGATCCCGATGTGGAGATTTTCTTATAACTGGCAGTTCTGATAAATCAATTAGCATTTTAAATGTTAATAGTCTTGAAATATTGAGTGAGCTAACTGATCATCGCCACGAAGTTGATTTAATAAGTATATCAATATGTGGAAAACTTCTAGCTTCTTGCGATCTAGATAAAAACGTTAAGATTTGATATTTAGGGGATTTTAATCATAGTTATCAGGAAATTAAGGTTACAAAGCAGTTTAATGTAGGAAACTTGATAAGCTCAATTGTGTGGACGCCTGATGGAAATCTTATTTTAGGTGATGGGGAAGGGAAAATATTAGTATTTAATTTTTACATCCAAAAATCAGTTCAAAGCGTAGATGCTCATAAGGGACTTGTTGCTTCTCTAGACTGTTCGATGAATGGGAAACTTATAATATCCTCAAGCAAAGACCGGACAGTTAAGATATGGAAACTTGATAGATAAATATATAATAAATTTTCTTCATGCTTTAATAAGATTATTTTAAAACATCATCTGCCGATTTATATTTTGGAAATGGTGTTGAAATGGGGGCTAAAATGAGAAATGATCCAGATGGTAAAAATGCAAGTAGTTTCTGAACCCTTACTTATAATCAAATGTAAGCTTTTATAAGAGCACTTAGTAATGCCAAAATTTATTAGCAAAAAAGTAAGAACGATAAGCAGAAACAGCGCTAATAGAGAAAAGAGCCAAATAAATAAATGTAATGGATTGCAAATAATTTCTTATTGTAATTAAATGGAAGATAAGCTAAATTCTTTGGAATTGCAATTGCTCAACTACAATAAAATCGGAATGGAACTTTTAAGAGAAAATAAATTTTCAGAATCTCTATATTACTTAAAAGAAGCAGAAGCATTACTTTCATCACAATCTCAAAGACTGAGAAGCATAAAATTGATCGGAATTACCTTAAATAATCTTGGCTGCTATTACAAAAAATGCAAACATCCAGAGCTCGCATTAAAATACATTTCACAAGCTATAAACTACGAAAAAATCGATGCAAATCCTGCCAACTTAGCAGGAACGCATTTAAATTTATGTGTTATTTATAGTGAATTAGAAAGCCATGAAAAAGCTTTAGAAGAAGGTCTAAAGGCAATAGAAATCTTAGATTCTGAATCAACTCTTAATATTAATTTGATAAATACTCAAATTATTGCTTTCTATAACATAGGAGCTGAGCTGGAATACTTAAAAAGGTTTTCTGAAAGCTTGGAGTATTTTAAAATGGCCTATCAAGTCTCAATTGAAAAGCTAGGAATCAATAACGATCTTTCTTTGGCAATGAAGAAAAACCTTGATGATGTGAGTAATAGATGCAAAAATCATGCAATTAATAAGCCAAAGTTAAGAACAAAATCAAGTTTTGGACAAAATGTAAAATCAGAAACACCTCGCAGAAATATAAATTCTTCATTACCACCTATGAGTCAGTATAGAGATTTGCCGAATGCGATGTCACCAAATCTTTGCTATTTAAAACAAAAAATTGAAATAGAGTTTCCGAAAATTCTTGGAAAAACTGAAAATTCTGCTTGAAATTATGAAGCAAAAAGTATTAAGGATGGAAGCTCACCAAAAACACATAAATATCAAAGGTTTTTAACTGGAGAGAGGTTGCAGCCGATGTTTTTTAACCCTAATTTAAAGATTCAACATAAAAGGAATAGCAAAACGACTAGACCAGAAAATAAAAATAGCATTCATAAGAAAAAACGTTTGATTTTTGGCCAAAATTTAACTGAGGAAAAAAGACTAACAGGAAGAAGCATTAGAAAGAAAGACAAATTTCTGAAAAAAGATGCTAAAGAATTGGCTGCCATAAAAATTCAGAGATTTTACAGAAACTATCTTAAGATGAGAAAAAGAAAAAATTTGTACAGAAAACGACTTGAAATAAGTAATACAGAACCTATCAATATTTTAAATAAGTTAAATCAAAATACAAATAAAAAAGGAACTGGGTTTAATAATAAAAACTATCAAGAGTTAATTGCAGAAAGGAATTTAAATATTGCATATGCTCAAGCTGCAATTAGAGGCTATGAAGAAAGAAAGGCTCTCAACTTGATGAGAAGAGCTTCTATTATAATTCAAAAAAATTTGAGGAAATATCAGTGCAAGAAATTATATATTGAAATCAGAGAAGCCATCATATTTATTCAAAGAATTTATCGTTCATATATTAAAAATAAGACAACCATTCGAAATTAAGTTAAAAATTAATAATTGGCATTTTAATAATAAGGTAAGGGATACAAAAATTCTTTCCAAATATTTTAAAAATATCTTAAATGTTGCTTAATTATAATTGTTTTTTATATTTTATTATTTATATTAGTTCATAATACTAGTTCATTCAATATTAAAATACCATCTTATGAGATTTGAATAATAGCATTATTAGTAATTTTGTATTTAATTATGGATCTAATAGTAGGGTAGTTCACGCTGTAGAAAATTTCTGTATGATGAATTTAAAATGCTTTTCAAACACTTTTTTTCTAAATATACAAGCAATTTCTCTGAAAAAAATCTTTCCCAAAACCCGTTTACCAAGCAGATTATATAATAATATAATTATAAATTAAATGAATAATCAATATAGTATCCAGCTTCAAAAATATGAATTTGGCCGAGCTTTATTTGATGCTTTAGACAGAAATGATCCCGAACTACTTAAACTAATTTTGGATCAATATCGTAATATTCCCACAAATTCGACAGTAGCAGAAATCAATGGCCTAACACCATTGCATGTTGCCGCTTTAAAAGGAAATTTAGAATGCTGTGAAACTTTGCTTGATTACGGTACCAATATAGACATAAATGCTAGAGACGATCATGAAAGAACCCCTTTGCATATTGCCTGCCTTTATTCTCATTTATCCATTGCCCAGCTTTTAACTCGCTCTGGTGCCTTATTGAATATTTCTGATATCTATGGAAACACTCCCCTTCACTATGTAATCTTGATAGGCAACACAGAATTTATCAATTGAATATTTCTTAAAAATCCCAATACAGAAGTTAAAAATAAAGAAGGAAAAATTCCAACAGAAATGAGCAAAAAAAAAAACATAAAATTGTTGGTTTTTAAGCTTATGAGGCCTTCACTTGGCTCTGACAATTTTATAAAGAGCCGGAACTCATTGAAAAATATTGAATTAATTTCAGCTATACCCAGTCAGCCTTCCTGCGATTCAGACGAAGTACCAGAATTTGTTTTTGACTCGAAATTATCACCATCGGATTTTTTAGTTCTAGAGCAGCTTGGCAAAGGTAGTTTTGGAGAGGTGTTTTTGGTTCAAATGAAAAGCACTTGCAAATTTTATGCAATGAAAGTTCTAAAAAAGCAGAAAGTTATCACTCAAAATTTGATCAGATATGTGATGACAGAAAGAAATGTCCTTACTTACATAAAGCACCCTTTTATTGTAGGTTTAAATTATGCTTTTCAAACTGCAAGCAAGTTATTTCTAGTGCTTGACTACTGCCCTGGTGGAGACTTGGGACGCCTTCTTAACAAAGAAAAAGTGTTTAGCGAAGAAAGAGCCAAAATTTACGTTTGTGAGATTTTAACTGCAATAGAAGAGTTGCATAAGAGAAACATTATTTTTAGAGATTTGAAACCAGAAAACGTTGTTTTAGATCAAGAAGGCCATGCTTTATTAACTGATTTTGGACTTTCAAAAGAAGGAATTCAAACCTCACAAGCTGCCAATTCGTTTTGTGGCTCAATTGCATATCTCGCCCCAGAAATCTTGAGACAAAAAGGTCATGGGAAAGCAGTTGATTGGTATTTATTAGGAGTTTTATTATATGAAATGCTTATAGGCGTTCCACCTTATTTTTCTAACAATAAAAAACAACTGTTATCTAATATTCAAAAAGCTCCATTAATTGTTCCTTCGCATCTGAACCAGACAACAAAAAATTTGTTAATTGGCTTACTTCAAAAAAATTTTGAGAAAAGATTGGGATTTATAGGGGATGCCGAAGAAATAAAGAACCATGAATATTTTTATGGGGTTGATTGGGATATGGTCTTGAAAAAAAATTTAAGGCCGCCAAAGCCTGTCATGAAGAATGATGCGACTAATGGACTTAATATTGATTTTGAAGAAGAAACTGAAACTAACGAAAATAGTAACCATTTGCAAGGGTGGTCTTTTGTACATGAATAACATTGTAATAATTTTAATTAATATGTAATATTTACTTGGCATAATATTGAAAAAGTATTAGAGCTTGAAAGATCATATTATAAAATTCAAAATGTTATTTCTTTAAGAAAGTGGCTAAATAGTACAGATATTGTTCTCAATGCAGAAGGATACTTGATGCCACCAGAAGAGTTCTTTTCTGACTATGAATCTGAGGATGATTACTGAAGCAACTACGATGACCATGATGATTATGATGAAGAAGATGAAGATGAAATATGAGGAAGATTTGTATCATGGGCTTGGAACCAAACTGAAGAAGTGCTTGATAGTGAGACAACTACGCCGCTTTATGCAACAACAGGCACTCATCCTGTGGAAATAATTCAAACCTCAAGTGATGAGAGTGGAATCAAGGACAACACTGAGGTTGGGAATGCTGAAGATGAAGCTGAAGGCCAAGGTACACAAGAGAGTAAGGATTCTGAAGGAGGTGATTCCCTAGAAAATGCTAAGTGTTGGAATTTAGGCGTTGAGTCGATTACAAGCAAAAAAATTTGCCCGCGAAAAGGGAAGGGATGAAATAAAATGGAATTTGCATGCAAGTCATGGAGAAAGAAAAATTGAAGAAAAAAAAGGTATGAATGCAACAAGATTTTGGATATACATAATATTGGGGTAGAAAATTATGAAAGGAGTTTAGGACGAAGATATCAAGTCTTAAATGAAGTAGAATTGAATTTGAAGAAAAAAGCAGAAAATGTGAAGTATTGAAAGAATTTTTTAGATGGAAATAATTGGAGTTGAAAGAAGAAAAAAGAAGAAGAATTTGGAAAATATTGGTCCTCTAAAGGAGAAAATAATATAAACTTTTAAAATCTCGATAAATTAACTAGCAAAATTTTTTTGCTCCTTAAGAAGAAAGAGTCTACAAATTAATAAATCTCAGCAAGCATCCAACATTATCTCACAGAAGCTGCAATTCCATTACTTTTCTCACCGAGATCCTTTCAATTATATAATAGCTATTTCACTGTATTCCAAAGAATCAATAATGCCAATTTCATTTTTTTGCTTGCTCATCAAAATAAGAGGCCGACTTTCTGATATGGCGTAATTCATAATTAAATTTCATAATTTTATTTCAACTTAATATTATGATGGTGCTTTTCTCTATCTTTATTTTTCTAATATATCGGATAAATTCAGAAGCTATATTCGATGTATCAGGAATTTCCCCCTACAAAATCTCTATCAAGATCCCTGCAGATGCAAGTGAAGTTCGTGGTAGACAAATTGCCATGAGTGCGATTGATCAGCAACTAACACGAAATGATAACCAGATTTTATCTTTTTATATAGCCTAGGCGAAACAATAGATCTCTATGAGCTTGATATTCAGGCTTGTTTTATCATATCTTCTAACTCCCCCCCCCCTCCCGTGAGCGAACAAAACCATTAGAAAAATCGCCATTTTTTGACCAAAAACCCACCCTCCGTGAGTGAACAAAAATTTTTTTTAATAGAAAAAATTTTAATGGAAAAAAAATTTTGATATATAAGTGATAATTAGTATAATGAAATCTAGAGCTAATTCTGTTTAATTTTAAACAAATTGCGTTTTAAAACATAAATTTTGCAAATTAAATTAATATTTGCTTCCCAATTTTTGCAAATTAGGATTTTTTTAAAATTTCGAAAAAAATATTTTTTTATAAAATTTATATATAAATTGTTTTTAAAAAAAAAAATTAACCCCCCCCTCCGTGAGCGAACAAAATTTTTTTGTTCGCTCACGGAGGGGGGGGGGGGAGTAAGTATCTTAAATCTTTGATGATCTTTTAAAAACTGATAAGGCAATGCCTTTTAGCAAATTAAAAGAGAAAGCCGATAATTGTTTATTGCAATGAAAAGGGTATAGTGAAACCAGCTTCTTAGACTTCAGCCCTAAAATCTTAGATTTCGGGTCTACCCAGCTTTACTCGATGAAAGTGCTTTCTGTAGAAGTGATCAACAACTCAAAAACTGAGCAAGTTGAGCTTCTGCATCAATTTGTCATGGAGCCAACCCACTTCCAGATCTCTTCATTCCCCAAGAAGCCTTTACTTCCTGGGTGCTCAATGACAATCCAGATCATCTACCTGCCCATCACACTAGGAACTCACAACACTCTAATGATTTTTAATACTAATTTCAGGCCAGTTATATATCCTGTCCAAGGCAACTCACTGCAAAATGAGTATTTTGCTAACGAGATCGCTATTGAATCGTCAGAAGAGTATGCTGAAAATGATTTTTATATTTATAACCCTCACAATTATCCAATTAGAGTGGAAAGTGTTATGAGTGAGGACTCTAGCATCGTTCTTGAGCAAAAATATGACTTATATGGAAGTCTTGGGCTGATTTTCCCGAAAGAATGGATTTTATTGGCGACTATAATTAGTCTCTATAAGCAAGAAGGAATTTATGAAAGTTTTTTGCTGATCAGCTTAAGCAATAAGCAACTAAAGGTTCCGATAAATGTGCATTTTTTTAAGAGAGGGTTAAATTTCCCACCTAGGATTTTATCTTTTGGAATTTTGACTGAAAAGGATCTTCCTTACAGGATTCCTTTAATTGGATCGAATTCAGGTGATTCTGTAGTAGAAATTCTTGATATTTTGACTCCTCCAAAGGTTGATTTTTTATCTGCGAAGGTGAATAATAAGATAATTGCTCCAAATACCTATGGTGTGAATATTGGATCTTTTACTTTTACTCCTAGAGAAGAAGGTGTTTCGATGGGGAAAATTAAAGTGAAAACTAATTCGACTTCTACAGATTATATACTTGAATATATGGCTATTGTTTATTATGATCTTATTTCTTATAATCCCCTTGATATGATATTTCAGTCTGGTGTAAATTTAGAAAGGGTGATTAGTTTGGAAAATACATTGAATAAGCCAATTCTGCTGCAAAGAGTAGTACCTCCAGATGAAGTAATAATTACTGAATTTAAAGAAATTTGACTTAAGCCTCAACATAATTAAAATATGGCGTCTTCGTCTGGGTGTGGCCTCCCGGCCACACATACTCGACTCATATTTTAAATTATATCCAGCAAAGTTTTGCCATTCCAGACATGAGCAGCAATGCCACGGTAAGCAATTCTGCAGTGCAGAGCCTGGCCCATGCTCGATGACCAGAATGGTTTTTATCCTCGGGAGGAAAGGGAGTCCGGGTTTGGAAAGGGTAAGCCCAGCAAAGTCTACAGGCAACGCCTAGACCATTCGGGCAATTACCTAGCGCGAAACTGGACGTTACGTCCCAGGACTTGGAATTTCCCTTTATGCCGAAAGGTGACTAGAAATTCCATTTTTTGGAATTTCGGAAAGCCAACTCTCGTACCCAAGCAGCAGCCGCAGAAGCCCATAGCCCGCCCACTCAACACTAAGCCACGGGAAACACGTGGGAAGGAGGAGGCGTATGTCCTGGTGACTGGTTTATATGGCCAGTATGGACTATGCCACAAAGCAGGTGAACCCTAATATTGGGGTCCTTGGTGACTGCGTTAACACTACGGCAGACGCCTGTAAATTTAAGTTAAGTAAGTTAAGACTTAAGCCTCAACAATTAATGAATGTTATTAAAATAAGTGCGGATTTTAAAAAGCCACAGACAAGCTATATGAGACTGGTTACAAATATAGGCACGATTCCTATCAAAATTATTGTTGACGATGGCAAGCTGAATTTCTTATATATTGAAAATTTATATGAAAATATTCTTGAGGGACCTTTGGAATTTGGCCCAGCTTTAATAGGCCAAACCAGGTCGCAAAAATTTGGACTGAAAAATCCTAATCATTTTGATATTGCAGTTAAATCAATCCAAAATCTTCATTATTGCAATTTAAAATTATCACATATTCTAACCTTTAGCGGCCAAATTCTGAATCACAATATCATATTCCCAGAATACTCCCAATCGACCTATCTATTTACTCTAAAATCTGGCTCAACTGCCTATTTTGAACTGACTGTTTCTATTCTCCCAACAGTCCATGGGCCTCTCGAGTTTACAACCTCAACTGGAAAAATTAACTTACCGATATCTTATACCCCAGTTTCAGGCTCTGCCGCACTCCTACCTATTCATTTCTCTGAAATTTTCCCAGGCATTTTAGCGCAAAAGAAAATAACAATTTCTAATTTATTTCCAATAGATTTGAAAATTTTTTCAGTAGAGACTGACTTATCATTTATGGAAGCCGAAATCAATAAAAGATCAATCCCCAGCGGAAAAGAATTGAGCATTGGTAAGTTAAAATTCACCCCACCATTTAACAAAGATGAAAGCATAGTTCACGATTTTACTAAATGGCCGACTTATGGGTATGCTAGAATATGAAATGAGAAAAGAAAAGCCTGGAAAGATGGAGAAATGCTTGGGACAATTAAGGTCAAGTGCGATATCATTGGAGAAATAGTCGCTGCTATCCATGTAACTTTTGGGAAGCCAAGCCTGCCAATATCAGGAGTGACCAAAAAATACACAGCAGAGCTCAATACAAAGCTTCCGATATATATCAAGGCCCAGAACCCTACAGATTTTCCTCTGCAAGTGCAGCTTCTAATAGCCCCTGATTCCAAGATGGGCGAGCTGAAGAAATATGAGTGCGCGAAGCACCAGAAAAGCATTGAGATGCTTGACGATGAATTCGAAAACATTGATTTGCAAAAATTAGAAAGCAAGCATTATAAAGAATGCGCCCTAAACTATCAAGAAGAAATTCCATCAATTAAAGAAGCCAACGAAGTTAGGCCTTTGCCTATCCCTAAACGAGTAAAGGACTGAAGCTTGTTTGGAAAGTTAAAATATTTGTTAGGTTTCCACTCAAAAAGCTCAGAATATCTCAAGCCTAAGTCTTTATCTTCAGTCCCATGATACCCTTGCGGAGAAGACAGCTGTTGGTGTGGCGTAAACAAAGAGGAAGAATATAGGCAGAAATATTCCTTTTTCACAGCAAGCAAAGCAGTTACGATGATTTCTCCTCACAGTTCCAAAATTCTGGGTCCTGTTTACTTCCAGCCTTCCACTTTAGGCAGCTATAATACATCACTGCTGCTGAGAAACAACTATACTTTATTTGAGGAAGTTGAAATTTATGCTGAAGCAATCGGTCCAAAGCTTGCATTTACTAAAAAAAACTCTGAAAAGAAATTTCTGAATGGTAAAAATGGAGTCAAAAAAGAGTTGTCTCTATTGGCCATTGATATAAGTTTAGATGAAATTTATAATACGAAGACCAATTATAACCCTCAAGAAGAGTTATATTTTATAAGGACTTTTGAGCTGAGAAATTATGGGAACTATCCTGTGGAAATTTCTGAAATACTCTTGGCAGGCCAAGCTTGCAAATCAAGCGGGATTGAAATTAGAAATTGTGAAGGGAATTTTATTTTAGACGCAAATGAATTCATTGATATAGAAATTGGCTATACCCCTTCTTTTAATGAAATTTCTACGCTATTGCCTTTGTGGATCGTGACAGCAAACGATATATTTACGATTCCAATTGAAGCAAAAATTCCAGAAGGGTTAGAATATAACTTTATTTTGTCGTTAAAAGTAAGACATTTAGCGAAGGAATGCCTCTTTTTCCTACTTGCGCTATTTGGCGGGCTCTGCTTTTTAATCCTCAGAGTAACTGTTGACTATAAAAAAGCAAGATTATGCTGGAATTTAAGATCCAGTAAAGACAGTCTTCCTGCTGCCTTAAGGCGCTTCGAAATATTCCAAAGATACAATTCGCCGCAATTTGTTTCTACTAAGGTCGAGCTAGTGGAGACTAAAGAAGAAAACTCGCCTCCTCCTCAGCCTCCAGTTCTAAGCGCTGAAGAAGAAGTTGCTGAGAAAGTTGAGCAGCCAATTAAAAGGAAAAAAATCAGAGCGAAAAAATTCCCTTCAACAATCATCCAAAACTTTGATGATTTGTCATCACAAGCAAAAATCAGCAAAGCTCAAGTTTCTTTGCCGCAAATTATAGCGACGAGCCATCTCCTCAATAAAAAGACCAAGCGGCACAAGTCTGTGGAGCCTGAAGAGCACGAAGAGCCAGCGCCTACGCCAAAAGATAGTAAAACAAACCAAAGTGCTGATGAAGAGGATTTCTTTATTGATTCATATAAAATGAACAATGAGCTTTTTTCTGGCAGTGGAGGATGGGGAGATTTAATTGATTTTCAAAGTGATTGCGAGCATGACACTGAGCCAGAAAGCGTTAATCCTTAATTTATCAGTTTAGTGGCATTAATTTATTTCTAGCTTATCTTAATTAAAGCAAACTATTATGCCAATTGGAAATCTTTGTTTTATTAATAATTAAAAGACTGCACAATTTACCTAATGCTATCCGTTTTCCAATATAATAATGACACTCAAGATTATTTTAAGCTTAGCTCTTATTTTCATTATTTCCTCTGCATTTAAGCATGATACTTTAAAACAAGAAGTAAACACAAAATCAATGCTTTTATTTTTAGCTCAAAATTATACTGAAAGCACTGAAGAAAAAGCTACCCCGAGCTCTTTTTTTAGTGAGTTACCAATTCATGATGACTGGGATGAGGACTATGATTTTGAATGGGATGAAGATGATTATATAATAGATGACCTCATTGATCTAGCAATCGATTTTCTTGACGACATCGAAGACTATAAAGAAATTCATGAAGAATATCAACTCGAAGAATATGAAGAAGAGACAGATGCAGAGGCGGAGAAAGAGCAAGAGCAAGAAGCAGAGGAAGGGGAAGAGCAAGAAGCGGAAGAAGGTGAAGAAGCACAATAAGAAGAAAAAGAAGAAGAAGATTCAGCTTTTTAAAATTGTAATCTTTATAAATTGTCATAACTATAGATATAAATTTAAATCTTGCTCCGCAAATTTGTTTTTCAGTAGGAACATTTATATCACTTACACACCGTTATAAATTGTCATAACCGTTCTAATGGGCTTCATTCCTTGTAAACCTTAGACTAGACCACTCATTTGATAAATAAGAATTGAATTGAATGCCTTTAATTTCAAACTAGTTATTCTAGTTTCATATTACGATTACGATTAGTTAGGTCTTAGTCTTAGTTAAATTTATAGAGTAGCTCCCGGCTAGGACCGAAGGTCCTTTCTTCCACCTTTGGGCGCCTCGATTGCTTTCCTTGCCCTGCTCCCAGTGTGCACCTAAGTGCCACAGGGCTACCACTCAGCTCCTTCCGGTCATGGGGCTTGGTCATGCTATCCCGGAAGTAGGCGGACTGGGTCACCGTGCTTCACGTCGCCAGACTAGGGTTAGAGCTAAGGATTAACTCCTTAACTCTTGTCAGCTCCTGCCATGCCCTCCAAATTGGCACTAGCGGTCCCTAGAGGAAAAACCCTTTTTTGCCCCGTGTCCTATCGGGACGATCCAAGGATCGTCGCTGCTGGACTGGGAGGGAAACCTCGCCGGACACAAACTACCAGTACCCATTCCAGACCTTTCCCTGGGCGGATTGGCTTCAGGCCGCAGCAAGGTCCCCAATCTCGCCTCAGTTCCGGAAGAGGACGGGTCGGTGTCGTCGCCATTTTATTTGTGTTTACGATTAGTTAAGTATTTAAGGTATATGATGCCACTCCTTAATAAAAAAGGGACTAGGCCTAAAAATAGTGAAATCACAGCACCTTCTCCACTCAAAAGTGTAGCCCATTGGGGAAACCCTACTAAACAACGAACCACCAGCTGGCTGCACTTCTCATCCTGCTCGTTGTCGTCGCTCTTGCCTTAACTTAACTTCTGTGCATTTTTCTGCCTAAGGGTCACCTCCTTGGATGTGCTAAGCGGCGGAACCTTGAGCCTCTCGGTGCACTGAGGAGCGGTTCCTCTAGCTAATAATGATCAAACTTAACGCTGTTGCCAGGAGTTCTATAAGGAAAGCAAGACCCCATAAATAAGATTCCATGGGTACAGAAAACTTGCATAGCTAATTTATCATGAACCGTGCCATTTTATTTATGTTTCATATGCTGAACAATTGAAAATGGTTTTTATCTCACTCTGATTAAAAAGTTACGATTTTGCAAAATGTTTAAGATGGAAATTTGGAGATCAAAAGTGGCATTCAAAAATGGTTTACAAGTGTGCGCCAAATTGGCAAGTAAACGAGCCAATTTTTTTAAAATGAGGGTGTATTTCTTCATAAGAATTTGCCCAAAAATTTTCGTTAAATTACAAAGTCTGTATTAAGCAAATTTGCAAAGTCTAAAAATGCAGGAAGTGCTGGATCTAGTAACGCTATGAATGCAATTATGATGCTAGATTTGGGTTCTGACCTAATTTAATAGAAAGTGCAGGTAGATGAATATTAATTAAATAATTTATATTAAAATTTTAATATAATGTTTTAAAATAAAAAATAAACCCAATCATTTTGGTTTCATTTTAAATAGGGGAGCTAATTAAAATAAGTCTAGCTATATCAAGTAGTTAAAATTTATATATTTTAGCCCAAATAACTCTGATTTCGAACTTCATTAATGTTTATAGACTTTTAAAAAACAATTTATAATTAAATTAGATATCTAAAGAAATTGATTATTAATATCTAAATTATAGTATAACGCAGCTGAATTTAAGCTATTCTCAGTGTAAGATAATAATTTCTCAATAATTTTACAATTACTAAGCCAATATAAATATGCTTGCTGTTACAAAATGTGCTTGCAAATATGGCTTCAAAACAAGCGACCCAACAAGTTTTTATGGAGCAAGGAGTCAGTTATTGTGCCCCGAGTATCATATATTGTATGGAAGCATTTAAAGTGTTCCTATCTATCATAATGTAAGTATTAAAGAAGCATATCAAATCAGCCAGAAATTAGAGGCTAGCGAGCATTTAAGAAGAGCAACGTTACATATTTGATTTAGTTAAATATAGCAATCAAAAGGCTAATCAATAAAAGTATTGTATAAAACAATAAAACTTCGTGGTCTAAATTACAACCTAGTCCTAGACTTTTTTGAAAACCACCAGATTAAAGGACTCTATAGATAAAGACTATCCACTTTCATAAGTTTTATGAACAAACTTCAATGAAACTAACTAATAATTCCAAAACTGCAAAGAGCTATTTGCATTCAGTCTAGTACCTCAGTTTTTTGAAAGCCAATATACTTCAGGCTTATCAATTTAAGCCTGTCAAATATTGCAAATTCTAAATTTGTAACGCATAGATATTGGGATTCAAATAATGCCATTCCCCATATTCATATAATATTTTTGAATACGTCATTAGGTTTCATCAGGAAACGCTTGCTAAGAAATTCTTAAATCTAGCTATTAATAAACTCATCTGTTAACTCTCAGTCTTTAATCATTCTCCCTTCAAATGTCTTCCAGCCTTCTCAAAATAATCATCAGAAATTGAGGGCTTCAGTGGCGCTAGTAAACTAGGGGTGCAGGGATTTATAGGGACTAACTACATCAAACTTTTCAGAATTAATAGTGAAAGTAAATATATAAACTTCGAGTTAAATGCTTACTCCCCCCCCCCCTCCGTGAGCGAACAAAACCATTAGAAAAATCGCCATTTTTTTGACCAAAAACCCACCCTCCGTGAGTGAACAAAAATTTTTTTAATAGAAAAAATTTTAATGGAAAAAAATTTTGATATATAAGTGATAATTAGTATAATGAAATCTAGAGCTAATTCTGTTTAATTTTAAACAAATTGCGTTTTAAAACATAAATTTTTGCAAATTAAATTAATATTTGCTTCCCAATTTTTGCAAATTAGGATTTTTTTAAATTTCGAAAAAAAATATTTTTTATAAAATTTATATATAAATTTTTTTTAAAAAAAAAAATTAACCCCCCTCCGTGAGCGAACAAAATTTTTTTGTCGCTCACGGAGGGGGGGGGGGGAGTTAGTGCATTTGCTGGCTAAATATTATATAAATAAATATAAAAATTAAGATAAATTAAGCATAAATTATGCGCGCTTATACCTGGCGTATTTGAAATTTATCCTCTTAGATACTTCCAGATTTCCTATTTGGATTAGATATAGGAGAATTTAGCAATTCCGCCACATAGGCCTTTTGCAAAATATTGGCGGTTAGTGGCTATTTAAAGTCAGGCTTTAGCCATATTGGTGACGCAGTACCAAAGACTTCCCATACGAACGGTTTTTACCACTTTTTGACTCTAGCCCAGGGGTCTATCAGCTTCCAGTGCCTACTGCTTTGAGGATTCAGTCTTGAGTGGGCAGCTTATGGATTTCTACGGCCCTGCTACGGGCGATTGGATTAGCTTGACTCCAAGGATCAGCTCTTTGGGAGTCTGTCGGGTGTTGAAGTGCTTTTCTTCAACAGCTACAGGAAAAAGACTGCTCCACTGTGGCCTTGGCCGAAACAACCAGTTTCTCAGTAGAGGAATGCCCATGCGTCCTCGGATCCAAAGGACGGTGCCGGGTACCTCCGTTTCCCAACCACAGGAAAGCAGCCAAAAACCTGGGTACACATTACTTGAGGCTGCACTTGTTTCTCGACACAGAGTCCGTCCCAGTTCTCCATGGCCTTAAGGTTTTGATAGTTGCTCCAAGAGGGCAGGTTGACAGTGTCACATTTTAAGGTATTAATAATAAAAATATGGAATTTGGAAGTATTTAACTCCCCCATCCGTGAGCAAACAAAACCATTGGAAAAATCCCTACTTTTTGCCCTCCTGGGGTTGATTTTTTTTATAATGCTTCTGGCTTAGTTCTTATGATTCATGTGCATCTATTTATTAAAAATCCTATACAACGATGATTTTTCGAATAAGCATTGATGATGCTGATTTGTGATGGTTATGATTTGCTTTGGATCGACCTTATATATTTATAAAGTGTCTATAATTTTTTTAAAAATTACCATTAAGTTTAATAGGGAAATTTTAAAACGATTTGCTCGAGCATTAGCACGAAAGCTTATATATATTTACTTTTATAATTAATTCTGAAAAGCTTGATGTAACCGGTCCCTTTAAAATCCCTTGTGCCGAAATTGAGGAAAAACGACTATTAATTTAGAACATCACGGGAAGCCTATTTCATAATGCTGGATCTCAATATATTCATTAATTAATTCGCCTTAAGACCCTACAGGATTACATTTAAGTTGAAAATCGTAGTCTGCATTATAATCCTTAATTTTCCCCAGCCATGTTGATAATTTTATGAAATATGCGTTTTCCAATATAATTGATGGCACTCAAAACAATACTTATAGCAGCTCTTATTCTTGCAATCGCTACTGGTATCAAGCAAAAGAATGAACAAAACTCTCTCCAAGAAAGCAAGAAACTCTTCTCTGGATTTTTGGAATATGCAACATCTGGTATTAGATCTGGAAGTTCATCATCCGGATCGTCAGGAAGCACTTCTGGATCATCTGAATCTCAAGGAAGCTCTTCTGGCTCGCAAGGAAGCTCATCATCATCTGGATCACCAGGTGACTCTTCTTCAGGGTCACAAGGAAGTGGCTCGCAAGGAAGCTCTTCATCATCTGGATCATCAGGTAGTTCATCATCTGGATCTTCAGGAAGTTCATCATCTAAATCATCAGACAGTTCATCATCTGGATCTTCAGGAAGTACTTCATCATCAGGAGGCTCCTCATCATCTGGATCATCAGGAAATCCCTTGATAATACCTACATTTATATTCTCTAGCAAAGAAGAGAAGCAAGAAGGGAAAGAAGAAGAAGAAGAAGGAGAAGGAGAGGAAGAAGGAGAAGAAGAAGAAGAAGAGCATGAAGGAGAGCATGGAGGAGAAGAAGAACATGAGGAAGAAGGAGAGCAAGAAGGAGAGCATGAAGGAGAGCATGAAGGAGAGCATGAAGGAGAAGAAGAACATGAGGAAGAAGGAGAACATGAAGGCGAAAGTGAAAGTGAAGAAGAGCACGAAGAAAGAGAAGAAGAAAAAAAACAAAAAGAAGAAGAAGAGGAAGGAGAGCGCAAAGAAGAAGGAGAAGAAGAAGAACAGAAAGAGCAAAGTGGAGAATATTCATCTGAACAAGAGCAATCAGAAGAGGAAGCTTTTGCATATTAAATTTTTTCTAAAATATTGTTATAAAACTATCTCAGAATAAAAAATTTAAGGCAAATTAAAACTTGTTAAGTGAGAATTTCCCCATATTTATTTAGAGGGCTCTTTCACTAATAACTACTCAGGTGATTGATTTCTAAAAAATATCTTCAACTAATGTATTGAAAATCCTAATATCCACTTCATTTATATTAAAAATAATAAGAACTTTAATATTATATCATTAAAAAAATTAATTATTAACATTGGCCTTAACACTATTATTAATAATTTTGTATAATACAGATACTCCATTTAAAAGCTCCTATGATTTTTCACATATTTGGCTAATCTCTTATATCACATTATAAAAGTTTAAATTGTGATTAGTGACTATTTCTGAATATGAATTAATAATAAAGAAGTTTAAATCAGATAATTAGATATTATTGGATTGCGCAATTGAAGCATTTCAATAAGGGAGAGCAGAATAGAAAAGTATAGATCAAATTAAAATTTAATTTTATTTATTCTTCTGTATTGTTTTGCTATGAATCGGCTTCATCAGCTGGCCCTCCGCTGGAATTTTGATTGCTTTGGCCATGAAATAAGCTTGTTGTTGAAGTTAACTCTGTAGTTGAGGCTAAAAATGTTGGAAAATCAATTTTAATCTCTTCTAATATAGCTAGTTTTTCATTGTTTTCTACGTTGATTGAGAGAGCTAACAAAAGACCTGCTATAAATAAAATTTTGAATGCCATTTATTATTATTGTTATTATTGGAAAACGCATAATATAGAGACAAAATCATGAATCCTTTGCTTTTGCTTTTTTCGTAAAAGTTTTTCATAAAAATCAGTTTTATGAGTTCCTAAAATTTAGCTGTTTTATAAATGCAAGCGCATTCTCAAGATTCTGATATTATTAAAATGCCTCTCTCAACCTCAAAATTAATTTAGATATTAATTAATGTTGCAAAAAGCTATGCATCTTTGCATTTAATAGCAACTAGCTCTCTGCTTAAAGATCTCTGCCTTTTCGTCAAGTCAGCCAAATAGCTGCTCTTTTGAACAAATTTAGGATTGCTGCAGACCAAAGGCTCAAATATATTATTTGAAGGCCTTCTATTTTTAGTCGATCTCGAATGCTTTTCAGTAGGTATTTCCGAAAATTTAAACTCTTTTATAGAGTATTTCTTTTGAGGCAGCACTAAAAATTTTTTGTTTTTGCTTTTTTGGCTCAAATAATTATATCATGCCTTAGCAAAGTTATTCGGATTCTCAATCTTCGGAGTTTCATCATTTTCGGTCTGATAAGAATTTTCATAAAAATAAGACTTCTTTGAGCATGTCCCTGGTCTTTTCCAGCTGGAATTTTCATTTGAATCTCTTTGCTTGCTCAAGATGATAGAGCCTTCTGAGATTTCTTCGAAAGTGTTTATTTCGACTTTGACTGGGTGGAATAATGCTTTAGATTTTGGGCGGTTGTATTTGTTTCTGAGATCGATCTGAGGCAGTTCTTCATCATTAGCTTGAAAAGTCTGAGATGCTTGAGAAACGGTCTCAGGAATTGGAGATAAACTTTTGGAGTTCGTGTGAATAAATGTCGAGTTGCTGTAGAATTGTTCACTTTTAGGGGAAATTCCTGGGAGATTAATGCTAAGCTTCCTTTTATTGGCATCGTTAAACAGGCTTATCCGCTTGATCATTTTGTAGTTCGACTGTGAAAAGCCTTTATTGCTGCATGGACTTGATACAGGTCTTGAATTTGCGTCTTTATAGATTGGTGAAATCATTTTATCAACTTTATAGGCATTTTAAATTTTATATGCTTTCAAAGCTATTGAAACTCTTTCAAATTTAATTTAAGCTTGGCACTAGCTGCCCTAAATTTTGTTTTGAAGTATGGAAAAATTTTCCTGCAACAAAGAAAAAATAGAAGTATTTAAAAATGCTGAATTTCTGATTAACTAGAATACATTGCTAATTAATTTTGTAAAAAATATTGTAAATGGAAAAATCTATGTGTTTATTTCTGGTGCTTGCTATTTCTGCATGCTTTTGCAAGGCAGATCAATTTACAGATGATCTATATGATCTTGGAAATCTAGATTTAAAAAATGAAAGCTTAAATGAGCAATCTGTTCAAGATGAAATCGCAAATTCTACTTTATCAGAAAAAGAATTTTCTTCCGAAAAACAGGAAGATTTTGAAGCCACTGATGGAGAAATTGAGCAAGAACAGCCAGATTATGAGACTGAGGATAAAGAGGAAAGCAGTAATCCAAAAGAAGACAGCTCACATTTTGAAAATCCAGAACATAAATCCAGTGAAGATATCACTGGAACCTCAGAAAATGGAACAGGACACCTTATATCACCTCAAAATTATGAGGCTAAAGAACAGGATTCAGACGATGGCTTAGATTTTGATGAAATTTTTGATTTTGGGGTAGGGAAAACCAATAATGAAGAGGATTATAGTGACTATAAAGATGATAAAGATGATAAAGAAATGGAGGAAATTCTTGAGGACTATAAGGCAGATGATGGAAGAACTGATGATCCTGAAGGAGACCAAGAAGAGGAAAATGGTGAGGAGACCAAAAAAGAAGAGAGTGAAAATACTGAGAAAGATGGGCCAAAAGAGGAAGGCAAAAATAGAGAAGATATCGAAAAAGATATGAATGATGGCAGCAAATCAGGAGAAAGCGCAAAAGATACTGATATAGAAGTGGAAATAGAAGTTGAGGAAGACACAAATGCAGGGGAAAGTCTAGATCCAGAACAAAAAACTGAGGAAAGTGAGCATAAATATGGTGAAGAAGAGACAAATACTAAAGCAGACCCAGATCCAAAAGACAAAAATGAGGAGAGTGAACATAAATCTGATGAAGAAGAGATAAGTATTAATGAAAGTCTAGATCCAAAAGCCAAAACTGAGGAAAGTGAACACAAAGCTGATGAAGAAGAAAAAAATTCAGAGGAAGATGCAGATACAAACGAGGAAGAAAAGAATAAAAGCGACTCAGAAAGCAATGATGAAGAAACGCTGAAGCCTGAGCCAAACCCAGAAAATTCTGACTTTGATGAAGCAAAAGAGAGCTCTTTCTCACCCCCACCTCCTGCTGAGTCTTCTGACAAAGACAGCAAGAAGTCCAATGACGGCAGTCCAAGTTCTCCAAAATTCCCAAAAGAAGGTGAAGAGATCCTCAAAACTGTTGACACAAACACTTTTTCCTCAACCGAGGAGCAAATTTCCAACATCATTTCCGTGATCGTCATTTTCGGGGTTTTTCTTTCTCTCTTCACAATTTACTATGTTTTCATCCGTCGCAAAAAGCCAAAGCAGTACTATATGCGTGAGCTGAGGACTTTTGCTACCAACAGTAAAAATTACACTAAAGTTTAATTCTTCAATTAATATGGACAAAGCCATTCAACTCAAAGTCTACGCAGGTGAAGCCAATGATCTGAGCAGCATTGTCGAAATCAATGACACCACAACCGCTGAAGACATTTTGACTAAGGTCGCCCCTAAACTCTTGCATATAAGTGTTGATCGGCTTCAGGAATACGCATTATTTATTGTAATGAGTTCAGAAACACCATTAAAAGAAAGAATGCTGGCTCCTTTTGAGTGCCCTTACCAAATTCTGGTATATTTTATATAGCAAAGAACTCAACCAAGCCAGAAATACTATCACGTCGTAAAAAGCAGCCAAATTTCACCGAGTTTGGTTGACGATAATGTTTCAGTCATGGAAGCTATTAAAGACGAAGAAATTATTAGAGAAGGAGGGCTGAAGAAATACACCGGGACAAAATGGAAAGACAGGTACTTTATATTGGACTCTAAATGCATTTACTATGGGAAAAGCAAAAAGATGCTGGCTAAAGCATTCTCAAGGATTGACTTAGAAGCTGTTTCAGTCACCGTAAGCTAAAGTTAGGATGTGGAGGAGTCAAGATTTGGAAAATACTGCTTTCAGCTTGTTACCCCACATAAGGTGTATGTTCTGAAAGGGAACAACACAGAAAACAAACAAAAGTGAATGCAAAGCATATCAAAGCAATGCAGCATCACGTCAGAAAATAAAGCATTTGAAGAGCTGAACGAAAAAATAAGGAAAGCTGAAATGCTGAGAGCGGCAAGGGATGAAAAATTGGTGGCAGACTGCCAAGAACTTCAAACTTTGGTCAGCTTTACTGAAGGTATGAAGATGCTGGCGCCATTGATCCCTGACAAAACGCTAAGAGACTGCATGGTAGAAATTTCAGAGTATAGAGCTAATGTTGAAAGTAAACCTGCCCAAGCTTTGATTAAGGGAGGAGAACTGCTAGATTTCCTTGAAGAACTTGGAGAGGACGAAGGATATCTTAATAAGCATGAAATTGAAGAAAAAAGATCCTTGCTTTTTGACTGAAAAAATGCAAGATCAAGTGGAAATGCGAGAAATAGCTTAAATCATGAGCTTTTTGATGATGTTTTCAGAAGATGTACAGAAATTGTAAAGGATAAATATTTTGATGATATCAAAAAAAGTGTCGAATTTCAAGCAAGACTTTGCAGGCTGCCTGCAAGGATTTGGCAGAACAGGGTGAGATCGAAAAGGATAGGGCAGATTTTTAATTAGACTGTGAGTAATGAATTATTAATGCATACTGGCTAAATTGCTCCTGATAAAGTATTTGATAAACTTCCTGTGGGAAATTTAGCCAATAAGTTATAGTTAATCTTTCTTTATGTCATCTTTTTTTAATATTCTCGGCAGCAAAATAATTAAAATTCCGAAAAGTCCTAAACAAACATACCCAAAAGCTATCCCAGGCCAATTCTTATTGTGAACTGGGTCTTTTGGTCTATAAGCATCTTTGCATGCCTCTTCACATCTGAATAATAATTACGTCTTGCAAGAGCAAGGCTTTACTGAAAATCCATACAAGTTGGTCGTATTTGAATCACAGCTGGCGAAATTTAAATCCAAGCTTTCAGGTTTTTCCTCAATCACAAACTCAACTAGCATGCTCAACAAACTAGCAGAATTTTCCCCATGAAAATTCATGAATGTTTCTAACGAGTATGTCCCAGGGATATGATAATTCCTATGGCAGCTTTTGCAAGAATCATGCAAAGAATGAACCAAAGTCGGCGTTACAAAAGCTGTATAGTTCACATTTCCATCCACTGTTATGTCAGAAAGCTTAGGCTTAAGAAATTCAGGCTGACTTGGAGAACTTGTGAGCCAGCATCAAAGTCGCTTGATGTTGGCAGCACAGATATCACATCCTCTAGCTGAGTTTCCTCAAGTTCTGTCAATCATGTAGTGCAGTTTTTCAAGTTTCATATTCATTTCATCAGATAGACAAGATTCTTTGTCTTTGAATTCCGGACATGACATTGCTGCAAATTTTTTATGTGAAGGTTTTGAGTATTCTGTATCTATTTTGCAGGCGTTGCTTTCACAAGAAACAGCCGGCTTTAAGCATAGAGAATGTGTCAGATATATGAGATTTACAAGGTAGAACCAAAGTTTCATATTGATTATTAATGACGTTGCAACTAAGAATGGAGAGAAATAACTCATTTGGCTAATAATAGTGGTTGATAAAGAAATTTATTTAATTATTCTTCTGATTTCTTTGGCTTTACCAAATGGTAGGCTACATAGACTGATTCTCTGCTTTTCATTTGAGTGTAGATATTCGACCCTTCCACCCCGCTGAATCTTTTCAAAATCGGGTGCAACAGTCTAGGAGTCCTGTTCAAAATCATCCGGCTTCTTCTTTTTGAGTCGAAGTTTAGCGAAAGCAGCACGTTGTCAGTGATGTCTTGCTTCTCTTGAAGCTTCATTTCTGTAGAGCCCAAGGCTTCTTCATAGGCTGCGAGATCATTCTCATATAAGAAGTCAGTGATGAAAAAGTGACCACCTGGCCTAAGAATTCTGTTAACTTCTGTAATGAAGGCTTTAATATTTCCATAGCAGTGAGAGCTCTCCACATTCAACACTACATCAATGGATTGGTCTTCTGCTGGTATATGCTCACTCCCCCCCTCCGTGAGTGAACAAAAAAATTTTGTTCACTCACGGAGGAGGGTTAATTTTTTGTTTTTAAAAAAATTTCTATATAAATTTTATAAAAAATATTATTTTTCGAAATTTAAAAAAAATCCTAATTCGCAAAAATTGGAAAGCAAATATTAATTTAATTTATAAAATTTATGTTTTAAAAAGCAATTCGTTTGAAATTAAACAGAATTAGCTCTAGATTTCATTATACTAATTATCATTTATATATCAAAATTTTTTTTCCATAAAAATTTTTCTATTAAAAAAATTTTTTGTTCACTCATGGAGGGTGGGTTTTTTGGGCAAAAAATAGCGATTTTTCTAATGGTTTTGTTCACTCACGGAGGGGGGGGAGTCAGCATCTCCCCATACGAAGTTGATATTATGCCCAGTGTGTGTCTTTTTGCAGAACTCTACTTGCTGCTTAGAATAGTCCACCCCAACTGCAGATGCAGGCTTAAGATATTTAAGGACATAAGCCAATCCGCCTCCTCGGCCACAGCCAACCTCTAAGACTTTAAGTCCATTGAGATTTGGGATCTTTTTAAATCCTGTCGCCATGTAATGGTAAAGCTGATAGGAAAAGCGCTCTGATTCTTCTTCAGGGTCGAGGTAAATTGTGAAACCTGTTTCGGTGTTAATAGCATAGCCGTAATTCATTGTTTTCCACTCCTCTTGTGGGAACATCCAGCACAGGAAATTGTAAAACTGCTGCCAGAGGAACTTGCGGGGCTTATCACTTTTGAAGAACAGCCAGTCATAAAATCGTGTGCCTTGTTTCGCCACAGTTCCCCAGAGACCTAAAAGTCGGAGGATTCCATAAATTATGCCAGCCCATAAGAGAATGAATGGAGTTGTGAATAGGAGGATGGGAACCCAAATTGGACTAGTGAAGAGAACGATGAGTACTGCAGAAATTCCTATAATCCAGGCCCACATTTTTATTAGCGCAAAAAGTATGACGTAGATATTAATTTTGATATAGCGAAAAATGGGCTCTGAGTTCATAAAGAATAAGTCTCAAATGAAGTATCAATTGTTTTATAAAGATGCAATGAGAATAGGATTGATTTAATGGATTAAAAACACCAGGGTTTTAAATATTTTGATAAAATTTTTATTCTCCAAAGCTGTACATGTATATATATGCTTTAGAATCTGCCTGCATTGCATTTTAGTATGGAGTTCATTATCATGATGCGCCAGCTGAAATTTATGCTCTATAAAGTCACATCTCAATCCAGAAAAAGCAACTAATACTCAAAGTATCAAAAACTGTTTCATTTAACAAAATCCCCCTGACTTTAGAAAACAAAATTACGATTTATGGCAATTTTTGACATATAATAATATTTAATTAAAACAACAAAAAATTTGATAAGTCTGATGTCTTTTTTTTTATTTCATTAAAATGCATTAATATGGTGGAGATGACAGCAGGATCTCTTTGTAAATTTTTTCAGCATGCTAGGTGGAGAATAGAGGTGAGAAATTGACACGGATCTTAATGGTATGGCTAGGGATTTATTTGTGCCTCAGAGATGCAAAGAAGTTAAGCTGATACTCTGGAATAGAGCAAGCAATATTAGCTCAACGACTTTGCTTTAGATTTTAGCAAAGAAATTAGGGATAAAGCGAATTCAAAAGTATTATTAAACCATGAAAATGCCATGCATTCTAAAATTTCATCCTCTCTTCTTCAACGTCCCCAAATCTATATGAGATGCGGCTATAGGAATTAAGTGAGTCACGCCTTTTAATGTATTTGCAATTTCGATTAAAATACATAATTAAAATCCCATTTCTTATAATATAATAAATTAAATGAGCTTTTGGGAATTTTTCAAAATATGTTTAGCAGTACAAAATTCCAATATAAATTTCAAAAAGACGATGGCTATGAACTTCGGCGCCATTTAGTTGTTATGAAAGAAATTGACAAGTATAAAAGTTACGACATCAAGAGTTTGAGTGATTCTTAATCGAAATAATTACAGAAACCATCTATAAACCAATAAAGGAGTTTGGAGAAATTTACCCATGAAGTGGTATGCTTTATGAAGAATTAAGAGAAATAAAAAAAGCTTTGCTATTGGAAGATGCAAGAATTAGAAGGGTATTGGAAGCTCTTTGTCGTAATACCAAAGAACTGGTCACTGATTTTAAAATTCGATGGGTTGCGTGATTTGCAACCATTTATTCACGTTGCTACTTATTAGGCTAATTGCGGATGCAGCATTATATTAAGATAATCCTTCGGAGACAAATCCTTTTAGGGATAAAAATTTATTTTTATCAGATTGCATCTTTAAAGATATTTCAAGCATTCTAGTCCCATTTATTAAAATTGAATTTAGTTAAAATATGAAACTCACGATTAATAATTCACTAAAATAATTAAGAAATCAGTTAAGGAAATTATCACATGCTCACCAACGATGTCCGATTCCTATACTACATCTTATTACGAAAATTCCATCTTGTCATTCAATTCTTAGTAAAGATAAAATAAACAGGCTGAATGAGCATTGAAAAAATTTCAATAACGATACTTTGATAAAAATGATAAAATTGACTTGAGCAATTTTTAAAATGCCTGAGGCCGATAATTGAAACTTTGTCAACGATTAAGAATTTATTAGGATCTCCTAATCATCGACTGGAAAATAATTAAAAATAATTTTTAATGTTAAACTTATAGCAAATAGATGATTACAATTCTTATATGCAGTCTCTTTGTGCTGCCTTGTTAACGATGGCAATAGGAAATTTATTAGTTCAGAGATGAATTGCATTTCTAAATTTTCTCATATTTAAAGTATTATATAATCGATCTAAAATTCGGCCATTATAACACCAATAATTCATATAATCATAATGATAAATATTGAAGGAAGCAGCAAAGATTTTTCCAACAATGCAACCCTTGCTATGGAAAATATCTTAGAAAATATGTTTTCACTGATAAATCCAAAGGGCAAAGAAACAGAATTCAACTTATCTGAGACAAAAGACTTGCCTCTTATAAATTTCTCCAAAGTCTGGGAAATTGATAACTTGTATCCACTTCAAAATCAGTCAGTTGACTGTCATATCCCAGATCGAGAAGAGCGGGTTTGTACTCATACAGATCGAAAAGTCTACGCTAGAAATATGTGCAACCATTGTTATAGGACGTTCGGCCAGAATAAGATGGCCTGAACTTGTCCTCATAAAGATAGGCAGCACTATGCTAAAGGAAGGTGCCAATTGTGCTACTTGAAGGAGTATCACCGTTCAAGAGTTTTCGGAAAAAGAAGGAAAAGCAAAGGTAAATATAAAATAAACTAAATATATTGATTATAATCACACCATAGAAAAAGTATATTAATTATTTTCAACAAGTGGACATGAATTATTTGCGAATATATTGGCTTTATGATGAGAAGATCATAATAATAATACTCTTATTATGCATAATTGAAAATATAAATTTTTTTTCCAATTAAAGCATAGTAAAATTGACGATCTGGTTATTATCTTTGGTTTACGATGTACACAAAGCCTAAGTGAATTTAGTAAAATTTGTGGAAATCCACAAAAAGGCAATCCAAAATTAAAGAAAGCTAATTCCAATCAAAACTCTAAGTAAATAAGTAAATATCGAGCTCTATCAAATGAATATATCAATTATTCGCTTCCCATATTTTATTTGCATATAGAAATGAGTACAAATATCAGCCATTATGCCACCAGTAATTCAATTTACACAATGATAGGAAATAAATTCGAAATATCTCCTTTAAAAGAAGTTCCAGCGAAAAGTATCCTGGAAAATATGTTTTCCCTATTAAACCCTCAAGGGATGAGCACAGACTTCAACGTCAGTACCACTAAACTTCTCCCTCAAATAGATTTCACCCAATTAGAGGACTGCGGATATTCCTACCCAATTCAAAATCCGCTACCAGATTCTCAAAGCCAATCTGATAACAAAATTTGTACTCATAGGGATCGAAAAATTTATGCAAGAAATATGTGCAACCAGTGCTATCGAAAATTTGGGCAGAACAAGACAGCTTGGGCATGCCCTCATAAAGACCGCCAGCATTATGCTAAAGGATACTGCCAGCTATGCTATTTGAAGGAATATCATCGGTCGAAGCTCAATGGAAGAAAATGGAATAAAAGTAAATAATTTTCATATCATTATATAAATTATATAAAGTATCAAGAAATTTAAAAGCAGCCGCTAGATTGTGGGCGAAAAATGGCTTCTAAGCCGAGTCAATTTTGCTAAAAGTTTCTATATAGTTTTGACAGTTTTAACGAATGCAATATATTGGCTTTATCTTCTAATATCTTAGGGTGTAAATAATAAATAAGAAGTCAAAATTTTATTTTGGTTTAATATTTACTTGGCTAAAGCATTTTAGTTTATTATTTGAATACGCTTTAATAATTTGAATCATAAAAAACAAATTTTTAATAATTGGACGTGAATTTTATTTAGCTAAGAAATAATTAAATTTTTCAGCGCGCCGTAGCATTTTCGAGGTTTTCTGCGTGCTAAATCGTGCTATTTATATTATAATTATATTTATTAACATTTTAAAATATGAGTTAAAAGAATATAGTTAATTTTTATTATAAAGGTTTATCCAAATATAATAATAAATATATGCTTTATAAATTTATATAACATTATTCAGACTTATGCAAAATTTTTATTGCTTCATTTTGAAATTTTTGAGTTATATTTTAAGATTTATTAATAAAATTAAATTTAAGCACAAATAAATTAGCTGCTCCAAATTCCATTTTACGAATTTTATTGTATTCAAAAATTTGAAATCCAAAGTTTTAAATATTTTAAATGAAAAGATCAGCTCAAAAACATATTTTAAGCCTAAAATTCTAGTTGCTATTTCATCTTTTTAAGATAAAAAAAATTACGATTATATATTCATGAACTGATGCCATTTATCAATACTGAAAAAGCTGACCGATTTATAAAGAAAAAATTAGACAACCACTTATCAAGACAAATAAAAATTCGACTTAAATAATGCAATTATATTGAATTATGTTTATATAATATTTATATATTTATATAATAAAAATAAAGAGAGTTATATATATAGGTTTCTATGTAAACATTGGCTATTTCAAATTATTGTTGGTAATTTATAATAAGGAAAATATAGTCCTTAGTAAAATAAAAATTAATTAGGAGTTATGGCAGTTGTTTTAATATTGATGAGTTCTCTCAGAAACTTGATTCTCTAATATGTTATAAACCCAATAATTACTCAATTGCTTATTTGGCATTTATAATTCGTTTCTCATCATATCTTAACTTAAAATTAAATATATAAAAAATAATCTTGCATTTAAATTTGTAAAGCAACTGCTTATAATTGGCCATTATCTACCATAATAATAACCATAATGATAGACGTAAACCCAAGCGAAGCTGAAATAAATGAAATTTCTCCTCCAGCAGCACTTAATCTGCTTTCTAGCATGTTTTCATTACTAAACCCTCAAAGTGAAACTGCAGAATTCGGTTTTTTCCCAACCCTCGATCTTCCTAAGCTTGACTTTTTCAAATTGGAAGAGCTCGAAAGATCCGAAGCGATGCAGCTCAGTGAACTCCAAAGCCAAGGGCTTGAATCCTTAGGCTCAGAGGTAGAAGAAAGAAGATGCACTCATACTGATAGAAAAATTTATGCACGGAATATGTGCAATCATTGCTACAGAATGTTCGGCCAAAATAAAATGGCTTGAACTTGTCCTCATAGAGATCGCCAGCACTATGCCAAGGGAAGATGCCAACTTTGCTATTTGAAAGAGTATCACCGATCCCGAGTCTTTGGAAGAAGACGAAAGCCAAAAAGCAAAATCAATTAAAGCTATATATATAAAATTGATTATAAATAAATTATATTCTATTATTCTTTTAGAATTGCTAGATTTTTCAAAGGGAGCTTTTCATGGTTAATGTGATAAATTTATTCTTCAAGCCATTGATATAAATATTTTATATTCATTAATATGAATGGGTATTTCTCTTAGCCTTATATCATATATTAATAAATATTACTTTAGCAACAATACCGATAGTTCAAAAGCCAATTTTAGTAAAAATTCTTCATTAGCAAATTTTCAGTTTACCTAATGGATTATTTTTACCACTTATAAAAAGCTCTAATCTGTTGACTTTTTATAGGAGGATATTTTACGTGCAAAATGGAAATCCACAGTGAAGCCATTCAAATATGAATATTCTACATATAGCATCCCATTCTAAGAGTTCAATGCTCTCTCATATAAAGGGCAATATATGTTATTATGCTCTAGAAAATGCATGCAATAGGGATAAAAATGTTTTCACTATTAAGAGGAGCAATTATTAATTTAATAACCGCGCTTCAATAGCTATATTACTCAATTTCAAACATAATTTAATTGAATATAGTCACCTAAAATGTCTAGGGACCAATTTTTAACAAATCTAATTAGCTTATTTTGGATTATATTGGTAATAGCAAGAATTATGAACCATTATTCCATCTGCAAATGGCGTGTAATCCTCTTTGCTGGTATCAATTGGATTTTTGCAATAGTGGCACGACGCCTTGCAATATGGGCATACGCCATTGCTCCATTTGATTGCACAGCTTCTGCATAATGGATAGTGATTTCTTTCGCATAATATATTAGAAGGTGAAGTGTTGATCTTGCATAGCTGGCATATTTTCATTGAGATGGTCTCTTGATACACAGGTTTAGGAACACTTTGAGCCGCGCATTTTCCATGCACAAACTGACCATCAATATTCACTCTATTCTCTCTTGCTGAAATTCTCTCATTGCAGATAAAGCAAGTAGAGCTAGCTATAGACGGCTTTTTTGAAATTGACACTTCAGGCGATGCAGTCCCTCCCATCGGTGCAGTAGAACTAGATGTTCCTGGATGATTATCCCTTGTTTTCTTGCCGAAGTTTTGTAAAATATTCATGAGTCCAAATTCACAACAGTCTTGATTCGCTACTTTTTGTCCACAAGGGCACTTTATGTCTGCTTTCCTTTCTAATTTCTCTCTGGAAATTTTCTCCTTCAAGCACTCAACGCAATGTGTGGCTCCACAAAAGCTAAAAACCCTGGTGCAGTTCTCATGATTGCAGTTACTGAGGTTGTTCAGATATGTTTCTAGGCCTTCCAGCTGTCTAAGTTTTCATTCAGGCTTTAACTTTTGGAAGTCCTGGATAAATTTTTTCAAATCGTTTTTTATGTCTCTATCTGCAGCAATCTTTTGCTTGTCAACAACTCCAGCTAAGGCTTCAATCAGCTGCTTTATTACTAAGTCTGGGTCTTCAGGCTCTGGAGCTGGAGGTGGCGGAGCCATTGAAACTCCCAATTTCGCTATTTTCATTGGTGAGAATCCTCTTTGTGTATGTCCATACTTAAAAGGAACGCTTCTTAGCAAGTCAACGTTATGTGTTGAAGAAAATTCGTTTTCATTTTGATGAATCAGTACGCTCCAATTAAGATACTCGTCAACGTAAAGCGAAATGCTTGTCCTAACATTTTGCCGATGAATTGTGCGGACCGTCCCATCAAATTTGTAGAGTTGAATAGCAACGTCTGCTTCTACATTTAAAGCATTGAAACATACGTCAGTTTCTATATCGACAGGCTTCCTATTTGCTATATCTTTGGCAGCACTGTGCTTATTATCAGCTATGAGCTTAGCAATAAGAATTGCTTTGATGGACTCTGCTAAATCTTCGCATCCTCCTTCCTGGTAGAGTTCATTAATCGCAGCAATTGGATCTCTATCAGTTTTCCCACTATTAATCGTATACATCACACTCTGCAAAGGAGCTGTATTGAGCTTCGTACAAAATTCTTGTAGTCTATTGCATAAGTCCTGGGCATTGCTTTTCATTACCAGGACTCTTGACACCAGGGCATACCCAACACTTGCAAAAAAGCTATCTTCTGGTGGAAAGAATTCTACCTGCCCAATATAATCAGGGAATGAAGGATGCTGAAAGCCATGGATTGAAGCTCTGATTTGGTCCATTTTTATAGAAGCAGGCAGGAAAATTTTGCTTAATAAGATCAATATAACCCTGACTAAATTAATTTGCTTTTGATTTTGTTTTGCACCATTATGTAATTAGTTTTGGTAAATATTTATTAAATATTCTTTCGACATTTAAGAACTTCTGCTAAATAAAGAATGCTATAGATTTACTAGAATTAAATATTAACTTAAAATTCAGCTGAAAAAACACTTTTTCTGGCATCGATAATTGACGAGATTTCAGCCCTCAGATTTCGATTTTCTTTGATGTACATATCAAGCTTGTCTTCCTTTTCAGCAATTTCTGACCTCAAGACTTTGATTTTTTCTGTCAATTCCTGTAGCTCAGTGATTCTTTGTTTCGCAAGCTGGTCTTTTTGTGTTCTTTCCTGTTCCAAAAACCCTTCTAATTCTTGCACTCTAATTTCTAAGCTTTGAATTTCGTCTAAAAGTCTTTGCTTCATGGAAACCCCTTCTTTATCAGCCCCTTGAAGCTGGTTATTCAGCCTTTCCACCCTTTCTTGCTCATTATCAAGCTCTTCTTTATACCCTTTAATTCTGCCCTCATACTGATTTTTCACCTTCTCCATTTCTTCCATGAATTTCCTTTTCAGCCTCGTTTCCAGTTCATTTTTTTCTTTTCCTTTCTGCTTCACCTCTTCTCTTAATTTTTCTATTTCTTGTTCATATTTTGTTTGCAACTCTTGCGTTGATTTTCTTAGCAAGTTTTGACTGTTATATTTTATTTTTGTGGATTCGTCAGCTACTTCTCTTTGAAGCTGGTCAAAAGCTTCAGAGTTAGCTTGAAGCCTCAGGTGCAATTTTTGGTTTTGCTTATTCAAATTGTCGACTTGTCCTTGCAGCTTTTTTGAATAATCATTGCATTTGAGAACTTCATTATCTGACTCCCCCCCCCCCCCTCCGTGAGCGAACAAAACCATTAGAAAAATCGCCATTTTTTGACCAAAAAACCCACCCTCCGTGAGTGAACAAAAATTTTTTTAATAGAAAAAATTTTAATGGAAAAAAAATTTGATATATAAGTGATAATTAGTATAATGAAATCTAGAGCTAATTCTGTTTAATTTTAAACAAATTGCGTTTTAAAACATAAATTTTGCAAATTAAATTAATATTTGCTTCCCAATTTTTGCAAATTAGGATTTTTTTAAATTTCGAAAAAAATATTTTTTATAAAATTTATATATAAATTTTTTTTTTAAAAAAAAAATAACCCCCCTCCGTGAGCGAACAAAATTTTTTTGTTCGCTCACGGAGGGGGGGGGGGGGAGTGAGTATTTTTTCTTGTCAATCAACGATTTCGCTGCTCTTCTTATTCCGTCCATATCAGCATCATCCCACCAGGTAAGTTCTTCTCTTAATAAATTTTCTTCAATTTTGCTTAATTTTGATTTCCACTGTTTTTTCATTTCTTCTGAAATTTCAGCAATTTTATAATCGATTTTTCGCTTGTCAGATACTTCTTTTTCAATGAGCTTTATAGCGATTTCTTGGATCATTGACTGAGTTGAGTCCATGAAGGAGCTTACTTCATATTCCAAAGCTAACTTTATGTTTGATAAATCTGTCCTGAGACCTTGAATGCTGTACCTCGCCGATCTTTTTATTTTTTCGAAAGAATCGTTAACTTTTTGTCTCGTTTCTATAAATAGGGCTTCAAAATTTTTTAGTTCGTCCTTTGCCTTTTCTATTTCTAGCTTCCTTGCACTTGCTAATTTCTTGAGCTCATAGTTGTCTTGCTCCAAAGAAGCAATTATTTCTCTATTTTTCCTTTCCTTTGCGTCTATATCTGTGGATAAAGTCCTCGTGAAATCTTCTGACTCCCTTATTCTATTTTTAGCTTCAGAGTGCTGATTAGACAGCTCTTCTAAGCTCCTTTCAAGGCTGTCTACTTGGTTTTCAAGCTTCACTATATTTTTGTGAGCTTTATCAATTTCTGTTTCAAGCTGGAACGATTTTTCCTTTTCTTGGACCAAAAATTTTTTTTCGACCATTTCATTTTTTACATATTCCTGCTCATCTTGAGAGAATTAAAATGGTGACGTTGACGGAAATTGGACTCTGAGGCGCACTCCCTATGGATCAGGTAGGGCCCATCCTGATGAAGCTGAAAGCAAGGACCTCTGTCCCTCTTATTATAGGCCTTCAGGCTTGGGCTGCCTTGCCGAAGAGGGAAGTTTTATTCTCCCTCGAAGGTTTTCCTGTCCCTGCCAGATGGGCTAGACAGGTTTTGCCTACCACATGGTCTTTTCTCATCGAGACCGTCGGGGACTTGACAGACGTAGCTCTGCCCAAGGAGCTGATCCTCTGGGGAGGTGGTCAGTTCGGAAATCCAAAATGGCGTCGGGCGAGAAGTATGGTAGCATCAGAATCTCGCTCTGGGACTATGGCGGAGCCGAGATGGGGCGATGGCTAGTGGGTTGCCGCTTATGGCCGTGGTTAATTTTTAATTGTTCATCTTGGTATTTTTTTATTTGGCGCTTTAGATACGTATTTTGGTCTTCCAGCTCGTTTAGTCTTCCTTTGAGATTAGAGTTTTCAGTTTCATATTTGAATCTCAGGCTAGCTTCTTCGTTTTTGGAGTCTTTTAGGTCTTCTAGCAGCTCTCCAGCTGTATCAAGTTTATTTAGCAAATCAAGTTTTTCATTTTCAAGGTCTCTAATTGTGTTTGTTTTGATTTTTATTTCGGAAAGCATTTTTTCTGTTTTATTTGACAGTTCTTCTTGGGCTTGAGCCTCAAGAGCTTTGGAATTTGACAGAAGTTCATTTAATCCAGCGTTTTCTTTTTTAAGTTGGCTGACTTCTTCTTTAAATTCGCTTATTTTTTGTTCGAATTCTGATGTCAAAGCTTCAATCCGATTTTGGTGGATTTTATTGATGGTTCTTTCTTTTTCTTCTATAATGCTCTGATGGGCGGTCTTCATGATGTGGTCTCTTTCAACTTCTTTTGCTTTATTTTGTATAGTCGCTCGCAGCTCTTTTTCTTTTTCATTTCTGAGCTCAATTTCTGATTGAATTTCTCTTTCAAACTCAGCGGTTTTTTGTTGCAAGTCAGAATTGAATTGTGATTGGAGCTGCAAAAACTGCCTATCATATTGAGATTTTAGCTCAATTTCTCGTTTTTTTATGCTGATATCTAGTTCTCTATACTTTTTTTCTGAGTCTTCTAAACTTCTTCTTAGTTTTTCTTCATTAGCTACTAAGGTTTCATTTTCAATTTTTAAACTTTCTATTTTTTCTATAGCTTTTTTCATCTCATTTTGAAAATCTTGCAATTTTCCTCTCTGCTCTTTTATTTTTTGCTTTAATTTCCGTGACTTAGTCCTTGCTTTTTCAACGATTTCCTGCAACGCTTTGTGGCTTGAGCTTGAAACCTCTTCATATTTATCTTGATATGCTCTAAAATGGGCCAAAATCTTCTGTTTTTCATTTTCAGTGTTTTCCAATTTATCCTGGAGGTCTCTATTTTCGTCGATTAAAAATTCCAGCTTTGCTTGTATGCTGGCTCTATTATCTTCGACTGCCCTTGCTGAGGATTTTCATTGCTGTTCTCTTTTCTCAGCGTTTTCTACAGCCATCTTCATCTTGTTTATCTCATCATCAAGTTCACGAATTCTGCTTAAATCCCTTTGCTTCTGAAGATTCAAATTTTCTATTTCTTTGATGGCATTTCTAACTTGGTCTTCTAACTGCAATCTTTCTTCATCAAATTTCCTGCTCTGCATTCTTGAAGTCTCTTCTATTTTTTGTAGCCATTCTATGTCTTTTCTTTTTAATCTGTCTTCTAAAACAGCTTCGCTTTCACCCAGCTCTGCTTTCAAATCGTGAGCAATTCTCAAAGATCGCTCTTTGTCAGACTCTTCGAACCTCAGCTTATCTTCTAGCTCTCTTATAATTTTTTCAAATTTATTGCATTCAGCCCTCCTCTGAGCCAGCTCTTCTTGAAGTCTAAAACTCTGGCACAAGTTGATCGTATATTTTTCCTTGTAAGAAATATCCTTGAGGCGTTTGCTATGAAAAAATCATTAGCATTCGATCAAGTGTATCAGGAGGAAAATTTTAGACCAAAATCCTTGAGTAAATGCCAAACGAGAAAAAATGATTCGATAAAATGGCATGAACCCGTCTAACTCAATCCATATTATCGATATAAAAAACACTTTTTAAAAAATAAAAAAGATAATTATTAGCTGCAGGAGTAAGAATCGTTGTCTCTTTTTCTCCGCCTATGATTTCTTCAAACAGCTCTTTTGCTCTCTGGCTTGCGAATTCTTGGCTCAAAGAATTTTCTCTCATAGCGCTATAGATTTCGTCTCCGTTGATTTCATCAAAAAATGCTTGGACTTGCCTGGCTATCTGGGAAATCCTTTGTTCGAATAAATCTTTTAAATACCCAATTTGGTCCATATTAGAGTTATTAATCATTATTCAAATTAAATTTAATGATTCTTGTTTTTCTTTTACCATGGTCACCTCGAACCCGCTGAGAGTCCCTCATGTCCATCGTGACATCTTTAAAGGACATGTTAAACATGACTCGGGGCGTGAGTGGGGTAATGGGGGATAGCAATTCTTCAGTATCAGCTGTGGCACGTTCTTGAGGTGCCAGAAGATTAGCTTCTATTACTTCAATAAACGCTTTGGCAATGCGCGAGAGGACTCCTTCTCCGTGGGTTAAAACTCGCACCATACTTTGGTTTTTTTCATAAATTAACTTGACTACACTAGCAGCGTGGTAACGGGGCAGATAATCTGTATTTAGTCGATTTATTGTCATGCATAAATCGTAGAGTTCACGCATGTTTCAGTCTTTTTTATTTTTTCTCAGCTTGTATAGAAGCTTAATTGCAAATGGTTCTCATCTGTCAGGGTAGCTTTGAATATCAAATGATAGATTTTCGCTTATTATGGTGTCGGAAGTGCTTATCTGACGGAAAATACTCCGGTACTGGCAAGAGATGGCACTATTAAGAATTCTGATTATTCCATGCTTCCCATAAAATATATTTGGGTGTGCTTTTTCTTCTAAATTGTCTTTAAAGGAAATCCTCACTAGAGTTTCATTAAGCTCTCCAGTTTCATAATATTCTTTATTTTGTTTACGTGCGTCTTGCATCTCCACTATTATTTCTTGTGCTGAGTGCTTTATAAAAATCTGCTCTGGCAAAGCTTCAGGAAGCTGCTCTATATGATTACTTAAAAATTCAATCAGCTCTTTTGGGACAATTTTGTCAGCAGCCTTCATTGAGAAAAACTTGTTTTGCTCAAATATATTGTACCGCTTATTATTTGTGGCCTTCGTTATTTCTTTAAACCTTTCTAAGGTAGATTCATCAAATTTTCCAAAATAATATAAAAATTGCATAAAAGTGACGGAGTCTATGAACCCTTTTCAAAACTCCTTCATTTTGCAGCTTTCACTGCAGAGAGAAATGTTTTGCAAAAACTCATCTTCTTGGAATTCAAATTGCCTTGTTTCTTCATCCTTGACTAAGTACGCTGAAAACTTGCTTATTCCTTTTAAAAAGATGTCTAAAAATGCATGTCTGAGGAGAGTGACAAAGCATTCTTGTCTTTCAGCTCGCTCCAGTGGCTCTAGAAGTTTTTCAGCGTTTTTAATGAATTCTTTGTCTGGGATGCTTTCTTCAAGCTGGTGGGTATTAAAAGAATAGAGCCGCTCATAGTTAACGTAGTAGTAGGCTTTTAGCAACTGAATTTTCTTACAAAGTAAAGCTTTTTCACAGTCACAAAGTAAAGAAGGCACTGTGTTGTATAAAATATTTGAGTCAATGTCCAAAATCATTGCGTCTGGCTCTTTACTGATGGCTTCTTCTTTTGGTATATATTTATTATTCAGCCCGATTAATACAGGAACAGGCACTTGCAAGTAGTCAAGCAGGTGCTTGCTTAAAACTGGAATATAGCTCATTGTCCAGTTCATAGGGAAAATCAGCTTTTTAAATGCTTCAAGTGCTAAAAATAACAAATATTCATTGCAACTAAATATAAACGCATGTCTGCTCAGCAGCAAGCTCTCCCAGAAACTGATGATATTAGTTATATCAACCAAATCAACCAAAATAGCGACACAGCTTTCATAATGCCCCAGGCTAAGTTTCTTATCAACTGGCAGCAAAATTTCAGTTTTTCCGACCTCAATTGTAAACTCTACTTCAACTGGAGGAATTATTGTGTCGTTCAGCAAAAAACATGTATTTCTAATAAATTCTATGCTGGAGATCAGTGACGATTCATTTTGGTTAATTTCAAAAATATAACTATACAATGACTCTAAAATATTCCGAAACGCATCGATATAGGTGCTTTTTGTAAGCAGGCATAAAGCAATTGGTGCATAATAGACTAAGTCGCTTGATTCAAAAGCTTGTTCAACTGTATTTGGGATAAAATGCAAAAGGCCAGTCGGGACGTTACGTGACTTGGTTTGCTCTAAAATTTCAGGGGTAACCCTTTCGTAGGTAATTAAGCAGTGGATGTTTGTGAAGTAACCTTTTTCGTTAGTAATTGTAGTTGAGTAATAAGTCTGAGGCATGCAGTTATGTTCGAGTTTGATTTCTCGGTCTGTAAATATCATCTAGATTTGTGTTACGTTAATTTGGTCCTGTGTGAATTCTTTAGAATTCGGTGGGAGCTTACTCCCTCTTTAAGAGCGAGCAAAAAAGGGGGTTAATTTTTTCAGCGGTTTTTGTCTGTTTAAAGGAGGAGTTAGCAATTAATTCAGGGATGCTTGAATCTTTCCCTTCAAGAAAAATATCTAGATAAAAATTACTTCTGAGGGTTTTCACAGATAAACCTAATATTAGAATGGAATCAACCAGCCTTATTGCTGGCTCATGTTGCTCTTCAAATAGATTTTCCATAGTGCCAAAACTTAACCTTTCGATATCAAAATATCTTCAAAGAAACTTTAGTTTTTATAGTTTAAATAATTTTATAATATTTTAATATAAAAGTTAGGCGAAAAATTATTAATTCAATTAATAGTTTAAATTTGAACTATTATAATCTTAGTGCATTAAGCATTAAGAAGCTATTTTAATGATCATCAAGAAAATTTGAAGCTATAAGCCATACTTAAAATCATCCATTTTACTAGACTATCCATATAAGTGCTTATGGATATATTCATAAATAAAGAGTTCAGTATTCTTGTGGAGAGGATTTGTAAAAGTCTTTTATAGCAAATTTAATTATATAATTATATTAAATCATAAAAAGTTAAATAAAAGATTTATTTTGATATTTAACTAAATTAATTGTTTTCATCTGCTTGTGTTTAGTCTTCTTTTTGTGGCAATTAAATTTTGACTCTACTAAAATCATAAATTTATCTTTTCGTCATTCTTAATTATCATCAAAAATGATTTAATTCCTTAAATAAAATATGCAAAGGCTTATTTTATTAGCTGGTCTTTTGGCCCTAAGTTTTGGAGCAGTCCAAATTCCAGTCTACAGACTCATCCAATACGAATACGAAGGCACTCATCTCGGTTCCCAAGTAAGCTCCATAAACTATCTTGGGGCTCACTATGAGAACACTCAAGAAATCCCACGAAAAATCACCATGATCCACATATCAAATCTCTCAATTGAATCCTTAGAAACCCTTCTAGGCCATAAGCCAAGCGCAGTTCTTATCATCCTTACACAATCTCATCCTCAAGGCTTAAAGGAGCTTGAAAGCTACCTCGGGACCAACTCATTCCCATTCCCCATCTATTTTACATACGAAACACCAGAAGTGATGGACATTTACAACTACTTGCAGCAGCAAAAAGGCGATCAAGGCAGCGACATTGATCAGCTTCAGTTTTCACTAAGCACTGATGAGAAGCCAGCCGCTAAAGGCCTGGCACAAGAAAATTACTACGGCTTCGTCTATGAATATTCCGAAGCTCTCCCTACAATTGCTTTAGTGACTTATTATGACGCCTTCTCAATTGTCCCTGAGCTTTCCCAAGGAATGGACGCAAATGGCAGCGGAGTCATTACCATCTTAGAACTCACAAAGTATTTCAGAAAATTATTCAGCACATCCCCTCCAGCTTATAATTTATTGCTTGTTTTGACCTCAACTGGGACTCTAAACTTCCAAGGCCTCAGAAACTGGCTTGATTCAGAAGATGCAGAGCTGCAACAAATAATTGGGAATATCAAATTCGCGCTTTGTTTGGATACTCTTGGCAAAGGAAGTGACCTGACTTTCCACGTGTCAAGATTCCCTAGCAAAGAAAATGAAGCTGATATTGCAAAGCTGTATGCAGATTTTAACAAGACTTCTAGCATCACTGGAACTGCGCTTAACTATATGAAGAAAAAAATCAACATGGCTGATTCTTTTATCCCATGGCAGCATGAAAACTTTGCAAAGAAAAAAGTTCTGTCAGCGACTCTTTCACATCTACCTGCAGCAAGCACAAGTTTTATTGACAGAAGCTCTCTATATGATAATAAAGAAAATATTGATATTGATGCAATTGAAAGAAATATAAGGTTTATCGCAGAAAGCTTGACTAGGTTTTTGTATAGCAGAGATGACGGAAATTTGGTGGTTTATAACAAAGCTGAGCTGACTTCTAAAGAAAGCATAGGATTTTGGGTGGAAAAATTAGGCAACTATACAAGATTTACTACCAAGTTGGCACCTGGGGCTGAATTTCCAAAGCTTTTGAAGGAGACACTCAATGAGCTTACAAACAGCACTTTTAAGGTCCAGAAATACCCAGTCACTGACTATACACTTTATAATACCAAAGGAGAAAATTTGAGCGTTTATAAAGTGAAGCCTGCAATCCTTGACCTTTATATATTTTTGGGGATTTTTGGGTACATAATTGTGCTATGGGGAGTTATTAAGGCATTTGGAAAACCATTTGTGAGTAAAGGAGAAGCAAAACGCAAGACAAAATAGGCTAGTATTTAAGATTTCTCTTTTATTTTATAATGAGTAACGGCTATGAGATTATTTTTTCTAGATTTACTTATAACATCAAAAAGGCATTCCTTTCTAGATTTAAATAATAATTTTGCAATAGCAAAGCTATAAAAGATTTATTTTTTTATACAGAATTGATACAAGCTCAATTATGATTATTTAAATTAAATTAAATTAAATTAAGAGCCTTGTTTAAAGACGGCTGAGGATTTCCACCTCTACAAGTTAATTCGCATCAGTTAAGAGCGCCCTACTGACGCCGTCTGCCTCGTTTAGGCATCGACTACTTGACTTGCTCCCGGGGCGTCCGTTCGCTATCGGCTGGAGTCTGGGGCGTAACTCCCAGTTTTACACTAGGCACCTGCTGTCTTTAGGGTTCCTAATTCGAGTAGGGGGATCATACCTAATCTCGGGGACGATGGCCGACTGTGCCCTTTCCAACTCCATTTCAGGAGGAAAAAACCCCATGTCCCAGGTATCATACCCTGTGACACGGAGAAAACCTCTGCCACAATACATTAAGGATGCCGAGCCTGTGATTCCTCCACCTGGGCGTTCCCTGCAGGTGTTGAGGAAATTGTGTCAAGAGGTCGGGTGGTCGCCTCCGCCATATTAATGTATATGATTATTTAAATTTATAATTTAATGTTTATTCTTTTTCCATAATTCCAGCATAATATTATGATATAAATGCAAGAAGACACTATTAAATTGTTAAAAATATTTAGAATGGAAGATGAATCTCCTCACTCCACTAACGAAATGAAAAATATCGAGGTCTCAGGTAGAAACATAAATTTTGCATCTCAGCCCCCAAATCAAAGCCGCTCCAAGTACATCCTTACTGACTTCTTTACTAGCATCGACCAGATCAAGAATCCCACATTTGAAGAAAACCTGACCGCCCTTTCTAAGATCCACCGATTCCTCACAGGCTTCAGCATCCTCAACCCTTCTGTATGAATCGTCCTGATGATCCTCGGGCTTTTGTCTTCAGTAATTGCGTTTTGTGTCGACTATCTCTCTGAAAAATTGATGGATACTCGTGAGTTTTTTGCAAGCACTGAAAGTGGCTTTTGGAATTTCTGCATATGGATGCTCTACACCCTGGCTCTTTCCTGACTTGCCGCTGCTACAACTAAATGAATCAGCCCAGATGCTGAAGGATCAGGGATTCCTGAGATGAAAGCAATCATTGCAGGTGTAAAGCTGCCTCATTGTTTAAGCACTCAGACTTTTATAGCCAAATTTACAGGGCTTATAGCAGGATCTGCTGCAGGATTGAGCATAGGACGAGAAGGACCCTTTGTGCATGTAGCTGGGATCATTGCCCACAAATTAACGAAATATCGGATTTTCAGACACTTGAGAACTGTAAACAATATATAGAATTTGACATTGAGGAACCAAATCATGGGTGCATCAGTAGCTGCTGGAGTTGCTGCAGCTTTTGGAGCCCCGGTAGGAGGAGTGCTGTTTAGTATAGAAGTCACTGCAACTTATTACTATGTCAGTAACCTGTGAAAGGGCATTTTTTGTGCTGTTTGGTGTGTGATTGGCTTTGACCTGTTTAGAAGTGGAGAAGTCACTGATTTAATTAACCTAACCAAGCTAGACCCTATTGAGTTCGGCTACGAAATTTTCGGATTCACATTGTTAGGAACTTTATGTGGATTTGTAGGAGCATTTTTCATTAAATTTACAGGGAAAATGATTTATAATAGAAAAAATTTAAAATACCCAGCGATTCATACGAGATTTAGGTACACACTTTTTGTAGGCGCCATATGTGGGATTCTTACTTATATGCTTCCTTATATGCAGCTTCATGATAAAATTGTGATTAATCAGATGTTCAGGGCTGACAATCTGACTACTTATGAAAAAACGTATTGGAGCAAGCCGACTCTTAGCTTGAATCTCTTTATTTATGTGATCACGAAGCTGCTGCTTACAAGCTTAAGTATCAGCTGCCAAATACCTTGCGGTGTTTTTGTGCCAATTTTTGCTGCGGGGAGTACTTTTGGTAGACTTTTTGGACAGATTTTAGACTCAATTTTTGGGACTGAGTATAGAGGAGTTTACGCAGTTGTAGGAGCAGCTGCATTGACTTCGTCTGTTACCCATACTTTATCAATTGCTATCATTGTGTTTGAGCTGACTGGCCAGATCCACTATTTTTTGCCTATGATGGTTGGTGTTCTGCTTGCCTATTCCATCAGTTCTGGCTTTGGGATCTCCTACTACGACTCTTTGCTTGAAATGAAAGGCCTGCCTTATCTCCCATCTATAAAATCTTCATGACTCTACGCTAACTGTGCAAAAGATGCAGTGGATCCTCAGTACCCTTTCATAACTCACGAGGCTACTATAAAAGATCTAGCTAAAGCCATCCAACAAAGCAAAAGCGCAATAGTAAAGATCCCAGTCGTCGATGATGATATGAATTTAATGTTTGACGTAAACTTAACGAACATTAAACGGTACATTATGATGGTTTATCAAGAAAGGCTGCATACGCTATCACGTGATTCACGGTCACATATAGAAAAGTACTTTTCTTATTTATTGCATGAAATTGATGATATTGAGTATGAGCAAAGCATCGCGTGCAGAGACGACAGCGAAATGAAAGAAGTGGACTCGTTTTTAAGCACTCCTGTAGAGTTTTCTTCGGACATTTTGCAATTAGACGATTCGCCACTGTCCATACCTGAGAACACACCACTAGTGAAAGTCCATTTCTTGTTTATGATGCTGGGGCTGACACAGATTTATGTAGCTTATAGAGGGAAACTGATGGGAGTAGTTTCCAAAGAAATGTTCCTTAAACATAGATAAATTGTTTAATATTTAATTTATAACTTAAATTTTAAGCGGATGTACCGCATTTCTCTCGTTTTTACTCAAAAAACCCCAAAAAATCCCAAAAAGTCCCAGAAAATCCCAAAAAATCCTCAAATAGGCAAACAAAAAACAAAAAACAACACAAAAATAATTCACCTCACAGCACATCAGCAAGATCACCAACAGCAACCTACAGTCCTTGAAGCTGAGCCCGGAATTTTCAGACGAAATACCGATTAGCACATTCCTCATCCTAAATCGGCCTCAGAAAACTCAAGCACAGCTTCGCCAATTCGTCTCCGATCTTTCCGTCATCTCGCTATGTTCCACTCCTCCGCCTAAAAGCGCCCGCACTACTCTCTCCTCTTCTTGCTTTTGGCGCGAAGCGCCTAAAAAATGGTATTTTAATATTTAATAACATGGAATTTCTTGACGAGCCTTTAAAGAGGCCTCCAAGGCCTGTCAGTCCAAGAGTTCCTGTTGAGCATTACTACAGAAGAGCTTACAATTATGGGATTTCGGTGTCATTGTTTTACTATTTTGTTATGTTTATTAGGCATCGAAATGACCGATTCGCTAAGTTTCAAAAGACCACAAGTTTTTATAAGATCTGGCTGCCCTGCTTTATCTTAGGGTCAGTTATATACCCATTTGACAATTATTTGTGGGGCAAAGTTGACGATCAAGTGAAATTTTGGCAGCTATCTATATACAAAGAAGAAAGAAAACCAAGAAACATTAAAGAAAATGGCTTTTAATTAAATTCAATATAAAAATGTCGGATGGTAGAAAATCGTATATCCTAGGCTGCGCAAGCGCTGCCCTAGGAGTTCCAAACCTTCCTACGTCACCTTTGATATCCACTTTCCTAGATATACCAGATTTCGCAACCTTGCAAATCATCTATTCAAATGAAGCTTCATTTTCCCTTACTCTGGGTAAAAAATAATTCTACCTCACAATTTTTTGTTAAAAAATTATTTTTAGCTAATTCTATTAAATTTTAAAGAGCTTGCTTTCTAGATACAAATTTTATAATTAATTTTGTTCAAATATTAAAAAATTTCTAATATAATTCTGTTAAAAATTAGGAGAGGGAGCTAATATTCAGGCTTATCCAGAGACAGCGCGCGAAGTTCATTTTATCAAACTAGTTCCTCGTGCATTGAATGAGAATGAGATGATTTCAAGCGTCATTATGGGGACACTCGGGAGCAACCCACTTTCAGCTCTTCTCAGAAACCTCAAAGCAGTTACTCAGCCTCTATTGCAGACTGGAAATGTTGACAGCCACCTACAAAACTTGGCTAGTGAACTTGAAGCTGGGCTTTCTTCAATGCTGAGACAAGGGCCAAGAGGAGAATCAGTTGACTCAATTTTAATTCCTGCTGACGAATTTGAATACTGGGCAAGCGTTGCTAATGACTTTCGAGGCTCTCAAGCAGTCCAAGACCAAGCTAAAACTTTTGTGACTTTATTTTCAAAAATTTCTAGACAATGGAGCGAAATTTCAACGCTGAGTTTTTCAGAAATCCACGACCTGCTAGAGCAAACCCTTGACGTTTTAGATTCAGTATGGAAAGAAAATAGTGTACAAGCATACCCACAAGCCAGGATGGATAAGCTCTTTAACGTTATCGCTGAAGCTATTGCCAGAAAAGTCCAAGACTCAATCCCTGACTCTCAACTTTGGGGCTCTGAGTTCTCAAATGCCAGAATGCTATTAAAAGAAGCCCTAAAAGCTTGCGAAAGATGGATCGAAATCATGCATGAGCTTCCCAACAACTACTGGCGAGAAGAAAGAAAATGGGGTAAAAAGCTCCCCAAAAGCGAATATTTAATGGCCTTTGCGATGAGGCTAGAAGAAGTCCTCACACTGAGAACCCAGCATGATGAGCTTATCCTTTTATTATCCCAAGAAGACCAGCGCCGCTTTAATGTAGAAAAGACTTTTGACCCTTTCAAAAGAGTTCAGGCCTTCTTAGTCAACCCTTACACCCAGCCTAAATGGGACGAAGCCAAAGCCAAATATGACAGCAACATGCAAGTCATTGAAGAAGAAATTGCCAACAAGCTTAGAAGAGAAGTCCTACAAGTCTCAAATATTTCCCAACAGATGAGGGATTTCCAAAAATGGCAAGGACTTCTAAGCCGCCCAAACATCGGCAGGTCTCTTCAAAGCGAAAGAGAGCAGATCCTTAACCAGCTCTGTATACAAGTAGAACAAATAAGAGAAGAATTCGAAAGCAGGTCAGGCATGAAGACAGAAATAATCCCAGGAATGGATAAGCCTCCTCAAGATCTGAACATGTCCCCATTGGTCGGCAGCATTGTGTGGGCTAGAGGCTTACAACAAAAAATCGCAAGAATTTTGTCATCAGCTGGAGCATTTTTAGCAGATCTGGGAAGCATTGGAAGACTAAAAGATACATGTGAGCAGGTCAGTAAAATCCTGGTAGACTTCCAGAAGCAGCAGTTTAATAGCTGGAAGGCGAATATTGAAGGGGATATTGATAATAGAAATGAGCCATTAGGGCTAGAAATCACTGGAAAAATGATGGAGCTGGACTTAAGCGATGGGCTGCTTAAGGTCAGCTATTCTGATAAACTTGTGCAGCTACTCAAAGAAACCAGGCAGCTTGCAGAGTACGGGTTCAGCATTCCAAAAAAGCTTAAAGATGTAGTAGCCACAGGCAAAAAATACTATAAAGAAGCAATCACTCTTAAAAGAGTCGCTAACTTCTACAACTCAATGAGCTCGCAAATTATCGACTCTCAGAAAAAGCTACTATTAGGCGAGGCTATTGCTTTTGAAGAGGTCGTAAAGTCAGCTAAAAACTTAAAAGATGGCAAAGTTACGTGGAATAACCCAGTTGACGTCGAAGAGTACATCCAAAGAGTTCAAAAAGCAGCAAATGATTTAACGACAGAAAACAGAAGACTGAGAAAAGCCCATTTCGGGATAATTGAGCAAATTGGTGAGCTTGAAAAAATTGACTTATTAAGGCACAGACAAATGTGGAAAGAAAAACTCGACGAAATTAGAAGAGCCATTAATACAATTACAGCTGAAAAAAGTGAGGACGCAGCCAGGGCATGGAAAGCTGATCTCGACAAAGAGCTTTTTAAAAGCTTAGAAGTCCAATATAAAAATGGCTTAGAAAATCTGACTGACAATTTGCCTGAAATTAAAGCTGATATCGTGTTTGCGAATAAAACTTTGCAGTTTAGACCGCCGCTAGAAGAACTTAAGGCAAAATACTATAAAGAAATCAAGCTTTTTATATCCATTCCTATCACTTTTCAAGGACTTGGAGGAAACCCTGAGGTATATAGAAAAATGCCTGATAAAAATTCAGATGGCCTTTATACAGTTTATTCTAAGGCTGAAGCACTATTTGCTGAACTAAAAGAGCTGCTAGGGACTTACAAGCCTTGGGTTGTGCTGGGAAAAGTTAATATTGATACAATGGTAGAAGAGCACGTTAAAGATGTAAATGACTGGGAGGCTAACTTTAGGATGCTGAAACAGAAGCGAAAAGACGTAGAAAAGCTGCAAGAGCAGCAAAAAGTCCATTGCTTTTCTATATCAACAGCTCCTATTAAATCGTCGATAGAAGAACAGCTTCAAAGACTTTCAGAAGCTCTGATTGTGTCCCTTAAAACTTCTATTAAGACTGACATTGACTATCTCGACGAATTCCTCAAATCAGCCAACGCTAAGCTTACTCAGCGCCCTCAAAGCGTAGAAGAAATCGCCAAAGCCCAGCGCGAAGCCTTAGAAGTCGCAGGCCAAAAAGAAAAAACTTATAAGCAGTACCAGAACCTTGAAGAAAAATCCAAAATGCTTAAGCAGCTCACAGGAGCCAGCCCAAACCTTGCAATAATTTCAGATAAATGGAAAAACTTCGAAGTTTCTGTAGAAGCATTTTCAGAAGTTATAGAGCAGCAGCGAGAAGTAGTCAAACAAGACATCGCGAGAAGAGGCGAAGAACTCGCATCAGCTTTAGACAAGTTTGCATCTAGATGGGCAGCACTTAAGCCTAACTCCCCCCCCATCCTTGATCGAACGACTCGCCATCGTTCGATCAAGGATGGGGGTTAAAAAAAAATGTTTTTGGGAAAAAAATTTTATATATAAAAATAAAATATATATATTTTTTTTATTTACTTTTAAATAAAGAGAGTTAAGAGTATTTAATAATTATTTTTTACAGCAGAAAATTGAATTAATATCATAAAAAAATACCATTTTTAATATTTTGATTTATTAGTTACCCTTTTAAGCTGTATAAATTTTAATTTTTTCCCTTATTAAATTAAATTTTTTTTTTTAAAAATTTTAAAGAATCTCTATATTTAGATTATTGAGTTTTTAAGCCTAGGTTGATGACTAAAGCACTTCGAATGGTTGATTCCGAAGCTTTCTCGTCTCAAAGTCTCTAAAAACAACTTCATTAGGTACATTTTCCAAGCTTTTGATAACTATTATATTTTTATATATATAAAAATTGTTATGATATGAAAATCGTTCGATCAAGGACGGGGGTTAATTTCCCCAATTTTTAGGAATTTTTACAGTTAATCGTTCGATCAAGGATGGGGGGGAAGTAAACAAATTGATGAGCTTGACATGCAGACTGCTGTAGAAAACGCAGAAAAGGTAAAAGAGTGGAGAAATGACTGGCAGCAGCTCAGTGAAAGAATAGGGAAGCTCAAAGAGGAATCGGAACAATTCAATATGCCGATAAGAGAGTTCTCGACAAAAGATATTGAGGCAGAAATCATTGAGCAAGAATCCAATTGGAGCTTGTTTGAAGAGTTCAGAACAGAGCTAGGCAAGCTTGGCGAAGAAGACTGGCTTTCCTTCAGGTCAAAACTTTATTTATTCCAAGATTTCTTCTTACTCCCCCCCCCCTCGAAGTTCGACCAAGATATAGGGAAAATTCCCTATTTTTTTGTAAAATTAACCCCCCTCAAAGTTCGACCAAGACCTATGTAAAAATTTACTAGGAAAATAAGCAATTTTTCAAAAATTTTAAAACTATGTGGGGGTGAGCTTGCGATTTTTGTATTCAAGTTCTAAAAAAGCGTTACAAAACCATCTTGCACTATTTTTTCTTACCCTTACACCCTCTCAACCATACAGAAGAATATGATAAATTTTTTTTTTTTAACTATTAAATTATATAAAAACAATTCTATATAATTTTTTTTAAAAAAAATTTTTCTTAACCCCCTCGAAGTTCGACCAAAAAAATCTTGGTCGAACTTCGAGGGGGGGAGTTAGCCTGGACTGAAAAAATCAAAGGCAAAACCAGAGATGCAGTAGGCAGATTTATCAGCACCCAAATCGAGCTCTATAAAAGAGTCTGGCCTCTTCTTAAGCTAGCAACTGGGGAAGGCTTTGAAAAAGAGCACTGGAAGACTTTGTTTTACTATTTAAAGCTCCCTAAAGAAATCTCGATGGAGAACTTGAAATTCAAGCATTACATTGACAATTCTGCCTATATGATAGCTTCTGCAGACCAAATTAAAGAGCTCCAAGCTAGAGCCCAAGGAGAAATCACTATTAGAGAAGCCATCCACGATTTAAGGGTCTGGTGTGATGAAGCTGTATTTTCATTATACGAGCATATACAAAATGACAGAGTCACCCCACTTATTAAAGACTGAAAAGAGCTTTTGACTCAAGTCAGTGACAACCAAGCCTTGCTTTCCTCGTTAAAAGAGTCACGATTTTTCCAAAGATTTGCAGATCAGGTCGAGCAGTTTGAGTCAAAACTGTCGTCACTGGATGACTATTTGCTGAAATTGAGCATAATCCAGAGAAAATGGGTATACTTAGAGCCGATTTTTGGAAGAGGAGCTTTGCCACATGAGCAAGGAAGATTTAAACGAGTTGATGATGAGTATAGAGGAATTATGCTAGGAGTTGGCTCTGATCCAAGAGTTATCAGCCTTTGCAGCATCCCTGGGCTTAAAGATACATTGGAGACTTTGCTTGACCAGCTAGAAAGATGCCAGAAAGCATTGAACGACTATTTAGAAGAAAAAAGATCGAAATTCCCCAGGTTCTATTTTATTGGTGACGATGATTTATTAGAAATTCTAGGCCAAGCCAAAAACCCTAAAGTCATCCAAACCCACCTGAAGAAATTATTTGCAGGTATCCACAGAGTTGAATTTGATAACAGTGGGACTATCATTGCATTTTTGAGCTCCGCAGGTGAGCGAGTTGCCTTGCATACTCCAGTACAAGTGTTTGATGATGTCGAAATATGGCTCGGGCAGCTCAGCAAAGAAATGCAATCAACGCTGGCCAGAGACTTATTAGCGTGCTTAAGAATTGAAGACATCCAAAGTGCTTTAAGAGAGCAGCCAAGCCAGCTCTGCTCTTTAAGCGAAGTCATCCGCTTCTCAATGGACTGTGCCAAAGCTATTGAATCTAATGGTCTACAAAAGCTGAAGCAGTCCTTAGCCCGTCAGCTCTCAAACCTTACATCAACACGCTACACTGACCAGTTATTGCTTTTAAAAGTAAAAAGCTTGATTTTAGACCTAATCCACAACATGGAAGTCACTGATTTATTGATCGCCCGCAGTGTAAACTCAGTCCACAACTGGGATTGGCACCGCCAGCTGAAGTTTGTTATGAACAATGAAAAGCTTTGTATCATAAACATGGTCGACGCCCAGTTTAACTACACCTACGAGTACCAAGGAAACGCCCCAAAGCTTGTGCATACTCCTTTGACTGATAAATGCTATTTGACTCTAACTCAAGGAATGATGATGGGGTATGGAGGAAACCCTTATGGCCCAGCAGGAACTGGTAAAACTGAGTCAGTAAAAGCTCTAGGCCAAGCCTTCGGCAGACAAGTGTTAGTGTTTAACTGTGACGAAGGAATTGACTTTAAATCAATGGGGAGAATCTTTATTGGGCTCGTAAAATGCGGAGCGTGGGGCTGCTTTGATGAGTTTAACAGGCTTTTAGAAGAACAATTGTCAGCTATTTCCCAGCAGATTCAAGTTATACAATGGGGCATCAAAAATGGTGAAAAAACACTGGAACTGTTAGGAAGGACTATTGAAATTAACTTAAATGCAGGGATCTTTGTAACCATGAATCCTGCCGGAAAAGGCTATGGTGGCCGTTCGAAGCTACCTGACAACTTGAAAATGCTTTTCAGGCCAGTTGCTATGAGCGTGCCTGATAACGAACTTATTGCGGAAGTTTTGCTATTTGCAGAAGGATTCCAAAACGCCAAAGAACTCGCTAAAAAGCTTGTAGAGCTCTTTATCCTTTCTAAACAGCTATTATCAACCCAAGAGCACTACGACTGGGGACTGAGAGCTCTCAAAACGACTCTTACGATTGGTGGACAGCTAATCCAAGCCGAAAGAGCATCCAAACGAGACATTTCAGCTGACAGAGAATCTATTTTACTAATCAAAGCAATCCGTATCAACACCTTGCCAAAGCTCACATATGCAGATTTACGCAGATTTGTCCCACTTGTAAGCGATATCTTCACTGGGACATCAATTGAAGACATACAATATGAAGAGCTCGAAAAGGCAATCCAGCAGACAATTCAAGAGTTTAAGCTAGAAAACTCAGAAAACCAAGTCGCGAAAATCCTGCAGTTCCACGAGGCCACTAAACAAAGAATGGGAGTTGTCCTAGTCGGGCCATCTGGGTGTGGTAAATCAACGATTTGGAAAGTACTGAAATCTTCTCTAGAAAAGCTAGGCCAGCAGATCATAGTCCATACAATGAATCCAAAATCAATGCCACGACAGCAGTTACTTGGACATATGGACACTGACACCAGAGAATGAAATGAAGGCGTCCTCACAGCCGCAGCCAGAGAGTGCGTAAAGCAGCCATTAGAGGTCAGATCTTGGGTCATCTGTGATGGTGACATTGATCCTGAGTGGATTGAGTCCTTAAACTCAGTTCTTGACGACAACCATCTCTTAACCCTCCCAACTGGAGAAAGAATCAGTTTTGCGGACAATGTAAACTTTATTTTTGAAACAAATGACTTGAGGTTCGCTTCTCCTGCAACTGTCAGCAGAATGGGGATGATCTTTATGAGTGAAGAAGACGTGGATATCAATAGACTTATCACTTCGTGGCTGAAGAAACAGTCAGCTGAAGACCAAAGCAGAATGGAGAGATGGGTCGAAGAAATTTTGCCGATGGCGATTGACTGGACTTTGCATTATTCAGAAGAAATGGCTGTCAAGACTACTAAGGTAGGAACTGTTATGAGTGCACTGTCAACAATAGGCGGCTCTAAAAGTAAAGGAGAGTTTGTGTACAATGTACTGAGAGGACTTGGCTCGAATTTTGCTATAGAGTTGAGAGAAAGGTTTGCAAAAGAAATTTTTGCGAGGAGTAAAGAGCACCCTGTAGAAGAAAATAAGCCACTAAACAGCTTTTATTCAGAAGCTACAGGAAATTTCAAAGCTTTTGTGTCAGAAACTGAGAAATTTGACCTCAATGAATTTTCTGACCCGTTTGATCCACCAATTGTGCGTACAGTCGGAATCCAAAGAGATATTGAGCTATTTAAGTCTTGGCTAGAAACAGGCCAGCCATTTATAGTGGTCGGCCCTGAAGGCTGTGGAAAAAGCCTTATGCTTAGGTCTGCCTTTAAACAATTAAAATCCACCCAAGTTGCTACTCTCCATTGTAATGCTCAGACAACAGCTGGACATGTGATACAAAAACTGCTTCAAGTTTGTGCGCAATCTTCAAATGCCCAAGGCAGGCTATTAAGGCCTAAAGACACCTCTCGTTTAATTCTGTATCTCAAAGATATCAATTTGCCAACTCCAGATAAATACAATACAATCCAGCTTATAGCTTTTCTCCAGCAGATTGTGACATATCATGGGTTTTATGATAACTTAGACTTCGTCAACCTAGAAAGAATCCAAATTGTAGCTAGCATGAACCCAAGCTCCACTGTAGGCCGCCACATGCTTTCTCCTAGATTCACCGCAAATGTAAGAATTGTATGTGTGGATTATCCTACACGAGACGAGCTTATCCATGTTTACACTCAATACTTGAAAAATATAGTAAAGGCCCAAAACATCGCTGGAAACCCTGACCAAGCTGCAAGACTAGCCCAATCAATGGTAGATCTATTTGTAAACGTGAAAACAAGATTCCCATATGATGAGCACAGGCACTATTTATTTACACCTAGAGACGTAACACAATGGACTTTCAACCTGCTAAGATATGAAGCCAAAAGCCCTCCTCAGCTTCACGAAGTATGGGGATATGAAGCAGTTCGAGTATTTAAAGATCGACTGGTCTCTAGAGAACATTCAGTCCAATTTGATGCAATCTTAAACAGCCAGCTGAGATCTGGGCTTGGCTATAATGAAGGAATTAAAGCATTTTTCTTGACGTGGTCTTCAACCCATGAAGCAGCTATTAAAGGTATCCCAGGCATGGGCCGTGTGTCTGAAGAAGATCTCAGAAAAATAATCGCCAGCGGTCTGCTTGCCTATGAGCGAGAGTTCAGAGAGTTGCACTTCCACGTTTTCGACGAGTCTATGAGCAACATCGCTAAAGTAAACAGAAACTTATCAGTCCCAGGCGGGTGTATACTAATGGTCGGAGAAAGCGGCGTCGGCCGAAGAAGCACAAGTCTCCTTGTCTCCCATATGCTGAATCTTCAATTTTTTTCACCAAATATCACTAGAGAATATACTGATAAAGAGTTCAAGCTGATATTAATTAGATGTTTATAGTATCTAGAAAAGGGGGTTTGCCAAAGCTAGTGGCGTTGCCCGCCATCATGCAGCTTAAAATGGCACGCCATATGAGCAGGCATCAAATTGTCGTGCCACTCAGCTCATGTACAATCCCGCCTAAAGGTCACCCGAATGTGCTGAGAAGGTAAGTCTTAAACTTTCTAAATATCCAAAGGATTGAGACAGGAGGATTTGCACCCTTCCCTATACTTATTATACTTATCAGATGTGACTAGATAAGATTTTTCAGGAAACCGAACCTCATAATAATAAAATGAGCTCAGGAAGAAAATTTCACCTATGTCGCCATTTATGATTATAATGATAAAGAGTTCAGGAAAGACTTAAAATCGGTATTGCAAATAGCTGGAGTTGAGGGGAAAGGGACTGTGCTGTTTTTGGAGGACTATCAATTGGTTAGGCCTGAGTTCTTGCAGCTGCTGAATAGCTTATTGGGAGGTGGAGAAGTGCCTGGACTCTATGCAACTGAAGAAATTGAGCCTTTATTAGCACCTTTGGCTGACCAAATGAGGCAAGAGGGCAAATGTAAAACTTTGTATGAGTACTTCTGTAGCTTGGTCAGGAAGAATTTGAGGATTATTCTAAGTTTGGATCATTCACATCCTTTGTACTCTGTATATACTGCTAGCAACCCTGCACTATTTACAAGATGCTCTATCCTCTGGCTGCAGCCATGGAGCAAAGAAAGCATGAATGCTATTGCCCATATAGAACTAGGAGAACAAATTCAAGAACTGCATGATAAGCAAGAAATCGTAGATTTAAGCATCAATATGCACAAGTCAGTACCTAAATCAGTTATGAGAAACTACATGGATTTACTTATTCCCTCTCCTAAGAGAAAAATAAGTTAAATTTGATAATATAATTCACTTGAAAAATTTAAAAAATCTCAATTCGCAAAATAGAAAGGAAAAATGTATTCAATAAAATTTCATTTAATAATTTTCTATAGAATAATTTTAAAAAATTTTTTGCTCACTGATTTTTTTTCCGTTATTTTTCACTTGTTAGCACAAGAAGTTAAAACCTTCAGAAACATCGTGAAAAGCAAATTCTCCTCACAAGGAGGACAAAGCAGCCATTTGAAAGCTGGTCTTGGGAAGCTAAAAGAAGCAGAAACACTGGTGAATGACTTAAAAGTTAAAGCAGAGCATCAAAAGAAGCTGCTTGCCACAAAGCAAAAAGAAGCAGATCAAGCTTTAGAACAGATCACGAAAGCAATGGAAAAGGCAGCAGAGTCTAAGCAAGAGCAAGAAGTCCTTTCAAAGCAGCTTCAATCAGAAAATATCAAAATAAATGAACGAAAATCAGTAGTCGAAAGAGAAATGGCTGGGATTCAACCTATGCTCGAAGAGGCCCAAAAAGCAGTTGGCTCGATTAGAAAAGAAAGCCTGGACGAGCTCAAAGCTTTGAGGCTGCCTCCAGAACCAGTCCATGATGTGCTAAGTGCAGTTCTCAGACTGATGGGAAATTACGATTCGTCCTGGAACTCTATGAAAGAGTTCTTAAAAGGCCGAAGTGTTATCAACAATCTGGTAAACTACAACCCAAGGCTTATAACTCCAGAGGTCAGAAACGACGTATGGGGACTAGTCAATAAGAAAGCTTCCAGCTTTGAGCCATCAGTAATCCAACGAGCCTCTGTAGCAGCCTCACCTATGGCAGCCTGGGTCCAAGCCCTACTGCAGTACTCCTTAATTCTTGAAAAAATCCGACCACTTGAAGACGACTTAGAGCGTGCCACAAGATTAATGGAAACTTCCCAGAAACGTATGATGGAGTGTGAAGAGCAGCTCGACGGCCTTGGAAAAATGGTAGAAAGCCTCCGCAGCAACTTCTCCAAACGTACCTCAGAAGCTGAGCAGCTGAAAAATGAGCTCAGCATCGCGGAAGGAACATTAAGCAGTGCTCAAGACCTACTAGGAAAATTAAGCGGCGAAAAAGGTAGGTGGGAACAGCAGCTAAAAGAACTTCAAGGTAACTTAGACATGATGCCAAAGAATTCAATGGTCTCTGCAGGCTTTGTAACTTATCTGTCTCCACACAGTGAAGATATCAGAGAAAACATAATGAAGCAGTGGAAAGGGTCAGCTGGGTCACTTAGCTATGACTTCCGAAAGTTCATGTCTTCAGAAAGCGAAATGCTCAGATGGAAAGGCGAAGGACTTCCTGGAGACTCTTTGTCAATGGAAAATGCGATAGTCATTTTTAACTCAAGCAAAACACCTCTTATAGTAGACCCAGCATCCACAGCGACATCATGGCTAAAAACACAAGAAGCAGGACAGCTAGAAGTTCTGAACCAAAGCGATGTGAGGTTTACAAGTCAGCTGGAGCTTGCAGTAAGGTTTGGGAAAACTTTGATTATTCAAGAAATTGATAAGGTTGAGGCACTTTTGTTCCCACTTTTAAGGCTAGATTTAGTAAAGCAAGGGCCAAGGTGGATGGTTCAGATTGGAGATAAGCTAATTGACTACTCAGAAACGTTTAGGCTGTTCTTATGCACAAGAGATTCCCATATTGATGTACCGCCAAATGCATTTTCTGTGATTAATTTGGTGAATTTCACTGTTACAAGGTCAGGACTGGAAGGACAGCTACTGAGTATTATTTTGAACCATGAGCAGCCTGAACTGGAAAAACAGAAAACAGAGATGTTGGCTAAAGAAGAGCAGCTAAAAGTGCAGTTGGCGACTTTAGAAAAGCAATTATTAGAAGAATTGGCAACAGCTGAAGGCAATATTTTGGAAAATAAAACTCTTATAGAAAGCTTAAATAGGACAAAAGAAAGCAGCATCAGCATATCAGAATCCTTAAACAAGTCTCATGAGCTGCAGTTATCATTAGACGAGCAAAGAGAGGTTTACAGGCCACTGGCTTCGCATGGATCAACCATTTTTTCACTGCTCCAGGATTTGCAGAAAACGAACAATATGTATCAATTTTCATTAGAAAGCTTCCTTAGGATTTTCTCAAAAGCCTTGAAATCTCAAAAGCCATCCAACAACCTTCAGGTCAAACTTGACAACTTAGGACGAACTTTAGTCCGCTTGGTCTATCTAAATGTATCAAGATCACTATTTAAGAGCGATAGGCTTATGTTTGGGCTTCACTTTATCAAAGGAATCAAGCCAGAGCTATTCGAAGTCAATGAATGGGAATTCTTAAAAGGAGAAGTCGCAGTAACCGGTGATGCTGGGCGTCTTTTCCCTAACTGGGCTTCAGAAGACAGAAGAGACGAATTCGGCATGTTTGGCGCCACCTTGCCTAGGCTTATCAACAGCATTCAATTAGACAACAATGAACTGTGGAGGTCATGGGGACAGTCTCCTCAATGTGAGCTCGAATTTCCTTCACAAATCCAAAGCAGAGTTTCCCCATTCCAAAAATTACTACTAGTAAAAGTCCTCAGGCCAGATCGTCTTGAAAGTGCAATGACTCTCTTTGTAAGTGAAGGTCTTGCTGAAAAAGACATAAACCCCTCCGCTCTCTCTTTGCAAGATCTATACAAAAATGAAACTTCGTCAATTGAGCCTGTGCTACTTATTGTGTCACCTGGGTCTGATCCTACTAAAGAGCTAGAAGAGTTTGCAGAAGAAGTCGTAGGAAGGGCTAAATACCACCAAATGGCTATGGGTGGTGGTCAAAATGAAGAGGCACTAAAAGTGCTGAGAGAAGCTGCCCACAAAGGAGACTGGGTTTGTCTTAAAAATCTCCATTTAGTTACAAGCTGGCTGCCTTCATTAGAAAAAGAGCTGAAAATCTTAAGACCTCATGAAAACTTCAGACTGTGGCTGACTACCGAGCCTCACTTAAAATTCCCAGCCATTTTATTGCAGTCTTCTCTAAAAATTACTTATGAGTCGCCTCCTGGGATCAAGAAAAACATGCAAAGAACTTACCAATCTTGGACCCCTCAGTATATTGAGCAAGGCAACGTTTTGCGAGCACAAGCATTATTTGCATTGGCCTGGTTCCACGCAATAGTCCAAGAAAGGAGAACTTATATCCCACAAGGATGGTCCAAGTTCTATGAGTTTTCACTGCCTGACTTAAGAGCTGGGGCTACTTTACTCGAAAAAATCCTTGAAAGAAACCCTGTTCAATGGTCAGCACTCAAAGGTTTATTAGAAAATGCAGTCTACGGTGGCAGAGTTGACAATATTTTTGACTTAAAAGTGTTAAATACCTATCTTGATCAGTTTTTCTCCCAGCAGACTTTTACTAATGGGCAGCTTTCTCCTGAGCTGAGACTTCCCAATTCTAAAAATTACAATGATTATATATCGCTTATAGACAGAATGCCAGATACAGACTCCCCATCACTATTTGGGCTTCCTTTAAATATTGACAGGTCAGTCCAAAGGTTCAATAGCTCCAATGTAATAAAACAGCTAAAGCAGTTATCTGCAGTCAGTCAAGAAGAGCTAGAGTTTGACAGAGAAGAATGGAGCATTAAGCTTGGCCCACTTTGGAACTTGTGGCAAACTTTGCAAAGGTCAGGAGAGAAGTTTAAAGGGAATTTAGCAGAAAGTGACGATCCTTTAGAAAGTTTTGTCTTCATGGAAGCAAAATATGCCTTCAAAATGCAAGAAAAAGTGCATTTGGCGCTAGACGGAATCAATAAAGTAATTTCTGGACAAGGACTATTGACTAGTGATATGGAAAATGACGCCAAAGCCCTGCTACAAAATTTAGTCCCTGATAGTTGGTCTGATATGTGGGAAGGACCGTCAAGTCCTGTACCTTGGCTTAGAGCTCTTGTGAGGCGTACTAATGCTCTGAAAAAGTGGGTTGAAGGGATGAGGAGCGGAAATTTATTTTCTGACTCAATTGCTTTAGGAGAGCTATTCCACCCTGAAACTTTCTTAAATGCATTGAGACAGCTCACTTCAAGAAAGCTGGGAACTCCTATGGAGCAGCTAAAGCTGATGACCACTTTTGACTCACAAATGCAAAATGGGATGCAACTGAAAGGCTTGCTAATGCAAGGATGTGAGTTTTCTAGAGGAGGGTTGACGGCGCCAAGCCCTTCAAGCTCAGAATTGATGCCTTTGCCTGTCTGCAGTATTGCCTGGGTAAGAAGAGATGCGAAGGAGCCGTATGAAGAAAATGCTGTGAAAATTCCGCTGTATTATTCGCTTGAAAGAGATAAGTTGTTGTGCACTTTGACACTGCCAAATGCAGGGAGAGCTGAAGAGCGCATTATCAGTGGAGCAGCTTTATTCCTTATTGGTTCAGAGTAGCTAAATAATGAATTTCGAAATAAATTTTAATTATAAATAAAATTTATATGCTTGCAAAATATAATTATTCATTCACATTGCTCTAAAGTAATACCTTATATTAAAGAATTATTTAATAAATAAAATGGTTTTTATAATAATTATGGCTAAATCGAGAGGACAATAGTGAAGGCTTAAGGAATCAAGATTTTAATATAAAGGTATGTGATGTGCATGTTAGACTTCTGCATAATGATGTCAAAAAGAGCTGATACTTACTATATAGGTTTATTCTCATTTCAATCACAATTGAAATGCAATTTACAAGAGAAGTGCTATGAAGATGCCTAGATCAGCCAGTCTTTATTTCTAATAAACATTATATAATTTTCTGTTCTATGATACTGAGTTCCTTATAAAGCATACTCTAATATTTATAAGTCCACGAGAATCACGATTCTATAATAAGAAAATGGATATCATGCCCATAGATATTTTAATTTCAGTAAGACACTGCTTATCTAACATTGAAAAAGCACTTAAAACCGCATCTGTCGCTGAAATACAAGACATTCTAAACCTAGTCTTAAAAGCTGATGTTTCTGATTGGGATGCACTTGAAAAGCTGGACCGCGAAATCCACGAGCTCAGCCTCGACGAGAATTTACAAACCTCTATATCAATTTATATCAACTTCATGCTCTTCAAATTCGGCATAAAGCAGCAGAACTTTTTTCCTGCACTTGCTCATAAATGTGCAAAAAAATTACTTCACCTTTCTAAATACGCATATCTTGATATTCAAGGACTTATCTTAGATTTCTCTCACAAGCTTAGTGAATCCTTTTTAGATATAAAATCAATTACTTCCCTATTAAGAGTGAGCTGGTTTTATCACTCACTAAGGCTAATTTTTAGTAAAAATTTTATAAATTAAATTTTTTTGGAATACAATTTTCTAATTCAAATGAAATTGCTACAAAAACCCATTGTAGAATTATTAATTATATTACGCGAGAACGTTTATATCTCGATCTTGACTCATCCTTCTTTCCATCCCCCGAAGGTATCAGTTTAGATGAAACTGCTAAAATTAGTTTGGCTGCTAAATTTATAAAGATGAGTGTGCCTTCTTATTTTCATGTTTTATTTAAAATAAAACAATCAGGGTGGAAGGGATAAAGGCTGGCCTATAGCTAATCGCGAGGTCTCTAAAAAATTTTTTGCTTGCCCTGAAAAACAGTGGTTTTCCAATAGTTTTGCTTGGTTTTAGAGGGGGAGCTAAAGAAATACATGATTGACTACATTTGCTTTTGAATGGGCAAATAGAAAAATTTGGGACTTTTGAGCACCCGCTACAAATTCTTGAATTCAAATTCAATATGCTTTTATGAAGAGAAATTTCAATAGATAATTACCCGCACCTTGTAGAGATATTAGAAGAGCTTTTTGCAGTTAGCCAATTAAACTGGAATTTAGTGAATTTAAATAGCATTGTATCTGAAATAACTCTCCATTACATGGAGCAATTTAGAAAAAGCAATTTTAATGAAGGCCAAAGGATCTTGGATAATAAAGCGCTAGGATGTATGCAGCATTTTAATCTGGAGGAAAGATTGTGCAATAAAATTAGACAGCTAGCTAATTAAGCTATTTGGTAGATATAAAATAATTATCATGCTCTATCTCTGCTGCCGCCGTTCTCTGGAAAGGATTTCATATCGTTAAAGAAAGATAAGAAAAATCCTCGCTTAAAACGATTGGTTTTAACAGGCAGTCAAATAAAGTATATTGGTGAATAAGAAATAATAGGCTGCCATATGAAAGGGCTATAAATGAAAAATCTGATTCTAATAATCAAGTTAGCGATACTGATAAGCTATCAAATTGCTGACTGCATAAATTGAGAAAGTGGAATAGGGGTGGCTGATTTCTGTTAAGTGTTTATGATATATGAGAAAAGAGGATTAATATTTTTTTTTTGATATCCAAATAAAGTAATCTTTGAAAAGATATTTTTATAAGTTATGCTTAACTGCTATTATATCAATCCCTAATTAATCTTTATTAGATACCATTAGTTTAAAATAAAAACCAAATCATTGGACATCTTATAATGCTAATCTTTATCAATAGTTTGATTTTTTAAATATATTTTAAGCAAACTAAATCTCTTCTACAGATAGAAAATTTAAAATTTCCTCTAAAATAGAATTCTATCCAAAAAGATTTTATTTTCTAATTTTTTTGAAAAATCACCAATAATATGTCTGACTCTCACTCATCAACTCGAGCCACTGTAGGAGCCATTGCTACAACACTTTCGTTATTTATATCTCAGCCTTTAGACTTTATGAAAGTCAGCCAGCAGATCCGCGCTATGAATAATAAGGTTGAGATCATAAGAGGCAGTCCTCTTGCCCAATCAGCAGTCGCCCAAAAAGGATGGTCAGCTTTGTATACAGGATTTGGCCCAGCTTTATTAAGAACTTTCACTTTCGGCATTGGGAGAACCTATATATATCATCATTTCCTCTCAAGCGAAGCAAATCAAGATAGATATCATTCAGTTTCGACTATTAGCAAAACAGTGTGTGCGATGACCGCTAGCTTTATAATGGCCTTCCTTTTAAACCCTCTAGACGTGATTCTTACAAGAATGCAGGCTAGTTATGTGCTTACGCCAGAATTGGCATATCAGTACAAAGGCCTACTCTCAGTCCCTAGTCTTTTTGGGAACGGTAAGCTCTTTTAGTCAAATAAACTGAGTTTGTATTATAATAATATAAAATTTTCTATAAAAAAAGGAAGCTTGCGAATAGGAGGTTTCTTTATAGAGGATATGCTTGCTGGAGCCCTACCAAACTCCCTTCATAAATCTATGCTATCTTTTGGCATGCTCGGCACCTATGACCAAACTAAGTCTTTCTTGGCCAACAACTGGGGAGATGTGACTGGAGTAAAAGCATTGGCAGCTTTATTTGCATCTCTTGCAGGCGGGATCTTTGCTCTGCCATTTGACAACATTAAAACTAAACTGCAGATCCAAAAAGAAGGGCACGAAATTTACAGAAGCTTCTCAGACTGCTTTTCCAAAACTCTTCATAGAGAATCCATATGGGGATTCTACGTGGGATATTGGCCTTTTGTAGGAAAACTCTTCATCAGCTCGCTCTTACCAATTTATATTTTGGAATTCTTGCGCTCAATAAACTAAATGAGGAATTAATATAATCCTCTTTATCAAAATGGAATGATTAAAATTATTAAAATCAGCGAGAATTGGAATGAAGAAGATAATTATTCAAAATAGGCTTTTTTTAAAATAAAAATTTTTCTATTGTTTTATTCTTTAATAAACAATAATATTTTTTATTTTTGGACTTAACAAGTCTAACATTGTGTTAATTTTTATATCAGCTACATATCTATTCCTTTATTTCTTAATTATAAAAGCTACTATTTTTAATAAGAAATTTTACTTATTTATTGTATTCAAGATTATAAATTATTCTAATCTCTATTTGTCTGCTAATTTATATCAGCCAGCTAATATTTCATAATAAAAATTATAATCCAATGCGTTTCTCAGCTACGCTAAACACAGGTTTGCAAGCTATCTCCACTTTAAACTTTTCTCTATCAGGCTTGGTGCTTTCTACATTTACAGCTTTAGCTTTCTTACTCCCATCATTTTTAAGCTCAGGACTTTCATCGACCTTTTTCCTTATCAGATCGAGCCCAGCAGTTTGCATCTTCATGATCCTCAGCATCATGTTTTTCTGTACTACAGCAACTCACTTGATTTTCAATGTTTTGCACGGGCCTTTATCAGGTAAACCTATATAGTGTGTCGAATAATTTCTTATCCTCTCTTTTTCGTCAATAAGCTGTTTGCATTAAATCAAAATATAAATGTTTTAATAAATTAAAGCATTAATGCAATTGAAAAGTGTAATTCAATTTGAATATTTGGCTGAAAAGATGCAAAGCTTTGTATTCTTTCCAATATATAAAATAAAGACCTTAGATTGAGAATTTATTTCTTGGAAATTTGCGTTTTATTAAACTAAAATAACCTTCATATGGTTATTAATTTAGCCTGCCAAATTTATAAATAGTGATTTCTGATAAAATTCCATATTTTAATTTCTAAAATTATTAAAAGTATTTCTTGTTTAATTCGTGCTCAAATACAATCTGTGTAAAATAATAAAATAAAGATTCAATAATATTAAGTTTAAATATAAATTTTAAGAGAAAATATATGATTGGATAAAATGTTCTTTGAGGTTTATTTTAAAAGATACGATGCGAAATATAGATGGTAGAAATTTTCAATAAATGGTATTTCTGTTTGACTTGTGCTCAAATCTGGAATCTATATATAAATCTAGTAATGCTTAAATTTTAATTTTAAAAAAAAATTTATGATTTACAAAAAGTTCTTTGACTTTAATTTTTTAAAGAAGTATGCAGAAATAAATATGGCGAAAATTTTTATAAATATTGATATTCTTGCTTAATTTGTGTTTAAATCCAGAATGCGTAAAATAGAATTCTTAAAATACTAGGCTTAAATTTTTAAAGAAAACGTATCATTGGGAAAAAGTTTTAAATTTTTAAAGACCATACAAAAATAAAGATGGCAGAAATTTTGTCTAAAAAGGTTCTTTCTTATTAGATTTGTGCTCAAATCCAATCTACAGATAAATTTCAAAAGAAAACGCATGATGGGTAAAAGTTCTTTGAGTTTCAATTTTCAGAAGACTTATGCCAAAATAAAGAGTTCGAAAATTTTGAGACGCTAAAAATGTTGCCATTCCAAGAATTTCCATCAGTTAAAATATAAAATATACTTAAACAATATAAAGAGTATTTTTTATCTTTTAGATTATCACGAATCGTGATAATTGAATAGCTTAATTAATTAATTAGCTCTATATCAAATTATTAATCCTCTAAATTTTATTAACTTAGCATACTCATATTGATGGATAATTGAGAATTCACCAGATATTTGCTTATGTCTGGTTTTGCAACCCATTTTAAAAAAAGAGCAAAGACTAATTACCTGATTTTTCCTATACTTTTTTTTATTTTGATATGATTCAATGGGAAAATAAATAAATGCTCTTATAACTCCCTTGCTTAAATTGGGACAAAATTTTAATTTTTAATAATAATGATTTCTCTTCAAATATCTTAATATCTAAGTTAATGCCTCCAAAATCAAAAATTTAGCTATAACTTTTATTTTAAGGGCGATATTTAAACAAAGTTAGTACTTTGAATCGATAAATTTTTATATTAATTTAATATAATTTTTAAATAAAAATGGATAACTTTGAATTGGATGAATTTGTTGTTCCAATCAATTTAAAGGGGGAGCATCTATTTTTTAGTATATCCGCCTTTATCTTATAACGAAAGCAAAAAAGCATATGAAATTCTAATGAATGATTCTATGCTTTTACAATTTGTAGTCATTTCTATAGGTGATAGCAACTATGTTGGTATGGAAATCGCGATTTGGGCAACAATTTGCTTTTATTATTGCTCTTGCAAGGTAATTTGTGTGACTGCAAAACATAGACTTGCAAATAATCAAGTGAGGAATTTAAAGAAATTTAGCTTTATATCAGCGTTTATGGGACTAATGTTTATGATTGGGAGCTCAAAGTTTTTTTATAGCGCTGGGTGAATGATGATTTTACTGGTTAATTATGAAGGGCTGTTAGTTTTAAAAGAAAACTTTTTGATTTTATATCAGTTAAGTCTGAATTCTGCTATAGCGTCACCTACTGAAATGGGCTTTCAGTTATTTGAAATAGTAGTTAACACTGTACGGTGACTGCATATTGCGATTAGGTATTCTGATTGGATACTGACAAGCCCTATACAATTTTTTGTGATAATGAAAGTGCAAATTTTTGCATTTGAATTTATTGATTTGTATAGAAGGTTCAGAAATTATATATATTCAATGAAAAGCTTCTTAAAAAAATACCCAGTTATGAGCAAAAATGATTTACAAAAATATTGCAATGAAAAATGCTGCATTTGTTTGGAATCACTACCTTCAAGCAAGTGCAGCAAAATTTCATGTGGCCATGTGCATCATGTAAAATGCATAAGAACTTGGATTCTTAATAATAGTAATCCTAAATGTCCTTTATGCAACCAGGAATTTTTGAAGCCTGAAACAAAAAATCTGACCATTTCTTCGTTTTCTTCATTTTTTAATTACTTTGGGAATCGAGATAATCAAGCAGAACAAACAAGTACTCAAATAGAACAAATTTTAAGAGAAGAAATCGGTTTATTTCAAGAAAACCTTGCTGATATTATTCAACAATAAAATCTTTATAAATTGTTAGTTATAAATAGATTTCATTATATTTATTTTCTAGGTTTTTATATTTAACTATTATAAAATATTATTTTTCTAGCAGGAAACTGATATCTTTTTATCAAGAAAAATTAAAGATGAGCAAATATGTAAGAAAGTTATTGGACACGGTAAATTTAACTCAAGGCACTTATGCAGTTGTGATAAGTATCATAAACAAAGAAATAGGAGAAGAAGTTGCGGTAAAAAAATTTAATGAATTTGAAGCAAATAAAGAGGCCCGCAAAACAGCACGCCGCGAAATAAAAATTCCCAGAATGCTAAAGCCTGAAAAATATATCCAGCTAAAAGAAGCATTTCTTCAAAGAGATTTCCTTTTCTTGTGCTAGAGTATGCTAATAAAAATTTATTGGATATTATAAAAATGAGCAATTTGTATGCTAAGATAAATGAAATACGATCATATACTTACCAGCTTTTCAAATCAATAGAATACTGTCAAAGAATTAATGTCATACATATTGATACCAAACCAGAAAACGTGTTAATTCTAGAGTAAGTTTTATACAGAAACATTGAAATTATTTAACTTTAGATCTCAAGAGAGTAGGATTATAAACTAAAAATGTCAGTACTAAATGGTATCAGCCACCAGAACTTCTTTTAGGAGGCGGTGAATATGGCAAGCCAGTTGATATGTGGGCACTAGGCTGAATAATGGGCGAAATCACTGATGGTAAACCTTTATTTTCCGCGGCAAAGAAGTGGCCAGCTATTTTTAATTCAGAGGGTGAGTGTTGCTGATTCTCTGCAGCATCCATTTTTTAAAACTTAATAGAAGATATTGTTAAAAGAACACTCTCAGAGATCCATTGAATCCATTAATTATTCTTAAACAATTTATTTTTTCAATTTAGCAAACTGTTTTAGTTATTTAAACCATATATAGATTTCTTCGAATAAATACATAAAAAAGTAAAGCAAAATAAGAATAGTAATGCTGATATTCAAGAAAAGTGATTCTAAATTTGGTGATAGAATAATTCAGCCAAAAAATTTTATGATTTAATAAATTGATAAATTATTAGTTACAAATTGTTCATATTTATATAATATCCGTATAGTGTTTACCTCATATTAATTCTTGAGCTTAATCTATTGATTTCTGCATTTAAAAGTTATTTTTCTTCTCTGCTTTTACTTTCGAATCTTTATCTTCAGTCGTCAGCTGATCTTTCTAATCAATAAATTTAAAAATGAACAAGTATGAAGTGATGGGAGTGGTTGGAGAAGGTAAAATTTACTTAGGCGCTTATGGAGTCGTACTAAAATGCAGAAATAAAGAGACAGGTGAAATCGTCGCAATTAAAAAATTCAAAGACTCTGAAGAAGATGAAACAGTTCGCAAAACCACGATCCGCGAGGTAAAAATCCTCCGAATGTTAAAGCATGAAAACATTGTACAGCTGAAAGAAGCTTTCCGTAGAAAAGGCAAGCTATACCTTGTGTTCGAGTACGTTGACAGGAATTTACTGGAAATTTTAGAAGACAACGCTGGAGGACTGGATGTAACTTTTACCTTACTCCCCTTCCACAAGTGAGCAAAAAATTTTTATTTTAAATTCATACCAGGAAGCATTTAAAAGTGACATGCCAAAAAATGGTGGCAAGTGTGAAAATGTTGCAAGTAAACGCTCTAATTTTTAAAATGGTCTTATTATTAAATTAATTTAAAATTAAAAATACCCAATTAGACTGGGATTGATTATCGATGAAAAAAGACAAGAAATAAATTCTATAATATTTTTTTTTAAAATTGTAAAAAATTAATTTAAATTATGTTTTAAAATGCAATTGGTTAAAATTAAACAGAATTAGGTAGAGATTTAATTATAATAATTAACACTAACATATCAAAATTTTTTTGTTCGCTCACAGAGGGCAGGTTTTTACCGAAAGATAGGAAATTTCCCAATGGGAGTTAGATAAATACAATACGATCCTATACAATATTATAAATTAAATGCTATATAATACTAATAATGATAAAATCCCTATTTCTATATAAAATTAGAGAATTTATCCCTATAAGTTAATAAGATTAACCCTCTCAAGAATATTTACCAGCTTTGCAAGTCAATAGAATATTGCCACAGAAACGAAGTGATACATAGGGATATCAAACCAGAAAATTTGCTAATTTCAGCGTAAGTTTTATATAGAAACCAAACATTGAAACTATGCGACTTCGGATTTGCAAGAACTCAGCCTCAGAAAGGAGGGGTGCTGACTGACTATGTAGCTACTAGATGGTACAGGTCGCCAGAACTTCTGTTAGGAGGCAGTGAATATGGCAGACCTGTCGATATGTGGGCTATAGGCTGCATAATGGGAGAGCTTACTGATGGCCAGCCTCTATTTCCAGGGGAAAACGAAGTAGACCAGCTATATTTAATTCAGAAAATGCTTGGCTCTCTTACTAGTGAGCAGCAAGAAATTTTCCAAAAAAATCCTAGATTTATAGGTTTAAAGTTCCCTGAAATTTCAAGAATTGAGACACTTGAAAGAAGATACATGGGAAACTTACTCCCCGCTCATTTTATTATAAAATCTTTAAAAGTTCAATAGAGTTAATTAGATATTTTTATAAAAACTATCAATAACATATACCCTAGATCAATAATGGCTCGATCATCTCTATCCTCATCCTAATCGCTGGTAGTTTCATTTGAAATAAAAGGGAAAAATAAAAATCTAAGTCCATCAAAATGAATTTGACATTTCAAATTAACTTTGGTAGTTTAACCCTAATGAAACAAATCATGGAGTAGAGGAGCCAAAATAATCTCTATCATCAATTATATATGAAATTTTTGGCGAATTAGGATGATGGATTTTTCTATAAGCATATAGATATTCTAATGGGTTTGCTCGATAATGAAAGGAACTTAACAAATTAGCATTGGATTTTATGGAAGGACTCTTAAGAATGGACCCAAATGATAGAATGAGTGCTGCTGAATCTCTACAGCATCCATTTTTTGGAGACTTAAGAGAAGACATTGATGAAAGGCCATTTACTTCATTAGTCTCCAGAAACGAGTCAAATAAAGCAAGAGGACGCCCAGGCATTGGTGTTTATCCTCAGCAAAACTTTTCCAGCCACCTAGCAGCAGCTTCCTCAATTGCCTCAAAACTGAAAAACCAGCCAAATGTAGGGACAAATGTTACCCCAACTGACAGCCGTCGTGCCAATATAAAGCTTAAAGATGATCAGTCATCATCTCCTCCTCCACATTATAAAGATCCTTATCATTCAGGTTCAGTCCCTCCAGGGCTTGATCCTAATAAATTTGATCTCAAAACCCTTCGGGGAACCCAAAATAAGGACAGCCAAAGATCCAAGACAAGGGCTTCTCCATTTATTTCAGATCCTAATGAATTTGATATGCCAATTACTACAAATCAAAGCAATGAGTCCGAAATAAAGCTGGAAAGGCAGAGAAGTAAGGATGGAATTAAATATGGATATCCACAGCCAAACCCACAGGCTAGGAATAAGAAAAAAAGTGAAGAGCCGATGTTTAATATAAATGAAGAAGAAGATACAAAATCAAGCCCAAAAATAAAAAACCACAATAAGAAAAAAATTACTACCAAACCTGTGTACTCTCATGAAATTTCTTATGAAAATCCAATGCAGAGAGGACAAAGTCGAGGCTTATTTGCGAGAGCCAGTCTATTTCCAAAGCAAATTCCTGAAATACCTCACGCAGTTAATGAATCCGGCGATTTCTCAAATCATCAGTCAGCTAGACAGCTTCCAAATATTCATAATAATTACCAATATGCAGATCTTATGAAAAGACCTGACAAAGGCCAAAAATACCCAGGCTATGAGGACCCTGAAATGGGTGGAGGTCCTCAGTTTATTGCTCCTTTCCAAGGCTACGCTGAGGATGGCTATAACTTTGCTAACCCTCACTTTTATGAAGCTTTTTAAGATAGAAAATTTAAATATTTTTTATATTTAATTTATAATTATAATTTAAAAACTTTCTATAAAATTAATATTTTAAAACCTTAAATTTAATTATATTAGGGATGATGAACTGCAAGGGGCATTTTTGCTCGCCGCAAGCCAACTTCTCCGTGCAGTTCATCCTCCCTGACTATAAAATATCCCTTTTTTACTAATAGCCAACAATTTTTTGGTTATACATTGTAGGAAGTAAGCAAAATAAAGTTTATAGCTATGAATATAACGCAAGAGCTAGATAATTTTTAAATCATTTTTTGTTATCTAATGGCTTAAAACAAAAAATTAATTTAAGTTAACGTAAATTTAGTAAAATTCCTTTTCTCGAATAAGAAAAATTCTTACTCCCTTTAAATTGAATACCCTTTAAATTGGAATAATTTATTTTTCAATATGAAAGTTCGATGTAAAAGTAATAATTTTTAATCAAATCGATTAATTTTTTAAAAATCAATTAAAAAAATCAATTAAAGAGAAAAATTTAATATAATTTTTTCTAAAAAAATTACCCCCTTTAGATTTAAATTGGGTGAGTCACGATTAATTAACAAAATTTTGCAAACTTAAAAAATATCACATGTACAACTAGAACCAGTAACTTTAACCGTCGTTTGTTCATATGTTATAATGCTGCACATAGGATTGCAGAATTTAACTTTGTGTGGACCTGTGTGACCATCACCTGTGGACGATCTACTGTCTGATCTTCTGCTTGTATTAGCATCCTCTTGGAATGATACTTTTAGAATAGAAGGTCGCTGCGAAGGAGGTGGAGGCATTGGCATTAAATCTCCACAAGGCTCTATAGACTCACATTCGTTCATTAATTTTATAGTAAAAGTTTGTAATACTGAATAATAAATTCAAAAAAAGCTTGGCTTGGGTGGATTTATAGCAAAGGCGCAAGGGAAAATAGAATAAAAAGAAATGTTTTAGAGAATAGTTGGGGTTTGATAAGTTTTAATATTCAAAAAAAAAATTATATCTTTTTTTGGGTAGGAATATAATTGATCTAACTATCCCCCTTCCATTCGAGAGCAAAACCATTGGAAAAAATCCTATGTTTGCCAAAAACTCACCCGTAAATGAACAAAAATTTTTTTTAATATAAAAAATTTATATGAAAAAGCTTTGATATATAAATAATAATTAGTATAATGAAATCTCTAACTAATAATGTTTAATTTTAAACAGCCTGCATTTTAAAACATAAATTTTGCAAATTAAATAAATATTTGTTTTCAAATTGCTTGCTGGGATTTTTTTAAATTTCAAAAAAAAAAATTTATATATAATTTTTCAAAAAATCACCCTTCGTGATCGAACAAAATTAATCAATGTTGATTTAAAAATTATTTTGTATTTAAACAATTAATAGTGTGGTCAATTACTATCACTATTTTTTAATTTTCGTGTATAAAATGCAGGGTAAGTGCTAGCTAAAAGCATAATTTAAGAAATGAAAAAAATAGTTTGGATTAAAAGATTTTAAATAGTTGTATTGGCGAATTATTGCACCAAGATAGTGTGATAATTTTCAAATTATAAGAAAAATGGACGAAAATGAATGAAATCCTATATGGCAACAATTAATAAAGAATTGAATTCGCTTTATATTTATCGGAATCTTTATTATATAAACACCTTTTACAAATTATTATTTATTCATATAATCAATATTAATATTTCCTTCAAGATTATGTTGAATACTGCTTTCGCAAGAAAATTGGCATAAATTATCTTTAAAAGTCTATTTATTGTTTATCTAAAGATATACAAAAATAATTCAATATATGCATTTAGAAGTGCTCAAAAGTGAGCCTAAATTTAAAGTCATATTGTTAGCTTTTTGAGCTCAACTTCATAATCAAATAAACAAAGCAGTTATTTATAATCAATCTTGTAACAGCAATAAAACCATTTTTATTAATTTATCAGTTAATAATGTTGATGATTATTAAATATACATTTGAAAAACAGAAAATATATTTCTCTATGAAGTAAGCAAATGTGTAATAATTGCATTTATTTATTTGGTTATATAAAAATAAGTAAAATGCATTTTATGGGACTTATTAAAATCGTTATCTGAAAAAGAATTAAATCAATACTCAAAAAAATCTAAACATAAATATTTAATATCGCAAATTAGATACTCAATAATTTTCTTTAAAGTTTAATCGTTTCAAAAAGTAAGATTATGTTTTTCTATGATCACTAATTGCTATGATAGCTTCATTCTAAATGTCTTAGGCATTAGATAGTATGCTAAAAGTTAAATAAACAAGCTCGATCTCTTACAAAAATATTTTCCTACCACCCTTCAACTTTATCATGCCTTACAAATTTGCTTCATAATTAAAACAAGATTTAAAATGGACTGTGTAATGCTCCTAGATCGTTTAGGCGAATTCCGTTCAATCAGTGACATCTACCAAATTCTCCAAAAAATATTATCAGACCTCAACGAATTTGTATAATCCTTTGCATAAATTTCATTTTGCTTATTTATGATAAATTAATTTAAAATATCAAAAAATTTGTAACATACCATAGACTCAGTTTTATATGTAATGACATGTCAAAATTTTTTTGACATTTTAAAATCAATTTACCATAAATAAGCAAAATCAAATATTACCAATACATTATAATAGAAGGCCACAGTCTTCCCATCTTTACTGAGCAGCTTATCGAGAAATTGGTCCCATTAATCTGCGAAGATTTAATTAAAACTTTCAAATTCAAGAACGACTCCCGCTCTCGTTCAGTCAATAAAAACCCTAGGCATCGTGATAAAAATCAATTTGACAAAGTCCTCGACAAAATTGGGATGATTCTTTTAAAGCTGTGCCATAAAAGCGAAATTGCGAGCGAAAGGGTCATTGAAATGTGCTTCCAGCATATAGAAAGCCACCCAGAGTGTACAAATACGTTTGTTATTCTTATCAAGCTGTTCCTGTTCTCTGACCAGGTAAAAAGCACTATTAAAGATATGGATGCCGCCAGCATTGTGGTTAGTCTTTTAGAAAAAATATGTGGGCAGCCTAGGACAATGCCAGCTGACCATTCTCCTTTAAAGCAAAAACACTCAAGAAAAGCAAGCGATTTTAGTGCAATGCTGCATCAGCCTTCTACACCTAAATGTGCGCCAGTAGAGTACCGCACTGCGTTAAATAGGTCACTTATATCAGAAAATGATAGCTTTTTTATGGAGCTTCCTACACTTCATGGACATACGGTGTCGTCAAGAGCTTTACGAAGGGTTGCAAGAGTAAAAGTAGAAGAAACAAGGCCAAAATCGCCAGTTGTGCCTGTGCTAAATATTCCTCCACAAGATACTAATAGGTCGTCAAAAAGGGCTGATGTGCAGAAATCGATAAGTTATAGATCAGGGAGGGTTTCAGCTTTTTCTGGGTCTTGGGGGGAAAATATTCAAAGTCCAGTGATGGCGAGTCCATATGGAAAAGAAACGCCTAAGCCAAATGCTTCACAAGTTTTTGATTTTGAGACGTCTTATATTGCTGAAGAAAGCACAAATTATCACGAAGTCGTCCCTCCTACAAAAATTATTTGTAATTTAGCTTTGCAATTGGGTGAAGCCTGCTTGACGGCTGATTTGACAGCTTTGATTTGCCAGAAAAGAGATAATGATTTAGAAAAAATTGCAAAATTGGCTGCATTTCCTGGGAATGCATTTGAAAAGAAAAAAGAAAAAATAGAAAAAAAGCCTAAAAAAGAAAAAAAATTGAGATCACAGTCTTTAACGTCACTTTACAGTCCTCAACATATAGCTCAGAAAAATAGTGATAATTTATTATTTTTAGGGAAGCATGGCCAAGCTTCAACCCAAAGGCATCGCACAACGGTATTATCATTTCTATTATATATTGTTCAAATGTATGAGCCAAACGAGCTTCAATTCATCAAAAACCCTCTTAACATCCTATTTGCCCATGTTTTATCTTCAGACTACACAAGACACCAAAATGCTTTATTAATAAAAAACCAAGAAAGTGGAGCTTTCAGCGATGACGAGAACGAATTATATGAAGAAGAGCAGTGTTGTACTGGCGAAGACTCATTAGAAAAGGTTTCCAATGAAATTCAAACCTTAGAGTTCTTAAAAGAAGAAGCTGAAGTCCAGCCAAGCAACACAGTCCCAGGCATGAGCCCTCGTGGTGTCCATCCTCATCAAGAAGAGCGCAAAGACGACCGTCGCGACATCAGCATAAATTATGAAAATTCTTATTTTTTCGGCAACGAAAGCAGCGGACTTGAATTCGGCTTTTTCCAAGTCTGAAGTAAAAGGACTGAGGAATTTTTAATTCCTGAGCATACGGCGATTTTTGCATTGTTGACTGCTTATGCACAATATACAGAATCAGTTCATAGGCAAGCCATAACGCCTTCTATAGCAACAGTAATGCCGAATACATCATCCTCTCAGATGTATGAAGCAATTTCGCCTAAAAAATCCAAGGGAAGGTCTCCGAATATCTCAATGGCGCTAACCCCCCTACTCCGTGAGCGAATAAATCATTGGAAAATTCCTTGGGCCTCTGTATGCAAACAAAATGTTTTTAATATAAAAATTTTTATAAAAATATATTCGATATATAAATGATAATTATATAATGAAATCTCTAAATCTGTTGAATTTTAAACAGCTTGCATTTTAAAACATAAATTATACAAGTTAATTAATTTTTGTTTTCCAATCTTTGCGAATTGGGATTTTTTTAAATTTCAAAAAAAATTGACAAAATTTATATATAAATTATTAAAAAAATTATACCCTCCATTAACGAACAAAGTTTTATTGTTCGCTCACGGAGGGGAGTAAGTATGATGATGGAAGACCCATATGCCCAGTACAGAGAAACTACGCTTTGGATTAATGGGGTTGGGTGAAGAGATATGAGCTCAAAAGAAAGGCTGAGAAAAAAATCTGACTTGATACTATATAGACTTAGTAGAAGGCTTCTGTGGATACAGTTGAGCTATTCAGAAGCTCAGCTGGCTGAGGCAGAGACTGAGCTATTTATGCTTTTGAGTAGATATTTGAGAATATGCAGAAGCAGGATAAGTTTTTTCCAAACAGTAGACTTGATATTTGAGCAGCTGCTGGTTACTAAGAAATCTCTTTTAGAGCATGCAGAATGGCCAGGATCAAGACCAGGGTCCCCAACCCAAAGTGTAGGAGGGCCTTCAAGACAGCTTGGGGGAGCCTTTTTAGATGTTATTTCTCAGTTGTTGATACAAAGCCAAACAGTTGAAGCATATAAACTTTTATATGATGTTTTTGTAGGAAATGACAGCTGGAATGAATGCACAAAAATTTTTACACTAAGCTTGCTCAATGATAATGTAAGAAGCGAAGCCAGATCTGCTATAAAATATTACAATGCCATTTCAATATTTTTAAGAAAAATTGTCAATGAACTGCAGCTGGATAGAAAATCAGCTGAGCTTAACTCGTCAGAAAAAAATTGAAAGGAAAATATCCGCAGAGTTTTAGGAGGTTTTGCATGGCTTATTTCTCCAATGAAAGGGATTATTCCCAAATTCTTGTATAAGCATAGTTATGATGCAAGCCCAAATAATTTGCATCAATTTTCGCCTCCACCAAGAAATCTGTATGTGACGAGGTCTATTTTAGAATTATTGGAAAATCTGTATTGGTTTAGTCCTAGATTCACGAATTATAGGAATGAAGAATATGCCCTACACTATATCAGGGTTCACTATATATATAGTAATTAATAGGCTAAGCACTAAATAATTATATTATTAGTAGAGAATTCTGGATAAAAAAGCCATATATAAATATTAACTGCATTTCTGGCCAAAGCCTAGTATATATCATTTTTAAAACTTTATACAAATAATAAACCTAAACAAGTACAAGAAGAGCCACTTTTAAATGCAACTGTAGGAAACCACATTTCTATGTCTTCTGTCCAAGAAAGTGCACAAACCTCAGCATATTTTAAGGCTTGTCAAGAATTGTGCAAACTTCATTTAAGATGTCTATTTGCTTACGCAAGAAACCGCACCCCAGACGTAACAAGAAAATTTTTTCAATATCGAATTCTTGATTTCTTAACAAGAGAAATCAGCTTAGAATACGATATAACGCTTAATCTCCCTAGATTTCTAATAAAAAAAAAATAATTTTTTAAAAAAAAAAACTGCATTTATTGATAATTTTGCATTTTAATAAAAAATCATGAAAGAGCTAGAAGGGAAAGATTCATTGAGCTTAGACAAGCTGAAAAAGAAAGGGTGAAGATGAAATTTAGATCAATAGAAGAAAAGAAGGCAGAAGAAAAGAAAACTGAAGAAAAAATTGAAGAGAAAAAAAGTGAAAGCGATTTTGCACCGATATCTGTTCCGAAAAAGCCAATCTCAGCACTTCTTAAGCTTGACTTAAAAAATGTTCCAAAGCGGACAACAGAAGCTTATAAAACAGAAGCAGAATCTTCAATTATTAAGCCGCCAGAAGCTCCCAGCCTAAGGCTGGAAACCCCAAATCTGAATAAAAAACCAGAAATTCCATCTTTAAAGCTCGAGCCTGCGAACCCTGAAATCAAAAAATCCCCAGAATTCCCAAGCATCGAGCCAAAAACAAGTTCTAAGCCTCCTTTCAAAATTCCTAGCCTCAACCTTCCTCCCTCCCTCACAAGCTCAAAATCCGAAGAGTCCAAAGCTAGCCTCAAAATCCCCAGCTTAAGCCTCGGTCCAGAGCTTTCCCAAAACCCTCCCGAAGTCCCAATAATAAAAGTCGACTCCCTCGTAGAAAACCTAAAACCTTCCCCAATGATCAAAAAACCTCTAATTCCATCCTTAAAAATTGGCTCCTTGACGCAAGACCCAGAAAAAAAAGAAATCGAAAAACAAGAATTTGTCAAACAATGCCTTGAAGGAGATGGCAAAAAACATGAAAATTATGAGTTGACAAGGATCCAAACATCACTGGACGGGACACAAAAAATGCAGCTGTCTATGTTTGAAAGTAAACAAAAATCAAGTGAAATTGAAAACCAGCTGGATGAGCAGGAGATGTGTAAAGAAAATGAATTTTATGAGCAGCAGAGAAAGCAGAGAGAAATTTATTCTGACGATGATCTGCAGGCAAGCATTTTGGCGTTGATTTTTTGCCTGCTGCTGACCCCGACAAGAGGAACACTAGAGGAGCTTTATTGTGCGCAACATCCTAGTGATGCTGGGAAATCAAATGTATGCTGATTAATGATTATTATTTAATTAAATATATATAATAATGTTAATTATCAATTACCCTTGTGAACTATATTATTTTTACTGCACCATCATATTAACTATCCCTTAAATGTCCACATTCTCCCCAAGCTTCAAAAATTAGTTGGTCACATCGTCCCATTACATTGCATTATGTAGACGGGCTCGCGCCCTTAATTTTAACGCAATCACCGAAGATCCCTTGTGGGATTCAACCGCTTTGCGACCTTCCTTCCGTCGGGTCTCCTCCTTGTCTCTTGTAAAAGACTCCAGTCTTGAGTGGGCAGTCTACGGGTTTGTGCGGCCTCCTGAGGCTGAGGGGAGTACGAAGTTGGCATTCCGAAATTCCAAAAAATGGAATTTCTGGTAGCCTATCGGCAAAAGGGTTAAGTCCATGTCCTGGGACGTAACGCCCAGTTTCACGCTAGGCAGTTGCCCGATTGGTCTAGGTATTACCTGTAGACCTTGCTGGGCTTGCCCTTTCCAAGCCTGAACCTTCCTTTTCTTCGAGGTAAAAACCAGTCTCGAAATTTGACTTTGGTTAGGCTCTGCTCCTGCAGAACTGGTTATCATAGCATTGCTGTCCATCTCAAGACTAGAAAAACCTTGCCGGATATAATTAAAATCTGTATCGAGGATGTATGGCCGTGAGGCCATACCTTGATGAAGACGCCATATTTTAATTGGCTGCATCGTCCCACCTTTAGCTGGCCAAAGGCTACTAAAGCTTCTCTCAATTGAATTTTTTGACAGCTCTATGTACCAGAACTGGAAAAAAATCGGAACTGGAGCATATGGTACAGTCTATGAGTGCTCAACAGGACTAGGCGAGCCTATAACAGTAGCAATTAAAAAAATGCCGATCCCAAAAGCAATCCATGACCGGTGCGTATTGCACGACATTTTTACCGAAATTGCTTGTCTTGAAGAATTCAGACTGGAGCGATGTGTCACCGATCTTTATGACTATGGTGTAGACGGCAGCGATTACTACATTGTAATGAAGCGTTACCCAAAGTCCCTCAAAGACTGAAGGACAGAAGTCCAAGGCACAATTGAAGAAAATATCCCAAAATTCCTTACAATTTATAGAGAAATATTAAAAGCGGTACAAATAATTCACAGACATAATGTCACTCATTATGACTTAAAATGTGACAATGTGCTGCTGGAGGATCCTATTGAGGATTGTCAGGTTACTATTGGGGATTTTGGAGAATGCAGAATGTTTGTAAACTCTGATGATGAAAATTGTTTGGCTAATAAAGGGACTGAGTATATAAAAAGTCCTGAAATGCTGCTATTGACAGCAGCTGTAAAAAAAGAGACTGATAAGTATGATAGGAGACGTAAAGTTGGGACCACAAGAGCTTCTGATATATGGTCACTTGGGTGTTTACTTTATGAGCTTCTTACTGGCGATTTGTTGTTTTATAATCCTGACTGGATACAATTTTTTATTAGATGCACTACTTATAATGAAGAATTATTATGCTTTTTTCTTATAATTATCAATTATTTTTTTTAAAATTAATTTTTTTTCAATGCAAACATGCAAGAATAATTGAAGAAAAACTAGAAAAAATTCACAACAATATTTATCTCATTGACTTTTTACGCTATATGTTAGTCAGAGATCCCAGACATCGTCCTTCCATTGACAACGTCTTAAAACGATTCGAGCACTTACATGCTTTGCTTGTAAGTGCTCCAGCAATCCCTAGAGGCCCTCCTTCAAGCCACCAAATCCAAAGTTTTTCTTCTTTTGAACAAGTCTTAGACAGCTGCGTCTCCATGATGTCACTTACCTTTTGTGCTGCAGAGTCAAAAAACAAGACAAGTCCTTCTTTTATGAGGATCACCCATGACGTGTATTTATGCTCTTCAAAATTCTTGAAAAATAATACCGTGTGGATGTCAAATTTAGGAATAACCCACATTGTGCATTCAGGGTCTGACGAGCAAGCACTAACTCCCCCCCCCCCTCCGTGAGCGAACAAAACCATTAGAAAAAATCGCCATTTTTTGACCAAAAACCCACCCTCCGTGAGTGAACAAAAATTTTTTTAATAGAAAAAATTTTAAATGGAAAAAAATTTTGATATATAAGTGATAATTAGTATAATGAAATCTAGAGCTAATTCTGTTTAATTTTAAACAAATTGCGTTTTAAAACATAAATTTTGCAAATTAAATTAATATTTGCTTCCCAATTTTTGCAAATTAGGATTTTTTTAAAATTTCGAAAAAAATATTTTTTATAAAATTTATATATAAATTTTTTTTAAAAAAAAAAAATTAACCCCCCTCCGTGAGCGAACAAATTTTTTTTGTTCGCTCACGGAGGGGGGGGGGGGAGTAAGGAGGTTCCAAAATATCATGGTAGGGCCTTCTCCGTTGCAGAGCTTAGCTGGTGTTCTGGACTTTTTAAAGGCAGCTCATATAAGTAAAGGAAGGGTAGCTTTTGTAGAAAATGAAGAATTGAGCATTAGGGTTTGTCTACTAGCATGCTTGAGTGAGATTTTTGTGACTAGTTTTTATGAGACTTGGAGCTTGATTAATAGCCAATCTATGTTTTTTGATCTTCCTCAGGACTGCTTGGCACAGCTTTCGATATGGACTCTTCAGCAAAGCAAAATTCGCCAATATCTGATGAGGTATCCTAGGTATCAGTGCTTGTGTGGGAGCTGCACAATAATTTTAAAGAGACATTTGGCTGACCCTAAGTACCAGACTAATAAAAATTGCAATTGTGCGAGACAGTATAGAAATGTAGACACTTCAGACTGCCCAAGTCCTGGCTGTGGGGACTTTTTAAGTGCAATTAAAGATATGCATGGACTATCATGGGATTCTCTGCATTGGGGATTTGCTGATAAAGACGATTTCTTGGTTGGTCCTTTAACTCAGAACAAAAACCAAGAGCAAGTGATTTTAAATTCTTTGAATTTGGATGCAAATGCGGAGCTGTTTAAGGTTATTGAAAAAAGACCCTGGAGAAGTGGAGCTGATCAGTGGGGACTTTATAAATGTAAAACATGCCATATGTGGATTTGAGGAAGGAAATTTTACTATAAAATAATTTTTGTAAGAAATCCCTATAAAGTAAATAAATAAATATTTTGGTTAGATTATAATAGAAACCATGGATTTTTGCTATTTCTAATGATGAAAGTAGGGTAGCGTACTTAACAAATATCAACGTTACAGGAATCCCTCCTGGAATTATGTCAGGCGGAAGCACCTTAAGTGTCCCTGTGCTCAGTAAAATCAAGCTGCCTCTATTAGTAGTCCAAAAAGGTTCAGAGATGGTGAAGCCAACAATCTCATATGCAAGTGCTTTTATCCCAACCAAAAAATTAAATTCGTCTCAGATTCAGACATAAATAATAATCCTTAATAGACTCATTTCTACAAAATTCTAAAAGAATAGACATGTTTATAAATAGATAAAACCAATTTAATATAGAGCAATATAAATATTAAATATGCAGTCAGAACAGATTAGAGTTCACAGAGGCGAGATTGAGAAATCTGAAGAATTCATCAGATTTGTATGCCTATCCGACACCCATAACCAAGTAGGAAAGAAGTTTAAAGTTCCTGATGGCGATGTATTGCTCCATGCAGGAGATTTTACTAATTGTGGCGGTACAGATGATGTTGTTAATTTTAAAATGATTTAAATTAAATTTATCAATAAAATTTTTATTGTTTTTACATATAAATAATACGGTAGTTATAATAAAATATAGAATAATAATTTTTTAGGGAGATTGCCACACAGATATAAAGTTGTTATTGCTGGGAACCATGACTTGTCCTTTGATAAAGAAAATTTACCAACCCTTATTCGTAATTTTAGCTTGAATCCAACTATAAATTCAGATGCTACCAAAGCTCTGCTAACTCACTGTATTTATTTACAGCCCGTTCTCGGCTATAGATCGGGCTATGCCCGATCTTTGCCGGGAAACTCGGGGGGTTGTCTTCGTCACTTTCAGGTGACGAATCAACTCCCGAGTTGGCAAATAGCCGCTAATAAGTGATTTGCCAACTCGGGGAGTTGACTCGTCACCTGAAAGTGACGAAGACAACCCCCCCCGAGTTTCCCGGCAAAGATCGGGCATAGCCTGATCTATAGCCGGGAACGGGCTATACTCCCCCCTCTGTGAGCGAACAAAAACATTGGAAAAATCCCTATTTCTTGCCCAAAAACCCACCCTCCGTGAGCGAAAAAAATTTTTTTAATATTGATATATAAGTGATAGTTATTATAATGAAATCTCTAGCTAATTCTGTTTATTTTAAGCAGCCTACATTTTAAAACATATATTATACAAATTAAATTAACTTTTGCTTCTAATTTTTTTCAAATTTCGAAAAATAATTTTTTTATAAAATTTTATACATAAATTGTTTTTAAAAAAACAATTTAATCCCCTCCATGAAAGAACAAAATTTTTTTGTTCGCTCATAGAGAGGGGGATAGAAGAAACTGGCGTAGAAGTTTTTGGGTACAAAATTTGGGGAAGTCCATGAACTCCAACTTTTTATGACTGGGGTTTTAATGCAGAAAGAGGAAGCGTTATTGCTGAAAAATGGAGGAAAATACCTGAAGATACAGAAATTTTGATTACCCATGGGCCACCATATGCAATTCTTGATGGTTGTGATGATGGTTTTCATGCAGGATGTGAAGAATTGAAGACTGCTGTAGAAAGAATTAAGCCAAAAGTCCATCTTTTTGGACATATCCATGAAGCATACGGGGTGTATAACAATGGCTTCACCCATTTCATAAATGCGTCTACCTGCACATTAAGATATAGACCGACAAACCCTCCAATTGTTTTTGACTTGCCTAGAAAATCTTAATATTTATTAATGGAACTTTATTTTAATTATTTTTATCATGCTTTATGCATCTTCAAAAGTTTATATGCTTCAAAAATTCACTATTTTGATTGTATATATACATTAAGTCTAAGATTAATAATATATTGCATCGTCTGGATAAATCAAGAAAGAAATGAACTCCTCAAGTAGAGAAAGAAGATTGACGATTTTGGTGATAAAATTGAAGGGCAACGTGATGATCTTACCAAATCACTCGCTGCACAAAGAAAAGAGCTCTGAATTGGAGAAGAACAGGTGAGTTCCATTTTTTAACTAAATTCAATTTTATTAAATAGAGGATATTCTTCTTATAATAAAATGTAATCTAATCCAGCATTAGATGCAGATGCAGAAAAGAATGAGTTTAAGACTTTTTTGCAAAACATTTATATAATATTCACTATGCTATTAGTCCTTTTATATAATTAAAAATAAGAAAATTTAATTTAATATTATTTACCATCATTTTTTTCAGCCGCTGCTTCTATCTTCATATACCCTTTAATTTTCCCTCTACATATAGGGCATTTCGGTTTTGCTTCTTTCTGAATTAATAATGCACACGCCTCACACAGACACACATGTGCACATGGCATGACTGCAGTATTTTTTGTTTCTGCCATACAAATAATGCATTCTCTAGAATCCTCATCATTTTCTTTTGAAGACCCAAAAATCTCCATTAATTCATAAGAGACCCCTGAAACTGTGAATTTCTGTCGTATAGGCTTTAATGATAAATTTTCTTGAGTCCTGCTGAATATGAAATATGTAGCTTGTGATTGTGGAGGCATTAAATTTAAGTCATAAATAGGCAAAATTTCTACAATAATCGGATAAATTTGTTTATTTTTGAAAAATAATTCGTCAATTTTGTATTGGGCAGTATTAATAAAGCACAAATTTTGGAAGTTTTGGTTTCCAACTGGAATTTTATAAAATTGAGGAGGCGGATATAGTGAACTACACTGACTGGCACGGGGTGCTTTTGGCTCAGTTTCGAGCCAAAAGCACCCCATGCCAGTCAGTGTAGTTAACTATATTTACTTGTGTCTACATAAAAGTAAGGAATACCTTTTATATCAACCATCTCTTGGGCAAAAAAGTATATTGTCATATGGGATTCATAAGTGGTAACAATTTCGAATTCAATGCTATAAGTATTGGGTTCGTTTGGCTTTGGAATTAATTTAATTGAGTTTTTGTTTATTGAGGAATAGCATTTCATACCAACTGCAGTTTTTATAAGTGGCTCTTGTGGAGGAGGCTGCATAGGCTGTTGTGGAACTGGTCGTGCAGGCTGCTGTGATAATTGACGACCATTTGAAGCGTGTGTTTGGTAAAGAGATTGATAAATGAATGCAGTTTGGGCAGCAGTCATCTGAGCTTGTGGCTGAGGCTGTGATTGCAGCTGCATTTGCTGCTGCTGTTGAGGTTGGGCATTAAAATTTTGATTTAATTGTTGAGATTGTCTATGTCTATTATCTTTTCCTATACAATTTCCCATTTCTATTTATATATAATGCATGCTAATTTATTTTAACGCTATTTTCAACAATTATAAAGGTAAATTTGCATAAAATTTAAAAATAATTTGTTAATTCCACATTGGATAAGCTTATAAAAATTATTTTTATTCTGCTATTACTAATATTTTTGACCTAACAAATAACTCAAATGCTGCAGTTATTATTTTAGCTACTAAAAATGTCCTTATATAAGCTAATCTAATAGTTCGCTGGACTTATAAAGTCGCTATTTTAACCAAAAATTCCTTAATACTTTGATGAATTTTAATTAAACTTATATTTTTATCAAAATAAATCTCATTATTTAGTCTTCAGAATGCTTGGGCTTTTTCAGCGAATTTTGACTCAGATCAGCAAACAAATTGATAGCTGCTTTACCCCATTTTAGCATATAAGTCATTGGCGAAATAATGTTGTCATCTAAGAGTTTTACAACTATTGCATGAGTTTCACGGTGTCTCCTGCCAACATGTTCATGCAACTCCCAGTATACAAGTCTGCTGTTCCTATATATAAGCAAGCCAAATTTCGTTATATCAGATTTTTTAGTTATACGGTACTCAGAGGTCTTGAGGAGCTCAACAGTTTCTGCTTCTTTGAGATTTTTCTCTTCTACTGGCTGATTATTGACCATAAAGCCATATGGAAATGGCGACTTATAGAATGCATAACTAAGGAAATCTTGAAGCGAAATATTTTTATACAAAATTGAATCACCATTAGCACTGAGCTCTTCTGGGTACAAGTAAATTGTAGTCCCCAAGCCATGCGAATAAAGCATGCCAGGGTTCAAGTGGCTTCTTTTCAACACATTTGAAAAATTTGGCTGCACTAGCTCTTTAACAGGAAAAATTGGCTGATTACTACTATCAAAAATCACAAAAAAACATGGTGTATAGTCCTGATTTTTTTGAATTAGAGTTACAGTCAAGAACTCTTCATTTTTTGACACGATAATTGCGATTGGAGAAAGCTTAAACATCGAACCCAATAGATTTTCTGTACTTGTTCCAGCACAAAAATGGCCTACAGCGTATGGTGTTAGCAAGCACTTGGTGCATGAAATTTCTAAAATCATCACTTTTTTTTCTGAATCTCCTCCAAAGGAGTTATGAGAGCTTTGTTTGCTGTCACTTGCATTATCTTCAACATTTTCAGGTATGTCGCTGCTATCTTCTTCTGTTATGATTTTAACACATTCTTTGCCTCTCATAGAAACATAGCCAGTTGATCTAATATTTACCTTTTCATTACCGATGATCTGCGCTATCCTTAATATCGCACTAAAAGGATCATGAAACTCATTAGCTAAATTTTCAATAACTTGTGAAGGAATTTGTGCTTTAGAAAAATAATGAAATCTTGGGTAAGACAGCTCAGGAAATCTTTCAAGAAATAAACATGTGGAAGACGAATGGCCACAACTGTTACACATTAAGTTGGGAGACGAGGAGTTAAAATTGTTTTGGGCTGATGAGACTGGAGCTGGGTTAGGTTTCCCAGAAACTGTCAATAATTTTGTATATTTTCGCTTTGGATTTATACCACTGACGTTATTCATATCAATTTTGCCTTCTCCAAAGGTCAGGATAACAAGATCACTCTTTGCAAGTTTTTCATTGCCCATGCCGCCAAACACAATAAAGGAATTTTTGAAAGTGCACGCGGCATGTGTAGATCTTCCTGTAATGCTGTTTTTAGGCTGTAGTTCTCTTCATATATTATTATCAATGCTATAAACCCAAATATCGCTCATAGCCTGTCCAAAACTTTCCCCTCCATATACAATGAGAAAGTCATTATTCAAGTTCGTCATAGAATGTGACAGCCTTTTCGGTGGGGCTTGTGACTCTGCAATTAAGTGTTTTATATGGGCTGTTGTTCCTCTGACCTCAATTTCATACAGGTCATTGGTATACTCGTCTTCATCCCTCGTCGGCTCACTCACATTGCCGCCAAACACATATAACCGATCCCTCGCAGTGCAAAACCCCATACTTTCCCTTGGCCCTGGGATATCTCCTTCTTGTTCCAGCAGTTTCCACTCAAAATTCTTCAGGCTCAGCATGTACATGTCCCCATAAAGCGTGTTTATCCCATTTCCTCCATATACAATCATATCTGATTTTATGACCCCTGCCGCATGTCCGTCCCGAAATTCTGGCTTTTTGCCCAAAACGGGTGGACAGCGCCAATTTTTGGTTTGGACGTCTAAAAGTCAGACGTCATCAAAAGGGTCTGTTTTGTCCTCGCCGCCCTCACAGCCTCCAAAGACAACGAGATAATGCTTATAAGCGACCATAGAGTGACCTTCTCTGGAGGCGGGGATATTGCTGGTTTTGAGGGCGCTAAAATGGTTTGTGGCGAGGTCTAGGACGTGGCATGAGTTACGTGTGCGGGAGTCAGTCCCACGGCCTCCAAACATGTAGAGTTTTCCGTCCAGTGCAGCTGCAGCACAACCCCATCGGGCTAATTGTCGCCCACTCACTGTATAAAAATCACCGAGAGCAGTGTTGATCTGTCATTTGCACTCCCAGAAGTCTTCGTCCCATGTGTTTTCGGTCTCGTTTTGTCGTCCGTCGAGCCTTTGCAATTGGTTTAGTAAGTTGGGGATTTCGATCCCTTGGAGCTTGCAGGTGTTAAGAATATCTCCGAACTGTGATGGTTTTTACCTTTCCACGTTCAATATTGGTGAGGTTAGAAAAAGATTGTTCAATCAGTCTCAGTTCTGGTCTTCCAGCTGCCATGATTATTTAATTATATGGCCCATAATTTTACTAATTTAAAGCTTATTATAAGCAAAATCTGATTCAAACGAAGAACTCAATATACTTCACCATCTTGACAAAATATTTTATTTGTTTTGATTTTGTGCACGGAAAATGGGATTAATTTAATTTTATTTGTATTGCATAAGGCTAGAGTTGATTATTAGAGGTATTATAAGCAGACCTCTTATTCTTACAGTTGACTGACAACTATGAATTGAAAAATGAGCTCGCTTTGTAGCAAACTATTTACTGCTATATATTTACCAAATTGAAATTTAAGCCTGAAAAAATGCGAGATCGAATTTTTATAGGGCTGATTTAAATAATTAAAGACATAATGGAAAGAAATTTGCGAGGAATGGGATTTTGGATTCATGTGATGTATAATGAACTAAAGCACCAGAGAAAGGTCTTAATAGTGCTTTAAAATACTGATTTGTATTCAGTTATTACCAAATATCTCATAATTGTTGCTTAGAAAAGCTTTAAAACAATACTTTTGCATGGCCATTGTAAACCTAAAATAAAGGTTCAATATAATGTGAGATCCTAAGGCCATAAGAAAAATATTTAATGGGGCTGGGAATCACATTTTTGGCTTGAGAGCTTGAATTATAGAAGGCATCCTATATGCGTTTTTATATAAGTCAACAATAGTTCTATCCCTTTTTCTTAATATTTATTTGAATTCTGCTGGCTGAGTATTTTTTATTGGGACTAATCTTCATTACAAATTCTTAGTATAAATTTATATGAGTAGATTGAATCGTTATAAAATTTTAACTGGCGTAAACAAAAGCAATTATCAAGCATAATTATTTGTTGAAGTTAGAGAGCCTTGCTAAACTGTATGATTTTATATTGAATCGCCTTGATGGTTGGATGCTCTCTTTGCTTGATCTTTGTGTAATAAAGCCATGATGATGTATTTGTAAAAATAAAATATGATTTCATATAAATTTTAATGCAAGTTTCTGATGATTTATTGGGATGGCTTTAGAATGGCTTGTCACAAAATTTTCTTCTCCATAGATAATAAATGACTTAGAGCAACCTTGATTAATAATAAAATGTGAATAACTTAGCATAATAATTGAGGCAACACAAGTGAGTGAAAATTTTTCATTAATATTAATTTCAATTATAATGAAAATGGAAATCAGTCGCATGGATTACGTTTAATTACAAAATCTATATTAATTTAGTGTATTTTTTATAATAATTTTTGCTTAAGAATGTTTTATTCGAGATTCTCATATTTGGAGAAATTACTGAAAATTTTTAAATAGAAAATTATTATTTATCATTAGAATAAATTAAATTAATGATTTTAATTTTGCCAATCTATTAAACATTAATACTCTTAAGTTGTTAATAATTTACCATAGGGACAGTTTTTAAGTTTTTGACCTAGGATATCAGCTAGAAAAATATTATAACCACCATGCTAAGGCTAATAAAGTAATAGAAAACTTCTCATTACTTAGCTATTTTTTACTCATAAATCAAAGATTGGCGCCAAAATCAAAAAATGATGTATCCCGGTATACAAGATGCTCTAGTTATGCAAATTTTTAAAAATATGCAGCTTGGCAGAAACAAGCAAATACTTGTCTTTACGATTAAACCTAATATTTTTAGCAAAATCAGCGTTTATTTAGCAATAATATTGTTTTAGATTCGATTTAAGGCTTTATTATATGCATAACATTTAAATTGCAGTTGAAATCTTAATTAAATCTCATATTATTGCTTAGCCCGCTAAAAATAGCACATATGCTATACTCAAATTTAATATAAATTGAATGCCCAATGCAAATCTATTTTTTTAAAATTTCTATATGCGTATTAAAAAATTAGCTTTTATCACTTTTAGTTTTGATAAATATAGAATTGTAAAATAATACATACTTTTTCCATTGTTAAAAATTATAATAAATCATCTATTAATTCTTTTAAACATCATTTTAGTTCTGTTTCAATATCATATCCATTTTTGCAAAATTCAAATGGCAAAATAGCTAAAATGATTTAAGTCTAGTAAAGACATTTTTATTGGTTTCCTTCAAATATGAAACTAACATGCGAATATGCCACTTTGTATTATATAGGATGTTATAATGCTGGGCAGATAATTGGCCTTATTCATTATACAAATATTATTATCATTTTAGACAAATTCAATTTGATAGAAAATGCCCTCCATATTAGGCTGTTTCCTTAGACATTACAGACTTACAAAAATAACCAAGCAATAAAAAACTGAATGAAAAGTAATAGCATAAATAATTAATTTTTTAATCCTCATAATAGGAATTACTGAGACTCGTGATGATTTTTCCTTATTTCGAATAATGCTTACTTCTATTAAAAGCTTAAAATTAAGCATTTGAAGATGGCAAATTAGCTTCAACTTTCTGAAATGTAGGTAATTATTTTGAAAATTATTTTTATCTCTTACTCCAACCTTGCAATAAAAAAATTATAAAAATAAAGCTTTTATCAACTAAAAGTTAGTTGAACTACCATTTAACAAATGTGATTGGTCAGTATTGATATGTAGTCATCAAGGACCCTTTAGGGTTCATCCGCTTTGAATTGGGTGGCCTTGCTCTTCTTCCGGACACTGATACTATAGAATCCGGAGTGTCGTATGCTTAGAGCGCTCTCATTGACTTTCAGCTTCAGTGCTAAGTGGGCAGACGATAAACTTTTGTCCTCATCTGGAGATTGAAGAGTAGCTTGATTCAAAGTCGCTAGGTGTCTGCCCTTATCAGCTGCAGCAAAAAGAATTAATCCTTGGGCCCAGGCCATAGCCCCTCTTATAGCGGTGAAGTCTATACTACTTTTTTCCAACCACAGGAACTTAGTCAAACTCTACCCGAACATATATATCAGACCTAATCTCAACTGTTCTCTCACCCACTCGCCTTGACCATAAGGCTGAAAAAATTGCATTAACTCCCCCCCCCCCCTCCGTGAGCAAACAAAACCATTAGAAAAATCGCCATTTTTTGACCAAAAACCCACCCTCCGTGAGTGAACAAAAATTTTTTTAATAGAAAAAATTTTTTAATGGAAAAAAATTTTGATATATATAAGTGATAATTAGTATAATGAAATCTAGAGCTAATTCTGTTTAATTTTAAACAAATTGCGTTTTAAAACATAAATTTTGCAAATTAAATTAATATTTGCTTCCCAATTTTTGCAAATTAGGATTTTTTTAAATTTCGAAAAAAATATTTTTTATAAAATTTATATATAAAAATTTTTTTTAAAAAAAAAAATTAACCCCCCTCCGTGAGCGAACAAAATTTTTTTGTTCGCTCACGGAGGGGGGGGGGGAGTAAGAATTCATATTACTCTAACCATCATCAAAACCCTATAAATTTCCACATTCTTCCTCGAAATTCTTATATTCATTTTTGATTTCTGATATCAATGTCCATTCAAACCCCAGCTTCACCGACAAAAAGCTTCTAATTTTATTCTTACTCCCCCCCCTCCGTGAGTGAACAAAAAAATTTTGTTCACTCACGGAGGGGGGTAAATTTTTTTTTTTAAAAAAATTTTATATATAAATTTTATAAAAAATATTTTTTTTTCGAAATTTAAAAAAATCCTAATTCGCCAAAATTGGAAAGCAAATATTAATTTAATTTATAAAATTTATGCTTTAAAAAGCAATTCGTTTAAAATTAAACAGAATTAGCTCTAGATTTCATTATACTAATTATCATTTATATATCAAATTTTTTTCCATAAAAAATTTTTCTATTAAAAAAATTTTATTCACTCACGGAGGGTGGGTTTTTGGGCAAAAAATAGCGATTTTTCTAATGGTTTTGTTCACTCACGGAGGGGGGGAGTTAGTAATAATTATGCTTTATTTTCGAGATGTTTATAAACTAAGATATAGCACGAACATGGTGCAAAGATTGCTTTTACTTCAACTGCTGCTTTTTGCTTCTAGCTTTGTTTCAAGCATGAATTCACCAAGGTCTTCTCTGGCTGTCTATGACTTTAAAGTATCAAATGAGCTGGTAGGCAACTTAAAAAGACCTATAATAGAAGACTGAATTTCTGATGATAAAAAGACTTATAGTGTTGAGGACTATGATCCGTTTTTCACACTGGGGGCTGATTTTGATGGGACTTTATTCTATATGGAAAAGTCGTCAAACTTGAAAATTTCTCTCCAAAAAACAATTTGAGAGCTTGCTAGGGATACAAAGCCTTTTGACCTGAGCGGTTATTCATATGGATTTTCAAATTTATTTATTATTGGGTTTATTCATAAAAATATATACATTTTTGCATAAATATTGCTAAAATAGCTGAAAAAAGTTTTTTTTATAATTTAATTAAAATGTTTATAATTAATGCTCAAAACATCGAAAGTCCAAATCAAGAAGACCAAATGCTTTTTGAGAGAGACGACTTTTCCATTGTAAGCTTGGAAAAATCTTCAGGCGAGTATAAATGGAATATCACTTATTCTCAATATACTTCAAAAGAGGAAAATTCATATTGTTTTTATACAATAGACAGAAAAAAAATTTCTGATACTTGGAATTTTAAGCTTGATATAAAAGAAGAAAACTCTCTAAAGCAGCGGCTGTTTGAGTATTTTAAGCACCATTTGTCAAATTATTATTAGTTTGTGATTAAATGGGGACTTGCGGATACGATTGCTTGGCTATTTTTAAGTAAATTTAAGATTTATAGATATTTTAAGGCATTTTAAATATTTAATAAAGCGTACAATCCATCGAAAGCATTCCAAATTTTTTGCAGCGTCCTTTGTGACTTAATAGAGCTTTGCAACGATAATTTAGGAATTTTGGCTATGATTATATTAGCGGCTTCTTTAGGATTTTTACTTGGGAGAAAAAGCCAGATATCATCGTGCCCATCTTCAAGATCTTCATCAGAAGATCCAATTGACTGCCAAATTAAGCCTCATTTTCCAAACCTTTCAGATTCATTTACAGAAGGCGTTTTGCCAATAATAATACCTGAAACTGAAAACGTTGAGCTACTCAAGCTAAAATTCAGCGTTGAGTCGATATCTCCAATAGCAAAAACTCATGTATCGGCTCCAGAAAAAAATTATTCTATATAAATCAAATATAATATTAATTTTCTGTACTCGATAAGGCAATATTTTTATTATTAAATAGTATACTTTGAGTTCAATAGGAAAATAATAACTCCCTTTGAAATTAACAAGGAAATACTAAATAGTCCTATTGAAATGGAGGCTAATTATAAGCATAAAGCGATCCTTACATTAAGGGAGTTTGAAAACCTTACAGACTCAGACATGGAAATTTCCCAAGACCCAATTAAAGAAATAAAGAAAAGCATAATTGAAGACGAAAGCAGCAGCGAAGATGAGCTTGGGGTAAAAGAGTACTGGGATTCACCTCAAAGAAGCAAAAAAAGAATTTCTGTGACGCGGCTTCCTCAGAAAAATGGAGAGTTCAAAGAATTGATTGATGTGCTTGATGATGGGAATTATCCTTTTAGATTATAAATATAAAAATTTTATTTTATTATAAATATTAGGAAATTTTCAAATAATGAAGAATATAACAGAAAATTCGAATTTCAAAATATTCTTGGCTATGGAGGATTCAGCTCTGTACATTTAGCCAAGCATAAGCTTGATGGGCAGCTATATGCTATTAAGATTGTAAAAATGAAAATTGGGATAAGTCAGAGTATTACTCGGCATCGGCTTTTTGCTGAAGTGAATTTGCTTAAAAAGCTGCATTCTAAATATTTAGTGCAGTATATTACATGCTGGGCTGAAAGAGAGCTAAATAAAATCCAAGAAGAAGATGAAGGCTCAGATAGTTCACGATATGCATTAACTCTTCTTTATAATTAAAATATTTAAAAAAATATTAAAAAATCAATAAAAATATTAATTGGAAATTTTTATAAAGGAAGTAAGCTCTGACATGTCATCAGAAATTTCGTCTTTTTTAGATGAAAAATACATGAGCGTGCTTCTTCACATCCAAATGGAATATTGCAGTGGGATGTCTCTGCAAGGCTTCCTAGAAAACGATAAAAGGGTAATAGACCGAAAAGTTAATTACAATATCTTAACCCAAATACTTAAAGGAATTAAGCACATTCACGACAAAGGCATTATTCATCGAGATTTAAAGCCTGCAAATATTTTTCTAGATGGAGGAAATAACGTAAAAATCGGAGACTTTAATTTGGCGACTGCCCTTGAACAGTCAGAAAAATCAAGCCAAAGCTACCTGGACATGCAGGAGCTTTCATCGAATATCGGGACTCCTTTGTATTTAGCCCCTGAGCAGGAGCATACTCATAAATACAACCATAAAGCTGATATTTTTCCTATTGGAATTATTTTGTTAGAACTTTATTTTAAATTTGGGACATTTCACGAAAAAATTAGTATTTTGAAAAAAATCAGAGAATGTGGAGAAATTCCAGAGGGGTTTAAAAAAGATTATCCGATAGAAAGCGAGTTGGTAAGGCTTATGACTTCTTTGAATCCAAAGAATAGGCCAAACGCTCGAGAGTTGTTGAATTGCCAATTATTGAAATCGTGGAAGTCTGAATTAAAAATTTAATTTAATGTTTTTTTAAAAATACTTTATTTATTAAATTTTCAGGTAGAAGCTTAATTTTTAATTAATTAAATCTAATTCTTAAACAATTTTTTTGGATTTTTTATTTTGATTAAAAGGGCTGCAAATATATTTAAGTTATCCATATGGCTGATAAATAATAAAAATTTTCCACAGGAATATCTATAATGTTTTGTTGTTCTTTACTGAGCTTGGCATTATTATAATTAATGCCTCTCACAATGCAAAAAAAAAACTAATTATCAAAATATAATGCAATATACTTCAAACATCTGATTTTTTTTTATTAAAACCTCTCTTCTCTCAATCCATCACTAATATAAAGTAAGTATGGAGCTGGATCTGCTTCTTTGTAATATGAAGCAATCACCCCAGCAGTTAGATCATGACTGTGTCCGATGTAGAACTTAAATGCTCCAAAGCTTTCAACCACTCTTCTGACGAAAGTTGAAGCTCGTGCCATGAAAGCTGCAACTCTGCTTGGGTTATTTTCTTCTAATCCTTTTTGCTGACTGACACTTCTTGAAGATTGAAAGCAGAGATAATATCAATGATGACACAAATTGTATTCTCCACAGTCTCTTGTTCTATCCACGGGACTCGTCCCCACGGCCAATACCATGCTCGTTTTCTATAAAAATTCATCTTGAGGCTACGCTAAGAACTGCGCCATCATGCTCAATGCCGATAGGATAGGAGTCAGATAGCACTTGATCATTGCTAAAAATATCAAAGTAGACCTTCATTTTATTATAAACTTATTTAGCTTGCCATTAAAATGTCTAATAGTAAATCAATTCCTATTTATTTTAAGGAAAATTGGAATATTAGCAAAGAAAAATATAATATAAAAAATTACTACTCCCCGTCTGTAAGCCAACGAAACCAATGGATAAATCCCTTTTTTTTGATTAAACCCACTCCCCGAACTAGCAAAAATTTTTTATAAAAAAACATTTGATCCATTTTAAAATTTTACAAATTGGAGTCTTTTTAAATTTTGAAAAAAAATTTGTGATTTTTGGGGGAAATTAACCCCCTCCGCGAGAGAATAAAATTGTTTGTTCGCTCATGGATGGGAGAGTTAGTATTTTATGAGTTTCTTCTCAAATCAGCTAAATTTAAAAATAACTGCTTATCTTCTTTAATTTTTATATAAAACTAATAATCGTTTTGTGGGTGAGAAAGTGTGTTATTATTAATATTTTATTAAACACCATATTAATAATAAATTTTTTGAAGTTTTGCTTACTCCCCCCCTCCGTGGGTGAACAAACCATTAGAAAAATCCCTATTTTTTGACCAAAACCCTTCGTGAGCGAACAAAAGCTATTTGAGAGAGAAACATTTTTTATGGAGTTCGCTTACGGGGGGGAGTTAATAGCTAATAATAACTTTTATATTTTTAACTAATAATTCTGTTTAAGAAGAATTTGAATTTAAAATCAGTGAATTATTATGAAGACAGATACTTTAAAGAAACTTACAAAACTAAGGTAAAAATTTTATGAATTAATATAAACAACTTAATTTAAATAAAATTCTTTCGCCTCTAAACTATCTCAATTTTTTATTTCCTAGAATGCAAATTAATTATTTTGGTATGTGAATTCCTATTTATTAATAGTTCAAGTGCTGCAATATTCATGATGCCTATATAATGCTTATACTTGTAAAAAAGAAATTAAATATCATTAAGGAATTTACCATAATTTCTTGATTTTGAAAAAAATGCTGATGTCTATTGGAATCTATATTAATTTATAGTAAACTTTATAGCTTGGAATGCTATGCTAGAAATAATAATGAATATGAAAGGGTTTTATGATCAATTAAAAAAGCCATATTACACACACTTAAAAGAAGGAAAAATGAAATAGGGATAGGGATGAGAGTGAATCTGATAAAAATGGTGATACTTATCTTAAATTCATATATTAATAATTTATACGTCCATATTTGTTTAAAATATCAGAATTTCAATTAAGACATTTATTCTGATATCACTTGCTTAAGAAGCCATATATGCTCTAAATTTGTTGCACTTACGTTTGAAGGGTTTTCACGATTTGATTCATTCATTATATAGTTATAAAGTTTTACCTAATCATCAATTATAATATAACTATTTTTAATGATTTCTTACTTTTACGGCTCATGTTCAAAGCCAAATGAAAATTGGATTCATCCATATCACATGAATATCCCAAATATAATTCAAGAGAAAATCAAAAATATAAATAGCTAAAGATGAATTTTATGAATCTTCATAAATTAAGAGAAAATAATTCACATAGATCAATAAAAATTAATTAAACTTTATATTTTAGCCTCCGTATTACTTCGAACAAATTTTCCATTTAAGTCGCTAACTCTCTATCCACTAAGTATTTGCTCAGAGCAGTAGATGAATCTGATAAATTTATTTATTTTTTTAATTATAAATGTTGATATTATCTTTTAAATCATTTTTAAAGTTATAATCAATAATCAATAAATAATAATTATAATATTTTTTTAATAAATAAAATTATAAAAAAATATTTTTATCACAAAAGGAGTTTGCTCTAGTCACAATTATAGCTGGGGAGAATAAGCAGCATCTCTACCATACCTAATGCACTCTTCCCAACTATTGAAGATTTCAAGCTTGGCTGCAAAATTTTATTATCAACGTTTAAGCCACGATTTCGTATATTTTCTGTTTTCCTTCTTGCATTATCAAGCTCTTGACTTAGCTCATTCAGTTGATCTTTAAGCCTCTGCGTATTTTCTTTACTATAATCTTTAAGATTTTCAAATTCTGCACAAGTTATCGCTAAATCTTCAAGAGTTTGATGATAACTATTTGTTAACTCGTTAATTTCGAAATCTTTTTCTCGTAATTTTCCTATTACAGTGTCTAGCTCTGTTTCTAAATCTTTGTTATTTTTCATTAAAGTTTTATATTTATTTTCAATAAATAATAAAAAATATAATTTTTTTAATTTTTATAAGACTTTTTTGCCCTTTTTTAATCAATTAAAGCCAGTATAATTCGTTCCTGAAGTCTATACAATTCATCCTTCAGTTTATTATTATTTTTTTCAATCTCTTTAATCTTTTCATATTGTTCGGTCTATATGAAATTTACTTTGAGTTTATCAAGGGCGTCTTTTAATGCTTCATTTTCTTTTGAAAGTTCTGAATTTAATTTAATTTGTATTTCAAGCTCTCGCTCTATTTCTTCTTCAAGGGTTTTACTCATCTCTTGATACTCGGAAAAATCGTTTTTTAATTGGAAAAGTTCTTGTTCTTTGACTTTGAGGAGTTCTAATGTGTCAGACATATTTAATTCTCTAGGGATTTATTGATTATTAGAGAATGAATTATATTTAAATTTAGGAGAGGTGAAAGAAATAGCACCTATATTTATAGGGTATATCTAGCTTTAAATATATTATGATTATATTTTACAAAGTTGTGAATAATCGCTTTTAGACTAATAAAATATTATGCAAAATAAATTGATAGCTGTATTTTAACGATTTATTTTAGAGAATACACGTTAATTCTTCTATTAAAGGTTAAATTAATAAAACGTTGCAAATTTATATAATCTGTAATAAAATGAGTAACTATGCAATAGACATTACAAACCAAAAAGTTAAGGATGTAATGAATGATTTTGGGATTGATGACAATGAGCTTGTTTTGAAGTAAATTTTATTCAGAAATATAGAGGATTTTCAAGCTCCAAGAGTAAGCCCAGAAATTGTGAAATTGAGATATGATTATTATAATAGAAGAGAGAGAGAGAGAGATTTAGATTAGAGAGGTTAAACCGGGGTTTATTTCAGCCCCTAGCCAATCGAGCTTCAGCTTCGCGCTTCATGTGGCGCTAGTCACTAAAGCCACCTAACGCCCTTTTTTGTCGACGTCACCATTTTTAATGACGTCGCCATCTTTCGGGGAGACTCAACCGCACCTGCTGGACCAAAAAATTGCAGCAAAGGACTCTCTTAACCCCTGGTAGTGCTCAGGGTATGAGGGACCGTCCCGTGCCTTCTTCTGGAACTACCCTTGCTATTTGCAGGCATCATATTGCTCCTCCAGAAGTATCCGATTGGTACTGCTGCGCCGTCGGTCTTCTCGCCTGTGGGCCGAGGAGAGGCCCAGTCAGCCCAAGCCAACACCCACCCCGGACAATCACCGTCAGTGACCCCGTGGCCCTTCGGGGCACTTTTTTTTTAATTTGTGACCCCAAATTCTGGATTCTTTTTTTTCTTGTCGCAGTACAGCAACGTGTCGCCACATTGCCTAACGGCAATTATTTATAATAGAAGAAGAAAATAGTTTTTTATCCCTACCCTAATTATAGATTTCCCTAACAAAATCAAGCCATTCCCATGCCAAGCGTCCCGATTCCAAAGCAGCAGCTCCTAGCCAGCACGATTTCCACAGCCACGAATCCCAACAGCCACGAATCCCAACATCAACCTCTCACGGCCACAAATTAGCGGCGTAAAAACTTCAGCTGCAGAGTTTTTTGTTTAATTTTTCGGTGCGAGCCCTTCTTTCAAAGATCAGTGACTCCAAGAGCGACTCCATCAGCAACTCCAGAGTTCCAAAAATCCCCAAACTCCCTAGACTCCCAAACTCCCCAAACTCCCCAAACTCCCCAAACTCCCCAAACTCCCCAAACTCCCCAAACTCCCCAAACTCCCCAAACTCCCCAAACTCCCCCCCAAACTCCCCAAACTCCCCAAACTCCCCAAACTCCCCAAACTCCCCAAACTCCCCAAACTCCCCAAACTCCCCAAACTCCCCAAACTCCCCAAACTCCCCAAACTCCCCAATTATTACAATAGGAAAGTTAAAGACACAGTTAGGAGAATTCGTGCAGAGTTAAGAAATAGACGTATGAGTGCAATTAATAGTGCAAACTCAATTAATAGTGAATTTCTTTCAAAAAATACTTCTTTGTATTCAAACTTATCCAGCCCAAATATTGAAAGTATTATGAAAATTGAAGAAAATAGATTGGATAGGCTTAAGAAAAAACATAAACAAATATTAGTTGACACTTTGCAAGCATTAGAAAAAGCTAAAAAATACAATGAGGATAAATCACAAACTGAAAGAGGAGTTGAAAGAGCCTTAAAAGAAAGATCAGAAAAGTTCAAAAAAAGACTTCAAGAACTCAAAGAAATCCAAAAAGAAAAATTCAAAGATTCACTAAATTCTCAAAAAATATATCAGAAAACCTTAGATGAGAATATCAACAAAAGTATGATGGAACATATTAAAAGAGAAAAAGAATATGAAGAAATGAAGAAAAATCTTGCAAGGAAAAATGATGAAATGCTTAAAGAAAAGCAGAAAAAAATAAAAAAATCAAAAGAAGGCAATATAAGAGACAATGAAAATTTTATAAGATATCAGCTGTCTTCCATTGAAGAAAAATACAAAAAATCTGATGAAAAATATCTAAAAGAAATCAATAAGAAAAAAGAAAAAACTCAGTCAATGAGAAAACATTGGAGTACAGTAAATCTTAATCTCGAAAAACACAAAAAAAATAATGAAGTTGACAAAGTCTTAGAAATAATTGAAAGGCAACAAGAAGTAGATGAAAGAAAAGAAAGCATTAAGAGAGCTTTAGAACAAAAATCTAAATCGAAAAAAGAATTAATGAGGGAAAGAAAAAAACAAGCATATTTAAGGCTGAAAAGTGAAGAAAGTGAATATAACAATAGATTAAAAATGATTGAGCAAAAATTAGCTTCATCTCAGAAAAATATAGAGCAAAAAGAAGATGACTGAAGAAAAGAAGTTATTTTATATTAATTAAATAGATATTATTTTTATTAATTTATAAATTCAAAGGAATTTTTTTTTTGGAAATAATTTAAAAATTTTAATTTTGTAATTAATCGTAAAAATATACTTTAAGACATGAGCTGCAAAGGCTTAAAGACGAAGACAGTACAACAAAAGTCCAACGTGCAAATAGAAAATTTGTAAAATTTATTTACTTCCCCCTTCCTTGGCCGAACCGATCGCCTTGTTTGATCAATATATTAAGTTAATGAGCTAAACATAAGAGATGGAATATTATATATAAGCAAATATGCTAAAAAATGCATTAAAATTTTCTAGGAGCAATTATACGTTATAATTTATTATTCTTAAAGATAAATAGCTAGATTTTAGGAGGCATCGTAGGTTTCATTTTTGGCCATCGATTAAGAATGGGTTAATTTCCCCAAATTTTAGGAAATTTTAAGAATGGAGTTAGAATTTTAAAAAATTTCAAATGCTCGAAAGACAGCTCGAAAGAAGCCATAAAATTGACGAGCTTAAACAAGAAAGAGAATTACTCAAAGAAAAAATACGGTAAATCTCATATAGAGATGGAGCAATTCAAGCTATGATAGAAAAAGAAAAATTAAAAGAAATGGTTGCTTTAGTATCAAAATCCCCTGAATCCAAAGCTGCCAAAGACAAACTTATCGAGCTTAATTTACTCAAACAAAAAAGCCAAACTGACAGTGAATCCGAAGAAGACGTCCAATTTCAGCTTTCTATGCCTTAGTTCATTATATTAAAAATATCCATTTTTTAAATTTGGTCTCCTAGGATCTGTTCTGGTCGATTCAATTTTCGTCATTTGATAATTCAAAATTCCTTCCCTTGCTTTGATGCTTTGTATCCCCATATTTCTTTCTCTTTCCGATCTTGCTCTTTGCATTAACTGGAGTCCTTCTTTAAGTTTTTCTTCGCAATATGTCCCAGAAAAACTTAATTGGTTCATGCCAAGCGCGTTTAAAAATTTCCCATAAATATTTATACTGAAAAATAATAAAAAATAATATTTTTCATTAATAAGAAAAATACATAAGAATTCATATAATTTTGATATAAAATAATTCATAGCGCAAAAAACAATTAAAATCAATGGGAAAAAGGTAGAAAACTGTTTTCCCACTACTGGCACAATGTCAATGATTTTCATGAAATTAATAAAAACAGTGTTTTCTATTTTTAAAAATAACAAAAAATTATAGGAAAGTGGGGCTGTAAGTCTTGCCAAATAAAAAGCACTCCACGCCATACTACTTGAGTCTGTTTGGTTGTGAGGATAAAGGCCATACCAGCCAGGCAATTTCAAATTAAATAACCCAAATTTTGTGCAGAGTAAAATATATAGAAGTGGCAGCAAGCAAAGCAATTGTGTTTCAATAATACCATAATCTTCTTCAAACATTATTGGAAAGAGGCCTATTGGGTATTTTAAAAATAAAGTTGTCTCTCCAAGAATTACTAAAATACTCATAAATGTAAAGAATATTCCTAAAATTCTGCATAAAAATGGCTTTACTCGTGTAAGTCATAACCATTCAGATTTTTCTCGTTTTATAGAGAAGAGTCCTGATTTCTCTGAAGTAACTGAAGATTTTATTATTTTTTCTTGACTATTATGAGACGCGATAATATCTTCTAATAATAATGTTTCGTCTACAAGCTGACCCCATCTGCAGTTTGACCTTTTATATTCAGAAATTGTTTTCTTTAGTTCTTTATGCAGCTCTATTAATCTTTTTTCATTTAAAGTTCCTAATTGTTCAGTGGAATCCCTTGATTCATGGGTTTGCATTGTGCGGTGATGTTCAAGCATTTCAAGTGGGCATATAGATAATAGTATATCAAGAGGCCGCTGTAAAGTGGAATTTTCTTGGATTTTATATGAAGCTGTATTTACTAACTTCCCTATAAGGTAAAATCATTTTAAAAATTATATTTTAGTGAAGAGGTTTGTTTCTATAAAAAAAAATTATATATAATTACTATATTTAAATTATATTTTATTTTCGGAACTTTTCTTGATAATTTTAATATTATTTTTTAAAAAAAATTAACCCTTTTAAGATAGCTATATCTTAGGGAGAGGAGTAGGCGTATAATATCATCAAGTTTATACTTTACTTCAATAATTCCTTCATCCAAAATCGTTGCTTTTACATATAGATATTTCAAATAATCAGAGCTTTTTCCCGCGTACCAAAATGACTTCGGAATTGCAACTAAACCATATCCCAGCAAAACTATGACTAAAAATAACCCCCAGCAGTTGCTTACTCCTCTTCTTATATCAACAATTTTTTTTAGGCTATTTCATGGTTAATTTTGAGATAAGATGAATAAAAAGTAAATTTTCCCTAATTATTTATTTATTTATTTTACCAGGGAGTTAACACAATTAAAAAAATAGGCAAAGAATCGCTATATAGATTTTACATAGTAAGTTCATTTTCTACTAAAAGGTAAATCAAGCATATAAGCCCTGCTATAGCTTCAAGAAATAAACTTCTAAAATGACGATAAATTGCAGTCCTCAGCCTTGGCATAAAGGAAAATTCCCCAGCCATTTCATATTCTTGAATGACAGGAAGTATCAGTCTAATTTTAAAAATACCAGCATAGCACAAATACAGTTCAATAAACAACGCGCCAAACAATAAATAAAATAATCTGAATTATATTAAATTTGCGATAATTCTATATTAATTTCTATAATAAATCAAAAATTTTTAATAAAATTTAATTAATTATTATATATCTTGTTGTCCTTTTATTTCTGGAGTTTTTTCAGCTATAGCCTAGCTATTGTTTACAAGGTAAATATCATAAGGGATCAAAGCGACCAATCCAAATGGTAAAACGTATCCCAAATATACAAAAACGTAAACGTACATAGGTGTACCTTTTGAAGCATAGAAATATATGATAAATCCAGTGAAAATAAATACAATTGTAAGGCTAATCCAAGTAAACCAGTTTATCATTGTTTGGATTATTGATTATTACCATGTTAGTTTTATTTTAAAACTTTTTGTAAGTATTTTAATAACTCTCTTATTAGCAAGCAAGATTTGTTTGCGCTTGATTAAAAATCAATTTTTGAAAGTGAAAATTATAAAATTTATATTTTCAGGTATAAGCTTCTTAAAATTTAATAGAGTTCGATATATATCATTATTGAAATTTGTTAATTTTCTTTTAATTTTTTTTTTATAAAAAAGATATCTTTAATTTTTCAAAAAATTGTATCTTATATCTTTTTAGCTTACTAAGAAGTAAGGAAATAATTTTTATGCAAATCTTTATTCTTATTGACCGAAATGGCACTTTCTAATAAATCTTATTAAAACTCATAAATATTATTATTTTATAAGGAAAAATAAAAGAAATGTGTTATTTTAATAAATATTGCGGTTAATCATAACTTATAATGGCATTTCTTGGATCGAAAGCAAGGAGTATTCAGTATCTCTTGGCAATGAAAATGGATTTTGAGCAAGCGCCCGGAAGATTTTCTTTTCTTTAATATTTCCAACTAAAAATGGTTGCTGGGATAATGATTGTAGGGTTGCTGGAGCTAAAGAGTCCAAATCTAAAAAATGGTTCGGACAGTTGAAATTAAACGCAATAAAATGCCCTTCAGGGCTTGGAAAGAACAGTGCCATAGAGCCTTCACTAAAGCTTGTAAAAGAAATCATTGAAGAGCTTTTATTTCTTTCAAACTCTAAGTCCAGCTGTAATTTTGCAACAAAATTTTTTAAGGCAGCTGGCGTTTCACATGATATTCCAAGTTCTTGCAAAATTTTTATATAAGGCTCATTGCTTTTTTCTTTAATTTCAGCCTGCAATTTTTGGATATTTTCTTGTAGCTGCTGCTCTGCATTTGCTAAGTCTAACGCTTTTTTGGTCTGCGCAGCCACTTGCTGCTTCAAAACGGCATTTTCTTTGGTGATCCCTTTTAGATATTCTTTTAAGTCAAATAGCCCTTTATCAGTGTCCCTTATTACTTTTTCTTTTGCTTTTAAGTTTGCAGTTAATTTGGCAATGGCATCTTTATTATTTTCAAGTTCATTTCTAAGGGCTTCTTCTCGCTTTTTATAATTTTCTATTTCTTGATTTAGGTTATTTAAATCATTTACAGCGTTTTCATATTTTTGTGACAGCTTTTCATCAAATGATTCTGATGAATAAAGATGCATGTGAGGAAAATCGTCAATTGAAATATCAATTTCAGGCAGCTGCAAGTCAGGCTCATTCATAAATGAAACTATTCTTACACATGGAGCTGCGCTTAGCTGGGATACAAAATCATTAGGCAAAACGTGACGGTATTTGTTCAAAAAATTCAGTCGTTCTGAAATTTCTATTTCGGCTATTTTATTTATACTCTATAAAGGAATATATTTCAAAAATTAATTTTTATTAAAAAAAAATTTAATTTGTTTTATTAGGGTATAGCTGTTGCTGTAGCTCATTAGCTTTTTTTACAAACAATCTTCGCCTTGAAACTTCAATTAGACTTGCATTATAAGCTTCTGGTAACAGTCGTGGAACTTTTACGAACCCAAGCCTCTTTTCTGATCTTTTTAATAGAGACGAAAGCATATTAACCTGACTTTTGACGCTGTCTCTAATTTTTATTGACATCGTTGTTACCTGTTTCAAAATTGCCAAAATAAGGTCAGCAGCTTGCTTTCTAGCTTGTTTCAAGTTATTTAAAAACTGTTCTATCATAAAACTGTTCCTTTCAAGCTCCGCTACTTCATTTTCTGCATTTTTGGCTTTGCTTTCTCATTCCTCTTCATGAAGCCTTTCCCCAGCTGACGCATCTCCATCAGCTATATATTTTGCTGATAAATCTCGATACTCTCTATACAAATTTATTGCATTTTCTGCTGAAGCTGCATTAAGTTCAGGGATATCTGGATGAATAAATGGCTGTATTATATTTATTTTGAAATTTTCTGCCAATTGATCCATTCCGCCATTTACCTCTAAAAATTTGGCTTGCAGCCTGATAATTTCAGAGTAAAACTGTTCTTTTCATTTAGTTAGCTGCTGGAGATCCAAAATATCACTTAAGCATTTGCGCTCAGGTTTTTGCAGAGACGGATGAAGCTCAATTTGTTCTAGTTTGTTAACATTTTTGTCGAATAAATTTAATTCTTCTTGGGTAGCGTTAAAATGATTTTCAAATCTATTGTATAATTGCCGATAAGAAAGGATTTGGGTTTGGATATATTTATTGTGATAAATTTCGAGAACTCCAGCTGAATTTTCACAGATATTTATTTCTTTTTCGATCCTATACTTAAATTCATTTGCTGAGGAAATTAAATCTGTTAGCTTGATAGCCCTTTCGGCTAGCTTATGAAGTTTTCTTTCTAATATTAAGACTCCTCTTTCTTCACCTTGGAGACAAGGCCCAATTGTGTTTTTAAGAGGATTTATGTCAAGATTTATAGGGAGTTTGTCTTTTTTAATATAATAATTTATAGCATATAAGTATTAATTTTTTATTTATTTAAAAAAAATAAAGAATTTATTAGAAAAGGATAGCTTCTTTAGAAAAAGCGTATATAATAGCATTAGGCTGAAGATTAGACTTTTTGTCTTTTAAGCTGACACCATCTTCTGATAGTAATATTTGAAATTCAGGCTGGACGCCTACTGAAGAATATAAAACTTCTTGAATTTCTTCTATAGCTCTTTCTTCGCTTATGGCCAATTCAAATTCTTGCCCTGTTTCTGCATACCTGACTATGACTTTCATTGAAATAAAATAATATTGCTGATATTGAAAAAATTGGTGAAAAATGCAAAAATTAAAGGATAACTAAAATTGCTTAAACAATGTAAATTTAAACTTAAATAAACAGCAGAATACATTTGGAAAAATGGGATCTAAATTATTAGGGAATTTACTATAATTTTTTATTTTAATAGCAAATGACTAGGAATCATAAAAAATATCATAAACCTTTTTTGATGACCAAGCAACAAATAAAAAAATTAATTTTCTTTAGAATTCTTTTAAATTGCATAATAAATATGAAATTCAAAAATATCGTTACTTTTTGTTTTATATTGAACTGTCTCTTGCTACAATATTTCACAAAAAATCAAGACTCTGGTAAGCCTTCAACACTTGAAGATACCATAAATACCAGCTATAAGTCATCTTCAAGCTGATTTAATTTGCAATTCAATTCTTCATATCAGGAAATATCTGAAAATATTGTAAATGAAAATAATTATTGTCGAAAAGTCAAAAATTATCAATCTATACAAGATATATCCTTAAATAAGCAAAAACTCCCAACTGAGGACCACAGATACATTTTTTCTGATTATCCTGATCATTCACTAGTCCACCAAACTTTTAGTGTAATCGCAAGACCAATTCTCCACCAAAAGTCATCCAAAACTACATTAGACCCAAAAATAAATTTATTTTTCCAAGTAAATCCTTTATGACATGAACTTCATAAAATGGAAACTCATTTCCTTTGTGAAGGCCAGAGATATAATCATATCCCAGGAAGTATAAATTTAAACTTTAAAGATGAAATTGCAAATTCTTTTACTCCCCCTCAGTGAGCAAACAAAATCATTGGAAAAATCCCTATTTTTTGCCCAAAAACCTAGAACAAAGAAAAAAATATTGATATATAAGTGATAATTATTATAATAAAAATTCTAGCTAATTCCGTTTAATTTTAGACAGCTTGTATTTTAAAAAAAAAAAAACCTCTCTGTGATACACAACAAAATTGTTTTGTTCAACAATGGAGGGGGGAGTTAGAAAATATAAAGAATATTATAAAGGAAGGGAAAAATGCTTCGAACCTTGGAAAGCAACTCCGTATACTCTTGATCTGAGTGCAAAAGAACAATGTTTGGAATTTGTGGAAAGCATTAAAAATGGGAAGAGAAATGAATGAATGTACAAGAAAGCTAGATATAGTCATAGGAGATTAGATTAGTGATGTCTCTTTATAGTCCTCAATTCCTGGATGCCAGTGTTCTGCAGCGACCGCTACCTCAAGGCAACTAGCAACTAGAGCCCGGGCCGAAAACCCCCAGTTTCTAGGTAAAAGACATTCCTTCATGATCTGCATAGCACGAATTTTTCCGGAACCTCTATTTCCAATCCAAGAGCCAGCATTAGCCAACCCTGTTTATTCCTGCCAGATCGCCCCTTTTGATCTGAGCACTTATAAACTGGAGAGATTTTACGCCCTTGAGATCTTCGTCAAGCCTCGCCTTCCTCTCTTCCCGGATTATCTCCGGAAAAGAGCTAAAAAACCAATGATATTCTGGGTGAATCCACCAAACAGCCTAGGCAGGCAATCCAGCCTGCCTCTTTCAGACACCCAACCTTGGCTTCGCTTGGGCCAGGCCACAAATCACCAGAAGTTATGCTGAGCTTCTTGTCTCGAGGCTAACCCAACCCTTGAGTAACTCTCTAACCAAAACACCACTCCAGATATGCATAATGACACCCATCACTGGGAGGGCAGGCAACTCATTACCGTCCATTTTATATACATTAGATATAGTCATAATGGGGATTCTGTAGCAATAGTTTCGGATGCTGTTGCAAATGAATTGATAAATTATTACGAAAAAGAGTCACCATGTCCTGACAATGAAAAATTTATAGCACAAAAATATATTTCAAATCCATTGCTGCTAAACGGAAGAAAATTTGATTTTAGGGTTTTTATGTTTATTATCTCAATGGATCCTCTTATGATTCTTTATAGAGATGGGACCTTAAGAATTACTTTAGAAAAATATAGAAAAGACTCCACAAATTTTGAAAATTATTTAACAAATTCTCATATAGCTGACTTATAATGGTTTAAATTCCATTAATTCTTATTAAACAGCCAAGCAAATTCTTATTTTTTATAGTAATTAGAGTACTTACTTTGCAAATTTTTTTCAATTTTTCCAATTCAGTATATTTATCCTCAGTTAACTTAACTGAAAATGAATATGAAGAAAAAATGAAAGACAGAAACATAAATTTCAGCAAATTCGAAGAAATTATGAAAAATGAAAGAAAAGTACCAGATAATTGGATTAATGACAGCTTTCGATATTCTATTAAAAGAACTATGCTACATATGGTTCGGATGAATCTTGATAAACTTTTAAGTCATCCAAGGGTTTTTGAATTTTTTGGGCTCGACTTTATGCTCGATGACGATTTAAATGCGTGGTTTATTGAACTGAATTTAAGTCCACAAATAGGAACAACTAGTAAAGAAAAAAATAAGATTTATATGAAAATTATTCAAGATATTTTAGATATTGAATATGCAATATTATATAAAGCAGATTTAGACGAAGTTATTAATAAAACTGCATTTCAATGGGTTTATGATGGAAGGAAAACAGGATTAGACAGATATCATGGCCTCTTAACTGAAGAATGCTTATAATTATTGTTTAAAACTTTATTTAATCTTTAAAATTTCATCACCACACAAAAACCTGCTCCAAATATCAGAGTACCTTGCAGCTTCTTCAGCATCTTTTTCTATCACATAAATTCTTCCGCATTCCTGGTTCAAAAATCCCCAAGGGATTTCTTCGTTTTTAAATCCTTGCAAATCAAAGAAAATCCTAAATTCTTCATTAATTTCATTTTTTTCATTTAATTCTTTAAGCTGTTGATAAATGCCTTTTCAGCTAAAAGGAAATTGCTCAGTGCTTATTAAGACCCAGTTTCCTTCTTTTGCACTTGAAAAAATCAGCTCATAAGTAGCAGGGTCACTATCAATTTTGTTTTCATCATGGCTGAGTTTTCTAATTACTTCTAGGCCAACATTATGGTTGTTGGCTAATGAGCAGAGCATATTAATAATATTTACTCCTGGAAGTGAGTGTATTGCAATTGGTAGCTTCCAATTACCGATTTTTATTAAGTTTTCTAGAGTCATTTTAGTATCATGTAAATCAGAAATAAAGTTCAGCCTTTCATTAATAAAATCTTTTACTTTCCCTTTGCTTACTCCCCCCCCCCCCTCCGTGAGCGAACAAAACCATTAGAAAAATCGCTATTTTTTGACCAAAAACCCACCCTCCGTGAGTGAAACAAAAATTTTTTTAATAGAAAAAATTTTAATGGAAAAAAATTTTGATATATAAGTGATAATTAGTATAATGAAATCTAGAGCTAATTCTGTTTAATTTTAAACAAATTGCGTTTTAAAACATAAATTTTGCAAATTAAATTAATATTTGCTTCCCAATTTTTGCAAATTAGGATTTTTTTTAAATTTCGAAAAAAATATTTTTTATAAAATTTATATATAAATTTTTTTTAAAAAAAAAAAAAATTAACCCCCCTCCGTGAGCGAACAAAATTTTTTTGTTCGCTCACGGAGGGGGGGGGGAGGAGTTAGCAAGAAAAAGCATCCAAGGGGCTGAATTTTTTAAGATTTTATAGGAAAAAAATTTTCGATTTTAAGGATCAGATTTGTAAAAATGCGAACTAAAATTTAATTTATATAAAAATTATGTTTTAGAATGCAGCTCTGAAATTTATTATAATTCGCTTGATATTTAATTATTATATAATTATTATTAAAATATAGTTTGCACCAAAAATTTATGCTATACTCACTAAAAAAACGAGACTTTTTTTCTCAAAATAGCGACTTTGCTTCTAATTAAAGGGAAGTTAGAAGATTTTTTGTTTTATTGTCAGGTGATTTTAAAGATACCAAAATTCTGAGTAATGTAGGAATTTCACTATAATGGGAGTTAAAAAGCACAGTCATCATTTTTGAGACTTCTTCGCTGTTAGCTTGATTTAATTTTTCTTTTAGATTTTTTTCATAATCTAGAGAAATTTCATTAGTTTCTGCTTCTGATTTTTCTAGTTTTTGTGGTTTTGCTTCTTTTACTATGGTTCCCATCTGTAAATTTTCTTTAGTATTTCAAAATTTCTTTTCAAATTCATCAAGTTCTTTATCTTTAATCTGTCCTTGTGCCAATCCGACATAAATCGCATATATGAGCGAAAATAATGACGAGAATTCTTCTTTTATGCCAGCATAAAAATATAAAAACAGCTGTGGCATTATGAATTTTTTGAGGCATTTTTCTAGGTTAATAATCAATGGAAATTGCTGCATAAAGCTTAAATAGTCTTCTTGAGCTAGGTAAAACCTCTGAATCGATTCATCGCTGGCTTTAATGACATTTAAAAGGTCCATATAATGATCATAGTCCTGCAACAAATTAATATCGCACAGTGTCAGCTCAGTTTTTTTCCTTTTTTTCCTTTCTTTCATATCAGCTTTTAGAATTCTCATATTTTCTTTTCGATCATCTAAATCTTTATAATGCTTAGGCAGCAAATTTTTTATGAGAATTTCACTTATTTCATCATACGCCCTTCCTAAATTTATAGGAAAAAAGAATAAATTTTTTAAATGAAAGTATTTTTATGATTTCTATTTAATTTTGGGCTATTTTTTGTATTTTTAACTAAATATAGTATATATCATGGCCAAACCAATAATTTGATGACAATTTCATCAAATTCTGTGAGTCAGAGACCGAAAAATTCCCAAATTTCACATCACTTTTTGAAGGTTCTAGATTTATAAACTTCGAATAATATTTAAAAATCTTCAACTGCGAGCTAAATGAGCTATCCTGCCATCTTTCGTCAGCAAAAATTTCTCTAGCTTCTAAATTCCTAAAAATAGAAGCCCATTCTTGCACTCTTTGAGCAATATTTAAATGCCCAAAGTACTCAGAATTGCAAGTAAAAATTAAACAATCGCCAACCAATTTTTTCTCAATTTCTTCAACGATATTAAGCTTGTTTCTTGCTTTTGTGTTTAATTCAGTCACAGCTGCGATTAAATTGTCAGTTCTTATATGGGTGACTTCGCTGGTTTTTAATTTTTCTTTTCTTTTAGTTAATTCGCTTGAGAACAGTCTTTCTCTGTCTATGCATCTGCGAAGCTCTCTTTCTATGTCTAAAATATACTTTTGTGCGTAGGTAATAGAGACATTATTATTAGCAATTTCGTTTTTCAGTTCATCAGTTCTGGCTATTTGGGGCTGCAATAGCTGTAAAACTTGGTTTCTTTGAAGGATTGAATCTAAATAGTCATATAAAGACATCATAAATGGATCTCTGTAGGTTTTCTTTTCAACCTTACTTACATATTCACTGAGCACATTTAAAACCCTTCGTGATAACTGTCCTTCATGCTTGTTTCTTAAAGAACCAATAAGTGATGAAGGCTGCTCAAAAATTTCTATGTTGATTTATAATAAATAATTTTGTTTTAAAAAAATATGTTATAATATCTTTATAGAGGTTAAATTGCATAATAAATTTCCTTCTTCATCTTTTCCTATTATTGCAGCCAAAATGTGAAAAAGCCTTACATTTTTTTCATCATTGGCTTTAAAAAAATCTTGAATATAGCTTGTTTGCTGTAAATAAGGAACTAGTGCATTGAAAGTCTGTTCTAGTCTCATATCTTTTGAAGCCACAATTTCTTCATTTTCTTTCTGTAAATGTTCTAATTCAGACTGTAAAGCAGCATTTAGTCTTTCTTTTTCTTCAATCAGCTCTTGCTTTTGTGCCTGAGATTTTCTTAGTTTTTCTATTTGCCCACGGGTAAGATTGATATTTGAAGAGGTTTTCATTGAATGCTCTTGTAAAAACGACATATTATTGCCAAGCTGCTCATGCATAGACTGGAAAATTTTTGTTTTTTCCAGGACTTTTTCTAGGTTTGATCTATATTTTTTAATCTTTTCTTGAGCTTGATAATACATGTTACAAAAATTATCAATAAAATCCACCAGTCTTTTAGTGCAAATAAAATTATCCAGATCTGGCCTTTCGCTGGCATCAACAAATTCATTTCTTTCATATGAGCCTTTTGCGTGCATAAACAGTTCTGTCATAACTTCTGCAAGCCCTACGTCTTCAATGCCTCTTATTTTTAAATAATTTTCAGCCATATGTGAAAGTTCTCCATAGTCTGGCTGAGAATATTCAATAATAATTTCACATCTATCACTAAGCTTGGGATATCGTAATAAAAAAGTTTTGTATTCTTCTAATGAAGAAATCTGAATAATTATATGAAAATATTTTTTTAAAAATTTCAGCACAATTAGGATAGGATTTTCATCGGAATTTAAAATTTTGGAGCGGAATAATTTGTCTTGGCTTATATTTGAAAGTTTATCTAGAAATCCTGCTGAGAAAAGGCTGATATCTTGTAAATCTGAAATAATAAACCAATTTAATAGGTCAAGATAAGATTCGTATTTTGATGGAGAAATTTGGAATAAAAATACACATTGGGTTTGTTCAGAATTTTTCATTTTTTCAAAAATAGTTAAAATTGATTCTTCGAATTTTGCTTGAAAGTCAGTAAAATCTCTATCGATTTCAATAATTCTGCATTGTTTTAATATACAAGCGGCTTGGACACATTCATATGCACCGTTACCTGAAGGAGTAAGATTGGATTATTAAAGGCAGTGCTAGCCATATTGTGACGCAGCTACCAAAGACCTCTCGCACAGAGGTTTATCTAATTTGAGATAAATTTCCTAGTAAGCCTAGTCGTAACTGGTGCATTTGTCACCTCCTTGCATTGAGGCTTCAGTCTTGAATGGGCAGCTTATGGATTTCTGTGACCTACAATGGATGATTAAGAGCAACTTGTTTTCAGGGATTAGCTCTTTGAAGTCTATCAGCGCAAAAGTGCCTTCATTTGGCAGTTATAGTAATTCCTATGGTTCAGCTGAACCCCCAACTTCTTGGTAAATTGCTGAGCATCTCCATTTCTAGTTGCAGGAAAGCAGCCAAAACCTACCTAATAAACATTTGCTAAGGCTGGACTTGTTTCTCGGCTTTCAAATCCGTTCCAGTTTGCCGTTACTTTAAGATGTGGACTGTGGTACCAAGAGTGCAAGCTGGCACGTCGTCATTTAATATATATCAGTTACCTGCAGGAATTTGCAGAATCCCATGCAGTCCTTCTTCTTGTATTATTCTACAAATAGCCCAAATTCTTTCAATAGCAGAAGGGTATAAGCAGTAAGCCACAATTGACAAAAACTTTTTTTCAGTCATCCCTGGGTACTTATTGATCTTTTCTATAATTATATTTTGGATATTCTCTATATCTGCTACTAATTTTCTCGAGTACACAAAACTAGAATTATATTTTTGATTCTCAGAAATATAATCCCCATACAGCAGCCCTGCCTGCATTTTGTTAACTTTTAGTTTATTGCTAATATGCTCTGAAATTTTTAAGTCGAACTCTTTTTTGTCTTTAATAGAATCTTTAAATCCTCTTTTGAGCTCATAAGCCAGCATTTCGGCGACTCTGTCTTCTTCTTTTAGCTCATTTCCTTCACTTCATTCGCAGTTTTTCGAAAAATATAAAAAACTTTTGAAATTTTTAATTACCCTCATAAAGCTAAAATTATCAGAAAAATCTTTTTTCATATGACAAATAATGCTGATAATAATTTTCAAATATCTATGCACTAAGATTTCTACAGAGTTTTTTCTCTGAAATACACAATTTACTAAAATTTGTTTAAAAATATGGGTATTAGGGGCTTCAAGGAAAATTTTGTGAATATTTGAGTCAAGTGATAAAGATTCTAAGTTTTGTGGCTGACAAGTGGTAATGAAATCTGCAGATTTTATATGAATAAAATCTAGGTCTTCTGGCTCAAAAAATCCTTCATGTTTGGCCCAATATTTTAGATCTTCCAAAATATTTTTTTTATAATTTTCGTCTAAATGGACATCTTCTATAACTAAAAGTAATTTTCTATCAAAACCTTTTTTATTTACTAGATTTAGCACTGAGCTGTGTAGATGGGTAACAGACAGATGTGGGGTAACTGTTTGGACAGTTGTACTGTAATTTTCAATGTTTATATTAGAAATATATTGAGCAAGAGAAGTCTTTCCTGATCCTGATTCTCCTATGAGTTGTATATATTTTTGGGTATTTAAAGAATTTTCTACTAGGATTATGCTGTTTAGTAGAAAAGCTGACCTTGTTAATTCCAGAGAAGGAATCATAATATAAAGTGATGGGGAAAGCGAATTTTGTGCTAAAGGAGCCTCACTGAAGGTATGAAAAGAAATATCAGTCCAGTCAATAAAAATATTGAAAATGTCTGAATTTTCTGGAAATTTGTATTTGAAGCTTGAATTAGCGATGTGTTTATGTATTATTGTTGAAAATTTTGATTTATCATCCGAGTTTAAGCAGGCCCCAAAAGACCAAATTAAAGTATAAATCATCCCAATTTCTATTCTTGAATAATACTCTATTAATATTGGTTTAGTGGAAGCATTTTTTATCGCATACTGTTCTAGCTCTACATCTGAAGGAGAATACATCCCTTCTTCTTCTCCAACAGCTACAAATGCTTGGGTTACCATAACTTCCATTACCATTTGAAATATCCTTACAAATGATAGAGAAAGAACCTTTGAATTTCACCCTGGATTCTCTGAAAAACATACTTCAATATTTTCTATCATTTTTTTGATTTTTGTGGAAAAAATTTCTATAATAAATTTAGGGTGTAATCCGTATTTTAAATATTTTTGGCATATTGATTTTAAAGAAAATATACAAATATCACAAGAGGTAAGAGATTTTTCTTCGAAAAAATAAATGCCTACTTTGTTAAGAAATGAAGGAGACATAGAAGAGATTTCAGTTGTCTGATAGATAATTGACATATTTTTTGGAAATTGGAGATTTGTCATATTTGGAAATGCTAAAATATCAGTTTTTGCAGAAAGCAAAGACTTGGAAGATGGCAAAAAATCAGACAAATCTAAAGACTGAAAATCGTTCAAATTTGTTAAAGAGTTTTCAAATAATGGTAAAAACAATTCAGCCCATCATGATTGCATATATTTTGCGTCAAGTATCAGCCAATGAAATCTGGAGTCACTTTGCAAAGCTTCTTCACAAATTTTAGATAAAATCCCTTCTTTTGGATTTTGCTGAGGCTCCATTGATCCAAATAGCTGTTTTTCAGTAAAAGTATTTGGGTTTATTTCTATTTGATTAATTTCAAAATTATATACATTTTTAAGAATTTTTGCAACTAATTCAAGCATGGTAGATTTCCCAGTTGTATTTGGACCTAGAATGATAAATCCACGGTTTATTCTTAGTCCGTAATATATATCTTCGCATTTTTTTAGCTGCAAGTCTGATAAATTTAATCCCATTTCTTCTGCACTTTTTCCTATCAATTTTCTAAGCTCAGGCATCTCAAATCCTGTTTTTTGTCTCCTTCTAAAAACCATTCCTACAGTGTCGTCAATATTTTCTAAAATTTCATAGGTCTTTTCTTTAGTAATTTTAGGTCCTATATTATTCGCAGAAATTATTTTATTTGAAAAAAATAATTTTGCGGCATTTGCTAATGCTGAAATTTCTCTGGATTCTATATCAGTTTCAGTTTGGTTTATCATTTTTTTAGCGATAATTATTATATAAACCTTTAAATAAATTAAATAGAGGCTTATTATAGTGATTTCTTATTTTCAAAAAAATATGATAATTCGCCTTATTAATATTAAAATAAAATAATTTGTTATATTATATAATGAGTAGATTTAATTTTAATATTTTACGATTAAAGGGCAAGAAAATTAGCATTAAATCAATTCCTAATAAATTTAATTTAATATAGTATACTCATGATAGCTTTCACTGATACAGAAATATTAGGATCTATTTTTTCCATTAGTATTTTTATAAGATTTTTCATTAATGTACTTACTCCCCCCCCCTCCGTGAGTGAACAAAATCATTAGAAAAATCGCTATTTTTTGACCAAAAACCCACCCTCCGTGAGTGAACAAAAATTTTTTTTAATAGAAATATTTTTTGATAGAAAAAATTTTTGATATATAAATGATAATTAGTATAATGAAATCTAGAGCTAGTTCTATTTAATTTTAAACGAATTGCTTTTTAAAACATAAATTTTATAAATTAAATTAATATTTGCTTTCCAATTTTTACGAATTAGGATTTTTTTAAATTTCGAAAAAAATATTTTTTATAAAATTTATATATAAATTTTTTTTTAAAAAAAAAAAATTAACCCCCCTCCGTGAGTGAACAAAATTTTTTTGTTCACTCACGGAGGGGGGGGGGGGAGTTAGAGTGTCTATACTTTTGAACCCTTCTTGAATTAAAAGAATCTGCACTATAAATTTCACGTCAGGCTTTATAATTTCAATGGATCTAAAAGAGAGCTGTAAACAGGATAGCAAAGCTTTATCTTGGCGGTATTGCAATGGAGAAATAGAAAACATAGCTGCAAATTTATAATTATAATTTTTAATTGTATTTGAGGCTATAAATTGCTGCCTCACCATTTGGACTTCTTTTGTTAAAATTTGTAAATTGTGGAGACTGAGATTATCCAGGTGCTCGAAAACAATTCATATGCCAGAGTGAGCAGCCCCATTAAGCCTTTTTAGAAGCATAGTCATAGAAGTATTGCTGTTGATATAAACTTTTGAGCTTGCAATTCCACAAAGATTTGAGAACTCTTCAAAAATATCAAAAGCTGAATCAACGCATGGGCTAGTTTTAAATAAAACTAATGATAATTCTCTAAGAGCACTGCTTATAAATACAAAATATCTAGTTGTTAAAGGTGAATAAAGTAGCCTATATGAGCTTCCTAAATATTCATTTTCTTGAAGAATACTTGTCTCTCCACACTCCAATTCAACTTTATTTACAGAAGGCTTCCAATATGCTCTGAAAATTTTTTTCCACTCAAAATCGCCTTTTGAGTAAATTTTTTTCAGTAAAAGAGAATTTACTATATCTGATTGATAATTTAAATAATAAATCACTGACCTTAAGCACATTATTTGATATGAGTTAATGCTTTGATTTGAATTTAAACTTTTTGCAATCTGACTTATCCAAAACTGCAGTCTTGTATATAAGCCTTTATAGCCTTTAGACTGAAGCTCTTTTTTAAGCGCTTCTTTATCAATAGATTGGCTATTTGTAAAAAAAGATCTGGTGAATTTTTCGTCAATTTCTTCATTGGGGATTTCAATTTCATTATCACTCGAATCAGAGCCTTTTTGGTTTTGGTAGTCTTTCATAATTTCAGTAATTTCACTTGTAACCACAAGCATTAAAGCAGTAAAAACTGTTTGTTGGGGGAAATCCAAAATTCATTCATCTAAACTTTGTTTAGAAAAATAAGACACTGTATCTTTTACCATATTTCCTAAAGTGCTTTTCATTTCTTTTTCAACTTCTAATAGCCATGCTTCCACACTTCCAACAATACTAACAGATTTTTCAAAAAATAAAATTTCTCCATTAAACCCTTCAATACCCATAATTTCATACAAAAATTTTCCTTGATTCACATTTTTCATGCATTTTTCTTTCAGTTTTTGTTTTGCTGTTATAAAATTTCTATTTCCTTCACTTTGAGTATCATCAGCTTTTAAATCGCTTACTCCCCCCCCCCCCTCCGTGAGCGAACAAAAAAATTTTGTTCACTCACGGAGGGGGGTTAATTTTTTTTTTTTAAAAAAAATTTATATATAAATTTTATAAAAAATATTTTTTTCGAAATTTAAAAAAATCCTAATTTGCAAAAATTGGGAAGCAAATATTAATTTAATTTGCAAAATTTATGTTTTAAAACGCAATTTGTTTAAAAATTAAACAGAATTAGCTCTAGATTTCATTATACTAATTATCACTTATATATCAAAATTTTTTTCATTTAAAATTTTTTCTATTAAAAAAATTTTTGTTCACTCACGGAGGGTGGGTTTTTGGTCAAAAAATAGCGATTTTTCTAATGGTTTTGTTCGCTCACGGAGGGGGGGGGGGAGTTAGAAAATCATCAATTTCATCTTTATTTTCTAAATCAGAAGAACTCAGCTCAAATTCAAATTCTTCAGCACTAGCTGCTTCTTCATAACTAAATTTTTTAATTAGAAATTTAGAACCTCCTGGAAACAAAAATGATAAATATTTATCAAATTGTTGCTCTGTATGGACATATGATAAAAATTGCAAAAGCTGTGGATCAGATAAAAAGAAAAATCTAGGAAATGTATAGCAAAAAATAAAAAAAAAAAAAAAAATTAATTTTAAATGGAGGATATACAAATTTAAGGAAAATAGAATAAATCTGTGACTGTCTAAGAAGCCTTTAATATTTTTTTTCAAATTTGAAATTCCTTCAAGTATTTTTTCAAAAAGCTTATCCCTGCCAGGTAAAAGCAAATTATAAGTAGCTTTCGTATTTTGCTGAGCTGCCCACACAAGTCTTTTTAAATTAGTTTGCATTTCTTTAAACGCCTCAATTTCACTAGAAGTTGTATTTCCCATATGTTCTGAATTAAACATAGGCTCAAGCTGCAGCCACGAATTCTGACAAGACTCCCACAAATCCAAGACGTGCTTCATTTGAGTAAGTTTTACTTTCCAGTCTTCTATTTCTGCTTGGATATGTGACGTATTCATAGCTTGCTCAATGTTTTCTATAGTAATAATATGCTCTTCTATCCAGTTTTCTATTTCTTTTACATTAGCTAACACATGCATGCTGCTTCCATTTTTCGATTCTTCAAATGAAAGCTCCATGGAGTCCCAAATGGTTTTTATTGAAATTAAATTGGCTTCACATTTGGACTCTTCATAAGCATCTTCTAAAATATTTTTTATTTTGGGGATATATTTAATCAGGCCTACTTCTGTGAGGTCTTGTAATTTAAATGCAAAATTTAAGAGTTCAGGCTTTTTTATGACTTTTAATATCATTTCTCAGTGTCTAGGCTTTAAAGAGTCACTTTTTAAATCTAATAGTAGGCTTGATATAGAGGTCAAGCTGCTGATTTCTTCGGTGACTAATTTAAGAGCTCGCTCTGCTGCTTTTGGGAATTTTTTGCTTTCAAAATAGCCATCGCCAAGCCTTTTGCTGATTTTTTCAGCTTTTATGCACATTTTTTTGACGTCAAGATTTTCAAAAGTAGTCAGCATCCATTTTTCTAAATGTTTTCGCCAATAATTGGTCAGTTTTCACAGCTTTAAAGTATCACAATGCAGTAAAAATAGAGCATCAAATTTTTTTCTGCAGACAGTTTGCTTTATTGTAAGGTCTTTTGGCTTAAGTTTAATTAAAGCTGAGCTAAAAGTTTCTATCATCTCTACCCTTTGCTTCATAGTAGCCAGTGCTTCTTCTCTTTTTGTCAGCTCTTTTAACGTTAAATCAGGCTGATCAAGCCTATCTATGTCTTGCAGATATCTTTGTATATAATTTTGTTCAAATTTTTTTATACTTTTTTATTAAATACCGTTTTTTGATATTTTTAAAAAATAAATAGGTATAATCATGCCAATAGGAATATTTTTTTAGCTAATTTTGCAGACCCAGCATTCATTTGGTCCTCAAACAGGTTTCCATATTCCTGATAATGCTGCTCTGCTTTTATTATCTGTACTGGAATAATTTTTATTATTGACTTAATTTCATCAATTGCTACCACTGTATTTGCTGGGATCCTCACTTTTTCTTTTCTACACAAATTTGAGCATTCATTAATAAACATCAGCCTTTTTTCCCAATTTTGTAGCTTAGTTTCTTTAATAGATGTCGTCGCATTTACTTGTTCAGCAAACTGTGGAAGAGACGCAGCTTTATCCTCAAGGATTTTATGAAAAGAAAAAATTTCAGTTTTTAAGTCTGAGGACTCATGGGAAATTATTTCTAATAATCGTTCTTTTAAAGAAGAAATCACGAGTTTTGGGATTTCTTGGAGATGGGCTTTTATTGTAGCAGTTTCTACTGAAATCATTCCAGAAACTGTGCTTAAAACAGAAATTTCTTCAATTTGTTGAGTCCCCTCCTCGAAGTTCGACCAAGATTTTTTTTGGTCGAACTTCGAGGGGGTTAAGAAAAATTTTTTTAAAAAAAATTATATAGAATTTTTTTTATATAATTTAGTAGTTAAAACAAAAAATTTATCATATTCTTCTGTATGGTTGAGAGGGTGTGTAAGGGTTAGAAAAAATAGTGCAAGATGGTTTTGTAACGCTTTTTTAGAGCTTGAATACAAAAATCGCAAGCTCACCCCCACATAGTTTAAAATTTTTGAAAAATTGCTTATTTTCCTAGTAAATTTATATAGGTCTTGGTCGAGCTTTGAGGGGGGTTAATTTTCCAAAAAAATAGGAATTTTCCCTATATCTTGGTCGAACTTCGAGGGGGGGGGAGTGAGAAAAAGTTATTAAACTGTTCAAAATTTTCTTTATAAAAGGAAACGACGTCGAAATTCTTGTCTTTTAACTGAACTACCCATTTTTCTCCAACAGTCTTAATCTGCTCCAAATGAAGGTATAAGTGTTTTTCCTATATAGCCCGATAAGGGCCGTGGGTTCTTCGTGGAATCTCTCTGCTGGTTGAACTAACCAGTGAATTGGTCAAACCAACGCACAGAGTTGGTTTGACCAACATAGGGATTCCACGGAGAGCCCACGGCCCTTATCGGACCATATAGGGAAAACCCCTATAGTTCCCAATTGTCTTTTGAGAAGCTTTCATATCTTTGTCAATTTCCTTTTCTAAATTTTCATGACATTTTTTTACCAATCCTTTATGTTCTAAAATTTCATTAATAAATACATTATAGCTCATTTTAATAGGCTTTTGGAGCTTGAAAGAGCTTAAAATGACTGATTGGGTATGGATAATTTGCCGATTAGTAAAAATTGATAATATAAAATTTTGTATTGAGCCTAAAATTATTTCTTTCAAAATAGCAAGCTCAGGGTCGACGTTTAAATTTTGTTTTATGACCATAATAACTTCGAATCTTGGCTTTCTTGGGCCACACATTTTGGCAGCAAATTGTAAGCTTGTTTCTTCTATCATTTCTATGACTGAGTTAAAATAGGAAAGTCTTACATAGTGTTTAGTCTTGCTTATAGTAGGGTATCATTAAGAGGTAGCTCTATCCTAGGAGCTAGTCCTTAGTTTAGGCGGGTTTATGCCAGATAGGCAGACTAGTGGGCTATCCGCTTACCCTTATAAATATTAACTTTACATAGTGCAAAAAACCATCAATAAGTTTGCCTTGCAGCTTTATGTTTTCTTCACGAATATCCTTGCTATTTTTCTTTTTTGAGCTGATCCCTATAAAAGTGTCTTTTTTGCCTTCAAGTTTTTCTGTGATTTGGCGGTCTACGAAATCTTCTCTTTCTTTTGCTTGGATTTTCGAGAGTTCTTCTGAATTCATTGTGACTATATCAGAAATCCCTGTGCTTTCTCTGTCAAAAATTCGGCCATTTTCATTAATACAAGCTTGCTGCCTTGAGCTGAATTCTATATGCCGTTTTCCATAGATATTGCCTTCTTTTATTTCAACCCCTACTATTTCAGCGATTTTTGTTAAATGTCCTTTTAAACGCTGATAATTTTTAGCAAAAAATTTTCTTGATGCCCAAAAATTATTTATTAATTCTTCTCTTTTCCTTTCAAAATTTGCCTTTCTCGTCTCTTTCAGCCATTTTGCTAGATTTTTTCTTTTATTAAAATTCATAACAAATGGCAGTTTAGAAAAAACGTCCTTAAAGTAGCTTTCCATAATAAAATCCTTTTTCGATACCCATTTAGATGGTGCGTTTTTTTCTTTTGGTATTTCAAATAACCCGTGATTTGTCACGATTGTTGTTCCTGATGGGTCATCTGGAGGGCTTTCAAATGGTTTTAAAATAATTTTATTATCTTGAAATTGCTTTTCTACAGCAATAGGCATTGAGTTTTTTTTCTGAATTTGCATTATAAGCTCTGCTATTTGTTCCCTAGGATTTGGGATCTCAGCTATGGCTTTTTTATCTCCAAATGAATTTTTCGAAATTTGCAGTTGCTGAGATCTGGGAGTTGGCTGAATGCTTGATCTTGGGGTTGAAAGATTTGAAATTCTATTGGATTGTACAAGTTTTGGGGATTTTGATCTGGATTTTCTTAATTCGCCTGAGATTTTCAATTGTCTTGAATTTCCTTCATATCTTGATGAGATTTCTAATTTTTCAGATGGCGGTTTAGGAATTGATTTATTTGAGGATGGCAAATTTATGGGGAGTTCTTTATCAAGCTTCCCTTCAGAACTTCCATTTGAGTTGTGACTGGAATGCCTTGTAAGAAAAGGAAGAATTAGTTTTCTATTTTCCATAGTAATAAATATATTAAATCCAGATTAGGGAATTAATAATACTGGGGGATTGAAATTTTCTGTAGCAGGTCTTTTGGTTGAAGATTTTTCCTTTTCTTCTTGGAGAGATTTTTATTATTTTGAGACATTGATTTAGCAAAAATAATTATATTTATTGTTGAGAAAAAAGAGGAGTGAATAGTAATTAGGAAATGTCTGCAGAGGAGGAAAATTTTAGCAAATTTTCTTGCTTAGATGTTTAAGAGTAAATTTAATTATAAAATGCATGATACCTAATATAGTATTTTGACTAACTACTAGGGCTTATTTGTTTTGCATATAAATGCTCTTCTTAATTGAAAAATCAAATAAAAGTGAAATGTGATTTAAATTAAGCATATTTTTTAATATATAAAATTTATGCTTTCGTTAACATTTAAATGAATTAGCCATAAAATGCTTTTTAATCAGGATTTTTACAATTGCTTTACTAACTCATGAATGCGAGGGGTTAAGGAAAATTTAATTCAAATATAATATTTAATTATAAAATTAATATAAATTAATTATTACTGTCTTAATAATTCTAACGAAAAAGAAATATTTTTTACCACAATCTATCTTCAATAGTAATTTTTTATATTATTATAAAACCTTACCTGATAAAATATATAAATCAGTAATTTATCCGTTCATTACAATTATAAACTTTCTATCAACAATCTTTACTCCCCCCCCCCATCCTTGATCGAACAATTGACTGTAAAAATTCCTAAAAATTGGGGAAATTAACCCCCATCCTTGATCGAACGATTTTCATATCATGCAAATTTTTATATATATAAAAAATATTAGTTATCAAAAGCTTTGGAAGAGATGTGCCTAATGAAGTTGTTTTCAGAGCTTTGAGACGACAGAAAGCTGCGAAATCAACTATCCGAAGTGATTTAGTCATCAACCTAGGCTTAAAAAACTCAATAATCTAATAAAATACAGATTCTTTAAAAAATTTTAAAAAAAAATTAATTTAAATTAAAATTTATACAGTTTAAAAGGGTAACTAATAAATCAAAATATTAAAAAAATTGGTATTTTATGAAATTAATTCAATTTTTTGCTGTAAAAATAATTATTAAATACTCTTAACCCTCTTATTTAAAAGTAAATAAAAAATCTATATTTTATCTTTTTCATTTTAAAAATTTTTTTTTCCAAAAAAATTTTTTTTAACCCCCATCCTTGATCGAACGATGGCGAGTCGTTCGATCAAGGATGGGGGGGGAGTTAGAATAAATCTTAAAACAATGGTAAAGTGGTCTCGATATTCCCCAGATTTGCTACTGCAATCAGAAAACGATTTAATTAGACTTTCAGGCGTTGAAATAGAAAGAAGAAACGTATGCATCGGGAGAGGATTATTCCTTCATTGTTTAACGTGTGGAGATCCTGCAAATCCACCAATGATTCTCCTGCACGGATATTGTGGCTCAGGCCTTATATTTTTTAAAATTCTGAAAAGGCTAGTCGAAAACTATAGAATCTATATTGTCGATCATTTAGGAATGGGGAGGTCAACACGTCCTGAATTCATCCCAAATACATTGGAGTCAGCTGAAGAATTTTTTGTAGAGCCACTGGAGATTTTTAGACAAATTGAAGGGATTGACAAATTTATCCTTGTAGGGCATTCGTTTGGAGGGTATATTTCGGGGTGTTATGCTTTAAAATATCCTGAGCATGTCTCAAAAGTTTTATATTTATCACCTGTGGGCTTTGGGAAAAAGCCAAAAGAGTTTGATTTTCTAACTCTTTTTTTTTAAAAAAATAAAAAAAATAATTTTTGAAATTTTGTTTTATGAAATTATAATAAAAGGAGTAAAAGAATTAGAAGGCGACTGATGGATAAGGTTCGTGAACAAGTTCATGGTGTTCTTTTGGCTTAAAAACATCACCCCTGTTTCATTAATTAGAAAATGCGGTCCAATTACAGGTCACTTTTTTAAAGCATATGCAAGAGATAGACTGAATAGTCTGACAAAAGAGGAAAACCATGCAGTTGGAAATTATTTAGAGCAAATTAACATTATGCCAGGAAGCGGTGAGTACGGCTTGGTCTATATATTAGAGCCTGGAGTATGAGCAAGAAGCCCATTATGTGCTAGGTTTGAAAAATCAAAGACTCCAATGGCCTTTTTCTTTGGGGACATTGATTGGGTCAAGCCAGATGGCGCCAGGCAATTAGAAAAAAATTATTCGGGGAAAATGCTGATTTATATGATCAGCCATTCCGATCATCACTTATATTGGGATAATCCTCAAGAATTGGCTGAAAAAATGATAGAAGCAATAGAAGTTCTTGATAGCTAATCGTATTATATTTAGTTTATTATTTTGAATTAAAATCTAAAATATCTGAATTCAAAATACTGAGTATTTAACATAAAACATGAATTCAAACATGGAAATACCGGCAGAATTAATTTCATCACCTAGAAAAGGTGATTTAATAGCTATGATTGCTGCTAGAAGAAAAGACAGTGAGGAAATTCCATCAATAATCACCAGTGAGCCTCCAGAAATCATTTTTTCTGCCCCAAATTTTCATGGGCTTGAAGATTCATGCACAAATGATTCTGATACTGAAGAAGAGCCACAAAATAAAGAAATCATAGAAAGGAGCCCTTTTTTGAACAGAATAATGCAGTCTCCTAGATACAACTTACTGCCTATGAAAACTAGAAAAGCAAAGCGACTTACACTTGTGCTTGATCTTGACGAAACATTAGTGCATAGTGAACTTTCTCCAATAGAAAATCCTGATACTGTGCTCAAAGTATCATTTAATGGAGAAATTTGTAGCGTTTATGTTAGGTTTCGGCCTGGGATGTTTGAATTTTTAAATAAAGTTTCAAAGAAATTTGATTTGGTCGCTTTTACCGCTTCACATGAAGCCTATGCAAGTCAACTTTTAAATGTGATAGACCCTCAAAGGAAAATGATAAGATACAGATTTTACCGCTCTTCTTGTGTTGAAATAAAAGGAAATCTCATAAAAGATCTGAGGCTATTTGGCAGAAGTCTAAGTGAAGTTATAATTGTTGATAACACCATTTCAGCTTTCTCGTTTCAGTTGGAAAACGGGATCCCTATTACAAGCTGGTTTTCTGACCCAAATGATATTGAGCTTTACCAAGTTTCTGATTTCCTTGATTCCCTATTAGAAGTTCCTGATGTTCGTCCTGTTTTGAAGGCAGCTTTTAATATTTCTGCACAATTTATGTAAAATCTGTTTAAAAAATAAGCTAATTTATATGTGATAATATTACTTACATATAATTCCTCTTAAGTGAAATTTGCTAAGAATTCGTGCTTAAGTAATGCTCCAGTGTTAGGTCGAAGCTTTTTATCATATCTCAAGCATGATGATACAAAGTCTTTAAACGGGTCAGAGCAGTGACCAGGAATTTCAGGAGTTTGCTGCTGAGCTATGGCTAAGCATAAACTGTGGTAACTTGTGACATTGTTCCATGGATGACTGCCATTTGCCATTTCAATCATGACGCATCCAAGGGACCATATATCAACTTTTCTTCCATACCCTTCATTTCTTAATATTTCTGGAGCCATTCAATATAGTGATCCTCTTATAGACCTACACAGTTCTGAGTTGTCTGATACCAAAGGAAGTCCTTGAATATGTTTCGATGCCCCAAAATCCGCAAGTTTAACAGTTCCATCACTTGCAGCCAAAATATTCCCACCTTTGAGATCTCTATGCACGACTCCATGAGAATGCAAATAATGAAGTCCTAGTAAAATTTGCTTATTCTTTCATTTATTTTTTAAAAAAATTTATTTTTTTATAATTTTTTTTATTTTTTTATTTCTCATTAAAAATATATAAAAGTTAGTAAACTTGGCTATTACTGACTCAGAAAATGGTCCATATTCCTTCAAAATTGATGACAGGGAGCCTCCTGGCATATATTCCATATAAATTTTTATTTCACCTTCTTCGCAGTTTTCAGGGAGATTTCTGTCTGAGCCTAGGTATTTGACGATATTAGGGTGCTCAAATCTCCTGAGTAAATCTATTTCTTTTTCTAGGACTTCAAGTTTTTCTCTCCAGTCAGGCCCAGTTAAGCTTAGTTTGATTACCTTGACAGCAAGAAATTTGCCATTTTGTTTATTGAGTGCTCTGAAGACTTGGCCGTAAGCGCCTCTTCCGATGCTGCGGTCAATAAAAACATCGATTGAAGACTTTTCTTCTTCAAAGGAGCTTTGACGGCCGTTTTCTGTTAAAGAGTTAAATCTTGTTAATTGAGTTAATTCTTTTTTTGAGTCTTCAGCAGAGTCTGCAGATGTGCTGGCTGATGACATTTTTCGGGTTGAAATTTGAGGGAGTTTGCTCGTCATTTTTAATAATGCTAAATATATGAAATTTCTCGTTTTAAGCTTTATTTGGTCATATTGCTTGCTTAGAAATGAATAATTTGATTATTTTTTATAAAATTTTATCAAAATAGACAATTCAAATTATAAGAAAAAATAGCAATATAGACTTATTTAAAAAATAAATTTAAAATAAGGATCTTTCTTTAAAGTATTTTCTTACTCCCCTTAATCCATGAGTGAACAAAAATTTTACAATAATTTAGAGTAAAACATTTTTAGGAATTTAAAAAATCCCAATTTAAATATAAGTAAAAATATAATTGAAACTCCTAGGATGCAAGCTTTAAAATAAATAAATTGCTTGTAATTTCATTATAACAGTTATCCTTTATATATATCAAAATTTTTTAATCGAAAAAATTTTATATTAAAAAATATCTTATTTTCATTTAAAAATTGGAATTTTTCCAATGATTCTTTTTACTGACGGCTGAGAGGAGAGTTAACAAAATAATTTAAATGATTTCAATTCTCCACGAATCTACATAAATTTTAATAAATTTCTTTTAAATCCTTTTATAGGTTTGTTATACAGCTGTGCAGGCTTCACATTAAAATACTTCTGATTATCGCTTTGGCTATTTTCTTCTCTTTTCGGCGACAATGATTCTATTTTATTTTTTTCATTTCTGCTTACATTTAAAATCGGAAAATCATTAAATTGGCTGCTCATTTTCCTTGGCGTCAATGAGTTTCCTCTGATTTTATTTAAAAAGTCTTTGTCTTTAAAGTCGGAAGCTTGCCTTTTCAATATAAAACTTTTATTTCTTGATAGTAAATTTTTTATTTGTTTTTCTTTTAAACTTTCTTTAGGAATTGGTTTGGGATATTGCTCATCTGTAAGAGGAGAAGGAGAAAAAAAGCTGTGGACGAAGGAAGGCGACGAATTCCGCTTGGGAAAGGCTCCAAATAACGGAGAAGAATTGTTCTCGTTTTCAAGATCAAGAATAATTTTGGACCTGGAAATAAAGTGGATTTTTTGTGGGGAAAGAGGATGTTTCAGGGCACTGTAATTTCTATTAGTCGGCATTAAGGAGCGTCTTCGGTGAATAAATAGTCGTTGACGCCGGTTTTGCATATTCGCGTGCATGGAATTAATGAAATTACATTGCGAAAATCTGTTTATTTCATTTAAAAATACTACAAATAATAGGGGATAAATAAAGAAAATAATAAAATCATATATGAAAATACCAAAAGTCAGTATTAATATAAGTGCATCAACCGAATTTTAATTTAAAATTTAACAATTTTTGTGTATTGCTACATTTTATCTGTCATAAATATCTCCATTTCAACCCTATTTAAATTAAATTGCATAAGTGCATTATTTAAATTATGAACTATACCCCAAATTCTTCTTTTCTAACAACTACTCCAGAACCTGGGATGCATAGATCACTCCTCAAAGTAATCATAACTTAGTTCGGCGGCGGCTTAAAATATACATCCAGTATCGAGCCTAAATTCCCTACTTCAAGCAGCAAATCATATACAAATTTACAATTTTCTTCCCACTCACCTATTATTTTTGAGAAAACTAAAGCTTACGCCCCTAATATTTTGCCAAAAATAGATTTAAACAAATATTTTGACGCTTGGAAACTTTTTGTTGTGAAAAGATTAGAAGCAAAAATTTTATTAGCTGATGATTTTAGGAAATTAAGAAGGAAAATAGTAAATGAAAGAAAAATAAGCAAGAAAAATTGCGAAAAGCAAATCAAGAATAAAATTTTTATCAATTGGAAATCGCTGATTATAAGAAATGATAAAGGATCGAAAGTTTTATATATTGCTTTGAAAAAGGTATTTAATTCTTGAAGAAAATATGTATTGAAAAGTAAAAATAGGCATTTTATATATTGGAAAGTCCAAGAACAATTAGTGTTGAAATTGCAATATCAATTTTGAAGCCAATGAAGGATTAAGTTTTTAAGGGCGCAGAAAATTAGGCAGCTTTTTAATTTTGCTGAGGTGGTGTCTTTGAATTGGGCGTTTAGGACATGAATTGAGGAATGCAATATTCAGATTAGATTAGATAGAATTTTAAAAAAATCGCCTCAGCCATATTAATGCATATAGTTTTTTTAATAAAAATAGAAATTTTTCCAATGATTTTGTTGGCCCATTGATGGGAAGTAAGAAAGCTTAAGAGCCTTAAACAGCGCTCAATACTTAAAGCTTGAAAAAACTCTATCAAAGAAAGGCGTAGAATCTCAAAAACAATAAAAAAATATTTAATAAAAAATTTATTGAGCAGCAAAATTGAGTGCCTACATTTATGAAAACAAAAAGTAAACGCTCAAAAAATCCTTAAAAAATGCTTATTAAAGCGAAAATCAAGGCTGATAAAAGCTTGCATGCTAGTATGATATAAGAATAGATTTGCAAGTTTTACGATAGAAGAAAGCATAAAATTAGCAAAAAGCTATATTGAAGATGAAATTAGGTCTGAATATGAACAAAAAATAAACGACCTTAGAGCTAAGCTGGAAGATCAAAATCAGGAATTTTTAAAAGAAAAGCAACATATGATGGAGAAACAGAAAAAAATGAAAACAATTTTAAGCTCGCATGCTGGGAGATTGTATGATGAGCTGTGTCCAAGGCCATTAAGCTCAAAAACTGGGTCAAAGAGCATTGTATAGATAATATATAAATTTCTATTTCAAGTTCTGAGATATTAATCAACAATATTTTAATTCTTCATATCATGCTCGATAATAATATTAGATCATTATGTGCTTCTGCCATTTAAAAAGGTTTTGGATATTTTCTAAGAAAATTGTTTATTGATATTGTGATACAGACTCTTTATATCTTCTTTTGAGTTTTTAAAAAATTATATAGTCTTAGGATATTAAAATCTCCATACTATCGGGGTATAAAGTTGGTTTTCCATGGACATTTTCTAAGGTTTTATTTGATTATTTATATTAGTCCCCCATTTTGCTATTAAAATTGCTTTTAAATTATTTTCTAAAAATCAGCAAAGAGCTTAAAATCTTAAATCTTAAATATAAAATCATAAATCTATTTATAATAAAAACTCATTACGCAGATAATTCTATACTTAATTCTAAAAATTAACCATGATGAAGTTTTCTCTTCAATGAATATAGCTTATTATTGCATCTTCCAAGTTGGAAATTTTTTTTATGTACTGAATAACGCCTTTGCAATATGTCTCTAAATAATAGGAGAGATAAATTTCAATTTTCGGGGTTATTCAAAAAGCGCATCTGCATTTCACTGATTCCCACTAAAAATAAGCCAAAAATTGCTGCTTCAAGCTTTGCTCCTTCTTCGTCAGAAAACTTTAAAGGCTTTTCCGGGTACACCTTTAAAGAGCGTTTCACCATTAGTTGGAGTTTTTCTGGATATATCATAAAATCCTGGCTCCATTTTCCTTATATGATGTGCAAGTTCATGCAAGAATATTATTTTTTGTGCACATCTGTTTATTTTCTCAGTATTATTATATTTTGAGTTAATAAGGATATCTCCTCCAAAAATTGTGACACTTGCTAAATCATCTGGCAATGAAGCGAAATAAACTTGATTATAATAAGGCTTCGTATTATCAAATTTTAAATTAATTTTGTTAAATCCTTCAGCAACTACGTTTGATTCAATCAGATTTTTAAAATCATTTATTTGATTTCGATCAGGTTTAGTTGTTTGAAATTAGTCTTATTACAAAGGAGTTTGTTTCAGCGATAAAATTTACAGATTTTTCAGAGCGTTTTAAGCTTAGATTAAATAGGTTCTTTAGCTGTGAAAGTAGCCATTTTTTGACTTGAGGTTGAAATCAATCTTTATCAAATAGCATTTTTAGAATGTATGATTCTTTGAAATCATTTAAAAGATCAATAATCAATTTAGTGTTTGTTTTAGATATCAGATTATCTCAAATGCTTAAGTTTTCAAGATTATCAATCTTGAGCTTTTTTTCATTAGAAAGTTGGCTTCAATCGCTTGGTGATTCATACAATGGGTTAGTATTTTCAAAATTATTTTCTGGTTTTATCTCTTTGCTTTGATTTTTTATTTCTTCAATTCTTTTTTTCTTTTTTTTAAGTTCCATTATTCATTTTTTTCCCCGGAAATCAGTCTCTCAGAAAATACTCATGAGAATTTTAGCACAGTGTTGAGGATCATTATAGTCAATATTACTTAGACTAAATCCATTAACATTATTTGAGAATAAAATATCAATGCAAAATGAATCATAACCTTTTCTGCTCTGAAGGTAGTTAATTAGATGATCAATAAATCTTAAAAAATATGCTAGAGCTGCTGTAACTGAATAATTTTTATTCAAATCTTGGAGATAAATCAACAAAAGACATTTGGAGTAGCGATCTTTAATATTTTTAAATTTTAATATTATGATGTCTCCATCATCCATTTTTGCATTTGCTTTAATAAATTCCCAAGATTGAGGTAAAAATTTAAAAATCAATGAAAATATCTCTATAATTTTAGTACCCTCTCTTATTATGTATTTGCTAGCATTTTCATAGACATGCTCGAAAAATCTGAAGGAGAATTTCACTGCTAAAGCCTCAAAATCTTCATTAAAAGTCTTGTTATTGTAATTCAACAGCAAGAGTTCTAAAATAATTTTTTCAGCATCCGAAATATTTCTATATCAGTCATCCATTTGTCATATATTTGAGAAGTACTCTCTTAAGAAGTTCAGATCATATGAGTTGGCATGTATTTGATATGTAGCTAGAGCATCAAATTGTCTAATTTTTTCTTTTCATATTTTTGGCCAATCGAAAAACTTGTAAAGCTGCGATTCGCTGATTATAAACCCAATATTTCTTCGTTTTTTAATTATCATATACCAATCAAGAATATTTATTACTTCGCCAAAATATGATGAACTAGCTTTGACATTACCAGCCATTTCTATAGCCTTTTCCCTATAAAAATTTACAGAAAATGATGTCCAATATTTGTTCTTACAAAAAAATACATATTTATCATCTCCTGGTTGAAAGTTATTGCTTACTTGCTTTTGAAGGATAAGCCTGAGAAACATTTCGGATCTTCTTTTTTTAATGTTTTTTATTTCTTCCTTACTTTTTCTTTCTACTCCTTTTTTGGCAGTTAAATTTAGATACCGACTTAAAGCGAGAAATAGTAGATTTCAGGTTTTTTCTTTTGAAATAATATCAAGCACTTTTATCCAAAATTCTAAATCAAATTCAAAATCCATATTTTCGACAAGTGTGAAATTCAAAAATTGTAAGAACCTCCTTAAGAGCAAATCCATATATAATGCGGGGCTATTTTTAGTATTAAATCTGGAGAAGTTTAATTGGAAAAAAGGTATGATTGCTGCAAACATTTCTTGACCTAAAATTGAATTGTTAATTGTTGCAGCGAAGCAAGAGAGGGTGAGAATCTTTATTAATGCATCTATACAGCATTCATTTCTAATGGTTGCTAATTTTATGATCAAATTTACAAGATATGGCAAACACGCTTCTAGCGACTTCAGAAAACCTTCATTAATCATATTATGGTAGTTTATCATTGATCCCACATAGTAAAAATCGCATTCGCTTTGCAAATCTTGAGCTTCAAGGGGCTTCAGGAGCAGGGAAGATACAATTTGGTCTATTTGGGAAATTTCTGATTCATTTACTTTCTAGCAATCTTGATATTAAATTCCCCACCATTTGATAAAGTTTATCAGACGTTCCTTGGGTACTTTTTAATGTCTCCATTAAAATTATTTATATACCCCCATTTTACTTAAATTAATTTCCAAATTATTTAATGCTAAGAATGGGCTAGTGCTTTAATTCTCACAGAAACCCTTATTTTGAAGCATCATATAATTTTTTTAAAATCTTGCTCATCAGCATTCTGAGTGCCCAGCAAAATCCAACTATTTTTGATTAATGAGTTTCTAGTTAAGTTTTGCTAATTAAATTCTATATTATAACAAGTAGCATAGCTTTGATCGTATAAGACTTCTAATTTTTGTTTAATTATTATCGCATTTATCTTAAACAAAAATTTGATAAATAAGTTTAAATTTTATTTTTAGTATATTTCACAAATTTCTATATAAATATATCAGATTGCTATATAACATCAAAGGGCAAAATTTGGATAATTAAAAGTTTTTGATAAATATATATTATTAATCTGCTTTTTTAGTTTAATTTTTATTTATGAAATAAATCCTATTTTTAAAGAATCTCATTATTTCTATATAAATTATTATAATGACGCATAAAAATTAATTTATTAATCTAACCACACACAAACAAATATTCTAATAATAAATTTGATATATATGATATTTATTTTAAGTTAAATACTTCAATAACTCAATTCTATAGTCTTAATATGGACTATTTACGATAATTAATAAAGGTTTCAAATTTCTGAGATTATTAAAAATGATAGGTGAAAAGTTCACTAGAAAGGAATCTTTAAAAGCAAAAGCTTTTAATTTAGTTGAAAAAGGGCAAAAGCTTGGAAGTCCTAAAAGAAAACATGATTCACAGCGGAAAGTTGACAATGGACAAACTCAAAGTCCAAAATGTGTAGTTAAAAATATATCTTTGAAAAAACCTTCTAAACTTGAAGAAACAGCTTCTAAAAGCCCAAGAGTGCATAAGAAGCAGGTCAAGCAAAAACCTAAAATAAAATCTAATAGTCCAGTCTCTAGGAAGATAATAAAAGAAAATGTTATAGGATCATTGAAATGGGAGGCACAAAAGCGAACAGAGATTTATAAAGAAATATACAAGAATTTAGAATTAAAATACTGCCTCCACAATAAAGAAGAGCTAGAGTATATAGAAACCCATGATTTCGTTCGACCGAGTGCATCAGAGAAGCTCCTTAAAACTTTTGATATTGATAGCACTAAATCCCCAAGAGCAAATAACAAAATTGATTCTTCAAAAACCTATAAAATCAATCTTCCTCTGCAAAATACCTCTCCAAAGCTAATGAGCAAAGCTTTGTATAATAGCTATTACCATCCTCTAAAAGCCAAAAGAATTTGTGATATGGAAATTTCAGCAAAAAATTTCAAAAGCGAGACATCTAGTCCGAATAATTCGCCACATGGCTCATTTATGTATAAAATGAAAACAACGAGAATAGAAAAGTTTTCTCCTTCGAAACTTAAGGAGTATATAAAGTATCCTAAAGATGAAATTTTAGTAGTCGAAGACGAATACCAAGAAGAAATCCCCGTTTGTCCTTTTAAGCTTGCTAGAGACGCAGTGTAGTTATTTATACAAAAAATTAATATTTATAGCACTAATTTTGGTTTTTTATTAAAAATGTCTGAGGCTAATTTTTCAGAAAACCTCAAAGACTTCGTAGGTGGGACCATTGGAGGTTTTGCCCAAGTTCTCTCAGGCCAGCCATTTGACATGATTAAAGTAAGGCTCGCAGCAAGTTCTCAGCGCCAAAGTGCAGTAGCCGCGACTCTTTCAGTCATAAAAAATGAAGGGGTTTTAGCATTTTGGAGAGGCTCCACAGGGCCTCTTATAGGTGTTGGAGCATGCGTTTCTATTCAATTTGGAGTTCTGGAAAACAGTAAAAGGCTTCTGAAACATTTTAAAGGTGGAAAAGACCTGGAAACCTTAGATTACGCTTTATGTGGCTCAATTGCAGGGATGGCGAATACCATAGTTTCTTGTCCTGCAGAAAATTTCAGGATACGCATGCAAATTCAAGGAAAAGTCGACCCAAGAGGCGACCCAATATATAAAGGTGATATAGACTGTATTAGGACTATCAGCAGAAATCATGGCCTAAGAGGGATTTTTAAAGGGTTTTATATTACATTATTGAGAGAAGCCTGCACATTTGCGACGTATTTTGGGTGCTATGAATATATTATTAATAAATATTTGATACCTAAAGGTGGGACTAAAAAAGATGTCCCTATGCTTTATTTGTTTTTGACGGGAGGATTCTGTGGGTATGCGTATTGGGCTCCTTGGTACCCAATTGATGCGATTAAGTCAAAACTTCAGGCTGACTCGTTAGCTAACCCTGCTTATAAGGGGACGATGGATTGCATTAAAAAAACAATTGCAAGTGAAGGGGCTGCAGGGCTGTATAAAGGATTTATACCGTGCATGGCAAGAGCTTTTCCTGTTAATGGAATTACATTCTTGGCATATGAGATGACGATGAGGCTTATAGGAAATTCATCCAAATAAATTCACAAATATCTATTCTGCAAAAGCTGATTTAGGGTGCAGATCCAATGATTGTGAACTTTTAATAGCGGAAATTTCATAGAAGAAAATTTGGTAGAAAATTTTTAGATAGTGTACGATTTGGCAGAAATTTAACGGTTTTTTGGTCAATCAAAATTGTTTTGATTAAGTTTTCCCCTAGGAAATATCGATCTATGAAAAATACACAGCCATTTGGCATGAAGCCGCTGATTTATGTTTTAAAAAAAACAGTCTTTAATGCCTTATTTTTATTCTAATATTGCTTTATTCTACACCTTTATTACCCTAATTTATCAAATAATGATAATTAATATTGCACATTTCCGCATATAAATCATCATTATATTACAAAAAATTGATTAATTTTATTTAAATAAGATGGCGGTAATCGCTCTTACAACAGCACAAGGTAATATAGGTATAAACTGCATTGACATTCAGCCAGACAACTCAAGAATCGTCATAGGCTGTGAAGATGGGAACATAAAATATTACCGCTTTGAAGCAATCCACAAAGACCAATGCATTTTGACCTGCAGCTCTTCAATATTCGGAGGGGGAGGAATTACAGCAATAAAATATAGTAAAGTCAAGCTTAATAATGAATATATGATAGCCTGTGGCAGCAGTGAAGGATATATTGAATTAATAACGAGAAGAGAAATCAGGCCTGAAAAATGATCTAATCTAGCTGGGTCAAAACTGCATACATATGATATTAAAGATATTGAATGGATTAACCAGGACATTATAAGCTGTGGAATTGACAATATTATCTATACTTTAAGATATGAAAATAAATTTTTATATATAAATAATATAAAAATAATAAAATTTATGTGATAAAGCATATATATTTGTCATGTCAGTTGCAATGAAGATGGCTTCAGACTAAAAATCAGCAGAAAAATCCGCGCCCATGAAGGTTGAGTCACAGGTTTAGCAGTTTTAAACAATTTTATATTATCCCAAGGTAGCGAAAATAAAGTAAAAGTTTGAAATTACCCCAGCTTTGCCCAAGTTTTAGAAATCAGATATGAGCAAGAAGAAGCTGACGAAGAGAGTGTAGAAGTCATAAGAAAACCAAGCGCTGGGCTATGATTTGCATTAGCTGGCACCAGAAGTGGGAGAACTGGAGAAGGCTGTTTAACTATTTTGCGGCCTGAAAATTGAAATATTATAGAAATCCCATTAAGTCTGATAAGCAGTGAAGGGGATACCAATATTTTGTTAAAAAGAAAAAGACATGAGGAAAACGTGGTGGAAGTCCTTTGCAGTGGATTTTTAAATAAAGGGCTGCTGGTTGTGACTTCTGGAGGGTATTTAAGCTTGTTTAGCTATATAGATTTCACAATGATATGAGAAACCATGCTTCAGCCTGCAGCCGAAATCACAGTAATTTATAATTAGGATCTAGCTACAGCTAGTGATGGAAACTGGGCTGTATTAAGCTCAGCTGAAGGCTTGCCATTTTATGTAACTTTTGAAGAAAATCTTAATTAGCTGAAAATTTTGTAAATTTAAATCAGTTTTTGTTGTTTTTTGCATTTGGAGAGGTCAATAATTTTCAAGCATATTTCCTCAGCTCTATTTGGTCCAAAGAGATTTATACTATATTTTTCGAGTAAGTGCCTGAAAAAAGCAGGGAAAATCTTAACCAAAAGGCCTGCCATTTGGAATAGCTCTGGGGTGATCACCGAAGTTCTCTTCATCGGTACTTCTACCTTAGCTTTTGACTGCTCCAGCTGTTTTTTCAAAAACTTTAACTTTTTCCTTGGCCCAGCTTCCATTTTTGCTTCAGTATCCAGCCCCGCTTCTTCTGCCACTTTTTGTTCCCAGCTGCTTTGTTTATTTCCTATCTGATGACTGTTTTCTATATGTGACACTTCTTTGGCGATTTTTACAAAATGTTCAGCCCTTTTCCATTCTTCTAGGTTGCAATGGTAATTTAAAATGTCTCGGCCAAGCATTGTCTGGATTGTCCTTAAGCTTCTGACATCAGATGGCCCTACAAGGACAATAGACGTCCCTTTATGGTAAATTCTAGCTGTTCTCCCACATCGGTGGATGTAGTTTTCAGCAGTTTTGGGGAGGCTGAAATGAATAATAAGGCCTACTTCAGGGAGATCGAGACCTCTGCCAGCTACGTCAGTTGCTATAAGAATATAGCCGCCTTGTTGGAATCTATATAGGAATTACTTTTCGAGACGTTTAAATCTGTCTCTCTGAGGCATTTTTCCATCTAGTCTGAGGACAGAGTGGCCTAGAAGTTTTAAGACTTCAATTATCCTTCTTTCTTGTTTAATTGTATTAGCAAAAATTATTGTTTTTTTGTTTTCAAATTCTTTTATGGTATTTGGGTTGTATTATTTGCAGGCTTAAATAATGCAATTTATAGCAAAATAAGGCAAAAAAGTATAGAAGATAGTGCAATAGGCTTTCTTTTTCCTCATCATTGCAGCTTATCTTATACTCAGTAAGTTCGCTTGGAAGCTGCTCCTTTTGTGTGAGATCTACTACTACAGGCTTCCCTCTAAACTGTACCAATTTTTTTAGCTTGTCTACCACAGTTTCTTCATTATCTTTTTTTTTATTTGGCCCTTGTAAAGGTTTTATTACTTTTCGTGCCTGGTTTTCAATAGTCATGGTGGCTGAAATCAAAAAAGTTTGCCTTTTGACTGTGTTTTTCTTTTTTTCTTCTTTTTTTTTCTTACTCCCCCCCCCCCTCCGTGAGAGCGAACAAAACCATTAGAAAAATCGCCATTTTTTGACCAAAAACCCACCCTCCGTGAGTGAACAAAAATTTTTTAATAGAAAAAATTTTAATGGAAAAAAATTTTGATATATAAGTGATAATTAGTATAATGAAATCTAGAGCTAATTCTGTTTAATTTTAAACAAATTGCGTTTTAAAACATAAATTTTGCAAATTAAATTAATATTTGCTTCCCAATTTTTGCAAATTAGGATTTTTTTAAATTTCGAAAAAAATATTTTTTTATAAAAATTTATATAAATTTTTTTAAAAAAAAAAATTAACCCCCCTCCGTGAGCGAACAAAATTTTTTTGTTCGCTCACGGAGGGGGGGGGGGGAGTTATCATTTTTCTCTTCTTCTAAAAACTCTTCAATCATGTCTCCTTCTAAATTAAAATTTAAGTCTTGGATTGGTCCTTCTCCTTCTACCTCTATAGATTCTTTAGCAACGCTGCTAGGATCATAAATATAATTTAGTATAAGCCTCAGCTCTTTAAAATGGCCCATTTCAATCATCCTGTCAGCTTCGTCGATAACTAAAAATTTTGCCTTGGCAATGTCTCTTACTACATCATTTTGTCGGTCACATATAAATTCCCAGAGTCTTCCAGGAGTTCCTACTAATATTTGAGGGTGCCTGTTGAGCAGCCTTTCTTGTTTTTCTCGAGCAATGCCTCCGATTAAGCATTGAATGTCGAGCTTTTTGTAATTAATTGCATTTAAATGGGCTGTGATTTGTAAGCAAAGCTCTCTTGTGGGAGAGACGATAATTGCTTGGGTTTCTTGGGTTTTTTCAACACTAAGAAGAATTGGGATCGCAAAACATAGTGTTTTCCCACTGCCTGTTTTAGCTGAAATAATCAGATCTTGCTTGAATTTGCAGGATTGCTTTAAGGTAGATCGTTGAATATCTGTAGGCTCATTCATGTTGTTGGATTTTAAGGCTTCGATCATTTCAGAGGAGTCAATAAGGTCCTCCCATTTAGTCTCAGCCTCATCTGCAGCCATTTTATTATTAAAACTCTAATTTCATCGTTATACCTGTGAAGATTATAAAGTTTCTCGTAAAAGAGATAGTATAAAAATGGATTAACCGAGGATTGAACTCGGGGCCTTCTGCTTGCAAAGCAGATGTGATACCACTTCACCATTAACCCTTGGATAGAATCTAAGAGAATCATTGAAATATATAGAGCTACCTACACTTATTAACGAAAAAGTTAATATTTATGAATTAAATATAATAAATTATAATTTTATTTTGCTTACTCCATAAAGCAAAGTATTTTGAATTAATTTTATCATTAGAATGCAAAAACTTATAAATTTCCCATAACAATGAGAAATATCAAATAGCTAAATATATGGAATCAAGCGACAATAAAAAGTTCTCTGTGGCAGAAGACGAGACTGGGAAAGGCTGCACATTTGCATTCACAGGAGAAGGCCACACAATAGGAAACGCCCTGCGATATCTTCTAATTAAAAACCAAGATGTCGAGTTCTGTGGCTACAGTGTTCCTCATCCAGCAGAACCTGTAATGAATATCCGTCTTCAAACCTACAAAAACCCTCCATTAGAAACCCTAGAAGCTTCCCTTAACCAGTTAACCTCCGTGTGTGATTTACTTCTATCTAAGCTTGACAGCAAAAATATCTAATTTCCTTAAAAACCCATAAACTTCCTTATAAGTCATAAAAATGGTCAAATCTGGATGTGGATTCGAAACTATCCTATATAAAATCCCTTTCCTTCAATCCAAAAATAATTTTCCCTATTTTTTATTTAAACTATATCCAACTATTCCACCCTTTTTTTGTATAAGCCTTTTAATTTTATATGAGTTTACATCCTTATCTCTTTCGAGCCATCAAGAAAAAAGGCTATACATTGCCCACTCCTATCCAAAGAAAAGTCATCCCAGTTGCTTTATCTGGACAAGACATGATTGCTGTGGCTAGAACTGGATCTGGCAAAACAGCAGCTTTTCTGATCCCAATGATACAGAAACTTAAGGAGCATTCCACTGTGGTCGGAGCTCGTGGGCTTGTGATTTCTCCTACACGTGAATTGGCGATGCAGACATTAAAATTTGCGATTGAATTATGCAAATTTTCTTCATTGAAGGTCTGTGTCCTTGTTGGTGGGGAAGGACTGAAAAATGAATTTTCAAAGCTTGCGGAAAATCCTGATATAATTATTGCGACGCCTGGGAGACTTATGCATTTTATATTATTCTGGCTTTCTTAAAAGGATAGATATTTTACAGTCAAGATTTTTATTTTTTAATAGAAAAATGATAATATTTTTTTTAATATAGGAAAAACCTTATAAATAAAGCATAGAACTTAATTATTCATTGGCATCAGTTGAAATGGTCGTATTGGACGAATCTGATAGATTAATAGAGATGGGCTTAATGGAGCAGGTCCAAGAAATCTTATCTTCAACCACAAATCCAAATAAGCAGACTTTATGTTTTTCAGCGACTCTTCCAGAGTTTTTAACACAATTTGCAAAAACAGGGCTAAGCCACCCGACATTGGTAAAGCTTGATCAAGAATACAAGCTGCCGACTGAGCTAAAACTTGATTTTTTTGTCATCAGATCTGAGGATAAAGATTGTGCACTGATGTATATATTAAAACATGTTGTGAATTTAGAAAGCCCTGACGAGCTGACTATGATTTTTGTATCCACAAGGCATCATGTAGAATATCTTGAATTTCTTCTAAACAAAGGTAACATAAAATGCATTGGACTGTATGGTGCTTTAGATCAAGAAGCCAGAAATAACGCTTTAGATAAATTTAGAAGAAAACATGTAAAGCTTATGATAACTACTGATGTATCTGCCAGAGGTCTTGATATTCCTTTACTCGACAATGTAATTCATTATGATTTCCCATCCACCCCAAAGCTATTTATCCACAGATCAGGGAGAGCTGCAAGGGCTGGACGAGATGGCCACTGCTACGCCCTTATCACAAACCCAGATATTCCTTATTATATTGATACAATAATGCATATAGGAAACCCAGAAATCAAAAACATAGGGTATTTCGGGGAAGCAGAAATTACACAAGAACGAGAAGATTTAAACCAGTTATGTCTCTGCATTGACCCAGACGAACTTATGAGGAAAAAACTATCAGTGAAAAACGCAACAAAGTTATATAATAAAACAAAAGAAAGTGCAAGCCTTGAATCTGCGAAAAGAGCTAGCTCCCCATCATTGATCTAACGAGCCACAGTCCTTCGATCAAGGATGGGGGTTTAAGGAAAAATTAATATATAAAAAATAATATATATTATTTTCATTTTTTGGTGTATTTTTTAAATAAGAGGATTAAACTATTAAAACGAAAAATTGTGAAAATTTAAAATTTTAGTTGCCCCTTACCTCTATAAAATATTTTATTAATTATTTTTAATTTATAATAATTCTAGATTTTTTAGATTATTAAGCTTTTGAGGCAAGGTTGATGGCTAAAGCCCTTCAGATAATTAATTCTGTGCAAATTATTAAGAAAACATTTAAATTTGCCAATGCAAAACTAATTTTCATAAATTATAATAAAAATATTAACTAATCTTTTGTTATATGTTGCAGTATATGAAAATCGTTCGATCAAGGGGGGGTTTAATTTTCCTAATTTTTAGGAATTTTTCAATAGAATCGTTCTATCAAGATAGAGAGTAAGGAATTTCAATATGGGCTGCATCCAAGATTCGAAGTTAACAAAGAAACTGACGATTTTACTAAAAAATTAAAAGAATTCAGGCCAGCTTTTAATATCATTGAATTAAATACACAAAATACACAAGGAGAAGAAGCTGCAAATGGAGTTACCCGGAAAATCCCTAGGGTGTTTTTTCCTGGTGCATTTTTTTCCTCAAAATGACGGTAACTTAAAATTCTTGATTTTTCTAGGAAAAAAACCTTATGGTTTTTTGGAGGAAAAGCCCTTAAAAATTTTCATGAAAAAACCCTGCAAATGCCATTAGAGAAAAAAGATTATCACTGATGAGAAAAAAAGAAAATAATGAAAAAAGTGCAGAAGTTGAACAAATTGACGAAAGTGAAGAAAAAGAACTAGAAGTTATGGTAAGAGAAGGAATAAGCAAGCATATGCAGCTGCAGAATAGTGAAGGAACCCAAAAAAAGAAACGAGGACAAATGACTTCATTTAAAGCTCAAGATTTCGTCCAATATGATGGTACACATTTTTTCGAAAAAGGTCAAGATTTTTCTCAGCTTTCTTTAGAATTGCCTATGGATGATGAAAAAGGACTTGCGAAAAAAGACAAAAATAAATGGGATAACAAAAAGAAAAAATACATACAAGACCAGTCTTCACATAAGAAAAAGTTTGAAATAGATGGGAAGTCCAGGAAACTCTACAAACAATGGTCAAATCAGACGAAAAAAAGAATTCAAAAAATCGGGGAAGCTGAAGATCCAGAAAACATTAAGAAAATTAGAGGCGGGTATAAGCCAAAAGCAGATTTGAAAAGCAAGGATCAGATTGTCAAGGAAAGGAAAAATAAGTTTAAGAAATCTGGGAAAATCAACCATAAAAAAGTAAAAGAAGAAAAAGTGGGGAAAAGAATGAAGCATAGAATGAGCGTGAAAAGCCAAAACACAAGGAGCAAGATGATAGTAAAGACTAACTCCCCCCCCCATCCTTGATCGAACGACTCGCCATCGTTTGATCAAGGATGGGGGTTAAAAAAAATTTTTTTGGGAAAAAAAATTTATATATAAAATAAAATATATATATAAATTTTTTTTTATTTACTTTTAAATAAGAGGGTTAAGAGTATTTAATAATTATTTTTACACAGCAAAAAATTGAATTAATTTCATAAAAATACCAATTTTTTATATTTTGATTTATTAGTTACCCCTTTAAACTGTATAAATTTTTAATTGTTACTTATTAAATTAAAATTTGTTTTTTAAAAATTTTAAAAAAATCTCTATTTTATTAGATTATTGAGTTTTTAAGCCCATGCTGATGACTAAATTTACTTTGAATAGTTGATTCCGAAGCTTTCTATCGTCTCAAAGTTTCTGAAAACAACTTCATTAGGTACATCTTCCCAAGCTTTTGATAACTATTATATTTTATTTATATAAAAATTGTCATGATATGAAAATCGTTCGATCAAGGATTGGGGTTAATTTCCCCAATTTTTAGGAATTTTTACAGTCAATCGTTCGATCAAGGATGGGGGGGGAGTAAGAGGCGCTAATTTAATTAGCTTTTTCGTTAAATTAAATATGCTGGCAGAAGAGCAAATCTTTAATGGGAAGGTTTTCCTTAGATCATATTTAGACGCCATCCTATGCCTAAAGCAAATAGCTGTCAAAGAAACTACTTATCTCCAATGTATGGACTATTTTCTTATGTCAAAAGGTGTAAAGGAGACAGCTTCGCCATCCCAAGTCCAAGAAGCGTCAAATGTTTTTAGATTTTCCAAGTAAATTTTTATTCAGAGTATTTCTACGCAAATATTTTATCCCTGAGCCACCTTCATTTGGCGATTTATTAGATTTATTTAAAAAAATCAATGACGACCTATCAGAGAGCCCAAAAACTGAAGAAAAATAATTTATTAATCGTCATTAGTCTATTTCGCTGCCTTGATCTGACTCATACTCGCTCCCATAGCTTACATTTGAATTTTTGTCATAATTTTCTTCAATATCCTCTGAATATTCTTCTTTATTTACATCTGATTCATACTCACTATACTCTTCAGCTTTATTTTTTTCCGCACTGCTCTGGGAGCTTTTTGTTTTATTATACAAGTGATTTTCTATCTCATAATCAGAATTTATGCTTGAGCCAAGGTCATTTTCTATGCTTTCTTTCTTTTCAATTGATTTTATTAAATCTGCATCAGAAGGTGGGTTTATTAACTGAGGATTTTGCTTTGGCTTGGTTTCTTCATAAGGTTCTTCTTCATATATAGAAGAAGATTCTGAGTTTTCTTTGTATCGGGAGTTTTCCTTGCTGAAATTTTTTTCTTCATTTTCTTCTTCAAAAATTTCGTCTGGGATGCTAATGCCATAATGCTTAAAGACTTCTTCTAGATCGTCGATTAAAATACACATTTCGTCAGTGTCTTCACATTGGAGAGCTTGGAGGATTAAAATTATGAATTCTTGGCCAATTGAATCGAGGACTCCTAATTTTTGAAGCCCTTTTACAAAGTTGTCAGGCATGACCATGCCTCTGTGATTTTGGATAAAAATATGCTTTATTCTGCTGATTTTTTTTTTTAAATAAAAAATTAATACTCAAAGGACTATTTTAGATCAGTAAAGAATATCCCTAACTGAAACTTTTTTATCTTTCATAACTTTAGCAATAATTTCTAATAAATGGCCTACAATTTTAGCCCTTTCTTCATCTGCAATTTCTTCTCCCTGTTCATAATCTTCTTCATATTCTTCTGCATTTTGATTATGATAAGCATTTAAAAATTTTTCATATGGGACTTCATTTAATTCCAGACTTGTTGAATAAAATAATAAAATAATGTAATTCATCATATTTCTAGGGAGTTCTATATTTTGTTGTCGTAAAACTGTTTGAAACTGCTCTATTGAGATTTTCCCTGTATTATTTAAATCATTTTTTTTGCAGCCTGCAATTAATGAGTCAAAATAAATGTCTATTATTTCAGTCAGTTTTTCGTCGTATTCTTTTTCGTCTTCTTGAGTAAAGATTGGCCAGTCTTCTAAAGAGATAAATAATTTTTTAGTTATAAAATCGACAGATGCAGATAAAGAGCTAAGTTCACTTGGACGAATGGTAGCTTGGGAGGGCTCTATTAAAAATTGGCAAAATTTATCGAAATTTTGAACGCTTGGGATTTTCAAAGGTGATTGTGATAGGAATTTGGATATAGCTTACACCCCATCTTGGATCAGCTTTGAGCACTCCCTCCCCATGTCACCCACCTCCTAACGGTCCCAAATATTTTAGCATGTTAAATATTAATTTGACAAGTTAAAATATTTGAGGGGGACTTTTCAAATAATATTTTAACATTTAAAATTTTCAGGACCGTCAGGGGGTGGGTGTCATGGGGAGGGGTACTTAATAGCGAGCAGCCACGAGGGGTGTGCCATATTTCTTCTTTATTCAATTTTTGGGATTTTTCGATTGAGCCAAATAGGAAAGAGGCAAGCTTAGACTTTGGCTGCCGATTTAGCTGCATTTGTAGAGATACATGATTTAGGACTGTTTTAATTTCTTCTGGCTTTATAGTAGGGATTTCTTGTTCTGTAGGCTGGGTTTTTTCTTCTTCTTCTTCTTTAGGTTTTTCTTTTATATTTAATGGCTCCTTTTTCTGTGTTGGCTGTACAATTTGCTTTTCTTTTATTCTTTCATCAGTAGGCTCTTTTTTTAATATATTTTTTTCAGATTGATTTTTTTCTCTTTTTGATGGCGGATTTTCGTAATCAGATCTTTGAGGAATTTTATCATTGCTAGGCATTTTTTGAATTGGGGTTGAAGATCTTGACATTGACCTTTGTGGAGCTTCTGCTTCAAGTTGGTTTTTTTCTCTTTTTGATGGTGGGTTTTCATAATAATAGTAATGAAATCTGTAAACCTTTCCTCCTCCCGATGCTTATCTGGTGGCCTTTATCCACAATGCCAAATATGGCTTATTGCGTATAGTAAGAATATTGGCTCAGGATTTTGAGGCGTATAGGAGTTTTACCGCTTGACACACCTGAGGAGGGTAATCCTTAGGCGGAATATGTGCAGGAGTCAAATGCTGGCGCGAGATCATTGCTAGCCATGAGGAGTTTCTGACCAACCCTGAGGGTTTTTGTTAGGTAGCTGTCGCCATTTTTGGGATGTCGGCACCATTTTGGACGTTAGGATTACTTGCAAGTCCTAAGATGGAGTTAAAAGGACGGGCCCCGCATGCCTAAATCATCCTGGGAAGAAACAGCATATTAAAGATTGAGTAATAATCTAATGACGGTGGATTTTCATAATCTGACTTCAGAGGAATTTTTTCATTACTAATCTGTTTTTGGATTGGGGTTGAAGGTCTTGATTTTGGTCTTTGCAAAGCTTCTACTCGTTGTTGATCTTTAGGCTTATGATCCTCTGGAGGAGGCACTGGTTCTTTTTTTATGACCTGAGCTTCATCTTTTTGTTGCACAACATTTCTTATTTCATTTTTATCTGAAACCCCAGCTGCCTGCCCCTTAATAACTTTATCATTACTTTCCTTTGAAAAAGTGAAATATAAAGGAGGAGCTTCTGGTTTATTTTCACTCTTTTTATCAATTTCATTAACTTTTGCATTATTTTTATCCTCATTTTCAATTTCCCTGATATTTTCACTTCTTACACTTGAGCTCACTGAAATCGATTTCATTACTGGCTGCTCTTCTCCAATTTTTATTTTTATCTCATTTGCAGCAGACCCAAACGTCTTCTGAGGCTTCACAGGAAATTCTTCACTGCTTGTCGAAATTGGTGAGGACGAATAATTATATTGTTCATAAAATTTTTCCAGTGCTTTTATATGTATAATATTTGCCATTTTCCCTGTCGCCATTTGAATGACTTCTTCAATGTACTTTTTTTTAGCTTGATACCCATTAGTTTTTAATACCTGTATAATATCATCAGTCCCAATATACCCATTATTGTTTTTATCTAATAATGACAAAAATACAGCTAAAAGCATTTTCTTTTTGTAGATTATTTCGTAGATCATTTTACACAGTTTTGGAGGGTGAGTTAATCTTCCTGGGGTCATATCCCATAAATTGTTATTTTCAGCTGGTTTTTGATTTTTCTGTGTCTGCTGCATTTCTTTTTGAAGTGCAGCCACTTGAGTTTTTAGCTGCTCTATAAGAGAATTCTGCTCTTTTACTTTTAATTCAAAGCTTTGCATCCTTTGAAAAGTTTCTAAATTTGATTTTTTGAGCTTTTCGCTGTCATTTTTTATATCAGTTTCTTTATTTTCATAAATTTTTCGTTCATTCTCAAGCTGCTGTTTAAGGATTTGGATTTCTGTTTTTAAGTGTTCATCGTTTTTTCGTGAGGTGGATTTCTTTTTTTTCTTTTTTTCAGGGTCTGAAAGTTTTGATTTTAATTTAAAAATTTCTTCTTTTGCTTCTGATAAAGCTTGATTTAATTCTGCATTTTCTTTTTGAAGATTTGAGTTTACAAGAGTTTGTCTGTAACTTTGAGCCTCAAAACCTTCATATTCTCCTGTTGGATTTTCTATGCCGTTTTGATGCAGTAAATCTTCAATATGGTGTTTTAGCCTTGTACATTCATCTACATATGCTTGAACTTCAGCTTCCAGTTCCATAATTCTTGAAGTTTTTGTGTTTTTTCTTAATGAAATTAGTTCAGTTTCTTTTGTCTGAAGCTCTGATCTTAATTCTTTGACATTTTGTTTGAGATTTGTGATTAAATGAACGTTTTTGGAATTTGGCTTCTCAGTTGGAGATTTTTGATCAATAAATATAGCATATTTTATTAAATAAACCTAAAACCATGATTTTCCAATTTTAATAGTAAAAATTAGTCTTATTAGAAATATTTCTTTTTTTCCTATATCTCTTTCGAGCTGGCTTATTCTAGTTCTTAATAAAATAACGTCTTCAGTTAAAGAGTTGACTTTCATTTTCAAAGCGATATTTTCATCATAAAGCCTTTCTTTGTCCATTTGAATATTCTTAGGTCGAAGCTTGGCCAGCATTATAGGCTCTGCTTCTTTATTTGGGACTGGCTTTTGTCATACTGGGAAGATTTTCTTTGTAGCTGTTATTGGGCGGGCTGGCTTTCTGTTAACATTTTTAAGAGGGTTGCCATCAGGTGCTTTGGCACTTTCAGGTCGAGGAGGGTGTGGGATACGCTTATCAAAAAATCGCTCCTCGTCTTTCAGAGAATCTTCGTCATTGAATTTTGGAGCTGATCTGGTATCAAATTTCCTAAATTATTCGTACATTTGAGGAAAACTCATTTCTTAATATTCAACTATGTTTAAATAATTGAATATTTATTTAATTTTTTATTTTATATAGAAAAGGCATTTATATTGGCTATTTATATCATATTTGATTTAAATATTCAGGCTTAATATGATGAAGCTCAAATGGGAAAGTAATTTTGGCTAGATTTCTTTCCACGGATATTTTCTATTATAGCCATTTTCTTTGGTTTTTTTTACATGAAATTTGGTCAAAAATTGACGGTCTTTGCAAAGAAACTTTTTGGCGAGGTAAATGCTTCAAAAAAATTTGTGCCGAGAGGAAAAGACGTGAGTAATTTTTTCTGATTTGTTTGGTAGAAAGAAAGCCCTTTAATTTAGTTACTAAATGTCTAAGGATTGATAATTAATAAGATATCGCAGAGATGTAGGCTTTTGTCTTCAGTTTGGCATGCATAATTGCCAGAAGAAAGAGGATTTAAATAATTAAAGAAGAATAAGCGTATTTACTAAAATTATCATAAAGGCTTAGGGTGTAGGGTGAGGTCAAATTAAATATTGTTCACTCAAATCAATTTAGCATTCATACGACCTATATATCAATGGATATGCAGGAGATACAGAATGCATGTAAACTTTATCAAATCTTATGGGCAGCCATAAGCCAGACATAATTTTTATAAGGAATATTTTTGTATTAGAAATGAAGACAGGAAATTTCCAAGATGATAAAAAGCGAGTATATGAATTCAAGCGAATTATCATAGTCCATCCATCTTTGTAGCTCGCTTTAGGTCAATTATTTTCTATTCAAAACAGAATTGAAGTGGCCGCTCTCTTTTTTCATAAATTTAAACAACATAAACCAAAATGCGTAAAGCAAAGCAAGGGTGTTAGGGTGGCTACCCAAAGGATTAATAACGATATATTTTATCTCCATAGGCACCCTTAATAGCTCTTATAATCCTGCATATTAAAAATCTTTATTTAAATTAATACTCTAAATTTTTTCTTCTTCTTTTTTCTCATCAACTTCTTCTTTTACTTCTTCTATATTTTGATTTTGTATTTCATTATGGATCTCATCCTTCCACACATGCAGAGTTTCTATAATATCCTCTCCAAGTTCTTTGCAGTTTTCAGATCTCAATACTTTTTCAATAAATTTTTCAAGAGTTTCTGATTCTTCCATTTTGGCAGAAAATTACTATACTTTTTTCCACTCAAAAAAAGTTAATTAATATTTTATAGTATCAGCTTTATTTATTATAAATAATTATAATTTTATTTATTTTCATTAATATCAAGAATTTTCTCATTCACGGTGCCTCCAAATGTTCTAGCAATTTCTCTAAGATATTCCATAATTTCTTCTTCTGTAGCATTTTCTCCTGGGAAATCAAATAAATGTCTGTTTTCTGCCTTTTCTTTTTTTTCTTCTGGGGTTAATTTCCTTCTTTTAGGCCTTATTACAGCTTTTTCTTCAATTTCGTCATGTTCTGGGTCATTGTATTTAATATTGCCATGGTAATCTGCAGGAAGGGCTTTGTAAAATCATTTTAAATGGTTATTTCTTAAAGCTTGATTGGCAGCAAGAGAGATTTCATTATATGTATCCCTCGCGACGTGCTGACAATTGTGTGTTTTTATGTTATAGGTATGTGTTTTAGCTATTTTTTTGAAAACAGAAGTAATGTCTTTTACTTTTATCCCAGGTGGCACTGCAGCTTTTCTAAATAGCTCACAAGGAAATCAATCAGAGTATTCATAAATAATAGATCCTTCAGGATTGTCTGCAGAAAAATCATATCTTATCTATATAAAGGAATACTTTTCTACCTGAAATTGTAGTTATCACAAGAAATGAGTGTTTTCCTCCTAGTAATTTCATTGGGTTTTCAAGATCAACACAATGCTCTTCTATTCATTCCACATATTCATCTTCAACCGGCAAATATCTTTGATATTGTTTGTAAGCATACTTATAACTAGTCGATACTGCTGACCCAATTAATAAACTTTGTAAATTTCCCATGTTTAATAAGGGCTAATTATATGCTATTTGTAATAATTAAAAATAGTTTGCTCATATAAAAGTAAAGTGTTAGGGTTTTATTTAGTCATTGTGATAAAGGTATATATTTTTAGATAGAGATTAATGTATCAGGAAACTCAGGGAGAATGTGATGTAGAATTAATGAATAAAACAAGGACTAGAGATCTTGAGAACTCAGAGCAAGCTTTATTGGAGCTTGAACAACAAGAAGATCAGGCCATAAGAGAAGATGTGCTAACCCCCGTGAGCAGCAAAAAATTTTATGCTCACTGAGGGAGCTTATAGTACATTTTTTTTCGGAATTTTAAAAGTATTCCAATCTGCGACATTGGAAAGCCAATATTAAAATTTTATGTTTAAAAACGCAAGATGTATAAAATTCAACAGAATTAGCTAGAAATTTATTATAATAATTATCTTTTATATATAAAAATATTTTTTATATAAAATTTTTGTTCTCTCACGGAGGTGGGTTCTTATCCAAAATTAAGAATTTCGCTCATAGAGGGAGGAGAGTAAGTGATAAGAGAAATAGTGAGACGACAATAAATAATTATATAGAAAACGAAAGATGCATTAATAGTTTGCATCAAAAAAGAATTGAAGGGTTTTCTAAAGAATTCCAGTTGCTGAAAAAAGAAATTGAGATGCTGAGAAGGGCTAATGGATATTTAACTAGCTCTAAATTGCAGATAGAAAAAGAGCTATTAAAGCTAAAAAATGAACTTTATCAGTGCAAAGAAATGCTGCAAATGGCTAATATCCAAAAAGATATTATGCGCTGGCATAATTTCGTGAGGGTCTCCACCGTTGAGTAGCTGCACATGTGGGATTTTGGTTCCACACATCGGAAAATGTCCCGAAGTATGGAGACCCTCCCGAAATTATGGCAACATATATTATTTTGGCGAGAGAAAAGAATTTTTTATCAGAGCTTAATAAGAAATTGCAAAATGATATAAATAATTTACAGTCAAAAGAAAGTTTATTAACAGTTCCTAACTCTATCAATTAAATAGACAATTATTTTTGCTTTAATTTTATCTTATTTATTTTTTTTTAATTTAAGAAATGCCAAATTATAATAATGGTTAATTGATAATATTATCTTTCATAAATAAAATGGCATCCGGTTCGAGAGAAATTAGCTCTGATAATTTTCTCTCTCCTCATGGAATTTTATTTATGGGGTTGGGTTTTCTCTCGAGAACTTCAGCACAGCAATAGCTGTTTAACTTTGGGGATAACCAAAGGAACAGCTCTTCAGTCGTTCAAGATTTCGGAGTTTTACCCCTCAGCACTTCTCCACGGGAAGAAGACCCTTAGGCGGAACACGCGCAGGAGCTGAGTCAAGACAGAGCGACGGCAACGCGCCGGGTGAGATGTGCTGCGGCTTGGGACGAAGCGTCGATAGAAGGCTTGGCCGGTTGGGCTGACCACCGCGATTCCAAGATGGCTCCGTGACGTCACTAGTTAGCTAAAAGTTCCATTTTGGGACTGCGGCACTAGGCACCTTAAACACCGAATAATTAAGTTAAGTTAAGATAATATTATCTTTCTAGCTCTAGGGGTGTAAGGTGATTGAGAATTTTACAAAAAAATTTGAGGACTGGAAAAAAATGGATACAGAAAATTGCATTGAGCTGAGATATAAGATGAATGATGAGATTGTAATGCTTAAAGCTGAAATAGAAAACCTTAAGTTAAATAACGCAAAAGACTCTACACAAGAACTTATATATCAATTAAGCGAAATAAGCTCTCAACTTAAAGAGAAGATTGGGCTACTTCAAGTTTATCAAAAAGAACTAGTCAGTGAAAAGAAAAAGAGACTGGAATTAGAAGAAAAAGTTTTAGAACAAGAAAACAACCATAAAATTGCTGAAGAAAATTTGCAGCTTAAAGATAGAATTAAGTTTCTAGAAGAAAAATTAAAAGAAATTGGCCAAAACTCAGCAGACACTACTGAAAAAGACAAAGAATTGGGCATTATTTCTGAAGAAAACCAAAATTTACTATCAAAAATTGATAAATTAAAAAATGATAGCAATTCCTTAAAGCAGCAGCTAGGCATAAATTTATCACAGATTAAAATCAAAGATGATGAAATAGAAAACTATAAAAACGATTTAAAGAAAAAAGAGAATGAATTAAATGACCTTAAAGCAGAAAATGAAAATATTAAGGCTACCTCAATTTATGAATCCAATACTCTAAAAAATTTGGTATCTATTCTTCATAAAACAATGAAATTAAGAAAGGAGAATACAAATAATGAAGCTCAATAAAAGTAATATAAGAGTTACGATAATAATTTTTATCTAGAATTTGGAGTAGGTCTTAGAGTATTTAGGTAGGTTTTTTTTATAATTGTAATTGGGAAATTGAATAATTAATTGAAGCAATTGGCTTTCAAAGAGTATACTAATTATAAAATATTGTATAGAGAATCTCAATGAATGGCAATTAGAACAGATAATGTCTTGGAGGAGGCTCCATTCATAAAAAATATTATATCACTAACAATGTTCCGGCTACTTGGTCTAGTGGTATGATTCTCCGTTCGGGTCGGAGAGGTCCCGGGTTCGATTCCCGGAGTGGCCCTTTTTGGATGCCTCTTAATTAATGTAGTGATTAATCTATAAAGGATTTTCTCAGATGCCAAAAGCAAATCAAATAATAAAATTACATTCAAGCCTTTTAAAAATCCTAAATCCTTGCTTTGATTCGGAGATATTTTAGCTCATAAGGGATTTTTTTTAATTTTCTGAATGTATATAAGAAAATTCTATAAAATTTATGTTTCAGAATATATCTGTCTAAATTTAATAAAATCAGATGGAAACTTTATCATATTATCATCTATTCTATAATTACTGCTTGTAACATTGTTATATTAAATAATCTTATTCGCTAATTCGAAAAAGATTTTCTAATTGTTTTGCTCATTAACAATGGGAAAGTAAGTATAGTTGCCACTATTTACTTTATACTCAAAATCTTAATAGCATTTCTTTTTTCTTATCCTATCATCCTTTGCTGAAGTCACCCTATTTTCTATATTCCTTCCAATTAGACTACTATTTTTCTTCATCGCCACCTTTATCATTTCTTTAAAAGCGCCTCAACATTATCTCCCATCTTTGCGCATGCTAATATAAGATTAATTTTATAAAAGTCAGCCAAAGACTTCCCATCTCTTTCAGAAACTGTTATAGGCTGATCGTATTTATTAGCAACTAATATGATTAGTTTCATAATGTTTTCCTCATTGGTATTTCCCTTTCAGACATTTCCCCAGCTCTGGAGGATTTTTTTCCATCAGACATGGGTAAGTCTCTAAATTCCCGATAAGTCCTAAGAGAAAAAAATTCAACCAAAGCCTGAGAAAAAGCCTGGAAACATTTTTGATCAAATAATCTTCAAATATGATAGCAGTATCTTTTGGTGCGTTATCTTCAATGATTTTTATTCATTTTTGAGTATCTTCAAAAGAATTTCTATTATTTACGTCATATGCCATCAATGCTCCGTTTAATTGTTTGAACATTCTCTTGGCAGAGCCTTTAGTTGACTTGTCCAGAGTTTCACAAATCTTGATTTTTCAGTTTCTTCCTTTTAAATTAAAAACTTTGACTCTTAAGCCGATTTCTATTGTATTTATATGAGAAACCCGAATTTGTTGACTTTTGAATCTTAAAATTATGCCGGTTTTGCCTACAAGCCCATTCCCTATTAAAATGCATTTGGAGTCATATTAATAGTCCATTTTTACAAATTCTCCTTTTTCACAAGCTTATATAAAAATCATATCTTATCCCCTTCATTTCTGATAAAAATAGAAAAAATATCAGATTCTTATCGTAACAAATCAGTTTCAAATCTTATACCGAAGTCATTGGACGCAATTTATTCCCCAATTTCTCTATATAAATGCCTTGTTTTTTTAAAAAAATATTAATTTATATTAAATTTACCAAAATATATATATACCTTTATATTTATATAAATATTTTCTAAATTTTCTAATTATTTTATTTCTATTTAAAAATATCAGCATAAATGGAAAAAAGGATTTCAAGAAATATTTCCCTGAAAAGGTTGTCTATTGAAGAAGAGAAAAAGCTTGCAAGAAATCCAGTGCCCCGAAAAGAGGTAAAAAAGAAAGCTCCGGTTGTAGATACTCGTAAAGTAAGCGGGACTTCTCTAGATGCTCCTAATGCATTGGTTGTAGATAAACCTAAAACATCAAGAGATAAAGAGCTAATAAATACGGCTCCATGCCAAATTACAGTATTTTTGACGGTATATATTAAATCAATGTACATTTGGTCGAAATTTAACGGGTTTTTTTTTAGGTCAAATGTCTCACTATCAAAACATTTCAATCGATTTTCGATTAAATGTACTTCGTGAAATGCAAACTATCAAAAGTGCACGATCATTGGACCTGCACCCAATAAATACAGCTTTAAACAAGCACTTTATTTTTACAAGTCTTGCTGATGAAAACAGAGGAATTATTATAGAGCGCATGAAACATTACACTTTAGGCCCAGGAGAGCTCGTTTTTGAGCAAGATCAGCCAGGAAATACCTTTTTTATTATTGCGTCAGGCAAGGTGGATGTCTTAATAAGCCGGAAAAAAGTCAAAGTATTAGGTCCAGGCGACAGTTTTGGAGAACTTGCATTACTTCATGACTCCCCAAGATCAGCCACAATCCAAACGACTGAGCGCACAACCTTATGAGGACTTGACCGTAAAACTTTTAGACATGCAGTAAAGCTTTTATCTACTTTTGGCTTTCTTAAATCCCCCTAGTACTATTAGATTTCTCTTCTATTATATAATCTGCCTTATACAAGCAATAAGAATGCACAAGCTATAGAAACAGTAAACGCTCAGAATTACCAAGAAAATAAACGATTTATAGAGAGTGTCCCTTTATTTCATATATTAACAGCTGTACAAAGAGATGCACTAGTAGGGTCATTATCTACACTAAAATTTAGAGCAGGAGAAAAAATCGTCAGTGAAGGTGACCCAGGCGATTTATTTTACGTCGTTAAAGAAGGTATTGTATCATGCACACAAGGAGGCAGAGAAATAAGGCAAATGTATAGAGGCGATTTCTTTGGGGAGCAGGCTTTACTTTATAATTGTGTGAGAACCGCCTCTGTAAGTGCTGTTGATGACGTTAAATGTGTGGCGATTGGAAGAGAAAGGCTTACAAAGGCACTGGGAAATCATCTGCAGGATATTATTTATCAGAATACCAAAAGGATGGCTATAGATATGAGCGAGACTTTGAGGCAGCTGAATAAAGAACAGTGTGATAGGCTCATAAATGCACTAAAGATTGTGATTTATGCGAAAAACCAAATAGTGGTTGGGGCAAATACACATAAAGGATTTCACTTGTGGATGGTCATGAAAGGTAAATTGGTTTCAAGGATTGAAAACCGGAAAACAGAAGTTTTCCATTGTGTTGGGGATGTTGAGATTACGCAGCCACCTCAAGGCGATTGCTGATATTTTTTAAAAAATGCTAACTCCCCCCCCCCTCCGTGAGCGAACAAAAAAATTTTGTTCGCTCACGGAGGGGGGTTAATTTTTTTTTTTAAAAAAAATTTATATATAAATTTTATAAAAAATATTTTTTTTCGAAATTTAAAAAAATCCTAATTTGCAAAAATTGGGAAGCAAATATTAATTTAATTTGCAAAATTTATGTTTTAAAACGCAATTTGTTTAAATTTAAACAGAATTAGCTCTAGATTTCATTATACTAATTATCACTTATATATCAAAATTTTTTTCCATTAAAATTTTTTCTATTAAAAAAAATTTTTGTTCACTCACGGAGGGTGGGTTTTTGGTCAAAAAATGGCGATTTTTCTAATGGTTTTGTTCGCTCACGGAGGGGGGGGGGGAGTAAAATATTTATTTAAAAGAAAATATATCGATTTGAAATTATTGAAAGGCAAGGCCAATTTCCTATATGAAAACTGGAGACAGTAACAGTAGGAATATTTATTAAGATGAAAAATATAAAACCTCAAGGAGCATATTCTGAAGACATTTTAGCAGACTGTGAAACCATTATTGCAGAATGCACCAGGGAAGAATTCGAACTCTGCATTGGAGGATTTTTCGAACAAGTTACCTCAAACAACGAAGCTCACTCAATCTTAAAAAGAGTCGAGCTTCTCCGAGGAATGCCGCCTGACCGTTTTCAAGCCTTAATCCTTGCTTTACAAATAAAAGAATTCACAGATCAAGAAGTAATAGTCCAACAAAACAATCCAGGCGATATAGGACCATTTAATAAGTAGGCAGATAGAGCCGCCTTATAAGCCAAGATTGCATGATTTGAATAGAGAGATTCAAGCTGCATCAAAAAATATAAGAAGTTTGGCAGAAATTATAGCGATGGAAGAAGCAAATGATGAAATGCAGCCTTTTAAGCATAAAAAGAGTAGATCTATAGATCCAAATTGGGATATTGAATTTTAAAGTAGCAAATTTACAGAACTTATATGCTAAATTAAGAAAATAGACGTTAAATTATTATAGAAAATAGGCAAATTTATCTGATAATAAAAAGGATACATAATTATAGTTTTACGATAAAAATATTCTTCTATTGATAAATATGCTAGAATACAGAGCATCAGCTCTATGTTTATTATATAAAAATTTTCTTTAATTTTGCCACACAATCTTTCTGTTAGTGATAGCTCTGTATAATTTACGTAGAAATTTTCTTCACTTTATCGTATTCAGAAAAGCTTCTGAAATGTTTATGTGGAGTAATTTCAAACTTTTTCATCATCGATATTTTTTTATACGAGTTATTTGCTTCATTTCACATCCCATAAGGTGACGAATCTTTTGGTAATTCATTCCCTATTGATTTTCCAGGGGTTTTTCGAATTTTTACATCTTTTAAGGGTGTCCCTCCTTTTATTTGGCTATTGTATCTTAAAATCCCTAACGATTTTTCGTCTTGCTTTTTTTTTAGGTACCCTGTGCTTATAATTGTCCTTTTTTCTAGTTTTCTAAGATCAATAATATCAGCCGGCATATTTTTTACCTGATTTCTCAATTTATCAAACTCCTTCTCTTTTTCTTCTAAAATTATTTTTAATTTTGTGCATTCCACTTCTAGCATTTTAATATTTTTATCTTTATTTTCACTATCTTCTATCAATTTCTGCAATTTATTTTCGTATTTTTTCTTAATTTTGTCGATTTCTTTGTAGTTTTCTCTGTAAGAGACTGCTTTTTCTTCTTTATTTGTAATTGGGCTGTGATCCAATTTGATGTCTAATCTTAAATTCAATTGGTTTTTGTGTTTTTGCGAAATTTTATTCATTTTTTCATACTCTTCAACCTTACTTTTGGCTATATCCAACTGGAGCTTCATTTGTTGCTCAATTTGTATATGGACTCTGGCTTCTGCTTCAAGTTTTTGAAGCATCGTTTCAAATTGTTCTGCACGTTTCATGCTTAATTCTAAAGAATTTACTTCACCCCATATTTATTTACATATAATACCCAATTCTATTAAATAGAGCATATAAGTTCAGCAGAATCAGTAGTTTTGAATTCCCTTTTAAAATCAAGCAGCTCTGTGATAATGTCTTTTAAATTTTCCAAAATTTCTGGAGGCTGCAAGGCATCAAGAGTGTCTATTTCTTCTTGTGTCATAGGAGCTTCGTCTATATCACAATTAGCAATAAAAGTATATCTGAAAAGCTCATAAATTTTGTTGCTTATATCTTCCATGATATAGATTGTCTTTTAAATTTATAAAAATTGATTCATTTCATATGGTGATTTTAATGGAAAATTACTGATAAAGAAATAATTAATTTTAATGGTTATTACTTTTGTGCCTTATCCAGATATACCTTTTTTGATAAATATTTAAAAAAATCATTAGGCTTTGCCTGGATTAATCTATAAGGTATATAAAAAAAAGTTTATCTTCCTTAGATGACAGAAGGCTTGGAAAACAAAGGGTAGAAGCTTATCAAATTATCCAAGCTCTCACAGAAAAAAATAAAAAGAAAAAAGGCTGGACAAAGCACCCAGCTACATTGATGTGAAAAGGATATGAAAACTGCTTGAAATTTTACCTTAATGAGTGCATAAAAGAATGAATTTCAAGAGAAAAAGTCAATAATTTGCCATTATTTGATGTAGATGAAGAGGATATTGAGTACCCATGGTGGTGGGGGTGGGAAATTGTTCACCAAAGCCATATGTGCGCATTAATGAGAAAAAATCCATGGGATTATGAAGGGTTTAAGAGTGAAATTAAAGATTTCATGATAAATTATGGATATGTGTGGCCAAGCAAGTGCTCTGAGGAGGACAAAGAGCAGGAATTTGATGAAGAGTTAGCGAAAAGGATCTGTGCAGAGATTAATCCATTGCAATTAAGGCCGTTTTGTAAGCAAGAAGGGTGCAGAAATTTCCAGAAACATGAAATGAAGGGTATAGCGTGGGCATGCTCTTGGCTTTAAATTTAAAATACCTTATTAAGTCAATGGCCAGAATTTAAGGAATTTATAAGAGAATGTCAAAAGAGTACTAACACTATAAAAAAATGGTTTTTAAAAATTATTGTGGAGTCCATCTGAACAGAAGATCAAAAGGGAAGAAAAAGAAGAAGACTGAAGAAGATTCTAATTAATTCAAAAAGCATTATTTAGGCTAAATTTTTTTTTAGCTATAAATCATTTCAGAACCTATCAGTATGCGTTTATAAAAAGAAGTAAGGATGACTAACAAAATAGAAAGAAAATATAAAACAATTAAATTTGTTAAATATCATAAAGAGTGCCTATCTTTTATTAGGAATTAATTTAAATTCTTGGTAATATTAAATCACAGTTATTATTCTTACCAGTCAAATTAATATTTCTTATTTAAAAGAGTTTATATATATCACTATGTCTGATGATTCAATAAATAGTTTCATTCTATATTTCAGCACAGTGGGATCTATAATTACGGGATTCTTGACATACACTCATGCACAAAATTATTTTCATCTAAAAAATCTCAAAGAGATGTCAGTCAGCGAATTATCCACATCAAAAAGCTTATCATCACCAATATGTGTATCTGGATCTGTGAGCACCCATAATATGTTCGACGTAATTTAAAAATAGTCCCGGACAAGCAAAGAAGACTTAATAGTTGTATATTCTAACTATATAGACGCCCGATACCCTCAATTTTACAGTCTCAAAAAGCCAATTTCTTCTATCAATAAAAAATCAATCAAAGAATTTTCCTTAAAAGAAGGAAAGCACGAAATTTTCATTCAGCCAACTGATGAAACTAATATCAATGTATTGAGAGCTTATAATCAATCAGGAGAGATCTCTATGTCCTTCTGGACAGCCATAAAATCACTGATTTCTTCACTATTTCTTTTCACTCAGCAATTTTACTCATGAAGAGTAGAGGCTTACCAAAGAGTTGTAGAAGACGTAATACCAAAAGATTCTGATATATGCGTTATTGGAGAAGTCAAAAAAATCAGCAATAAGCTGATAATAATTCCAGACTATATAGCTTATTCAAAATCAATTATCCTTAATAGTAAAAAACCTTGAATGTATATGCTTTGTGCTTTACAGCTGGTTTTTGGGGTATTGCTTATAGGAAGTTTAAGTGAAGCACAAAGGAGGAGAAGAATGAGAAGAGGCAGAGAAGAAATAAATAGAGAAAATGCTGTAAGAATGGCACCTGGCTTTCAGTGCTGCATTTGTGCAATTAATCCAAGAAATGTAATCACAGAGCCATGCAAGCATCTGAGCACCTGTTTAAATTGTTGTGCAAATTTAGACGCATGCCCAATATGCCAGGCTCCAATTAATGAGAGGACTCGAATTTATCTCACCTAAAAATGTCTTTATTTCATATAAATCGCATTAAAATATTTTTCTATCAACTTCTTCATACGCATTTAAATTCTTAATTCTTAAAATGGCTTATAATATTTATGTCATCTTCAATTCCATTCCCATCACTCCCAGGTTTCGCCCCTCACCATGATCCAACAGTAAAATTTATCTAGAAAACTCAGCATAAAAGAGTGAGCGCCCAAAAGCAGGAAGAAAATAAAGATTACGTAACTGCTAGCTAGGCTAATCGCCCTTTACCATCATATCCACTTCCAAGACGTCAAAGTCCTGAAAAGCCAGACCAGTCGCGTATGGTAGATACTCAATGGCGCTCCACAACGCATTCAGTCCATGTTCCAATGAACTCTGAAGAAATCACAGACCAATTTGAGCCGACTTTTGTAAAAATGGACCGACAAGTCTTGCGTTTCTTTGGATATTTCAAAGAGCCAGTCGTTGAAAGCGCAATGGAGCATTTCAGGGTAAAAAAATTGATCCTTTATTATTACTTTTCCAGAGAAAAAAAAATTTCAATTTTTATTTTTTATTTTTTTTAAAAAAAAAAATTTTAAAATTATTACTTAGAGGACCATACTATATCTGTCATAGAGCCAAGAGAAGTTAATTCAGGAACTCCACAAGGGCCTTTTATAAAGAGACAAGCTATACTTAAAGCTGATGGAAGTGGAATGGCTATTGTACCAGGCGATTTAAGGGTTGGGAGCAATATTTTAGTTTTTGGCAAAAATATCAGACTGGTCGACTGTGACCAATATACAAGGGAATTTTATGATGTCAATGGAATCCCTCAAGGTCCAGCTGAGCAGATCCCTGATGACCCATTTGGAAAAAGAAAAGGAGAAAAAGTTGTTTTGGTAAAAGATGCAGCTATGAAAGAATTTTTAGAAAAATCATTAGGCGGAGGCAGACAAAAGCCCCAAAAGCAGTTTTTAGACCATGACCGAAAAGTGCTTAGATTTTATTGTTCCAGTGTCGAGCACTTTATTTTGCATTATTATTTAGCTGATGATACCATAGAAATTTTAGAAATTCATTACCCAAATGACGGAAAAGTTGAATTTCCAGTTTTTCTCAGAAGAAATAAATTACCCAAAAAATTCGCAATAGGCCAGCCAGGCCAACAGTCTGAAGAAGACTACTTAAAAGAGCATGAGATCGAGCCAAGCACGACTATAGAAATTTATGGCCGCCAATTTATCATTGATAGCGCTGACGAATTTACAGTGAACTACTACAGGCAGCATTACAGCAGAGTCTTCCCTATTGGCCCAATTCCTGACCCACCTGAAAGAGAAGTAAATAACATTGTAATTCCACCTCACGATGGCCTAGGAAGTGAAGAAGACTCCTTAGGTTACGTGTATCGTCTCATTCCTAAGCCTCCTTATAAAGATTACTTCAAGTTTATTGACAATTCCCATAGAATCCTCAGATGGACAGCCAGATTTAACTCTCCTCAGCCTGAAGACGTCGACCGCAAATTTATTATTTCCATGTTTCTTAATGACGATACCCTTCAAATCCACGAAATTCCTCAAAGAAACTCAGGAATTGTGGAAGGAAAATTCTTGATCAGAGGGAAATATAAGAATGAGAACAGAAATAATGAGTTTTTCCACCCTGCCGATTTCATTTTGGGCACTGATTTGACTATTAATAGGTATAGATTCCATATTGAAAGCTGTGATGAGCATACACAGAAGTGGATGGAGCAGTACTTGGGCCACTATTAAGTAATTCTTAATAATATAGAAATTTATTTATGAAAACAACCTAGTTAGCTGAGCAAGCTTTTCGCTGGCTTGTTTTTTCTGGTTATCCATCTCAGTCAGCAAAATTCTAATTTCTTCTTGCATTTCGTTATTATTTTTCTTGGTGTCCTGCAGATCAAATCTAGTTTTGTCTAATTCAATTTCAAGCTCCTTAATAATTTTAGTTTTTTCTATGCATTCTTTATTCTTCATGGCAAGTGACGCATTTAGCTCGTCTCTAAACAGTTTTAAGTCTTTTATGACAAGTTCTTTTTCTTCAATTTTTTTTTGGGCCTGGGTTTCTTTTTCCTCCTGCAGATTTTTGACCTCTTCTTCAATAGCGTCAATCATTTCTGATTTTTCTTCTAATTGTTTTTCTAGTTTTTCAATAGTTTCTATATAATCGTTTCTTTTTCCTTCTAGTTCTTCAATTTTATTTTCCAGCTCTGAAATGTATTCCTCTGATAGGGATAATTTATTTTTAATTTTTTCTGTTTCGTCGTAGGCGTCTTGTAATTTATTTTCATAATTTTCTTTATATTGGTTTTTATTATTTTGGAAATTCTGAAGCTCTTCTTCGAGCTGCTTGTTAATGTCTTTAAGATCTCGGATTGCGTCGTTTTGGTCTTCTATAATGGCGTTTTTGGTGCCTAAAGTTAGGTCAAGCTCCTTTGATTTTGCTTCTAAAGCAGCGATTTCTGTGAGGAGATTTTTTTCGGTTCTTTCGCATTTGTTTTTAATGGCTTTTGAAGCGTCTTCAAGCTCGCTGATGAATTCTTTAGCTTCAGTTAGCTCACGTTTTAGTTTGGAGATTTCGCGATTTTTTAGGTGGGATTGGTCTTCTTCTTGGGATAAAGTTTTGTCGGCTGCGTCATATTTTTCTTTGACTCACTGCCTTTAAATTGGATTAAAAAAACCCTGTTCCAATTTAAGGGTGGTTAAATTTTTTTTTAAAAAAGCGATTATATTTGCATTGTTTTTCTATAAAAAATTTTTCAAATCTTAAAAAATATAAATTGACACAAAACTTTGAATTTTAATTTATTTTTGCGAAGAATTAAATAAAACATTAATGGATTCAGCTTGGAAACTGTTTAAATTACATCTGCCTGCATTTTTGTCTATTAAATTAGTTCAAAACTAATTTTATCAAAATTAGTAAGGATCCCCACCTCATTTGTCCAATTTTCTAGTTTTTTTTTTCTAAGAAAAAAAAATTTTTCAGGACCTCATTTGTCCCAAAATCTAGTCAAAAATGATTTGTCCCATTTTCTAGTCATTTTTGGATTTTTTCGAATGTCCTAAATTTTAGTTTTTTACTGTAAAAAAACTAGAAAATGAGACAATTGAGGCCCTGAAAATTTTTTTTTTTTCTATCAAAATTTTGACTAGAAAATTGGACAAACGAGGTCCTTAAAAAATTTATTTTTCATATATAAAAAAAACTAGAAAAATGGACAAATGATAAAAGACTAGAAAATTGGACAAATGAGGGGGGGGATCTCATTAAAATTTCCTATTGAAAAAAAAATTGTTTCAATTTCAATGGCGTTAAAGTACCAAAAATTGTAAATTTTTACAGATATTTGTTCCAATTTAAAGGGGGGAGTGAGGGTTTGGAATTTCCCTTTCATGACTGCAAGCTCTTCTTCTAATTTTCCAGACTTTTGTTCGCCTTCTAGCTTGAATTTATTTTTTTCTGTGATTTCTTTGTCAAGCTGTAACTGTAAATCTTTAATTAGTTCTGTTAATTCTCCGATTAGCTCTCTTGAGCTTGCTTCTTTATTTACTGACATTTTAAGCATTTCTCTTAAATCTGCTATATCAATTTATATTGAATAATTTTTTTTAATTTCTTATATATCCGAACTCAGGTAAAAAAAAGCTCAAATCTATAAAAAATATAATCTTTCCTAATTATAATTACTATACATCTTTTCCAATCTCATTAATTTCTATTTCTTTTTCTCTATCTTTATTTTTTAACTGCATTTCACAATTTGACAATTTTTTTTCCAATTCATAAATTTTCTGCCTTAACTCTTCTTTTTCTGCATATATCAAATTTTGAGTTTTTTCTTTTTCTTGCTGTGAAATATTTTGCAATTCCTGCTTTAAACTAGCTATCATATTTTCTCTGTTCTGTATAGCATCTTTAAATTTAATGCTCCAATTTTCATCAAATTTCGCATTCATTTCTAAAATTTCATAATTTTTTCTCTTAATTTCTATAAGCTCTTCCTCTTTATTTTCCAAATTTTTGCACAAATCATCATATTTATTCTGCAGCTCTTCATATCTTTTTAATGCTTGTGAAGCACTTTCTAACGATTGGCTATGTATCTGTGTTAAAGCAGTTTGTGCTGATTTTAATTCATTTTTAAGATCCATGTTTTGTTTTTCTAAAATTTTTAATTTTTCTTGTTTTCTATAAGTATCGTCCACAGTCTGTTGTACTACTCTTTGGCACTCTCCAAGATCTTTCATCATAGAAGCTACTTGGCTATGAAGGTCTTCAAGCATTTTATCTTTAGAGCTTGCTGCCAAATGAGCTCTTTTTAAGTCTTCTTCTAGCCCAGATACCTGTGCTTCTTTTGCTAAACAAGATTTTCTTAATTTTTTGCATTCTTTTTCAAGCTCAATCCTTTCATATTTCGCCTCAGCTAAGCCTGTTTCATAGCTTTTAGTCCTTTGTATCCAATATTCTTCAGATACTTGGAATTTATAACAAATATCTTTATATTCTTCGTATAAATTAAGATTAAGATTAAGATTACGCTGGGTATTTAAGGTCCCTACTACGTCCGAGGTCGCATGCCACGGTTTCCCGTGTGGTGGCAGAGCGTTCACCAAGCCGGGCCGAAACCCCCGGTTTCTCGGTAGAGGCATTGTCAAGGGCCGTCTTATACCGGCTTTGCTGACCACCTCCATTTCCAACTTGGATCGTCGCCTAAGTTTACGCCAACTCCGCTTCGTCGTCCGCCAGATCTGCCCATTGAGGGCACCTTTTCAACTGGAGAGAGACCCCGTTTTGGTGTCTAACTCGCCTCCCCTCTTTTCCGGTCATCCCGAGAAAGAACTCAACAGCTTTCGCCATTCGGGGCGAGCCACTAAAGCAGCTTAGGCAGGTAATTCACCCTGCCTCATTTCGGGCACTCACTGGGCTGAGCGCTGCTGGCAAAAAGAAGTCACGAATAACTGCCCATGGGTCTCTGGTCGCAAAAACAGCGGTTCTCGCGCTTAGGCCTCTCGCTTCGAGGTCCCGGACGTTGTTGGGCGAATTCCTGGCTCCAAAAACCATGCCCGGATATACATGGGTAACCACCACTGGGAGGGTGGGTCGGTCGCCATACGCCATTTTATGTATATATATTCTTCGTATAAATCATTATTTGCTTGCTGGAGCCGTATGACTTCTTGTTTATAAATTTGGTCATTATTAATAGGCTGGGTTTCTATAAGCTCTATTTTATTTTCTTTAGTTTTTGGAGACTCTTTTATAGGCTCAGGCTGAGTGATTTTTATGGGTTCAGGAGACTTATTTTGTGGTGGCGGGATGTTTTCTTCTTCACGGATTTTAGGAGGAGATGGCTGGGCTCTTTGTGGGTTTACCATTTGTTGGTCTAAATATTTAATTTTTGGGACACACTGTAAAACTGTATAAGAGTATTCAGGCATTTTGCAGACTGGGTTTGCTCCATTTTGGCTTTGAAAAGCTACATCTTCTAAACTTTGGCAGCCTGCTAAATATCGTAGCTCAGATAATTGGGAAATATTGTTTCCTCTTATATCAAGCTGTTTAAAATTTGGATATTGTGGGCCATATAACTGCCGTAAATTATAAAGTGATGAGATTTTATTGAAGCTGAGATTTAATTTTTCTAACTCCCCCCCCCCCCCCCTCCGTGAGCGAACAAAACCATTAGAAAAATCGCCATTTTTTGACCAAAAACCCACCCTCCGTGAGTGAACAAAAAATTTTTTTAATAGAAAAAATTTTAATGGAAAAAATTTTTGATATATAAGTGATAATTAGTATAATGAAATCTAGAGCTAATTCTGTTTAATTTTAAACAAATTGCGTTTTAAAAACATAAATTTTGCAAATTAAATTAATATTTGCTTCCCAATTTTTGCAAATTAGGATTTTTTTAAATTTCGAAAAAAATATTTTTTATAAAATTTATATATAAATTTTTTTTTAAAAAAAAAAATTAACCCCCCTCCGTGAGCGAACAAAATTTTTTTTGTTCGCTCACGGAGGGGGGGGGGGAGTAAAGAAAATAGTTCACTGAGTCCATTAATAACTCTGATCCCATTACAGGATAAATCAAGGATTCTTAATTGCTTCATATCGTGAAGACCTTCTATTCGTTGTATAGAGTTTGAAGATAAATTTATTTCTATTAAATTTGTGAGCTGCTCGATTCCCTGCATTGAAATCAATTTTGGGCAATGGAGAACCCTTAATTTCTTTATAGAAAGATCACTAGTTAGCTCAGGAATGCTGCTTAATGCTTGAATATTTGCCCCGTAACATGAAAATTCTTTAGGAAATTCATCAAAGTCTTCCATTTAAAATTTTATGAATTGTGATTACTTTATATATTTTAAAGCAAAAATAATACTTATTATTAGGAAACTATAGTTATGAGCCCTATTTATTAAATAGAAAACATCTCAGTTACTTACTCCCCCCCTCTGTGAGTGAACAAAAAACTTTTGTTCACTTACGGAGGGGGGTTAATTTTTTTTTTTTAAAACAATTTATATATAAATTATATAAAAAAAATTTTTTTTTCGAAATTTAAAAAAATCCTAATTCGCAAAAATGGAAAGCAAATATTATTTAATTTATAAAATTTATGTTTTAAAACGCAATTCGTTTAAAATTAAACAGAATTAGCTCTAGATTTCATTATACTAATTATCATTTATATATCAAAAATTTTTTCCATAAAAAAATTTTCTATTAAAAACATTTTTGTTCACTCACGGAGGGTGGGTTTTTGGGCAAAAAATAGGGATTTTTCTAATGGTTTTGTTCACTCACGGAGGGAGGGGGAGTTAGGTCTTGAAATGGTATCTACATGTTTTTTCTGCTCTTCTCTTAAAGTCTCAAAATATCTCGCAGAAAACGCAATGATATCAGCTGGGTTGTTTCTTATGACTTCTTTTGAGTAATTCTTCAAAATTAGTGGTAGCTCCTCAGGGACTGAAATTTGTTCAGCTGAGAACAATCTCATTTCTTTGATATCTGCCATTTTATTTTTATAAGTAACTTCTTGGGAGAATTAATTTTAATTTATTCTTGTTCTTCTACCCAGATTTCTCCACCTTCACTCAAAATATAATAATTTAGAGTTCTCAAATCATCATCCAACGGCTCTGGCGCCACCACTTCTTTATTATTCCCTTCTCTATAGCTGAGCTTCATATTACTGAGTTCAGCTCCAAACAATTTGCCACAAAGTACCTTTAAATCAGCGACTGTCATATTCATTGATAATTTCTTCTGTAGCTCTTTTCCTGCTGTTGCTTTTACCAAAGACCTTAACATTACACTTGCAGTGGTGCTCATTAACGTCTGCTTTGCCATATCTTGGTCACTAGATATTTTAGTAGCGATATCAGCTGGGTTTCCATGCTTTTCTACAAGCTCTTGCCATCTTGGTGTAGATGTAGCTTCAGGGTTATCATAATTTGACCTTAAATAATATCTTTCAGCATCGATTCTTTCTTGAGGTCTGATAGCTGACCCGTTCAGCACATTTAAAGTGCCGATTCTTCCTACAACCATAAATCTCAATAGACTAACCCTCATGTTGCCTTGTAGAGCTGGGTTTCCTTGAATTCTTAGCTCTTTAAGTCCAGCTGGGAACTTATAAAGTTCGTCAATGCTTCTCCAATTATTCAAGCAATTTTGTTCAACTGACAAAGCTTCCAGCCGAGGAAATCCGCCTGAGTAATAAATGTAATCAATCTGATTTTGGTTCAAAATTAATTTTTCTAATGCTGGGAGTCCTGAACAATTCTGATTTATCATCTCCCATGATGAAATTTGGTTATCTTGCAAATTCAGCAGCTTTAAATTGCTGAAAAGCTCTGGATTTATACTAATTACATTACATCTGTTTTTATATAAGTGAAGCTCTTCTAGGCACGGAAGATGTGGGATAAGTGTTAAAGCTTCTTCCCATACCAAATCCATAGAATTCAAGACCAAAATTTTTAAAGGGTGGGTAAATGATACTGTTAATGGCTGATTGATTCGGTTTTGGGAAATATAGCTTTTCCTCTATAATAGATTGCTATAGCCAGCAAACTGACGAAAAATATGCTATAACTTGAACTGGGGTAATAAAAAGTATTAATTTTTTATTTTTTAAGGACAAAAATGGTCTATAATGGCCAGCTAAAGTGGGAAATGGTATACTCAAAGTCTTCAAATTAGGAATTTCACTTAAAATTTGGGCAATTTGATTCCAAGAAAACAGCAGATTTTTGTCAAGCAATAATGATTCACAAGAGATTAGATGAGCTCCGAAGCCAGGATCTATAGTTTTTACCATTGAGGTCTGTAAAGCAATTTCTTTAAGCCTGTCAATTTTTTCTTGCCTTGCTTGGATTTTTTCAGTCCCCACCAATTCGATGTTTTTCCTTTGGTTCTTGACTGTAGGGACATAGCATTCCGAGAAATCTTGCTCTGTTCTATCTGCATATTTATCAATAATTGCAGTACTTATACATTGAGTTTGGTCTAAGCCTTCAAGAAGGACAGGAAGTTTCATAAAGCTCCCGCACATTGGATGTCGAGTTGTGAAGTATTTCACGCCATCAAGTTCTCCTGAGTGTTTATCCTATTAATTTTGAATAAAAATAATTTTTATTAGCCTTATTAATGCATTTAATTATAGTAAATTGTATACCTTTGGATTCTTCATCCCATTCAAGACCTACCCATGTGTCTTCTTTGTTTGGAAGTGAGCCAATCCATCTGACTGACGCCAAAGATTGTTTGAAGCTTATCCTTTCTCCTTCAGATAACTCCATTTTATATAAAAATTTGTATTTAAATGATAGAACACCCCAATTTTTGAAATTGAAAATAGTTAAATATGAACAGAATATTTATGTTTATATATCGAGGATACCAGTATCTTCGCTATTTGTTTGGCATAGTGTATACTCGCTTAAAGTAGCCTTCAATTCGCAGCCTTTCTGATGTCTGTTATACTTAAATCGCTGAAAATTTCTGGAAGCTGTTTGTGGTTTTTCTTGAGGTTGATTTCCACCGCTTTCAGCAATATTTTCTGTGTTTACTGTATCGGTAGTAATGGTTTCTTTAGGCTCATCTTCTCTATGTAAAGCAGATATGCTTGTTTTTACACGAGTTTCATGATTTTTTGTGTCTGGGATTACTGGCTGTCTGACTCTAAAACGTGACGATAAATCAATTCTTGCGATATTAACTGTCGTAAATGGTGTTGGCGGAGAATTAGAGCCGAATCCAAAGCTACTTTTTTCTAGACTTGGGAGTTTTTGGTTTAATGATCCTCTTCTGTTATTAGTGCAATATTCACTAAAATCTACATGGGTCGGGATCTGAGGGGTTAAAAGCCTATTGCACAAAATGTCAGCTTTGGGTTTGTAGTGAAATTCTTTGATATCTACTGAAGGAAGCTTTAGATGTTTTTTTTGTTCCATTTTACAAATTATCAGGATTATTACTTACTTTACTTAAATTATATCGGGCCGATAGGCCTCTCGGTTCGACCTGCTTTATTTCATCAGGGCGGACTTCCAAGCGATGTCACCGACTTCAACGGCTCATGACTAAGCGACTTCGCTTGAGAATGTGAGCTGCCTGCTCAGAAGGAGGCCATGCCTGACTGAGATGCATATTTTAATTATATCAGGATTCTAACATAAAAAAAATAATTTTATTATATAGTAAACGATTTTCTTTAAAATTGCAATTTTAGCCTCCGAAATGATTTTTAGCCTATTAATTGTAACAGCTGATGTATCAAATTTTTTTTTGTTCCTTCAAAATTCATATATTGTGAAATTGTCTTATTAAAAGTGATTATATGAATTTTAATAATAATTAATTTTATCTTCTGGCTAGATTTATATGATTTATAAGATTTTTAATCAAAATAGAAGTTTTATATTAAAATAAGATTTATAGTTTATTACGGCAAAGATGGGGGTTTTGATAATATCGAAAACATTTTTTTGTGTGGAATCTCTGGTATCACCTCTTCTTCTGAGCTCTCCTCTGAAGTTTCTTCATCATTTTTATTTGAAGCATCAGTGCCTTTTTTCCTGTTAATGCTTGTTAAAATTGGTGCATTTGACTGATAAAACACTTCTTCTCCAGCTTGCATTCTTTGGAAAGCCACTAAAGAATAATAAGGATGCTCAATGCTCCCAAAAATGTCATCTACCTTCCCCACGACTAACCCGTCATTTCTGCATATCTTTGTGTCAAGTTCTAGCAAAGGTGCTGCTGGAGAAGGAGTGATGACTAAAAACCCTTCAGTGTAGTTCAAAACAGTCCCAAAAGATCTTAATTCACCTCCTATGAATTCATTTTCGTAGTTTAAGGTGAGGACATTGAAATCTGGGATTATTTCTTTTTTTGAGTCGGCTTGTGGAGTGGTATTTTGTTCTTCAACTTTTGTCAATAAGTCGTTTAAAGTTGACGAGATCTGATTTTCATTGGTTCAATATTTTTGCTCTATACTTTTGAGAGTAGATTAAGCCAATTTTTTGTAAAGATTTAAAAATATTTTTCTGAATTCTCAATTATTCAATCAAAAAAAACGTTATTAAAATGTTTTATATGTAATATATATTTGAATATTAATTTATTTTATGAAGACTTAATTAAAGCATTAACCTATTCAGTGTGAAAGCTGCTTAAATAATATTCTAATTGTATATTTTCCATTAAATTATTTCAAAACCTATTTTGAAAATTAGTATTTTTCACCAATAAAATTTGCCCATTAAAAAAATTTTTCCAATTTAAAAGGATGGTAATTTTACCCAATTTTAAAGGGGGTAATGAGTAAATGTTTTGCGACTGTTCAAAATTTGCATGCAGCGTATTTTCATCACTCATAATTTAATTCTAGTCATAAAATGGCTCATTTTTCCACATAAGCCTATTTAATAATTCATCTAATTATTTTTATAAATTGATTCCTCTTACTATCCTAGAAATTTCAAACTTTTCTATATCTTTGGCAGGATAATAGCTTCCACCAACAGCTGCAAGAAGCGCTATAAACACCATAATGAAAAACATAGCAAACGGAAACTCAATATCAAGCGGCATCTCAGTGAACAAATTAAACTGCGCTGACAAAAGCACTGCAATTGATATCCCAACTGTTGTCCCTAACACAACAGCACTAAAAGTAAGCAGAGTTGACTCATATATATAAAGCCTCGTGCATTCTTTTCCAGTCAGTCCTAGCGACCTTAGCACCCCATACTCCCACGAGTTTTCTCTCACATTTGCAGAAAAATTCGTCCATAGCAAGAAAAACGCCAGGACAAGTGCCACAATTCCTGTGACAATAAAAAATGCTTGCATTATCATAACAGTCTGATTAGCGACCTCAACCAAATCTCCTACATTTATCAGGGTGGTTTCATCATTTGTAAAGAACGTCCTGATCCCATTGGCTACTACATCTCGGTCAGCTTTTACTAATCCAGACTTGAGCTTCACAATTAAATAGTATTTCGGGATATTTAAAGTTGTGCCTTCAGGTTGACCTGCCGTCAAAACACTAGGCCAATTTCCATTATATACAGCATCTACCATTGTTTTGTAGTCGTCCATAGACACAAAAGTGGTGGAGGAGTAGGCTATATAGGAGTATGAAGAAAAATAAAACCCAGGGATTTTTGTGGCCATTCCTCTGACTCTGCCTCTGAAAAGACTGTCGACGTCTGTGTCATGATTGGTGACTTTGAAGCGGATTGCGGTGTCAGTATTCATTGACATTGGGTCTCTCATACCTTCAGCAATTACAGCTTTTATTGGGAGATTTGAGCTAGGCTCTTTATAGGTTGTATGCAGCTTTTCTGAAGTAATTCCATAATAATCCCAGTCACCGTTATATGAGACAAGGCCTTCATCTGTATATAGACCATATATTAAATCTGGCTGGTTTTCTGAAATATCAGGGAAATCTACGTCGCTGTCTTTTTCTGTTGGAATATAATATTCTGTATAAATAGCGTCTAAATAATGCTCCTCAACACCTATAATATTAGTAGACTGTGAAGGGTCGCCACAAATATTGGAAATAGCTGTAGAGCCGATATCAGGCAAATTATCTAAAGGCCCACTGGCAAATGTATAGCCTTTGATATTGTCACTGTGATTTTTTCCGTATATATTGTCAAGCCAATTTCTTATATCACCTTCAGCGAGGCCTGTATCTTTACTTGTAGGCTGGTATATGTATAAATCGCCGCCAAATGAATTGTATAATAGTTTTGTGGTGATTGAGCCTTCTAAGTTGAATGAGACACCGGCGAATATGATAAAGCTTAAGGACATGCTGACCATAAGGGAACTTTTCCAGTTTCTAGAAGAATGACCGACTAAGTTTTTCTTGACAAGTGGTCCTAACCTTCGATCGTAATATGATAAATATAAAACAATGGTAGCGTTAAGCTGCTCAAGATAGGGCTGGAGTAAATGGACTAGGAATGTAAGGCCAACTATCATAAACAGCAAGATGATATTTAATAAAAATAGGAAAACTTCGTATTTCTGCATCAAGAATGCGTATGGAACTAAATAATAGGTTAAAAAACCCATAAAAATTAATACAAAAGAAACAGCCAATAATGGTGGGGAAAGCCCCATTTTTTCGAGCTTTAAAATTGTAACAGTAAGAGATGTGATTACATGATGATACAAGTCAAGAGAATCCCTTAGTGTTGCTGATAAAGCTCTTTTGATCGGAACATACACAGAAAACAACGGCAAAAGTGTCCCTATTAAAATCCCAGTCATCCACGCATAAGGATGTAGAATGATACTTACATTAAGCGCAGTATATCTGCCAATAGCATAAGCTCCCAAAATGTTCAACAAGAAGCTTAAAAACAGTCCCATAACAAGTCCAGGAAATGAAAAGCTTGAACACTGCAAGAGTAAGTACTCCGTCAATGTTTTATATTTCATTCCAAGACTCCTCAGCATCCCATACTCATAAGTTTTTTCCTCCACATTTCCCAGCATCAGCGAATATATCAAAATAAATGACAAAATAACCAAAAACACAATGACTGACATAAAGACATTGTCAAGAAACGCCTTCATGATCTGGATCCCTTCCATATTCTGGGCCAAAAGCAGCTGTGGCTCTGTAGGATGCCCATATCCAAGCTTATTATAAATCTGGTTCGTTATATGGGTAAAGCTGATTTTCATATGGTTTACGTCATTTGTATATATATCTATTCTGTCCTTTACTATTATATTGACATATAGCGTGTATTCGAAAATGTCAATGCTTTCTAAGCTGTTGATTAAGTTATCTACAGTTGTTTGGTTATTTAGGACGCTAAGAGACTGTGTCAAAGCTCCTTTGACTGTTGAAACTATTTCGTCTTTTATGTATTTTGCGTCTACCAAAACTACATTTCCAAGGGCTGCAGTCCATTTTCCTTCACTCCCCCCCTTTAAATTGGAAACAAAATATCGGTAAAATTTCCACTTTTTTGGGTAAATTAAACCCCCTTTAAATTGGAACAAAATTTAATTTTATAATAAAACATTATAATACTTTTTTATCTAAAAAGTTTTGATATAAGTTAAATGTTTCTTCTTAACTAAAATTAAAAATTTAGTTATATCTTGCTCTTTTTTAAAGAAAAAAGTATAAAGAGCATCTATTTAAATAAATTTATTATCCTCAATTGCTAAATTTTAAAAAAAAATTAATTTGTTTTTTTAAAAATTTTCAAAACAATTTTGTGTTTTTTTTGATAAAAACGATATTTTTTATTTGGATAGTTTTGATATAAATTCAATAGGAATTCTTATAAAAAATTTCAAAATTTACTTATTTCTTGCTTTATTTTAAAGAATAGAGTATAAATAACATCTTATTTAAACAAAATTAGCGCTTTGATCGATAAATTTTTCTAAATTTTTTTTTTTTAATTTTTTTTTATCAATAAAAATAATAATTTTTATGTAGATAATTTTGATACCAATTAATAGTGGCGTATTAACTAATAATGAAAATTTAGTTATATCTTGCTTTGTTTTAAAGCATAAAGAGTAAATAGCATTTTATTAAACAAATTTATTAATCTAATTCGATAAGTTTTTTAAATTTTTTGTTTTAATTTTTATATATTTTATAAAAAAATTTTATATTGATATTTTTTTTAAAAAAAAAAATTAACCTAAATTGGAACAAAATTTTTAGTTCCAATTTAAAGGGGGGGAAGTCAGGGCTTTCTATAGATTCTACCACTGTAAATGGGATATCAATTACAGTTAAATTAGCTACCGCATCTATAAGGATCTGATTTGTAGTATTGGACGAAACGGTAATATTGGGAAGACCCGTTACATTTAAGTCAGGGTTTGTATTTCCTAAGACGTCGTTAGGATTTATCGTATAATTCGTGTCAGTATTATTAAGAAGACCAAAACTCTCCAAAAGCTGAGTAGCTATGTCAGCTCTTGTCGAATTGTCAGAAATAATCCCTGCGTCAGCTAAGGAACTGAGGAAGTCAAAGTGGATAATTAGCCTTTGACCTTGAGACGCAGTTATACCTAAGACAGTCAAAATTGAAGACGTTGCAAAAGCTTCTCCATAACCAAGAACGACTTTACTAAAACTTCGGCCAAGGCCAATATCTCTTTCTAGCTTTGTGTCCTAAATGGATTTTACAGCAATAATGATGTATAATATGGTAAATTTAATAAAAATATATGGAGATTATTATATAATAAAGCCAAAAATAAGCCAAAAAGTATAGCTACTTGTATTGAATTTAGCTTCTTCAGGATCATCGGGATTGTACACTTCAGCTTTCAGAGTCCATCTAGGAGCATACCCAGACAAGGTATCAACTTGTTCCAAATAAGGCTCCATCTCTCTATAATTGATAAGTCTATAAGAATTCTGCAGGTTATTAGAATCTACATTCGTTGTATTTAAGGTACGGGTGTCATTAGCAGCAGGTGTCGGTATCAAAATGATGTCAGCTTCTCCGACTTCATTTTCAGCTACTTTGAGATAAATAACTGTCCCTATCAAAATCAAACTTAGGAGAAGGCTAAATGAGGCTTACCTTAAAAAAGTAACAACAATGAAGACTGAGCAGACTCCAATACGAAAAGACCTTGGCCTTTTGGCCATATCGGATTGTAAGTAATTAACCAAGAGAGACAGAATTGACATAAATCCATGAGAATGTCTCTTGTTGCTGTCATTGATTAATGGGATTTTTGGGTTTATGCTTCTATCATCAGCCATGTTTTATTATTAGAATAAAATTTTTGATTTTCATATTGGATTTTGCCTTAAAGTAAATAATTCAAAATAGTTTCTAAATTTTATAAGTTTATTTAGAATATAAAAATCATTAAAATTATCCATATAAGTAGTTTTAATTATAATTCTAATGGATAGAATTTTTGATTTTCTATATGGAAACCTTAAAACCGAATAATTGCAAAATTTTTAAATGGCAACAGATCACCTCAAAAGGATTATAGATGCATCATACTTTATGCCTTACATAGCTGATACAGCAAGAGATGCCACACAAGAAGTTTTCGAAAAAATTTGTAACATTGTTAAAAGAAAGTATAGTAATTCTCCCCTTAAGCATAAAAGGTCAAAGTCTACCAAAAGACAGAAAACTTTAGCTACAGAGGAAAGAAGAAACTCAGTGACTGAAAGACCAATAAAATGAGAAGAAGACCCAATTGTCCTCAAAAAAAAGTCAAAAACCATAAAACAGCTTCTGAAAAAGCTTCAAGAAGAGAAAGAACAGAGACATAAAAAGCTGCAGGAATTAGATGAAGAAGCCAAAAAGAAATTCGAAGAAGAAATGGAAACGAACGAAATTTTGCAGCAAAAACGAGAAGAAGAATTGAGAAAAGAAAGGGTGCTAAAAGCCTTACAAAGGCGAGAAAAAGAAGAAAAGCACAAAAAAGAGCTGGAGGATTGAAAAATTTTGACTGAAAGGGAGTATAAACATGTGTTAAGCCAAAAATATTTGCATGAAAAATTACAAGAGTCGTATGTAACTCAGGTCGTTATGCCTGAGCTTGAAAAAAAGAAAGCAGATCTGGCCCAAAAAAGGATGCTGTTTCAGCCTATAAATAGAGAAGATCTTATTGAGCATGCAAGAAGGCATGACGAAATTATGAGAGACCTCCAAAATAGAAGGGAAAAAGAAGTGCACAACCGATCAATAGATTTACAATACAGACAAGCGATTATTTCCTAAAGCAAACCCTTTATTATATTTTTTCAGTTTTAAATAGGATTATTTTCCATCTAAATAATTTTTTTCTTTTATAATTAATGACCCACAGACAAATTTCCAAAAGTTTTCACTCAAAAGCGCTTGATATTTTAAATGAAGAAGAAAAAAGACAAAAAGAAGAAAAAGAAAGAGAGGAGCTAGAAAGGAAACAAAGAATCGAAAAAAAGCTGCAATATTCTGAGCTTGTAAAAGAGCTATACAGACCTAGCATTGATGAGTATAAAAAGCAAGAAATGAAATTGCTTGTAGAGAAATTAAAGTTTCCTGTTCGGACAAAACTCCATGGACATAACTCTGCTGGGACTTATGAAAATACTACAGAAAGCGGCTCAATGACTGAAAAGCATCGAATAAGGCGCAAATGGACAAAAAATCCAATGGTCCCTGAGCCAGCTCCTAAAAAGGAAATAAAGCAGATAGACTTTCTTGCAGAAATGAGAATTGCAAGGCATTCGAGAGGAACAATCCGCAAAAAATATGAGCTGGAAAAAGATTTAATGTATATTAACCTTCATGATGAAGAAAACGCTATAAAGCTGAAAGAAAAAGCTGATTTAGTTGACAAAGAAATTCTTAGAAAAGAAAGGACAATGAGTTCAAATTTGCCTGACCGTAAAAAAATAGAAATCGCTGAAGAGATAAACGATATGATAATCAGCTCTATCAAGGCTAAGCTAGCCATTGTAAATGCTACAGTTGATTCATAATTTTTAAAATAATTTTTAGTCCATAATAAATAAATAGCGTTAATTAAATAAAAATAATTCCTTTTTTCTATAATGTATGTCTTTGAAATGGGTGCAGGTCAAATGACTTTGCCTTTTTGTTCGTGTCTATTTCACCGAAAAATTTTTGCCGAATATTGATCGAAAATTTTTGATAGTGAGACATTTGACCGAAAAAAAACTGTTAATTTTTGGCTGTCCGCACTATCGACCGAATGGATTTCGATGAAATGTGCACTGTCAAAAAATCCACGGCCATTTGGCATGGAGCCCTTTAAAATATCATAAAAAATTGCATCAGACTTATATTAATCCTCATACTTTTAATTATCTAAAATGTTGGTGATAAAAAGTCTCTTTCCAATAAACTCCTTATATTCTCCATATCAGGCTCACACCTCACCTCACTTAACCTTAAAATTTCTTCAGAAAGTCTAATTGCTTTCGATTTCAGCTCATTCTGAGACTTAACCTCCTGTACGTCTACCACTAATTTCCTTTTCTCAACCCTCCCAAGGCTCTCAAACTTATCCTCAAACCTATCGAAATTTTCAGGTTTCCCAAAACACCTTGGCACTAATGGATCAAACTCGTTGGTTTTATTTTCCTCACGGTCATCTACATCAGTAAAAGCATCCAAGAAAAATATCCACTGATACATATGAAACTCCTCATTATTTATTGTAGAAATCAAGTCTAAAAACTTCAGTGCAGCCATACAGTTTGTCAAATTTTCATTTTTCTCTACAATTTGCATTAATTCTGATAGAACATGAGGCCAAAGTCTTGGCCAAATTTCTGAAATTGCTGGAGGAGACAATTTTAGCATAAGGACTCTTATCCCTAAAAATAGGGTAGTCATGAAAAAGCCAATTACAAATAATTTTTGAATTTTAAATATAAAAATCACTATAATTTGCCTCATTTTTTATGACACCACAAAAAATACCCCCAGGTATCAATGATTCATCCACCCTTATAAACTCTATCAGTTTTTCTACTATCAGCTGCATGCAAGCTTGATAATCATCAATTTCTCCACTATAAATTAAATAGCTTATACACTTTAGTATCCTTATTTTCTGGACATTTGTGATATTGCTGAATACTGTATTTTGGGTTTTTCCTAAAAGTTCATTTATTAGTACATTTTTGTCAGGGTAACAGAAATTGCAGACATTATTGATAATTTGTGACCAATTTCTGAGGCAGAGTTCTCGGCCATTCATAGAGTCGAAAAATTCAGGAGACGTGAAAAAGTCAATAATGTCTTTTCGGAGGACTCTGGCAAGCTGTAAACCACCTGATACCAGAAGGGAGCTTACAAGCTCAGCTACTGTTTCAGCGTGCTCATGAGCTTGGCGGCCTGTTAAAGCTTGGAAAAATTGGCTTGCAGGGGACTGTATAACTGCAGTCACTTTATCTGGGCCTTCTTTTTGCCAAATCTGCTTGACTACATTATAAGCAGCTGATTTCAGTACTTGTAAAGCTACCAGTTTTAAGCTGACTGTTGTCCTTTTATCAGGATTTTTGATAAAAAAATAAATAGAAGGAGGGAAAGGGTGCTTGATTTCTTTGCCTTCAACTGATAAAGCCATAGAAGTGACTGTGTTCATGAGTTTTTGGAAATATTCTTGAATTAGTTTTCTTATGTTTTTATCTGCTAAAGCGTCCTCAATTTTGACTCTTCTTACAAGTAACGCAAAAAGCTCAATAATCCATATATGGACCACTGGGAAAGGAGACTGGTCAAGCTCTTTGGTAAGCTTTACAGCTTCTCCCCAGAATTCACGTTTATCGTCAGAGTCCATATCAAGCTTGTTTTTAGGGTAAAATCCATAAAGGCAATATGCAAAATGGGCGACTGCTGCTTCTTTATAGGTCGAGCTGACGTCATTTTTTCTCTTGTATTGGGCTAAGTTAAGGTCTGAGGTAAATTGATTTAATGCTCTCATAACAATGGCAGGAGAAGTGTCTAGAGAAATAATGATACTCATAAGCTTCAATAAATCGGAGTCCATTTCTTGGACTAAATCGTCAGTCATTATAGTCCTTTTCATCCATATATCCATAGCTGCAATCATTAATTCTGCTGGAAATTTAGCCATAACAGGGTTAAGTAAGTCTAAAATGTGGTTATTTCCTATTGTAGACCCTTCACTCATTTCAGAGGAGGGGCAGCCTAAGATGTAGCCTGTTTGGTTATTATTGGTCTCAGATATACATTTTATGCAGGTGTTCAGCACCATTTCGAAATTTTTGAAAATATTGAAATATGGATTTACTTGGACTTGCTCTTCAGAGCTTCTGAATATTTTTTTCACTCCGTCTAAAAAGGAAGTTTTGGCTTGAGGGATAGGCCTTTGAAGCTCTGGGTAATTGTGGATTAAAATATTTGGATCAGCTCTGCTTTGCTTATTTATATCTAAAGAGTGATGCAGAATGGCTTGCAGACCATCAAATAGTGCAGCGGAGTCTTCAGCTTTTTGGATTTCTTTGCAGAAATTTTCTATTAGAACTTCTATATATTCCATGATTCAGGCTATTTGCTATGCATTTTTTATAGTAAAACTTGCACCAAAAATGTTTCCTTATTAGGAAAACAAGTTAAATTTCAAGAAAACTCTATAAAAAAAGCTGAGAAAAAGAAATCGCCTATATTCCATCATTTTTTCATTATCAATTCTTGTAAAAATAGGCAGAGAATTCGTAATAAAAGAAATCCAATGACTTCTTACATATGAATCATTAGTGTGGAGTGCTTTGAGATATACCTCTCCAAACTGTTTTGACCTTAACAAATCAATGCATTCTTTATAATTCGTTTCCAGCTTGCAGCTAAAGAAAATTACTTGTATGACATTAAGCAATAATAATTGCATGACACAGTCATCTTTATCAATACTTTTATTGATGCAGGCCAGAATTCTATAAACTGCTCTATATGCAAGATCAGTGTTCTTTTGTGATAAAATTAAATCCAAAAATTCGCAGGCAGCAGCTTGGACTGTTTGGTTTCTAATGACGAAATCTTCATCTGAAAAAGTATCAGTCATAATGAACCTTAAAGCAACTTCTACCATTAATTCTAAATAAGTTTTCGGTTCATCTTCATAAGGTTCTGCAGCTTTTTCTCCTTGAATAAGCAGTTCTTCAATTCTAGGGGTGAGTAATAATGATTCTGTTTTCGTAAAAATTATTTCTCCACCATTTCTTATGAGCCTTCTGAGCTTTTTAAATGCGTCAAGAATCCTTGCGTCATCGTATTTATCAATCACGTAAAAGCCATTTTGTTTTCGTCTTAAGGAGTCTGGTTGCATAAGGATCACAAAAATAGGGTCCAAAACACAAGAAAACTGGGAAAGGGAGTCAATTAGCCATTTCCTGACGTTGTCTCTGATTTCTGGAGAATGGTGATCCAGATGGTCAAGCATATAGAAAATTCCGTCACCATTATAAAGAAGCTCTACGAGGGCACCAGACGACACACTGCTTGCTGTATTCCAAAATACAGTGAACCTATTGATATTTTTGACAAGTTTTTTTACCACTTTTTCTTGAGAATTGCTCCAATCCTCTGCTTCTTTAAAGCACCGGCTTGTGTCCAAGGTGCTAAAACTCTCATCGTCCCTGCTATTTCCTAATAATTTTCTTGATATTGTATTATAAAAAATACTTCTATCAGCTTGGTAAAGCATTAAAATTAATTCTACTGCTTTTGATTTATAATCTGGCTTATCAAGAAGCTTTCACAGCCTTTTCATGACACTTTCACATAGATTTTCATTTCTTTCGCTTTCGATTCCTTGTATGTACGAGTTTTCTTCTACTTTAATAAGCTTTAAAATGCAGTCAATCCCTATTAAAGCGACGTCGATGTTAGCCTTATTGTCCATGCAGTCTAAAAAGCATTGCTTTCATTCCAAATCGTGGGTTTTTGGGGAATATCTGCTGAGGTAAATGGATAGTTAGACGCTAATATTTAAGTTCCCCATTCCACGAGCGACTTCTGCACAGCTCCTTTAGGAGCTGTGTGGTGGCCCAAGTGAATTGAGTGGACTTCCACCTCTGGTATCTCTGAGTTCAAGCCAAAACCCTGATATCTCGGAGTGAATGCTCTGTTGGTCTGCAGACCATAGCTGAGCACAACCATTTCCAATTCATTCCCTTAGTCCTTATTATGCCATATCCTGTCTCCTACTCCTGGCTGGTTAGCCCCGCTTAGGGATCGAGGGCCGCCGATAAGTTGATTAGCTTGCCTTCCATTTTTTTCAGGTCATCCCGGAAAAAATTCCCAACCGCTTCCGCGATTCGGGGCAGACCACAATAGCATCTTGAGCAGGTAATTCACACAGCTCCATTTCGGGCGCCCACTAACTTGAGTGCTTCTGATAAAAAGAAGTCGCGATTAATTACCCATTTGATTAGGCCCAAAAAATGCGGTTCTGTTTCTTAGGATCCTCATCACAGGTTCGCAAGATACTACTGCCTCAAAACCATTCATCATCATATTATGTTTATGAGGTAAATGGTTAATGAAGAAGCAAGCCTTAAATCTTCAATCGAGCTGCCAGACTCTTTACAAAGCTGCACAAAAAAGCGGTGAAAGCAATAAATGGAGTCTTGGATATCTAAGGAGCCACAATTGTGAAGTCTTTGCACCATTGCATTGGCTAGATCTAAAGCTGAGCTCAAAGACTGCTGAGACAGGTTGTGCATATTTGTCAATAAGTTTTCAAGCAAAGGCCTGATATGAGTAACTTCGTAGACTTCAATAGGAAATGATTTCAAGCAAAATTTGATTACTTCAATCGCTTTTAAAGCATCTCCATGCAGATGTTCATCAAGAGAGTAATTCAGAGCATCCCAAATCAAAAGCCCGTTCTCCACACACTGGTCATTTCTCAACAATCTTAAGCACTCTTCCAAGATCTCCCCGCCATAATCTTTATCATCTTTATAGTTTTCTACATAAGTCAGCATAGTCACAGTAATTTCTCTCAACAAATAAGGTGCCAGCGCATGATGTCCTAATAGCGGCTCCAAAATTTTCATAGGCAGCAAGCTTTCTTCTTTAGTCGTCGGGTGTATCCCAAAAATGCTTTTCAACGCTTCTACCAAATACTCTTTAATTTCTTCCAAAATGTCTTCCTTAGGGCTTTCGTCAGTTTGGAAGCACCAGAGCCATATTAGTTTATTGATAAACATATCTTGCTGCCTTAACAATTTGAGCACTGCTTCTAATAGGACTGTTTTTTCGTGAGTATTTAATATTTCTTCTGAAATATTTATAGGGAAATGAGAAAGCAACAGCTCAAGTGCTGCCCTTTGGACTACTGTATGCTCGTCATTTATAGCTGCAATTAAAGAGTTCACTAATAAATTTTTCTGAGGCAAATAGTCTTCAAGGCCTAAATCTTCAGTCCTTGGGACTCTTCGGGATAAATATAACAAAGCAGGCCTTCTTACTCGAGGACTTCTTAATAAAGCTTGCCACATAGCCCCAAACAGCCCGATTTTGTCAAGCACAGCGAACCTGTCAAAAATTTCCATAGTCCTCTGTTCTATTTCTGGGTTGCTTTCTTCTTCATCTAGACCAGGAAGAATTGCTGTTACAATGCCTGGCAGGGCAAAGCTGATTTTTGAGCCTTTTTCCACGAAGTAATAGCTGATGAGATTTAAAACATTTTCTTTGTTTTCTAAAGATGCGTATTGGAAATAAGGCAAAATCCCTCCTGAGTAGATTGCTAAGTCGTCCATATCATCCCGACCATTAAGAAGGGTTTGGTAGATGGTTATGGTAATATAATGAAGACCAGGTGGGAGGCCTGGGTTTAAGCATTGAGATAAACGCTTGGCGAGAGTATACTTGTCAGGGATCTGAGCATTTGGGTATTTTTCTAAAAGCTTTTTTACTTTCTTGAGCCATTTTCGGAGGTCATCCCACTCCCATTCCCTTGCTTTTTCGAATTCACTGACTCATCCCTTTTAAATTGGAATAAAACATTAGTACAATTTGTACTTTTTTGTATTTTGTCCCATTTAAATTGAAACAAAATTATTTTTCAATAGGAAAATTTTATCAATGAAATACCAATGTTTATAAACCTAAATTAATCGAAAAATATATTTAGAATATTATTTAAGCCATTTTTACACTGAATCGATATATTTTGATTTAATTCTTCATAAAAATGATTAAAATTTAAATCATCGTGCCAATTTATATTTTTTTAAAAAAATAAAGATGAAAATAATAATTTTTTATAAAATTAGTTTTGGCCTAATTTAATAAAAAAATACAAATAGAATGCTATTTTAAAACAGGTTTTTTGTACCAATTTAAAGGAGGAGTGAGGACTTTGGTTAGCTCTTTCTTGAGATTTGGATTCTCCATTAATTATAACTATAAGGCTTACCTAATAAAACTCCATAATTCCCTATATACTTGGTAGGAATAATAAATGCTTGAAAGCAAAAAGTAGATTTATACAATAATTGTGCAAAAGTCTTAATATACTGAATTTTAAGAGCTCGACGCCCTTGGAGTTTTCGGCTTCACCAAGAGAAGATGTTGATTTTTTAAAAAATGGAAATGCAAATTGAAGGAAAATTGTTTAATTTAGGTAAAAGCTCTACTTGGATCGAATGGCTTATCTTGCAAGTATTATTTTGGCTTGACCAGGACATTTTTTATCTATAACATTTTTTATTAAAAGCAACAATGCATTTTGTTTTATTAAATATATTTCTAAGAGATCAATTCAGCGATATACCTCTTTATTTTTTATAAAATTAGATTTCTACTTCTATTTAATGATTAATTTTTTTTTATTACAATTTTTAGATCTGTTTTAGATTTTCTTCCTTCAAAAGCTAACTAAACTTGAAAAATTTATTTTAGTATCTCTCATAATAGGCCTCAGATCTTGAGAAAGCAAAATTCAATATGTTTGAACTGGTTTGATAAATTCCATTATGTTTAAATTCATTATTTATACAGATATCCTTATCAGAAATTAAAAAGCCATTTAATTATGACTAGCTAAAAAATATCCTGGTCAGCCTAAATAATACTTGCAAGATAAGCCATTCGATCCAAGTAGAGCTTTAGCCCTAATTAAACAAATTTTCCTTCAATTTCATTTCCATTTTTTAAAAAACCAACACCTTCTTGGTTAAGTCAATGACCTCAAAGGTGTCGAGCTCTTCAAATTCAGTATAATATTTTGGCTTGATTTCTGATCGGCTCCCACGAGCCAAAAATGGGTTTCCGCGTGGAATTTCTGGATTTTCACGCATGAAATCCATCTTTGGCTCGTGGGAGCCGATCAGAAATTTAATCAACTAATTATATAAGCTAGCATCGAAAAAAATTATTAAGTCTATCACCAATTATTGAAAGAGGTTTCTAACTTCTCCATCCTTAGTTATCAATTAATGTTTTATTCCTAATTTAATTTATATCTTGCTTTAGAGTTTAAGCTACTAAAATTTAATATCAGCTCAATATTTATTATAGTAATAATAATAATAATCATAGTTTGTATATCAAAATATTTATGCAAATATTTTTGCTTTCTCATAGATTATTTCCAAAAATACGAGTAAGTAGCTATAAATATTAGGATTTAGCAATAATTATAATACATGATGCATATATTTTTTTCGATCACTCTGGAAAAATATCTAAAGAGGTAAAGTAGCGATCTAAAAAGTCAGATTGTTTTATAGAAAGTTCATGTTTGGCTGGACAAACAGAACCTATAGATAAAATTTCTCAAACTTTATTTGTACTTACCAGAAAAATGGTAGTGTCATTTCCATTTTGACTTGTCAGATTGCTATTTTACGACCTAAATGGGCTCTCGAGCTATACACTTTTTATTAGAAATATAAAAGATAATTATTTCTAATCTCCTATCATTCCAATGATTAGCATAACTGCATTTATTCTAAATACCTATAAAATATCTGTTAATCAGTTTTTAGAATTAAAAAACACATAAAATCTTATAAGATGGAACAAGAAAACCTATTTCAGATCTGCAAATGGAGGTGGCTAAAACCATCAGAAGTCTTTTCAATCTTACGCAGATTTGGAGACATAAACATCCCAGAAATAACTCAATTTACTTCTCTTCCAACTAACGGAGACCTTTTCTTCGTTCGAAAATCCAAATTTAAACGCTGGAAACAAGACGGCCACAGTTATATTTCCAGAAAAAGCGGTAACGGGACTAGAGAAGACCGAGAAAGATACGCAGACGAAGTCGACACAATTCAATGTGCATATGTGCATGGCTCTGGAATGTGCAGCAAATGCAAGATGCCAGCTTATGGGACATGCAGTACGTGTGGATTGCCTGTGACTCCAATTAAGTTCCATCGGCGTGCTTATTGGCTCCTTAAAGAGCCCGATATCGTGCTAGTCCACTATTTAGACGAAGCAAACTCTGATTGGGCTCTTGATGAAGAAAGCTCAAATATTTCTTCAATTAGCTCCGAAGCTTCTTCACTCATGAACGTAGAGCCAACTGAGCAGATTAAAAAAATAGAAGAAGTCCTTAAACGCTTAGACATGTCAGAGATCCCCTGTGTCTCTATTATAGACTTCTCCCCTGAATGAGCTGATATAACTGGCGGGTCTAAAATACTGATTTGTATAGAGCCAGCAATAATGGTCCCGCAGCCACATTTATTACTGTGCGCCTTTGGAAATGTAAAGGTCCACGTAGAAAGTGTGCAGCTTGGGGTGTTAAGGTGTTATACACCAGTGCATGACCCAGGAATTGTGGATTTATATTTACTGTATGATAATAAAGAAATCACAAGGCTGAGAAAAGAATTTGAGTTTAAAGAAATACAAATAACAGTCCAAGCTGTAAGAGTAAAGGACTGGTGGAACCAGTCTACCCAAGACTTGTCTAGAGAACTTGCTATGAATTTAGAAGAAGAATTTAGCCTGCCCATTGAGCCTGAGCTGGAAAACGGGTTTGATGAAGAATTTTTTTTATCAGAATTCACCAATATTATCGGAAAGCACAGCTTTTTTAATTTAGATTACAAAGGAAGAGGAATTTTACATTATTTAGCAGCGCTGAATTACAGTAAGTGTATAAGATTGATTGGGAGCGACAAAGCTGATTTAAATAAAAAATCAAGTGATGGGAAAACGCCTTTGCAAATAGCAGCTTATAAAAACAACAAAGAAAGCATTCTTGCTTTACTTCAGTTAGGAGCGATAATTGAGAATCCTGAAGATGATAAAGCAAATGGGCTGTTTTCTGCGCTGTCTAGAATTCTCAGTGATTTCCAAAACTCCCCAGTTGATATTGAAAGCAGGGTTCAATTGATACAAAGACATGTAAGAACTTGGCTTTTCAGAAAGCAATTTCACGATATAAGGCAAGCAGCGAAAACTCTCCAAAGAGCTATAAGAGGAATGCTGGCAAGAAAACACTTCAAGTACCAGAAAAAGGCAGCCGTTTTAATTCAAAAAACTGTACGTAGTTGACTATTATCAATGCATAAAAATAATGTTTGTTAGATTATAAATACAAATTTTAATATAAATTAGTGTGGCTTTCTGATTTGTTGATAGGAAATTTCTAAAATTTATGGTAAAAATTTCTAGTTATAAAAATTGTGCTTGTTAAAAAATAAAATACCCCAAATTAGAGAAGATTTAACAATCAGCCATTTCAAATTACTGAAATAATAAAATATGGACCCTGAAGTCAAAGAAATCTTGATTGCTGCTCAGATGTCATGTGAAGGCTGCTCAAGAAATATCAGACGCATCATAGAAAAGGTTGATGGTGTAAAAAGTATTGATTGCAATGTTGCTGAACAAAAGTGCAGAGTTCTTGCAGAAAATAAAGTACAGCCTCAAATTCTTTTGGATTCTTTGAAAGATTGGTCAGAGTCATCTGGAAAGCGTATTTCACTTATCACAGAATAGACTATCTAAAGTTAATGGAGAATTTTACCTAAAATGAAGTTTAAGCTATGCCCTCAATTAATTTCAAGCTTTCGGCGTCGTTTTCCCAGGCCTTCTTAAGCACTTCGATTGCTTCTACAACTTTTCCTTTGAGACCGAGAGGATTGGATAAAAGACCTAATAATTCGACATTATCCATCTCAAGCAGCATTCCTGTTATTTTCCCTGCCACTTTTTGATTGGAATTTGTAAGTACCTGAATTCCCTCCCTTTAAATTAGGAATAAATAATCCTGTTCCAATTTAAAGGGGTAATAATTTTTATAAAGATTAATTCATAAGATTAATTAATTCAATTTAAAAAAACGATTTAAATAATACTCTAATCGTACATTTTCCATTAAATTTGGTTAAAAAACTAATTTTATAAAAATTATTAATTTATATAAAACAAATTGCTCCAGTTTTAAAGTATCCAAAAAATGGAAATTTTTTCCGATACGTTATTCCATTTAAAGAAGGGGGAGTGAGGATATAAAGCTTCTCCCAGCATACGTTTCTTTATATCTGGCTGTGCAGCTTCATAAGCTTGATAGTTAAAAGTGATAGGCAGTGCCATTGGCATTGGTCTTTGGCTTGCCACCATCACTGGTGGTATCAAATTCGGCTGTGGGATTCCCTGCACAACCGGTCTCTGTCCTCTTCCTCTGCCCGCTGGGTGCATTTGTCCTCTATCCATTGGTTTCATATGTCCTCCTCTTCCCATCATCATAGGGTTCATCATTCCAAACTCCCACATCTGCGAATAAATTTTCTTCATCCTGTTCATGTTCACTATTTTAGCAATTTCTTCTCTTGGTTTCCAAGGGAATACAAGTAGTTTTTTCTCTTCCACTGTTTTTGTTCTCAATACTTGAATAGCTTTTGCTGATTCTGCTGGAGTTTTGAAGCACACTAGCCCAATTCCTTTATTTGTGGTTTCTTCAATTGGGGCTTCATTTTGGTATTTGATGTTTTTTACCTTTGGAATTTTGATGGATTCGATGGTGCCGAAGTCTTGGCAAAGTTTTCTGAGCTTTTCTTCGTCGATTGATAAAGGAAGATTTCTGATTATTATATGAGGTTTTGGGTGTATAAAGTGAAAAAAGGAGATTTATTAAAAAAATGGTAGGCCTTGGGGTTATTTTTAGTAAAAAGTATATTTCTCCTCTTCCAGTCTTCTTGCTTCTTTAAATATTCGCTTCTTAGCCAAGCGAGTCTTGCACCTCTCTTCATGTGTGGGACTACATACCAAGCAAATCCTTCATCTTGGACTCCATGCAGGGCTTCAGCCTTTTTAGCATTTTCAGCATTATTGAAGCATACAAAGCCATAGTACTTCTCAGACCCATTGGCGTCAGGTGACTTAATGACAGCTGAAGACGTGACTTCTCCATACTGCGAAAATTTTTCTTTTAATTTTTCATTGGTCATTTCAGCCCCAAACCCTCTGACATACAAGTTTTGTGAGCTGAGATATGTTCTTTTTCCTATCGGGACGTATTTTTCTACCTGCACAGTAGCTCCATTCCAATCGCTACCATTTGCAGCTTGTATAGCAGCTTGTGCAGCTTCTTTTTTTTCGAACTGAACGAAGCCAAATCTTTTTGATTTTCCGCTATCATCATATTCCTATTAAACCCTCTTTTTCTATTTTTTTTTCAAATAATTCTTTTCCTCTATCTAATTTATATATATAAAATTCTTAGTCCCAGCCAAATTAATTACTATAAATATTATAGCAAATTTTGCTTGAAAGTATTGGTCCGAATTTTCTGAAATGATGCTCCAGTGTTTTGGTTGTGACATCCTCATTGAAATTCTTGACAAAAATATTGGCTTCAGGATCGCGCTCTCGGGAATACTTCATTACTCTGATGTGTTTGCCTCTGACGCTGGTACCATTCATTTCTTCTTGGGCACGAATAGTGCTGGCGATGTCAGCAAATTGAATAAAGGCAAATCCAAGAGCTGCTTTGGTTTGTAAATTTCTGAGAACTCGGATGTATACAACCTTGCCAGAGAGGGAGGCGAGAGTGTAAAGCTCAGACTCGGTGACTTCTGGGTGTAAATCGCCGACATAGATTTGTGTATCAGTGCTTTGAGGTTGCATACTTAAGCTCTCAATATTTATTATGGCTATCTGCCATTTTACACCTCTCTTCTTTGCAAAGTGGGCAAAAAGGCTGGATATGTGAGAAAGAGATTAGGAGGGGATAGAAGGATAAGAAGATTGATAAAAATTTGGGGATTTGGCAAGAATTTGAGAAATTTATTGGAAAGATCTGAGATTTTAATAAGAAAATGCAGACTGCAAGTAGAAAAGCTACAACTATAGAAGGATTAGAAAGGCATCATTATTTATTTTATTACTTGCAGAATATTTCTATTGTGCCAAATAGAATAAAGAGTCAATTATACAATTTTCTTACTTCGTAATTTTTAATCATAAAATATGTGGGAAAATTTGAATGCATTATTTCAATAGTTTAAAAATTTCTTAATGCTCGTCTATATTTGTTAATAAAATTAGTTTTTAACCTTGAGCTTGTCCTTGGCCTTGAGCTTGTGGATTCCCTGCAGAGTTCATCATAATAAAGAATCCTATCAAAAATACCCACCACTACATAATCCTTACATATTTTTTATAATTAATATGATGGTGGCGACAAATATGTCCTTGCCTTGGGAGTCAGCTGGTGGTCGGTTCAGACATTAGTTATCCGGATAGTTTTTGGGCCACAGGTTCTTTTCCTGCCGGCTCGGAGGGGTAGTAGTTCTATTTTCCCGGGTGCCACCTTTCCCAAAGGTGACAGGAGGTATAGGGCTAACCTTACCTCCATAGCATCCGATGGTGTACTGGCAGGGCGTCTTTCTAACCCATCGAGACTCTTGGATATCACAGTTCAAGCCCTGTTCCTAGAAGATCACTATTCCAAATAGCAGCTGAATTTCCCCCCAACAAGCATGTTGGCGTTGGTCGAAAGTATGAAGAGGTATATGAAATACGTTAAGACTCTTAATTAATTAAATTTACATATTTTCTGAAAAATGACTGTTGTTCTTGTGGGTCTTCCACTTTTGGAAGTGTATAAATTGGCTTCAAAGCTTCTTTAACCATCCCCACTTCCATTGTGGTCTGTGGAAAAGCTGCAGACGTTGAATAAGCACATCCAGCCAGCGATGCCTGATAATTCACAGCCAAAATCTGTCCTTTTTCTAAATCTAAATAAACCGAAACATTATCAAGCAGATCAGCAGCAACAAGATTACAAGTCCTTATCGCAGACTGTATAAGCAGCTTTGAGTCCTCATCTTTATAAATCCCTACATAATATAGTCCATCAAGGTCTAGTTTTTCTTTGTTAAAGCTGTGGTTTTTGATGGAAATTAAAGGCTTTCTTCTTTTATCACCATGTGAAGTAATAGTAATTGTGCCTCTTTCTTCCCAGTTTTTGCCGTCATAAGAATGCATAAGCTTATAAGACGCTTTTAATGATGACCCAAGCTCAGGAATATCAAAATCGTCATCACATGACCCAAAGTACGCTAAAAATAGCAAGGCAAACTTAAAGATCATATTTATTAGAAATTTAGTTTACATTAAAAATCCAAATTCCTACGTGCTGATCTTGCTGTTAATGGGGAATTTAGCCCAATCCTCCTTGAGGATCGAGAAAAGCTTGAGCCTCTTTGATAAGGGGTGTTAGAGTACTTGTGGGAATAAAGCATGTCTTTTTCTTCTATATAAAGCTGAAGTAATCGACTGGTGTTTAGTCCTTTTTTGTATACATTGGTTGGTGAAATTGGGTCTTGCTGGGAATTTATTCTTTCTGTTAAATAAGCCTGTGAAGCTAATGCAGTCGTTAATTCTAAATCAGATGGTTTTGGGGTTGCCATTTTTGAAGTTGGCAGAGGTGTAAACGCCAGCTGCTGATTTATATTGATTTCGTGCAGCTCATTGATTTCTTCGAACTCTTTCGTCTTTTTTTCTAGTCTTTCAGCTCCTAAAGTGTTTATTAAATCTTTCAAAGTTTTAATTTTTTTTGTTTCTTTGCGGATTTTTTTAATAAAATTCAAGTCAAGTGCTGGGATTTTGTATTGCAATTCCCTATGGATGGCGCAGTATGGTCTTGATTTTCCCACTGGAAAAATTTTTTGGTTCTACTAGTACCATATGGTTTCGTCAAACCAAAAAATTTTCCTAGTGGGAAAATCAAGGCCAAAATAGCACCATCCATGGAAAAATCCCATAGCTTGTGCTTGTTTCTAGCAGCTTTCTTTTCATGTCAATTTTTTCTTTAAAAATCCCATTAAGCCTTATTTTTTCAAAAGTCTTGGCCATCATGTCTATAAAGAGAGGACTGTGTTCTTTTTGTGGGTGATTTAAATCCAGCTTAAGCTTTGCAGTATTATCTTTTTGTTTTTTTAAGGATTTGTATGAAGGGATTGGCATTAAATTCATACCAATTTTATCGTCTTCTTCGTCTTCAGAAACAGGCTCAGTATATCTTAGCGTGACCCTTCTTTGTGACTGTCTAGGCATTTCAAGCATAGACATAGTGACCGTTTCTTTTTTTAAGCTTTGTTTAACATATTCCATCATATTTACCCTTATCAAATATACATGCCCACTCCCATCAATTTCAAGGTCATATTGTAGCTTCTGTATCAATTCATTAGTAAATTGATAAATAAACTCAGCAATAAATATAGTAAAAGCTTCAGTTTTTTCAATAATTGCCATATCTTTGACAGGCCTTCCACCTTCTTTATAGAATTTTCCTATCATGATTTCGCTTCGCAGCTCTCCTGATTCTTGTCAGACTTTTACTTTGAGAATGTTTCGTGAATATGTTTCTAATAAGGCCATATGAATACTCCTGACTTGTAAACCATGGAGCTGGTTTTTCGAAAGATCGACTATGTCTCGTGCTGTAAGAACTTTACGGCCTCGGGTATGGTAAAGATAGACTATTACTTTATCAGGCTCATATTCATAAAGGATTGGAGCTCGCATATTCAGAAAATTAGTCAGCATAAATCGTGTATTTAGATTTTTGGCAGATTTCTCTATTATTTTTCCAGCTTCATCGTTTGCGTACCAAGCTTTTAGCTTGTCGCCTCGGCAGATTCCTGTTTCGAGGACGCGGATTGAAGCTTTTTTCTCGTGCAAAGTAGATAAAAGCCACTCATAGTAATGATCTTCCATCAATTTATGTTTTGAGGTAACTATTATAGATCTTTTAAAATGAATTAGGATTTTTTGGCCAATCTTTGTGTGAAAATAAAAATAATTTTTATCTGAAAATTTAATCTTATATTGAATTATTCTTATAAGAACAAATTTTTAGATTTAATGAGTAGCCATTGTTGTGAAGCAGTCTCAGAAACTAAAAATATTGAAATAATAAAAAATTATTAGGCTTGAAAGGTATTTAAACTATAATGTAGCTTTTTAAGATAATCTTATATATAGTTTACACCCCGTTTTGGATCGGCCTTGGGCACCCCCTCCCCATGCCACCCATCCCCAATGGTCCCCAAATATTTTAAACATGTTAAATATTAATTAGACAAGTTAAAATATTTGAGGGGGACTTATCAAATAATATTTTAACATTTAAAATTTTCAGGACTGTCAGAGGGTGGGTGACATGGGGAGGGTGCACTTAATGGCGAGCAACCACGAGGGGTGTTCTATATCAATTTTTCATAATATTTAGGATTATTTTTACCCAAATAGCTATTACCAGTCCTTTGCTTTTCCGATAACAAACTATGGAACATTTCATATTTAATTTTGGTTTCTGAAGGCTGAGAAGACTATTTAAACTAAATTTATGACGGCAAATTTTTGATTTACCTCAAATTTTTAACTTTCCTATTATCGTGATTAGACAACATAAATGTCTGATATCCAAGCTCTTAAGACAGTGCCAAAAACAAAACCTAACTCCCCCCCCCCCTCCGTGAGCGAACAAAAAAAATTTTGTTCGCTCACGGAGGGGGGTTAATTTTTTTTTTTAAAAAAAAATTTATATATAAATTTGCAAAAATTGGGAAGCAAATATTAATTTAATTTGCAAAATTTATGTTTTAAAACGCAATTTGTTTAAAATTAAACAGAATTAGCTCTAGATTTCATTATACTAATTATCACTTATATATCAAAATTTTTTTCCATTAAAATTTTTTCTATTAAAAAAATTTTTGTTCACTCACGGAGGGTGGGTTTTTGGTCAAAAAATGGCGATTTTTCTAATGGTTTTGTTCGCTCACGGAGGGGGGGGGGGGAGTAGTAAGAAGAAAAAAAAGGCAAAGAAGAGGTCTCCAATTAAGTATAGTCGTGATACAATCCTTAATTATTTTCAAATTTCTTATCCTCCAAAATTCGAAGAGGTAAAAAGTTTAGATACTGTGACTACTCAAGAATGCAATCTACCTATATTAAAACCGACAGCAGAAAATCTTACTGAAACAATCCCTGAAAGGCACATTTCAAAAGAAAGAAAAAACTCAAGTGCTGCTCCACAAAATAACCCAAACACAAATAAAAATGCCAGATCCCAACAGCGTAAAGAAACAGCTAAAGGCAAAAAATCAAAAAAGCCGACACTTGTAGGCCAAAAGATCAATATAGATGATATGTTTAATCAGTTTAAAGAGCCGAATACAAAAAGCAATGAAAATGATCCTGAAAGTCAAAATGAAGAATTAGTTTTCCATGACAGCCGCATGGATAACTTTATAAGGGTAAATTTTCAGGTCCCTGCATCATCCATTATAGTGTATCCAAAAGACTTGCTAGAAAAAAAGGTTAAGGAAGGAAATCCATTCGCTAAAATCATCCATGAGAACAGTATAGAAAGCCGCAATGGCCAAATGGAGCCTACTGAAAATTCAAAAGCATTTGAAAGTATATGATTTTATAAGGATTCTTCGAATGAAATACAAGGACCATTTAATTCATATGAAATGCTTAATTGGACTATTGCTGGGTATTTTGATGGGAATTCGTCAATTTCGTGTATGTGTGTGGATAATTTTTCTAATCTATTGTGGTATAAAGCGCAGCAGGGACCCAGGCAATATCTTCAATAAATACATTAAATCGGCTTAATCAGAAGCAAAATTTATTAGACCTATATAGTTAATTATATTTGCTTTTATATAGAGTATTAAAATTATTCAATAGTAAGAATACTTAAATATTGTATAAACAATTTATATTTTATCCAGAAATTCAATAAAATTGTGTGATTTATAATAAAAATGGGCCATTGCAAACATCTGTGCAGAGAAATGTTTTATTTCAAGCCTGCTCGGATTTATCAAATGGCATAGCAAAATTCATGCTCCTTAAGGCTGCTTTCAGACTTAGGTCAGGTCACTTACCGGTGCCCTTATTGAAAGTATCTGAGTCAAAAGTATGAGACACCTATAGAACTTAAATGATGAAATCTTTGGATCAACCATCTGATCTTGAGGACAATTTTTCACTGATCAATTTATATATTTACATTCACAACTCATTCCTGTGTCAACTTTTTGGCCCAGGCCAGACATTGTGATACATTCTTCCAATATTAAGCACTCAATAATTTCCTTATCTCGTTGACCTTTCTTAAAGGCAATTTTTCTTTTAAAATAATTACTTCTTAAGGTATCTTACTATCAAAGAGATTGTATAAAGCCTAATTGCTAGTCCTCGCATTATAAAATCATTACACTTTCTCAAAAATGGTAGAAGAGTCAAAATCTCCGATACGCCAAACTCTTGACGATCAGCTGATCAGCGCAATACAAAAAGGCTCAATTGACGACATAAAAAAATTAATTAACCAAGGTGTAGATTTAAACCATAAAGACCGAAATGGCAGTACAGCCATTTACAGTTGCAGCAACGATGAGCAGCTAAATATCGCTCGTTTTTTGCTTTCTCAAGGCTCAGCCCTCAACATCTCAAATATCAGAGGAAATACTCCTCTCCACATTGCAGTAGAACGAGGAAGCAAAGAAATCATTCTTTTATTTATGCTGAACAACGCAGATCCTTCAGCTGTAAATGCAAATGGGCAAAAACCAGAAGATTTAAATCAAGAAATGAAGCCTTTACTGTGAGCAATAAACAAGGACAGAGATTCTTATAGGCTGCTTAATGAAAACCAACGGAAAAGGCTAAATCAAATATTTGACGACATTGATGGAGATGGGACTGGGCAGCTTGATATTGCGAAAAGCACAAAATTCAACAGGTTTTTAGAAGATGACTTGCCAGAAGACGCAGCGAGGAAGGACGCGAGTGATTTTATTAGGGATGTAAGCATTTGTAAGCCTGGAAAAGTGAATTTGGATGAGTGGCTTTTTTCGTTTAGTAAATTAGCTGCAGAGATGGGGAGTGAAAGCATTGATCAGTTTATAGAGGACTATGAGAGAAGGATAAAAGAAAAAGGGAAATTCGCTGACTTTAGAGTCAGGGATTAATATAATTCTAAAAGAGAAAAATAAATTATTTTCATATAAAAAACTCCAATAGAGCTTAGACACCGCTCTTCATAAATCCTTAAATTTATCTTTAGGTTTACGAATAGAATTTAGCATTAAAATGTCTGGCAAATTGAAGTGGGTGAGCACAACAATTCTGGCTGTTCAAAGGTACAATAAAGCTGTCATAATCGGGGACGGACAAGTTTCTCTTGGAAACACAGTGTTCAAAAATAACGCTAAAAAAGTCAGAAAGATCGGGGATAATGTGTTGTGCGGATTCGCTGGAAATGCTGCAGATGCTCTAACTCTTGTAGACAGGCTTGAAGGACAATTAGAAAAATACCCAAGCCAGACTTTAAGGGCGTGTGTAAGTGTTGCTAAAGCATGGCGCACAGAAAAATACTTAAAACACCTTGAAGCATCTCTTATTGTAGTGGATCAGAACAATTTGATAGAGCTAGATGGCACTGGAAATGTAGTAGAAGTTGATGGAGGAGTTATAGGAATTGGCTCAGGCGGCCTTTTTGCTGTGTCTGCAGCTAGAGCGCTTATAGAGTCTACAACACTAGATGCTGAAGAAATTGCTGAAAAAGCTATGAAGATTGCTGGAGATTTATGTATATTTACCAATCACAATACAATAAAAGAAGTGATTCAGTGGACAAAGACAGAATAATCTAACATATTTAGCTCAATAAAATTATATTAAAGATCTCCCAAACAGGAGGCTTTTGACTTCTTCCAATATTTCATTTAATTGGCTTATTTTGTCACAAATAAATATTTTGCAGTCATTGTTTTCTAAAAAATTCCGAAAATCTGAGTCGACTAGCGTTTCTATAAAAATCACGATAATTTGGATTTTTCTTGCAGTAATTTCTTCAAGGTCTTTTAAATAAGAAGCCCCAACATCTGCATCACTTGGACCAACAAAGGCAACTATATGTTTATCAAGAGTATCAACAGGAAAACAATTAAACCCACACATAATTAAATCATAAATATGATCCAATTCTTCTCCATCTGCTCTTGCTGCTATCTGAAATAATAAATGCTCCAAATCAACTTCTGGCATATCTCTTGGAGCCACGTCTAAAATATTTTTTATTTTCGAATTCATGCATACTACTCCAAATTGGTCCCTTTTTTGGCCTATTTCTTTATTCACAAACTTAATAAGTTTTTTATTTAGCTTCGGGTTGGAGTTGATTTTATAGCTTAAAATGAAGACTATTGATTTTTTTGAATATTTGATATTATGGTGCATTCTTTTGAGTTCATCGATTCCAGTTTTTATTGAAAACTTATTCATCATGCGGTTAAGTTCTTCTATGCAGAGTGTTCGGATTTCAGGGTCATAATACTCTCCTCTTTCGATAGCCAAGGTAAAAGATGCTGCTGATTCTTGGAACTTGTCTTGCTCTTTAAAGATGATTCCTTTTCTATAATACATGAACTGCTTTAAAACGTCTTTTTGATAAGTAATATCTGTGACGTTAAAAAAACTTGACGTCGTTGTTAAGCTATCTTGCAGATTGACCCCAATTCTCTTAAGTCTGGCAATGTCAATATCAATGAACTCAGGACTGCTTTGGTCAAGCTTTTCAAGCTCATCATGGACAATATTTAAAATTTCAATTGCTGAGTGGAAGTATTGGAGGGACTGAAAAGAAATTGACATATCTATAAGAAGTCTGATTAACTGTAAAAAATTTGAAGAAGTTTGGATGTAGTGCTGGAGGACGCTGGTTTGAAGGTTAAGCACTTCTTTCCACTCAGTTCGTAAATCAGTTATTGGTGCGGTTGTAACTTTTAAGTTTGCCCTCATAGCCATACATAGCTGCAGTTTTCTATTATTGATATCATCAATTAAAAAATCTTTTTCTGCTTTCCAGCCAGAATACACAAAGCCTTCTTTTATTCTTTCTTGTTCATTTAGCTCAGATTCCTCCTTTTCTTGTTCTTCTACACCTTCTAATATTTTTACTGTTATTTCTAGTGATTCTTTATATTTTTCAATTGCTTTCCTATATTGTCCATTATCATAAAAAATATTTCCAATTAAATTTGAAGTAACGATGATCCCCCCCCCTCAATCTTCATGTATATTGCAACAAAAATTCAATTTTTTAATATAAAAATTTATATAAAAAAAATAATAATTTTCATGTCTCTTGCAACAAATTATATACATTAAAATGCGACACGTGTCAACCTGCCCTCTTGGCGCAACAGTCCAGGCCTTATGGCTACGGCAAACTGGGACGGACTCCGAGCCGAGAGTCAGACGCAGGCTCAAGAAGTGTGATCCGGGTAGGTTTTGGCTGCTTTCCTGTGGTTGAAATGGAGGTGCTCAACAAAGTCCTTTGGATCCAAGGACCCATGGGCATTCGTCTACAGAGAAACTGAGGTTTTGGCCCAGGCAGGGGAACAGTCTTTTGCCTGTAGCTATCGAAGTAAGGCACTTTGACACCCGATAGACTCCAAGGATCTTTGGAGTCAAAATAATCCAATCGCCTGTAGCAGGGCCACAGAAATCCATAAGCCGCCCACTCAAGACTATAGCCGCAAGGTAAGGAGGAGACAGAAGGTGCCAGAAGGGCACTCGTAAGAGGGATAGACCCTCTGGGCTAGAGTCGAAAAGCGGTCGAATATTCCGTATGGGAGGTCTTTGGTGACTGCGTCACCAATATGGCTAGTGCCTGTTTGTAATAATCTAATCCTCGTCAACAATTTTTCGATGCGAATCTTAAATTTTTCCGTACTTTTCAGCTAGATAAGTTTAATAAAATTGCGAGCGATGACAATAGCCGTCCAAATCTCGATGAGAAGGTCATTGACACGCCTACAGCAGCGCTGCTTTATGGTTTTTTTGAGAAACTCACCTAGAGAAAAATGCATTAATTTTTTTATAAAAATGTTGTGTTGCAGTAGGCATGAAGTTTTTTTCGAAAAATTTTTGTTGCAATAGACATGAAGATTGAGGGGGGGTCATCGTTAATAGCAATTCCTCTTAAATTCCCAATTTTTGTATAAATCATTTCTACGATTTCTAAATTCTGCAGCCTTTCCTCGATTCTTGGGTGCAGCAAATAATGGGGGTCTATAAGTTTTTCTATATCTTCAATTAAATTAAGGGATTTTACAATAGTGTTGGTTTCTCTATTAAACCGAATATGGGTATGAATCAGTTTTATTTTGCCAAGCAAGTATTGTTCATTTCAATATATAAATAAAATGGTGGTGGGCCGGCAAAGGTTTTTAATAAAAGATGATAAGAAGCCAAGGTTTGGGGCTTGGAGTTACCAGAGGTCGAAGCCACTCAATTCAGCTGTGCCGCCAGGCCCCATTGTCACACAGAATACCACCAGTTTGAAATGGGAACTATAAGCACCTATTTAATTTTAATCTGAATTGTTCAAGTTGCCATAAAGGATAAGTAACTCTATGGGTAATTGACTTAGAAAGTCTAACAGCGATAATAATGGTGAGGAATACAAAGCAAATAAAAATAACCATTTGGATTATGATGGTATTTTCTATTGTGTCTAATGTGTCGTATCAGTCAATAAATAGAGCGGCTCGACTGATCATGACTCCAGCTGAAAAGGAGTCTTCATAGCCTGGATATTTTCGGGTGCTTAAAGTGATGTTCATATTTGTTACTGCGACGTAATATCGAGAATTCAGACCATCAAAAACAGAGCTGCTTGTACTTTTCGCATTGATTATAGCCTGCAGAGTAGGTGCAGCTCTTTGAGCTAAGAAATAGTCGTCTGGAAATAAATTATATGACAAATTGTAAGAGAAAATTTGGTCAATATCTTTTTGATTTAAAGCCAAAACAATTGCAATTGATTATAGGGCTATTCAAGGAAAGCCCTATAGGTATTTCAGGCTTCAGGAGCCCAAGACCTATTAAAAAGTGATTAAACCTAATTAGTTGCATCACTTTCTCTTAAATGGTGAATCATATAGCAGGTATTCCTTGGAATGATTGCTTACAGTCAAAGCTATACTTCTCACCGGCACGTTGCAGTCGCTCTTGTAAGACTTAGCTCCTGCTCCACCTAAGAATCGCCCTCTTCAGACATGCATAGTAGTAAAAACCAAAGCCTCTTGAATGCGCTGAGGATCAGTTCCTCTGCCTATGTTACTAAAGTTAAATTGCTGCTGTGCAGAAATTCTTCAGATGAAACCAACCTATAATAAAATTCCATTATGAAGAGAAATTAGCTCTCCCTCATGGAATATTATTTATTGCTTACAGCCAAAACAAGCTCTCCATAGTTACTTGTAATAAAATACGTATAATATTCATATGGATTCATTCAATCTTTAATCATATCTTTATGACTCACCAGTATAGAAGCCCCAAAATCAGTATCTAAATAAGTAGGAATCACTGAGTATTCATAAGAAACTGTAGCATTTCTATTAGGATTATTTTTTAGCCAATAATATGTTTTTGTACATATAGGGTCAAATGGCACATTTTCTTTTCCACAAGTATCAGAAAAGTTAAAACTGGAGCCTTGTACATAGCTCATATTTTGGACTGGGTGTCTATAATCTAAATGGTCTTGCTCCATTATTAAGCCTAATTGCAAAATTGCTCCTTTATAGAGTGGGTTTACTGTATTCAAAAGTATATCAAGCAGTTTTAGCTGGTTATAATAAGTAGAGCTTGAGAGAGTTCGTGAGGTGTCAGAAAACACATAATCAGAAATACCACTAGCATTAAAATCAATATTTCCAGGGTTTCTGGCATCTACTGCATTTGGATCTGCTAGATTGCCTTGCTACTTAGATTATATTGAGATGCTCCTTACCAGCCATGTCGGTTTTTCATGCCCCTTGATTTGCTCTACACTATTGCTTGCCAGCCTGACTGCTTCCTCTGGACGAGAGCTTGCATTAGCAAAGAATTTTGCTGTGCTGCATGTCAATCGGGCTGCTATTCTAAAATTCAAAAATATTTTTTTGGTAGGCTATCAGTCCGAATAAAACTTGTGGTCTAGAACGCAACTCCTGGCATCACATTTAGAATCTACCTGATTGGTCAAACAAATGTCTCTAGCCTTGCTGGGCTATCCCTTTCCAGCTTTCAAGTTCTATCCTCAGGTGGGGTTCTGCCTGTCTTGGGTGTGAACTGCGGTCGGTTAGCCCTATATTCAGATAGTTAAGCCTAGCCAGCACTCCACACCAATTTTAAGTTAGCTGCTAAATTGTCATTTGATTTGATAGTTCCGCTTAAACTACCATCAAAAACTCCTCTAATTAATTGAAGCTGGGCAATGTTCTAAATGGATTTCACAGTTGAAAAAAGTGAGCCGAAAATTAATCCTCTTGCTATTGAAGCTCTTAAAAGATGATTAATTTCTTGGGCTATTATATAGTCTTTCACATCTTTAACTCAATGGTATTCCGAAGAGTAAAGAATTATTATTACATTACTGAAGTATTTAAAGTGTCTTCCCTCTTCAGCAGGATAATTTAGGCATCCATAAGCCTATCCTATTAACTCACAACTGGTGACATCATCAGCAATCCTGCCTAGCAGGCATTACAGAAGACGCCCCCATAAGGCCAGAAGGTCCGCACTGGCCATTGCCTCGCCCGAGCTTGACTCTTGAGCGTGTTCCGCCTAAGGGTCACCCTCCTCAGGTATGTCAAGCAGTAATACCATGTGTTTCCTAATACCCTGGACCAAATAAATACCCTATGCGGTATTATATATTAGTGTTGAGGATAAAGGTCCACGTGGAAAACTGAACCCCGTAGTAATAAAACTGAACCCCGTAATAATAAAAGCGAAGAAAGGAATAGTTCTCGGTAAGAACTAATTCCGCACTGAGCCATTTTATTATAAAGAATGATTATTGCTATTACAGAAGCAAGGATCAAGCCTACACACAAAGGATAAATTGTGCGGTACTCAATCATTTTGTGGATCTTTGAAGAGCTGTTGTAACTGGATTCTACCATTTTGGGATACGTTTTTATATTGATGAAAGTAATGCTATATGTGCTTAAAAGGTGGATTTTCGCTTTTCAGACCGATTCATATATGGAAAGCTAGTCTGTGTAAAAAGCAGATAAGCAAATGAACATTTGCATGTTTATGGCTATTCTGGATATAATATATATGATAAATTTATGAGTTTAGCAATTAAGAAGCCACTTGATTTATTACAAAGTTTATAGCTTCATCAATTTCTGATGATTTTATATGAGAATTTCGTTCTCTTACCAAGCTGCAAAACTTTTCAAGGTCTTGCTGGCTTAAAATTCTTTTCCTTACAATAATCTCAAGCATTTCTTTTTTCAATGCTAAAGCTTTCTCAGGCTCCGCTAATCTAATATAAGGCACCTCAAGTAGCTCTCTTTGCCTATCTGATATAACTGGCTTATTATTATTTGCAATTTCATTATAAGCTGAGCTTATCGATGGAGGCTGGTTCATCTTTTGCATAAATTCATCAGTTACCATATAAATATTAGTTTCATCTCTATCTCTTAAAAGCAATGCAGGATGAGCTATAGGGTCATAAGGATTTTTCTTCCTTTCGCTTGCACTTCCTATCCGATTTATTCTTCTCTGCATACTTTTTATGTTGTTTTCATGATCTGTAATCTGAGAATTTTTCTTTTTTGCTCGATTTTGGCTTAATTTAGATGATAAGTGAAAGGTTTCTGGCGCTGAGAAAGAGGATTTTGAGTTTTTCACCGAGCTTACACGTCGGAAAGTTTCTTTTACTTCAGAAAGGTTGCTTTGTTTTGAAGCTGGACGAGATTTGGCATTCACATGCTTTGGTGGAGGGTCAAAAGAGTTAACGACGGGTTTTATTGTATTTAAGTGCTTATAATGATTTGAAAGGGAGTCGACAATGGTCTTTTTGCCTCCTGTATTCCGCATGTCTGACAAAAATGTGCTCATTTTTATAGGTAAAAGTTTTCTTATGAATTCATATTTAAAAATCATACAGCTAAAGGATATTCCCTATAATAAAATCCCCACTGTACAAAGTTTCATCCATATTTAGCTGAATAAATTTAATCTGTTTCATTCTACAATCCCAGCAGTTTTGCTTTTTCATTCCATCTTCTATTATCTTTGATTCACTAATTTGAATCACCATACTTATAGCCTGGAAATAATTAAAATATTTGCAGGCACAAAATTCGTTAAGCCGATTTCTAAAAATTTAAATCTTTTCGCCTTCTCTCAGACTACCTTTTACTTAATTCTTTAATGCTAAAAGTCTCATGTCACTAGTGGATAATAATAAATGTTAGGAGACGAGGCTACTAACCTGTTTATTATAAGTTCAACTATCCTTGGACTTATCTATGGCATTTTCAACATCCTGATGATCACAAAAGTCCCTGTAGGTGAATCTGGCGACTATCATCGCAATGACCCACGCTACCTGAAAGAAATTATTGGCATGAAAACTGAAAGGGTCGAAAAAAAGAACAAGAGAACAGGAGAGACCGAATGGGTTGATGAAGAAATGGGCCCTTACCATGAGAACTGGGACCAGGTCGTCTATACACTGAACCGCATTTCACATGCAGTCTCTGATGGCGCCAGAGCTTTCTTGATGGAGGAGTACAAGATTTTGGCTGTTTTCATCGCAATCTTCTCAGTCATCATTGCAGTCTTGGTTGAAGAAGAAATTGGACAGTTTTGGACTGTTTTCGCATTTGTCCTGGGAGCTGCCACAAGTATTTGTTCAGGATATATTGGGATGAGAGTTGCAGTCTTCGCAAACTCCAGAACTGCTTATAGCGCAATTAACAGAGAAAACGGTCTTGCAAATGCCTTTATTGTAGCCTTCAGAGGAGGTGCTGTTTTGGGCTTCATTCTTAACTCCCTTGGCCTTCTTAATTTGCTGTTGCTTATTACAGCTTACAATTATCTTTACCTTGGTGAAGAGTATGAAAGCGAAAAAGTCAGGCACATGTATGAGTGCATTGCTGGCTACGGCCTTGGTGGATCCACAATTGCCATGTTTGGAAGAGTCGGAGGTGGAATTTTCACAAAAGCTGCTGACGTTGGAGCTGACTTGGCAGGAAAAGTAGAAGAAGGACTTGAAGAAGACGACCCAAGAAATGCAGCAACTATTGCAGATAACGTCGGAGACAACGTTGGAGATATTGCAGGTATGGGCTCAGACTTATTTGGAAGCTTCGCTGAAAGCAGCTGTGCCGCTCTTGTCGTTGCAGCTACCTCAGTAGAACTGACAGAGACCATGTGTGCACTTTATTTCCCACTATTGATTTCGGCCACTGGTATTGTATCTTTCTGGCTGATAATTGTATATAGCTAACTATCAATTTAATACCTTATTTACTTAAAAATGATGTATATATCCAGCCAATATCTACAAAATCAATAAAGCTTTATATAGTGTCCTTTTTCACCAGTTTCTTCGCCACAAACATCATGAAAGTTGACAGTGAAGACAAAATCGAAAGAACCCTCAAATACCAGCTCTTAATCTCCACTATCCTCTTAACCCCAGCCCTTTACTTCTTAGCCATGAATGTCCTCCCAGAAGACTTCACCTTTGTCAGAGGTGACGAGGTCATTGAAACCCATAGTCTCCACGCCTTCATTTGCATTGCTTTTGGCCTTTGGTCTGGCTTAATCATTGGCTACGTGACTGAATACTTCACTTCTTTTGCATACACCCCAGTCAAAGAGGTAGCAGAAAGCTGCAGAACTGGAGCTGCCACCGATATCATTTATGGGCTTGCCCTTGGATATCTGTCCTGCATTATCCCAACCCTCTGTTTGGCTGCTACTATTTATGCTTCTTTCTACCTTGCAAGTATGTATGGGATTGCTCTTGCGGCCTTAGGAATGTTGTCAAACTTAGCCTTGGCCTTAGCAATTGATGGGTATGGACCAATTTCAGATAACGCAGGAGGGATGGTCGAAATGATCCACCTTAAGAAAGAAGTCAGACAAAGAACTGACGCTTTAGACGCTGCAGGAAATACAACAGCTGCTATTGGTAAAGGTTTTGCTATTGGAAGTGCTGCTTTGGTCTCCCTTGCTCTTTTCGGAGCTTTTATTACCAGATCTAACATGACTGAAGTCAACATTTTGGCTCCTCTTCAGTTCGCAGGACTCCTTGTAGGTGCTATGCTCCCATATGCTTTTTCAGCCTTGACTATGAAATCAGTCGGAAAAGCTGCAAACCAGATGGTCGTAGAAGTCAGAAGACAGTTCCAAGAAATGAAGAGAAACCCACACTATGCCCCAGAATACGAAAAATGTGTACAAATTTCAACCAGAGCTGCCTTAAAAGAAATGATTTTGCCTGGTATGATGGTCATGCTAACCCCTATTATTACTGGCTGGCTCTTCGGACCTAGAGCAGTTGCAGGACTTTTGGCTGGAATTTTGGTTTCTGGAGTCCAAATGGCTACTAGCTCTGCTAATGCTGGTGGTGCTTGGGATAACGCTAACTCTCCCCTCAAGGAGGGGTAATTTTTTTTTTCAATTTAAAAAAAGCCCAATTCGCAAAAATTGGAAAGCAAATATTAATTGAATTTGTAAAGTTATGCTTTAAAATGCATGTTGTTTAAAATTAAAACAGAATTAGCTATAGATTTTATTATGAAAATTATCATTTTATATTAAAAAAATTTTTTTTTGCTCATAGAGGTGGGTTTTTGGGCAAAATATAGGAATTTTTCTAATGGTTTTGCTCGTTTATGGAGTAAGAAATACATTGAAAAAGAGAGCTTAGTGCCTAAATCTAGCCCTCAATTCAAAGATATCAAGGCTGCAGCTGTTACTGGAGATACAGTCGGCGACCCTATGAAAGACACATCAGGGCCATCTCTTAACATTCTAGTCAAGCTTTCAGCCATTCTTTCACTAGTTTTCGGAGGATTCTTCGCTTCAGATTGGGGTGGTATTTTAATCGCTTAAATAGGCCCATAGTTAGGACTTAAGTTAAAATTTCTTTGACAAATTGCCTTATTTTTAAGCCTAATTAAATATCTTACGAATTTATAATTATTGAATATGAAGCCATCTCAAGTAATCCCTGGGGCTCCCAACTCTCAATTCTGCATCTCATTCGGCTGCTACGACGGTACTTTACTTCACGCATATGGCAGCGGCGCTTCAATTGTGATTGCACAAACTCATACTTTTATGGTTCAACAAATTATACAAGAGAACACTTCTGATGTGACCTCTGTAAGCTGGGCCCGCACAGGAGGAAGACTTGCAGCTGGAAGCTTGAACTCAATCAGTATCTATATTCCTCAACCAATCTCCCCAGTCCAATGGGAATGCAAAATCAATCTCAAGCCTGAAGGGGTCCCAAAGAGCTTATCATGGTCTTTTTTTGGAGATACACTGTTAAGTGTCAGTGAGAAATTATGTGTCTGGAATTTTGAGGTCGAAAAAACAGGAGAGCTCCAATTTAATGAAAAACCTTTGTGGAGCATCAAAAGCCAGTTTGAATATGGGTCGATTTCACCTGATGGAAGACTGATTGCGACATGCAGAGAAGATTCAAGAGTTTTTATTTTTTATAGAGAAGGACATTTGAATGAGGAAACGCAATTTCCTCAGCTGAATTCAGATGCATTGAGATCTTTGAAGCTGAATAATAATACACGAGTGTCTTGGTTTGACTGGAAAGATATAAGTGTTTTCAAGCTGTATTTGAATTATTATAACCCAAATGCTCTTTTAACGATAAATGCAGATGGCTGGGTTAGGATATGAAGTGAATATACAAGTCCTGAAGGAATTGGGTTTAATATAGTTTTTCAGATTAGGACAAATAATGGGTTGGCTTCTTGACTTAGAGATTTTAAAAGTATGGAAAATAACATTTCACAGCTGGCTCAGAAACAAGAATTTTTAAGGCAGGGACAAGGAGATGTCCAATTTACGATGAATGCGAGATCATGTATACTTAGAGCAAGAAAAAGTGAGCCAGAACAGCCTATTTTTGGAGCAATGATGAAGGATAGGATTCCTGTTGAGTGGTTTGTGATCGCTGAAGGCACAAAAGTGGTGTATTATATGTGTGAAGGCCTAGGCGCATTTCCAGTAACCGCAATTAATATATGCTTCTTTCTATAAGTACCTAGAATTTTTATTTAAAAATTCTTATATAACAAATTAAGGTAAAAAAGCATAAAATCTCATTTACAATTTTCTAACCACTGGAGCATAGAAGCCTCAAGATGAATCCCGTCCCAGCTGCCTTTCTTTGTCATAAAAGAGTTTGAAGAAATTCAAGTTATAAGCCTAGACGTCGCTGGAGACTTTGTAAGGTGGAGAAAACGCTACGGTGGACAAGAATACGGAGGCTACTCATCAGCGTTAACAGGAGTTTATGGAGGACATCGTGGTGATATTGTCCAAGTAGTCCCTCATGGGACTCTTCCTTTAGTCTCCACTCTTGACAATACTGGAATGGTAAGAATATGAAGCACTCATATGGGAGTAAAACAAGATCCAAGAGCAGTTGACCAACTAAGACACTGGGGAGTCCTAGAACAAGCTTCCTATACCTTTGTAAAGTGGATTCAAAAGTATGCTCTACTCATCTGTGGAGACAAAACTGGGAAATTAAACGTTTATAAGTGGATGTCAGACACTGGGAATAAACTGAAATTGCCAAGCATGCACTGGAGTGTTATACATTCTTGGCAAGGAATGGAAGGAGTATGCACCAAAATCAATACTTCCAGTATAGAAAACGCTGACTGCGGCATCAGATTTTTAGTTTCAGCAATTTTTAAAAATAAAGGCTGCCAAGTGTGGAGCATAGGATATGACCGTGGAATTATATCGACTCTTATAGACGCAAAAGAAGATAATTTTTGTGATACACATTTAAATTCGATCAAAGTTTATAATGATGACTATGACCAAACGTATATACATTATATGTATAGTCTGACTAAAACCAAGCTATGCTGTAGTACTATAGAAGCAAATGGAACAAGAACTATGTGGGAAAAAAGCTTGGTAATGGACGAATACTCTATGAAAGTGTCAAAAATCATAATGCTAGTCTCACCTAAGTCACAAAGTTTGAGTTTCTATACTCTTGAAGGCAACCAAATAGGTAGGTTCACAATCCCGCAAAGTGGACAATTTTTAACTAATTTCTTGTCAAAAGGGCTTATTACGGAAAATATTGTAATTGTATTTAAAAGCTTAATACAAGTTTTAGCGCAAGAATTCTTGCATACTGTAGGAGAGCAGGAAATGCCCTGGAGATATATTGTAGAAAACGCTTTGGATAGTGAAAGTGCGTGCTTAGGAGTTTCTTCGTTCCAGCACATTCTTTTAGGTGTAAAACGAATTCTTACTTGGTTTATATGCAAAAAAATCTTGCTCATTAATTACCCACTCCGTGAGCGAACAAAAACATTTTAGGGGGTTATTTTTTTTTTTTAAAATTTACAAAAAATTCCAATTTGTAAAAATTGAGAAGTGAAAATTAATTTAATTTGCAAAATTTATGTTTTAAAATGAAAGTGTTTTTAAATTAAATAGAATTGCTAGAGATTTCATGATAATAATTCTCACTATATATCAATTTTTTTTCATAAAATATTTGTATATCAAAAAAATTTTTATTCACTTAAGGAGGGTGGTTTTTGGGCAGAAAATAGTGATTTTTCCAATGGTTTTGTTCACTCACAGAGGGGGGAGTAAGATATTTTTTTTATATAAAAATATATATCAGATTTTAAAAATATTCAAAACTGTAGATATTCAAAATTAAAGATTAATTTAATTTATTGAAATTACCGTTTTAGAATTTAGCTATATAAATTTAACATTTTTGACTAGAGATTATTATTATAATCATCATTAATTATGTATCAATTTATTTTTAAAAATAATTTTTTATTCACTAACAAAAGGATTAATTTCTCATAAATAGGGGGTTTCTTATGGTTTTGCTCGCTTACCAAGGGGTAGTTAATATTTATACTCATAACCATATTCAGCAAGAGCTTGCTAAGTACCAGATTCCTAAACCTTATTACCACCCTTTAACTTTGTTTGAACTAATGAGAGGAAACCATACCAAAATTATTGAAATGCTATTTAAAACTATTGAGACATATATACATGAAATGCCGACGACGTCTGGCCCTCCTTTCGTGCGACGGTTATCATCAGGCATGGTTATTGGATCCAGGAGTTGGTCTAACAGTATCTGGTGTCCTGCATCGAAGGACTTAAGACAAATTCACAGGTTTTTTTGTCTAATCCAATGGGCAGTTACTTTTGACTTCTTTTTTCCAGCAGCACCAAGCCAGCAGGCGCCAAAAATGGAGTAAGGTGAATTGACCGCTCAACTGATATTGTTGTTTGCCCCAAATCGTGGAAGCGGCTGAGCATTTTCCAGGATGACCTGAAAAAAGGGAGGCAAATTAGACACTATCAAGGCAGTCCTTCAGCAAACGGTCCCTTGAGTCTAGCGAACCAGCCAAAAGTAAGAGACAGGAGATGATGTAATAGGGTCGAAGGTACTAAGTGGAAATGGCGATGCTCAGCAATGGTCTGTGGATCCAACAGGGCATGCACTACCGAGAAACCATAAGTTTTGGCCTGAACTCAGAGATACCAGAGGTAGAAGTCCACCAAATTCGCTTGGGTCACTCACTCGTGGAAATTGAGGACTCTAAATATTTATCATCTTATCATAGCATAACCATTGAGACCAATATTGAAAAAGGCAAAATGTGCTACACACTTGATTTAAAGCTTGACGACTTTTTTAAAATCCAAGAAGAAAAAGTCCAAGCTCCTGCCCCAGCTCCAGCTGCATCTAGCAGTTTTGATTGGTTTTTCGAAGCCCAGCCTAGCGCACCTGTCGCAGCTCAGGCTGCTCCTACATCTCAGTTTTCCGAAACTGACGCAAAAAGGCTAAAAGAAAAGCTCCAAGAAGCCACAATAGAGCTCCCAGGGCTTTCTGGCGACGTTTTGCTCCTAATGCAGCTCTTTACTGCTATCGACAGTTACTCTTTGCTCCAATCCCAAAACCGTACAATGGACGATTTCGTCAAAGTTTTCTATCTCAACGTCAGAATTTTCAAATTTTATAACGAACAAAAAAAGCCTATGAAATCCAAACCTCAGTGTTTATCTACAATGGATATAGCCTGGGTACTCCATTCAGACCAACAAGATACCTTATTCCAAGTTCTATTTACAGGAGAAATGGACTGGCCACAAATGAGGATGTACGGCATGGGAATTTGGGTAAAATCATTATATCGAGTTAAATCTATGATAGAAACCATTGCAAGAAATGAGTTCAGGGTCAATAAAGACCCAAAAGCTGTCACTTTGTGGTACTTAGCATTAGGGAAAAAGAGCATTCTTTTGAACCTTTATAAGCAAGATGCAGAAAATAAAAGAATTTATACATTTTTAGTCAATGATTTCACACAAAAAGACTGGCAAGTAAAAGCACAGAAAAATGCTTTTGAGCTTAGAAAGCAAAGGAAGTATGAGATGAGCGCATCTTTTTTCTTGTTAGGAGGACAGTTATTAAATGCTATAGAAGTCCTTGCACAGGATTTAGGAGACCCTCAGATGGCTATGGTTGTAGCAAAATTGCAAGAAGGAGAAAACGGGCCTATTTATAATCAACTTGTAGACAGGTATTTATTAAAAACTGGGCTTCAAGTAAAAGACCCTTGGCTTGTAAGTATTGCATTTTCATTGCTTAATATGCATGCAGAGTCATTAGAAAGCTTAAGTTCTATGCCAAATGAGCCACTTCAGACCAGCAATGTTGATTTTTGGACAGAAAAAACTCAGCCTACTCTGTCAGGTTTTCACCCATCTTTGACTTATTATTTCAAACTCTTGAAAAACACAATCAAGCTTAAAAGAGACTGCGAAACTAAAGGAATACAGCTTTCTAAATATGATAATATAGAAAAAGAAATGGCTGGCAGATGTGCAAAAGCCTATTTGAGAGCTGGTTTGCCTATTCTTGCCTTAAAAATGCTTAAAGATCATGAAAACGTTGACATAAACTTGCTTGATGATATACTCAAAGAATACTTATTAATGATAATAAACGACACCGCAGAAAGCGAATGGCTCGATAAGTTCCCTACCCTTTTAAGCGAAATTTCTTACCTATCATCTACATTTTCATTTTCACAAAAAAGCTTATTAGATTTCGTGTCTACTTTATTTTACAACCGAGATATGAGGCATTATCAGTGTTCTCTCTTAGCAGGAGTTTCAATGCTAGAAAAAGCAGCTGAGTCTGTACTGCATAGAGCTGCAATAGTTCATATTATTTTATCAAGATACTCAAGAGATCCATTCTTCTTGTGTAAAGTAGAAACACTTACAGATGTCGCAGATGAGCTTATTAAATGCTTAATTATATTAAGAGACCGCAGTACTGAGTTCAGCAGTTTATCGCTTAATAGAAGAGCCCATTTATTCCATATTTTAGTTTTAGTTAGCTTATTGTTAAAGTATTATTCTAAGTCCACTTTTTTAACTCCAAATGTGAGTCCGGGAGATCCGACGTCACAGTATTACAAATGGCCCAGAAATGCTAAATAAGTGCTGCCTTCACTGTCCAGAAAGCTTTACAGGACAAATTGTCTTGCTCCACTTGACTCTTGCATGATCTTGTGTACACTCTGGCTCCTCAGGGTAACAAGCGGATAAACTCTATTGCTCCTAAGCCCAAGGATTAGGCACTCCAGCCAATGAGTAGGTGTTGCTAATATATCTGATAAAGGACCACTGGAAAACCGAACCCATAATAACGACTTCGCAGAGGACTGAATAGTTTCCAGAGTACTAATTCCGAGCCATTTTATTATTGTGTTTATCCCATATCACCTTTTCTGTATTTCTGTCTCAGCTTATGATTGGATATACAAGAGGGCAATGGGAATCCGTTGTAGCTATCCTTCGAGGACTTGATGAATATTTAAATGACCAAAATAAAGAAGCTCAATCTGAGGTTGTAATCCCAAAAAAGCAAGCAGAGCATTCAAATAAATTGCTATCATGCTGAATAAGGTATTTATTGGTAAATAAATTGCATGATTTAGTTATTAGCTTTAATAGCAAAGAATATGATGAATGGATGGACAAAAGCTTGCTTAGGTTCAATTTGTTGGATTCTAACACTGATAAAGCAGAAACTCCAGAGAAATTAATTGAAAAAATGATGGCCCCTGGAAGAGGAGTAAAAAAGAGGTCATTAATGCCAGTTTCAAGACTTGTGAGACGCATTTTCTCTTGGAAATTGAGACTACTGTCGAGAGCCCAAAAATTGATTTCTTCTGAAACATTAAAATCTATACAAACATTGATAGAAATGCTTGTGAATACTCCGTCTAATATTCCTACTGATCTCGGCCAGCATTTTTCAGACACAGCTGCTTATCTTTCATTTAATGACTTTGTAGGAGGCAAAACTCAAATCCACCTCCTTTTACAGCATTCAAGCCAAGGTATCAGCACTTTTGTTCATGAAAACCACAATAACCCTGACTCCCCCCCCCTTTAAAATGGGAACTAAAATTTTTGTTCCAATTTAAAGGGGGGTTAATTTTTTTTTTAAAAAAAAAATATCAATATAAAACTTTTTATAAAAAATATAAAAATTAAAACAAAAAATTAAAAACTTATCGAATTAGATTAATAAATTTGTTTAATAAAACGCTATTTACTCTTTATCCTTTAAAACAAAGCAAGATATAACTAATTTTCATTATTAGTTAATACGCCACTATTAATTGGTATCAAAAATTATTTACACAAAAATTATTATTTTTATTGATAAAAAAAATTAAAAAAAAAAAATTTTGGAAAATTTATCGATCAAAGTGCTAATTTTGTTTAAATAAGATGTTATTTATACTCTATTCTTTAAAATAAAGCAAGAAATAAGTAAATTTTGAAATTTTATAAAGAATTCCTATTGAATTTATATCAAAACTATCCAAATAAAAAATATCATTTTTATCAAAAAAAAACAAAAATTTTTTTGAAAATTTTTAAAAAAAAAATTAATTTTTTTTTAAAATTTGCCAATTAAGGATAATAAATTTATTTAAATAGATGCTCTTTATACTTTTTTCTTTAAAAACAGCAAGATATAAATAAATTTTTAATTTTAGTTTAGAAGAAACATTTAACTTATATCAAAACTTTTTAGATAAAAATTATATATAATTTTTTATTATAAAATTAAATTTTGTTCCAATTAAAAGGGTGGTTAATTTACCAAAAAAGTGGAAATTTTACCGATATTTCGTTCCAACTTAAGGGGCGGGGGAGTGAGAAATAATTATTAATTATAGGGTTTATATGGGATTATTTAGTCCGTTGCCGGCTGAACTTTAGTTTCACGCTTAATATGGCGCTAAACACTAAAGCCACTAACGCCCTTTTCTTTCAGGATCACAAAATGGTGACGTTGCCTGTCTGACGGGAGACTCACCAAAATATGATTGGGCCAGTATCTGCAGCAAAGAATTCTTTAACCCCTTATAGTGATTATAGCGAATTCTATTAGATGGCGCGCAATGCGCCATCTATAGGAAGGCGCTATAGGTATGGGGAAAGGTCCTATGCCTCATTCTGGAACTACCCGTTATAGCGATCAGGTATGGGTAATGTCCGATGCCTCGTTCTGTAACTACTTCTGGCATTTGCAGGCAGCAGAATGCTCCTCCTGATATCTGTTGATGCTGTGCCGTCTGTCTTTTGTCTGTGGGTCGAGGGGAAGCCATCATCTCAGCCTGCACCCATCCTGGAAACTTTTTTCCATCTGCGAACCGTAGCCCTCCAGAAGCCAGGACCGCTGCACTGACCCTTTGAAGCTGTGGACCTTCTCTCGCCCTCCACATTCTATAGAGGAAGCGCAATAACCCTGAAGAAAGTGAAAACATCCAATATGACGAAACATTAAAGGAAAACGCCAATTTATTTAAATCAGGGATTGATTTATTCAGAAGTAAAGACCCAGTATTAGGATTTTCTATCAATAAATGTGACAATAAAAACATTTCGATCATTCTGAACAGCAAAAGAGACAGGATCAGAGAAATAAATCTTGACCATGCATTGAAATTTAAAAAACGAAACGCTGAGTTAGAAATCGAAATAGAAGACCCTGAAACTTGGCAAGAATGTCTACATCAGTATGATGCTTTTATTGGCCCAGAAGAGTACATGTACAATCCAGCTATAAATTCAGCTTTAAGCATGCTTAATTCATCACACAGCAAAGTATTTATTGAAGAAATGCAGCTGCCCCCTCCAGTTTGGCACAGAAGTTCCCTTAACCATTTATTGACTTCTTTATCGTCCCATAAAACCAGGCAAGAAAAAGTCAACCAAATTGTAGGGCACCCTCTCTTACCTTTATATGTGACTGGTAATGACTCCGGTATGATGACTCTTTGGCAATATACAAGAAGTGATAGTCTTCAGGACTTTGCCACAATTTCAACGACATCTAAAATTACCTGGATGAGCTTTAACGGCTACGGAGACAAGCTTGGTGCCTGTGACGCTTCAGGGAATTTCTTTTTATACAAATTTGACTTGCAGCCGACCTCTTTTCAGCCTCAGCTAACCATGATGAACTCTGCTGGCAGTAAGGCTTCTGCGTTTTCCTTTCTAAATTTAGGATCAGTAATAGCCACTATTGGGCATAAGCCAAGAGGATTTTTATCAATTTATGATACTTTGCTACCTCCGAATCAGTCTTGTCTGCATACAGAAAATATTGGTGGGACGACAGTTCATTATATTTCGAGATATCAGCAGCTGATAATTGGGACTAAAAAAGGGAAATTGGCAAGGTATGATTTGACGTGTCTTACACGAGGTCTACTCCATAACGACTATTTTTTTTGCCTATTTTTTTTTGGCCTAATTTTTTTTGGCCTATTTTTTTTTGGCCTAATTTTTTTTGGCCTATTTTTTTTGGCCTATTTTTTTTGGCCTAATTTTTTTTGGCCTATTTGTTTTTGGCCTATTTGTTTTTGGCCTATTTGTTTTTGGCCTATTGTTTTTTTGGCCTATTTGTTTTTGGCCTATTTGTTTTTGGGCCTATTTGTTTTTGGCCTATTTGTTTTTGGCCTATTTGTTTTTGGCCTATTTGTTTTTGGCCTATTTGTTTTTGGCCTATTTGTTTTTGGCCTATTTGTTTTTGGCCTATTTGTTTTTGGCCTATTTGTTTTTGGCCTATTTGTTTTTGGCCTATTTGTTTTTGGCCTATTTGTTTTTGGCCTATTTGTTTTTGGCCTATTTGTTTTTGGCCTATTTGTTTTTGGCCTATTTGTTTTTGGCCTATTTGTTTTTGGCCTATTTGTTTTTGGCCTATTTGTTTTTGGCCTATTTGTTTTTGGCCTATTTGTTTTTGGCCTATTTTTTTGGCCTATTTGTTTTTGGCCTATTTGTTTTTGGCCTATTTGTTTTTGGCCTATTTTTTTTTGGCCTATTTTTTTTTGGCCTATTTTTTTTTAACTATTTTTTTTGGCCCATTTATTTTTGGCCTAATTTTTTTGTCCTATTTTTTCTGTCGAGGATAATTCATGAAGCTGCCGAGAGAACTAAATAATTATTGGGTAACGGATACATTTCTTTACACGATTAATATTGAGTAAATTAAGTGGAAAAAAATCCTAATTAAATTTAAAATTCTCGAAATTTAAAAAGCAATGAATTAGCATTCATGGAGTAAGAGATCTGTTAAAGGTGTATTTTATGTTGATAAAATCGTTTAAAATACATTAAAAATTATATTAAAATCATTAATATGGAATTAGGCCCAAATATTAGTAAAAATAGCTAAAAAATGGCCAAAAAAAAGTCCAAAAAAATTAGGCCAAAAAAAAATAGGTAGGCGAAAAAAAATAGGTAGGCGAAAAAAAATAGATAGGCGAAAAAAAAAATAGGCCAAAAATAGGCCAAAAAATATAGGCTAAAAAAAAAATAGTCGTCATGAAATAGGCGAAAAAAAATAGTAGGCCAACAAAAAAAATAGGCCAAAAAAAATAGGCCAAAAAAAAATAGGCCAAAAAAAATAGGCCAAAAAAAAATGGGCTAAAAAAAATTAGGCTAAAAAAAATAGGCCAAAAAAAATAGTCGTTATGGAGTAGACCTCGTGTGAAGGAACCATGATTTGAGGATGCAAAAAGTGGTCGATTCGATAGAGTCGAAGCATGACTCAATTAAAAGCATTACGAGTGATCCAACGGAGACTACTTTTGTGACGGGAGGAAGAGAAGGAGTGGTCAAAATTTGGGATTCGAGGGATTTGGCGCTAAAAGAAACAATTGAAGTTTCGAAAAAATCGAAGGGAGGTATTACAAAGCTTGAGTTTTTGGAGAATGCGCTGTTTGCAAGCTCAGGAGAAGGAGTTCTAAAGCTGCTTAGGACAACAACTCATTAATTTTATTTAGTTTGCAGTTATATTAAAATTATAATTGACGTTACTTTATTTATAACTGGCTAATTAACGAAATTTTCAATTTTTGTATATATTGGAGATAATCATAATTATTCAAATTTTTTCTTATTTCGAATATTTTGCAAGTTTACTGTGTAATTTATCATTATTTTTGTCGAAATTTCAAACTTTTAGTTGAAATTATTTTTAACTGAAAATTAAGAGATTCTATTTTCCATAAAAATGCTGAATTAAATTTCAATGGATACATTTCAAATTTTATGGGTAATATATTTATAAGCTCTTTTGCATCTAATCCATCGACTGAGTTTCATATCCTCCTTGGTAAAATTAAGTTAAATCTTGTTATTTATTAAAATTTCTTATTTTTTCTTATAATAAATTCTGATATTTATGCTGGCTGTATTTATTTTCATTTATATTAGTATAAATAATTCGAACATTTTATTTAAAGTAATTTAACGATAGAAAATTAACCTTGAATGGCAACAAAAGTCTTACTACACTAGCTGAGTTCGCTAATAATTGGAATACTATTTCATGCAAAATCAGTCCTAGAATGCATTTTTATTTTTTAGTCATATGAAATTTCTCTTTCAAAAGCATAAATTTATAAATTATATATATTTGTAAATATTTGAATTAAAATTAATTTCTTGTATAAAATAAGTAAACATTTTTTGTTTGCTCTTAAAAAGAGATTTAGCTTCCCACAAAGTAAAACCAAGAACCAGCACTTTTGTATCAAAACAGCGATATGAAATTGGAAAAGAAAACACTTCAGACAAATTCCCAACAAATTTAATTGGAAAAAATACAGTTAATCCGAGACATAGGTCATCACGATCTCACTCAGGCGTTAAATCAATAGTAGATTCTTCTGAAGACCAAACCAGCAGCACTCTTAAAGAAGAAAATACAATAAAACCGTCAAATAAGCCAAGCGGAATTTTTACTTCGTTTCATTCAAAAGTATCAACCCCCAAAGGCCCAGAACGAAAACAAGTAAAATCAGCCCTTCACACTCGTGCTTCTTCTCTTGTAGATCGTCCTAATAGCTTGAACACTCTAAAGAAAAAAGAAAGCAAAGGCCACAAAAGAAGGTCGTCTCTGTCCATAAATAAGCCTCAGCCAACGGTCTCCCAATTTTCCCACATCAGCAATAAAGGTTTTATCCCTGAAAACCCAGGGAAAACCAATCAAGACAATTATTTTGAGTTTCCAAATTTTGCCAATCACCCTGATTTATATCTTTTTGGAGTCTGTGATGGTCACGGATTCTATGGTGGAGAAGTTTCTGGGTTTGTAAAACAAAGGTTGCCAGAACTCCTTGCTAGAAATCCTAGCCTGTATAGATCTCCTAAAGAAGCACTAACTTCTTCTATTGCCCAATGTGACGAAGATTTAAATAGCCTTGAAATTGATGTAAATTTCAGTGGGACTACCTTAATTGTTGTCTTGCTAAAAGGCACTACTTTATTCTGCGCCAATGTAGGGGATTCACGAGCCTTGATAGCGCGCCAGATGAATGATACCTCAAAAACGACTTCTTCAGGCAAGCATTGGATGTCTATTGTGCTGTCAAGAGACCACAAGCCAAGTGAAAAAGATGAGCATAAGCGCATCTTAAATAGCGGTGGCAGGGTAGAATCATACCAAGATGAGCTTGGTAACCCTTTAGGCCCTGCCAGGGTATGGCTGAAAAATCAAAACTTGCCTGGGCTTGGGATGTCACGTTCATTAGGAGATCGGGTTGCTGCCTCAGTAGGGGTTATTTCTCAGCCTGAAATATTAGAGCTCGATATGACACCTGAAGACAAGTTTATATGCCTAGGGAGTGACGGCATTTTTGAATTTATCCCAAATGAAGAAATCGTAAAAATTTTAGTCCCATATTGGAGGCTTCAAGACTCAGAAGGTGCTTGTAAAGCAATAGCTAAAGAAGCACATGATAGATGATGCCAAGAAGAAGAGGTGATTGATGATATCACTGCTTTGTGTATATTTTTGGATGTGACGAAATCATAATCATGAGTATTAAGATATAAAATTTAAAGGTATGCAATGATACATAAAATAATTAGACTTGTTTTCTGCATTGAGGACATGTACCTTGGATTCTAAGCCATACTGTAATGCAGTTTTCGTGATATGAGTGCCCACATGATAGTAAAACAGATGCTACACTTTCACTTTGATCTTCAGTACATATAGAACAGGTGCCAGATACATGTGCTCTTTCTAAACTGGCGATTCTTTCTTCAGATAAAGGGTGCTTGGCATCAATATTCCCGATTCTTTCAGTAAGCTGTTGTATCGAGCTTACAAGAATTGAAAGTCTGGTCTGCAACATATTCAGATTCTCATCAATTCTTTGCATTTCTTCAGAATGATTTCGTTCTTCGATAAAATCTGAGCCACAATGAATGCAGCGATAGTTAGAATTAATTGTAAAACTTGAGCATCCATAGCACCAGTAGTTAGAGCTTTCCATTGATTTCCTAATTTTTTGGAATAATGGGGTTTTCTATTAATAAGGCTTTAATATCAGAGATATCTATGAATAGGATTTAACAATAAATTAAGCATTTTTTACTATAAAACTAACAATAGCTCTTAATAAAAATCTTACTAAATTACTAAACATAAAATATTATAAAAATTAGATATGAAAAAATCTGCTCAAATAGACGCAAAAAACTTCTTTAGTCTGTTGTATTTATAATTAAACAAATAATGACTGTAAATAAATAAAAAACCCCAATCATTCCTGTGAAAACAAAAGCATAAAAATAGCGGATATTCCCACCTCCGATGCACTTCCCCATAACAATGCAATGATGATCATAATTCGAAACGCAAACACAGCACTCGCTACAGTGGACTGTTTTAAAGTCTTTAATACGTAGACATTTATCACAAAAATGTTTATCCTGTTTCAATATATTTAGCATCACTTCATCTATGTCCTTATTTTTTGAAATGACACCAGGGTCTTTCAAAACTGTAATAATGAATAGCAGCAAACAGAAAGGCACAAGGGCAGCTCCAATAATGTTTAGAATAAAGTAAGTTTTTAACGATAAATATCCTACAAATAGACAGCCTAAACATATAATGATAATACCAAGACAAACGCTGTATGGCCATTGAGGACCTATTGTGATGAATGGCTTTGTGGCGTGTGAGCCAATACATAGAACTTTTCCTATTTTATATATGCACTTTTTGGGTTTATCTTGGAGTGTTTCTTCGAGCATGTGTTGATTTTATTCAGAAAAAATATTTAAATAGAGATAATTGTTTCAAGTATTATTGAATAGAATTTTTCTTTAAATAGCAGACTTGATAATAAAATTTATTATAAAGTTGTTTAAAACCTAACTTCCATGGGAAATAATTTTAACTTTTTCATTAAAAAGATTATATAAATTAAAAAATATTTATATACATAAAATTGCAATGACATCTAGCCGATCCTCTTAGTGAAGGCAGCAAGTACATATCCGGACATGGCTTTTTGAGCTACGAGTTGGCCCAAACAATATATGACGTCCCAAATCGAGTAATTTGAGAAAAGATCCGTGGTATTGTGGCTTGACCAAATGCAGTTGCTAGACCCAAATCAGTGGGCCCTCGAGATGGAGCAGGGCAACTTACCTACTCAAAGTATTATTGTGATTTACTCCGAATCACAGTGGGTCAAGCATTTTTCCGGGGGTTACCTGAAAAAAGGAAGGCGAATTAGAAGAAAACTAGGCGGTCCCTACAGCAAAATGCCACTTAAATGTGGTGATCTGGCCAATGATTGTAGGCAGAGTTCGAGTAATGAGGGGGAAGGGGGTCAGCTTGGAACAGTGGAGCCTGATAAAGGTCATTAAATCAAATAGGGCAGCCACTACTGAAAAGCCAAGGGTTTCGGCTTGGGCTTGGAGGTACCAGAGGTGAAAGTCGCCAATTCGCTTGGGCAACTACGCAGCTTCTAACGAAGCTATACAGAATACACCTGTGGAAGTAGAGATCTTAAATATTTAGCCCTCTGTAATGCAATGCAAAATATTTATTTCTTGAATCTGAAATTAGGAAGCTTCTTAAAAGACGAAAGTAATTTAAATAATTCTTTATTTCTTTGAATTGTTGAAAATTTCGATTGACAAAAAATAAAATATTTTTTTTGAGTTATATTTTGTAATTAAGCTATCTAATTTAATAGAATTATCTCGAAAGTTAATTATAAAGGCCATTATTTGATTTAATTAGTTAAAAAATAATTATCCTTCTCTTATCTTGCAAAAATAGCATCTGAGAAATTTTTAATGAAATCAAAATTTCTATTTCTTATCAATAAAATAGATAATTCTATTGTTATTGTATTATTTTTTTTCATACAAATTTTCTAAACATTTTAAAATAATTTTTGGATGGATTATTTTCAATTTTTGCAGGATTAAGAAGAGTTATTAAATTAGACCAAGATCTTATAGCTCGCGCTTGATTCATTGAAGTCATTCATGACTCTTCTTGATTTGGTTCCATAAACCTTTCTGAGGAACACTGCAACTGCGACTCCAAGAATTGCAATTGATACAACCCACGCCCAGACTCCGAAAGACTTAGCTTTCGGCTTAGCAGTCTTGACTTGTGCTGGTGCTTGAGCGCAGAAATTAGCATTGCAAGTGGTCATGCATGCAGCAATATCTCCTTTCAATTCTGAGCAGAAGTTTGAGCAGTTAACTTCACATCCAGTTGCAGATCTAACAATAGGCTTGATAGAGATTGTGTTGATAACTTGCCAGCTGATTCCTTCTTCCTTATAAATGGATCCTGAAGTCTCATCTGCAGAGTAATCAGTGCTTGAGCCATATTCAACGACAATTGCTGAGGTGTTAGTTTCTCCTGTTAAAGGATCGGTGGTATTTTTAACAGCAGCGGCTTGATGATATTCATCAACAATAGCGCCATCTTCAGTTGGGGTCACTTGTTTTTCTTCTACATGGACAACTGCAGCGTCTTGATTAGGGAATTCAGCTGCATAAGCTTTTTCTGAGTTTCCATATCCATCAGAAACTTTAATGCTATCAGAGCTTCCGTCAAGTTCTCCACCTGGGGTGGTCCATTCTGAGTGAGAAGCTTCTACGGTGGTCCCGTCAGTTTCATTGGTGACTTGAGCTTTTACCTTTGAATAGGTTAGGTTATTAAAGTCAGGTATTAGCCATATTCGTGACGCAGGCACCAAAGACCTCCTATTCGGGAGGTTCAACCGCTTTCCGACTCCATCACAGAGGGTCTTTCCCCCGAAGGTATGCCACTTCCGGTACCTATGTTTCCTCATTACTGTGCGGCTTCAGTTGAGAGTGGACATCTTATACCTTTGAATAGGTAAATTCTTTATTGTCTGGGTCGGCGCCTGCAATGTCAACTTCGACGTGGGATTCAGTGGTGGTTTCATCAATCTGTTCTGTTCCAGCTTCAATGTTAACCTGTTTATCTTGGTCTTGGCCAATGGTGAGATCAATATCCCAGTCGTCATTAGCGGTCTTAGGTGTTGTGATTTCAATCGAGAAATCGCTGAAAAGCTGGGTGGTCTTGATTGGAGTCAAAAGGTCTTTGCAGCCGCATTGTTGGGTACATTGAACAGCAGCCATACCTTTGGCGAATTGGAAGCACATGTCTACGCATTTAAGAGAGCAGCCCATGACTGATTCAATACGGGCTGCATCTTCGCTGGTGACTGACTGTAAAGCAAAGACTTCTCCAGTCTCCACTTGGAAGATGCGAGAAGGCAAGATCACGTTTGCGCTTACGAAGGCAAGGAGAGCAATAGCTATAAACTTTCTCATAATTATTATTACCATCCATTTTCCAACAACTTATTATCTATTATAATTTAATGCTTTGAAGAATTAGTTAAAAAAGAGAATATGAATTGTGAGAGAAATAAAATTTTAGGTTGTCGTAAAAATTAAGGATTGATATTACCTGTCATTTTTAATGCTGATAAAATTTTGTAAGAGAAAGATGGGTTAGAGGTTTTAAATAATGAAGGAATAGTGACGTCATTGGATTTGGATAATTGGATATTTAATAAAGCGTAGAGAATGACATAGATGAAGAAATAGAATAAATTTGGAGAAGACTAAGAAGCTGCATACTTAGAAGAGAAACCATTTTTAGTTGTCTTTTAGATATAAAATCTAAAGCATTTTCTGTCAAGGTAAAGTTAATTAAGAGTTAGACATATTTTAAAAAATTGCCATTCAAATATTAAACAAATGTCAGAATCTATTAGATGCATTTTTGTTAAAATGTCTATCAAAAGGTAAATAAATTTTCTTACTTTAATTTATTTTGGCGTAGTAGTGGCTGATTTATCATAAAATATTGTCGAAAGCTTCAAAAAGTAACAATATTTATTATAAATTCTTTCTAATTCATGGATTTAAGGTTTAAAAATAATCAACAAATTATTTTAGTTTAAAGAAATTATTTTATTTCATAAAAATTATATTAATTTTTGAGTGACCGCACTTCCTTGCAACCCAAGCTCTTCTACAGTTTTATCCATATCTGTCAAAGCAGCTGGCGGAAATCCTGATAAAAGATTAAAATTCCCATCAACTGGTGCAGCTTTCCCTACATATTCATAAATTTGTTTCAGCGTATGACTCGTATTGACTGTAATACTTGTCTTTTGCCCATTATGAAACCTCAATTGTATTTGCACTTTCGGCAAACTTTCATCAACTACAATTGTTGCTGCTTCTGCATTAACAGGCTCTACTGCTTTAGCTTTTGCTTCTTCTAACTGTTGGCCTTCCCCCACAAAATGTATATGTTGTGAAGGGTTAAACACTTCTTTTGATTTATTCACAATCGTCAATACTGGCGATTTATTCCCAAGTGAAGCTACTAATTCATTTGGAACAAGTCCACGATTGATCATATGCAAATATGACTGGGATTCACTATCATCATACTTATGAAACTCATTTCCTCCAAGTAAAAATCCATCTTGAAAAAGCGTCAGTTTAATTTCACATTCACTTTCATCTAAATTATTTCCGTGTAACTGTCCATCAGCTTTTGCACGATTAAGTGGGCCTTCAAACATAGATTGGACCCTTGATGGAGCTTCAGAAACTGCTGAACTTTCTTCAGGTGTCAGGTCTTTTAGTGAAGCAATCATTATATTAACAATATGAAATAATTTTTTTACAATGAATTTATTTGGCCAGCCAAAATTTGATATTGAAAAATTGAGGAAACATATAGAAAAATTGAAGATCGAGCAAGAAAAGCAGCTTTTATCGACAAATTTTGATCCTTCGCCGACAGCTTGACCTACAAGTATGGAAAGAAAAGAAAATAAGTATGGATTCCACCTCGACTTAAAAAACACTACCTCGGCATCTTTAGAGAGCAAAGAGCCTGTTTATATAGAAGTTAAGCATGATGTTCCAATATTACAAAAAGATCCAATAAGATATAAGAGTCTTAAGCAGCGGTACCATACAAGGCCTTTAAGGATGAGCACAGTTTCATTAAATGCCTCTACGAATTTTCATAAGGAAAGCATATATATAAAAACAGAATCAGCGACTCCAAAATGTTTTCAAAGAAGCATTTTATCAAAACACTCGGTATTTCAAGTAAGCTCATCTTCATCTTGTGCTTCTCAATTTGAGGAAGATTTATTTTATAATTCAAATATTCCTAACTCGTCACCGAATTCAAGTAAATTTTCATGAAAATCTTTATCATTTCATAGAAAGGCAAATTCGTTTGGAGGAGAAAATGTAAAATCTTTGTCAAAAGGAGGAGGATTTATGGCAGCTGGACTATATATATATTAAAATTGTGGAGTCAAAATCTCCTCTTAACACCTTTAAAAGAGGGGCGGTGCTTGAAAGTGTATCTGGCTAGGTTTTCTAGCCAGGGATGGAATCTTAACGATATGGTGAATAATTCATGGAGAGGCTTTTCAAGTTCAATTTCCTTGATAATTTTCCTGATGAAGAAACTCGAAGTTGAAAGGGTGGTCCTAGCTACTTATAGGACTCCAACTAGACTTATTGGAATAATCACAAAGCATAATATCCGATATTGAGTTCTGGGCTTCGAACTCCGTCTTTAACTGAAAGATGGCCAAATATTAGATTTTTCTAATTTTCTGGAAGGCAGGCCACATTGATGCACGTACGACCCATCACTTTACCCTCAGCAAGCCGCGTATCAGACAAGAGGAGTTAACCCTGCGAGGAGCGGTTGCAGGCTGTCCAACGAGTAATGCTGGAATAAATATCCTAGTGGTATTACAGGGAGCTTTTCTATAATTTAATTTAGATAAGATTATGCAGCTGGCCCTTTAATTAATATTAAAATCCAGCCTCAACAGCTGAGCAGTCCTCATTCTTCTGCTCATTCGGAAGACGTGAAAAATCTAAGTTATAAAAATTTTAGAAGTGTTAAAAATCCAATTTTTCCTTCATATAAAGCCCAGCCAAACGAAGACATTTTTGAGAATAATTGTAATCGTATAAAAAGAAGAAGATTGTAAAATTTTATATCAAATAACTTGCATATTCGTATAAAATATTTTATTTGTGAAGTAAATTAAAATATTAGCGTATATAATTACTTTCTTTTATCTGGTAAGATATTTTTAATCTTAAACTCTTAGTATTCTATGTTAACATCATTTTTACTTGTTTTTTTTGGTATTTCTGCTGACTCCTCTGTATGCTCAAACAAAATATTGCAAATTTTCCATTTTTTGAGTATCCTCTTTATATTAATTTTTAAGAAAAATAATAATTTTGATGTATATAGCCTTGGCGCCCTAATTAATATCACACAAATTGAAAATTTACTTATGAATTGCTCTATTTTAAAGTAGGAGTAGTAGAATTATATTTATACAAACTTGACACTTAGAATCGACTTAAATTTTCTGTGAAATTTTTTTAGTGCTGCGAAATAAAATATAAACCCCTCTGCTTGGAAAATTTTCTGGCTCCAATTTAAAGCGAAAGATTAAGATTTTCGAATCTATTTTCAAAATCTATTAATTAGTTTTTGACAAGCCTATTCTTCTAAATCTTTTAATCCATTTTATATAATTTTCATAATAATACTTGGTGCAAGTCAACTAATTATAAAAGAAAGAAAATATGAATTTTCTCCATAACTATGGTCTAATTGCGAGATTTAATTTTATTTAAGACTTTTTAAATTTTCTAAATAATAATTTTCACTCTGCCTCATAAGAGCATTTTACATAATATTCAAGCAAAGCGTGCGCATTTAATATATAGCTCAAGGTTAATCAGCAAATTAGATTGGAGAAAACAAAAAAAGGGCAAAATTCACAATATTTTCTTTTAAAATTTAGCATTATTTATAAATCACTATAATATAGCCAATAAATTTTAAAATTGCTATACTGTATTGTAACGCTTATGAATTTCACTTGCATGGCAAGCATAAATAAAATGGCTGAAGTCTCAGAAGCAAATTCCCAGCGATCACTCTATGCTAACGGCTTCGAAGTGAATCGTTTGAAAAAATTCCCTTCAAACTATGTTACGACAACTAAATATAACATCGTAACATTTTTACCATTCAGTCTATTAGAACAATTCAAAAGATTGCCAAATGTTTATTTTTTAATAATCGCAATTTTGCAATCCCTACCTCAGATTTCGGCACTTGGACCTTACACCGCTATCGCACCTATTTGTTTTGTCCTAGCTGTCAGTATCATCAGAGACGGTTTTGAGGACTATTTAAGATATAAAGCAATACATTAATATGGCGGAGGCGACCATCCGGCCTCTTGCACAAGATTAGGTATGATATACTATTTGGATTAGGGACCCTGAAGGCAGCAGGCGCTTAGCGTGAAACTGGGAGTTACGCCGGACTCCAGCCGATAGCGAACGGACGCCCCGGGAGCAGGCGGACGGTGTCATTCTTTTTTTTTTTAAAAAATCGGATGAACTTGCAGAGGTGAAAATCCTCGGCCGTCTCTAAGCAAAGCTTTTAGTTTAATTTAAGATACAAAGCAGATAAAGAAACAAATTCAACGAAAACCCAAATTTATCGCAAAGGGACGTTTGAAGAAAAAACGTTCAAGGATATTGAAATCGGTAATATCATCATGGTAAAAAAAGACGAAGCATTTCCTTGTGACATCGTTATGCTATCAAATTCCTCAGATAATGGAATTGCTTATATTGAAACGTCGAGCCTTGATGGGGAAAAAGCTTTGAAGCCTCGGCTTGCATTGCAGGCAACCATGAATATTATCAAAAAGGACCAAATTATCAGAGTTTTTTCTTTAATTGAATGTGACCATCCAAATGCGAAAATTTATGAGTTTAAAGGTACAATGGAATATAATTACCAAAAGCATCCACTTACTAACTCCCCCCTCGTGAGTGAACAAAAAAATTTTGTTCGCTCTTGGAGTTTTTTTTTTTTAAAAAAAAATTTGATATATAAATTTTATAGAAAATATTTTTTTCGAAATTTAAAAAATCCTAATTCGCAAAAATTGAAAAGCAAATATTAATTTAATTTATAAAATTTATTTTTAAGACGCAATTTGTTTAAAATTAAACAGAATTCAAGATTTCATTATAATAATTATCATTTTTAGATCAAAATTTTTTTCTATAAAAAATTTTTGTTCGCTCACTGAGTGGATTTTAGGGATTTTTCTAATGGTTTTGTTCACTCACGGAGCGGGGGGGAGTAAGGATAATTTACTACTTGCTGGAGCGTTTTTAAGGAATACTGAATGAGTTATTGGAGTTGCTGTTTATACAGGGACAGAAACTAAGCTCAGAATGAATTTAATGAAAAGAATATTCAAACAAAGCCAAGTAGAAAGAATTGTTAATAAATACATTGTTGGAATTTTAGCTATCCAATTTTCCCTGTGCTTTGTGCATGCAATTTTATCAGGAATTTGGAGCAGTAAGTATGGAGACGATAGCTATTATTTAGATGGAAATACCTACAGTCCAGGACTTCAAGGGTTTTTGACTTATTTTACCTATTTTTTGCTTCTCAACACTATGCTGCCGATTTCTTTAATTGTTTCTCTAGAAATTTTAAAACTGATGCAAGGATTCTTTATGCAGCAAGACCTCCGAATGTACAGCTCTATAAGAGATAGGCCTTGTAAGGTCTAATTAATATGGTGGTGGGGACGAAATATGTCCTTACGGAGGTCACACCACTCCGGGAGCAAAAATGGTTTATAGCCTAAACCAAGGCAGAGACCCTTTAATTCTTACCCTTAGCATTGCCTAGTGCGTGCGGTATGGAGTGGGTAGTCTTAGGAGTCAGCTGTCTTCATTCCAATCCGAAGTATTAATTATCTGGATGGTTTTTGACTACGGGTCTTTTCCTCCCGTTCCGGGTGGCCGTAGCTTTTTTCCTGGGTGTCACTTCTCCCAAAGGTGGCCGATTGGAGGTATCGGGTAGACCTTTATCTCCAAAGCACCCTAATGACGTGAAGAACGGGAGTCTTCCTAGCCCATTGAGACTCAGGCTAGACTGTGGAAGCCCATTTCCGAGATAAGACAGACGCTCCACAGGTTGTTGATGGGCACCCCGACAACCAGGTGTCAGCTGTCGAAAGCGTGCAGAGGCATCAAACCTGGAAGACTTTGAGCCCTTTAATCTTAATCTTGTAAGGTCTCAGCTTTTAGCTTGAATGAAGAATTAGGCATGATTCAACATATCTTTTCTGATAAAACAGGAACACTTACTCGTAACCGTATGGAATTCAAATTTTGTTCTGTGGGGAATAAAATGTACGGAGAAAAGAAATTTTTGCTGAGTCGTCACTTTAGCTCAGTGGCCTCCAAAACTACAAAAGCAGTTATATTTACTTTTGACACCAAAGAAATTGAAAATGATTTATTCAGCCACGAAGAAACGATTCCTTTGAAATATTCAATCAGTTGTGACCAATCTGACGGAAAAGAAACGATTTCAACCCAACAAGAACTGCTTGATCTATTTGTGAAGTGTATGTCTCTATGCCACGAGTGCTTAATAGAAGAAAAAGAGAACGAAACAAATTATATTGGCCAAAGTCCAGATGAAATTGTCCTAGTTGACTGCGCGGCGAGAGTTGGGTATAAATATGCAAAAGTGAGAGGAAATATTATCGATCTCCATAAAACGCCATTTGGAGTTAATGATCAAGTCGAAATTATGCAGTTTGACAAGCTATGCACCCTTGAATTTAATTCAGACAGAAAAAGATGCTCACTCCCCCCCTTCGCGAGTGAACAAAAAAATTTTGTTCACGGAGGGGTGAATTTTGTTTTTTCTAAATTTGAAAAAAAAATCCTAATTTACAAAAATTGGGAAGCAAATATTAATTTAATTTATAAAATTTATGTTTTAAAAACGCAATTTGTTTAAAATTAACTCGAGATTTCATTATACTAATTATCACTTATATATCAAAAATTTTTTTCACTCACAGAGGGTGGGTTTTTGAGCAAAAAAAAAAAGGGATTTTTCCAATGGTTTTGTTCACTCACGGAGGGGGGAGTCAGTAATTGTCACAGATAAGCAGACTGGCAAGCATATTCTTTTCACCAAGGGGGCTGATACCAAGATGATAAAGCTACTTTCAAGCGAAAACCCATCAAAATATATAGACAACATTATGAGCAATTTATTGACTTTTTCAGAAAGAGGTTACCGAACCCTTGTTTTCGCCTTCAAGTATATAGACGACGAATACTTTAAGGACTGAAAATCCAGATATGATATAGCTTGCACATTAATTAATGGAAGAGAAGAAATGGTCTCCAAGCTATCAGATGAAATCGAAACTGATTTATATTTACTAGGGTGCACTGCTGTCGAAGACGCTCTACAAGACGATGTGCCTTCAACTATACAAGATTTGCTAGCAGCTGGAATAAACATATGAATGCTGACTGGTGATAAATTTGAAACAGCTGAAAACATTGGAAAAACTTGTTCATTGGTAGATGAAAATATGGAAGTTGGAAGATGCCCTGCAATGCCTCTTGATGATTGCTTAAGAACCTTGCTCCCCCCTCCGTGAGCGAAACCATTGGAAAAATCCTTATTTTTTGCCTAAAAAAACACCCTCCATGAGCGAATAAAAATTATTTATGAAAAAGAAAAATTGATATATAAATGATAATTATTATAATGAAATCTCTAGCTAATTTAGATTAATTTTAAACAGCTTGTGTTTTTAAATATAAATTTCGCAAATTAGATTAATTTTTGCTTCTCAAAGTTTAAAAAATTGGAAATTTTTTTTAAATTTGAAAAATAAAATTTTATATATAATTTTTTTAAGAAAAAAAAATAAACCTCCCTCCGTGAGCCAACAAAATTTTTTTGTTCACTAAGGGGGGAGCTAGAATCTATCAGCGAAAAATTCCATGAAGTTGGCGATCAAAAGCCAACTGCATTAGTAATAGAAGGGTCTTGCCTTGAATTTGTGCTATTTGATGCCAATGATCCAGCTATGATGAAAAAAGAGCCAGAGTTGGCCAACAACCCAACTGTAACGGCGGTTAGAAAAGTTTTCTTACTCCCTCCCCCATCCTTGATCGAACGATTGACTGTAAAAATTCCTAAAAATTGGGGAAATTAACCACCATCCTTGATCGAACGATTTTCATATCATGCAAATTTTTATATAAAAATATATTATTTATCAAAAGCTTGGGAAGATGTACATAATGAAGTTGTTTTCAGAGCTTTGAGACGACAGAAAGCTGCGGAATCAACCATCCGAAGTGATTTAGTTATCAACATAGGCTTAAAAACTCAATAATCTAATAAAATAGAGATTCTTTCAAATTTTTAAAAAAAAATGTAATTTAATAAGGAACAAATTAAAATTTATACAGTTTAAAGGGATAACTAATAAATCAAAATATTAAAAATTGGTATTTTATGAAATTAATTAGATTTTTTGCTGTAAAAATAATTATTAAATATTCTTAACCCTCTTATTTAAAAATAAATAAAAAAAAAATTATTTTTTATTTTATATATAAAATTTTTTTCCCAAAAAAATTTTTTTTAACCCCCATCCTTGATCGAACGATGGCGAGTCGTTCGATCAAGGATGGGGGGGGGAGTTAGAGATGGCAGTTGACTGCAAAACTGTTATATGCTGCAGAGTGACGCCAGGTCAAAAGCGAGGGATCGTTAAATTAATGAAAGACCAAACAGGCTCAGTCACTTTGTCAGTTGGAGACGGAGCAAATGACGTTTCCATGATTCTTGAAGCTCATATTGGAGTAGGAATCTATGGAGAAGAAGGGATGCAGGCTGTCCAAGCTAGTGATTATGCAGTAGGAGAGTTCAGATACTTATGGGAGCTGCTTTTAATCCATGGAAGGTTCAATTATATCAGACAAAGCCATATGATTATGTATTTCTTCTATAAAAATCTTGTATTTACCATTCCAAACTTTTTCTATGGGTTTTATTGTGCTTATAGTGGAGAAACAGTATACGATGATTGGTACATCACTTTTTATAATATGGTATTTACAGCTGTACCGCTCATGGCAAGAGCCTTATTTGAAGTTGATATTTTAATCCCAAAACGCTATGAGGTAGGTGCAAATCCACCAGGCCCAAAAGATACTTTGAGGAAGCTTATACCAAAAGCTTACAATGTGGGGCGTTTGAACCAAATTTTTACTGCAAGAAATTTTTGGGGGTGGCTTTTAAATGGAACAAATAAAATTGCGACGACACCGACCTGTCCTCTCCCGAACCTGTAGTGTGATTGGGGACCTTGCTGCGGCCTGAAGCCAATCCACTCAGGGAAAGGTCTGGTATGGGTACTGGTATTTGTGTCCGGCTAGGTTTCCCTCCCGGTCCAGCAATGACGATTTTCGGATCGTCCCGACGGGACATGGGACAAAAAAGGGTTTTCCTCTAGGGACTGCTGGTGCCCAAATTAGACGGCACAGTAGATGCCAATAAGAGCTAGGGAGTTAATCCTTAGCTCTAACCCTAGTCGACGACGTGAAGCATGGGTGACCCAGTCCGCCTACTTCCGGAATTTCATGACCAAGCCCCATGACCGGAAGGAGCCGAGTGGTAGCCTGTGGCACTTAGGTGTACACTGGGAGCAGGGCAAGGAAAGCAAGCGAGGCGACCAAAAGGAGAAAGAAAAGGACCTACAGTCCTGGCCGGGAGCTACTCAATAACATATAATTAAGATTAAGAAGGCTTTTAAATGGAATTTTGCATTCAGTGATTGTGTTTTTTATTCCACTGTATGCAGCAGAAGAAGGGATAATGAATAAAAAAGGGTATAATTATGACCATTGGGGTTTTTCAATAATGTCTTTTACCTCTATTATTTTAATTGTCAATTTGAAGCTTGGCTTGAATACGAAATATTGGAATTGGGTGCATTATTTAGCAATCGGAATAACAAGTATTTTAGCTTATTTGCTATTTATCGTTATATATGACCCTTTTACAAGCACTCCATCAAATATGACACTTTATCAGATGTTCGCAACTCAATACTTTTACATTGGAATTATAACAACAACACTCTTTGTAGTAGTTTTGGATGGAGGATACCAGCTAGCAAGGAGGATTTTCAAACCATCAAGCTCTGAAATGATGATGGATTATTCCCTTAAAATTTATAAAAACGAAAAGAAATCAGATGACGACATTTAGGTAAATAAAATTATTTGTTGATTTTTTAATAATTCTTCAAATAATAATTATATATGTAAAAAAATGGACCCAATTTGCAAATATTTTAAAAGGAGAAGAGCTAGTATTGAGTCTATTGAATTTTATAATAGCCCAAGAATAAAATATGATAATGCTCCTAATACCAAAAGCCCGTTATTTAAGTCAAGTCGTAGACAAGAAATAGAGACTGAGATGAGAAGAAATTGATCATCCTACGAAATAAAATCAAAAAATATACCTAATCTTTCGCGGCGTTATAGAGAAAAAAGATGAAAATCACCTTTTTTAGAAGCAGCAAAAATTGTAAAAAGTCCTTCAGCTCCTTTTTTGTCTCGGTTTTTCAAAATTTCTGGAAAAAATCTGAAAGCAAAGCCGATTCCTTTAGCTATTTATAGTTCTGCAAGGATAGCTAAAGGGAGGCATTCCTGCAACTCTCAATCAACAATGCAAACTCAAACAATGATATAAATAAAATATGCAAGATATTTCTAAATTTAAATGTCATAATTTATTTTTAAAAAGCTAATGCTGAAATTAAGCTTATCATCAACAGAATCAGAAAATTCTTCTGATGAAGAAAAATATCAAAATCGATACAGCCAAACGCCTTCACTGGATAATCAATATACTTTATTTGAGCGAACAAATGAAAAAAAATCGTGATCAAGATAGTTCAACTGAAAGTGATTCTGCTTCAAGCTCTCCTGCCAGACTTGAATCAGTAAAGTACAGCTCGATAATGAAGTCGGCTGAAAAAGAAGACTTTAATATTGAGCATAAGATTAGTGTTTCTCAAGAAAAAATAGGCCCGCCAATGCTAGATCTGCAAGAAGAAAGCAAGCTTGTAGACTTGAATCAAGCTAATTCAAGCCAAAGTCAAATACACATATCTGAAGGAAATAGAATATCAACACCTCTACAATCTTCAATTTGCCATGATATTGGAATTCAAACTGATCCAATTAACTCACTAAATTCAGAAAAAATAGTTAGAAGAAGTGGAAGATTGGCTGCCAAAAAGGATCAAAAAGCTCCTTTATCTTTGAAGAGAAAGCTGAAAAATCCGAAAAATCCAAATCCCAAAAGAATTAAATCATTATTATTATTATTATTATTAATTATATATAACGTTAAACGTCCAATATGGGGTCTCCCTATTCAGGGATATCACCATATTTACACACGTGTCGGGGCCCACGAACCGCTGGACCCGATCCGCTTTGATTAGGGCGCAGGACAAATAGATACCACCAGCTTCGACGGGCTTCGCTGCTGCCCTCAGCTTTTTTCGACTCAGCTCCAGCACGTGTTCCGCCTAAGGGTGACCTTCCTCGGGTGTGCTGAGAGGTAAAAATCTGAGCCTCTTGATCGCACTGGAGAGCAGTTCCTCTGGTTATCCCAGAGTCAAACTGCTATTGCTGTGCAGAAGTTCTCGAGATAAAACCCAACCCCATAAATAAAATTGCTTGAGGGAGAGAAAATTAGCGAAGCTAATTTCACTCGAATCGAATGCCATTTTATTTATCCAAAAGAATTAAATCAAATGAAAATATGTAAGGTAAAATATTAACTTTTGCAATTTTTTTATTTATATAATATTGATTAAGATATTCATTATTTAGCGGTTATCTCCTTTCTCCTCCAATTAGAAGTAGAATGTATTGGAATAGCCCAATTATATCAATATAAAGAATAACAGATCCTAAAATATAATCTTCTGATGACAATTGGTATCTTTTACCTCCCACAATTAATTGAGTGTCATAGATAATAAAAATACCGTAACATGCAATAATTATTGGGCACACAATCCATAAAACAATATTGCTGCTAAAAAATATAGCTCTACCCTGTGCGAGTAAGCAAAATCGTTAAAAAGTTTTAAGTTTGGGGAATTTACCCTTCGTTAAAGAAGCAAACTTTTGATATATGATTTATTGTAAAAATAATAGATATACAGTTTCTTGTATTAAATTGCAGAAAGATTGCATCCTAAAGCATAATTGGAAATATTTGAAATGAAAAATCGATTTTAATTTAAAATTTGAATTTTTGAAAGCCAAAAATATGAAAAACAAAATTGAACAAAAAAAGAGGAATAAGTAAAATTGCTAACGCTGACACAGCAATGCTGATTACCAATATATATCCAATTTTAGCTGAAAAATCTGTTTTTGTTGTAATGGCATATGCAGTCAATACAAAAGTTAAGCCGAATGTCAGAGTTACAGCAATAAGCACTTCTGTTGGGTCATAGTAAGAAACAAATACAGACAGGGTGAATCCTTCCAATATGGAAAATGCGAAGAGCAGAATATAGTTAATCGGTACCATTCTGCAAAATTATATGCATTAAAATGGCGACAAGTGTCAACCTGTCCTCTAGCCGCAACAGTCCAAACCTTACGGCTACGACGAACTGGGACGGACTCCAGCCAAAAATCAAATGCAGGCTCAAGAAATGTGCACCCGATAGGTTTTGGCTACTTTCCTGTAGTGGAAATGGAGGTGTTTACAATGTCCTTTTGATCTGAGGACCCATGCGCATTCCTCTACCTAGAAACTTGGGTTTTGGCCAAGACCTCAGGAAAGTAGACCTTTTCCTGAAGTTTTGAAGGAGGGCACTTTAACACCCGATAGACTCCAAGGATCCTTGAAATCAAGCTACTCCAATCGCCTGTAGCAGGGCCGCAGAAATTCATAAGCACTCAAAATTGAAGCTGCAAGTCAAGGAGGAGACAGAAGTTAAGGAAACGGTACAGCCTTCGGGTGATCAAACTCTGAACTAGAGTCGAAAAGCGGTAGAACGTCCCTACAGGAAGTCTTTGGTGACTGCGTAGCCAATATGGCTAGCGCCTGACTTAGTAACCTTTCCTAATCATTCTGCAAACTTTTTTAAAACAAAACAAGACCAGAATAATGGCTATTGCTCCTATGGCAGCAATTATGAAGCACCATATGTTGTCTTGAATTCAGTCTTGATAATCTTCTGATAAGAATACAACCAAACACATCAAAAAAGTGACAAAGAGCTCAGCAGTTAGGATTCCATAAACTTTTCTGATAAACCCGAGCCTGTCCATTTCAACCATCTTATTGGCTTCATAATCTTGTTGTCCCCAGCCTATATCGCTATTTTCCATAAAATTATAAGCGTTTTTCAATCTTTAAGATTAAAATGCCCAGAAAGATTTTTAATTGTCTATTCAATAACATTATAAAAGAGCCAAAAGCATTGATTTTAAAGGAATTGCAAAAAGTAGATAGTTTACATATTTTGCATATTTTATATAAAATCTATGCTGAGACAGATTTTTCGTTGTGCCTCAAGATTAATTTCACCTTAATATATTAGCATATTTTTTCACTATTGTGTGAGACTTTTTTAAAAGAGGCATTAATCTTAAATTAAAAAATAAATGATCGGCATTTATACTTTTAAAAAAAAAAACCCGTTTTCTGCTTTTATCTTTTCCATAGCGTGCAGCCTTTATTAAGCAGTTTGGACATACCTTGCACTGTGTTGCTCTTCCAAAAAAGTCCTGAATTTGCTGCTCGAAGTCAGAAAGTTTGTGTCACTATGCTGCTCCAAGAAAATTCTAAAAATTTTAGATCAGTTGATAGCAAAAAATGAAAACTTGATGTTCATGACATAACGCCTGATATCAATTGTTCTGATTGACTAAGAAGAATCCTCTGGTGCTAGAGAACTTCGTATCCCATTTCCTGGAAGGAAACTCTTACTCATGATTAAAAACTTGGCTGATCAAAAAGCATCACTGCTCTACCTATTCAGTAATCTAGCCGGATTAACATCGCGAATACCTTCCCTCTTCCACAAGGTCTCCTTTCCATTTCAGATACAGGAGTCAAGAGCTCAGGTTAATTCGCTGATTATTTTAATGTGTATATTAAAACATAAGTGAAAAAAATTTTAAATAAGCACTATTTTTTAAAGCGAAAAAAAAAACTTACTATCAAATAGGAAGTAAGAGACACTCCTTATTTTCCTGTCAACTCAGCATCAGATATCTTAAAAATCCGCAATTTAGGTGTCGTAGCCCATATAGATGCAGGAAAAACAACCTTGACCGAACGAATGCTCTTTTATAGCGGAGCAATCCCACAGCCTGGAAGTAATTTTTATTCAGATGTTGATGACGGCAACACAGTGATGGACTACATGAAGCAAGAACGAGAGCGTGGAATCACAATCCGAGCTGCTGCAATCTCATTTAACTGAGATGGATTTCAGATGAACTTAATTGACACTCCTGGGCATGTCGATTTCTCAGGAGAAGTCGAGCGGTCCCTTCGCGTTATGGACGGCTGTGTCGTTGTAGTTGACGCTAACAATGGCATCCAAACCCAAACCAAGACTGTCTGAAAACAAGCTGATAAGTTCAATGTCCCAAGGATCATCTTTGTAAACAAAATGGACCTTCATGCTGCTTCCTTAGAAGTCACTAAAGACCATTTAAAAAAGAAATTCAATGTAATTCCATTGGTACTTCATATCCCTTATATTGTACAAGACTCATATAAAGGCTCAATTGACGTAGTAAGGCAGCAGGCTATTGAATTTTTGGAGCCATTTGGAGCAAGAGTTAATTTTATCCCTTTAGAGAAGCTATCGAAGCTTGATAAGGAAAGAGTAAAAGCTGCAAGGGAAGAGCTGCTTGAAACCCTTGGAAGCTGTGATGATGAATTTGCTGAAAAATATTTGTCGGGGAGTTTTACTGAGGATGATATAGATTTGGCAATTAGAAAAGTTACCATTCAGATGACTGCTTATCCAATTTACTGTGGGTCTGCGTTGAAAAATAAAGGTGTGCAGCCTGTTTTAGAAGGGATTATCAAATATCTGCCATCGCCTGCTGAAAAGCTACCTGCAGTTGGGATTTTAAATGGCAAAGCAGTTACTAGGTCTATCAGTGACAGTAAGCTGTGTGCTCTTGCATACAAAGTTATTAATAACACAAGTAAAGGAACTTTGGTGTACGCGAGAGTTTACTCACTTCCCCGTTGATTGGAGAAAAAATCTTTTTGTAGCTGGCCATTAGGGCTTATTATTTTAATTTTTATCATAATTTTAAACTAGAATTACTTGAGATTTCATTATTATAATTATTAAATAATATATCATATATTATACCAAAAATTTATATTAGAAAAAAGATTTTTCCTATGGTTTGGCTCGTTAGGGGGAGTCAGGAAAGATAAAATATGGAGAATTCCTCAAAAACACGTCCAAAAAAACAATAGAAAAAGCAAATAGAATTCTCAGAGTCAGAGCAAATGAATATGTCGAGGTCAATGAAATCGGAGTCGGAGATATCGTTGCGTTAGGAGGCTTAAAAGAAGTAAGAAGTGGAGACACTCTTATATCAAAAAATGACCCTGAAGAATTAGTTCTTGCAGGAGTTCAAATGCCACCACCAGTTTTTTTTTGCAGAATTGAGCCTGAAAACGATAATAAACAAGGAGAGCTTGAAACAATTTTAAAAAATATACACAGAGAAGACCCAAGCTTTAACGCAAAATATGATGAAGAATCAGACCAATTATTTGCCATAGGCCAAGGAGAACTTCATTTAGAAATCTTAAGAGACAGGCTAGAAATAGAATTTGGGCTAAAAACAAGGCTAGGCCCAATGCAAGTAGCATATCGTGAAAGTGCAGAAACTGGTGGGAAAACATATGTAATCTCAATAGACAAGCCTGGCCAATTTCTAAAGCTGAAGCTGAAACTAGAATTAGTAGAATCTAATATGAAAGTTGAGCACTTAGAAGACGCCTTGCATGGAGATAAATTTGGAGATTTAATAGGAACAGTCGAATGAAATATTGATAAAGTCTCAGATGCGCTTTCAGAGCATATTAATCAGATGAGAGGAAGCGATTATGATGAAAGCGAGTTTCAGCCACTAAAAACCATTGGAGGCGAATCTAAAGACCAAATTATTAAGTACCTTGAAGAAGCCATGCAAAGAGGCGCTATTGTAGGATATCCCTTGATTAATATCAAAATAACAGTTGAAGATGGAGTTTGGTCCAAAAAAAGAACCAATATGGTCGCTATCAAAGAAGCTGCTGCTAAAGGAGTCCGAGAGCTCGTCAAAATTTCTGACCCAAAGCTGATGGAGCCACTGATGAATGTGTCGATCACTATTCCTGATGAAATGATGGGAGACTTGATATCCGATATAACTTCAACAAGAAGAGGAGTTGTCATGAGCATGGAAAAATCAGACAATGAAATGTCAGTGGTCAATGCCCTTATCCCATTAGTTGAAATGTTAGGGTACACGTCAAACTTAAGAAACCTCTCTAAAGGGCTTGGCTATTACCAAATGAACTTCCACTCTTATGAAGTTGTGAGTGAAGCTGAACAAGAAAAAATAATGAATAGATACTAGTAAATACACATAAATTTATTTTTACAGTCTTTCACACTGGTTTATGCATAAAATATGGACTCATCAGGAGTATTTTATATTTCCCTGAATGATTCAGAAAGGTGCTATTTATGCATTATTTTATCAGCGATTTCTCTTATATCGCTTGCTTCAGGAGCTTTTATTAGTGGAATCTACACATATAACCCTGTTTTGGTAATTGCCATGACATCAGCAGGACTTGCCTCTTTTACACTTTTATACCTTATTCTAGGACTTATTATCAAAAAAACGAGATCCAACTCCCTATTTATAACGCCAAAATTAAAAAAATATATTAAAAGGCTAAACTAATTAGTAATAAGAGCAAAAAGTCCTTGCTAATAGGGGAGTAAGACTAAAGTTGTCCAGTTACAAGGTTTTAGAAGCAAAACCATCTCATTGAAGACTGGCATTCAATTAGCCTTTTATGGAGGCATTAGTTTTGGACTCGGCCTAGACTTTATGTTTTTAGGCTATTTTTATGAGCCTCAAGGTAGAGGAGTGATCTCTTCTATAGTGACTCTTTATCTGCTCTTATATGTTGTTTATTCTTGCTATTTAGGGAACTTGAAATTATACTGAACTCATGCAGTCGCGGCATTATTAGCATTAGCAGGGCTTCTTTTGATTTTTATTTATTCTATTTTTGACTCCTTATGACATGCTTTTTTATCAGGCTTTATTGCAATGCTCTTTATGTCAGGAGCTGCAGTTTGTGCTTATTACTCAAAAAAATCGTCACTGGAATTACACATTATCAACATTTTATATGCTTTTATGGCCTTTGGAGTGAATATAATAATCATACTAGTCATTAAATATATTTTAGGAGTCAATCTTTGGACATCAGAAGATAACTTATTCTGGCCCTTTTTTGGAGGAGTGCTGCTTGGAATTGGAATTTTCATAAATCAGGATTATATTAAAAAGGACGTTTTGCTGGCAAACGCACTTCCTAGTTTATTCGGCATGCTTCAGATACTGATAGAGTTTCTTTATTGAAGACTTGCCCCGTTTTTTGTATATACTATAGGAGCTTCTATTCTGTCTGGAGGAATGCTAATATTTACCTTAGTATAATTTTCATTTGATAGCTAAACTTCTATTTTAATCTGCTATAATAAATGTCTGCGCCAAGTGGAAAGCTGAGACTAAAGAAACATAAAAAGGCAAAGCTTTTTCAAAAAGAAAAAGCAAGGCCCGTTATAAGTATAGAACCTACGCCTGCAGAAAAAGCATTTGAGGAATACCAAAAGAAAAATCGATCGAAAAGGGTAGAAGAGAGAGTTTCCAAAACCCATAAGGAAAGAGTAGAGGAGTACAACAAAAAACTTTCAGAGCTGACTGAACATTTTGATATTCCAAGGGTGGGGTCTTAATCTATTCTAATTTGTTTAATGTTTGATTATTCTTCTTATTGTGTTTGTTGCTAAAATAAACAAATTTTAATTCTTTATCCATTGATTGCAACTATTTAACATGGAAGAACAAAAGGAAAGGCCTGCATTTAGGAATTTAAGAATTGATACAGCAAGGTATCAATATCTAGGACTGTGGGAAGAGCTCAGGATTCCTCCTCCTCTCCCACCAAGGCGATGTCATCACTCAGCAGTCATGATACAAAACAAAATGTACATCTATGGAGGCCAAGATGTGCACATAGGAGTTCTAGGAGATTTATGGGTTCTTAATATAGATCCTTCTTCTTCCTCAAATGAACTCTGGACTGAATTGCATCCATCTGGTGACCTCCCAGGGCCTTTATGTCGTCATTCTGCAATATCTAGAGGAAATCTGATCTACTTATTCGGAGGGACAAATAATTCAGTCGAAAATAGCAGCATTTATGTACTTAACACTGAAAACTTAGTATGAACCAAAATTAATCCAAGCTCAGAGCAGCCTCCAGCTATAGATTCACATAGTGCTTGCTTTAATGAAGCTGACAATACAATGATTATTTTTGGAGGGTATATTAATGGAGTCCACAGCAATGAACTTTATATCTATAATATACAAGCAAATGAATGAAGCCGCCCAAACTCTCAAAGAAAGCCTGACCCTAGATCTGATCACAGTGCAGTCATTTATCAAAATTATATGTGGGTCTATGGTGGATCAAGTGAAAGTGAACGCCTAAGCGATTTTTGAAGACTTAACCTAAGAAACCTACAGTGGGAATTAGTTCAGTCTGAAGGGATTTCCCCAGGCACTGTATCAGGGCACTCAGTTTGTGTGTGTGGAGACGTGATGCTTGTATTTGGAGGGATAAGAGAAATTATTAAAGAAACCAACTCAATGTACACCTATGACTTTTCTTCAAATAAGTGGCTTATGATACAGCACGAAACGCAAATAAAAGACCCTTTATCACCTAGTGAGATAGAAAATTATAGGAAATTGGCAAAACAAAGACATACAGTTCAGTATTCAAGTAAAGAGGAGTCTGCAAAAGCAGATTTAACGAAGCAAAGATCAGCAGTCGTTGGAGCACAAACCCAAGGAAGGGTAAAAGGGATTGTGCCACACTCCAGAGATGGGCATTCTTCAATAGTGTTTGAAGGAGGGATGTATGTATTTGCAGGGGATAGGCATCAGATGTCATTTAACGACGTTTACTGCTACTCGATTCAAGAACAGGTACTAAAAACACCTGTAGCTATTTAACTTAAGGCAATTTAAAATATAATTTTTCATATTAAAAATACACAAGTTGGTTGATAATCATGAAAAAATGGAGTTTAGTGATAGGCGCGAGTAGAGGAATTGGCAAAGCGGCTGCATTGCAATTGGCGAAATCTTATCCAAATGATAAAATATTAGCTGTGGCAAGAAATTTTTCTGAAGCAACTTTATCTGAATTTTCAGGCTTAAACATAATTATTATGACTTTAGATATCGGAAATAGTGAAAGTATGACTTCTATTATCAATCTTTTACAAAATGCAGCAGTCAGATTTGTTATATACGCTGCCGTGTCATTAGGATTTGATTTTTATAACTCAACCTCAGAAGAATTTGACAGGACTATGACAATCAATGCAAAATTCCCTTATTTCTTGTGCAATTTACTTATTCCGTATTTTTTTGAAGACTCCAAGATTTTATTTTTTGTTTCTAAAGGCTGCCACAGCTATTTATTCAATTCTCCTTTATTCTGCATTTCGAAGGCAGCTCTCTACATGGTTACTCAAGTTCTTAAAAAAGAGCTTCAAGTTCCTGTTGGAACTTTGTTGTAAAATTTATTTAGTCCTGGAGTAGTCAAGACAGAGATGCTGACTGAAGTTAATGAGAGAATTCCAGGAAAAGAGCTAAATTATGATACTTCGTAATTCATATGAAGACTTGAACCAGAGGTTGCTGCAAGATTTATTGATTTTGTATTAAGTGCGCAGGTCAGTGCAAATGAATTTTCTGCAGTGGAATGAAGTATTTATGATAGATCTCATCATGATAGATGGCTTGCACCAGGAGAAACTATAATAGAAAATGAATAAATTTGATAATTCCTCTCTATAAACGTATTTGAAAAAATCCCTATTTTTTGGCAACTAAAATCAAAATATATTTTTTAATATAAAAATATTTTGATAATTATTATAAGCAAATATCTACCTAATTCTCTTGATTTTTAAGCAGCAACCTAAATTTTATAAATTAAATTATTTTACCTTCCAAATTTTGTGAATATCGTTTTTTTCAAATTTCAAATTCAAAGTCTATATAAAAAGTTTTCAAAAAAATTAACTTGAGCAAAATATTTTTGTTCGCTCAAATAGTGGGGAAGTAAGAAAGAAATTATTTATATATGATTTGCTCCCTTATAATAAAAATATTTTAAAAATTATTTATTATTAATTCTTTCTTTCCAATCTAAGATTAAAATTACATCTCTAAATATCTGTAGTAAAAAGCAATCATTGAAATTACATAATTTATTTTCAACTATCATCACTGCCTCTGCAAATGAAGTTTCACTTATAAATCAGCCTTATATTTGCAATTGATAAAGCTCCCATAGGCAAATCTAATTAATTCAACCTCAACTGCATCATAATAATTCTAATAAATTTTGAAAAGAATTATAATTGTCGAAGAATATGGTGCAGTGGGAAGAGCCCTTATTTGGATGTTTTAGAGATTGCTGCACCTGCATAATTGTGTGGTTTTGCCCATTGGCATATTGCATCTACCAAGGAATAAGTGTTAAAAAGGCTACAGGAGAATCTTGCTTTGGTGCTTACTGCTGTCCAATTGTATTATGCTGCATCGGTGCTGCAATTAATCGAGGGAAAATCAGGGATCGCTACCTTATAAACGGTAGTTTTGTAGGTGACTGCTTTTATCATTTTTGCTGTGGCCCATGTGCAGTTTGTCAAGAATACAGAGAAGTCAATGTTCGCGAATCTCGCTAGATAAAAAACAACACTTCAAATGATAAGATGCTTAATCATAAACAAATACCTTTTTTAATTATTTTGCAGCTTTAAAGATTAAGATCTCTTGCTGTATTCCTTAATATCATTTGAAACTTAAAATGCTGAATATATATCATATATTTTAAAAATGAATGATACAGATACAGATAAAGATAAATAGAAATTTGATGATTTTCATTAGAGAGATTGAGAGATATAATAATAGAAATTTAGGGTGCAGGTCCAATGATGGTGCCTTTTTTGATAATGTGCATTTTGGTCGCAAATTTTTTAAATAGTGTACAAATTTGGACGAAATTTAACAGTTTTTTTTCGGTCAAATGTCTCCTATCAAAAATAATTCAAACAAATGTTCCCTAGGAGATGTCGCACTATAAAATTTCCACAGTCAATTTACATGGAACCATAAATTTGATTGATTTTCAAGGAAAAAAGTAGGATCATCTAAGGTAATAATAATGATATTTAGAAGATATATTAAGAAACTTATAATTATCAATTATTTATAAATAAAAAATTAGAATTAATTTAATTTTAGTTTTAATTCCACAAATGTATTATGAAATCATCTTTTCACTCTCAAAAAAGTGCTCGCAGTATAATTGATCATAAGCTTGCTGTATCTGAGGATGAAATCCTAATGAAAAACAGCAAGTTCTTAAAAACCCAGCGCGCTCAGCTTGAACAAAAAATCCAAGATCTTTCAGTAAAGATCCAATTAAAAGATAAAGAAATCTCCAAACTCAAACAATCCTTCTCTGCAAGCTTTCTGGACAGTGACATAAAATCCTCCCCAGACCCCCAGAGGCGCTTATCAACCGATGTCTTATCAAAAAGCCAATTTTCCGACTACGAACGGTCACGGGATTTTACAAATTCCAGCAATTATCTTGCCCAGCTTAAAATAGATCTACAAATCGCAAATAACCTAAAAGATTCATACGAAAAGAAATACAAAGACTCTCTATTAATCTGTTCCCCAGATAATGGCCCTGGTGAGGACTTAGAAAGAGTTTTCGAATTAGAAGAAGAATACGAAGAGCTTAAAAAAGAGCTTGAAACCCAGATAATTGTGGCTGAAATTAAATTAAATAAAGAATTCGGCCATAAGCAGCAACCCACTAACCATCGCTCCGTCTCAGCTCTGCCACAGCCCCAGAACGAGATTCTGATGCTACCATACTTCTCGCCCGACGCCATTTTTGGGTTTCCGACCTGAACACCTGCCCAGGGGATTAGCTCCTTTGGGCAGAGCCACAGTCTGTCGAGTGCCCCGATGGTCCCGATGAGGAAAGACCATGTGGTAGGCAAAACTCTCGAGCCCATCCGGCAAGAACAGGAAAATCTTTGGGGGAGAAACAAAACTTCCCTCTTCGGCAAGGCATCCCGAAGCCTGAAGGCCTACTATAAGAGAGACAGAGGCCCTAACATCAGCTTCATCAGGATGGGTCCTACTTGCTCCATAGGAAGTGCGCCTCGGAGTCAAATTTCTGTCAATGCACCATTTTATTCCTTTGTAGCTGAGGAATCTTTAAGAGAACGAGATTATTTAAAAAGTGAGGTTATACCTGTCCTGGAGAGAACTTTGCATCTGTATGAGCAAAATAAAACTGAAATGGAAGAAGAAATAGCAGAACTTAAAGGAGAAATGAGGTTGTTAAAGAGGAGTGTGGAAAGAGTAAGACCTTCTTATGTAGATGATGACGAAATGGAGCATCATGCGAAATCGCTGTATGTAGAAGTGTCTTCAAGAAAAACATTGGTAACACCGTCTCCAAAAATTGTTCCCAAAGGAATTAAAAATGAAGCGAGTTTTAGCTCATCGCGGCCTGTGTCTAGGGGTAGTATGATACAAAATGTAACAAGGACTCCTCGAGCAAAAATTTATATTCCAAGCTATTTGAGACATAAAAAATCAGCTACGAATTCTGCTAGGAAAGCGACAAGTCCATAAATGATGAAGGTTACATGTTTAATAATTTTTGAGTCAAATAAACTTTTTTAAGATATTAAATGTTTTTTAAATTAAATTTTATAAGATAAATATAAAATAAATATTGTATATTAATAAATTAAATTGTAAATTCAATTGAAATGATCTCTTTCATCTTTTTCGAAGCAAAATAGTCAATGCCTTTTCCCACTTTTATTGCAAGATATTGGAAGAACATAGATGCAATTTGGAGACCAAAAAAATCCAGGCATAACCCAGCAATAAAAGGGATATACCAATTAAAATTGGCAGTTAGTATTGAATAACAAGAACATCCACAAATAGAAATTCCTATTAGCCACCCAACAATTCTCTTAGATCTTTCTCTTACTCCCCCCCTCTGTGAGTGAACAAAGCCATTAGAAAAATCCCTATTTTTTGCCAAAAAACCCCGTGAGCGAACAAAAATTTTTTTTAATTGAAAAAATGTTTTATAAAAAAAGAATTGATACATAAGTGATAATTATTATAATGAAATCTCGAGCTAATTCTGTTTAAATTGCGTTTTAAAAATGAATTTTATAAATTAAATTAATATTTGCTTTCCAATTTTTGCGAATTAGGATTTTTTTTAAAATTTCGAGAAAAAAAAATTTTTTCTATAAAATTTATATATTAATTTTTTTTAAAAGAAGATTAACCCCCTTTCATGAGTGAACAAAATTTTTTTTTTTCACTCACGGAGGGGGGAGTTAGTGAAACAGCAGAGATATTAGCGCTATCATGAAACGCAGTTGTAGTACTTAGATTTCTTACATGAAAATACTGTTGCCTTGCAGCATCTTCAATTTCAGGTAATTTTATTACTGGAGATCTTCTTACAGCGTCTTGGAAATTTGCATTTGAATCCATTTCAACTTTATTGTCTTCTGAGTATTCTTTGCATAGCCTAATTAGGAAAACTCCTAATAAAAATGAAAATCCACAAGCGACTAATGCAAGGCATACAACTATAAGAATCCCGCTAATCAAGAAATTAAGATATGCTAAAATTCCTGCTGTCCCGATAACTCTTACATTTACAATCAAAATTCTATGTGATCTTGGAAGCTCTGGGTCATATCGATAAAAAATTGATGCAAAATAGTGGCAGTTTTTCAGTATAAGCCAAAAAATATTAGTTTTTGGAGGGGTCTGAAGCGGTCCTGAGCTTGATTCTGAAAAGCTTTGCTCAGAAGCTGGGCTAACTCTTGCGGCATCTCTATTATCTCTTTTAACACCCCAAATAATTCATAATATATCCAAAGCTGCAATAGCTGCCAGCAATATTATTGCTGGAAGATTATAATCTTTACGATTACGAGAAGATATTACAATTGGCTCTACTTTCTTGATATAGCTTGAAACAGAATATGCAGACAAATGAGAAAACGTACAATTTGTAATATCAGATCTATATGATGTATTTGAATAAGTAATACCTTCAAGAGAGCCATCAGGAGTCCAGTCTTTGCTGCTTCAAGAAACACAGTTATAATTTAGTTCTTTGGTTGGATTGGTAATTGGTATTGATACATTGACAATAGCGTTAATAGTTTGGGTTTGGCATGTGTCAGCTGTATTGTGGTTAATTATAATGAGTGATGACGAGGAATTTGTCTGGGATATCCAGTTATAAATATTCAATTTAATTTCAATAAACGTAAATAGTGTTTTTGGCCCATTAATTGATAAAGATGCACTTGCATTAGACATGGAACTGTTAGAATTGGTATCTATAAATGATCCTGAAAAATTTTCTAGTTTAGCAAAAGACGCACTCAATATATCAGTCTTCAGTGAAACTGAATTTTCATAAATTGTCTTTTGGTAGGTCATGATATTTCCAAGTAAATTAAGACTACTGATAATATAATCTTTTATCCCACTGATATATGAAGATGATTGACTATTATTCCCGACTTCAGCTAATGACGACAAACAAATAAAAATGTTTTCGATTGTTCCTTCCAAAATTTCATCCCCAAGAATTTTCCCACATGACTGATCATTCCAATTTGTATCAATACTGCTGGGGATTAAGAAAGATTGTAAAATATTTAAAACTTGGTTAAATGTGTCTAAAGTGATGATTTCAGTTTTGCTTAAAATTTTGACTAAAACTGCTGATGTCATAAGATCTAGATTTTTGTTTCTGGGAAGATATGTAAAAGCAGTATTTATATTGTTTAGAAGTGTGGAGGCGATTTTTGTGTCTATGTTTATTTCTCCTTGCTCATATTCGCAGGTATTTCCTTCCCAGCCTGTATTGCATACACATTTATTGTCAACACAATTCCCGTTTGTACCGCATATGCAGCTTGTTATATCAGGCAAAAAATGGTGGACTGGGCTTCGTAATAGAGATGACAAAATGGCTGAGGTCTGAAGCAGTTTTTCATAATGATTAATAGGAATTAAGGCAGTTAGCTCTTCAACAATCTCATTTTTAGAATTTAAGGTAATTTCTGGACCTGTTTGATTAAAATTGACGTAAACAATTCTTTCAATATAGCTGCCCGATAAGGAATAAACCCTTAAAACTAAGGTAATATAATTAGGGATCTTGGGTAAATATGTAGCAAAATTGTTTTGAAAAATCCGATCTGTTAATGGAACATAAATATTTTTCGATCCACTTAAGGTTGTATCTATATAAAAAAACTGATAATTGAAAGCATTTTCCCATAAATTTGCACTCAGGGTAAAAAGAGTTTTGTATGGAAACCCAATTGTGGGCTCTACTGTAAATGAGCCACTATATGGAGTTGATCCAAAATTAATAATTTCGTTACAAGCTATTTTACTAGTTGTCCAATTAACAAACCCATAACCTTCAATATTTTCTCTAAAAAATCTATTTTCCTTGTAATTTAAAGCAGAGCTCGAAACTAAATTCGAAGATCAAATTCCAGAAAAATAGCTCGAATTTACTTTTATATATTCATCAGTTTCTAAATATTTTCCCATATCAATATAAATATCTCCCTTATTGTTTCCAACAATTAAATCAATTTCATCTTCATCACTTTTGCTTCCTCTTGACACTGTTAAATACACCTTATGTATCCCAGTGCTTAATTTGCTACCATCTATTTGAAAAATAGCTGAAGCTGAGGTCTCTATTGTATTCCCAAAATATTTTAAAACCCAGCTATAGTTTAAGCTAGCTTCTGGTTTTCCTAAGTCCATACTATCCCAAGCATTTAATTCAATTGTTTCGTTTTGCAATATACTAACACATCTTGGATTGATTCTGGCTAATATTTCTGAAGCCATGTACTTAATAGAAATAATTCTATACCCTGCATCTTTCATTGAATGAGCAGGCCAAGCATGCACAGTAATGTTCATTTCGTCGCCATCACTCATCAAATATTTATTAATAATCAGAATTCTGTCATATTGTTCACTTAAAATCATCGATATTTTACTCTGAGAATTATTTACTGTACTTAATTGAGTTACTTCCCAATCAAATACTATTTCTGAGGCTATTTCGCATGCATAAGCATCAGCCCTAATGGTAAGTTCAGTTTCTGGCTTCACAAATAAAGTTTCGAACCCGAAATCATAAAACACAGGAGAAGAAATATTTTTTGTCTCAGTCGTAGAAAACACGTCAATATGCTGACCTAAAAAGTTATAGACTGAAACTTTTATGATATATGTTTTCCCTAATGCTAAATTTGAGTTTGGGATATATGAGTAGCTTCCGTTGAAATTGCTATTTAACACTTTGGAAAGTGTAGCATAAGAAGCAATTTCATCATTTGATACTAAAGGGATTATTTGGAAAATAGACCAGATAACTGAGTATATTTTTCGATTTCGGGTTGAGAAAAGGCTTAGCTTTACTTCTAAAATAGGGTCACATTTCCCCATCATTTGGGTTCCAAGTAGCATTGCTCCGAATTCAGGATCAGATCCAGTAGCACGAAGAGAGTAGCTTGTTGTATTATGGCAAGCACCATATATAGAGCCATTTGAAATCTGTAAATAATCTTTTCATGTCAATTCAGGGCTATCACCAAATATAATTTCAATTATTGCACCATTAAATAAACAGATTGGGTTATTTCCAAGTAGCTCTTTATTTACAAAATAACTACAATCATTAGCTGAAACTGTAACATTTTCACTAAACTGTATATAAAATTTGTTGAAATCATCTGAGTAATAGCTATTAAGAATAGAAGGTGGGTAGCATACATACACATCAATTTTGCAATTTGAACAGCCATCCCCATTGATATAATTCCCATCGTCGCATTGTTCTGATCCTTCTATGATCCCATCTCCACATACTTGAGCTAAACAGGCATTTGAAATATTATAATAGCCAGAATTACAGCTAATACAAGTATCAGAAGTTCCGCCAGTGCAGCCATTGCATGAAGGATCACAAGTTTTGCAGATCCCAGAGTCTGAATAAGTGCCTGTGGGGCATTCGTAAATGCACATCCCTTTATAGAGATTGAATCCCCAAAAGCAATCCACGCAATCATTGTTATTAGGACCAATACAATGATTGCAGCTAAAATAGCAGGTATAGCAGCTTGTGGAGCCTTCACAAAGAGCATAACAGTTGCCGTTGGTGAAATAGTCTGTAGGATTTTTACATGTGATGCAACCTGCTGAATAATCAGTTTTTGCTTTGGAGCAAGTGCTACAGGTATGATCGCAAGGTGTACAAACGGAGAGGGAATGGTCGTAGTATGTTCCATCAGGGCAAGATTGAGAAGAAACAGTGTAGAAAAGCAGTAGAAAAATCATTATTTGAGTGAAAAGATACAGTCAAGATATGCACCTTATTTCCTAGCTTGAAGATTTCGTATAATATTGCAAAGGGAGAGTCAAATATTGTATTTCTCGTTTTATAAAATTAATAAATTAGATAATTTCTAACTCCCCCCTCCGTGAGTGAACAAAACCATTAGAAAAATCGCTATTTTTTGCCCAAAAACCCACCCTCCGTGAGTGAACAACAAATTTTTGATATATAAGTGATAATTAGCATAATGAAATCTAGAGCTAATTCTGCTTAATTTTAAACAAATTGCGTTTTAAAAATAAATTTTATAAATTAAATTAATATTTGCTTTCAAATTTTTGCGAATTAGGATTTTTTTAAATTTTGAAAAAAAAAATATTTTTTATAAAATTTATATATAATTTTTTTTTTAAAAAAAAAATAACCCCCCTCCGTGAGCGAACAAAATTTTTTCGTTCACTCACGGAGGGGGGGAGTAAGAGAAATGCTATAAATTAGAAGAAAAGATGATTATTTATTTTTTAAGCTGTAATTTTAGTCTTGGATGGCTGTTGCAAAACCTATTCTTTTGTTTCCCATATCAAACTGAGTATAATAAGTGCTGATGAAGATATCTCCTAAAATTAACGTATTTACGTATTGCGCATCACTATCAGGCACCAAGCCAAGCGAGCATTGCTGTACATGGTCTACAGAGTATACGAAAATATAGCTTTCAGGATAAATCACATAGTCGGTAGAATCAATTGTAATCGTAATATCCGGAAGAGAGCTAACTTGAGAGCAGTCTTCATTAAAATGTATTTCTTGAGTTATTTGATTCACAATATTTGCATCACCTGATAAATATGGGGTTTCTGTTGAAACAAGAGCTTTCATACCTGTCCCACCTATTTTTTTACCATTAACTGAAATTCCAGTAAGGTTTATTTCCTGGCCATATTTTTGATACTTTAAAGATACCAAAAATTTGCAGATTTTGCCGAGTAAATGGATAAAATAATTTTAGCAAATCTGTTGATAAATATTTGTGCTGTTAATCAAAAGTGCGAAGTAAATGGTATTTAGCGTTTATTTCCCATGAAGTTTGAGATATCAAATTGTGCCAAATCCAATCATTTTTAGAGACAGTAAGCTCGTAGCCACCTAAAGTTAGGATGCTACCAATTTTATTTGCTGTGCTGGTCAAAAATATAGCGAAACTGTTATGCTCTCCTAAAGCTCCTGCTGCATAAAGGGATTGAAAAACAGCTGAGCAGTCATTGCTATTAGGACTTTTCCAGGACATTCCCAAAACTCCGTCATATGCATTTGATATCCATTGGTCAGGCATGAATGTTAATTCAGCAAAGGTAACGTTTGGAATTTTATATCCACCCCAAGTTACAGTGTCTTGCGAAAGAAACCCTGAAACGGCACCTCCATCATAGTTTGAAGCAAACTTTTGACCATTTTTTATATAGGATGAGGATTTTTGATGATTATAAGTATGATGATAACGGCAGCTCTGGGCATAGCAAGAAACTGAAGGAATAAAAAGAGAAGAAGAGCCTGTATCAAATAGGACAGAGAAGATTTGGGGTGGAGTTCCTATTTTTATGTCTCCATAATACTGAGTATTTTGGTTGTTGGTAATAATCACATTTGACGACCCTAAGCTTTGGTATTTTTTGAGCTGGGAATATGAAAGCCCTGGGTTGTCATTAGCTAAGTAAATAGGAATCGATATTGCTGATAATGCAACTTCAATTATAACAAATGCTAGTATTGCTTTCATTTTATTTATTTCACCATTTGTTGATGACTTAAAAGAAATCAACGAATTCTTTATCTGGCTACATAATCTAAGATAAATATTTTAAATACTCTTCTAAAGCGATTTTTAAGAAATTTTAATGCAATCTCTTAGAAATAGTCCTGGCTCAACAATAATTATTAAATAAAAATCCCAAAATATTAAATCCTACTTCCCCAATCTTTGGTTGAGCGATTCTATTAAGTTTTCAAAGAATTAGGCAAGCAACTGACATTATAAAAGCTTCAATAAAATTTTTCTATAATTTCAAATAGCAACACATATAAAATGTATTTACAATATTAAAAGGTTAAAATAATATGCAAAGCATTCTATACAATTGTTTCTCTATTTCAGTGCTTCTTAGTAAGTAAATTATCCAAATTTTCACCTTTTCGAATTTCCTATTAAGACTCTCAAAAGAGTATGCTCTATTCATTTTCTCATTTTAAATTAGATAAGAAACATCATTGCCAAAAAAGCCTAGATAAAAGAAATTATGATTACAGTCTAATAGCTAAATTTAGCTTTGAATTACTGTTGCAAAGCCTATCCTTTTATTTCCCATATCAAACTGCGTATAATAAATGCTAATAAATGAGCCAACAGAATTAGAGTACTGGCATATAATGAAGGCTTGAATCTGAGGCCATAGATCCAAATTGGCATATCCGCTCATAACCTAAAATTTTTTGTCGAGAAAAGGCTTTGGAATGCAACTGAGCAAACACTTCAAGAAAGATTTTGTCAAGCCATTCCTGAATCCTCATCATATAAATTTGACGAGTATTAAAGCCGCTCATGTGATTAAATTAAAATAATCATTAATGATGCCCTTAAAAAACATAAAAAGATCATTCCTATCAATATTCATTTTGCTCGTTCACGAAGGGAATTAATTTTTCAAAGTAAGATTTTCACCATATATATTTCTCACAGAGAGGAAAGTTAGTTCTCCATATAAAGGGACAATAAAAAAATCATATTAATGGAAATTGAAAGTTTATGCTTTACATACCCAAAAATAAACAGCTTGCTATTTATAACTTATTTAAGTTTATTTTATTAAGCGTTTGAAGGTGTTTGAATGAACCCTGAAGCAGTCGAAAAGAGGTTGATAGGATTTTTTGAATTCATCAGCATAAATCCTTTAAGACCAAGACCTTTAAGCAATTTAGCCTGCAATTCTGGGCCAGCCTTCGCCATTGCCACAATTGTTTCTCTTCCAATAGCATCCACAATTTCCTGGAATTTCTGCGTCTCTATTGCTGCTAATTCTTTCGCTTTATTTATTTCTAACTCATCCAGAGCTTTCTGGTGAGCAACTTCAGCATAATATTGCTCTTTAAGCAGACCCAACTCGGTCTCATTTTCAATCTTTTTCGCTTGTTCTGTCAACTCAGTTTGCTCTAGTAAGCTTTGATTCTCAATTTTCTGGCTTTTCGCTTTCGCCAAAGCTTCTCCAGTGGCTTTCCCAATCATTTGGACTTCAACATTTTTTACTTTTAGCTCAATAAGTTTCACTTTTTCTTGCTCTGCATCAATTTCATCCTGCACCTTTTGCAGCTCAAGCCTGTTTCTCGAAATTTGTTCTGCTTTTGCAGCCTCATGCTGAGCCCTAGCTTTGCTTGCTTCAGTTGTAATTTCGATAGCTTGATTAACTGATTTTTTTAAGCTTGCTTGAGTTCTTTCATCAGTAGGTTCGACGCTTTGGATATCAACATGAGTGATTACGCAGTTGTTTGCTGGGAACCTGATTTCTTTTTTAATTGAGTCTCCTTTTTTTCCAAACACCCCTGCCTTGATAATATCAGCAGATCGCTGATGGAAATCTTCAAAAGTAAAGCAAGATACAGAGCCTCTAACTCTGCTTGCGATAGTTTTGCAGGCATAAATAAAATGGCTTTCGCTTCAAGCGAAATTAGCTCCGCTAATTTTCTCTCACTCAAGCATTTTATTTATGGGATTGGGTTTTACCTCGAGAACTTCTGCACAGCAATAGCAGTTTAACTTTGGAGATAACCAAAGGAATTACTCCTCAGTGCGATCAAGAGCATAGGTCTTTACCACTCAGCGCACCCGAGGAGGTGGACCCTCAGGCGGAACACGCGTAGGAGCTGAGTCGGAATAAAGCCGTGGAGGCAGCGAAGCCCGTTGAAGCCGGAACGCCGTACTTATCCGTGCCCTGGCGATTAAAGTGGGTCGATCCAACGGTCCATGGACCCGACACGTGGATAAATATGGTGGCAGCTCTGGAATTGGCTACCCCGCAGTGGACTTAAGCGTTATAAATAATTAAGATTAAGATAGTTTTGCAAGCATCACCAATAAAATCTTTGATTGCGAACAGCTTATTGCATTCAATTGGATTTTCTTTGTTGACATCAAAGTACCAGTTATAAGAAAGTGTCATTTGAAGACTTGCATGATCACTTGTTTCGACTACTACAATGTCAGACATAAAAGATGGGCCTAGCATAAGGGCGATGTCTTTTATTTGTCCCTCTTTTTTAGGAATCCCTCCAGACAGGGTTATGACTGTGAATTGTTCGTCTGGTTGGAGCATAACACGGTCAGGACCAAAGACAACTCTGCTTATTTGAGTTCTGAAGTTGTGGACTTGAACTGCTGTATTACTTGGGACTCTAAAGGTTACAGCTCTCGTTTTATCTCGGGAGTATTCTTTTACTGGAGGCTCTTCAACTGGGCTCCAACTATGGCTTGAAGTTCTTGATAATGAGCTACCTCGACCTCCACGTTTTGGTCAAGCGCAGATCCAAAACTCACCCTGTATCCCTCTCCTTATCTTTACCGATAGTTTTTAGAGCTATAATTTAGGCATGATTAATAGACTTAATGTTATTAATGTTATATAGGACTGTGAAGCCTGATATGAGCCCGAGAGAAGCGACAAGGCGGAAAAAACATCTCACCACGAAAGGCCCCAACTATAAAGTTATTTAAGTTAATTGATTGGTTGATAAGCTGGGCCGATGCACTCTGCAATCAAAATAGAAAGCGCATTATATAGGCAAGGATAAGGGGTTGAGATTTGTGCTTGGCCATGTTTACTAACCACTCTTCTCGAAGTTGATAAAGCTTCACTGACAGCCTGTTTCTTTATCAGCTCTTCTACCTCAGGACTTAGCTCCATTTCCCACAAAGACTCATACGATTTCAGCATATAACTTTCTCCACTTACAGCTTTGACTTCTCCAGTTCTATTATCACGAACATAAATCCCTTCATTTTCATCAAGAGGAATTTTTTTCCTTCTTTCTACCACACTAACTTCTACAGACGGTATATAATCTCTAGGTCCATAAATCATCCACATCTCCCCTGCAGTATGATCTTCCCCTTCTTCATCTTTATAGTTTTCTTTAGCTTTTAGCAATAAGGCTTCATCGTCAGCGAGGACATAAATATCTTGAATTCCACTTTCAAGAGTCTCAAAAGGTTTCAAAAAGAACGTGCATTCCCCTTTTCTCAGCTCTCTTTTGCCCCATTTGTTTTTTCCACCTTCAAATGGGTCTAGTATATAACAATATTGTCTATTTGTAAGGACTATTGCGTCAGCTTGTTTAACGACAATTTCGTATATGTCTGGGATATGGGTGTCGCTGTTTTCGATTGTGACGAGCCATTCTTCTCCAGCTTTTCTGTTAATATTGTAGATATCTTTAAAGGATTTAAGAGCTCTAAGATGAAGGGCACGCTTATCAGTGAGCACGATGGATTTTATTTCTTCAACAACTTCTTCGTCTACTTGAGGTAGATAGTCTCCGATTTCTCTTATAAGCCATTCTTCTCCAGCTTTTCTTGCATTTCCATATTTATCAGTGGTTTCCTTTTTAGCTCTGATCTTTAAGGCAGAGTTCGGCTTGATTGTTAATGATCTTACAGTTTCAATTATTTGGCAATTTATATTAGGAATATAAGTGCATGGGCCATAGCAAAGCCACTCGTCCCCTGCGTGCCTTTCTTTTGAGCTTGAGTCTACAAAGTCTCTTATAGCTTTTAATTTTAAGGCACAGTTAGGCTGGACTATTGGGATTTTCTGGATTTCATGTTCGATTTCTTCTGATGGATACAATGGAAAAGGATCAGGGTGAGTTTCAGAAGTACGGACTTCAAGCTCGCCATAGTTGACTTTGACCATCCCATAATCATCATAAGTGATTTTTCTGTTCTCGTCTAAAATTACTGGATTTCTAATAACGCAATAGTTCCTAGGAGGAATTTGAATCATTTTCATGATTTTTCCTCCAAGTTTGAGTTGTTCATGATCTTTTAATACATAAGAAGCAGGCCCTATAACGACTCTAGTAAGGATGGTGTTGCCATCAGTAATGTGAACATAGTTAAAAGGTGGAATTCTGATCAAACGCTGATCTTCCATTTTTTATAACTGATATTATCGATCTCTCTATTATTTAATTTAGATCTATTCATAAGGATTATTTTTTGATTAGTAGATACTAATATGAAATTACGCGCACATCTTGAATAATGAATTTATAGGTCCTTATTCATAAGAGTATTATAAATTATGGATTATTGTGAAATCAAGCTCAAATGATTAATGTCATCAATTGATTTATATTTATATTAAATTCTTATTTAAATACTCATCAAGGCTGAATAAAAGTATTTGCTCTGACAAGGCTAGGGGAAAAATTCCAACTGTCTTCTCTCTTAAATTTTCTTTTGACATTTTAAATTATGGACTACTACCAGCAGGTCCCAGCACCAAAAGTCAATCAAGTCCCTCCAATTCAACCACAAGAACTGAGTTTTTATTTAGACGAGCTCAGCAAAGTTTCAGATAGAGATTCCTTTAATGCTTTGATGAGAAAATTCGATGAAACCTTCCTTCATCGTTTTAAACAGACTAATCCTCAAGCTGAAGGAGTTTTTCCATTTGGAGGGAATTCAAATCCTTATAATTTAAACAACCCTGGAATCTCAAATCCATACACTATGAATCCTATATATCCCTCTAATGGTAATCCCCGATCATCTTCATTGGAAAGACCTCCCAGCTTTATTTATTCTGGGCAGCAAGGAAATCTTCAGCCAAGGGCAAATCTTGATATGCAAGATCAGGTATATAAGCAGCCAATGTACGAAAGAGGTGGATACTTTCCTGAGCCTTTAGATGGAGCTTTAAGAGGAAGAGAGAGGATTCCTATCAATATAGGCCAGCCATATAACGCAATGAATCAAAATCCAGCTATGAATACTCCTCAGCCTCAGCCTTTATACGACTCTCAGAGTTATAGCCAACTTCCCTCTACATATACAGCTCAACCTCAACTTTTTTCACACCCTCAAGGCTATTCAAATCAAGGGCAGTTATACATTCCAAATCAACCGAACTACCCTCCATATAACCCTCAGCCTTTTCCATCAGCTTCTCCTGACAGAATCATGACACCAAATCAGCCTTATCCTCAATATAGACAGGATTTTGGAATGAGCTCGCTAAATATTAAAAACCCTATCCAGGAGTCAATTGACCTTAGAAAAATGAAAGAAGATGCTCTCAACAAGTACCATCACATAAATGTGCCTCAGACTTCTCAGCTGACACCTAGTAGCCAAGACCAAGGGGTGTTTGGAACACTTCCTGGGCCAAGATATCGGGAAACAAATACAAGAAGTGAATATCAAGGCTACAAAAGCAGCGAAGCACCTCGAACAAACTATCAGGGAAGCTTATCTTATACATCTAATGCAAATGAAAGGCCTTCATATTTGTCAAGTACTACATATAACCAACCACCAAATCCAAGCCCAAAATCTTCTTCATTTGTATCAGGCTTATTGGGCTCAAAAAATACTCAGCAGTCTGGATATTTTAAATAATTTTAAATAATACTTTTGACAAATAATTAGCATTATTTAGTAGAAGAATTACTTAAAGAAATGCACGAATTAATTTTTAAAGGGGAGACATAATCTTTCGAATAAAATTAATTTTTTTTAAATTACAAATAAATGCAAAAGGAAACAGAGCAGGATGAACAACTCCCGAGTGATCCATTAAACAGTTTCGATTATAATATAAATACAGAAACAAACTTAAAGCCATCAGAATTGTCAGACAGAGGCAACTCGAAAATTATACTGTTCGATATAAATGAAAAACAATCACATGAGCTCAATTTAGATGATCTTTTGGAACTCAAAGATATGCTAATGGTAGAAAGATCTTCATATGTTTTAATTTTGCAAGGACTTGGGGATGCACATGTCAAACTTATCCGCAGAGAGTTTGATCTTCATCCCGTCATTGATTATGAGTGTGCAAGCAACAATTTTAACAATAAAGACCATATTCTAGACTTCCCAGACTATTTTTTGTTGACCATAAATGATGCCAGTTTGAATGGAGAGGTAGAAAATCCTGTTTCTATGAAAATAATTGTTTATAAAACCGTGCTTATGATTTTTTGCAAAGATCCTTTATTTTGTGTTAAGCAAGTACTCTATGAAGAAATGAAGATTCAAGATGTATTTATTCAAGAATTCCAAAATAAAGCTCAACAAATCAATAATTTTTCCTATCGAGAAGTCGAAATAAATGAAACATATGGCTGCACTACGATTGATTCGATTTTGTATAGGCTCTTAGAATCCATTTTGTGCAGACTTGAGTATCTTTCAATGCATATAGACTCTGAGACTAAATGCTACTTAGAGCATGCTACTGAAATTCACAACAATGATAGAGTAGAGTACGTTCAAAAGCTGAGTTCAGGAGAAAAAACCGCTCAATATCTCCAAGATCTTATCAGGCCTAAATTTAAAATTTTTGACTCCCTCTTACACTCAACACATCTATCAAATGGTCTAAAATGTTATCTTTACAGTATGAAAACAAGAACAATTGTGCTTAACCAAAAAAACATCACAAGTCGAGCGACATTAACAAAAGCTGAGCATATTTTTAATGCAACTTTAGAAGATGCTCAAAACACAACTTCATTAAAACTCGAAAAAATTGTTAATTATTTTACTGCAATGGCAACTGTATGTTTGCCAGCAAATTATATCCCTGGGATGATGGGAATGAATGTAAAGGTCCCTTGACAAGACGATGACGATCATAATTGCTTGCCCTGACTTTACTGCTGGGCAATTATAATTGGAATATCGATCATTGTGATATGGTTTTTTAAGTGGAGAAAATGGGTTTAAATCATCTTACTGATGACTTTTCATGCTAGCTTCCTCTTTAATTAGTGATAAGGATTTTTTTTAATATTTGAAAATGATTAATCGTATTTAAATTATATATTATAGGTTTCTATTAAAATTATTTTATACTGAAAATTTTCCTAGTAAGAAAATTATTATTTTCCCAAAAATTAAATTTGCTTGCTAATCACAACGAGAGTAAGTAAACATAGATACCTTAATGACCTTAAATTTTCAATAGAAATTTACTAATAAATGGCAAAATCTTACTTTGCCTTCCAATTCAAGTCATCCTTTGGAGAGATCACTTCAAGTAACTCACATTTGATTGTTTCTTCCAACGATTGGATCTTTACTTCTTCCAATGAATCAGTCCTCATATGAAGCGCAAAACGACTTGAACTAATAAAATCCCTTTCCCAAGGCCCAGATATTATCACATCTCTAGCTCTATCCACCAATTCTTTAAGCGCTGGCTTTAGAAATGGAACAATCCTCGTCTGGAGCTTAAGTTCATGGGAAATTTTACACAAATTTGAAGGCCACGAATCAGCAGTATCTGCTCTTACCTACTCATCAGATGGGCTGACTCTTTATTCTGGGTCTTATGATACCTCTATTATTGTATGGGACTTAGTCGCAGATGCAGCTTCAGTCCGTCTTCAAGGCCACAAAGACTCAATAACATCATTAATTGTCCGTGAAAATTCATTGATCTCTGGCAGCAGAGATCGCATGATAAAGATATGGGACTTAATCAGCGAAATGTGCTCTGATACCTTGCTTAGCTCAAGCGAAGTATGGAGCCTTGAAATTATTGAAAATAAGCTCTATGCTGGAAGTGGAGATAAGTACATTCACGTATGGGACTGCATAGATAACTATAAAGAGCTCGGAGCCATCTCAAAGCAAATTCCAAAAGGAAGAACTAAAAGTGTATCAAAGCATCCTAATGAGTCAATTTTTTTGGTCGTCAGCAAAGGCTCACTTGAAGTCTGAAGAACAAGAAAAGAGAACGAAATTGATAAAATGATGAAAAGAAGAAGGAAAAGATTAAGAGAAAAAGGCAAAGATGAAGAAGAAGTCAATATGGTCTTTACAGATTATTACGAAAGAATAGTCTTACACAAACCAGACTCCAAAATTGCAAGTGCTCAATTTTTCCCTACAAAGTACAAAAGCAGCACACATGAGCATAAATTCAAAATAGCAATAAGCTATGCTACAAATTATATGCAAATTTATGATCTCAGCTGCAATTTGGTTACAAAAGTAAAAACTGCTGCTTCATTTGAACTTATTTCTACTCTTGATCGAGAAGGGCATCGATCATCAGCCAGGACGCTATCATTGTCCCAAGATAATTGGAATTTATTATCAGGCTCAGGCGAATCCTTGAAAATTTGGGACCTAAAAACCCAGACCTGCATCAGTACACTTGAATGCGATTACGCTCTTACCAGCTTATTCCTCCCTGGAGATAGATTCGTTATAATTGGTACAAGGTCAGGCTTACTCCAAGCTTTTGACATCTTATCACATGAGAAAATATTTGAAAAGAAAGGCCACGAAGGATCTGTGTGGAGTATCTGTTTATTCCCATCATCTCTTGTATTAATAAGTGGAGGCGCAGACCATGACTTGAAATTCTGGCAAATCAGACTCCAGCCTGAGTTCAAGCTAAAATTGACTGAAGTTTTTTCTCTCAAAGATGAGATTTTATCAGTAAAATGTTCCCCAGATGGAAAATTAATATGCTCTTCACTATTGGATTCGACTATTCAAACAATTTACAGTGACAGCAAAAAGCTTTACTTGTCACTTTATGGGCATAAACTCCCAGCCTCTTGTTTTGACATCTCTTCAGATTCCCTTATTCTTGTGAGTGGCTCAGCTGATAAGAACCTTAAACTGTGGGGATTGGACTATGGAGACTGCCATAAGTCAATTTTTGCCCATGATCAGCCTATTTCTGATGTAAAGTTTGTAAAAGACACACATTTATTCTTTTCAGCAGGCAGAGATAGGCTAATTAAATATTGGAATGCTGACACTTATGAATGCATTTTGACGCTCAAAGGCCATAAAGCAGAAATTTGGTCCATTATATTGAGTTCTGCAGGCGACTTTTTGGTATCGGCTGGTAATGACTATTCATTGAGACTTTGGGTGCAGACAAGTGAGCAGATTTTCTTGGAAGAAGAAAAGGAAAAAGAAATTGAAGAGTCCACAAAGCCTGAAGAATTAGGAATTCAAAAGCCAGTTGGAGAAGCTGTACCTGTGCTAAGAACTACAAATGAAGCGCTGAAAGCTGGAGAAGTACTAATAGAGGCGTTAGAAGTTGCTAGGCAGTATAGAGAGCATTTAAGCCAAGGAGGAAACGCCCTACCACCTCCACATTATGGAGGACTTGATGAACATGGCTATATTCTTAAAATTCTGACAGGGATACCTTCTTCATCTTTTGATTCAGCAATCCAGATGCTTCCGTTTGCTTATGCGACGATGCTATTTTATCATTTAGAAAGCTATTTAGATAAGGGAGTAGAAACTGAGCTGACAGTAAAATGCATTTTGATGCTGATGAAAATTCATGAAAATACGCTGGTTTCAAGTGTGTATAGCAATGAAGAATGGCTGATTAGAATAGAAAGGGTCAAAAGCAAAATGATGAGCAGAATAAAGGAGATTAAAGATGTGATAGGGAGGAACGTAGCTGCTTGCAAGTTTGTAGCAAGGTATCTTCAGGATCAAAAAGGAATGCCTATTACAGAGCTATCTTAGATTTTTTCTTTAATTATCATAATATTGATGGTTTTTCAGATTCATTAAATTTATAAGCATGTATAATTCTTATAAATATTTATATTTTAATTTATGACCATAAATAATAAGCTAGCCTTAGCTTAATAATTTACAAATTAGAGTTACCTTAGAACTTTATAAAAATATATAATAAACTAAAATATAAATTCATTTGTATACAGTATTATTTGAAAAGTATTGGGAGTATAACTATGTGAAATATTAATTAATTAAATTATTTGTTCATAATAGTAGTTTTAGTATTCAGATTGCTCTGCTTTTTAGTTATTAATCATTTTAGAAATTGCTCAGGATTTATTTGATTTTGCTCTCTTCAAGATTGTTTATATTCTTATCAATAAAACACTAGTATTTGATGCTTTAATTTTGAAACCCAACAAATCTAATATTTTTAAGACATTTATAATATTAGCTTTAAATCTAAAAGTTTTTTATCAAACAATCTTATTGAAAGCCAAAGCAGTTTCTAATTTTTTTAATCATATAATTGACTTATTTTTAAAAGAAGATCTGAATATCAATATCCCCTAAAACTCCATATATTCACATTTATATTTAATAAGACTTCAAGGACCATGGGAGGAAAAAATTCTTGTCAATCTACATGGTGCACTAAAAAAGCTGAATATCTATGCAATTGCAAAAATATAAAGATATGCGAAGACTGCAAGGATAATAAACACTACGGAGAACAGCATGAAGTTGAAGAACTGAATTCCCAGCCTAAAACCCATAATCCTGATGCTCCGATTTCTACCAGCTCTTTGGTCTTCACGAGAAATATTTATCGATCTCCAGAAGGCTCCACTGAAGTTTTTGAAGGAAGAGTAGTTCACAGGCCAGACAAAGTTGCAATAAAGGTAATGTATTGCCGAAATGAGGGAGAATTAAGAAAAAAGCAACAGGAAGCCAAACTTCAAAAATCCATGGTCCATCCCAATATATGCTCTTGCCTTGGATACTTTATTGATGAGAATTATGGGCCAGGGTTTAAATTCTTGATTGTAATGGAGTTCTCTGAAAAAGGTGACCTTGAGCAGGATATTGAATATAGGAAAATCAGAAACGATTATTGGCCAGAGAACCAACTGCTTACTCATTGGACAGAAATTATTGATGCCTTCGCGTACTTGCAAGAAATGAATATGACTCATGGAGATGTCAAGCCAAGAAACTTATTTTTAGCAAATAATGGGAAGCTTAAGCTAGGAGACTTTGGGGAGTCAAGACAAGGAATGCAAGCACTAGTTACCAAAACTTATCAAGTTACTGGAACAGTTATGTATTTCAGCCCCAAGCTGTTTAAAGAGTACTTATTCCCCCAAATTAATAATAAATGAACTTTTTTATCTAGCAATGGTTTATAATTTATTATTTTAGAAATATTTTAATAATTAAAAATCTATATAGGGATTTTAAATATATTATAATAAGATTATTAGACAGTTAATATAACAATAATAATATTAATTTTTTCAAAGCTTTCAGTCTATTACTAAGGGATTTAGAAATAATCAAAGGCAATAATGTAAGAGGAGACGTCAGGCATAACCCAATAAAATCAGATGTGTTCTCCTTAGGTTTAACATTTCTGCACATGGCAAGCCTAGCAAAGCCTACAGATTTAAACAATTTAGAAGTCGGAATTGACAACTTGCAAAAACAAGTTGAAAGAGCAATCGCTAAACTCTCATACAGCGACAAGGTCAAAATCTTACTTGCCCACATGCTAGCAGTCCAAGAAAACAAGCGCTGGGATTTCAAGCAGCTGAAGCACCATCTCTCACAAGGCGATTTAGAGCATGATCTAAACGAAGTCTCCAAGCAAAACGAAGAAACTGACGCGAAGCCTGCTGCAAAATCAGTTCCAAAAATTGAAGGTCATTTTGCAATCTCTCTTGCACAAGTCCCAGGTAGAGCTTATATCTGCGAAATTGATAACAGAAAAATAAGAAAAACGTCAAGCTTGAATAGCCATAGGTTCCAATCTTCTTCAAGAGTAGCCGTTATAGATGAAGGTGTAGTTGTTACTGGAGGCTTGAAAAATTCAAAAAACGTATTTCTAATTAATTTAGTTACAAGAGACTCAGCAAAACTAGAAGACATGAAGCAAGGAAGGGCATGGCACGCAATAACTGTGCTTAATAAAGATTTATTTGTAATTGGAGGAAGAGACCCTGAAAGAAAAGAGCCTATAAAATCAGTCGAAATCTACAAGGATGGGAAATGAGATGAGTGTGAGCCATTAAATATAGAAAGAGAAAATGCCACTGCTTTAGCTGTTGATAATGAAATTTATGTGGTAGGAGGGGCTAATAAGAGCACAAAGAGGCTTGAGCTGATCAGTTCTATTGAAAAGTACTTTGAAGGCCATTGGGAAGTTTTGAGCCTTAACCTTCCTGTGCCGATGTCTGGGGTTGGGCTTGTGAACTCAGCCCCGAGAACTATAATGATTATTGGAGGTGGAAGAGAAAGAGGAGTAAGCTCTCCTGAAACTTTTGAGTGGAACTTAGACACAAACCAAATAGTATTGGAAGAGAAAGCACTTCCAGAAGGAGACACTTTTGGGTCAAATTCATACTTTATTGACGAAAGTAAAAATGAGGTTATCATTATAGGGTTTTTACTTGGAATATTTATTTATAGCCGGGCTACAAAGGAATGGGAGCAAGAAGGCTTTAAATCTTAATAACATATTACAATTTAAAACATTTACATTTAAAACAAATTTTAATATCTTAATTTCTATAACTGTTTTATTATTTTTATTATTTTTTCAGCTTTTTGATCTCAATGTAATGTTATAAGTATATTTAGTAATCAGTGAACTTTCTTATATAAATTTTTTAATATGGTTGAGATCGCTTTTATTAACTTCTTCCTTGAGCTAAAAATCTTGCTCAGCAATCAAAAGATTAATTTTTTTTCTAATGGTTATTGATTATATAGAAACTTTTCATTGTTAAAAAATTAAAAATTTTCAAAATTTGAAACAAAAAATCTAATTAAAATAGAAAATTTTATTTTAGAACTCTAAATTATATTTTATTGTGTAATTACTAACTAACATTAATAATAGTTTGCGCAACAAAAAAAAATTGTTCATTAATCAAGGTGACTTTCTAATGTCTTGCTCTATAGCCAAGGGGGATTAAGAGGATGCAAGCAAAAATCGATGAATTTTTCCAAAAGAAATTCTATGATAAAGGAATAAAAAAATGCTTACTCCCCCCCCCCCCTCCGTGAGTGAGTGAGCAAAACCATAACTCCGCCCCCCATCCTTGATCGAACGACTCGCCATCGTTCGATCAAGAATGGGGGTTAAAACAAATTTTTTTGGGAAAAAAATTTTTATATATAAATAAAATATCTATATATATTATTTTTTTATTTACTTTTAAATAAGAGGGTTAAAGAGTATTTAATAATTATTTTTACAGCAAAAAATTTGAATTAATTTCATAAAAATACCAATTTTTTATACTTTAATTTATTAGTTACCCCTTAAACTGTATAAATTTTAATTTGTTACTTATTAAATTAAAATTTTTGTTTTTAAATTTTAAAGAATCTCTATTTTATTAGATTATTGAGAGTTTTTAAGCCTAGGTTGATGACTAAATCACTTCGAATGGTTGATTCCGAAGCTTTCTGTCGTCTCAAAGTCTCTGAAAACAACTTCATTAGGTACATCTCCCCAAGCTTTTGATAACTATTATATTTTTATATATATAAAAAATTTGCATGATATGAAAATCGTTCGATCAAGGATGGTGGTTAATTTCCCCAATTTTTAGGAAATTTTTACAGTCAATCGTTCGATCAAGGATGGGTGGGGGAGTAAGAAAAATCCCTATTTTTTGCCTAAAAACCCACCCTCCGTGAGTGAACAAAAATTTTTTTAATAGAAAAATTTTTATGGAAAAAAAATTTTGACATATAAATGATAATTACTATAATGAAATATAGAGCTAATTCTGTTTAATTTTAAACAAATTATTTTTTAAAACATAAATTTTGCAAATTGAATTAATATTTACTTTCCAATTTTTGCTTAAGCAATACTTAAGCTTTGTGAAAGATTTTCCAGAGCACAAAATCGCAATTTCTGAGTATTTACGAGCAGTTTTATTATCCTGTTTAGAAATAGCAAATAATATAAAAGAAAATGAAACTGCCATATCTGTGCTTTTATCTTGCCACAAACTTATCGAGCCTCATTTGCCATTAACTCCATGCGAAATCTTTAGCGTAAAACGGACTTTAGCAAAGCTATACTTTGAAGGCCAAAATTTTATTGAAGCTGAAAATCTTTTTCGAGAATCAATAAAATTGTCAAAAGGCCTCCCATTAGATAAAACAATATTGGAGGTGTATTTATTTTATAGCAGATTTTGCAGTGATATCACAAAGAAACGAAAAACATCAGGCAAATTAGCTAAAAAAGTACTTAAGTCTGCAACTAAGCTGAAAGAAGAAAATAGTGTTATTGGAGACTTGCAAGAAAGGGCACTGGAGATCCTCATAAAAAGTGAAATTGGTGTAAATAATCAAGATAATGCTATAAAATTATTGTCTTATGCAAGTAAACTGGTAAATGTAAACATACAAAGACTTGTAAAATTACTTGGGGATAAATTTCAGTGTTTAAGTGAATCAGAAGTTCTCATTGATTTAATGAAGGTAGGTAAAGGTCTTCAAAGAAAAACACTGCAAATTCAATCTCCAAAAGGTCTAGCCCAAATCGGATCACTTACTCCACAATCTGCTAGAATTCTATCCCCAGGGCATTTTTCATTTAAACCAAAAATACCAGACTTTAAAAATGAGCCAGTTCAGAAGGCTAGAATTTCAAATTTGCCCAAAGAAGATGAAAAAGGAAATGATCAAAAGCCTTCAAGCAATGCTGTAAATAAAGAAACTAAAACTAATGAAAACACTCCTTATGATCAGCAATCCCCAATAAGTCCAAAAAATATAGCTGATGAAAACTGCTTTAATATTCAAGCACCGCCAGACAATAAGGATAATAGGCTGCCAAATGAAACAGAAAAAATTAATCATAAAGAAAACAAAATTAATGAAGAAAAGAATATCAATCAGAAAAATAGCATTTTCGGAAGCCAAAATGCAAAAGAGGATAATGCAAAAGAAGATAGATTCTATAAAATAACAAAAATATCAACAATTATACAGTCATTTGTAAGGAAATTTCTAACGAGGAGAAAATTTAAAAATGTCAAATCATTACAAAACCGCTTCAATGGCTATATTGCGTATGGGAGAAAGAACTTGAACGGAAAATTATATTTTGTCACAATTAAATATGAAGGTATTGACTACCAAAACTTGCGTAAAATATATGGTCCTCTTGCTGCCAACACAAATAAGTTTAATATTATTTTGGATGCATACCCATTGGTTTCTGGAACTAAAAAGCCAACTTTCAGCTGTTATTCCACTAAAGAAATAACGGATTTGCTAGGGATATGGGATTTTGATTACTTAAGGAGCACATTGCAGCCTGCATTATTGAACAACGTAAAAATTGTTAATGACCATATTGAGTTTTATGGCAATGAAAAAGTAAGTGATCCTATGAAAAGACTTATTTACCGCGGGAAGGGTAAATTAGGTACATGCAACTATTATAATATAAGAATCTATGAGATTATTCACTCCTCCCTTTAAATTGGAACAAAATTATCTTGTTCCAATTTAAATGTTTTTTTTTATAAATTTAAAAAATTAAAAATGTTCTTGATTTTGAATTTATTTTAGGCTAGAACAATTTAATCAAAAAATTATTGATTAAGCGAGAAGCTATTTAAATAATATTCTATTTGCATTTTTTTTCCATTAATTTAGGGTCTTACTAATTTTAAAAAAATAATTCTACTTGCACTTTTTACATTAATTTAGGTCTTAGAAATTTATAAAAATTAGTATTTTTACATATAAACAAAATTTGTTCCGATTTAAATGGATTTAAAGTACCCAAAAGTGGAATTTTACCGATAATTGCTTAAATTTAAACAGGAGAATCAAGGTTCTGCAAAAAGTTATGCAATTTCAGCATTCACATTGCAACAAAAAATGGAAAAAATGCTAAGGTTAAGCGAACTTTCTGAATTACTTGGAATTGCTGAAAATGATGCTATGTTAAATACGATTCATAAGCTTGCTTCTTTTCTTGCTATAGAAAACAATAGACTAATTATAAAGCAGGATAGAGCACCTTCTATGTAAACTAAAGAAATTCTAATTAACTATTTTTTAATAAACCTTTATCAATTGCATTATGGCTATAAATATAAAGAAATGCCTTTATGCTTATATACTTAAGATCAATAGCCCATTTTCAGGATTTTTTTCGTTAAATAAATAATTCCTAAAGAACTTAGAGAAGAAATAAAATGGTGGCGTTGACAGAAATTGAGTACAATCCTATGAAGCAGGCCGGACCTATCCTGATTGAGCTGAACACAGAGCCTCTGTCTCTTTTGACGTAGGCATTCAGGTTTGGGGAAGCTTTACCGAAAGGAAGTTTTGCTAAACCTCTAAGATTTTCCTGTTCTTACCAAAGGGGCTAGACAGATTTTACATCTCACATAGTCTTCATCCCTAGGGACTATCGGGCACCCGGCAGAGGTTGGCTCTAACCGAGGGAGTTGGTCCTTATATTAGGAGATTTCGCCAGAAAAATTCAAGAGGGTGGAATTTTGGTTGGGCCTTACACCATTTGCACTCAGGTATATATGCACAAGCTGAGGCCACCTTTCCTGGAGTCAAAATAATCCGGCATGTGGGCTCTCCTTATAGCTGTATAAAAATTTTAGCTTTAAAGATCTTCAAAATGGAAAATAAGCTCTTCAGGCTTTTAAAAGGGCAATGAAGATGAGATAGAGTGATTGGAAACCAATGAACAGCTTATGGACAATGCACATGAAGTGAAGTAAATAAAGATAAAGATATGGAAAGATTTCTATACCATGAAACTGGGAAACTGGCCTCAAGTAAAATGAAGCAAGAGCTAGATGTACAAAAAGAATACTACTACTGTTTGAACTCAGCCAAAAAAGCCATTGAAGTCTATTTCTGTAACCCTGACATGACTATGGGAAATCTTTTCATTCAATTATCCTTCAATTCCCAATCTACCTCCAGCAATTCCGAACCTAATTGGCCATTCTGCTCATCTTCAACCCACCAATGCAAGCTTGACCAATACGACGCAAAGTTTACATATGATTCAGAAAATAAACTTACTATATCTTACACAGTAAAAGGTCCGCATAAAGACTACTTGTCTGTTACCACTTATGACAGAATAATGAAATAATCTCTTTTCTTAATAATCATGGATGAAACCCAACTAAAAGAAAGCATTGTTTACGGCTCTTTGATTTCTCTAAAAACGATTGACAACTGTTATGCATATTCTCAAGGCTTCGTTGATACAACTATTTATTTGCAGGAAGCATCTAATATATCTTTCTCAGAAGCCGTTTTCAGGATCTGCCCACAAAGCATTTTTACGACCCAGCAAGAAGTTTTAAGGCTGATATCTGAAGGAACTGGGCCAAGCGTTGCTGAAAGGGTAGATCTGCTGAATGATTCATTAGATGACGAATTAAAGACAAATGTGCACATTTATTCAAATTTTAAAGGAGTCCCAGTTAAGTATGGATCTTTAATCCAGCTGGAGCATGTGCAGAGCCATAGGTTTGTTACTGTTCATAACAGACAAAGTTCAAATATAGAACGGCAAAATATTAAAATATCGCTTGAGGACTACCCAAGCGAGTTTTCCCACTTTAGGGTAGAGGCATGCTTTAAATGCCAAAAGGAAGGAAAAGGAATCGTCAGGTCTGGGGATAAAGTAGCGCTCGAATTCACTATTTTGGACCTAGGTAGGAATGCTTGTCTGCATTCAAGCATCAAGGGGATCAACCCTTCAAATTTAATAAAGCTTTTGGCTGGGGACGAATTCGACCCTTCTTCTCTTTCTCAAGAAATGGATGGCTCTTTGGACCAAATGACAGCTTGAATAATTGAACTAAACTCTCCTTTTGTTAATGAAGTCTCAGAATCGCTTATGTGTGGAGACATAATTTGGCTCAGCCACGCAGAAGAATATGCTGGCCTAGGAGGGATCCTCCACAAAAATCATTTAGAAGTGCTTTATAATAAAAACCTTAATGATACAAACTGCCTTTGGATGATAGAAGGAGAAAATTCACAAATTGGTGGAAAAGTGAAAATTGGGACAAAATATCGTCTCAAGCATATATCAACCAAAAAATATTTGACGATACAAAATAACCATGGCATAAATTCTCCCACAAATGTACTGACTGGCCATCATAACTTGTCACTAGCAGACATTACAAAGGGCAATAATCTTTGAACCTTCGAGCACATTGACGAAGGGGTGAAATCTGATTTAATAAACGGCCAGTTTTGCAAAATTGTTAATTGTGATAACGAATCGTCAATTGCAATAAAGCAAGTCAAAGGAGGCTGAATAAAGCCAGCAGCTGATTTTGTACATGATGAGATGAGCTATTTTAAAATAAAAAAAGCTAACCAAGAAGTCATTTGGGAAACTCTTTTCCTGCTTAACTGCTATCCTATTCTCAAGAACTTTCCAAACTATTTGAAAAATGGCATTCAGCTGAATGAGACTGAAAACCCAGACGAAGTAAAAAATTTCGAAAACTGTGCAATTTTGGTCGCAAAATGTATAGCAGACGTTGATCTTTTTTGCAAAAATAAGCTTACTCCCCCCCCCTTTAAATTGGAACTGAAAATTTTTGTTCCAATTTAAAGGAGGGTTAATTTTTTTTTTAAAAAAAAAATTCAAAAACTTATCGAGTTAGATTAATAAATTTGTTTAATAAAAGGCTATTTACTCTTTATCCTTTGAAAAAAAGTAAGATATAACTAAAATTTTTATTATTAGTTAATACGCCACTATTAATTGGCATCAAAATTATTTGCACAAAAATTATTATTTTTATTGATAAAAAAAAATTAACAAAAAAAAAAATTTAGAAAATTTATCATCAAAGTACTAATTTTGTTTAAATAAGATGTTATTTATACTCTATTCTTTAAAATAAAGCAAGAAATAACTAAATTTTGAAATTTTATAAAGAATTCCTATTGAATTTTATATCAAAACTATTTAAATAAAAAATATCATTTTTATTAAAAAAAATAAAAAAATTTTTTGAAAAATTTTAAAAAAAAAATTAATTTTTTTTTGAAAATTTTAAAAAAAAAATTAATTTTTTTTGAAAAATTTTAAAAAAAAAAATTATTTTTTTTGAAAAATTTAGCAATTAAGGATAATAAATTTATTTAAATAAGATGCTCTTTGTACTTTCTTCTTTAAACAAGAGCATGATATAACTAAATTTTTAATTTTATTTAAGAAGAAACATTTAGCTTATATCAAAACTTTTTAGATAAAAATTATATATAATTTTTTATTATAAAATTAAATTTTGTTCCAATTTAAGGGGGGATTAATTTACCAAAAAATTGGAAATTTTTACCTATATTTGTTCCAATTTAAAGGGGGAGTTAGAAGTATGGTTGGAACTGATAAGAAATATGGAGAAGTGCAGCATGCAAGGCAGAGAATGATAAAAGAGCAACGGATATTTGATGTTGTGATAGAGATATTAGATGCAACATTCAGGACGGAGTTTGAGACAAGTATAGTTAAGAAACTCACCACTGATACCTGAAAAGCTGAACTAGATATCACAGCTGAAAATTCAAAAATTGGCGTTCTAAATGCAGAAGACAGTGTAAACGTAACGAAAACAAGATATGTAATCAATATTGTGGAACGAATTTATGATTTATTGGTAACTCTCTGCTATAAAAATCTTACCAATCAAATGTACGCTTTCAACTATTTAAATATTTTTGTGAAGCACATTGAGTATAACTTAGGCGCAACGAAGTTTTTACTGTCAATTTTGAAGAGTAATAATGAGCTGCTGTTTGCAGTCCATAAGGTTTCGTTACCTCAGCAGCTGTTTCCTCGTCAAATGGTAGACAGCAGCCTAATAAGTTACTATAGCTCTTTATTGTGTTCTCAGCATGAAAAAAGAAGGCCTCAGATCTTGGAGTTCTTGAAAACAATATGCTCATATAAAGACCATCGAATTAAAGTCAACCAAAAGAAAATTTTCGAGCTGGTCTTCATGGACAAAGAAATCTATGCCAGCACCCTTATCCAGATCCAAATGAAAGAAAATCAATTTTGAATTTCATCTGACCAAAGCAGTGAGCTAAACGCTTTAGATACATATTTTGATGATGGCCATATAAATAAAGAGTCAGCTTTAATTGTTTACTTTATAAAGCTGCTTGAGCTGTTCGGAGCATTATGCTTTGGAAGAAATACTTTATTTATAGATGCACTGAAAGAAGACTTTCCTGGGGATATCCTACAAAATATTATGTGGAACCCTAAGCTTACCAACACAAATAAAATGGCGACGACACCGACCCGTCCTCTCCCGGAACTGAGGCGAGATTGGGGACCTTGCTGCAGCCTGAAGCCAATCCGCCCAGGGAAAGGTCTGGAATGGGTACTGGTAGTTTGTGTCCGGCTAGGTTTCCCTCCCAGTCCAGCAACGACGATCCTAGGGTCGTCCCGATAGGACACGGGGCAAAAAGGGTTTTTCCTCTAGGGACTGCTAGTGCAATTTGGAGGGCATGGCAGGAGCCGACAAGAGTTAAGGAGTTAATCCTTAGCTCTAACCCTATTCTGGCGACGTGAAGCACGGTGAACCAGTCCGCCTACTTTCGGGATAGCATGACCAAGCCCCATGACCGGAAGGAGCTGAGTGGTAGCCTGTGACACTTAGGTGCACACTGGGAGCAGTACAAGGAAAGTAAGCAAGGCGTCCAAAAGGCGGAAGAAAAGGACCTTCGGTCCTGGCCGGGAGCTACTTTATAAATTTAACTAAGACTAAGACTAAGACCCTAAGCTTACCAAGGGCACTACGAGCTGCAGCCTCTAAGCTAATGTTTTCAATGCATATTGATGTATTTCCTAGGATGGAGATAAGATTAAGATTACGCTGGGTATTTAAAGTCCCACTTCGTCCGAGGAAGCATTCTACGGTTTCCCGTATGGTGGCAGAGCGTTCACCTAGCCCGGGCCGAAACCCCCGGTTTCTCGGTAGAGGTAAAGGTCAAGGGACGTGTCATACCGTCTTTGCTGACCGCCTCCATTTCCAACTTGGATCGTCGCCTAAGTTTACGCAACACTGCCGCGTCGTCCGCCAGATCTACCCATTGGAGGGCACCTTTTAACTGGAGAGACTCCCGTTTTGTTGTCTACCTTGTCTTCCCCTCTTTTCCGGTCATCCCGAGAAAGAACTCAACAGCTTTCGCCATTCGGGGCAAGCCACAAAAGCAGCTTATGCAGATAAGTCGCCCTGCCTCATTTCGGGCACTCATTGGGCTGAGCGCTGCTGGCAAAAAGAAGTCGCGAGTAACTGCCCATGGGTTTTGTCACAGAAACAGCGGTCTCCGTGCTTAGACTCTCGCCTCGAGGTCCAAAACATTGTTGGGCCAACTCCCGGCTCCAAAAACCATGCCCGGATATATATGGGTAACCACCACTGAGAGGGTGGGTCGGTCGCCGTCCGCCATTTTATGTATATCCCTAGGATGGAGATAAAAAAGCCAGAGTTTGTAAAAATTATAAGGATGGGAGAAAGCATGGCTGGGAAAAAGTCAGTCAGCCAAAAATGAAGCAGTGAAACAGAGCAGTCATTTGTTGAGGTAAGACTGCTTGAAAATACTATGATTAATTTAAGAGATGAGCTTGAAACAGCGAAAACTAATATTGAAAGAGCTTCGATTGATATAGGAGACCTTGAAGAAGCTGATGTGAGGAAGTTTACTGATGAAAACTCTTTGATACAAACTATGCTCTATAATATTCTTGAGTTCTTTTCTACTCAGCGTAATGGAGTCCAATATGATATTTTTGTCGATGAGATGCTTAGGGTTTCAGAAAAACTTATTAAATTCAACCTTTATGGCACTTGCTGCACAAATTTTGATAAGCAGTTCACAATTGTAAACCCGTTAAGCATTGGGTTTTCTAGTGAAAATATGGATATAGTAAGGCTCTTAAGATCGATATCCCACTTATTGTTTTTTACAGCTGAGCGAAGGAGATCTTCTATCAAGAAAAGAGGAAGTCTTAAAAGAAGAAAGTCATCAAGAAGAAGCGAAGATAGAGAAGATGAAAAGGATAAAGACAAAAAGAATTACCTCGAAGAGTTGCTAAACGATCCAGCTGAACTCTCTGAGCCTGTAACACGATGTGCAGTTAACTTAAAGAATTTTATCTCCATACTTAAATCGAGCTCTTTCCAAGACCACGTTAAGAAAACTCCTGAAGACAAAATCAAGGTCAGGATCTGCAAAATACTCAATCTATATTTACTCCATATATGCAAAATTAATATTTTCTATGTAAATATCATTAATACCAAATTTAAAGCAGTTAAAATTAAAACATTACTGATAACTTGCTTGATTTTAAATGAAATAGTGCAAATAGCTACTATTTAACAAATCTAGTACTTTGAATTGATATAGTTCGTGTTTTATAAATTAATTAAAGTAGGGAGTTAGACATCCAAATGGAGTTTTTGATAAACAACGTCCTAGGCTGATTCAACCATTTAACTTACTCAAAAGACTGGATCTATGAAGACCTCTCCATTTTATTCCCACCAATAATGAAGATTTCTCACGTCAGCCATAAAGCAACCAATGAATTCCAACAAAGCAATTTTAAAACTTGGTGCGCTCCAGTCATACTCAATCTTAACTGTATGTCATCTGAGCCAATACTTCCAAAGCTACTAAATGTGTTTGTCGAAAGCAAAAATTATAAGCTAAAGCAAAATATTTTAGCCCTCATTATGAGGTGCTTTCGGCAACGAACAGACATGCTCCACGCCCTTAAGAAACTTCATGTAGTTTGTAACTTGCAAGAAGCATTAATATATAAATACCTTAAAAAAAGTATGGCTTGGCTTAAACAATATGCAGACCAAAACGAAGTTTGGCTCACTTACTGAAAAGATGATAGTCTTGACAAAGCAAAAGCAGTAAGCAGCTTTGAAAACGTAAATGAACTTTTGCAAAATATTGATTATATTCTCTTTGAAGAAACATCAATTCAAGGAAATACAGTTACCCCAGGAAGATGTGAAAAAGTTTCTAAGTCTCGTCAAACTATATTTTTCTATTTGAAAATCCATGAGCTATTGCTGCATTTTCTGAAAGATGGAATGTATGTGCTTTTATTAAATCAGGATAAAAATAAAGACTCAGAATGCTTCAGAAAAATTCATAATTTGTTCACAATTTGCCATAATATCTTGATAAAATTTGTATACAATAACCCAAAAAATCTGAAATGGCTGAATTGGTGTATAAAAGAAGCTAAATTTCATAAAAACCTCCCTTTGTTCAATATTTTGGATATTTTATTACAGTTAGAAGACGGCAAGAACTCGTCAGTTCCTATGAAATTGCCAGCATTAGAATTTTTCTATCACATTTATATTGAATCTGAAGAGTTTAATGATGAAATAAAAAGCTCTGAAAGTTTTCATTTATATATAACAAGACAAGCAGAAGTCTTAGAAATCATAGCTGTAGTTGATGAAGACCATACAAACTTTTTGGCTACATTCTTAAAAGTTCTTTTTCATTATTCCATAACCTTTTTCAGGCCAGAAATCCCATTCGCTGAGCAAGAAAGCAGCTCTTCACTTCACCAATTCGCCAAGTCTCTTGCTAAAAATATATCAAAATTCGACTCTAGGTTTGTAAAGCAGCCGATGATAGACCAAATCCATGAGTTTTGTAGCAGCTTTAGCTGTGAGATAAATGATGCAATTGGTGAAAGCAGAGAAGTTGCTAGAGAAGCTCTTATAGACTCAGGGAATTCTTTATTTGATGATAAAGAATGGATAAATGAAGCAGAAGAGGGATGAAAAAACTTTATCGAAAATGTCCTGTATAGTGAAAACATAAAGAAAATCTTGGCTGACGAAAAGAAAGCGCTAAGGCTGGCAATTTATTATATCAATAATTTTCACCCTAATCTAGCATTTACTCAAATTTCTAAAGAAATTATCAATTTTATAAGTGGAAGCCGCAATCAGAGAGTCCCAGTAGGGATCTTGATAGAATCAATAGAGCTGCTTGGGTCTTTTATTGAAGAATCAGAGACGGAAGAAAGCGAGAACTCAGTTGGCCTAGAGATCACTAAAGAAGAAATGCAGAACAAATTCAACTCGTTCGGTGCCACAAATGTTTGCCTGACTCTTCTCTGTGACTTAAACACAGAAAAGCCTATGTTTGTAACTCTTATCCATTTCTTAACTCAGCTTTTAGATGGAGGCAACCGAATAGTGCAAGCCGAAATCTATAAGTTCTTTGCCAACAACCCCACTTCTGAGAACCTTTTCAAAAGGATGCATACAGAACTTATTGACAGAATCGAGACTATCACGAATGGGCCTCCTCCTCTTGCTTCTAAAAAAGCAGTATATAAAGAAGACCGCGATATTATTAAGCTAATATTGAGACTTCTGCAGCTGTTTTGTGAAAACCACAATAGCAAGCTTCAAGTTTACCTTCGTTTTCAGACTCATTCTATGAATAGCTATGATATGATTAATGACGTCACATTTCTATTAGAAAGCTTGATGAAAAAAATGCACATCAATTATTTCTTGGAGATTTCTCAGTGCTTTGACACTCTCACAGAATTTATACAGGGGCCATGCAAGAATAACCAGGAGTATATCATTGATGGACAGTTTGTAGAAATCGCTTCAAATCTCCTTGCAATTGATGAATATAAAGATGGTATTGAGGTCTATGAAGCGCTTAAAAACGAAAAGATTTATGATAAGTTTGTAACTAACCAAGTGGAGTGTTTAAAAGGATGAATGATTTCTCATCTGAAATATAAATGCATGATCACCATTTTAGCGCTTCTTGAAGCAAGAAATGATAATTATGTCATTTCTAGGCTGATCAGAGCATTCCATACAGAATTGCTTAAAGAAAACCTTATTAGCATTTTTAAAAATTATGTGGAGCTATATGGAATTGATCATTATGACTATGATATATTTAACCATACAGCGGAGAATGAAGAATATGAGAGCTTTGGCGTCAGAAAACAAGATCAAGATCCGAAATACTATACCTTGGTCATTGAAGTTGGTATGATGATATACCAGCTCATGAAAATGTTCCGCGACTCTGACGAAACCAATGAAGAAATGGAAGAAGGTGGACTTCCTCCTGCTGAAGAGCTCCCTGAACTGAATATGATTTTCGGTGGCAAGCTTCTAGGAGGCTTAGGAAGGTTCGGCATGGCTTTTGTCAAAAATTCGCTTGAAACTGTTACAAAGCTCGCCAAAATAGTAGACAATGAAGGAGGAAAACAGGCTGAAGAAGACTCTGCAGAAGTATTAGAAGCAGCTTATAAGTTCTTTGATGGGAATACTACCCACATTGAGATAGTTTTCAACGAAGAAATCATCAAGTACTACTTCACAAAGCCTCCAATAGCGCTTGGCTACACAAATGAGCTAAAAGAAGAGTTTAGTGCAGACGCCGACCGAACTTCTACACAAACAAAGCTGACCTATCTGACCAACCAGTCTGATAGAACCATTGAGCAGCTTCAGCATGAGCATTTTCTCCAAAAACTATACAACAGAAACAAATTCACAGCTTTATTTGTATCAAATGTGTATCTTTATCGTGAATTGTCGTTTATGATTACACTTGTCTTGAACTTTTTTATTATCAGCTCTTATTCGGATTTCGTATATGAGCAAGATAATAATTTGGATGAGGATAAAGAAAGACTTTGGAGATACTCACTGTTTTATTATGACGCGTATAACACTGAAGGTGGACTAAATTATGTTGATACGAAGAGCTTGATGATTATTTTTGGGACCGTTCAAGTTGTGCTTTCAGCTTTAATTGTGTCGTTTTTTTTATTGCAGAAAGGGCCATACTTACTATCCTTATTAAGTGAGAAGAAATATAAATTATAATTTTAGTCAGCCTCTGAAAATAAGCAAATTATTTTTAATGTTTTGATAAATAATTATGGCTTATTTTAATTTAAATTAAGCTAATTATATTATAGTGCTTCTAAAAATTAAACTTTATTTATAACAATTTATAATAAAAAGTTTTATTAAAAGCCATTGTATCTAGAAGATTTTCACAGAGGCGAAGCTAGCCAAAACTGCTTGAAGGAGAAGCAGCCCTGATAAGAAATTTTGGAGCTCAAATCCAAAAAAACTCATAGTCATTTATATAAGGGGTCGACAACTGCTATTTACATTATTTTATTCAGTCACTGTGGATGTCGTTTATTACTCTGCATATATGATCTTTTCAATCTTGGGACTTTCCTATCACCCATTTTTCTTTTGTTTTTTGCTTTCAGATATTTGATCAAGCACAGGTAGCAACCCTACACCCCCACCCCCCCTAAAAAGTGGTACCCCCACGCCCCACCCCCCCTTTTTTAATGGTACCCCCACCCCCCCACCCCCCCCTAAAAAATGGCACCCCCACCCCCCCTTTCACAGATGGCACCCCCACCCCCATCCCCTTAATATAGCATAAAATATATGAAAAATGCCAATTTAGAGCAGACGTAATAAATAAATTATTTTAAATATTCAAAATTACTGATTTATACAATATCCACATATCGTAGCACAATCGATTAAGGAGTAGATGGAATGGGGTGAGAATTTCCTATAACTAGTAAGCTCACCAAATCTGAAAAAATTTGTTAGCAAGTTAATAATGATCTTTGGTATTAATTAGCAATATATCCTGCATATATTTTATGAACTTTGTGGAATAATGGCTAAAAGTCGAATTAGAGATCCAAAAGTAAAACTGACAATAGCAAATGCTATTTTTATTACCACTATTGAATCCTGCTACCAATTCAGTCCTGCAATCTTTGTACAATGGGTAATCAGATTAGCTTTAATTTATGAATCCATAAATTTAATGCAAGTTATTCTATTGTGCTTGGCTCATTTAATAATTAATGCCATTATCTATATCTTTGGCATTATATTTATAAATATAAAAAAAACAAATTTCTAATTAATTGCTAATTAATTTAAATTTATTAATTAATCATAAATATAAAGTAATTTGTGGACTTAATTTAAAAATATAGTGTTTTATTGTGTTATGTTTAATTTATTTTGCTTATTTCCTATCAAATACTTCTATAGGATAAACCCGAGAGGAGGGGGTGGGGGTGCCATCTGTGAAAGGGGGGGGTGGGGGTGTCTGGTTGCGACCTATGCTTGACCAGATATTCTCTATAAATACCCTTCACTCCAAAATGTGATTAAATCAGTTATTTTGCCATGGAAATCTCTGGTTGTTTTATTCGGCTGCATTTAGTTTGATCAGAGGATTTTTAATAGTGTAGCATTTCTTCAAGAAATTTGGAGGAAAATATTCTAATATTGAAGCAAGCATTACTCACTCACAGCTTTAAATTGGAACAAAAAATAGGCAACATTAATCAAACAAATTTTTCAATATAAAAATTTTATAAATAATAAATTTTATAAAATAATTTTAAAGGAAAAAGTGCAATTAGAATTTATATAAATAGTTTAAACATTGAATCGATTAACTTTTTGAATGAATTCTTTAAAAATCAATTAAAATTAATAAGTATTGCGTTAAATTTTTTATATTTTTTAATTTTAAAAAATTTAACACCCTTAAATTGATAGGATTTTTTGTTCTAATTTAAAAAGGGAGGAGTCAAAAAAACTTCTAGATTCTATCAAATGTCTTAAAAATGAAATATTTTGGCTAAATTTCTCCGAGAAAATTCATACTATCAAAGGTTACGATCAAAGAGCATGCATCAGTTTATTCATTTTCCTGATCGTCTTAATCTATTTATTTGGGGTCTGGATATATATGCATTAAATGAATCAACCCATCCTTTTAACACCATATTGCCGATTTAGGCAGGGAACTTTGTGGAAAAGAGGATGCGTTGGGCAATGTGCATCCAACAAGGTTTTACTGGTTTGGTGGATCACAATACCGAGTTAGCTGGCCGCAAGCTCATATCCTTTACCTCTAGATAATGGTGCTCAGAATTGGAAAGGGATGTCCCGGCAATACTAGTTAGGTCCCTCCTGATCAATTGGGAATGTTTCCGAGTGCGATACCGGGTGTTGTGTCCCTGATTTGAGTTTCCATTTTGGTAGACAAGTGAACAGTTAATTTGATTTTTCGATTTTTTTCTGAAACCTGAACCCCGTTGGCATACGCCATGGGCAACCCAGCGTCTCTAGCTCACGGCAGCGAGTGCAATCCTTCATCAATGAGAAACAACACGGCGAGAGACTGTGCTTGGGCTGGAAGCAGCGGTGAGCAATAATAGAGACAGATGTGGCCTCCAGACCTACCGGGAGCTTTTTAATAATATTAATTAAGTTAAACTAAGGGGTCTGGGCATATATAGGCTTCCCTTCTGATTTGTCTGGAAACTGTGTAAGTTTACTAAAATGCGGGATTTTTATTGGCGACAGAGGTTTTAAAGCAAACGGAGGGATTGGAGGCTGAATTTCTGACTGGGGTGCTGGGTGAATAGACTACGACAGACTGTTCTTTGACAATTCTTTCAATATCCTAATCATGATTATCGCTCTAAAAATTGTGCAGGGTGTGATTATTGATACTTTTACCATTTTGAGAGAGCAGCAAGAAGAAAGCACAAATGATAAAGAAAATAAGTGCTTCATTTGTGGCTTAGACCGAGATGAAATAGAGCATTTCACAGGGAGACCTTTTGCCTATCATGTTTATACTGAGCATAATGAGTGAAACTATATTCTCTTTATTGCTTATTTAAAGTCAAAAGATGAGACTGAGTATTCAGGCATTGAGTCTTATGTAAAGGAGCAATACGATAAAAAAGAACTACTCTGGTTTCCTCAAAGCACTTCTTTAGCTATCAAAAAGAACAAAACTCTTGATGAAGTCAAAAGACAAGATATGTTCAAAACCATTGAACAAAGGATTGAGTATATATCGACAGAGTTCGAGAAGCTCAAAGCGCTGAAATCTAAAAAGTAATGGAGATACCTCTGGAATTGATAAAATAACTAATATATTTGTGATTAATTTTTTTAATGAATAAGAAATATCCCAAAACTTTTTATTTAAATTCATGCTTTTACATTTTATATTTGTGATATCTATAATTTATTAATTAGATTTATAGTCCTTTAGGATTTTTGCACACACCAGCAAGTTGGTCTAATAACAGCGACCAGTTTCCTATTTTCCCTATACAGAATAGACGACTATCTGCGACCATAAAGCCAGTTTACTGGTGTACAAAAAGTCTCAACTGACGATATTAATTAAATAAGAATAATCAAGATTTATAAAACAGCATTACCTCAATTTTATATAAAAGACAATTATGTATTGATACCTTTCGGCGCATTTGCAGTCTCTCTCCAGAACTTCTTTTCTTCTTCATAATAAGAATTCTGCTGAGAGCATATGCTAATGATGGTTTTAAGTATGTGTTTCCCTCTATCCTCATCAAAGCTTGTGTTTTCTTGAATAATATTTTTCTCAATTCCGCTCAAAGTTTCATTAAGCTTATCAAGTGTGTCTTGAGCCAGTTGGATTTCGCTCAGGTACCTTGAAGCTGTATCATCGTCTGCACTAGCCCTATGTTTTGCTAGTTTTCTTGAAATTAAGGTTTCTTGTTGAGAGTACTCATCAATCATTGACTTATAAGAGCTCACTGCAAGTTTCAGCCCCTCCAGCCTCAGCTGTTCTTCATGGATTTCAAGTGACAAAGAATGCAGTTCAGATAAGTTTTCTTGATGCACAAGAGAAAATCTCTGCATAAGCCTAGCTAGCTCTGGGTTTTCTGGCATGCTGATTCCTGCAAGTGATTTTGAAGTTTCCTTCTGTCTTTGAGTCCAAATCAAAAACGCTTCAGAGAGTGCTTGAACTGGGGCATCCATTCTCTCAATTTTGTCTTCTATAATTGAAATCTCTTTACTAAATGGCAAAATTTTCTGTGCGAAAAGTACTTGAAACTTATTCTGCACTTTTGCCATTACCTTGTCGTACATATCTTCAAAGTTCCTATACTCCATAGTATCCTGGCTTGCTTCAGCTTGTGCTTTGTCAGTTTCAAACTTTTCATTTGATGACTGTGTGAACACTCTGAATGGAGAAGAGCTGCATAGAATTGGGTGCCTTAAAATGATATTTAGGTATTTTTCCATTTGGATTCTCCTTTCCTCAATAAACTTATCATCAGTGTTATTGATATATTTTTTGTCTGGCCTTGGAGGAATGATAAAGCCTTTATATTTTACTACCAAAAGGTTGTGCATCCAATCCAAATCACTGAACCTTCTTTTTACATTGTACACGCAGCCTTTGAAGCGGGTCATGATTGGGTAAAGATAATAGGAACTGCTTCCAAACCATCCACTGGATACATGAATTGGAGTCTCAACGATTATTTCGTTGTCAAATGGTTCCTGGAAACTAGATTCACTTGGTTTTGGGGGAGGAGGAATGATATCGCGTGAGGAGGCAAAAGCTTGATCTTGACCTTCTAAATAGCTGAGCAAGTTTTCACCAGAGAGAGGTTTGGAGACTCTGGGCTGGAAAATTTCAGAGCTTTCTTCAGAATTTTTTTCTTGGTTTTCAGATTTTCCATCTTCATTTAGATTAATGGAATCGATTTGGACCCTTGGGAATACTTCTTCGTTAAAAAGGTCTGAATTCGAAATTTGGATCGCTTGGGAAGGAGTGCTTTCTTCAGAAGGATTTTTATCAGCCTCCTTAAAAGAACTTAAGCTGTCATTTTGCTTCTGATTTTGGTACCCATTTAATTTTTCTTCTGAATTGTTGCTTATATTATCTACCTTTTCTGCTCTGATTTTTGGTTTATCTTTTATAGGGTCTTCTAAATCTATTTCCTCAAAAGGTTGGATTTCAAGTTTCTTTATATTTTTTTCTAAAATTTCTGGCTTTATTTCCTTTTGTGGCTCCTCTAAGCTCTTTTCTTCAAATATATCTATTATTTTCCTTTCGTCAATTTTCAATGCAACTATTTCATTTTTTTCTACAAGACTTATTTCCACTATCGGCTTTTCTTCAATTGGTCCGAAGTTGGCTTTGCTTTCAATTTTCTCTATTGGAATTTCAATTTTAGAGATTGAATCGCTAATAGGCATGCATTCTTTTATCTCTTCTAAAAAATTGTTTTGCCCATTTTGTATTTGAGAATCATTATTTTGTTTGATTTCTTTATCAATTTTATCGATTGCTTCTTCAAACTCACTTTTTTTATTTGGATCATTCTCGATCTTCTCTTCTTCTACGTTAAAGACACACAAATAAAATGGTGACTACTCTGACCCGTCCTTCTCCCACTGCCTCGGGCTTTGTGGGTCTAAGAGGGATGGGGCCTGGAGAATTTGTGTCCGGGTAGGTTTTTCTCCCTGGCCAGGACACCATGGCAGGGTTTTTTACTCGACCTATGACAAGAAGACCAGAGTCGCAAAGGCAACCCCACACTCCTGACAACGAAGGTATTAATGGAGGACAGGAGGAGGCTTCAGAACACCTACCGTCTCCCACCTCCGGACGGACGGGCTGACCGATAGGGGTTGCCCCAAGAAGTACCTGGGTGCGTCACCTCGAGAGCGCTGACGTCACCATTTTTTGGTGGCGTCGACAAAAAGGGCGTAAGTGCTATCCCATGCTTAGGCGAAAGGCTGAAGTGGGAGAAGGCGGCGAGTGGCTGAAATAAACCGCGAAGACCCTCACAAAACTTAATCTTAATCTTAATATACGTTAAAGCCAACTTGAGCTGGATTGGCTATTTTATATGAAGCTATTGGCTCTTCTAAATTAACAGCAGATTCCATAATTTCTACTTCAGCCTGCCTCTCATCAATTTTTGGCTTTTCCTCACTTTCTTTAATTTCTTCAACTTCTAGTTTTGAATAAGATTTTTCCTCTTCAACCAATCTATTCTCACTTATTATTGGCTCTGGAAAGCTTTGGATTAAGTCACGATCAAGTATATCTTTAGCAGCTGGCTGGAGATTTTCTTGACTCACACTTTGATCTTCATTTTTTCTTTCTTCTTCAATTTCTTTTTGATCACTTATAGACTGTATAGGACTTTCTTCTTGTCTTGGAATTATATTTTCTTTAATATCTTCTAATTTGTCTTGGCTTAAGTCTATTGATTGAGTAGCTTCTTTGATATTTTCTATATTTTCTTGACTTTCAACTATTTTATCCTGCTTTGCAGAAACTATTTCTTCTTGGGATAACTCTCTAGAGCTATCTTGTGTATTTGAGTTTACACTAATAGTTGGCTGAGCTTCCTGTTGGAAATTTAAAGATACAACTTGGATAGGGTCTTTGCTTTCTTCAGATAAATTTGGCTTTTCTTCTTGCTTAATGCTTTCATCGACAATATTTGATTCAATTGCAGGAGCTGGTGGTTTTATGTCTGGCTGAACTGGATTGGGAAGCTGCTCTTGAGGTATTTTCACTTCTTGGCTTTTCACTTCAGATATATTAAAATGGTAAACCAACCAGCCGGCGTGAGTAGGGGACCACGTGGAATGGAGGATGGCGTTTGTTGATGTACATCCAGCCAGGCTTTACTTGGTTTGGTGGAGCGCAATGTCTGATTAGGTAGAACGCAGCTGATATCCTGGTTAAGTTTTTACCTCGTCGGAAGATGGAGCTTAAAGTTTGAAAAGGAAGTCCCGACAGCACCAGTGAGATTGCTCCATGCTAATCGAAGTGCTGCGTCCTGGGCTACAAATTTCCATTTTGGCCAACAAGTGACCAGAAAGTTCGATTTTTGAATTTTCTGGACGTATTTAATGATGACACGGGTCTCTAACTCATTAGTAAAGAGTGCAAGACCTCTTCCTCGAGGAGCAATAAAAGATGCCAAATAGGATTGGTAAGCAAGCATAAGGCGCATGCAACCTATCGAGAGTTTTTCTTGCAATCTTAAATAATGTTAATGGCTTTTCACTTCTTCTTTATTTAATTGTGGAGATTCTTCTTGTGTTTTTGAGCCTTGGGAACTTTCATTCTGCGAAGAACTCGATGATTTATTGGTGGCAGGAGGATTTGGGTTTGGGCTTGGCTTTTCTCTTTGCCGTCTTGCAAGAACACTCTGCTCTCTCATAAAATTCTCTGCCATAATTGGCTTTCCTTGTTTTCTGGAACTGCAAAGCCTCATAGCAGCCATGAAATTAGGAAATTTCAGGAAAGGCTGGCCCTCACTCACAAGTTCTCAAATTTTGGCAAGATCTGAGTCCCCTATTTTAAGCATTCGAAAAAAAGTCGCCGCTCCATGTCCCATCAGTTCTCTTTCATTAATTCCCTCAATTAATAGCAAACAAAATAGTATATATTTTTTAAAATTAATTTTGGTAATCTTTTATACGAACAAAATTTTGTTTTAATATGGAGATTTAATTTTTTAATAATTGTTTATTGACTTTAATAATGGTTAAAATGGCTTAGAGTATCTTTAAGGAGCTTTAAATAGCATACTGAACTTAAAACGTTTAATTTTTTTGGGATATTTATATAGAGAAATTTAAAAAAAACAAATTTGCAAAAATATTATAATCAATAATAGGCAAAACCGAATTCATTATTAATTTGGGAAGTAAGAGGTTTTTTCTGTTCTGCAGTGAGTCGGTCGAATTCTACCGAATAATATTTTTGCTCTTTTTCAGTAAAGCTGATTCTAGCTATAGCAGATTCCATTTCTAAATTTTAATTATCACGATATAAAATTTATTCAAATTATATAGTTTTTTCCTGAAGATATCCGATGTGCCTTGTTTTTTATGCCAGGCATTTTGCTTGACCGGGCAATAATGTGTCATAAATTGAAAACACTAATGACTTACTTGCGTCTTTATTGGGATTTCTTATGCATTAGAATTATTCCTTTGCAGCAGTAATGCTTTGGCTAAAATGCATTTTAAGATTATTTACAAATCTTAAATTTCTTTATTTTAATAATTTCTCTTTCAAATTATCTGCTTTGCCACTGAAAGATAATTGAGGGATATCTAATTTCTTTGAAAAATAAATGGGTATTTATATCATATAAACTTATGGAATAGAAATCGACATTTTCTTATAATTAATTTTATCATGATGAACAACTTTCACGAAGGGTACTTTTGTTCCAAGTCTGAACCTACCTGGAAGCAAGTATTCCTAATGAAATAAATTCCAATCGCCCTGAATCTCTATTTATATATTCTATATGTATAACACATTCCATGACCTTTCTAAAAAATGCAATTTTCTAATGTTCATAAGACTCTTCATGTCCTCAAAATGTAATATATCTATCCTTTAAATAAGATTAAATTCATTATTCAGCCAAAATTAAGTTCTAGACTAATCCCGATTCTTGAGTTTGATAAAACCGCTTAGCTGGTCTTCTCCACAAGCGAGGATTCAAAGAAAACTAGATTTGTCATTAAAAATGGAAAGTGAAGGAAAAGTGACTTTTGAGGACTGGACCTACTTGCAGAAGTGCTTAAAATATGAAAAACTGAGACTTTCCCATGGTAATTGTAACCCAGACGAATTAGAAAAAAAAGAGTTGCTGTCAAAGCTTGAAGATCTCCATCGAGCATATTACGAGCATCAGTTAAAGGTCAGAGACTTTCAAGAGATTGTAACATTAAAATAGAGTGACTATAAAAAGCGGCTGATCCCAGACGCCCACGCATTCTTGGGGGACTCATTTCGATATGTAGAAGCCTTTATCTTGCAAATCAGGACGAAACCGGATATATTTGCATTCGTAGCTTCTTCATGCCGACAAAGAAGGGACAAAATTGATGGACTCGTTGAGAGCTTTGGCTTCTCTTTTTTTCTTGACTTGGTTCATCCGGAAAACACAGAGTTGGAGCTGCTGAATGCTATCCATCGCATTCTTAAAGAAGAACTCGTCTATTTAAGGGACTCAGGGCACGTTTCGAATCTACTAAACGAAAATCTGGTGCTGAGGAAGATGCTGATCCTTTATATGAAAAGGAAAAATCAGAGAAAGTACATGAAGCTGGTCTTTAAAAAATCACTTACTTCTCAAGCCATGTGCTGTCGTAGCCCAAGTATGGGCTTTCTATTTCTGGAAATTTTGGTTAACTCGCATTAATTGTTTTAGATATAATACTTTATGTGCTAGCAATAAGAGATAGAAAATAAATATATTGTAAATGAGCTAGAAATAGTATTTGAATTGAATAAAACAAAACACACTGCAATATTTCTTATATTCATTAGTATTACAGATAGGTAGCTAGATTTGAGGAAAGAGAGTGGATTTCGCTAATCAGATGAAATTTTGTTTGATCAAGGTTGCTTTTATAGGGATTTATTTAATCAAGGATGGGAGCTAGGGAAATCATCCACGATCAGGAACGCATAAAAGAACTGATTCTTGACCCAAAGCAGATTTATAGAGCTGAGAATGAAAAGATTAGGGTCTATCAAAAAGAAGAGCCTGTTCCTGTGAAGAAAAAAACAGGACTATTCAGAAGAAAGGTAAAGGAGGAGAAGAAAGAAGAAGTGTCTCCAGTTATGGAAGTAAGTGAAGCTGAAGCAATGGCAAGTCCACAGGTCCTAGAGCTGATTGAAGGGCGAAGCCAAGTGATAATTGACCATTGCATAAATAAAATGGCATTCGGTTCGAGTAAAATTTCGCTAATTTTCTCTCCCTCAAACAATTTTATTTATGGGGTTAGGCTTTCTTCTGAGAATTTCTGTACAGCAATAGCGTTTTAACTCTGGAAAATAAGCCGGGGCACTGCTCCAAGTACATCAAGAGGCTGGAAGTTTTTTCTCTCAGAACAAAGTGACCCTAAGGCGGAGCACGCGCAGGAGCTGACTCAAGGAAGGCAAGGCAACGCAGCCCGTCGAAGCCAGAACGCTGTATTTTCCTATGCCATGGTGCAACAAAGTGGGTCAATTCAGAGGCCCATGTGCCCGAAACGTGAACAAATATGGTGGCAACTCTGGAAATGCTACCCCCGTAGTGGGTGTAAAACGTAATAGATAATATAAGATAAGATAATTGACCATTGCAAATCACTACTGCAGAGCTTATACAAAAATGTCAGAACAATGCCTTATGGCTTAAGAGGAATCTGCAAACAAACAATAGCGCTTATTGATGAATTAGTATGTGGGGTCAGCGACGCAGAAAAATACTCTCTCCTTGGCAACATGCTTTTCACTTTCTGGTGGATCCCTGCAATTATTGATCCTATTAAAAACGGTCTGCTTCAAAATGTGATGATCCATAAAGTCACCTTGGGCTATTTAAAAACAATTGGCACCATATTCAAAAATATTTTCAAAGAAAGCGAGTTTGACGAGCCTCAGTATTTCGTGATCAATTCTTTTATCAAAGAAGAGTCTGTACATATGAAAGAATTCTTTAGGGATATCATTTATTTAGAAGAAGGCGCAAATCTATGGAGAAAAAGCTCAATTCCTCTATATCCACTGCCATGCACCAATGTATCTGAGGACCAGAAAAACAGAGGAACCATGTGCAATTACTATTTGACTGCTTTGACTAGGCCTAAGATAAGTCCATTTAATTTCCACTCAAAGACGAGAAAACAAGCTGAAAATATGAGTGAAATCAAAGAGTTTAAAGTGATTACCTCAGTTTTATCAATTGAAGATATTAAGTTCCTTGCTAGAATTGTCAAAGAACAAGAGACAGCTGTTACAGAAAAAGGGTGGAATGATTTATTAAGATATGCAAAAGTCATCAGCAAAGCTGATGAGACCGATTCTCTGATTCAATCCAGCTATACAGCTGAAATTAATTTACAGCAAAATGAAATCCCATATCTGTTTTTTATGAAAAAAAATTTTGGGGATATTGAAAACTCATATATTGCAAATCTTCATAAATCACAGTCAAATTTCCCGAAAACAGCAGACTTTGAAGGAGAAAAACTTTTAGCCAAGGTAAAAGATGCGACAAGAAACTTGCTAGGCTGCCTTGATATGTCTATTTTCTTTGATTTAAGCAAAGAATGGTCACTCAAAGACATTGCGGAGTTCGTCATCCAATTTTCTTATCTTTTTGAAAACAAAAAAGCAGCTGCCCAAGAAGGTGTCCCATTGAAATTACTAGCTCAGTTTTTAGCAACTTACTTGAAAAGTGTTCCAGAAGACTATATTGCTTACAATTTTAGGAAACTCTATACAACTCTGCAAAAAGAATGCGAAGACAGATTTGAGACCTTGAGGAGGGCAGCTAACAAAAATAAAAAGCTGCTGCTTTTAGCTGTCAATTTTATGGAAAAACACGTCAGCGACATAAAGCTAGAAGTCAAAGTCCAAGAGTCTTTACAAAGAAAAGCATACTTTATACAGTTTATCAAGGATGGAAGAGTCCCAGCTTGTCTGCTCACAGTTAAAGAAGGGCCTTACAACACAGTTCAAGTCTACAGCCAGAACATATGTCCTCACTCCAAGCTGCAATCTGTCGGAGATTTTGTGCTTGGAGGCCGAGGCTCAAAGTCCATAAAAACCGAAAGTACTCACATTTTCTCTATAGAAGAATTTTACCAACGATTTATGAAGCTTGACCAAGTCGTCCAATCCACCGAAAATGTTGAAGACTATTATAACGTTGGAGGTGCTTTCTTTGACTATGTAGCTTTGGTTCGAAACGTGCTCAAAGATGCAGGCTTGGGTGAAGAAGATATTGAAACAACTACAGAAGAAATCGAGAAGCACATTACTTCTTCTATGTACCACCACATTTTCCCAAGCAAAGCATCAATAGAAGATACAAATTTGCATAATAAAACACTTGAGCTGGACTGAGTTAAGCCAGAACATATGGATATTGACCCTTCGAACCGAAATGAAGATATGTGGAAATTTGCAATTGAGTCATTAGAAGCAATTGATGACTATAGGGCACCTTCGGAAAAGCTGAACTGTCTGGCTGATTGTATGTCTATCATTGTCAATGTTCTCAGCCTTGTGTCGTCAGGCAGCGGAGGAGTTGGCACAGATGACTCTTTGCCGATTATAATTTATGTTGTACTAAAAGCGAAGCCAAAAAGACTTTATTCAAATCTGAACTATATTTCGAAATTCAGACACCACACAAAGATGATTGGACTTAAAGGCTTCGTGTTCCAGCAGTTCCAAAGCGCTGCGAGCTATATTGAAAATATTGATCATACAAGTCTAAATATGGATTTAGACGTTTATCAAAGGAACGTAGAAGAAAGTAGGAGTAAAGTTCGAGCTGGTAGAGATAGGGACTAATTAATCTAAAATTATCAAAGGCTCTGTTTTTTATCATGCCTTTTTGTTGTGATTTTTCTTCGGCGCCATTTGGTCGAAGCTTTTGCTTTTCAGCCATGATAGACAAAACCATTATTTTTCGAAAAAATATTGTCTAAAAAACAAATTTCCACTAAATGTAGCTCTAAAAGAAATGTCCCTATGAAAAGACATATAGCCCTCTGTTTTATTATTGCAATCATACATAAATGGGAGAAGCATCAAAGGATCAGCCAAGATTGATAGACGCCAAAGAGTTGTCAAAACACACAGATGAAGATGACTGTTGGATGGCTATTAATGGCAAAGTTTACGATGTGTCGAAGTTTTCAGACCATCCTGGAGGTAAAGACATTTTGGTTGACTCTTCTGGAAGGGATGCAACAAAGGATTTCAATGACATTTCCCACAGTTCAACAGCAGCAGAAATGATGAAAGATTATTATATTGGCGAGTTCTCTAAAGGAGACAACGTAGATTTGAAGAAAAAAGAAGGAGGCTTTAACGTGGTCATGTTGATCCCAATTATTATCATCATACTTGCAATCGTTGCATCAAGGTTTTTATAATTTCCCTTAACTATTGATTGCTTTTTCTTCTCAGATTTTTTTATTCAACTTATATAGCAATATTAATATGAATTTATGAATGGCAAAGCCAAAAAATTTTTAAGATTTAACTGACGTGATTAAATTTAAATGAGGATTTGGGATTCCTTTGATTATTTGTCGAAGCACCTGGTCCCGATAGTTCCTCAAAGCTATTCTTACATCGGGGACTTCTTTTATTACAATTTCTTTCAAAAGGGGTATAATTTCTAGAAGGCAAGTATCATTGATATCTTCAAATCAGCTTTTCATAGTTAGCCCGTTTTCAGGCTGCAGCCTAAAATTGTCTGTAACGTTATCAATTATGATAGCTTTGCTCAGGTCTCTTCCCAGTCTGGATAAATCTTTCATAAAGATCGGCCCAAGAGATATTGTGTGATGTCTATAAAGTCTGTATGATATAGCGTTCTCTGTATCAATACTATCTATTGCTCAGTCTGCGTAGTCTTGCAAAGCAGCTGTAAAAATAGTGATTTCATAGTATTTCTTCAGCTCATTCAAAAATGTGGCACATCCTGGCCTCACAAGCAACTTGCTGTCAGCCCCAGCTTCAAAATAATGCACCAAAGTTTCGTCTAAATCAACCACTAAAGAGTAAGATCTGTTTTGGATCGCTGGAAGATAAGGTGCTGGAGGCAGCATAGGTGGGGCAAGGTCAGAGATCGGCATAATGATTGGCATACTTGCCATCGCGTTTTCTAGCAGTCACCTTGCCCTTACATATGTGATGCTATCCAAGTTATACATGATTGAAAACAAGGTGCTCTGTATTGGCCCTCTTACCACGGAGCCTATTGCTTCCAAAATTTTGCACATGATGCTGTTGTGCTGCTTCATGAACCCACTCTGGCCACCTTTGCTGGCGATTTCGACCTGCTTCTCTTTTATGACTCTATTTACAGACTGAACCCAAGTATTGTTCAGAGAATCTCCATTGCATCGAAATAGCATAAGTTTCATGCAACTGAGATAGTTCTGATGGACATAGAAGAATAAATTCCGAAACTGCTGGATTAAGTCTGGAGGCATATCACCTCCGAAGCAGAATCCTGCAAAGCAGACTACTGAGAGCTCAATGATACAGGCTTGTCTGATTACTTTTCGTGTCCTTTCTTCACTAAAGAGTCTTTCGAGGATCGGCAAAGGACTTTCTTCACTAAATGCCCAGTAATCTTCACATAAGGATTTTTCAGCAATTCCATGTCTGAGCTTTTCTAGGAGTCCTCATAGCTTTTCTTCAATAAGTAAAGCGTGCTGGAGATTGACCATTGTTCTTTCGTCTGGATATTGTGAGTTATTAAGTGAAAGATTATTGGAAGTAGGAGGCAGGCTTGGATTTTTGGTTCTTGGCTGCTCTGGGTTCGTTCTTTCTGTGTTGTCTGATAAAGTTCTTTCTCGGTTTGCAAGGTTTGGAGGAATTTTTATTCGTGAGCGTCTCGGGCGTGGCGGTCTAGGGATGCTAGAGGTAGCTTGCATTTGAATTTAATTGAGAATTATGAAGTTGCAATATGTCTTATTAATTTAATATATGCTAGCAGGGTTCAGCTATTTTTATGCTAAAATCGCTCATCGCAGGATCCTATGATTGATGCAAAAGTTCTTACTCTCTAAAGATCTGGAAAAATAGTAAAAAATCCTAATTTCGAGAAATTTGCAACCTCTATGAGCAAGTGCATTTTTTTATATAGTTAAAGATTATTTTAAATCAAAGTTTAAGTTCTATATAATTATTTAGACAATTCAAGAAAAATAATTTTTTATAAGGGAAAGCTAGCACTCTTGTATGTAAAAAATTCAAGAAACGGTTAGCATAGCGCTTAGGGTCGACTACAGAGCACAGATATACGTTTTGTCCGATCTTGACAGCCTTATAGTAATGCTCCATCTTCCTTGCATAATCATATTTCCCAAGATAATCAATGATTGAAAGTTTATACCATTCTTGGTTATAAGCATCAGGAATGAGATCAGTAAAATTTCTCGGTTTATCTATGATAAAAACTAATAATGAATAGTCCATGATGCCATGTCTAAGCAGAAATTGGACATCTGCATGTATTCCTTCCATCAAGCTGTCTCTTACCATTGGGTGGAGAACGAGCTCATTTTGGTCCGCAATAAAGTCCCCATCTTTAAAGGGTCCTATAAAATTTTCTTCTGGAGAATTAGTCTGCCGATTAATTGAGGAACCCTTCAAATCATAATACTTAAGGATACCAGGGACCATCAAATTCTGTCCAAGCATCAGCTCTATTGGGCTTAGCCCAGGTACTCTTATAGTAAACAGTCCATAAGTCCTACACAATATAGATTTCTCTTCTTTCTTAATATGATGGTGATATCCTTTAAGCAAATCTCTTATAAAAAACTGTCTCTCTTTTTTCGCAATAGTTTTCATGAAGAATTTTTGATCGTCTGTAAACATAAAAAGACTGCCTGACCCTCCTTTTTTCTCATGGATCTTAATGAGCGCTGATAAATTATTGTCAGGGTTCAAAGACTCAAGAATTAAATATTTTTCAATTTTATCAAATGATCTCAGATGAGCAAAAACAGACGGAGCGTACTCAGTGACGACAAAATAAGGAGCCTGAAGCTTGAAAATGTTTAAGCCTTGGCTGTTGTAAGGGTTTAATTTCACTTCGTGGTTAATTCTAGCAGCATAATCACGCTCAGTAAAAGTGGCTTGTGATGCAATAAAAGAAGAACTTCGCGAGTTTTTCATCGCTTCGTATAGACCTGAGAGAATGCAAAAAGTCGTTTGGGCTTTTAAATCGCTGTAAATTATATTAGAAATTGGGGTGTTCCACATATCAGGAGGCTCTTTCATGGTGTCTTTTACCTTTCTTCTCCTTAAAAAATAGATTGACTTTTTCAAAAATGCTGATTCTGAGTTCCTTATTACTGCAAGAATAAATCCTGCAGATACAATAAGAAAAATGCACAGATAGCTCCCATAGGAATTCAGCATATCATTGGACCAGTACGCGATTGCAGCGACCCCTCATAACAGCCAGAAAATTGTAATATACAAGATATGCCTTCTGAAGTAAATTTTCGCTGCATTGTGCTGAGGAATCATTTCATTCGAAAGCTTGATAAGCGCGTAAAAGAATGAGACGATTCCAACGACCAAATATATAAAAAAGAGCACTGTAAGGACACCAAAGTTCATTAATTCATCAATAAAGCTGTCATTGGAACTTTGACACTCCCTTGACGACAAGTTTTTTGCGATATTGTAAATAACTTCTCCACTGGTCACAATTATAGAGCAGAGATGATAATATTTCATCCTAGATCTCCCTTCTATAAGTGGATTTCTGATAGTTATAATCAAGTCTACGCATACACAGATATTATAGCACATCATTCCAGATAAGAATCCACAAAGCATCATCTGATTTATAGCACATGATATATCATCAGATTCTTTTGATGTCATTTGGTGGAAGCTTAAAACGTAAAATAATTCTTTTAGATAATTCCCAGCAGACGCAATTCGGGGACTAAGGAAAAGAGATATCGTGTGCTGCGAGATCCCTATGTCAAAAACTGAGATCCAAAAGAAGAGTCCGGAAGGGTGTCTTTGGAGTTCTTTAAATTTGAGATAAATAAAAGTAATTCAGACGCTCATCACTAACTCCCCTTTTAAGAGTGAATAAAGCTATTAATATCTATTCTTAAGAATATTATCACTTCTTTAACCCCCACCTCTGTGAGTGAACAAAAAAATTTTGTTCGCTTACGGAGGGGGTGAATTTTGTTTGTAAAAAAAATTTATATAAATTTTATAGAAAATATTTTTTTTTCGGAATTTATAAAAGCAAAAATAGGAAAGCAAATATTAATTTAATTTATAAAATTTATTTTTTAAAACGCAATTTGTTTAAAATTAAACAGAATTAGCTCTAGATTTCATTATAATAATTATCACTTTATTATAAAAAATTTTTTTGTTCACTCACGGAGGTGGGTTTTTGAGCAAAAAATAGGGATTTTTCTAATGGTTTTGTTCACTCATAGAGGGGAGAGTAAGAACCTAGTCAAAAATTTTTAATTTCTATATTTCTATTAAATTTTAAATACTTAATTTCTTAATCATAAATTTATAAATTAAATTAACCTTTTCTATCTAAATGTTTGCAGATTGAGATAGTTTAAAATCTTAAAAATATCTATAATATTTTGACTTAATTTCTGATCGGCTCCCATGAGCCAAAAATGGGTTTTCACGTGGAATTTCTGGATTTTCACGCATGAAATCCATCTTTGGCTCGTGGGAGCCGATCAGAAATTTTAGTAACTAATTATATCTATAATTTAAATATTTTTTTAAAAAAAAAATACTAGTAAAAATCTTTCAGTGGGAGTAAAGATAAAAAACTCATTAAAATCACTATAGTTTTTTCCTCATCATTTCAAATAGCCATTTATTAAGGCGAACTTTTAAATGTAGTGTCAGATTGCATCAATGTGATGTAGAGAAAATAAAATCAAGCATAGATTTTAATTATAAGACAATGCTAGAGAATGAAACGTATAAGATCATTAAATAATAAGATAATTACCTATGTAATGGAGAATCGCATAAAGTACTTTGAATACTTTGAATTGCTTAATATTAGCTATTTATACAAACTTTTATATGCTTTGGCTAACTAATTTTATATATTTAAATCAGTTGAGTTGTGAAATGATATAAAAATGATTTTCTAAATTGTGCTTCGCTCAATTTCTTATTTATACTTTGAAATGCACAAATTCTAAAATACTTTATAATATAAGACCTGCTATTAGTAAAATAATTTATTTATTGCTTTTAAAATCTTAAAAATAAGCTCCTTAACAATAGAGTAAATTCTGCTTCATTTCTAAAAATGAAAAGTGTTCTTAAAAGCAAATATATAAACACCGAAGTCAATTTAGGTGGGGACAATGTTCTGAGCCCTACAACAGTGACTGTTCGTCAATTTGTCCAAAAGACTCCTTTGGCTGATCAAGCTAGATACCTAAAGCGCCATCAAATAGGCGATTATAATAAGCTCATGTGAGCTAAATCATTACCTGTGCTTAAGATGTCCAGAAATCTCACATCAAGCCAAATAAAGATTCCTTTAACTACTCATAATTAATATGGCAGTGGTGGCAAAATATGCGCTTAACGACAACGCGCCACTGTGGGCGCCAAAATTGCTATATAACCTAAACCAAGGTGCTAGCCCTTTGATTCTAACCCTAAGTATGTAGCTACCGTGGTTGGCTTTGGGAGTCAGCAGTAGGACCCATATCAATGTAGCAGAAAACAAAACAGTGCCTCTATCACTTTTTAAGTAGGCCTTTGGGTCTGGTGATTCCTGCCAAAGAGTGAAGTTTTGTTTCTCCGCCGAAGGTTTTCCTGTCCCTGACAGATAGGCTAGACAGACCTTGCCTCTGGCATTGCATTTGTCTATCAAAACTAAAGGGGTATCCTCTAACCTAGCTAATCTTTAACTTAGGCGGGTTTAAGCCAGATGGGCAAGGCAGTGGTCTATCCATTTATTGCCTTATATTATTTAACTTAATTTTAACTACTCGAACCTCCTCTTTCAAGCCTCAATATAAGCCTAAAAAGACTTTAAGCACTCCCAGAGTTGAGATTATTCAAAAAATTTCCAAAAAGACTCACAATATTATAAGGTATGCAAATAAGCCAAAAAAAGAAAAATTAGTATTGCCAGAAAAAACAAAAGAAGTCGGAAACTCAAGCCTACACGTGATTCAATTTACGCTTGAAACTCCAAGCATTCTGCCTGAGCCAATCCTATATCATCAAGAGCCTCCTATTACGCTCCCTCATCTGACAGAGCAGAACCCAACATCTCATTGCTCAACTCCTTCTCCAATCCCTCCACCAGTTCTGCCTCCTAAGCCATTTAAAAAAGAATTTGTAGTGAAGCCAATATCAAATTTTGAGTTTGTTCAAGAAATAATTTAATTCTTTGAAATTTCTTTTCAATTTGAATAACTGTTCTATTAAAATAGAATTGGAATAAGGTAATCTTTATTTAAGTGAAATAGTCTTAAAACATAATTCTTATGAATTATCCTCCCTATACTTTGTATAGCCTTATAATAATTTTATATCATGAAAAAAGTTTTTTGCTGCTGTTGGAAAAAGCAAGCTTCCAAAAAATCAACTGACAGTGGGACTTCAAGAACTTCTGGCTCAACTAATGGACCCCATGATATCAATCATACTAAAAACAAAGAAGACAAAGCCCATGCAATTTCAGAAACTCCGATTCTTATAGAAAACTCAGAGTCCAAAATTCATACTAAGTCGCCTAGAAAAGACAAACGAAGCCATACTCAAGGCTTATCACCTACCGATCACCCTTTATCTACGTATGTTTTCCCTAGAACAAGCACTTCTAATTATTAATATGTTAAACTCACAATTCAGATTTGCCTAGCGCCCTTATCGTTCCAGAAAATTTAATTTCTAGAAACTTAAAACCTTTATAATAAAAATTTTCAAATTTGCAATCATTAATGATTAAATCAATATCTAACTTTCCCTCTGTTATCAAGCAAAATCATTAGGTTTATTCAATTTGCTGGCAATTTAGCACTTCCATCAGAGTACGATATTTTCAAGACAACCCTTTCACTGTATAAAATAAATAATTATTATAATACTAAAATTTTTGATATAAAATTGCTATATAAAAATTGTAGCAAGTAAAATATTTTTAATCACTCACGAAAATAAAAGAAAGCAGTTTTACAATATTAAGAAATTAATTAATAGCTATTATGTAAATTTTTAATTTGGCTATTAGATGGATTTGCAGACCTGGATCAGCGATAAGCTTTATGATATTCTTGGGATGTCAGAAAAACACACAGTATTTTATATTGAAGAAATATCAAAAAAAGCTAAGTCTCCAGAAGAAATTTTAGAAAAATTGACTGACTATGAATTTCCTAATGACCAAAAAACCTTATGTTTCGCTGAAGATCTATTTGCAAAGCTATCTCCAAAAGAAACAATTATTTCGTCTTATCAGGCAAGCCACCAAGAAGCAATAGAGAAAAGGCAGAGAAATGAAGCATATGAATTAGTGGAAAACGAAATTGACCCTGAAACAGACAAAAGAGAAAGAGACGAGCTTCACGACCGAATCAAAAAGCGCGTCAGGTCGAAAAAAGACAAGAAGCAGAAACACTTAGAAATGACAGAAGAAGAAAGAAGGGAAACAGTCCAACAAATGAAAAGGCTTTCAAGATGGAAATATCTTGAACAGAGAGAGCCAAGGCAAATTGATCTGTTTAAGCGGCAACTAGAAGATGAAGAAAGAATCTTCAAAGATCAGGAGCTTACCGAAAGAGAAATCAAAGAGCATGAGCTCAACAAGAAAATCTTCGAAATCGCACTAGAAAAAGCCAAAAAGCATGAAGAAGTAATGAGCTACCGTCTTCCTGATGCTTATGATGAAGATAAAGCAAATCCACAGCAAAGATTCAAAGTCCTTTATGACCGATATGTAGAAGCCAAGCCTGAAGCAACTGAACAAGAACTTTGGGAACAAAAACAAACAAACAGAGCCATTTTTCGATATGGAGCTAAAGACAGAGCCCAGCAGAAAAATTATGAACTCTTGCTTGAAAACCAGGTCAACTTTGTAAAGGAAAATCTGAAGAAAATTAAAAGTGAGTCAAGTGGCTCTGAGTCTGACAGGCAAATTGAAGAAGAGGGGCCTCCAATTCAGAAGGAAAGAAAAGGACTCCCAATATTTGAATACAGGGATGAGCTGCTTGCTGCTATTAGAGATCATAATGTTTTGATAGTTGTAGGAGAAACTGGATCAGGTAAAACAACACAAATTCCTCAGTATTTGCATGAAGTAGGGTATACTAAGTATGGGAAAATTGCTTGCACACAGCCAAGAAGAGTTGCAGCTATGAGTGTGGCGGCAAGAGTTTCTTATGAATTGGGCGTGAAACTTGGCCATGAAGTAGGCTATAGCATCAGATTTGAAGATAAAACTTCAGAGAAGACAATTATTAAGTACTTAACTGATGGAATGCTACTAACCTCATTGGTGAGAAAAAAAATCTCTAAATTTAAAAAAATCTATATGCAAGGAATAAAAGCCAATTAAATTTATATTTATTACGATAAATATCACTCATATCATATAAAATGAAAAAAAATTCGCTTACTAACTCCCCCCCCCCCCTCCGTGAGCGAACAAAAAAATTTTGTTCGCTCACGGAGGGGGGTTAATTTTTTTTTTTTAAAAAAAATTTATATATAAATTTTATAAAAAATATTTTTTTTCGAAATTTAAAAAAAATCCTAATTTGCAAAAATTGGGAAGCAAATATTAATTTAATTTGCAAAATTTATGTTTTAAAACGCAATTTGTTTAAAATTAAACAGAATTAGCTCTAGATTTCATTATACTAATTATCACTTATATATCAAAATTTTTTTCCATTAAAATTTTTTCTATTAAAAAAATTTTTGTTCACTCACGGAGGGTGGGTTTTGGTCAAAAAAATGGCGATTTTTCTAATGGTTTTGTTCGCTCACGGAGGGGGGGGGGGGGGAGTAAGTGCATTCCCCAAAAATAGCCAATGGTTTTGCTCTTACAGTGAAGGAGGATTAAGAGAATTTATGGTTGACCCAGAGCTGAATTCTTATTCTGTTGTTATGATTGATGAAGCCCATGAGAGAACTCTTCATACTGATATTTTGTTTGGGCTAATTAAAGACTTGGCAAGGGCGAGAAGCAATTTGAAGGTACTGATTTCTTCTGCAACAATGGATGTGGAGAAAATGAGTAGCTATTTCGATGACGCACCAGTATTTGTTATACCAGGACGAAGATTTGAAGTCGAAAACTACTATACAAAAGCTCCTGAGGCTGATTATTTAGAAGCAGCTGTCATCACTACTCTCCAAATCCACGTAAGCCAGCCCCCAGGTGATGTCCTGGTTTTTCTTACCGGACAAGACGAAATAGAGCAAGCCCAAGAAATGCTACTTACACGAACTCGAGGGCTGGGCACCAAAATTGGTGAAATGATCATTCTTCCAATCTACGCTACACTTCCTAGCGATATGCAGGCACGAATTTTTGAGCCAACCCCAGAAGGTGCCAGAAAAGTAGTGTTAGCTACAAATATTGCAGAGACTTCTCTGACTATCGACGGGATTATCTATGTAATTGACTGCGGCTTATGTAAGCAGTCTTCTTATAACCCAAGAACAGGTATGGAAAGTCTTATTGTCACTCCTATATCTAAAGCTTCTGCACGACAACGAGCTGGTAGAGCAGGTAGAGTTGCACCTGGGAAGTGCTTTAGGCTGTATACTTTATGATCATATGAGCATGAACTTGAAGAAAACCCTATCCCTGAAATCCAAAGGACTAATTTAGGAAACGTGGTGTTAATACTCAAGTCTTTAGGGATTGAAAACTTAGTCAAATTTGATTTTATGGATCCTCCAGCTAGTGAAACACTTATAAGAGCACTAGAAGAACTTTATGCCCTAGCTGCTCTTAATGATGAAGGAGAGCTCACGAAGCTTGGCAGGAGAATGGCAGAGTTTCCTATTGACCCAATGATGTCGAAGTGTATTATGCAAGCACACAAATATGGCTGTGTAAATGAAGTGATTACTATTTGTTCAATGCTGAGTGTTGGGAATTCTATATTTTATAGGCCAAAAGATAGAGCGCTCCATGCTGATAACATAAGAATGGGGTTTGCCAGGCCAGGCGGAGATCATTTGACATTACTTAATGTGTATAACCAGTGAGAGGAGTCAGATGGATCTTCTAACTGATGTAAAGAAATGTTTATCCAGTATAGGTCAATCCAAAAAGCAAGCGATATAAGGGAGCAGCTATTGGAATTGTGCGAAAGAGTTGAGGTAGAAGTAAACGAAGATCCTTGTTCTGATTGCAATCTAATCATAAAGTCATTCTGCTCTGGCTATTTTTTTAATACAGCAAGATTGCATGCTACAGGACTATATAAAACTGTGAAAAATCAGCACAGTGTGCATGTTCATCCGAGCTCTGTATTATTTAAAGATTTGCCTAGGTGAGTAATTTATCATGAATTAGTGCTTACTACTAAAGAATTTATGAGGCAGATTATTGAGGTAAATCCACAGTGGCTGTTAGAGCTTGCCCCTCATTATTTTAAAGCTGAAGATTTAGAAGATGACTCGTTTAAGAAGCTTCCTAAGAATCGTCACAAATAATTATAAAAATATTATTAACGATGTGTTAAAAAATGTGTAATCATATATATAGCCATATTAAATAAAAAATGACTATATATTTCCGTTTAGCTTACATAAGTCTCATCAATATAATCTGCATTAATATAATATTAAGTTAAAATTCATATTATTTATATAACTTAATCTATCTTTCATAATTAATTCGCTCCAATAAATATTTTAATTTCACCAAGCAGTCTCTTTGAGTTTATGAATATTCCTGAATTGACAATTTATAATAAAATTTGCCAGAAACCGAAAATTTTGACATTTATAAATTTTCAAATAATACACAAAGCAGAATGGAAGGCATGTCAACACAGGACAACTCCCCGATGACCCTAACGCCGCCTCTGATTGAAAACCAAGTCCAGCGCGTTCACCGACCTCAATGTATGTGTGATGCAGAAGATATGAGTCTCCTTTCTCGAAGCTATTTCAAATTGATAAAACAAATTACTGTCAGTTCATGCTGCAAAGCCCAGTCATGACTGAAGCATTGCAACCCCCCTCGAAATGCTGAAGAAGTTTATTACAATCTTTTAGAAATTCCGTTAGATGTCACAGAGTATTTAGAAAGCGCAAAACAAATTGAACTAGACCTAAACAGAACTTTCCCAGATGAGCCTTATTTCATAAATGGAGAAGGCCAGTCTGCTTTGAGGAGGGTTTTACAAGCATTCAGTAAATATGACATACTTACTTACTTACTTACTTAGTTACATAGTTTTTAAGGTGTCTAGTGCCCACACCCCTTAATGAAAAAGGGTCAAAGCGACAACTAGTGACGTCACCAAGCCATCTTGGAATATGTGGTCAGCCCACACCCAAGCCTTCTATGAGGCTAGTCGCCAGATAAATCGCCGCACATCTCACCCGGCGCGTTGCCGTCGCTCGTCCAGACTCAGCTCCTGCGCGTGTTCCGCCTAAGGGTCATCCTCCCGTGGGGACGTGCTGAGAGGTAAAACTCCGAAATCTTGAGTGCACTGAGGAGTCGTGCCTTTGGTTATCCCCAAAGTTAAACGACTATTGCTGTGCAGAAGTTCTCGAGAGAAAACCCAACCCCATAAATAAAATTCCATGAGGGAGAGAAAATTGGCAGAGCCAATTTCTCTCGAACCGAATGCCATTTTATTTATGTAAATATGACATACAAATGGGCTATGTCCAGGGAATGAATTTTATTGCAGGAGCACTGCTGTGGCATGCATCTGAAGTTGACGCTTTTTGGCTTTTTGTAGGCCTAATGGAAAACTACGAAATCAGAGATACCTACCTTCCAAGTCTGCCTGGGCTTTCTAAGCATTGCCAAATAATACAAATCCTGATCGTTGAAAATCTCCCGAATTTGCACCGACAATTTGCTGAGCACAGAATAGGGAATGAAATGTTTTTAGCAGAGTGGTGCTTTACTTTGTTTGGCAGTGCAGTCCCAGTTGATGAAATGCTGAATATGCTTGATGCATTTTTCGAAAAAGGCTGAGTATTTTTCTATAAATTTGTGTTAGCAATTTTACAGTGTCTTGAAAAGAAACTGCTTGATGCAAGAGACCCTATTGAAGTGCTGACTCCGCTGAAAATCTGTCATAAATCTCAAAAGGAATGGAAAAAGTTTTTAGAGCTGCTTGATGGTGGAAGGGGGAAAATCTGTTGAAGGAGCTTGATAAGGAAAGCTAAGAATTTAAAAGTCAATGAGAAGTACATCAGGTATTTGCAAATGAATTTTAATTTGGAAACTGGACAATTTTGTCTGCCTAAAGCTCATAAGTAGGCAGCAATTATGTTTAATATTTAATCACACTTTTTTTGCAAATACTAATATATAGACAATAAACCTTTTTAGATGTTTTAGACAAAAAGGAGAGATTAAAAAGTTAAGATAACTCTAACTCTCTCCTTTAAATTGGAACAAAGCATCGATAAAATTTGCATTTTTGGGAACCCTATAAATTGGAACAAAATTTGTTTAGAAAATAGGAAATTTTATCAATGAAAATACTAATTTTATAAAATTAGTTTTTACCTAATTTAATAGTAAAATCAAATAGATGCTATTTAAACAGTTTTCACACTAAATCAATTAGTTTTTTAATTAATTATTCATAAAAATCAATTAAAATTCAATATTTGTGCTCATTTTATATTTTTTTAAAAAAATAATTTAAAGATGATTTTTATATATAATTAGTTTTGGCTTAATCTAATGGAAAAAGAATAAGTAGAATGCTATTTAAATAGTTTCACACTGAATCTATTTTTTTTTAATAATTTATTCATAAAAAATAAATTAAATTCAAAGTATTGTTCTCAAATTTATATTTTTTTTAAACTTTAATAAAAATTTTTACAGTTTAAAAAAAAATTTATCCCCTTGAATTTTTTGTTTAAATTTAAAAGGGGAGTAAGCTAATAAAGCTGCTATAATTTAATTTAAATATAAGGCTTGTTCAGAATAAGTATTTTAATAAGTCGCCTAAGTATACTAATAATTCTTACATAAAAATGGTCAAGGAGAGCAAGCAAAGCCAATTCAACCCCTATCAAAACAATGGCGGCACAGTTGCAGCAGTAGCCCTTGGAGGTCGCGTCGCAGTTGGTGGTGACACGAGGATTTCAGTAGGATACAACATCATAAGCCGAAATTACTGCAAAATCACACAGCTGACATCAAAAGCCGTGATAGCATCATCAGGAATGGTCACCGATGCCCAAAACCTCCATAAATTGCTTTTAGCAAGAATAACTCTCTATAAGCATCAGCACGGAACAGAACCGTCCCTCAAGGCCTTATCCAAACTTCTCTCCATAACTCTTTACTCGCGCCGATTCTTTCCTTTTTACACTTTCAATTTGCTTGCAGGACTTAACGAAGAAGGTCAAGGAGCAGTCTACGGGTACGATGCAATTGGAAGCTTTGACGAGCTGAAGTACGGTGTCCAAGGAACTGGTCAGGAGCTCTGTATGTCTGTTCTCGACAACCAATGTAAGGGTGCTAATAGAACAGATGACTATACTTTTACCCAAGACCCTGTGGAGCTTATAAGAGATGTCTTTACTTCTTGTGCAGAGCGCGATATTTATACAGGAGACGCAGTCACCGTTTGGGACATTACAGCTGAGGGGATTCAGCAGACATCAATACCACTCAGAAGAGATTAAGTAAAAATTAGCTTGATAATTGGACTGATTTTATAAATAAATAATTGATGAATTCAGTACTGGCGAACCGAGAACGCCTCGTGTTAGAGAAATATATATTAGCAGAAGATATTCGACTTGAGAAAAAAGCTATACAAGATTTATGTAATAAAAATAAGGTTGAGCCGAAAGTCAAGCTTATTGCAAACTCTCACAGACTTAATGATCTTGAACATCAGGTTCTTGAAGCCTGAAGACAAAGGGAAAACCGTTCTCTTAAAAAGTCAAAAAGAAAAGAAGTCGAAAAAGCGATGGATAACTACTTGCTGCACCTAAAACTGCGCAAAGAAATCAAAAAACAGGACGCAAAACTGTTAAAAAATGAAAAGCCAGAAGGCCCAAAGGTAGAGCCGCTGCCTTATTTAAAAAAATTCAGACAAAAGTTCAATAGCAGCATGCAAGAGCCGGCTATCGACGACATTGAAGACGACTACAAGGCCGAGCCTTCTGTGATGTTTGTGCACAATAAAAAAGGGCTTCAGCTTAAGGCGATTAACAGCTCACTAATTAGAGACAAAAGTAACGAAAGTGGCGTTACATGCCGACTCAGCCCAGAACTGAAATCAAAGAAGAGAAGCAGGAATCTTAGGTATCCAAACATCAGTTAATTTTTATGCAAAACTAATTAGATATCATTAACAATGGAACTCATTTTTGAAACATAACTGGTATTTTTTAATGGGAGATACACGTAAAAGAAAAATTAGCCTTTGTCTCCTCAGCCCAAACCCTTTAAAACAGTCAAGTTGTATAGACCCGAATCGGAAAGTTAACCCATTTAACGAAAATAGACTCCCGAAATTAAAGCTAAATTATCATGAACACAAAGAAGAAGATTTTCTATTAAAAGAGATCAACTCAATACTAAACAAACCAATTATTTCTTTGCCTCCTATCACAAAGAAATCAGGATCTTCTGATCCTTTTCAAAAAATCACCGAGAAATGTCCTAAACGTCTCAAAACAAATCCAATGGTTTCTGACGAAGAATTTCAAAGAATCGAGTCAGTATTGAGCACGTCAGCAAGTTCTGATAGCAGCAGTTTTTCTGCTTAATAAGTGATGTAAATACATAATTAATTAACGTGAATAGATAATCATTTTTAAATTTAGACTTAGTTTTAAATTTAGTACAAAGATTGCTGATTTGTCATGGCTTTGGTTGCGTTGATAGTTATTGGGTTTTCTATAACTCCGGTTTGCTCTAATGCATATAAATCGTTAAGAGGGTGCCTCATTTTGATTTTATATCTCAGTCCTCCTAATGTTTTCTTATCATCCTGTCAGCTAGTTAAAATGCAAGCGGATTCAATTACTCTTCTGTTACTTTCAGGTTTTGAAAAACCTAATAAATTCAATAGAGGTATTTGAGCCTTCGCAATAGGGATAAATTTGTCTCTGTTAACAATGTTGACGTCTATTACAACATATCCTTCATGTAAATACCTTAAGAACAATTGGTCCATACTTATCAGAAAACTCATGTGGATATCGTATTTTGGCTGAAGCCCTTCACATAGAGATGTTATTTGTGTTTCATGATCGTAGAAATCTACTGATAGACATGTGACTAGTTTATTTCAAAATGAAATACCATCTGTTTCTAATGCTTTATTATAAAATTCAGCATCGACAATGAGCAAATCAAAAATATTCTGTCCAACTCCTACTTCGCTGCCATCCTCTTTAAACCCAGCTCCAAACCCATAAGATTCCATAGCAAAATTCCTTTGAATTTCTTGGCTGCCACGAGAAGCTAAACTTCCTCTGTACTCAGCAAGCCTGCTAAGCTCATCTATTCTTTTTTGAGCAGACCTCAGCAAGCAGTTAAGCTTCTCATTTTCTGACTGAATTAATGAAACTTTTTCATTTTCAATCTGATCCCTCAATTCTAACAAATTTTGGCATTTTTTGAGTTCAGCTGCAATTTCTCCTTTTTCGACAGTCAACTTTTCATTTTCTTGCTTCAGCTTGGAGTTTTCTTCAAAAGGTTCTACGACTGGCCATTCTTTTCCATTAAGTCCTAGCTTTAGCATCCCAAGAGCTCTCATAAAAGCATCAGTATCGTTGTCCCTTGCAAGCCAAACAAGCTTGGACTCAAACTCTTCTACATATTTCGCTCTTTTTTCCAAATTGTAAGCCAATATAAGGTTTTCTTCTTTTAGCTTATTCCTTTCTGCTTGTACAAGTCTTAGCATTTCATTAAGCTTTATGTGCTCATTTTCCAATTCTGATATTCTGGTTTTGTACTGGATTATTAATTTATGCCTTTCTACGATTTCGTTTTCCAAAATATTATAAGTGGTATCTGATAATCCTTTTGCGTCTCTGATGATTGGGGTGTCGCAGAGTTCTTTTATTTTTAGTTCGAGCTGAATTTTTTCTTGTGTCAGCTCTTGGATTTTTAGCTCATAAGGTTCTTTAACTGAGTTTGCTTCAAGCTCTTTGACTTTTAGACTTAGATCAAAAGAGGTGAGTTTTTCTTTTCTTAAAAGCTCTTCAGATTCTTCAAGCATCTGCTTTACTACTTCTAGATAAGTTGACTGGGCTTCGTAGCTTTCAGTCAATGTCTCAACCTTTTCTTCGAAATCAGAGAGCTTATACATTTTTTCTGTTGGAATCTTTCCTAATACAGCTAATTTTTCATTTCTCAGCTGTGAAATTACTTCTTCTGAGCTTTGAAGCTGCTCTTTTAGCTTGAGAATTAAGGAATCTCTTTCTACAATAATTTCTTCAAGTCTCTTTTGTTTTTCAATAACTGCAGGCTGAAGGGTCATTGTTTTCTCTGATGAAAGCTTTACACTTTTTCCACTTGGCTGCTTTGCCCCTCTCAAAGATTTGCTTGATAATTCTTTAATTTTTGATTTTAAGTTGTTATTTTCTTGCATTAATTTTTGATTTTTGCTATTTAAATCATCAATAATTAGCTTCACTTCACTATTTTCCCCTCCTTCTAGCAGAGTTCGTTCATATTTAATATCAGCTGTCAATTTTGTCAGTTGTGTAACAAGCTGCTTAATTCTTTCTTTTAATTCATTTTCCATTTGCTTTAATTCAAGATTCCTATCATATAAATCATAGTAGGCCTCTGTTTTTTGTTTATCATTTAATGACGAAAAATTTCTGGTTTTCAATTGGGTTTTGGCTGTTTTTAAAAGCTGACTCCCCCCCCTCGAAGTTCGACCAAGATTTTTTTGGTCGAACTTCGAGGGGGGTTAAGAAAAATTTTTTTAAAAAAATTATATAGAATTTTTTTTATATAATTTAGTAGTTAAAAACAAAAAATACTTATCATATTCTTCTGTATGGTTGAGAGGTGTAAGGGTTAGAAAAAATAGTGCAAGATGGTTTTGTAACGCTTTTTTAAAACTTGAATACAAAAATCGCAAGTTCACCCCCCACATAGTTTATAATTTTTTGAAAAATTGCTTATTTTCCTAGTAAATTTATATAGGTCTTGGTCGAACTTTGAGGGGGGTTAATTTTCCAAAAAAATAGGAATTTTCCCTATATCTTGGTCGAACTTCGAGGGGGGGGAGTGAGGACTTTTGCCTGGTAAAGGGGATTGATTTTTTGAGGAACGAAAAAATTTGTCTTGGGATGATTGAACCATAGATATGTGAGGAGTGGGTTGGTTTGAAAAGCTTACATGCTGAGATGGCTGATTTGAGTCGATTGGAGATACTGTTGGAGATGGACTTGAAGGATGATTTTGATTTCTACTAGGGTCCTGCATGAGATGTGACATTAATTTTAAAATATGAATTGGCTTACTCTACTCTCCTCCATGAGAAAACCAAACTATTGAAAAAATCCTTATTTTGCGAGTAAAAAAAGCATCCATAAGCGAACACAAATTTTTTAATTTAAAAATTCTTATGGATAATTTCATATATAAGTGACAATTAGTATAATGAAATCTCTTGCTAATCCTGTTAAATTTTACACAGCTTGCATTTTAAAACATAAATTTTACTAACTCCCCCCCCATCCTTGATCGAACGACTCGCCATCGTTCGATCAAGGATGGGTTTAACAAAATTTTTTCGGGAAAAAAAAATTATATATAAAATAAAAAAAAATATATATATATTTTTTTTATTTACTTTTAAATAAGAGGGTTAAGAGTATTTTAATAAATTATTTTTACAGCAAAAAATTGAATTAATTTCATAAAATATAAATTTTTTAATATTTTGATTTGTTAGTTACCCTTTTAAACTGTATAAATTTTAATTGTTCCTTACTGAATTAATTTTTTTTTTTTAAATTTTAAAGAATCTCTATTTTTTAGATTATTGAGTTTTCAAGCCTAGGTTGATGGCTAAATCACTTCGCATAGCTGATTTCGCAGCTTTTTGTCGTCCCAAAGCTCTGAAAACAACTTCATTAGGTACATCTTTCCAAGTTTTTGATAACTAATATATATTTTTATATATATAAAAATTTGCATGATATGAAAATTGTTCGATCAAGGATGGGGGTTAATTTCCCCAATTTTTAGGAATTTTTATAGTCAATCGTTCGATCAAGGATGGGGGGGGAGTAAATTAAATTAATTTTCGTTTTCTAAATTTTGGGAATTGAGATTTTTTTATTGTTGGGAAAAAAATTATTTATATATCCTCCTCGATATATTTTTGTGTTGTCACAGAGGGGGAGTTAGGGTGTTAATAAAATTTTTGCATTAAAAATTATGGGATTTTATTTCCATTTCGCTATAGATTGAAATACTACTTTGTTTATTCCAAAAATTTAAGATGCTATTCTCCCAAAAAGTTACATTTAAGAGATAGAGCTTAAAAAATACCAATCCAGGGTGGCCTGGGCCAATTATAAGACTATCAAAGCTTTTAATAATCGGGTTCGACTCCCGACCTTGGACCTTTTTAGATAAATATATTTTTATTTAAGGATCATAGCAAAAGAAGTGTTTTTATTTCACATTAAACTGTATATATCCTTTCGATTTATGAGTTTGTTTCAAACTTCACTATTTGCAAAACAATCAGCTGCTCGCTAAGTGCAGCAGCCTCAACTTTCATTTATAAATTTCGTTCGAAATTGATAAAAGCTGTTACTATTGAGCTAATTTACAACCTTTAGCCATCAAATTTCATGGAAGAAAAAGGTGTCTTTGAATACGTACTAGAAAGCAAAATTTTAATATTTTTTAAATGGAAAGACTTCAAATGCTTCGTCAGCATTTAAGCTCGAACGTATTGCATGAAGACTTTCCTCGTACCAGAATTTTTACTTTAAACAGGCCTGAAAGATTGAACTCCTTAAATTATGAAATGATTCAAACAATCTCTGATCTAATTAATACAGCAAGAAACAAAAATTTTGTGTTTCAAAGCTGCACTCCTAAAGCTTTTTCAGCAGGAGGAGATATCTTGCTTCCCCTCTTTAAATTGAAAAACAACTTTAATTAAAAGAGTGCCTAATTTTTCTTAAAAAATAATATGGAATTTTTTGGTAAGGCTACATTAATTGATTACAATATTAAATATAAATACATAACATTTTTTTACACGCCTTTTAAAAAAGTGCAAGCTATAGCAAATTTTGGGCATCAAAACTATTTGCGTAGAAATTATTGTTTTCAACTATAAAAAATTTTTATTGAAATTTAAATTTTTTTTTCCAACTGAAAGGAATTAATTTGTTCTAGTTAAAGGGGGATTTAGCTATCTTTGAAAATCCTTTAATTATTTTGGAGTTTTATAGGGCAGAACTTTCCACCATATATCAAGTTTATAAGCAGCCTACTGAAACTCTGGCCATTTTGAGAGGATTATGTATAGGTGCTGGTAATGGGATAGCTATGGCTTGTAAATATAGAGTATGCACAGAAACTACTCGATTTTCAATGCCAGAAAGCGCAGTTGGTCTCGTTCCTGATGCTGGAGCGTCTTATTTTTTCTCGCATTTATCTAATAAATCATTAGGACTGTACATAATGCTATAGGAAATTCCCGATGATGGCACTCAATGTGCCATCATCGGGCACCTACAGTAAAGGGTCCACACTGGAAATGGGTTCCACGTGTGGAGCCCTTTTTGAAACGTGGAGAATCCTCACTTTCACGTGCCAAAAAGGGCTCCACAGGTGGAACCCATTTTCAGTGTGGGGCCTGAACTTTAGTTGCCCGATGATGGCGCATTGAGCGCCATTATCGGGCAACTTGTATAACAGGAAAAGCTCTAGATGGGATCGATTTATATTGAGCAGGTCTTTCAACACACTATATTCCAGAAGCTCAAATCCCTATAGTTTTAGAAGAAATTAAATCTTCAAGCAGCCTCCATGAAGTTTTAGACAAATATCATCAACCTCCTCTACAAGAAAAATCCAAGCTTCTAATGCATTTAACAGAAATAGAAGACATTTTTACTGATATAACAACCATTGATGATTTATTTCTAAATTTATCTATAAATTCTACACCATTTAAGAATGAAACTAAGCTAATATTAGCCAAACTTTGCCCACTTTCACTAAAACTTGCACTAAAAACCTTTAAGTTAGGATTAAGCAGAAATTTAAAAGAGGTACTTGAGCAAGATTACAGTTTTGGGGTTCAACTGGGCTATAGAAGAAGCTATAATTTTATGACGGCTGTTACAAAGAAACTAGTAGAAAAGGTCAAAGAAGATATTAAATGGTATCCAGAAGATATCAAAGAAGTCACAGAAGAAATGGTCAACACAATCATTACAAACCCAGAAGGCCCATTTTTGCAGCTTGAATCATAGTTTAATCTTATTACTTCTTTTTTCCTTTGCCTTTTCCTCCTTTGCCTTTCTTCCCGTCAGCTTTTGCATTTTCTGCTTCTTCTTTATCCTTTTTCTCTTTTTCATAAGCAGCTTTAATCCCGAGCAGCTCATAGTTCAGCTCTCTTACTCCCCCCTCAGTTAGCTAACAAAACTATGGTAAAAATCTTTTTTTGCCCAAAACTCACCTCTGTGATCGAACAAAAAATTTTAATATAAAATTTTTTTTTATAAAAAATATACTGATATATTAATGATAATTATTGTAATAAAATATATGCAGCTAATTTTGTTGAATTTTTAAAACGGCTTGCATTTTATAGCATAAATTTTCCAAATTAAATTGATTTTTGCTTTCCATATTTACGAATTTGAATTTTTTAAAATATTGAAAAAAAAAATTTGAAAAAATTTATTTTAAAAAAAATTAACCCATATCCTTGAGTGAACAATATTTTTTTGGGTCGCTCACGGATGAGGAATTAGTTCTTTATCAACATTAGTATCCACACATGGAGTCCTGGAGAGTGGGGCAATAAATTCATTTATCTGCAAAGGCCTCCACTTTAGGTTCTGCTTCCTTAAATCAGTCATAACTTTATTGACAGTCTGATTAATGCTTCCAGCTGTATATCCTTCAGAAAGCTGAGCCAATGTGCTTATATTGAACTTAGGGTTCAGTATGTCTCCATGCTTGTCTAGGAAATGCTCCCACAGCTCTTTTCTGGTTGCATAGTTAGGATGAGGGATCAAGATATGCTTGTTGAAGTAAGACTTTAAGTCCACCTTGCTAGCTTCCCATGGCTTTGAGGTGCATCCAACTATTATAACTCTGTGCTGGTTTTTCAGGTATTTTTTGTGCCCAACTAAGTCTTTTTTGAGCTTTGCGAACTCTCCTCTACCTTTTTTCTTTTTGCCTTTTTTCCCTTTTCCACCTGAAAAGTATTTTTCACACTCATCAATATAGATGATAGCAGGTGGGTTTTCTTTGGCTGAGCGAAATACGGTGTAAAGCATTTTATTGAGACCTTTAGACTCAGTTTTGTAAGGAGACTCAGAAACGGTATATGGGGAAATATCAAAAATGACAGCGTTTAAGTGGGTAGCCATCGCCCTAACAAGCATTGTTTTCCCGCAGCCAGGTGGGCCATAGAGGAGGATTGAGTTTGTATAGATTGGAGAATTTTGCCTTAAAAATGGAGAACCCATTGGGAGAATTCCGTATTCTGTAACAACTTGGCGAATTTGTGCATAAGATGGATCAGGCTCTCTGTCTGCTAATGTAAGATTGTGCTGAACAACAGACCCTAAATAATTAAATGTGCCGATAAAATCTTTAAGGTGGCAAGGGACGAGCTTCCTCAAGATTCCTTTGGCCACCAGCTCAGCGAGCATGTCATCAGGAGCTCTGTTTCCTACAAGCTTTTCACTTGGGCCTCCTTTCATTTTTCCTAGGAAATCCATTGCAACGTTTCCTGTTAAAGCATCCAATGGTCCTTCTTGTGGGGCTTCCTTGGTTTCTTTCTTTTTGCCTTTCTTTCCTTTTTTACCTTTCTTACCTTTTTTACCTTTTTTGCCCTTTTTGCCTTTTTTGCCTTTTTTGCCTCCCTTAGTCTTAGGTGCTGGTGCTCCTACAAGGTAGATTCTTATATTTTGCAGCTCCGCCTCCATCAGCTGATCCACCTGCAATCTAACAGCTTCTTGAATAGTCGGTCTCACTGTCCCTTTCGCCAACTCTTCATCATATTTCTGCACTGGATTTGTGGACTCATCCCTGCTTTCCCAAACATCTTTAAACTTGACTATTTCTTCCTGCATTTTTTGGACACACGGTGTTGTCCCAATCCATTTTGTCCCATCACTTTTCTCTTCCTTTTTCTTCTTATCTTTTTTCCCTTTCTTCCCCTTTTTCCCTTTCTTATCCTTATCTTTTCCTTTCGCCTTGCTTTTTTTCTTATCCTCTTCTGCCTTCTTTTTTGCTTCTTCTTCCTCTACTTTCTTTTTAGCTTCTTCTTCTGAGGACAAAACCCTATTTTCGTTTTCCCTCTTATAGAAATCCTCGATTTTAGGTACTTCTTTGAACTCGTGGTTTGAAATAAACTCAATCATGAATTTCCTTCTTTCTTCTTTCATAGTGTCTTCCATATCGGCGCCTTCATTTCTTTGGACGACATCTTGGAGATCTTTGAGCGCTCCTATATATTCATTGAGATGCTCTTCTTTTTTCATTCTGCGGACTTTTTGGTTTTTTTCATACTCAAGAGTAGGGTCGTTTTCCACATTTTTAGGAGCGACCATTCCGAGAAATTCGAGCTCCTTGTCTCTGGTTTGGTCGATGTAAATTCTTGCGAGAAATGCTCTGAATACTTTTTGGACAATCACTGTGTGGGTCGCTTCAGTGTTTTCTTCTTCAATTCTGTTTTTGGGGTCTTCTTTGAGTCTTTTTTTCTTCGAGAAATTCCTGGCTTGGATGATTCTGTCTCGGCCTTGTCTTCCTCTTTCGTTTTTCTGGATGATGCGGATGGCGTTCTCTATGTTCAGTTCTAAGAAAAACATTTCTTCTCTTTGGTCTTCTTCAGGCTCGTCAGTCTGGAAATTGTTTATCATTAATCTGTTGATCAGCTGAGTGCGTCTTTCTAAATAGTCCCGATTCTCTTCAGCAAAATAACGAGGGATCGTGATTTCCATGTTATCCGGGTCTAGCTTCAAATCCATCAGCAAATCATCAATATTTATGAATATTGACTTACTTCACCAACATGAATAAGTAAAATTCTTTGCTCGCTCACTGAAGGGCTTGAGTAGGTTTGTAAAGACTTTATTTATTTACATCTCACCCAGATGAGCCTTCTTAAAGGCTTATTTAACTTCAGGAGCCTCCCTGGGTATTCAATATTTCGATAAGATAGAGCTTTCCTCTAGCTTTTGGCCTGATTCTTGATGCTATTTCTGAAACTTCGAGTAAAAAAAATAACAAGCAAATTAGCTTAATTTTTGCTAACTTCTAGTTGGGACTCAGCTGCGCAGTGTGGGTGAGACGCCTTTTTTTCTCCGATTGTTTCTACTTTTGATCTCATGATGGGCCTCTTGGCGCGTTGCCTCATCTATCCTGCTTTCCTCCAGCACCTAGGGTCCTGCCTTTGACATCAGAAGGGTAAAGAGTTAAAGCGCGATGCATAAGATAGGCAAAGTATATAATTAATTCCTCTCATTTTCTCCACTTGTGCAGAAGTCCATGTATAAAAACTAGCTCCATAATAATAAAAGTTGGGTGGTCTCTAGGGATAAGCCTTTTTTCCAAATGCTAATCTGACAGACACAAAGTTTAAATTGTCGGATGAGAGCACGAAACAATAGAGTACAAATGCCTAGAACTGAAGATTCCTTTTTCTGCTCACTTCAGACCATAGTATGGCCCATCTAAGAGCAAATCTGGAGAGGAGAGACTGCTCAAGAACTTGAGCTAATTTTTTTCATATCAAAATACTTAGCTCAATAACAGAATAGCTAATTTCCCAAAAAGTAGAATTTTACAAACAGTTTAAAAGGGGGATTTAGGTCGTGGATTTAAAAACACCAAAGCTTCTTTAACTTCGAGAAGTCTCAGAATGGTATTTTCTAACAGCTTCTTGATAAGTGCTCGCTTTTGAGGGTGAAGCATCTGATCATAGCATTCCTCAAACTTGCGAATGATGTCTGCATACTTGATGTAGAGGAGAGCGAAATGCTGAAATCGCCGCAGAGGATTTCACTTGTCAATTTCTGGCTGCTGCTGGCCTTCTTCTTTATGTGAAGGCAAGTATTCCATTTGAACCTGTTCCATCAAGTCAGTCATGGCTTCTTGTCATTGTATATCATAAGCTCTGCATATCACTTACATGCTCGACATTCTCTATAACTGCCCTGCTTTAATAAATTTATCACGAAAATGGTAAAAATACGCCAACGCAAGAACTAAGTCCCCACCAATTAAATTGAAATAAAATATCTATTCCAATTTAAAGAGGTAAATTTATCTTAAATATTTTTGCGCAAAAAAATTATTTAAGAATAAAAATCATAAATAATTTTATTTTGATTTTTAATTTGCTTTTAAAAAGAATTCATTAATAAAATTAATCCAATCAATGTGAAAACTGTTTAAATAGCATTTTCTTGCACTTTCTCTATTAAATTGGGCTAAAGTTATTTATATAAAAATTTATTATTTTTATCTATAAAATTTTCTTATTGAAAAAATTGTTCATTTTTTTGTCAAATAAAATGGTAAGAGAAAGTTAAAAATTATTTAATATTATTGATTGCTAAAAAATTCAGTCGTTTTAAGTAAAAATAAATGTCTGAGACCTTGAAAAGCCTTGCGAAGAAGCATATAGTTAGTAAGGTCCAGTTAATAGTTATCTGGATTGTTTTTGGCCACAGGTCCTTTCCCTATCAGTTCCGGAGGGCCGTAAATTTTTTTATTCTGGGTTCACCTCTCCCAGACATAGCCCACAGGAGATATTGGGCTAACATTTATCTATAGCACCTGATGAGGGACTGACAGGGCGTCTTCCTAACCCGCTGAGACTCTTGGGGACCACATTGCAAACCCTACTCCTAGAGAAGATCACTATTCAAAATAGCTGCTACATTTCCACCGCAGCAAGCAGGTTGGTGTAATTCGTAACCTTGAAGGCATCAAATCTGCAGGACGTTAAGAATCTTTTAATTTAATTGCGAAGAAGCGAGATATAAAACTTCTGATGACTCAGCCTGAGTCAAGCATATTTAGCCAGTCAGAAAACGTAACCTCGACCAACAAAGATGACGAGATGAAAGAAATTTCTCTTCAGCTGGTGATGATTCGAAAAAAGCATGATGAGCTTAAAAGGGAAAACGAAAGCAAACGAATGCAGCTTGAAAACTTGAAAAAAGACTTAGAAAAATTAACTGTAGTAGTGAGCACTGGCAACGCTGAAGACTTTTCGTTCACCAATAAGATCTCTAAGCTCGAAACCGCTATCGAAATGGCGAAAATCAAAATTGATGAAGAAATGATCAACAAGGACTCGTACGAGCACGTCTTGCAAAGGATGAAACAAGAAAGAATCGCACTCGAGAAGGAGTCAAATACTATCCAGCACAGCTTATCCTCAACTCGGTCTATTTTGGAGTCAGAAAAACAAAAATCTTTAAAGCATAGAGAATCAAAAGACAAGTCAAAACAGTTGCTAAAGGAATTAAGGGACTCTTTAACTCTAGAAATAAGGAGAAAAGATGAAAGAGCGCACGAACTGGAGCAGCAGATGAGGTTCAGAAATGAAATAACAGAAAAAAGAAGGGAAAGACTAAGAAAGCAAGCAGAGGTCGCAGAAGCAGCTGCAAATGAAGACCAGTTCGCCCATGAAGTCCAAATGAAAGAAAAGCTGATAATAAACCGGTTTTGGTACGGATTCATACAGTGGAAAATGGAAAAAGACTGGCAGAATTCCACTGAAATAGAATCAGCATTCCAAAACATCAGGGCAATGACTGGTTTAAACTCAATCGAAGACATTGTGCAAAAGTTTGCTTCAAGGGACGAAGACCATAATATTTTAATTCAAAAAATTGCAGAATCAGAAAAAAACCTCGACGATTTAAAGACTGAAAACGAAAACACCAGAAAGCAGTTACGAGAACTTTTGCTTGTTAAAGGAGAAAATAATGATAGACCTCATAATAGCGAGCTAAGAGCGATTGAAGACCAAATTGAAGCAGAAGACAAAGAGCTTAATAACATAAAAGATCAAAAAGATAAGGCACAAGTTTATTACCAAAACTTGTTAACTTGGGGAGGGAAAATCTTAAATAAGCTGAATTATAAAGGAGAAATTTTAAGGATGGAGCTTCCAGAAATTTTTGCTAAAATTCAAGAGCAATTAAAAGTTATTATCGAGCCTATGGTTCAAACAAAGGAAGAATTCATGAGATATCTTGACATCAAGTCAAAGAAAAATACACAGCAGCTGCTTAAAGAAATCTACACTCAAGGCTACAAGCCAAAATTTGTAAAAAAAGGAAAGAGCCCAGAGCTTGAAAATGAACAAGAAAAACTGAAAAAGGCTGAAAGGAAAATAGCCCGAAATATGACATTTGCAAGAGAAATTTAATTTTATTGATCTAATTCTATAATTAAATTGTGGATAGTCCATAATATTCTGAATAAGAATAAAGTAAATTATTAGCTTCAGTTAATAAAATGGAAGAGAAAGTTAAGTTAAGCGATCAGTATTTTAAGTCTATACCTCCAGAGAGTGATATCCTGCGCAGCAGCTAGGCTGCGTGGTGGCCCAAGCAAAGCAAATTGGGTGGACTTCCACCTCTGGTACCTCTGAGCCCAGGCCGAAACCCCTGGTTTCTCGGTAGTGGTTGCCCTATTGGGTCCGAAGACCGTCGCTGGGCACCACCACTCCTGCCTCGTACTCCTGATCAGATCGCCCCTTACGGGACCCTTTTCGACTGGAGAGGCTGCCGTACATTTGCTGTCTAGTCCGCCTTCCTTCTTACCAGGTCATCCCTCAAGAAGAACTCAACCACTTCCGCGATTCGGACGGGCCACAGTAGCAGCTTGAGCAGATAATTCGCCTTGCTCCATCTCGGGTGCCCACTGGCTTGGGTGCTGCTGGAAAAAAGGAGTCGAAGGAAATGCCCATGACCAGCGGGTCTGTGATTATCCCCATCGCTGCTGGGGTCCCAATGTTGCTGGGCCATCCTCTTCCCCCAAAAATCATGCCCGGATATACACGGGTTACCGTCACTGGGAGGACTGGTCGGTCGCCACACGCCATTTTATGTATATTAAAATGGAAGAGAAAAAAGACGAAGACTCTCCCTTTACCGAAAGAAGCGCTGAAGAAATGGAAACTGATAAAATTGATAAAGAAAATGCGCAGTCTTCAGCAAAAAATAGACAAAAAATCCTTGAAGAAATTGAGATGAGAAAAGGCAAGCTTACTATTGATGATGTCGAACTTTCCAACCAAGAACTAAAAGCTATCGAAAAAAAACTGCTTGAAGTTGAAAAAGATCTTGTAAAATCCATTGAAGAAACCCCAGTAAATGTGAAAGGGGTGTATTTGTCAGTCATAGTCTCCTTAATTTTTATTGTTTTGAGCATATTTATAAACAGGGTTGATAAATCATCACCTCTTAGCCTTAGTATAATCGATATTTTCGAAAATACTATTTGGGCTGGTGATCCAAACAGATATTTTAAAGACATTCAGTCCCTCACTGACTTAGACGCCTACTACAGAACGATTTTTTTCCCAGGCATCTTTACAAATACATTTATAAATAAACACAACTATGTTGTTGGGTTAAGGCTTACACTGAAAAAGGCCAGGCTGGTTAGCAATCCTTTTTCTGAATATGAAGAAGCCGTTTGAAAGGTAAGAAAAGACCCAAACTTAGGTGCAGGGATACAGCAAACTGATGGAGAAGAGATCAATGACCTAGGGATTTTTAATTATACGAGTGGTGGAGGATTTGATAAAGCAGGTGGCTATGTAGAATTTTTTTGCAATTTGACTTTAGAAGAAGCAGTTGCTAAATGAAGAATAATGAAGCCTATTTGGCTAATACCTAATAATTTTGTCAGCATTACTGCAGAACTTCTAGTTCATAATGGAAATTTAATGACAACATTATATTATTATCAAACGGTCGAACGAACAAGTACTGGGAGATTTAACCTTGAAAGCGATAGCGTTGGAATTTTTCCTGAAGCTTATGAAACCTGGACTCTAGAGTCGAAAATCGTGGTCATTTTGGGAACCATCTATATTGTTGGTTTTCTTATCCAGATATTCAAGATGGTTCAAATTTTATTAAGAGTATGCACAACCCTCTGAACAAAATTAAAGCTAGACGTAGCATGGCATGAGTATTTAGAATTTATGACTTTAGCTTTAGTTATTACATCAATTTCGCTTTTTTTGCAAAATGTGATTGGAAATATTGGAAAACTTCAAATTCCTATTCACTCTGAAAGCGAGTTTATCGATTTTATAACGTACTGTCGAAATTTCAAAATTTTTATCCGAGTAACTGCAGTTGCAGCTCTCTTGATTATACTCCGAATCCTTGTCATCTTAAAATCTAAGTTTCCTTCATTCGGAGTGCTATTTGATACCATAAATATGGCTAAGAAAGACATTATTAATTTTGGGCTAATCACTTTGCTCATGATAGTAGCGTTTTCTCTTTCCGCATACCTAGGGTTTGGGATAGCGACAGGAGGATTTTCCACGTTTGGAGCTACTATTGCATCTTTATGGTCATCTCTATTCGGACGAGACATAATTTCAGAAATACGCAGAGGAAGCATAAGTATTTCTGGGGTCTTTTATGTAGCATATATGTCTTTGTTTTATTTTATAATTTTGAATACTTTTCTAGCAATTGTTCTAAGTGTGTATACTGAGCTAAGAAAAAGATCACAACTGCTTCTAGAAGCTAAAGCACGTATGCTTGCAGAAGACAGCCACAGACTCATTGAGATTTTGATAAACTTATTGTTGTTTAGGATTAAAAGCACATTAGAAGAAGATGCGATTGAATATCAAGCTTTATCAGTAAAAACGACTGCAAATGCTCAGGAGCAAGAAGAAATCAATGAAAGATTGAAGAAGCTGGAAAATGCAATTTTGCATCAAAGCAGGCAAAATATCTTTAGCATCGTTAAATATAATTTTGGCCAAGTTCAGCTTGCCTTGAGGGGAGCAGGCTCAACACTGCTCACAAGAGAACAGATGATGCTTAAGTACAAAAACACTATCATGACAATGGAACAAGAAAAGAAAAAGAATGAAATCCTCAAAAAAATGAAGGAAAACGAAGTGAATTACAATTTTAAGCTCTTTGCTGAAATGGTTTTGTACATAATTTTTATTGTTATTTATGTCATGTCTGTTAAGTATCGAATGAGAATTGAAGACTCTTATGCTATGAATAAGCTAATATATGACTCAATAGCAGTTCCCCAATTTGTTTACAAAGGATCGAACACGACATTTCTTGAAATATATGACCCTGGCTCTGCTTATGAGTTTCTGTCAGCGATTATGGTCCCTTACATAGAGTCAACAACAGTGGGAACTCAAAACTACTTTTTAACTTCCCCAAAGATCCGTTTCAACATGAATCGCTACAAAATCCACAAAAATAAAAACACATTTTCTAGCTCTGTTATAGCTTATGTCTCCGACGATCCAGGGGAATGAGAAGAAAGTGGGTTTCAAGGCAAGTCTTCCTTGACTAAATTCAGGTACATAGAGCCTGGCACAAAGGCCACGTTTAACGAAGAAGGCGGTTGCACTTATGAGTTGTACCCCTATTTGAATTTTAAAAACGCTTTTATCAATTTCCAAGCTGACGACATCATTGGCAACCAGACAAGCTCTATTGTATTTGAATGAGTCGTTTATAACGCGAACATGAATATGTTCAGCTATGCATATATTCAACTCAGTTTAGATATTTCAGGGGAAATTACAATCAGGCTTTCCTCTCAAAGTGCTGAACTTGATGCTTACAGTGCAGAAAATAAAGGAAGGGCAGCTCTTGACATAATTTTTATTTTATTTATTGTCTATTTTATATCACAGTTCATTTCTGAGTGATGATTAATTATGAGAGGCTTGATAGGGCAAAGGCAAAATATTCAAAGAGGGAAAAGAGCAGTTAGAGATGTCCTTGATAAGCTTCTAGGAAATAACCAAGATAATGAAAATCAAGGCATAGGGTTCATGGTGCAGATGGTTTGGAGGAAGATACAGAAATTTGTTGTTGTCATAATTTTTACTATCAAACAGCTTATACAGTCTTTGTGAATCTTTTTGAGAATGGATGGGTGGCAGCTGCTACAGTTGTTATCAGTCATTTTATCAATTATCCAGTTCTCGTATCTTGTGAGACTGATATCTAGTGATTTCATAAATAACTACGAAATTAACGAGACTTGGGCAGATAATATTGGAGAATTTGGATATATTGCCAAGCTTTACCAGCATTACGGCGTTGTATCCTGCTTCAATGCTTTGCTCATATTTTTAAGGGTTCTTAAATACTTTGAGTTCAGTAAGCAGACATCACTCCTTACTGATATTTTTGATTCTGCGAAGCTTGATTTGCTGTTCTATATCATAATGTTCTTTCTTATGATTATAGGCTATACAATTATGGGATATTTAATTTTTGGCCAAGCTTTAGATGAATTCCAACATTTTAATTATTCTCTCCTTTCAACCTTCAATGTACTGATAGGAAAATTCAGCGTTGGCCGGTTTTTAGGTGCAGACGGTAAGATTGGCATGCTATGGTTTATCACCTTAAGTCTTGTATTCAACTTGCTATTGATCAATATTTTTATAGCAATCGTTTACGCTCATTACAATACCAATAAAGCTGATAGAAATGCCAACACTGTTGGATTTTTGAAAAAAATTATTTTGGTAATAAAGGCAAGGATTAAAAGGAAAAAATATATGGACTGGGAAAACTCTGGCGATGAAAAATCAAGTACTAAAGCCAATCAACTCTCAGATTCTGAAGATGAAATCCCAAACAACTCTGTGAAACAAGAATTTGAAGTAGAAGAAGCCAAGCCTATTAACTATACAGTAAATGCATGACTTAAAGTGCTGGAAGAAATGCTGCTCGTTAAAAGCAATCAAAAAATAAACTTACCAAATCTAAAAGACGAGAACAATATTGAGGAAAAAATTATCCCACCAGCCCCACTCCAAGAAGTTGTTTTTGTAGAAGAGTCACAATGGCTGCAAGAAGACCCGCTAGGCAAGTTGAGGATATGGAAGCAGCTTTCTATATTGCATAATGACTATCTCAGAAGAAAAATTGAAAAGGCTATACAGCAAGGCCTCGAACCTCCAGAGCTTTCAGAGCTATCAGAACGACAAATACAACTTTGGGAAATTACACCACCTCAGGATAAATTAAGCATGTGGATGGGAGAAGAGTCTTTTCAGAATGAAGAACGCGTTTTGGTATGAAATGCTGCACTTTTTGACAAAAAGAGGTTTGGAGATGACATTGATGAATGGAACATTGACATACAAAGAGAGTGCTGACTGGATTTTGATGAAAAAAAGAAAAAAGATTTTGTGAAAAAGTGAATTGATGATATTAAACCTGTTACAAGAGCTTATAAGGCAGCAACTAATCCAATTGGTTATTTGCTGAAGCAAGAATGGCTTTCTGAAGATAAAAGAATGCTATTGTGGGTCAGCTTGTCTAAACACGAAAAAGTAAAAATGACTCTTTATCTTAATCAGCACAACAGGGTTGAAGCTGAAATCCTCAGCTATCTCCTTCTTCAAGAAAGAGATAATAACGTTTTCATTTTAGATGATAGTGATGCACTTATAACAAGTACGCTAGATTCGAAGCTTTATGACAAATTATATGAATCTGCTGTTTTCCAAGCAGAAAATAATGCAATGGAAACATCAAAAGAAAGAGTTGAAGAAACTCGTTATGAGATCAAAAATTTAAAAAATTTCCAGGTCCACTTGGAAGAAGACCTAAAACAATTTAAGAGGCAAAATAAGACTTTAAAAGAAAAAGGAAAAAATTTGAAGGCTAGGTGCGAGAGCTTGCTGAGAGGCCAAGAATAAGGTATTATTAATTCATTATTGAGGATTAAAGATAGTATATAAATTAACTAAAGTTGAAAATTAAAAGAGTTAATTGAGGATTTATACATTTTAATATCAATTATTTCTAAACATCAATTATTCGCTGAGAGAGTTGAGGATGTGTATAAGTATTTTGTCGAGATTCCAATTCATGCTAAAATTCTGACTGATAAAACTATATAAAATGATGATACATAAATAATCATGCAGACATTTCGGCGCATTTTATTGATTATTTGAGAAATATTAATACTGCGAGCATGGTAATGGCTAAACTTAGCTGTCACACCATTGATGATTCCGTTTAAACCAAACTATAAAAATTAATTTTATGACAAATCAATAGCGATTGGGGTCAGACCGTAATAAACACTGGAATTTTCAGTAATAATTTTTGCAAGAAAAAAAAATTCGAGGGAGAGCGTTTCCATCATTTTAGTAAGGCTCTTTGTTGCGTACCTCTTCAATGCGCCCAATCTATCAGAACATAATGCTGCAACATTCTTATATCCTAGGTACCCAGATCCTATAGCAAGAGCAGCATTTATGAGCGATATTGCAACAAATTGAGTATTAACTCCCAGAAATTAAAAGAAATGTTTATCGGCTAAGCCTTTAACTAAGAAAACAAGCAGAGGTAACAGAAGCAGCTGCAAATAAAGACCAGTTCGTCCATGAAGTCCAAATGAAAGAAAAGCTGATAATAAACCGGTTTTGGTACGGATTCATACAGTGGAAAATGGAAAAAGACTGGCAGAATTCCACTGAAATAGAATCAGAATTCCAAAACATCAGGGCAATGACTGGTTTAAACTCAATCGAAGACATTGTGCAAAAGTTTGCTTCTAAGAACGAAAACCATAATATTTTAATTCAAAAAATTGCAAAACCAGAAAAAAACCTCGGCGATTTAAAGACTGAAAACGAAAACACCAGAAAGCAGTTATAGAGGCTGCCTTTGAGTAGCGCTCTAAGCGCCCGAGACTTCCCGACGAAGTCTGGGCGGTGGTTTGACCAGCTGATGTTGGTCAAACCAACATCCAATTTGACAAACCTTCTGTATGAGAAGAATTTGTCATTTTGGATGTTGGTTTGACCAACATCAGCTGGTCAAACCACCGCCCAGACTTCGTCGGAAAGTCTCGGGCGCTTAGAGCGCTACTCAAAGGCAGCCTCTATACAAGAACTTTTGCTTGTTAAAGGAGAAAATAATGATAGGCCTCATAATAGCGAGCTAAGAGCGATTGAAGGCCAATTGAAGCAGAAGACAAAGAGCTTAATAGCATAAAAGATCAAAAAGATAAGGCACAAGTTTATTACCAAAACTTGTTAACTTGGGAGGGAAAATCTTAAATAAGCTGAATTATAAGGGAGAAATTTCAAGGATTAAGCTTCCAGAAATTTTTGCTAAAATTCAAGAGCAATTAAAAGTTATTATCGAGCCTGTGGTTCAAACAAAGGAAGAATTCATGAGATATCTTGGCATCAAGTCAAAAGAAAAATACACAGCAACTGCTTAAAGAAATCTACACTCAAGGCTACAAGCCAAAGTTTGTAAAAAAAGGAAAGAGTCCAGAGCTTAAAAAAGAACAATAAAAACTATAAGGCTGAAAGGAAAATAGCCCGAAATATGACATTTGCAAGAGAAATTTAATTTTATTGATCTAATTCTATAATTAAATTGCGATAGCCCATAAGAATAAATAAATTAATTGCTTCAGTTAATAAAATGGAAGAGAAAAAAGACGAAGACTCTCCCTTTACCGAAAGAAGCGCTGAAGAAATGGGGACTGATAAAGTTGATAAAGAAAATGCGCAGTCTTCAGCAAAAAATAGACAAAAAATCCTTGAAGAAATTGAGATGAGAAACGGAAAGCTTACAATTGACGATGTTGAGCTTTCCGACCAAGAACTTAAAGTCATCGAAAAAAAATTGCTTGAAGTTGAAAAAGATCTAGAAAAATCCATTGAAGAAACCCCAGTAAATGTGAAAGGGGTGTATTTGTCAGTCATAGTCTCCTTAATTTTCATTGTTTTGAGCATATTCATAAACAGGGTTGATAAATCATCACCTCTTAGCCTTAATATAATCGACATTTTTGAAAATACTATTTGGGCTGGAGATCCAAACAGATATTTTAAAGACATCCAGTCCCTCACTGACTTAGACGCCTACTACAGAACGATTTTTTTCCCAGGCATCTTTACAAATACATTTATAAATAAATACAACTATGTTGTTGGGTTAAGGCTTACACTGAAAAAGGCCAGGCTCGTTAGCAATCCTTTTTCTGAATATGAAGAAGCCGTTTGAAAGGTAAGAAAAGACCCAAACTTAGGCGCTGGGATAGAGCGCACTGATGGAGAAGAGATCAATGACCTAGGGATTTTTAATTATACGAGTGGTGGAGGATTTGATAAAGCAGGTGGCTATGTAGAATTTTTTTGCAATTTAACTCTAGAAGATGCACTTGCTAAATGAAGAATAATGAAACCTATTTGGCTAATACCTAATAATTTTGTCAGCATTACTGCAGAACTTCTAGTTCATAATGGAAATTTAATGACAACATTATATTATTATCAAACGGTCGAACGAACAAGTACTGGGAGATTTAACCTTGAAAGCGATAGCGTTGGAATTTTTCCTGAAGCTTATGAAACCTGGACTCTAGAGTCGAAAATCGTGGTCATTTTGGGAACCATCTATATTGTTGGTTTTCTTATCCAGATATTCAAGATGGTTCAAATTTTATTAAGAGTATGCACAACCCTCTGAACAAAATTAAAGCTAGACGTAGCATGGCACGAGTATTTAGAATTTATGACTTTAGCTTTAGTTATTACATCAATTTCGCTTTTTGTGCAAAATGTGATTGGAAATATTGGAAAACTTCAAATTCCTATTCACTCTGAAAGCGAGTTTACAGATTTTATAACGTACTGTCGAAATTTCAAAATTTTTATCCGAGTAACCGCAGTTGCAGCTCTCTTGATTATATTCCGAATCCTTGTCATCTTAAAATCTAAGTTTCCTTCATTCGGAGTGCTGTTTGATACCATAAATATGGCTAAGAAAGACATTATCAATTTTGGGCTAATCACTTTGCTCATGATAGTAGCGTTTTCTCTTTCCGCATACCTAGGGTTTGGGATAGAGGCAGAAGGCTTTTCCACGTTTGGCGCTACTATTGCATCTTTATGGTCATCTCTATTTGGACGAGACATAATTTCAGAAATACGCAGAGGAAACATAAGTATTTCTGGGGTCTTTTATGTAGCATATATGTCTTTGTTTTATTTTATAATTTTGAATACTTTTCTAGCAATCGTTCTAAGTGTGTATACTGAGCTAAGAAAAAGATCACAACTGCTTCTAGAAGCTAAAGCACGTATGCTGGCAGAAGACAGTCACAGACTCATTGAGATTTTGATAAACTTATTATTATTTAGGATCAAAAATACATTAGAAGAAGATGCGATTGAGTATCAAGCATTATCAGTAAAAACGACTGCAAATGCTCAGGAGCAAGAAGAAATCAATGAAAGATTGAAGAAGCTGGAAAATGCAATTTTACATCAAAGTAGGCAAAATATCTTTAGCATCGTTAAATATAATTTTGGCCAAGTTCAGCTTGCCTTGAGGGGAGCAGGCTCGACACTGCTGACAAGAGAACAGATGATGCTTAAGTACAAAAACACTATCATGACAATGGAACAAGAAAAGAAAAAGAATGAAATCCTCAAAAAAATGAAGGAAAACGAAGTGAATTACAATTTTAAGCTCTTTGTTGAAATGGTTTTGTACATAATTTTCATTGTAATTTATGTCATGTCTGTTAAGTATCGAATGAGAATTGAAGACTCTTATGCTATGAATACGCTAATATATGACTCAATAGCAGTTCCTCAATTTGTTTACAAAGGATCAAACACGACATTTCTTGAAATATATGACGCTGGCTCTGCTTATGAGTTCCTGACAGCTATTATGGTCCCTTATGTAGAATCCACGACTGTGGGAACTCAAAACTACTTTTTAACTTCCCCAAAGATCCGTTTCAATATGAACCGCTACAAAATCCACGAAAATAAAAACACATTTTCTAGCTCTGTTATAGCTTATGTCTCCGACGATCCAGGGGAATGGCTGTATGTTTATTTATATTCCACATGGTTTTTGTGCAGAAAATTGTCCAAGGGTTTGAATAACCGTGAAGCGAACTATTCCACTCTTAGTGGTTTGGCTTGAGGGCAGTTTTTTGCCAGCATCGCCCAGGCACAGGTTGGGTATCATATAGAGGCAAGGCAGATTTCCTGCCTATGCTGCTTCGTGGCCTGTCTCGAATCTCTTAATGAGCTTTTCTTTTGGCATTGAGCCAGGGGAAAAAGGGAAGACTGGCTAGACAAGAATATCAAGGATACAGTCTGTTCAGTTTAAAAGGGACTCATGAAAAGGGTGATCTAGCTTAAGCTAAGTAGGGTTGAGTAAGCTGCTGGTTTGAATGGAGGCTCTGGCAAGTCCGTATGACTCTGACTATTTAGGTAAATTTCCTCTATCGATAAACCGGGGGCTTCAGCCCGGGCTCAAGTAAGCAGTGGAACGCCATCACGCCGTGGAATGCATCGTGCTTAGGAAGTGGAGACTATAAAGACACATCTTAATCTAATCTAATCTAATAAAATTTCAATCCCTCTCCACCTTGCTAGCTTCAGGTTATGAGCGTCCCTAAAATCAATGTGCTCATAATGTCACCAAAAAATTGATGACGTCGCCAGGTTAACAGGAAGACTCATCAAATGCTTCTAAAACAACGGAATCTCTTTACAGTTGGCCATTTTAAGGGCATGTGGAAGTTTCAATGCCTACTTCTAGAACTATTCTGCCTTTTGCAGGCAGTAAATTGATAGCTAGTATTTCGCTGTGGTTTTCTTGTCTACAGATGGAGAAAAAAGCCTTGCAAGCTCAAAACTGAGACCCACCCTAAACTCTACCAAATGCGATTATCAGTGCTTCAGCCTAAGGTCAGTCCTTAAGCTATCGGGAGACGCGAGAAATAGCTCCTGATATTAATAAAACAGGGGGATGAGAAGAAAGTGGGTTTCAAGGCAAGTCTTCCTTGACTAAATTCAAGTACATAGAGCCTGGCACAAAGGCCACGTTTAACGAAGAAGGTGGCTGCACTTATGAGCTGTACCCCTATTTGAATTTTAAAAACGCTTTTATCAATTTCCAAGCTGACGACATCATTGGCAACCAGACAAGCTCTCTTGTATTTGAGTGAGTCGTTTATAACACGAACATGAACATGTTCAGCTATGCCTACATTTATTTCAATTTAGATATATCAGGGAAAATTACAACCAGGCTTTCCTCTCAAAGTGCTGAACTTGATGCTTACAGTACAGAAAATAAAGGAAGGGCAGCTCTTGACATAATTTTTATTTTATTTATTGTTTATTTTATATCACAGTTCATTTATGAGTGATGGATAATAATGAGAGGCTTGATAGGACAAAGGCAAAAAATTCAGAGAGGAAAAAGAGCAGTTAGAGATGTCCTTGATAAGCTTCTAGGAAATAACCAGGACAATGAAAATCAAGGCATAGGGTTCATAGCACAGATAGTATGGAGGAAGATACAGAAATTTGTTGTAGGCATAATTTTTACTATCAAACAGCTTATACAGTCTTTGTGAATCTTTTTAAAAATGGATGGATGGCAGCTACTACAATTGTTATCAGTCATTTTATCAATTATCCAGTTCTCGTATCTTGTGAGACTGATATCTAGTGACTTCATAAAAAACTACGAAATTAATGAGACTTGGGAAAATAATATTGGAGAATTTGGATATATTGCCAAGCTTTACCAGCATTACGGCGTTGTATCCTGCTTCAATGCTTTGCTCATATTTTTAAGGGTTCTTAAATACTTTGAGTTCAGTAAGCAGACATCACTCCTTACTGATATTTTTGATTCTGCGAAGCTTGATTTGCTGTTCTATATCATAATGTTCTTTCTTGTGATCATAGGCTATACAATTATGGGATATTTAATTTTTGGCCAAGCTTTAGATGAATTCCAACATTTTAATTATTCTCTCCTTTCAACCTTCGATGTACTGATAGGAAAATTCAGCGTTGGCCGGTTTTTAGGTGCAGACGGTAAGATTGGCATGCTATGGTTTATCACCTTAAGTCTTGTATTCAACTTGCTATTGATCAATATTTTTATAGCAATCGTTTACGCTCATTATAATACCAATAAAGCTGATAGAAATGCTAACACTATTGGATTTTTGAAAAAAATTATTTTGGTAATAAAGGCAAGGATAAAGAGGAAGAAATATATGGACTGGGAAAACTCTGGCGATGAAAAATCAAGTACTAAAGCCAATCAAATCACAGATTCTGAAGATGAAATCCCAAACAACTCTGTGAAACAAGAATTTGAAGTAGAAGAAGCTAAGCCTATCAATTATACAGTAAATGCATGACTTAAAATGCTAGAAGAAATGCTGCTCGTTAAAAGCAATCAAAAAATAAACTTACCAAATCTAAAAGACGAGAACAATATTGAGGAAAAAATTATCCCACCAGCCCCACTCCAAGAAGTTGTTTTTGTAGAAGAGTCACAATGGCTGCAAGAAGACCCGCTAGGCAAGCTGAGAATATGGAGGCAACTTTCTATATTGCATAATGACTATCTCAGAAGAAAAATTGAAAAGGCTATACAGCAAGGCCTCGAACCTCCAGAGCTTTCAGAGTTATCAGAACGACAAATACAACTTTGGGAAATTACACCACCTCAGGATAAATTAAGCATGTGGATGGGAGAAGAGTCTTTTCAGAATGAAGAACGCGTTTTGGTATGAAATGCTGCACTTTTTGACAAAAAGAGGTTTGGAGATGACATTGATGAATGGAACATAGATATGCAAAGAGAGTGTTGACTGGATTTTGATGATAAAAAGAAAAAAGATTTTGTGAAAAAGTGAATTGATGATATTAAACCTGTTACAAGAGCTTATAAGGCAGCAACTAATCCGATTGGATATTTGCTGAAGCAAGAATGGCTTTCTGAAGATAAAAGAATGCTATTGTGGGTCAGCTTGCGGTTAAGCAAAAGCCCCATCTCCACAATCCATACCCTAAATATCAAACTACCTAACCTTGATAATAAGAAATATAAGAGTTATTGTATATTTTTATAAGCTTATAAAACATTATTTATAGCATGTTTACAATATTTAAAACTTTATTTCACATTCCTGCTATATATAAAAATTTTATATGGCTAGCAAATTTAAGCAAAAGGAGGTGAACCATGATGGTGCACGAATACAAAACTCATATAATGACAGCTCTCAGGCGTCATCTAAAGGAATTAGCCCACCAGACAAGATTTTTAAGCCGCTTGGATGCCTCATATTTTTGTATTAAATTTAAATGAGATATATCATACTTTATATATAAATAAGCTATTTAAGCATGCTATATCTGTTAAAATACATTAATTTAGTGAAATCGATATTATATATATTGTGCCTATGATAAATAATTATGCTTGGATTGATTTATTTTTATCTATCTATTTTAAAGCAAAATTCAACTGGATTCATACTTAAAGTGCGATAATTAAGCAATATTCATCGTATTTTTATATTAACTTTTATTTATTAGTCTAAAAATTTTTGCTAACTCCCCCCTCTCCGTGAGTGAACAAAACCATTAGAAAAATCGCTATTTTTTGCCAAAAAACCCACCCTCCGTGAGTGAACAAAAATTTTTTTAATAGAAAAATTTTTTATGGAAAAAAAAAATTCGATATATAAATGATAATTAGTATAATGAAATCTAGAGCTAATTCTGTTTAATTTTTAACGAATTGCTTTTTAAAACATAAATTTTATAAATTAAATTAATATTTGCTTTCCAATTTTTGCGAATTAGGATTTTTTTAAATTTCGAAAAAAAAATTGTTTATAAAAATATATATATAATTTTTTTTTTAAAAAAAAAAATTAACCCCCCTCCATGAGTGAACAAAATATTTTTTGTTCACTCACGGAGGGGGGGAGGGGAGTAAATAAAAAATTTTGTTTATAGTAGGGATATACAAAAAAAGGCTCCGTGCTAAATGACTGCGGAAATTTGATAGTACGGGGAAACTTTGTTCGAATCATTTTTGATAGTGAGACATTTGACCAAAAAAACCGTCAAATTTCGGCTAAATGGATACACTATTTAAAAATTTTCGACCAAAAGTACTTCGGTGAAATGGACACTATCAAAAAGGAAAGTCATTTGGCCTGCACCCACAAAAAAAGTATTAAAAAATGCTATAAATCGTGTTTAATAGCGGAAAAGTAAAAATACTGCAATAACTCTTATATTTCTTATTTATTAAGGCTAGGTAGTTTGGTATTTTGGGTGGTTGGGTTTAATCTTGACCAAGCTTGTCTAAACACGAAAAAGTAAAAATGACTCTTTATCTTAATCAGCACAACAGGGTTGAAGCTGAAATCCTCAGCTATCTCCTTCTTCAAGAAAGAGATAATAACGTTTTCATTTTAGATGATAGTGATGCACTTATAACAAGTATGCTAGATTCGAAGCTTTATGACAAATTATATGAATCTGCTGTTTTCCAAGCAGAAAATAACGCAATGCAAACATCAAAAGAAAGAGTTGAAGAAACTCGTTATGAGATCAAAAATTTAAAAAATTTCCAGGTCCATTTGGAAGAAGACCTAAAACAATTTAAGAGGCAAAATAAGACCTTAAAAGAAAAAGCAAAAAAATTGAAGGCTAGGTGTGAGAGCTTGCTGAGAGGCCAAGAATAAGGTACTAATTGCCCGAGGAAGGCGCTATCTTGCGCCATCCTCGGGCAATTCAAAAATGGCCCCACACCGGGAATTGAACCCACGTGTGGGGCCATTTTTGGTTAGTGGAGAACATCGACTTCCACGCACCAAAAATGGCCCCACACGTGGGTTCGATTCCCGGTGTGGGGCCATTTTTGAAATTACCCGAGGATGGCGCAAGATAGCGCCATCCTCGGGCAATTACAATATTATTTAATTCATTATTGAGGTCAAACATAGATATAAATTAACTAAAGTTGAAAATTAAAAGAGTTAATTGAGGATTTATGCATTTTAATGGAAATTATTTCTAAAAATACTATTCGCCAAATTGCTCTATAATTATTTTTTAATTGGTTTTTTATTGGGATTTTCTTAAAGGTAAATAACTGGAAATTCAATAATTTTTCATAAGAGGTATATAGAGAAATGAAGATACAACAGTAGTTGGAAATCAAATATTAATTTAATTTGTAAATTTTTTTTAAAGTGCAAGCTGTTTAAAATTAAAAAGAATAAGCTAGATTTTATTCTGATAATTATCATTTATATATCAAAATTTATTTTATAAAAACTTTTTTGTTCGCTTGCAGACGGTGGGTTTTTGGCAAAAAAATAGGGATTTTTCCAATGGTTTGTGTGCACTCATGGAGTGGGGAGTAAGGAAATTAAAGATAAATTAAGCGTGAGAAAGGGAGAATAATCTTTTCAGAATGAAGAGCACGTTTTGGTATGAAGAAAAAAAATTAGTGAAAAAGCGAATCAATGAAACTAAGCTTGTGGCAAGAGCATATAAGGATATTTGCTGAAGAAATAATGGCTTTCTGAGGATAAAAGAATGTTATTATGGGTCAGCTTGTCTAAACAAGAAAAAGTAAAAATGGCACTTTTCCTCAATCAGCCAAATTGGATTAGGCTGAATTTCTCAGGAATCTACTTCTCCAAGAAAGAGATAACAAGTATTTATTTTAGATGACAGAGATACGCTTATAGCAAATTATATGAATTTTCTGTTTTCAGGCAGAAAATAATGCAATGCAGACATCAAAGAAAGAGTAGAAGAAACTCGCTATGAGATCAAAAACTTGAAAAATTATAACAAAAAGAGAAAATTTAGAGTGAATTATTCTGAATAGCTCGCATTTTTGTAAAATTCTAATATAATGAAAATAATTAATAATTCACCAAATTACGTTAACGAATATTTTTTATTTAATTATTATATATACCAAAATGGTTGAGCACTCAGATCTCCATAAAAGCAAATGACTGGAAAGTATCAAAAATTTTTCCATAGGAGGAACAGCTGGAATTGTAGCCACGACTGCAGTGCTTCCTATGGATTTTATCAAAGTCCACCTCCAATGCGCAGCTGAAGGATCCAAAGGTCCTCGAATCAGTCCATTGCAGTTTGCCTCTACAGTTTATAGAGAGAAAGGCCTTTTAGCTTTCTATAAGGGCTTAGATAGTGCTATCCTCAGACAAGCTTTATATGCTACAACCAGGCTTGGCTTATACAAAACTCTCGCAGATCGCGAAAAAGAAAAAACAGGCACAAAATTCATCCCATTTTTCAAAAAATTTATTTATTCTACTGTATCAGGTGGAATCGGTGCTTTTGTAGGAAATCCTTGTGATTTATCACTTATCCGCTTACAAACAGACAACACCTTGCCTCCGCAGCTGCGAAGAAACTACAAAAATGCAATAGATGCCTTATTAAGGATCCCAAAAGAAGAAGGAATTTTAGCCTACTGAAAAGGCTGCACTCCTACAATTTTACGTGCTGCTGCTTTAAATTTTGGCATGCTTGCTCCATATGATCAAACCAAAGAATTTCTGGACTCAAGGTGAAAATCAGACACCATGAATCGGATTTTGGCGTCCGTTATTGCTGCAATATTCGCCTGCTTTATTTCATTGCCATTCGATAATATCAAGACAAAATACCAAAAAATGATCAAAGGGGCAGACGGAAAATACCCTTACAAAGGCTTTTATGACTGTTTAATGAAGAGTCTAAAGAATGAAGGGTTCATAGGTTTATATGTAGGACTTGACGCTTATGCATTGCGAGTGGCACCAAATGTAATTATTACATTGCTGACTATAGATTTTCTGCATTATTTATATCATAAATAACAATATTTTTACTTAATCTCTACATAAAGGGCAAATGTGCTTTATAGAAGAATTTCCCATAGATGGCGCTGTTTGCCCTTGATTTGCCCATGAGAAAAATGTTTTGGTTTGACCAAACCATATGGGACTGGTCGAACCAAAAAATTTCTCCAGTGGGCAAATCAAGGGCAAACAGCGCCATCTATGGGAAATTTCTATATTTGAAGTCATCTTTCAATACATGCTTTATGAAAAGTATGGTGGCAATTGCTAAGTTTGCTGACAATTTCTCTTGTTTTCATATTTTCCAAGCAGATCGAGCAGATTTCTCCATTTGAGACATCTAAAGCCTCAGTGTCTATTTCTAATAATGGTCTTACCAGTGACTCTCTCCAAGGTTCTGGTGCTATATAATTAAGATATATATAAGAAACCAGCGTCCCAAAGCAGAAAATTGATATAAAGTACAAAATAGCAAAGTGGACACTTTTAAGGATTTCTGCTCAGGCCTATTTGAAGATTACGCAAGGAGGCTCTTCACAAAATCACGCCTCATAGTTAATGCAATCAAAATATGAGCCAACTAGGCATAAAGCAAGTAAAACAGGGCCTGAAATGATGAGAATAATCAGGATCATTTTTTCTGAGATCTCAGCCAGGTTTCCTTTAAAAAAGAATGATAAGGAAAGGAGAACGTTATCAATTTGGAGAAGTCATGAGACAAAGACATTTCAGAGGCCTTGGAATGAGAGAGTTGAGGATGTGTATAAGTATTTTGTCGAGATTCCAATTCATGCTAAAATTCCGACTGATAAAACTATATAAAATGATGATACATAAATAATCATACACACATTTCGGCTCATTTTATTGATTATTTGAGAATATTAATACTGCGAGCATGGTAATGGCTCAACTTTGGCTGTCACCACATTGATGATTTAGTTTAGATCAGACTATCAAAATTAATTTTATGAAAAATCAATAGCGATTGGGGTCAGACCGTAATAAACACTGGAATTTTCAGCCATAATTTTACCGATCTTTTTAAAAGAAATTTAGAATTACCAAAAGAAGAAAAAAACATAGAAAAATACAGTGGCAGAAAGCGTATATATAAAAAAAACTATTCGGAGGAATTAACCCCAATCATATCAAAAGCTGGACAGAGTTCAATAAAATCATCCACGAACCCTAGATGGAAAGGCTGATGACAAAGACTGCTTGCAAGACAAAATTCACAAGAAAGGATTGGTTTATCGTTAGTGATGATCATACTATTTGGCTAGAGGGAGATCCTCTCCATCATTTCAGTAAGGCTCTTTGTTGCGTAGCTCTTCACTGTGTCCAATCTATCAGAGCATAATGCTGCAAAATTCTAATATCCTAGGTACCCGGATCCTATAGCAAGAGCAGCCTTTATGAGCGATATTGCAACAAATCGAGTATTTTCTCTCAGAAATCAAACGAAATTTTTATCAGCTAAGCCTTTCTAAGAAAAATAAAATGGTGACGGCAATTGGCACTGAGAGGAGCACTCCCTATGGAGCAGTTAAGACCCATCCTATGAAGCTGAAAGCAGGGTCTCTGTCCTTTTTTGAATTAGGTTTACAGAAATTAAAAATTTATTTGCATTTCCCAAATCCTTCAATATTATTTGCAGTATTTTATTATTTTTATATTTTATATTTTTTCCATCAGATTTTGAAATTATTAGACCGCTTTTTCTGCATTATAAGTTTTTTCATAACAATTATTATTTTTTTCTAGATTTATGGACTTGGCATTTTTTTTACATTTCATCTAATTAAATCGTCAGGGGGCTGATAGGAAGGGAGCTGTAACTGCTCTTGAAGTATAATGGATATTATTCATGTCCTTAATATAAAAAATTTGGCTATATAAATTTTTACTTTTGGAGTACCATGCATCAAAGATAATATAACTTATTTTCGTTTTTAAAAAAAGCACGAACCCAACTGATGCTATTAATTTATTCATACATGTTTTCTATATCAATTAATAAATTTTTTCTAATTCATATTAACTATGCTTTTTGATTTATTCATCTTGAAATGCAACCAAATTCCAACAGCAAACATGAGTGAAGACAAGACCACCACTATATAAATTAGCCAATCTGTGCTCTCTGGATTTTGCTCTGTTATATTAATGCTTTCCAGAAACGTTGGAAATTCAATATCATAAATTAAATCCTCTTCTTCAGCTACTTCATTCGGAGCAATCTCGACCTTGAAAGTCGACAACTCAAAAGGCTCAAGAAGCACTTTCCCAGAAGAATTTCTATCGGACGGTGGTAAATATTTTGGCTTTCCTGTGTCTGATTTTTCATAAAACAAGAGCTCGTTTTTATCTATCAAAGGATATCGGTAACTTTTATACTTTGAAAGCCCATTAAACAGAGTTTTATCATGGAATCTAAAGCCTGAAACACTAAGCCTTTGTGTGGCATCTTTTAGGTTTAGAACTCTCATAAAAAGACCGTTTTCTTTAATTACAGCGCTTGAAAGATAAATATTTGAGTGGTTAAATCCTAGTACATAAAGTGTTTCCCTATTCCAGTTTTGGCTAATTTCTATTCCTTTAGACCAAATTTGATCAGAAATGGTAAAATCATGGAGGTTCATCAGCGGGAACTGATATACATCTGCTCTGGCTTCCAAATAGTTCTTTCAATAGCCTTTATGTGTTAGTTGGCTTATGTCAATTTCAAAATGATAATTAACAAAGGTATTATCATTTACCCCCATTGAAAGCCCAAAACTGTCATCTCTTTCTAAGTTTCTATGAAGAAGAAGCTCAAAAGAGTTCTTATCAGCCATCCCAACTCCTATAGAAAACTTGGGGAAAACTTGTAAAAAGCTACTTCCTAAATCAACTGCAAAACCGCCAGGAATTGGATACATGTTTGCCCCTTTTCCTCTAGGAGTTGTTGGATAGAACCTTCTTTCTCTAAGATCGCCTGAGTTTGAAGTTAGAAATCATTTTTCCCTTGTGATATCGTTGCTTGAAAATCTCATCAAGATTTCTTCATTTGTATAAGCATATACACCAAACTCCATTGTGAACCTTTTTCCTCCATATAGAATAATTCTTTGATAATAAAAATCTTGGTCATAAAATTTTTTGCTCCTTCTCCATAGTACTTCAACCATCTCAAGCAATTGACCCTTTGATACATAAATTTTATCTAATTTTAAGTCAGCGATGCTATTTCCTTTGCTGTTAGGACTAAAAAGATAAGCTCCAGCATCTATGCCTGAATAAGTCCAAAATGTTTGTCTTAAATCATATGTTGCACTTGATTTTGCTACCTTTTCAATCATTCCAAAGTCGTTGAATAAAATATTGAAGTTTTTGTCACTGATTTTTCTCTCATTTTCTGATATCTCTGACTCCTTATCACAATACTCACACTTCTCTGTGTGCTCATTGATAAATAAAGTGACAAAGGAAAGAGGAGGCAGCTCTATCTTGATATAAACGGTTTTTTGCTCATTATCTAACAGATTTTTTACAGATTGTGAAGAGATGTTTTCTCCTTTCCAATTTTTTATCTCTAAAAAATTTCTACTTTTTAAAGTAAAACTTAAAAGCTTCAAAATTTCCCAATTTAACGGATTGTGCACTATCACTACTTTATATGGCAACGTCAATGAAAATTTGGCTTCTGACTCAGAAAACTTTGATTTTATAGCCTCATTTATTGCTTTTACTGAGGTTTTTACTACTTCTTCTAGGCGAAATTTGTAATCTTCATAAACCTGTGGCCTACATGTTCCTGTTATTGCATCGTGATGTAGCATAAGGCTTACATCTGAAGAAGAAAATTGTTTCTGCAAACTCATAGCCTGGACTATTTCTGCAGCTCTAACTATTTTTTGAGCATAATAAATATTTTGTTTCAATAATGGCCGCGTGGTATAAAAGCCTGTTCAAATTGCATGATCCAGATGCCCAGTCCAACTCACTCCACCTGAGCTCGGCCTTAAGTTTACATACTGAAATAAATCTCCTTTGTATACCGAAAACTCTGTATTTTTAATTGCCTCAAAGTATTCACTAGGTGTCGCTATTTTAATAGTCAAATCTTGGTATTTGCTTGATTTAGCTATATAATCTCTAAGTGCCTCCATATGCTCAAATTTCAGTTCCGCTTCTGGCTGCCTGCTATAATAAAAATCATCCCCATACAAAATCATGATTTTATCATGCTTATAAGCAATCTGTCTTTCCTCAATCATCAATCTAAGTCTATCAGCGCTAAATAATTTTTACCATTTAATTAAAGTGTCAGTAAGGATATTTGATGCCCCGAAACACTCACTTTTTCATTGGTTGAACATTTCAGGGAAATCATAATGCTCATATAAATTATGCACAAAAATAGACTCGTGATCTCCAAAGTTGACCCCTTCCCATATAAATTCAAGATTTCCTTCCCTTATGAGTTGGTTTCTAAAGTTAATATTCATCCTGCTAGTCACTAGATTTTCATAACCAAATTTTGCTAAAATGCTTGGGGTTAACGCTGAGTGGCCAAATGGATCAATTTGTCAGGCGACTTTTACTCGGGTTATATTGAAATTTTCTTTTAAAAATTGATGGCCTGTTTCTAATTGTCTTATGACCATTTCGAAATCAGGGTTGGCTTCGTCATTTTGAACGTATCCGCCACCCACGATTTCTATTTGCCCATTATTAAGTAGATTTTTGAATGTATTCTTACTCCTCCCCGTCCGTGAGTGAAACAAAAAAATTTTGTTCACTCACAGAGGGAGTTAAATTTTTTTTTTTAAAAAATTGAAAAAAATTTTTTTCGAAATTTGAAACAAATATTAATTTAATTTATAAAAAATAAATTTATTTTTTAAACGCGCAATTTGTTTAAAATTAAACAGAATTAGCTAGAGATTTCGTTATTCTAACCATCACTATATATATATATCAATTTTTTTTTCATAAAAATTTTTTTCTATTAAAAAATTTTTGTTTCACTCGCGGAGGGTAGGTTTTTGGGCAAAAAATAGAGATTTTTCCAATGGTTTGCACACTCACGAAGGGGGGAGTTAGTTTCCTCTGACTGCTCTCGCATCCACATTTTCAAGAAAACAGTCTCAGACCAAACTATTTTCCTCTTTGCATCTTTTTGCAAAATGGACACAATGTTGTTTAATATATGCTTAACGTCCTCTTGATAGTACTCCTGAACAGTCTTGAGTCATCCTGGATCACAATGCGAATGTGGGACTATATAAATTTCATAGCATAAGCAGTATCCAAGAAATAATAAAAATCTCCACATTAATATATTTTATGATAGAATAAACAGAGCACATTTATTTTAGCTTTATTTCAAGTAATTTGTCTAATTTTAAGTCTTTTATTATGTTTGGATTTATTTAACTACTCCTGTTACTCTTTTCGCTTTTTCTTCGACCTGAAGTAGAGAATGATGCTCATGACTGAAATCCCTGACAAGCAGATTACAACTGCATATTCCAGCCTTTGTAGAGCAGTAACACCTGTTTGGGCTGACTCAGGGTTTTCGATAATCACTGGAGCAGTCCCATATACATTTTTGACTATATCGATGCTAGGGTTTCTAATATCTTTTATAGGAATTCTGTCTATTTTTTCTTTCTTAGCTTCTTCTTGCTTTTCTTCGTTTTCAGTGGCCTCTATTGTTTCTGCTTCTCCATCATGAGATTTTGAGTACTCTTGCTTGCTTTCTTCTTCAGGGGTTTCTTGGTTTTCTTGAGGGATAAAGACAGCTTCAGAGTCACTTTCTTGCTCAGCTTCGGCAATTCCTTTATTTTCAATTATTGGTACTATAGGGTCTGCATCTGCTTGAGAACTTTCTTGTTCTATTGCAGGCTTTTCTTCTTCGTTTTCTTTGGTTTCTTCTTTAGGATTGGTTGTCTCTTGCTCGATAGGTTCTTGCTCTCTTGGTTCTTGCTCAGTAATGTCTTTCTTTTCAGTAGTTTCTTCATTGGTTTCTTGAGTTTCAGCTTTTATTTCGTTTTCAGCAACTTGTTCTTCATTTCTCTCTGCTTCATTCTCTACTGTTTCTTGAATTTCTTTAGTTTTTTCCTCAATTGCTTCATTTTTCTCCTCAACTATCGATTCTTCCACCTTAGCAGGCACAACTTTTACTTCAAAAGTTGCCAATTCAAACGGTTTCAGCAAATCCTGTCCTTCATTCTCCTCTCGATCTCCCTTTGCTGCAAACTTCGGATAGCTGGAATCAGGTTTTTGGCTGAAAACAAATTCATCTCCTTTGTCCCATCTGCTTTGTACAGTATCTGCATCTAAAAATCCATCAAATAATTTTTTATTCAAAAATTCAAAACCATTTACTGATAGTTTTTGGCTTGTATCTTTTAAGTTTAGAACTCTCATTACTAATTGGCTATTTTTAGCAACAAGACTTGACAAATAAAGGTCGTTACTACTAAATCCTAAAGAGTATACGGTCTCCCTTTTCCAGTCTTTTTCTATGAGTTCTCCTTCAAGCCAAGGCTTATCAGATATAGAAAAATCAGCTAAATTAGACAGTGTGAATGTATAAATATCCGTTTTGGCTTCAAGATAAGATTTCCAATAGCTTTTTTGTGATAATTTGTTTAATTCTATTTCAAAGTGGTAGTGGACGAATTTCTTGTCATCTACCCCTGTGGAGAGCCCAAAATTGTCATCTTGGCCTAGGTTTCTATGAAGAAGAAGCTCAAAGGACCCTTCATTGACCATTGCAACTCCAATAGAAAATTTCGGAAAAACTTGCAAATACTCATCATCAAGTTTTACAGCAAAACCGCCTGGTGCAGGATACATATTTGAGCCTTTTTTGCTAGCACTTTCTTGATAGTACTTTCTCTCCCTCAAATCTCCTGAATTCGAAGTAAGCAGCCATTTTTCACCATTAATATTATTGCTTGAAAATCTCACCAAAATTTCTTCATTATTAGTTGCATATAATCCGTATTTCCAGATAAATCGTGATTGGCCATACAAAATTATTTTTTGGTAATAATAATCAATGTCAAAAGATCTTCTCTGTCTTCTCCATACCACTTCTACTGTTTCAAGTATAGACCCTTTCGATACTAGAATTTTGTCCAAGCTCATATCAGTTATTTCATTTCCATTGCTTGGAGGGTGAAAAATATATGCCCCACCTCTGTTTCCTGAATAAGTCCAAAATTCTTGTTTTAAGTTATAATTCAAGCTAGGTTTCGTTATTTCTTGGACGAGCCCGAAATCATTAAAATTAATTGAGAAATGTTTGTCTTTGATTGATCGGTCTGTTTCTGATTCTTCTGATTTTTCGTCACAATATTCAGAGTATTCAGTTTTTTCAATAGCAAATAAGGTAACAAATGATAGTGCTGGTAATGATAGTTTCATATAGACTGTCTTTTTATCATCAAGCAGGTTGCTGACTGATTGCAATAGGACGTATTCTCCTCGCCAATTTTTTATTTGGATAAAAATGTCATTGCTTACTTCTAAATGAAGTAGGCATGTGGCTTCCCAGTTGAGAGGGTTGTAAACAATTAATACTCTATAAGGCAAAGCTAATGCAAATTTAGCTTCTGCTTTAGGGAATTTGTTTTTAATAGCGTCATTTATTGCTTTTCTTGCACTTTTCTGCTCATCTATAAGTCTGTTTGTGTAGTCTTCTACAACTTGAGGTCTGCAAGTACCAGTAATAGCATCATGATGCAGTGCAAGACTAGACTCTGAAGCAAAAAATGATTTTCCTTTGCTTAGGGCAAGAACAATTTCAGTAGCTCTTACTAATTTGTGGGTGTAATAAATAGTTTGCTTTAAGTGAGGTCGAGTAGTGTAATACCCAGTCCAATGAGCTGGTTCCCACCCAGCTCTGAAATTAACATAAGGCAACAGATCTCCTTTGTAAACTGAAAGCTTAGGCTTGCTATTTTTAACTGCGTCAAAATACTCACTGGCTGTTGCTATTTTGATCTTCATGTTTGGGTACTCATTTGATTTTTCAGCATAGTCTCTTAATGCTTCAATTCTTTTATATAATTTTTCTCCTTCATCTGAGTTCATATAGTAAAAATCGTCACCATATAAAAGCATCAGCTTATCATGCTTATAAGCTGACTTCCTTTCATTGAATAGGTTATAAATAATGTTCAAGCTAAATAAAATTTACCATCTGTTAAGGATATTGTCACTGATAGGCCCATAGCCAAAGCAATGGTTTTTATAGGGGTGAAGCACCTGAGGTGGATCATAATGGTCATACAAATTGTGAGTAAAAATCGATTCATTGTGCCCGAAATTCACTCCTTCCCATAGAAACTCAATGTTTCCGTCTCTCCTCAGCTCATCTCTTAGCCCTACATTGATTCTGTTTGTCACCAAAAATTCATATCCGAATTTTGACCATAAGCTAGGTGTCAAGGCAGAGTGGCCAAATGGGTCAATTTGCCATCCAACCCTTACCTTTGTGATCCCAAATTCTTTGTTAAGGTATTGATGGCCAGTTTCTAGCTGCCTTATAACCATCTCAAAATCTGGGTTAGCTTCATCATTCTGCACATAGCCACCTCCGACAAATTCAATTTGCCCATTTTTGACGAAGCTTTTAAAGAGGTTTATTTTTTCATCTGATTGTTCGTCCATCCACATCTTCAAGAAAGAAGTCTCTGACCACACAATCTTCCTTCTTGAATCCTTTTGCAAGATACTGACAATGTTATTAAGGATGTTTCGAGCTTGTCTATCATAATACCACTTTACAGTTTCGATCCATCCTGGATCGCAATGTGAATGTGGGACTATAAAGATTTCAAAAGCTGAGCAAAAGGTTAGAAGTAGAAGAAAACCCCACATTTACAATGCTAATTATGTCGCTAAGTAGAAATAATAAGAATAAATATTAATTTATTCTGATAGTAGATTTTATTCAATGGGGTAGGTTAGCTAGGTTATTAAAGTCAGGGGATATATTGGTGCACAGTCACCAAAAGATCTCCTGCACGGAATGTTCAAACGCTTTTCGACTCCAAATCAGAGGGTCTTTCCTACGAAGGCGGATTGCACTTTTGGTACCTTCTGTCTCTTCCTTACCTTGCGGCTTCAGTTTTGAGTGGGCGGCTTATGGATTTCTCCAGCCTTGGTACAGTCAATTGAAGTACCTTGACTCCAAGGATAAGCTCCATGGAGTTTGTCGGGGGTGTGAAGCACCTTCATTCAACAGCTACAGGAAAAAGACTGCTCCACTGTAGCCTGGGCCAAAATTCCCAGTTTCTGGGTAGAGGAATGCCCATTGATCCTTGAAACTAAAGGAATTGCCAGGAACCTCCATTTCCAACCACATGAAGGCAGCCAAAACCTAATAGATACACATTACCTGATGGAGCACTTGTTTCTCAGCTCGGAGTCCGTCCCAGTTCGCTGTGGCCATAAGGTCTGGACTGTGAGAGCCAAGAGGGGCAGGTTGACATGTGCCACCATTTATAGTATATACCTTATTCAATGTGAATTTATGCTATTTTCAATTTAATCGCTGGAGTTCTTATTAATTATTTACTCTCTAAATTAATCATTTTCCCCTTATATTTACTTTAAAAATGAGCAGCATCATTTAAATTCCATGGCAGTTCTTCAATATACCCATAAGGATTTGTCTCTTCAATTGGCTTCAATAAGACATAATTTCCCCTATTAAACCCTGTGTTGTTTTTCAGCTGCTCTCTGACGTTTACTCCTAAATGCTCATTAGTATCTAGCAATCCAAATGTAGAAATAGTATGATTATAAGACCCCATTATTTCTATCAATCTGTTTGCACCTCTTTCAGTGAACGGGTTTCCTGATAGGTCGCACTCAAATAATGTGGAGTTTCTTTTCAACGATTCCGCCAAATTTTCACAGAAAATATCGTCAAGGTCATTATATTGCAGATACAAAATATGCAGGGACGAGTTGAACCTCAAACTGTCAGCTAAATATCGAGCTACGTTAGAAATGAGTCCGTTATAGCTTAAATCTAGCTTAACAAGTGTCCTATTATGCTTCAGCATATCAGCAAGCAAAAGCATTTGTCTTGCCCCTAAAAAGCAATGGGAAAAATTCAGCGCAGAAATATTTGAAACTTGCCGCTTCGAACTCAAGCCCGTACATAATGTCTCAATACAGTTTTCAGTTAGTTTTGAGTGAGGCAGTGCCACAGATGTAATTATTTTATTTGCAACCACAGCTCTTGCTATATATTCTGAAGAATTCCCTTCAACACTGATAGAAAAATGATATAAATTCGGATGCTTTCGTAGAGCTTGAGAAAAGTTTATAATTGCTGTGCTGTCTGCTGATAAAGGGTTAGAGGAAACACTATATAAAACTTACTCAATCCATTCATAATGTGAGTCTTCTGCTTTTAAAATATCGACAAATTTCGAGGTAAAAGCTCTTCCTAAGTCATTATTTGATAAATTAATTCTTTTGATTTTTTTACACAAAAGCAATTCTTCTAATTCTATTTGAAAAGTGTCACTTAAGCCATTTCCTGAGAGCTCAATAATGTTGAGATTAGGTAACCTTTTTACTCCAGTAACAAAATTTCCAAAATTTTCTTTTGTAAGGTTTTTCCCAGCATACCCACAGAGACTTACTTTTGATGCGAGTTGGGCTTGGCTTTGATTTAGGGCTTTTTTCTTAGGGCCGCCGAATTTATCTTCTTTTGTTAATTTTGGAAGATCAAGGCTTCTAACCGCGTCAAGAAATGTTTGCTCTTTTACAAGACTTTCAATGTTTTCAGCTAATGCTATCGGAGGACCTGCAATTTTTTCCCATTGAAATGGGATATTTATGTCATGTCCTGCAGCCCTGACATATTCTTCTCTGAGAAATTGAATGAGTTTATCTCATAATTAAAATATGGCGTCTTCGTCTTGGTATGGCCTCCCGGCCATACATACTCGACTCATATTTTAATTATATCCGGCAAGTTTTTACCATTTCAGAGATGGACTGCAATGCTAGGTAAGCAATTCTGGTAGCTTTCAGAGCCTAGCCCTAGTCTGTTCTTAGGGGTGGATTTTTCTCTCGTGGGGAAAGGAGGGTGCAAGGTTGGAAAGGGGAAGCCCAGCAAAGTCCTCTGGACCATTCGGGCAACTCCCTAGCGTGAAACTGGGCGTTACGTCCCAGGCTTTGCATTTTTCCTTTTTGCCGATAGCCGACCAGAAAAATCCATTTTTTTGGGTTTTTTCGGAAAAAGCAACCCATGTACAAGCAAGTAGCTCATCCATGAGCCGTCGAAGACGTGGACATTTGCCCTAGAAGCACCTTGGAGATCGAAGCGAGTCTGTCCCCAGCGGACTGGTGGGCCCGATGCGACGAAAGGCGAGTGATAAACCTGGGGTCGTAACCCCGTAGTGGACGTTAAGCGATATAAATACCATAAGATAAGAATGAGTTTATCTCGCTCTGAAATTTCATCTCTAATATTCATAATTTAAATTATGGAATTTTATACTTCATAGTCTAAAAAAAAACTGCTCATAAGATTAGTCTTTATTTTCTCCCAAAATTAGGTATTATTATTAGAAATAGATCTAATTAAATTTACTGCAGAATATATTAAAAATCCCTTATTTAAAAATTTTATATATTTTCTTTATGGAATAGCTATAAACAGCTATATATGCAGATTTTTGTAAATATTTTATTTTCGCATGGAATATTAAATGGCAAACTTTCTAGTGAAACGCACTTCAAATTCAACCCCAATCCCAAATAGTATTGATAAACTTGAAAGGGCAATCAATTCTGCACTTTCTCAAGGAAACTTAAAGCTGGCATGTGAGTATTTATCAAAGCGACTAAACAAATCAGTTGATGCAAATACCCCAAAAGAAATTGAAATCCTAAATATTTTTAAAATATTTTATAGCAAATTTAAAGAAAAATTTACAAAACTAATAGAAAACGAAAACTATGACGACGCAATTTCATCAATGAAAACTCTGGATAAAATAATTTCTTCTCATACTGAAATAAATTTGGCAAATGAAAGATTAGATCTTCTCAATAATCTATCTGTAGCTTATAGAAAATCTAACAGGACAAATGCTGCAAATGATGTAGTCGACAAAGCATTGACTCTATTTTCTATGCCAAAAGTACTTAAAGAAACCAAAACTTCTATTCTTTTAAATAAATGCTCAATTTTATCAAGCCAAGGGGAGCATGAAGAAGCTCTCCTATATTCCAACAAAGCTAAAACTTTAGCTAAAACTGACTTTAAAGAACACAAAAATAGTGAAAAATCCCAACAAATTACTCTTCTAGCAGTTGCTTATCACAACTCTGGGGTGGAAAATGAGCATCTAGGAAATATTCGTAAAGCACTTCATAATTACAAAAAATCTATTGATTTCTTATCAAAAAACGGTACCAAAGAGCATTCCTCAATGCTCCGTACCTTTAAGAAGCTTTTTGAAGAAGCGTCCAAGCTTCATTCTTTTCAGAGCTCAAAGCATAGCAGAGAATCCTCATTCCCTGCTGTTTCAGATGGCAAAAACTCAGAAAAAGATCCCCCAAGAAAAGCAGCAAAATCGTCATCGTCAAGAGGCAATTTAAAATCAGCATCTACCAATGATTTAGCATTGAAAAATCGTGCAACCAATGTTTCACCTTTCTCTGTAGAAAATTTGTGAGAACAGTCTGAAATAAGCGAAACTTCTAGATCAAATGCATTATTTGAAAAACCCCCAATAAGCAGAGGAACTGCAAGGGTTAGAGGAGGAAGAAGAAAAATTGGGGCAGAAAGCAGAGCGTCAAGTAGTAAAAACAGCTATGAAAGCAGTGAAATAGAAAAACATTATATTATCAGCAGAGATTCGAGTAGTAAAAATAGTTCTGAAAGCGGAAATTCATCAAAACCTAAACCCGGAACGATTTTTAGAATTGGGCAAAGTTCTTCAAGTTCTAGGCTACCTGAAAGTGGCGTTATTACACAGCGTGAAACTTATGAAGAAATTGACCATTTTTTTGCAAAACCGTCAGAAGAGTTTATGAAAGAAGAAAAAATTATTTTTGAGCCTGAGAAACCAAAAGAAATACCAACTTTTAAATATAAAATCCCTAAATGGTTTGTCTTGAATGAGGAAGTTCCTGTGCTATCAATAAGCCAGAATAAGGATTCTTATATAGAGCAAAAAACATCAAATGCCAATAAAAATAGAGAAAACTTAAATGAGCTTGGAAAATCAAAGAATTTATTAGAAAGCTTAAGATTGGACAATTCAGATACTAAGCTAAATTCTTCTAAAAGTGAAAAGGCTCCATACTTCACTTTTCAGGCAAAATCGGTACCAAGAGCGCAGTTGAAAATTCCTGATTTAAGCAGCTCAAGATCAGATTCATTAGAAATAAAAACTCAAGAGCCAATAAGTGCAGAGCCAATAAGGTCAAATCATTCTATAAGCAGTGCCACGGAAATCCAAAAAATTGAAGTCTTTAATAGACAAGAAACAAAAAAGTTCAAATTGCAGCCTAAAATTTTTAAGCACCAAAATAAATCAGTTTTGACTAAAGAAGACTTAGAAAAAATGAAAAAAGCAGCAATTTTAATTCAAAAGCACTTTAGAAGACATATAGCACAGGATTTCTTGATTATCAGTAAAAAATATCAGAAACAAAAAATCCTTCTGAGAACCTGCAGAAAAATACAAAATAAATTTTACAGCATCATTATTTTTCAAAATCAAAATTTAATTTCTGCCAAAGCTTCTGAGGTTGGAAAGCTTACTAATGAGCTTATATATACAGTCCCAAAAAACATGACAATTTCTCCTCGAGAGCTTGCAGACAGACTTGATATAGATGGTTATCATGCCCTTTATTTGCCTGAAAAAGAAGCTAATAACTCTGATAATATAAGATGAACAATGGTAACAAGAATAATGAAAAGAATCCAAGATGCTGGGTATTTATTTCAATTTTACTTAAATGAAAATAACTCGAAATTAATGATTAAAGCTCATGAGCTCGGTAAAAACAAAGAAATTTGTTCAGTTTTTGAAGAAGATATAACTCATCTTAATGAAGAAGATTTGATTAAATATCTAAATACCGAAGTTTTAGAAAGAATTGATATTCAAAATGAAAGAATAATTTTAAATCCAAAAATAGAAATTAATAATGAGCTACCAAATCTTAAGGATTTTGATGAATCAAAAATAGTGAAAATTCAAAGATTATTCAGGAAAAAGAAATCACCATCTAAACCCAAAGCTGATGCCTCAAATCCTCAGCAAAGTTCATTTATTGCTGATTTCCTAAAATCACAACAAATAAAAGATTTAAAATTTCAGAAATTTGGGTTTTCAGAAGAAAATGAAGAAAATAATGGCCAGAATTTTCCTAAACTCCAGTTTGGAACCCAAAATGAAGATGAAAACCAGCAAGAATCAGAAAAAGAAAGAAAATTTACTAGGCCTCAAATAGAGCTGCTTACAGATGATCTATTGATTAGAAGTCAAAAAATATTTTTTAAATGCATATATTTAATAAGCTTATATAAAGAAGCTATGAACGGAAATGAATATATAAGAGTTGAAGCATTTCCTACCAAAAAACTGCCTAAGCCAGCAATGGCTATGATGAAATTAAGAGAAATTTGCGAAATTCTTGAGCTATGAGAGAACTCTGAGGTGTATGACCATAAAGAAGAGATAATTAAACATGTTGATATAAAACAAGGAAAAGTGATAATAGCAAAACAGCCTGTTTCTGAACCAGTGAACAAAGAACTCCTATTTACAGGAGAAAAAAAATTAAATACAAATTTTAATTATCAAGTAACCTTCTATGAAATTGAAATTGATGAAATAAAAGAAAAAATTCTGATTGAGGCTGCAACTCTTCAAGAAGTCATTCCTATTCACATATATTTGTCAGTTTCCAAAGAAGAAATCGCAGAAACCCTAGAAGTTAATGTTAAAGATATCTATAAAAACTTGGATAAGCTGGCAGATTTATTATCACTTGAGAACTCAGAGCTTCATATATATAAGAAAAAAGCTTCAAGACTCCCCCCAGCTATCTTAATAAGTCTGCCTTCTATAAGGCATTATATAAACGCATCAACATCTAGTAGCAAGTCAAGTAAAATTGAGAGTCCAAAATTACCAGAAATTCCACCAACCGATACAATCCCTTGCCCAACTGTAAATACTCTGGCTATTCCTTCAGTAAAAAAGATAAATCAAAAAATTGAAAGCCATTCTATTCTTCCCAAAAAATTGATTTCTATGGAAGAAAAAGCAGCCATAACAATCCAGAAATTTATTAGGTCTAAAAATGCAAGGGAACTGAGAAAACTGCTCTCTATGAAAAACTACAGGGAAAATCATAACAAAATTTTAGGCCGAGGTGTAAGATTTATTAATGGCATTGCATATATGGTTACTGTATATTCCACAAAAAAAGGTATTCTAGTAGAAGTAAGAGATATGGACCAAGGCAATTTATTAGAAAAAATAATTGATCCACCTAATTATATTTTTGGGTTTTCGAAATGGAATAATATTAAAATGATAATTGACTCATTAGCGATTTCTAATGGAAAACTAGCGTTTTTACGCAACTATAAAAGGCATGAGAACATTAATGTCCAAAATAGAGATTATTCTTATTTTGAAAATGCGGTTGACGAAGGTTTATCGTTAGAAACTGCCACCTTAAGGCTTCAAAAATGAATGAGAATTGTCCTAGCTAAAAGATTATTGATACGAAAACGAAATGAAGCAACCCAAAAATTGATAATCAACAAGAAAAAAACTATTGGCGGAGAAGATTACATGGTAAGTATTTTTCAAACCGCAACTGAATATATAGTCCAGGTCTATTCTACAAATAAACCTGCAAACAACCAATGAATATATACAAAAAAATACTCATTAGAAGACCTTAAAAATATATATGGAGATATCGATACAGAAAATATTTTCAGAGAAATTGAAATACAGAACAAAAAATTAGTTTTAATCAAGCCTAAATATTTTGGAGGTGGCGCTTACTCCAAAGTGCAAAGAAATCGAGGAGGCACAAGCCGAATCGATGAATCCTCTTCCTCATTTTGCAGTATTTCTGATGAAAAATTGATAATGTCACAAGAAAGGATTTTAAACTTTAAAAAATGTATAGTGAATATTGGCTTAGATAAGCGCTATAATCAAAAAGCTAATAAAGAGTCTGAAATGATCATTTTTGATGTAGCACCTGTATCAGATGCGCTATCAAGAAAACAGCTTTCAGTCGATATAAAAACAGCTTCTGATAAAGTTGGAATACCAACACAATGGCTGGTTCCTTTATGCAAATATCTGCTTGACAATTGTTTACAAGTGGGCGAATATAGTATCAATTTGAACATGGATGTTCCAAAAATGGATATAAATTTAATGGCAACAAAAATACAGAGAGCTTATAGAGGCTGAAGGATTAGAAAACTGATAGGGAAAATTGTAAAAAGTGCCGATGGAGGGTTGATTGCTATGCATAAAAAAAATATCCATGGAAAAGTTTATATGATCTATGCTTATGCACAGAATAAAAGAATAAAAATCGAGGCTGAATGTGGAAAAGAAACGGTTGCGATGTATTTGGATGCAGAAATATTAAAATCCATAGGTGACACCACGAGGAAAAAATTTTTAGAGACCAGAATTTTTCCATATATAGGAATTCATGACCAAGGAATTCTCCGAAAATTGTATTTTGAGAAAAGAAATACTGCAGCAAACACAAATCTAGCTGTAACTTCAAGCCAATCTATCCTTAAAACAGAGCCTGAGCCTCAAAAAGCTCTTAATTTGCCTAATATTTCAAAAAACCCAAAAAATTTGTCGCAAGCTATTTCATATTTTAACCAAAAAGCTACAGAAATGGCGAAACTAGAAACTTCGGGTGATGTGATAAAGCGGAAAGGACAAAATCCAAGACAAAAAGATGATAAAAAGAATTCAAGAGAAGAAATGAAATACAGTCGAAGTGGAAGCTCTGTAAATCAAAGTTTATCATCAAGCCGCAACATAAATTCTAGTGTAACCAATACTTTTTATTTATCAGAACCTCCAAAGCTTCTATTTCAAACAGTTTCTTCAATCAATAAAACTTTTTAAAAGATTGCTAGCTTAGTTTAGGCCAGAGTTATCGGCAAGCTGATCCCAGCCCCAAACATGTGAATCCCATCATTTTAAGAAGCCCCAAGGTGGGTTTTTACCTTGCTAAGGCCCTATGATAGTTTTTTTTCTCGGCACAGTGCTAGCTCATACTTCTGAGGAGGTACTATTTACCTGTAAAAGGTGTAGAGCCCTAGAATGAGGCTATGGGCGGTAAAACGCATACCCTAATCAATATCAGGATTTAGAAAGTCCTTGACCATTAATTATCCCAAGAGACTGGTGACGTTGACAGGAAAAGAGTGAAATGTATAACCTCCGGTGCCCTAGAGCAACCTTAGCCCGAAGTCACTCAATAATCCTCTACGACTCACATCAATTTATCTAATCTTCTCTAATCTAATCTATCAATAAACGTCAATTGTCTATATCATTATACGGGAGCTCTGATGGAATTATAGTTGAAACTGTGGACGCGAAAAATATCTATTTATTTATGAATATTGAGCAATAAATTTTACAAATAAAATAGCTAAAGGATATTTTAATTGCTTCTAAAGACCATTATTTATTAAAATGGCATAAAAAATTATCCTTGCAGCTAGAAACCTCGATTCCTTCTAATACTCCTGAAGAAGTTATCGAAAGGATTTGTCGAGATATAATAGCGCGGCTATATATTGATAAAAGCACAGGAGAAGAAATGCTTGTTTTAGGCCAAGGAGAAGTGATATACAAAAAACGGCAGATGATTTCTGATAGAAGCTTTTTAGTTTCTGGTATAAAGCGGCATGATGGGATTACTCTCACTGCTTTTGATCCTGGCAGTAAACAGATTTTAGAGTGTAAAATAGGAAAATCTGTATGGAACGAAGAAAACTTGCAAGAAGAGCTTGAAAAAGTTGTGAAAAAATTAAAAGTTGTAAAGATACTTGGAGATGACGCATTAATTTTAAATTAATGAGAAATATTATCCATAGAATATATAATCAAAAACCGATTATATCTTTTCTTTATGAGCAATAAAAGTAATTTTATAATAAATACTAATTATTTTCAGTAAATAAATATTCTGCTTATTCAATGAAAACAAAATGAACATAATAATCAAAAGAATGAGAAGCCAAATCGACCCAAGAAACAATCGTTTGGTCCAAAAATTGATAGATGATGGAGTGATTAAATCAAGCCAAGTCACTGAAACTATGCGCTCTATTGATAGAGGCTTATTCATCAAGAAAGCTGACGAAAGTATTTATTTCGATTCTCCGCATTCAATAGGATACTGCGCAACTATATCAGCCCCTCATATGCACGCATATGCACTTGAATGGCTAAAAGACTATTTAACTCCTTATTCTCATGTATTAGATATTGGAAGCGGGTCAGGATATTTAACCCTTTGCATGTCTGCAATTATGCATAAAATGGTGCATGAAGTCTGACCCGTCCTCTCGGGTAACGGCTACTTATATATATCTGGGTATGTGTTTTTGGCCATTAATTTGCTCAGCAGTAGTTGGGTGCCATGCAGTGAAGGACCTAAGCACAAATCCCTAGTTTGTGGGCTGACCCAATGGACAGTTACTTGTGAGTTCTTTTGGCCAGCAGCCAGTGGGCATACGATATTTCCTTGCTCTACTGTGGTTTGCCCCTAATCGTGGAAGCGGTTGTGCATTTTCCCAGGGATGACCTGAAAAATGGGAGTTAGACTAGACATCACTTATCAAATTGGTTCTTTTATTTCAGGGCCTTCGGGCGATCTGGCTAATGAATGATAGGTAGGCCGGAATAATTAGAAGGGCAAGAGACCAAGTTGAAAATTATTGTGCCCGGCGAAAGTCACCAACCCAAAAAGGGAACCACTACCAAGAAGCGGGGGTTTCAACCTGAGTTTTTAGTTACAAGAGGTGGAAGCCAATTCACTTTCCACCAGGCGACTCAAGTTGCACAGAGTGCCATTCCATAGATGCAGAGACCTTAAATATGTAGCTTAATCTAATCTTATTTTTTTATCTCTGCAATGATGGGCTTTACTGGTAAAGTAATTGGTGTTGACCACATTGATAAAATTGTAGAGGACTCTATACAAAATATTCGCAGATCCCATTCCGAAGTATTGAGTAGTGGCGCAATAGAAATGTATACTGCTGATGGCCGTAATGGATATCCATTATATGCTCCTTATAAAGCAATCCATGTCGGAGCTGCAAGTGATGGGATCCCACAAGCGCTTTTAGATCAGCTTGACGTAGATGGAAGAATGGTGATTCCAGTCGGCCTTCCAGGGTCTACCCAACAGATAAATATAATTGACAAAGAAAAGAATGGGAAAGTTAGAATTAGACAAGCTTTGGCAGTGTCCTATATTCCTCTCTGTGAAAGAGAAAAGCAATGACCTCGAAGTATGTAATTTTATTTAATTATAATAATCATGGAAAAGACTGAGTGGCTTTTGCAAAATTTAGATAAACTCGATGAGGATCAGACAGTGGAAGCTTATAAGCTGATGGGGAAAACTCTAGTTTTACCTTTTTGTGCAACCTACGCAGTCTCTGTGATGGCATTCAGCAAGCTAGTGACCCCACGCATTATGAAATGGCCTGCATCCTTGCATTTGGTGTTGAGAGTTTTAGTGCCTTTATCGATTGGAACTTATTCTATAGGAGTTTCAACTTATTATACACATTCTATGTACGAGAAATTCTATGAGGATTTTATTGCTAAACAAAAAGCTAAAAATGAAGAAGGCAATATAATAAGCTAAGGCAAAATTTCATTTTTATACAAAATTAAGATATGTTTATTAGAGATTTATTTAATTTATAGTTGTTGATATCATTTCATGCTCAAAGAACATCTCCTTTAAGTTATCTCTTTTTAAGGAATTTTGTTTTTTCCTAAAAATTACATAAATGATCAAATAAAATAGCACTGCAAACCCCATTATTGCTTCAGCATTGCCAAAATCCATGCTTTCTGCAAGAAATCCTGATAAAGGGGGTCCACAGATTTCACCAAAAAATATAGCAAAGCACAGCAAACCTGATAATGAATCAGAAATTTGGGCTTCTGTGTACTGCCTAAGGACTTTTACAGAATTTTCAACCATATCAGGAAGCACTGGAAGATTAGATAAGCCAAGACCAAATCCTAAAAATGCTCCTGCCATTACAACAATCCATAATTTTTGAGGTAGATAAAATAAATACTCTCATGGCCCCACATGAAAGTTTGCCATAGAAATAAAAAACAGCCCAATGCTCATAATAAGTTTCTTCTCTCATTTAATATAGCTTAACACAACAGCAGCCAGTGCATAAGCACCTGATGGTAACGAGAAAATGACTCCAGTCCAAGCAGTGCTGACACCAAAAGAAGCAAGATGATTTGTCAGTGTTGGATAAAGAAAGCTTAAGCTCATTATTGATATAATCTGAACAATTCCATTATAAATCACAGTCGGAATTTTGGCGAGCTCTGATAACTGTATTTCATCTCTATTTTTATTATATTCTGCATCTCTAGGTAGCATTGTGTATATGACCGGGACAAAAATTAAGAAAATAATTCCATAGGTAAAAAATAGAAAGGAAAAACCGCCGATTGAGTAGAGTGCTGATCCTATCAGAGGTCCTACTAAAAATCCAATGCCTGCTGTTGACTGAACTAGGCCAATAACTGATTCCATTCTATCTGGATATGTAACTGCTACTATTGCAAACGTAGCAGTTGTATTAGCTCCTGCTCCAAGGCCTTGTCCAAATCTGGCTATAGTAGAAATAATAATAAATAATTGCCGATTAATATAAGGAACAAATCCAAATGTAAGCATTGCAAAGCCTTCACAAGCGCAGCCAAATACAAGTAATTTTCGTCTTCCTATTTTTGATATAAATTTTGCGAAAATTAAAGATGATATGCTTGCAGCAATCGGATATCCACTGAAAATAACCCCTACTAAGGAGCTTCCAATTCCTTTGCTATTTGCCTCTGAAGGGAAAAAAGGTGCTAAAATCGAATATACTGAGCATGATAGCACTTCTGTCAAAACTAGCGCTATTAAGGCGAAATCCATTTTAATTATTAAATTTGTGACTTATTTAAAAAGATTTTTGTAAATTTCTTTTTCACGGCTATAGCTTTTCTTCATAATTGCTTTAATCCTTTTAATCTCATTTTCTACCGTTACCCCCATCTCTTTATCCCCTTTTTCCTGGCTAACTCTTTTGGCTTCTTTAAAGTCTTCTAAAGCTCCTTCAAGATTCTCCAGCTCTTTTCTAGCTAAGCCTCTTCTATATAACGCTTTAACATCTGCTGGATTCATATCAAGAATTTTATTTGCGTCAACTGCAGCCTCATGCCACCTTTCCAGTTTCAAATTGCAAAGGGTGATATTTCCTAATAGAGCGTTCCTTATCTAAATAAAAAATACAGGTCTAAATTTGTGTGGATCATCAGTTATGGGGTCTATTGTGGTATTTGCAGCTTCATATTTTTCAACTGCGCGGTCATATCTGCCAACCTTAAAAAGCTTGTTTCCAGCTTCTTTAATTCTCAATGCTTCATCAGCTCTGTCTTGTGTAGTCATGTTATAGTTTGTTCTTCCCATTTGAAACGATACGAGTTTTATATAAAATTCTGCAGAATGTTGGTTTTCTTTTGCGTAGGTATCAAAATTATATTTCTTATCCAGGCCATCGTTGAGATAATTTGCATGTAGTCCCATCAAATTGCATTCGACCTTGACCAAGTCTCCTTCTTTCATCTGCCTCAAGCAATGCGTCCATAGCGAAGGCACCTCGTCTTCATCCATAATGATCTCTAGAGGCTCTTGGTCAAAATTTGTCAGTACAGTTTCTCCTTCTATATCTAATTTATATAAAACCCTCACATGTGCATTTGTATTGGGCAGATCTTTTCCTGCCCCTTCTTCTATAGTTCTCTTATAAAAACTACCATCAAGGTACATATCTTCTGCTTTTCTCATATCAATAATTTTTATGTCGACTAAAAAATCAGCATCAGTCACTGGGTTTGGCATAAACCTTTCGAAATTGTCACGAAAATATTTATTATGGATTTTTAGCTGCGCTTCTTCTTTGAGCTTCATTGTTTTGAGGATTTCTATGAGGGCTTCAGGTACGCTTTCAGGGACTATTACAAGCTTCAGGTTTGGCTCTTGAAATACAGTTGCTCCTTCTTGACGGACAGTGATATCAATGGTTATGTCATCTTTATATTCAATGGTGTCGTAGCCAAAGCCAACTTTTGTGATAGTTTTAAAGACAGTACCATTATTAAACAGATCTTTTTCTTCACCGACTATGTCTTTGGGGATTTCAGGGTTTCCAGAATTTTCTTCAGAAGTGTTTTCGTCTTCGAATTTATTTTCTTCCATAATAAATTATAAATCAAGCTATTAAGATTAAAGAATTTTTAATAAACAAAATTTCTCTACTGTGGAGCTGCATTTTCATTATTTTTTTCATCCTCAACTTGCTCTTCCTTTCTATTGATTTGGGAAATCGTATCAAATGTACATACCAATAGCCTTCTAAGTGTCTGAAGCTCAATAGCTGCGATATTTGTCAATTTCAGCTTAGAATTTTCCGGTTTTAATTCTTTTATGATATCCCTGATTTTCGCAGTCCTTAGATCATATAGATCTTGAATAAGCCTTCCTATAACACTTTTATGTTTTATATCTTCTTGAGCATGGGTCAAAAGCATAGAAGAAGTTTCTAAATAGTGAAAATCAATTTCGGCGAAACCCTCAGTTTTGCGCTCGACCTCGACTTTATTGCTGAGAACTTCAAGATCCATTCAAGAAGGAGGAACAATTTGGCATTTATGCTGCTTTTTTAAAAAAATTGCGAGTCATAATGGGACATCTAGAGGAATTGAGGGCCGAAACGGGCCAAATTGGCCACATAGTAAGATTATTTGGTCTTCTCTGAAGTTTGGGACTATTGTGATTAGTTGGCTTTCAGCGAAAAATTCAGTTTCTGCCATAGAGAGCTCTATTTCCATTTCCCGCTAATTTGATAGAATTATCATATTTTACTAACCCCCTTCGTGAGCGAACAAAAAATTTATATAAATTTTTATAGTAAATTTTTTTTCGAAATTTAAAAATCCCAATTCAAAGCAAAGATTAATTTAAGTTGAATAAATTATGATTTAGAATGAAAGCTGTTTAAAATTAGCAAATCAGCTAGAGATTTATTATATTAATTATCTCTTATATTAAAATATTTTTTAATAACAAATTTTTATATTAAAAAAACTTTTTGTTCATGTAGGGTATTTTTTTACCAAAAAATAAGGATTTTTCCAATGTTTTTGTTCACTCACGAGTGGGAGCAATTAATTAATTCCAAATATTTTCACCGAAAAAATTGCAAAATCTACTAAATTTTAGCATAAATTAATAAAATAGCAACATAAAGCCTTATCAATATACATGAAATGGAGAGAGTAGAGCAACCTGCTCTCTCCTCGTGGCGGACGTACTTAGGTATATCCAGACATGGTTGTTTGTACAAAGAGCTACCCAAGGCTAGATAAGCCTCGAAGTGAGAGGCCCAGTGCTATTTCTGCTGATGAGTGACCTGGATCGAGCGGTAGTTTTTTGCATCTTTTTGCCGGCAGTCCGGGGCTCAGGTTTGGTTTATGATAGAGGCAGGGCGGGTTATCTGCCTAGAATGCTTCGCGGCCTGTCCCGAATCGCGCAATCGGCTATGTTTCCCATTTGGTACTGAACTAGGGGAAAAGGGAAGATAGCTAGACAAGAACTCAAGGGGCACAATCTCTCCATTTAAAAGAGTCCCACAAAAGGAACGATCTGGTCTAAGCCAAGTAGTGTTGGGTAAGTTGATTGCTTGGGAGTTTCCCGGCGAATTTTGCATGATTTGGAATATGGAGAGAAAATACCTGTACTAGAAACCCCGGGCTCAAGTTAACTGCAGAACGCAAACTACACGATTAACACAATTTCACTAATGGGGCTCAGGAAGTGGGATTATAAACGCTCATCTTAACCTAATCTTAAAGCCTTATCAAGCTCACCTTGGAAAAGATACTTGATTCAAGTGCAAATTCATAAAAAATATTATTTGACTATTATTAATAAAACCAAAACATAATCTTCCTCTATTTTTATGCACAATTATTGATTCAACCAGACAAACAATTCACTATGATCATTACAAAAAACCTATTTTTTTACAGATTTAATTATTCAAAATTTTATCAAGTGGAAATTAATATAATGTTTTATACGCTATTAACTATTCTTTATGATGGTCTAAAAGAAAGCACTCAAAATCCAATAGACAATGACGATTTACTAGAAGAAATGACTTGAGAACAATACGCCATGAATAGCTTTGTGGCAGTTTTATGTGTGCTGACCGGAGGTCTGGTCTCCGGTCTCACAGTTGGTGTTATGGGAATTGATGAAATTGACCTTCTTCTGAAATTAGAAGTTGGAAAAGAAGACGAAAAACAACAAGCGAGGCAATTAATTCCTTTAATTAATCAGCATCATTTAGTGCTCGTAACTCTTTTGCTTGCAAATGCTATTGCAATGGAAGCTTTACCATTAGTTTTAGATGAAATGTTTGACAAAATTATTTCTGTGCTTTTATCAATTGTTTTTTGTGTGATTTTTGGAGAGATTATTCCTCAAGCTTTTTGCACTGGGCCTGACCAAATTAAAATAGCATGCAGGATGGTGCCAGTGATAAAAATACTGATAATTTTATTATTCCCACTTGGGTATCCAATATCAAAATTTTTAGATTTAATCTTTGGAAATGATCATTCAGCACACAAATTAAACAATGAAGACATCAAAACTCTGATTGCATTGCATCAGTCTGAGCCTGAATCCCCAGCAAAAGAAGGCCATGGGCTTGCTCCAAGTCAAATCCGTATGATACATGGTGCTATCGATTTATATAAAAAAATCGTAAAAGATTACATGATTCCTCTCGAAAAAGCTTATTGCGTGAGCAATGACTTAATGCTGTCTAGGAAAGCTGTATAGTCCAGGCCTACTTTTGGCTCCGGCTATAACGATGTTTCCTGACGTCGGAAGGGGAATTGGATTTACCAACATTTGTTGGTAAAACCAACTCCCCAGATGGTAAATCCACTATATATATCCAAGATTTGCCATCAGGGGAGTTGGTGTTTTTATAATAAATGCTTGTAAATCCAACTTCACTTTCGAAATCGGGAAACTTCGGTATAGCCCGAGCCAAAAGGAGGCTCATGCTATAAAAGGAATTATGAAACAAGGGTATTCAAGAATCCCAATTTTTAAAGCAGAAAATAATCACGAAATCATAGGGATTTTATTGACCAAAAAGTTATTATGCGCAGATAATCAAAAAACCATTGCAGATGAGCCATATCTAATGAAACAGCCTATAAAAGTAAGAATTAACGATACAATGATGGATTTATTAGGACTATTTTTAGCGGGGAAAAGTCATATGGCTATTGTTATGGATGGTGTGGTCCCTGCAGGGCTAATTACTCTTGAAGATGTAATGGAAGCAATATTAAAAGAAGAAATTTTAGATGAAGAAGACCATGATGAAATCATTAAAGTTGTTGCTGAAGCATTTGTGAAATCTAGGGAAAAGAGAGGAAACTTGTTACAAAAAGTAGTGAAAGGAAGGAGAAGGAGCTTTTCAAAGGTTCATTTAAGAATAAAAAGCTTATAATAAGGATGAACTATTTTTTATTATAATTTATAAATTAATAAAATACATTTGCATAGAAATTAATTTTAACATATATTCAATACTTACTCTTTATTAATATCATTTTTTGCAAATAAATTTGATAATTACAGCTTATTATATTCCACCAATCCTTCATATTCCAATATTACCTCTTAATCGACCTTCATATAAATTAATGGATCAATAAATGTCACCTCCAGCTTTAATTTTCCATCTCAATAAAATTTTCTAACCCCCTTTCCTCTACTCAAGCTCAACATTATTTCCTTCCTATCCCCTTCTAATTCCTATCCATTATTCTGATACTCACACTTAAATATCTTCACACATCACTAATACTTAAAAATATGAGAAGTCCAAGGAAAAGAAGCTACTCTAGAAGCAGTTCCCGGAGTTACCGCCGGCACAGGAGATCTCCAAGCTATGACCGTCATGGTCACCGGCATAGTAGAGACCGCTATGACAGCTATGAACGCCACCATCGCCATAGATCTCCTCATGGTTCAAGGCGTGGCGGGATTTCAAACCCTCCTCCAGACCATCCAGAAGCCAACCCAGGGAATAACATCTACATTAACAACCTCTCAATAGAAACCAAAGAAGACGAATTAAGAGAGATCTTCAGCAAGTATGGGACTATCAAAGATATGAGGATCATTAAGGATCCTTTCACTCAGGAATCAAGAGGGTTTGGGTTTGTTACGTATGAAAAGGTTGAAGATGCAGGAGAAGCTATTAAAAATTTAGACAAAACTGAATTGCAAGGTAAGGTAATTAGAGTGGAAAAAGCTAGAAGAAGCAAACCACATGAGCCAACTCCTGGGAGCTATAACGGACCACTTGCAGCTTCAAGTAAATATAGAAACTCATATCATAGAAGAAGACGAACTCCATCACCTCTAGCTCGCTCTAGAAGAGATCGCTCAATATCTAATTCTCAAAATCGCTAAATAATTTTCTCCACCAGCTCTATTAATCTTTTCAGCACCATTTGCAACTTAAAGGAAGAGCGCTCTTTCTTGTCATTAATTCTCCATCTACCCCATAATAAAAATACGTCTTTCCCAACACTTCGGGCCTTATTATAAGCAAGACTATTATAGAAACATAAATATATCGTAAATAGTGCTAGGAATAAATACTTTTATTATTCTTAAAACAATTCAAATTGAATGATGGCTGATCTGATATTTTAAGTAAACAATGATGGAAAGTTACAAAATTTAAATTCAAATTGTGAAAATTGGCTAATGGAAAAATAAAAGAGATTTATAGAAAATAAATTCAATTTTGGTTAAAAATGTTTATTTTGGTATTTTCTCGTAATATTCATAATAACTCATCCGATTTTAAAAGATTATATATCCTAGACAGCTTTATCCAATATGCCTATTTCTAAAGAATTAATATAGGCCTTTTGCTTTTTATAGCCCTGTAAGGGCAGTAGATTCTGTCCGATAATCCTTTGGTTGGTGGAACCAACTCAATGCATTGGTCGGACCAACTCACTTGTTGGTTCCACCAACCAAAGGATTCCGGACAGAATCCACAGCCCTTACAGGGCTATATAGGGGAAAACCCTATATAAAAATTTATTATGGAAACTAGGCCGATAACAGATCTGATAAGAGACGCAAATCAATTATACAGTACATTTTATTTAGATGAGCAAAACTTTTCAAGAGCTTTGCTACTTTATAAGCAGGCTTTAGATATTTTATTTCAAATGTCAAAAGCACAGAGACCGCCTGAAAAGGACAAAACAATGATTCTTATTTCTCAGATTCTAGAAAAGGCAGAATATTGCAAAGCAGCAAAAAACTCCCTTGAAGAGCAAAAAGTCCCACTTAGAAGAGCCGTAACTACTAATAACAGAGGCCAAATAGTTTCTCCAGTAAGAAATTCAGTGCATGTTAATCAAAATCTTAGCCCAAATCCTGAATTAGCAAACTTAGAAAGAGCAATTGAAGGAGAAATTGTAGACAGGTCGCTCAGTGTTAAATGGGACGATATTGCAGGGCTAGAAAGAGCGAAAGAGATGCTAAGAGAAGCCATTATACTTCCATCCCAGTTTCCGCATATATTTACAGGCTTAAGAGCACCTCCTAAAGGCATCATGCTTTTTGGTCCTCCAGGTACAGGTAAAACCATGCTTGCTAAAGCTGTAGCTTCCCAATGCCAAGCCACATTTCTTACTCCCCTGTTAGAAAACAAAACATTTTGTAGCTCACAGAGGAGGTTAAAAAATTTATACATAAATTTTATTTCGAAAATTCAAAAAAAATCCTATTAGTAGATTTGGAAATCGGAAATTAATTATTTTTAAAATTTTATGTTTTAAAATGCAAGCTAGATATTCCTTTATGGTAATTATTACTTATGGTCAAAATATTTTTTCATAAAACAAGCTTATATGGAAAAAATTTTTGTTCTCTCAAAGAGGGAGTTAGTGTTTCTTCAGCTACACTTACATCAAAGAATTTTGGAGATGCTGAAAAATTAGTTCGAGCCCTTTTCAGTGTAGCTAGGCGCCTTCAGCCTTCAGTTATTTTTATAGATGAAGTAGACTCAATTTTAGGTTCTCGATCAGACAGCCAGCATGAAGCATCACGAAGACTTGAAACGGAATTTTTAGTGCAAATGGATGGAGTTTCCTCTAACTCAGATGATCGCGTGATTGTGATTGCTGCTACCAATCGGCCACAAGAAATTGATGAAGCAGTAAGGAGAAGGCTAGCAAAAAGGGTTTATATAGACTTGCCTGACAATGAAACTAGAAAAGCGATGGTTGTCAAACTTATGGAAAACTTATCAAAAAAACTATCGCCGAAAGATATAGATACGATTGTAAAGCATACGAATTTTTACTCAGGAAGTGATATGACTGCGCTTTGCAAAGAAGCTGCAATGGGGCCTGTAAGAAATCTAAAGCCAGACAAGTTAAGTAAAGGAGAAATTCCACCGATTAGCTTAAAGCATTTCAAAGAAGCATTAAAAGTGATAAGGCCTTCGGTATCAAAAGCGACACTTGAGTTTTATGCTAAATGGAATGAAGAATTTGGAGTGGTATAACAAAATAAAACATTGGTTAATTAAAATATTGCTAAATATTTTTTATAGATCTTCTATTTTCGTATTTTAATTTTGCTGATAAAAAATTACTTTTTCTAACTCCCCCCCCATCCTTGATCGAACGATTGACTGTAAAAATTCCTAAAAATTGGGGAAATTAACCCCCATCCTTGATCGAACGATTTTCATATCATGCAATTTTTATATATATATAAAATATTAGTTATCAAATGCTTTTGAAGATGTGCCTAATGAAGTTGTTTTCAGAGCTTTGAGACGACAGAAAGCTGCGAAATCAACCATCCGAAGTGATTTATACATCAACCTAGGCTTAAAAACTCAATAGTCTAATAAAATAGAGATTCTTTAAAAATTAAAAAAAAAATTAATTTAAATTAAAATTTATACAGTTTAAAAGGGTAACTAATAAATCAAAATATTAAAAATTGGTATTTTTATGAAATTAATTCAATTTTTTGCTGTAAAAATAATTATTAAATACTCTTAACCCTCTTATTTAAAGTAAATAAAAAAAAATCTATATATATCTTTTTCATTTTATATATATAAAATTTTTTTCCAAAAACAATTTTTTTTAACCCCCATCCTTGATCGAACGATGGCGAGTCGTTCGATCAAGGATGGGGGGGAGTAAATAAAATCTATTAAATGCACTATGAATTTATAATTTTTATTATATATAAACTGTATAGGTCTTTAAAATTAAGATGGGTTAAGAAAGTGTGGAATTTTATTAAATAAAAAGGTAATTAAATAATTTAAATCACATTGAAAATTTCAATAAAATAATAATGGATCATAATAGTCTGGACCATGATAGAGAAGCTCATGAGAATCAGAATTTAAATATTGAAACTCTTTGTATTCATGCTGGGCAGCCTCCATATCCTTCAACAGGAGCACTAGCTATGCCAATTTCTTTATCAACTGGATTTGAATATAGCCATACAGACAGCTTTAGTGACTTAGAAAGACCTTTGTGTTCTACTGTCCAATCTTTAGAAGAGCTGATAGCAGCTTGTGAATCTACTAACTCCCTGCAAAACTAGAAAGCAATATTTTTTTATTAGTTAGCGGAGTGACTTTATATAATTTCTTTTCGGATTAATAAAAATTCAAATTTTTAATATTTAATGATTAATCCAATTTAGACTATCAATTTATATGTTATAATTTAATATATATTAAATTTTTATATTAAACAATTTTTCAAAAAAATATGGATTTTTCTAATTTTTGCATGCTAAATAAGTGGGTGTAAGTATGCTATAGCATTTCCAAGCGGTTTGGCAGCTATATGCAGTGTTTTTAACTTAGCATGCCCAGGAATGCACATTATCGTGGGCATAGATGTTTACATAGGTGCGAGATATCCTTTTTCCAAATTAACCAACACCATGGACAATGTTTCATCTGACTATATTGACTTTTCGAATATAGAAAATGTACGAAATGCTATTAAGCCAAACACGAAGGTTATATGACTTGAAACCTTTTCTAATCCATTATTAAATGTCCCTGATATTAAATTAATATCAGAAATTGCTCATCAGCACAATATTATTTTAGTTGTAGATAACACATTAGGGACCCCTTATGTAATCAAACCAATAAACCATGGCGCAGATATCGTAGTTCACTCAGCAACAAAATTCATAAACGGTCACTGTGACGTTCTGCAAGGAATCGTCTGCACGAGTGACCTTGAAATTTATCGAAAAACCCGTGAATATCAAAGCTTGATGGCTGACTCTCCTAATCCATTTGACTGCTATCTGGCTATCAGAGGAATGAAAACTTTGCATCTCCGTATGAAAAAAAGTGCAAAAAATGCTATGAAATGTGCATTATTTTTAAAATCGCACCCGAAAGTTGATTTTGTGAGATATCCAGGGCTTCCTGATCACCCGAATTATGAATATGTAAAAAGAGAGATGAGGAATGCAGGGGCTGTTATTACTTGGAGAATTAAAGGGGGAGAGGAAGAAATGAAGAATTTTTATTATAGTTTGAAAATTATTGATGTTGCTTATGCAAGCTTGGGAGGAGTGAAAAGCATTATAAATGACCCATGGTTGTCGAAAGCTTATCAAGAGACATGCCAATTGCCAAATAATATACTCACTTCCCCGTCCTTTATATTAGAACGATATTGGTGGATTTCTAATTTTGGGTCAAGTAGCGCCCCTTTTAAAGTGAAACAAAATTTTGATTTAATTAGCTTTAGCCCAACTTAGTAATAGTATAAGTAAATAGCTTATACTGCGAATAAAATAAATTTTTAATTAGTTTTCATAAAAAGAAATTTGATAATATATTTAAAAAATAATTATTTTTTGTTTCTAATTTAGATAGTGATTTAGATTTTCGGTAGGATGTGAGCATTATGAAGATTTAATTCATGATTTAAGCCAAGCTTTAGATAAAGTTTAATTAAACGATTAGATATATATGATATGTTTTCCTTATTTCATAATTAATTGCATCGATCAGTAAAGTTAAATACATGTTATCTTCAAAAGCCATCATAATTTATTAAAAAATTAATTATAATAATTATTCTAAACCAACTGGTAAAATTTAAATTTTTTGGCTCAACTAAACATTTAAAATATAGCATTTTTATATTTAAAAATTAAAATTTGCTGAAAATAGCTTTGATTAAGTTTAATGCTGGCAAAATCGAAAAATAGCCTATAAATTATTCTATTTATAAGTGAAATAATAAGAAAAAATACTATTTGAAAAAGGCAATAACTTGTATCAACAAATTGATAAAGGGAGAGTAAAATAAACTATATTTGCGTAGTTAAGAGTCATCTAAATCTTTTAGTGGCAATTTAATGGCAAAAACAATATTTCATTAATGCTCGAATTTTCTGAGTTTTTATGTTTTGGAGCAAATAATCTAACTCCTCTGATATTTTTTGAGCTTTTTCACTTATACAAACTTCGCACTTAAAGCCCCCACATCTGCAATTTTTGTTCGTCGTTTTCATTAAATTTCATAACTTTTCAATACTTTTTTCACTTTTATTAATTCGTTTCAAAAGCTTATTTATTTCTTCTTTTGCCTTTTCTTTATCTTTTTTTCGCTTGCTTGAATGGCTCTCTTCTCAATCTTTTATAATATGTGCCATTAAAGGTTTATTTTCAGTAATTGAAGATGCCAACGAGTCTATTCTTTGTCTACGCTTTTTCTTTGCATATGATTTCAGCATGAAAAATGAATTAAGCTTTAGCTTCCCAGAATAAAATGATCCCGCTCTTTCCATATTAGCCTTTCTTTTTAGAGTATGATATAAAAGAGAAATAAAAGGCTTTTTTAAGAGTTTTTTGGTATAGTGACGTTCTGCAAGAGAATTATGATACTTAGGATTGAGTATGCAAGCCTCGTGCAAACCTTTAAAAGCTTTATTTAGTAGTGACCTTTTATGAAGATTATTTATTTTGCAATTTTTTCGCCAAGACAATAAATATCTAGATTTTTGTAAATCCTTATAAAATGAATCTGCTTTTTCAATATTTTCTTGCTTTTTTCTATTTATTTTCCTATATCTTTTCCAGGCATTTAATATATTTCTCATCATTTTTTGACTCTTTTTTCTATTAATTTTATTTTGATAAAATTCAAATAGTTTTTTGATATCTTTTGGGTGTTTTTGTGTTTTAAATGTAAATTCTTGTGGACTTTTTCGGCTTTCCCCATAGTATTCTCTTTCATAGCTGCTAATTTCTTCTTCAATTTCATGCAAAAAAGCTTTATCTGATCCTAAATCAAAATCGACACTCTTAATTCCTTGAGTTGGCGATACAGGAATCCTTAAAGATATAGGCTCTGGGGAGGTTCCAAAACAATGTATAGGAGAGCATCGGGTTTCTTCTGTGATTTCTTTATTGCTTCTATCTTTTTTTAAAGAATAGCCAGCTATCCGTGGATCACTAAAGCCCGGGAGTCCTAATTGGCTTGCATCGAACCTTAAAAGTTGCTCTTTTTCGTTATATAAAATTTCTATAGTATCAATTTGATTTTTAATTATAGTCAAAATTATACGTAAATAATCTTGGTTACAGCCAAAAATAGGAAATCTTGTCAAGTTTTGAGCTTTTAAATATCTGCTTGATGGATTATTTACTCTCCCCTTTAAATTGGAAAAAGTTTTGATAAAATTTCCATTTTTGACTAAGCGCCCCTTTAAATTGAGGCAAAATCTAAGTTCTCAATTGATAATTTTATAGGTGGAAATTCTAATTTCTTTGTATATAGTTTTGACCCAATATATGGAGGGAATGCAAATAGAATTTTGTTTATTTTGAAACCCGAAATTGGTTGAGTTCTTCTTAAAAATATCAAAAATATTTGTATTATTTATGTTTTAATGAAAAATAAATTATAATTTTAATTAAAAATAACTTCATTTAAATTGGAGCAGATTTTTTTGCTAATTAAAAGGGAAGAAGTTAGAAAATTTATTGAATTTTCTGGAGGAAAAGGATAAACATCAATTCTAGCAGAATTTAAATTTAGTTTGCTAGTATAAGCGTTATCTAGGACAACTCCTAATTGATAAAATTGTAGTAGTTCAGTCTCAAACAACCTTTCTTGATCATCTATATTTATATTAGTTTCTTTTGCACTCTTTTCAAGAAAAGTTTGCAAATCATTTTTTCCTGAATTTTCCATTAAAATCAAGATTTCGCAAAACAATCATTTATAGATTCTAAATAATTCATCCTGGTCAAAAGAATTGCTATCATCATTTTTCTGTAATGCCTTACTAGCAGTTTCTATATAATTTATAATCATATATGGTCTGATAATTTTGTTGTAATTATATTTTGGAAGTTTAGGGAAGCCTTCAAGTTTTTTTAGCTCTTTATTATGTGCTGCGTTTATATCTTCCCAATATGGGCCAGTAATTGGATTAATTTTATTTTTCAAGGCATTAAATAGCTCATATTTGATTTTTAATCTTTTTATGTCAATATCTAAACTCATAATTAATTTTTCATTCCTATATAAGTATTTCATAAGTGTTTTCGATAATAAGCCATATTAGTCGGCAACAATGTGGAGGCGCCTTGGTGCAGCAAAGCAGATTGGGCAGCAGTCTGTGGTCCGGTATGACGAAACCGCAACGGGAAGCTCTGGGTTGGGGCAACCCCGTAAAGGACGTTAAACTTATAAATCTTGTGTAATGTTTTCGATAATAAAATTGAGTCTAATATATCTTGCTTAATAAAATCATGAATTTTTATATTATTTAGCTCAATTAGATGTGGAAAAATACTTAAGAGTAGCGGCAAAATATTTGGATGCAGAGATATAGGGTTTTCTTGAATATTTAAAACAAGTAAGTTATCAGGATTTTTTATTTTAAGAAATTCTGTAAAGCTTTGTATATAATTATGAGAAACATTTATATGTTGTCAAACATAAAACCCACCCACACCCCAAATACCAAACTAACTAGTATTGATAATAAGAAATATAAGAGATACTGGATATTTCAATATTTGCGTTTTATGCTATTAAAACGCGATTTAGAGCATGTTTACACATATATTTAATACTTTGTTTCATATCCCTACTATATAAAAATGTTTAGACTAATAAATAAAAGAGTTAATAGATAAATTCGCTGGATTGCTCTTAATTATCACATTTTAAGCATGAATTTAGTTGAATTATGCTTTAAATAGATAAACACAAATAAATCAATTCAAGCATAATTATGTATAATAGGCGCATAATATATATAACATCGATTTCACTAAATTAATGCGTTCCAACAGATATAATGTGCTAGAATAGCTTAATTACAATTAAAACATTATATATCTATTTAAATTTGATACAAAAATATGAGCGAAATTGGCTCGCCAAATAATTTTTTTATATAGTAGGGATATAAAATAAAGTATTAAATATGTGTATAAAAATGCTATAAATTGTGTTTTAATAAATTTAAAAGTAAAAATAATGCAAGATCTCTTATATTTCTTATTATCAAGGCTACGCAGTTTGTTACTGGGGTGTGGGTAGGTTTTTATACTTGACCATATATGAGTGAGATTTTTGAATTGGTTAATTCCGTCTAAAGTTTGTAAATTGTTGTGTGATAAATTAATTTTCGTAATTTTTGTGTAATTCAGAGGGATTGTGGTAATTTCGTCTAATTGATGAGAGCTTGCATTTAGATAGTCTCCATTGAAATTTGGGATAGAAGATAAAGCTTGGCTGAGAGTCTTTTTTTGTGAAAATTCTTTTTTGGAGGCTGATTGATGATAGGTAAAAGAAGAAGCCATTTTATGAATTTAAATCATATTGCAACTAAAATTATTACGAGTCTAGTATAGATAGACTCATAGTCTTTAATTAATTTAATTATAATATACCTTTTTGCAATGAATAGAAGGATTGCTACTGGTAACTCTTATCCTATTTTTATATAGTAAACGAGTGCAGGCTAATTGCTAGGAATATTTTATGCATTGAAAAAGGTATAAATTATTTTTATGCATTAATATAAATTTTGATGTTTTCCTTTCCATACTTTTCTCGACCTAGACTAGGAATTATCCTGGAAATTTAAATTTCCAAGTTCATTCTTATAGCCCCCATATTAGTGGAGATTCTATCTAATCCTTAAACTTTAATCATAAATAATATGCAATCAATTGAGAGACTTAATGCTTCTGATAGCGGAAATGCAAGCACTGAAGACCTTCTTATAATTAATAACATTGCAACATCATTAGATGCGACACAAATGCCTATAATCATTCGCGTACCTAGAGGACGTTCTTTTTTTGAAGAAAGCTCTAGCGAAGATGTATCAGAAAGGTCAATACATATAATTTAATAAAAAATAAAATAATTAATAAAAATTATTTTTATATAAAAAACCATCTTTATTAGTAGCATAAAATAAAATTTTAACTCCCCCTCCGTGAGTGAACAAAAAAATTTTGTTCACTCACGGAGGGAGTTAATTTTTTTTTAAGCAATTTATATATAAAATTTTTATAGAAAAAAAAAAATTTCGAAATTTTAAAAAAATCCCAAAAATTGGGAAGCAAATATTAATTTAATTTAAAAAAATTATGTTTTAAAAACGCAATTTGTTTAAAATTACACAGAATTAGCTCGAGATTTCATTATACTAATTATCACTTATATATCAATTTTTTTTTCATAAAAAATTTTTGTTCACTCATGGAGGGTTGGTTTTTTAGCAAAAAATAGGGATTTTTCTAAAGGTTTTGTTCACTCACGGAAGGGAAGTGGGGGAGTAAGTAAATTTATGTAAATCATTAGAAAGGCTTATTCGGACTTTTAATCAAGATGTCATGATAATTGATGAAACCTTGGAATCTTTATTAGAGAAGTCATTTAGTGAAAATTCCAGAGAAGACCCAGCATCATTTCTTGCTGACTTAAACTCTCAAAGCTGAAAATATCCAACAATAGACGACAACAACAATTCTTGTAGCTTCAATGATACTTTTTCAAATAATAAAAAGAAAAATTACATAGAAACACTTCGTGAGGAAGTTTATTTTGAGCAGCCATTCACATTAATTACACTTGGCGATAATGAATTGTTTTTGCATGATATGGTTAAGATTAAGATTACGATAACTCTCTGTCGACCCCCACTTAGCTTAGGATCTAACAATACAAGCCCATCCTTAATGAATTCCATCCACTAGCTGCTGGAGCAGTCCCAACGCTGATTTCCTTCAGAAAGAATGAACTTCCCTCAATAGGACAAATATAGGGGACGGAACCCCTAACTCATACATTCCATTTTTAATTGTGCATGATATGGTAAATGACAGAGAAAACAATATAAATTTTCCAGAAAACATAGAGCTTGACGCAGTTTGTGTTTTACCTGATGGACAAATTATAGCCACTTGCAAAGGAAGTTTACCATCATTTAGGTATCAAGCTTCTAATGGCTGAAATTATATAGGAGAGTTAATTCATGCAAGGAGTGGCCATTTTATGGTTTTTCATAAAGGGACTGTATATGTAATTGGAGGAACTTTTCAAGGAAAACTAAGGAGAGAGGTAGAAAAACTTAACCCAAATGACTGTTGGGAAGAAATTGCCCCACTTAATAATCCAAGGATGCACTCGTCAGCTGCATCTATGCAAGGGAAGTTATACGTGACCGGTGGAATATGTGAAATAGAAAATTATGCATCAATCGAAGTTCTATCTGGAAAAATATGATCTATTTTGGATGTAAAAATTCCTAATAATTTATATGGGCATGCTTGCTTTTTTACACCAGAGCATAAATTGGTAATTTTAGGCGGTATGATAGAAAATAATGGTTTATTCTGTAGAAAATTAATTTGACACTGGAAAATATACAATAAAATGCCACAAAAAAAATCCTTAAAATCATGTAAATTCTATAATTACTTTCAATTTAAGACAGTATATATTTTTTATTAAAAATAATTTTGAGTTATTAATAATTAATTTTATAAATTTATTCTTCATATCAAAAATAATCCAGCACGCTCAATTTCAATTATCACAGAAGGAGAAGGAGTAGTGGTAGACTCTCTTAGCTGTGAAGACTATTTTCCTTTAAACTCTTGGAGCTATTTTGAAGAAGAAGGAAAAATCATTATATGGGGTTCCAAAGCCTTATGGAAATTCGACATTTCCACTTTGACACTATATTTGCATAAAACCTGGCCTGTAATAAAAGATTAGTAATTGCATATTTTGGTAAATTTAGTATTAAATTAATATCAATTCAGAGATCCCTAGCATTGGATATATTACTAAATTTGCAATTGTGATTGCACCTCCTGAAGCTAGAATTTGTAAAACATGAAATATTCTCAAAAACCCGAATTTTGTGAAGGCAAACTTAAAAGTATTGTTAAAAACCATAAACTTTACTGTTCCACTAAAAGATCGGCTCTGCAATACAGATATTTGTGACTCTTTTAGCCCAAAAGATCCCAAATTTCTTGATGGCAAATCTAAATAAAGATTTATAAGCTTAGCCCTTCTGCATACTTCTGGAGCATAAATCATGTATTTAAACGGATTTTCGCATAATTTTGAATTTTCTTTATGTCTTTTTGCTATTCTTTCATAAATCAACCAGACGATAATCCATATAGCACAAACAATTATATTGAGAACAGGTACAAGTGACACAACCACATTAATAAGGAGTGAAAAAATTAAAAAAAATATGCTCTCATCAGCTCTTAAGCGATTTCACCACCTTTTCATTCACAAAGCATAAAAACAATTTTCGTCAAGTCTCTCATAACTACCCTCAGCTGTTTTATTGATTTTTGCGTTGAATTGTTTGATAGCATGATTATATAATCCCACCGGATCAAGTGAGGGAACATAAACATGCTTTCCACTATCATTTTCAATAAGTTTTTTAAACATGATATCGACTTGACTTTCTTCACCCATCTTATATTAATAAATTTTATTTTTTAATTAATTTTCGTCTTTTTTCTTAAACTTTTCCAAATAAATTTGCGGAAAACCGACCCTCCCTTTCATGCTCCCGAATTTTCTATCAAATTCATTAAGCGCTTGCATTCCTTCTTGAATTTCGTTAAACTCTCTCTCTGTATATCCGATAGAAGGCCTTGCCGATTGAACTCTAGTAGGCATTCTTGATGTGGTTGGTCGTCAGTCTGTCTCTTGTAAATCTGGCTTACTTAAAGTTTTTTTTTGAAAATCTGTCAAAGGGAAAGCATCTGCTCTTCTTGTGGTTAGGGGAATATATCCGCCTTTATTCATATAGATAGCTATAGCCTCTGGAAAATCCACATTTAATAGCCCTCGGGATTCAGGTAGCTCGTCTACTTTGGGAATTTTTCTTTCAGTTGGTGCTGATAATTGATTCAATCTTTCACTGCATTTTGAAGAGGGTCGAGATGGTTCTGATTTTATATGAACAACACCAGCTTTTTCTTCTTTTTCTTTGTTTTTTTTGCTGACTCCTCCCAAATGGAAAATCCTGTTCAAACTTAAAAGAGAGTTAATTTGTTTTTGAGAAAAAAATTATATTTAATATAAATTGAGTTAAATTTTAATTTATTTTTATGTGAAAACTATTTAAATGATACTTTTTTATTAAATTAAGTTAAAACGTAATTTTATAAGATATTATTATTTTCTTTTATTGAAAAAATATAAATCGATAACATTACTTTTTATTTTTATAAAAAAATAATCGATTCAGTATGAAAATTGATTAAATAACATTCTATTGTACTTTTTCCATTAAATTATGTTAGAACTAATTTTATATAAATTAATAATTTTTCCTTATTTTTTTAAATTTATAAATTGAGAAACAATACTTTGAATTTCAATTTATTTTTATGAAGAATTAATTAAAAAAATAAATTGATTCAGTGTGAAAACGGTTTAAAATAGCATTCTACTTGTAATTTTTCCATTAAATTAGGTTAAAACTAATTTTATAAAAAATTTATTTTTAACTACTGTTGAAAAAATAATTTTGTTCAAATTTAAAGAGGTTTAAAGTGCCCAATAAATGGAAATTTTGCCGATGTTTGTTCCAATTTAAAAGAGGGGAGTGAGTGTTTTAAAATCGTTCATGATTTTCATGCGGTTTTCGACATGTCATTGTTTCTTCATTTCTTCAGCGAATTTTAGAATTTCCATCTTGCAAGATGGAAATCCATTTTGGCTCGGCGACAGCAAAAAAAATCCCAGAATTCGGCCGTGCAAAAATAAATAAAACGGCCGAAGGCCAAGGGGTCGCAGATGGCAATTCTCCGGGGTGGGGTGCAGGCTTGGGCTGACTGGGCTTCCCCTCGACCCACAGACAAGATACCGACGGCGCAACATCAATCAAGCACTTCTGGAGGAGCATTATGGTGCCTGCGAATGGCACAGGTGGTTCCAGAAGAAGACAATGGACGATCCTCTCATACCCTGAGCACCACCAGGGGTTAAGAGAGTCCTTGCCGAAATTTTTTGATCCAGCAGGGTCGGGTGAGTCTCCCCGACAGACTGAGGACGTCACCATTTTTGATGGCTCCGAAGAAAAAGGGCGGTAGGTGGCTTTAGTGCTTAGTGCCACATGAAGCACGAAGCTGAAGTCCGACTGGCTAGGGGCTGAAATAATCCCCGCTTAACCTCTCTAACTAATCTCTCTCTCTCTCTCTCTCAGCGAATTTTTGTTCCTCAATTTTTATTTGTATATTTTCAACAGCTTCCTCATCAACTTTTATAATTCTAGGATCAATCAATAAATCCAATTTTTCAGCTGGCAAGTCATTATATTTATCAAAAATCGAAAATTTGTGATGCAAAGTGTTGGCAGAAGGGTTTTTAAATGTGACAAATCTTGCATTAGTTGTTTCTATATCAGATTCTAGAATCGAAATTTGGCCACTTTTAATTTGTCTCTAATTTGAAAATTACAGCTTCTCGTTCTCTTTTTCGATGGTTAAGTATTCTATTTTACGTTTATGCTTCTCATCATGTTATTTTCTTAATTTATATGGAAAATTTAGCATAATATGGAATAATTCATTATAGACTTCTTTTCGAGCTGTTGTATAAGGGACTGCTGACGCTGTAGACGGACGAGTTGACAAAGGTTTATATGGCTGCTCTTGAGAGCAGAGGTAAAGTTTTGAGATTTTAGGTGATGAATGGTGGATAGAGTTTCACATTTCATTGCGCTCGTGGAAATAACCATTAGTTTTGACTCGGATTGCTTTTTTTGGCTCTTCCCATGGTTTTGGGTATAACTGATTATTTATGAACATTATTATTTGAATCAGAAATAATTGTTTCGATATTTAATAACCCACAATATTATTGATTATATATAAAATTTTAACTATCTAAATTCTCTAATTCTTCCCACAGTTTTCTGTTAAGCTCAATAGCTTCTACATACTCCTGAGCTTCCTGCATATGTAATGCTAGTAATTTCCACAATGGGTAAATAAAGCCATCAATAAATCCCATTTGATTTTGCTTAATTTTTCTAATATCATTTCCAATTCTCAAAAATTCGCTTACAGGCAGCCCTCTGGTTTCTTCTTGCATCACCTGTTGATTGAATTCCTGGATAATCCTCAGTGACCATACAGTAGCTAGTTCAAATTTATAGCATGGATTTCCAACATCAGCCGAATGCAAAACCATAGACATAACTGATTGTCTGTGGTCTTGGTTATTTTTATCATAGCCTATAGTAAAAATATTGGTATATGCCGTTTTTGCTAAATTAAACCCTTCAGATTGGCTAATTATAATAAATGATACTGTTTTCTAATTTTAATAATGTGAAAACCATATTAACGCTATATAATCACTCATTACAGTTTTATGTTTAGCCATATCAGTCCCTAATATAGTAGGAATGATAATCCTCCTCAAGTAATTTTTATCCTGCAGCGAAAAATCTGAAAATATATCACATCCACTGAGCTCAAGAAAATTTATAAGGGTTGCTGCATGGTGATTTTCTAACACTGATGCGTCATTGTATGTAATTGCTAAAGGATGACGAGAATTTACCATAAGCGCATTGGTTACTCCTGGGTGATTTAAATCGTGGCCATAAGAAGACAAAAGTAAAGAAAGGCGGTCCAGAGGAGTCAGGAACCGTTCATATTTCTCGGCTTTTTCACCAATTGCAAAAACCATTTGGGTTACAGATGTTGCATGAAAATAGTTGTGGAAGGGGTTATTTTGATAATTTTCTGACACTGCAAATATAAATCTCTGGAGTTTTTTGATATCTATATTGCATTCTATTGACAACCATATTTAAAATATTAGATAGCTAGCCATTTAACTTAAATCAGAATAGAATAAATGAAAAAGCCCAATAAAATCACTGAAAATATGTAACATAAAATCTCTGAGCTCACCTTTTTCATAATTAAAAGCTGCAAAATCCTTCAGCCTTAGTAAATTAAGCTTCTCTTCATTTGGAACAAAAGGATTTTCGTTTGAATATGCAAACTCTTCGACATTCGCGAAATATAAAGGTGTAAGAATATCGTTATGGATGGTTTCCATTCAGCGGTTTCTCAATGATGGGTCGACACGCTGCAAGTTCATGAAAGTTGTCTTGATAAGATCGACCTCAGCAGTTGTGGAGGGAATTTGATGTTGCCTGGATAAGTATTCAAGTTTTGTAAAAATTTTTCTTTCCTGAGAACTCGAGTAGATTATTTCACGAGTTTTAGGTTTTCTTGTTGTCGCTGAGCACCCTATTTTAGTTCCTTCACAAGACGACTATTTCATAACGACTATTTTTTTTTTGGCCTATTTTTTTTTGGCCTATTTTTTTTTCACCTATTTGTTTTTGGCCTATTTTTTTTTGGCCTATTTTTTTTTGGCCTATTTTTTTTTAGCCTATTTTATTTTGGCCTATTTGTTTTTCACCTATTTTTTTTTTGGCCTATTTATTTTTGGCCTATTTTTTTTTGGCCTATTTTTTTTGGCCTATTTTTTTTTGGCCTATTTTTTTTTGCCTATTTTTTTTTGCCTATTTTTTTGGCCTATTTTTTTTTGGCCTATTTTTTTTGCCTAGCCTCATTCATGAAGCTGCTGAGAGGACTAAAACCTTATTGAGAAACAGAGGCCTTTCCTTACGCGATTAATATTGAGTAAATTAAGTGAAAAACTCCTAATTAAATCTAAAATTTTCGAAATTTTAAAAGCAATGAATTAGTATTCATGGAGTAAGAAATCTGTTAAGGGTGCATTTTCCGTTGGTCAAATCGTCTAAAACACATTAAAAATTAGATTAAAACAATTAGTATGGAATTATGCCCAAATATTAGTAAAAAATAGTTAAAAAATTGTCAAAAAAAAGGCAAAAAAAATAGCCAAAAAATAATAGGCCAAAAAAAAATAGGCTAAAAAAAAATAGGCTAAAAAAAAATAGGCCAAAAAAAAATAGGCCAAAAAAAAATAGGCTAAAAAAAAAAATAGGCCAAAAAAAAATAGGCCAAAAAAAAATAGGTGAAAAAAAAAATAGGCCAAAAAAAAATAGGCCAAAAAAAAATAGGCCAAAAAAAAATAGGCCAAAAAAAATAGGCCAAAAAAAAATAGGCCAAAAAAAAAATAGTCGTTATGAAATAGTCGTCGTGTGAAGATACGCCCTATTTTAGTATTGATTTATTATTAATAATTACTTTATATATTTTTACAGAAAATTATTGGCATTTAGCTAAAAAAGTGTATATATCTTTATAAGCTGAATTATTAATGAATTATGAGGATTAATACCATATATTTTATGCAATATAGCGATATTTTTCTCCTATAGGGATGAAAACCTTAATAGAGAGAGGCATAATACAGAAAAGTTTTTTTTATTGCAAATAAGAATTTGATAATTTAGCTGAAGAAATGAAAGAATTGAGAATTAGATTTATTATAATAAGAAAATGGCTACAGAAGAAGACAGGATTAAACAAATCATGATGCAGCCTCTTCTCACTAATGGTGTTATCATGCAGCCTCGACCCGGCCCAAACTATATTTGCCATCGTTGTGGAGAAAAAGGCCATTTTATCAAATTTTGCCCTACAAATGGAAACACAGCTTATGACCTGAATCCAAAAAGGCTGAAAAGGCCCTCAGGCATCCCGACCACATTTTTACAAGTCGTTCATAGTGTAAACGATCAAGAAAAAGAGTCGTTGCTCGAGCTTTCTACTGGACAATACGCAAGGCGTGTAGAAGATCATGGAGATTTCAAAGAAGCCATGAAAAAATCAATAAAAAAGCTGCCTGACTCCTCTTATTTGATTGAACAATTCTTTCAAACTTCCCAAAAGTCTGGAAGGTAAAATACAATAATTTTATATATAATTTTTCCCCCTAATTTTTAAATAAATCCTTAATCGAACAAATGGGCTGTTCGATCAAGAATGGAGGAGTGAGGAACTTTCTTGTAATTTATGCTTTAATCCACCTAGAGTTGCAGTTATGACCAGATGCTGCAATTTAACCTTTTGTTTTGAATGTATTTCCCCACAACTAGTGCCACCTGATTATAAATGTCCTAAATGCCAAACACCTAAACAGTATGTACATTCATTAGTTCCAAATAATAGGATGAGGGAAATAGTGCAGGCAATTCAGAACGGGACGTTCAAGTCATATGAACCGCAAGTAGCTTAATAAATAAATAAAATTAATTTATTGGAAAACATGAATTTCTCGAAATTTGAGCTTTTAATACCGATAAAATAACTCTTGATAATCAGATGTACCTTAGACTCATAGTGATTTAGTTATTTATATAAATATTAGAATTTTAATAATCCCATTATTTTTGAAATTATATATGTCCTATATCTACTTTTATTTATGGCAAACAAACTTAATAATAAATTTATAAAGTTATTTTCAAATTAATTTAAGAGATTTGAAAAAAGCTTTTAACAATTATTAAAGATAATAATCAATTTCTCACAAATCTTCAATAATTAAAGTCAGTTGCATGAATAAGTACGCTCTTATAGCTTATCTTATTAAGTCCAAAATCTTAAAGAGTATCTATCATACCATCTTCCAATTCCAAATTGCAAAAATTTCTAATTATCGTTTAAAGTATATACACCAATAGGGATTTCTGAGAATTCTGATGTTAAAATAATTAATATCTTCATCAATTATATTTTATTTAAGATTCAAAAAAAAATAAACAGTCAGTATAAAACCGATTTTCAATTCCACTGAATTTTCGGTTTATAGTGAATGAGCCTCCAAATTGAAATTTATAATTAAAAATAATAGATTTTCAGGTTTATTCTTCATAACTTTCTGTATTTTACTTGTCAGTGCAGACATTTATAAAACATGCCATGCATTTTTGATCAGCCAGATGATGATTTCTGCGAAACTTTTTGGGCATATATCTCGAGAAAGGCTTCAGATAGACAGAAAATTACTTTAAATAGCTCTTGCCATCATGGATATCTTACTTTTTTACATAAGGGTAATCAAAAAAGAAGATATTTTATATTAAAAGACTCTTTTTTATATTACTGCAAGGTAAAAAATATTTAGTCATACAAAGATCTTACTCCTCTCATCATGGGGGCAATTAAACTATTTGAAAAATCTCTATTTTCAACAACTCCTTCATTGGCCAATATTTGTATAATTAAGTTTAAAAATTCATAATTAATTATTATAATGAATCTCTCAAGCAATTTCATTCAATATTAGACAGATTGCATTCTCAAATATAAACCTAATTAATTAAATTAGATTTGTTAGAAATTTTTAACAAAAAAAATTTAATAGGGAAAGTTAGGATAATAAAATACACAAATATATCATGGAAAAGGCTTGAAGTTTTTACAGAAACTCAAGAAAAACTCGAAAAATTTGGCTTCAAAATAGTAGGAAGCCGAGGTAGCATGGATTTTTACGTTGATAATGAAGATTCATTAGCAAAGTGATTGCCAAGCCTCCAGCAACAAATGATCAATATCGACATAGAAGACGACTATATTTTCATCAAAGAAGTCGGAAAAGGAAACTTTGGATACGTATTCGAAGGTGAGTGCATTGAAAACAGATCAAAAGTTGCTATAAAATCCATTACAAAATCTATGGTCAAGCGAAGCTATCTCGAACGAATAGTTAAAGAAATCGAAATTCTTCGAAAAATCAGGCATCCATATATTGTAAATATTTTGCGCGTTTATGAAAGTGAAGATTGCGTTCACCTAGTCTTAGACTACGTTGAAGGTGGAGAACTCTACCAAACAATCCTTCACAAAAGTAAATTCAGTGAAAGAAAAGTTGCAAAATTTGCGAATAAATTTTTACAGCTGATGGTTTTTATGCAAGAAAAAAATATTGTACATAGAGATTTAAAGCCAGAAAATATTCTTTTAGTGAATAAAAATAGAATCACCAATTTCAAATTGTGTGATTTTGGCTTCGCAGAAGAAGCCAGCGACGAAGGGCTTGATTTAGTGTGTGGGTCGCCAGGATATGTAGCCCCTGAAATATTAAACCAACAAAAATATTATTTTAAAGCTGATGTTTTCAGCCTTGGGATTATATTGTATATATTGTAAGTTTAACATAGATTGAGTGGAAGAGCTCCTTTTTCAGGAATTAAAGCAGCAGAAATTCTGAAAAAAAATAAAAAATGCCACATAGTATTTTATAATAAATATTGGAGAAACATCAGCCCAGAAGCTGCAGCTTTTGTATCAAAGCTGACTGATATATCGCCACTTTCCCGATACTCAGCAGTTGAGGCATTAAATGACAAATGGCTTCAAATGAATCACAAAAAACAAAAATTCAATGAAGCAGAAAAAACTTTTATTCCATTAGAAATCCCAGTTGTTTCTCCACAAACTAGAGACCCTGACTGACAGTCTGGGAATGACAAAATTTTAAGCATTTATGACATGAAAAAATTATCGAAAAATGAGCCATTAAAAAAGCTGACTGAAATGCGAAGACCAAGCAACACTCATATTAAAGGAGTTATTAAAGAGCTTCGAATGTTCGATTTGGCGCTAATGAAACGATAATTTATATATAATTAAATAACTATCTTTGAGTTTCTAGCAAATCTCCAGTCATCTTCACATATGTCACTCAGAGTTTTTTCTGATCTCCAGTTTAATTCTCTATTAGCCTTGCTAGGATCTGCTAACAAAACATCGACATCTCCAGGTCTTCTTTCAGCAACTCTTTTATTGATTTCTCTATTTATCGCTTTTTCATAAGCCTCAACTACTTCTTTGACACTGGAGCCTTTTCCTGTACCTAAATTATAAATTTTTACACCTGGTGTCAAATTTAATAAAGCAGAAATATGGCCATGAGCCAAATCAACGACGTGAATATAATCTCTAATCGCAGTGCCATCTGGGGTATTATAATCGTCACCGAATATATTTAATTGAGGCAGACTTCCTAATGCTACACGCTGTATATAAGGAAGTAGGTTATTTGGGATTCCTCTAGGGTCTTCTCCAATCAGCCCTGAAGGATGAGCACCTACAGCATTAAAATAGCGCAAAATTATAGCTTGGAACTCTGAATCACTTTTTGCGTAGTCACCTATCATAGTCTCTGAGATCAGCTTTGTCTGTCCATATACATTTTCAGGCTCAAGGGTATCATCTTCTGTATGTGGGAGAGTTTTTTCTTTATATACGCAAGCTGTGCTTGAAAAAATCAATTTTTTCACTCTGTGATTTCTCATAGCTTTTATTAAATTAAGAGTGCCAGCGACATTGACGTCATAATACAATAAAGGATTGCTCATACTCTCTCCAACTGCTTTTTTCGCTGCTAAATGCACTACTGAATCAATAGATTCCCCAAATACATTTTCTAACTCCCCCCCCTCCGTGAGTGAACAAAAAAATTTTGTTCACTCACACGGAGGGGGGTTAATTTTATGTTTTAAAAAAAGCAATTCGTTTAAAATTAAACAGAATTAGCTCTAGATTTCATTATAATAATTATCATTTATATATCAAATTTTTTTTCCATAAACAATTTTTCTATTAAAAAAATTTTTGTTCACTCACGGAGGGTGGGTTTTTGGGCAAAAAATAGCGATTTTTCTAATGGTTTTGTTCACTCACGGAGGGGGGGGGAGTAAGAATTCTGGATTTCTTATATCTCCTTGGTGAAAAATAAGTTTTTCCTCAGGGACCAATTTTCTGAGATTTTCCAAGACTGATAAATTTGCATTTGACAAGTCGTCAATAATATGGATTTTCTCAAAATGAGCAGAAAGTTCTACAACTATATGAGCGCCTATGTACCCAAGTCCACCTGTCACTAATACGCTCATATTTTTATTAATAAATATGTAATAAGTTTCCAATGGCACTGAGATTTTCACTAGTCGGCTCTGGACCAGCTGCATTTTTTACTGCAAAATCATTGTTGAAATCCATCCCAAACTGTAAAATTGATATTTTTGAAAAATTCCCTACACCTTATGGATTAATTCGATATGGGGTAGCTCCAGATCATCCTGAAATAAAAAATGTTATTACTGAGTTTTCACAATTAGGGCAATTAGAACAAGTAAGATTTTTTGGAAATATTAAAATTGTATATACTATATAGGGAACTGATATCACACATAGTCAATTAATAGAAAACTATTCAGCTGTAATTTATGCACATGGATCCAGCTCTGATAAAGCACTTGATATAATAGGTGGACACTTATCAAAGTCTGCAAGATCCTTTGTTGAATGGTATAATGCGTTGCCTGGCTGCGATAGTTTCAGTTTGAAAGGAATCAAAAAGGTCGCAATTATCGGGAATGGCAATGTTGCAATTGATTTAGTAAGAATTATGGGAAGCCCTATAGACCGCTTAGAAAAAACTGATATTTCTAATATAGCGCTTGAAGAGTTAAGGAGCAGTCAAATAGAAAATATTGAAGTTATAGGCAGAAGAGGAGCAATTCAAAGTGCAATGACTGTAAAAGAGCTTAGGATGCTTTCAAATATCCCAGGAATTTCTATAAGAGTTTTTGAGGATGAGATCAGAGACAGTCTAAATGAAAGCAGTCAAAAAGAAATTGATGTGAATTATGATAAAGAACATTTTGCCAATACCAGGGCCAGAAAAAGATTATTTGATTTAATTAATTCTTTCCCAAGAGAGCACAAAACAAATTCAAGAGTTAAGATTGATTTTAGGTATTTATTGTCTCCCATAAGGTATGAGCAAGGCATTTTAACACTACAGAAAAATGCATTGGTAGGGAATAGTTATAAACAAATTGCAAGGCCTTTAGATTCGACTATAGAAATTCCATGCGACCTTTTGTTCCGTAGCATTGGATATAAAGGAATTCATATAGATGGAGAGCTACCTTATGATAATAAAGAAGGAATTTTAATTAATACAGAAGGAAAAATTTCAGAAAACACTTATGTCTCAGGATGGGCTAAAACTGGGCCATATGGAGTAATTGATGCGACTATGAGGAGCTCATTTGTAAAAAATATATAGGAAACTGCGGAAACTATCATAAAAGACTACAATAAAGGAGTTTTCACACCAAAAGAAGATAAAATACACAAAATTTTAGAAAATAAGCCTGTTGTGACTTTTCAAGACTGGCTTAAAATTGATGCCTATGAAATCTCACAAGGAAAATTATCAGGAAAACCTAGAGAAAAAGTAAAAAATATTGAAAAAATGCTTGAAATAGCTTTAAATAGGTAATAGATAAATATGGGCTGCGCCAAATCTAGATTAATCCCTCCTTCTCAAGCCAAAATGCTCGGCTCCCAGCTAAGCTTAAAGACAGCTGACGGAAACACAATACAAGCCCAATATTTCAACCAAGGCTATAATGTGACTTTAATTATTTCTCATGGATGCGACGAAGATTTCAGCCAAATCGAAGAATGAGTAAAAAATAATTTATTGCAGACGTTAAAAGCGAATATTTTCATATATGAATATTCGTATTTTAATGATGGAGAAACTCAGGTTTCTGAATTTGGCTACTCAGACTGTGAGTCAGCGTTTTGGTTTGTTTATGAATGCTTAAGGACTTCTCGATCCAAGATTTTTCTATATGGAAGATCTATAGGTGTCGCTCCTAGCTGCCATCTAGCAGAAAAATACCCAGACGTCGGTGGCCTAATATTACAAGGCCCTTTAAACTATAATTTCAGAGGAAATTCTGATAATAAATTCACGTTTCCTAGGGAGATGTTCCCTAGTATTGAAAAAATGAAAAATATTAGATGCCCTATACTGGTAATTCACGGGAATAAAGACGATAGTGCTATTATGCCAAGTGCGAATGAGCTGTATAAGTCATGTAGAAGTAGCCAAAAACAGTGGCATTCGTTAGGAGTAGATCAAAATGCAAATCCATGCCAGGAAGAAGTATTGGAGACTATTAAACATTTTATGGATAAGTCTATATAAATCTTTGTATGATAAATATATCAATACAAAATTATGGTTTAGGACCGATATCTTTAATTTAAACTGTATTTTTTCTTTTAAATTTATTTTTGCTTCTCTTCTCTATATATAGCATTAATTCATTAAAGTCAACCTGATAACTAATAAAAGATGTCTGAAGCTCACTGTTTTTCTCCCTGCTGCTCAAATGCCCCTATAATATACTGTGACTGTGCAGACTCCTTTACTTTTATATGTGAAGAGCATGCTATTCCTCACTGTGAGTCTGAAGGATTGCACCACTATTCCAAAATCTTTACAAAAATAAATGAAGAGTCGAGAAACTCTGCCATTGAAACCGTTTATTATTTAGAAGCCGAACTTGAAAAGATTCGCAGTACAATTCTTCAAGAATCATCTTCATTAATTACTCACATCCAGCAAGTCACTGAAAATGCATTAAACAATCTTAAAATGTGTGATGAACAGCTGAAAGAGATTATATCACAAATTTCACAAATGAATGAAATTAATAATCATACATAAAAACGGCGTGGCGAATCAACCTGCCTTCTTAACACCTTAGCCGGAAGACAGTCTGGGTGCCTTGTGGTCGAAGAGCAGCGTTTGGTATATGTGTATCTGGCCAGGTTTTACTTGGTCTGGTGGAGGAGGACGAAACTTGGAAGTTTGAAAGAGATAACCCAGCAAGGCCAGAGGGCGTTCGCTTGGCAAATCGGGCATTTTCCCAGCGCAATACCGGGAGTTGCGCCCTGAGCCCTTGTCCGGAGGAAGCAACACAAGTCTTAGGCTGTGTAATCAGACTGGCGAGCAAGGGTTTAGTGCGAATCAAGTGACGTGAAAAGCTTTTGAAAACTTGCGGGAGCTTCTCTATATAACTTAATGAATGAAATTAATAATTCAAAGCCTTTAGGTTTCGCGGAATCGCTATTAAAAATAAAACCTGAAGAAATGTGCAAAGTCAGAGAGAAAAAGCTGCCAAAGCTGTATTTAAATAAAATAAGCCAGAATGCTGTGGAGAGACTGTTTAGACTGGATTCTTTGGAAAAAATATGCCAGGGTTTTACTCAAAAGCGTTCAGGTGTTTATAAAGATAGTCTTCCAATGAAAACTAACACCATAAAATTCGTATGAAGCTGCAGTGGTAAAAAAATCAGCTATTTCGATGCTGAAAGCCAAAATGCTTACCAAGTCGATATTACAAATGTAGATCAAAATCTTGATCAATATGGATCAAAATGTTTACTCCCAGATGGAAGTTTATTTTATTATGGTAATGGAGCCCATTTTATAATTACTGCTTCAAATGAAATCAAAGAAATTACAATGCTTTCTGAATGCCTAAATGGGTGTTCTGTATATTTTGATGGTTTCGTGTATGCGTTAGCTGGAAGCCCACCATGCTCCCAAAAATATAATTTATCTACATCTGACTCCCCCCCTTTAAATTGGGACAAAAAATTTTGTTCCAATTTAAAGAGGGTTAATTTTTTTTTTAAAAAACAATATTAATATAAAATTTTTTATAAAAAAATTTCAAAAACTTATCGAATTAGATCAATAAATTTGTTTAATAAAATGCTATTTACTCTTCATCCTTTAAAGCAAAGCAAGATATAACTAAATTTTCATTATTAGTTAATACATCACTATTAATTGGTATCAAAATTATTTACACAAAAATTATTATTTTTATTGATAAAAAAACATTAAAAAAAAAAATTAAAAAATTAATCGATCAAAGTGTTAATTTTGTTTAAATAAGATGTTATTTATATTCTATTCTTTAAAAAAAAGCAAGAAATAAGTAAATTTTGAAATTTTATAAAGAATTCCTATTTAATTCATACCAAAACTATTTAAATAAAAAATATAATTTTTATCAAAAAAAATTAATTTTTGTTTTAAAATTTAGCAATTAAGGATAATAAATTTATTTAAATAAGATGCTCTTTGTACTCTCTTCTTTAACAAGAGCAAAATATAATTAAATTTTTAATTTTAGTTAAGAAGAAACATTTAACTTATATCAAAACTTTTTAGATGAAAATTATATATAATGTTTTATTATAAAATTAAATTTTGTTCCAATTTAAAGGGGGGTTAATTTACCAAAAAAAGTGGAAATTTTACCTATATTTTGTTCCAATTTAAAGGGGGGGGGGTGAGTGAACTAACCTTGCAACTTTTCCTATAAATGGGATTTATTCGTCTTGTGCTCTATATGAGGATTTTATATTCGTTGGAGGCAGGGATTCAACCAAAGCGGTGTATTATGATATTATAAATAACTCTTATAGTGAAATTCCTTTAACCTTGGGGACTATGACTTCTAAAACATTTTTAGTAAGAAAAGAATCAATTTTTCTATTAGAGTTTTCAAAACAAATTTATGAGTGCAAAGGAGATTTTAATAGTTGGGTTAGCATAGGAACTTGTGAAAATGTTGATGGCAATGCACCTGTGATTGGATATTCAGTACACCATAAAAAGAAAATTTATTTTGTTAACTACTATGGGATTTATGCATTTGATTTGATCAAAAAAAATGTGGAACAGGTGAAGACATTACCAGATTCATCATCTACTAATTGGACTTAATTAATTTATTAGGTATTATATTTTAAAATTTTCCATTCAATTAAATATTATCTGTCTTAGCTAAAATGTATTAATTTGAAAGGTAAAAGCTTATAAAACTATCATGGCGACTTGCACAATTAACAAACAACTACTATATGAAAAGTAATTACTATTCGTAGTTCTCAAAGCCATGAAGAGAATAGCCTTATTATTAGTGGCAAGTCAGAAATAATGATACCTGAAATTAAATTGCCAAAAAATACTGAATATTCTCAAATAGAAACCAAAACACTTAGGTTTACAAGATGTTATTCAAATAAAAGATTATATATTTTCGACGTTGAATGCAAAAAACAAACTGTAATAAATCTTCCACTTAACCATGATTTTAAAAATTACGGTACCAAATGTTTGCTTCCAGATGGTAGCCTATTTTATTATGATGATAACCATTTAGTGCTTGTAGATTCATTGAATAATATCAAATTTCTTCCTAGCTATAAAAGAGAGAAAATATGAGCAGGCTCTTTTTATTGCAATGGTTATATATACTTAATAGGGCAGCGTCTGAAATACTCTGGACGATATGGTATGAAGGAAAATAGGTGATACTCTATTGCAAGTCCTTTTAATGAAAGCGTTAAAAGCCAAGTATGCACTTTATATGGAAACATTGCATTTTTTGGATCGCATTCTGCAAATAATGTAATTATTTATGATATAATAGCAGATTCTTATTCTGAACTACAATTTAAATCTCAAGATGATGGATATATCGGATTTATGACTAATAATAAAAGCTAGCTTATGGTTAATTTTTCAAGCTATCTGTACGAGAGTGATGGAAATCTAATTAAATGAGAAATTGTCGGAAATTGTAGAAATCAGTGCAAAAATTATCCTATGAATATTTCTTCAATTATTTATAGAGAAAAATATTATTTTTTGAATTGTGTTGGGATTTTTGCATTTAACTTGAAGAAAAATAAAATAAAAATGATTCAAACTAAATATAAAGCTTAAAAATCAATTGAAATTAAAATTGTTCAACCTAAATATTTAATTTACAATTCGATTGTTTGTTTGAATCTTCAGCTCTTAAAATTTGTAATTAAATTATCTTATCCAAAATAAAACAGAGATTGTCAGTATGTCGAATTGTATCTTTCATCAAGGAACAAAGCTGATTCATTTTTGGCAAGTTTCTCAACCTCCATTAGGCTTTAAAAAGACAATGCGGAGCTTGGGACTAAAAGTTGCTATTATATTTATATATGCAGGATTCATTATATATTTGAATTTAATCGATCTTTACATTTTTCAATTAGTAATAATGACGATAAATAAAAATATCCAGCAAAAAATACTAATCGAAACTCATAGATTTCAAAATAGCTTTGAAATGAATAATTCAAAAAATTAAATATTATAAAAATATAATGAAAGATTTTTTTAAAGGTTCCATGTCTAATGACAGTGGATTTTAGATAGTGTACATTTCATCTATATACATTTGGTCGGAAATTTTTAAATAGTGTGTGATATTTGGTTGAAATTTAATGGTTTCTTTCGGTCAAATGTCTCATTATCAAAATGTTTCAACCAATTTTCGACTAAAAGTACTTCGGTGAAATGCACACTATCAAAAATGCACTATCATTGGGCCTGCACCCTTTTTTAAATACTTTCCCTATATATAAAAGCATAATAATAATTATATTGATTAAAATATTGTTAATTTATAACTCTTTAAATAGAAATAAAAAATTACAAATAATTATTTTTAACATTCATCAACTATTCTTTTGTTCCAAAACTTTCAATATAATCATATTCTGATATATTTAGATTTAAAATTAATTTTTATTAAGGCTAAATAGCTGATAAGCTCATTTAGTTTTCGCTGAAATCATACCTATTTTATTAAATATAAAAGAATATAGTAATTACATTTTAATAGTTAATAATTAATGTCAGATATTCAGCAACAATGATGGGATGAAGAAGTCAAATGCATGTACAAACTCATCATTTTTTACAGCTATATTCTATTTTCTGTCTCCCTCTTTCCTAGAATTTTATATTTCTTATATAGCCTCTCATCTGAATTAGGAATATTTATTTGCGCTTTATTTTTTACACATTTGATGTGCATTTTGATTATTAAATATTTCGAAAAGAAACCTTCATTACCAAAAACAATCGCCGCTATTATTTTTGCTGAAATTTATTCATTTACCTGTTATATGCCATGCATAAAAAATAAAGAGCATCTATGCTTGAGATGAATTTTCTCATTGGTGTTAACAACACAATTTCAGCTTCCAATTGTAAAAAATAAGGTAATTTTCAATTTACTGCTTATCAAGCATATTTTAATGTGGTATTATTTATCAATTGACTTTAGCATAATAAAAAAGACTTATGATTTAACTCCACTGATTGCTGCAACAGCAATCATTGTGGTTTGCAATATTGGTAATTATTATCGTCTAAAAATCTCATATGAAAGATTTGTGTTTTTTAAAGAAGTAGAAGATTCCAAGAAAAGGTTCGAGTTAATTACACAAGCACTTACTGATGGAATCTTAGTTATTACTCTAAATCGAGTAATTGAATTTTATAATGGTAATACTCTTGAATTTCTAAACTGCAATCCTCAAGAAATTTTATCTGAGCTCTCAAAGTGTAAATATTGTGCAGATAAAAAAATTTCTCAATTAAATCAATCTAGCTTGCTTATTGATGATATAAATTATATTTTCGAAAATGTTCAAGTAGAGGAGGTGACTCTCGGGGTGATTCAAATAAATAATATTAATCTGGAATGGAAAGCAAAAAATATTATTTGAGAAAGTAATCAAGCTATATTTTTGACTATTAGGAACATCAATCAAATTATTGAGTTAGAAAAATCTATAGCTAATGACCATATGAAAACAGTTCTTTTAAGATCAGTTTCGCATGAGCTAAAAACTCCGCTCAATGCTATAGCTTTTTTTACAGATGAGTTGATAGAAAAGCCACTAATTGAGCTGCCAGATAGTGAAAAAGAAAAATTAAAATTAGTCTTAATTTCGTCAAAACTCATGCTTTCTCTAATTAATGATTTACTAGACTACTCAAAAATGCTTGCAGGAGCTTTTACTATAAATAAAACGTACTCTGATATAAGGCAAACTGTTTATAACGCATGTGATTTGATAAGTATGCAAGCTAAAAAGAAAAATATAAGCCTGATTTATAGAATTGATCCTAATATACCTGAATTAGTTTTTACTGATATTGTGAGATTCAGCCAAATTTTATTGAATCTGCTAACTCCTCGCCCCTCCATGAGCGAATAAAATCTTTAGAAAAATCACTATTTTTTGGGTAAAACCCCACCTTCATGAGTGAACAAAAATTGTTTATGAAAAAATAAATGATTATAAGTATAATTAGTATGGTGAAATCTCGAGCTAATTCTGCTTAATTTTTAACAAATTGTACTTTAAAAACATAAATTTTACTAAAATTTATATATAAATTTTTAAAAAAACAAAAATTATCCCCTTTTGTGATCGAGCAAAATTTTTTTGTTCCCTCACGGAAGGGGCAGTAAGCAATGCACTAAAATTTACTATTAAAGGATACATAGAAATTTGCATTTGAATTAATTCTAACAATAAACTCGAATGCAAAGTAGAAGACACAGGGATTGGCATAAGTAAAGAAGCAAAAAAGAAATTATTTACAGAATTTAGTACAAATTATGACCCTGTTTTGAATTCTCAAGGAAATGGCTTACTCCCCCCCTCCGAGAGTGAACAAACCATTAGAAAAATCGCTATTTTTTGCCCAAAAACCCACCCTCCGTGAGTGAACAAAAATTTTTTTAATAGAAAAATTTTTTAAGGAAAAAAAATTTGATATATAAATGATAATTATTATAACGAAATCTAGAGCTAATTCTGTTTTAATTTAAACAAATTGCTTTTTAAAACATAAATTTATAAATTAAATTAATATTTGCTTTCCAATTTTTGTGAATTAGGATTTTTTTAAATTTCGAAAAAATATTTTTTATAAAATTTATATATAAAATTTTTTTTAAACAAAAAAATTAACCCCGCTCCGTGAGTGAACAAAATTTTTTTGTTCACTCACGGAGGGGGGGAGTTAGGGCTATGAATATCAAACTTCTTACTCCCCCCCTCCCTGGGTGAACAAAAAAATTTTGTTCACTTACGGGGGGTTTACTTTTTTTTTTTAAAAAAATTTATATATAAATTTATAGAAAATTTTTTCTTCGAAATTTTAAAAAAATCCCACTTCTCGAAAATTGGAAGGCAAATATTAATTTAATTTGTAAAATTTATGTTTTAAAAATGAAATTTGTTTAAAATTAAACAGAATTAACTCGAGATTTCATGATAATAGTTATCTCTTATATATCAAAATTTTTTCCCATAAAAAATTTTCTATTAAAGAAATTTTTGTTCACTCACGGAGGGTGGGTTTTTGGGCAAAAAATAGGGATATTTCTAATGGTTTTGTTCACCTACGGAGGGGGGAGTTAGTGAAATCATTAGGTGGCTCAGGGATAAGAGTCAAATCAAAGCTAGGAAAAGGATCCCAATTTCAATTCTCTATAGATGCTTTTGAAAATCCACAAGAATTAAGAGATTTTGAAGAAGTTCTTACAACCGATGAAGAAGTAGATTGGTTGGATTTTTACTTTAACAAAGATTTTAATGTATCTTTAAACTCCAAAGTTCTTATCGTAGACGACAATGAACTTAATAGAATGATTGTTGGCTCAATTTTAAGCCAAAGCGGCATCAGCTATGCAGAAGCTTGAAATGGAAAAGAAGCCTTAAATAAAATCATTGAGTGCAGTAACAAAGGATATATGTACTCAGCAGTGATTATGGATTGTAATATGCCCGAAATGGATGGTTTTGAGGCGACAAGAGAAATAACGAAATTGTATCAAATGAAAAAAATAAATGACATGCCAAGCATAATCGGCTATTCAGCATACAGCTCAGATGATGACAGGAATGCCTGCATTGAGTGCGGAATGGTAGATTATTTAACTAAGCCTTCACCATCAGAAAATATCATAAAAGTGATTAAACGGTATCTATAGATGACTAATATCAAATTTTGGTTTAAAAATGCATTTTATATTATCGAGATCCCTATTGAACTAAACAAATTCTTAAACTAATTTATCAAATTTTTTATTATGTCTAATTTAATTTAAAATCTTTAAGCTTTAGTTCAGTTTTCTTATATACATTAAAATGGCGCACGTGTCAGCCTGCCCTCTTGGCGCAGCAGTCCAGACATTATGGTTACGGCGAACTGGGGCGGACTCCGAGCTGAGAATCAAGTGTAGGCTCCAGAGGTATGTATCCGGGTAGGTTTTGGCTGCTTTCCTGTGGTTGGAAATGGAGGTGCTCAACAACGTTCTTTGGATCCGAGGACCCATGGGCATTCCTCTACCGAGAAACTGGGGTTTCGGCCCAGGCCACAGGGGAACAGTCTTTTTCCTGTAGCTGCTGAAGGAAGACACTTCGACACCCGATAGACTCCAAGGAGCTGATCCTTGAAATCAAGCTACTCCAATCGCCCGTAGCAGGGCCGCAAAAATCCATAAGCCGCCCACTCAAGACTGAAGCCACAAGGTAAGGACAAGACAGAAGGTACCGGAAGGGCACTCGCAAGAGGGATAGACCCTCTGGGCTGGAGTCGAAAAGCGGATGAACCTCCCGTACGGGAGGTCTTTGGTGACTGCGTCACCAATATGGCTAGCGCCTGACTTTAATAATCCTAATCCTAGTTCAGTTTTCTTCTAAAAAATGACAATCGTATATAAGAAAATTATCGATTTAAAAACTTAAGTAAAATAATAAAAATTTTTCATACCTTTGGAAATTTTCATCTCAAGCAATAATAATCTAGATAATTTTTTTAGTTTCATTTTTAATATAGTTTTAAGTCCTTAACTTGATATCTCAAGCTTTAATCGATTTATTATTTCTGTTTAGCTTTTCAATTATTTAGTTTTTAATTAGCTTATTTTTTAAAATATTACAAAATTATTAATGTCAAATATAGAGCAGCAATGGTGGAATGAAGAGATTAAAGACATGTATAAACTGATCATCTTTTACAGCTATATTTTGTCATCTGTATCAGTATTTCCTCGAATTTTATATTCGGCTTATATTCTCTCATCTGATTTAGCCTTTTATACCCTTATTCTAACTTCTACTCATCTAGCTTGCTTTTGCTTGATAAAATACTTTGAAAACAAATCTGCCTTATCAAAAAGTATAATTGCTGTTCTATTTCTAGAATTTTATACACTTTCTTGCTATATTCCTTCAATGAAAAATAGAGAGCATATATGCTTGAGGTGAATTTTCTCTTTAATTCTCCCTTTGTTAGTGAAAGAAATGAAAATTCCTATTTTTGGAAAAATACCCCTTTCTTAGTGAGCAAAACTTTTTAAATATTAAAAATGATAATTTGATGTATAAATAATAATTATTACGTAGAATCCAACTAATTCTATTAGATTTTAGACAGCTTCTACTCAAAAACATAATTTTATTAATTAAATTAAAAATAAAAATTAACCTATTGGTTATCTAGGATAAATTTTCTTCTCTCTAAACAAGGGTGGAATTAGTAACAACAATTCAATTTCAGCTCCCAATGGTGAAAAACAAAGTTATTTTTAATCTTCTCCTCATAAAAATTTTGCCGTATTTATGGCGGGCGAATATAGGGCTCCCAACTTTGATGTTAGTTCCGAAAACTCTAGCTTCTGAAGCCCACGGACCTAGGTGCCAACAATTCCGAATTTGGGTTTGGGCCTAGGCGGGCTGGGCTTTTCCCTCAACCCGCAGACAAGATGCAGATTGTACATTATCAGATAACACTTCTGGATGAGCATTCTCTGCCTGCAAATGACGGAGGGAGTTCCAGTAGGAGGCATTTGATGTTTTAACTCGTACTCTGAGAGGTAAAAAGGGATAAGAGGTTTTTGTTGTAAAATCTGATTCAAGCAAGCTAGGGTGAGCTTTACTGTTAGACTGTCGATGCCATCATTTTTGATGGATAACTTTAATGCTAGGTACCACATGAACATAAAGCTGAAGCTAGACTGACTAAGTCTGAAATAATTCCCTTTTAACCCCTCTAATCGTAATCATTCTCCTCATAAAGCATATTTTAATGTGATATTATCTGTCAGTTGACATTGAAGTCCTAAAGAAATCATATGACATCACTCCAGTTGTAGCTGCTGCCGCAGTAATTATTGTATGTAATATAGGAAATTATTACCGCCTCAAAATTTCTTATGAGAGATTTGTATTTTCCAAAGAAGTTGAGGCCTCTAAAAATCGATTTGAAATAATTACGCAAGCTTTTACGGATGGTATCATAGTCATAACAGTAAACCAAAAAGTAGAATTTTATAACTCTACAGCTCTGGAATTTTTGAATTGCAGATATCATGAAATTTTTTCAGAGCTTATGAAATGCAAATATTGTGCTGAAAAAAAAATTTCTCAATTTAATCATTCCGATATGCTTATTGATGATTTAAATTATATTTTCGAAAATGCTCAAGTAGGGGAGGTGACTCTCGGGGTGATTCAAATAAATAATATTAATCTGGAATGAAAAGCAAAAAATATTATTTGAGAAAGAAATCAAGCTATATTTTTGACTATAAGGAATATCAATCAAATTATTGAGTTAGAAAAATCTATAGCTAATGACCATATGAAAACAGTTCTTTTAAGATCAGTTTCTCATGAGCTAAAAACTCCGCTCAATGCTATAGCTTTTTTTACAGATGAGTTGATAGAAAAGCCACTAATTGAGATGCCAGATAGTGAAAAAGAAAAATTAAAACTAGTCTTAATTTCGTCAAAACTCATGCTTTCTCTAATTAATGATTTACTAGACTACTCAAAAATGCTGGCAGGAGCTTTTACTATAAATAAAACGAGCTCTGATATAAGGCAAGCTATTTATAACGCATGTGATTTGATAAGTATGCAAGCTAAAAAGAAAAATATAAGCCTGATTTATAGAGTTGATCCTAATATACCTGAATTAGTTTTTACTGATATTGTGAGATTCAGCCAAATTTTATTGAATCTATTAAGCAATGCCTTAAAATTCACAATAAAAGGCTACATAGAAATTTGTGTTTGAATTAACTCAGAAAACAAGCTTGAATGCAAAGTAGAAGACACCGGAATAGGGATAAATAAAGAAATCAAAAGAAAATTATTTACAGAATTCAGCACAAATTATAACCCAGTTCTTAATTCCCAGGGAAGCGGACTTGGGCTATGAATCTCTAATTTTTTAGTAAAATCATTAGGTGGATCAGGAATAAAAGCAAAGTCCAAACTCGGCAAAGGCTCAAGCTTTCTCTTTGCTATTGATATTTATGAAGATACGCCTGAAATCCGAAGTTATGAAGAATCTTTGGCAAATATTGATGAAGCTGCTAGCAAATCTGATTTTTATTTTGACAGAAATTTCAATAATGTCCTAAATTCAAAAGTTCTTATTGTAGATGATAACGAGCTAAATAGGATGATACTTGCTTCTATTTTAAGTCAAAATAATATCAGCTATGCAGAAGCTTGAAATGGGAAAGATGCCTTAAATAAAATCATCGAATGCAATAATAAAGGCAGTATGTATTCTATTGTGATTATGGATTGTAATATGCCTGAAATGGATGGTTTTGAGGCTACTCGAGAAATAGTTAAATTGTATCTAATGAAAAAGTTATATCGATTGCCTAATATTATTGGATATTCCGCTTACAGTTCGGATGAAGATAGAAACGCCTGCTTCGAGTGTGGGATGGTTGATTATTTACCAAAGCCTTCACCATCAGAAAAAATAATAAACTTGATAAAACAATACCTATAATTTATTTAAACTCTTTCTTTAACACTTAAAATTAAATCTAGATAAAACAGCACAAGATCCTTTAATTTATAATTACTTATATTAAAGCTAACAATCAAAATGCTCAACAGAATCTTGTAAACCTGCAAATACAAACTCTTCATCTCAAGCTTGAGACATTTCTTCAACCAGCTCTCTTACAATTTCTGGCATCAAGCTATCTGCAAACATACAAAATGGTGACTTTATTGGAATAAGTCTGACAACTGCAAGGATCAATAATTTCAATTGATAATCAAATACCAGCATATGGAATATAGTTTATTTACGAATGATGAATTATTATGTGCATACTTAGGATACTTCTTATTTTAATAATTTGATCTTTTAAAGCAAAATAAGAGAAAAAATATCACGGATATAGGTGACAATAATTTTGAAATTAGTTCTTTGGGGTCTATGTTGAGAGTAGTCGGCACTGCAGCGCCAAGCTATGCAGATATAGCCAATGGGAAGAACAATCTGAAATTCACTCTTTTTACAGCAAATACTGAGTCAGGTTCTTTCTTAGAATTTGATGATAATTCACAAATTGCATCATGAGTTAAAGTTGAAATTATTAGAAATGGAGATGCTGAGTGCAAAGCTTAGCAAATTCTTTAGCATGGCTAGACTCTGTTGGCTCATCTAAGACTATAGCAATCATGATAATCCTCCTGAAAGAGTCTAATTTTAGTAATGAATAGTTCTTGATCATTTATTTATGCAGTTTTAAATGTTGCAGGATTTGACTGAGCATGCATTGTTGGGGCATTCTACAATTAATGTTAGCTCACATTTTTATGCAGGAAAAATTACTGTCACATTTTTAAATATTCTGCCACCTATTTCTAGCAGTAATTAAGTTTTATAGCAACATTACAACTCATGATACTTATGGGAGTTATATTGATCCTAGATCTTTACTTTCCAGAAAGAAAATTAATAATACTATATATTTACATTGGTTTCATTGAAGTATTACCAAAGAAATTTTAAGGCTTGTACAAGTCAACTTTTTCCTATAATTTTGATTCTTAGTTTTTTGTCTAGCAAAGTTGCAAAAATCTATATCTATAAATCATATTTTTAAGATATTTTAATATATCACTAAGCGCCAATGTGGAGCCATTATGTGATGGGCGAGGGGCTGAATTAAGGTAGATTCTAGGAGCTTCACACTCTATAGCGTTTATTACCGTTGTACTTATGCAAAAATATGAAAGCACCATATATCAATTATTTCAAAAAATCTTATTATTCAATATTCTTTTAATATCTATCTTAGGTTTCATCTCTATCAAGTGAAGAATAATAGTTAAGAACATTTTAAATAATTAATAATAACTTAAATGATTCTATTTAGAAAAGATTTTATTTTTATTGAAGTGATTTCAAAAGAGAAAAAGTCCTACCAAAAATTTCATAAATAAATTATTTTACTATGCATATTCAAAAATATGCCTGCTTAAGAAGAATTGCCCACAAAAAGAGCATCTTTTGATTTATCATTTTATATTTGGTTAGCCAAAAGCATGGCTAGCCAAAATATAATCTTCAGTTGCAATTCTTCGTGATAGGTATAATTTAAATCATCGCTATAAGAGTCAATGAGCATGTAGATTCCTCCTTTATTATATGCATAATACATACTTCGGCAATCAAGTCAAATTCCTCAGTTGGAAATTATTTCTCATGTATCCTCATCTGTACTTTTATAGACTTTTCCGCTAATCAAATACAGTATCCCATCTGCATTAATCACAATCTTTTGTTTAGAACATTCAAAATTATAAAGGACTGTCGAATAAAAGTCAATATCAGCTGAATAAATTAAAAGATATCTTTTTCATATCCAGAAATCAAAATATTCCCATTAAATACTACGCTATGACATCATTTGTCAGCTTTTGGCATTGGAGTTAATTTAATTCATCGATTTCTATCTAATCACTCCATGCAATAATTATTAGTGATAACGAAACAAATCAAATATCATCTAATTACTTTATTTTCATCCTTTTTTAATAAATGTCTGATAAGTGCTGCTTCGTAGCAAACTGCTCAGAAAATCCTCAATTCTTTTGCAAATGCGAAAATCCGCCTATTTTTATGTGCAAAAATCATCAGCAGAATCACAAAAAGCTTATAGGAAGGCATATCAATAATAAAATTTATTCAGAAGTGCCTTTAAACACTAAAACGCTTTCTACTAAACTCATTTGAAAGTTAAAATTAGAGATTAAAGAAATTCAATCTAGAATAATTCTCGAAGAATTATTAATTATTAAGCAAATTCATATATATAAAATGGCGTATGGCGACCGACCCACCCTCCCAGTGGTGGTTACCCATGTATATCCGGGCGTGGTTTTTGGAGCCAGGAGTTAGCCCAACAACGTCTGGGACCTCGAAGCGAGAGGCCTAAGCGCGAAAGCCGCTGCTTTTTGCGATCAGACCCATGGGCAGTTACTCGTGACTTCTTTTTGCCAGCAGCGCTCAGCCCAGTGAGTGCCCGAAATGAGGCAGGGCGACTTACCTGCCTAAGCTGCTTTTGTGGCTCGCCCCGAATGGCGAAAGCTGTTGAGTTCTTTCTCTCGGGATGACCGGAAAAGAGGGGGAAGGCGAGTTAGACAACTAAACGGGGGTCTCTCCAGTTGAAAAAGGTGCCCTTCGATGGGCAGATCTGGCGGACGACGCGGCAGTGTTGGCGTAAAACTTAGGCGACGATCCAAGTTGGAAATGGAGGCGGTCAGCAAAGCCGGTATAAGACGGCCCTTGACAATATCTCTACCGAGAAACCGGGGGTTTCGGCCCGGGCTTGGTGAATGCTCTGCCACCACACGGGAAACCGTGGAATGCCTCGGACGTAGTAGGGACCTTAAATACCCAGCGTAATCTTAATCTTAATTAAGCAAATTCAAAAAGCAGCTCAAAAATCGTTAGAAAAAATAAAAGCTTTTGATAAAAATTTAAATGAAGCAATTTCACGAATCAACATATTAACTGAAATAGACAATTCAAAGGAAAAAACTAATATAAAGGCATTATTAAAATTATCTGAGACAGATCTTGAAAAAATAAATCCTATTTGATTACCAAAATTGAACATAAGATCAGCTGATTTTCAGAAAATTGATAAAATATTTGAAATAGAGTCCCCATTACAAAGTTTCAATGAAAAATACTATGAAAAACATAAAACGCCTATTATAAAATATATATGAAATAGCTCTCGTACTGGGATAAATACATTCAACATATTAACCCGAAAAGTGCACAAACACAATTTATCAATAAATAAAGTGCTTGATCAATATGAAGCGAAGTGTTTATTACCAGACGGAAGTTTATTCTATTACTCCGAAGGGTTTTCATTAATTTTGGATCCAAACAACAGCGTTAAATACATAAAGAATTATATCGAGAGTACATACGTATGCTCTGCTTATGCAGACGGATATATTTTCCTTATTGGCGGATCCAAAAATATTTCTGCAAAATACAATATTAGCCAAAATAGATGAAGTTCTCATCTAAAACTGCCAATAAATTTAGGCGCATACTCAACTTGCTGCTTATTTAACGAATACATTATTTTAGTTTCACAGGGCTCTGATAAAGCTATTTATTATGACATAAATATTGACTCTTATTCTGAAATTTCATCATTGAAATTAACCAATCTTGTTGCCAAGGCAGTTATTACTGGGGATAAAAAAGTTTTTATATTTGAATTTTCAACTTATATATATGAGAGCGATAACCTATGCACATGAAAGAAAATTGGAGGATGCACAATTTTAGCAAGCCGTGCACCAATTATCAGTTATGCAATTAAATGAAAGAAAAAGATTTATTTTGTAAATTTTAGTGCGATTTATTCTTTTGATTTAGAGAAAAAGAAGTTAGAAAAAATAATGGGTTTGCCTGATAAAGATTAAAAATATAATATTTTTATTAAGAAGATATAATTAATCGAGTCTATTTACTAGTAAAAATCAATATGCGAGCAAAATTTTTTAATCGGCTTGCTTAATTAATGCACAAAAATAGCAATATGTGAAAATGATAGATAATTATAATAGAATCAATTTATAATGGCAGTAAAATTTGAAGTATTTAAAATTATTTTAATTATCCATTTGTAAATGTCTAGTAAGTATTGCTTCTCTGCAAATTGTTCAGAGAGGCCTCAATTCTTTTGCAAATGCAAAACTCCTCCTGTTTTTATGTGCACTCATCACTTGCAAAATCATAAGAAGCTTATAGGAAAGCATAGAAGTACTAAAATTTACTCAGAAGTTTATGATGATTCAAAAAAGTATCTCTTTAAATTCATTTCGAAGCTAAAATTAGAACTTCATGATTTTAAAAACAAGATAATCCATGAAGAACTATCATTAATAAAACAAATTCAAAAAGCATCAGAAAATGCAATAAAACAACTGAAAGTTTTTGATAAAATTTTAAACGAAACTACTTATAGAAAAGTCTCAAGCAAGGTCCGCGGGCTGCAAATCGCCTCCCCAACGCTACACAATTTGGCTACGGGTTTGCCTTACAGAAAATTAGAAAAAAGATATTTCTGGTCAGGCTATAAGCCAAGATGAAACCCGAGGCCCAAGACTCAACGTCTGGTGTCTCAGTAGGGATTCTGTCTATTTATCAAGTGGCATCCTCTAGTATTGCGGATGCCCCATTTTCCAACTCCATCGAGCCATCTCCCTGCAGGGTAAAACCTTGACTTGATGTGGGTATGCGGTTTGCGAGCCCGACATCAAGCTCCATCAAACAAGTAATATATCCGTCCTATAAACATTTCTGAACGCTGTTCTCCGCCCATAGAGTCTCCTACACCCTACTTGCTACAAGTACTAAGAAGCAGATTGGTCTGCTGCTCCATTTTAATGTATATAACGAAGCTATATCAGAGATTTGAAGAACGACACAAATAAATAATTTAAACGAGTTAACTCTTATTGAATCTTTGCTAAAATTCCCTGCAGCAGAACTTGAAAAAAGAAATCCATTATCATCGCCAAATTTGCAAATAAAATCTATTGATCCTAAACTTATTATTAATTTATTTGAAATAGATCCTCCTGGGCAAAATTTTAATGACAAACCTAAATCGCATGTTATAAAATATATATGAAATCCTTCACATTCTGAGCTAAAAACTTTTGACGCAATGAATTTAAAATTATATAAAACTAATTTACCAAAAACCAAAGATTTCAGCCGTTTTAAAGTTAAATGTATGCTCCCAAGTGGAAATTTATTTTTAGCCTCTGATTGGGGGGACTCAATAATTATTAGTCCTCAAAATCATGTCCAAAATTTGCCAAAATATCAGCAGAGTGCGCCATCATGCTCAGCTTATTTAGATGGAAATATCTATGTATTTGGCGGATCAAGAACTATTTCTGCAAAATTTAACATAGATTTAAACCAATGGAGCTCGCTTCTCAAGTTACCAATAAACTTACTTCCCTTTTATAATGTTTATACTTATGTAGATAATATAAGTTTATGGTAACTACAAATTAGCACTTATACAAACAATTATAAAAAAATATCATTTTTCACAAAGGAAGATTTTTACTGTCTAGCCAGCACCCTAATTTTGTATTAAAATAATTAATTTTAAGAAGAAATAGGAAGGTGAGATCGACCTGTAGTAGTGTTTTCCGTGCGTGAAAAATGTATATTCTCTTTCAAAAATATTAAAATCCCAAAAATAAATATTGTTTTAGAAAAGTCAGATAAAATTGCATACTGCTGCACATGAAATCATTGCATTATACTAACTGCTCAAAATATGGATGAAATTATGTATTTCGATATTAACATTGATACATATAATGAAATTTCATCGTTAAAATTGGCTTGCAATACCATTAAACCAGTGTTTGTAGGGAATAAAAAAATATTTTTACTTGAATTTTCAAGAGGTATATATGAAAGTGAAGATTTGCACAAATGAAATAAAATTGGAGCATGCCCAGCTACAGGAGGAGTCTTACCAATTAATAGCTACGCAATCAAATGGAATAAAAAGGTTTATTATGCGGGAGAAATTGCAAAAATTCCTTAAATTAATCTTTTTTTGCAAAAAACTCGTGCAAAAAAAATGCAAAAGCGCAAAAATTAAATCTATTATTGCAAAAAAATTTTTTTGTAATTTTGCAGTTTTTCTTATTTATGCGTATAATAGTGAAATTTATGCGTTTAATTTCAGGAGAAGGAGAATTGAAAAAATAATGGCAATTTAAAAATTAAGATAGAAAAACCCCATATTTTTTAGATATTAGATTAGATTAGACTAAGTTCTTCGTCTCAATAGGGCCGGATTTCCACCCCATACATGCTCACATCCCTGAGGGACCCTCAGACACCCTTCCTCGCCTAGGGATTCGCACGTCTGATCTTGACTTCGATAACTTCTGGATCCTAGCTCCCTAGGGCCTGAAAACCTTAGTCCAATATCCAAAAAAGATTGCTGGCCCCTTTTGCCCTTCCCCTTCACACTAAGCATTGCGTGCTTGTGCTGAACAAAGGTTCAAGAGGTGGGTGGTCTGTCGTCACTATTTTTATGTGCAATTATTTTCAGAGATAATAATAGCTTTTCTTGTGCTCAAGGAGCCTCATTTCATATTTTTGTTCTATAAGCAGATGATATTTGAATGCAATTTATTGCTTAAAGCAACTATTTTGCAAATCATTTTTGAATATCTTATAAAGACTTAGAAAAGTTTGTTAGTTTGATGATAAATTGTTCAATTATTGATAATTTGTTTTTATCTTTAAATCTTTGATTCATTAATTATATTTATTAACTCCCTACGATTAGCGAGTTTTTATGATACTTAGGTGAGAGCTAATACTTTAAAACAAATTGCAAATATTTGAACAATATCCAATTAGTTTGTAAAAATTAATTTTTTTAATATAAACTGTTTGAAATTATGAAGATTTCATTATATTAATCATATTAAAATATCAAAAAAATTAAATCAAATATGCTTACAAAAGGATTTGCTCTACACAAGGAGTAATTAATTTTGAATTTGTTTAAGATAATTCTTTTTATTTTAATTATTTTAATTTCTGTTTTATTTAATCCAAATGAAAATCTTTATAGCTCTCATAGCTCAAATCTGACTAGCTGCTTGCCTTTCAATTGGAGTTAAAGATTCTACTCTTGACCCTGGCAGAATTTTATGACCAAAAGAAACCTGGGTAAGCAGCCCAATTCAAGTCTCTCAAACTAATGCAGGATCAAGTGTTATATTAACTTTTACTTTCAGGCCTAGCACCACTCTTTCCAATGGCATTCTAGAAGTAGATCTTCCATCTGGCTTATCTGGAGGTCCTTTTTATCTTTCAGGAAACTTCGTGCAGAACCAAGATCAATCTCTCAGCACTACTTCAATTACTTTACCATCATCTCCAGGTGTTTACGGACCTTTTGTTCTTATAACCCGATCTTCATCCACCGGACAAATTTATGATGCAAATTACATTTTCGGCTGTCTGGCCACTACAAGTTCTGTCCCTACTTCATCAACATTAATTGTAACGAATGCTGCGGCAAGTCCAATTGTTGGGACAACTGATACCTTATATTTAAGTTTAGCTTAAAATAATTCTTTTGTTCATTACTTCTTGGCCTCTACTAGGGCCACAGCTTTGAGCAACGGTAGGTGGTACAGCTTTGAACAACAGTAGATGGCGCGGTTTAACAGTCATCTGTTTCAATACCCAAGCCCCTTAGAGCCTCTCTGATTTACACCAGACTCAGTGTAGACCCATTCTCTTGAGCCGAGACTCTCAAGAAGTCATGGACTTCTCGCTGAGCTCGGATGTAGGACCTGAGCCCATCCCTAACTGACATTATTAATTGTGATGTGCCTTATATTTTGCATTTAGTATTATCCAAAGCTTATGAAAATACGATATCATTGAAATCGTACCTCCTTCAACGTTCACACCTTCTTTGTCAGTTTCTTGTGCTTCTGTGACAGTGACTGGGACAATTAATCTTCTATATGGACCCGCAAAAAACAATAATTTGCCTTGTGCTTTAGCAGCTCAAAGCAGTTCTACAACAGGTCCTCAAACTGTATCTTCTAGCTCAAACAGCGTTTATATATATGGACTTTCGCAAGATGTTTACTTATCATCAAGCATTTTATCAATTAAGCTTACTCCCGCTTTAGTAGCTGATGAGCGAGATTTTTGCTCGTTGCAGAGATGTTTTAAAACATTTATATAAAATCCTCTATAAGAATTTTTTTTTGGGGGATTTTAAAAATATTTGACTAATAATTTTTATAAATTAATGTTTTAAAATGCAAGCTGTCTAAAATTTATGAGATTTAATATTCTAATCGTTAATTTATACCCCTAATTTTTTTTCTAACGGTTTTGACCTCAAAAAGGTGGAGTTAGTGTATCTACTTTTACATACCCTGGCTATCAGCAGCCATCGAGCTCAAATACTTGGAAATTAAAAATTTGGAGATGGGGAACTTCCACCTTAATTGCAAGCTATATTGCCCCAGGTGGTCCAGCAACCCCTACATATGGCTCAATTACAGCTACATGAACTCCTGTGAGCGGGATTTCAGCAACTGATGTGGTATCAGGAATGACGATTTTTACAAAAGTGGCTTTTACAACATCTCATGACATCCCTGCAGGTGGAACCGCTGTTATTGTTTTCTCAAATGTGGATATCTCAGGAAAATGGTGAGCAGAGCTTGATAACTCAGGAAGTTCAGGATCAAGCCAGTGCTATATAACACCTGCTATATCTGGGGCTTCTTGCACCGTTAATAGCAGCACCCAAGTTACTCTTACTTTTACGAGTGGTAAAAAAAGTGGGGCAATAACCATAGCTTTATTGGTTACTTTTAGCTCAGGCCCCAAAATTGCATCAATTATAACTAGTAATGGATCATATAATATTGATTATTCTGCAAGTTTGCCGTCCTGGACGCTGAGCAGCGCTAATTTAGCTTATAATTATTTCAAATTCCATGCAATGGGAGATGCGTCAGATACAACAAATACAAAATACCCAGCCTTGGCCAATTCTGGGACATATTCAACTGGCTTTCTATATGGTGCCGATACATCTCATGACTTATTCTGGGCATTTAAACCAGCTGCTACATGGACTACTTCGACAGCTTTAACAATTACTCTTCAAATGTCTACATCAGCACTATCATTAACTCAGCCTTATATCGGTTCAGGATTTACTGCATATGAATTAAACAGTGCTCTTTCTGGCAGTGCCACAGCTTTATCTGGGTCTTCACTTAAAGGCACTTATACAGTTTCTGGGAGTACCATAACTGTTGGCTTTACAACAGCTCCAACCTCTTCTTATTATTTCATTTTTGCTTTTGGAGGTAGCATGACAGCTCTACCTTACGTTTCTTCCAATTTAGGGACGTTCTACGAATGCTATGCAACGTCAACTACAGGCAGTTCTAAAGAAATAGGAAGCTCAGTTTATTCAGTGCTCACTAAAGACTATGGAGGATCTGGAATCTACGCTAAGCCACTATGCAAGGATAATAATGCACCTGGCATTCCCCTTTTAAGTGTTTTTACAGCTAAAATAATGACTATTGATTTTGGGTCTGCCAGCTATGTTTTAGAGATACAGATTGCGAATGGAGGAGATCTTGGGACTGGCTTAAACGCAGGAGACTCTATTCCTCTACAATCATCAGCTGGATCATCTGTATCTGCAACATTATACTCAATTTCAAATCCAACCACAATCAGAATTACAGGTCTAGGGAGTATAGCAACCTCCACTACCGTCAGCACATTTTTGGCAATGGGAGTGATTTCTGGAGCAACAACCTTTGACAGCACTTCTTATCTTTACTATACCACTTCTTCAGACCCCAGTATCAAAAATGCATTATATATGAGCCAAATTACCCAAATAACGTCTATAGGGCTTTCCCTTGAATAGCCCGATAACGGGATGAAGCCAGCCCGTTATCGGGCTATTCAAGGGAAAGCCCTATATGACTTCTGGAACAACCTCATTGACTTCTGGATCACAAACAAGCAGCTGGGGAGTCTCAATTTCATCTAGCTTAACTATCACAGCTAAAGCAGCATCATCGACGACTTCAAATACTTATATTGGGATTGGGCTTCCTGTAGGATTTACTTTATCCTCACCGGCAATTTCAGTGGCAAGTGCTATGCCGACGTCAAGTTATTATGCTTCTAATAGCAATGCTTATTCAAAAGGTGGATTTATAGTAGGGATAAGCACAAGCTCAACTTTTGCATTTACAAGCGGCACGAATGTAGCGATGTCTGTTACAGGGGTTGTTGCACCTGGATATGCTGGGTCATCTTCTTCTTCAAACACTGTTTATTTCAACTTATTTGCGGTTACTTCTGGAGGAGTTGGTGGATCTTGCTCTATATCTGATGCAACTCACCTATCTGGTATTGTCAACTTGGGATCAATAGGAACTGTGACTTGTACCCCTTCTGCTACATATGCAGCAGGCCCAGACTCTGTAAGTATTATAGCGTCTGCACTGCTATAATGCGCCTTGATGCATGATTCTCCACAACAACTTGGAGCTCTTACGAGCCACCAGCATGTCAACTCCAAGTTGAGGAAAGCACATCATTTTGCAAGGATTTGCCAACTCGAAGTTCCTTTGCCATCTTTCAGCGGCATGTGAGAGCTCCAATTAGCCATGCAGAAGCATCAAGGTATAGAAATTGCCCGAGGATGGCGCTATATTGCGCCATCCTCGGGCAATTGGAGACACGGCTCCACACGGGAATTGTGTTCCACGTGTGGAGCCATTTTTCCACGTGGGAAAATGTGGATTCCACACGTGGAAAAATGGCTCCACACGTGGAATACGGTTCCCGTGTGGAGCCAATTTTCGCTTGCCCTAGGATGGCGCCATATAGCGCCATCCTAGGGCAAATCCTATATGCTATAACGGTGCAGATGCTATACACAATAAGCCTTTCGTTGGTAACTGCGAATCCTATACCCATGCATTAAAATGGTGTGGGAATCAGCCTACCCTATTAACTCATGTAGCCGACATCCGAAAGGGTGCCGGTGATCTAAGGAAGGAGGTTGGCGCTTGACATAATTATCGGCTAGGTTTTTCTTAGTTTGGTAAAGAGTAATGTCAGGTTGGCCAAATCAAGGTTTACTATCCAAACTTTCCGACTGCCAGAGAGCATGCGCAGGCCTATATCTAGTAGGAGCAAGATTTTGAGGTCGTGCTATAATTGTCAGCGAATCTGAGGAGTTAAGCGTTATGGTAGGGAATAAGGATCTTCTGATCCCGACGGGGAATTTTTCAATAATCTATCTAAGTGTAAGAGCAAATCCAATCCCCGCGGGTGGAAAAATTACTCTTATATTGAGCTCATCTTGGTCATATTATTCATCAACTTGTACAGCTTCAGGACTATCTGACATGGACTCAACTAACAAAGTGACCTGCAGCATTGCATCATCTATGCTAACAATAACTAAATTTGCTGCAATTCCATCAGGAACTATAAATATCTCAATCCCTCAAGTCCTTCCTCCATTATCAGCAGGAAATTACCAATGCTTTACAACAGTTTTAACCCAAGACGCAAAAAGCAATTATATCGATACAGGGACAGGTTTAACTCAAAATGTAGTTTTAACTTCTCCAGGGACTGCTGGAACTTCAACAAGCATAACTGCAACCGCATATCCTAACTTCGCTGGAGCCTCAGGAGTTGATATTTATTTGTCCTTTTCACTCTCTAACTCCCCCCCCTCCGTGAGTGAGCAAAACCATTAGAAAAATCGCTATTTTTTGCCCACCCTCCGTGAGTGAACAAAAATTTTTTTAATAGAAAATTTTTTTATGGAAAAAATTTTTGATATATAAATGATAGTTAGTATAATGAAATTTAGAGCTAATTCTGTTTAATTTTAAACGGATTGCTTTTTAAAACATAAATTTTATAAATTAAATTAATATTTGCTTTCCAATTTTTGCGAATTAGATTTTTTTAAATTTCGACAAAAATATTTTTTATAAAATTTATATATAAATTTTTTTTAAAACAAAAATTAACCCCCGTCCGTGAGTGAACAAAATTTTTTTGTTCACTCACGGAGGGGGGGAGTAAGGCACTTCCAGCTGGCAGTCTTATTGGCATTAATCCAGGATTTGCGACATGGTCTCGTTCAACTGGAGATATCAAAGACTACTGTTGGGCAAGTATTGATTATAAGTCATGCACGATAATTTCTACCACAAAACTAGAAATTACTACCACTAAAGATTTGATAGCTGGGACAACCATCCAAATTTACCTTGACTCTGTATTGAGTTTGCCATCAACAGTAGGAGCGACAAGTTCTGGCTGGCAAATAAGTACGTCTTGGCAAAGCACAACCATTACAAGCGATCCGAACCCAGGAACTTCGTTTACAATTAATGCAGGAGTTAGCACACTTATTGCGATTTCTTCAGTGAAAATTAGTGATGTAAAAAATGCAGCCGAAGCTGCCACTTATGTGTTTTCATTTTCCAGTGGCGCAGATGTGGCTAGCGGAGATTACTTTGTGATACAGTTTCCTAGGAATTTCGATCCATATATTGGAGATGCGATTAATACGTATTCTGATTGCTTACCGAATACTTGGCTATTAAGCTGCAATTCCACTGCTCTGGGAAGTGTTTCCTGTGCTTCTGATCATTGGTATCTCCTTATAAATGGAATTTCTAAGACATCTACAGCTTCTACAATCCTTGATCTTACAGTTCAAAGCGTAAGAAATCCAGCGGCTGGCACCACTGGTTATTTCAATATATACCACTATGCCTCAGCAGGAACTGTTAAAGCGTATTTTACCTCGACCACCAGTGTTACTACAACTTCAGTTTCCCCAAGCTCAATAATTTTGAAAGATGTGTTATCAAGCTCCAGTCAGCTTGTGGCCTCTTCAAAATACACCTTTGATTTCTACGTTGCTTCAGCTACTTATACAAATGATATCAAATTCGTGATTACTTTTCCTGAACAATTTAATTTGCAATTATACATTGGAACTTCTACAGCTTGCTCTACTTCTTATTATGATGAGTCTAATAGTGCAGGAACTGACTATACAAAAGCTTTATCATGGATTTCTGCTACGTCTTGTGCAGTCAGTGGACAGCAGGTGACCCTTGCAATTCCTAGTGGCACTAGTCAAGCTTTTGCCAGCACTTCAAGAGTTCAAATTTCTTTGACGTCAATTAATAACCCTCAATGGGGAATTGATAGGTCGGATGTAGGCTGGGATAATATTTATACTGCGACTTATGGGAATTTTGATTATTGGACGAGCCGATTTGTTGTTTCAGCCATCAGTGCAACCAGCACTGCAATTTCTGCTAAAAGCTATGGAATTCTTAATTCAGCATATTTAGGGTACTCTTTAAATACTATTTCAGCGATAATTGGTTCTTATGATCCTGCAACTAAAAATGGGAAAATCCAAGTAGCTCCTGGAACTCAAACTAGCGATATTACAATTACTTTGGATGACAACTGGCCATTGAAGTCTAGATCGCTTAAGCTGACTCCTACTACAAATACTAATTATCCAGACAGTGGGAAATTGAAATATACTTCAGCGCATTATAATTGAATAATTTATCAGATGTGCTCAAGCCTGAATTTCAGAGTTTCAGCACTCACAGGGGCGGCTGTAGGGATTTATTATATTGATTGGGCGGTAAACGAAACTCCACAAACTGGATTATCTAATCAATATAGCGCTCCTTTGAGTATCATAGTTGAAGTCTGCACCCTTTCAGCAGCAACAATTATAATTGCAGATATCCCTAATTTAATTATCGGGGCCCAAAGCATCCCAATCGCAGTTACGCTTACAAACTCTCCAGCGTCAGATTTGACTATAACTCCTTCATTTGGATCATCTACCTCTTTAATTGCGATAACCCCCTCATCTCTTGCATTTAAACCAGATATCAACGTCTTATACTTCCAACTGACTGTCTCCAGCTCATATACAGCTACTTCTCCAACTCTTTCGTTTACCCTCACAGGCACCGATGTGGCAGCTTTTGTTCAGCCTACATCTAAATCTCTAACTCCCCCCCCCCCCTCCGTCCGTGAGCGAACAAAAAAATTTTGTTCGCTCACGGAGGGGGGTTAATTTTTTTTTTTAAAAAAAAATTTATATATAAATTTTATAAAAAAATATTTTTTTCGAAATTTAAAAAAAATCCTAATTTGCAAAAATTGGGGAAGCAAATATTAATTTAATTTGCAAAATTTATGTTTTAAAACGCAATTTGTTTTTAAATTAAACAGAATTAGCTCTAGATTTCATTATACTAATTATCACTTATATATCAAAATTTTTTTCCATTAAAATTTTTTCTATTAAAAAAATTTTTGTTCACTCACGGAGGGTGGGTTTTTGGTCAAAAAATGGCGATTTTTCTAATGGTTTTGTTCGCTCACGGAGGGGGGGGGGTAGTAAGTGTTTCCACAACCTCTAGCACAACTGTTTCAGCAACTGTCACATTGTCATCAGCTGTAAAAAGTGGCACTGAAGCAGTCATAACAGCGACTTGTTCTCAAAACATTGTGCTATACTGAAGTCTTTCCTGCAAAGGATCTGTAATTCCATCATTTTCTGAAATCGTAGCAGCAACTGCAGATCTTGTGACAAGAGCCTCAGACACTTATTATCTTCAAGAACAATTAGACATTGATTATGAGGCTACAGAGACTGCTCCTGATTATAATAAAGGAGACACTGATATCCAGTCATTTTTCAGAAGGAAGCATAAAGAACATTGTGCAACTCCATGGACTTCTTCACAGGTTATTTATGCAGGAGAAGCTGCTACTATTGATTTGAATTGGCTGATGGGTGCTACAGATTATACATTTACAGCTTATGCTGCTAATGAAGTTGTTAATAGCACAACTCCTACAACGAATAACTTTACAACAGCTCCTCTTCCTACACTTTCAACCTATACTGTTACATTTGCAGGGAGTGTGGCACAAAGCAGTGGGTTTAGCATTAAATCGACAATTGCTAAAAACATGGGAATTAACCCTGCATGGCTTACTGGGCAAGTTTATATATCAAGCTCAAGCAGGATGCTGATTGATTCAATCGGGAGATCAGCCTTTACTTATAACGTTCTTTATGATCGAAGTAAGCCCTATTATTCTCCAAGCAAAATTATAGCGAATATTGATGAAATTCAGCTGACCTCAGATTTATATAAACTTGTAGGAGTTTCCCCCACTTTGTCCTCAGGTAGCGTGACTACTCAGACTACTCCAAGCTGGGTTGCAGCTCCAGTCAATGGGACTGTAGGAGAAACGTCAGCTGTATTTACAGCGACTTCTACGCAAGATGGAATTGTTTGTGTGTCTTGTACAGAAAGTGTGATTTCAGATAAAAATGTTTATGCTTGGCAGGTTGTAGATGGATTAGATGGCAACTCTTTGGAAGCCTATGCAGACTGTGAAAATAGTACGGCTACTGTGAATACAACATTAACAGTTTCTGGGTTGACTCAAGGAACAGTTTATTATTGCTATTTTACTGCATGCAATAGCTATCCACTATGGCCAAGCTGTATTGACTATACTTCTACAACTCCTTTAGCATCAGTGACAATTAATACAACAACTCCAGTGAGTGATGATAGTGGTGCGATAATATTAGCTGTCACTGGATTTCTCTTATTCTTTAACTAGTTATTTTAATTAACTTTTTTATGTTAATTTCTTTATGTTGATTCAAACTCATTACTTATTTAATTATAAAATTTAAAAAAATATTGATTTTAAAATGTGTCACAATGAATATATCTAACTCAGAATGGATTATATAATCTTAGAAACCGGGAAGATTTATTATTTTTTTTATTTTCTTTTTCATTAGGCTGAATGAATAAATTGCATAATAATTAGCAAAATAAACTTTTTGATTGTAAATAAGTATGGTTGAAATAATAAGCGCATTACTAGCCAGGGTTGAGCATTCTCCGATATTGCTCCAAGTTGCAAGATGATCTGTACTTTGATATAGTTAGTTACACTAACTGGAACGGGTCCTTTTTTTGCTCCACCTCAGGATACTTCAGAATAAGCTTCAAGTGTGCAAGAAGTTTGAACTTTTTCCCTTCTAAAATAAATTATTTGCAAGTTTTAAAGATAACTTTAATTTTAGCAGTAAAGTATTGCAAAATATGAGACATCATCATGACACAAACCTTCATCTTTATTGCAAAATAAAATTTGTTTTAATAGTAAATTTAGATACTTGCTAGACAACAATAACGACTGGCCATGCATCAGAAAAAATTAATTTACATTAGACATTAAAAAAATTTATAAACCATTTCATTTGTACTTGCTAAAAAAAAATGGTCAAAACAAAAAAAAGGAAGCAAACCATTTTTTAGAATCAAATGATTTTTGTATTTCTTCTTGTTCCATGCTCATTTTAGGTTAGACAAATTATTTTGGCAAGGCCATTTTTAAATGAACAGAAATCATCTAAAAAATTCTGGTCAAAAAATGGTTATTTTGATGAATTTCGGTTTGCAGGTATAAATGGGAATTTTTGACAAATTTAGTGAAATTTATTTATGAAATAGATAAGTTGGCGTGCTGTTCAAAATTCTTATTATAATAGCTTCAGCTGATATTTTGCAATACTTTACTGCTAAAAAATGAAGTTATCTTTAAAACTTGCAAATAATTTATTTTAGAAGGGAAAAAGTTCAAACTTCTTGCACACTTGAGCTTATTCTGAAGTATCCTGAGGTGGAGCAAAAAAAGGACCCGTTCCAGTTAGTGTAACTAACTATAAATATATGAGAAAAATCAATTAAGTAAACTGTTTCATTTACAACAAAAAATGCTTTGGGGCTTATCCTCTTTAAACCCAATAATAAAATTTCATTATAAGAATCAATTATGGTATCATAATAAGTATTTTATTTGTGCACATAGATCCGAGCAAAATACATTGTCTAAAAGCTGCTCCAAAAGTATAGCTTCCTAAACTTAATGGTAAAGCTGTAAGTGGACTTCATATATTATCAGCAATATTAAACTTAGCTGAATTATTATAAGTTCCTCCAAATAGATAGATTTGTCTGTCATTATAGACTGCGCATGCATCTGAACTTTGCTCTGGGCGGAACGGCAAAAATTTTATATGATATTCAGAATAGATTATAATAGTCATAGGGTCATTATCATAAAATAGACTACCATTAGGAAGCAAGCATTTTGCTCCGTATTTGTCAAGTACCTGATCTGTTGGCAAACTTATATTTTCTACTTGTGACGTTTTTGCATCAAAAATGCTCAATGTAGGGCATTTAGAGGCTCATATGAACTTCATTGTGTGTATAGAATTATCTAGATTGGAAGCATCTGCTAATTCAGATAAGTTATTCTCCATTAGATGACTATTCTTCTCTTCAGACATTTTAATTAATTTTAAACATCTTTTAGAAGCATTTTATAATTGATGCTATTTTAAACTCATGATTGACATTATTTTATTCCTATGAATCTGTTATCAGTTTTGTTTATAAAAGGGATCATGTACCCCAAAAAAATTTGGCTCGGTATCTAAACAGTTAAATCCTGATTTATTTTTAAGTAACGATGACCCTCCCCTCAATCTTCACGTCTACTGCAACAAAAAATTTTTCGAAAAAATCTTCATGCCTACTGCAACACAACATTTTTATAAAAAAAAATTAATGCATTTTTCTCTAGGTGATTTTCTCAAAAAAACATAGAACAGCGCTACTGTAGGTGTGTCAATGGCCTTCTCATCGAGATTTGGACGGCTATTGCCATCGCTCGCCATTTTATTAAACTTATCTAGCTAAAAGTACGGAAAAATTTAAGATGCGCATCGAAAATTTGTTGCAAGAGGATTAATAGCATTACAGACAGGCGCTACCTCCTGTACAGAAGGTTCTACAGCTTTTCGACTCCAGCCCAGAGGGTCTATCTCTCTTACGAGTGCCCTTTCGGTAACTTCTGTCTCCTCCTTGCCTTGGGAGTTCAGTCTTGAGTGGGCGGCTTATGGATTTCTGCGACCCTGCTACGGGCGATTGGAGTTGCTTGATTCCAAGGATCAGCTCTTGGAGTCTATTGGTATCAAAGTGTCCTATATTATTTTTCTTTAAAGTGAATAAATAAATTATATGATAATTAAAAAAAAATTTGTGAAGATATAATAAGTGTTTTACCTTATAGCATTGAAATATCTCTTAAATTCAAGTTGAATATGGTTTAGTCAACTCCAATTGACGAACAGCACTTAAATTCGGAATTCTATAATTCCTTGGCTAAATTTCTTATGGACGTTATACGTGCCATTTTCATATGAAATTTCAAATTATGAATTTGCCGCACTAAAATCGGTTTTGAAACGCATATTTGGTTTTCACATACCGAATTAAATGGTATGGCTATGCATGATAAGAAATTACTGCAATACATAATACAAGATATCATATTCTGACAAGTTGCGGATTGGCTCGTCAGATGGAATTTATTATAAAACAACTCCAACATTGCTGGTGAAATTTAAGCTTGAGAGATCTATATTGATGCACAAGATATAATAATTGTTTACTATTACTCATGCGAATTTAAAAGTAGAAATAGAAGATTCCAAAAATGAAGCTATTGTTCTAAGCATTACGTTTAAAGCTTATTATAATTTAAGCTAATCTAATCACATTATCGATCTTCTTTTTCTTTAAGTCAAATGAATAAATTCCATAATAATTCACAAAATAAAATTTGTGATTATACGTAATTGGAGTAGAGATTAAAGGGGCATTGCCTGCTAAAATTGAACTAGTTCCAATGTTATCCCATGCTGCAAAATTATCTCTACTTCTAAAAATATGTTGAGAAAACTCAATTAAGTAAACGTCCTCATTTTCCACAAATAACGTTTTGGAAGTTGAGTTGGATAATCTCGGAGTAGAAATTTGACCATAAGAGTCTATTTTTATATAGGGCATATCTGTAAATAGCCCGATATGGGCTAGGGACAGAGGCCAAAACTTCCCACCTGGTTCCTCCAAAATGGATTGGTCGAGTCAAGTGGAAGGAGGCTTATTTGCCACTTCCACTTGGTTCGGCAGCCCATTTTGGCCGAGCCAGGTGGGAAGTTTTGGTCTCTATCCCTAGCCCATATAGGGCTATTTACAGGATATGCCTATATCATAATAAAGTATTTTGTTTGAGTTCATAGACCCTAATAGAATATTATTTTTAAAAATAACACCAAAAGTATATCTCCCTAGCTTTAGAGGTATGTTTATAAGAGGAGTTCATCTATTCTTGGCCAAATTAATTTTTGCTGAAATATTGCTAGATCCTCCAATTAAATAAATATCTCCATCTTTATAAATTGCTCAGGCATCGAAATTTTCCTGTGAATAATTTGGAAGCAAATTGATTGTATATTTAGGATCGATAATCATAGTCATTGTGCCGTTACTGTAAAATAAACTTCCATCAGGAATTAAGCACTTTGCTCCATATTGGTCAAGCTTCTGGCCATTTGGAATCTTCAAACTAATCTTATCTTGTTTTAAGGTTTTTGCGTCAAAAATACTTAAGGTAGTGCTGGAGCCGCTCCATGTATATTTCAATAGGTGTTCAGACTCATCTAGCTCAAGATTTTGCTTAGTAATTTCTTCTAAATCAAATAGTTGCCCGATATCATCAGAATTAATATGGTTTATGAGTAGTTCCGGAGATTTTATTACATAATTATGTAAGTCTTTTGGAGACAATTTTAGTAAAGCCTCAATAAAGGTAGTTTCCTTAGAGTTGTCTATTTCTTTTAGGTTGCATGCTTTTGATATATATTCATTAATTTTTTGATCCTGAACTTTTAAGCTTTTGAGTACTTTTTGAGCCACACTATTGATCTCTTTGATCAAGGATAATTCTTCTTGAATTATTTTTGATTTATAGCCTTTTAGGTCAAATTTTAGTTTGTAAAGCTGTTTTAAAGCTGCTTTCCTTGTTTCTTTATCGATTTCTATGTGAATTTTGCTAAAATGATGCTTTTCTTTTAACTCACAATGAAGGATCTCATGAATTTTGCAAATAAAAACTTGTTCACTTCTGCAATTGCAAAAACTGCAATTGCAAAAAACGATGGGCTCAGCTGAGCAATTCTTAATAAAGCAATTTTTTGGCTTTTTAGACATTTTAATAATTTCATAGCTATTTTAGCATTACTATATTTTGTTTAAATAAAAAACATAAGTATTTTATATTATAAAATTTATTCAATAAACAATAGTCTCTTATAATAGCCTAGTAAATATCTTCTTATATAGCTCAGAATGGATTATATAATCTTAGAAATCGGTCAGATTTATTATTTTTTTTATTTTCGTTTTCATTAGGCTGAATGAATAAATTGCATAATAATTAGCAAAATAAACTTTTTGATTATAAATAAGTATAGTTGAAATAATAGGCGCATTACTAGCCAGGATTACGCTTTCTCCGATATTGCTTCACGTCGCAAGATGATCTGCACTTTGATAAATATATTGAGAAAAATCAATTAAGTAAACTATTTCATTTATCACAAAAAATGCTTTGGGGCTTATCCTCTTTAAACCCAATAATAAAATTTCATTATAAGAATCAATTATGGTATCATAATAAACTATTTTATTTGTGCACATAGATCCGAGCAATATATTTTGTCTAAAAGCTGCTCCAAAAGTATAGCTTCCTAAACTTAATGGTAAAGCTGTAAGTGAACTTCATAGATTATCAGCAATATTAAACTTAGCTGAATTATTATAAGTTCTCCAAGTAGATAGATGTGTCCGTCTTTATAGACTGCGCATGCATCTAAACTTTGCTCTGGGCTGCATGGCAAGGATTTTATATGATATTCAGAATCGATTATAATAGTCATAGGGCCATTATCATAAAATAGGCTACCATTAGGAAGCAAGCATTTTGCTCCGTATTTGTCAAGTACCTGATCTGCTGGCAAACTTATATTTTCTACTTGTGACGTTTTTGCATCAAAAATGCTCAATGCAGGGTATTCAGAGGGATATATGAACTTCATTGTGTGCATAGAATTATCTAGATTGGAAGCATCTGCTAATTCAGATAAGTTATTCTCCATTAGATGACTATTCTTCTCTTCAGACATTTTAATTAATCTTAAACTGCTTTTAAAAGAATTTTATAATTAATTTTATTTTAAAGTCATGATTGTCATTATTTTATTCCTATGAATCTGTTAAGTTTTTTTTTTATAAAAGGGATCATGTGCACCCAAAAATTTGGCTCGGTATCTAAACAGTTAAATCCTGATTTATTTTTAAGTATCATAAAAGAGCACTTAGAATTGAAAATCTAAAAAAAAGAAAGCTAAATATATTAGACCAATGGAATTTATTATAAATTAATCCTACATTGCTGGTGAAGTTTAAGCTTGAGAGATCTATATTGACGCGTAAAATATAATAATTGTTTAATATTACTTATGTGAATTTAAAAGCAGAAATAGAAGATTCCCAAAATGAAGCTATTGTTTTAAGCATTATATTTAAAGCTTATTATAATTTAAGCTAATTTAATCACATTATCAATCTTCTTTTTCTTTAAGTCAAATGAATAAATTCCATAATAATTCACAAAATAAACTTTGTGATTATACGTAATTGGAGTAGAGATAATAGGAGCATTGCTTGCTAAAATTGAACTAGTTCCAATATTATCCCAAGTTGCGAGATTATCTCTACTTCTAAAAATATGTTGAGAAAACTCAATTAAGTAAACATTCTCATTTTCCACAAAAAGCGCTTTGGAAGTCGAGATGGATAATGCCGGAGTAGAAATTTGACTATAAGAGTCTATTTCTAAATCATATGAAAGTATTTTGTCTGAGCTCATAGACCCTAATAGAATATTATTTTTAAAAATAGCACCAAAAGTATAATTCGCTAGATTTATAGGCATATTTATAAGAGTAGTTCATCTATTCTTGGCCAAATTAAATTTTGCTGAAATATTGCTAGATCCTCCAAGTAAATAAACATCTCCATCTTTATAAATTGCCCAGGCATTTAAATTTTCCTGTGAATAATTTGGAAGCAATTTGGTTGCATGTTTAGGATTGATAATCATAGTTATTGGGCCGTTACTGTAAAATAAACTTCCATCAGGAATTAAGCACTTTGCTCCATATTGGTCAAGCGTCTCGCCATTTGGCATCTTCAAACTAATCTTATCTTCTTTTAAGGTTTTTATGTCAAAAACATTTAAAGTAGTGCTGGAGAAGTGCCATATATATTTCAATAGGTGTTCAGACTCATCAAGCTTAAGATTTTGGTTAGTAATTTCTTCTAAATCAAATAGTTGCCCGATATCATCAGAACTAATATGGTTTATGTGCAGTTCCGGAGATTTGATTACTTGAATTTTATGCAAATCTTTTGGAGACAATTTTAGTAAAGCCTCAATAAAGGTAGTTTCCTTAGAGTTGTCTATTTCTTTTAGGTTGCATACTTTTGATATATGTTCATTAATTTGTTGATTCTGAGCTTTTAAGCTTTTGAGTGCTTTTTGAGCTACACTATGGATCTCTTTGATCAAGGATAATTCTTCTTGAATTATTTTTGATTTATAGCCTTGTAGGTCAAATTTTAGTTTGTAAAGCTGTTTTAAAGTTGCTTTCCTTGTTTCTTTATCGATTTCTATGTGAATTTTGCTAAAATGATGCTTTCCTTCTAACTCACAATGAAGAATCCCATGACTTTTGCAAATAAAAACTTGTTCACTTCTGCAATTGCAAAAAACGATTGGCTCAGCTGAGCAATCTTTAATAAAGCAATTTTTTGACTTTTCAGACATTTTTATAATTTCATAGTTATTAAAGCATATTTATATTTTGTTTAAATAAAAAGCATAAGAATTTTAAATTATAAAATCTATTCAATAAACAATAGTCTCTTTATAATAGTCTAGTAAATATCTTCTTATTATTAATATAAAACCAAAATTTAGTGATTCTGGAATGTTTTGAGTCATTAAAGGAATAGTCATTTACTCCCTTAACTGTAGATAATAGAGTCAATTATACGCCTTAGTTTATCAATTATATCTTTAAATTTATACACTGCCTAATATCATCGATGTAACGTGAAAGTACTGGCCATAATAATATTAAGTATTGTCGCGCAATTTTCTCTTATTCTTTGATTGTTGGTATTTGCTTTTCTTTTTAGACTAAGCATAATCTATATGCATTTTAAAGTGAAACAAATGCACAAATGAACAGCTAGAGTTGATCCTTTAGAGTGTAGGTTTAGAAACTAACGATTATTCATACTTTCTTAAATTGCAATGATAACATAGTGATAATTTTAAAAAAAACTTTGAATTTGTAAGAATATAAAAGTGCCGGCCAATGCCTTTTTAGATTTAATTTAAACAATGCTAGACGATATTTTCGTTAAAATTATCCAAAGCAGTGCTGGAGTAAATATATATCAATCCATTAAATTAGGGCAAATTTTCTAAAATTTTGTTCCAATTTAAATAGGGTTAATTTAAATTATACAGACTTATAAAATAAGGTCAGAAATCTAATTTAAATTTTCTATTATTTTTAAAATATATACCTAATGACTACTTTTAAGGTTTAAAAGGAAGAAATTATTTCTAGCTATAGCCTCATAATTTTGATTACTTATTTTTTGTAGGCAGTAAAGTTTTCTTGCTCGCTATAGAAGGGGGATTAATTTTTTTGAAATATTAAAAAAATCCTAAAATATGATAACTATCTTTTATATATAATTTTTTTCACAAAGAGTGGGTTTTTGCTCAAATAAGCTAGGCTTTTCAAATGATTCGCTCACTCACAAAGGGACTCTAATATTTTTGTTACGCTATTTAACTAAATAGATATATTCTTTAATTCCTCTATTCTCTTTTTCTTTAAATCAAATGTTAAAATAATGCGATAATTTGTATAATAATATTTTTGGTTATAAATAATTGGAGTAGAGATAATAGGCGTAGTGCTATTTAGCGTAAATGAGTTATCTTCTATCTCTTTCCAAGTCACCAAATTATCAGATATTTTATACTGCTTATTTGAAAAATCAGCAAAATATAAGGTCTCATTGACAACAAAGAAGATTTTAGGGATTCATGATGAAATATTTGAGAATGAAATTTCATTAAAACTATCTATGATGATATCATAATAAAATATTTGGCTTGTTTTTGTCGATCCTATCAAAATATAATTCTTGAAAATGAAACATGAAGCATGTTGTCCAATACTTCTTGGTAATTTCGACAGTGGAGTCCATATATTTTTAGCAATACTATATTTAGCAGAAGTGTTGTAAGACCCACCAAATACATATATATAACCATCCTTGTAAATTGCGCTGGCATTTAAATTCCTTGTTAAGCAATCTGGTAAATGTTTTACAGAATCATCTGCATCTATTAAAACTGTTGAAGTAAGATTACTATAAAAGAATTTTCCATCAGGTAGCAAGCAAGTTGCTCCATACTGGTCAAAGCATAGTTCTCCTGGCAATTTTAACTTATCATAAGTTAAAGCTTCAGCGTCAAAAATGACTATCGAGTTGCTGATGGTTTGGATAAATTTGATTATGTGGCTTTCATTTTGATAATTCATATCGATTAAAATATTTTCCTCAGAAAGTTCATCTAGTTCGAATAGTTGTTGAATATACTTAGAATCAATATGTCTTATATGTAATTCTGGAGATTTGATTGATTGAATTTTTGACAGATCTACTGGAGACAGCTTAAGCATTGATTCTATAAAGGTGGCTTCCTTAGAGTTGTCGATTCTTTTTAAATTTTGAACTTTTAAAATAATATCACTTAGCTCTCTGTCTTGAAAATGTAGTAATTTAAGTGTTTCTTGAGCTGTGCTTTGGATCTGCTTAATTAAGGATAGATCTTCTTGAATAATTTTTGATTTATATCTTTTAAGATCAGATTTGATCTTGAAAAGCTGCTTTATTGCTGCTTTTCTTGTCCTTTTGTGAATCTTTGAGTAATGATCACCATCACCATGAATAAGCTTTATCATGATATTTAATTATAAGATAAAAGTAAAATTAATGAATTTGAGAATGTATTTTTAGAGCGATTGTCAAATTATTTTTGTTTGTAATATCTTTAATGTTATAAATTCAAATAATAAATTTAGCTCTTTAATCTTTACCAATCTATTGCACTTAATTGCAATTTTTAAGAGTATACTTACTCCCCCCCTCCGTGAGTGGACAAAAAAATTTTGTTCACTCACGGAGGGGTTATTTTTTTTTTTTTTTAAATAATTTATATATAAATTTTTTATAAAATTGTTTATTGAAATTGTGAAATTTATCTTTTAAAAAGCAATTTGTTTAAAATTAAACAGAATTAGCTCTAGATTTCATTATAATAATTATCACTTATTATCAGAATTTTTGTTTACTCACGGAGGGTGGGTTTTTGGACAAAAAATAGCGATTTTTCTAATGGTTTTGTTCACTCACGGAGTGGGGGAGTTAGAAATTTTAATTTTATGACTATAAAATTACTATACTTAACGCTGTACAATGTTCTTTACGGAAGGTATAAGTTTAATATAGCTTTACAAATATTCAAATTTTAGATACCTTAAACACAATAAGTTTGCGAAATACTTGAAATGCTTTACAGCTGCAATGATTGTTCAACTTAAGTTTAAGTTAAATGAATTTCTCTCTAACATTTTGTGCGTTGTAAGTCTTCTTTACTTGAGGTTCAATGGCTCTGAGCAACGGTAGGTGAACTAGCCTAACCTTCGAACCGTTAAAGTTATCAAGCCCTTTCAGACTTCTCTAGTCAGTTCCAGCCTCAGCACTGGCCATTTCTCTTCAAGCTGGTACTCTTAAGAAGCTTGAATTCTCTCACTGAGTTCAGTTTATGGGTCCGGCCTGGTGGACCACTACTAGGGACCCATCCCTATCTACCATTATAAATATTGTGTGTTCAACTTAAAATTTAAAATAAGTCTTTGAATTCAGCATTTCTATCGTATTTCTATTTATATAAATTAAAAGTAATACATATCGCTTATGTCATAACTAAAATTAAATTTTTGCTTAATAAATAATCTTATGATATTTTCTGCATGGCGAATAAACTCTCATGGCTGCTCAATAATTTGCCACCTTCAAAATTATTACTCGCATACAATTTTTAATTTATCTATATTAAAATACAGCAAGCTTTATCCTCTAAGGTCTGATCTTTTTTCGTCTCGTCTTTCTTTGAAAAATGAATGCTATTCTTCAAACTTGCTTTCAAAACACTTGATATTATATTTACGTCTCCAAACTCTCCCGTAGGCTGCTCATTTTCTTCAATTGTTTGCTTTTGCGGTGCCAAAGTAGGCAATCTTGAGTTATTCCTTGATCTAGGATCAGCAAGTGATAAAATAGCTGTGTTTTCAGAAGATGACGGATCTGATTCATAATGCTGGCTATTCATTAAATCAATTATTTCAACAAATTATGATCAATTTTTGTTAGAAACTGTGAGATATTAGCATTTACATTAATTAAATTCACATATAAGTAGGAAAACTTAATCCTGTGTTTATAAGTATAAAAAAAATCTGATAAATAAATATCAATTCTCTTACATTAATATATGATTTTCTTTTTGATCATTTCAAGTCTCTTACTCTTACTCCCCCCCCCCTCCGTGAGCGAACAAAACCATTAGAAAAATCGCCATTTTTTGACCAAAAACCCCACCCTCCGTGAGTGAACAAAAATTTTTTTAATAGAAAAAATTTTAATGGGAAAAAAATTTTTGATATATAAGTGATAATTAGTATAATGAAATCTAGAGCTAATTCTGTTTAATTTTAAACAAAATTGCGTTTTAAAACATAAATTTTGCAAATTAAATTAATATTTGCTTCCCAATTTTTGCAAATTAGGATTTTTTTAAAATTTCGAAAAAAATATTTTTTATAAAATTTATATATAAATTTTTTTTAAAAAAAAAAAATTAACCCCCCTCCGTGAGCGAACAAAATTTTTTTGTTCGCTCACGGAGGGGGGGGGGGGGAGTTAAAGGATTTTAGTTTCCAAAGATATTTTGAAATTTCTATTCCTTTATGTCTTATTATAAGCCATCTTTTGAGTATTGTTTTATAATTCAAAATCCAAGACTATCCTAACGATAAAACTTTATATAATTTCATAAGCATTCCATACCTTATCATTTCAATACAAAAATGCTGGAATACTAATTTTTATTCTCATAGTAATTTCAACTCTCTATTTAATTAAATTTATCTTAAAAAATTTCGCATAAAATTATTATGCAAAGGTGCTCGTTTTCCTCAAAATGCTTTTTCCCTTTTCCCATTATTTTTTCATTTTCTGCTATTTAAGATTAAGATTAAGATTACGCTGGGTATTTAAGGTCCCCACTACGTCCGAGGAAGCATTCTACGGTTTCCCGTGTGGTGGCAGAGCGTTCACCAAGCCCGGGCCGAAACCCCCGGTTTCTCGGTAGAGGCATTGTCAAGGGCCGTCTTATACCGGCTTTGCTGACCGCCTCCATTTCCAACTTGGATCGTCGCCTAAGTTTACGCCAACACTGCAGCATCGTCCGCCAGATCTGCCCATTGAAGGGCACCTTTTCAACTGGAGAGACCCCTGCTTAGTTGTCTAACTCGCCTTCCCCTCTTTTTCGGTCATCCCGAGAAAAGAACTCAACAGCTTTCGCCATTCGGGGCGAGCCACAAAAGCAGCTTAGGCAGGTAAGTCGTCCTGCCTCATTTCGGGCACTCACTGGGCTGAGCGCTGCTGGCAAAAAGAAGTCACGATAACTGCCCATGGGTCTGGTCGCAAAAACAGCGGCTCTCGCGCTTAGGCCTCTCGCTTCGAGGTCCCAGACGTTGTTGGGCTAACTCCTGGCTCCAAAAACCATACCCGGATATACATGGGTAACCACCACTGAGAGGGTGGGTCGGTCGCCGTCCGCCATTTTATGTATATATTTTCTGCTATTTAAAGATGTATACTTAATAAAAAATGGATTTAAACCGTGACGATATGTCAGTGTAAGAGCAATATAGATGTGAAGAGCCTACATACTCTGAGCAAATTGATGCTTTAGCATTCCATACTATGAGTGTTTCTGGCTCCAAAGGGGTGTTCACAAAATTAGCTTCTCCTCAAGATTATGAGGATACTGCCCCATGGACCCCACCTAAGCCTATTATTTTTCAACAACAAACCTTTCAAGAATCAGTCAATACATGGCTCAAGGGGATCAATACTTCTAACATGAATGTCCTGGATCGAATGATTTTCGATATTAATAGAAGGAACATTATAGAGAAAAATCGGATTTATAAGGCTAAATCCCCTCCTCAATTTAAGGAAACAGAATTTTTTAAGAGAATGGAGCAAGATAACAACCGAAGAGTTGTGACTAAAGAAAAACTTTTGCAGCTTTCTAAACAAAAAGAACAAGAAGAATTTGAAAAGCATCTAGTCAAAAAGAAAATCCCTAAAACTCAAAAGGAAGCCACATTCAGTCGTCTCATTGCAGATGCATCCAGTCGGCAAGAAACCTTTGAAATGCGTAAAAAAATAAAAGAATTGTCAGACATTGAAGCGAGTAAAGAAGTTTCGAGTATAAAATTGTCCAAAGATCAGGTCAGCAATCTTGTTGATAGGCTACAAGATTTTGAAAAGAAAAAGTGGGAAAAAATTAATTACATTAAGAGAATTCAAGAGCAAAAAGAAATTGATGAGCTCATGCTAATGCAGAATCGCATAAATACCAAAAAAGAATCAGATCCTGAGACTTTTGAAAGACTAATTAAGCCAAAGTCTCCACAGCCAGCTATTCTCAGCAGCGATGAAAAGTTATTTTCTCTTAAAGATGCAATTGCATCTGGAACAAGACTTATGAATGCTCACAAAGAAGCCAAGCAAGAGCTTCAAGCAGAGTCTCCGAAGTTATCAGCAGATCAAATAAGTGAGCTTGTAACAAGACTTTATACACCAAGCCAAACAGCCCAAAATACTCCAAGAGGGCAAGCAAATAGTGAAGTTCATTTTCGGCCGCATTCAGTTAATGCTAAAAATCAAAAAATGAGTAAAAATTTGTCCCTACAAGATTTAAAGGTCGAAAGGAAAAAAGATATAGAAAATCGCTCAGAAAATGAAGGAAAAAATAAAGAAGAAATAGATGATGTTAAGCTGTTTCATAGAAAACCTATAGCGTTAAGGCTGAAGGAAATGCAGAATGATGCAACGTTTAGACAGTTATTACCTGTAGATTCAAGAAGAAAATCTTGCCAAGAGTTTTCTCAATGTGATAGGCTTGAAGTTGATACAAATAATAGTCGCAGCATTCCTAGTGCAATTGACACTTATAAAATCCTAGTTGGAGATATAGAATAGCAAAATCTTAAAATATAAATAAATTAATGACCAAAAATTTAAGATTTCTTTGAAAAAAATTTTTTGAGGGGTTTTATATCTAATACAATTTAAGACTATTCCTATCAAAATTTCAAAAATTTAACATAAAAATATGGGTCAACATTGTTCATGCTTACGAGACACAACAGCAGAAGATGTTCAATTTAATGTAAAATCAGAAAACATTTTTTCCAAACCTCAACAAGAATCTGCCCCTGACTTCTTGCTAAAACCTCAAATATCTCCACCTCCGTTATCCATAAATATTGAAAATTTAATAAAAATTCAATCAGTTATTCGAGGTTATATAGATCGTCGCTTAACAAAAGACTATTTCCGAGCTTCCCCAACTGAAAATCGCATGATGTCAGGCTATTCTCCTCAACCCCGTACTTCAGTACATGAAATTCAAGGAGAAATCCCAAACTACTCCAACGCTTCCACAATAGCTGCATCTCGAAAACTTGGCCCTTTTACATACGACGTCGACGATTCAGACGGAATTCAAAAGATTCAGCGAGGTCCAGTCCAATTAGAAAATGGAGCCGTTTATATAGGAGAATGAAGCGAAAATCTAGAAAGGCATGGTAAAGGGACACAAGTATGATGTGACGGAAGCAAATATGAAGGGTATTGGAAACATGATAGAGCCAATGGAAAAGGAAGGCTAATTCATGGCGACGGAGATATATATGAAGGGGAATGAAAAGATGATAAAGCTCATGGATATGGAATTTATACACATACAGATGGAGCCAAATATACAGGACAATGACAAGACGATAAACAGCATGGATATGGCGTCGAAACATGGCCAGATCATGCTAAATATGAAGGGGAGTACCAGCATGGAAAAAAGCATGGAAAAGGAAAATTTAACTGGGCTGATGGAAGCACATATGAGGGTGATTTTTTTGATAACAATATACATGGAATGGGAGTTTATTGTTGGAGTGATGGAAGAAAGTATGTAGGAGAATGAAGGAAAAATAAAATGGACGGAAACGGAAATTTCACATGGGCTGATGGAAGGTGCTATAAAGGAGGCTATATCGATGACAAGAAACAAGGGTATGGCGTTTTTACTTGGCCAGATGGTAGAAAATATGAAGGATATTGGTATAATGGAAAACAGCATGGAAGTGGTGTTTATTATAATCCAAAAGGTGAGAGAAAAGAAGGTGAGTGGAAAGAAGGTAAACGGGTTAAATAATTAATTAATTTTATCAACAATTTGGATACTTATTGCTGTATTTCTACAATAGTCAGCCCATTAAAAGATTCATTGTAGATTCTTGTACTATCGTCTCTTATAGGTGAGCAATCACCTAAAGGTGATGCTTCAACAGTATCACAAACCCTTTTGCATAAGCAGCAAATAGTGTTGTGCCTAAACCACTCATCAATGCAGGCAGCATGAAAAATGTGCCCACATTTTAATTTTCTGACTTTGGAATCAGGGGAATAGTCTTCAATGCAAATCATACACATTGCGGGAAGCTCCATATGTTTGAAATCTTTTAAGTCAGTGATAGGGTATCAGGTATTTATTGAGTTTGTAGGAATTTTTGAAGGGCTTTCTATTTCGGAAATTCGCGAATTCATTGATTTGAGATAGCGATAACGTAGGACACAGCCAATTGCTAGCATGATTAAAAGTGAGCATGAAATGCAGAGAATGCAGATGAGAACTATAATTGGCTTACTCCCCCCCCTTTAAATTGAAACAAAAAATTTTGTTTCAATTTAAAGGGGGGTTAAGAAAATTTTTTTATAAAAAAAATTTATATATAAAAATTTTTTTTCAGAGATAAAATTTTTATAGAAAATAAATTATATAAATTTAAAGAATTTCATGAAAAATTTAATTCATAAATTTCTCAATTTCAAAGTGTAAACTTGCTGAAATGGTATTCTTCTAACTCTCCCCATAACAATTGGACAAAATAGAGTTTAATTTCTAAATCTTATATGTTTGAAGCATATTAAATAGGGTATTAACGTATTTACATATAAAATAATGATTTTTACCTGTAAAATTTTCTATTATAATAAAATTTTGTTTCAATTTAAAGGGGGGGTAATTTCCCAAAAAAGTAGGAATTTTACCTATATTTTGTTTCAATTTAAAGGGGGGGGAGTTAGAAACTTTTGCAGATGATGATGATGATGATGACGATGATGATGAACTTTCATATATTTGGCAAGCAATGGTTATTTTTTTGTCTTCCTGAGTATTATAAATTGCCATTAATGAAATTGGATTAGACTCAGAAAAATCAATTTTCTTTTCAAGAGGGCTTTTATCTTGGCCTATATTGAGCCTTAGCATGTAATTATTTCTATTCGGTAAATCTTTTTCGCTACTTTATCAATTACTTTGAAGTTGGTCAGCCAAGATAAATCATCCCAGCATTTCCTATTCATGTGCATTTTAAAATCACACTACTCTTATTTACTGAATAGCAATTACGTTGCGTGTTGTTTATTTCTAAATAACCTCTTTGGGAGCTCTCGATTGGTACAGTCACATTTTTATTTAAATTAGCTACTGAAATTCTATTCCCACAATCTCTTCCTACATATGGAAAATAGCAAGCACAATTATTAAGGGCGGCACACCTTCCTCGTCCAATGCCTGAGCATTTATTAGGGCACATCAAATCGCTAGACTCTTGAGATTTTAAATTATAAGTTATTGCAGAATCACTATAATTTTCATATAAAATTCCAATAAAAAATGAAGTATTGAATGCCATTTCTTGGTAATCAAAGATAACTGTATGCTGAGCGAGCTGATTATTGTAAGCATAAAAATCAGTGAAATTTGAAATTAGAGAAGAAATTTGTGGAGGCTTGGAAAGCGTGGGCTGATTATTAAGACTTAGAGTCAATAAAGGAATTGCTGTATAATTAAAGTTGTTTAAAGTAAGTTCTATGGAAATGTACCTTTCCTGTATGTTTGAGGGTTTAAATTCTAACTCCCCTCAGTGAGCGAACAAAAATTATTTTTATATAAAAAATTTGATGAAAAAAATTGATATATAAGTGATAATTAGCATAATGAAATCTCTAGCTAATTCTGTTTAATTTGCATTTAAAACATAAATTTTACAAATTAAATAAATATTTGCTTTCCAATTTTTGCTAATTAGGATGTTTAAATTTTCGAAAAAAGCATTTTTACTATAAAATTTATATAAAAAAAACCAAAAAAACTTAACCTTTCTCCAAGAGAGAACTAAACTTTTTTGTTTACTCAAATAGGTGGTAGTAAAACATTCAACAATATGTCTTGAGAAATGTTAAGTGACTGATTAATATCAAGCGATAGCATGCTTCATGCAATTTGAATTATAAAGACACCATATATTCTTGAATGATTCATTAATTTATTAATTATACGCCAATTCTTTGAGAGTGACTGAAAATTAAATTTTTCTAAATAAAGCATTATTATGCTACCAAATTATAAGATTATTTTTATTGGATTTATAGTCGTGGTCCATATGAATAAATATATAACCGTGTAGAAAGAATTTAAGCATTTTTTGAAAATACGACTTATTCCAATTTTATCTTCTTCTTTTGTAGGGTAAAATAATCGGTAAAAACCCAAACAGGATTCATAATTAATTGAACAAAGAAAGTCATTAGCCAAAAAACTCAGCAAACTCTGAATTTCCATTCTGAAGCTTTTACGTTGTTGTTATAGCTTGAATAGAATGTAGTTTTTATTAGAAATGGCTATAAAAAGAAATGCTGTAGATGTTCTATAATTAATATAAAAATTCACGTTTCTGGAGATTTTTAAAATTTGAAGAGTATAAAAAATTATTTCATTCGGAAGATTAAATAATATATATAAAAATTTTATTAGTTGGATTCCTAATATGCATGCTCTCTATAGCCTCCACCTATTCAGGAGCTAAATTCTATATTTATATATTTACAATATAATGATTACTCAAGTTTATATCTGCCTATTGATAAATAACATCAATCATATGATTTTACTGGGATAAAATGGGCAAGATGCTATTTCGCAACTCCCTCCCAATATGATATTCATCATAGCTGTATTTCCAAACTATAAGGAAGCTCCATGCTGAGATCATTCTGAGGGGCACATAATTTCATTAGATTTAATACTTTTAAATCATAGTTTATGACTTCTGATTTAAACTGTCTATAGAAAACGACCAATCTAAAGTTGAGTTACATTGAATCTTAATTTTAATTACGGTTTGACTGCTTACATATTGTTTAACAAGTCGAAATTAAACAATTGGGATGATTTGCTTGGCGAGCTAGCTCGAATACCAATTGCTATTTTTCGGCTTATGATGCTATTGACAACCTGGATTTGCACCTGCTTGCTCGAATATATCCTCCTTGTCTTCCAGCTCCTGCTCTAAATGGGTAGATATGCATTTCTCCTTGCTTGAGGCTGATGGATGAGCTTGAGTCTCATAATCCGGAGAAATGACCGCTAATAATTGCAATTTGGTCCGAATAAATTATTAGCTTTGGTTGGATCGAATTTGAAATTCAGAGGATGTGGGAAGAAGAATTATAAAATATGATCAGAAAGTCCTCCAGAGCAGGTCTGGAGAATACTGGAATTAAATAAACAGATTTATCACTGGCTAATCGATCATGATCGAGATAAAAAATTATCAATGAAGTAGCAGGCTTTCAGAGATCTTTCTTTCCATAGATTGAATAACCCCCTTATCTGTAAGTGAGGGAAAATTTAGGCTGGCTTAAGACAGGTTTAATTTTTTTTTCTAAAATGCTGCTATATAATTTATTGTAAATTTTTTCCTAAATTAAAAAATCTCTAAAAATTCTAAAATAAAAATTAATTTATTTGAAAATTAATTATTTAAAATGCAAGCTGCTTAAATTTAACAGAATTAGTTAGAGATGACTTATATATTAAAATATTTTTATAAAAAAATGTTTTGATCGATGTAAGGTTAAAAATATATATATAGGAGGACTAAGAATATTAAAAATTTTATTCGTTTTTTTTATTTTTAATGATTAAAATAATAGTTATAATAATTCCACAAATTTAAAGTAGTTCAATAGTTAGATTTTTATTAATTTAATCAGATTAAATTATTTATCCTAAAACACTCGGAGACAAATTTTTTTGTTCAGCCTTGTTGCAATTATTTTTGCAAACACAGCAGCTTACACTATTTTTAAACCACACATCAATGCAGTTTCTATGAAAAGCATGCCCGCATATCAATTGCCTCACTTTTGACTGGCTTTTAAATTCCTCCATACAAATGATGCATATTTTTGTATCCCATTGCATCTTAATATCTCTTCAAAATTGGCAAGGATATAAGGAATTTATAATTTTTTTAGGAATTCCATTAATCTCAACCGGACTTCCTCCCCCAATAATATCACCACGATATTTCAAATAAAACAATAAGTTTATCAAGATTAATGGCCATATAAAACATAGTAAAAATAGGCAATTTAAAAAGGTAGATGTTTCAGGTAAGTCTTCGAGTAATTGGCACTCAATAAAAATACTATTTTCTGAGCCAATAAAAGTATTGAAAATTGATACTATAACTGTAGTTTTTGTGAAATCTCTAAGAGTAAGCTTATAAAGAGTTGGAACTGTAGAGTGATCCAAATAAGTCCATAAAAAATGATTTTTTCTATTTGGAAGATCTGATATACTATATAAAATTTACTCAACTGTAGGATTCCCTATATAAAGTGCTCCAACTTCTCCGCTCCATTTGCATTGAAGAATAAATTTTGTATATTCATCTAAATAATAGTTACAATCGCTGAGATCAGCTACTAAATATCCTACTTCATTCCTGCTAATTTCTATCGAAGTATTTTTATCGAAATGCACAAGTGAGCCTCTTTGCCCGCAATTTCTCCCAATAAATCCAGCATTACAAATGCAATTATTATACTAATTTACAATGATTAGAATTATTTTTGATTATTAGCTATTTTTCTATTATTGAGAATAAATAGTACTGACGGTAATTACTACGAGTATTCCTATTTATTGCATATAGATATAATAGATTTGCATAGCCCATGTCCTGAGCAGCCCGACTGGCAAAGATGCTGATTTGATTCTTCGAATTTTAAAGAGTAAGTGATGGTTTCACGATCAAAATTTCTATGAAAAATACCAACAAATATTAATGAGTATGATGGAATATCGTTTGTGTCCATTATTATTGAATGATCATTCAAATGGTTTTCATATGAATAATAATCAACATAATCATATTTCAGGCTGGATGTATCATTTTGGTCTAAGTATTTTGGAAGCTGGTTAAAACCCAAAACCAGTAAAGGAAGGGATCTGAAATTTTTAGACTTAATAAAGAGCGATATTGATATATACCTTTGTTGGATGCTGGAAGAATTTAACTGTACATGGACTCATATAAATAAAATGGCATTCGGTTCGAGAGAAATTAGCTCTGCTAATTTTCTCTCCCTCATGGAATTTTATTTATAGGGTTAGGTTTTCACTCGAAGACTTCTGGACAGCAATAGCGGTTTAACTCTGGAGATAACCAGAGGAACCACTCCTCAGTCCACTCAAGATTTCGGGCTTTTACCTCTCAGCACATCCCCACGGGAGGGTGACCCTTAGGCGGAACACGCGCAGGAGCTGAGTCGAGCGACAAGGGCGACGGCAACGCGCCGGGTGAGACGTGCAGCAAGGCCGGTGAAGCAGGAGTTGATAGAAGGCTTGGACGGGGCTGACCCGTGCCAAGATGGCTCGCCTACGTCATCAGTTTTGCCATAGGCCCTTTTGGGCTGCGGCACTAGACACCTTAAACACCAGATAATTAAGTAAGTACATGGACTCATAAAGTTGACTGTGAAACCTCAACTTCTTGGCCCATGCTATACATTTCTATTGCTGAAGTGATTGTATTGGCATAAATACTAATTGCCACGAGTATTTGGTATATATATTTGGACATTATTTTTATGATTTTCTATCAGAAAATGTAAAAGATCCTATTGGATTGTAAGCATTAGAAAAATTGAAAAAACATAAATCGAAATTAATATAGCAGCAAATTTAAAGATCTTTATAAGCATAGTATTAATATTTTTTTAGCTGATATTGTATTTTTTACATTTTATTTATAATAACTGATTATCTTATTCTCTCTTTCCATTTAATTATTGATTTTTGTGTTATGCTAGGTAATATTGTAATTATATCAAAGATTATTTTATCAATTTTAAAATTACAAAAATATTTAACAATATTTAAATATTGAATAAGAGTTATAAAAATTTCAAAATCATTTGAACCAGATAAACTAAATTTATAATACCCTATAATCTTATAAATTGAAGCTCGACCAAAACAATTTCGATTAATTATTTAGTGTCATCTAGTGTCACTCCTGAAAATAGTGATTCCCTTAAACTAGCGACGTCACACACCTTTTGTCGCTTAAAATGGAGCACCATATGAGCAGACATTCCAAAGCAAGACCTCCTTAGTGCAATTCTCATTGATGAATTATCGTCGACTTTTACTAGCTTCTTCATGTATTCCTAAAGATCATCTTCCTCAGGTGCGCTAAAAAGTACCAACTTGAGCCTTCCAAGTTCCAAAAAATCAGGCAAAGAGGCTATGCACTCCCCTTGCTTACCTAATATAGCTGGATAAGGGTTTTCTAGAATAGCCAAACCTCATGATAATTAATGTGCCATTGGAGGAGATTTCGGTAGTAAAATTTCGCAATGCATCGCCATTTATTATCACAAAACTCGACCAAAACAATTTAATCAAAAAATCAAAATAGATAAATAAAAAAACCTATTGATTTTTCATATTTAAAGACTTTTGCATGTATTTTAAATTAAAAATAAACTGATAATTATCAAAATTTTTATACTCTTGTCACAAAAAAGCACTACAATTATGTAAAGAATCACAAATTAATTTGGATCTGAAGATAAATAATAATTTCAGCATAGCATAAATTCAGACTTATCAAAGATGGTCCAGCTTCATTTCAAATGCTAGATAACTTCAAATTAATCGAATTATGAATATTAATTAATTAAGAATTTTATATAGTCTGAAAAGAAAATTACGAACTCTATCTATAATCTTGCCAATTTAAAATAGCTGACCTTTTTCCTTTTAATAGTCAAATTTTAATTTAAGAGTATTTGTATTCTATTTGGCTTAATCATATTTAATTTATTATTAATAAATGCAATTAAAATTAACAACAAATATAAATTACTCAAATTATTATTATGTATTACAATAATTTCTTATCATGCATATGCATGCCAATTTGAATTCGGCATGTGAAAACCAATATATGCGTTTCAAAACGCAGACTTTAGCGAGGCAAATTCATAATTTGAAATTTCATATGAAAATGGCGCGTGTAACGCCCATAAGAAATTTATGCAACGCATAATAATTTTTAGTCTCCAATAATTTTATTATTCGACACTTTGAACATTCAAGTCATTTGAATGATTAGTAAATAAGCTAGTCCTTTCCATACGTATATCTTGTGAGATTTTTGAAAATAAATTTTCGACTGCTTCACAATCCTTTCTACACACACAGCAAAATTTATGCTGTTTAAATCACTCATCTATGCACTCTGCATGAAAAACATGGTCACATATCAATTTTCTTACTTTAGATTCTTCTTCGAAATTTTCCAGGCAAACTACACATATCTCTGTATCCTCGATGACATTTTTTAAGTCCCTCCAAGCATGAATAGGGTAATAACTTTGAATTATATCAATATTAATCCCAACAACACTATTACGGCTGCGAAAACACCATCATATACATAATATCATAGATATTATAACAAAGACAGAAATTAATGTTGATATAATGATTGCAATAAGATTTGAAGAACTAGAAGAATCATCAGATCAAGTGCAAGAAATTGATAAACTTTGTCCAGAATCTGTATAGGTGTTAAAAATTGCTAACAAAATTTTTTTATAATTTGATAAGCCTGATATAATCACATCTTGTGATGATGCATCCTTAGTCAGAGAAATCCAAGAGTAATAATTTTTCTTATTAGGGAGGTTATTTGCTCTAGATATTGATTACATGGTAGAAGGCTCCCCTATAAAAAGAATGCTAGTTTCACCTCTTCACTTGCAATTAAGAAGCAAATTGGATTCATCCCCTGAATTTAAATTACAATCATGTACAGCAATAAAGAAATATTCAATATTGTCATTTTCTACAGTAAGGTGGCCAGGTTTATTATAGACGAGATATGTAGATTTTATTCCACAATTTCTTCCTATATAAGCAAAGTTGCATTCGCATTGGTCTATGCCTGAGCATCAACCATTTGATCAGCATCCTGAAGCACAAATAAAACTATTTGATTGAAAAAAGGTGATTGAATAGAAAAGTGAGCTATTTTTTCAGTAACTTGGATAAGCAATCCCAAGATAAGCTTTGGAATTGTTTTTAAAAATGGTGGAATCAAGAATTATTTGATGTTCGCTCAATTGGTTTTCATATGAATAAAAATCTGTGTAATCCCCTGTGATACTATAAATATCACTTATATTCAAAAATTCCGGCATCCCTATAAGTCCTAAAGACAATAAAGGAAAGCATTGAAACTCTCTAGTATTTATCTCAACTTTTATAGAAGTGTAGTAATATTGAATTCCAGAAGTGTTTAACTCAATATAAGTTCACAACGAAGCTTGCGATATATTCATCGTTAAGCCAATATCAAGAGAAACGCCATCAGCTCATATCCAAGCAAAAATAAAGAAAATTGTTCTTATTTGATTAGCAGGTCATATTGATTGCATTATATATATCAATATTTAAATAAATTTCGCATTAATTCCACGCTATTTAGCTCATCAGCAATAAGCCCAGTAAAAGAGTCACTTAAATTTCTTGATGGCTTAATATTAAATGTTGCAATATTTTCAGGTAAAACACTATTATTTACACTTGGCCAAATATTCAACAATATTTAAATATTTATCTTAAATGTTTTAATTATTTATATGTTTTTAAGTATAAAGTTCTAATAAGAATTAATCATTTGTAGAAAATCAAAGGTTGCCTTATATTGAATAAGAGTTATAAAATTTCAACATCATTTATACCATATAAATTTATAAAGCCTTATGATCTTATAAATTGAAACTCGACCAAAACAATTTAATCAAAAAATCAATATAGGAGATATATAAAAAAATCTATTGATTTTTCATATTTAAAGACTTTTGCATGTATTTTAAATTAAAAATAAATTGATAATTATCAAAATTTTTATACTCTTGTCACAAAAAAAACAGCACTACAATTATGCAAAAGAATCACAAATTAATTGTATCTGAAGATAAATAATAATTTTCATCATAGCATAAATTCAGACTTATCAAAGATGGTCCAGCTTCATTTTAAATGCTAGATAACTTCAAATTAATCGAATTATGAATATTAATTAATTAAGAATTTTATACAATATTTTTATATATTATTCTGAAAGTAAGTCCTTCTTTCTTTTAATAGTCAAATTTTAATTTAAGAGTATTTGCATTCTATTTGGCTTAATCATATTTAATTTATTATTAACAAATGCAATTAAATATTAACATATAATTATAAATTACTCGAAAATATCTGCTCCGATAAATTTATTATTCGACACTTTGAACATTCAAGTCATTTGAACGATCAGTAAATAAGCTAGTCCTTTCCATACGTATATCTTGTGAGCATCCTTGCGAAAATAAAGTTTCGACTGCTTCACAATCCTTTTTACATACACAGCAAAACTTATGCTGTTTAAATCACTCATCTATACACTCTGCATGAAAAACATGGTCACATATCAATTTTCTTACTTTTGAGTCTTCCTCGAAATTTTCCATGCAAACTACACATATCTCTGTATCCTCAATGACATTTTTTAAGTCCCTCCATGTATAAATAGGGTAATAATTTTGAATTATATCAATATTAATCCCAACAAGTGTAGAATCGTGCGAGTGATGAATAGTATGAACTCTATTGACGCGACGATAAAACCATAATATCAATGATATCATTAATAGCGCTACTATAAAGGCTGGAATTGATATTCATATAATGGTTACATTAAGATTTGAAGAACTAGAAGAATCTTCAGATCAAGTACAAGAAATTGATAAATTTTGTCCAGAATCTGTATAGGTGTTAAAAATTGCTAACAAAATTATTTTAAAATTTGATAAGTCTGATATAATAGCGTCTTGTGATGATGCATCCTTAGTCAGAGAAATCCAAGAATAATAATTTTTCTTATTAGGGAGGTCATTTGCTCTGGATATTAATTACAAAGTAGAAGGCTTCCCTATAAAAAGAATGCTGGTTTCACCTATTCAGCTGCAATTAAGAAGCAAATTTGATTCATGCCCTGAATTTAAATTACAATTAGATAATCTTAAACTTAAGCTTAATTAAACTTATCTAGAAGCCGACCGCAATTCACGAAGGACTGCCTCCACCCGTAGCGCTTCACTCGGTTGCCCGCCATCAATCGTTTCATGACCTTCAAAGCTTCGCTCCTACAGACGAAGACCAGCACTCGCTGCCTGTAGTTGGATGAGTTGTGCCACCTTTGCTCTTTCCGAAAATTTTAAAACCAAATTTTCTGGTCGAGCTGTCGGCTAAAATGGAAACCAAAGCCTGGGACGCAACGCCCAGTATCGCGCTGGAGGAGTGCCCGATTGACCGTGTAGTACTCCACGGTATCACTGAGCCACCCCTTTCCAACTCTGAATCCCATTTCCCCTGAGGTGAAAACCTTGATCTAGAGTGAACTACGGCCGACCTAATTAAACATTGCGCTCCACCAAGACAAATAAAGCCTAGCCGGATATACTTAACGAGCACCAATTTCCCTTCCACAGGACCATGCGGGCCTTTTGAGCCTACGGCGACAGGTGTTGAGAAAAAGGACTGGCTCGCAGTCGCCATTTTAATGTATATGCAATTAGACAAATCAATAAAGAAATATTCAATATTGTCATTTTCTATAGTAAGTTGGCCGGGTTTATTATAGACGAGATATGTAGATTTTATTCCACAATTTCTTCCTATATAAGCAAAGTTGCACAAGCATTGGTCTATGCCTGAGCATCTGCCATGTGAAGAGCACCCCGAAGCACAAATAAAACTATTTGATTGAAAAAAGGTGATTGAATAGAAAAGTGAACTATTTTTTCAGTAACTTGGATAAGCAATCCCAAGATAAGCTTTGGAATTGTTTTTAAAAATTGTGGAATCAAGGATTATTTGATGCTCGTTCAATTGGTTTTCATATGAATAAAAATCTGTATAATCCCCTGTAACACTATAAATATCACTTATTTTCAAAAATTCCGGCATCCCCATCAGTCCTAAAGATAATAAAGGAAAGCATTGAAAATCTCTAGATTTTATTTCAAGTTTTATAGAAGTGTAGTAATATTGAATCCCAGAAGTATTTAGTTCAATATAAGTTCACAACGAAGCTTGCGATATATTCATCGTTAAGCCAATATCAAGAGAAACGCCATCAGCTCATATCCAAGCAAAAATAACGAAAATTGTTCTTATTTGATTAGCAGGTCATATTGATTGCATTATATTAATTTAATATTTAAATAAATTTCGCATTATTCCTCGTTATTTAGCTCATCAGCAATAAGCCCAGTAAAAGAGTCACTTAAATTTCTTGATTGCTCAATATTAAATGTTGCAATATTTTCAGGTAAAACACTATTATTTACACTTTCACAGTCTCTTTTGCATAAGCAACAGATTTTATGATGCCTAAATCATTCATCAATGCAGCTCATATGAAAAATATGCCCACAGCCTAGTTTTCTTACCTTGGACTTAGGGTTGTAATCTTCTAAGCAAATCATACACATTGGTATATCTGCGTCATCAATATTCTTCAGATTGAAACTTGGAAATAAACTTTCAATTGATTCTTTTGTTATGCCCATTGGGGAGTGCTCATTGTCTACTGCATGTCTTCTTCATCGACATTTAATAATAAATCCAATAACTCATAAGGCAAAAATAGATATTGATATTCCAACCAATGCATATACGATCACCATGTTTGTGCTTTTGGACGAGGATGAGTTATCATGCGACAAGTAGCATTTTACTGATAATGTGTTTCCTGAGTCTTTTAAAGTATTAAAAATTCCTATTATAAGAAATCCATAGGAATTTGATGTTTTTATGCTTTTGTGAATAAATCTTATGTCTTGAGACAAATAGAGAGTATAAGCGCAAGACTCTTTATTAGGAAGATTTGAAGTACTGTCTAAAATTTACTCATTAGTTGGAAACCCTATGTATAAAACTGCTTCCCCATATGACAAAGAGCATTTTAAAACAACATCAGACCCTCCTAAATAAAAGTTACATTGAAATGCATCAGATTTTAAATATGTTTTATCATCACTTTTAACATCAACCCACCTACTTTCATTAAATCCAATAGAAAATGTCGTAGTTTCACAATCATTACCTACATAAGAGCTATAGCAAGAGCATTTCCCAAGGTTTTTGCATTGCCCATTGCCAGAACACATTGAAGGGCATATTGGTTTATTTGACTGAAAGAATGATAAGCTATATTGTATTGGTCCATTGGTAAAATTTTCATATCAAATCCCAATATAAAGACTGGAGCTTGATAACTTGCTATCATATTGCAATATAATTCATTGTGTTTCTTCTTGATTTAAAAAGGATTGATAATCCGAGTAATTGAATTTCGGTTGATTTATATGACTATCAAAATCAGGTTCAAAGTTTATTCCTAAATATAAAAGAGGAAATGATTGAAACTGCCTCTCGATTATTTCAAGTTTAATAGCGATGTATGTGTCGGTGATATTTGAAGTAACGAGTTGAATAGGAAAATCGTTTCATTCTGTTAGCTGAGTGATTTTAATTGTTTGATTAATATCAAGAGTCATCGCAAAGCAGAAAATTTCAAAAAATAGTGAGAAAATCAGCAAAAACCAAAAATTTGTCATTTAATTTAATGATTTTAAATATTTCATAATTAAAAATTATTTTAGTGCGATTTAGGAACTCTAAATTATCATTATAAAAATTCAGCAATTTCTCTTGCCATGCCTAAAGGAAATTTCCCTATCCACTTGTTTTTATCTTTGAATTTTTGATAAGCCCAAATAAATTTTCTTCTTTCATATCCTCTTTTATCAATAAAATATAATTCTCTCAAATAATCCAAAATTTTCCTTATTTTCCCATAATTTTTAGTATGCTCTGGATCCTTAAGCATTTCTTGACATAACTTAATTGGACTTTTTTCTCAGACTTGTGTAACTATATGGCAATCAGCTCCATGCTCCCAAAGCCATTTTACAGCTTCAATGCTAACACCTTTTACAGCTAGATGAATTGGAGCTAAACCATCTGCATTATATTGCTCAATATCTAGATGATAATTTTCAAATGCAAATTTCATCATTTTGATTTTTCCCATATAGCATGCCATATGGAACATGTTATTACCAAGTTTATCTACAGGCATCTCAGGGGTGTGATGTAAAATAGTCATTAAGCGAGTTAGGAGTAAAATATCTTCTTTTTCGATTGCGGCCATGATTCTGAACTTTTTGGCAAATTTGCCAAAACCTCCTTGCTTTTTCATTTTTATACAACTGTTATTCTTAAACAGAGCACATAGCTTTGGAAGAAAAATAGAGATATTAATTGTAAGTTAATTGAATAAATTAAAAAATAAAGATATACTTATCTAAATCAATTTCGAGTTATAAAAGTTATGTAACTAAACAACAGCTATTAAATCATCAAATTGATTATAAATCCTTACCGCCCCTTAAGCTTTAAGAACGAGCACAACCATCGAAAAAATGATTGTTTTGGAGAAATCCTCCCCTTAAAAACGATTAAAAATTTTTATATTAAAATGTTTCTATTAGAAGTTACTATAGTTAGATATCTAGCTACTTCTATTAAATTTAGATAGTTTTTATTCATAAATATAAATTTTATAAATTAAAATAGAATTTTCTTCTCATATATTTGCAAATTTGGGTATTTAAATTTTTACATATAAAAATTGAGCTATTTAATGAGCAGAAAAAAAATTCGGCTAGTTAGTAAAAGTCTTTGGTGGGCTTGCTTCTACTATTAAAGATCCCAATTCTTCATCAACTACTAAGATCGCGAACTTATCGACACTTGACAACTTATCATAATTCATTGAGATAAAGTCAAAAGCCCCTCTCTTATCTGTATACCCATCCTTATAAAATTCTATTTCTCCGCTTGCTAATTTTGCAAAAACTTTGACATAAGTAGTTGATCTTGGATTATTATCTTCACTCATTACCTTAATATGACCATATCTTTCAATTATCATTGTCTTTAAAGCTGCATTAAAAGCAGTTTTTATAGACGAGTATTCTCCATAGTCAATTTCCACTACAAAACTTTTTCTTTTGACATCATTTGGCAGCTGAATCGTTGTGGAAACTTCAGGTAAGTCATATGAGAATTGTAAATTTGGAGCTAAAAATACAAAATTTGATGGATCCTGAATGAAAAATGGATTTTTTGAAAATAAGATTTCAAGGTCAATATAATAAATTTTCACTTCACACTTTTTCACATTTTGGTAGGTCAAGCTAAGATTATTGTTCTCAATTGTAAAGCTTAAAGCGGGCTCCCTTGAGATTTCTTCTTGACTCTCATCTTCAATTTTGGAATCTGATAAATTAAATTAAGAGTTTTAAAGTCTTCCAGATTTGATGCCTGCACATTTGCGACCACCAGGCCCTTGCTTGGTAGGGGTAGCCTCAGTTCCCTAGCCTTATCAACAGCATTCTCCCAGGATTAAGGCTACAGCTATACTCCTGAGTTTTAAACGGGCTAGAAGACCCTTGGTATTCTACGTCTTGCGGTGCTATGGAGGCAAAGTTTAGTTCGATGTCTCCTACAGTCACCTTAGGAAGGCTGGAATGGTTATCAACTGATTCCCAAGGTTACCCACCCCATACGGCTGCCATATAGTAATCTTAGGCTTAGAATAAAATGGCTGGACCTTAGTTTAGGCTATAAAGCCATTTTGACACACCCAAAGTGGTGCGTCGCCGGCAAATACTTATTTTATCGCCACCACCATATTTATTACGAATCTGATAAGGATTGATAAATTTCCATAAAGTTATTTCTCCAAGTTTCTACAGGATAATTAGCATATAGTGAGCTTAGTTCTTTAGCAATAGATAAACCTTAGCTTAACTTAAATTATTATCAAGTAGCTCCCAGTCAGCCATACTGGCTTTTTACATCCCTCGCTTGCTTGTCAGTCTGATTGCACGGCTTAAAGGCATGCTTGCTCCCTCCGGGCAAGGGCTTGCACTCACAATACGTTGATAAAGACACTGGGCCACCGTATGTACATTAACGGGGTTGCCCTTTCCAAAAACCCTATAATAAATTTCTGGTTAGGCTATCAGTCAGACTGAAAATTTTAGCCCAGGCAGCAACTCCAACCACAAGGTTCTTAGACTCTTGTCTGGCTACTACAGATGCTAAGAAACGGTTTTTTTGGCAAACCATTTTTATGTGTGCAATAGATGAGTAAAGAAAAGCTGACAAATAATCAAATTGAATTTGCAATAGTCCATGGCTTGGCGATATTTCTGATACTTTCATACCTAATTCTTTTAGTTTATCATAGAAATTCAATGCTTCTGTATATCTATCTTGAAGAATATAATATTGGCATAAACAAATATAATCAATGATGTCCAGTTTATTTTTTTCAGCAATGAACATCAAGAAGTTGTAATAAGTTTCTTTAAATTGGAGATTCGTGATAGCTTTTCTGGCTCCTAAATTATGTGCTCTTGCATTTATCAATGGAAAATACTCATAATGAGTAAAATCCTCTTTGCCAGTTTTTATTATAGAGGATTCAAAATTATATCCGATTTTCTGAACAAAATCTTCATTTCTTCTTAAAAGCTCATAAAATGTTGGATAATCTTCATGAAGCATCGAATACAAGTATAAATGCTCATCAAAATATTTCTTTTCTTTAAATATCGCAATTGCTTTTGTATAAAAGCTGCAATTTTTCATCCTATGATAAATATTTCTTGCTAATCTCTCTGAAGAATATACATTAAATGGTGGCATGTGCCAAGCTACCCTCTTGGTGCAGCAGTCCAGAACTTATAGCTACGGCGAATTAGGATGGGCTCCGGGTTAGGAAATAGGTGCAGCCTTATGGAATGTGTATCCGGGTAGGCTTTGGCTGCCTTCCTGTCGTTAGAAATTGAGGTGCCCGGCAGTGTCCTTTGGGTCCAAGGACGGGCATTCATTTACCTAGAAACTGAGGGTTTCAGCCTAGGCCACAGGGGATCAGTCTTTTTGTTAGTCGTTGAAAGAATGCACTTCAACACCCGATACATTCAAAGGAGCTGATCAATGGAATCAAGTTACTCCAATTCGCCCGTCACAGGGCCGCAGAAATCTATACCCGCTCACTCAAGACTGAAACGGAAAGAGGAGACATAAGGTACGGAAATGGCACCCATTATCAGGGGATAGACCCTCTGGGTTGGAGTCGAAAAGCGAATGAACCTTCCGTATGAGAGGTCTTTGGTAACTGTGTCACCTATATAGCTAACACCTTACTTTAAATTACCTAACCCAACTCTACTGAAGAATATAAATTATTTTCTCGAAGGTATTTCATTATATCATCCTCATTCCCATTTATCGCAAAGTCTTCAATATTATCTGCTGATATATTTTTGATGCTTCCCAATACTTCTGCCTTCTTCACTTCTGTATTTCCAATCAATTTTTGATTTCTTGTAACAACAACTGGGTGTATTGTAAAATTTCCTTCTTCAGGGAAATAAAACTGATATGAAAAAATTTCTGTTTGATAAGACCCAATTGTTTTGCATTCAGTTTTAATGTAAAATGAGTCTGATATAGGAATACTTCCACCAGGTACTTGCAGTAAAACATATACGAATTTGTTCATATCAGATGCATTTGTAACTATTATTTTACTTTCATAACGGGTTTTTGTAAGGAATTGCTTAACTTGAGAATTAGGATTTTTAGGGTTTATAAATTTTTGTGAAACTAAAATTTCTGGGTCAAGGTTGATCGGAGTTTTGGAAAGGTCTTTATAAAAGGCTAAAAAGTTATGGTCTGATGCTATCGAAATTGTAGAACCATTAGAAAAATAGCTAACTCCCCCCCCTCTCTGTGAGTTAACAAAAAAATTTTGTTCACTTACGGAGGGGGTTAATTTTTTTTTTTTCGAAATTTAAAAAAATCTCACTTTTATAAAAATTTGAATTTAAATTTATAAAATTTATGTTTTAAAAAAGCAATTCGTTTAAAATTAAACAGAATCAGCTCTAGATTTCATTATACTAATTATCACTTATATATCAAAAATTTTTCCATAAAAAAGTTTTTGTTCACTCACGGAGGGTGAGTTTTTGGGCAAAAAATAGCGATTTTTCTAATGGTTTTGTTCACTCACGGAGGGTGGGTTTTTGGGCAAAAAATAGCGATTGCTCTAATGGTTTTGTTCACTCACGGAGGGGGGGAAATAAGAGGAGATGATAAAATTGGAAGATCCATAAATGCTAAAACTGATATTAATTCTGTAAGGCCTGATAGTGAAAAAATAGCATTTGGGGTAAGAATTTTCTTTTGAAGAAGAATAGATTGGGCTAATTCTTTCCAAAAACGATTTGGCTGAAGAGATTCCTTTGATTCTTTTTCTGAAAAATAATAAGTTTCTTTGTATTCTTTCGTTCTTTCTATCGTGTTTTTCTTGATTGGTTTATATATATTTGAGATTCTAAGGCTTCCTGATGTAAAATCATCATTCATTGTAAAATCAGCAAGTCCTCCTCTCGTTTTATAATTTAAAAATTTTAAATTCACAGCATCTACTATATTTTGAAAATCAATCATATTTTGTTCTTCTTGGGGCAGTTGGAAGATTTTTAATAGCAATTCGTAATCTTTTTCCTCGTCGATACTCATAGGTTCAACCTTGTTTATCAAATCTTGAGCTATATCTTTAGCTTCTTTGATAATAGTCTTGTCTCCTTGCTTTATCCCCCAATCAATCAATAAAATTTTTTCTAACTCCCTCTCAGTGAGCGAAACAAAAAAGTTTAGTTCGTTTAAAGAGGGGGTTAATATTGGTAAAAAAGTTTATATGCAAATTTTATGATAATTTTTTTTTTAAAAAAATCCATTTCGCAAAATAAAAAATAAATTTTAATTTATTTTATAAAATTTATATTTTAAAATGCAAAAAATTAAGGATTCAAATAAATCATTATAATGTTTATCACTTATATATCGAAATAATTTTCACAAAATCTTTTATATTACATAATTTTTTGCTCACTCACTGAGGTGGATTCAAGGCCAAAAATAGGGATGTTTTCAATGGTTTGTTCGCTCAATGAGTGATAGTAAGCAATTTAATTTTCAGTAACTTTTAATATATTCGCTTACTCTCTCCATCCGTGAGCGAACAAAAAAGCTTTATTCAATCAAGGATGGCTAGTTTTTTATAATTATTTTTTTCAAAATTATATCCCATTTCGAAATAACTTTAAAGCAAATATTTATTTAATTCGTAAAATTTATGCTTTAAAATGCAAGCCGTTTAAATTAAACAGAATTAACTAGATGTTTCATTATAATAATATCGCTTATATACCAAAATATTTTCATAAAAAATTTTTGTTTGATCACGAGTAAGTGGGTTTTTACCCAAAAAATAGGGTCTTTTCCAATGGTTTTGTTCACTCACGGAGGGGAGTTTAGAGATTCGCCGAGTAAATATTTATCAATTATATCTTTTTCCATTTTATTTGAAATGAAAGGCTTAACTACTGCGTTAAAATATGCCTGATCCTTGAAATATAAAAACAAATTCAGCTCATGGCTGAAATATCGATCGAAATAATAATTCTTTTTATCATTGCTAATTTTTGACCAAGTGCTTAAAAATAACCATTCCTTATATTCATTCTAGAAATAAATAGGATGAACTCCGAGAAATATTCCTTATGGAACAGATAAGATCCGTCCGATTAAGCTGAAACAGTGTCTCTATTGCTCTTTGAAGTCAGCCTTCGGGCTTGGGGATGCCTACTGAAGAAGGAAGTTTTTCTTCTCCCGAAGGTTTTCCCTATCCCTGCTAGATGGGCTGAACAGATTCCCTCCTACTTAGTCTTTACTTATCAGGACTAATGGGCATCAGCAAGAGGCAACTCTAACTTGGAGAGCTAATCCTTTGATTAGGTAGGTTTACGCCAGATAAGCAGGCTAGTGATCTATCCGCTTATGACCATATAATTTTAACTTAGCTTAACTCATATTCATTACTATCATCTAATAATTTGATTTGCATATTTTGCAAGCTTTCAATTGAATCCAAAATCTCTATCGACGTAATATCTTGAGACTGTAAAATAAGGGTTTCTCCAGAAGATACAGAAGAATTTTTTATCTGCTCAGAGCGCAAATCATTGTCATTAATTTCTGGATCTAAAATAATTGGTTTAATTTTTACCATTTCTAAATCTATGGGATATATTTTCATAGTAGAAATCCCGTTTTTATATGCAAAGATAATGACTTGAGAATAGCCTTCTTCTAAACCAATACTCAATTGATGATTAACTGGAATAGTTAAATGGCTTCATATTGAAGGTGCCTCTAAAAAATCTAAAAAATATGCTGAACTATAAAGTTCTAAGCCGCCACTGCCAGATAACAAATAGGCCTGATCTAATCTATCATCGCCAAGAAGTAAGATTTCTGGGTTGTCTTCCTCAACCATACGCATAATAAATCCTTCTCCTATATCAACTTCTTGAACTTCAGTATCTGTATCTTTTATTTTTTGCCGCTTCAATGCTAATTGCGGTTTTGGCAAATTAATACTTTGGTACTTTGGTTGTTTTTTCCTATCGATAGCATATCTAAATTCTTCATTAATTCTTCTGCTTTTCAGGTAAGAAATTTTATTTTCCTCATAAATAAATTCAGATTGTTTTTGGGAATTTGAGTTTAAGGCATTAAAAATGCTCATTACTGTGCCTGATAAGTAATTGCAAAGCAGTATATAGGCTGATCCGTTTTCTGAATTATCTGAAAAATCTATAATTAGCTTGCCATTTTCTCTTTTAATATTTTCTATTGAAATGCTTGACTCTTGACTCTTGTGGGGCAATGATTTAGAGTCTAACATTAAATAGTTAAATTCTTTTAAGGCAAAACCTTCTGAAACTTCAATTCTGATTGCCGCATTCATCGTTCTTAGCTTCAGCACATATATTCCTTTTGAAAGCCCTAGAATTTTTAATTTTCCATTTCCATACTTTATGTAATCAGTAAAATCTTTTTCAAGTTGATTCCTATACATTTTGAATAAAGTGTTTTTCTTATATGATCTGATAGTAATTAAAGGGGCTTGGTAGAAGTCTAACTCAATATTTTCTCCTTCCTTAATATTTATTTTTTCAGGATAAGCAATTTTTTCTTTAAAATCTTCTAATGACCATTCAAAATAGCCATCATTGTAGTTAACTGAAATCAAATGAACTCCATCTAATTCTCCAAGATAAATCTTCCCATCATTGTCTGAAAAATAAGTAGCAGAGTTGCTCGTTTCAAAAATGTGAAAATCAATAGTCACTTTTTGGCCCTTATATAGCTCCCCATTTCTTCCTCTCAGCTCCATAGCAAAGCCTTGACCCTTTGTTTTCCTTAAATAAGGTCTTGATAAAAGATATTGATATGAATTTAAGCTGATAGAATAATTATTTTCTAGTTGAACATTTGAATCAGATCCTATTGAGCTTTTTGCTGAAATGTTTATGCGAGTTACTTTATAGGGAACTTGAAAATTAATTGATATAAGACCATTTGAAGGCGAAGCTTTAAATATTTTTGAATTTATCTTTTGGTCAATGCTAGTGATTTGCAAAGTAATTTCAAATTCTGCTAGTAAAGATAAAGGCAGTTCAAAGCTATTCATGTATAAGGATGGTTTAATCTGGATTGTTGCATTCTGACTGTACAAGAATTGTTCTTCATATAATAAAAATACTGATTTAAGCTCATAATGTCTTGACAGATGCTGGAAATCCTTTACAAGTAGTGAAATTTCTCCATCTGTTATAATAAGATTTTTATTTGAATCTTCTTCAGCAAAAGGAATTTGGCAAACCCCATTGCTACTTACCTGGTAAAATTTTCCATCTAAAATAATTCCACAAGTTTGCTTTGTACAAACCTTGTTGTCTTCATCAAAAATAAAGAGTTGCTGGCCGGGTTCAGATGGCTTGATAATATATTTTAAATTTCCTTTTGTTATCATAGCTCGACTTTGTCTCCCATTTCCAATAAAATCAATAATAAAAGTTCCTCTTTTTGCTGTAAGTGTTGGAAATGAAAATTCTTCTTCTCTTTTAAGAAATGGAAAAGCCTTATATGTATAGCTATATTCTTCACTCGCTATAAATCCTTCTATCTCAATATCAGCTGTCAATTCAGCTTCCTTCTTGGCATAGTAAGCTTTAGTATTAATTTCATATATGCTCACAATGAGATTTTGGATATTTCTCATGGATAAGCATAACTTCACTTCATCATTTGCGTTAAATTTCTTAGGATTGACTTTACAGAGTTCAAGTTCTGATGATTCTAGTAAATTTTTCATTGTTTGTTTACTGATATTTTTTTCATAATTTAAAGGATCGTTTCCATTAAAAATTTTAGCAAGGGCGAAAAACTCATTAAGAGAATCTTTTGTTATAAACTTTTCATAGGGAAAAGTTGAGTCTCTATCTTTGAATAATTGATTAAAATATGCTTGCAATAATTCATTTTCTGAGATATTATAGAAGGATAAATTTTCATTAGGGCTCACCCACCTTGAGTATCCTTTATTATTATCTTTATATATATCTGAATAACGATGATAATTCATATACTCTAACAGCATTGCTTCATCGTATTCTTTTATAGAGATTCCAGCGCACAATAAATTATAGAGCATAATGCTTTTTATATAATAATTTTCTGGGAGATCTTTTATTTCAGTTCAAGCTTCAGCAAAAGCTTTATAAAGTAAGTTTTCATCTCCTATATCTCCAAATTTATATTTTTTTGGGAAATAAAATATAAGAAAATCAAAATTATTTGCGATGACCGGATAATTTTTGAATAAATATTCTAACTGGTCTACTGTCATTTGAGGAAATATCCAAGTTTGGCTTATCAACCCAGACGAGAAATACTCTCCTATTTTTTTCTCAACTCCATCAAATTCAAAAGCTTCCGGGTCATATAAAAACTCCTGAAACACTTCAAAGCTCATTTTCTCTACATTTAAATTCCACTTTCCAGCATTTCGAACGATTCTATAGCTATCTAAATTTGTATCAATATTACTCATGTCAACAAATAAATCACTATCACTTACAACAGATCTTCCATTAATTGTTTCTAATGCTTTCGAGCTTTGATAAGGCTGCTCATTTAAATCAATATTTGGATACAAATTTTCCTTAAAATTTTCCATCATCTTTTTCTTCGTCTTTGCATCGCCAATTTCCAATTTATTTACCATAGATCTATAGTAAAGCCTCCAATATAACTCTATGGAATCGTTTTTTAATTTATCTAAAATATTTTTGAATCTGTTGGAACTACCCTTGTTCTCCTGAAGAAGCAAATTTCCTTCTAAATAAAGCTTGACTTCTGAATTTGGAGCAAAGCTTTGAAGAGATTCTGATTTATTTTGAGATCAGATGAAATCTTCTAGTGCATTGATATCGTTATCAGAGTATTTAGCTAGGACAGCAGAAAATAAAATGAACAGTAAAATCATTTATTAGCATTTTTATTACGTGTAATCTTTCTATAATTTCTATTATGTATTTACTTTTTATAATCTATTAAAATGCAAAATTTTCTCACAATGCAATGCTCAAGGTGTTCGAATCACGTTGAGGAGTGGCAAATTTTTTCAAACGCTTGCTTGCATTGCTACTGTACAGACTGTTTTTTTTATTTGCTTGAAAAGAGTGATGCTGAGAGTAAATGCCTCTCAGCTTGTGAAGAATGCACTAAAGGATTCACAGAAATGCTTTTTGATAATTCAGATAGATCAGCTATATATAATAGTAACCATCAAGAAAATCTTACTCTTCAACTTTCATCGATTAGATATCCCATAAATCATGAAGAACCTATTTCTCAGCCAGGTGAAGACACTTTAGTAGAAAATTACAAACAAAATAAATGCGATAGATGCAAAGTAAAAAATTCTGATTTTAAATGCAATCATTCAATCTGCATGGATTGTTATGTATATTTAATTTATCCTTCTATTCTTGAAGCATGCTACAAAATTTATCACCACTCCAACCAAATTACTTCCCCTTACTGCTTAGGATGTATTGATGATAAATGTAAAAAGTCATACCAGTCAATTCCTGCTGAATATTTTATTGATTTATTGAGCAGAACAGAGAGGACGAGCTATTATGAAGAAAAAGATTTTGTTATTCAAGTGATGACTGCTTTTCTACCTTTATTTAACGGAGTCCCAATGACGATTATAGAGTGTCGTCATTGCTCGAGGCCAATGGGCAAACTATCAAGCACAGATTTCAATTGCCAGTGGTGCTGAAATGAAAATTTTATCTCTTAAACGTGATAAAAAATTAATAAATTTTATATCTAATATTAGATTATTAAAAATTCAAAATAGCCTTACTTATAAGAAACAGCCACTAAGCACTCAAAACTAATAGTCTCTTCTTTTACTACAAGAATTTCATGAATTTTTCTTCTCAAACACTGTGAAAATAATTCGAAATGTTCACCGCTTCTCATTTTATTGACAGAAGGTCGACTTAAGTATGATTCCATGGCTTCTTCAACTGTTCTATATCCACAAGGTGCTAGGGTAAAATATGTTAATACCTTACTAAATCCTGCAGCTTTTATTAAAGCTTTCAACCTTAAAGGGTCGTTTAAATGAAAATTTGATCTTTTATGGTCTTGACTAGGCCCCATGGCTTCTTCAATAGCATCGCTTAAAACTGTGTGAAAAGAGCTATTCTCTTGTCTTCCCCACACAGAAAATGCAGCAATTCCTCCGGGTGCTAAAATTCTATAAGCTTCTGATAACATTTTTTCTGGGTCTGGGACAATCTGCAATGACACATTTGAGACATATCGATCAAAACTATTATCTTCATATGGCAGCTCATCATTACTGCATGCAATACAATGAGTGTTCAGGAAATTTCTACTTTGAACAACATTAACCATCTCTTCTGCAAGATCATTTGCAAAAATTTCTGCATCTTGTGGAAGATAAAGTCTCAAAACTTCAATTCCATTTCCAGAGCCACACCCTGTTTCTGCTACTTTTCTTGCTGATTTTAGCTTCAACATAGGAATCATAGTTGAATAAATTGCAGTAGGCACTTCTACATTTTCTAGATATCATGGGAGCAGTTGATTTCAAAACACTCTTAATTGTTCATTCCCTACAACTTCTCCCATATTAAATCTTAGCAATAAACTAATCTTAAGAATTATAACTTTCTGCTATCCAGTCGAGTAAACTTGGTGTGAAATAAGTAATAATGATCTGTGCTCCAGCCCTTAAAAATCCTTGCATGCTTTCTAATACTACTTCTTTCAAATTAATTCCTCCAGCCTGAGCTGCATGATAAATCATGGCGAATTCTCCTGATACCTGATAACAACAAATAGGGACTTGGACTGTATTTTTGAGGTCTCTAATAATGTCTAAATAAGGCATAGCTGGCTTCACCATAACAAAATCAGCACCTTCTTCTATGTCTCTAAGAGCAGCTCTAATAGCTAGTTCTCTTGAAGCAGAAGGTAACTGATAAGCAGCTCTGTCTCCGAAGGCAGGTGCACTATTAGCAGCGTCTCTAAAGGGCCCATAAAAGCTTGATTTGAATTTGCTTGAATAGCTTAAAATTGGGATAAAAATTTGTTTTTGTAATAATGCTTCTTTTATGTAAAAAACCCTTCCATCCATCATATCAGATGGCGCAATAACGTCAGCTCCATGCTGAGCAAATAAAACGCTCATTTCAGCAAGCTGGCTTTGAGATTCAGCTAAGTTTATAGTCCCATCTTCAAGTAAAACCCCACAGTGGCCATGCGTTGTGTAACCACATAAACAGATGTCAACACATAGCAGCAATTTTTGCCCATATGCAGATTTTAGTCTTTCAAGGGCTGGTATCACAGGGGAATTTTTAAAGCTATTTCCTTTGATTTCTTTTTCATGAGGCTGGAGAACACCAAATAGCATTATAGCACGCAGTCGTGGGCCTGTTCTTTCAATTAATGGACGAAGTTCTTCAACTACACGATCATAGCCATAGTGAAAATTTCCAGGCATTGATGCAATTTCTGATTTCTGGTCAGGAGTGTTTGTGACAAAAATTGGCAAAATCAGGTTAGTGTCTTTTAAAGATGAGGAAGAATGCCATGAACGGCAAACTGGATGGCGATAAGAGTTGTGGAAGTAATGAGATCTGTCCATTATTTTTAGAAATAAAATGTGGAGGGAGGATTGATAATTTAAATTTAAATTAATAAAGAAGCGTACTCCATAATTAATGGATAAATATAAGAGAATAAAAATTATTTTATAAAAAATCAAAATCAATAGGCTAACTCCCTCAGCGAACAAACAAAAAAATTTTATTTATTTTTTTTTTTTAAAAATTATATAGTTATTTCTTGCTCTTGTTTAAAGAAAAGAGTATAAAAAGCATCTTATTTAAATAAATTTATTATCCTTAATTGCTAAATTTTTAAAAAATTTAATTTTAAATAAAAAAATATTTTTTATTTTAATTATTTTGATATAAATTCAATGCGAATTATTTATAAAAATTAAAAATTTACTTATTTCTTGCTTTATTTTAAAGAATAGAATATAAATAAGATCTTATTTAAACAAAATTAGCACTTTGATTGATAAATTTTCTAAATTTTTTTTTATCAATAAAAATAATAGTTTTTGTGTAAATAGTTTTGATATCAATTAATAGTGGCGTATTAACTAATAATAAAAATTTAGCTATATCTTGCTTTTTTTTAAAAGAATAAAGAGTAAATTGCATTTTATTAAACAAACTTCTCAATCTAACTCGATAAATTTTTAAATTCTTAAAAAATTTTATATTGATTTTTGTTTTTATAAAAATTTCAAAAACCCCCTCTTTAAATGGAACAAAATGTTTTGTTCCAATTTAAAAGGGGAGTAAGAGCTGTAAATTTTTCTTAAAAATCATGCCCAATTAGAAAGAGCCAAAAATCATTAATTAATAATTGGAAGAGCAAGGAAAGGATTATTATGATATTTTCTCTTATAAATAAGTCGCAGCTTATTCTATATAAATTTCTACATTTATAATTATATAAATAATTTTTAGTGTAAATGAGATTAATCGAAAATTGCAATATGCCTAAACAATAATATAAAACGAAATCAAGCAAAATTGATATAAGAGACTTTATTAATGAAACTGAAAGATATTGTCCCAGCTACTTACCATTAATTCAATACTCAGCAAATATTTCAAAATATCATGCAGAAATTGTTTTCGCCTACTGCAACAAGCTAAAATTAGGCACAAATACTCGATATCTATCTTACATGATCTTCCAAAAAATCTTGCAAATCGAGCCCACAATTGATCCTGCAATCGCTTTATCAATCTCTATTCTTTTATCAACCAAATTCCATGAGCAAAGCCCTATCTCTCCCCAAGCTGTGCTGGAAATCTCCCCATCAATTCGATTTACAAATGAAATTTTGAAATATGAGCTTTATATCTTATCTTTAATTAATTTCAGAACTCTAATTCCTACACTGCATGACTGAGTGAGCTTGCAGGTTGAATTGTGCACTAAAAGACTAGAAAAAGATGTGAAAAACATGATTAGATATGTATCCTTACTAATTATTGATCTTTTGCATGAGGATGAAACTATTTTGGTAGATTATCCAGTTGGACTCTTAAGTGCAGCTGTTATACAAGCTACACTATCAGTTTTGACAAAACTGTCTGGGCTTTTTCCTCAGTGTGAGCTACTTGTAGGATATTTTGGGTTTGACTTAGATAATCTGGTTCAGCTGTCGGATTTTATTCTTTGCCATGTGCTTGGTGAAGAACTGTATTTTTCGTATATGTGGTAAGCCTAATTAAAAAAATAAAATTTTAATTATATTGCTTATATTTTATAATTTATACATAATATAAATATGGATTTAGCAAAAATATAATAAAGTAGAAATTAAATTAAGATATGAAATAATTCTTACTCCCCCCCCAATCCTTGATCGAACGATTGACTGTAAAAATTCCTAAAAATTGGGGAAATTAACCCCCATCCTTGAGAACGATTTTCATATCATGACAATTTTTATATATATAAAAAATATATTATTTATCAAAAGCTTGGGAAGATGTACATAATGAAGTTGCTTTCAGAGCTTTGAGACGACAGAAAGCTGCGGAATCAACCATCCGAAGTGATTTAGTTATCAACATAGGCTTAAAAACTCAATAATCTAATAAAATAGTGATTCTTTCAAATTTTTAAAAAAAATTTATTTTAATAAGGAAAAAATTAAAATTTATACAGTTTAAAGGGATAACTAATAAATCAAAATATTAAAAAATTGGTATTTTATAAAATTAATTAAATTTTTTGCTGTAAAAAAATTATTAAATACTCTTAACCCTCTTATTTAAAAGTAAATAAAAAAAAAATATATATATATATTTTTTTTTTTTTTATATAAAAAATTTTTTTAACCCCCCATCCTTGATCGAACGATGGCGAGTCGTTCGATCAAGGATGGGGGCGGGGAGTTAGCAGGCTTTATTATAAAATTAAATAATTTCAATTTTGTCATAATTTGTTGCAAAGAGTTTCAAAATGGGTTTATTAAATTTTCACTATGGGATTATTTTTTCTATTATTTCTTTGGTTTTTTCTTCAAATTGAACCCTGCATTAGAACAAAGATTTTTACTCCCCCCTTAAATGGAGCAAACATAGGCAAAATTTTCCATTTTTTGGATACTTTAAGCCTCTTTAAATTTAAGCAATGCTTTAATAGAAAAATTTTAAAAAAAACTATAATTTTTATATTTAGTTTTTTTACCTAATTTAACAAAAAAGTTCAAGCAGAATATTATTTAAGCAGCTTTTAACTCTTAATTGATTAACTTTTTTAATTAATTCTTCTTAAAAAGAAAATTAAATTTTATATTTAAAAATTTTAATTTATTAATATAATTATGTTTTAATAAAAAATTTGACACTTCAAATTGGAGCTGGATTTTTGTTCTAGCTAAGCGGGGAGTTAGTAACTTAACTAGCTTAAAATAGAATGTAAGATGCAATTTATTTAAAGCTTAATATTAGCTTATTCTTTCATTATTTATGCATTTAAACTTTTACATCAGTCGCTGAAGGAGGATAAGGATATACACGGGTAACCTTGATGAATGGTCTTAAGTCAGGATCATAAGACCATAAAATCAAATTAGTTAACGCTGGAATGTTGATTTCTCGCTCAGGCACGAAATTTTCGGGTAGATTTAGCACCTCTTGAGTTGAGTTTTCATGCAAAAATAGATGCTCTTTTAGGTTTTGCGATGAAGAAAACTTTTTGTAACAAATATCGCATTCGAACCTTCGAATTTTCCTATGGCAACACTCTACATGTCGCTTTAAATTATACTTTGAACTCAAGCGCTTTTTGCATTCAGAATATGGACAGACAAAAACCATTTTTTATTAATTAAGTAGCTGTTTTACGAATTAGCTAATGAATTTACGAAATATTGGTTTATATAACAAATTTAGCAGTGCTGTGATTCATTTTCTTCATTTATTGTACTTTTAAAAATATGGCAAGTAGTGAAAAGATCCAGGGTTACTGGTAAGTTATCCCAGCACAGGAAAGCAGATACCATTCTTTTGGAAGTCCAAAGTGGTTTTTTACCTGGTAGGAAACCATATCGGTTTTTTTTACCATGACCCAAGATGGCAAGACCGAAAGCGCAAAGTCGGCTTACACTTCTGGGAAGCAATTTCAATTTGTGCCTGCTAAAGGTAAAACAGACAGAAAAAGGTATGTTTGGGGTTCTCCAGTTCTCTGAGCACAACTAGGGGTTAATGGAGTCTGTGCTGTAGAGTTAGACCCCGGTATATATTTGGGTGAATCTCCCTAAGAGACTATTAACGTTTGCAAAAAAAGGGCCTGGTGAGACACCGGCACTTAGGCTACCTCGAGCCTGAAGATGGCTAGGACGAAGAGGGCTGAAATAATCCCTATAAACCCGCTATAATTTAGCTAATCTAATCATTTTACTGTCATTAAAATTATTATGAAAATTGTAAATGTGAAATATTTTTGTTATTTCATTAATTGATCTATATTTTTAAATAGCTTTTACCTAAAATGCAGGATCATATTTTCTATTTAAGTCTTCTTTTATGTGAATAATTAAAATTTGGTTTGATTTAATTTAATTTGAATGCCCCATCTTAATAAATAAGGCTTTTCAATTATAAATTTTATTGAATAATTTACATAAGGTTTACTATCAGCTTATATGCATTTACATATAGAATTGAGCTTTGATTTCCTGAATTTTCGCTTTGTAGAGCTCATGTTTTTCCAATTGTTCTATCAGCAAGCTTGATGGCTTTATAGGTGAATATTCTTTTGTTTCCTCCTTAGCAACTACCTTAGGTTTGGGAATAGGCTTCGGAACGTTTTTTGCAAATTCAATAGCTTTTTCTCGAGAACTTTTCTCTTTTTCTACAACTTTTTTTGGTTTTGCAGGGGGCAGACTATTAGCATTTGCTGTATTTACATGCTTCGCATAGAGATTTCTTCTGTCTTGCATTTCTTTCCTTCTATTTCATTCTTCAGTGCCTACAGTTAGAGGTCCTAATCCTCCTAGTTCATAATACTTGCCACTTTTAGGGTTATAATAGTCGTTTGATTTTGGAATTGTATATTCATTTTCCTGAAATTTTTTGGAATATCCAGTGCTTAATTTTATATTTTGCTTTTTTGTGAGCTCTTCTGGCCTGACTTCTGGAGTTCTAACGTTTTTGACATTATGAGTTAGGTTAAAATTATAAAACCATAAGCGGATAGACCACGAGCCTGCCTACCTGGCGAAACTATCTAGCCTAAAGATTAGCTCCCTAGGTAAGAGCCTCCTCTTATGGTTGCCCTATGAAAGACTAAATGAAAACCTGTCAAGACCATCTGGCAGGGACAACCTTAGGGAGAAAATCAAAACTTCCCTGCTCGACAGGAATCCCAAACCAAAAGGCCTACTTCAAAAAGTGACAGAGGCACTATTTTTAGCTTCATTGGGACGAGTCCTGCCATCTCCATAGGGAAGTGTCTCAGAGTTAATCTTCCGTCTACTCCACCATTTTATTTTTCCTTTAGCATTATAAGGAATTTTATTTTCTAAATTCTCATCAACTGAAATAGTTTCATATTCACCGTTATCAATATCATCCATACTCATATAAGGCTCATCAATGCTTTTTTTTGAGTTTTCTTTAATTGGCTGAATACTTTTATTAGGGTTACTATTAATCATATTGGCTGCAGATAGCTGAATCACAGATTTGTGATACTGAAATTGGCCTGGCTTGCCTTGTTTTACTTCATTACTTTTCAGTCCATCATTTGAAGACTTCTTGTATTTCTCAGTTATATTAGAAGCCATATTAATTACTAAATTTAGCTTGGAAATATGCTTTTAGCTCGTCAACGCTAATCAACCCATCTTGATTTGCATCAGCCTGCCTGAAGAAGTTTTCCCATTCGCTTCCTTCAATGCCAGGTATACATCCTTCAAGTTCTCCAATTGACAGCAGTCCATCTCCATCAGTATCGTACATTTTGAAAATATCTCTCAGCTGGTTTTCTTGGAATTTTTTATTCCATCGAGATACTCCAGTCACAAATTCTGAATATTCTATAAATCCACTGCCGTCTTTATCACAACTTTTCATAATTGATGAAATTTCTTCTTTTGAACCTACTTGGAGTTTTTTTAAAGCTTTTTGGACTTCGTCGGAGCTTAATTTACCATCACCGTTAATATAGCTCATGCCCCTTTATAGTTTTCTATATCGAGCAAAATGTCCAGGCATTTTGAACGAGCAAAACAGACTCTCTCAAAGAGATGATCTCAATCTCTATATCAGTAAGTGCTAAAAAGTGACGTGTCAAAAAATGGTGACAAGTGAGAAAAAAGTTGGCAAGTAACGCGCCAATGTTTAAAAGGTCTTATAAATTAAGAATAATGATAATAATAAATACATAAATAATAATGATACATATAAAATGTATGAATAAAACTAGATGCCATTCTCAGCTTCTCCATACTGGAAGCCATCTTGTATCAAGAATAAGTCTAAAAATTATTGGGAGATTTTTAGAGATGTCTCAACCGAAGAAATAACTAGTGGAGACCTTTGATAGGTTAACGGGGGGAGTCACACTTTTGAATTTTTTCTATAGACCATTTCAAGTCAGTTTCTACATACTGGGCGCCATATTGATGACATCTTGTATTAAGCATAAGTCCAAAAATTATTGGAGACTTTGAGAGACGTATCAACTGAAGTAAGAACTCTTGGAGACCTTTGATGGGTTAAAGGGGGGAATCGCACTTTTGAATTTTTCTCTATAACTATTTCATGTCAGTTTCTCAATACTGGACGCCATCTTAAATCAAGCATAAGTCTAAACATTATTGGAGATTTTTGAGAGATGTTTCAACCGAAGCAATAACTCTTGGAGACCTTTGATGGTTTAAAGGGGGGAGCCGCACTTTTTAATTTTTCTCTATAAACTATTCATACCAGTTTCTCTATACTGGACGACATCTTGTATCAAGCATAAGTCCAAAAATTATTGGAGATTTTGAGAGATGTCTCAACTGAAGCAAGAACTCTTGGAAACCTTTGATTGGTTAAAGGGGGGAGTCGCACTTTTGAATTTTTCTCTATAACTATTTCATGTCAGTTTCTCCATACTGGACGACACCATCTTGAATCAAGAATAAGTCTAAAAAATTATTGGAGATTTTGAGAGATGTCTCAACCGAAGAAATAACTAGTGGAGACCATTGATGGGTTAAAGGGGGGAGTCGCACTTTTCAATTTTTCTTTAGGTAATATTCATGTCAGTTTTTCTATACTGGACACCATCTTGATGACACCTTATATCAAGCATAAGTCAACAAATTATTGGAGATTTTGAGAGATGTCTCAACTGAAGCAAGAATTCTTGGAGCCCTTTGATGGGTTAATGGGGGGAATCGCACTTTTGAATTTTTCTCTATAAACTTTTTCAAGTCAGTTCCACAATACTGGTTGCCATCTTGAATCAAGCATAAGTCCAAAAATTATTGGAGATTGTGAGAGATATCTCAACTGAAGCAATAACTCTTGGAGACCTTTGATGGGTTAATGGGGGGAGTCGCACTTTTGAATATTTATCTATAGACTATTTCAAGTCAGTTCCACAATACTAGATGCCATCTTGATGACATCTTGCATCGAGAATAAGTCAAAAAATTATTGGAGATTTTGAGAGATGTCTCAACTGAAGAAATAACTCTTGGAGACCTTTGATGAGCTAACGGGGGGAATCGCAGTTTTGAATGTTTTTTAGGCATTACTCACATCAGTTTCTCTAACTGGACGACGCCATCATGATGACATCTTGCATCGAGCATAAGTCCAAAAATTATTGGAGATTTTGAGAGATGTATCAACTGAAGCAAGAACTCTTGGAGATCATTGATGGGTTAAAGGGGGGAGTCGCACTTTTGAGTTTTTTTTGAGGTATGAAAGTCGCAGATATTTATGATTTCATCATTTCTCTCCAAGATGTCTAAAAATGAAATGCTATATTTGGTGTTTGATTAGGTTTATATCAGAAACCTTATTGATTGGGTGCTCTCAGTCTAATTGAGTATCTTAAATTTTAAATTAATTTAATAATAAAGCCATTTTTAAAATCGGCGCGTTTACTTGTCAACTTTTTTCACGCTTGCTACCATTTTTTGACATGGCACTTTTTACCACTTACTGATATAGAGATTGAGCACATCTCTTTGAGAGAGTCTGTTTTGCTCGTTCAAGAGGCCAGGACATTTTGCTCGATAAAGAAATCTATATAGGGTATGAGCTATATCAATTGATTTAAATAATTGTATAAGTTCTTTTTCTTCTCTGGAAGAAGTTGTTTGGTAGGAAATAAAATTCAGGATAGATTGCTCAATTTTTGATCTGACCTAAATAGAAAATACAGTAAACTTGGATAAGCGAGATAAAGCCTCACCAGAAATCGCTTTGTCAGGAACGCTGTTAGATGATCTAGACTCAATCCAAGAGTGGCTAAGTGCGTCTTTTGCTGAAATTCGTTTTTTACTCCCCCTCCCGTAAGTGAACAAAAAAATTTATATATAAATTTTATCAAAAAATTGTTTTTTTCGAAATTTAAAAACATCCTAATTTGCAAAAATTGGAAAGTAAATATTAATTTAATTTATAAAATTTTATGTTTTAAAAAAGCAATTTGTTTAAAATTAAACAGAATTAGCTCGAGATTTCATTATATTAATTATCACTTATATATCAAAATTTTTGTTCGCTCACAGAGGTGGGTTTTTGGGCAAAAAATAGGGATTTTTCTAATGGTTTTGTCCACTCACTGGGGAGTTAGGATTTTTTTCTAACATTTTGGATATAAGGTCTTTCAGATCATCAGATACTTGGAGTCAGATACCCGTTGAAAGATTTAGGCCATCATTTATAGATTTTATGATTTTTTCACGGGTCTTGCCATGAAATGGGGGTCTTCCTAGTATTAAAGTACATAAAATAACTCCGCAGCTTCAGACATCGACTTCTTTACTATACTCGCCTTCAAATATTTCTGGAGCCATATAGCAAGTCTATATATAAGTTACATCTCCAACACTTCTTTTTAATTTCGTATCTTCTGTAAATGTTCCTGACAAACCAAAGTTAGCAACCTTGAGATTAGCATCATCATTTTTGGAATCTAATAGTAAATGTGCAGGATTCAAATCGCGATGAATAACTCCTTTACTGTGACAGTATTTTACAACGTCTAAAATATCATGCATGTACTTTGCTGCCTGGTTTTCACTTATTTGCTGCGATTGAATTATTTTATCAAACAGTTCACCGCCTGGACAATATTCTCTTATGACATAAATTTTATTTTTGGTGTTAACCACTTCAAAAATTTTGACAATATTTGGATGATCAAGCTCTTGGAGTGTCAGAATTTCATCGAAAACTTTTTTACTTTCCTCTGAATTAGACTTGTGGTACTCCTTTATAATTTTGAATTTATTTGTAGTTTTTTCTTTCGCAAGGTAGATTGATCCGTTTGGTCTCTTTTTATACGTTTTAAGGATTTTGAAGTTCTGCATAAGCTTCTTTTCAGTTTTGCTATTTAAAGCAATTGACCCTTCAATTGACGGTTGAGCGGAAAGCTTTAAAGATGGCTCTTTCGTTTGAGATCTTTGCTTGCTCTTAGAAGACTTTTTATTTTCTTTCTCTTCTTTTTTTGGTTCACTCCTTGAAAGACAGCATCCCATTTTAAGCCAATTAAATAAAACTAAAACGGTAATTAAATTAAACAACTCGCTATCTCATTTGCTATTAAAATATAAAAAATGTAAGAATATTTTAAGTAAATTGAATAAATTAAATGTTCTTTTGGTATTTAATTAGTTTTTATCTATTCTTTTAGTTGGAATTTAGTTTCGAAATAAGTTTTCAGCTCATCGACACTGATCAAATGGTCCTGGTTCGAGTCAACTTCAACAAAAAATTTATCCCATTCACTTCCTTCAATCCCTGGAATGCATCCTTTTAGTTCTTCAAGTGATAAAAGCCCATCACCATTCCCATCACACAGTCCAAATACTTCTCTCAACTGCCTCGCTTGAATTTTTTTATTCCACTGTGAAACTCCTGTCACAAATTCTTGATATTCAATAAACCCACTGTTATTTTTATCACAATTTTCCATAATTGAATTAATTTCATCCTTTGAGCCTAATTTTTTTTTCTTATAAGCTTTCATAAGCTCAGCTTTGCTTATTCTCCCATCTCCATTTTCATCAATTGATCTGAATAACTCGCTTAGTTCGTGCTCTTCTTTTACGCTTGTTATCTGATAAGAAATAAAATTCAAAATTGATTGTTCAACTTTTGATTTTACAGTGAATTTCGCTAAACGGTCTAGTGTTCCTGAAACAATGACGTTGTCTGGAACTTTATTATTAGCACGGTTTTCAATTCAAGGGTGATTTAATGCTTCTTCTGCAGTTATTCTCATTTTAGGATCTTTTTCAAGCATTTTGGAGATTAAATCTTTTGCTTCATCTGAAGCAAGAACATAATCACTGCTTGATAAATCCAAACCTTTTTGGATCGAGTTGAATATTTCATCGCGAGTTTTTCCATGAAACGGAGGATTTCCTGAAATTAAAGTGCACAAAATGACTCCAGCGCTCCAAATATCAATTTCTTTTCCATATTCTCCTTTAAATAGTTCTGGGGCCATATAGTAAGTCTAAGTAAACATTATATTAGAAGTAGTGAATAATTAATTTTTTCAATGATTTTATAACAAAAATGGTTATTACTTTTATATTCAAAGCAATGATTATACATTTCCAATGCTCCTTTTTTGATATCTTGTTGTTCTCACAATCTTTTCGAATGATTCAAAATCAGAGATTTTCAAGATAGCGTTATCATCGGGATTATCTAAAACCAAGCTCTCAGGGTTTAAATTACGATGAGCAATGCCTTGGCTGTGGCAATAATTAATGGCACTCAAGATATCCCTCATATATCTTGCCGCTAAATTTTCCCCGATTGCATTTTGTTTGATAATTTTATCAAATAACTCTCCACCTGTGCAATATTCTTGGATAATAAAAAATGCTCCTTCAGCATCAACAAGTCCAAAAATCTTGACTATATTTGGGTGGTCCAAATCTTTGAGGACTTTTAACTGCTCATAAATTTTATTCGCATCATCCAAACTAGATTTATTGTATTCCTTTACAATCTTGTAAGTTTGTGAATTTTTTTCCTTTGTCAAGTATATTGACTTCCCATGGGTTGTTTTTAGTGTCCCCATAATTTTATAGTTTTCTAAAGGCTTGCCTTTGGTACTCACAATAATTGATCCTTGTGTGGATAAATGATCTTGAGATCCTTTCGATATTTTTTTCTTATGCCGCTGCTCTTTTTTAGGAGTCTTTAATGCGTTTAAAGATTTTTTATTCTCTTTTTTCACTTCTGGCTTTGGCCTTGCTTCAGAATTTGTAGCGGGTCTTTGATTGCAACATCCCATTTTGATGGTTTTAAGTAAATTTCAAATTTTAGTAAAAAGCGTATTTACAACGTCGAATTTTATTAAAATAAATTCTATATAGTTAAATATAGTATCACCAATTTGAATTTTCAAGTCATAAAATTATTTTATTTACTGTAAAAAAAATAATTAATTATATCTCAAAAGTCTTATAATATGGAATTATTGTTACTTATGCAAATCTATCCTAAATGAATAATTTTCTGTTTTGGAGAATAAAATATCATTTTAATTTTAATTAAGTGGAAATCTTTAATAATAAGAACAAATAAGGAAATATAATTTATTTTCGGAATATAAAGATCTAAAGAATACCAATTAGTGGCCAAAGGTTATAACAAAAATTAGTTATTTTTAAGTTTCCATTTAACTTCAGCAATCAATATAAAATTATGGCCAGTGAATTGAATGCATCCACATGGGATGATACTCAGCTTCATATCCCAATTCCAAATGAAGGTCAGATTCCTCAAGGCTGTGTATGGGTGCCATGCATACCTGACTATACCACTAATAGTTATATCCCTATTTATAACCTATATTCTTTTCCTATTTTGAACCCTTTACCTCAACCAGCAGGACCAGTAAAGACTAACATTAAAGCAAAAATTAGCAGAGGAGGCTTGAAAACCAAGCCTTGGAAAGAGAATGAAGATCAACTTCTTAATTCATTGATTCACTTCAGCCTTTTATAATAAAAACTAAAAAAAATGATGCGTTAAAATAATTTTTTAAAATCTGAAGTTAGAGATTTGATTTCCCAGTATGGGACTAAGAATTGGGCATTTATTTCGAAAAGCCTAAACGAAGCTCTTTATGACTCTCAATGTATCCGAAAAGGAAAGCATTGTAGAGAACGATGACATAATCATTTAAATCCTGAGTTAAACAGTAAGATTTATTGCAGAGGGTGAATGGAGCTACGAAGAAGATATCAAACTTTTGAATTTAAAACAAAAGGTTGGTAATAAATGAAGTATCATTGCAAAAGATCTTCCAGGTAGGACTGAAAATGGCGTTAAAAATAGGTGGAATAGCTTAATGAAGAAGGCGAAGTGCGACAGCAACTTAGCCTGCTACTCTAATGACGTAATTGCTTGCAAGCTGATAGAAGATTTCGAAAAAGAAAGATTGAATAAGGCATAAATTGATGCCTCGCTAGAAGATAATAAAATTTTACTTTTAAATTTGTGAAAGTGAGAGCTGACTGCTTAAAAAGATCAATATTTTTATAGCATAATAATCATTATTTTCAATTTAAATCTACACAACATTAAAAATGTTTATTTTTAATAGAGCAATTAGCAATTTAGTAAATTGAAAAGCCAGCTGAAAATGATTTTATTTTCCAAATTCAATATCTATTTATGAAAACTGCAGCTGAAACTAAAAGTCTTGTTTATACTAAAAAGATTTACTTTTTCTGAGCTTAATAATATTTCTAAAAATATGAAAAATAAAGGATATTTGTTTTATTGCCGATTATGAATATTCAATCTAAAAATCAGTTTTCAAATTATGCAAAAGCTCAAAAAATCAACTTTCACCTCTCTGTTCTTATAAATATAAAAGAAATAAGGATCCCCCCCCCCTCATTTGTCCAATTTTCTAGTCTTTTATCATTTGTCAATTTTTCTAGTCTTTTTTATAGGAAAAAAAAAATTTTTTTAGTACCTCATTTCATTTTCCAATTTTCTAGTCAAAATTTTGATAGAAAAAAAAAATTTTTCAGGACCTCAATTGTCTCATTTTCTAGTTTTTTAAAGTAAAAAACTAAAATTTAAGAGATTCGAAAAAATCCAAAAAAGACTAGAAAATGGGACAAATCATTTTTGACTAGATTTTGGGACAAATGAGGTCCTGAAAATTTTTTTTTATCCTATAAAAAAAAGACTAGAAAATTGGACAAATGAGGGGGGAGCAATCCTTATTTGTATCATTCAGGTAATCATCACTAGCATCATCTGCAGGTGTAAAATAAGGCATGCTCAAAGCCACTTCATATAATGATCCCCTCTCTCATTTGTCCAATTTTCTAGTCTTTTATCATTTGTCCATTTTTCTAGTCTTTTTTTTATAGAATAAAAAAATTTTTTAGGACCTCATTTCAATTGTCCAATTTTCTAGTCAAAATTTTGATAGAAAAAAAATATTTTTTTCAGGACCTCAATTGTCTTATTTTTTAGTTTTTTTAAAGTAAAAAACTAAAATTTAAGAGATTCGAAAAAATCCAAAAAAGACTAGAAAATGGGACAAATCATTTTTAACTAGATTTTGGACAAACGAGGTCCTGAAAATTTTTTTTATCCTATAAAAAAAAGACTAGAAAATTGGACAAATGAGGGGGGGGGATCCTTATAAAAAGTTTAAAAGGCATTGAAAACTTCTTAAACAAGTTTATTGAGAATTAAAATCTTTATTACTTGGCTAAATTAAATAATTCACCTAAGGTATCTAGAAAACACGTGGGAAAAATGGTTGCTTTTATAATGAAAATTTGGTTTATCGCTCTTTTAGCTCTTGTTTTTGCTTTGGAAGAGCCCGATCCTATTAATGACCAAGAAAGAAACGATGAAGTTGCTCAAGCACAAGCACGTGCCCGATGGATTGCATGTTTACTTATTTCTCGCACAAAATTAAGTCAACACTCTAGTGAAATTTCTTCAATTTACTCTGCTTCGAAGTTCGATAAAGATTTAATTGAAAAAAAAATTATAGGTGAAATTCTTTATAAATGTGACCAGCTTTTATCGTGGAAACAAGCCGAAGAATTATTAGCAGCCGATGAAATTAATTTGGAAAAGCCTGAAATCAAAGAACTCACAACCATTGATAAAGATTTTTATATAAATCCTAAAAGTGATATTAAAGATTTAAGATTTAAGATTACGATAACACTTCGTCGACCCCCACTTAGCTTAGGATCTGACAAGCAAGTCCATCCTTCCTGAATTCCATCACTGGCTAACAGCTCTGAACAACGGTAGGTGGAATTGGCCTAACCGTCGAACCGTTACAGTAGCCTATGACCTAGACGAGTCTCTCTTTCTTTCTTGATGTTGATTCAAGGACACAAGGAACTGCCGAAGCAGTTCCAGCGCCAATATCCTTCAGAAAGTCTGAACTTCCCTCACTAGGATGACCTTAGGGGACAATGACCCTAATTCATGCGCTCCATTTTTAATTGTGTGAAAGTGATATTAAACTGACCCAACAGCAAGTTAAATATGGCGTCTCGGCCAGGGTATTGCATTCCAGAAATGCACCGAGCACTTATATGTATCTGATAAAGTTTTGCAAACCCAGAAATGGATCGCTATGCTAGATAAGCAATTCCAGCAGTGTGTGGATCAGAGCATGAGTCAGCTTTCAGAGTTGTATTTTACCTCGCGGAAAAAAAAGGTGTGGAGTTGGAAAGGAGAAAGAAAGTAGCTCATCCATAAGCTGTCGAGGTCGGTAAAATTGTCCCCAAGAGTATAGCTGTGATCAAAGCAGGCTGGCCTGGCTACCTGTGGGCCCTTACGTGCAAGAAGGTGAAAAGTGGACGTTAAGCATTTATAAGTAATTAAAGAACTGACCCAACAACAAGAAGATTTGATTAAGAAAATCATAGCAGTAATATAGATTTAGGAAGCCAAAAAGACTGGTGATGGGTTTGATCAAGATCCACCAACTGTACCAGGATTTGATGCCCAGGCTTATATACAGAGTAAAGGACTGTTACCCCCAGCAGTGTATTATCTAGGACTTGGTGGAGGAGTTTTATTGTTGGTTGGCCTTGCATTTTTCAGTATGAAATATTTAGTTCTTAAAAAAGCCACAGCAGTTGAAGAAAAAAAGCCAGCAGGTGCCGAAAAGAAGTCTAAAAAAGAGAAAAAAGAGCAATAAGATAAATATTATAGCTTAAATCGTGTTATATTAATAAAGAAAATCAAAATGAAATCAGACGATCTCATCGGAAACACAATTGATTTTTCCTCAGGACCAATCACAATTTCCACAAAATTATCAGAGTCCTCAAACTGTCAAAGCTACTTATCTTTTGACCCTTCAAGTGCCTCTCGTGTTGTGAAATATATTTCTTTATCATCAAATTCCGGATTTGCATATTACTATCACGAGCTCCCATCATATCAACTTATCGGGCCCCACCAAAACATTTCGTCTTTACTTGACTATAAATTTGAATCTGAGAATAACTCAGCTTACCTTTTATTTGACTATTACACCAGAGGAGATTTAAGCTGCATTATGGCAAAGAATCGATTAAAAGAATCTCATATTCGTCAAATTGTTATTGACCTTTGTTCAGCATTAGAAGTCATCCATAGCAAAGATATCGTCCATATGGACCTTAGGCCTGAAAATATTTTGATTGGAAACGATGGAAACGTAAAAGTTTGTGACTTTGGATCTGCTATAAAAGAAGAGCTTTATGGGCTTGACCAGGAAGCTATGCACTTGTGGATCCAAGATCATACCCATCCAACATTCAGACCTCCTGAATTGCTAAATGTTTATTCAGGAATTCCAATAACTTCTTCTATTGATATGTGGGAGCTGGGCTGCTTAATTTATTTGCTGCTGTTTTATAGAGCGCCTTTTGAATTAAATGATTTCAATAGCCAATTCAATGGAAGATTTTTATATCAAGAATCTTTAAAGGAACCGTGGAAAACAATTTTGGAAAATTTATTTCAAGTAAACCCAGAACAGAGAGCTCACCCTAAGAGCATAAAAGAGATTTTAGAAGGAAATTGAGACGGCAACAGAAAACCAGAAATTGTTATGGAAAAGAGAAAATTGGCAGTAAAGTGAATACTTACAGTTAAAGATACTTCAAAGTCTACTAAATCACTGGTCAAAAATATCACAGCAAATAATGAGAAGCAAACTGTTCTTAACTGAATGGAAACATTGATTCGAAAAGCTCATCAAGACCCCAGAAAAGTCGAAAAAGTTTATAATTCCTTATCTATGAGGCCGTTCAGAAAAATTTCTGTAGCTCTAAAATCATTGGGACTATTACACACATATTTATTAACTGTACCATTTTCAGCATTCACATGAGGAAAAAATACGGCTCAAACTATCTTATTATCAATAAACCAAGTGCAATTATCGAAAGATTCAAAAATAAATTCAAATGATTTTGCATATTTTGAAGAACTGATTCATGGATACTCAAGTTTACTCATCAATAAATTGAGCATTCACTATGAAACTTCTACTAAAAGTGATTGGATTGGCTCCACAATAAAATCTGAAAGCATCCATCCAATGCTTGATTATTGGCAGCAACTTTTAATACCAATAACTGGATTTTTATTGGATGATATAAGTTATTTAAAAGAAATAAGGCTTGATATTGCAAAGATAGTTATTGATGAAATTTGTCTATTATCATCAGCTATGAAAAATGACAATCAAAATAAAAATAGCAGAGACCAAATTCCTGATTTTCTTGCAAGATATCGTGCAAATTATAATAGATCAGAAGCTTTAGTTGAAAGATTAAAAAGGATGAGACCGAGTGCAATTTTAACGAAACTGCCAGGAAGAATTAGGGAAAAAATTGTGAGAGAAAGCCTAGAAGAAGGAAGACTATACTAATATGTGTATAAATAAGTATAATTATTATATAAAATCTATTTGAATTAAGATAGATACACGAAATTTAAATTATTCAAATAATTTTACACCCCATAAAAATAATATAAACTTCATTGATTTACTATAAATATCTTTTCACATTGAAATAGCATTTAATACTATATCTATAATTGATCATTTTGCAAATATTAAACCATTGAAATTAAATTTTTGATAAATCATGGAACTTCAAGATTGTAGTAGGCACGAAAGGATAATTATTTTAACTCATAGGATTATATTACATTATATATCTTTTTCACTTACTCGTCTACCTTGAGCAAGCAAAAACATTGGAAAATCCCTATTTTTTGGGTAATAACCCACCCTCCGTAGCGAACAAAAATTGTTCATGAAAAAAATATTTGATATATAAGTGATAATTATTATAACGAAATCTCTAGCTAATTATGTTTTATTTTAAGCAGCTTGCATTTTAAAACATAAATTGCAAATTAATTTAAATTTTATGAATTGGTATTTATAAATTTTGACAAAAAATTACTACAAAATTTGCATATAAATTTTAAAAAAAAAAAACTCCCCTCCATGAGCGAACAAAATTTTTTTGTTCGCTCACGTAGGGGGAGTTAAATAGCAAAAGAGTAAACTTGATTCCCAAAAATCTGACTATTTATAACTATTTCCATTAAAATTAAAACTATGCTTTTTCACTATGGAACCTGCTAAGGTTCGAAATTTCTTTATGATTAGTAAAACCGTCATATCTTTTTTACAATATAATTGCAATTTTACCATATTCATTTATTTAAAAGTCAGCCTGAATTTTAATTTTCTCTTTATTTCTTTTACTTTTTTTAATTTGCATTCACCTTGATCTTTTTATCACTTTCTATTATATACATAAAATGGCGGACGGCGACTGACCCACCCTCTCAGTGGTGGTTACCCATGGTTTTTGGAGCCGGGAGTTGGCCCAGCAACGTTTGGGACCTCAAAGCGAGAGGTCTAAGCACAGAGACCGCTGTTTCTGTGATCAAACCCATGGGCAGTTACTCGCGACTTCTTTTTGCCAACAGCGCTCAGCCCAGTAAGTGCCCGAAATGAGGCTGGGTGACTTACCTGCCTAAGCTGCCTTTTTTTGTGGCTTGCCCCAAATGGCGAAAGCTGTTGAGTTCTTTCTCGAGATGACCGGAAAAGAGGGGAAGGCAAGCTAGACAAAAAAAACAGGAGTCTATCCAGTTAAAAGGTGCCCTTCAATCGATAGATCTGGCAGACGACGCGGCAGTGTTGGCGTAAACTTAGGAGACGATCCAAGTTGGAAATGGAGGCAGTCAGCAAAGACGGTATGACACATCCCTTGACATTCACCTCTAACGAGAAACCAGGGTTTCGGCCCGGGCTTGGTGAACGCTCTGCCACCATACGGGAAACCGTAGAATGCTTCCTCGGACGAAATGGGGACTTAAATACCCTGCGTAATCTTAATCTTAATCACTTTATATTTCTTATAATAAAAATGTTTATGCCATCTGAAGAGCAGGAAGAATTTCAGCGCATTCTTCAAAACGCAATAGAAGATCTTGTAAACGCTCGTCCAAGTGAACCAATAAAATATCTCGCCCAGTCCCTCTACCAATCTCTTCCAGTTGCTGAGCAGAATGACCAAGAATTTCCAGAATTCGCCGCAGCTCGAAACCAAGGCTGCATGCCTTCTCGAGGATAATTCCTCTTGCAGTCATTTTCTCGACATTATTTTGTCGAAATTTTTTCTAGCCTGGCATTTGTTTGAAAAATAAATGTTTTTGTTTAACAAATGTCTGCCAAGAATTTCTCTCATGGGTAAAAATCAGGACAACTGAAACCACCCTTACAATGTTAGAGTTGGTGATTCAAGTTCCAATCCTAATGTTCAGTACCCTGAAGGCTTTGTGCCTTCACGTCGACGTAATTTTCATTTAGCCTCTGTATGTGGAGAGTCGATATCTGAAGAAGAGCTTGCATGGAGACCACTTTCTCTAAATTATTCTATATTTGTTGAGCACTATTAATAAAATTTTGCATTAGCTTTAAAACAATATAAAAATCCTACAATTTTTTCATGCCATAAAAATTAATTATGAAGACCACCAACTTTTGATAAAGATTTAGGAACTCTTACAAGACTTAAAGAAATGCTGACTAAAAATATTCTATTTAGCCATTTGAGTGAAGAAAATATCGCAACTGTAGCAGACGCATTGGAATTGATCGAAATTCCAGCTGGTGAATTGGTAATAAAGCAGCATGATACTGGAAATGCTTGCTATTTTGTAGAGGAAGGAAGCTTGAAATGCGATGTAGAAGGGCGTGGACATGTATGCAATTATGCAAAAGTAATTTTTAGCCAGGAAGATAGCTTTGGAGAGGTAGCCTTAATGTATGGGAATATAAGAGGTGCGACAATATCTGCTATAACTGACTCGAAACTTTGAAAGCTAGATAGGATGACATATAAAAAAATTGTTTTAAATTTTATGCTTCCAAAGCGCTCAAAGTTTGTGGAATTTTTGACAAGAGTCTCGATTTTTAGTATAGAAATAAGGAAACTTGAAAAAAATCGTCGGCAAGCGAAAGAATGCTTTTTAAAAAAATATAAAAAATGGAGATTTGGGGTATAAGATCTAAAATATTAGTAGCAGGATAATTCATAATTAGACACATTACCAGAAACTATAATGAATGAGCTGGCCAAGCACTCGCACCATTTGGTGTATGAGCCTGGGTATGTTATCTACTCTGCATCTCATGCAGATAGATACCTATATTTAATAGAAAAAGGAGTTGCTGTTATTAAATACAAGGATAAGGATGTACAAAGATTAGGACCTTTTGAATTTTTTGGTGATAGATCAATATTTGGGGAAGTTACTGAAGCTGACCGAGCAGAAGCAGAAACTGAGGGTTCCTTCACACGACGACTATTTCATAACGACTATTTTTTTTGGCCTATTTTTTTTTGGCCTATTTTTTTATGGCCTATTTTTTTTTGGCCTATTTTTTTGGCCTATTTTTTTTTGCCTATTTTTTTTATCTAGCCTCATTCATGAAGCTGCTGAGAGGACTAGAACCTTATTAAGAAACAGAGACTTTTTCTTACGCGATTAATATTTAGTCCCCCCCCCCCTCCGTGAGCGAACAAAAAAATTTTGTTCACTCACGGAGGGGGGTTAATTTTTTTTTTAAAAAAAATTTATATATAAATTTTATAAAAAATATTTTTTTCGAAATTTAAAAAAATCCTAATTTGCAAAAATTGGGAAGCAAATATTAATTTAATTTGCAAAATTTATGTTTTAAAACGCAATTTGTTTTAAAATTAAACAGAATTAGCTCTAGATTTCATTATACTAATTATCACTTATATATCAAAAATTTTTTTCATTAAAATTTTTTCTATTAAAAAATTTTTGTTCGCTCACGGAGGGTGGGTTTTTTGGTCAAAAAATGGTGATTTTTCTAATGGTTTTGTTTCGCTCACGGAGGGGGGGGGGGGCTAGTTAGTAAATTAAGTGAAAAAAACTCCTAATTAAATCTAAAATTTTCGAAATTTAAAAACAATGAATTAGTATTCATGGAGTACGAAATCTGTTAAGGGTGCATTTTTTGTTGGTTAAATCGCTTAAAACAAATTAAAAATTATATTAAAACAATTAGTATGGAATTATGCCCAAATATTAGTAAAAAATAGTTAAAAAATTGTCAAAAAATCGGCCAAAAAAAATAGGCCAAAACAAAATAGGCCAAAAAAAAATAGGCCAAAAAAAAAAAATAGGCCAAAAAAAAATAGGCCAAAACAAAATAGGCCAAAAAAAAATAGGCCAAAAAAAAATAGGCCAAAAAAAAATAGGCCAAAAAAAAATAGGCCAAAAAAAAAATAGTCGTTATGAAATAGTCATCTTGTGAAGATACGGAAACTGATTGCTGCATTTATAGGTTCCCTGAACCAATAATAGACAGCATTTTGGATTTGATTAAAGATGAATTGAGGGAGCAATCAAGTCTTAAGCTACTATAAATTTATATAAAAATGATTGAATAAATTATGCTCGTTTCTTTTAAAAATTATTTTACCTAAATAAATTAAAAAATATTAATTTTTATTTAATAGCTTAAAATTATACAAAGCTTTCTTCAGGAATAATAAACTCTCTGTTAAAAACTGTGATCTGCAATTTTTCATTTTCCAAAAATTTCAAAGGAAAATTACACTATATAAACCATTACAAGTATTCCTTTTGATTTATGTCTTTCATTCTCATAAGCCTCCAAATTAGCCTTTCCTGCAAAAGTTTCAATTTCTTTTATTTTCAATATTTTATCATCAGGATAGCACCTAAAAACTTTTCTGTAAAATTTAGTATTATGGCTAGCAGTTATATTTCATAATTCTAACTCCCCCTCTTCTAATTCGAACAAAATATCCATAAATTTTTACTTTAGCCCCCTTTAAATTGGAAAAAAATTCTTTTTTCAATAGGAAATTTTATAGGTAAAAATACTAATATCTTTCAAATTTGCTTTAAACCTAATTTAACGAGTAGAATATCGATTGACTTTTGAGTTAATACTTAAAAAAATAAATTAAAATTCAAAAATTTGGGGTCAATTTATTTTATTTTAATGTTAAAATTATTATTGAGCAAAACTAAAATTTAATTTTTTTTTAATAAAAAATTAGAACACCTTTAAATTGGAATAGGATTTTTTGTTCAAATTTAAAAGGGGGATTAAGCATTCTTCTGATGTGGGGTTTTGAATTCTATCATCAAAATAATCAACTCCTAAGTACTCGCTATATAAAGACACCCTCAAACTATGGGCAAATCTTGAAACTTCTCTTTCCTCACTTCCTATAGGCATTGAGACTTTATCATTATCATCAATAATCATTGCAAGCTCTGAGTCATTTGTCCCAAGTAGGCTTCGATCATTAATATTTGCAGAGCCTATAAGTGCAATATCGTCATCAATAATCATTAGTTTACTATGAGCATAAACAAGTTCAGTTACTGGAGTATTTTCTAGTAAATCGTGCGTTCTCAGGCCATAAAACCTAATATAATCAGATGGATCTTTAATATTAGGGTCATCAGCCAATTGCTTTAGCAAAGAGCTTGATGATCTGCATATAGTCTCATATTCCCAATGCAGTTGAACCCTTAAAACTGCAGCTCCACTATCACTAACTGATCCTTCAAATCCTGGCAATTTAAGTTTAAGTTTATCGAGTCTCTCTAGCACGATAGCGCCTTAAGTCCTATTTAATTTGAGATCCAGCTTCAATAACAGCTCTGAACAATGGTAGGCCAGCTTCAATAACAGCTCTGAACAATGGTAGGTGGATCGGTCTAACCGTCGAACCGTTAAAGCAATTAAGCCTTTCAGACTTTTTCTAGTCTATGCTAGACTTAGCACAGACAAGCCGAGACTCTCAAGAAGCTTGAACGTCTCTCACTAAGCTCGGATAATAGGGCTAGCCTGTTGTGCAGGACTATGACCCTATCCCTGACTGCTATTTTAAATATTGTATCCTGGCAATAATGGTAGTACAACCACGACTAAAAATTTTTCATGCCTGGCCGCAGCTACTTTTATTCTTTCTACTAGAGCTTGAGCTATTTGATTTTTTACTAGTGATCCCCCTGTTGAAGAAATAAAAAATTGATTTTCTATATAAATAAAATGGTCTGCCATATCAATCAAATGAATATATGCTGTGTGTATAGAATGCTCGGATTTTTCTAGCCCAAGTGACCACAACCCTGCACTTCTAGTAAGCTGGCATTCGCAAGTTCCTTTCTGCTCAGCCTCTACTATTTTCGGCTGCAAAATATTTTTGTCTCAAGCTTCATTTTTGTCTTTTGAATAATAATCATACTCTTTTTGCTCATCTTGATGCTCTAATTGCTCGTGTGAGCTGCTAGAAAAAAGGTTATCAATATTATTAGCTGAGCTAGAAGGTCTTAGCAAAAAATTTTCTTCATTGTCTTTTTTTTCTAACTCCCCCTCCTCCTGTGAGCAAACAAAAATATTAAAAAAATTCCTATTTTTGGTTCCTTCACACGACGACTATTTCATAACGACTATTTTTTTTTGGCCTATTTTTTTTTTTTCACCTATTTTTTTTTGGCCTATTGTTTTTTTGGCCTATTTTTTTTTGGCCTATTTTTTTTTTTGGCCTATTTTTTTTTGGCCTATTTTTTTTTGGCCTATTTTTTTTTGGCCTATTTTTTTTTGGCCTATTTTTTTTTGGCCTATTTTGTTTTGGCCTATTTTTTTTTGGCCTATTTTGTTTTGGCCTATTTTTTTTTTGGCCTATTTTTTTTTGGCCTATTTTGTTTTGGCCTATTTTGTTTTGGCCTATTTTTTTTTGGCCTATTTTTTTTTTGGCCTATTTTGTTTTGGCCTATTTTTTTTTTTGGCCTATTTTTTTTGGCCTATTTTTTTATGGCCTATTTTTTTTTTGGCCTATTTTTTTTTTGGCCTATTTGTTTTTGGCCTATTTTTTTACCTAGCCTCATTCATGAAGCTGCTGAGAGGACTAAAAACCTAATTGAGAAGCAGAGACTTTTACTTACGCGATTAATATTTAGTAAATTAAGTGAAAAACTCCTAATTAAATCTAAAATTTTCGAAATTTTAAAAACAATGAATTAGTATTCATGGAGTACGAAATCTGTTAAGGGTGCATTTTTTGTTGGTTAAATCGTTTTAAAACATATTAAAAATTATATTAAAACAATTAGTATGGAATTTATGCCCAAATATTAGTAAAAATAGTTAAAAAATTGTCAAAAAATCGGCCAAAAAAAATAGGCCAAAAAAATAGGCCAAAAAAAATAGGCCAAAAAAAAATAGGCCAAAAAAAAAATAGGCCAAAAACAAATAGGCCAAAAAAAAATAGGCCAAAAAAATAGGCCAAAAAAAATAGGCCAAAAAAAATAGGCCAAAAAAAAAATAGGCCAAAACAAAATAGGCCAAAACAAAATAGGCCAAAAAAAACATAGGCCAAAAAAAATAGGCCAAAAAAAAATAGGCCAAAAAAAAAATAGGCCAAAACAAAATAGGCTAAAAAAAAATAGGCCAAAAAAAATAGGCCAAAAAAAAATAGGCCAAAAAAAATAGGCCAAAAAAAAATAGTCGTTATGAAATAGTCGTCGTGTGAAGATACGCCTATTTTTTTGCCCAAAACAACAATTTTTTTAATATATAAAATTTTTTATGAAAAAAAAATTTTGCTATATAAATGATAACCAAATCTATAGCTAATTCTATTAATTTTAGACAGCTTGCGTTTTAAAAATATAAATTTCGCAAATTCAATTAATTTTTACTACTCAATTTTTACAAATTGGAATTTTTAAAATTTTTGAAAACAAAATTTTCTATGAAATTTATAAAAAAATTTATCCATCTCCGTAAGCGAACAAAATTTCTTTGTTCGCCCACGGAGGGGGGGAGTAAGTGTCTTTGAATTTCAGGGGTTGTTGGGACTTTTAGCACATTTATCACTTTACCATGACTTGGATGTCTGTCTGGTAAAGACATAGAAAACATTAAATTTTCAACATTAATTTTTCTTTTATGGGCACCTCCCACACTTTTATGTCTTATTAAATTAATCTCATTCATAGTTGTACACGATACTGGGCCATATGTTTTGCTTCTTCTCTTTGTATCAAAAACAGCCTCTTCTTGGTCTTCTTGATTTTTTATTACAGAAGAGACTTGAATTTTTGGGGACTCAACAATCGTGCTGACATTTTTTAGGAAAACTTTTTCACAAGAAGGTGGCTCCAAGAGATTTTTGTCTTTGCAGTAGTTTCCTGTGATGTCGGTCATCACATGGTTTCAAAGCTCAATAAAATGCAAAGCTACATCTGAAGCAGCTTTCCCTGAAACTTTTAAAGCAATATCATGCCATGGCATTCTTGGGGTAGTTTTCCTATTAATTAAGTCTCTATTTCAATTGTCAACATCCTGATATTCGCTTATTCTTACGTTCGAATAATCAATCCCAGGCCATGTCGGATTTTCATTTAAGTCAGTTAATTTGTGACTTTGATTGTCAAATCTTCCAAAGCACATATCAAGGCCACCCACAAAGGCAACTTCTTGGTCAATCACTACTAATTTTTCGTGATGAGTCCATAGAAACTCTCCACCAACCACAGACCTATGAGGGTGCCTAACTATTTGAATATTTGGATTTCTTGAAATTATTGTATTTTTTGTGTGTAAGGAATTCAAATTTAAGGCAAAACTTACCTCTTTATATACATGGATGAAAATCTTGACCCCACGGTCAGCAAGGCTCCCTAAAACTTCATAAACTTGTGAATCAGTCCAAAGTTTTGCAGGGCGTTTCAAGTAGAGCTCAGGACTTAGCCACCAATCAGAAATAAAAACTTCCCGTTTAGCTTTTTTTAGCTCATCATATACATCGCTAAAATATTCTTCTGCATCAATATATCACTTTGCTTCATTTCCATGCCTAATAGGAAAAGATGACTCAAATCTCATGTTTTCACTTGTCCATTCAGAGTTTGCATAAGCTTCATTTATAGCTTGGACTCATTCTTTCATTCTCATTACACTGCCTGCTCTAAATTTTAATTTTCGATTTGATGTTTCTATTATAATTCCATCATTATGGCCTGTGCTAGGTTTTCCAAAAAATACCTTAAATTTCCCTTTAAAAACCAAAACTTCTAATAAATTAGATTTTGTGTTTGAGGCCAAATAGCCGACCATATTATCACGAATAATTAATCAGCGCTTTTGGTATCTTCGAAAATATTTTTTACAATTGCAAAATCGCAGCTCATTTCCTATTCTTCCTCCAGTTCTTTTATAAATATACCCTTCTTTTCTTTTTATTGAGGTTCCAAGAAATGAAATCTCGCTAACTTCAATAAATTCCCAAAAAATTGGAGATTTTTTGATCCTAGGAATATCATAAATTGCTCGAATATAATTTTCAAGTGTAATTAATTGCTGCTGTTCGTGTTTCACAGTAAAAAGTTTTGGCATTAGATGGTGTCCTAATGGTCTTGGGTGATAAAATATCCTTATATCTCGATCTAATTGTTGAAATTCTGAATATAATTTGTTGATTGTCCAATTGAAAGTTTTCCCATGCGCAGTTGATGTTATATCAAAAGAATATATCAAGCTTTTGAGGTTATGGTCTTTTTGTAAGCTTTTTCCGTCATCTAAAAATACACTGACTGATTTTTTTTGAAAATATAAATCTGTGAGGAAGTCTTGATTTTCCATATATAAAAGATTTTGCTTTTAAATTAAAGATAAAAATGCCGTGCTAAATGCCAACGAAAGTTATTCAAAATTGCAATATGAATACAAAATAAACATTATCTATTTATATTATTAAAATACCAAGCACTGAGTCTTTTCATCAACCAACTCGTCCACAATTACATCTTTTGCTTTATTCCTCCCTTCCATAATCGTTTTACGATTTGAAAACTCAGGCCATCTATGTTCTACAGTTGTAGAAGCCATTTCTCCTATAGAAGACACGATCGAAGGTCTTGGCTTTTCTGCAATCAAAGATTTTGTCTCCTCCTTCACTTTCTTTTTTTTAATTCTTTTAGTTTTTTTTACTTGAATGTTATCATCTGAGCGTCTTCTAGGGGAAGCAGACCCACATTTTCTTTTATTTCACTCAAAAATATTGTCAAGCACAAAATTATTTTTTCTTCCAATTGACTGCAGTCCATCTTTAATTCTCTCATAATTTGGAGTTTCTTCAAATCTTAACGCTTTAATATAGCTCATTATTTGAACTAATTCTGAAGGACACCCTCTAAACAGGACATCTAAAGAGGTATTTGATTTCATATTCATGATTTTCATATATTTATCTTGCTTATTAGCACCCTTCAATCCTTGCCATGGCAAGGATCCTTTTAGAAAATATAAGTACACGTATATAATTCCTTCAAGATCGTCTCTCCTGCTTTGTTCGATTCCCATATGAGAATTCACAGAGGCATATCTTGCAGTTCCTGTAAGAGTTCTGTTATCTCTATATTGGATATGTTGCTTTGTTTTACTGTCCCTATATTTTTTGGATAAGCCAAAATCGATTATATATACAAGTGATTGCTTTTTGCCTATCCCAAATAAAAAGTTTTCTGGCTTTATGTCTCGATGGATATAGTCGTGGTTATGCACGTTTTCGATTCTTTGGAACATTTGTAAACAAATCATAGTTGCCGATCGCAGTGACATCCTGTGGTCGAGAACTGCAAAATTGTCTTATAAATAAAATTCCATGAGGGAGAGAAAATTAGCAAAGCTAATTTCTCTCCCTCATGGAATTTTATTTATAGGGTTAGGTTTTCACTCAAGAACTTCTGGACAGCAATAGCGGTTTAACTCTGGGGATAACCAGAGGAACTGCTCCTCAGTCCTCTCAAGATTTCGGGCTTTTACCTCTCAGCACATCCCCACGGGAGGATGACCCTTAGGCAAAACACGCGCAGGAGCTGAGTCGAGCGACAAGGGCGACGGCATCGCGCCTGGTGAGACGTGCAGCAAGGCTGGTGAAGCAGGAGTTGATAGAAGGCTTGGCCAGGGCTGACCTGTTCCAAGATGGCTCGCCTACGTCACTAGCTTTGCCATAAGCCCTTTTGGGCTGCGGCACTAGACTCCTTAAACACCAGATAATTAAGTAAGTAATTAAGTAAGTAAGTAAGTAAGCAAAATTGTCTTCTAAAGAGCTTCCTAAAAGCTCTTGGACCATGATATTGTATGACCCTTCGGATCCGTATCAATAAATTTTGGGAACTCCTACTCCTGCAATTGATCTCATAAGCTTTGCTTCGTTAATAACTTGTGGAACTGCACAAGTGGCATTTTCTATTTTTATAGCAACGTCCTCTTGGCTTTCTAGATTAGACCCAAGAAATATTTCTCCAAATGAACCACCTCCTATTTTTTTGCGGAGGACGTACTTTCCCCCAACTCTGATGTAGCCTTCCATTTTCGAAATTTTTGTAAAAGTACCGATTTACTTACAAATGCAAAGATATTTATTGCAACAGATACCAAAGTAGCGAGCATAATCATTTTAATCAAATTATATTTCATAGAAGAAACTTATAGTAATCAGGATGCGATGTTAAGTTTTAAACAATTCAGTAATTAAAAGAGCTGCAATAAAAAAAAGATGATTGAAAAGCATCTTTGAAGCATGCATAGCTTAATTTATTATGAATTAATCCAGGCAAATCTGAAATTCTACTTAATCATTTAAAAATGCTAATCAGAAAATAGAAAACTTTGAAATTTTTAGGATTAGAAAGTAAAGAATTGGAACTAAGCGAAATTAATTGAGTTTTTTATACCGTTATGGCATTTACTATAATAAAAATCATTATATATTAAAAAATAATTCTCTTTGTTTTAAAATAAAAAAAAAAAATTGACTACAAATAATATCAAATAAATCAATTATTACAGTTTAGTCATTAGTTATTTTGTTAAATTTATGCAAGAACATGCACTTGCTTCATACTGGTCTTTTTTTGATTTGGTGGCAAAAGTTCAAATGTCGATATTCTTGAGCTATTTTCTAGATTTATTGAAAAAATAATAAATTCTTCATTTGTTGGTACACACAAAGATATCACTGTTGTAAACACATCTTTTATTCCGCTTTTTCTTACATTTTTATTATTCTCAGATTTATCAATCGTATCAAAAAATGACACGCCGTAGTCGCTTCCAGTAATCAAATAATCCCCGCTTTTGTTATATTGCATACATCAGACTTCCTCACATTTCAGCCTATAATCATCCATATAGTGTTGTCCATTAATTGTATAAATTTTTACTAAATGCTGCTCAGGAAACGATACAGCAATAACCCCAATTTCGCTGATTGCTATGGCTCTAGGAGGCTTTTCGCAGCTCTTTAATATCCTTTTAATGCATTCACCAGTCCTAATATTATGTAGCAAAACTGCTCCACACATGCTTAAAGACACTAAAGCTTGATATGATATAGACACTGAAATCATTTTAATTGGATCTGAATGCCCAAAGTAAATATTTCTTGGTTTTATTCGGGATTGGATTGATTTGAAAGGCTTCCATAAACAAATTGTCGAGTCTAAACTCCCAGTAAATAAAAGTCTATTGGAAGATGCTAACTCTCAGTATCCTTAATCAAATAATTCAATTGAAAACTTCCCCAAAATTGGGATAATAATCCGAATGATTTCTTAAAAAATTATCCCCCAATTTAGAATGAATATTAGAGATATTATAGAATAATTGTGTTAAAATTTTTATTAGAAAAAAAATTATAAAATAAATAAAAAATCATATGTTTTCCTTTTTAATTATTTTTACCAATCCTCGATTGCGACATCTAACCGTTTAATCAAAGATAAGGGGTAAGCAAATGATGAGGCCGCAATGATGGTAAATTGATTTAATTAGGATCCCATCGAAATTGTGAATTTTAAAAGAATTGTCGATATGGAAACCAGAAACTAGCAAGTCATTATTCCACAGACAAAATTGATTTGGTCCTCTGTCTAGAAGGATCCTGATGTCAAGGGTGGATAAAATGGCTCCATGTCAAATGACTGTGGATTTTTGACAGTGTACATTTTATCGAAATCCATTTGGTCGAAAATTTTTGATAGTGCGGACATTTGACAGAAAATTAACGTTTTTTTTCGGTCAAGTGTCTTACTATCAAAAATTTTCGATCAATTTTCGGCCAAAAATTTTTCGGTGAAATGGACACTATCATAATTAAAATATGGCGTCTTCGTCTGGGTATGGCCTCCCGGCCATACAGCCTCGACTCATATTTTAATTATATCCGGCAAGGTTTTACCATTTCAGAGATGGACTGCAATGCTAGGTAAGCAATTCTGGTAGCTTTCAGAGCCTAGCCCTAGTCTGTTCTCAGGGGTGGATTTTTCCTCGTGGGGAAGGAAGGTGCAGGGTTGGAAAGGGGAAGCCCAGCAAAGTCCTCTGGACCATTCGGGCAACTCCCTAGCGTGAAACTGGGCGTTACGTCCCAGGCTTTGCATTTTTCCTTTTTGCCGATAGCCGACCAGAAAAATCCATTTTTTGGGGTTTTTCGGAAAAGCAACCCATGTACAAGCAAGTAGCTCATCCATGAGCCGTCGAAGACGTGGACATTTGCCCTAGAAGCACCCTTGGCGATCGAAGCGAGTCTGTCTCCAGCAGGCTGGTGGGCCCGATGCGACGAAAGGCGAGTGATAAACCTGGAGTTGTAACCCCCGTAGTGGACGTTAAGCGATATAAATTCTATAAGATAAGATAAGAAATGGACACTATCAAAAAGGCAAAGTCATTTGGCCTGCACCCGGATAAAATATGATTCCATTGATACTTTTCTTCCCAATTTTCGATATTCAAAGGCCTAAAGTCTTTTAATTCACACTCTTTTGAGGATGATGAGTCGATTCTTAATTCATTTTGGTCTTGTTTTCATTTGATTTTGACTAAAAATCATTTTTTATTGTTTTCAATAGCTTTTACTGCTAATAGAAATTTTTGTGTAGTGAAAATTGCATAGACCTTTCCAGTTATTTCTGCTCGTGAGTTTATACAAGGATGAAGTGTAAAATCGTTATACTTATCAAACACGCTGAGAGGCTTTTCTTTTAAAACTCGTTTTGGATGGGACTTGGTAAAAAGCTGCACAGGGACTTGGCCAAAATGATAAATTCCTTCATATAAAGGCCGCTTCTCATGTTTAGTCATATTCGAGCTATCAAACTTAGTCAAGGATTCTTCATAAGCAGTCCCTAAATAGACATTAAGTGCTTTTTCTGCATTTTTTCCTTTCTGTTTGCATCCAAAAATTAAGTCAATTCATAAATGAAGATTCAAGCTGACCGCATTTGATTCTAATATTTGCCGATGTTTTCTTATAAAATCAATAGGCGATGATGCCCAAGGAGGCAGCTCGACATCACTCACTTCTCCTCCGTTCCCTTGTCTTTTTCCAAATTTTTTATGATTTATGTTGATCAAAACTTCAGGCAAATAGAACATTTCAGGGATTAACTCTTTGGAGTCTCCGCAGCTGCTTTTGCAGCTATCCCAAGCTGATTGAAATGAATAAAACAGTCTATCAGGGATATCAAATGATCCTCCTTGTAAACATATAGCTACTGCAGTAAAAGGTTCAATACGGAGATTATAATAGCAAACAATTCCTCCACAAGAATATAAAGACCCATAATGAAAAGCTTGAATTTCTTCATCCTTTCATTGCTCATACCGAGAGCGGGCTTGACTTCTTAAGTCATCAGTTTGGGCTCCAACAGGATAGGATAAATCTCGATATATATTTTTATCAGTTAAATCCAGTTTATCAGAAGTAAAGTCTTTACACACCCAAGGAAAAATTGGATATTGGCTTATTTCATTAAAAGAACGGCTGCTCATTTTATTCAAAATCATCAAATATTGGAAATTCGAAATTTTTCCTTCACATCACCAGGTTTTGTATTTTTTTAATTTTTCATGGCTCAGCTTAGGATATAGCTTGGCTCCCTGCCTTTCCCAGATTTTCATAACTCTGAATGCTTGAGTTTTATTTTCTTCTGTAAATAAATTAAAATAATAACTTTTTCCTGACTTAAGGAAGAATTCAATAGCAGAATATCTGTGCATAAATCTTCTCCCATAGACTTCTTTAATATCTCTAGACTCAAATAAAATCGACTTTTGTGTTGCCAGTTGATTGCAAATTGGCGAGCTTCCTTCATATATGCTTTCATCATCTTTTTCTTTGCCTTCACTTTCAAAGAGCAAGAAATCTGATGTAATCTCAATGACGCCAAGATAGCTTCCATCGACTTTAATTCTTTCACACTCGAAAATTTCAGTATAGGGGCTATTTCACTCTGAAGTTGCAGTTATTGTATTTGTGACGGTTGATCTTGGAGTAGGCTCATTTTCATCTTCTTCTTCATTTATTTTCAATTCAGCGTATTCTTCACTTAATTCAAATCCTTCTAGTCCTTCAGGCCTTGGACTGAACTTATGCTCTGATGAAGCATACCCTCCAACCATTACACTTACTCCTGTCCCTCCGTGAGCGAACAAAACCAATAGAAAAATCGCTATATTTTTTGCAAAAAAAAACCCACCATCCGTAAGCGAACAAAAATTTTTTATGGGAAAAAATTGATATATAAATGATAATTAGTATAATGAAATCTCTAGCTAATTCTGTTTAATTTTAAATAAATTGCGTTTTAAAACATAAATTTTCCAAATTAAATTAATATTTACTTTCCAATTTTTGCGATTAGGATTTTTTTAATTTTTTGAAAATGTTTTTTGTTTGAAATTATATATAAAATTTTTTAAAAAAAAATTAACCCATCTCCATGAGCGAACAAGTTTTTTTTTTCGCTCACGGAGGGGGGAAGGTAGAGATTTGAACATTGAAGCGTCAAATGTTGGGGACACACTGTTGTTTTTTCCAGCCAAACGGCTTGATCTTTTAAACGATGGTTTCAAAAACGATTGTCTGCCAATTTTATCAAGCACTGGGTAAATTTTCATATCATAGTTTTGCTCTTCTTTTGTATTTGCCATATTTGCTTTAAGACTTTTTAAGAATTCTTTGTATTTCAGCTCAATTTTGATGCTTTTTTCTGTCAAATTTTCTGGAATGGCTTCTATCACTTTTTCCTTTTTAATGATATAGTGCTCTGCGTGTGTAGCAGCCTCATCACGATTAAAAAAGGCTGCTGGAGGATCTGCAAATGTGTATTTTGATAGGCAATTTTGAATGAGATTCAGTTTCAGTGATGTATAAGAAAGAAGGAAAGACTGAACTTTTCTATTCCACTCCTCACTGCATAATAAGCTAATTCTCCCCTCTGTGAGAGAGCAAAATCATTGGAAAATGCCTATTTTTGAGATTCTCTATTGCAAGTAAAAATTTGTTTTTATAAAATATTGATAAATAAGTGATATAGGATTTGCCCTAGGATGGCGCTATATGGCGCCATCCTAGGGCAAGCGAAAATTGGCTCCACACGGGAACCGTATTCCACGTGTGGAATCCACATTTTCCCACGTGGAAAAATGGCTCCACACGTGGAACACAATTCCCGTGTGGAGCCGTGTCTCCAATTGCCCGAGGATGGCGCAATATAGCGCCATCCTCGGGCAATTTCTATAGCTACTATGCTGATTTTTATTATATTTTTAAAAAGCTTGTGCTCTAAAACAAATTTTCAAATTAAATTAATTTCACTTTCCAGTGTTTGCGAATTGGGAACATCGAAAAAAATAGTTCAATAAATGTATAGATAATTTTTTCCAAAAAACACCCCCTCTTAAGAAGGAAAAAATTTTGCTTACCCATTAAGGAAGGGAGCAAGCAAAGTGTTTTCAGATGTCGAGCTAATGTTAAGAGTATAAATTTGATCTATGATCGGCTTTGTAAAGCTATTCTGGATTGCGTTTTCAGTACTGTTTGCACTTTTCGTGCTTGCTGTGCTTGCAGTTCTTTCTCTTTTGATTTCGCCGTAGGGAAATATTCCTCTGTGGATCTGAAATAAAGTGCTTGAGTAGAAGCACTCTGAAAACTGGGTAAGCAACTCATTAAAATACCCTATGCTTTCAAGGCCATAAATACTTGCAACCTCTTGTATCATATCTCCGATTTTCGTTTTATTGATGATTCTTCTTAATGATTGAAGCATTATTGATGTCGAATATTGCTTTTGCTCTCTAAATCGAATTATTTCCGTCATCTCGGCTACAATATAAAAAACGATAAAAACCCTGCTTGAAAATTCATCATTTTCTTTTGGAAAATCTCTTAAAATTTCAGTATATCTCTTTATCCCCCTGAGTGAACAAAACATTTTGTTGGCGCACAAAGAAGGGTTAATTATTTTTTAAAATACATGCAAATTTTATAGTAAATTTTGTTTTCTCAAAATTTAAAAAATATCATAAATAAAATATTAATTTGATTTGTAAAATTTATGTTTTAAATGTAAACTGTTCAAAATCAAACAGAATTAGCTAGAGATTTCATTAACTAATCATCATTTATATATAAAAATATTTTTTCTTAAAAATTTTTGTTCGGAGAGATGGTTTTTGTCAAAAAAATAGGTGATTTTTAACACTTATGGAAGAGGGGAGTTAGTGCTTGCGAGCTTCTTTTCTCATTCTTTATTTATTCTAATATCTTTGAAAGACAATTCTTCAATAATTTCTAATGATTTTTCATTTTCCCCATAAGCTAATCCAATTAGGGCTAAATTGAGAATTATCCTTAAGACTCCTCCTTCTTTTAAATAAGAGCTTGATATTGATATTATTTGCTCGTCAATCCTCTGTTTATACAGGAAGAAGAGCGCATTGAAGTTTATTTTAGGTAAATACGGATAAGTGCATGATAAGAAATTATTATCCACTGCAATTTGGTAAATTTTTGATAGTGTGTGAGTGTACATTTCTTCATAAATAGAGCTGTCAAAATACGGGATAGAGTCTTCTAAAACGCTGATAAAATCTATATAAAGTTCTGATTTTTCAATAAATCCTTGAGAAGAATTATAGTATTCTAGTATCACAAAATAAATATAAAATAGCCTAGACGATAAAATGGTGCTCGACAGTAATTTTGTGACTTCTTTGAGCTTGTTGAAATTTTTCATATAAGTTTTATTACAAAAAATAGTAATAACTAAGCTCTCAATAGACTCAGCAGATTCACTATTAGCACATTCAACAACCCATTCCGGGAAGTTTGGCCGATCATGCAAAATATGCCGAACTTTTAAATTTTCGCAAGAATTAGTAAGAGCTGATATTATTCTTCCTATTTCTGGGCTTTGACATATTTTCCTCGTTATTAAATCAGCAAGATAGCCTGATTCCCTTAGATTTGAATTAACGAAAATATCAATTAAAATCATACTTGTTTCATAATCAATATTTGCTTCAAATTTATTGCTTACTATTTCAAATACTTCACTGAAATTAACAGCACCAGCAACAAACGGAAAAGAAAAAATCAATCTTAATGCTTTTGATTGGATAATTGAAGAATCTTTGAAGTTTTCCAACAAATGAAGCATTGCGTAGCAGATTTTTGCTGAAAATGAAGTCACAATTTTCTTGTAATAAAGATGGTCAAGAAAAGTGCTCATAAAATCATGATTATTTGTCTTGCTTATAATAAAAATGATCAACTGAGCAATGCTCCTATATCTGCATTTTGTTTTTGTGGCAATTAATGTTTTTTCCAATATTTCTAAAATTAATTCCTGATAAAATTCCCAGTTTGTGAATTTAATTAGGTAAGAGCATATATGAGTTATATCATTTTTTTTATTGTGGAAGTTCAAAGGAATATATTTTATTAGGGCTTTGAAATATGATTCAGTTAATTCTCTCGGTAAAGTTCTCCAGATTTTATCGTTTAAAAGTATGCTTTTGATGCATTTGAATTGGTACTCAGGGTTGAATTCCAGCTTGTCAATAATATTTGCTATTGACTGTAAAAGGATTTCATTAGGATTTATAATAGATCTTTCAAGCACATGGCCAAGTGTTTCGAAAAAATCTTCATCTATAACATTATCCAAGGATTTCATCACAAAAATGCAATCAAACACATTAAATGGCTGAGAAGTTGTAAATGTTTGCTCTGTAAACAGGGGCAAAAATATTTTTAATCCTCCATTTGCTACAATTGCTTCAAAAAGGCTAATCCCATTGAAAATATCACATTCTTTCTTTGAGATTTTAAAATCAAAATCGCTCTCAGGGACTGACTGCTTTGAAGTCCATTTTAATACCAATGTTTTTGATATTTCTGATAATAAAATTTTATTTGGAATAAAGTTGGTATAAGTCGCAGAAGCCTCTGGGCAGAAATCAAAATTATAATTGCATGATAATTCATACAGCTGCATATAAAAATTTTCTAAAAAGCATTTATTTGCTATATAAAATCCTGTACATTTACCATTGAATTCTTTTTTTCTGCTCCATGTGCTTTTACCACAAGAAATTTGTCTGAAGCTTGCATGAATAAAGCTTAAATTAGATTAGATTAAGCTCTTCGACCTCGATAGGGATGGGATTTCCATGCAAACATGCTCGTCATCACCGAGGAACCCTTGGCAGATACCCTTCCTCTCCGCCACAGGCAAGGGATTGACACGACCGATCTTGACTTCCACGACTCTTGCAGCCTATGGGCCCATCTCATTGGTCGAAACTCCCAGCTTCTCGTTAGGTAGAGATGTCACCTATTGAGCCCTGTTCGAGGGATTTATCGTCCTCTCGGGGATTTGCTGGTCCTACCCTTTTTCAATGATTGCCTCAGAGGCAAAAACTTAGAGTCCCAAGGATCAGCTCTCTAAGGTCCGGCAGATTTCCTGCTATTTCTGTTCTTCCCCTTCACTGTGGCTGTTGCGTGCTGGAGTTGAAGAAAAAGGGGTGAAGAGGCCGGGCGATCTGTCATCACCATTTTATGTATATATGAATAAAGCTTAAATTTCCTTTGCATTCTTTATTTAAGTGCATGCAATGTCTATTCACATTTACATAAATTTCATCTTTACTTCCAAACACTTTGGATATTTTTCTCATTCCTACCCCTATTAAATTTCACTGATTTAAAACAATATCATGAGGGCATTTTAATTTAAACCAGGTTTCTTGAGCTTTGTACTTACTCCCCCCCCTCGTAGTCGACCAAGATATAGGGAAAATTCCTATTTTTTTGGAAAATTAACCCTCAAAGTTCGACCAAGACCTATATAAATTTACTCGGAAAATAAGCAATTTTTCAAAAATTTTAAACTATGTGGGGGTGAGCTTGCGATTTTTGTATTCAAGTTCTAAAAAAGCGTTACAAAAACCATCTTGCACTATTTTTTCTAACCCTTTACACCCTCTCAACCATACAGAAGAATATGATAAATTTTTTTTTTTAACTACTAAATTATATAAAAAAAATTCTATATATAATTGTTTTTAAAAAAATTTTTCTTAACCCCCCCTCGAAGTTCGACCAAAACAATCTTGATCGAACTTCGAGGGGGGGGGAGTTAACAGATAATTTTTCTTTATTCAAATAAATTGTAAATCTTGTGTCTTTGCTTTCTGATAGTTCAAAAATAATAGAATCTGTGAGGTTGTCAAAGAAAATTCACATAAAAATGGTGAATTCTTTTTTGGGCAGAATAACCGTCGGCTTTGGGAGTTCACATGCCAATTCTCCTCAGTTTTGGCGAAAATTGAAGTATCTGGAAGGATCAGATACTCCATGATTTATTTGAGATTGATAGCAGAATGTGGCAGCTTTTGCCATGGATTTGCAAATTATTGCTTTTGTTGAATTATGGGATAAAATAGCAATTTCTATAATTTTTCTCAACTCATTTGGAGTTACATGATGCTGGATAATTCTTGAAAGAACATTGGCACAAAATTTAATAGTTTCTTCTTTGTGAGGAAAAGACAAACTTTCAAGCAAAATGGCTGTAGTTTGCCTCATTGCAAATTGAGCTGCATTTATAGGATTAGATAGCAACCTTAGTATTATTTTTGAATATTTCTCAATCGGCTTAGTATCTAGAGATCCTACCAAGAATTCGATAATAAGTGGGATCACCTCTGCTGTATAAATTCCAGTAAATTGGCTTTCATCGAAATTCATATTTCCACATAAAATACCCAATAAAATATCAAAAATTTTATTACATATTTCTTTTTGTTTTTCACAAAATAACGGATTTCTTAAAGTCAATATAATTTTGTGAACTTGAAAATCAGCCATGTATTTTCTTGCTTCAGAATTTTTATTAATTATCATTCAAATGCATTCAAAAATTTTTTCTCAAACTTTGCTAACGATTTCATCAAGAAATGCTATGCTATTACATAATTTATTTTGAAAAGTTCTTATTATTCCTGTTTCAGCAAACTTTATTTGTATAGCATGATTATCTGCTAAGTCTTTCAAAGAGTCTTGGATTGAATCGCACAATTTAAGCAATAAATTAGGGTTAGTTGTGTTGTCAAGGATCTGTTTGACTTTTAAATGGCATGATTTATCTTGGTATTTTAGAAGCTTTGAGCAGCAAACTAAAGTTTGATCACAGCAAGCCTCATCTAGCAGAAATTCTTCTGATAGCAGCGTTTCTAGTAAAAATGAAGAATTTTTAATTTCATCTGGACCATTGAGGTCTAAAATCGAGCTTATAATAGAAAAAAAAGCAGAAAATCCTTCATTTTCTCCAGCCCTTTTTAATATAAGTGTTTTTTGCATCAATGCATCCAATAAGCCATTTAGCAAGCACAGCTTCATCAAAGAATTTTTTCTCTCGAATTCTTCTCTTACGAAATAGCTAATTTTCAGTAAATAATTTACATTTCCATCATAAATTCGTAATGATTTTACCAATGATTCTGAAATTCATGCAATATTGGGGGAACCCATAATATCATTTCATATTTTTCTCCAACTTAATCTTGCCGACTCAGATAAGTTTGCACTATATTCATTTCTTTCATTTTCTATCTCAAAAAAAGGTCTAGAAAACATTATATAAGCAATTTTAGTCTCGCTTAATCGATGAGGATTTATTTTTTGTTTGGAAAGTCGGCTGAGAATGGTCTCTATGAATTGCAAAATCAATGATTGTGCAAGTGGAGGGTGAGAAATAAGCTCTTGTTGCGTTTCCTAACTCCCCCTCCGTGAGTGAACAAAAAAATTTGTATTCACTCACGGAGGGGGGTTAATTTTTTTTTTCGAAATTTAAAAAAAATCCTAATTCGCAAAAATTGGAAAGCAAATACTAATTTAATTTATAAAATTTATGTTTTAAAAAGCAATTCGTTTAAAATTAAACAGAATTTGCTCTAGATTTCATTATACTAATTATCATTAATATATCAAAAATTTTTTTCCATAAAAAATTTTTTCTATTAAAACATTTTTGTTCACTTACGGAAGGTGGGTTTTGGGCAAAAATAGCGTGGTTTTGTTCACTCACGGAGGGGGGGGAGTAAATAATTTTTACAGCTGTTAATAATTTTGCAAACATCTCGATCGGCAAAAAATTTAGTGATGGTTTTGTTGCTTTTTGTGGGAAAATATCAAAAAATATTCTTAAAAAATGCGCAATAAACTCACATTCATGGTCATTTGAGCTATTCACACTCCAGTAATGCTTCATATACGTAGAAATTGTACAATAAAACAGCTCCTTTATATTCTCTGAATGGTCTTCTAATATGTTTTCACTTAATTCTTCTTTAGAATTTAAGCAAGAAACTGTATCTTGCTTACTCCCCCCCTCCGTGAGTGAACAAAAAAATTTATATATAAATTTTTTAAAAAATATTTTTTTCGAAATTTAAAAAAATCCTAATTCACAAAAATTGGAACGCAAATATTAATTTAATTTATAAAATTTATGTTTTAAATAGCAATTCATTTAAAATTAAAATAGAATTAGCTCTAGATTTCATTATATTAATTATCATTTATATATCAATTGTTTTTTCCATAAAAAATTTTTCTATAAAAACATTTTTTTTTCACTCACGGAGGGTGGGTTTTTGGGCAAAAAATAGGGATTTTTCTAATGGTTTTGTTCACTCACGGAGGGGGGGAGCTAGCATAAGTAGATCTTTGCCATTAAAAAAACATTTATTATAAAATAAAGATTGCCCCTACCAAAATCTCATAGATATATTATTCCATTTAGTATATGCAATAATGTAAAAATTTGAAAACTTTTGTGTGCAGCTAGAAATGATTTTTTGGATTTTTGTATTTGCTTGAATTTTAGTATCAAGAGTAAATTATCGATCAACTTAGGGAGTATGTGGATTACTAAATAATGCATAGAAAGTGATGGATTTAGCTTAGCCAATTGATTAAGAAGATACACTAAGTAATACGTCAAATCAACTGGAGATATATCCGGATTGAACTTACTCCTTGGCAGTTCAAAAGGTTTTATCGAAACTTTGTTTAATTTTGGCTCATTTATCAAGTCTGTTAAAAGACTTTGAAACAAATGGAAAACCAAATTCAGTGTTTTATTTTTCCCTGATTTTTCTCTTCGCATAAGAGTGGCCAAAAATAAAGTTTGGCAGACGAGAAATAAAAATTTAAGGATTCCCTCATTCTCTATTCTTTCAATTTCGAATTGTTTTATGCTTTCGGCAACTATCATAATTTTCTCAATGATTCCTTCATCTAATTTGAAGCCTGGAACAGGGAGAATATAATATAAAATCTTGAGAAAAGGGTTAAAATAATCAAGGACTTGTAAAAGTTCATGGGTAGTGGTTTCAGATCTGAGGTTGTTATCAAAGATCCGAAGACACTCAGAGATATACAATAAAAGTTCCTCTATGAACTTTTTAGGGAAATTGCACTCATCGAAATCCATATTACATAGCTCATGCTCACACACTCGTGCTACTTGGAAAAAAGCCTGTAGGTTTTGCTGCTGGCTGGCTTGATAAGTGTTTCATGCTATATAAGCAGTTTGAAGGTCTGAAAAATTTTTCCTTATAGTCCCAGACAGTCTTTTTTCTATGCTTGACATTTCTTTATGCCTATTATAATAGATGTTTCCGTTTAAACTTTTTTAATTTTATGCTTCTTAGATTTATAATTACTTTCAAGAATGTGATTATTGCGATTTATATTATACCTGCATATCTTTATCGAAAATTTAATGTTAAATAGCCTTAAATTGATCTTTTGGAATATACAAAAATAATTTTTAATAAGATTTGATTCAATTTAATCTCCAAAAATATGTTGATACTTCCTTAATCATTTAACCCAAAATGTGATAGACATACTTTATTAAATTATCAAAATTATAGAGAAAAGAATTGATCCTATATGTTTAAAATTAGGAAAATACTTACGGTAGTGCACTTAGAAATTAGCTTTAATTGATTAAGTGATATAAAAAAATTCTTAATTTTAGCCTTTTGTCTTTAGTCTAAATTTTCTTTTTCTAAAAAGCATTACTTCGCTATTCTCAGATTCAACAAAATTAAATTCCTTTTTACAGCTTCAGTTTTATTTAATCACCTAAAATTAACTAAAACCTATTTTTACTTTTAATTTAAATCTCCATAAATATGTCGACCTGCGATCTTACTTGGTGCGTAAATACAGGAAGCTGGGAAGAATTACTAGCAGCTCTTCAGCTCCCTGAAAATCGAGCAGAAATAGCAAAATTTGCTTCAGGAGCATCATATCTTCACCAGCCAACAGGAGTGGAATATACCCTTATGCGCCAAGATGACAGAGAAAAAGTTTTCCAACTTATTGCAAACATTTTAGCTACCCAAGAGCCCATGAGCACAATTGGAATCACTGTAGAAGAATATATCCGCTATATTCTTGGGCTTTTCGCAAGCACAACTTATCTCCCTTACACAATCGTTTTCAAGTCTGGAAATGAGATTGTTGGGGCATATTTAACCAATGACCACCATACTCGTCAGTTGCCAGCGTTAGATCAAATGAGTCAAGACCAATTAGCATTTTTCCAAAAAGCTGCTCCACATATAGAAATTGGAACCAGAGCTGCATGTGTTGATCCATCTCCTGAAGCATCAGGAAGAGTAATCAATGGATACAGCGATGCTATTAGAGAAGATTTCAGAGGGAAAGGAATTGGAAGATATGGAAATGCTATTAGAATGGCACTGGCTTATCATTTAGGCTTTAATCTGATTTTCAGGATTTGCGACAATGAGTCATCTGTGATGTCTGGGAGAAGATATTTCGAAAATGGGCATATGGTGCTTTATGAAAGCATTGAGATTGGAGGAGTAAAACCATATCAAGGACTCAAAGGAGGCAAAGTGTGCCAGTTCAGACATCTTAATCCTAGGCTATAGTTAAATTAATCCTTAAAAATATCGGAGTTAATTATCAAATATGACTCTAAATGAAAATTTATTTTGCTTAGATAATAAATATGCTTCAAAGATTATCGAGCTCAATATTGCTACTCTGTGGAGCATTTTATCCGAGCTTTTTTTCAGCTGTGTATGTATTCTCTGGCACGCTTATATGATTCGCGACTTTATTTGCTAAACAAATCCCCGAATCTCTATTGCGAGCGGCATTAATTTTTGGGCTTATAAGTTTGGCCGCAAAGATCACTGTTTTACTGATGCTTAACTATTCTGCTCTAATGATTTTTGGCTTCAGCCCAGATTCTACAATAATGCAAGGGCTTTTCTTTAATGAAGGTAATTCATTTGTCTTCTATTTTAAAAATTTTGCATTTGATATAATTGCAATAATTTGTTTGGTTCTTTCACTGATAGGAAAACGAAAGCTAAAGCACAAGCAATATTTTAAGTTTAGGATAGAAATTATGTGAATCGGGCTTTTTATTTTAGCAATTTATGCTTCCAGTTATGTTACCTGAGCGAATTTTATTTATTCTTTGACATCTTTGGTATATGCTGCAAATCTAAGATATAAATCTATGAAATTAAATTTGTTAATTTTTAGATTTATTTCAATTGCTGCTACAGTTCAAATAGTTACATCTTACATATTGGCATTAATTTTTGAAGATCCGTCTTTGAGTAAATCATTCTGGATATATGGATTTATCTTAAACGACTTAAATATTCTTGGTATGTTTTTGATGGCATTTTTAGTGCATTTAATTTTTACGTTTTTTTCGATTGCTTATAAACAGGAAAAGCATTTTGGAGAAACAACAAGTGATATGCAAATCCCTTTGATTTCAAAAGAATATGAGACTGAGCCATCTTTGCAAGAAAGCTTTGATAAGCCAAGCTTGAAATATTTCTTGAATAATAGCCCAAAAGAGCTGCTATTTCATACATTGGCAAGATTAATGCTAATCGTATGGGTCATTTATTTCAGAAATATTTTAAGTATTTTTCTTATGATTCCATTATTTTACACTATAATATCGACTTCTAAAAGAAAAACACTGTTCATCTATCGATTTATAGTAATACCACTTCAATCTGTAGGGTTTGGAATTTCATATGGCATTAAGCTTTATAACGACGCTCACTCATACAAAGATTTAGCAGCTATTTCTTATTTATTTGTGACAACAATATGGTTCTTAATTTTAGTAAGGCTTCCTTATGTAAAAGAGAAATAAAATTGTGACGTCGACGGAAATTGGACTCATATGGAGGAGGTAGAATTCATCCTTAGAAGTTGAAATTGTCCTCTTATGGTAGGCCTTCAGGCTTGGGGATGTCTTGCCGAAAAGGGGAAAGTTTTGTTTCTCCCAGAAGGTTTTCCTATTCCTGCCTGATGGACTAGACAGGTTTTGCCTACACATGGTCTTTCCCCATTGGGATCATCTGGCACTCAACAGACAGTGGCGCTTCCCAAAGGGGCTGATCCTAAGGGCAGGTCGTTTAGGTCGGAAATCCAAGATGGCATCGGGCGAGAAGTATGCTAGCATTAAAATCTTGTTTTCCTAGAGCCGAGACGGGGCGATTGCTAGTGGATTGCCACTTATGGCCGAATCCCTATTTAATTTAATTATGTAAAAAACTGAAGAAAAATATACCAGGAAGTTAATTCGACCCCTTTAAGTGAGAACAGAAAATTTGTTCCAATTATAACTCATTTAATATTTTTGAAAAATAAATCATTAAGTTTAACGAATTACTCTAGGCAAAAGCCCCAGTCTTCTTTACTTGAGGTTCAGCTACATTAACAGCTCTGAACAACGGTAGGTGAACCTGCCTAACCGTCGAACCGTTAAAGTTAATAAGCCCGTTAAGACTTCTCTAGTCAGTGCCAGCCCAGCACCGACCCTCCTCTTCAAGCCGAGAATCTCAAGAAGCTTGACTTCTCTCACTAAGCTCGGAGGTAGGACCCGGACCTGCGGAGCAGGAGTTAGGACCTATTCCTAACTGATATTTTTAATATGTAATAAATCATAAAACAAGTTTATGAAATTGATAAATTAATTTATAGAATTAGTTTATTAGCATTCTAATCCAATTCCACTAATAAATAAACAATTTATAAGTAAATTTATGATTTTTATGCTATTAAATGAGGTATTAAAGCTATTTATATAGAAAATATCATTTTAACTATAAAATTTCGATTTTTTTCAATCTAAAGAAGAAATTCTGCAGTAATTTGTTCCAGTTAAAAGTGTGGAGTAAGAACTTTGTTTTCCTATTGGCATTGAATTTCTTTATTTGGAATAATGTCAGCAGCGCTCTCTGAAATTAACTATATTCTCGGAATTATTATTATATTTTATTTTATTTTCCTTATTGTTCCACCACTTATTGAAAAATACTGGAAATGGTTAGTGCTATATTCTATGGCAGCTCTTCTTATCTCTAAAATTTTTAATGTATTTCCTTCATTGGCATCGTTTTTGCTGCTCGATAACTATAAAATTGGCTCGCTTGGCATTTCATTAGATGATAACGAAAAAGTTATTTATCTGAACGAAGTTATATTATGGACAGTTGTCATTTTATCTGGAATTCAGTTATGAGTAAACAAAGCCAGCCATCAGCTGCACAGTGAATCTCTAAAAATCGAGGAAGAACAAGAAGATAGAAAACTGATAAAAGCATGAAAAAAGATTTTATATAAAGCTATTCATTGAATTAAGAGAGGTGAAATATGGCTCAGTATCCTTCTTATTTTTACTTTTATTTTATTTTCAGCACACAATATTAAAGATGTCAGTTAGAGATAGATCCTAACTCCTGCAGGTAAGTGACCTATTTTCGAGCTTAGTGAAAGAGGTCTTGCCTCCTGAGAGTCTCCGAAAAAGTGTGAAGAGGTCAGTGCTGAGTCTTGCGCTGACTAGAGAAGTCTTAACGGACTTGTTAACATTAAAGGTTCGACGTTTAGGGCGGTCCACCTACTGTTGTTCAGAGCTGTTAATCAAGTTGAACCTCAAGCAAGGAGACTTCGTGCAAGAGTAATTCGTTAAACTTAAACTTAAACTTAAAATTTTCAGCAGAAAATTTAATAAACTTTGGAAGGTTCATTTTAGCAGGAGTTTTACTTATATTACTGAGAAAACCAATTAAAAAACCAGATAATAGAAATGCTGATCAAGAAGATCATGAAGCTGGAGATAAAGAAGAAAATAAAGAAGAAGAAAATCAGCCTGAATCTATTAACAATCCTTTGCTGGGTTTACTTACAAATAAGTTTACAGTAAAAACTATAACAAATGCTAGCGTTACAAACAGTCCACTTCAAGGGCAAGAAACCAAAGAAAATTTCATGTGGTATGACTACACAGCATTATGGGTAATTACTTATATCTTCATGTGCCTGAGCGCAGTAATTTTAATAGGAGAATATTTTTACCAATTCTGGCCATACCTGCCTTTCCCAACCTTAGATATATCATTAATTGGATTCAGCATTTACAGCCGAAAAGATTTATATTCCACACTTCTGCTTGACTCTTGTCTCTTTATTTCATCAAAATACACCTATCACTTAATAATCAGACAACAAGAATCTTCAAAAATGACAATTTCTGAGTTAATTAAAACCTATCAATTCAGAGCTTTTTGTGAGTGCTTCAATTTTGCTCTTTTATTTACGATTTTCTATTTATCATGCTACTGAAAATTATCATTCTCTATGCTTCTCTATTTGATTGTAATCATTATCTATTTCATTGCTATTTCCATATACCTTAATTCTAAAAATAAAACAGGCTACCGAAAGGAGTGAAATTATAGACTTAATATGTGAAAAGTCCTATTTACAATCACAATATTAGCACTGATTTTTTCATATACTGATATCATGATGCAGCCATTATATGAATCACAATCATACGAATACACTGAATGAATATTTTATTTTTCAGGATTTAGCGCATCAAAGAAATGGAGTATTTTTGATAATTATGGGTATGTAGTAATTTGCATAATGCTGATAATTGAAAGGCACTGTTTGGAGTATTTAAAGCCGAATTATGATGCCACATATTTGACTGGGCTATTGAAAAGTGATAAAGTAAAAATAAGCAAAAAGGTAAATGTGATTGTGGTTAGAATTTTAACTTGGCTAAGGACTATTTCAGAGGCTATAATACCTATGATACTCTTATTTACAGCTTTCCAAAAACTCACTGTTATTGGCTTTGTCTATCTCCTTACAGCTTTATTTGTACCTTTAGCTAATAAAAGAAATCAAAAGGTGATCATTTGTATAGTCGTCGCAATTATGGTTATCTTGCAGTATTCATTGATTTTGAGCAACATTAATGGAAAAAATTCACCACAAAAGTCGCCTGCTAGAGATCCATTCGAAAATCCTTGGTATGCTCGCATTGATTGGCCTACAAAAGATGATGCTTATTTTCTAAGTTTAGGGACTGAAATTTCTCAGCTCCATTCCTTGCTATATGACGAAATAATATTATTGCTATGTCTATTCCATTTTATTGTACTTTCAAATGAAAGAGACAAACTTAAAAAATTAGAAAAAGAAAAAGGTGAGTTTGCAGAAGCAAAGAATGAAGAAAAAGAAACCGAAAAATTGAAAATCTTTATGGATACCCTGAAGAAAAATACTTTAAGATTTTCAAGACTGTTACTGCTGTTTCTTGTTCTACTATTTTTGACTAACAGTTTTGGACTTATCAGTTTGGTTTATATCATTTTTTCTTTATTATTGATTATCAAAGAAACGACTCTAGTAAAATCAAATCTAGGATCCTACACAAGGTTGTTATCACATCTTCTTATATACACTTTATTGGATCTTATTATTCAATTTGTTTTCCAAATCCCATTTAAAGTGTTTGATAGCTATAAGGATAGTAGTCTGTTTAAAGTAATTGGAGTGAAAAGACTGTGGAGTGCAGGAACTGACGAAGAAAACTCAGAAGACTATTCAAGTTCACAGCTTGAAATAGATATGAAAATTCTTATTTTTACACTAATGTATGTTATATACCGAATGATCAACAGCCAAGAATTTCTGGTATATTTTGACTCTCTAACAAAGGAAATCCTTCGTGAATCAATTGGAATAGGAATTGAAAAGGCTAGGCTATTTAATGATGGGCTAATTGAGAAAAACATAAAATATGAGCAAAGAAGAGCCATATTTGTAGAGAAGCTTGAAAGATTAGAAACTCAGCTTAATTTAATTAGAAAAAATGCGCCAATAACTTTTACATACCAAAAATCAGAAAATGAATCTTATGAAATTGAAAAAGAAGGCCAAATGAAGAAAATTAAAAATATTTTTGATAGAATTCTTATAAGCATGGTAGATACTGCGATGTTTAGAAAGTTTATTTCAACTATAATTGAAAGAAACTCCAAAATTCAGAATATTAATATTGAACTTGAAGATTTAGGTTCTCAGCCCCAAAAAATTTTTAGAAGAGCTTCTGTCAGCAACAAGCAATCAAAAGAAGATAATGAGCTTAATTTAGAAGATGAATCTTCTGCTGTAGAAGTATATAATTTGACGCTAAGTGATTATATTAAGCTGCTTTTACTTTATATTCCAGCCAGCAACACACAAAATATTGTGTTTTTTATGTGCTTTCTTAACAATTTTATATACGCAAGCTTAGAATCAGTTATTTTACCAATATCTATTGTAGGATATGCTATGTTCGAGAACCCAAGACCCCCATCTAACTATTTTTGGCTATTATTATATTATATAAGCACTGTCGTTTTTGTTAAATTTTGCTTCCAGCTTGACTTGTGGCCATATTTAACCAATGATGTGTTTCCCATAAATTATCATGATCCAGCAAAAATAGGATTTAATTTAGCCCAAAACACATATAGCGGAGCATTCTTCTGGTATATTTTCTATGATGCCTTGCTTATCGTTACAATTTTATTCCATACTTATTATCTGAGAAGAGTAGGACTGCACAATCGTGTGGAGTATGAAATTGAGTCTTTTGAGCAGGCCAAGGTTCGATATATCAAACAAGTAAGCAGCGCTGATGAAAGTTTGGAATTAAAATCTCATTACCCCTATCAGATAGATTCTGGCTCTTTCTTTGGCAAATTCGTTAAATTAATATCTAGGATAATTCCTAAAAACAAAGAAGAGAAGCCAGGCAAAGATTTATATCTTCCTCTAATTTTGATACAACTTATTATTTTGGTTTACATTTTTATTTGCTTTACAAGAATGGAAGGCTATTCACATGATATTTCTCAGTCAATAAAAGCTAACCAGTTTCAAGGAAGAATGGTAATTGCTTTGATGCTTCAGTTCTTTTTAATATTAATCGAAAGGTATTTGTATGTAAGAAAAACATCACAAGCGTTGAAAGATGACCAAGTGGCATCATTGGAAAGAAAAGACACTTTATTAAATGCTAAAAGGGGCCAAAGAAGAGCAAGCACGAAAAAAATGACTTTCTTACCAGCAGCTTCTACTGAAAAAATTGAGTTTGACAAGGAACTTATTCACAGGCAATTTACAGAAGCTGAAAATTGCAAAAATATCAAAGTAACTTGGGTTGAAGGAGATCACGAAATAGTTCAATGGAAAGTCGTATTTAATGTAGAAGCTATAGAAAATTCAAAAGACAAAAAAATTGAGGCTACAATAATTTTCCCATTTCAGTACCCTAAATACCCCCCAAAAATGATCTGCAAGAAGAATATTCATCATAAAATTATTGATAACTATGAAAAAAGCATTATCCCAGAATTTATCAATGGGGATTGGAAAGGCGACCATGCTATTTACAATATTTTAAATCAAATCTTAATTGAATTTAATTATGAGGCTCCTCATCTTGAAAAGAGCTCTGAAAAAAGATGGAATAAAGCTATGATAGTTAGACTCCTTTCCAATATCTTGATTATGGCAGCTATCCACGCTTTAGTGTTTTGGTATTTCCCAATTGATGGAAATCGCAGTCTTTCAGGCAAACCTTATTGCACATCATTTGATAACAGAGATTGCAATGACTTCCAAATAAATGTTTATATTGAATGGTTTTACATTCTTTTTGCAATATACTTTGTTATTATGTCACTACAGATCAGACATGGGCTTCCTTCCTTTAGAAAAGTATCATTTCCTTTTATGAGAAGCACGTCAATGACTTCTTATAGGCTATTCAAAGCATATTTAGCATTACCATTTTTATATGAGCTAAGAACACTTTTAGACTGAACGTTTACACCAACTGCTCTTGATTTGTTCCAGTGGTTTAAATTTGAAGATATAAATGCGAGACTATATCAGACAAGATGCATACAATTATCTTACAGTTATCATAAAAAAGGAGAAAATATTTCAGCATGGCAAAAAGGTTATATGGGATTTTTTACACTGTTTTTAATATGCTTCGTGATACTGATTCCACTAATTATTTTTAGTTCTTTAAATCCTATAATGGAAAAAAATGATGTGAAATGAATGGATATTCTAACTTAAATTAATATTGGAAAAATATTTTAAGTTTAATTTCTAAATAATAGGGGAAATTAAAAAATTGTGTTATTATACTTTTGGCTATTAATCTATCACAGATCATGAAAATAAAAATTATTTGTCAAAGCAGAAGCTATTCCTTATATGACACAAAATCCCATGATGAAATGCATTTTATCACAGATGAAGAATGAAATGCTAAAAACATGAATGAGGTCAAAGATATCCAATCTAGTGATAAGCCACACCTGCAGGTTATTTCGTTGCCGAGATTTCAAGAAACATATTGGGGAATTACTCCACCTAGTAGAGATAGACTATGTTATACATTGAATAATACTGCAAACTATCAAGAATCGAAGCTGCTAATGGTTTATACATTTTGAAGAACTTATCCAACAACTCAGCCAGGAGTTTCTGAGACTTTATTTATTCCTTTGGGCAATTCCACAAATACGTTCTATCAGATGATCTGTGAAGGAAAATATGATATGATTTACTCTAAAACCCATTTCTACGGTAGTTTCGTAAAGCTTCCAAGCGCAGGAGCAACAATAACTCCTTATACAGTAATTGATGAAAAATTCTCACCAAATTTATACATGAAAATTCACAAAGATGAGAGAAATTCATCATATTGGGAAGTAGGAATATTAACAGGTCAGCGAAGACCTAAAGGACCTGTTTTTTATGTTATTTCTGATAGTTATAGTCCAGTCACTTTCGGCTTCTCGCTATGGGCATTTTATATCTCTATTGTTTATCTTATAGCTAGATTCCTAACACCCCTTTTATCAGTGAAAACCATTAAAAACTCTCTATTTTGGGAATTATCGCCTTCATTAGAGAGGAAAAAGTTTTTTTAATATAAAAATTTTATGCAAATAATAATTCGATTGCTATAATTAGATCTCCAGCTAATACTATAAAATTTAAAATAGCTTAAACCCTTAAACATTAATGTTTTAAAATAAAGTGCATATATGAGCTTTTAAAAAAAAAAAATTGACCTATTTTGGTGAAAACAAAAGATCCTACTCGCTAATCAAGAGAGATTAAGATACTTTGTAACAGGGGGTTCACAAAATATTTATATGACTGATATGAAAAATCCAGTGCCTTTAATTACTTTATGCTCAGGAATTTATGTGTGCCGTATGAGAGGGCAATTAATAAAAGAGGAAGAGCTTTATTATGAGTTAATAGATATTCTTCGCTCTACAGAGCAAGTTAAATCAATGACAGGAACAAGCTCCATAAAGGAGAAAATGGATTAATAACTTAATATCAATCATTACAATTAAAGTAAGCTGTTTGCTCTAGACAAGGTTGAATTTCCACCCCAACATCCTCATCGTCCCAAGGGATCCTGACAGGCACCCTTCCGCACGACGAATTAAAGGGATTTGCATGGCAAATCTTTACTTCCATGACTCCTGCAGCCTATGGGCTACCATCTTGGCCTAAACTCCCAGGTTCTCGCTAAGCAGATGTCAATCTTGAGCCCTGGCTGAGGATTTATCATCCTCTTAGGGTCTTTCCTTGTCCTGTCCTTTCAAATGATGGTCTCAGAGGCCTTAACTAAGAGTCCCAGGGATCAGTTCCCTAGGGCCAGATAAAAACCCGCCCGATGTACACAAAGGATTACCGGCCTCTTTCTGCCCCTTCAGATTGGGTCGTTGCCTGCTGGTGTTAAAGAAAAAAAGACTTAGGAGGTCGGGTGGTAATCACCATATTTATACATATTTAATGTCAATAATAAACATATAATCGAATTACTAATTAGTGCCATACTGATAATATGATTCTTTTTAATTTACGCTTTAAATGAAGCACGATGATCATTTGTGTCGTTTGATTTATTTAGTTTATTTTAATCATATTAATCAATTTAGCTATAAGATTGACTATTCCTTAAGAACCTTAAATGCATTTTTATGCGTTTTAAATGAAAAATTAATAGAATCTTATAAATTTAAATAAAAAACTACTGGATATTATGCAATTACTCTAGGCAGACTTCAAATGAAAACGGAATCAAAACACACTAAAACATCAAGCACGATTTCAATTATTATAAGGCTTATTGACATTCAATTCACACAATTTCTACTTCACAAAAACATTTTTCATCTATTTTGTTTGGCCTATCTTTGCTTGCCTAATTTTTTCTTTGCAGGCTTTATTCTTTATTTTTTCTGGCACCACTTTTGCTCGAGGAATCGCTAATTTTTGTTTTATGTAGAGCAAGTGGAATTCGATTATTTTTGCAGTATAATTTTTTTCAGCCTATTTTAATGTCTGTTTTATGCTGATAGTCAAAAATTTATCATTTTATTTCTGCTAAAACAATAAACCAAAGTGTTGCAAAATTGCCTCGTAATAATTAATCAAGAATTCAGCCTACAGAATTAAGAAAAGTATTCAATTTAAAAGTATGCCAAATATAATCAATAATTAATATTATAAAATATCCTAAATCATAGACTAAATTCAACACTCTATTAAAAAAAAGGTCTTAATGTATAAAATCCAATTAATTGTATAAATAAAGATTAAATTTAATTCATTTTTATAATAAATTCTTTAAAGTTACAACAAATTATTATCTATGTAATGTATAAAATGATTAAAAATACTTTTGAAAAAATTCATCTGTATTTGTACTATTTTTGATGAATTTGGGGCACTTATTATATATAATAAAATTTATCAAACAAATATTTCATGTAAAACCAACACGAGCTTTGCAAATACCTAAATGAATAGTTTTGAAAATTATTCAATAATTTATAATAGTAACTATATTATCGCTTTATAATGCTTAAAAGCAGATCCCTCACTCCTTTCTCAATTATAGAGCAATTTTTTTTACTTGATAAGGAGTGTAATTTTCAATAATTTAAAAAAATTATTATTGCAATTTTTAATAAACAATACCAAATTTCTTTATGATCATTTGCTCTATCAAAACCAAAGTTTATATTAAATGCTGGTCGTTCTTAATGACTCATAATAATGTTTGATATCTATCATCTCCAGTCTAAAAGGTATCTTAAATCTAAAATTAATTTAATAATACGTTTTAAAAATTGCGTTTTGCTTATCAGCTTTTTTTCACACTTGCCAACCATTTTTAGTATTCCAATTTTAACTCTCACTTTTATAAGATCCATCATCCCTTTGAGAGAGTTTGACTTGGTCTTTCAACAATCCATTTACATTTTGCTCGATAAACAAATCTAGTATAGGGGTATGGGGCGATATTAATTTTCCAATCATCTGATTTTCCTTCCCCATATATTGCTTACTCACTAAGGGATGTTAGAAGAAGCTTGCTTGACTTCTTCAACAGTTGATATATCTTGTGTAAAAATGGTTTTAGCTTCATCAGAAATTGCAGTATCAGAATTCTCTTGCTTTGAAAGCGATTTAATTTGATTGTATATTAATTCAAACATATTTCCCTCTAAAATATTTGGAAGCCTTGGCACAACCTGGCGGTCAGGAAACCACGGTTCGAGCTCCAGATCTTCAATCAAAAACGTATTAATATACTTTTTCATATGTGCTCATTTTTGATAGCATTCCAAACTGTGCTGATCTTCATTGCAGCAATTAAACTCAAACTTATCATTTAGAATTTCTGGACTAAACTCTGCGAATAATAATTCTGTGTAGTAATAATAAGATTTTCTGATTGGGAGAGGACTGAAATATCACTGACAGAATTTCATGTTAAAAGACTTGCAGGTATCATCAGCATTGTCTTTTCTTTTGCTTTTCCCGTCAGTTAATTAAGAATTAGATTACTCAAAATTTTAAGGTGATACTCTCTTCCGCAGGGGTTAATATCAAAGCCTACCTTTTAACTCCAAGTTGGTGATGCCGATGGCTATCTTGTCCGGCAAGAATTCCAGAGGAACCACCAAAGGGCTAGAAAGCCTTCACTGGTCGTGCTGGTCTCACTCCACACTTGACTCCTGCGCGTGCTCCATCTAAGGTCCCCTCCTCGGTGTATGAAGAGGCAAAATTCCTATGCGCCCTAAAAATTCTGGGCAAGTGTCTTACCCTATTCGATAAGCCATATTTGGTATTGTAGATAAAGGTGCTCCAGATAAGCCAATCCTATAATCATTTATTTCTTATCATGCATATGCATGCCATTTTGAATTTTGTATGTGGAAACTAAATATACGTTTCAAAACGCAGATTTTAGTGCAGCAAATCATAATTTGAAATTTCATATGAAAATGGATCGTATAACTGCTATAAGAAATTTAGCCAAAGGATTATAATAAAATTTGCGGACGAGGAAAGTTACAGAGCAAACCATTTTCATGCATAGCCATTTTATTATTATGGTTTTTCCATCAGTCAGTGGTCCCGCTTCAGTTTTGCTTCATGCTTCGATTTCGGCTCTAGATTCAATGCTGCATTGAACCAGTAGATTTCAGTTTTCTCTACCAACTTGATTATTTGAATCAAATTTATTCAGTGTTTTTTCTGGCTTAATATTTTTCTTAATTTGTCTCATAAGTCTTTTGTGTCCTCTAATTAGCTTGCATCTTAAATATTCCTTTTTTGGACAGCCTCTCCTGCATGTAAATTGTGCTCGTATAATGGCATCGGCTTTAGCCCTTCTTCCTGCTGAAATTTTATATGTTGTGTTATTCAGTAAGAGTTCAGGGAGAATTTCTTCAGGTTTCATTTTTTTGATTTTTAATTATTCAGTCAATATAGATACAGATATAATGAATCATTTCAATCAATTAAGCTTTGATTACTTTTGATTTTGACTGTGCAATGCAAGGGCATCAAGGCTTAGATTTAATTTTCAATTGCTTACGTCAATAAAAGCAATTTAGCATTTTTGTTTCGATGAAAGTAATCAAAGTCTATTGCTTTAAATTAAGAAAAAGTTGGCTTTACTTATGAGGTTGTTCATATTCTATGGATTCCGGCATGATTATTTTTATTCATTAATGCAAAAATTTGCAGAAAGCAAAAATGGCAAAAAAATTCTATTGAAAGCAAAATAGCTTCAATTATTAAGCTTAATTTGATATCTTAGGCCCTGTAATTGATTTAGATGAGTCTCATTAAGAAAATACACAATTTTAATGCTTTATAGCTAATATACTATACAAATACTCAAAGTCCACTACCTAATGTTTAGAATATGATCTTATTTATTTATGATTTTATTTTATGTTTAATTTCAGCAAAAGTATAAAAACATTAGTGTATAGCGCTGAAGCTATTCAAATGTGAATATGGGATAGAACCCGAAGGAGTCTTCGTTCTTCTTTTTCTTCCAAACCTAAACTTAGGCTTATCTACTGGTGTAATGGATCTCACTCTCACATCTTTCCTATCACTACTAAACGAACTCTCGTGCTGCTTTTGAGCAATAAATTTCGAATAAGGCTTAGTAGCAGGCACAGATCTTCTAATTTGGCTTGCTTTAGACACAGGCGATGGTTTCTCTGCTCTATGCGGCGAGAGTTCACTAAACACTGGATTTGTTGGCTTTTGTTTCACTTCTGTAATTTGCTTTTCTAGTTTATGAGCAGGTCTATTTTTTGGTTTTGGCTCTTTTGGTGGTTCTGGTTTTAAATTTTCTGGTATCCTTTCTTATATCTTATACTAACTTAGTGTTTAATGCGTCACTCTTAGTAGGAGGTAAGTTGCAGCCCACCCTTTTAACTCCAAAGTGATGATGACACCGGCTATTCCGACATAATGCCGTATTTCAGATAGAATCCTAAATAAGCTTCACCTTCATCTGATTAGAAAGCCTCGCGGTGGGTGTTGCTCTCTCTCAAATTTCCTCAGCTCCTGCTCGTACTCCACCGGAGAGTCGCCTTCATTGGGTGTGCTGAGAGGAAAAACCTTAGGCCTCTTGTCTTATGACCAAAGTTAAACCGCTGCTGTGAAGAAGTTATCCTAAGCCCAACACCATAAATAAAATCCCATGAAGGAGATAAAGCTAGAAGAGCTAATTTCTCCAAATCTGAATGCCATTTTATTTATTTCCGATATCCTTTCATTGCTAATAGACCTTCTTGCATCTTCTTCTATTAGCATGAGATCAGCAATTGATACATCTTGCTGAGGTATTTTGGAAGTATTTACTAATACGCCTGCGGAGCGAACAAGTCGATTTGGAAAAAATCCCTATTTTTTTTGGGGAAAACACCATGAGCGAACAAAAAGTTTTTTGATATAAAATTTTTTTATGAAATAATATTTTGATATATGAAATATCAAGCTATTTCTGATTAATTTTAACATTTGCTTTCTATTTTTAAGAATTGGGATTTTTTTTAAATTTGAACAAAAAAAATTAAACTCCCCTCCGAACAAAGGTTTTTTGTTCGCTAATAGAGGGGGAGTAAGCAAAACGCTGCATCTTCTCTGACATCCATAGAAAGATCAGTGTCTTTGAATAGTTCTTCTAAATCTACTTTTGCATCATTATCATCAAATAAATTAATTTTTTTAAGCAGCTTTGTATATACATTTTCATCAATTTCTTTATTTTTATATAGCAATTTTAGCCTTTCCCTTCATTTTGCCTTGGTTTTCTTCGGAAAAATTTGTTTTTCTGGCCTTAAGTTCTGATTAGAATCCTCTGTATCGAAACAAAAATATTCGGGCAAAGGTGCAGCTAATGGAGTAGGCGGCCTCGAGTAGACTTCAATTTTATTTAAAAGCTCATAATATTGTCTATCAGACTCTGCTACAACTTGTATAAGATCTTTTGCTACCCTTTCTAATGTGCTATAATTAATATGGTAGTGGTGACTAATATGCCCTTGCAGAGGTCGCACCACTTTGGGCGCCAAAATGGTTTTATAGCCTTAACCAAGGTTCAGCCCTTTAATTCTAACCCTTAGTATGCGTAATCGCTGCCGTATGGGATGGGTAAACCTTGGGAGTCAGCTGATTTTGGGCCACGGGCTCTTTCCCTGCCGGTTCCGCAGCACTGTGTTCTTTTTTTCTTGGGTGTCACCTCCTCCGAAGGTAGCTGACAGTAGGTATGGGGCTAACCTTTACCTCCGCCCCCTATAGCGTACTGACAGGGCGTCTTTCTTACCGTCGACACTGTTAGAGGTCACATCGCAAGCCCTGCTCATAGAGAAGGCCACTGTTCCAATAGCGGCTGAATTTTCGCCCGCAACCAGGGTTGGTGCTGGTCAAAAGGCGCGGATGTATCAAATCTGGAATACGTTAAGAATTTTAATTTAATTTAATTTCTAATGTACTGACTAGCATATGTACATGATTATTTAGCTTCTCTATTGTATGTTCAGATGTATTTTGGGTATTCAAAGTTTCTAAATCTTCCCTTGGGCTCTGATGGGGTATAGATTCCCTTGCAGATTCTGGCTGAGACACAGCGACAGAACTTCTTAAACTTGCATTATCATTTATGAGTGGAAATTTGACCTGCTCTACTACAGTACTTGTGGGAACTAAAGGCTTTAGAATTCTTCGAAGTTCTAAATCAAGGAATTTTAGATATTCCAAAAAGGAAACCCTGCATCGGTCTCTATAGTCTTTGAGGATCCTTGCAACCCTTTTCATCTGAGAATTGATTGTTTTTGAGTTTCTGACAAGAATTTCTTTAATTGAAACCAAGTCGTTTTGCAAGTCTGATACACCTTTCCAATATCGAACAAATTTATGGATGCCACTTTCAATTACTGCCAAGTAATCATGGAGGATTAAATCTTCAGAGGACAGCTTGCTGACTAAGTTTGCTATTTCTTCAAGAAATGACAAGTCTACTGCAACTTTTGAAGGGTTTTCTGGGATTGCTTCAGTTGCAGCATTCTCGATAAGGGACATAAGGGAAGAATGATTGTAGTCATTTTTTGAAATTGATACTTGTAATACAGAAAGGGTGCTTAAAAGCGAATTCACCATGTGAAGTTTCTATTTAATCTAATTTTCGTGACTGGAGATAAATTAGATTTAAAAGGGAATTTGAATAAAATGGATGAGAAAAATTAGTCTATCTTTTTCAATGGATATACCGCGTAAATAAATAATTAACGATCGCAGTTAATTCATACTCTAAAATAGAATTAAGCTATTAAGTATATGTAAATAGCGACGCAAAATACTTTCCAAATAAAATTAAGTAGCATAGTTTCATCTTTGATAAGGTTTTCATGCTAAAGGAACTAGCAATCACTTCCTTAATCAATACTTCAAAGATTTGAGAAGAGTAAGGATTTAATGCATGAAGTAGTTAGTATAAAGCTTAAATTTTAAAAGAGTTTTCAAGCATTGCTGCGCTAATATTTCATAAACAAGTACATAAGAACTATATTTACTATTTAATTAATTGTGAGACTAGCCTTTATACAGGCTTAGTTGAACAATGGATTTCTAATTGAAAACTCAGAGGACTAAATAATGATAGATATATATAAATATGTGTGCTCGAAGCTGCATTGCCCGAAGTCAATGCTTTACGATAGCTGATTAAGCAAAGTAAGTAAATTAATAGTTAGCTGTTTTTAACTATAAAAAATATACAATTAGCAGAGTCTGAAAACAACACCCATAATTGCCTAAATTATCAATTTAACGCAGGAAAACACATATAGTTTACTAGATATACGCAAAAACCTGCAGAACTCTAACAAAATAAACTTTCAGGCTTATGAAAAAATTTTGCAAGAAAGAATGGTATGACAAAATTTTATATTCCTAATAGATCGTGAAAAATATGTAGAAAGCCAAAAGTTGTTGACACGTAAATTTAGGCATATCAAATTAAATTTTATTGGGAATATTTTGGGCTTATTAAGATTTTTTGATTTAACATTTTTCACAGTTTTGTTTTCTAGCCATTTAGAATTATTTTGTGTGCCAAATTCTTTTTTTGTGCATTTTTATTGGTTATCCCTACTTATTCGGCACGTTAAGTCCCTTTCTCTAATCAAAAACAGAAGGTTAATCATTATTCGAGAGCTGTTTTGTGTAAATTAAAAAGCGCATAAAAAGCTATATAATTTAACATTTATAGAAAGATTGTTTAACTTAAGGTACTAGGATCAAATCCAATCATTAAATTGATGCAAGAAACACCTCCTCCCAAGTTAATATTATTTCTGACACTTCTACACATTAAATCCCAGCCTGGAAGCCAGATATTAGAGACATTTTCTGATAATAGACAGAGGGTATTTCTTGGTGGAGCTTGGCCACTGATTCTACTAAGCCTTGTAAAGCTTTTTCCAAGTGAAGAGACTGGAAATCCGCCTCCATCAGTTATTATTCCTGCAGGTCCAAATCGAGACTCATCATATAAGAACAACGACATTTTATAAAACTTCATTTTGATTAAGTTTAAATCTACAAATTGAATGAATTTTGAATTAATTATATTTATCTCTTTTCAAGGTGAATTATATATTGCTATTCTAGCTTTGATAAATTTTATATTTTTCTTCATGAGTATGAAAAGCTTTTAGAATAAAAACTATTTCTTAGATATCATCCTCCTCATAAGTGTGTAAAAAATATTTAAGAAACCTTGATATTTATTATAATGAAATCGCAAGCATCTTCATTATTACTTATAAAACTTTACTTTCTATCAATTATTTATAAATTGTTTATTTTTGAAAAAATTTAATACATAATTTCAATGTTAAATTTATACTAGCATCAGTAATTAACCCAAAAAAGATTGTTTGTTCTAAGAATTGAGTTCAATTCCTGATCTTATTTGATATTTTTATATTACTAGAATCACTCTGAATATTAAATATCAGAAACAATTTTAGTAACAATATTTTAGAATTAATAATTATCGGCAATATAATAATTTTAATGCATTTAATTAAAATAAGCTGCGCTTTAAGGATAATTAATATGAAAATATAAGTAATTGCTTTAAATTTTAAAATAAATTACTGTTTTAGTGGTTAAAGATCATCAAACAATTTAAGCCCTCTTTACTAATTCTTTATTATGAATAATACTAAAGCTGCTCTATATTCTTAAAAAAACAAATAAACGTTAATTTTAAATTTAAAACTGATAACTTTAATTGTAAATTAATTAGCCAAATGTTTTCTTACTCAATTTTAAGGAATTTTTATTATTATATTGATGTTAAAAGTTAATTAAAAATACAGATTAAACATTTTGAGAAAAAATGTTTTATAAATATGGATTTTTCAAAATATGTCTGGCATTTCATCAGCTTGAGTTAGCAATACCAATTCTGGCTGCATGACGAAGCTGCATCTTCTCTCTTACAAATCCAGGCTCTAGCTAGTTAAAGGCCGACGTTAGCCACATTGATAATGCAGTTGCTAAAGGTCTCAGATAAGGAATTTTTTATCTGCTTTGCAATATTACTTTCCACAAGCCTTAGAAATCAGGAGCTTTACAGTCTACTCTTGAGTGGTGGCCTATGGACTTCTGGATTTCTCCAACTCGGTCTGGACTATTGTGCTAAGAGAGCAGTCATATTATAGCCATTTTAATCCATATCTAGCAAATCCAGGTACCATCCCTTCCGGATTGAATTGTACTATATAAGTCACTCTTGTTCTATTCGAATCCAACCTTTCAAAAATATACCCGCTAAAATTCAAGTGAGCTCTCACATATCCTTTCTGAAGAGGGTATTCAGCAAGTTCTACGCTTTTTTCAATGACATAAACTGTATTCCCACTATTTTCAGGAAATTCTTGTTGAGCGAAAAGAAGTTCTCGATCACTCATAGGCCATCTTGCTTTTATTATTGATTTGAGCAGCTTTAAGTTTCCAGTGTCTTGAAGAACTGTAATTGATTTTAGAGTCTCACTTCATTGGCTGTTGTTATTATGATTTCTGAAATACTGGACGCAAGTTTCTAAAGGAGCATTAATCTCTCCGATACCTCTTGCAATAGGGTAATCATCATGAGGGCGAGCAGAATATTCAACTCCGCCTTCAGGATCTCTTGCACCCCAGTCACTTCTTCCTGCAAGATCTTTGACTTCTTCAAGTGCTCTACTGAGAACTGTGCTTGAAGTACTGACCCAACCACTTTCCATATTAAATTACTAAAGTTTATGATCTTTAGAATATTTTATATTTTTAAGATATTTTAGAATTTCATTTAAATAAATGCATAATTATATATTTTCAGACTAAAAATAGACTTCTCCATATTGGTTTTTAATTAAGAATCGCTGATTAGAGAAATTTACTAATCATTCTATTACAACTGTGAATTTAGCCAAGCCTGTATCCAGTACCTTGGAATGGTTGCTGCTCTGGTGCCCTAGGTTGATCTCTTGCATTTTGCCACGCTTGAACTGGCATATTGAGCTGAGACATTCCCAGCGCTCCTCCTTCTGTAACTTCAATAAACAGCCCTAAATATTTCTAACCTTTTAGCTCTCGGTAGCTCAAAAATGTATAGAATATAGAAATCGCGTAAAAAGGAAATTTAATCATCGAGAAAAATACCATAACACCATGATCTCCTTCAATCTTGCTATGGTCGCAAAAATAGTCCCCGACTAACATTATACAAGTCATAATATCCATCATACAAAGCACAATATAAAACACGCATGTGCATCAATTTCTCGAACAGGTAATCATATACAAAATGCTTGCTCCTATAAGTAAAAGAAAACCTGATCATATATCTACAAACATATTAAAGATCCCAAGCATGACTTGAATGATCACGAGCACTTTTAGTATGCGGAAAAGCTTGATTGCTTGTGGGGAAGGATTTTCAGGCACTGGAGATGGAATACAGCAAAACATTTTTATTTCTACTTTAATAAGAATTGTAACTATTACTTACTAACTCCCCCCCCCCCCCCGTGAGCGAACAAAACCATTAGAAAAATCGCCATTTTTTGACCAAAAACCCACCCTCCGTGAGTGAACAAAAATTTTTTTTAATAGAAAAAATTTAATGGAAAAAAATTTTTGATATATAAGTGATAATTAGTATAATGAAATCTAGAGCTAATTCTGTTTAATTTTAAACAAATTGCGTTTTAAAACATAAATTTTGCAAATTAAATTAATATTTGCTTCCCAATTTTTGCAAATTAGGATTTTTTTAAATTTCGAAAAAAATATTTTTTATAAAATTTATATATAAATTTTTTTTAAAAAAAAAAATTAACCCCCCCTCCGTGAGCGAACAAAATTTTTTTGTTCGCTCACGGAGGAGGGGGGGGGGGGAGTAAGCTTTCTAATTCTTGATGAAGAAAGGTGCTGAGAGCTGCTCATAAGTGTTGATAGGGATTCCATATTCCAGTGCTTTCACAACTGTTTTATCAAATTCTTCACCAACATTGACCCCTCCTCCGAAGATCCAGATTTTGTCATATTTCTTATAAGCCAAAGCTCTTGCCCTTGGGAAAACTAGTGTTTGTTCTCTTACCCTTTGTGCATTGGTTTCTGTATTGAATTCGACTATTCTATTTGATATTTCATTACCATCACTTCCTCCGAATAAAAGAACTCCTGTATTAAAGTTATCACATGAAGTCAGGGTCATTCCAGCAAGCATCGGAATTTCTGTATTAATTAAATCCCAGCGGTTCAATTCATCTGTGAATTTCTCAATTCCTCCAGATAATAGATTGGCTCCTTCAAAGCCTCCTGCTACGTAAATTCCATTATGTGAGGCAAAAGCTGTAAATGTTGACCTAGCTTTGTTCATAGGGGGCATGATTTGCCAGATATTTTCTTTATAGCTTTCAACAGTGTTTAAAAACACAGATGGCGAGGATTGGCCTCCCAAAATATAAAGTGTGCCTTTATAGACGACTGAAGAATGGAGATATCGACCTTCTACAAGCCTTGTATATGGAGTGACTTCTTCAATTCTGCCTCCTTCATAACTTGTGCTGATTTGGACTTTGGTTGCTGTACATTGAGCTACTCCTTTGCATAGTCCACCTGTCATGACGAAGGTTGTTCCATCTATCATACAAATGCTGCAATATTTTTCAGGTTTGATAATTTTACTTTCAGAAATTGTAGAATGGATGTACCATTTCTCTTCAGCTGGATTGAAGCACAGAAGCTGTGTTTTTGTGAGCACATTTATGTTGCCGTATTTGCCTTGGAAGATCCTGTCATCGTATTTATAATGCTCATTTGCTAAAGAGTCTGATACTTGAGCTTCTGGGGATGGCACAGCTTCAACTGGAGGAACTGGCTGGGTGGATGGGGGAGGATTTCCTCCGGGTACAAATTCAGTTGCTTCTGAATTCAGCTTTAGAGTATTGCTTGACTCCATTAAATATTAATCTCATATAAGTCTTATTAACTCCCTTCCCTTATTTAACGAATAAAACAATTCTTCCTTCCTTTGATTACTATCATAATTACAAAAAATTTTTTTTTTTAAAAAATAAACTCAAGAATTTTTTGTTTTAAAAATAATAGAATTTGATAAATAATTAATATATTATAACGAAACCTTCTTTAATTCTATCAAGTTAGACAACTTGGCTCTAATACATAAGTTTTATAAATTAAATAAGAAGATTAATTTCAAATTGAATTTTTAATATATAATTATAAAATTCCCAAAAAAGAATTAAGATATAAAATTATTTATTCGATTTAAGCAAGAAGATAAAGCATAACTCAAGTAATTATTTACAAATAATGTAGAGATATTAGTTCTTATTTGTCTTAGTTTTTTCTTTCTCTCCCTCTACTTAAATTAGAACAAAAAATTCTGTTCCAATTTAAAGTGGGTTAATTACCAAAAAATTGAAATTTTATGAATAATTTGTTCCAATTTAAAGAGGAAGGTTAGAATAAAATCATAATGGCAATTCGAAGAGAATAGTAAGATTTAAATAGTGACTTAAACTTTAATTACTCATAGAGAAGTTACATGCAGATCTACAGACCACTACTAGCCTCAAAATAACACTCCATCACTTGTCTGCCAGCCCGAGCATGGCCATCACCTGTATATCTCCCACGGGCAAGAGCTTGCAGTCACTTCATGAGAGTCAGAGACATTGAGCTGCAATGCCAAAGTAAACGGGGTTTATCTTCCAGAAAAATTCAAAAAAAGAATTTTCTGATAATGTTTCGACTAAAATAATCGGAGCCTAAGACGCATCCCCTTATACCGTGCTGGGGATTTTTCAGATTGACCAAGTGATATCATCTGGCCTTATGGGTGTCCCCTTTTCAACTCAGTGAGCCATCTTTCCATGTGTACAACCTTTGCCTGGATATGAACATGCGATCAGTTCCCTGGCTCTCTCAATAAGCCAATTGGTGCAGGTGCTAAGAGGGCAGGCTGGCTCACCACGCCATTTTAATGTATATATTTAAATAGTGACTACCTTTTCAAGCTTGTTATAATTGGTGACTCTGGCGTTGGGAAATCCTGCATCATTGTCCGGTTTGCTGACGATACTTTTACAGAAAGTTATTTAACCACGATCGGCGTTGACTTTCGATTCCGAACCTTAGATATTGATGGCACATCAGTCAAACTTCAAATTGTAATTTTAATATAGTGGGACACTGCAGGCCAAGAAAGATTTAGAACAATCACAACTGCTTATTATAGAGGCTCAGACGGATTAATTGTAGTTTTTGATAAAACCAATAGAGGCAGCTTCAATAATGTGGACTCGTGGATGGAAGAAGTCAATAGATACGCCCATGAAAGTTCTGTGAAATTATTAATTGGAAATAAATCAGATGAAACTTCAGCTGTCGAGACAAGTGAAGGAGAAAGAAAAGCCCAGCAATACGGCATCAATTATGTTGAAACTAGCGCCAAAACAGCTTACCAGGTTGATTTAGCATTCACATACATTACATTAAGATTTATAAGTTTAACGTCCTTTATGGGGTTGCCCAAACCCAGAGCTTCCCGCTGCATCCCACATGCCGTTGGGCCAGCCTGCTTTGCTACACCAGGGGGTGACTCCGCTCAGTGCTGCCGACTAAGACGGCGATTTAGCATTCACAACTATTGCTAGAGAATTATTAAAAAAACGAAGAGAAAGCGGCTTCCAGCCTATTCCGAGGCCAAAATTGAACTTAGCTGTGAAAGAAGAGAAAAAACAACCAAATTGTTGCTAGGCTACAAATTAATGAAATAGCTTTATTATGCACTGCTGATTAAATTTAATTTAGCTCGAACAGCTTGAAGGAGCATTTCATTGATGTGCTCTTCAATTTTCAGAGCTTCAGGATGGGTTGGAGATGTTGATTTTGCAAGGATTTCATGCATTCTTGCTGTCTTTTCAATTGATTTTGATTTTTCCTTAATAAGCTTTGCTTTTTCAGCAAATGGGATGTCAGAAAAATCGTCATTTCAATGAACTTCTTGCTTTGTAAATAATCTGTGTAGATCATGCTCAAGATGCGATTTTTCTGCCCTTCTTTCAGCTAGATAATCAACAACAATAGTTTTGGATTTTACGTCAGGAGTTTTGCTTACATGCTCTGATATATTTCTTTCTTTTTTCACTTTCTTTGGCTTTTTCTCTATCCCTTGTATTGCATCAGTGCTTCTGTTCAATTTTTCATAAGTTGACTCTTTTATAGGCTTTAGAATTTTTGGTAGATTTAGCCGATCCTTTATTTTTTGTATTTCAAATCGCTTCTTCTCATCTATAGTAGGGTAAAACAGTTCCCTTACGATTTCTCCATACCTTTTCTGTTTTTCTCTTTTTTTCAGCCTTTCATCATGATCCCTTTTTAATTCTTCTTCCTTACTTTCACTATCGTAATAAGTCTGTGTTCTTGATGGAGTTGTAAATGACTGAATTGAATTATCCATTCCTCACTTATGCTTTTCTCTTTCTCTTCTTAATTGAGCTTCTTTACTCTCCTCCCCTTTAAAAGCGAGCAAAACCATCAGAGAAATGCTAGTTTAAAAATAATTATCCCATAGTGTAATTTTTTATATAAAATGTTTTTTATATATTATTAATGATTGCTATAGCGAAATCTCTTGCTAATTCTATTATATTCTAGACAGCTTAAATTTATATAAATTTCATTTTACATATTTGCAAACTCAGGTTTTTAAAATCCAAAAAAATTAAAATATATTAATCCCTTTTAAGAGTGAGGAGAAAAATCTTTCCCACTCTTAAGAGGGTAGGAAATTTAGTAATTTCTTTATATTTTTTCGCATGGTCTAATATCTCTTCTAGGCTAATTGGCTGAACCTGCTGTCTTTTTTTAGCTAATTCTATTTTCCGTTTTTCAAGCTCAGGCATTTCAATTTCATTTTTATATTTTTCTTCCATGACTATGTAGAATGGCTTTGAAAAATCAGGCGATTTTTCTCTGAAAATTTGTTTTTGATGTTCCAGCTCTTCTTTGCGAATTCTTGCCTTTTCTTTTAATTCCTCAATTTGCTTTTGCTTATTGATTTTTCACATTTCTTCATTTTCGATTTCAATTCTTCGAGCTTCTTCGGCTTCTGCAATAAGTTTTAAATGATAATATGACTGGTCTTTTTCTTTCATCAGTCTTCTCATTTCTTTTTCTCTTTGGAGTCTTTTAGCTAATGCTTTAAAATCTTTTATTTTCCTTTCTGAGTCTTCATCAAGCTCATATTTTTGTTGAGTTTTTTTGGGTGAAATGTTGGAGTCGTTGGAAGTTTCCAACATTTTAATGGAGCTGTCCAAGTCTTCTAACCGCCTTGTCAGAAGCTCTTTTTGGATTTTTGCATGCTCAAGTCTGCTTTTGTTCATTTTTTCTACTTGACTATCAATTTTTGATGAGTGTTTGTTGATGATGCTAGTCACATCTTGTTGCTCTGCAATTATAAGTTTGCGTTGTCTAATTTTTTGTATTATTTTTGATGTTGAAAAATCAAGAGAGGAGGTTATAAACTACATAAAGGTTACAGAAGCAGTTTTAATCTTGACATCAAGTTCTTCATAATCACAAAATGGAGATATTGTAAAGTACCGATCTACTGATCTGCACCGCTCACTCTGCGCTTTATGATTATGAGGCTGGAATTTTATATCTGCAAAAATAGGTAAGAAACTTGAAGGGGATGCCCTACCTTTTGGCCTACCCTAGGGAATCAAAGGCCTGTACTTTTTTTCACTTCAATCCTCTAAGGAAGCCTAGTCACTACACAGTGCCAAAGAAGAAAGAAGCCGCTCATGAATCTTCGATGTCGAAACACCATTTGAAGTGCTATGGAGTGTTTTTTCCCTTCCAGCAAAACATGTTGTCACAGCGATCCGTAAGCACAAAAGATGTAAAAATAAAATGGCGGGATCTGGGTTGGCAACCCCATAATGGACGTTAAGCTAAACGCTACGCATTTAAATTCTTCTTAATTTAATGTAATAACATTAAGCTCTTCAATATTTCGATTGAGATATGAAGTGAAACTTATATCTGCCATTTAATGTAATTATTACAAGGCGTTAGTATTTTAGTTCTACCAAAATCTTAATATGTGGTCTAATTTTTTATTTTATTTCTTTTATTAATTTCAATAGTTAAACATTGCATAAAAATATTGCCCTTAACTCCCTATCCCATCCATAAAATTAATAAAAATTGCTTCAAAGCACACTGAATTCTCAATAAATCCAATATGGATAATAATAGTAATGGAGTCAAATCAGGACGACTTCCTCTCAGCTCTCCAGAAAAGAAAAAGAAATCTCATCAAAAAACTTGAAAGAATTCAAAAAAAAGAAGGAGAACTCAAAGTTTCTGGCAAGGAGATGAACGAGGAAGAGCGTAAAATGATTGAATCCAAGGCTCAAACTGAGGACTTTTTAGCAGAAATTGAGCGATCAATTGAGTTTTACCAAACCACAAACCAAACCCCTAAAAAAGATATAAAGCCTCCTACACAGAAAGTTGAAGAAGACAGGTCTGATGAAATCATTAGGCTTTGGATTTTGGGAGAATTCTTAAGATCACCGAAAGTCAAGGAAAAGCATTATTAAAGTCAGACACAAGCCATATTGGTGGCGCAGTCACTAAAGACCTCCCGTACAGGAGGTTCTACAGCTTTTCGAATCTAGCCCAGAGAGTCTATCCCTCTTGCGAGTGCCCTTCTGGCACCTTCTGTCTCCTCCTTGCCTTGAGGCTTCAGTCTTGGGTGGGCGGCTTATGGATTTCTGCGGCCCTGCTACGGCGATTGGAGTAGCTTGATTCCATAGATCCTTGGAGTCTATTGGGTGTCAAAGTGCCTTCCTTCGACAGCTACAAAAAAAAGACTGTTCCTCTGTGACCTGGGCCGAGAGCCCAGTTTCCCAGTAGAGGAATGTCCATGGGTCCTCGGATCCAAAGTGCATTGTTGAGCACCTCCATTTCCAACCACAGGAAAGCAGCCAAAAACCTACCTGATACACACCTCTTGAGCCTGTACTTGATTTCGGCTCGGAGTCCACCCCAGTTCGCAGTAGCCATAAGGTCTGGACTGCTGCGCTAAGAGGTCAGGCTGACACGTGTCTCCATTTTAATGTATACCAAAAGTCAAGGAAATGTTCAAAAAATCTAACCATGGAGAGTGTGATTTGGAACCATTTTTAAGCTTCCATTCACTCAGTCAAGGCGAAACTGGTGAAAAATTCATAGATATCTATGGAAATTTCAAGCGCTCTTTAGACCTTTTTGCAAAAAGAAGCGAAAAAGTCGCCCCGGGGACACTGAGAACTTATAGAAGTTTGTCTGATTTTGCAAATAATGCATTTCAATGGTCCTCCGCACAAAGCAAGCCAGCAGATATAGTTGAAGCCCCAGCAGAAAAAATTATTCCTAATGAAGTAGCAAGCAAAGAAACAATTCCAAGTGCTCCTTCTGCAGCCAAAGAAGAAGCTAAGGTGCAGACCGTGAAAGTTGTAGAGTCAACTTGGAGCAAATTAGATGAAGAAACCAAAGATGAGCCTGCCGATGAAAATGATGGATTCGTAGAAGTCACAAAGAAAAAACCAAGACCTCACAAGAGCAACGAGAAAGAAGCCAAAAAGGAAAAAGTCGGAAGAGGAAATAGAGGAGGAAAGCGAGGAGGAGATAGAGGAGAATACAGAAAAGAAAAATCATAAATAAATCACTTTCGTTAAAAATTTCTTAATTTATAAAAATCATCTAATTCGCTCTAACTTTTTGTCTTTTTCTCGGCTCTGATTTTCTCTTTGTTGATCTATTTTCATATTCTTCTAGTTTAGCCTTAAACTCATCCATATCAATTTTCACAGTATCCGGATCGCATAGGCATCGTGAAACGTTTGAAGCAATATCAAGCCATTTTGGTGTTGCAAAGTTGACTGCTTCAGCACAGTTGAATCCTGAGTTGAAGCCCATATGATACGCTTTAGCGAAAATCACGACGTATTCTCCAGGTCGCTGAACCACTTTTTGGACATTGATTCCAGCTTTTTTCAGTATTGACGGTGATATTTGTATAGATTTATGTCTGAGAAATTCTGGGCATGCTATATAGCTCATACACATATATAAATTTCTTATCGAACAAAATGTAATTGGCTGTTGAACGAGCAAGACAGACTCTATCAAAGAGATGAGCTGAACCTCTATATCAAGAAGTGTTAAAAAGTGGCATGTCAAAAAATGGTGACAAGCGTGGAAAAAGTTGACAAGTAAACGCACCAATTTTTAAAATGACTTTATTATTAATAAATTTTAAATTTATGATGCCTGTTTAGGGAGGCATCGATTAATGTCTTATTTAGATTTTTAAATAAATAATGCCAATTTGATTGTGATCAAATGGTCTATAAAAGCCAAAGTTCGTATTAAGCACTTGCTGTTCTTTATGAAGTTATTAATGACTCATAATATATCCTTTAACAAATTTAAATGGACTTAAAAATTAAAACTTATTGATCGAGTTGCTTTTTTGTGGTAGGATAGATTTTTAAATAAACAAAGCTAATTTTCTTATGATCAAATGCTCTATAAAATCCAAAGTATGTATTGAACATGGCTTCTTTTTTATGAAACTCTTAATGGCTCATATTATGCTCATTAGCAATTTAAACTGATTTAAAAATTAGCAACTTATTCGATCTAGTTGCTTTTTGCAGAAGGATAAATTTTTAAATAAACAATGATTTTTATATTTATTATATTCAGCCTAAAAGGGTATTTTAAATTTAAAATTAATTTAATAATAAAGCCATTTTAAAAAATTGGTGGGATTACTTGCCAACTTATTTCCACAATTGTCAACCATTTTTGGCCTAACACACCCTTTATAAGATCCAGCTCGTCCGTTTGAGTCTTGGCCGTTCAACATTCCATTACAATCTGTTCTATAAAGAGATCTATATAGGGGTATGGTCTATATAGTCATCATGAAAATGAAACTGGCAGAAACGCTCAAATCTTTCAGATTCCTCTAGTGGGATACAGTACCAGAACTTCGGCTTCCCAAAATGCAGATAATTAATAGAGTAAAGGTCCATATCCTCTTTGTGCCAGCAAAACATACTTTTCCAGCAACCTGCATAAATAAATGGCATATTAATTCCAGCTAATTTATAAGGATGCAGCCCTTTTCTGAATATGAATTACGATAGTGTTGTATCAAGCTGTGACAAATTCCACTCACTATCTGAGTCAAATAAGGTCTCAGCATTGCTATCAGCACCATAGATAGGAGAATCATACCGGATTTGCTTCCAAAACTGCATAAAAATTACAAGCATTTCTATTTCTTCGTCTGAGAGATTCTGCTTGGGATCTCTAGAAATTGCATAGTTTCGGTACGAATCTAGGTCCATTGACTTTTCAGAGATGAGATAAACGCTGTATATACCGGCGAGACCTCGAACATGCTGACGAATTGGGTTTGTTAATTGGACATTTATATCTTTGTATCCTCTTTTTCGGGCTTTCCAGCCTTCAGGAGGCACTACTTTTACCATCCCGAATCCTTCGGACAAACCTTCAACTTTCTCTATATACCCTTGGAAATCTTTCATTTCTTCCTTTGTGGGGTGAAAGACTGGACAGAAAACTCCCTTCATAATCGAAATTATCAATAATCATAACAATAAATTCAATGCGCAATTTTCTTAACGGATAGTTAGTGAAGCTTATAGAGATTAAGCTAGATATGAAATAAGGCTCCCTTTGTGAGAGAATTCTAGATCAGCGATATTAGACTGAAAAATTATATCGTTAGTTGCATGTTTTTGAACATTGCAACCTACATGTGGAATCTTTTCTACGTGTGAAAAGATGATTCCACATGTGAAATCAAAAGGGCGTCACATGTGGAATCTTTTCACACACGTGGAAAAGATTCCACATGTAGGTTGCAATGCTCAAAAACATGCAACTAACGATAATGGATATGCGAGTTTTTAGAGATCAGAAAGAATTATTTAAAATTAAATGAAGAAATTTTTTTGCATAGTTATTTGAATATAAATAGCACCTTCAGAATTTTTCGCTTTAATATAATTTAATTTTTTTATTAAAATTTTTGTGATCTAATCAAAAAATAAGTTTACATTCTCAGATAATTGAACTGAAATTTAGACACGTTAAAAATATGCTTATGCAATAATGCAATAAGAGTCTGCATTTGATCTATATCAAAATATTCACATTTAATTTTTACTTATTAAGAGTAATTTAAATCTGTTAAAAGCACCATGGATACTTTAGATTCCAAGAATTCTTTGCCTCCTCTTAGATCAAGTATGTTTGACACTGGACATGAAAATCCTTTCAAAGTTCCTCCAGACGAAGAAATCCTCAACATTCGCGAAATCAAAGCAAAAGAAAAAGAGGATCGAGTAAAAACTAGAGGACAAAAAATCTGAGAGAAAGGAACCAAATACAACCGCGCAGGAGCATTACGAAAAATAGAAGAAATTGAAATAAGTTCAACTCCTGTTGAAGAAAAAGTAACAGTTGCAGAAGCCGCACACGCAGCATTAGTTGCAGATCGTGTAAGAGCTCGAGAGAACATCCACAAAACAATTGAAAAGAAAAGAGAAATGTTCTTGCTACAAATGATGATTGATATTAAAAAGGAAGAAATTAAGAAGCTTGAACAATTTGCATTACTAAGAGAATATGGGCTAAAAAATTCAGAAGATATGCTTATTGAAGATACTACAAGATTCAATGAATACTGGGATGAATGCAAGCGGCAAAGTCATGATGCAATGAAAGAGGCGAAAAAGCTGAATAAAATAAAAATTGATATTACTCATGATATTAACCATCTCAATGAAGAAATTCAACAGCTTCAAACTCAGATACAAAAACATGAAGAAAGCCTTGAAGAATATACAAAGTATAAAGAATTCCTCGACAAAGTAGAGCCGCATGAAGAAGGTTCAGGTAACCATTTCCAAAACTCAGAGCAGCTAACCGATATTTTTCATGGGTATGTAGAAAATAACTTGATTTTGATCCAAAATATACAAGAGCTTGAACAGAACTTGGAACAGGCAAAACATGAGTTTGAAAATATTGAAAAATTAACTGGGCATAAGCTGTCAGAACTCACTGGGGGAAGATCAGAGCTAGGAAAAGCTATTGAAGAAAAGGATAAAAGATGTATACAATTAGATGGAAGGCTGAAAAAAACTATGGAAAACGAATTGTCTGGGCATCCAGTTTTGGTAAGGCTTGAACAAACCACTAGAGATGTCCTTGGATTAGAAGCAGACGAAGGTCAACAAGATTGTTTAGGGTTGCTAACTGAGGTTGAGTATAGACTTGATACTTATTTAAGGATTTTTAAAGAATTTGATCAAATTGACCCTGAATATGTCACCAAAAAAGCAATTGATTTAGAAAAAAACCGCAGAGAGAAATCAAGAAATGAGACATTAATCAAAGAAAAGAAAAAAACTCAAGATAAGCTTCAAAAATACATGGAAAGGTCTGCAAACCCTAAAATTAGAAAAGTAGGGAGGCAGCCAATGCCTAAGAGCAAACTGCCAGAGAAAATCGTTGAAAAAGTGGTTGTGGCGCCTCCACAAGACGAGCTAGACCGCAATGAATTTTTAGGAGATGACTAAATAATCAGTAAATAAATAAATAATATGAAGAGAGTTGCTGTAGTTGGAGCAGGAATATCAGGACTTTCTACATGTTATTACTTAACTCTGCTTAATCCTGAGTTGCAAGTAACATTATTTGAGAAATCAAAGCCAGGCGGATGGATTCAAACAATGACAAAAGATAATTTCATATTTGAGACAGGCCCAAGGTCTATAAGAGTATCTCCACAAGCAAGAGACGTATTTGAAATAATCCACAGAGTAGGAATGCTAGACCAGGTCGCACTAAGCCGCACGTCAAGAACTCAAGCTTGCATTTATGCAGATGATAAAATGATAGAATTACTTCCATCAAACAAATACAAGATTTCTGCAATATTTGGCAACCCACTTTATAGACGTACGATATGTGCTTGACTTTTTAAAAGGTCACCTAAATATGAAAAAGTTGATGATGAAAGCATTGAAGCTTTTGCCAGGAAAAAGTACAAGTTTTGGAATGATGAGGATAGAGAGTACTTCATATCAACATTTCTTGATGCTTTTCAGACCGGAATTTATTCAGGAGACATGTCTAAGCTTTCAGCAAGGTCTTGCTCTCCGTTTACAGAGCCATTCTTGAAGATGAATTTTCCAGAACAAAAAAGACCGAAGCTAAAACACCATGAAGATCCTGAGATAGAAAAAGCTTATGGGTGGGCTGTAGGAGTGAGGTCAAATGCTTTCAACTTCAAAGATGGCTTAGGCAGTTTTATAAACGCTTTGCTTGATTATTTGCAAAGGTTTCCAAACTTCAAATATGTGCCTTTAGGTGTAGCTTCAATTGAAAAAAATGATATGGCAGGAGGTAGAGTTGTGGATGAAAAAAAGGAAATTTATAAGGTAGATCATGTCATAACCACAATTCCTTCTTTTCAAATCCCTAGCATATTAAAAGGATATAGCAGAATTTCAGATTTATGTAAAACAATTCCACATAACTCAATACTAACAATAAACGTAGGCTATGAAGAAAATCCTGGCTTGAGCGGGATAGGATACTTAGTTCCAAAAAGGCAAAAATCACTTATATCAGGGGTTCTCTATGATTCTTCACAATTTCCTCTGCGAAAACCATGCTTATCGATTATGGGCCCTGCCGATAAATGTTCATCAGAACTGCAGGAGGCGTTTATAAAAGAGTTTCAAAAGCAAACAGGAATTAAAGAAACCCCAAGAACTGTAGTCTCAAGCTTTTGTGAAAATGCATTGCCACAATATAATGTGGGACATTATAAAATCGTTCAAGAAATTGAAGAAAAATCTCCATCTTGGCTGCATGTCTCTGGGCAAAGTATTTATAAAAGTGGGGTGCCAAACTGCATTCAAACTTCAAAGGAACTAGTTAATAAGCTAATGAACATACCTATTGAGTAACTTTAAGTTAGAGTAACAATTATTAAAATTGATACATTAAATCTGTTCACATATTTGTAATTATAACGGCGATTATGTATAAAAATATAATTAATATTCAAATTAAATTACTGTCTAGATTTATTTTATATAAGATAGAATTAGTCTAAATAAATGGAAGACTTTAAGAGAAACAGACACAGGATCGCATCTGCTGGCTCATTCGTTGTCGATGAAATCGGTTTTCCATTAGTGAAGGCAGCGCATTTTTCTATGTTTAAAGGAGTTTACTACGCAGGATCCTTTGTCCAGTCCGCCATAAATCTTATAGATTCTGTGACATTTGAGTGTACGAAGCCAGTAATTCATATACAGATTAGCAACGAAATTAAATCTATTTCCAGCAAAATCGAAAAATTCATGCATTCAAATATCTCTTGGAGTTACGAACTTTTCATTGAAAGACTCAATTCTTTTGACAGTCTTCTGGCCGAAGAAAAGCAGGAAGTTGAAAATTATTTCTCCTCAAACGGAGTTAGCCTATATCAAGATTCTATAATTTCTTCAGAAAAAATGCAAACAATTTATGAAATTTCGAAACTAATTAAATACAACACTCGTGAATTCCCTGAAATGTCAATGATTTCTTTTGTTAAATACCTGCTGACTTATATTTCTTTGCAAGGTGCAATGAGAAGAGTTAATGGGATATTTATTAATTGGATAAATCATGAAGAACCAACAATTGGAGAAATGGTTTATTTCAGCAAATATGCAGTTGCGGCATATGGGAAGACGGTTGTTCGGATATTGCTAAAACGACAAGTTGGGGATTTTTTTAAATCGCTCCCTGATCGTGAAGTATTTCGAGACCACTGTAAAATAGAAGATGAAGATATCATTTTATGCAGATTCGGCACTGAAAAGTTTGAGCCTGCCTATATTATTTCTAAAGACCACAGCAAAAAATCACTTGTTTTAACTATAAGAGGAACTTTTTCACTTAATGACATTTTTACTGATCTAACAGCTGAGTTCATAGAGTACACTTATGTGAATAATGCTACAAAAGAGAGAATTAAAGGACTGGTACATTTTGGGATGCTTAATTCTGCGCAATATCTGTCAGACTCAATTAAAACCGTCATTTTGGAAGAACTTGCAAAATTAAGAGACTATGATTTGGTTATTACAGGCCACAGCTTAGGGGCTGGAGTTGCAAGCTTACTAACGCTAATATGAATGAGTGATGAAAATTTTCAAAATATTCCAACGAAAACTTTTGCTTATGGCTGCCCAAGTGTAGTTTCTGAGTCTCTAAATTTAGTTCTTAAAGATCGAATTTTGACTTGTATTCATGGATATGATTTTGTAGCGGAGCTGTCGTTGACCAGCATTTCTAATTTGTATGAAGTTATCAAGAGATTGAAAACTGAAGAGGATTTAGGCTGAATAGATATTGCAAAAATTGCTCACACTTCTAATATTAGTGATAGCATCGAAATAATGGAAATTATTAACAGGGTTTATGAAGGATTAGATGAAAATTGGCTCCAGCCTGCTGGAAAAGTTTATCAGCTTTATGATCAAAAGCACCACGCTGAATCAATTAGATATGTATATAACAGACCTTCAAATTTGAGGTTTTTGGGAGGATTTATCAACCCTGGGTCGTATAAAAGGATTCAATTGGCCTCGCGATTCTTTAAAGATCATTGGCCGGATACTTATGAAAAGGCTTTGCTTGGTTTAAGCAGGGGTGAAATTATTAATATATAAAAATTCATTGTAATTTTTAAATCTGTTATTTGTCATGGTAAATAAATAAACTCCTCAGAAACTGTATCATTAATAAGTAAAGATTTAGTTTGAAATTTCGTTTCAAATAAATGTCCAAAGAATAATTTTTGATTCCAAACCATTTTGAACTGTCTTTGTGATAATACACTAAATGATAATCCTACATAAAAATTAAATATTTCAAATTAGGGGTGCTATAATGCCAGCAATAGTGCAAAAGCCCATTTCATGCATATTCAAGTATTTTTCCTGCAAAAAGAGCCTAAAATAGAAAAATAGCCATAGCAGTCGATATTAATTTTTATTTTAAGCAATTATCTAAAAGGAATGTTTGAATTTTAAATACATACTTTTAGATAGAGAGCAATTTAATGAAAATTATACTGAATAGATAGAAACTAATAACTTAATGCTTTAAAAAATTAGATAAATTATTAAAATTATTTTAAATAAAATAATTTACATTATTCTGCTTTACAAACATCTTTGATTTTTTGAAGAATGTGCTTTGGAGCCATTTCTTTATTTCCATTCTGGCTTCCGGAGTTAAATTCATCAATATCCTTCATATCTATAGAAATGCTATTAGGGCTTGGGGTTTTATGTCTTATAGGAATTAACGATTTTACTTTTCTTTCAGAATTATCACTGATCTCATTTGTGCTTTTATCCTCAATTTTTTCTTTTTCTTCATCAGAATCAGATGGGTCTATATCAAATTCCACAATATTTTCAGTAAATTGTATCGATCCTCTCACTCTGTTTAATCAAGGAGCTTCTGGCTTTGGCAAAATTTTTGTAAAATCAAAGAATTCTTTTACTTTTTCTTCAATTTGAAATTCAAATGAAGGAAGCCTGACTCTTGGCAGAGAAATTGCAGGCCTTGCTTCTAGCTGAGGTATATTTGAAAAAGGTAACGTAATTAAAGGAAAATTAGAGGAAAATGAATTGTTTGTATTCAATGGCAATAAAAGAGTTGGCTTATCATTGAGAAATGGACTGATTGTTTCTGGGTCGCACTTGAAAGCTTCTTGCAGCAATTTTTCAGCAGGCTCGTTGTTTCCTAATGAAAGCTCTGATAATGCTGATAGAAAAAGCATCTGCCCTTTGTGCTTATTGTTGAGGACTTCAGATAAATCTTGGAAAATGACTAAAGATTGCTCTTTATTGTACTAAATAGAAATTACAAATAAATGGCATAAGCCAATGTTGTAAAGAATTTCGCAGTTTTCTTCTTCTGCAGCAAGAGCTTCATCAGAAGTCATTGATAAAGTTTCTTTGGAATGGATAATTTCCAGAGCTTCTTGAAATTCATCCAAAGCTAAGCCATATTCTTTGGATAGATTTCATCCTTAAGTAAAATACTTGGGAAATTTGGCTAATATCAAACTGTAATGTGTATAATTCGCCTTAATTAATTTTTTAATAATAAATAAGTGTCAAGCCTCCGGCCTATTCTTTCGTGTACATTAAAAAAATCCCTTTCATTCAGTGAATATTTTTCTTTTCAAAAATTTCTCCAAATTCTTCATTTAGCCAATTATTGCACATTTCAATAGCATTCAAAAAGACCTTAAAATCCTTTGGCTCTGAAATTATTTTTTGCAGGAATACTGAAATTTCTTTATCCTTCAATGCAGCAGTAGAATTTGGATCTAGCTGCAAAATTTTATTTAATTCATCAATTGCTTCATCAATTTTATTAAGCAAAATATAGCATTTTGTCTTTTGATATGCTGCCGCAAGGCTTTTGTCTAGGACTAATGCATTATTAAAAGCATTAATAGCATCATCATAAGATCCTGATGACATAAGAAGATTTCCAAGATTTATATGAGCCTCCCTATCATCTGGACACGAAACAATATGCTTTTGAAAATCACTATAAGCAAGCTCTGTATCATCTGATAAATAAGCAACACGGGCTCGATAAGAGTTTGCGTAATGCAGTTCTTCATTCAGTTGGATTGCAATGGTAAAATCTTGTAAAGCTTCTTCATAACTATGAAGCGCAGCTTGGATTAATCCCCGAAGAACATAATGCTCTGGAACATTTTCTTCTGCTTTGTCAATTGCAAGTTTTGCATCTTCTAAAGCAGTAGACAATTTATTTCCCAAATATTTTATTATAGATTTGTAGTAATAAATGTCACTTTCTGGGTCTCGCAGTTTAAATGCTTTCTCCAATAGCTCTTCAGCCTCAATTATGTATAAATCATTATGAGGAGAAGCTTTATATGCTAAATGCAGCAATATAGCAGCATGGTAAATCAATGGGTCAGGATTTTTAGGGAAGTGCTTATGAGCTTTATTTAAATGTTTCAAAGCAGCCTGAAAATCCCCTTTTTTTGCATCTCATAGCCCATGAGCTAGGTTTTGATTATATAATGAAGCCTTATTTAAGGTTGATATCAATGAAGCTTTTTTAAAGTCTTGAAGTGCTTTATCATGCTTATTTAGAGCGCAATAGCCATAAGCTCGGTATGCATAGCAATTAGCTAAGTATTCTTGAATAACATTATCCCCACTTTTTATTAGTTTTGTGAAATATGCTATCCCTTCTTTGTATTTTCTTTTCATAAGATTAATCACAGCTTCTGCATAGTGCCTCAGTGTCTTTTGGTCTTTGATTTCTTTTTGCCAATTGGTTCGTTTAAAAGTGTGTAAGGCTCCATAATAATCCCTTTCTCTAATTTTTAGAGCTCCTAAATGAAAAACAGCTTGATTTGAGTAATTGCTTTGTTGGTCATATTTTATTACTTGTTCAAAACATAAAGCAGCTTCATTGAACTGATTAGTCTTTAGCAATAGCGAAGCCTTATCAAAATAAGCCTCAGAGTCTTCTGATTTATAAGATATATATTTATTCAAATCATCAAGAGCTTGGTCATTTTTATCCAATGAAGAAAAAAATTTTGCTCTTTTAAGTAGTGCAGCCATAGAAGTCTCTGGGCAAGATATCGCTTTATTTAATGCTTCAAGGCAGCTTTCTTTGTTTTCCGCAAAGCTTAAACAGTCAGCTACTCCTAAATAGGCTGATCCATCTTTTGGATTAAATGCGATAGCTTGCTTAAAATCACATAAAGCTTTCTCATTCTTTTCCTGCTTCAAATATATTTGCCCTCTTACCACGTACCCTTCTGCAAATCTAGGAAACTTAGATAAGCCTTTAGATATAAGCCTTAAAGCAGTCGAAATATCATTCATAGCGATAAAGCACATGCTTAAAGCTGTATATAACTGTCTATCATAAACAGGGTTCTCCTTTGCCACGATCAACAAATCAGCAACAGCTGATTTATGGTCTTGTAAATGCATATAAGATATAGCCCTTCCATAGAGAGCATCAAAATTTCCTCTATCTTTTTCCAAAACACCTTGAAAAATTTCAACCGCTTGGGAAAAATTGCCGTCCTTGATAGCTTGCCTACCTATCTCGATTTGAACTTCTAGGTTTTCTAAAATATCAGAAATTTTTGTGACTGATCTAAGAGTCGTGTGTCTTGATCTAACTGATTTCATTTCTCCTATAGAGTTGTGACGGGTTCGATCTACTGAGGTGCTTCGAAGTTTTATAGAGGAAGGGGAAGATTCTTCATATGCTGCAAAAGAATGATTGATTTTGGGACTACATCTTTTTCGTGATTTTGATGAAGATTTTGGAGAGAGCTTTGCACGATGGGAAGGAGATCGATAGCGAATTCTATTTATAGTTGTCACTAGGCCTGCGGCTTGGTACATTGGAGATTGAGACTTCAAGAGCATCATTATAATTTGAGATAAATTAAATTTAAATCGAAACAATTTCTCTACAGAAGAATTTATTTAAAATTTCTATGACAATGTTAGTTTAGCTATACTCCTTGCTACGTTTAAAATAACCACTTACTCCCCCCCCCCCCATCCTTGATCGAACGATTGACTGTAAAAATTCCTAAAAATTGGGGAAATTAACCCCCATCCTTGATCGAACGATTTTCATATCATGCAAATTTTTATATATATAAAAATATATATATTTATCAAAAGCTTGGAAAGATGCACATAATGAAGTTGTTTTCAGAGGCTTTGAGACGACAGAAAGCTGCGGAATCAACCATCCGAAGTGATTCAGTCATTAACATATGCTTAAAAACTCAATAATCTAATAAAATACAGATTCTTTAAAATTTTTTTAAAAAAAATTAATTTAATAAGGAACAAATTAAAATTTATACAGTTTAAAGGGGTAACTAATAAATCAAAATATTAAAAATTGGTATTTTATGAAATAAATTCAATTTTTTGCTGTAAAAATAATGATTAAATATTCTTAACCCTCTTGTTTAAAAGTAAATAAAAAGCATATCTATATATATTTTTTATTTTATATATAAATTTTTTTTCCCGAAATTTTTTTTTTAACCCCCATCCCTTGATCGAACGATGGCGAGTCGTTCGATCAAAGATGGGGGGAGTTAGCAATAACTATACTAATCAGGTCTCTTTTCATTTATTATATCCCACGTCTTTGCTGTAGAAAACGAATCAACTGCTCCTAAAATTGCTTCTCTTCCCTGCTGCAATAGTCCTCTAGGCACTTTATTGTCAGGGCATAAGCCTTTTAATTGCATAATAATTTCTTTTTCTTCTCTCTAGGCAGAATTATTTAAAATGGCGTGATCTGACGTGGACTCCCGGTGACCTGCGAGTTGATCCAGGCCCAAGAAAGGCGAGCCACATGGCGATAGTTCTCCGGGTGGGTTTTTGACCTAGGGGCTGACCCTGGTCTTTTTTCCTTACATACGAGATGACCCTACCAGCGCAAAGTCCCGATAACACTCCATGGGAGCATTTCCGAGCCTGCGATAAGGCTCTGACAGGCCATCAAAAGGCGATTTCCCTATACTCTGAGCCCTGTCAGAGGTTGAAGGAGTCTTTTGCTGAATTTTGGAGACCGTTGGTTCTGCTCAGTAGGGTGTCTTCCCCGATAGACCTTCGACGTCACCATTTTTTGGGGACATCAGAAGAGAAAAAGGTGGTGTGAGGATAGCGCTTAGCGTCAATGCGAAGCTATCCGTTGGACAGCGAGGGGCTGAAATAAACCCCTAAGACCCGCTATAATTTTAATCTAATCTAATCTCTCAAGGTCTTAAACATCTTGATCATCTTCGTCACTGCCTTCACTTTGTTTCTGAAAATTTCGACTTTGGCTTCTCTGACATCTTCTTGAAGCTTCTTCACTTGTGACCCTACCTCGACTCCACGCTTTGAGTCAGCAATGTCAGGCTTGATCACAGTTTTAATCATCTCCAATACTTTTTCTATTACAAAAGGAATACTCCACTCAAACAGGCCCATGAAATTTGGAAGAATGTAAGGATGGGCCGTATAGTTGAACTGCTGGATATTGAGTGTATTGTTGTCAAATTTAAGAATCGCACCTTTATTGTTGTAAACGTCGCAGTAGTTTGGAGCTGAAAATACTGTAATGACGCAGGGGAATTCTGAGGTACCACTCCATCTATGCATTTTATAGCCATCTAGCTGTGCTTCGTGTGCTCTGAGGATGGAAAGCAGCCTGTTTTTTTTTAGAAATCCATTAGCTGCTGACAAGCCAAAATAGAAACTGCACCCTCTTACAGTGTTGACTCTATATTTTTCTGGACAACTTCCTGTGTCGCTATCAACTGGATCGCTTCAAAGGATGTCACAATAAAGTCCTTGTCTTGGTGGCTCTTGAAAACGGCTGAGCCTGGAAATGTCTTCCAAAGTCATCAGTTCTGGAGAGATCCCTCCGTGAACAGCTAAAAATTTATTATTAACTATACAAGCCAAAGGCAGTGAGTCAAAACTTTCCATGATTGCATCATATGTTTCAGTGTCAAATTTGTAAAGCGTTTCTTCTCTGAAGTTAAAAAATGATGTCATCTGCCTGCATTCATGGTTTCCTCTTACTCCCCCCTCCGTGAACGAACAAAAAGATTTGTTCGCTAACCGAGGGGTTAATTTTTCAAAATTTAAAAAAATTCCAATTTGGAAAAATCGAAAAACAAAAATTAATTTAATTTGTGAAATTTATATTTTAAAACGCAATCAGAATTAGCTAGAGACATCGTTACAATAATTATCATTTATATATATATATATACATAAAAATGGTGATGACGAACCACCCGACCTCTCGACCCTATTTCTTCAACAGCAGCAGGCAACGGCCCAGTGTTGGAGATTTAAGTGGAAAGGGGCTGGTAATCCTTTATGTATTATCGGGCTGGATTTTCCCTCGGGCCCAGGGAGCTAATCCCTGGACTTAGAGTTTTTCCTCCAGAACAACTATTGGAAAGGGCAAGGTCGGCCAATGCCTGACGGGTATGGCCCTCAGACCCTGAAGACGTCATTTGCCTAACGAGAAACTGGGAGTTTCGACCCAGGTAATTGGCCCTTAGACTCCAGGAGTCATGGAAGCCAAGACTGGTGCGCGAATCCCTGGTTTGCGGCAACAAGGAAGGGTGTCCGTCAGGATCCCTCAAGGATGATGAGCGTGTAGGGGTGCAAATCCCCCGCCCTGCAAGTGCGAACGGCATAAATTAAATCTTAATCTAATCATCATTATATATCAAAATTTTTTTTCATAAAAATTTTTTATTTTTGTTCTCTCTCACGGAGGGTGGGTTTTTGGGCAAAAAAAAATAGGGATTTTTCTAGTAGTTTTACTCGTGAAGTTAGCATATAAACAGTTTGAGGAAAATTAAGTTTGACCGCATACAACAAGAGTGTGACTTCAATTGAAAAAGAGCCTCTATCTACATAGTCTCCTAAAAACAAATACTTAGTTCGATTTGGATCTCCACCCAGTTCAAGCAGCCTCAATAAGTCATAATACTGGCCATGAATATCCCCAACCACCGTAACTGGGTCTTTGAGTTCTAATAAGTTTCTTTCCCTTCTAAACACATCAGATGCCTGCCTTATCAACAGTAAGCAATCCTGTTTCGAAATTCTGCCTTCTCCTTGCAGATGGTCCCTTAGCACGATCCAATCAGGAGGGTTTGCAATCCCTCTAGGATAAAGCTTTACTCTATCCAGCGCTCGGTGAGGCGGAGGGACAAGATCTTGCACGGCTCGGTCGCGCAGTGGATCTAAGAGTGGTTCCATTTAATAATAAAATAAGTGTCACAGTTTTGGAATTTACCTAAATTATTAGATTTCCTCTTAACGACCTCCATGGACGTCTTGAGCAGCAACCATTGATCTTCTGGTCACGATAGACTTCCTTGTATTTCGCTTGTCTGAAACTACGTCTGTGAAAACCAAGAATGAGTCTGTAAGCATAGCTCCTGAGTATCCTCCTTCTTTTCCTTGCGATTTGTAGTAAGCGTCAAAAGTTCTGATCATGATAAGTTTGGCAATGTCTTGGAGAATGAAAAAGACGATGTCATAGCCCAAAATCCACATAGCGACTCCCCAGCTAATAGGCTTCATATCAGGGATGTTGCTGCTTTCTCCGACACTGATGTTTAAGAACCAATAGCAAGAAAGGAACAAACACACGACAATTCCGAACATATCTGCACTGAATAGCAGCTTTCCTGGCATTCTTGTCCAGAACCAGCTCATTGTCCTAGCAGAAAACACAGTCAGGAAGTTTGAAATGGAGACTTTCATGAATATGATTGTAAGAATTTCTCCATATCTCATAGCTTCAATTCCGAATGCATTCAAAAATACATTTTTATCATGGCTGTTCATATTGTCTAAACAGAGCAGTAATAAAATGAGAGAGGAGATAAAAGCAATGAAGCCTAAAACGGTCGAATTTGAAAAGATAAGGACCATGTTCCAGGCCTCAGGCTTTTTATTCACAGTAACTTTGTCATAAGCGATTGAAATGATTAGTCCATCATTCAGAATGACCATAATGACGAGACATATAACAGGCAAAGCAAAAGTATTCGGAATACTTCCACAGCCATGCCCTTTGCATGTAAAATCGTCTGAAGGGTCGACAGCGACCATAGTGATGAAGAAGAAGATGATGATTTGGAAAGTACAAGCAATTCTATATGTGCAATAGTTATTCATCCTTTGGAATGTCTTTCTGGCTCTATAGATAGCTTCTATAATTACACTAAGCCCTGGACTTGTCAAGACAATGTCAGCAGCAGCTCTTGCAGCGTCAGTGGCGCCATCAACAGCAATTCCTACATCAGCTTTTTTCAAAGCAGGAGCATCATTGACACCATCTCCAGTCATTCCACACCTGAAGCCTCTCTCTTGAAGCATTTTTACAATTGCAAATTTATGCTCAGGGAAGACTTCTGCAAACCCATCAGCTTCTTCTACCATGGAGTCTAAAATTTCTCGACTGACAGTGTTTGTTTCAGCTTGGAGCATATCAGAGTTATATATTTTATCCCCCATATTCAGCAATCTGGCAGTTTCTTTGGCTATAGCAAGCTGATCACCAGTGATCATTTTGACCTTGACTTCCATTTGTAAAGCTTTTTGTATTGTTTCTTTGGTATCATCTCTTGGAGGGTCATAAAGTGAAATTAGCCCTATCATTTTCCACTTGGTTTCGCCAGGGTCCATCTTGGCGACTCCAAGAGTTCTGTATCCTCTTGCAGCTAAATCTAGAACGTGCCCTGATACTTCTTCTTCGATACTTGGGTCTGCAGCCATAGCTAAAACAACTTGTGGAGCTCCTTTTGTACATCTGAAAATTTCTCCCTTACGGTTTCTCACAGTTGCTTCTGTTCGCTTGATTTTTGGGTCAAATGGAACAAATTCTTCTTCTTCGTAGCCATCATAGCTGATCCTGCATTTTTCATAAGCATACTCAGTAATACATTTATCAATGGCGTCTTGAGATCCCACTTCTCTTTTAGCTGCAAGTCCTGCAACTAAAAATAAATCTTCAGCTTTATAATTTTTAAGCAGCACTGGATTTTGAATTGTCAACTCGTTCTTTGTTAGTGTTCCAGTTTTATCACTGCAGAGAATTTTCATTCCTGCTAGTTCTTCAATTGCAGTCAGCCTACTCACAATTGCTTTTCGTGTTGCTAAAGCATGTGCTCCAACAGCCATAGTTGCTGTGCACACAACCTGCATGGCGATAGGGATTGAGGCGACTAATAAAACGACACAAATGGACAAGGTTTCCAGGAAGTTGTTCCCTTTTGCCAAGTTCACTATAAGAATTACAATAACCAAAACAACAGAAACAATAAGCAAAGAAAAAGCGACTTTTAGTAAGACTTTTTGGAAGTTCCCGCGCTGGTTAACAGAACCAACCAAGGCTGAAGTCCTCCCAAAAAAAGTTCTTGCCCCAGTAGCCATTACAATGGCTTCAAGGTCTCCTCTTTTGCATACTGAGCCTTGATAGACTGTATCACCTTCATATTTCATGACCGCTAAAGACTCACCAGTTAGAGCTGATTGATCAATTTCAGCAAACCCTGGCCCTAAGACTGCATCAGCGGGAATTATGTCTCCAAGCTTTAAGTTAATTCTATCACCTATGACTAAATCTTTCGCATTTATTGTCTCGTATTGTCCATCTCTCTTGCATTTGGCTTTAGGGGCCATATTCTTTTTGAGTGCTTCTATTGCATTCCCAGCATTTTTTTCTTCATACCAGCCTACAAAGCCATTCACAAATTGTAAAATCATCAGAACTCCAAAGTCAAGCCATGAAAGTCGGATCAGCTCAATCAAAATGGCTGCCCAAATCATGCCTGGCATTGGACCCCAAAAATAGCTTACTCCCCCCTCCGTGAGTGAACAAAAAATTTTTGTTCACTCACGGAGGGGAAGGGGGTTAATTTTTTTTTTTAAAAAAAATTTATATATATATAAATTTATAGAAATTTTTTTTTTCAAATTTTAAAAAAAATCCTAATTTGCAAAAATTGGAAAGCAAATATTAATTTAATTTATAAAATTTATGTTTTAAAAAGCAATTTGTTAAAATTAAACAGAATTAGCTCGAGATTTCATTATAATAATTATCACTTATATATCAATTTTTTTTCCATAAAAAATTTTTGTTCACTCATGGAGGGTGGGTTTTTGGGCAAAAAATAGGGATTTTTCTAATGGTTTTGTTCACTCACGGAGGGGGGGAGTTAGGAACTTGAGAAATGGATTGGTCTTTTTCTCAGGAAGCATATTTGGCCTTAATATTAATTACCCATCTCTAGCTAATCTTCTCGCTGCTTCTGAGCTTGTCAGCCCTGATTCAGGCGTATTCATTTCTGCCAGCTGCTCTGGCGTTAACTTGTTGGCCTTCTCTTTTGGCTCTTCATTTACCTCTTCTTTCAGCTTTTCGTAGTTTGCCATCACCACTATTATTATTCAACAGCTAATGGCAACACTATTGTTTCTTATTAAGGATGCTTAAAATAAGTGCTAATATTTATATTTCTTAAACTGTAATCAAGATCTCCCCTAATAAAATATTGGTGAAAATATTCATAATAGCTTATTTAAATATTTTGATTCAGGATGTAGGCTTTTTTTTAAAAGAAGCTGAGACTTGTTTATATTTAAATCCATTCAAAATAATTCAATAAATTGCGAAAAAATTAGATAGAGAAAGACTTACTCGAACTATACTGGCCTTGGATAATTTCGCCATTTTAATGATTTGGGTAAAAATCAGGTGAATTTAATAATTTTTGCTAGTGATTGCTAATGATGATTTAAGATCAATTTGGAAATCTATTACTATGAAATCTATTTGGGAAAATTGAAATAAATGAAAATTTCAAAAAACAAAAATTTATCAGACTTTTATTGTTTTTCAAAGTTTATAAATTGTTTATGGAAGCATATCTATCGATACTGATCTTGTCTAAATTTAAACTTTGATTGTCCTGCTTGCCATTTTTATGAATTATTTAGTGTCAGGTTATCTCTCAAATTGTATTGATTCTTTTATTTTAGCATTAAAATATCATTTAAATGTATTAGCTATTTACTATGAAATTCTCCTACTTTTTCTAATCTATCTTCTTATTGCAACATTTAACTTTTTGGACAAATTATTTATCATTAATTTTCTAAAAGTTTCCATTGCAACAGAAAAGAATAATAATTTTAGATTTTAACTAATTAAGGTAAATAAATCAGTATATTCGTCACTCAAAGGATGATAATTGTCTTATTATCAGTGATTTTAAACATCAATATATAACAATTTAATGCTAAAGCTTTTTAAGTCATATTAGTCTTTTAAACTATCTAAATAAGCCCACCTATATAAATAGGAAAATGGAGCAGCACATATGAAAGCTTAAAATATTGATCATTTAAAATTATAAGGCTCGAGCTTCTATGCTGCTTCATCTTCGTTTTCTAGTCTAGCCTGCATTTCTTCAATATTCTTATTCATATTTTGTAAGTAGTTACTCAAATTAGGCTTAAGCCACAAGTCTAAGCACTCCCACAGCGGCCTAACAACAAACTTCATAAAGTTGATCTCATTTGAATAATAAACTTTGGGCTTATCAAGGTCTTTCATGAACCCAGTTGGTGTAAGTCCTAGTGCTACTTCATCCTTATATTGCTCTGAAAATTCCTCACAGACTCTCCTGGACCAGATTTCATATACAGAAAATGCTTTAGTGCCATGTGCAAGATCGCAAGAGTGCAGCACAAACCCTGCTACTTTTTCTGTGTCTTTTTCCAGCGTGCCTAGAGGATTTTCGACTAAATCATTGAACCTCCTAGTCATATTTGACATCATCCCCAAGTGCTTACTCATATCAGTTGCCAGAATTGAAGAAATCATTAATTTCCTTATATACCTATACTTTGTAGGCTTCAAATGCTTAAAAATATTGCAGTTTTCATTCTGCATAGTGAAGAAAGCTGTTGCAGCGTGATGCTGCTCCAAAACTGATTTATCATGGTACATTATTGCTAGCCTCGAAGACTTTGCGCATTCAAATGGATTATTTCTTCCAGTATGGTCTAAATCATGGCAAACTGATCCAACTAGCAATGCTAAAATATCAGCAGGCTTAAAATATGATCCGGCTGAGGTGCTGGCAAGTAGCATATATGTGCTGTGCATCACACTTAGATTGTGCTCAAAGTTGTGGAAAGGGTTCCCACGCTGGTCGCATATGTGTTTTAACTCTTCTACGAAATTCACGAATATGTGTGGGCGGATTTTGAATCTCTTGAAAAGATCAAAATCAGCCAAAAGGGCATGTGCAAAGCCAATAGGATCGTCAACTGCAAATGCATTGAAGTTCCAGTTTCTTATGTCGTCTAATGACACTCGCTGAGAAAAGGAGTCAAGACTCTCAGGAGAAGATTCAGAAATTGAGGAGTATCTCCTGGTCCTATGGGTTTCAACTGGCATGTCAAGCTCTAAGATCGACTTTAATGCTTCAATCCCTTGCTCTATTTGATCAACTGGTCCTTCTAATCTATATTTCGGCCTATTTAAATTTCCAGCTTTAAGTCTCGACATAATATCTTGCAAGTTGTCTCTGATTTCAGGTCTGATATTCTCATTATCTGTTATAACTGCAAGATCTTCTATACACCTTTGCAGCTCTGTTTCAGTTTGCAAAGGAGTTGTGAGAGCTTTTATCTGAGATTTCACTTCTCTGAACTTTGTGTGGATTTCTTCTAGACTGCTGCAGTCTTCTAAAATGATAACTACTCCTTCAAACTGCCCTTTATTTATGCCTTTTAAGCCTAGAATTCTGTAATTAAACTTTTGGTTTTTAATCTGGTCATTTATAGGCAGAATTGAGAGGAATGAAGAGCTTCGGAGGGACTCGGTATAAATGCATTTTGAGGTTTTATAAGGTTTTAGACTTGGATCGTTATATACTTTTTGGATATCGCTCACCAAAGATGGGTTATTTTTAAGCCAGCCTGTATAATGGAACTTTTTTACGATAAATTCATTTACTCCAAAGACGCCTTCAATTGGCTTATTTACGTAGCTTAGTTTACCTTCGCTGTTTAGGACCAAAGCATAGCTTCCGATACTGTTGAGTATTCCTAATAAGCTAGTTCTCTCTTCAATAGTATTTGTGAATAAGTCGCAGTTTTCTAGCACAGCGGAAACCATTTCACAGAAAAGATCCATGGTTTCTTCATCGTTGGCATCAAAAGTAGCATGCCTCTTATTAATTAATTCGATAACTGCGAGTACTTGTTTTTCTGAGTCTAAGATAGGCATGCAAAGGATGCTGGTCGTTCGATAACCAGTCAATCGGTCGACATCTGGAGTAAATCGAGTGTCATGATACGCATCTTTTATGTTTTCTTTAGCTTTTTTAGCAGCCACGCTTCCTGGGATTCCATATCCCATATAAAAGCTATAATTCACAGGAAGGTCTTGTTCAAGCCCTTGAGGTCTCGCTATTAATATATTTTCTTCTTTGGTGAAAATAATTGCTCTATCACAGTCACATAATTGTTCTGCAGCTTTTCTTATTGTTGTCATAAGGGCATAGGAGTCTCTTTCTGAAGCAATTGCTTTTACAAAATTCTTAAGCTCTTCATTAGCATTTTTTTCATCTGAATCAGAGCCCTTTTTTAAGGACACTGAAATTATTTTGGCTAAGGATTCAAGAATTTCTATATCTTCTGCTGTAAAATCTACAGATTGCAGCAAAGAAGGCTCTTTTTTGTTTTTAAGATAAAGGAGACCCATGAACTCCCCATCTTCGATTATAGGAACAGCTAATACATGGTACGATTTATTAGGCTTCAATGATGTAGAAGTCGAACCTTTATCATAGCACTGCTTAAAAAAATCAAGCTCCCACTCATGAGGGTTATGAGGCTCTCCATCATGAATCGTTAATTCTTCGAATTCTGAGTCTTTATATAAATAAATATAAGCTTTATCAGCATTTGTATGGGACTGTACCAAATCCAAGCTGAACTTCAATAAGTTTTCTAAGTCGTTATAGCAAGAAATCTTATAAAGGATATCCCTATAATAGGCGCATCTTTTTTGATATTGATTAGACACAAGGAACACTTGTTTACACCAGTGTTGAAGCATTTTATTCTTCCTTCCTGTCTCCAAAATCTTCTTCCATTGAGTTGCAGAGTCATCTCTAGCAGAAGCGAGCTCTGCGAACTCTTTTGGAAGGATGGATAAAAATGAAGCCACCTGCAAAGTCTCTTCTTCAAGCTTATCAAGATTTACAAATACAATGACTCCTATCACTGCAGTCCTGCTATCAAGAATGGGAATGCAGAGATAAGAGTCAACCTGGTCTTCGCAATCGAGTGAGTCTAAGTCGAATTCGAAGTTCATGTCATTTTCAGCATCATGCTTGATGCTGATTATTTCTTTTTGCTGGATTGATTTTTTAACTAGTCCAGCTGGAGCGTAGCTTGACATAGTAATTTGCTCTATCAAGTTTACTTGAGACTTATCATATAAAAAGAGCTTCGCGACACCACATTTGACGATTTCAGTTAGTTTTCGAGCAATTTTTATATAAGGCTCATTTGGATTTTTTACTAGCTCGTCGATTAGATCATACAGACTTTGAATGGTATCTTTTGGAATTCCGAGAATGTTATTTAAGCTTTTAAGCAGAAAAGGAGGCTCTTTTTTACTTTTTTCTCTTCTTGCAAGCTCATGACTTAAAAAGAAGCTTGATTGTGTTGCCAATTCTGAGTTTTTTCTAAAAATATTGACAGTTCTAAACTCTGACTCAGAACTTTCTTGAGCTCGATCAGGAGAAGACTCAACTTTGCTCTCATCAAGCATTGTTTCAGGCAAATGCTCTATGAATAGTCTCATGAAAATCGTACTTAAGGAGTTTGAAAACTTTTCTACCATGTGTATATCATCCTTTGTAAAAGGTTCTTGCCTGCTTATTACAATAAGTCCTATGCTTGGGTCTTTCAGCTCTTTAGACAATATAGGGAAAATCGCGACGCTTTTGCCTTCATAAAGGTTGATATCATGCAAAACTGGAAGCTCTGAGTTTGGAAGCACCAAAACTTTTTGCAGTGAATAAGCATAACCAAAAACAGTGTCAGCTGACAATGGAAATGCCATAGTTCCGCATGTGTCTGATTTTTTAGTCCATATGAATTTCTTATGTTGATCCGCTACAAAAACTGATGAAGAATCATGAGGCAAAATGTTATGTAAAGACTGAGTTATCAAATCAGTGAGCTTGACATAGTCAAAAAGCTTATCTTTTCTGTCAATTGTATAAGAGTACATCCCATGAATCCATTTTCTCAGTTCATCTTGATCACTTGCAGAGCCCTTTGGCTCTACAGAAAGTTTTGTAAGTTTTCCTAAAGATGTCGCTAAGAACAATGCGAAGTTTTCATCGATCTCTGTAAAGACTGAGTTTGTCCTAAAAAACTCAACTACCCCTTGCACAGTATTGGTATAGGACATGATTGGGCACACAAGGCAGGATTTGTAGCCATAGTTCAAGTCTTGCGGCCATAGCGGCTCAATAGATAGATCTCTGATATTGAGAATTTCCTTATGGGTGAATCCGACATACTCCGAAATCCTTGACTTATGGTTGCTTATATCAGTGTTGATTCCCTGAGCATACTCGCATGTCAGCACTCCATCACCCATACTATAAAGCACCATTGCATCAGTGTTCATGATATCAGAAATAGCATCTATCAGAGCTTTAGAAACTCTATACCATGGCTTCATTATTTCATCAAGCCTCTTGCAGTACTCTTTTTTCTTGCAAATCAAGTTGACTTCATTGTGGAGCCTGTTTTTCTCCTTGTTCACCAAGTGATGACTATCATCTTTATTCAACAGCGATAAATACTCTGTCCTTTGTTCTAAAGCTTGATAGATGATATGTCCGAAGCTCGTCACAATGTCTACGTCTATATCTGTATAATAGCCTTGGGAAAGGTCTTCTCCCACTTTATTAAATAACTGCACCACCCCGATCACTTTTCATTGACCCACAACTAAAGGAACGCATGCCGTTGTTGTCGGCTGGATAACTTTGTTAGTCACAGGCGAAAAGGGGTTGATTTTCAGCTGGAATGCAGAGTAAAACGTGGATGTGTGAGGATTTGTAATGAGCTCTGGGTGCTGTGTTTGAGCTACATATCCGGGAAGTGATTCATCATTAATTTCTAATTCGGTAAACGGTTGAAGGGGATTAAATATTTTCAGTTTCTCGTCTTCTTTCAGAAGAACTTCTACTCATGAAGACTTCGTGAGTTCAGAAATATGCTGAGCTAGGCTGAATAAAATTCATAATTATGGATTATTGCATAATATAGAGTCCTAGGCAAATGACTCTGAAATTAAGCAGTCTAGTATAAGTTTTGCTGAAGCGCGAGATATGTCAGCTAGAGACATATGATGAGTATTGATCAAGTTTGAAAGTGAAAGAAGAGCCTGCGGAATCATTGCAATCGTATTATTTTTGATGTAATTTGCATTTAAATTGTCAGGGTTTTCATCAATCTTATGGACATCGATTGTATACCTACGCTGTCGTGGTTTAATGGACTCGGGGCTAAACTCACTCATATATAACATATTGGATGTTAAAGAGAACTGTCTATTAAGTTAACAGCTTTATCAACAACAACGTTTCAATAAAAGGAAAGGCAAAAATCTAAATAATTTTAAATGTTTCAAATGGGATATAAATGTCGGTAAATTTAAAATATATTTACTGTATTTGGAGGCTATGCAAGGTCAATATGGACTCAGAATAATTTTTTTTATTTCTTGTGAAATATCATAATTAAATATGGCGTCTCTGCCCGGGTATGGCCTCCCAGTTATGCAGCCTCGTGCACATATCTAATTATATCCGACAAGCTTTTTCCAACCTAGAATGAACAGCTATGCTACAAATCAATTCCGGCAGCGCTCGGAGCCTAACCCAAGTCTTTTTTTTCAGGATTGGATTTTACTCTGTGGGGAATCAAAGACTTAGAGTTGAAAAGAGGTAGCAGTGTCTTTTTACCATTTGTGCAGCTCTTCAGAATGAAGCCAGGAGTTACGCCCTAGGCTCTGAGTTGACCTTCTTGCCGACAGTGTGCTAGAAATTCCATTTTTTTGAATTTTTGTGAAAGCAATCCATGCCAAGGTCCGAGAGCTGAAAGTACAGCCGCCGAAATCCGAACGCCCGAAGTCGAGGGGTCATTCAGGTGAGGCCAGGTTGTGCACGACGTTGTGGTGGATTGAGGAGCCCCGAAGCAGAGACGGAAGCCCGTACAGGTCATTTGCAGTGGATTTAAATGCGAGTTTTAAATCTTAATGTAATGTAATGTAATGCTTGTGAAATATCATCAATTTAAAGGATTAATTTTAATGGGCTATTTATTTTAAAGTATTTGAGCAATTTGAAAATGAGAATTTTAATTAAAAATTATATAAAATGACGCTCTTTTGTGAAAAAATAGTAAACTACAAACTATAGCTCTTTAAATAAGATCGCATTTATTAATATGCTTATAAAACATCTTTTATACTTTTTTGGTGCGAAATAATCGATAAATTAATTCATCAAGTCGTTTGGAATAAGTAGTTTTCAAATATATATTAAAATGAAATCAACCCAAAATTCTCACGATTATCTATTTTTATGTCATCTGGTATCTAGTGATATAAAATCAAAAATATTAACTGGGGGCTTTTGATAAATGGAATCATCTGGCAGGCGAAGACTTAAAAAAATTGCCATTCTAAATGAAGAGACTCCTTTAGCACAAATCCAAGACTACTCATCCTCTGCTCAAATTTCTACGCAAGATACCAATAAGCAATCTATTTCGGATGCTGAAGAAACCTATTATGACGAAAGAGTATCTTTTAAAGATCTAATAGCAAATAATAAGAAAACAGTTTTTTCTAAAAGAGAAATCTTAGATCCACTTAACCCAGAAAATTTTCCAGGCCTGGAATTTTCATCAGCAATTTACACACAAGATGAAGAAGACACTAATGTAAAATCAAAAAGTAAAAGAAAGAAACCTAAAAGAATTAGCGCCCCTAAGCTTCCGAGATTCAATAAAATGATTGATTTCAATCCAATGTTTGAAGGGTCTACAACAGAGTTCGAATATTTAAGAGATCAGCCACTGGAGCTGCCGAATAAAATGAAAACAAATAAAGACATAACTGACTTTCTAACAAAATGCAAACAAGATAAGCAAGATAAATCAAGTTATTTATTGGCAAAAAATGTGCTAACTGATGGTGGCCAGCAAGATTCTCTTATAATAAAAGCTCCTGAAAAACTTGAAGGATTTATTTCAAAAAAGCAAGCCTTGCAACCAAGAGATCTTTTAAGAGAAAATTTGATGAATGAAGCTAGAGAAAGAAGAATGAATTATATAAGCCCTGATATGCTTTTCTTACTTACTTAATTATCTGGTGTTTAAGGTGTCTAGTGCCGCAGCCCAAAAGGACCTATGGCAAAACTAGTGACGTAGGCGAGCCATCTTGGAACAGGTCAGCCCTGGCCAAGCCTTCTATCAACTCCTGCTTCACCAGTCTTGCTGCACGTCTCACCCGGCGCGATGCCGTCGCCCTTGTCTCGACTCAGCTCCTGCGCGTGTTCCGCCTAAGGGTCATCTTCCCGTGGAGATGTGCTGAGAGGTAAAAACCCCGAAATCTTGAGAGGACTGAGGAGCAGTTCCTCTGGTTATCCCCAGAGTTAAACCGCTATTGCTGTCCAGAAGTTCTCGAGTGAAAACCTAACCTATAAATAAAATTCCATGAGGGAGAGAGAAAATTAGCAGAGCTAATTTCTCTCGAACCGAATGCCATTTTATTTTTATGATATGCTTTTCAATAAATCTTCAAGTGAATTAACAGGAAGGAAAAATGAAAAGTCGCCTGAGCCTGTTAAAGAAGAAAAAATTGATATACAAAGAGTTATCGAGCTTGAAAATGGAGTTTCTGAACCAATTGTTTCTGAAAAGTCTATAAATTCCCAAAACTCAGAGCACAGTGAAGAAAGCGAATCAAGTAATCCAAATTTATCCCCCAACGAAAAAGATGAAAAAAACGTATTAGAAATTCCTTCTCAGAAGTTTTATAGCAAAATCATTGATAACCCAGCAGTGTCCCATTATTTTGAAACTGAAGCTGAGCAAGGTAGTGATAATGAGGAACATGATAATTACGTCAGGCCTAAAGAGTTCGAAAATGAAGCAGAAGAAGTTGGAGAAGTTGATAATTTGATTGATCATGCAAAAGTCGATGACAAAAAAGAAAAAATCCTGAAAAAGCATTTAGGAGATATGATCGTCAAAGATTTCTATCAAATTACAAAAGTAATTAATGCTGATTTCAAAGGGAAAAGGCCACCTGATTATTTAGAAGAATCAAATCTGGATTTAAAGAAAATGAAACTTATGAAGCAGCAAAAAGATACGCTGGAAGTAGAAACTAAAGATACAAAAAAATATAAAGAAGAAAAAGTCATTGGGGAAGACTTGGAAAAAGAAGAACACACAAAGTTGGAAATGCTGAAAAATTCGCAAGAGCTTAAATATATTAGGAATATATCAGGGAAATCAATTATTCTTGATGAAAAATCAAGGAGCTATTTAAATTTAATTGAAGAACCTAATTATCAGGTAGCCCGAAGATCATTGCTCAGCGAAATCAGCAGAAGCTGATCAAGAGGCTCTGAAGACTCAAAAGAACTACCAAATAAATCAGTCTCATCAAAAGAAAAGAAATATGTTCCAGTGTTTTTTAAAAGAAAGTAATGTAACTAATAATGTGCAAATGGTCTTTCAAAGCGTGATAAATTTTCTTTAAATTTGGGCGTAGATCATAAGAGATTTATTTGAAGATTTTTATTTTTCACTCAATCATTTCTTAATTTAATAATTCTTCTCAAAATCTTCATAATTATTCTTCTTTGTTTGATGTGCTATTACTTGCATTTGAAGATTGCCTATTGGAAGTGAAATTTCCTTCAGCTCATTCGATTATCTTGCCAAAGATGAGTGAAATGATATAGCCTATTATGGAAAAGAAAATAAGTCCTTGCCAAGTTGTGATACTCATAGCAGGCCCTGCCTCTGCTTCCATTTCGTTGACGATTTTAATTTAGCAAACCATATTTTAATAATAAATCAGCTATCATATCCGAAGTATTTTTGATTGGAGTTGACAAAGAAGAGATTGTGATTGATTTTTACATTCTAAAAGCAGCAGAAAAAATTGCAGCACGACATTATTTTAAAAATTATGAGATTTAATGAATAGATGAGTAGGCTGAAATTTTAGAGAGAATCAGCTATGTGGTTACTCATATTTCATGAGGTTTGATAAAACTTTTGATATATGATTTTATTTAGAAAGAAACGGATTTAATTATTTTATTCAACATAAACCATAATGTAAAAGTTATTAGGATTTTACTCGGGAAAATCTTTGGATTTATAATCGGAGAGCATCGGAATACCAGAAGACATTGAATTTCTTTCATAAATTGTTGCTTTGAAATTCTTTTCCCCCAAATACACGCACCCCAAAACGATCGCCATAGCAGACCCAATCAATGGTCCGATCACATAAATTCATATGTCGTGCATATAATTTATATCATCGTAATATATCGCTTTGACAGAATTCAAAGACAAGCATACTGTTGGATTAAAGCAGCCTCCAGAAATCGGACCAACAGTTAAAGCACCCACCAAGACTGTCATCGAAACGGCAAGCGAGCCTATCAATGGAAATTCGATTTCCTGGCTTATCATGATAACAAGATTTAATTGGCAAGTGAAAATTGCTTCAGCCACAATCGCTTCAGCGATTGTTGAATCATTTCCAATTTTGAAATGGAAGTGATTCCCTGTTGCAATAATTGTCCCTATTAAGCCTCCACACAAGGCTCCAACAATTTGGAAAATGAGATTTCCCTTGAATTCAACACGATTTTCGTTGGTCAGGGTTCTGAGGTATTTCTTTTTTGCGTAATTACAGAGAGTTACAGTGGGATTCAAATGAACCACACCAATAAAGCCTCCTCCTATAATGATGGCCCATAACCCAAAGCTTACAGCGTACGGGTCGCCAAAACTTACAGCAACTGCTAGAGCGAGCATTGCTGTCATTTGAGTTTCGGCTATTCACTTTCTCCAATTTTCCATTATTTATTTATTTATTCGCTAATTATTGAGGGTTTTTAATGTTTTCCACGATTTTGTCAATATCGTTGTATTGGGCTTCCCACTTTGAGTTATATAGGAATGGTCTAAGATCATATCTGTTATCATCGCAGCCAAGCGAGTCCATGTGAATGACAGGTGTTAGCGTTACCATTTTATGTCTATTGACTGCATAATACGTAAAGAATTTTTTCACTTTTTTAGCAACTAATTCAGGCTCCATTGTTTTCCATTCAGTCAGGCACCGATTAAACATGTATAGAGGGCCACAGTGGTCAATTTTTCTGAGCATTGCCATCAAATGAATTTCTTCGTAGCTTAATCCTAATTCGTGCTCATCAGTTTGTTGTAACGTATGCCAGTCAGAAAGAGGCTGTAGCTCAGCTGTAGGAGTCGCTTCAAGAATCGGGATAATTGAGCGATAATTATATCTTTCTGAAGCCCAAAGCAAAAAGTGTCTTAAATCAATTTTTGAAACTCCTCCAATGGGGTTGATATCTGCGCTTGAAGTATCATATTTTGTCATATATCCAGTTAAAGATTCTTCAATGTTTCCACTTCCCAGGATAATTAAAAACCCTTTCTTTCCTAAAACCCATGGTAGAAGCTGTCCAGCCATATAACTTGCGACCATACGAATTCTAGCTTGCAAGTTTTGCAAGGCAACATCTTCATATTTTGTTCCTCCTTTTGACTCATATTTTGGTATATTACTATTTGTTAGGCTAGTGAACATGTTTAAATATTCATTATAGACTTCATCAATATTCTCCTCAAAGTGATTCGAGCCTATTTCTTCAGCTAAATTTTTTGCTCTTGCTTTAGACTCTTCTGAGCTGTTTTCAGACGCTAAATAAGCTGTATGCATAATTTCATGAAGCATTTCATGGTGGTTTTCAGGAATTTTCCCTATAATTCTTCTCAAATCGTTTTGTAAAACCTCAAGATTATAGCCTTTAAACACGTTTAAGCAATGCATCACTTTTCTACACATAATTGCTATTATAGCCAGCACACTTGCAGAATCAGAGCCTCCAGATAAAGGTAAGAAAAAGCCACTTGCATTAGTCCTGCGTAAATAATCCCAAAGATAGCAAGCAGGCGCAAACCCAGTTTCTTCTGCCCTAGAGTATTCTGGAACTTGAATTGGCAATGAAGACTCTATTGAATTTTTCACAAGAAGTTTAAACCCAGGAACCACAATGACAGGGAATTGTTCTAAAATTTTATCTTTAGCTTGCATATTTCTTGAAGCAATTGCATTTCTATAACTATCCACTTCACTTAAGTCAAGGGCTGCTGAAACCACATCTACTGACTTCATTGAGAATGGCTCAGTTGTGGCAAAACAATTTCCATTTAAAAATATCATTGATCTTGCATTAAAATAGGTGCGGTGCCCGTCACAACCGATTTGGTTAGAATACATATAAATGCCTCCTGTTTTGACTGATGCCGACATCATGCTATACCATTTCTGAAATTCTATTGACATCTGGAAAGGATTTCCCCCCATGTTCAGAACAATATGGGCTCCCATCAAAAATAATTCAGTGCTTGAGGAGACTGGCGACAATAATTCTTCATAAGTTTCGACTCCTATTAAATAGCCGTCTTCAGATCTCAGCATTCCATTTCCAAATGGCGCAGTTTGCTGACCAGTCACATCAGTGATGAAGGCTGGTAAGCTGTACTGCATGAGTTCTCTGTTTCCACACCATGCAGTAAACCAACGTTTTTCTCTATTAAGTCCATCATCTGCAAGTACAACTTTAGGCTTGATCAGGATTACTTTTCCATTGTAAATTAGCACACTGCAATTGTAAACAACTCCGTGAAAATATAGAGGCATACCAATAAGGCAAAGGATATCGTTATATGGAGGAATGAGGGTTACTTTGATTACGTTCAATAACACCTGCCAAGAGTGATAGATCGTATCAGGCTCTACATAATGGTCTTCGATGCTATAGCCAGTTACTTCGGCTTGAGAGCCAAGCCGAATTTTGGCATTATGCATGCGCTTGGCTTGGATGATTGATTCTATTATGCGCTGCTCGTTTCCTTTGAAATCCAAAGCCCACTGATCTAAAGAGCAGGTTGACACAATGGTTGGCTCCATTTGGAATTATTTATTTAATAATTCTGGTGACTTATTAATCACTGAATCCAGGCGATTTAATTTGTATAGATACTAAAAAAACAGATTTTAATACGCTAATAATAATGGGTTGTAAAAAGTCCAAGTCTCTTTATGATCAAAAATCAGCGGAAAATGAAAGCTTGGAGATTTATGAAAGCAGATTTCGGCTAAGAAATCACAGCATCCACGAATATGAAGCAACCATACGGCGCTTCCAAAATTTATCTTTGCCTTCTGCTAAAGCATTGGAAATTTTATCGCAAAATTTCAGCTTGCCTTTTTCTCATAAATTGCTTGAAATATTCACAGATAAGCTGAATCTAAATGGAGCCCTTAATACTGACTATCTTATTTCCTTTGCAATTCTTTATGGAGAAGGCTCAGCCTACGAAAAGGCGGACTCGCTCTGGCACATTGCAGATACTGCATACTCGAATTCTTTGACAAAGAGTGATATTCAAAGAATAGTGAAGGGGGTTATTAGAGTTTCGATCAGTATAATGCTAGAAGCAGCAATTGAAGAAAATTATTTTAATGTCAATCGCTTAACTTCATGGAAAAGCCAATTAAATGAAAGAGCTGAAGCTCTTGAAGAAAAACTGCTGAGACATTTCTTTGGAGAAAAGCATGAGATTAAGAAAGATGAATTTATCAATATAGTGGTTGAAGGAAAAGATAGCCAAATTACTGATCCAGTTTCAGTAAGAACATTGCTAGAACATACTCAAGCCATCCCGAAAAAGTTTGCGAACCCTTTCAAAAACATGAAGACAAAATTAACAGGCTAATATATTAACTAAGCTTATTCCGTCCCTGTGAAGACATACAAAACCTTGCATGCTCTAAAAGGGATTTTAAATTTTGTTGCATTTAGTATTATAAAGGCTTTCAGTTATTATTAAATGTGATTATTTACTTCTCCAACCCAAATTCATTTCTTGTATATTTTAATTACGAGGTTTAGCTTTCCCTGGTGAAATTATTTCCAGCTATGTCAAGCAAGCAAGAGCTAGATGGTTTTTCCTACCGGACTCCTGGCCTTAGGGAATGGTGCTTTCCAGAAGGTACCACCTAACCCAGGCGGTGAGAGACTGGGAGTTTTAGGGTGCCGATCAGACCCAAGTAAGGGTCAGAGACAAAGAAAAGTCAACTTCGAGACTAGCAACCTCATTGGTGAATAAAGTCCTAGGCGGTCACTCATTTTATGGACCTGAGGAAAATAGCGCGCGAAATTCTCCCCAGAGTGATATTGGGAGTAGCTGCAATCAAGCAACCTGGTAGTGTACGTTAAATGTGCTTACTCCCCCCCCCCCCTCCGTGAGCGAACAAAAACCATTAGAAAAATCGCCATTTTTTGACCCAAAAAACCACCCTCCGTGAGTGAACAAAAATTTTTTTTAATAGAAAAAAAAATTTTAATGGAAAAAAAATTTTGATATATAAGTGATAATTAGTATAATGAAATCTAGAGCTAATTCTGTTTAATTTTAAACAAATTGCGTTTTAAAAACATAAATTTTGCAAATTAAATTAATATTTGCTTCCCAATTTTTGCAAATTAGGATTTTTTTAAATTTCGAAAAAAATATTTTTTATAAAATTTATATATAAATTTTTTTTAAAAAAAAAAATTAACCCCCCTCCGTGAGCGAACAAAATTTTTTTGTTCGCTCACGGAGGGGGGGGGGGGAGTTAGATAATTAAGATTAATATTATTTACTTCTACTTTATCATTATTTTCTGCTCTAATAAAATGAACCATAAAAATAGGATAAATTATACATTTTCAACAAGGAGCAATACTTCAAGAAGAACAATTTCAGCAACTCGTACTCACGATTTGTCGAAATCAAGCAGATTAGAAATCAAAAAGCGACCTTCAATTTATAGCTCGCTACAAGTTCAATATTTATTATAGAGAAAATTTATTTAGGGGCATTTTTTTAAGCCCTAATTTCCCAAATTAAAGACTTCTTAAAAAATCTTGTTTGCTTTTATGATAGCATCATCAAAATTAGTGACGTCATTATCTATGGAAAGATCCATATTACTTCTTAATCAAAATCTAGCAACCGCAGGCTCTATACAAAGAGTTAATCAGCTGGAGAAGATTTATGGCCCAGCTCTCCTAGCATCCTTTACTTCGTGAAACCACGCTTAATTTTTTGCTGCTAGTCTCAAAGACCTAGTGAAAGCCCAATTATTCTGGAAAAAATTCACTCCGGACATCCACCCAGGTATGTGCCCTTGACCATTAGGCCAGCAGCACAGGGTGTGAGTTGACATTATATCCACAATTTACCATTCAAAAAAATATTTATTAGAAGAACTCGAAACTCTCTGAGTCAAATATGACATCCCAAATCAGCATCAAATGGTTTTCAAATCTTTAATAGCAGTTTCACCTACGTATTCCGCAATAATAATTGCGAAAGAAATTAGTATGCTTGAAGAAAACCAGTCGCCTATTCTTACTCCCCCCCCCCCCCCTCCGTGAGCGAACAAAAAAATTTTGTTCGCTCACGGAGGGGGGTTTAATTTTTTTTTAAAAAAAATTTTTATATATAAATTTTATAAAAAATATTTTTTTCGAAATTTAAAAAAATCCTAATTTGCAAAAATTGGGAAGCAAATATTAATTTAATTTGCAAAATTTATGTTTTAAAACGCAATTTGTTTAAAATTAAACAGAATTAGCTCTAGATTTCATTATACTAATTATCACTTATATATCAAAATTTTTTTCCATTAAAATTTTTTCTATTAAAAAAATTTTTGTTCACTCACGGAGGGTGGGTTTTTGGTCAAAAAATGGCGATTTTCTAATGGTTTTGTTCGCTCACGGAGGGGGGGGGGGGGGGAGTTAATATTTTAAGAACTATACAAGAAAGAGAATTAACTCTTTCCAAAATACAGCTTCTAGCAAAAAAGTTTCGCAAAAAGAAATGTAAAGATTTAGAAATGATTGGGCTTGAGCTTGCAAATTTGATAGAGAAAATGAGAGATAAAACAATCGAAGTGATCGAAAGAGTCCAGATTTGGAAAAAACTGTATGAGTGCCATGATATTGAATTTGTGTGGAAAGGTATAAACTACTATGAAAAATTAAAATCAGATTTAGACTTTTTAGTTGCAACACCTCTGGCAAATATTTTTCCATTTACACATAGAGATCCATTCTTATTAAACGTAATCCGAAGTTACCATTGGCTTTCTAAGAAATGCAATATGAGACTTGGATTAACTTACTTACTTACTTACTTACTTAATATTTAATATACTGATCAGAGCAATCAAGCTAACCCTAAGACGCCATCAGAAAGTCTCAGCTACTTAAGAACTTGCTGTACGGTTCCCATCCTCATTGTTCCTCCTCTTCGGTTGTGCGGCGGCACATGGACAGCCCGTGGTGTTAGAATGCGTAGGCTTGGGACTTGTTCGCCACACGCTCCATCTCAGCCTTCACCGATTCTGTTCCAGCCTCTTTGTCTTGAGCCTCTGCACGACACCGGAAAAACTCACCTGCAGTGAAACTTGGATTAACAAACTTACAAAAAAAGCAAGTCAAAATATCTCTTAAATTTTTGGACATCGAGGATTTTTCTGATACTTTAAATCAAGAATTCAACACTTTGCGAAAACTAAAATGGCAGTTAGGGGTAGGACCACAGTCCTACAACCGTGCTCAGTAAGAGAAGTTCTCGACATCCTTGAGAGTCTCAGCTTGAAGAGAAGCATTTTATGCTGAGGCTGGTGTAGAAAGAGAGGTCCTAAGAGACTTGGGGACAGAAACATGTCAACGTTTAGACTTGTTTCATCTACCGTTAATAAGGGCTGTTAGTCCAAATTAAGGCACTCAGAACTGAACTTATAGTAGCCTATTAAACTTAAACTTTGCGAAGCGCAATTGAAATTCCTGATGTTGCATTCGATCGTTTATTCACTCCTAAAAATAAAAATATAGTTAAACGCAACCTAAAAGAAGCAGTTAAGGCAGTCTGTGAGGATTTTATTAATGGAATTGTAGATAAGGACTGCCTAGATATTTGTAATGAAAATCTTCAAGAAAAATCAAGAATTATCAATGATATTTGTGCTGAAATAATCTTTGATTCTATGATAGAGAGCATATCTGAGCAAGCATCAATTGCTGTTAGTAAGAGGATTCTCAGAGTAAACCAAGATTTAATTGTAGTTAACGAGCTATCTGATTCAATAGTAGACAAACTTACAGATTTTGAGTGCAAAAACTTGTGTTATGAATTTCTTAATGAGTTTTTGTTAGATGAGCTCTGCTATGATCTCATTCCATATTCAGAGCTTAAACCGATAGTATCATTGTGCATCAAAGAGATGGATAAAGAAGATGCAATATTAAGCAGCGAAGTTTGTACACAATTAATTGAAGACTTTCTTGCTCCTTCCGTGCCTGAACAAGGTTTTTCTTGCGATTTAAAAGGCGGTTAACTTCTAAAATAGAAGGCAAAAGAAATTTATGCTTTAAATACTCTATTAAAAAATAATAATAATAATAATAGAATTAGCTAGAGATTTTCATGATAATAATTACCACTTATATATCAAAATATTTGATAAAGCATTGTTATATTACAAAATTTTTCCTTGCTCGAAATTTATTGTGCTTATTCTATGATTTTTCCACTCGTTTCGCTCCTCACTGAAGGGTCTGAGTTAGCAGTGAATGAATTGAGACTTTAGTAGAAGCAGAGAAGCTATCAAACCATATTGAAGGGGTTATGGATTCATTGCCTATTAAACTTCAAAAACAAGTGTGAAAGGAAGAAAGATCAAAAATTTACGAGCAGGTAATAGAAAAAATCTATTTTGATATTTTAAATATATTTGTTGGAGGATTTTGATTAGAAAGATTAGCTACTGCATCTCTTCTCGAAGTCCAGGGAATGAGAGAGCTCCCCATGGATAATATCTTTGTTTTGCATGACCCCAAAGACTATAGAAGCAGTTTGTTAAGGAGGCCTTGGGCTCGAAGAAAATCAGTGTACGATAAATAAAGTAGACTTAAAATTCATGATAAGACTGTTAAAATGATTAAGATATTTATCCTGAATAGTTATACTCTGCTCTGACATGCATAATAAGCTGCCCATCAGCAAAGAAAAAGCTATCTGATTTAGTCTCTCGAGGACTCAGAATTATGTCTGCTTTTTCCTCTTCTGAGAGTTCTGGGAGAGTGTAAATAAACTCTCTTGAGTTTATAGTATTTGGTATCATGAAATCAATAGTGAAATCATAGTTCTCCACTAATCTGTCTTTGAAATAATGCCTTTCAATCATTCTGAAGTTCGATATAGCTCGTGCACGCATTTAGCGTGCCCTTAGAGCTGGCTGGGAGCCGTAATAAATCTGTTGGTTTTTCTGTCCCATTCTGAAGAGCTAAACTCGATTTGGCAAAACCAAACAATTAGGGCTTTATTTGCCAAATCGAGTTTGGTTAGTCAGATTGGTTTAAAAAGCCAATGATTCTGCTCCTGCTCTCAACTAGGTCTAAGGGCACGCCAAATGCGTGCATGAACTATACTGGATATTCACCTATGGAGAAATAAATCAAAGAACCGATAGTATGCAAATTTAAGAACTCAGGAGGGAAATTATAACTAATAAATCTTGACTCTTCAGTTTGAGGCTCGAAGTCTCTTTCTAAATCTAGTAGAATTGTATTGGTATCCATATCTCTCAGCCTGAAGCTCCCAAATCTTAAATCAAAGATGTTCGCATTCAGTGAGCATAAAAATTCAGATGTTGCATGGGCATGGGAAAGAACCTCTTCTGGGGTTGCAGTTCCTATCATTATTTATAAGATTTGATTCAATGCCATTTTGCTTGCATTAATAAATTATTCTGCTTAAAGATGCTACCTTAGTTACAAATGTGAAGAGCAAATGTATATATTAGCAAAAGTTTTTATTAAAATTTTATATAAAATCTAACTTAAGTTAATCTCTCAGCTCTTCTGCTTGTTTTCTAACCTGATCTGATACAATTGCTCCATCAAGCACCTCTATATGAGGGCATCTTTTGATCACCATTGGTCTCGCATCATCTTTATTCTGAAATGAATCATAAATCGGATTTCCGGATAAAAGGACATTCCTTAGCTTCTGTAGAAATAGAATGGTGGAGTAGACGGAAGAACGATTCCGAGGCGCATTCCCTCTGGAGTAGGAAGGAAATTCTAATAAGGCTGAAAATAGGGCCTCTGTCCATTTTTGAGGTAGACAGACCTTCAGGTTTGGGAGTCCTTGACGAAGAAGGAAGTTTGGTTTCTCTCCCAAAGGTTTCCTGCCTCTGCCAGATAGACTTGACTAGTTTTGCCTAGCACTCATTAGGACTATCGAGAGCACTCTACAGACGGTCGCTCTACCCTAGGGAGCTCCTTGGACAGGTGGCTTTAGGTCGAAATCCAAAATGGCGACATTTTAAAGCCAAGATAGGCGACGGCTAGTGGTTTATCCGTTTATGGCCAGTGTAACATATATTTAATTTAGCTCCTGTAGTTGATTAAGTCTATTAATCTCTTCCCAGTTCTTGATTTTATTATTTGACACGAAAAGTGTAGTCAATCTCACACAGTTTTGTAAGCCATCTAGTTTTTCAATTAAATTGTACGAAATCCACAGTTCCTTCAACGTCCCTCCCACTTCATCAAGCCCTGATATTTTCCTAATCTGATTTCTGCCTATGGACAATATTTCAAGACTCCTCAGGTTGGACAAATTCATTATTTTTTCTATACTATTGGTAGATAATGACAACTTGCGGCAGTTAATAAGTTGTGACAGTCCTTGGTCCATCTTGTTGATTGGCGGATTCCAACATATTAATTTCACTTCTGAAGCTTCTGCTGCGCGCTGTCCTGTGCGAGCTTCCCACTCCTGAATCGCTTTAGTACAGGTCATCGTCATCTTGAATTAATTTATAAATGTTTGAATATTAATAAAATTTTCCAATTAAGTTTGAGATTTCACCTCTTCTTCAGAGTCATTTCGTTGCTTAGCTAGGTTGGCTCTTCGTCTCCCTTCGTAGGTGTGGATAGTGTTGTGTGACAAGCCAGTTCCAGGACTTTTCACAGTGAAGAGTCCAGTGACACTGCTGTAGATATGGCTGGACTCTCTTGCAAGCCTGATGACTTCAATTTCTTCAGGTGTAAAATCAAGGATCGTGTAAATCACATAGGCGAGACTGGTCGCTTCTCTGAGATTTCCGGCATACATATACTCCATATACTTCATGACTATGTTTTTTAGGTACTCCATGTTCACATTTTCTCTTGACAAAGACTTTTCTAACTCTTCAATCCTGATCTTCATAGATGTGATTTGGTCAGATTCTTCGCTGGGTTTTTCGAATTCTTTGATTTTTAGCTTAAGTCTGTCTATTGTTTGGTCTTTTTCTAATACTAACTTTTGGGCTCGCTTTCTGTGCTCTTGGAAATCGTTTTTTGTGTCAGAGAGCTGGTCTTCGAGCTCTTTTATTAATGACTCGTGCCTGTGCTTTTCTTGATTGAGCTGTTGAATGCTATCGAGGTATTCAACTTCTTTGTCTTCATTAGTTTCTTTTTGGTTGACTTCGCTCTCTAAAAAACTAATTCTGGCTTGAGCATCAGCTAATAACTTCTGCAACTTTGGAACGTCGTCAGAAAATGTCGGCGGGCGTTGCTCTAAGGCAGCAATTAAACTGTTTGTTTTGTTTTTGGTAGCTTCTTCTTGTTGAGCCCTTAATCTTGCATTTTCTACTTTTAAGTTTTCAATCTGCTTCTCTAACTAAGTTCCTTTAAAAAAATAATTTTTGGCAGCTATTAATTGATATAGCTCAGCATTTTTTTTAATCTTTTAGCTATTGTTTTTAATAAAATTTAAAAAAATTATACATTAAAGCACCTTACTCCCCCCCCCCCTCCGTGAGCGAACAAAAAAATTTTGTGTTCGCTCACGGAGGGGGGGTTAATTTTTTTTTTTAAAAAAAATTTATATATAAATTTTATAAAAAAATATTTTTTTCGAAATTTAAAAAAAAATCTAATTTGCAAAAATTGGGAAGCAAATATTAATTTAATTTGCAAAATTTATGTTTTAAAACGCAATTTGTTTAAAATTAAACAGAATTAGCTCTAGATTTCATTATACTAATTATCACTTATATATCAAAATTTTTTTCCATTAAAATTTTTTTCTATTAAAAAAATTTTTGTTCACTCACGGAGGGTGGGTTTTTTGGGTCAAAAAATGGCGATTTTTCTAATGGTTTTGTTCGCTCACGGAGGGGGGGGGGGGAGTTAAGAAAATTAAATAAAATCGAAAAGCTTTTGCTCACTAAATGGGGAAGTAAGTATTCAGCTTCTCCTCGAATTTCGTCCATTTGAGATAATACAACTGAATGTTGTTCTTCTAGGGCTCTAAATTCGGCGGTTTCTTGTTCCTTTACTCTAAGGCTTTCTTTCAATCTTGATAATTCTCCTTTCAACTTTTGAATTTCATCAGTTGATGACTGGCTCATCGTTCTTATCAATCTTTTTTGTTCTTCTTCTTTAGATGCTCATAATGATTCAAGTTCTTCTGCTTTGCAGCCGCCGAAGTCTCGCTGAATTGATCGATCAAGTACTGTTTGTGCGAAATTAATTAGAGCCTCTCTATCGCTTAAAAGATCTCCATTTTCTCTATGCTTGGAAACATAGCGTTCTTCAAGTCTTTCTACTTTCTTTTGAAGGTTTTTAACTTCTTTGTTTTTTTCTTTTACTCCACCCATTAAGGAACACTTTTCTTATAATATAATAAAAATTATAAAAAAAATTAAAAAATTATAAAAAAATGGCAGCTTTCTGAATGTTTTTATATGGGAGTTAGAACATTAAGCAAAGTTGGGTAGTCAGGTTCTTCTGCCATATTATGGAAAACTGGGAAAAATATCACTATGAGAGCAATCTTTTTTAGCCTCTTTCACCACTTTTGAGGGTCAATATAGATAATAATCTTTATGCAAATAATAGAAATTTCTTATATTTCAAATGAAAAGAAATCTTAATTTCTGAACGAAACATTTTACTGCCAAAAAAATTGGCATATGAATATGAAATTCATATTTATATGCATAAAAATAGGCTAAAGTTTACAAAATTTATATTTAATTGATTTGCAACTATGTATATTGCGCAGGATCATTAAAGTAATGAAAAATAAAAAATTAATACCTAAAAGTAATGAATTAAAGTTAAATCCACAAAGAAACTATCATCACTGTAAAAGTGATAAGATTGGCATTTGAAGCAGCCCAGTATAGGCTTGTATAGATACTTTGAACACAAAGGTCATTTCCTTGCACTTTAGGATAATAATTCCAATAGAAATCAGCTGCATTAATATCATCTAGTTTTCCAATTAGTGATAAGCAAGAATCTGCGTCTCTTCTAACAGTATTGCATACAGAAGCTGATGCCTTGAGCGCTGTCACCCATTTATTAATCAAACTTTGGCCTGGAGCATCTCCTATGAATGGATTGCAATATGATTGGCCTGCAGAATTATAGCCGCATTGGCATGTGCTTAAGTACATATTTGTTCCATCTGTCCCTAAACAATCTGTATTTTGCGTGCAATTTGTTGGTAATGTTTTGCTACTAGTAGGAGCAGTTGAACAGACTCCTAATTGTCCATAAAAGTTTCCCGTTTTAGTGCAATATCCAGAGGCACACATTTCAGACAGCCCGTTTTGGCAGTCTGTTACGACTAGTCCATTAGCAACTGTAGAATATTGAGTGCAAGTTCCATTTGATGATGAATAAGTTGCATTGCAGCTTGCATAATTGACACAGTCGAGATAGCTTCTACAGCCAGATACTCCTATACCAATTTGAGTAGCGCAAACTCCTCCTGCTGAACACATAAGTCCAGGATTGCATTGCTCGTGGAGAGTGCAGGTGTCTCCTTTTGACTGTCCTGTGCATTTGGAACTAGTGCAAATTCCAAATTTGCAATCTGTTTGAGCAGAGCATGGCTCTCCAGGGTAATTTTGGAGAGCAGCAACTGCAGGTGTGGCTCTGCAGGTGAGATTCAAGTTTGTAGTGTTACAGTATGGGGTGGTGGAGGTGGAAGAGCATGGAGTTAAGTAAACGTTTGTGCCTGATACCAAACCACATGATCCTGTAGGAATAGTGACGTTTGAGGTCTTACAAGAATACGACTTGCAAGAAATTGTTGAGAGCAGATCTTCGCTGTGATTGTTTAGCCACCTTGCGGAGGAAATGGCAAGAACCATAGCCAGCACTAAATTCTTCAACATATTTATTATTATCTGACAGAGTGATGGTTTTTTTGAATTATGAAAATTATGGATAAATAAATTCTATGTATCTATGCTATGTAGCAATTAAAGTAATTCAATAAATTATGTATGCTAAATTAATGATTATTTACAAAATTAGAATAGTCATTGAAATAAGCAAGAAAAATATAACTGATTAATGATATTTTCTATAACTAAAATAATAAATATTTAAGGGCGCATTTAGCTTAATTTACGTTTCTTTTGCAATATTGGAGTTAGCTTTAAAATCACTGGCAAAAACTAGATAGCAGTATGCAAAGCTAAAAAGTGGCATCAACTTTAAGTTCTTTAAATTTCTTTCGTTTTGCAGGCTTTTAGAAATATTATTAAAACTCCTAGAATTAACAAACTTATCTATTTTTTGATTTATGTAGTTCAAAATAGTATTTTTTATTATGATTTTCAAGCTTTTCCGTATTTCTAAGTTGGGATAAATAGAAATTTATATTCTATTTTAAAGGGATTTTGGTTATTAAAACTTCAATATATCCTAATTACACCTATATAGATATCTTTCATGAAGTCATCAATAAGTAATACATATGAGATTTAAGTTTATTAATTTAAATTATTTTCTTTGGCTTCTGCTATCATCAGCTTCGTATCTTCCTGTAATCGAAGGTTTTTCAGCTGCTGAGTTAAATAAACTTGTTTCATATTTCAAAGGATTGAGTCTTTTCTGACTTTTATGGTTGTCTTCTGCCTTAACAAAGAAAGATCCTGGCAAGAAATCTATTGACGATGCTGTTTTTGGAACTTTATTTTGTATTGATGGTGCATAGTAATTTGATTTTGATTCTGGTTGCCATGAAATTTGGCTTTCAAGATATTTTTGTGACCTAATCGGTTTTTTCGGACTTTCATTTACTTTAAAAACTTCTCCAGATAATGGATTATCCCTACTTGTTGTTAGCGTTGGATTGTTTGATCTAGCTTCAAAATCTGAACTTGCACTACTTTTATCCCAAAAATTATTATTATGAGCAGGATTAATTTTTTTTTTACCCTGCTTATATTCAATTGGTCTTTCTGGAAAGGTAGGATCAAGTGTTCTCCTGGACAGACTTTCCTGTTCGATTCTTTTTTGAGAAATATGCTTGCTTGGCTTATTGCTCTCAAATAGGGAAGAAGTTGAATGACTGAACGTTAAACTTGAAGTAAGTCCTCGCTTTTCTAAATTACTTGAAATGGGAGATTTATTTATCATTAGTTTTATATTTCTCTATTGATTTCCTAAAAATAAATAGGATGCTTTACTTATAACACTGTTTTTTTAGGATCAAATTCTATCCAATTTTAGCATCCTTTTAGTTTAATAATAGCATAATCAGTAGGAATCAATTTTTAGCTTTTGTGCAACTATGCAATACAAAATTTTTCAAATACTCGTAGCTTAATATTTAAATAATCCTAATTCTTTGAGAATATTTAGATTATCAAAAAGTGGAGCATAAAAATAATAAAAGAATAATTTAATAATATATACCAGCATGCTGAGAGGCAATTTAGAGTGAAATAAAGAAATAAAGCTAATAAAATAGGGGAATTCATAACTTTATCATCTCTATACATGATATTATGAATTATGCACTTGTCAAAAAGAAATTTAATTTAATGCTCTTTCTGTTATGTTTTATCTTCAATAGCTTCCTCTGCAGGAAGATGAACTCTTTTCGAAGAAATAAAGAAAATGGGAGAAACTTAAGCAGAGCTAATAATTAAAATAATTTTTTATACCTTAATGCTAGCACTTTGCAATGCGTTTCTGATATAATTATAAAAAATGTCATTTAAAGCTTCTTCCTTCTTGAAATTAATTCATGTATGTCCAATTAAAATTTTAAATGCTTTTTCTTCTTCAGTCTACTGCTAATCTTTAAATTTGTTTATCTTTTTATCATCCATAAAATTTTTTCTATCTATTATAGACATAATAGCTTGATTTGAAAAGAAATATAATAATCAATGAAAATAAGGCAATCCAAAACTCCAGAAGAGAACCCTTTCACTTTATCAGGAATTTCTGCTAATTCAGATAGCCATTATCCAAGTCCACATTACAGAAATTTGAAATTTTCAAGTAATCTTCTTGAACGTCACTACCAAAATGTAATAACGAGCAACGAGGCAAGCGCTGCACAACTAATAACCGAACTCCAATATCGGCTTAAAATTTTTTTATTGAGCTATTATCTCCTATTTGGAATATATCTTCTTCTTTATATCATCGGCTTCTCTTTAAGTGATAGCTCTTCTCAAGTTTTCGGCTGCCAGCTTGGCCTGCTTTTAGGGCAAATTTTGATAAGTTCAGCAATTTATTTATTAGGGTTTTACACTGTGACTATTAATAGCTATCGTCCAGAGCTTCTCCAAATAAGCTATTTTTTGGCAGCGGTTATGCTTATTTTAAACAATGGACCAGTCCAAGGGGCAATGTTTGACGACAATTCTATAACTTATATGTCCTGCTTGCCAGGATTACTCGTACTACTATCCGTTTCTAAATTCATCCTTATCACGAATTTTTTGAATTATTTTCTATGAAATACCTTGATAGCAGTGATTTTTCTTATTTCACATATTTTTGGCTACCAGCACTTAGCAACGACACTTTTCGAGGTCGGGCTATTTTACTATAGAGTCTTAGTGGAAACCAGGACTTTTTACACACATGAAGCAGTCACAAGAAAAAAGTTTCAAATGACAGTAAATGTTACTGAAGGATATGACGAAGCAGGAGGCCATGGATTTTCTGAGCCAAAATCAGAGCTTGAACAAATTATTGAGTGTTTATTAGAAACCATTACAAATGCTAAACAAATCATTGCAGATATGTCAGCTAGTGATAATAAAAGTAAAGTAATGAGGATTCACGAACTTGTTAATGGTGTCATAGGGAAAATAAGAACTCAAACTAACATTTATTCAGCAGATATTGAAACGATTACTAAAGGTCTTGATGAGGAAGATAGAATTTTCATCAAGCAAACTCAAAATGACCAAACAAAGGTGCTTCCTATAAGGCCAAGAAATAAATTGAGGATCAGAAAAACTGATGAAATTGCGCTTACATATAAGGTATATGAGTTTGAAGAGCTGATTGGGATTTTGAAACATATAGGGAAAAATTGGAATTTTGATATGTTTTTCTTACAAGAATGCACTCGAGGAAAACCCCTTGTCGCGGTAGGTAAGTATTCTATTGGAAAATATCGAATCGATGAAATTCTCAACATAAAAGAGATGATATATGTCAATTATTTCCAAGATATGGAGCAAAGGTATAAAACAGATAATCCATATCACAATTCCACTCATGCAGCTGACGTGCTTTCATCATTTTTATTTTTCATTAATCAATCAGTTTTATTAGAGCTCTTTTCTGAATATGACATGCTCGCTGTAATCATTGCTGCTTTAGGGCATGATGTAGGCCATCCAGGCTTAACAAATCGATTTTTAATAGTCAATAAAGACGACCTTGCAAATACATGTAAATTTTATTTAGATAATGATTATTCCGTTCTTGAAATGATGCATTGCTCATCAACTTTTTATTTGATGAAAGGACAGGACTCAAATATTTTAGGATTTATTGATGCTGAGCATTACACAAGTGTTAGGAAGTTGATTGTTGAAATGATTTTGGCAACAGACATGAGTAAGCATTGGGATTTGTTAGCTCAGTTTAAAGCAAAGGCTTTAAAACCTCCCCAACAGTTTGAAACTGTAGACCAGAGGATTGATATTCTGAAAATGAGCATTAAAGCTGCAGATGTTGGCCATGCCGCTAAAAGTATCGACCTTCATCAAAAATGAAGCAAACTTGTGATTGAAGAGTTTTATAGGCAGGGAGATATGGAAAAAAAACTGAATCAGCAAGTTTCTATGTATTGTGATAGAGAAAAAACAGACACTGCCAAGTCCCAGGCAGGGTTTATAAGAGTGATTGTTTTGCCATTGTATGAAGCTCTGTCAAATTATTTGGGCTCACCTCGAGTTGATGAAAACTGCTTACTCTTCCGTTATTAGTTGCAAAAAATTGTTTAAATATGAATTTTTTGGGTAAATATTTAGATATTATTATAATAAGATAGCTAGCAAACTATATTAATTTTAAACACATTACATCCTGATTATCCTTTTAAATATAAATAAATCTGAAAATTTTTTATATAATTGTTTATTTTTCTATAAAGGAGAGCCTCTTAAGGGGAGGAAGTAATTTAACGTAATTCCTTAATTCCTAAAATAACTTTTTAAAGCCTAAAATGTTTTATATAGCTTTTGCGAAAAATTAAAATTAACCATTTTTCATTAGCAAGCAAATAATCTTGCTCAATTAAATGGTGGGATTTAGATCAATTAAAATCCAACTTATCATCCTGAGAATATGAAATGAACCGAAATAAAATTAAAACTCTCAATTATAACACAGAAGATAACAGCAAAAACGTGATAGCCCAGAAAGAGGTACCGATAAGGAGATCTGGCACGCAAAGAGTGCTTGATCCAACTAAAAAAAAAATTTGGCCAGTGTAGTTTATATAGATTGTATCGAAAATAATAACTATTGAAAATATAACTTATATATTCCGATTAAAATAATTATGGGCTGCTGTTTCTCTGACGGAGCTCTTGATGAGCCTAGACAAAAAGGCAAGGGGGATAATAAAAAGCAAGAAACAGCAGAAGAGACCAAAGAATTTGAGACTGAAGTTTCCCGAAAAAGTGCATCAGTGAAAGGAGTCAATAAAGGAACTTTTGTAAAAATGCTAAAAGAGCCAGTCCAAAATTTCTATGAGGTCACTAAAGTCGTAGGAGAAGGAGGTTTCGGCAAAGTTTATATCGTTAAAGACAAAAGAACTAATGCTATTAAAGCCATGAAAGAGGTTGCGAAAACCAATGTTGATATGAACAAAAAGGTGGATGAAGAAATTGCAATCCTTAAAGAACTTGTAACTCCCCCCCATCCTTGATCGAACGATTGACTGTAAAAATTCCTAAAAATTGGGGAAATTAACCCCAATCCTTAATCGAACGATTTTAATATCATGCAAATTTTTATATATATAAAACTATATTAGTTATCAAAAGCTTGGGAAGATGTAATAATGAAGTTGTTTTCAGAGCTTTGAGACGACAAAAAGCTACGGAATCAACCATCAGAAGTGATTTAGCCATCAATCTAGGCTTAAAAAACTCAATAATCTAAAAAAAATATAGATTTTTTAAAATTTAAAAAAAATAAAATATTAATTCAATAAGGAACAAATTAAAATTTATACAGTTTAAAGGGGTGACTAATAAATCAAAACATTAAAAATTGGTATTTTTATAAGATTAAATCAATTTTTTGCTGTAAAAATAATTATTCAATACTCTTAACCTCTTATTTAAAAGTAAATAAAAACAATATACATATATATTTTATTTTATATATAAAATTTTTTTCCCAAAAAATTTTTTTTAACCGAACGATGGCGAGCCGTTCGATCAAGGATGGGGTGGGAGTAAGAATTATTCTAGGATCACCCAAATATCATGAAAATATATGAAGTTTATGAGTCTTCAAAGTATTACTATATTTGATATCTTTGAATTTGTCAACGGCATAATTTAGTAATCGATAAGATTGCCATATTTTAGTATTAATCTAAGACAAGGAATAATCTGGCTATTCATACAATAACCTAATTAATTTCATATAATATATACATCGTAACTGAGCTAATTTCAGGAGGCGAACTATTTGATAAAATAATCAGTGCTCAGCATTTCAGCGAGAAATTAGCTGCCAAATATATGTACGATATTATGGGAGCAATTAACTATTGCCATAGCAGAGGAATTGTGCACAGAGATCTTAAGCCAGAAAATTTATTATTGGACTCGAAGGATGATGATGCCAATCTTAAGATAATTGACTTTGGAATTTCAGAAAGACTAAAGGCCAATGCTAAGTTGAAAGAAACAATAGGAACTGTAAATGCTATTTAGCTTTATTATATGGCTCCTGAAGTAGTTAAAGGGGAATATGATCAGAAATGTGATGTTTGGAGTGCTGGAGTAATTTTATATATCATGCTTTGTGGAAGACCTCCTTTCTATGGAAATTCAGCCTTAGAGCTGCTAAACTGTATTAGGAAAGGACCCAAAATGACAGACGAATTATGAAACTCAATATCTGCAGACGCAAAAGACCTTATCTCAAAAATGCTTACAATAGAGCCTGCACAACGTCTTAGTGCAGGCGAAGTATTGAATCATCCGTGGCTGCATAAATATGTGAACAATGCTATAGAAGACACAAAAATTTCTGTTGATGCCTTATCCAATCTCGGCGCTTTCCGAGCTGAAAGCAAGCTGGAAAAATCAATTTTAACTTTTATAACTTCACAAGTATTTGGAGAAAAAGAGGAAGCAGAGCTTGCTGACCTATTCAAAGCTTTGGATGCAAATGGAGATGGAAAGCTCAGCCAAGAAGAGTTATTAAATGGATACCATCAACTGAGACTGACTTCTCCTGAAGAAGTAAAAGAAATAATGAAAAAGTGTGACAGTGACAGGAGCGGATTTATCGATTTCACTGAATTTATAACAGCAGCAACCAATTGGAATCAGATTTTGCAAAAAGAGCAGCTTATATCAGCCTTTAAGTTATATGACACAAGTGGGGATGGACAATTATCTTTACAAGAGCTCAAAAATGGAATACCAGGAATTAAAGATAGTGAATGGGCTGAGTTCCTAAATGAGGCTGACAAGGATGGGGATGGAAACATTAGTCTCTACGAGCTAAAGGAGTATTTAACCAAAAAAATTATGAGTTAAGTAATTAAACCATCAAGGAAATTATAAAACATCCTCACAATCTTTTAAATATCGGGGGGTTTGATTTTCTGGTGTAGTTAAAAATTCAACAAACAGTTCTCTTTCAGTAAGTCCTGAAGGACTAACTTTGAAATTTACCCTAGTTTGTTCAACATCGAGAAGAATTTTATTCAATTTCTGTTCCTGGTCTTTAAGCAAGGTTGATAGTGATAAATAGTTTTCTCTACCGTCAGCTCTATGCTCACTTTTTATTATGTCTAAGTTATCCAATAATTTTTCAGATTCAAAAAGCATGGTTTTTGAAGATTCTAATATGGCTCCAATTGACCTTTTATAAGCCTGCTTCGCTTCTTCCTGCTTTTCAAAAACTTTTTGAATCATCTCTATAAGTCTATCATAGGTAAGATTTGTGCTTTGATTTTGAGTTTCAATTATCTGGTGGAGCTCGTTAAGTGTTGCATCTCTTTCGTCTATTGTTTTTCTTTCAGCTAATTGCAGCTCACGCCTATTTCTAAAAGTCCTATACTGATCTATTCTGAAATCGGTTTGTGCTTTGATATCTTCAAGAAAAGTCTTTATCTCAAACAAGCAGTCGTACTCACTTTGAACTCTTTCTTGTTCTAGCAAAATTCCAGCCATTGCCAGTAGATGTTTTTTCTTTTGTTCCTCTAACAATCTTGTGACTTCTTGCAGCTTGATCCCTTCATACTCACATCTCTTATCAGAAAGTTCGTTATGCGACTCTGATAAATTTTCTTCAGCTTGGAGTTTTGCGATTTCTTTGATAACTGAGCACAATTCTTCATTGACTATTTTTTCATTTTCTTTTTCAAGCGCATCTAGTTCTTGTTTGATCATATTAGTTTTGGCATTAATAATATCATCTTGTAAGAATTTATCTTTTTGCTCTCTCAGTACTATATCTTCTAATGCTTGCAAAGCAGACTCATATCTTTGTTTTGCAGCAGAAGCTTTAGTTTCTTGTTCAAGATTCTTAAGGGATAATGATTGCAATTTAACCCTTTCAGCGCAGAGCTCTGTGTATTCATCAGCTCGATCTGACATCAAGCAATGGTGGTGAACGCTAAAATCAATTGCTTGCACGACCTCTTCAATTTGTTTGGAATATTGGATTACAAGTCTTGATAGCTGCTCATCAGTTGAGGTGTATTCTTGGACCAATGAAATTGATAGGACGTTTGAGCTTGAATTAAATCGCTTCAAAAAAATTTCTAGAGTTTCAAATAGCCCTTTAAGACTTTCATTAAATTGGCTTTGCAGAGAAGTCATTAAACTGCTTATTTCGATTTCTTCTTCGTTTCGTAGCTCATTTTGTAGGCGAACTATTTCTTGTTCTTGCTCTTGCTTTTGTTTTTGAAGTTCTTCAATAAGACTCGGCTGGACCAAGTTGATGAGATCAGATTTATAACTATTAATATCAAGCAATTCAATGATTTCTTGCAGAGATTCATAGTCCAGCTTTGTTTCTAAGCCTTCATAGACTTCTAGTTCCTTCGCAGTAAGAAACTGAGTTTCGTTCATAGAAACGAGAAGCCATTGCAACAAGTTATTAATTCTTGGAAATGCAAAAATTCATTCAAGCGACTGAGGGTTCTGGGGCAATAATGAAGGAGATATGCCTTGAGACTTAGCCCAATCTTCGAATCCTAATTCTTTGAGTTTTTGGAATAATTTATTTCCAGACATAGTCCCGCTTTGATATATTAATTAAATTTATTTATTTAAGTTAAAAATTCGGGTAAATTTTATGCATCAAAATGCTCACTCCATCTCTTTAAGAACGAGCAAGAAATTTTTGTTCGATCTTCATAGGTTAATTTTTTGGCTCAAAATCCTATATTAAAAGTATATAACCATTGAAATATTTTAGATCATTATTGGCCATCCATTTTAATTTTCAAAATTAATTTGTACTTATCCATTTTTTTTGAGAAGTAAAAACTAAAATGACAAATCTCCGTTTATGGTTTTAAGATGCCTAATCAGACTTAGACTGCATAAGGCAGGCATTATTTCTGATCAGTATTCTGCAGGGGTATAGCGATTTATTATGGTGCATAATTATATATAAATTTTTTTTCGGATTTTTTAAATTTCAAAAAGTGCTAAAAAATTCAAATTTATTTATGTTTTTGAATTAATAGAGTCAGCTTCATATCTCAATATAGCAATTATTTATTATTTAGATAAAATTATTTATATATAAAAATTTTGCTTGCTTAAGAGAGGGGATTAATTTCACCGCTACTTATATTTTCCTTTATGGTTTGCTCTCTCTTAGAGAGGGGAATTATAATTTTTCTAAATCAATTTAAAATAGCAATTTTTAATTATAAACAATCTATATTTCTTTATTTTTCTTTGCTGTATATTCAATTATTGCCTCCATTCGTTCTTTAAGTTTTCTTAGCTGAGCATCAATTCCTACATCATTCGGAGTCAAACTCTGAGTGTCAGAGATTGTAGGACTTCCTCTGCTTTTCAAAAACACAGAGTCATTGTCTACTGACTTTTTCCTTTTTCTGTTTGTAATGGTTAAGAGCCCTGGTGGAGCATAATATGGACTTTTATTTGAAATCCGAATCAACAAGTCTTTGCTTGAAGACTTGTTATTGACCTTTTGTAAACACGCATAGCTTTTGGATCTCATTTCTTCTCCGCTGTTAAGAAATTTTAACGAAACCACTTTCAAGCCTTGGTTTCTTGTTACCTCCTGCTGCTTTTTGTTCATTTCTTGCTTCAAATGGCCTATATATCTAGCCAATGTAGATACATCTTTTTCTTTTTGCAGAGATTCCTTTATTTCATCAAAAAAGCTCTCATACCTTTCAAATTTTTTTTTTAACTCATCTTTTTCTTTCTCAGATTCATTAAAAGTTGTTTTTAACACAAGAAGTTCCTTGTCCTGCTCACTGATTTCCTTTGCCAGAACCTTAATATCCATAATTATTATTGTTATAATTGAATTACTGCTATTTAAGGCAAATAATAAAAATCGACAATTGGCCCACACAATATATCAGTTCGGTTGCTTTCGTCACCTTGCACAAAAATTGTGTTGGCAAAAGTAAAAACTGTTTCATCCCTTCCATTTGCTTGCAGTAAAGAATCTACACATTTGAAAGTCTTTGCACCAGAGAGCTTCAAATAAATTGTATAAAAAATACCAGGCTCTATTTTAACAATAGTTTCAAACGGGACTTTTGTTACTCCAGACATAAAGTCAGCAACCAAGGTTACTGGAAAACTATGAAGATATACAACTTCGCTTCTAGAGCTTTGCCCTTTGAGGAGTTTCATTTCGTTGATTACTGTTGTTTTTTCAAGCTTATATGGGGTGCAAACTCCAATCCCTGATAAATAAACTTGTTTGTTTGACTTGAAACTCAAAGCATCTATTCTGCCTGAGTATTTCCAATTCAAAGCTTTGACATTCCTTGATCGTCTGATGCTGCATTCTTGTCTGGCTGGGTTGAAAACTCCAATGTTTCCTATTTTTTTTAAATTGCTTGTAAGCCACTCTTCATCAATTGAAACGTCAACCCGATACCCGTTCTGTGGGTTGTCTTCTCTTTCGTTTTTGCTGCACATGCTCTGAAACAGCTGCGCAATATGCTCTAAATAATACTGCTCTTGATTCTCCACAATTTTTCTCATCCCTTGGAATTTGCCTCTGACTGCTTCTTTATTTTTAATTGAATTTTCCTTTCAGTTCGCCAGTAAACTTTCAGCTTTTTCTTTTCTTTGGGTGCACTCTTTGATTCGGAACTTATAAGCACTTTCAATTTGGTCCAAATGAGAATTAATCAAGTTTTCTAGTTCTGGGTCATTTAAGTTTAGCAGCCCATGGTTGCTATGTTTTACTATACCTAAATATTTAAGCCAAATTATTTTCGCTAACTCTATGATACCTTATTTTTTATATATAAATATTAGAGCTTAGAATTGCAGCTACTTTTAGTTTGGTAATTAGGTATACACATTGAAGGCAGAGAGGATATTTGCACACCTTGCAATAAAACAGCAGCTCTTCATGAGTACACATTTCTACTTCAGAAGGATTGAGCTGGGCCTGAATTTGAAAGATGGTGATATTTTTGGGGAGCTCTTTTAGAGTTCTGGACTCTAAAGTTCGACAATGTGGGCATCTTAAGGGCTCAGGGAGAAGAATGAGGCAGTTTTTGCAAAATGTATGCCCACAGCTCAGCATAAGGGGTACTCGTTCTTCTTGGTCGTATTCTTCAAAACAGACAGAACAATAGGTCAGACTTTCTACCATTATTTATCTTCTTTTAATTTCTCTTTTATTTATTATATCTATAAAAATGAATTATTAAAAGTTTATTTTTGATGGAATATAATGCTCATATACCCCTAACCAGGATAAATTTTACATGTAAGAATTTAATCGTTTTGAGGGTCAGATTTCTTTTTGAGCTCTTTTTGAATGCTTATTGGCAATAATTCCATGAGTTTCGGAAGTAAATTTGTAATTAATTTAGCCAGCGGAGCGGATTCTGTTGATCTTTCACCACTTTCAGGATCAGGAAGCTTAGCCATATCAGCCACTCTTGAGATAGCTTCTAAGAACTCAATAAAAGACATCTGAAGATGTCTATCATAATCTAACTCATTTGGCTGAGTCATCATTGCAAGATTAAAAGCCATATTAGTTTCCCTAGCTGTAAATGTCTCAGTTAACAACTGACCTTCTATGCAAATGCCATCAAATTCTTGCAAACACATAAATGGTTTTTGGCCAGGCTTGACTTTCAATTTTGAATACTTTGCATATACTGCTTTTAGTAACGAAACATTGGCTTTTAAAACATTGTCAACTTCTTCTGTGATATATCGTGAAAATCTTCACTTATCAGCTAAAATATGACTTAAATTTGGCTTAATATGGTTATTAAGCATAATGTAAACGGCTTCTGATGCAGTTGTAGCTTGACCTGATTTTAGAAATTTGTCTAGAGAGATACGCACTAAAATTTCCATAAATTGATATCTTATTAGTGCATTGGCAGGATTTCTTGGATTATTCTTGATTTCTGTATATAAAGCTGCCTTTGTATGGAAATCTAAATCTGCAAGCCGAAAATTAGAATCAAAAATTTTTGCTTCATTGCAGAGATCAGTCAAAACCATTTGGCCAATAGATCAAATTTCTCCTTGTGGACTGAGAGATGAATAATACTTATAAACTTCCTTTATGACACGATATGCTTCCCATAGCATTTTGCTAACTTTGGTTTGCTCTTCTGGATCTTTTACAAGCTTTGGGATTTTTGACCTTTCTCAGTCAAGAATAAAGTAGTATTCGGTTCGAAAGTACTATAAGTCTCCTTCACTTTTCCCCAGAGAGCTTCTTCGGTCTAATCTTGCTAAGACAGAGGCACTGCTCCAAGCGCATCAATAGGCTTAAGGTTTTTCCTCTTAGCACACCTGAGGAAGGTGACCCTCAGGCAGAGCATGCGCAGAGCAGAGTAAAGGGAAGCGAGTGAATTAACACTGTGAGGCTTTCTGGATAGTCGAGGCGAAGTTTATTTTATATTGCTGAGCTTTCCTAAAATATCGCATGACATCGAAATGCCCGGTAACGTCATTACTTTGGAGTTAAAAGGGCGCGCCGTGGCTTCCATCCTACTGAAGAGAGTAGCACATTCAATACTAGCTCAGCCATTTAAATTGGAACAAAATATCGGTAAAATTTGCATTTTTTGGGTACTTAAACCCCTTTAAATTGTAACAAATTTGTTTTTCAATAGGAAAATTTTTTCTATTTTTATAAAATTTGTTTTTACCTAATATAATAGACAAAATGCAAGTAGAGTGTCATTTATAAAAATAAATTAAAATTCAAAGTATTGTTCTCAATTTATATTTTTTTAAAAAAATTTAAAGATGAAATACTAATTTTCATAAAATTAGTTTTGACTAATTAATAGAAAAAGTTCAAGTAGAATATTATTTAATTAATTTTCACACTGAATTGATTAATTTCTTTATTTAATTCTTCATAAGAATAAAGTAAAATTCAAAGTATTGTCCTCAATTTATATTTTTTAAGATTTTAAGAAAATTTAAATATAATTTTTTAAGAAAAAAAATTAGCCCCCCTTTAAATTGGAGCAGGATGCTTTATTCCAATTTAACGGGGAGTAAGCAAAATAAGTAAGACATAAGATCTTTCTCAGTCAAACTCAAAGCATTTTCTCAACAGTTCCTCATCATCAAATTTATAATCTTTAAAAATCGATATTGGTATTCCCCAAGCCCTTTTTACAACGAGTGGCACAAATTTTCTTCTTGGTACTCGGGGCTTAGGGCTCGTCTCTTCTAAGGAAAGCAAGTTCGGTCCTTTTTGATTGTCTTTGACATTTGCATCACATATATCAACTTGAATTTTGCAGCCTGGGTATAGTTCAATTTCTCTCGAATAATCGCATGGTAGCTCTGTCACCCTTTGATTTGGATTATTTTTAATTTGAGAATTATGTGTGTAAAAATAATAAAACCTTCCGGGTGGGCACATACGAACAAGTTTATATGTGGTTGAGTCAATCTTCTGCATAAGCTCGCCTTCATATCCTTCAAAGCTGAAATGAATGTACACAGGATCCTCTGCAGCTCCAATTCATTCAAACTCAACTTCATTCCACCTTTCACAGATCCAGCAATTACTAACATGCCTTCAGTTCAAATGGCTAGTAATCCTACTATTAGATAGAATTCTGGTAAAAATATGAGCTTGGCCTGGCTTATCGAACTTCGAAGGAGACACAAATCCTAATGCATCAACTATCCCTTGATTTCCCTCCATGTGGATTCCCATTATTGTGTGATTGTGTGCAAGGCCTTCTGAAAGCACTTGGGCATCATTTAAAGACAGCCCATTGTGGGAAAGATCTACATGAAATAATAGCGGGTGCTTTTGAAATGCCCTGGATAAAAACTTGCAGGCGTTGTCTAGGGGAGGTGAAGAAATTGCGTTCCAAGAGAGATCAAGGATCTTCAGAGATTTATTGTGAGAAATTGCCCTGCATATCATCTTTGCCCCCTCACCTCTGATATTATTTCAATGTAGGTCTAATTTTTGGAGCGTAGTTGATAATTCTATAAGTTTTGCTATTGCTTTGCAGCCTTCTAAATTATTCTTAGCTAAATTCAGCTCTATAAGTAATAAGCTGTTTTTCAATGCTTTGCAAAGTATTGAAGCTCCTACATCTTTCATGTGTAAACCTTCTAGCCTAATGGTATGGAGTGATGTGTTCCTCTTTTGAGACATATCAGCAATATACTGAACTACATCGTTGCTCAGCTTGTTATTAGACAAATCAAGTATTTCAAGTGAACTTGATTTAACTCCCTGCAAAATCTTCATTGCTCCTACATCAGTAAGCCTATTGTCGCTTAAAATCAGCTTATTAACTTCAAATTCCTTCATTCCTTCAGATAAAGCTTCAGCATAAGAATCTCCCATCGCGTACATCCCAATATCAATATCTTGGTCTTTTCCTGCTCTTTTTACAATTCCCATCGGAATTGGCGAGAGATGTTTTTCACGGATCTTTTTTAAGTATGAAGTAACAGGGGAGTCTTCTATATTAAAGTGTCTATTTGTTTCAAGGATTTTGTCAATGTTTCTATAGTTATCCACATATTCAAGTTTTGCTTTTTGCCCGACCATGTAAGTTTTTGATCTTCTGCTGCCTGGAAAAAGTTTTTTTTGTCCTTCTTCGTTGAGAACTCTTAACTGGTCATAATAGTTGCTTAAATTGGGAAGTTTTAAAGGAGGAACACTAGGCTTAGGGGATTCAGATCGGCTTACTAGTATTGGCAATTCAACAACTGGCTCTTTCGGAGATTCAGTTATTGAGTGGACAATTGGTTTTCGCCTTGACGATTTTTTCTTCTTCTTTCTCAACCTTGTAGGACTAGCCCCAAAAACTGGAGCTCTTATAGAATGCCTATTAGGGATCGGCATAGGTGAAAAGTAGCTTGACATTATATTAATAAAACTTACATTAATTAGCTTAGCTGGGAGGGCTGGATTCCCATTATCGCGTATAAGTTAAGACGGATTTCTTTAAACCTCGGCCGAGAAATGGGATCTACTGTGCAGCATTTTAATATGAGCTCTTTTAAAGGCTCTGGCATTTCTTCACTTACTTCAAACGGATATTTGAGGACAAGTCTCCGCTGGACTCCAAGCAAATCTAAACCACTTCATGGCTGAAGCCCTGTAAAAAGCTGATATAAAACACAGCCATATGCTCATATATCTGTTTTTGTAGAGCACGCAGGGTGATCTTCATATAGTTCAGGGGCCATATATCGGATTGTGCCTTGGCAAATTTGTGTGTTTTCTATACTATTTGTATTTGCAACTTGCTCAATTGTTCTTGACAAGCCAAGGTCACCAATTTTTACTTGATTAAACTGGTCTAAAAGAATATTTTGAGGCTTTAAGTCTCTATGGACAATCGGGGGTTTCTTATTGTGTATATAATTCATCCCTTCAGCTATCTGAAGTGCAATTTTGAGCTTCTCACTATGATCAAATTTGTTTTTTTCAATAGCATCAGCTAAATTTCCACCTTTTGCCAATTCTGTAACTATACATAATGGCCCTTCTATGCATATACCTAAAAGTAATAGAAATTTATGATGCCTGATTTTTATAAGACTTTGAATTTCTTTTATGAAATCTTCGACAACTTTTGCGTCAATTTTTTCTGAGTTCACAATTTTGACTGCGACCTCAGAGTCTCTGAAATAAGCTCTATAGACTTTTCCGTATCCTCCTTTCCCTAGCTCTTCTCTCATTTTGATTTCTTGGTAGTTGATGATATCAACGCCTAAGTCCCCAAAATCAATTGAAAATTTTTTAGACAACATGCCAGAAATCAGATTTTTCACTTCTAGAGTAAAAGGAGAGTGAGAACTTTCACTGCTTGAAGTCCTTACTAAGATGGATTGCTTTAGAATTTCAATGTGGAGGTCTTCATCTTTTCCATTTTTCTCCTTCTCAATACTTTTTTCTTCTGCTTCTGAAAATATTTCAGATTTCGCTAGCTGAATTATATGAAATTCTTCACCTGTTACTTCATTTTCTTGAACACCGCCACTTTTTTCTGCAGAGAGATCAAGCGACATCACATCATCTTCAATTTCTTCGCTGGCAACATTATTTTCCTCAAAAATATCATTACTTTTTATATCGCTATCATCACTTTTAAGCTCGTTCTCGCTCTCTATTTCTTTTGCTTGTAAAAATCTCCTTTTTGCTTTTCTTTCTAATTCCTCAGTGATCAATTTTGCGATGTTTCTTTGATCATCTACTATTAAGCATATATCAAAAGCTGTTGTATTATCATTATCAGCAATACTAACGTCTGCCCCTATTTGTATCAAGACACGGGCACAGTCATAGCATTGATTATATGCAGCATAGTGAAGTGGAGTCCAGCCTCAGTTGTCTTTTTCATTGACATCTGCGCCGTTTAAAATTAGCATTTCTACTATTTCTGCGTTAGAAGCTAGATGCAGAGGAGTCATTCCATAGGCATTTTTTGTTTGATCGATTCCTAATTCTTCAATGCAAACTCTAGTCATCTCAACACTGCCTATTGAGGCTGCAATATGCAGGCAGTTGTTTCCATTCTTATCAATTTTATCAGGCGAAATATAAGCAGACATCAATCTGAGAATTGTTGGATCCGAGGAATGTACAGCATTTAATAGCGCGTTGTGACCATATTCATCTTCAGAATTATAGTCAAGGGTTTCAAAGTTTGAAATAAGATATTCTATATCAGAGAGAAATTGTTTTTCATGATTATTAGTAATTAATCAGAGAAATATACTGTAAGAGGAATAATTAAGAACTGTTTTGCTTCCTAGCCTGCATGCATAGAGTAATGGAGTGAAATTTCAGTACCCGACCTATTTAGCAATTACCAATTCAAGAGGAACATTTGGATCCAATTGGTATAAACACATTTCTAGCTGCTCAACATCGTCATGCTCAATTGAGTTCTGAAGTAGTGTCTTTACATTATTTACGTCTATCGCCATCGTTTCCTAATATGGTAAGAAGCCTTTCCGCCCCCAGCTATGACATATTAAATAAGAGAAAAGAAATGCTAAGGATCTTTCAAAACTCAAAGTCTATTACTTTTTTGAACATTAAGAATTAAATATAAACTTTAATAAAAAATAAAGCATACATAGGTTTTTCAAAATATTCTTTAAGTTTCAAAAACTTTATTGCTTATTTTTATTAACAAATTTTTTGATTTTAATTAATTTGTTTTCATTTTAGAGCATAGTATAATGATTCTCGAACCAAACTGCTTAGCGTATTTTTTGCAAGGAGTATAACCAAGAATGGTTAAGCTGCGAAAGCTTATTAGATCTATGATAATCCGAATGAAATAGTCAAAAATATAATTCTAAACTGTGCTTTCTTTGTTTAAAAGTTGATATTGATCCTCAATCAAATTATCCAGAAATATTTTTGAATTTTGACAACAAAAATAAACTTAAAATGGCGATTAATGAATAAAAATGCCTTAGCATAGTTTTACATTTTTTACGTTCTTCCTTGATGCCCACCGAAATCCTCATATTCTAAAAACCCAGCTTTTTCTTCCAGTCCTTCAGAAATCCAATAATCATCATAATCATCATGATCATCGCAGTCATATGATTTGTGGCACCTCTTATGATGGTGGCGTCTAGGACAAGTACAATTTGTTTGGTTGCTAGGAGGTGTTACAGTTTGATTATTCAAAGGTGTGGTGCAATTGCATGAACAATTACAAGAAAAGCAGTCACACGTGCAATTACAGCTACAATTCCCAACCCCAGTGGTATTTGTGCTTGTATTTGTTGGCTGGACTCCAATTGTTAGGTTTCTTCCTTCATCTTTATCATCCCAATCATGACTCCATCCCCCAAGCTCTCTTGTCGATCTGCCTTTTATATCGTCTATGCTTGCTGCAAATGTAGCGACACAAAGAATAAGCAGAAAAGCGTACTTCATCAGAATTATTATTAGTAATTAAACGCACCATTTAAAAATCAACATTCTGGTACTATCTACTATCCATAATAATATTAATGAATTAATGGCTATGAGTAAATTATTTCCAAAATGGCTTTGTGGAATAATGGATAATTGTATAATAAATGCAGCATATATGCTTTTATAAACAGATTTTGCCGAAATATTCTTATGGAGCAATTTAAAAATATTTTTAAGGCTTTCATCAAGAAATATTAGTTTGTAGGATATTTTCTAATTTAGTGATAAAAATTGGGCAATAGAGAAATCAAGAGTGATTTCAATTTTAATAGCAAGATAAAATAAGTTTATTGAAACCAATTTTAGTTTATTATATATCTGCAGATTTTTCTAAATACTGAAATTGATGAACACGAGGCAAGTATGCTTTTAGCTTTTCAGTGTCTAAAATATTTCTGAGTCTATTAATGCAAACTCCATAATCCCAATCTCCCTCGTTTTGCCCTACATACTCTTTAAGAATGTTATAAACCTGCAAAAAATTATCTGCTCCCATTTCTTGTTCAAGTTCCAGCCTCATTTCTTCCAGCTTATTATACATCGATACTTCATTATTAGTTGAGCTTCCTTCTGTTTTACTTGCAACTTGAACAGTCCCAATATTTACCAGCTCATCTTCTCTATCCACAATTTCTTCATCAGGGATTTCTATTTCTGGAGCTGGTGGATTTAAGTCTTCAGGCTCTTCTTCGACCCCTTCGCTTTCGCATGCTTCTTGAAGCCTTTCAATCATTCTTTCTCTTTCATAAACATCAGGGTCTCCCATCCACTCAACTAGCCCTGCTTTTTTTGTCGACTTATTTTCTTTCATTTTTTTCTTAATGTCAGCTCTCATGCTTTTTCTTTCTTCGTCTCTTTCTTTTCTTATTTTTTCTGACCTTTCTTTGTCTTCTTCTCTTTTGGACTTCTCATACTCTTCTTTCAGTTTGGCTTTCTTTTGTTCTTCTTTTGATTTTTTTGCTGGGGTTATTGCTTGTTTTGCTAGTGGTGTTTCTTTTTTTGCTGGCTTTGCCGCTTTGCTTTTAGCAGCTTCTGAAGATTTTGATTTGCTTGGAGCTTTTGCTTTTGGAGCAACTTGTGGGCTTGTTGGTGCGAAAGTGTCAAATTCTGTGTCCCTTTCAAATGAAATAAGCTCTTCTGTTGCAGGTTCAGCTGGGACTTGAACTTCTCTGATTTCTGGGTCTCCTTGAAGAATTGGAGCACTTTGGTTATGTAAAACTGTATGTGAAAATTCTTGAGCCCTGATTGTTTCTGTCAAAAGATTTTGAATTCTTGATTTTATAAATGGAAGTCTTAAAACCTGTGCAACAGTTGGCCTTTTTGCAGGATCTGTTGATAGCATCTGAGATACCAGTGTTCTCATATCTCTAGAAAAGTGTGGAGGAATCTGGCTAAAAGCCCCTCTAACAATCTTTAAAGCAAGCATGTGAAGGGATGAGCCATCAAATGGAGGCTTTAAAGCACAAAGTTCATACAAAAGCACGCCTAAGCTCCATATATCACTTTTAAAGTTATAAGGCTTGCTTTCAATAATTTCAGGCGACAAGTAATAAGGAGTCCCTACCATTGTTCTTGCATTATCTATAGTGCTAGATAACACTTTCGCAATTCCAAAGTCTCCAAGTTTTATCATTCCGTTTTTCATTAGGAAAATATTTTGCGATTTGATATCTCTATGCAAGATTTTTCGATCATGCACATGCTTCATTGCTAAGCATATTTGAACAAATCAGTCTAAAATTTGGCTTTCAGTGAAATATTTGGTTCCTTGCTGTTTGATCTTGGTCTGCAAATCTCCTCCATCAGCATAGTCCATCACAATATTAAGCTTGCCAGTTGTTGTTGTGTATACGTCAACAAAACGGATAATATTTGGATGATCGAAGCTCGACATGATTTTGGCTTCATGATAAGCTTGCTTCTTTTCTTCAGGACTCATGGAGGATATATTAATTTGCTTTACCACTTTTTTAGAGTTGTCTTTTGGATTCTCGCACAAATAGCACTTTCCAAAAGCTCCTTGGCCAAGGAGTTTTATTTGTCTTAAGCCTTCCATTTATGAAGAAACCTTATTTTGGCTATTAAAATAGTCTTAGCTAGATAAAATGTTTGATTATTTAAGGTAATTTTTTTAGTATTGCTAAGTGAAGCTCATTGTTTTTTGTTGTACCTCTAATATCATCATCTTTTAATTCCATTGAAAATTTATTTGAAAATTGTGTAAAAAACGGATCAGATATTTCAGGAATCCTTTGTTTATATGATAAAATTATTGTTGTATCAAGAGAACTCAACTGATATAGTGTTTCACAAAGAGGAACTGCTAGATCCTATTTAGATTTTACTGGCAAATAGCAAACATCTGACATCAAGATGTAATCAAAATGGTAATGCGCTAAGTTTTCTCTATGGTTTTGATCTTCCCAGTTAAGCTCTCTAGCTGTCCATGTATTATCAGAGCATTTTGTATTCGCTTCTAAGTTTCTTTGTGTTAAGTTCAGCACAGGCAGAATGTCGGTTGCTACTACATTTGCGCCTTTATAGAAGCTCAAAATTGAAGGTAAAGCTGTCCCTGCTCCAAGTTCCAAGATTCATTTATTTGTAAAATCTAAATTTTGAATATATTTTGTCATAACATATGAGCTGTCCCAGAATATGCCTCCTTTTCCATATCTGAAGTTTTGATAAATTTTTATTGGATTTTCTAAAAACTCATCAAAAATCAAGAGTTCTACATTTGAATATCGATAATCATCAAAAATATCATCGGTGCTAATTGTAGCTCTCTGGCCTTCAGACATTTAGGGTAATTTTATCAGCATAGTTAATATAAATATGTTCAATAAATATTGGTTTATTTGAAAATTGAGCATTTAAAACAAATATCTAATTAGGCATCCAAGAAAGATTTTAAATGCCTCATTATTCAATTTTTTATTTCTTTATATGTATCATTAATTATTATAGCAAACTGACAATTTAGCCTATAAGTTTTGGAAATTTACAAGTTTCGATCTTGCGATAGGATGATATAATGAGAAACTTTTCTTGATTGATCAAATGTTTTTATAATGGATCGTCTATGCTTGACAGCTAACTTTTGTCCCAAAAGTTCAAGGCTTTCTTTTCTCGACCCTAGCTTAGGGGATTTATTTTGAACAAATCCATCTAAATACGGCGATGACCATTTTTCAGACTCTTTATCCAAAGACTTCTGCAGAGATGTCAATACAATTGACGCCAGAGTTGATTTTGCATTTCCATTTGGAATTGCTTTTTCTTTCAAATTCAGTTTTGATATATCACTGAATGAATATGACTTGTAATTTGATAGTGACTGAAACCTTTCTTCGATTAAAATGCTTTTTGCTATTTTTCTTCTTTGCTTTCTCCAACTTTCTAGTCTCTGAGTGCTCATTGTCGAACTATTAATAAATTAATGTCATTAGCTTAATATCAAGAAAAACAACTGAAAAGATAACATGAAGTCCTAAATTTTTTATTAGAAATTCAATGTTTATATAAGGTTATTTAAAAATTTAATTAGTAAATTAATTGTATCAGATTTTATTTTGTTGTGGCAGCATCAGAATTATTACCTTGCTGCTGATTTATATCATAGAAATAGCCCGCAAATAAATTTTGAGTAGAATTATTTCTTAGCAGTTCTGCACTTTCTTGCATTTCGTCATTTTCTGCATCTTTCCAAGGATCATTGGAAAGGTGCAGCCTCATATCAAAATTATCTTCATTTTTATCAGGAATAAAAGGAGACACCAAAGAGTGGTCCAAAAGTTTTTCCCATTCAAAATCTTTCAACCAAGGGTGAGTTTTCACTTCATCTGGACCGTTAAGTCCCAGTCTATTTACAGGTTTCCTTTGTATCATCTAAATATGGCTTACTCTATTTATAAAGTCAGCAGCTTCTACCGACCAGCCTTCAGGAACTTCATTTTTTTTGATTTGTATCTGTTTAGCTAAAATCTGATCTCTAATTTCTTTTCTTGACCTTCCCAAATAAGGTCTTTTTCCATTCATAAACTCATAAGCAATGATTCCAACTGCAAAATAATCTGCAGCAACCCCATGGTTTTGTCGGCACATCACTTCAGGAGCCATATACCCTGGTGTACCACTTGTGTCTTTGGCGTTCTCTGGATTCCAGACTCTTGCGATACCAAAATCTGTAATTCTCACATAGCCTTTTCCATCAATGACTAAGTTTTCAGGCTTGATGTCTCTGTGTAAAATTCCATTTCTATGCAAATACTCCAGGCCTGACACAATGCATGCAACAAAAAATTTTGTTTGTTCTTCTGAAAAACTTTTGCAACGGCCTAAATGATATCGGAGATCTCCTCCTGGCATGAGATCCATTACTAAGTAAAGGCTTTCTCTATCTTGAAATGCATAATGCATATTAACTATAAAAGGGTGATGAAGCATTGATAGGAGTCTTCGCTCGTTCATTACTGAATTTACGCTTTTTTTTGCAAGCACTCGCGCCTTTAGCATTTCTTTCATAGCAAAAATTTCGTGTGTTTTTTTCAATTCGACTTTCCAAACCTTCCCAAAACCGCCTTTTCCGATTACGTATTGAAATTGGAAATGGGTTTTTGAGATACTAACAGTAGGATCAACGTTCTCTTCTTTGAAATTGCAACTACCCATTATCAAAAAGCAATAAATTTAATTTAATAAACGATAATATTTTCGAAGGCTGATATACCGTAGTATTTTATGGCTATTTTTTTAGATGCATGATGGATTTAAGTATCGATTAATTTAAGATTTATATAGATATTTTTGAATTATTTTAAAGCCAATAGATTTAATAAGAAAAACCTATGATGCCTTCTTATTATAATACCAATCTTAATATTTATATTTCAACTATTAATAACCTTATCATACTTCCCGGTCAAACACTTAAGCTGACCATAAATCCGAAATCCCTTCATTTTTCATAGCATTATTATAAACAGCATTTTTTCTTAATTCCTCAGCAATAGTAGAAGATACTTTAAAAGTATTTGTACTTAAGATCTTCGGCTCTTCATCTTCAATTGGTTTATCACTTGAAACTACATAAACCAATATTTCTCCGTTATTGGAGCGAAGATAAATTTGATATTTTTCCTTTTCCTCAGGAGAAAACTCCTCTGGGTCTGGTACCTCTAATGACGTTCCTGAAGGCGCTCTGATTGCTAATAGAGTTTCATTTGGGTACTCAGTTAAGTTAGGAAGACTCTTGATATCGTCATATGTGACATATGCAAACTCTGCATAGCTTGGGTCCTTTGTCAGCTGATTAAGTGACTCTTGAATTTGATTGGTCCAATAGTCCAGCCGATCTTCTTCTTTATTCAGCATCTCTAGTTCTTGGTTTAAAGTATTCATTTCTTCAAATTGCATATTTTCCTGTCCGCCGCATCCTCCGATTCATTGGATTTTATTTTTGTGCTTTTTTTGGATCAGTCCAATCCCTTCGAGGACATTGGTGATATCATAAATTCTGCGCTTTTGGACATTTAGCACTTGAACGGCCTCGTTCAAGTCGATGCACTGATTTTCTGCTTTTTGGATCAGTGAAACGAATTTTTTTGTTAGTACACCGAGTGAGTTATCATTCCTGCCGATACTATAGTTGTCTTCTGATTTTACAGCAGAGCCTTGGCGACTTTTTCTCTGCTTTTCAGAAGGTGGCGTTTCGAAACCTTCATATTCGTCTTCACTTATAAAATCATCTTCTTTTGGCTTCTTTCGGATCCTTTGCTGGCTCATTTAAATATATATGAATTTTTAGTAAATGGAAAACAGGAACTTTGAAGGGTTTGTCTTCACGTTTTATTCAAAAACAAGCCAACTTAATAACTCAAAAATTAAAGAACAGCCGCCTAATCCATCACATGCAGCGAAATCTGACGCAAACCATATATTGAAACCCTTGAAAATGATTAGAGAAAATTTGAAAAAAATCAGAAGGGCTCCTCCTTTGGCCAAAAGAGAAGCACTGGCGATGGATGAAAGCTACCAAATTAATACCACAGAAAGACATATCAGGGAAAGCACGCCTCCAGGCATGATGAGATCAAAAAGCTCTTTTTGCAACCTGAGAGAGGCAGCTGAGAATTCAGATATATATATTTTCAACAGAGTAAAAAAATATGACAAAAAAGACAATGTTTGTAAACTCCCTCCGATTATACATCATTATAAGAAAAAGCATTTCGTTTATCCTTCTATTGTAGGTAGAGGATTTAAAATCAACTTGCTTGCATAATATCGCTATTTAAAGTGTAATAATACAACGTCTCTTTTGGTTTAAAAATTCTGACACTTTCTCTCTTATATATAAACTTTTTGAATTATCTTGAATTCATTAGTGGCTTGCATTAATTTTAATAGACAGTTAGCCTTCCATCCATTTTCTTTAATGCTTTCATAATTCATCAGATATTTAGAAACTTAATAAAGCTATGAGCCATTCATTCAATGCAGTTAATGCATGAATGATATAGAGAACTATATATGTTTTCCACTTAATCCATTACTTTTTTTTAAATTTAATATTAAATATTAAATGAAGGGTAAAAATGAAACTCACAGCCATGTGGCATCTTATGAAGAAGAAAAGAAGTCACTAATTAGAAGGGACGCTCAAAGGAACCCTGTCAAGAAAAAAGCTCCTGTCATTGATGCTCGTCTAACAAGTCGAGTTTCAATTGACGCTCCGAATGCATTAGTAGTCGATAAGCCAAAAACTGCCAGAGATCTTGAAATAATCACAAACGCTTTAAACAGGCATTTCATTTTCACAAGCCTTACCGATGAAAACAGAGCTGTTCTCATCGACCACATGAAGCATTTTACTTTAGGTCCAAATGAGATAGTTTTCGAACAAGATCAGCCTGGAATCAATTTCTTTATTATTGCTTCAGGGAAATTAGACGTTTATGTTAACAGCAAAAAAGTAAACTCATTAGGTACCAATGATAGTTTTGGCGAGCTAGCTTTACTCCACGACTCACCAAGATCTGCAACGATCAAAACCGCTGAACGTGTCACTATGTGGGGACTGGACAGAAGAACGTTTAGAAATGCGGTTGAAAGCGTTAATGCCCAAAACTATCAAGAAAACAAGCAGTTCGTCGAAAGTGTGCCTTTATTTCATATTCTGACGACATCCCAAAAAGACTCACTCGTCAGTTCACTCTCAACGTTAAGGTTTAGAGCTGGAGAAAGGATTGTGAATGAAGGCGACCCTGGAGACCTATTCTTTTTAATAAAAGAAGGATTAGTTTCATGTCTACAAGAAGGCAGAGAAATTAGGCAAATGACAAGAGGTGACTATTTTGGAGAGCAAGCTCTTCTTTATAACTGTGTAAGAACTGCAAGCATAGTTGCAGCAGAAGATACAAAATGTGTTGCTATTGGAAGAGAAAAACTAACGAAAGCATTAGGAAATCATCTTCAACAAATTATTTATCAAAATACCAAAAGAATTGCTATTGATAAAAGCCAAATACTTAGTAACCTAACTGGAGAGCAGCAAATAAAGCTTCTCAATTCGCTAAGAGTCAGGTCATTTAGAGATAACGAACTTGTAATCCCAAGAAGTTTAAACAAAGGAGCGCAATTGTGGATTGTTCTTAATGGGCAGTTGAAATACAAAAGTGGCAGAATTGCAGCAGAAGTTTTCCAAAGTTTAGGAGATATTGAAATAACTCAGCCTGATAGTGGAGCTATCTACAATGAAGATGTAATTTCTGAAGGAAACTCTGATGTAGCAGAAATTACGAGGCAAGAATTCGAGGAATGCATTGGTGGACGATATAATGAAATCGCTACTGATAACGAGGCTATATCGGTTTTAAAAAGAGTTCAAGTTTTAAGAGGCCTCTCTTCAGAAAGATTTATCGCTTTGCACAGAGCTTTGAGAGTTGTCGACTATGAAGATGGAGCAGTTATCGTTGGCCAAAACGACCCTGGAGACTCATTTTTTATTATTAAATCTGGCAAGGTAGACGTTTTGAAAGATGGAATAGGCGTTAGAACTATAACAAAGCACGATTATTTTGGCGAAAGAAGTGTGCTTTTTGGAGACTGTAGAACTGCCACTGTGATTGCTAAAGGAAGTGTTTCTTGCTGGATACTGCATCAGCAAGACTTTTTACAAGCTATTGATGAAAACATTCGCATACAGCTGATTAAAAGAATTGAACTGCAAGACGATAATATCACACTTAATGATCTTGCAATTGTAAAAGTTCTCGGAAAAGGGATGTTCGGGAATGTCTTTTTAGTCGTCCATAAGCAACAAAACCGTCTATATGCACTTAAAACAGTAGACCGAAGAAAAATTGACCGTTATGAAATCCAAGAAAATTTAATATTAGAGCGTGCTATTTTGAACCAGCTTGATCACTCTTTAATTGTCAAACTTGTAAGAAGCTTCAAAGACGCTAAAAGAATTTACTTTTTGATGGAATTTGTCAGAGGAATGGATCTTTTTGACGTTCTTCGGCAAATGAATGAAGTATCTGACCAGGAATCTAAATTTTTCATAGGCTGTTTAATCATTATTCTTGAGCACTTGCATGAGCGTGATATTATTTATAGAGACCTTAAGCCAGAAAATGTGATGATTGATGATGAAGGCTATCCCAAACTTATCGATTTTGGAATTTCAAAAATTGTCCATGGGAGAACATATACACTTGTCGGCACACCTCATTATATGGCTCCAGAAATTATAATTGGAAAAGGCTACGGACATTCAGCGGATTTTTGGAGTGTAGGGATTATCCTTTATGAGTTTCTCTGTGGAGGGGTTCCTTTTGGAGAAGATCTTGATGATCCATATGCCATTTATGAAAAAGTGCTCGAAAGAAAATTGGCTTATCCTTCATTTGTCAGCAGGAATATGCCAGCCAAGCCTATAATAGAACAATTATTAAGCAAACAGCCTGCAATGAGAACTGGAGGAAGCATTGATAATTTGAAAAATCATCCTTGGTTCCAAGGCTTCAATTGGGTAAGAATTATTTAGGAACATCTACTAACAAGAGAAATTCGTCCACCATATGTCCCAAGAGTAAACGACCTTTCCAGAGACATCCAAAGCGCTCTTAAACAAAATAGGTCAATAGATGATATAATAACTAGAGAAGAAAACGCAGAAGAAATCCCGCCAGGAAAAAGCAGACGTCCAAGACACTGTCCAGAAAACTGGGATCAGGACTTTTAAGATAAAAAATTCATCTACATTTTTATTTCTTTTTTTAGAACTTCTTCTTTATTTATTTAATAATGGATAAACTGAAATGGGCCAGCATAGGACTCGCTATACTGATTTTGCTTACAATTATATTTAGTGTGTTTTTGGCAATATTCTATGTCTTTTATTTGCTTTCTTATGCCTTGACGACTCCTGGATCGATTCTGATGTTTTTTGTATCGCTTTATTTGTTTTTGCATTTGATTATCAGAGTTTTGGTTTTTCCTGGATCATTTAAACTTTGGAAGCGGTCTGTGGAAAACTCCTTATGTAGAGAAGCAGCTGGACATATGCTCAGACGAGTACAAGATTTGCATTCTGCACTTGATTTGTTTGCCTCTAATAATTCAATGTCTTTCATTCAAAATATTGCGATGGAATCTACCTCTCAATGCAAACGCTTAACTGAGACATTTATCGAAATCTACAAGAAGAAAGAAGCTGAAGGAGAGCTAACCCCATACCAATCTTCTATGATGAATGAGCTTGAATCTTTTAAAAAAGCGCTTTCTGATGCAGTAATAATTTCGGGATCTCGAGTGAAATTAAACTTATGAGACTGAATGGACTACGAAAATGACTTGAGAAACGTCATTTTTGAAGATTCACCAGCGAATCAAAAATACATCAGAGCGCTCGAAAAATGTGTGAGCATAGAAAACAGGCTGCTGGATTCATGCAAAGAATTGCCATGTTGCTCAGGCATGAGCAGATGATTCAGAGATACAACTTTTGGAACTGCAGAAATTCTTAGATCAGAACTAGAGTTGAATTTTTTCTCTGAGCAGATATGGTTAAGGGCTAGTGATGGGGTACAAATAGATTGCTTATGGCTTATGAAAAATAATCAACCTGGAGACGAGCCGACGATGATATATTGTAACCCTAATGGTGGGATGTATGAGTTTTCGCTATATCAAACTGATTGGATTGAATTCTACCTAAACCAAGGAATTAACTTGTTTCTATGAAATTATCGAGGGTATGGAAGAACCAAAGGAACTCCCAGCCCATCAAATTCAAAAAGAGACGGAGAAATAATTGTGGATTATTTGAGGAGAATAAGAAAAGTTATTAGACTAGGAGTTCATGGCGAGAGCCTAGGAGGGATGATTGCGGCACATATTGCAAGCCATTGCAAGGTTGATTTTTTATTTGCTGACAGGACATTCTCAGCTTTGAAAAATGTAGCAAAATACAGCTATGGAAATTTTTTGAGTTCGCTATTCCAAGTTTCTACATGCTGGAAGGATGATTCTGCTACTGACTTTTTGGAATCAGACTGCTATAAGGTTTTGTCAGCAGACCCTCAAGACAATGTTATAATAGAACTGGCATCATTAAAATGCGGAGTTGCAAAAAGAATTATTGAAATTGATCAATTTGACGGAAAATCACTTGACATGGAGAAGAACACTTATATTCTTTCTCCTGAAGAGCTGGGAATTATGGCAAATAATATTACAAAGCTTATGTATTTAATTGAAGAGTCTACTAAAAAAGACAAAGACTCGAATTCAGGGGCTTCGATTGATTTAACTTCAAACAGCATTTATCATTTGGTTGGAAAAGATGCAGAGCATGATGATGAGCTGATTTGTTCAATTCTATATAAAGTTTTATTCGCTATTGATTTGATAGATGCAGGCGGAAAACCCCTTAGCTCAATCAGTGTAGATATTAATAAAAAGATCTCACTTAACATGTGACTGATCGTTTTGGATGTTTGGGGAAGTCTTCTTCCTTTGTCTAATGATAGCTTGGGAGGAACAAGAGAAAAATCAATACAAAAATTAAACAATAGCATCAGTGAGATCCAAAATATATTAAATGAGTATGGACATTTGTCCAACCCAAAAGTGATCGAGATTTGTGACTTGATAAGGTCTCTTGACCAACTTATGCAAAAAATCAAGAACCATTTAGAAAGCAATGGAAATAGAGGAAAAGAGTCCATTCAGTCTCCTACAGTAAGTGAAGCAAGCACGTTGACTACGAGAAGTTTGGTTGATAGCCTTCGAGTAGGCTTTTTAATTTCGTTAGAATGTGGACATAGTGGTCATATGAATACTTTAGAAAGAGCAATGCTGCTAACTCACCTAACCAAAGCTGGATTTTTAGGATAATATATATTTTATAAACACAATTAACAGATCATAATATATAGTAATCTTACAAAATCGACCTTATTTATTTTTTATATATGCTTACACCCTTGATTTGCCTCCACTTACACTTGTGGTTTCCTCACTCTGAGAGTCTTGATCCTGGTCTTTTAGCATTTTATCAAGTTTGAACCTCAGTTGGTCTCCAATGGAACCCCTATTTGGCAATTTTTCAGGCATTTCTCTAGATTCCTCTGCATAGCTATTTTCAGGTGCCCTGAATGGGACTTTAGGCAACTGCTTGGCTTTTTCAAGAGTTGAAATATTAAAGATCACGCAAGGCTCACTCCCCCCCTTTAAATTGGAACAAAATATAGGTAAAATTTCCACTTTTTTGGTAAATTAACCCCCCTTTAAATTGGAACAAAATTTAATTTTATAATAAAAATTTTTATGTAAAAAGTTTTGATATAAGTTAAATGTTTCTTCTTAACTAAAATTAAAAATTTAGTTATATCTTGCTCTTGTTTGAAGAAGAGAGTGCAAAGAGCATATTATTTAAATAGATTTATTATCCTTAATTGCTAAATTTTAAAAAAAAACAATTTATGTTTTTAAAAATTTTTCAAAAAATTTTTATTTTTTGATATAAAAATTATATTTTTTATTTAAATAGTTTTGATATAAATTCAATGCGAATTCTTTATAAAATTTTCAAAATTTACTTATTTCTTGCTTTATTTTAAAGAATAGAGTATAAATAGCATCTTATTCAAACAAAATTATCACTTTGATCGATAAATTTTTTAAAATTTTTATTTTTTAATTTTTTTTATCAATAAACATAATAATTTTTGTGTAAATAATTTTTATACCAATTAATAGTGACGTATTAACTAATAATGAAAATTTAGTTATATCTTGCTTTGTTTTAAAGGATAAAGAGTAAATAGCATTTTATAAACAAATTTATTAATCTAATTCGATAAGTTTTGGAAAATTTTTTTTTTAAAAAAAAAATAAACCCTCCTTTAAATTGAAGCAAAATTTTTTGTTTCCAATTTAAAGGGGGGGAGTCAGAGGTTCTTTTATCTCCTCCAACTTCGTGATAAATCTCTATTGAGTCCTCAATATCAAAAATTCTGTCATGATTTCCATCAATGTCGTAGACATCAGTAAAAAATTGGTTGGCATATAATTTAGGTGCTTTAAATACAGGCTCTCCCTGAAGTTCTGTGAGCTTGGTAGCAGGCTTATTCGCTGGTTTAGAAGTCTTAACGATTTTGTTGGTTTTTATTTGAGCTTTTGGTTTTACTGTAGAGGTTAGCCTGGATTTTTTGGGGACTTGCGGTGTGTTTTTTGTCTCTTGAGGGCTGTTTTGCCGTGTTAATAATTTGTTGGAAGCCTTTAAACTCTTTAGATCTCGACGATCTAGATAAGGATTAATGAAGTCTGATTGGGTACGACGATGAAGGGGCTTTATCAGTTTTGTTAGAGTTTTTGGGCTTAGGAGTTTGCTTGTGGGAGATGGGATTATTGAAAATAAAGGGGAATTCAGCGTTGGATTCTTTAATTTTTTGCTAGGCTCTGCCATTGTCTTAAAATTCTTTTATAATTATCTATTAATATCTTTCAGAGCTATCCAATAAAGATATCGACTTGCTGGACAGTCTATCAGATTTTTGTAACTGATTATAAATGCATTATACATAAATAAGTATTTATTAAGTGTTGTTAAACCAGTGAGTTAAGTCTTTTATAAAGAAAAATCCACATTTATGAATAGTAATTAAATGAATAGTTTTTTTATAAAGCATAATTTTTTCGAATATAGCCTGGTGCTTGCTTTGGATTGTCTTGGGTTACATTTTGCCGCCTCAGCCTGTGAGGTTGAATCAGGCAACATCAGTTGCGAGTCAATCCCACAAGTTGACAATTGAAAAATATACTGACACTTGCCAACTTATGGGGTGGAATTGCGATTAATTTTGCCTGAGTCAACTCCACAGGTTGAGGCGGCTGAGTGTAGCCCAGGGCAATCCAAAGCAGACTCTGGGCTATATAATAATTTTATGAATTTAAAAGAATTTTTGAATTATTTTAAATACGCTTGAAAATTAATAATGAATAATTTACATCTTTGAAAATTTTATTCAATTTCAAAACCCTTCAAGTTCTATTATTTAAAGCAGAAACTGATTTTAGTATGATAACTAAATTATAATTTCTAGTTAAATAGTAGGATCTAAAATTATTTGGGTATTGCTGATTTATCTTGAGTGAATATTAAATTTCTGCTAGTTTGAGATAAGGCTTTATTGTGCTCAAGAGACACTTGTCTGATTGTCATATTTTCAAGATGCAATGCAGACATACTTCTTAATAATGCTTGATCGCACTGATACTGGAGATGGTTTTTTGCGAGATTTTCATTTCTTAGGTCTTCAGATATTTCAGCTACCATCTTTCTTAAAATTTCAAGTTCTTGGTTTCTACTTTGGATTGCTTTTTCAACAGCTTCCCTGATTTTTCTTTCACTTGCTTGATCTATATCTTTCTTCTTATTTGCCAGTAGCTCATTTTTCCATCCTCTGCAAGATCTTTTAAGGAGCCCACGCTTATAAAAGGTGGCCAAATACTCGTTCATCTTTTTCTTCTTTAAACTGTTAACTAAAAATTCTTTCCAAGCATCCATCACATTTTTCTTTACTCTTTTCCCATATACGTTCTCACAAACAAGATAAGCACGAAATTTGGATTTTAATTTTTCGTTTTTATAATGCTCAATCGTTGCTTTAAGTTGGTTGATTTCTGATCTTTGGGATTCAATTTTTTCTTGAAGCGCTCTTTTTTCACCCAAGAAAATTCCTTGATTGACTTCTTTGTGCTTTTCAAAAAACTGATTCATTTCATCGTAAGCTGCCTGCTGGAATTCGGAAAACTTGCTATTAATGGCAGAGTTTAGAGCTTGAGTAGCTTCCATTTTAAAAATACTTATCTAAATGAAATTATGATAGCCATCTCTGGACAAATCTATAGAGCCAACCGTATTGGAGATCAGTTTGCACCATCAATATTCGCTGCTCTCTTAGTCGTCGAACTACTGAAAAAACAGACACCCCAAGGTCAACATTTTGCGTTTTCTGGCTGTCTATAATTTTCTTCAAACAATCCAAAGCAATGAAAGTTCCTGTTCTTCCTACTCCAGCGCTACAGTGGACAACAATTGGCCCAGTCCTCACAGGTTTTTCGATATCTAATTGTTTTAATAGCTCATTGAACGAATTTGTATCACCTGGAATTCCTCTGTCAGGTCAATCAGTAAACAAATAATGCCTGACTGGTCTTATTTCACTTTCGTTCATTTGAATCCTTAAATCAGAAACAATATATCCTGGATATTTGGTTCTTGCAATACAATTTATAGTAATATTATCAGCTTGTAGCGTTTCTCATTGCTTAGGCCAGTATATTTCGCATCTTCCCTGTATTAAAATTACACATTCGCATTCATTCTCATTAACTAGCATAAAAATGCTCGAAGAATTTTCTTGCCAAACCATTTTTCAAAAATCATTAATTGTGTTTGGTAATGGGCCTTGGGTGGCGATGAATAATTTATCATCGGCTGGTGTTTCAGCACCCTTAATATTAATTACATTGATATAATTTGCGTTTATAAATCCGCTGCCTGAGAGCAATGGAACTTGAGTTTGTCTGTCTATGTAAAAATTACATGTGGGGACGTCTGAATATCTATTTAGCTGTGAATTTTCATTAACAAACGACTCTGCGTAAAATGGATGATTCATAAATTCATCGAGGATCTGCAATAGAGCTCACCCTGAATTGCTGTTTCAAATCTCTCTGGGAGGGTATTGAAAAATTGGATAATTTATACCCTCGTTCATAGGCTAAAAGCTCTTGAGATCTAGAAATTAATCGAAAAGAGTAGTCAGGGATATGTGATAAGCTTCCTGAAATCAAAACGCTTCCAGATGGCAGAGATAGAGTGATAGGCATTTCCATATTACGCTGATTTTTTATGTGTCTCCTAAAATTTAAATTTTAAGATATCTTATTTTTATACTCTTTGAAGGATATATAAGCATAAATTTTCATAAAATGAACGAAAATTTAGAATGTATTTGACAAAATGATTAAATTAGCTGACCACTCCCTACTAAAAATAAGTTATATCTATAAATCTATTATTAAGATTTATTGAGGAGAAATCAAAATTTAATTTTATATAATTTACCGAGCTCAGCTCGATTGTAATATATAACTTTTTTCTAATTTTAAATTGGTAAAATTATTTATAATATAATTTCGAATGGCTACCTTTTATTTCAAAACATTTAAAAACTTTTTATAAGTAATATAAAATTTTAAGTACAAATCTTATTAGAAGCAAGAGATGTACTGGTTGTGCATGAAGAATGAGGGGAACTTTTTGAGGTAATGAATTGAACGAAAGAGTCGTTAATTCAATTGAATCTAGTATAAATTTGATGGCTTTAATCTTATTATTAATTTAGATCCCGCCTCTTTCACTTAATTTCAAATATTCAAATTAAAAAGACGAAAATTGTGAGATATAAATTAACCACTTAAATTATTATATCTTTTCTTTAAGAAAGAATCAGAGGTTTCATACTGGTATCGTTTTGTACCATTATGCTTGAACTTTGGAAATGCTTTTCCAAAGCAGCCCTACCTTGTATTCTTGCGTAGCTCAAAGCACAAATTTTATTACTGTTAAACCTTTCCCAAGTCTTCCCATCAAATTCTTGATAGAACGCAGGAATGAATCTATGATCAATAAAATTGATAAAAGAATAGCCGACGTTGCATTTGTTTTTAAAATCAATTGGAAGATATAAGAAATCATAACTCCCAGCATGACGTAAGTCAATTGATTGAATAAGCATCGCTTGAGTGTATTTATTTGGAATATTTTTTATCATAATCGTTGTCCTACGATTGCTTACTTAAATTAATATCACGCTTAGCATCCCTCATGGGTAGGTGTTCCAGGCCCACCACCATCTCTTGACACGTAGGGACGATGCACAGCCTCCTGGTACGACCGCACCGCGCACCACGCACAGCGCACCACGCACCTCCAGATGATGTCACCGACTTCGATTGCTCATGAGTGAGCGACTTCTCTTGATACATGAGCTACCTGCTCGAAAATTCAAAAAAAAACGAATTTTCTGGCTGACTCTCGGTAAAAAGGGAGAACACAGGATTTGGGATGTAACACCCAGTTTCACGCTAGGGAGTTGCCCGCATGGTCCAGAGGACTCTGTTGGGGTTCCCCTTTCCAAACGCTGTGCCTTCCTTCCCCCACGAGGTAAAATCCACCCCAGTCATTGAGTACGGGCCAGGCTCTGCTCTGCAGAATTGCTTGCCTGGCATTGTTGCTCATTTCCAGAATGGCAAAACCTTGACAGATATAATTAAAATATGTGCTCGAAGCCCCATGGCCGGGAGGCCATGACCAGGCTGAGACGCCATATTTTAATTATATGTCCTACGATCAACATTTGAGAGAACTAATTCTAGCGAAATCACATAATTTCCTTTGTCTTCACCTTCAATTTTCTTTTTGGGAACAACGGAATGTCTTTTAGGGATTATTTGAGGGCCTATAGAATTCATGTTTGCATTAAGATCAATTAATGCTAATGGCTCCTTTTCAATAGGATTAGTGTCGCAAGGGTCTGGATGGCCTTTTTCTTCGAATTTTAGATCAGACGGTCATATTTTTTCATATTTGATTTTCACATCTTCATGAAGCAATGAGGATTGAACAAGCCAAACTCTTCTTCTATCATAATATTTGACAATTCAATATGAATCAATGCGCATTATTTGCATTGATTCTTGCCCTAGTGCTTTGAAAATCAGGTTTGGGTTGTTATCTAATGGGTCACTCAACACAACAAAATCAATATACTCAACTTCCAAAGGGTCGGGAAGATATTTAACGAAGTAGATTTGGGATAGGGATACGAAGGCGTGGCGAGCATCTCTAATGTCATAATAAGATACTATCACTTCGGAAAACGCCAAATGATGGGTATCGAAGACATGGAGATCTCCAAATTTTTCGAATATTCTTTGAATATCAGAAAGAACAATCCATGGGTCGATTCCTGAAACAAATATGTTTCTAGTCGATTCTTGGCTTATCTGGGGTTCATCTTGTGCTATGGCTTGAAAAGCTGGTAGTCGCTTTTTGAGGTTGCTGGTAGGGAGGGATTCATAATTTCTTTTCGATACCATTTTTAAATTTAATTTTAGAGGGGATTTAACTTGCATTTAAATTGATTTTAAAGAAAAAGAATTTTATTTGTAAAATCTTGATAATGTAAAGTATATATCAAAAAGATTATTTTGATTTCGTTAGAGTTCTTTTATCTCATTATTTCATAAATTTAATCAAAAATCCTTAAATTAACCATTTTTTATTGTTTTCTAGTCTTCTTTGTTTGGATCTTCTAGCTCTCCTCTATGTAATAACAAACAAAATTTATTATAAAATATTTTAATTTTATATATGCTTCTTAAAAAAAATTATTTAATACAATTCTTTATTTATTTTTATTTTCTCAATTAGCATCATTGATCTATAATAAAAAAAAATTAAAGGCAAAATTGGCTCCAATAGTAGGATTTTATGTTTTTAGTTGTGAAAACCATTTGTCTCGTCAGAAGTTTTAAATAATTTCGAAATGAATTATTTATATTTTTTCAAATTTTAGAGCATATTATTAACGGCCAAAAAAGTTTGCTATTGATAGGGGCATAATAAGAATTTTATAGTCTTCTTTGAAATTTCATCAGAGATTTGCAATTTCGGATGCAGAAGGTTCACTTCTCTATTGTGTCTTATGGCCCAGCTAACATACTCTTTCATCTTTTTGACTTTTATGGTTAGAAAAATGGGTCGCTGGTATAGCTTTTCAAGTCTGCATTTTACATTGAAATGCAGCTTTTTGATACATCTAGCTGCCTTTCCAACAGCCATTCCAACTTGAATATTGCTATGGACCATGAGTTCTGTATCTATCCTTAAAGTGCCATCAAGGTATGGAGTCCAGCCTACTACTCTTGTGTACCAAATATAAGGTAGCCTGTCATGATACATCTCAAGCATTTCTGTTCTGAATAATTGATTTACTTTATCAATATCAGAAAGTGTTGTCAGCTGCATTGGATGATAAGTTCAGTCTCCTGGCTCTGCAGACTCCATAATATCTTTAACAAGTGTGCCAACATTATAATTTTCCTTAGTTGAAATATAAAATGTTTTGTCAAATCTCGCATACTCATGAAGTTCATTTTCTATATATTTCACTCTTCTTCTATCTTGAACTAAGTCAACTTTAGTGAAAACCAAATAAGCTGGAATGGTTTTCAGTATCTGACTTTTTCTTTCTTGATAGGCATCTTCTGATTCATCTATCAATCTCAGCTCTGGTATATCAATATCTTCTGATCTTTTTTCTAGCAATCTTTGCAGTCTTGAAGCAGCTGCTTTTACATCATCACGCAGCACCTTTACAGCATCGACTAAAAACAGAGTCAAGTCTGATGAAGAGACTGAATCCCAGCCGAGGGTTGAAATCCTATTTGTTCTGATCCCATGGGTGCTAATAATTCCTGGAGTGTCATGAAATACCATCTGAACGTTATCTATTGTTTTAATCCCTTCCTTTGCATCTATTGTTGTGTTTACTTTTCTAGATGTCGCAAAAATCTCAGCTCCAAGGATTTTATTGATAAGTGTTGATTTGCCTGCATTTGGAGCTCCAACAACCGCGATTTCTATAGATTTTGAGTCTTCTGGGGCCTCAAAGTAAGGAAATAAAGCAATTCTAGCTTCGAGTGGAACTTCATATACCTCGGTCAATGGACGATTGGGGATTCGATAGGAAACAACTTCAGCTTTCTTTTCATTCATTCTAATTGGGTGAGGGGATGGGATTTTATAAGATTTTTTAGGTGGAGGAGGAACAGGAGGCGGGCTATACATAAAAGCTTTTGTGGAAGATAGAGATCCAAAATACCTGACTAATTTCATAATGATTTTTGATTAATAAATTTAATAAAAGACCTTTATTAATTTATTTCTAATCCGATAAAAAAAATACACTGTTTTAAATATATTAAATGGGCTGGCTTGAAGATTCATTAGTGAAGCTAAAAAATAATCGGCCCATTTTCTGAGATTGGGCAAGGTTTATAGATTCAATAGACCCAATTGAGCCTCATCAATATTACAGAATCCTCCAAGAATATCTCTCAACTCGCACATACTTAATTGGTGATGAAATATTCCCTGAGGATCTTTATCTTGTCAATAAACTCAAACAAATCCCAACGTTCACCAAAGTTCTATGTGGGACTAAAAAACCAGAACATTTGTGTAGGTGGTTTAACCAAGTATTTTCCACCTTTCCAGATGAAAAACACGAATACTATTTAAAGCATAGCAATGTAATCGACAATCGTTTAATAAAAGCTATTAGAGAAGGTGACTATTCGAAGTTCGAAATGCTTCTAGATCTGATTGACGTTAATGCCAAAGAAAGTGAATCAGGTCCAAGGCCTATCCATATTGCATGTGAAACTGGAAATTTTGAGATCTTAGTGAAACTGTTACAAAAAGGGGCCAGTATTGAAACAAAAGATGATGAAGGACTTACTCCTATTTTCTATGCAATTCAAAATGATCATAAAGAGATAGTTGAATATCTAATTGCAAACGGTGCTAATATTAACCATATTGAATACCTTAAAATAAAACTTATTACAGGTTGGCTTGCTTGCCTATAGGTAACGCAGCCACCAAGAATCCAGCAGCGGATTCACCATCTTTGCGACGTCGACAGGGAGACGCTAGTTGGGATGATTAATTTTGTGAGTATAGGCTCTTGCACCACCTTTTCTCTTCTTCACCACCTGATTCCATGGCGGCTGCGAAGTAAGGCTCTATGCTCTCTCTCCTCCTTGTCTTGTCTTGTCTTGTCTTGTCTTGTCTGTTCAAGTGCTGAGTGGGAAGGCTATGGACTTCTAAAGCTTGCTGCATGGGCTTCTCGAAGGTTGTTCGCCTAAAAACCCAAAAAAGAAAAAATTCAAAGCCTAAATTGTAATTCTCAGTTCACGCTGGGCTTTCCCTTTCCAACTCTGAATCCACCCTTTCCCTCGAGGTAAAATCCAATTTTAAAAAGCGGACTAGGGCTAGGCTCTGTGATATAATTATGTGCTCGAGGTTGCATTGCCAAGAGACGTCATATTTAATTATAACTATATCGAAGACCAAAAAAGAAGCTTATTATATTGGACAGCAAGTCTAGGAAAAATTGAGTACATTGATAAACTTTTAGAAAAGAACTGTGATCCTAATATTCAAACCAGACTAGGCAGAACTTGTTTAAGCAAAGCAGCATGAAATGGGAATTTAGACGTCTTAAAAAGGCTTCTTAAAGTTCCTAGTATTGATGTAGACATTCCTGATTCTAAAGGAAGAACTGCACTGCATAATGCGATCTGGGGACCTGCTGGAGGTAGGTCAGGGAAAAAGATGGCAGAAACAGAAGGTGATAGTCCTGAATGCGCTAAGCTTTTGATTGAAGCTGGAGCTAATATTGAAGTCGAAGACAATGCTGGAAATACCCCAATTTGTATAGCCTGCTCCACTTATGCATTGGATTCATTAAAGTTATTAATAGAGTGTGGTGCAGATAAATTTCATGAAAGCAAAGATGGATACTCACCTTTGCACCAAGCTTTAGCAAGAGGAAACATTGAGTGTGCTGAAATTTTAATTCAAAATGGAGTTGATCCAAATCAGAAAAGCAAAGGAGGAAGGAGTGGCTTAGAAGTGTCAATTCAATTCGGACAAGATGAGTGTGTTGCTTTTTTGTTGGAGTTTAAAATAGATTGCTCTCAAAAAGAGGTTGAATATTGCATGAAATATGGAAGCCAAATAAGTCTTGGGATGCTTATTGATTATTATGGAAAATGGCAAGGGATGGTTGAATATTGTTTATTGGAAGGGAATGATAATTGTGCTATGTGGATGCTGGAAAATATTGAAAGTTTGAGTCTTGAAGAATTAAAAACAGCTTTTAAGAGAAATGAGAAGATTATTAAAATGGCCTTGGAAAAATGAAAAGGAACACTTCCAAAAGAAATTTTGGAACTTGGATTGGAGTATGAATTTGATGTTTCAAAAATTTTGGCTAAAGTAAAGCCATCCTTGAAAGCTTTACATACAGCAATTATTAAAGGAAAAGAAGAAATTGCAATAGATATGATAAAACACTACCCAAAACTTCTGCAAAAACTTAACCCTCTCACAGGGAGAACTGCCCTTCATTTAGCTGCAGAGCATGGCTTTTGCAATTTGGCAGCTGCCTTAATAAGCTCTGCTCCCAACCCTTGTGAATACATCAACTTGCTTGACACTCAGGGGCTTTCTGCAATGATTATTGCAGAAATCCACAAATTCCACTATTTTACCGAACTTTTAAAAGACCTCTATTCACAAGTCTCCAACAGAGAAATCATTACACACATAAAAAGCATTGAATACGAAGAAACTGATGAAGAAATCCCTATTCACCCATATGCAAACATCGAAATGCCAACCGAATACTTTGATATCAATATAGAGCTTAAAGATATACCCAGCACAGAACTTATATGGGTTGATACTGTTGAAAAGCTTGAAAGAATGAAAGAATATTTGCAAGAAATAAAAGTTATTGGAATTGATCTTGAATATTTCACGTTTGCATATAGAAAAGGCTGCATTTCTTTAGTTCAAATATCAAGCGGAGCCAAAGATTTTGTAGTGGACCCTCTTATAAATAGAAAAAACGTAGGGGAATATTTGAAAGTTTTGATGAGAGACCCAGGAAAAGTTAAAGTCCTTCATGGTGCAGATTCTGATTTAATGTGGCTTCAGAATGATTTTCTAGCGTATGCTATCAATGTTTTTGATACAGCTAGAGCATACAGGATTATTAAAGGTGACGCTGATCCTCCTTCCTTAGCAATTCTGCTATATGTTTATTTGAATGTAAAAGCAGATAAAACTTTTCAAGTGGCAGATTGGAGAATAAGACCGTTGCCTCAGCCTATGATGGAATATGCTAGAACAGATGCACATTATCTTCCAGAACTTTATCAAAAATTAATTGCACAGATGAGCTCCAAAAATTTTGAAGAGTTAGCAAAAATGTGTAATAGCTTATGCCTTAGAAATCCAACAAGCAAATATTATAAATTAAATATATTAAATTGTGGATAAACTTAAAGATTTGAAAAATATATTATTTCTTGATGAATAATTCTCTTATCTTAATGACTTATTAGTAGCGGTAGTCTATTTTATACTGAAAAGGCTTAAAACTAATTATTATAGAGGTTAGTTCACTGAGAAATTATACTAAAAATTGAATTTGACATTAAAAGGATTGAATCAGCAAATAAATTATAAAATAAAAACATTTAAAAGAGGTAACAAGCACGGCAACTATTTTGTGCTCTATCACTAGAAGGATCATTTTTATCGCACAAAGCTGAAATTTGAGTACTGTCTTCAGTTATCTGTGATTTTGCCATAGACGCTCTACAACTAGTGAGTTGAACAGATATTTCTTCATATCCAAAAGTGCTTTTCATATCATTTACAGTCAAAATTGTGACAGCTTCAGATGATACACGTCTAAGTTGTATCATTGAGTTTTCACTGTTCTCTTCCATTTTATATATGAGACTTACAGATTGCTTTATTCAAATACCATGCAAGATTCCAAAGGCTATTGAATCAAAAGCTATATCTGCTAAAATCTATTTATCGAGATTGTCAGTAATATAAAAGAGCCAATGCTAACTTAAACAGGAACTTTTTAAAATGAAATTGGAAAATTTGAGGAGGAAAATTTTAAATAGCTTGCATTCTTGTATTTATTTTATTCCTAACTCCCCCCCCCCCTCCGTGAGCGAACAAAACCATTAGAAAAATCGCCATTTTTTGACCAAAAACCCACCCTCCGTGAGTGAACAAAAATTTTTTTAATAGAAAAAATTTTAATGGAAAAAAAATTTGATATATAAGTGATAATTAGTATAATGAAATCTAGAGCTAATTCTGTTTAATTTTAAACAAATTGCGTTTTAAAACATAAATTTTGCAAATTAATTAATATTTGCTTCCCAATTTTTGCAAATTAGGATTTTTTTAAATTTCGAAAAAAATATTTTTTATAAAATTTATATATAAATTTTTTTAAAAAAAAAAATTAACCCCCCTCCGTGAGCGAACAAAATTTTTTTGTTCGCTCACGGAGGGGGGGGGGGGAGTAAGATCCGAGACCTCAAGGTAAGAATTACTAAAAGAGTTGAAAGGAAATATGAGACTTAGCAAAAATTTATCATTAGATGAAATTGAGAAACGAGAATATAATCTTACTCTTATATAACTAAAGGAATTCGAACCACCAATGTTTCTTTAACTAGTCAAGCTTAATTTCTAAAGGTCCCTCTTCTTGAGACGGCCAAGGCAAGCAATCAATTCCTTCAAGGGCATATTCCTGAGAAATTTCCATAGGCAGCATATCCTCAAGCCTCTCTAGCGCCTGTTGAAAATTTTCCTGACTCCCCCCCCCTTTAAATTGGAACAAAATATCGGTAAAATTTCCACTTTTTTGGTAAATTAACCCCCTTTAAATTGGAACAAAATTTAATTTTATAATAAAAAATTATATATAATTTTTATCTAAAAAGTTTTAATATAAATTAAATGTTTCTTATTAACTAAAATTAAAAATTTAGTTATATCTTGCTCTTTTTTAAAGATAAAAGTATAAAGAGCATCTTTATTTAAATAAATTTATTATCCTTGATTTAAATTTTAAAAAAAAAATTAATTTTTTTTTTTAAAAAATTTTCAAAAAAATTTTTGTTTTTTTTTGATAAAAATGATATTTTTTATTTAAATAGTTTTGATATAAATTCAATAGGAATTCTTTATAAAATTTAAAAATTTACTTATTTCTTGCTTTATTTTAAAGAATAGAGTATATAATAACATCTTATTTAAACAAAATTAGCACTTTGATCGATAAATTTTCTAAAATTTTTTTTTTTAATTTTTTTTATCAATAAAAATAATAATTTTTGTGTAAATAATTTTTATACCAATTAATAGTGGCGTATTAACTAATAATGAAAATTTAGTAACTAATAATGAAAATTTAGTTATATCTTGCTTTGTTTTAAAAGGATAAAGAGTAAATAGCATTTTATTAAACAAATTTATTAATCTAATTCGATAAGTTTGGAAATTTTTTGTTTTTTAAATTTTTATATATTTTATAAAAAATTTTATATTGATAATTTTTTTAAAAAACAAAATTAACCCCCCTTTAAATTGGAACAAAATTTTTAGTTCCAATTTAAAGGGGGGGAGTGAGTTTTCCCATTCAAATGGATTCCAGCTGTAGACCGAGAGCCAGACTTTACTTTCCTAATTTCAAAGCGAGATCTAACCAAGACTTCTATTTTTTCCCTAATCAAGTGAGCAGCTTCATAGATTTCGTCATCGGTCATCTCTACTGATTGATCATCAGGTATCTCTGAAAGTTTGATTTCTAACTAAAATGACACTTACCTCTTACTTGTGGGACAGAAATATTGACCTGACTAGTCCAATTCGACGTGTCCACATTCTGCTTGGAAATCATCAATTCATCAATACCATACATCTGTGGCCTTTTTTTCTTGGGGTATTTTATCTTCTTCTTTTGGGCATTCGAGACAATCTGCGCATTTGGCTGAACTGATTGAACTATTTTTTCTGTCTTGGAGATAAATCGTGAAATCGCCTTCTTAACCTTCATAAGGCTTAGCTTGGAGTCACGAGTTTTAATGGTTCGCGCTTTGATTGCCAACTTCTGCCTCATTTCTTTTATTATCCAATCAAGATGGACAGACCTTCATATATTAGAATCCAAATTAAAATGGCTAATAAGTTAGTTAGTGACTCTCTAAAACCACTCCACTTTCAAATTATTTTAATGTTGCAGATCTTGGAAATACGTAATCTTTCAGAAATTGATCGGGGTTCTGGCCTATTATTGCAGGTGTTCTGGGTCTTTTTTCATTTTGGTTTATTCCCGAGGATTTACTATCGTTTACAAATGATATTTTAACTCCGCTTTTGTTCTGGGTTTCACTTTGGTTTTCTGAGTTTTTTCGTGCAATTGTTTTCAGCTTCGGGCCTGTGTTGTCTAAACTCTCTCTGCTCATAAGTTTTTGACTGCTTTTTGATCGCTGGCTACAACATTTGAATATCATTATAGTAATGTATAAAATAAATATATAAAGTTCTAATAATATTCAAAAAATGTGCCAACTTGAACGAAAAAAATAAAAAACTGGAAAATAATTATGGAAAGTATTAAAAATTTAAATGAGAAATTGTTGAAAAGCAGCTTCAATGCTTGGAGGAAAGGAAACCTTAGAAAATTAATAAAAAAATAAAACTGTCATATATATTTTATTAGGCAATAGAAAATATGTATACAGCCAATTTCATTAGTGGTTATTCTATAAACTTCATATATTTGTGTATCCAGCTTTTATAAAGATCTCTTTCTCTTACTAATGCCATTATTTCTATGAATTTTCCAATATCTTCATCAATCCCAATTCTAAGTAGCCAATTCTTTATATCATTTTGTAGTGGGAGGCTTAAGAAATTGAAATCGACCTTCGGAGTATCGTCATATAAAAATTTTGATGGGTCTCTTAATCTTGATTGTAAAAACGCCAAATGATGTATCGTAATTTGTGAGTTAATTGATATGCATTCAGCAGTGAAATGCGGCATTCCATCTTTGTGAATATTAATAAAAAGTTCTGAAGAATCCATTATTTTAGGCTTCTCTTCAATTTCGCCGTCATCCATCTCAAGCTCATCCTTTTTCTCTCCCTTTCCTATTGGCCGCCTTGAGAAGAACTCTATATCTATTTTATAAGGTGGCGTAAACTTCAATAAGCTCATTTTCGGGGAATTTTGGTTCACTTGTAATGCAAATGATGAGCGCTTAAGCCACCACTCTAGAAAAGGGATTGGATTGTCAAGGCTGATCTCATAGTTGAGCTCTTTTTTAAGGGTATTTAGAAGAACGAGTCTAGTGAACATCCACCTTTATAATGGGTTTATTATGTTAATAAAATTAAGCACATTACTTCAGCTTATATGAAGACTTATATTCATCTAAATCATCCTCCCCTTTAAATTTAACAAAAATCGTGTCCAATGCATGAGGGATTAATTTATTTTTTTGAACTTTTTAATTATATTAAATTTTATAAATGAAAAAATATTGAGCGCAATTAAATTATTTTTATAAGAATTAATTCAAAATTAATCTATTCAGAGTGAAAACTGCTTAAATAATATTATAATCGCACTTTTTTCATTAAATTAGATCAAACTTAATTTTATAAAAGATAATTTATCCCTATAAATTTTTATATTGAAAAAAGATTGTTCATATTTTGTGGGATTAAAGTATCGAAAAATGGAATTTTACCGATATTATGTTACAATTTAAAAAGAGGGAGGAGTAAGCTGTTTGCAATTGTTGAAATTAGCGAATCTATCATATCAAGTGGATCTTTGTTCTGGGTATTTATGTCAAATTTTATTTTGAAATCTTTTTCTGGAGGAGGCTGCTCCAGCTCTGGAATTTGAGGACTAGGTCTTTTAATAATTTGTAGCTCTTGGGTAAGCTCGTTAACATGGTCTTTTAGTCGCTGTGATTCTTCATCTTTTCTGCTTCTAAAACGCTCAAGCTCTGATCCAGCTAATGCCAATTCTTCTAGTGTTTTGTGATAAAATTTTGTTAAGTCACCAATATTTTGGTCTTTTTCTCTGACTCGAGTTTTTAAGGCCTCATTTTCTGTTTCCACTTCTTTTAGTCTCTGCTTGAGAGCTTCAATTTCTCCAGATGAAGAAGAGGATGTTGTTTTAAGCCGTTGTGATAGAAATTCAAGCTCTTTGGATTTTTTCATTAAAGATGCTTTCGATTTTTCAAGCTTTTCTTGCAAAGTTTTCTTTTCTCTTTCGAGTTCAAGCTTAGATACCATCAGCTGCTCTAATTCTTCTTCGACTTCTAATTCAAAGCGTTTATTGCTTTCTATTTATAAAACACCTTGGTATTCTTCGAAGTCTTTTTTGAAAGATTCTAGCTCTTCATATTTTTCTTCATACAGTGATTTGTAATTCACCTCTTCTTCCATTGGTTTATTTATAAATTCTCGATTTAAAAATACATCAAAATTATTATGACAGAGTGATATCCTTAAAATTAATATACTAAAAAATCTGCTTAATTAAAGATTTAGCATTGGTTTTTTAAAATATACAATATTGTACTATTTGATCAGCTTAAAGGCTATAGCAAGCTAGTAATTTGGCTATTTAGAATATTGTTTATTGTTTATTTCGCTAGCCATCTAAGACTTTCTTAAAATTAGTTATAATTATGTTTTAGGATAGATTAATATAAGGAGATAATTGATAGAATTATGCGGAGCTTTAAATGCATTTGATATTTTAACATTATTCATGATTTTGTATTCTAACTCCCCCCCCATCCTTGATCGAACGATTGACTGTAAAAATTCCTAAAAATTGGGGAAATTAACCCCCATCCTTGATCGAATGATTTTCATATCATGCAAATTTTTATATATATAAAAAATATATTAGTTATCAAAAGCTTGGGAAGATGTACCTAATGAAGTTGCTGTCAGAGCTTTGAGACGACAGAAAGCTGCGGAATCAACCATTCGAAGTGATTTAGTCATCAACCTAGGCTTGAAAACTCAATAATCTAAAAAATAGAGATTCTTTAAAATTTAAAAAAAAAAAAATTTTTAATTCAGTAAGTAACAAATTAAAATTTATACAGTTTAAAAGGGTAACTAATAAACCAAAATATTAAAAATTAATATTTTATGAATTAATTCAATTTTTTGTAGTAAAAATAATTATTAAATACTCTTAACCCTCTTATTTAAAAGTAAATAAAAAAAATATATATATATATTTTTTATTTTATATATAATTTTTTTTTCCCGAAAAAATTTTTTTGTTAACCCCCATCCTTGATCGAACGATGGCGAGTCGTTCGATCAAGGATGGGGGGGGAGTAAGCTAAAAATATATAGTAAATGGCAAAGAATTAGGTGCGTTAGAGTCACATTCAAGGACACAAAAACCACAGAAATGGAATCAAGAGACCAAAGAATCAGCTTTATGAATCACTTACTCCCTCCTATTATTATAGAATTCATTTTTGTTCATTGTTAGTTGAGGTATATCTCTTAAAAGTTTTTAATATTTTAAAACCATTATTTATTGAAAATTTATATTAAAAAATTTTAAAATATACAATAAAATAAAATATAATTTAAAACAAAATATTAAAGCTTACTCAAAGATAACGTAGTAAAGGTTAAATTATTTTAGGTTTTCAAATGTAGTTTTCTATAAAAATTTTTTATCAAAAATGGTGGCAGGCTGCAATAAATAGGGAGAATTAGGAGTTGTGACTTGAAGCACAGAAACTCAACTTCATGGCCTAAATATAAAATATCCTGCTTTACTCAATCTAAAACCCTATTTAGATTACCTATCTTATACAATTTAATTTAATTATATTAATAATTATTATTTGTATATAAAAATTTTTTTCATAAAAAAATTTTGCTGGCTATTGGAGGGTTTTTTTTGGGCAAAAAATAGGATTTCTCCAATGGTTTTATTTGCTCACGGAGGGAGGGGGTTAAAAACTTAAATATAAGCATAATAGGCTAGAAAAATTATCACAGATCTAATTAGCTTAAAATAGTTCAAAATACTTTAAAATCATCAATTTGAATCAATTTATCCAAAAAATAACTTTATTAAATTTCCTTTTTAAATCTTTCAATTAATACAATCAAACTATGACCATGCTGAATTCAAAACTTGTTAAAATGCTATCCGTTGTTTGAATATAAAAAATGGGAAACAGAGAAACTGGGTGCTTCAGTTGTTTTGAAAAGCAGCAGCGACTTCAGGGCCAATCAAGTGATATGGCTTCTCCTATAGCATTTGCACCTATGGAAAATGACATTTCTGACAGTAGACTTACCTCTGACACAATTGAAAAAGAAGAACCAAAAGATGACGGTCCGTTTTCAAGAGATTCCGCAATTAGGTTAATTGACGACTGCCAGGAAAAGTTTTTGAGCATTATTAAGACTAACTTTGAAGAAGAAAAATATATCCTAGAACACAACCAGGAAGGCTTAGAAATCTTTTCATGTGACACAAATGAAGGTTTTATGATCATCTCTCGATGGAAAGCACCTTTTACCCCTGAGCGAATTGTCAATTTTTTAAGATGCATTGACAATAGGAAGCAATGGGACAAAAACATAGCCGATATAAAGCAAATATGTGCAATCACTCCTGACATCTCCGTATATTATCAATTATACAAAAAGGTTTTAGCTGCAGCACCTAGGGACTTACTTTTGATTAGCAAAATCACACAAGTAGAAAACACAATGATAGAGATTTCGACTTCAATAGATTCTCCAGTTTTTCCTGAGAAGAAAGATATCGTTAGGGCTCAACTATTTCTAGGAGGATACTATATAAAGCCTATAGAGAAAGATACTGATGGAAATATATGCGAAGTCACCAATGTCAGCCAAGCATCATTTGGAGGGAGTATTCCAAAAGGCATGCTTAAGAAAATGAGCATCAAGCTGGTCCCTACATATATTAAGTCTCTTGTTGAAGGAATTAAGAGCCAAGATTCAAAAGAAAACAACAATGATGCTAAAAATTAATATGAAAGACTAATTAAGTGGTTTTGATTTGCCTTCCATGATGATATAATACTTCGCTAACACAGCATAATATTTTCTTCATATAGTCTATTCTGAAATTTTCATTCGCGGAATGAGTGTTGCTATCTGTGCTTGCAGGGCCTGCAACCATGAATTGAGCGGATGGGAATTCAGCGCCAAGCAAATTTAAAAATGGAATGCTTCCTCCTCGGTTGTAAAAGAGGCAGTCGGTGCCGAAGAAATTTTGTCCAGCAGAGTCTAAAGCCTGTTTTAGCCATGATTCTAAGTTATTTTGTTTCCATCCACTTCCTTTATCGATAGGGTGCTTTATTTCAATATGAGCTCCATATGGTGGATCTCTAGTTAATGCTTCGACTAATTTTTCAGCAGCTAAGTTGCAATCTACTGTAGGAGGAAGTCTAACAGATAATCTTAACCTAAATTACTTATCGAAATGATCTCTGCAGGGTGTACTAATCACTCCACTTTCCCCTGCAGCTTGCTTTCAGTTCGGGCACGGCCTTCAATGTGTCGCTCCTCACGCATTAGGGCTTGAACTCACTATCTGAGAGTCAGAATCGTTGGTCATCATGCCATGCGCTAATGGTTTGCTTCCAGAAAATTCAAAAAAAATAAATTTTATAGTCGGATTTTCGACCAAAATGGAACTCGTAGCCGGGATACAACGCCTGATGTAAGAGTTTGATTGGGATAACTTATATCATTTTAGGAAATCACCCGATTGACAAAGAAACTCCCTCTGGTCTTGCTCACGACCCCTTTTAACTCCAACGTTCTGCCTCCACGGAAAAAGAGCAATCTGGACGGATGCGAGTTAGGCTAGTCGTTTAACAGATAATCTTAAAGATGTGCTTGGCCTCAATAAACTTCCAGCATTTTCCAAAGAAGGTATTCCTTGGCATCCTAAGAAATAGAATTGTGACGTTGACTTCTCCTGATGGAGCGGCCAGGTGCGATGAGTGATGAAAGTGAGTTCTTCGTGAGTTAAGAAGACCATCTCAATCGGAACCCTTCTGAAACAGGGTGGTTTTTTCACCCGGAAGATTTCTGTCCTGCTAGATGGGCTATCCTATCACTTGAATCCTTCTCATCGGGATTATTGGGCACCTTACAGACGGTGGCTCTGCCCTAGGGAGCTGATTTCTTGGACAAGTGGTTCAGGTCGGAAATCCAAAATATAAACTCTTGGAGCTAATATGGACGACGGCTAGTCATTTATGCGTTTATAGCTGACATAATTATCTAATTTATTTATTTGGCATCCTAAAATTGTTTATTTATTACCTTAACGCTGAATCTCAGCATTACCCTCTCTCATCTTCATTATCCCATATATAAACGTTTTTATCTTGTTGTATTTCTATGAGCTTTTCTTCTATCTCTCTTCAATTCACTTCACAAATCAATCTAAATATCATCTATTTTAAATTTTTCTCATTTATTATTTTAGCACACAACAACCTTCATTTTTTTACCTTCCTAAAATTGATAATGTTGGTCTATATGTTCTATTCAAAATAATCTGGACAGGATCAGACGTAACTGGCTTCATGCCTTTTTCCCAATTAATTTTCCCAGTTAAGTCTTTCCCAACTGCAACTGCACACCTTGCAGCATTTTCATATATTTCTGGAGTAATTTCTGCATAGCACTCAGGTATCAAAATTTCTCCAGTCCTTGAATCTTCAATCCTATCAAGAAGCTGCCTAAAAATTCTAAAACTTGAAGGCACAACCCCTGATACATCTCCAGAATGCTGACCTACCGTCAATACTTTTACTGTCACATCTAAAGTAACTAACCCTCTTAAACTTCCAGTTAGCCAAAAGCGATCATAAGTCGGGATTCCTGCATCTAAACAAATAATAACATCTGGATTGCCTATTTTATCCTTCACTTTGGAAATATATTCCATTAAGTTATAGCTTCCACTTTCTTCTTCGGTTTCGCCTATAAAAATAATTCTTCCTCTTGGGATTCCAAGCTCGTCTAAAGTTTTTATAATAAGACCTGCACTGGGGAATGAGTAGCCATCATCAACACCGCCTCTTCCGTAGAGACGTCCATTTATTATTGCAGGATGAGTATTGTCTGTTCCTTCAATCCAGCCTGGAATATGAGGCTGTTTATCAAAATGCCCGTACATTAGTACTGTGCCTAAGTTAGGGGCTGTAGCTGGGAATTCTCCAACAAATAGCCAAGGCTTGCCAGGTTCTTTAAGAATTTCGTAGTTGAATCCTTGAATATTAAGTGATTTGACATAGTTTAGAACGACATCTATTGCTCTTAGCATGAGCCCATTTGTTTCCCAATCTCTGTCAAAAGCTGGTGAAAGGTTTGGAACCCTAATAAAATCCATCAACGCTGGAATCACTCCGTTATCCACTCCGTTTTCAATTCTTTCTCTAAGAATGTCTGGGTTCATATTTATAGATATATAAAGAGAATTAGATGATTTCGCAATTTAAGGAAATCTACTTTTTACTCATAATTCCAAGACCTTATTTGTAAATAGCGAAAGGCACTTTTTCAATAATCTCTTAAATTTAATAAAGAAATAATTATTTAACCTATTTTTTAATAATTATTTTTATATCTTGGCAATTTTATGCCTACTTGCAAAATCTCTGATTCTATCCATAGCTTCTTCTATCACATTATTGAGTTGCAAAGGACTATACGAAATCCGTTTGTACTTAAATATACTTCTGCTGGCATGACACTTACAGATTCTTCTGCAGCCAGTTTATCAACAAAAACTGAAGAGGTTGGGATGTCTTGAAATGCATTAGGATCAATAAGAATCATAGAATAAATTAAGCCTTCAGTAGGAGTGATATAGAGCTCATTTAGATTTGACAGTTTCTGAGGAACAATATCCGCTCTAATTTTTAGCTTTTGAGCAATATCTTCTGAATATTGTTCTGGCATACTTGAAAGAATTTGTGGAACTGCATTAGCCATAAAAAGAGGAACATGAGCTACTAAGCTTTTGAAGTCTGAAATTGCCTGTCTTAATTACCTGCAACGGTTATATTTATCGTAAATTTTAATCCAGCCACATCTTCAGCCAGGAACAAGGCACAACTTACTCATTGTCCCTATTAAATACTATACATTAAAATGGCGACATGTGCCATCTTGCCCTCATGGCGCAGCAGTCCAGACTTTATGGCTACAGCGAACTAGGATAGACTCCGAGCCGAGAATCAAGTGCAGGCTTAAGAGGTGTGTATCCAGGTAGGCTTTGGCTGCTTTCCTGTGGTTGGAAATAGAGGTGCTAGACAACATCCTTTGGATCTGAGGACCCATAGGCATTCCTCTACCGAGAAACTGGAGAATTCGGCCCAGACCACAGGAAAACAGTCTTTTTCCTTTAGCTGTAGAAGAAAGGCACTTCGACACCCGATAGACTCCAAGAATCCTTAGAATATGCTACTCAAAAGGGCACTAGCAAGAGGGATAGACCCTCTGGAGTCGAAAAGCGGTAGAATCTCCCTTAAGGGATGTCTTTGGTGACTGCGTCGCCAATATGGCTAGCGCCTTTACTTAAAAATCCTAATCCCTATTGAAAATACTGGAACTTCATCAGTTAAAGAGCCTAGAGGAATAAAAGGCTTCTCAAATGTCAGCCCCTCATACACTTCATCGGCTAAAATACAGAGTTGATGATTTTTCGCCCAATCTAAAATTTGTAGCAATTGCTCTCTTGAAAACACACTTCCACATGGATTTGAAGGATTTATAATTATAAGGAGTTTAGTTCGCTCATCTACAGCTGCGTCTAATTCGTTGAAATCTATTTCCCAATTTTCGTAAGGTTTTAATTTATAGTATTTTGCAGTGCATCCCCTATTTCTGCACATAAGTTCGTAAAGAGGGAATCCAGGTGAAGGAACTAGCATGTTATCGCCTGGATTTAGCATAGTTTGGATGAGTGTAAAAATGGCGCCTGACCCTCCAAAATCGAAAACTATGTCATCAGCGGACAGTTTAATATTAGGGTAGCTGTATTTTTTGGCCAAGAATTCTCTAGCTTCTTTTGGGCCAAGTTGATGAGAATAGCTATTACCTGTTCCAGACTTTAGCGAGTTGTTAACTGCTTCGACGAATGCAGGATTTACTTGAAAGTCTGAGCATTTTGATGGGTCTCCTGCAACTAAGGAATAGGCTGTCTTATTGATTTGAGAAGGAGGAGCGATCTTATTGAATATAGTAAAAATAGCGTTTGATGAATTTTTGGTGTTATCTGATGGCTCAATAGTCCAATTGTCCATTTTGGTTTTATAACTGAAGACATCAACAGTAATTATTAGTTAGATCATTCTTATAAAAATGGAAGATTTTATTAGCAAAAATGATAAAATTCAATACCTTAATGAATTGATAGGCAGATGCTTTGACAAAGAGGTTTGACTGGGTAATCTCCATCTAAATCTGCACTTAGCAATTTTCTAACTTTACTATCAATTCTAGGAGATTTTGAGTGAGAGTTTGGGATTTTTATTTTAGGTAGCTTATCAATGCTTGAGTTTAGCCTAAAGTGAGCATCATCTTCACTTGTGTTTGACTCTTGATTACTTCTTAATTTCTCCCTCGTAAGCTTTAGAGACTTTCTTAATTTTACAATTGATAAGTCATTTTTATTCTTATGTGAATATGGAACGCTTAATTTTGGTAGCAATGAATTTTCTAACTTGATTCTCAATGCATTTGTAAACTGCTCACTCTCAACCGGCCAGTGGTGAAACTTCACTTCTTTAGATTCTTCATTTAATTTGTGAGGTTTTAAACTCTTATGGATTGTTCTATGATATTTTAGCTCTAACTCTCGAGCAAATTTATTTTTCTCAATAAATTCTTTATGCTGCAACAAGCATTCTTTATATAAAGAAGCTGCATTTACTCTTTGGGTTTCTGAACTGTTTAAATTGCTTCCTTTCATATTCAATATCTATGTTTACCTGCGTAAATAAAATGCCGATGCCACCGACAGTCATTTCCCAAATCTGTTTCGAATTTGGGGACCTTGCTGCGGCCTGAAGTCAAACCAAGCAGGAAACAGACTCTGCAGGTACTGGGTATTTGTGCTCCGGTTGGGTTTTGCCTCGCTCGTCCTGCAATGAAGATTTTGTGTCTTCCTGATGGACATTTGGGCAAAAAGGCTTTTTACTCCTAGAGATCACTGCAGATGACGAAGGCATAGTTGTTATCGATAATAGCTAGGAAGTTTATTCCTAGCTGAAACTCTAGTCGCTTAAGCAGCAGCCGTCAAGTCCCAAACCTTCATACTCCAAAGTTCTGAGACATCATTAAGAACCAGAACAAAAGCTGGAGTAGAGTATCTCTTGTGGAAATGCTGGCATACTCAGGGAGGCTTGCTAGAAGCTGAACGAGTCTTCTACGAAGAGCTATCTTGGGAGAGACGTAATCATAATCTTTAATTAACGTTAATGCTATCTATATTAACCTAAGCCAGCAGATTACTTTATCTAAAATTATATATCATATTATGAATATTTCACAACAGCACGAATCAGATATTTACAGCAGAAAACCAGCTCATAGAACTTCCAAGCACCAAAACTCGATTGCTACAGTAATTTCAACTCATTCTACGTCTAATTCTTTAGAAACCATAGAGGAGACCATTCGAAAACGAAATCTAAAAACAGAAGAAAGTCCTAGTATCAAAAAATTTCGCACACAAGATTGTGAATTTATCCGGAGTGAAAAAAAGCCTGAGAAATCTGTTCTATTTAACGATTTGGATGAAATTTTAAGTTTAAGTTTATCGAAATCTCTTTAATGCTTCAAGTAAGTCCCAGTTTCTTCAAGTTCCAACTCCGGAAATAGCAGCTCTGAATAACAGTAGGTTGGAAGGCCTAACTGCAAAACCGGTACTGCTTCCGAATCCGTTAGACCCCATCAATCCTTATTAGACTCAATAAGTTTCAAATTACACTTGTCTCACAACTCTCAGAAAGTTTCCTACTCTCTTCTTTTGAGCTTGAGTGTTGGGACTTACCCTACCTCATAACTGCCATTTTATATTAATAGGATGAAATTAAAATAAGACTGGAAGAGGAGACATCAAGGCTAGATTCTCAAAAAGAAGCGATCTTGAAAATACTTGAGAAAATCAATAAAAAATATAAGTCACTGGAAATAGATAAAAACGAAATTAATAGGATGAAAGACGTTATAAGGGAAAGAGAAGCTAAGCTACTTGACGAAAAATTGAGCTTAAGACACGAAAGAATAAAGCTCAATGAAGAAAGAAATAATTACAACGCTATGATGCAGTCTCTTATTAATGAATTTCATGATGTAAAATTAGAAAAATACAGAATGTATGTACATAAGTCAATTAATGAGAACAAAAAGAAGATTTTAGGTAAAAGATCAAAAATTTTCCACGGTATAAAGACTGAAGAGAAAGCTCAACATCAGGAGACATTAAACTTATTTTCTCCAAATTTTAAGCAAAGGTTATCAAGAAACGACTCGAACTCCTCAGATGTTGAAGAAGAAGCTACTCAACTGAGTAGAAATGTGCTTCTTTTAGAGGTAAAACCTAATTTTTTCCTGCAAGACTATCAAGAATCAATACTCAGTGGAAGAGTCAATCCAGTTGCTCCGGATGATGAAGATTTTTCTCCATCTTTTGACGATCCAGACACTTAATTTGCTATTCAAATAATATAAGTTTTAAAATTTTGGAAAAAGTTATGAAACATGAATTTATTGATATTAAAGCTATATTTCTTTGTTTATAATCAAATTATCTATCTCGGCTGGCAGAAATAATAAATCTAGATTTCTCTTGCAGCTTTCTTTATGTTTAAAATTCCAATATCAATTGGATTAAATCGCTAAATTTTGTTGAACTTAAATGTATATTTTACTACAAAGGCAACAATTTCCATAGTGAAGAATTATTAATTGAAAAATGCTATTTTTCCTATCAATTCTAGCCCTTGCATATTCAGTAGATTCAATATCAGGAAGAAAGTCAAAATTAGGAGCCTGCATTTCTTTAGTGCAGATAGCAATTATAGACACCGAATTAGAATTTAAAAGCATCGCCAAAAATCTACCACCCCAGAATCGAGAGAGAGCCCAAAACAAAATCGTCGCAGATATGATGATAAATTGCATGAACAAAATTTCTTCTCAAGCAGCAGTCGAGCTTCTATCTATGAAGGAAAATGCTATGTTTCTGCGAGAGCATAGCTCTCTTATTGACTGGGATAGGACACAATTTGATGGCAATACTGTTATTACTTTCACACAGGAGCAAATAGAATTATTTGATGAAATTCAAGCTTTTCAGGATAGTGCTCATCAATTTGTGGCAGAACCATATGAAGAATCAGAATGATCAGAAGATAATAAAGCCTATGAGGGAGTTCCTTTTCTTCAATTTGGACTATGGTATGCTGTTGTAATTATAGGGGTGTTCGGATTATTTTTCTATTTCGCAATCACAAAACTGAATGAACCTCCGAGTACTCCGAAGAAAAAGAAAAAGAATAAATAAAGGATCAATATAGTAAATATAGGTTTATAAGAATCTTAGCTTAATTTAATGCAACGACACATATATCCTAATCTTTCATAGTCAACTTCGAAAGCTTTGAATCTCAAATAATCAAGAAACCAGCCTTTGAGTTCTTGAGGATCTAGATTAGCGTTTCTGCAAAGTTCCTTGAATTCTTCAATAGTGATGAATTTATCCCAGCTATGGGTTCCAGGCTCTACAATCCCTAATACATTTTCAGCTGCATAAATAGCCAAAAGGTATGATTCAATAGTTCTATTAACAGTTGTGAGGATCACAGATCCACCAGGAATTGCTTTATCTGCTACTTGCTTTACAAACACATCAGGAGAATTTACGTGCTCAAGAACTTCTGAAGCGATAACTAGGTCATAGGTGCCCTCGACATCAACAACTTCGCAGTTTCTGTATTGAACTTTGTCCTTTAGATGTGTAGGCAAATGGTCCTGAGCAACATCAATAGCTTCTGGAGTCGGGTCAATTCCAACTACAGTTCCATATATTATAAAATCGCTGGTGACGAGCAGCCTGTCCTTCCTGCTGTGGATGACTTTATGCATATCTGGCATTGAAGCGAGACGCTAATCCTCCCTTCCGTTAGCGAACGAAAGATTTTGTTCCTCACGGAGGGGGGTTAATTTTTTTTTAAAAATTTATTTCTAAATTTTATAGTAAACTTTTTTTTTGAAAATTAAAAAAATCCCAAAATCGCAATAATTGGAAAGTAAATATTTATCTAATTTGTAAATTTATGTTTTAAATGCAAGCTGTTTAAAATGGAGCAGAATTAGCTGGAGATTTCGTTATAATAATTATCACTTATATATCAAATTTTTTTTCCATAAAAAATTTTTGTTCGCTCATAGAGGGTAGGTTTCAAGCAAAAAATAGGGATTTTTCTAATGGTTTTGTTCGCTCACGGAGGGAGGGAGTAAGCACAATTTCAGCTGAATTGCTGCCTGAATCAAATAGTTGTTTTTCACATTTTTTCGCCAGTAGCTCCAGGCTCAGGCTGGATGTCCCATATAGGTAGGCAAGTTAATAGCCTAGGCTGCTTGGTGGCCTTGCCCAGAATAGAGTAAACTGCTGAGTTTTATTTTGGAGTTAATCAAGAGGGAAAATGGAGTGCAAGCTTGGCAAGATTTCTCGAGGGTGCAAGTCTCTCCAGCTAGATTTTTGGCTGGCTCCCCAGGATTTGACCGACTCCCCAGAGTTTGATAGCAGTGGCTTTAAAGTTGTAAGCGGCGTTGCCGTAAATGTGCGTCCTTAGACAAAAATGGCAGCGCTACCGAGAGCAAACGAGAGAATTTATTTAGATATCGTAAGACCATTTTATGGCGGAGCCAAAGCTCACTGCACTAGGCCTTAAGACCGTTATTACCTACCTTAGTGATGATAAAGCAGATTATCTTTATATCTTCATATCTTAAACATGTTGTCTTCGTCAGAATGCATCTTCAATACGATTACGCCCAATTAGCTTGCGTTTTCTCCATTAGAGTCAGATGAGCTGCAGACTTGCTCCCTCAACAATACACCTCTCTGACGATTTTGAGTCATACAGCCTACATTCCCAATCTTTGTTCCACACAACTTGATGCCGGTCCATCGCGGTGGGAATTAAACGTAGCTCTTGGTCGGCCAAGCTAGCACTTCCATGGATCATATTTTTCTATCACTACTAAGCAATCGGAAGTATCAAGCGGCTCTAAAAATCTTTCATTTGGTCACAGTGCATTGCTACTGGTTAGATAGTTGTGTTGCGGGCATAATCCGAACGCTAGGACTTTGAAAACATCACTTATCTAGCCTAATTTAGTCTAATCGAACTACAGTTCCGCCTAATCTTGCAAGTCTTTCTGTAATTAATCCACCACCACAGCCGACATCAAGAATTTTCATGTTTGCGAAAGGTTTTGGCCCTGAAAGCCCTAGCTTCCTACTTGACCAAATTTTTTAGCTCGCTAACAAAGATTGTATAAAGTTTATATAAAATATTAAATAAAAATATTTTTCGGTATTTAAAATAAGTAAAATTAGAAATTTAAACGAAAAGTTATCTTGCTCACAAAAGAATTATTTTCACTAAATAGGTATTTTTCAAATCTTTTTGATCGCTCGCAAAGAGGGATGGTAAGCAATTTTTGATAAAATTGATTCTGACATCAGTGTACGGATGCAAAGCATCGTTTGAGCTTCACCACTTATATGAAGCAAAAATGAGTTTTTCTGAGGGATCTACTGTTGACAGTCTTCTTAAAATGCGAAAGGTTGAGAGCATATCGGAAATGCAATGAAATAGATTATTTGAGATATCATGGATGAATTGAAAATTAATTCGAATAAATTAGAATTTACCATTAAAAATAAAAGCAATTAATAAGTATGAAAATTAAGCTAAATTTTATTTATTTCTAACTCAATTAAAATTAGCATAATAATTTGTCCAGAAAAAAGCTGGATTTCAAAGATAATAAATTTAACTGATAAATTAAAATGCACCGTACAAGATAAGATAATATGGGATTACTGCTCAAGCTTTAATGTTTTCCCACTTCTTCAATCTAAAATCCTTTGCCCACTCAAGAAAGGGTTGTAAAAAAGAACTTGAAAGGATTTATTTTTACAAAAAGTCACTATCAAAAGTATTTGAAAGCTTCAAAAAGGAGGGATTTAAAAAGCAACTTTGCATACCTCAACTAAAGCGAGAATTGTATGAGCTTGATTTAAAGCTTTCTGCAATTGAAGAGCAAGATAATCCTTTACTTCGTTTTTTTGTCTCTTTTATGGTTGAAGAATTACTGGATTTGGCTAAGGGATTGTACTGCTGTTCTCTATCATCCAATGAACTAGGCAAAAAATAAATGTTTTATTTGATCAATATAAAGATAACAATACTCGCATTTTAAAGTTTACTGATTTGAAAAAAATGATTTCAGATATATTTGATGTCAGTGTTAACCAAATACCAATATTATCTTTAGGTGTAGACCAACCTAATAAATTTAGCTCAAGAGATTATTTTGACTATAGCTAATTGCTGTCAAAAGCAGAAAAATCATATGTTGAGACACTTATAAGATTTTATTAGGCACAAATGAAGACTTAAATTAAATTGAAAGTCTAACGCCTTTCAGATTTGATGCTTCTGTAAGTTTTCGGCAAACATCTACTTGCTTGCCGGCGGAAATTCAGCAGCTATGTGGAACAAGGAGGTGGCTTGTACTGTGATCCCAAGAGTATCGATCGGTGAGGGAGACGCACTGCCAGTATGCTATCGGGTGCTATGGAGGCAAAGGTAGCCCGATATCTCTTGTCACCACATTTGGGAGAGGTGGCACCAAGGCAAAAAGGAGCTACGCTCTCCAACACTGGAAGGGAAAAGACGTGCCCCAAAAATCATTTGGATAGCTAATGCTTGGTCTTCTAGTTGCCGCCAGCTGACTTAAGGCTACCCTCCCACAAAAATCTTACCGTTCGATGGGTAAGGGTCAGAGTTTAAGAGTTCCAATCTTGGTTTGGATTATAAGTGACTTTTGCGGCCAAGGTAGAGCATCTTTGCCAAAGACATATTTAGTCGCAATCACCATGTTGATTATATGAAGACTTAGGAATTAATGAGTTTGAATCCTTATTCTGCAGCAATCGCGAAGCATTAAGAATTTTAATCTCAGGAGGCATAGAGAGTGTATTTTTAATAACTATAAAAATTGTCATTAATTTCTTATCTACTTAATCGCTTCTATAAATATGGGTATTTGTGCTTATGATATTCCAACATTCAATCAGCTCTCAGCCGAAAAAACCATCTGTTCTTCAGAACCCCAAAATACAATATCCTCTACACAAGTAGAGCGTACATCAAAATTCGATTTTTCAGACATACCATTTTCCCTAAAAGAACTGTTCACAAGTAATCCAACGATTCCTCTACCAAAAATAGAAAAAGAAATAAGAGATCGTGAAAGAAACTGCATTTTTGCAAAAAAATCAATTTCAAAGGCTTTTAAGCACATCTCAAAAGAAGGGATAAACAAGAAACTAAGTTTGATGCAATTTAAAAGAGCTCTTTATGAGCTTGGAATAAATCCTAAAATACTTGAGGATCCTGATGACCCAATGTGACTGTTTCTATTTTCTTTCCAAGAAAATTCATTATTTGATATGAGAAAAATTATTGCCTCATTCATTTTGATATCTGATTCAGAGTTGAAGAAAAAAATTAAATTTTTATATTTATTATATGATGAAAATGAGAATAGAGTTTTGGAGCAAAATGAGATAAGGAGCATGCTATCAGATTTAGCTGAAGTTAGTGTTGAGTGTTTGCCTTTATTGGTATCAAATGTAGAAAGCAGCGAAGAGTTGTCAAAATATATGGTATTTATGAGGATTGAGAAAGAGAGACTAATTGAAGAGGCGTCAAAAACACTTTTGGGTAATTTAACTGAAGTAGGAAATGTTGAGTTGATAGGCATTCTTCAGAATAGCAATGATTGGTTCAAAATTTTCAGGTCTGAAGGCTTAAGAGAAACAATATTGGAAAAATACAAACTCCCGGAGAATCCTCAATATTTGGAGCAATTTCTTACTTAATCTGACTTCATGAAGCTATCTTAATGAAAATTCTTATATGTCTAAACCTAGTATAAAGAGATTAAATATAGAAATTTCCATAGATGGCGCTGTTTGCCCTTGATTTGCCCACTGGGGAAATTTTTTGGTTCGACCAGTTCCATATGGCTTGGTCAAACCAAAAAATTTTTCTCATGGGCAAATCAAGGGCAAACAGCGCCATCTATGGGAAATTTCTATAAATTTAATACTGTTGAAGTTTTGGAATTTTTGAAAATATAAATTTAAAGTGACCAAAATGGTGGATTTTCAAGAACCATTTTTTGGAGTCTGTAGAGATCAATGGCCTTGTGCCATTGCTTGTCTTATTCCAGGAGGATACTGCTGGCTTCAATCGCGAACCACAGCTATTGTAAATGGCGGATATCTGCTAGGACCGTTTTTAAAAGTTTGCTTGCTCCCTCAAGCAATTTTTTGCTTGATCTCAATTGAAATTAGTTTGTACAAAAATTTTTAAAATTACTATTAAAAATATTTTCTTAATTCTTAATTTAAAGGAAAAATTAAATTAAATTTATAATATTATGCTTAAGAATGCAGACATTTTAAAATTTAACAGAGCTTCACAGATCCCTTTATAATAAATTTTGATTATATATAAATATTTTTATTAATTAATTTTTTTTTCCTCTTAATTTTCCAAAAAATAGGAATTTTTCTCGAGGTTTTCTCACTCTTAAAAGAGAGGCTTAGGATTCTGTATTGGCGCTGCATTTAATCGACAAAAAATCCGGGATGCTTTCCTAATTGATGGGCATATCATAAAAGATTGTGTAGCCCATCTCCTATGTCCTATATGTGCAGTAACCCAAGAATACCGAGAAGTATGCAGAAGAATAGGTCCATCTAAAACTTTTGTTCTGATGACATCCTAGTTTCAAATTTCTTTTGAAACTCTCATAAATAAACAACTGTATTTGAATTTTTACATAATAGAATCCCTTATATTAATTGTGTGAGTTATCATTATAATTGATTATAAATTAAAAACTCTAATTTCACCAAGTTTTGAAGATACAACCAATATGTTTTCTTCTTCATCAATGTCAAGATCGGTTATTTCGGAATCGCAAGCTTTAAATGCACTTAAAATTCTCCCAGAAATGCTGTGCCATATTATAATATTTCCATTCTATTTATTTCTTACAGAAAATCCAACAATGATTTTTTCTTGATCTACCAGATATCTTGATTTCACAACTTTCCCATTCTCTTCTGGCAGCTGAAAGATAGCAGATTGTTTGGTATTTGGGCAATTTGGATAAATAATTAGCTCATTTCCATCCCCTACAAAAATATTTCTGATTTAAAATTACCCCCATCTCACATCAATACAAGATATTGGTCCATCGTTCTTGGTAGTAATAGATTCAAGATATTTTGGAGACGGGCTTGGCAATACATAAATCAAAATTCGATTAATGCTGGTTCCCAAAAAGATTTTCTTAGATTTTTGATCAACTGCTAACGAAATAAGTCTCGCATCTCCAAGTCTCTGTCGTAAACTCCCACCTCCTACAGGTTCAAGATGCCCATTGATGGCTGTTTAACAGTTACACTGAGAAACTTTCAAAAAATTATCAACGCTGATTGATATGATTAAATTATCAATTGCCCTTATACACACAACTTTTGCTCCATGCAGTTTAGACAGCTTAATTTCACCAAAATTTAATTTTTCATTGTCAAAAGTGCCTTGAGAATTTGGGGTTAATATACGATTGGTACTACAAAGTGCAATACTTCCAGACTCAAACCCAAAAACTGCTTCTGAGCTTTGTTCATGCCAAAAGCAGCATGTCACGTTTTCTTTTGATTGCTGACCATTAATTATATATAAATCTGAGTCTCTTCCGATAAACATGATTTCTCCAAGTTCCTGAGGTTCAATTAAGCTTCATAATTTTCCTAATTGTGGAAGATATGATGCATCTTCTAATGAAGCCAAAATTAATTTTTCTTTAGGGATGCAAGCGATCCCTGAGACAGAAAATTTATCTGAAGCTTGAAAATTGTGTGTTAGACTTGGGGTTGATGAAACTACCCTTGCTTCTTGAGGAACTGAGAAGAATTCTTCTATCAAAGGATGAGACATGATGTCTGGTCTGTTTCCTATCTCTTCAAACAATTTATTCAGAAGTCTTTGAATGCTTTCTAAATGACTTAGCTCATAGGAATAGATTTCGGTCACTGGCAGCTCTGGAAGATAAACAAGATCAGAATTAAGTTTTTGATAGCAAATTACGAAATTTTCAAACACGATATTGGCTCGCCACTGATAATCAATTCTAGATCCTTGAACAATAAAACATAAATGTAAGCCATCATCACTCTGTTTTCTTCCTATAATTGAAAGTCGAAAAGGTCGATAAATATCCATTTTATTGCCTAAGTCGATTATTTATAATTAATAGTGTGTGGTCAAGCACAGATGCCAACCCCCACCCCCCTACCCCTACCCCTACCCTACCCCCCCCTACCCCCCCCCCCCCCCCCTACTCCTACCCCCCCCTACCCCCACCCCCCATGCATGGATCCCACCCCCACCCCCTAGTATATATGGATCCCACCCCCACCCCCTATGCTAATAGATCCCACCCCCCACCCCCTCCACCCCCCTCCCCCCACTCCCTCTATCATATAGGTAAACATATAAGTATAAAATCTTACAAATAAGACATACAAGAAAATTTTAGTAATTCATAAATGGATTCATAAATAGATTCATAAATAAATATTAATGATTATAAGTATATTTAGCATAGACTGATATAGCCAATATATTAGTAATACATTTAAAATAAAATAATTGCAAAAAACTTGTTACATAGAAAGGAATCAATAAATGACTCAAAAAATATTTTGATATCTCTATAAAGTCTTTTACTCCCCCCATTTAATAACGAACACTTTTTTAGTTCGTTATTAAATGGATCTAACTTATAAAATTCTTGGGAAAAAAAATATATATAAAATTTATATTAAATATCTATGATTTTTTATATAAAAATTTCAAAAAAGGGTTAATAATAAAAAAGTCAAATGATGGCAACATAAAGAGAAAGCGCCTAAATTTATGCGAAAAAAATAACTACTGCTAACTCCTCCCCTCCGTGAGCGAACAAAACCATTAGAAAAGTCCCTCACTCTTCGTGAGCAAGCAAAAATTTTTTTTAATAGAAAAATTTTTTATGGAAAAAAGTTTGATATATAAAGCGATAATTATTATAATGAAATCTCTGCCTAATTCTTTTTAATTTTAAACAAATTGCGTTTTTAAAACATAAAATTTTACAAATTCAATTAATATTTGCTTTCCAATTTTTGCTAATTAGGATTTTTTTAAATTTCGTAAAAAATAATATTTCTATAAATTTATATATAAATTTAAAAAAAAAACTCCTTCGTGAGCAAACGATATTTTTTTGTTCTCTTACGGAGAGGGAGTAAAGCACCATCTTAAGATTAAGCCCACTATTAGCTCTTATTTATTACTCTTTGCTTGATTATGCTTGTCTTTATCTTACTCTAACTACTTAAAAATTAGTAAACTGTAAAGACTAAATTAGCTTATATAAAAATTTTATAGTAAATTTTGTTCGGTATTAAATGGGCCTAAGGAAAAATTTTTAGGAAAAAAAAATGACTGTTTTGTTCGTTATTAAATGGCGGGGGAGCTAGCCTGCATTCTTTGGAAATTTTTGACCTTTATATGATTTAAACACACGAGGTATGTGCTTGAAGGTTCATTGAAAAATATGCTTCCTCGTTAGCAAACTGTATCCGATTTTTTTTATCATCCCTATGACTTTGAATTTTTTATGCTGTGAGCAATTAATACGTTTTATTTGCCTTTAATACAGTTTAAATTATATAGGGGGTGGGGGTGGCATCTATTAATGGAATGGGGGTGTGGGTGGGATCCATAGATGCAAGGGGGGTGGGGGTGTGATCCATACATACTATCTGAGGGGTGGGGGTGTGATCCATACAGGGGTGGGGTGTGATGTATACATCCAAACTGGGGGGGTGGGGGGTTGGCATCTGTGCTTGACCAAGTGTGATTAAATATTAATTATTTTTATTAATTAAGCTGCGATAATAAGGATATTTTCAGAAGTATTCTATTTCTACAAATAGGCGATTTGAATTAAGTTTGTATTTTAAATTCTACTACATGAGCTTCTCCTCCTCTCTGCGCTTTTACTTGAATAGTTGATCCTAGCTGAAATCCAATTACTCTATATAAGTCTTCTGCATTTTGAAGAGGAGTATTTTCTGCATAAATCAGAATATCTCCTGGCTGGATTCCAGCCGGGCTGCTCTGAAACTTATATGGAAACATTTTGTTAGATTTCTGGCCATTTGTTTACGCTATTTTTTTATCGGGTAAAAACCAATTTAAAAATTTCAGTCGTTTTGGCGGAGAAAAAATAGCTTATAAATTTCCCGCAAAATCGGCACGAAAAGCCGCACTACAAAAGCTCAACAGTTGTGTAATACAGAATCGGCAGGCCAGCAAATAAAATTAGAGTTAAAGATTGAATCTTCGATTTACTAAAACAAAATGAAAACATGCTTTATAAAGCGCTCCAATCAATATATGCAATTTTTTTCTCTTTTTTTGAGTTGTATCAGAAAATACTGTCCTAGGTATTTCAGAGGCAACCTATTCCAGCCTTTTGTGCAGGTGTATCATTTTGAACGTGGGTAACAACTAGCCCCATTGAAGTTGGTACAAATGAAAGGCCAATAAATGGCCGCTCAACTTTTCCTTTTGTTTCAAGCTGGTCTATAATTGTTTTAACAAAATTAATAGGTATAGAAGCTCCTTCTACTTCAGGGCCAGTCTTATGAGTCTCAACAAACACTTTTGTCGTTAATCCAACAACTTTTCCATCTAAATTAACTAATGGACCTCCAGAATATCCAGACCTCATGAATCCAGTTGTTTTTATAAAACTCAGTCCAGAATCAGAAGGCGAGATATCTGATGGCAAATAACTATCAAGCCAAGGTGGAGTCTCTACTTTTACTCTATTAACCCATCCAATATCGAAATCATTGTGATCACTTCTATATGTAGCTCCCATATGGATTACTCCTTGTCCTCTCCTCAATTTATTAGAATCTCCGAATTCTACATATGGGACTTCACCGTCGACTTGGACTTTAACAATAGCGATGTCTGTTTGTTTGTGGTAATGAATCAAAAATGTCTCTTTTTCCTCATCATTGTCTAGCCTTGCGACCATGTTATATTGGGGTCCAAGAACATGATATGAAGTGATAGCTGTCCCATCTGGTTTTATAAAAAATCCTGAACCAAGACCCATTAGCATATTGGTTTTAGGACTGAGCACCATGATTCGGAATACTGAGGGTAAGAGCTTTTCACAAATATCTGCAGTGTTGAGACTATGCTGATGTGTTGCGAATCCTGATTTTGGAAAGGTTGGCAGATTTGATGATTTTATGTTTTTTAAGATCTTTCGGAAAGCCATATTAGAAATTTATTGGCTAAAATCAATCTAATTTGGATTGAAGAAAGCTTTAACTCCCCCCCCTTCGTGAGTGAACAAAACCATTAGAAAAATCCCTATTTCTTGTCCAAAAACCCACCCTCCGTGAGTGAACAAAAATTTTTTTAATAGAAAAATTTTTTATGGAAATAATTTTTGATATATAAATGATAATTAGTATAATGAAATCTAGAGCTAATTCTATTTAATTTTAAACGAATTGCTCTTTAAAACATAAATTTTATAAATTAAATTAATATTTGCCTTCCAATTTTTGCGAATTAGGATTTTTTTAAATTTAGAAAAAAAATATTTTTTATAAAATTTATATATAAATTTGTTTTAAAAAAAAAAATTAACCCCCCTCCGTGAGTGAACAAAATTTTTTTGTTCACTCACGGAGGGGGGGGGGGAGTAAGAAAAAAATGTCAGAATGTTTTTATGAAAATAATTATGCGCTTATAGATATTTATTTGTTAAAATGATATTGAGCCAATATCAAGAGTTTGAGGTTGACTATTTAAAGTTAATCCTCATTTTTAAATATATTTAAATGAAAAAGATTTAATTATATAGTAAAAAGCTATAGAGCTATTTTTACGCCATAGAAGAAAAATTAAAGCCTTATGCTTCAGATTTCAAATTCTTTTTCAATTGTTAATTTATAAAAAATTTTATATTGACTTTCAAGTAAATGCCTTTATTGATTTATCATTAAGCACTTAAACATTTAATGGGTTATAATGAGATTTTGAAGATAAAATAAGCATATATATTTTATAGTTGACAATCTTAAAATATTTATTATTCTTCTTTTTTCGATTTTAAGTAGAGTTTCATATAAATAAATATTTTGTAATAGACAAAAAGATTGAAAAATATGAAAAGAGATGACACTAACAAAAGATTTTTATCAAAAAAAGACTATAAATTTTCTTGTCCTAACTTCATCTTTTTAATAAATTTTCATAGCATTAAATCATATGATAATTATGGCTTCTTGCTTTATATGTGCATTTTTTCTTATTCAAAAACATATTTTCTTTTCTTTATAATCAAAATATCTTCAAATTGCATTTAGGATGAATTAATGCATTATAATTTTTATAATATGGAAACCCCAGGAGCGAGTGATGAAGAATTTGTTGATGCCGTCGAAACCAAAGATCAGCTTGGTTTCCCTCCTCTTATCAAGAGAACGTCGTCTTTTGATTCTCTCAAAGAGCCATCATCAAAAATAGACGCTGATATCACTCCTTTTTATTCTCAAACCGGAGAAAAATTTAGCGAAAACAAACCAACCCTTAACTCGAACTCTCAATATTCGACAGATTATTCGTCTCATAAAGAAGTCGACCAAGCAATGCTTTTTTCATGATCTTCTAAAAGCCTTATAAGAAAAAATCGAAAAGACTCCTACGAATTTGGAGGACTAGAAATCGTGCAAGAAATCTGTATAAATCAAGATTCAGCACTTAGAACATGGGTACTCAAATTTAGTCCTGATGGGAAATATCTTGCAGTAGCAGGCGATGATCCGCTTATAAAACTCTATGAAGTCGCATGCCACTTTTCAAGCGATTCTTTAAGTCTATTTAACGATGTCACATATAATGTTTTGGAAGGACATAGCCTACTTACTTAATAGTTATTGTGTTTGATATCCCTACAGGGTGGATAGATGCCAAGTCTTCCCGCTTACTCTTCACGCATCGGGTTCACAAGTCTCTATTGTGACTTGCTTTGATCACCAGGCTGCACCTTGGAGCAAGTGTTGCCGACTCTGACGCTCATGAATGAGTTACTGTCTTGTGGACGTGAGCTGCCTGAACGGAAAATCCAAAAAATGGATTTTCTGGCCGACTCTCGGCAAAAAGGAGAAGCACGTAGTCTGGGATGCAATGCCCAGTTTCTCGTTAGGGAGTTGCCCGATTGACTCTTAGGGCTTTGCTGGGCTTCCCCTCTCCAATTGCCGTGCCTTCTTTCCCCACGAGATAAAATTCATCCCAGAATCTGAACTTGGGTTAGGCTGTGCCTCCTGCAGAATTGCTTACCTAGTATTGCCGTCCGTCTCCAGAATGATAAAACTTTGCCGGATATAATTAAAATATGTGCTCGAAGTTAGTCTGCTTAGCCGACGGCGAAGCGCTGAGACACCATATTTTAATTATGGAAGGACATACCCAGCCTGTAATAGATCTGTCATGGTCAAGAAGCTCAACATTTTTGATATCAGCTGGTGCTGACTGTATGGTTTATCTATGAAGAATTGATAATAAAACTCCAGCTCTGGAATTTAAGCATCCCCAAATTGTAAGCAGTGTATGCTTTCATCCAGAGAATGCGAATTATTTCCTAACTGGATGTTTCGATCGGATAGTCAGAATTTGAAATATTCCGAATTATTCGGTAGAGTGCTGCTATCAAGCTCCAGATTTTATTACAGCGGCAACTTTCAGTCCTCAAGGGCATTTTCTACTACTTGGGCTTTCACATGGGCAATGCATGATATATGAAACCAATTTCCAAGAGATGAAATTAGCCTTTCTTACACAAATTCAATGTAAAAATAGAAAAGGAAGGAAAAAAGCTGGAAGAAAAATTACAGGTTTTGACTTTTTAGATGATCAGCAATTTATTGTGTCTACAAATGACTCAAGAATAAGGCTTTACAGTTTGGAAGATTTTAATATAAAACAGAAATATAAAGGCTGTAAAAATGAGAAATTTCCGATTAAAGCGAGTTTTTCGCATAATAATATGCATTTGATATCTGGATCAGAAAATGGAAAAGTTTGCATTTGAAATACGTTTTCCAGCTGGGTTCCATGCTTGAATCCTATTGTGGGAAGGAGAAAAACTGTTAAAAATAGCAGCTATGAATACTTTAAGATTGGAGATTTTAAAAATGCGGTTCATGGAATTTTTGCACCTGAAATAGTTGTCAAAAGAGCACAACAATTGATCACTAATATAGACAACGATTTAATTATAGGCCACATTGTGCTTGTAGCCAATGAAGGAAAGCTTAAAGTACTTTTTAACCAATTTAGAAATGTGAAATACTAATTATAAATTTATATATTTTAATATAAAAATTATAGCAAATTAAATTAATTTAAATGCTTGCAAATTCTACAATAATAATTTGTGTTTTAATTATTAAAATAATTTATTTATACAAAATTTTTTTTTCATTTTTTAGTGCTTATGACGTAAACACAAATCTTAACAAATTCGTATGATCTAAAAATTTTTGAAAGAATTAAAATACAGTTCATTGTTCAATGATAGCTGCTTCTGGGTGCTTAGCTGGGTCGGTGTCACGCTTCGGTTTTTATAAATATGCAAAACAGTCCTTGTAGGTGTTATCGAATATGGGCGGTTAGCTGGCTTTAAAGCAGGAAGAGTAGGAGACTGCGAGGATTGCTTGGCTGCATTTAAAGTTCCTTTTAGAAAATATACAGCATCATCAAATGGCTCGACACTTTCTCTTGTTCATAAATTGCGACTTTGCTCCTGATTGCGATAGTTGCTGACTTCTTCTAAAGGAAATAGATCTTCTATTTCTGTGCCAATAGCAATATCTGAATGCTTTTTATATTGCTTTAATGTTGAGTCCGTAAAGTCATGTCTGCTAAATTGAAAGTCTAGTCCAGATTTTTTGATTGAGTATCGCTTTACATTCAATGAAGTTGGAGTCGGCTTTAATTTTTCTTTGATATTTTTGGATTTTCTCCCTTTTTTCTTACTCCACACTAAATCAGTAAAATCATTGAATTCTTATTAGGAATTAACTCACTCTTCAAGCGAGTAAAACATTTTTTCAATATAAAATCCTTATAAAAATATTTTAATATTATTCTAGAGAGAAATCTCAGCTTTTCTATTAAATTTTGAGCAGCTTACATTCTAAATCATAAATTTTATTATTAATTAGATTTCATTTTAAAAAGTTTTTATTTGTATTTTAGAACAATTAACCCATCTTTATTAGCAAGCAACAAAATTTCTTCAAGGAAATTAAGATTCTTTTTAAAGCTATTTAAAAAGCAGAGTTTTTGTGTTTGAAGAGGCAAATCAGGAATTCCAAAATTTTCAGTAACTTTTAAATGTTTTTTCTCAAACGCTTCTAGCCTTTCTCTTATAGAAGTTTTTGAACTGCTCGGCTCTTCGACAAATAAAATCTCAAAATCAGCTGAATTAATTATTGATATATTTCCAGGACAAACATCAGCAATATATACTTTAACTTCTTTATTCCTCAGAAATAGCTAAATATCTTTTACTTTTATTCATTCTTCTTTTCTTGCCACCGTATAATTCATCAGCGCGTGCTTTATTTCATCTTCATCAATTTTTTCAGGAACATATATAGAGATAATTGACAAGCTTGGATAAATATAATAATGCTGAGAATTCAAAGGAAGAATTTCAAGTAAAATCCCGCATTTAGTATTATGCTTAGACCTGAAACCTAGCCTATTCATAATTCATAAAGGACAATATATATAATCTTCTTGGCAAGTATCTTCTAGGCATCCACACTGTACAGGAATGAATTTATATCTGAGCGAAGTCAGCAAGATTACTGGAGGAAACGGACATTTGACCCTTCTAATTCCTTGGAATACAGACTTTGGGATAATAACTTTATCTGCATATTCGAAAATTTGTGTGTATGATGGATGCGAAGATATTAGTAAAATATTTGAGATTTGCTTCGAAAACGGTGATTTATTTCTTGATGAAATTGACATATTGTTCGCAATTCTAAATTACATTTATTATTTGAAAATTATTGACATAGTTGCTTGAAAAATATATTATAATAATTAGTTGGAATTAATTATAAATTTATGGAGGCCTTTGAATAAATAATTATTCAGTGATTTAGAGTATATTATCTCATATAAATGAACACTGATTTTATCTTATTCGAGCTGAATAAAGCAAAAATCAAATCATTATTTAATAAGCACAAAGGATCGGATGGAAAAATATCACTTTTAGAGCTACAAAAGCTCTGCAAAATTCTATCTCCTCCTCCCGCTTCAAATTGGAACAAAATAACGGTAAAATTTCAATATTTTGGGCACCTTAACCCCTTTAAATTGGAATAAACTTATTCAATATGAAATTTTTATTTACCGAATTTAATGGAAAATGTACGGTAGAATATTATAAACAATTCATTAATTCTTTATAAAAATTTAAATTTCAAAATATTTCATCCAATATATATTTTAGTTTTAATAAACTTAACTTACCTTTAAATTGGAACCGTTTTTTTGTCCCAATTTAAAGTCATTAGGAGAGTAAGAATCTCTCCTGTAGTATCTAATTAGGATTTAATATCTCAACCAGACCTCAGAACATTAGCTACAAAATCTGTTGGAACAGCCTCACTGTCAAAGGCTTCGTTGGATTTTAATCAATTTGAAGAAATTCTTATTAAAATTGCATCTCATCATTTTCAGGACACTGCCCAACTGAGAGAACGCATAAAGAAATTTTTTATCCATATTTCATATCCTTGCAAAAGTACCCATAACTTAAATATGACGTCTCCATGCTTGTGGACTCCATTCGTCCCATTATCTTCAGAGACAATCGAGGGATTGGTTTTACCTACTCATGCTGACGAAAGAACCCTTAAATTGATAAATCCACCAAATAGTGAAGATTGCCAATTTAGGGGGTTGTTAAAGCCTGCTCCCCATCATATCGGGAGACTTCAGGACAAAGTAGTCCATAAGTGCGAAGATGCTATATAATATCCACTGACCAAACACATAAGCCCAGAGTAAGTACACTAAAGCTAAGCACTATCTCTTTACTTAATAGCCCACAACAAGACACTGAAGGAGATCACAATACTGAGTTGGATTTAAATATAAAAGAAGCTTTGGAAACCTTGAAGCAAAAAGGCAATACTGAGAGATACTGCAGCTCATCTCCAAGACGAGAAAGCTCTCCTGTGCCTCCAGCGAAATCAAGAAATTCAAGTGCAAATCCTATTTTAAGAGAAGTAAATCAAACAAGATTATCCAAAAATGCTACAAAAATCGTGGAGAAAAAATCAAAAATAAATTTATCACGATCAAACACTATGCCTGTTCCTGAAAATAAATCACCACCTAAATATAAGATAGATGAAGTAAATAATAGAATATTAGCTGAAAAAGTAGAATTATCGGATTTTTTGGAGACTGAAAGACTTGTCACAAATGAAATTATGAGTGTTGCCATCAATTTAAAAGATATAAAAAGCTCACAAATTAAAAATAATAAAGGCCATATAGGTAAAGGAAGGCATAGTAGTCGAAAAGCAAAGCGATCAATCACTATATGCTTGGCTGAGGAAAATGGCTCAGCTAATGAAAGGCGAGATAGTTTACAAAAAGTTGATAATTTATTATCAAAAACTGCAAAAAATGGTAATGAGTTAATTTGAAATGATTCTAAAGCTTTAACAGATCTTAAGGAAAAGGAAAGTAATAAATCAGAAGGGAAAGCAATGAGTGTGCAAGAAGAGAGAGAAACAGATCTTCTTTTAAAAGAGCAGACAAAAGGTGTAGAAGCTGGCTCAAAAATGGAAATAAAAGAATGCCAGATATTAAAAAATAATGAAAAGCAATCTAAATCAAATAATGATAAATCAGAAGAAAAGGAAATAAAAATAGATATAAAAACAGAAATAAACAATAATGCAAGCACAAATAGTTCAACAGTTAAATCTATAAATACTGAACATTTGCAAAAAGAAGGAAAATTTGAAGAAACAATATCGTTAGCACTATCTGATATCAAAATTGAAAAATCAATTGATACACAGATAGCAAAATCTTCAATAGAGATCATAAGATCTTCGCCTTTACCTGTCCCAGCATCTATGAAAATACCCCTTTCTCAAAACCCTAAACCGGTTAGAGTAGTTAAAAAATTAACTCTCAATCCCTCAGACTTCGATTCTACTAGCTCCAAAAATGATCCTGCTCAACCTTCAATTCTCCAAATAAAAGAAGTCTTTGAAAAATTCAAATTTCAGCATCAAAACCCAACCCCCATTAAATCTTCCTCTAATCTTTCCCATTCTACAATAGAAAAATATCAAAAAACTATATTTTCTTGTAGATCACGCATGTTTTCCAAATCCATTGTCCTCAGTCTCTTATTCCGAGCCTGAAAAATTGAAGCAGCAAAAAGCAAGCTCAAGCTTAAAATGAAATAATTCCCAATTTATATAAAAACATTTCTTAATAAAAATGCAAAAAATAGAAGAGGTCGTCGTGCATCCTTTAGTCCTTTTATCCGTCGTCGATCATTTCAACAGAGTTGCCAAAGAGATGAGCAATAAAAGAGTTGCTGGAGTCCTATTAGGCGAAGTCTGGAAAGGCCGCCTTGATGTTTCAAACTCATTCGCAGTTCCCTTTGAAGAAGACTCCCAAGACGCCAAAGTGTGGTTTTTGGATCACAATTATCTCGATGAAATGTTTGGAATGTATAAGAGAATCAACGCTCGTGAAAAAATTGTAGGCTGGTATAGCACCGGGCCAGGCGTAAAAGCACCTGACATCCAAATAAATGAAAGCTTCAAGCAATACGTGCCAAATCCTATATTAGTTGTCATAGATGTGAAAGCTGCAGAAACTTTGGAACTTCCTGCGCAGGCATATTATTCTAAAGAAGATGTGAATGAGGATGGAAATATTGTGAAGAATTTCGTTCATGTGCCTACAATGCTAGGAGCTTCAGAAGCAGAAGATGTAGGAGTTGAACATTTGCTGAGAGATGTTAGAGATGTAGCTGCAACTATTGTTTATTTACAGCTATAGATAGCTATGGACCTTCAATTTACCAGTTAAAACTGATTTCTCTCTATATCTGCTATTAAAAGCTGCTATATGTTATCTAATTTTATTTTTTAAAAAATTGGCTAACCTAAAATGTGTCTATAGCAATTCAAATAGATTTAAGAGCTATAGCTTAGCTACAGAAACTCAGCATAAAATAGCAGCTCTTAAAGCAATGTTAAGCAGACTTACAGAAATCCAAGATTATCTTCAAGAAGTTCTTGATGGGCGCAAAGCGAATAATGAAATTTTCCACAAGCTTCAAGAAGTTCTAAATCTTTTGCCAAATACAAGCGTGTTGAATCAAGCATTTGCAGTTGATGAGAATAATAGCTATCTATCGCTTTATTTGGCTTCAATTACAAGAACTGTGCTTTCTTTGCACTCATTAATTACCAATAAGACTAAGAAATAGTTATGATTTTAAAAACTAAAAGTTCAATTTCAATTTTACTCCAAATTCTGTATTTTCTGGGCTCAATAGCGGCATATTTCTTAAATTCGCTGATGTGATGACTGTTAAATGTGGATTCACTTTTACTTTCAAAGATCCTGCTACTTCATTTCCTGCCAGTCTAAATTTAGCTGAACTATTTTTAGTTAGGTTCCTCATTAACGCAAATCTCAACTCAGGGTCTTTATTAGGCTCTTTTTTCATCTCACAAGCTATTTTTGTTTTGTTTAGCTCTGTAAAGCCATAGACATATACTGTTCCTAATTCATATATATCTTGATTCATGCTTTGGTGTTTAACAACCACGTTAAAACTATCGTTCTTCCACCATAATGCTCCATTATAAATTGGGAAATGAGGCTTCAATGCATCATAAGCAGCGTCAAAGCCAATTCCAAACTTTGAGCCAATGACACTAGTCAGTTTAAGGATGCAATTGTTTGTGATAGATAAAGATCCATTGAAATTAGGGTAATTGCAGTCTAAAATAAGACTATTTCTATTGAAATAGGATTCTCTAAGATTTGAGTTGAGCTCTGCCCTTAATTTTACATTTTGGTTATCAGAAGGAGCAAATTCACAGATGAATTTATGATTTAAAAAGGTGTTGAGTTGGTTTTTAAATGTTAAATCATCATATTGATAGGATAGTCTAGAAAATGCTGAGACTTTTTTGAAAGGGTCTTTTTCCAAATGCCAAATTGAAAGCTTTCCAGGGAGTTTACCAATTATGTTGGCGTATAAATTTACCTGAACGTCTTTTTTATAGCAAAATCCATTATCAAGGATATCTGGCTAGACTATACCTTTATGAGTTTTAGTCAAATTTTGATAGTTTTCTAATTTAGCCATTATTAAATAAAATGATATGCGAAAATTAAATAAAAGATTCGTCAAAATAATTAATGACTGGCCTAAAGCATCTTTAAAGGATTATTCATTTTATAAAATCCATTATATCAAAAAGAATAGAAATTACTGTGATTTTCAGATAAAGCTTTCATAAATTAATTTCATCGATATAACTGACTCCCCCCCCCTTTAAATTGAAACAAAAAATTTTGTTTCAATTTTAAAGGGGGGTTAAGAAAATTTTTTTATAAAAACATTTATATATAAAAATTTTTTCAGAGATAAAATTTTATAGAAAATAAATTATATAAATTTAAAGAATTTCATGAAAAATTAATTCATAAATTTCTCAATCTCAAAGTGTAAACTTGCTGAAATTGTATTCTTCTAACTCTCCCCATAACAATTGGACAAAATAGAGTTTAATTTCTAAATCTTATATGTTTGAAGCATATTAAATAGGGTATTAACGTATTTACATATAAAATAATGATTTTTACCTATAAAATTTTCTATTATAGTAAAATTTTGTTTCAATTTAAAGGGGGGGTAATTTCCCAAAAAAAAGTAGGAATTTTACCTATATTTTGTTTCAATTTAAAGGGGGGGCGGGAGTGAGTGCTAAAAGCAATAAAGAACTCACAACTTTAAAAAGCAGAAAAGTGAATAAAGTCATAATGTCTTTATACCATAAAATATGGTCACTCTCAGGCTCCAAAAGCGTCTGGCTGCAAGTGTTCTGAAATGTGGTAAACGACGTGTATGGATGGATCCAAATGAAATTCAAGAAATTTCCTTAGCCAACTCTCGTCAAAACATTCGCAAACTCGTAAAGGATGGCTTCATCGTCAAAACTCCTCAAGCAATCCACTCCCGAGTCCGAGCCAACCTCTTCAAAGAAAGTGTTAAAAAAGGCAGACACACCGGTCTCGGCAAAAGAAAAGGTACAGCTGAAGCTAGAATGCCAGAAAAGATCATGTGGATGAGGCGTCAAAGAGTTTTAAGAAGACTCTTACTCCCCTCTGTGAGTGAAAAAAATTAATATTAGTATTTTGATATATAAGTGATAATTATATAATGAAATCTCTAGTTAATTCTGTTTAATTTTAAATAAATTGCATTTTAAAATAAAATTTTTATATAAAAAAAAAACAACAACCCTGTGAGCTAACAAAATTTTTTTGATCACACTCATTGAGAGGTGGGGAGTTAAGAAAATACAGAGCCAGCACAAAAATCGACAAAACTCTTTATCACGATTTTTACGTGGGAGCCAAAGGAAATATGTACAAGAACAAGAGAGTTCTTATGGATTCCATCTTCAAAGCTAAAGCCAACGCAATCAGAGAAAAGAACCTTAAAGAACAGCAAGAAGCTCGCAGACAAAAAAGAACAAAGGCTTAACTTTAATTATGGTTTCAGTTAATTTCTTAATTAATGTCAAAACTAGGCTATGTAACAGGTGGATACACACCTCTTATGATTGCAGCTGAAGAGGGAAACTTGGAAAGGGTCAAGCAGTTTTTGCCAAAATCCCAAATAAATCAAAAGAATGAAAGTGGATACACAGCACTTGCATTGGCAGCCAAAAGCGGGCATTTAGCAGTTGCGAAAGAACTTATAAAGAACGGAGCAGATGTGAACGCGAGGAATAATGTAAGAGATATTTAGTCAGGGCAAACTATTTTGTTTATCGCGGCTTGGCATAATCAAATTGAAGTGATCAAAGAGCTTTTGAATTTTAATGCAGATATTGATGCATATGACCAGCGTGGGTGGACTCCTTTGATGATCGCTGTTTATCATTCTTACCCAGCTACTATTCAATTTTTGCTTGAACATGGCGCAGATCCTAAACATAAAGACTCAGTAATTACTAATTAGTTTGGAAAAGACTGTATTTCAAGATGCAAAGATGAAAAAATTAAAGCGATTTTAGCACCTGAACCAGTGGAAGAAAAAAGCGTGAAAAGCAGAAAATCACCTGTGAGGACAAAAGCAGGAGTTTCTCCTCAGAGATCAAGAGATCCAACTCCTAAACGAGTTACAACTCCTCAAAAATCAAGGGAAACAACCCCCAAGCGAGATGTGCATCCTGCAGCAATTTACCAGTCACTTAATTTAGACTCTGAGCCTGAAGACAGAGTATCAAAATTCAAAGATGAGCTAGAAAGGCACATAAAAGCCAGCACAACAACTCTAGCTTGCAGGTCTGCTGAGAACTGCTTGAATAGGATTAAAAGGACTATAAATTCTGAAATTGTGAAAGCTTATGAACTGATGCATACCCAGATTCACAATAAGCTTGCACAAAATCTACAGCAACTGTATGAAAATATGGGCTCAAAACTTGTGCAAGCACTAGATACCCAATGTGAGCAAGGAGGAATGGCAATTCCTCAAGCTTCATATAACCAGCCACCACTTCAAATTTCATTCCAAGCAAAAAGAGGACTGCCTAAGCTTCAATCATTAGAACAGCCTAAAGTTTATGACAGGCTAAACAAAATGCCGTATGCCGTCAATAAAGACCAACTCAGACGATCTTTTTCATCTGAGGACTTGCAAAGTGAAATGTATTCGCAAATTGACAGAGAAATAGAAAGATTATCACAAAAACTTGATACTTAAACTTGCTACAGGTTTGGCTGCTGCCTATTGTTAACGCGGTCACCAAGGATTCCCGCACGGGATTCACCCTTTTTGCGGCGTCAGTAGGGAGAACTTTTTTCAAATTAATGACTCCCCGGGCGAGTTACGGCTCTTTCACCACCTTTCCTCTTCTTCACCACCTGACGCCATGGTACTTGCGAAGTAGGGTTCTTTGCCTTGGTCTCCTCCTTGCCTTGTCGACTCCAGTGTTGAGTGGGAAGGCTATGGAATTCTGCGACTGCTGCTTGGGTTGAACGAAGGTTGCCCGCACAAAAAATCAAAAAAATAAAAAAAATTCAAAGTATGGGGCGTAACTACCAGTTTCAGTAGTAAGTTGCCTAAATAGTTTAGGCATTGCCGCAGACTTTGCTGTGCTTTCCCTTTTCCAGCTCTGAATCCTCCTTTTCTCTAGAAGTAAAATCCAATCCTAAAAGCGGACAAGGACTAGGCTATTATTACCAGAATTACTTACCTGGTATTGCTGCCCATTTCTAGATTAACAAACCTTGCCGGAATAATGAAATATGTGCTTTAAGGAGTCGGCGAAGCTGACCGCGAAGCCCTGAGACCCCCATATTTAATCATCCGCCACAAACCCTTGATACAATTAGCTCACAAGAGATTCAGGAAGAAGTAAAGCATAAAGTGGACCAGCTCTCACGTCATTTATTGCATGAAATTGAAGCAAATATGGCCCATGCTACTTCCAAAATATATATTGAACTGCAAAAAGTGGTCGAAGAGAGATTCCAGCAGATTCATGAATTTAATTCAGCGAATCAAGTGAATGAAAGCAATCAAGAAATTAAAAATGTCATGACTCCCCCTGGAAGGATGATGCCGAAACTTAAGCTAGATAGCCTGCAAGATTCAAGGAAGTCAGAAAACTATGATTATATCCAAAATATAGCATCTAGTTATAAAGATATGAAAAAATAAATATTTAAATGCTTGGATTATTTATATGTATTATATATTAATTGGTTTATAGTGGTTTGTTTTTATCTCATTATTATTAATAAAAGAATTTAGAGTCAACTAACTTATCCCTTTAAGAGAGCAAAACTACTTGAAATGTATATTTTACGGTAAATTAACTTAATAGTGGAAAAACAATTTATATAAAAATTTTAATATTTGAATAGTGGCTGCTAATAAAATCTGTTACTATTTCTCTTAATTTTACGAATATATTTTAAAATTAGATGAATATAATTTTTAATTTAATAATATTCTGATAAAATTAAACTAACTCCCCCCCTCCGTGAGTGAACAAAACCATTAGAAAATTCCTATTTTTTCCGTGAGCGAACAAAAATTTTTTTAATAGAAAAATATTTTATGGAAAAAAATTTTAATATATAAATGATAATTAGTATAATGAAATATAGAGCTAAATCTGTTTAATTTTAAACAAATTGAATTTTAAAACATAAATTTTGCAAATTGAATTAATATTTGCTTTCCAATTTTTGCGAATTAGGATTTTTTTAAATTTCGAAAAAAAAATTTTTTATAAAATTTATATATAAATTTGTTTTAAAAAAAAAAATTAACCCCCCTCCGTGAGTGAACAAAATTTTTTTTGTTCACTCACGGAGGGGGGGGAGTAAGAAAAAATTCTTGATCACTTTTGGAAAGGGTGGATTAAGGCTTTTGGTTATTAAGAAAAGCAAGTAGCATATGATGAGCTTGTGCAGGCTTAAATTCAGGGACCATATGTCCTGCTCCTCTCACTGTTACAAAAGTAAGCCCATTATATATTTCATACCACCCTGCAACTTGATCGTCAACATACCATTGCGAGTACTGCTGTTGATAGCCTAAATTAAGACTATTAATCCATTGTCTTGTTCCAATAGTAGGAACTGCTCCATCAGTGTCTCCTGAGTATACAAGGATTTTTATTCCACTGCGGATGATGTATGGATAAGTGTAGATTGATCCATGCAAGTAATCTGATTGATAATCAATATTTGAGCACAATGACCACGGATTTGACTTACTTACTTACTTACTTGCTTGCTTACTTACTTACTTACTTAGGTGTTTAAAGTTTTTTCCCTCTTCCGCAGGGTGATTTAGGCATGCATAGCCCACCCTTTTAAAATCCCAACTAGTGACGTCAGCAGCGATCCTCCCTATATGTAGGCATTCCAGAAGACTTCACTTTTCAGGCCAGAAGGTCCGCACTGGCCGCGTTGGCCTCCCCGGAACTTGACTCCTGCGCGTGTTCCGCCTAAGGGTCACCCTCCTCTGGTGTGTCAAGCAGCAAAACCAAGTGCTCCTAGTATCCTGGACCAAAGAAATACCCTATGCGGTATTCCATATTGGTGTTGCGGATAAAGGCCCACGTGGAAAACTGAACCCTATAATAATAATAAAAGCGAAGGAAGGAATAGTTCTCGGAGAGAACTAATTCCGCACTGAGCCATTTTATTATTATGACCACGGATTTGACAAAGTGGTATTGATATGCAGAGCGTTCAAAACTTGTGGATTCCTTAAGTATGTATAAGTTCCGACCCACGCTGCACATGGTGGGATAATCCCAAGCATCCCTGAATCTCTCAAAAATCTTAACTTTCCTTGGTTGTCTTCAAAATGAGTTTCCCCAGTATGCTGAATGCATTCCCCATAAATGTCATAAACATTGACATTTTGAAGTAAAACCCCTACGGTATAGTCAATATCGTTATCACAAGCTTCACCATTGAAATTATCCCAATTCTCACAGTCATAAGGCAGCTTTGTATACCAAGAGCCACCCAAAAGAATATGACTCCATGCCATTTCTACGAATGCTGGGGTAGTGTCAACATTCCAATCTGTGCATCCATTTCCAACCATCATGCCTACTAAATTGATGCTTTGATAAGGAGTGTAAGTGTTGTGCATCAAAATGTTATAAACTAAGGTCGGGACGTATGGTCAAGCATAGGTAGCAACCAGAGACCCCCCCACTCCACCAATAAGGGAACCCCCCCTACCCCCACCCCCACCCTCCTTTCACAGATGGCACCCCCCCTAAAAATGGTACCACCACCCCCCTTTCACAGATGGCACCCCCACCCCCCGCCTCTCGGGTTTATCCTATAGAAGTAATTGATAGGAAATAACAGAATAAATTAAATATAACCCAATTAAAACACTATATTGTTAAATTAAGTCCACAAATTACTTTATATTTATGATTAATTAATAAATTTAAATTAATTAGCAATTAATTAGAAAATATATTAAATTTGTTTTTTATATTTATAAATATAATGCCAAAAGATATAGATAATGGCATTAATTATTAAATTAGCCAAGCACAATACAATAGCTTATTGATTCATAAATTAAAGCTAATCTGATGACCATTGTACAAGGATTGCAGGACTGAATTGGTAGCAGGATTCAATAGTGGTAATAAAAATAGTATTTGCTATTGTCAGTTTTACTTTTGGATCTCTAATTCGACTTTTAGCCATTGTTCCACAAAGTTCATAATATATATGCAGGATATATTGCTAATTAATACCAAAGATCATTATTATGCTTGCTAACAATTTTTTTCATATGTAGTGTGCTTAATATTTATAGGAAATTCTCACCCCATTCCACCTACTTCTTAATCGATTGTGCTACGCTATGTGGATATTGTATAAATCAGTAATTTTGAATATTTAAAATAATAATTATTTATTACGTCTGCTCTAAATTGGCATCATCATATATTTTATGCTATATTAAGGGGGGTGGGGGTGGGGGTGCCATATTTTAGGGGGGGTGGGGGTCCATTTTTTAGGGGGGTGGGGGTGTAGGGTTGCGGCCTATGCTTGACCAGACATATATTCCAGCATAGCTTTCTCCGGAAACATAAAAATCGTTTTTCCTATATTCAGGAAACTCAGTGAAAAATTGCAAAAGAGCTTGCAAAGTGTCGTGAGCTGTGATTAAGTCATTGGTTTGGTTATTCACAGGGTCTCCAAGGACAGAAAAACCAACTCCAGCTGGAGAATCTATGTAAATGACAGTTGCATTTGTGTTCCATGCATGCTGATTTCTTACCAAAGTAGTTGAAGTTGCTGGGAAAATGTAAGGGCCATGCTCGTAGAAAAGGCCATCCATTGAGGAGCAACCGGGACCTCCGTTAAGCCATAATATAAGAGGATCTGTGGCTGGGTTGTTTTGGCTTTCAACCATGATGTAGTGAAGCATTTTACCATTGGAATTAGGGATAGAGAGATAGCCAGAATAAATTGCAAAGTTTGGAGTATCAGGTAGCCCTGGGAGATTCGTGACTAGGTCTGAAAGTTTAGCACCCATAGCAATGCTGAGTGTCAAAAAGAGCAAAATTCGTCTCCACATTTATTATTTGGTATGAAGAAGTTATTTCAACAGAACACGAAAATCAGTGAGGTTAATGGTAAACAACAAAATATTGATGAAATTAAGATTAAATAGAAAAGGTTTTCATGAAATATATAACTATTGCCTTGCAGAAAGCTAAAGAATATTTCTTTTTTTATCATACATGATAAATCAAAAGCAAAATTTAGCATAATTTAGTTTGATAGTGTCATGAAAGAATACTTTCAAGGCTTTAAGTACATATCAAAATGATGATTTGCAGCTATTTATTAATTTGGTTATATTTTTTGATAAATGGCTGAATGTTTTGAAGTTTTCCAAGATCAGCTTTTACAATTTTCAAAACAAACCAATCAAAATGAAATCGACTTCAGAAGGACTAGCCTAATCTACTCATTTCAAGACTTTGCCAATTCAGTAAATAAAATCTCTGAACTTCGTCCTCGTCATGTTCAAGCCCTTGCTACGTTTGTAGGTTTCAATTCAATAGATCCTACATTATTTTCCTATTATGGGCTTGACTTCTTTGATTCCATCATTCGATTGCAAATAATCACGTCCCCAAGAATCATAAACCCACTTCAAGATATTGCATGGACAATTGCTAATCATACAATTGCAAAGGACTTGCAGAATGAGTTAAATAATGCAATTGGTTATCTCCAATCCAAAGACGACTCTCACCCATTAGCAATTTTAAGAGCACAAAATATAAAAAAAGGAAAAAACTCTCTTGATATATATAAGAGTGTAATTTCTTTTTATATCCCATATCTTATACACAATTTCCACGAAAATGACTTAATCCTCCTCTGTTAGCATACAAATTTGTTTTTCCTGCTTTCAGAGAGTTACTTTTATTTTTATATATCTAAAATTTCTTTTTTAGAATTTTGTTTAAAATACGAAAAAAATCAATTGCAATTTAATTTAGTAATCTATATATTTTTATGCTTTAGAATTCAAACTATGTAAATTCAGTTTATTAACTAGAGAGATCTCATCTAATAACTGCTAATATATAAAATTTTTTGCCTGCTTAAGAAGGATTATAATCTCAAACGGTTTTGCTTCTCATTGAGGGACTGAAGTTAGCAGAATGCTTTCAGAATTTTGATATATATATCAATTTCCTTGAAACTGAAATAGAAAAATATCATGCAGTTTTAGGATCCGCAACTATGGACAGCATATTTGAACAAATAATGTTTAAAAAAGTGCAATTAAAAAGAAATGCATTTCATCAAACCCTTTGATTTCTTTTGAGTTTGTTGACTTTATATGAAAGAGCAAAGAGATTTAATACACACACGATGATATTAATTGATATGATTGAAAGAATTTTCGGAGATTTTATGACAATTTTTGATCATTTTATAAGGATTAAGCCTAAATCCAAGTATTTTGCTGAAGGAATGGCTATAATTGGAGAAGCAGCATGCATGAAAGGCTTACTAAAATTTCCCCTTGTTTACTCGCCATATAGAAGAATGCAAATTTTTCTCCCATTAGCAACAATCTCGGCAATGACTTTTCCAAATACTTTTTACAATGTTTTTGTACATTCTGTGACATATTGCGATAATGAATTTTCATGTGGTGGAAAAATTATTGGTCTAATGCCACAGTTAGTATCATTTCCTGATATAGTGACGGCTTTTTGAAATACTGCAGAACCTATTAATGAAAAAAGTAAGTATGAAAAATATATTGCTTTATTTAAGAAATTTATGGAAAGGTTTCAAAAACAGCAAGTTTTAATGTAAAGATTTGTCAATTATTAAATATGAGCAGAAAGCAACACAATTAGGTCTTATTAGTTTATAGAAATAGAATAAAGAGTAAAAATTTTAAAAATTACTATTATATCAATTCTTTTTATCTGACTCCATAACCATATCCTTGCCTTGCTTTTTCCAAAACTTTTAGCCCCTTTGCAATTTTTTCATCATGCATTTTTATAATATTTTGCAATCTTTTTAAATCATCTTGAATCTTCGATTGCGACTCTTTTTTATTAAATCCTCACAATTGGTCTAAATATTCGTCATTTTCATCCGTTATTAAATCCTTCAAATCTCCTTGCTCATCAATTTCTCCATAATCCATTCCATTTATTTCTTGTAATGTTAGCACTTTTTGAGATTTTAGCTGCTGTGGAATAGTTTCTTCTTCAAATTTATAAGGGATTTCTTCTCCTTTTACAATTCGTTGAGCTCTTCTTCTCTGTGCATATCCTGAAGCAGGAATAGCTATTTTACTTTCATTTAGAGATTTCTGAGGCTGCGGTCTAAGCTTGACATTTGAATGAGGAGCTGATTTGGATTGCTTCATTTTCCTCCATTCTTCTAGTTTCTGTTTCTTTATTGGCGACATTCTGAAAATATAACGCTTACTTGTGTCGTTTTCTGATATTCGAGCACCACCATTCTCATGACTGAATGCAATTCTGAAGCCTTTCGCCTTCTTTAAGAATGCACTTCTATTGTCAAGCTCTAAAAATCGATAAAAAAGATCGCGTTTTTCAAGAAGTGTTTTATTACTAACAGAAGTATTATAAATAGTGTCATATTCTTTGTTATAGTATAAATCAGTAATTTTGTCAAGGGAATCAATAAATTGACTTTCACTCATAAGCCGAGAATTATTTGCTAATTTTTTGAAAATTGCTATAGCATGATCTTTATTTAAATAGCGAGCTCTTTCTTCTTGCTTCCCTAAAACATTGAAATCAGTCAGAAATTTCAAGAATTTAACAACTGTTCATACAGAATAGCTTTCATTGATTTCATCAAATGTGGGATCTTGCCCCATCATATTTTGGATTTTTGAATAAAATTGGAAAATTTCAGATAGATTTTTTCTTTGCTGATCAGCGATTTGTTTGGCTATTTTAATTTCTTTTGCAGAAATATGAGAATTAAGCTCTTGTTTAAGCTCTTGAATTAAAATTTCTACTGGAGCTGTATCTTCGCTTGCACCTCCATATGCATAGATAATATTTTCATATTGTTTAATCGTTCTTTTAATTTTTCCTATAAAATCAGTAGGCTCTGGCTCATTTTTCATTGACCATTCTTGTATAATTTTTATGAATTGATTAAAATCTACTTTATTTGTTTGAGTCTTGTTTAGCGATTTGTCTCTCTTGCTTGATATAAATTCTTTATTTACAATTCTCTCAAAATCATCTAAACCATATTCAGATAGCTCCAAATTTGCAATTTTTATGACTTCACTGAAGACATTTTTTAAATGTTTTATTTCCACAAGCTTTTCATCATATGGGTCATAAGAATAAAAGATCTTTTCAATTTCTAGAGAAAGAGGCTCCAAAATTTTTGTTATTCATGCTTCTTTGATAGCATTTGCTTGCTCATTATAGAATTCTTTTTGGAGTTTATTGTTATGGTCTTGATTGCGAAGACTTGGGGATTGTCTAGGACTTTTATCCTTTTTAGAATTTAACCGATTTTTTTTCTCTAGATAAGAATCATTATTAAGACTTGGACTGTCTCTATCAACAAATGAGAAATTTCCTTGGTTCTTTGAACTTGGAGAGCCAGTATTTATTTCACTTGGCTGTTTAATTATCGTTTGAATATCTTCTTTTGCTAATTTTCTTACACTAGAGGCTGCTGATTCTTGGCTTTCTAGATATTTTATAGGAGATGAAGGGGATTTAAGTTTTTCTTCATTTTTGTCTAGTGCACTTTTTATTGACACATCTCCAGAATAATCACTCTCTCTATCCTTTTGATTTTGAGATACAAAACTTACAAACTCATTATCGATTTTTTTGATACTTGAAACTGCTGACTCAATTTGCTCTTTTAACTGCTTGACGCTTTCATTTGTTAGCTCTTTTTTCTTGGAACTTAATTTCGGACTTAGCTGCGGGGACTGGCTTAGTTTTTCTTGATCAACTGATCTTATGCTTTGCTCTGGTGACTGGCTTTGCAAGTCTTTTCCACGAGATCTTATGCTTTGTTCTGGAGATTGGTTAGCTTTGCCTAATTTTCTTTGACTTGATTTTGGTGTCTTGACGTTATTTGTCTGTTTTATGTTTTCTTGTATTTTTAATCTGAGAAACTCTTCTGGGTTTTCTTTATCTCATATATTGTGCAAATAATCGCTGATATCTTCATCTTTATCTCCTTCAATCTCAAAAATTTTTTCTAGAATGTAATTTCCAAGCCTCCTTCTTATTTCTCATATTGAAATATTTTTATTTTTCATAGAAAGGATAATTATTTAAAATTTTTATTAATTTTGAGTTTCCAATTTATAAGAAAATCATTGATTTAATTTGTTTAGATCAAGACATCAAAAAATTAATAAGATTTTTAGCTAAATTATTACAAATTTCCAAAATTAATTTTCACTATCTTTCCAGCTCTTAGAACGGAGAATTAGGGCTTCAAGGCTTAAATCGTATAAATTGACAAAATCTCTATGATCATTAGGGTTGAGCCTTTCAGTAAAGTATTCTTGAATCTCTTCGAGATCTAATCCTCATTCTTCGCATAAGCTTTTAAGAATTATTTTTAATTCTTTTTCTATACTTACAGGTTTTTGAACTTTATTATAGATTTTCTCTACTTCCCCTCCAAATCTAACCTTATAATACTTTATCCAGAAGGATTTTGGATTTGGCTGTTGCCTAAATGCTCAATACCTTGACAAATTATTCTTACTCTCCATTTACTGCTTAGAGTCTAAAAGACAAATAGTTTTTAATTGAATTTTATAATATGCATAATGATGCACTACAATAAGGCTACAGAACTTCTGCAAGCTTCCAAAATTCGGAATATCCATTTATATATAAATATTTCGATATATTTTTTAAAAATAATCTTTAAGAGTGAGCAAAAAAATTCTGCTTATCTTAAAGGGCGAAGTTAAGTTCCATAATATTTACTTTTTAAAACTTCTTGCGTGAGTAAGAGAATAGGCAGGCTTCAATAGTAGCTTAGTACATTGAATTATAATTACTATAATGCAGAATACACAAATTCTGATATACTATTTATTTGATTAGTACATTAAACAATAAAATAATTAGAAATTACTTTTTAACTACTATTTTTTGGTATAAGCCTCCAAAATATGTATCTTTCTTAACTTCTGTCACCTGAGGAAGCCAATCTTTTATTTCTTTCTTCCACAAATCCAGTGCAAATGGTTCTAGAGTTCTTACTCCCTATCCCTCTGTGAGCGGAAAAATCCCAAAAGCTTATCCTCCATGATCGAACAAAAAATTTTTAATATATAAAATTTTGATATTATAGTGATAATTACTATATAAAGAAATCACTAGCTAGTTCTCTTTAATTTAAACAGCTTGCGTTTTAAAACATAAATTTTACAAATTAAATAAATATTTGCTTTCCAATTTTTACCAATTTTTTTAAATTTCAAAAAACAAATTTACTGTAAAAATTTATATATAAATTTTTAAAAAAAATATTTAACCCCCTCTATGAGCGAACAAAATTGTTTGGTTAGCTCACGGGAGAGAGAGTTAGGATCGGAATCATTATATATCGAAAAGGATTAAGCTTTGAAGGCCCATGATAGTCCACAAATACGACTTTTCCTCCAGGTTTTGTAACCCTCACTGCTTCAGATATCGTCAATTTCCTTGCTTCTTCGGGCTGCTCATGAAGCAAGAAATAAAGCACTGTATTATCAAATACATTGTCCTCAAATGCAAGATTTGTTGAGTCCTGATGATGAAGGTGCAGATTTGTGGCATTTTTGCATTTTTCTTTCAAATTTTCAAGCTGGATTTCAGCGACATCTACTACATGGACTTCGGAATTTGAATTTGAAAGTTTGGTCAATTTCTGGGTAAAATTCCCATAAACGCATGCTACTTGTAAAGTTTTGCTAGGGAATGTGATTTCGTTTAAAGCATAGTCTCTTAAGCGGTTGAAGTTTCCCCAGAGGATCAAGTTGACTAATCATTGCCTTTCAAAAAACCAGACAGCGTTGGGGTGGACATAGGCCCACCAATATGTTTCAGTTAGGTATTTTGGCATTTCTGGAGCTTTTGCAGGGACTCGCGAATAGCTTCGCTTTTCTGCGAAGGACCTGGATATAAATCTAGCTATTCGCATAAATTACAAATCCATTAAGAAAATATCTAATTGATTACGAGCTCATTATTTTTGGTGGTGGATAATTATTTTGGTATCATAAGCATAAGACATTAAAAATAAAGCTTTATGTATTAAAATCATTTTTTAGTTTTGCATAAGCTAGCACCCCCCTCCGTGAGTGAACAAAAAAATTGTGTTCACTTACGGAGGGGGGTTAAATTTTTTTTCAAAATTTTAAAAAAATCGTAATTTGCAAAAATTGGGAAGCAAATATTAATTTAATTTATAAAGTTTATGTTTTAAAACGCAATTGTTTTAAAATTAAACAGAATTAGCTAGAGATTTCATGATACTAATTATCACTTATATATCAAAATTTTTTTTCATAAAAAATTTTTGTTCACTCACGGAGGGTGGGTTTTTAGAAAAATCAAATATATTTCATAGTGATTGATGAAATTTTATTTTAAAATTAATTCCCTGCGTAAAACCCTTCATAATAATATCTTTTGCATTTTTAGTTATTTATTTATTATGCATTAGTTCGATGCCTTTTAGAATTTCTTCTTACAATCGGAGCGAATTGCTCATTACCTTCTATTTTACTCGGTTGATCACATAGCGAGTCTTGAAGTATTTTTAGTTCACTAATTACAGAGTCAAGTTTCAAGTCTGGTGAAAGTTCAATGCCTGCATTTTGCTGCTCATATTCTTTCATCAGATCAAAAATTGGCTTTAATAGATAAGGGAGCTCAAGAAACATGCGTTTAATTTCTTCGATTTCAGGAGACATTGAAGACATCTTATTAAACGCTTGCTCAATCTCAATCACTTGTTTATGGACACTCATCCTGAGCTCTCGTCCTGGTCTTCCTTTTATCATTGGTTTTACCTCTAAAGTATCTTTTGCGAATGCACAGGCTTGTGATATTATCTGCTGCCCTTCTTTAATCCAGTCACTTTCTTGTGAGAAGTTTGATCGCTGATTCCACCATTTTTCTAAAATTTCTCGACTTTCCAGTAGACCAATTACTGCTTTATGTCCTGGAAGAGCTATTTGAGTTGGCTCTCCAAGTAAGTTTCTTATAAAGGAAATCTTATGCCAAAGATGCTCTTTTAATATTTGAAAGTCTTTATTCGTGGATATATCAAGGCTTTGGGAACGAAGTAGTGGAGAATTTAAAGAGTCTCGGAGCTCTTTAATAATTTTATCCTTTTCGACTAGACGTGACTGTTTAAGGAGACATTCTTGGCATTCATTAATGGCTACATGCTTAATTGAGTCAGATCTGTCTTTTTTAAATGAAGTTCGGATTTCTGGGCTATTGCTTTCCTGAGATAGTTTATCGTCAAGCCCAAAAGATCTTGCAGAGTTTTTGAAACCATTAGGACTTCTTTTTAAATCTTCCAACTCTTTCTGCATAGCAATGAGCTGATCTTTATACCCTTTTGCAATATTGCAGTATTTTTCTGCTGTACAGTTAAATACTATTGGCTTCCCTTCAATTGCAGCTTTGAATTTTCCCCAGAGCTCTCGATTTTCAATTTGAATGGCTTGAAATTGTGTAAATAAGCCATAAAAACTTGTTAAAACTTTGCTATTTTCAGCAGCAAATTTTGTGATTCTTTCATGCAAAACAAAGTTCTCCTGCTGGATTTCTTTGCAAGCCTTACATTCATAAAATCTTTCATCCGCTTTGAATGACTGAAATTGCTTATCAGCTCTTGAATCACTATTGGTATCATGTAATTGCAATACTGTATAATATGAATTTTTATATTTTTCTACATCTTTTTCTGCTCTTGCAAGTTTTCTTTTATAAATTTCAAGTTCGTTACTTAGTTCTTCTACAGACTGATATGATTCCCCATGTTGGATTAGTTTAAGTGTTGGGCTGTCAATTTTTAGATCTGATTGAATATTTTTATCGCCAGTTCCATTATCTTGAGTCCATTCAAATCCTGGTGGAGGAGGGATTATTTTTCTCAGACTATTTGGTGCTGATTTTTGAAAGCTAACTATTCTTGGGTTCGGGCTTGAATTTTGAGTTTTAGCTTGCAGCTGAGGGCTCAGATTAGTATTTGTTCCTGCTGTTGTCTTAAAAGCTGAAAATGGGCTCTCAAGTGAATAGAAATCAGAATCTAAATGAAAATTACAAGCACCTGGAAAAGGAGATGCTTTATCTGGGGATTGAGAATATTGGTCGCCAAGTAATTTTTGATCCATGATCTATTATGATTAATTACAATATGCTAGATCTATTAATTTTTTTATATAGGCTAATTCGATATGCGTCCATCTCTGCGCTGTAAGAGCTTGGCGTATAATTAATTCAGTAATTTAATTAATTTAAGTAAATTAAATTAAATATAAATTAAATGATAAATTTTGCTTGACTTGGTTAGTGACCCTTTCGTTGAAAAGAAAAAAAAATTAACAGCATTTTAATTCATCCATTATATTAAATTGATTTATTTGAGATTCAGGTTTAAATTTTAGAGTATGCATCCTTTCTAAATTCTTAATTTTATATATAAAATTTTGTGTCTCTTAATAGTCAATCTATATAATTTTGATTATATAAAATAGTTAAATGATAATTTTTGGGCATTCTATATACTGTATTTATAATTATGCTTAATTTTTTCCTTAAATTCATATTCAAGTATATTTTATAAATGGGCTGCCTTTGTGCCAAAAACCACGCTGTTGGAACAATTGAAGAAGAGATCAAATCACTAAAGCTAAAAAATGCTGCATATGAAGCTACTCTTGCTCACAGCTCCACAGGAGTCCCAACAGCAATTAATCTATCTGGAGGTTATAGTGACATGGTAGACGAAGAGCAAATTCGTACACAAAAGACTTTGAAAAGCCTCCTTCACTATATCGGTATTGAAGATATTTCACCTGAAGAAATCGTTAAAAAGGTGCAAGAATTCAGAGACTCCACTAATAAAAGTTCCCAATACTTATGGGTCCGCTTAGAAGAATCTGAGCTTGAGAAAAAAATTTGTGAGCAGCTTATCCATGTAGTCAGTATTCTAAAACAAATTGACAGTAAAAAGGCCCAGCATATAAAATCCAAAACTCAAAGCGTTGAAAATTTAATTCAAGAACAATATCCCTACCTAATGCCTATGATAAACATTGTCAAAGAAAAAGAAATGGTGCATAGCTCTAGCAGAGGAGGGACTATTGAACAGATTTTAATGAGGCTTCATAGTAGATCTGAGCTTGATAAAGAACTTGAATTGGTTCAAACCAAGCTTGAAAATGAGCAATATGCCCAACTCCTTAACGCAAAAGATGAACAGCTGAAACAAATCCAACAGAAAATCAAGCAGCTGAGAAATGAAAAAAATGATATTGAAAGGTCATGGGAACTTGTCAAAATGAATATCAAAACTGATCCTGAAGAGCTGAGAGCTGTTCAATTGGATCTTGAAGATAAAGAAAAGGAATTCATTGAAATAAAGAAAAAGCTTGAAGAAATTGAGGCTCAAAAACATGAGATCGCTGCTTCTAAACAGTCTATTCTTGAAATTCAAAATAAAATTAAAGATCAAGAGGACTTAATAAAGCAAGAAAATGAGTATATAAAGCAGCTGAATAAGCACAATGAAGATTTGTCAGAAAAAATAAAAGAAATCCCAAACTTAGAAAAACAAATTGCAAAACTAATAGAATCCAATAAAGAAAAAGAATCAGAAGCCATAAGACTTGAAGAGCTGCATGGTGACAACGCTAAAGCTATCAGAGAAGCTGTTGAAAAAATGAACGAAGAAATCCAGCTTAAAGAAGCCCGCATGGCAGAAATATCAGTCCAAACTGAAAAAGTCAACGAGGACATAAAATCCCTCCAAGCAAAAAGAATCGCTGACATCAAAAAACAAGTCGCAATCAGAGTCTCCTACGCATTAAAAAAAGTGCCTGAGCGCAGCATGCAAAGGTGGAAGTGGATGGTTTTTAATCGCAAAAATCGTTCGAAAAGAAGTCAAGGCTTCGCAGAAGAGTTAGAGAATTAATAACTAAATTATACGAACAGCATTAATTAAAAAATGACTCAATTATATCTTCACTTTCATTGTCTACCATAAAGAAATCCATAGGCTCATTGATCAGTTCATCTTGTGTTTCCCCAGGAGGCGATGCACAGCTGAGTGGGGATTCTCTTCCATCTATGGAAGAACTGCCGGTCGGCACATAATTCAGGAGATCTTTAGTTGCATAATCGTAAAATACGAACCAAAGATCGCTTCCAGGCTTGCATTTCTTCGAAAGTTCAGCCTTTCCGTTCTCTTTAAACCACTCCTGAAAAAGTGTTACAAAATAAGGCCTTGTGAAGAGATAGTTCTTGTACCGCTTTCCATATGATAAAAATCTGTTTCCTTTTTCAGGCTTACCATTAGGTCCTAAATGCTCATTCCAAAATACTTGCTCTTCTAAGCTCATCTGGTCAGAAATCTTCGGATAGAGGTCTTTCATGTGAGCTCGGAAAGCCCTCAGCCAATATTTGTCTTTTTCTTCAGTTTTTTTCTTGATTGGGTCGTGTGGGCGAAGAGGCCTTCTTCCTCTTTTCTTTTTGAGGTTTGATGGAGATGTTGGGGATTCCTCTTGAGACTCTTGTTTGTCTTCAAATATTTTGTCGAGATATTCGTCCATTCCTCGTTCTAAATTTGAATGAGGGGAACTTGGCCAACTCGGCCATGTGTCATTGTCTGAGCCTGGCATTTGGGCCAGAGAGTGTACTTGCTCGAGAGCTATGTCATTGAGTTTTTGTTCTATTTCAATGCCTTCGTGATGAGTTGTATCCATAATATATAATCCATTAGAATTTTTGAACACATGAATTAAGTGAATAATGATGCGATAGTTTAATTAATAAATATTCTTGATATAAACTCCTAGTTAAGCCTACATGTAAAGATCATTTAAAGAATCTGAAATAAAAAATAACTCTTTCTACCGCAAAAATCATGAATCTAATAAGACTGGTGAAAAAAATAAAATATGTAACGAAGAAGCTGATAATGATTGAAATACATGGAAATAGGTTGAGAATACTAATGTTTTTTATTTGGAGTATTTATTCATTTCACATATTGATGTTTTATTAAAAATTTCATTTCTTATTTTCAACATCATTTTGAAAATTTTAGACTTTTTGGTATTCTAACTTGTGTGTATAAAATTAAATATATATTATTAGGCGTTTTAGATTAAATTTTTATTTCTTCTTTTAAATTTGATATTTTAAAATTAGGATTTTTCTCTTATAAAGATTTGACAATCTATTTCACTTCTGTTATGCTCGTCAAAAAAACTCTAAAGCATAACAAATTTTCACTAAATCACGATGGCTTATAACATTGTCCTTTCTCACTATTATATTATTTTTGTGCGACAATATTAAAAATGTCAGTTATTGATAGGTCCTAGCACCTGCTTCGCAGGACGACCTATGATCACGAGCTCAGTGAGAGAAGTCCGACTTCTTGAGAGCTTCGGCTTGAAGTGAAGAGGTCATTGCTGTGTCTGGCGTTGACTAGAGGAGTCCTAACGGGCTATTTAACTTTAACGGTTTGACGGGTAGGCCGGTTTACCTACCATTTTTCAGAGCTGTTAAATTAGCTGAACCTCAAGAGCAAGGGACTTAACGAAAAATATTTGCGAGAGTAATTCAATAAAGTTAAACTTAAACTTAAAAATTTTGTGCTTTTCTACTTATAGTTCTTTATCTTATAGATTATAGAAGTAAAATAAAAAACTCTAAATTATTCTCAAAAATCCATGATATGTAAACATCATAATGGTTGATCCAAGTCAAGAAGTATTAAAAGATGCTAACAGAGTTGAGTTGGTGCACCAAGGTGGATACTCCGAACTAAAGCCTTCACTTGCAATAGACGGTGAGTGGCTTTTAGAACAAATTTTGCCTTCAGAACCCTTTTCTAAAATAATGGGTGGTCCTCCTCTATCATTACGGTCAACTCTGAATAATTATCTAGGCTCCTTAATCGCAGAAGGAGTAATCCCAATCATTGTTTTCCAAGTTAGTTAGTTAGTTTTAAAAGGCCATACGTGGGCGAAACCAGCGGATCTCAACACCTCAGCTCGTAAGACGACTCCAGGTCGGGTTCTGATGTGGCCATACTCCCAGGCCCGACGCAATCTTGATTTCTGGTCAAAACCACCTGTCCAAGGGATCAGCTCCTTTGGACAGAGCCAATTCTGTCTGAGTGCCCCGATGGTCCCGATGAAGGAAGACCATGTGGTAAGAAAAGCCTGTCTAGCCCATCTGGCAGGGACAGGGAAAACCTTCGGGGGAGAAATAAAACTTCCTCTTCGGCAAGGCTTCCCCACAACTGAAAGCCTACTTAGGACAGGAATGAGACCTGTATCTTCAGCTTCATCAGCAATGGGTCCTACCAGTTCCATAGGAGGTACGCCTCGGAGTCCAATTTCCGTCAACGTCACCATTTTATTTCTATTGTTTTCCAAGGAATCTCGATTTCCCTCACAACTCAAAAATCTTTAGACCGCAAAGTCAAAGGCCGTGCAGAAGCATGGGAGATGTACGCAAATGGCAACAAAGAAAAACTTTTAGCTGCCTTGGAAGAAGGAAAAAAGGTTCCTTGGGAAGTTTATAGTGAGGTTATTAAGTGTATCAGAGCACTTGGGGGAGAAGTAATGAGAGCTCCTTATCATCAGAGTTCTCAATTAGGCTACCTTGAAAATAAAAAATTGGTAGGAGCTATAATGGGTAGCACTGATTTGCTATTTTACAACCCAGAAAAAGTAGTCATTAAGCTTTATCCGGAAACCAGGTGTTATGATTATATTTTATCAAGCGAAATTATTGAGTATGAGTATGACACAACTTCTGAGAGTTTGACTTCAGCCTTTATCCTTCATGGATATTGGTTTGGTAAGAAAACCATGAAAAACCAAAACTTAAAAGAAACTATCAAAAAGCTTAAAAATTCTGACTACAAAGCCCTAGCCCCTAAAGCTCAAGATAAAGAGTATTTGGATAATGTTCATGCTTTAGTTAATAGCAAAATCGCTATTGAATATTCACCTCCTGGCTTGTTTATAAAGCCAGACCCGCTTTTAAACAAATTAATTCCAACTCGCTTCACAAAAGAAGTGTATTTTGGGATGGGAATTATCCCGCTTTCTCCTCAGCTTCTAACTACTGTTGCAAACCAAAAGCTGGTAGAGTTGCCCCCTTTTGCAGACTCAGATTATTATAGAGAGCTGTTAAGAAAGCTAAAACCGCTTACTCCTTTGGTTAGAGAGCAAAATCATTAAAAAAATCCCTATATTTTGAGCAAAATATTTTTTAATAAAATTTTTTGTAAAAAATATATTTTATATATAATTAATAATTATAATAATGAAAAAATATTCTATAAACTTTATAGATTTTTCATTCAAATAGTGCAAAAACTCTTTCTTGCTGAACATAGGGAGAGTTAGAAAGAAAACAATTTCATTATTTATAGAAAATCTCCCTGCAGAATACTCACAGACGAATATTCAAGTTCTTTATTGGTTCAATCAAAATATGCCATATTTACTACCTTACGAAAAAATTGACCAACTTATTTTTAACTTTTCTAATGCCGATTTAGAAGCTGAGCTTAGCAGACAAAGAAAGAATATGCCTGATTTACAGTTTTGCTTGAAGTGGCATTATGATTCGCATGGAGAAACCGAGCCAAAAATCCAAAGCCCAATTGGAAATGAAGAGACAAATCTTGAAGGCACAAATATGATTATTGCCAAAGTGATATTTAAGTGTTTGGAAAATGCAGGATATATTTCGAGCACTGGGAAACCTATGCTTTTTGGAAAAGCACTAATGCAATGTAGCCCTGAATGGCAAACCCAAGCTTTTTACTTGCAGGAATTACTGAAATTTGGGATACTGAATGGAAGAACACTAGGACAAACAGAGTCAAAATATTTAGATAACGATGCTTTTACCAAACTAGTGCTGATTCCAGTAGAAAATGACGATTTAAGACATCAAATAAGACTGATCTCCAGAGTTTTTTCTTTGATTCAGCCTAACCTTAAAGATGAGCCATGGACAGGAACAATTGACTATGACTTGTCTCAGTTCCAAGCCTTAGTGAAATTAATCACAATGACTTATCAAACCCTTGGCGAAGTACTACTGCTGAGAGAATATTTATCAGGAAGAATTGGCTATTCAAAAGCACTCATTACTGCAGGAGAATCATTGCCTTTTGGCTGCCACTCAAATATTGGATTGGGAATTGCAATCAAAAAATTGCTGTTGGGAGAATCTATCGACCAGATTAGAGAGCAGATGCCACAAATGGCTGATTTGGAACTAGACTTTAGAAGGGGCTGGCATTTTTGGAAGAACCTACTAAAAATATTGAAGACTTTTGCTAAGTACCAGTCGTTCAGAGATGAAAATTTCTTCAATGAAATTCTTCAAGCAAGTAAGCTTCTCAAAAGCACACTAATTAGAGCTAGAATTCCTGTTAATTAACCATCCGATTGGAGCTTAACTAAGTTGCTAATAGATGTAATAGACTAGATCTGCAAGATCTCTTTCTCGGTCTATTTTATGTCCTAAAATACAAACCTTTGCGGGTAATCAGAGAATCCTACTCTCTGCTGAACTTTATCTTTGACACTTGCAATAGTGTCTAAAGATTCAATATCAAGAACCAATATTTCATCGTCACATGTATCTATGAAAAATTGCATATTTTATATAAAAACTGCATATAAGTTGTAAAAGTGATAGGGATTTATTATAAATCAATCCTTTATCAGAATTTTATACCTCCTAGCAATAATTATCCAAGGTAAACACTTTAATATTTAGCATAGCCTAATTTATCTAAAATATATAATTTTAAAATATGACTGCTATGATTTCAAATAAAGCTTTTTGTTAGATCTATGAGGATATTAAGCCCAAAATATGTTTCTCAGAGCTGATTCGTTGAATTAGCCGAATTTTCTTTTTTCAATAGTGAATCAATACATATTTCTTCATGATCTTTTATTTGGTAAACCTATACTATTATTTGATTTCGAGTAAAAAATTAAAAAATGATTTATTATCTACTATATTTGGATATACATAAAATGGGCGTACGGCGACCGACCCCACCCTCTCAGTGGTGGTTACCCATGTATATCCGGGCATGGTTTTTGGAGCCAGGAGTTAGCCCAATAACGTCTGGGACCTCGAAGCGAGAGGCCTAAGCGCAAAAGCCGCTGTTTTGTGACCAGACCCATGGGCAGTTACTCGTGACTTCTTTTTGCCAGCAGCGCTCAGCCCAGTGAGTGCCCGAAATGAGGCAGGGCGACTTACCTGCCTAAGTTGCTTTTGTGGCTCGCCCCGAATGGCGAAAGCTGTTGAGTTCTTTCTCGGGATGACCGGAAAAGAGGGGAAGGCGAGTTAGACAACTAAACGGGGGGTCTCTCCAGTTTAAAAGGTGCCCTTCAATGGGCAGATCTGGCGGACGACGCGGCAGTGTTGGCGTAAACTTAGGCGACGATCCAAGTTGGAAATGGAGGCGGTCAGCAAAGCCGGTATAAGACGGCCCTTGACATTGCCTCTACCGAGAAACCGGGGGTTTCGGCCCGGGCTTGGTGAACGCTCTGCCACCATACGGGAAACCGTAGAATGCTTCCTCGGACGTAATGGGGACCTTAAATACCTAGCGTTAATCTAATCTAATCTATCTACTATATTTGTTGTATAATTTTGCTAACTTAAATGTCATACCCTATAGAAAACAGCTCTGCCCAACAAACCCACGCTTCAAACAGCAATATTAGCTATTTTACAAATAGAAGCGGCTTCAGACTAACCTGCAACATTTCAATAAAAAAGCCAGATGACAAAAAGATCTGAATCATTACGCAGATGTGACCACCTGAAGTGTTTATCATTTGTGAGTTTTTACATGAGAATTTAACTGCAAATACATTTAAATTCAATTTTACTGGAGAAGGGGACAGCCAAGGTGAATTTACATTTGCTGGCTATATTAGGGCTGCAAATGATCTTGATGATGCTGTTCACTTTTTAGTTGAAAGAGGCTTTGATGTCGAAGGAATAATTGGAATATCAATGTGTGCAAATTCTCCTATCATTTATTCTGCCTTATACGGCCAAGTTAAAAATATTGTAACTCTTTCTGCAAGGTACCGCATGACAGTTCTGCCAGACTTTTTACAAGAAGTATATGAAGTTGTAAGACAAAATAGAGAAATTGTGCATAATGCTTTTGGAAAACAGTTAAGATTGACGTGGGAGATGATTGAAGAAACCATAAATGTAGACATGAAATATTATTGCGAGAGGGTTCAAGGAGATATTTATATTATCCATGGCGACAATGATGAAATTTGCCCTTATGCAGACTCTTTGGAGTATGTAAATGCCTTAAAAGGAAAATGCAGAGGACATTTTACGTTAGGCTGCGATCATGTATACTTTGGAGTTTTTGATGAAGTAGCAGAAATTATTGAGCAAATTATGTCTAAATAATGCTATATATCGTACCTATTGTTTAATTTATTAATTATTATCAAAAGACAAAATTAAATGAATGAATTGATTAGCTTAAAAGCCACCTCTGAGTCTGAGAACCAAGTGGAGGGTTGACTCCTTTTGGATGTTGTAGTCAGCAAGAGTTCTTCCGTCTTCTAATTGCTTGCCTGCGAAGATGAGTCTTTGCTGATCTGGAGGAATTCCTTCCTTATCTTGGATTTTTGCTTTGACGTTATCAATGGTGTCTGAGGATTCGACGTCAAGCGTAATTGTTTTACCTGTCAAGGTTTTAACAAAGATTTGCATGCCACCTCTGAGTCTGAGCACCAAGTGGAGGGTTGACTCCTTTTGGATGTTGTAGTCAGCAAGAGTTCTTCCGTCTTCCAATTGCTTGCCTGCGAAGATAAGTCTTTGCTGATCTGGAGGAATTCCTTCCTTGTCTTGGATTTTGGCTTTCACATTATCAATGGTATCTGAAGATTCAACATCAAGAGTGATTGTTTTTCCTGTTAAGGTCTTAACGAAGATTTGCATGCCTCCTCTCAATCTTACTCCTCCAAATGCGATTAATTTGTTAAAACTCCATTTAGCAATCCAATGCTACTACTATTATGCTTATAATTAATATTTGCCATTTAAAATAATTTTACTTTAAATAAAAACTTTCAGATTGTAGCAGGGTGATTGTTTTTCCAGTCAATGTTTTTACGAATATTTGCATATTTTTATTATAATAGAACATCTCAGGCGAACTTTAAATATGGAAGACCAGCCAATCAGATTTCAAGCTTTATATCAAAATGGCAAAATTATATACTGAAATCTGAACATTTCTGAGATACTAGAATCTTCTTAATTCGGCCAGCTTTAGCCAAACTTTCTTCTAAAGTTAAATAAATCATAAAATTGCTTTGGCTAAGTTTTGCATTAAATTTTAAAATTCCAGAGTAATTATTTCAGATTATTACAGTGTTAAGCGATCGTTTAAAAACATTAGGATTTTATAAGCTTTAGAATAAATATTAGTGTGCTTGTGCTGAATAAGCTAATAGTGTTTCTTTCAATTAGCTCCTTTATTCAACAGAAACAATCTAAACTCGTTTTTCAACTTATATATCTTTATATCAATTTATTTAAAATGTTCAAAGTTTTATGAATCAGTCTGTATCGCAAATCTATAGCTTGTATCAGCAACAGGTTGAACCCACTTATAGCTTGCTTGGTTTGAAGTATTCCATTCTCCTCTCCCTTCTCCCAACTCAAAATGAGACCTTCTCAGCTGCGCTTCCATACTAGCTCTCTCCACTGAAGTTTCTTTTGCTGAAAAATCTGCTTTAGAAACTGGCAAAAATTGTTTTGGATGAGACCCCATGGCCCAATGTGCGCTTCTCATATCTTTTACTCTATTAGGATCCCACTTTGTCCCATATCCTTTTTGCTCTCCATAATCCTGATTAATCGTCTTATAATTCAGCCCATTATCTCCTAATTGAAAATGATGCCCTCTCAAATCTTTTTCCAAATTTGGGTCCAACTTGCCAGCTTCTCCATTTCTTCCTTTATAAGTACCTCCTGATGTTGTATAAGCATTTGCGTTAACTGTTCCTAAAATGATATTGGAGTTTCTATCAGCACTCTGACTCCTTTCAGGTCCTGTTGTAGCATCTCTGGTTGTATGTGAATGATTTATAGCATAATTTGTATGGTATGATGGAGTATCTTCTCCGAGCTTGAAGTGGGATTGTCTGACTGATGTGGATTTTTCTGGCTTGGATGGAATCATTTCTTGTGGCTGATGAACTGCTTTGGTAGCTGTTAAGTAACTAATAGGGGTTACTCCAAGAACAAAATGGGATGATCTCAAGTCGTTAAGTTTTTCTTGGTTAAGTGGCTGGGCTCCGCCACTTTTGGCAGAAAATGCAAGATTATTAATGCTTACTAATGTTCCTTGGTCGTTTCCAAGCTGAAAATGCTCTTTTCTAAGCTCGTTGATTCTTCCAGGCGTCACTGATCTTGGCTGAAATGCCTTTGTTTTGTACTCACTTTGAGTCGAAGATACGAATGGCACACTCTGTTTTCCAAGATCAAAATGAGAGGATCTTAAATTGTTTTTTATTTCGTCTCGAATTCCTGCGTTGAAGCTTTCGGATTGCTTTTGGCCATAGTCAGATTTCATAACTGAAAAACTTGCATTAGGATCATCTCCTAAATTGAAATGATGTTTGCGTAGATTTGCTTTGTTGCTACTTATCCCAGTAGTTTCTTGTTTGTGTGACAATCCACACTTATCATCAAATGCTACATTAGCAGTTGTTGAATAACTGACTTCTTGTTTTCCTAACCTTTTATCAAAAATAACTTAAAAGATAAAAAATTTTAAAATTAATCAATACGGATTTTATAAGGAAATTATTTTTTATAAAAATCAATATTGAAGGCTAAAAGAGATTTTTAAAGATAAAGAGTAAGATAATATTGTGAGCTCTCATATCAAATGAATCTTTAAGGCCATGCTTAGGCTCCAAAGAATGAGCTCGATACTGAGATGTAAACTCTGACTTGAAATTAGATGGATTTTGGCCAGCCCCTAAATTAAGATTTGATGTACGTAACTTTTTGTTATTAGCTCCTTCATCCTGTGGACTTGGGGCTGATACTGGCTTGAAATTAGCTGAATGAGCTGTAGTATAAGCCACACCTTCTTCGCCCAAGGTGAAGTGAGTTTTGCGTACTTGTTGAGCGATTTTCACTCTATGAAATCCTGGCATATAGCCTCCTTGCATTTTTAAAATGGAAAGTGAATTATTTCTAATTGAAAAACAATTAAAAAGCTATAAAATTATGAAAAAAGACTTTTAAAATAATAGAACATTCAAATAATTGTCAAATAAAAAATTATTATTTTAATAGCATCGCCATTATTTACTATAACATAATTTCGTCAGAAGCCTATTCTCATATAATAAGAAAAAATGGCATGCAAATGCTGTGTGTTTGGACTAAGACCATTCATCCCATTTTTGACGATAAAAACCCCAGTATACATGCAAGAAGAGAAGCAAGAAGAGAAGCATCCAATAGCTTTAAAACATTTAGAGATTAAAGCGATAGTAAGAAATTCTTTGTGCAACATCGAGCTATTCCAAATTTATAAGAACGTTGAAAATGACCCTATTGAGTGTGAATATGTATTCCCTGTAGAAAACGACACCGTCGTTACAGGCATGAGAATCCATCTCTCAGACGGAACTATTTTAGAAGCTGCAATCGAAGAGGAAACCAAAGCTACCGAGATGTATCAAGATGCAATATCTGAAGGAAACACTGCAGTTATGGCAAAATCAAACACTCCAGACAGAATGGTTGTTAACGTTGGGAACGTAGCGCCAGGCGCTGAAATCAGAATTGAGTTTAAATTTACTGCTCCTGTGGCTTCAGAGCTTGATTTTTGGAGACTCTATATTCCTGCAAGCTTGACTCCTAAACCGCAAGCTCTTAATAATATAGATCAAGAAGAAGCCCAACAAGTGGCACAATTTCCAATTGTGAGAGCAAGAAATTGCACATATCGTATTGGGATGAGTATAGATATTTATGCTGATACACCTATTTCAGATTACTCCTCCAAGAATTATCCATTCGACTGAACATTGTCTGATAATGCTTTGCATCTTAATGGCAGATTTAAAGACGGTTATGATTATGTGCCTGATAGTGGCATTGAAATATTATATAAAACCGCAGATTCTAATGTCCCATTATGCACTATACAAGAAAGAAATGGAGAATATGCTGCTATGCTGAGCTTCCTACCTATGTATACAAATTGCCCGAGGATGGCGCTGTTTTGCGCCATCCTCTGGCAATCTAAAAAATGGCTCAACAGGGGAATTGAACCCACATGTGGAGCCATTTTTGGTACGTGGAAGTCAAGATTCTCCACATGCCAAAAAATGCTCCACACATGGGTTCAATTCCCGTGTGGAGCCATTTTTTGAATTTGCCTGAGGATGGCGCAAAATAGCGCCATCCTCGGGCAATTTGTATATCCCAGATGTAAATGAAGAAATTGAAGATTTGCAGAATCAAAGCGGAGAATTTATATTTTTAATTGATAGAAGTGGCTCAATGAAAGGAGAAAGAATCGCTCTCGCAAAGCAAGCCGCTATTTTATTCTTAAAAAGTCTTCCCCCTAGGTCTTGCTTTAATATAGTCAGCTTTGGATCAAAATTTGAATTTTTAAATCACGAGCCAATTTATTACAACTCAAAAAATGTTGAAAAAGTGATAGCTAAAATTACAGCTTTCGACGCAAGTATGGGAGGAACGAATATTTATGATCCTTTATTCGAAATATTTAGCAAGGAGCCAAGAAAAGATTTTCCAAGGTCTATATTTTTACTGACAGATGGTGAAGTTAGTTCTGCAGATGCAGTTGTTAATTTGATAAATCAGTACTCAAATAGTACTGTATTGCATTCTATTGGCATAGGGAGTGCAGTGTCTACTTACTTGATCAAAGAATCTGCTCGAGCTGGTGGAGGGATTTATTCATTTGTATCAACATTAGATGAATTATCTAAAAAGGTAATAAACGCGCTTGAAAAATGCTTAATGCCTGTATTAAATGACTGAAAGTTAGATTGGGAAGTTGGCACTGCTCCAAATATAAGAAACACTAAAAGAATTTATTACGGTGATAGATTTAGTTTATACGCTCATTTGGGTCAGAGTGTCCCTAATTCAATTCCAAAGCTTCAATTCTATGATTCTAAAATAAAAAGTGAGAGAGAATTTACTATCCCAGTTGATAGTACTCACATAACCCCTGGAGATGAAATTTTCAAACTATGGGCTTATAATAGAATTTCTGAATTAGATAAAAGTGATCTGGAGATAAATGTAAAAAATAGCCAAATAGTGAGGCTTTCTAAAGAATATGGAATTCCTTCAAATCTTACATCTTATATTTGCATACAAAGAAACAATGAAGCTGTTATTGGAGATATGCAGCTGAGACGGGTTCCGGTGTTAAGGCCTAAAGATATGATTGAACTTGCACCAAAAAAATATATAACCAAAAATGTGCCGAAATATAGATGTGCACGACTAGATACAGGATTGAACAACGCTTTTTGTTCAGAAAAATCAAAAGGATCTATTTCATCAAAACCAACATCAGCATTATTTGGCGCGCCTCAAGTTAAATATGAAACAATGCTACAAAGTAAATCAAAAACCCTGACTAAAGCGAAAGTTGCCAGCTTTAATAATTTTCAAGAAGAAGACAAGCAAGAAGAAGGCTGCTCATCAGATTTTATATCAGCTGACTCAGGGATTTATATTTCAATAATAAAGCTTCAATCAACTGAAGGGTTCTGGAGCTTTGAGAAACTGGCTCAGCTATTAAACGCAAACAATGAAATTCCTCAAGAATTCTCTCAGATGCCAGAAAAAGAAAAGATCTGGGGGACATTGATAGCTTTAGCCTACTTAAGAAAAAATTGTGCAGATAAGAAAGATGAATGGAAACTTGTAGAGAGAAAATCAATAAGGTGGCTTAAATCATTAGCAATCCCTATTGAAGATTCAATTGAAAAGGCGATAGTATTATTAAATTAAGACATTCTAAATGCTTCTTAAAATTGTTGATTTTATAAAATACAAAATAAAAGGCTTTAGTAAATGGCTTATTAATGAGTTAAAATGATAGGGGGCATCTATTTATATAATCTCTAGTTAAGATGGATGTTTGGGTAAGTCAGAAAAAACTACATTGATTTTTTCTGTAGTTTTCACCGTATTTTTTCAATACTAAATCAGCAGATATGCTGACACTAGTACACAACTTAACTTTTATGTAATAAATAAATATAATGATGAATATTGATATTGAAGATCAACTTTCGGCTCTCCATTGAATTAAAGAAGAAGGAATTACTATAAATAGCTACCAACTGAACTCTTGTTCTGGAAGAAATTCACGTGAGTTTGATTCTTCATGAAGGCCGATAGACTTTTTCAAGATCTATTTTGATAATGAGGTCTTGGAAAAAGTACTGACTAATTCATGAAGATATTACACTAAGAAGCTATCAGAAAAGCAAAAAAAAAAAATTGAATAACCCTGAAATTGATATATTGAATGAAAAGCTCTCACAGCTGATCATTGAAGAAGCAAAAGAAGATGAGAAAGAATCAAAAGCTCCTGAAATAATAAATTCAAAGAAAATCAAAGAAATAGATATGATTGAATTAGAAGCATACATTGGGGTGATAATTATGATGGGAATTGATAGGAAACCAAATTATCATATGCATTGGAATACTCATGGATTATGAGAGAGTAGTCTTATATCAAAGGCCTTAGGACTCAAAAGATTTATAAATATTGGAAGCATTTTTCATCTTTCTGATCCTTTCTACTCATCAAACTCACAAGATAAACTAGAAAAATTGAATCCACTAATGAGTCAAATCGAAGCAAAATCTCAACAATATTATCTTCTAGAGCAAAGCAAATCAATTGACGAATCTATGATTGCTTTCAAAGGAAGAAATTCCATGAAGCAATATCTTCCAATGAAACCAACTAAGTGAGGATTCAACAATTTTGTCTTAGCAGGTTCAAGCAACGGTTATATTTATAGATTCATTATCTACCTAGGAAAAAAATGAATCTTCTGAATTCTCTCCTGAAAACGTTTGCTTGAGGCTTTTGCAAGGACTAGAAAATCAAAATTTTCATCTTTATATTGATAATTGATATAATTCAATACCATTTGCTATTGAAATTGAAATTGAAAGAATTTTGGAATTGAATGCACTGGCACAATAAAACAAAATCGAAAATATCTTTCCGAAGGACTTCAAAAAGATTATTGCAGGAATAAATCAAAGTGAATATCTGTTTATAAGAGCAGATCAGATACTTTTATCTTGTTGGCATGACCAAAGGATGGTTGTTCGTGCAACTAATGCAGGAACATCAGCTGTAATCACAAGAAAAAGAGGCAAAAGTGAAATCATGACAATTCCAGAAATTATCGAACGCTATAGGAAATTTATGAGAGGTATTGATATGTTCGACCAAAATATGACTTATTACTCATACCCTCATAGAGCAATCAAATGATGGAAAAACTTTTTTTTTATTTTCTTGAGATAGCACTGAATAATTCATATATTCTATATAAAAACCACATGATTTCATTGAATCAAAAATTTTTATCATATGATAAATACCGCATTCAAATCGCAGTTTTCTTTGTGTGCGAAAAAAGCAAAGCTAGAAGAGAAAATAAAACTGTAATAAATCAAGCAATTTCAGGAATGCATTGGATAATAAAAATTGAAAATACAAAAGAATGCATCTTCTGCTATTATCAAAAAGGAAAGAAATCAAGGACTCTTTATATTTGTTCAGAATGTAAGATACACCTTCATCCAAATTGCTTTTATAGTTATCATAATAATATAAAATAAATTATAGCTAAATTATTTTTTGTTGCCCCTAAATGTTTGGTATCAAGAGCAATCAGACTTGGAGCAAATTTATGAAGAAGTCTTAGATTTAGACGATATCATTGAAATAGTGGAAGCACCAAAGCCTAAAAAATCTCAATATATCCCAACTTTTACAGCAGCCCAAAAGAAAAAGCATCCAGATGATTGATCAGATATAGAGAGTTTAGCAGAAGATTGTGTTTCAGAAAAATCTGTTGAAAATTCTGAAGCGATCTCAATTTCATCTCCTAGAATCAACTACAATTATGAAATTCCTATATTTATTAAAGCTACTGGAGAAGCTATAGTTAAATGAACTGAAATATATTTACCTTTACAATCAACTATAGAAAAATATAAAAAAAGCGATAATGTTTTAAAAGTTGATAAAAATGGGAGTGTTGGGGAGTATTTTGACTATATGAATAGGCTTGCTAGGTATAAGAGAGAGTTAAAGGAATTTTATGAAGAAATAAGAGACATTTCAGCAGAGCCTAAAAGAATTGAGCTGCTTGAGCTAGAAACTAAAGATTATGAAAAAAGATATTTGCTGAAAAGACTAAGGCAGCTTAATAGAGAAATAGATGAGACTCAAAATACTTTTAAAGCACTCACTAAGAAAGAAAGAATAAAATACAATGAAATCAAGAAATGCGACTTTTTAAAAAATATAGCTTGGAATGGACCTCCTACTAAACATAAAAAGCGTGAAACCATGGTTGTATTTCGAAGAGAAAATGGAATTTATATTAACTCTGGAAGTTTAAAGGAAAACAAGAAAGTGCCATTTATCAATAATGCTATAGATACTAAAGCACCTATGTTGAATAAAGCAATCGATATATTTCCAAAAACCAATGGAACACTAAGAACTGATGATTTATTGATCCCAATCAAGCCTTTAACAAAAAGCACAAGACTCCCGATCGAGATGGATTTTTATAAAACTCCAAAGAAAAATATAGGGCTTTCCCTTGAATAGCCCGATAACGGGCTGGCTTCATTCCGTTATCGGGCTATTCAAGGGAAAGCCCTATATCTCGTATCCAAAACCATTCAACCCTGAGCCCAGAATGCAGACAAGCAATTCATTGTGGGGTGAAATTGAAGGCAATTACAAATTTGCTCAAAAAACAAATTTCGCTATAAATCCACAATTATTTTCTCAAAATTATACAGCAAAGCAAGAAATCTATAAGAACGTTAATTTTCTTTTTGATAAATTGCCTTGAGACGATCTTTCATTTTACGACACACAAAGTGCGACTCATGAAAAAATAAATAAGGATTTCCAGAAAATGGTATTTGATTTACGCTTTCTTAATTATAAAAGAACAGATGAAGCCTCAAAAGAAAATAAACCTGCATGCGATGTTTCTGATAATGAGTCTGACGTTGAAACTGCTCCTACAGAGTCTAAAACTGAAGAAAATTCTACAAAAGCTTCAGAAGAGGAACACTCTATCTCAGAAGAGCTTCACCACGCAAATATATCTTATGAGTATCCTTTAAATAAAGGAAACTGGGATGATGCAGAGCTAAGAGATTTTCATAGACCTTTTATTAAGATTTCAGCTTCAATAGAAATAAAAGCAATTTTGAAAGTCCCTGAACTATCATATCCTTTAAAAGAAGAGCCTTCAGGCTATGTATCTTTTCAAACACATGAAGATTTAACGCTTAAGCGTGGTGCTTTTATCCTTACAGAATTCGTAGAAAAAAGACCTCCGCTCATAAGTAATAATGGAATGACTTCAAGGATAACAAGATACTTCAAAGGACAAGATCAAATGTATTTAGAATCTCATACAGGGAAATTAGGAATCATCAAGAGACTTTCACATAATCAAAATCTTCCTATTCTAGGACACTTAAAAGATAACCAAAGTCTATGTTTATTAGAAAGCAAGCTTATGAAGACTCCTTTGTTTTACCATGACCACAAGAAAACAGACTTTATTTTAATCCACAAAAAAAATAAATGAATTTTGAGACCATTGCAATATGCCTATACTTATGGACAAACTGAGCCAAAAGTTAAAGTTTATACACCAAATTCAGTGAAACTAAGGAAATTTGTTACTCAGAGAAGGCAAGGACTAATATTAAAAATTCTGAAAGAAAATGGAAATAAAGTGAGCATTGATACCCTTGTGTCAAATCTCCCACATCTCCCTAAATACTCAATTAAAAAACATCTTAAAGAACTTAAATGCTTTTATACTGATAATTTTTGGTCAAGCCCTACACTGCCTACAAAAGAAGATATTTTCAATAAAATATCTCCTGAGGATTTATGCAAATATGAGAGTATGCTTTCAGCAAAAAAGAAATTAAAAGACAAAGGAATTTCTTATCTACCTTTCGATAAGCTTTTTAGCTCAATTATGACGCTCAAAAGAGAAGTAAAGGATAAAAGGGTTAACTATTTAGCTGATATTATAGAAGATGAGCTTTTAATGGCTCCTTGAAATCTTACAGGTTCTTATGTTCAAGCTCGGAAGCGAGGCATGATTGAAGTACTTGGGAGAGGTGACCCTACTTTTGGAAATTGTGGATATTCTTTCCTCAAAAGAATTTTAAAAAACTCCCCATCAAAGCAACAAATTGAAAATTACCAAAAAGAGCTTAATAAAATTCTGAGAAAACAAATAAGGGTTTTAGGAGAAGCATTTTATCAAGATGACAGCAGCTCTGATGATGAAGAAGAAAATGGACAAGTTCTCAGGAAAATGGAAGCTGATGGGCTATATATACCACAAGAGACATATGTAGAAAATGAAGCTATCAATGAACAACAAGCCTTAACAGACCTCCAGAATACCCTAAAAAGTATAAACACAAGCAATAAAGAAATCCCGGTATCTCCTCCGCCTAACTCTATTAGTTTGCCAAGACGAAAAGCTCTAAAAATCACAGAAAAAATTCCAAATCTTGACGGAACTTTCAATGTTTACGTGAAATTCACTGATGATCAAGAATTGGTTAATAAATATCTCATTAATAAAAAGAATGAAGAAATGAAAAAGCTGCAGTTAGAAAAGGAAAGAGCAGCAAAAACTATTGAAGAAAAGAAAAAACAAGAGAAAAAGCAAATAATCAATTCTTTAACAAAGGAACTTAAAGAGAAGAAAAGGTTGAAGAGAAAGGCAGAAATGAAGCTGGAAAAAGAGAGAAAAAAGTTGGAAGAGGAAAAAGCTTGGAAAGACCTATGCATACAGAAATATCAGTCTGGTGCTGTTTTATTTAACACAGGGCATGGGAATATGATTTGTGGAAGGTGTGGGATGGTTGGACATAATAAGCAGAATAAAAAAATTTGTCCTCTATATGATCCTACAAAAGAGGAAGAAAAGCCTAAAAGAATGAGAAAGGAAGAAGTGCTTGAAGTGTCCTCAACAATTAAAATTAATATTGATGAACTTCCTGAACCTGATTTGACTTTGAAAAAGCCTAGTAAAATAACTATGGTGGATAAGATTAAATTCACTGTTAGTATATATTTCAAAAAATAAAAGCTACTCAATGCTTCTGGCATTAAATTAATTTGTTATAGTATAAAAAAAATCGACCTAAAAGAACTGTTGACTCAACTGTATTTAAACAAAAACCAGTGACTGGAAAACGAAGAGAAACATGGATGCAAGGAATATTTCAAGAAATTTCATCAAAACTTATTTTTTGGGATGAGAAAAAGAGATTTTTGGATCTTGAAGAAATTGAAAACAGTATAGATTTAAGGAAAATACAAGAAAAAGCCAAAAATGCTGAATATAAAAACGTTGAAAACTTCCTGGCTGACATAGACCAACTTGTAGAAACAGTCCTAAGCATAGAAGATCTGAAGCCTAAAGCAAGGAGACTTGTTAAAGAAATGAGAAAAGGAGCTTTAAAAATTTTAATGAGCAAAGGACTAATTGAACAAACAACAATAGAAACAAAAGAAAGTGACGAAAGTGAAGAAGAAAGTGAAACTAGTGAAGAAGAATCCAATGTAGAGCAGTCTCTTAATATTCAAGAGGATGGCGATATGCTTATAATAAATACTTAATATTTGAATATTGTAAATTCTATTGTAAAATAGCTACTATCCTATAAAATATCAGGCACACCAGAATATTTTATTATATAGCCCTGAAATATATTTTAGATCATTATTGGCCATCCATTTTAATTTCCAAAATTAATTTGTACTTGTCAGCTTTTTTGAAAAGAAAAACGAAACTGACAAATCTCCGTTTATGGTTTTAAGGTACCTAATCAGACTTATACTGTATAAGGCAGGTGCCCTGTACATATTTTTTCTGGTCGGTATTCTGCTGGGGTATAGAGATCTATTAAGGTGCATGAGCTATATAAATATGGAGTGCTTTAAATGTTCATTTGAGTTCGATAATCACACACGTATTCCGCATATACTTATTTCCTGTGGGCACACAATTTGTAAATTGTGCATTAATTCGCTATTTTCAAATAAATCAATGCTATGCCCTCAATGCAATCTCGTATCTTTAGCACCTAATATACAAGCATTTCCTATAAATTTGGCTTTGATACAAATTCAAACCCAAAAGACTTGCCAAAATATCTGTAAAAATCACAATAAAGAACTTGAAGCATTTTGCAATACTGATAAAAAAATTTTATGCGTCAGTTGCATTTTGGAAGATGGGCATAAATCTCATGAAATTTTTCCTATTAGTAAAGCTGCAACCAAGCATAGAGAAAAATTAGAGAATATAAAGAATTCAGTTTCGCAAATAGAAGCAAATATATTAAAAGAACAAGATAAACTCGAGAAAAAACAGTCTAGCATTAAAAATGCCCAAAATAAATTATTAGCAGAATTTTCAGAGTTATATCAATCGGTAAGAGAAGCTGTTGATAGCAGAGAAAAAGAAATAATTCAGAAAATCACAGAAGATGCAGAGACAATGAATATAGATGTTGCCGAAAAAAAAAAGTTACAAAAAGAAATGAAAGGATTAATAAAAAAATATCAGGATGAATTTAGTAGAGCTCGAGAAGAAGATGATCTAGCATTCATGGACAATTTTAATAAGAGGGAAAATCTTGGGGATAATATTTGTAAAAAAATAATACCTTCACAAAATATAGATTTATTTAAACAATATTCAAGAGGAGCTGAAGCAGATTTTATTTGTAAAGTGATAAAACAAACTTTTATATTTACAGATAGAAGGAATTTAAAACAAAAGGAAGAAGTGACTGCAAGCTCAACTTTAAGCAGCACTCAAAAGAAAGAAAATTCCAAGATAAACCCTTCAGAGCAGCCAACTATTCGAAAGTCTCCTTGAACAGCTAAAAAGGAAGCAATTACCCGTGCAAAATCTCATAAGGTCTTACAAAAAGCAACCAAAAAAATATAGCTTTTTGCCTTGAGTGGCGCGGTATGGGCGCCACTTCGGCAAGCTTCATCCTCCAGTTGGCCGAGCCAACTCAGGTTGGTTCGACCAACTGGAGAATTGACAAGTGAGGCCTTTTGGGGAGACTTGTCAATTCTAGTTGGCCGAACCAACCTGAGTTGGCTCGGCCAACTGGAAGAAGGAGCTTGCCGAAGTGGCACCCATACCGCGCCACTCAAGGCAAAAAAGCATAGTAAATACTATAAATCTCAATAAAGAAATCCTATCGCCAGATATAGACTGATTTGATAATATTTCAGAATTTACGGATCGTGAAAATGAAGATCTAACGCTCTCTCTAGATTTAAACCATCTAAAGCATAACTAACATTACACTATATTAACTCTTTATCCTTGTATTAATTTTTCAAATTATCAAATATCTTTTATTTTTACTATTTTGCAATAATTACTAATTTCGTCATCTATGAGATTACTTTAGTCTGGTTTATTGAAGACTGATTAAGGTCCATTCTTCTATTTTAGCATATTATTAGAGGTAAAAGATAGAAATGCTTTTTCATAGTCAGTTCTGCAGCGAAAAGAATGAAAATTGTATCTCATTGTACCTGGAGGAGAGTCTGTAGGAGAAGCCAATGTTGTTTTGCTGCAATTTGGCTGCTCAGATTTTGAGGTAAGAATGCTGATGTCATTGAATTCGTCTTCATTTTCTAGTTGAGTCTCGACGCTAAATCCTTGAACCTCTTCAGTTTGGATTCTGAAAATTTTTTGATTGCAGCAGCCCATTTGTTTTTTTTATAATATATTATAAATTTCAGAGAGATTATCAGATATCTAGAATTATTCACCATTTTTACAAGTTTCCTGACTGGCCAGCTGATTTAAAAATGCCATAAAATCAACATAATTTCGTTAGCTGGCCATAATAAATCTAAAAGGGTTTTCTATATTTTGGAACTATTATAGGAAATATTAAAAATGTTATAAATTATTTTTAATAGATTTGAGGAGGTCAGGGCTTTATCTTTTCATTGGGATTAGTCTTATACATAAAAAATGGCATGGAGCACCAACTTGCCATCTTAATGCTGAAGCCAGTCAGGAGTCTGGGAATCTTGCGGGAGAGAGAGCAGTGGACGGCAAAAGTGTCCAGCTGAGTTTTATTGATCTGATGGAGCGTAATGTCGGGCTGACAGACCGCAGGCTCACATCCAGGGCAATGGAATATGGAAGTTAGAAAGGATAGCTCAGTAAGGCCAGAGGGCTTTATTTGGCCAATCGGGCATTTTCCCAGTGCGATGCAGGGAGCTGAACCTTGGGCTAGAGTTTTATCTCGATGCCAGACAACTCGATTTTCGAATTGTCGGAAAAGTAACCCCATTGGCGTACGGCAAGGCGACCACCCAACGTCTTTACTTCCAGGATTCGAGTGCAAGACCTCGTCTGGGAGGAGCAGCACATACCTTTAGACCGTGCATCGGGTTAGCAAGCAAAGGGATGGAGCGAAGAAAGTTAAATGAAAAGCCGGCATAGGGCGGGAGCTAATTTATAATAATCTAAGTTAAGCTAAGGGGATTAGTCTTAAATATTTTATTTATGATAATTAAATTATATTTTAAGGAAAAAATATGCTATTAAGATAAAGAAATTATGCTAATTTATTCAGTTATCCATATTAAATCATCATTTAGCTGTCATAATTCTGCCTCATTTGAACTTCTTCATCAGTTTTCCATCTTTTCCAAGTGCTTTGTCCTTTTTGCCGCTTCAAAAATTCTTTAGCTTTTACACCAGTCAGCCCTTCAACTTTTTTCTTCCTGAAGTCCTGCTTTCTTATAAATTTCCTCTTATCAAGTGGCTTTTCTTTATCAGGAAGTTCCTGAGGTGCATTCCAATGCTCCAAAACTGCATCTCCAGCATTCGCAAAATAATCATACTGCTCCAATGCATCTGATTCATTTGCCTTCATTACCGGCTCTTTTTTAATCACTGCATTTTCATACGGATTTGTCTTAACCTTTGTCTTTTCCTGCGACACTTTTATCGGCTTATAAGATCTTGCTTTTGCTAAAAGTTCTAATGGGTTTGGCAATTTTGACTCTTTTTCAAGCTTTTCTATGCTTTCTTGTGGCTTTCTTTTAGCAGGGACTTCTTCTTCACTAGAAGAGCTTATATTAGCTGGATCAAAGTCTGAGAAGTCGGACATATTAATCTAACATAAATATTTATTTAATAGGCTTTATGGAGAAAATATCCTTGCAGTTTTGTCTGCAGAAGTCGACAGCAAAATTGGTAAAAATGGGTGCCATCGAGCTGAAACCACCCTGTCTTCGTGATATTCAAGCCTGCATGCTGAGCCGGTATCCATTTGTACTAAGCCAATGCTACGGTCGAATGAAGAAGAAACCAGCCATCGAGTGTCGGCTGAAAAATCAACGCTTCTACACTCAGCTAAGTGATATGAGTTCTTTGAATACAGCCTCCCTGCATTGATGTCCCATACAGTTACTATTCCATCTGCATGCCCAACTGCAGCTAAATTTGGCTTTGCAGGAGCAGCTTGTTTGCCTTGCTGCCTCTTCAAAAAAATATTTGTAATTTTGTCTTTGGTTTCTGCCCTCACTTGCGTTGCTGAATTAGTGAGTGCAACTGAAGTCATCTCTGCAAAAGACTCCCCATTCAGCGTCATCTGGCATTTATTGCTTCTTAAGTCCCACAGCCTAAGCGTCCTATCAGTTGCGACAGATATAAAATAGCTTGCTTTCCCTTCAGCTGCTATTTGGAAAATTGACCCATTGTGTCCTTGTAATTTCTGTAAAAATTGCCCAGTTTCTGTATTTCATACTTTGATATCTCCATCATTGCTTCCTCCGCTTAACAAGATCCTATCGTCAACTGGGTTATAGCAGACAGTTCTTACGATATCTTGGTGTCCTTGTAGTACAACTTCCATTATTTCTGGGAGCTCTCCTTCTCCGTTAAGATATCTTCCTTCTTCACACATCAAAGTTTCTGATTGAGTTTCCTGGAGTTCTAAAAAGTCTGGGCAAAATAGGACACGGATGTTTTTATCGCTATAGCCAGCAGCAATTTGGGTTTCGGAACGTGACCAATCAATGCAGTAAACTGAGCCTATATAAGCTCGACGAAGCTCAAATACGATGTCTATATACTGCTCGCGGCCTTGGTGCTCATTATACATGAGGCCGTCGACGATGTTGTGCATTGAACAAACTTTGATTGAATTAGAATTTGTGCCGAGGACGAAGTAGTCTCCAGAGACGTTGAAGGCTGAACAGCGAATTGGCTTGGCATCTTCAATTCTGGCCATTTCTTTGAGCAGAGCAGGATTAAAACTAGCCATAAGCTCTTGGCTAGATTGTCTGAACATTTCTTCGTGGTCTTCACCTAGTGAATGATCTTCGCCTGGCGACATTACGTCGAGTTCTTCAATATTATATACAATTTTATTTTCCTCATCTGAAACTTCTTCTGTTACTTTTGGTATATTCCAGAACGATACTTTTTTATTGTTTCCTTTAGCTTCTTCTTCACGATCTGCTTGATTTTCTGCCTCATTAATTACTAGACTTCCTTCAGAAGCGTTTTCCTTTTTTTCTTCATTCAATTCCTGAGAGTACCTGAAGCTTCCTCGAATTTTATTTTGTTCTGAGTTGAACTTTGGACTTCTCATATTTCCAGTTTCCCCTAAAATTTCAACACTGTTTAGTTGCCCTAGGAGTTCAGTTAAAGAGCATTTAGGTAACTCGCTTGCAGAAATAGGATATCTAGTTTCTCTTGACTTATATTATACATAAATATATGATTTTAAATAGAAATTTATAGTAAAATACCATAAATTTCACTTAAAAATTTTAAACAGTCATTGAAGCAGTTGATGCGTCCTCTGTAGATATTTCAATTCGCATAGTCAGGATGGTCTATTATTTTGTTGAGGCTGATTATATGGCACAGTTCACTAAAATCTTCTCTTGCTGCAACAGATTCGAGCTCTTTTAGCCATCCCACAAGATCATCGAGCTTTGGATCTGTGGCGCTTTCTAATGCTTCTAAAAATCGCTGCTTTCTCAAGGTGTAAAGAACTTTATTATAGCTTGGCTCGCTACGGTTTTTTAGAGGTGTAATGAAGGTTTCTGCATCTTCAAAGCGACCATCTGTAATTAGATTGCAGAAAAAGTCAATTTCTTTGCCATATCGTCGCAATTTTACTTTTGAGTCCTTTTCAAGCTCAATGAGAGCTCGATGATATTCGTTAGCTTCAAGGTATTGAAGGATCAATCTTACTGTTTCTTCTTTGCTCAGGCTTAGTTTTGCCATTTAAAATGTAATGTTAATAATTTTCATAGACTATTAAATTGCCATTTGTGAGTGTTGAGCTAAATTATGTTTAATCAATTTACGAGTTATAAATAAGCAAAAAATTATATAAGTATAAAAACATATTATTATTCATTCATTTAAGATAATATTTATTCTCAAAATTATTTATAGTCCCTTTCTTGAATTTCTGATCGGCTCCCACGAGCCAAATATAGATTTCGCGCGTGAAAATCCAGAAATTCCACGTGGAAACCCATTTATGGCTCTTGGGAGCTGATCAAAAATAACGCCAAAACACTATATTATTGAATTGGATAGGACTTTCCAATTTTCCCACATTCGGCACATGCAACTTCATTCGCACATAGCTCACAAAAAGCGTGGCCACATGGAATCATAATAACTCTTTTGAGATTTTCTTTGCATTTGCAAAGAATTGAATTTTCCAAGCATTTTATTTCTTCTTCTTTTTCTACCAGTTTTTTATGAAATTCTTCCAGCTGAGCATGTTTTTGATGAACTTTTTCAAGGGCAAGCCGATGCTGATCTATCACGTTTTTTTGGCTTTCTGGGTTATTAATATGAGTAAAATTACAGTATTGGCCGAGATAGCAGCCATTAGATAATCTTGGATATGGACAATCAAAAGTCAAATACACTTGTGGGTGATACAAGATTTCAATAATATTATGGGCTTTTATACATCTGTCGCCTAGCTGGCAATTTCCTACTTTGCAGCATAGCTCTGGAATGTAGTTATATTCTGAAGGAGATCTCCTTTTTTCGCCTTGGTAATGATATCTTGGACAAAGACCTGTGCAAGCACTCCCGATTTTGCAAGGAATTGTTTTATAGGTTATAAGGTCAAATTCTTCAGGCTTGCAAGTATAATCAATTTTTGGCGAAATTCATGAATGAGTAGTAGGATCATTTGGCTCAATTTTGAGTTGTCGAGGAACAGAGTGATCCATAGTGCTTTGTTCTTGATTTGGGATGCTATAAAAGTTATTTGAATCTCTTCTGCCTGAATTTTTGGGTTCATTTGGCACTTTATTGACTATGCTTTGATATTTTTTTTCTACATAATATCAATTTCCTGTAAACGATATCTTTTTTTGCGTGTCCCAATCATCAAGTTCTTTACTCCATAACTTTAATTGGAACAAAAATCCTGCTCCATTTTAAAGGAGTTTTATTTAAAAAAATTTTATAAATTTTTAAAAAAATATAAATTGAACGAAACATTTTAAATTGTGAACTTGAAGAATTAATGCAAAAAATTGATTGATTTAGTGTAAAAACTGTTTAAATATACTTTTGTATTCAATTAGGTCAAAACGAATTTTATGAAAATTAGTATTTTCACCTATAAAATTTTATTATTGAAATAAAAAATAGTTCCAATTTAAAGGGGCAAGTTAGTAGCATCTTGGCTTTTTTGCACGTTTTTATTGGAAACTCCCCATGATTTCGCACTTTTTTCTGTTTGGATTTGAAAATTTTGGGCATGTGGATTGAGCCTATATTGGTTCACATAGTTATCTTGGCTTACTTTTTCTTCTTTTTTATAACTTTGAAAATTATATTGGACATTTTCCTTCTTTTTATGTGAATTTACCACAAATGGAAAAGTTTTATCAGGAATTCCAAGCTTTGCAGTTTCTGCAGGCTTATTATTCAAGTTTTTGTCTTCAGAGTTCTCTTTTTTATCTAAATTAGAGCACTGGGAGTTTTTCGATGAGTGGGAATGACTTTGAATTGATTGTCATTCAGTTTCAGCTTCAAGATGATTTTGGATAGGCTTCAAAATTGTAGGATCAACTTGTGGTGAATCAGCTGGAACTGAAACGGAGGATGATTGCAGCTCTAGCTTAGGCCATGCAATTTCATCTTCATTGTTATATATAGCAGGATTGCTAGCTTGATAACTGTACTTGAAAGAGTTTGAAGCTGCTTTATCAGAAGATAATAAGGATTTCGAGTGAGGGTGCAGTGTAGGTCATACAAATCCGCTGTCTGGAGGGTTTTTGGCAGCAGAATTAGCTTTTTCCGAGTCTCTAGGAATATCTACAAAGATTTTATCTGGGATAACTAACTTCCTAATTTCAAAAATTATTAAATATAATAAAAATAAATATAAGGTATAAGTTTTTATATCTATAAACAATGATAAATAATTTCACGGAAAGAAAAAATAAAAAAATTTGAGCATGCTGTTTTATATAGCGTTTTTTGCGCATTTGCTTTGAAATAATAAGAGGGCAAAATCTATATCCATAATATAAGTTTCTATAACTAAAACCAAGTGCAAGGTAAATAAATTATTCTATTTGTAGAGCTTATTAAATTAAAATCTTTTTTATATAAATAAACTAAGCAGCATTTTCTTATAAAGCGTCTAAGTTCTTTGCTCATGTTCAATGTCTTGTTTTCATTAGAGTGTTTTAGGTGAAGATTATAATCATTGACCTTAAAATTCAAATAGGATCTGATTAGCTTTTAGCATATATGAATTGGTGCGGTGGCTCCATTTTTAATATTTTAACGAACCTGATAATTTTGGCATGTCAAGCTAAAATCAAAGAAAAATAATTTTGGGCTATTTTATTTGATTTTATTGATAAATTTTATTCTTTAAGCATTTTTTATATATTGAACTTACTCCAAAAAATAAAAATAAGTCAAGATTCTGTTGAAGATTTTTAATGATACACCTACTGGAGTACTGCCACATAAAGAGCTATCAATCGCCTTATCGACGAGATCCCTCTTTCAATTTTTATTATTTTCACATACTACTTCTCCATCTTAATTTCAAGAATCAAAGAAAAGTCAAGATTGTACTGGAGATTTTTAATGGTGAACCTATTGGAGTACTGCTACATGAAGAGAAATAATTCGCTTTATCAGAGAACTCCCTCTTCCAATTTTTATTTTCCATTTCCATAGGCCATATCTCCATAAATACTCCATCTTTATTCAAAAAACTAAATTAAGTCAAGATTCTGTAGAGATTTTCAATCTTGAGTCTATTGGAGAACTGCCACATGAACAGTTATCAATCTCCTTATTGGCGAGTCCCCTCTTTCAATTTTTATTTTTCCCTCATACAACTTCTCCATAGTGGGCATCTCTTTATACTAAGAAGCCAAGATTATACTGGAGATATTTAGCGTACACCTATTGGAACATTGCACAATAGAGCTATCAATCGCCTTATTGACGAATCACATATTAGAAATCATAATGATATCGCAATTAATCACTTTATAAAGATTGATGCTTTTATTTATTTTACATCAGTAAGTGTGTTGTCAGCTGCATAATTAGCATTTTAATTTTAGCTTGACAAGTCAAAATATTTAGGTTTGTTAAAATTTAAAAAATAGAGCCAACACACCAGATCAAAAACAAGCTAAAAAAAGCGAATCATACATGCCAACATCGTAGATCCCATATTTCAACTTCAAGAAACTACTCTCACATTGAACATTAAAGCAGAAACTTAAACATTTTATAAGGGATTAAACATTTTATCAGTTTTAAAAGATTTAAATTTGTCAATTAAGGTAGCGTGATTCTTTCTCTTTGCTTCACTTAAATATATATGCTATCGAAATAGACTTCGTCCTCTAATTCAATTCTCAGGGCTTTTAAAGCGCATGTGCAAAAAACTCACCATAGTCAAAAATTGATTCCTATTAACGTGAAATGTAAGTGATTGACTGAAGACATTTATTTTTATAAAAAGATCCCGCCCAATGTACAAAATTTTTGAAGTGCATTGATTGATGCTATTTTAGCATTATTATTTATTTGAAATTTAATTAAATACTTCTTTAATGCTTGGCGACAAAAATAGCAGAGTTATTGAAGTTTCACTTTATAAAGAAAAAAAGTTCCGCATCCGGGACTCGAACCCGGGTCTTCAGGGTGAAGGCCTGATATCCTAACCAGCTAGACAAATGCGGATAGTTTCTATTAAAGATATTTAGGCTATATACAAAAATTATACTCTTAATAAATTGGCTTCACAAACCCTTTATACTTCTCTCATGCACATTTTTAAAATTTACCTTCTCGAATATAAAATAATTACCATTCAGCCAAAACTTCATTTAATAACAGATTTTGTCTGAGAGCAATTGAAAATAAGAATTTTGTTCATACTTAAATTTATATTAATAAAATGTCGATTTTCCAAACATATTCGATGATGAATCCCATGAATGATCTCTGATAGGAAAAGGCGGATCTGATTTATTTGTTTTTTTATACATATGCATATCATAAAATTTGAATAATTTATTTCAGCTATATTTAATTATAGAATTATGTGAACTTCCACAAGTTCGCTTCATCTTTGCTCGCAGAAGACAAAGCAGTGAGGATTGTGTCATTCCCTTCATTATTTGTATTCTTTTTAGGGAGGCTATATACAAAAATTCCTGTCATCACAAAAAAATAGCCAATTAAATAGAGTCAGGACATTGACTCTCCAAAAATCATGATTCCAAAAAGTAGCCCATAAACCATTGCTGTCAAAAGTGACAAATTAAACATAGCAGCACCATATCTTTCAAAATAATAAGGCGTGCATGAATATATCATCAGCATGGTAAAAGAGAATCCCATATAGCAAAGAACTAGATATAATTTACCTTGGTAAACTCCATCAATACTTCGTATTTTGTCTATTTCTAAACAAATCGACTCAACAAGCATTATAATGCTGCCACATCCTCCTAAAACTACCAAATATTCTTGAGGTCCATGCTCATTCTTCATCAAATATTCCACATATACATTTGTCCTACATTAAAATTACACCGCATATAGCATAGACCCTATCAAAACATAAATGTCACCTTCAATCGTCCCTCCCCATAGCCAGTTATTATCCCTAAGATCTGAAATAATTATCACACAGACCCCACACAGAGCAATTGCAGCTCCTGAGTACTGGTATTTATTATACCGATGCTTTAAAAAAAAGTATGATAAAATCATCACAAATATCAATGAAGTGTTTACTAATGTAAGGACACTTACGACGCTGGTTTTTTGATAAGCTAAAACAGTTAAGAAATTAGCTTGGGAATCTGTAATTGAGGCGATTGCGTATTTTCAGCCGTGGCGTCATGGGAATTTTTGCTTGCTGATTAGGAAAAAAATTTGAAAAGTTGTGTAGATTAAGAAATAGGTTCATAATAGCTGAAATAAAGGAGTATCTAAGCCTAAATTAAGTAAAAGCTTCGAAAAAACCCCTGTAAATGTGTTGAGTATTGACAATCCTTGTCCGCAAACAATTGCTGAGAAATCAATACCTCGAATTAATTTCCACATTATAAGGCCATATTAGGCTAGTTATTAGATATACAAAGCATTTACTGATGGCTTGTACAAAAAATTTACATCAGGACGGAACATCCCATCGTCAGGCTTGTCTGGGGAGCTTCTCATTGAAATGAGCTCGTCGCGAGTCATATGGAGTAGCCTCATCTGTTGGTCTTTTTTAAAAACTTTTGTTTTTATCCCAACAAACCTTTCTCTGATTTGTCCTTCTTCTTGCTCCATTTCTTTAATTATTTGCTGATATTTGGCAACGTTTGATTTCCAGCTATTGCTTATTATCGTCAATTTCTTGTTCATATCATCAAATTTCTTTGCTTTTTCATCATTTCTTTCTTTATATTTTCCTAATTTTGTAAGTAATTTATAAGATTTTGACTCTAAAGTTGGGATTTTCTGTGCCAGTTCTTCTTGCATTTTTTCATTTTTTGTAATTTTTGAATCAGTTTTGTCAATTTCTTTATTTAATTGGTTGATTTCTTTTAGAAGCTCATTTTCTGGGTTTTGGGCTATTACAGGTGCTTCTTTGGCTTGCAAGGTTAATTTGTTAAGTCTTTCGTTTTCTTTTCGAAGTGACTCCAGCTGTTTTTTCAGCTCTCTAATCTGAATTTCTAATTTATACTCAATGTCAATATCTTTTGGCATTAGCAGTCTTCTTTCAAGAAATTCGATATCTTTTTCAAATATTCTCAGAACTTTTTTGGAAGATTCAGGAGTTCCTAAGGCTGCTTTTAACATGTGAACATTCTGAGTTTTTGCTTTCGGTGTAGATTTTACAACAATTTTATCATACTGTTCTTTAAGCTCAGCGTACTCTTTACTGAGTTTTTGATTATTCTGAATAAGATACTCTGCAGTCCTATCTAGAAGTTACTTTTTAGAGCTCTCCATATTTCATATGTGAAAATTGCTTACTTTCCTTCTCAATGAACGAACAAAAAATTTGGTTTGCTCATGGAGTGGATTATCGTCCCTTTGACTTTGGGCGCAAGTTTGCCCATACTGATGGGGCAGTTCGTATCCCAAACTTGAAAAATACGAAATAACCACCTTAACTTAAATTACAAGTTTAGATTGCTCTCACCTATTGTAGCGTAGTCACCAAAGATGTCCTAGGTGATTCACCCTCTTTACCACGTCGACACGGAGGATTTTTTTGAGTTGAGATAATAGCCTGATTAAAAATTGGTCGTGCTTCACCTTTCCTCTTCTTCACTGCCTGACGTCATGGAACTTGTGAAACAGGGCTCTTCGTCACCTTCTCCTCCTCCTTGCCTTGTCACTTCTAGTGTTGAGTGGTAAGGCTATTGATTTCTGCGACATTCTATATGGGAAATTGAAGGTTGTCCACACAAAAATCCCCAAAAATGTCATTTCTGGTCAATTACCGGCAAAAAGAAAAATTCAAAGCCTGCGCGTAACTCCCAGTTTCACGCTAGGTGGTTGCCTAATGGTCATGATATTGCATGTAGACGCTGCTGAACTTTCACTTTCGAACTATAACCCTCTACTCTCGAGGTAAAGCCCAATCCTGAAAGTGATGCTCCATTGCTGGAAGACTAGTCAAGGGCCGAAATGCCATTTTGTTTATCGAAACAGGTCTGCCAGTATAGGTGGTATGCTTTGCACTAAAAAGTAGCAAGTGATGATGCTTTTTTCAAAAACTCAAAAAAATCCAATTCTCAAAATTTATGTTTTAAAATGCAAGCTGTTTTAAAATTATAGATTTCCACTATGAAAAATTTATCACTAATATTTAAAGCATTTTTCTGTTCACTCATGGAGGATGATTTTTTGTTCAAAAAATAAGGCTTTTTCCAATATTTTTATTCGCTCACAGGGGAAAGTTATAATTTCTCGATTATGGAAGAATTAAAGGATTTCGAATATGCAAAAAACCAGGATGGTTTCAGCTTCAGAGAATTAATAATGCAAAAACTTACAGCTGCCCGTGAACTTAAGTTAAAACAAACAAGAAGCTCATCTACAACACCAGACCCAAAGCAAGCTCCTAACTTAAGACAAGCTCCTCAAGCATGAGAAGTAGAAAAACAGTTGCTTATAAATATGTTTGAAAAAGCTCAACAACTTGCAAGTCAAACTCAACAAGCCTTTATACAAGAACGCCAAAACATGGAATCACAAATTGAGTCTTTAAATTCTATACTTATTGATACTCAAGGTAAAAATAAAACATTAGAACAGCAGATTGAAGTCTTTAAAAAAGTTGTTAAAGGGGAAGGAGAAATGAAATTAATTGAAGAGCTGCAAAAATTGGAAAAATTAAGTGACGAAAGGGAAGCAAAATATCAGCAAGAAATTGAGTTGCTAAAAGCGGAATTGACTGAAGTGAGAGGTAAATTAAATGCGAGTGAAAATGGGGTAAAAAGAAAAGGAAGTATTAAAGATGTGAAGAAAAATAATGATTATGAAAATTTGATGAAAAATACACAAAACGCTTTGAAAGAAAAAAATATGGAAATTGAGAAATTGAAAGAAGAGCTAGAACGGGCTAATAAAAAAACGAATGGAAGACAAGGAGGGTTAAAAACTGAAAATGGGATATTTGAGCAAAGTTTTGAAAATATTCTCAAATCTGCAAGAGAAAGAGAATCTTCACTTGTTAAAGAAAGTGAAAAAATAAAATTATTGAATTCCCAGCTAAATCAATTACTTGAAAGCAAAGAAATTGAAAATAAAACACAGGTAGATATAATGAATAAAAGAATTTCTGATTTACAGTCAACTTTATCAACCCAAGAATCTAAATTGATTTCTGAAAAAGAAAGTTTAATAAAAGAGAAATCTCTTTTAGTCGAACAAAATCATAAACAAGAACAAAATTTTAATTTATTAAATGCAAAGCATGCCAAAGAAATTGCGGCTCTGCAAGAAAATATTCGTGAAAAAGAAAAAAATATCGCCCAGCTTAAAGAAGCTAATGCAAGCTCAAGTGCAAATAAGCATGAAGCTGAAAAAGAAGAGCTTAAACAGATGATAAATGAAATGTTGGCAGAAATTTCAAATTTATTAAAATCTGAAAATCCTACTGCAGTTGAGTTAGAAGAATGCAAAAAAAAATTAAATGAGCTTGAAGCAAATAATTCACAAATAGAAAACTCTAATTTAAGGGTGCAGCTCCAAAAGGCAATGGAAGAAAAAAATTATGCGAAAAAGCTAATTATTTCTTATATTAGGTCAATCCAGCAGCTTGAACATTTAATTTCGGAAAAATCCACAATGAATATTGATGACCACGTAGCAACTTTGCAATTAGAAAGCTCAAGGCTTCATGAAGAAAATCTAAGCTTAGTGGATGCCATACATCAAAAAGAGAAAAATTATGAATTAGAAATCAGCCGTCTTCAAGCTTTAATACAGAACCAAAATGCTGAGATAAAAGAAGCACAAATAAAATTAAAAACAAAAGAGTCAGTACAGCAGATATCGCAAATAGAGATGAAAAATAAAGTGATTGTAGACATGCAAAACCAAATGATAATGTTTTTAGAGTCGCTTAATGCTCCGAAAGCAAAAGAAAGCTTGCCTGTAAAAAATAAGAAGTTAGGAAAAATATTTAAAAAATAATTGTACATTAAATTGGCTTGGATAATTGACATCAAATGGAAAGGTTAATATAATTTTAAGTAAGTTTTTTATTCTGATATTGGCTTTCTTTAATTTTTGATGATATGCGCCATGACTAAAATAAATCTATTCTAAATTATTATGGTTTTCTCTAGGCTTTCTCTATTATGTCTTAGAAGCTCTTCTAAATTCTCAAAAGCATTCCAATATCGACCTTTTTCAACAGAAAGTGAAAACCCTGAACCAGATCAAGTAGAAGTTTTAATCCCAGAACCCAAATCAGAATCTCAATTATCAGCCACATTCCCCAGCAGTGTGCTGGTGATAAAACCTCAAAAATTTGGCTCAAACCCTGGTGAGACAAAAGATAACACATTTCTTAAAAACAGCTCTAACTCCCCCCCCCCTCCGTGAGTGAACAAAACCATTAGAAAAATCGCTATTTTGTGCCCAAAAACCCACCCTCCGTGAGTGAACAAAAATTTTTTTTAATAGAAATGGAAAAAAATTTTGATATATAAATGATAATTAGTATAATGAAATCTAGAGCTAATTCTGTGTAATTTTAAACAAATTGCTTTTTAAAACATAAATTTTATAAATTAAATTAATATTTGCTTTTCAATTTTTGCGAATTAGGATTTTTTTAAATTTCGAAAAAAAATATTTTTTATAAAATTTATATATAAATTTTTTTAAAAAAAAAAATTAACCCCCCTCCGTGAGTGAACAAAATGTTTTTGTTCACTCACGGAGGGGGGGAGTAAGTTATTCCCAGAAATTTGCAGAGTTGAGTTAAACAATCTTGAAAAAGCTTTACAATCCTACGGAATCACAGTAGGTTAGGTTATTAAAGACAGGTGCTAGCCATATTGTTGACGCAGTCACCAAAGGCCTACCGTATGGGAGGTTCATCCGCTTTTCGACCATAGTTCAGAGGGTCTGTCCTGCAAAACGGGTGCCACTTCCGGTAGCATCTGTCTCATCCTTGCCTTGCGGCTTCAGTCTTGAGTGGGCGGCTTTTGGATTTCTGCTGCTATGGGTGATTGGAGCAGCTTGATTCTAGGATCAAATCCAGTCAAGTGCTGAAATGCCTTCATTCGGCAGCTAAATGAAAGAGACTATTCCTTTTGGCCTAGGCCGAAACTCCCAGTTTCTCGGTAGAGAAATGCTCATGTGTCCTTGAATCCAAAAGGACTTTGTTGAGATATCTCTTTTCCAACCACAGTAAAGCAGCCAAAACCGACCCTGATACGCATCTCTTTAACCTGCACTTGATTCTTGACTCGTAGTCCGTCCCAGTTCGCCGTAGTCGTAAGATCTTGACTGCACGTGTCCCATTTTAATATATATACGGCATCACAGTAACTAGCAAAAGAAACGACGACAAAAAAGCCTTAATCCCCCCTCCGTGAGAGAACAAAAAAATCTTGTTCGCTCGCGGAGAGGGGTTAATTTTGTTTTTTAAAAAAAATTTTATATATAAGTTTTAAAGAAAAAAAATTTCGAAACTCAAAAAAATCCCACTTCTCGAAAATTGGGAAGGCAAATATAATTTGATTTGTAAAATTTATGTTTTAAAACGCAATTTATTTAAAAATTAAAAGAATTAGCTCAAGATTTCTGATACTAGTTATCACTTATATATCAATTTTTTTTCCATAAAAAATTTTTCTATTAAAAAAATTTTTTTTCTCACGGAGGGTGTTTTTTGGGCAAAAAATAGGGATTTTTCTAATGGTTTTGTTTGCTCACGGAGGAGAGTTAGAATCTTATTTCGCAGGAGACTGGTTTGCTGCGTTTGGGCCTCCAATAACAGACGCAAAGCTTTTGTTCATTCTTCCCATGAAAAGTGACTCTAGGAAACGTGAGCGCAGAAAAGACATGATAAAGTATTTAGAAACCCTATATCCGACCGTCATTGATTTAACCTTTTTTGAAGAAGGCGACTTAGCATTAGAAGGATCTGGAAGTTTTGTTTTGGACACCAAAAATCGACAAATTTTTATGGCTACTTCTCATCGATCATCTGAGACAGTTCTAAATGAAATGGTGAGATATATGAATTATGGTACCAATAGCTCAGAAAAATGGAAATCAGTGATTTTTAGAGCTTCTGACCAAAAAAGATTCCCAATTTACCATACGAATTTAATCATGTCGCTCACACCTGAACATGCAGTTTTGAATTTAGCCTCAATCGACTCATTAGAAGTAGAAAGAGTTAAAAAAGCGCTGAAGGGGTATGAAATTATTGATGTTGAGCATTCTGGAATGTATAATTATGCAGCATCGTTCCAAACACTTTACTCGCCAACTAAGCTCACAGAAGTAGTTTTTATGTCAAAAAGCGCCAAAAATCTTGTGAATCTGCAAGGCAGAGAAATATGCTATGTTGATGTGTCGACGATTGAAACGCTAGGAGGAGGATCTATACCAAGTCTGCTTGGAAAGCTATATTAAATAGGCTTAAATAAGGAAATTATCATAAATACGAATTAATTTTATATGAATAAACACTATTTGTGATGTAGGGATTTGTAGCCGACCATTGTTGATGCTAAGGACATCGCACAAAGCAATGTTAGTGTGATGTGCATGGAGTTTTCATTGCTTTTGTCTTCGCCTAGGCCAGTTACTCCTACAAAGCCCCCTCCTATTGCTCTTCCAAGCTGCCCTACTATAGTTACTAGAAAGCCAGCATTCCAGATCCCATGCGCGATGCTTTTTGGGATCACTTTTGAAATTAATGAAGTGCTGACCCCATCTATCATATTTGAGCCTAAATTCAGAATAAATGCGCCAATCATGTATTGTCATTCTGAATAGCCACCAAAATCAACCATGAATAGGCATCCTAAGACGCACATGACTTGAGAAATTATACTCTTATCAATAAATTTCGATAGAAAACATTAAAATAATTTTATTTTTTTCATAAAAATGCAGCAGGTAAATGCTATAAATTAAAGTATATATAATAAAATCTCTATCTTGGATATGTTTTGATGTGTAAGCTACAAATATGTGAACCGGGGATGAAATTAGTGAAATTAAAGCTAAAAACTCCCCAGCTTTGTCTATATGCCACCCCCAATAGTCGTCCGTTATGATTGGAAGTGAAATAAATAAAATTTCTTGTGCGCTTTTTGGAAAAAAGAACCCGAAAAGCACAATAATAAGCGGTAACGACTCTATCAAGGTAGGAAACTGCAGATTTATTGCACTTTCTTTCTCTATTTTTATAATTTCGGGTTCTGTAAAAAAGAAAACTGTCAAAATAAAATATAAAAGCCAAGTGATTCCCATCACAAAAGCACAAGAATTCATGCCATTTATTGTAAGTCCTAAGAAGGACGAGTTTACATTGTAAAGTTCAGCAGCAGCAAAAGTCCCAAACGCGACTCCTAATACTCTGCCAGCTGCATAATAGGCATTCCATGATGTTCTTTCGTTTACGGGGACGTAAACTGATATGTACCTTCTATTGATAACACGAGAACCTCCAACTCCTATCATTATTCTTCCTAAAAACAGCCAAAACGGGCTTGCCAGATCATAGGCTAAAAAATACATCAAATTACCAACTGCACATATGAATGCACAAAATGCAGTAGGGATTTTATATTGGTAATTGCTTCAGAAACTATATAAAAATGCACAGAGCACAGAGGAGGTTCAATTCACCCCTGCAAGGGTACCAGAAAAACTTTCTGGCATTTGAAGGGCTGATGAGTACTCCTTAGCTGCAACTCCCAACATATAAAAATTGCCAATATAAAGAAAAGAATTTGCTACTGTTAGCAATAAAGAATTTAAATCGGCGGATTCTGATCTGTTTTGGACAGAAGAATTCCCGTCTTTTATCACTCCCCCCCTCCGTGAGTGAACAAAACCATTAGAAAAATCGCTATTACTTGCCCAAAAGCCCACCCTCCGTGAGTGAACAAAATTGTTTTAATAGAAAAATTTTGATATATAATTGATAATTAGTATAATGAAATATCGAGCTAATTCTGTTTAATTTTAAACAAAATTGCATTTTAAAAACATAAATTTTATAAATTAAATTAATATTTGATTTCAAATTAGGATTTTTTAAAATTTTGAAAAAAAATTATTTCTATAAAATTTATATATAAATTTTTTAAAAAAAAAAAATTAACCCCTCCATGAGTAACAAAATTTTTTTATTCATTCACGGAGGGGTGGGGAGTCAGAGGAAATAAGTCTTTCTTTGAGTGATTGTAATTCCATATTTTATTTAAAAATCTTATGATTGATTCTAGTGGTAAAATTTTGAATAAATCAGTTTCTAAGATTATTTGTAAATGGATAGGAATGATAAAGATTTTTTTTTGATTTTCTTGTGGATTTAGTTTCAATTATAAATAAATCGGAAGAGAAAGACGGATTGGAGTATTGCAAAAAAAAAGGATTTTATATAGCTGGTGATATAATAGTTAATTAATAAATTTAAAATAGAGAGGCAGTTTATTTCAAATATAAGGTTCAAGAGAATGCGAGTTGGTAGTAGAAGCTGGATAATTAGGATTGCATTAATTGCTTTGGATATTTGAGATAAAAACTATTTAATAATAAAATTTAAATGTTAGTTAAAAATTATCAAATTGAGCTATAGGTTATTAAATTTTAATTGCAGGCACAATGCACCAAAAGAAGTAATTGCGGGAAAGCTGGCAGCAAGTTGATATTTTGAGGGTCTAAAGTTAAGGGTGGAAGTCTAGGTTTTGAGAGCCAAGTTCGGTTGAGAAATTAACGACTCAGCGATACTTTGAATTCATAGGCTTTTCACATAGGTAATTAATGGAGATGATGCTGTAGTGTTGCTAAAGTTGAAGCTAAACTTCTTGTTGCTGGAATTGCTGTAGTTGTTGCTGAAGTTGCTTTCGTGGAGAAATGATCTTAAAGTATGAAATTTTATTTTTAAAAAAAATGTAAATAAGTTGATAAAAAAAGTTTGCTATTTTGTGAAAGGTGAAGGGTGGTAAAAAAATTGAAATAATTTTATAACCAGTTATTTAGCCTACAAAGACAATTTATTTCCATATAATGCCATAATCTTCAATATAAAACAATGAAAGCTAAAGGAATTCATTACTTAAACTCTTACAAACTCCTTCAAGCAAATCTAAAAATTTCATATTTCGAAATTGCCTATTTTCTCTTTTAAATTTTTTCTCAATTCTTTCCTCTTTTCCCTTATTTCATCTCTTTACTTCTCGATGATATGACTGAAAAGGTGGATCAAATTTATAATCAAAAATTATTTTTGCGAATTTTTTATTAATTCCAATAAATCTACTGCATCTGGAATAAAACATTATCAAGTTATTATCAATGGGTTTGATATTTCTGTCAATATAGTTAATGTGTAATAGCAATATTGAGCGCTCATCAAATTTATAGTTTGATTGATTAATCTCTCATGGATTGCGAACAGTGTGGTCATTGTAGATAAATCGGCGGTGCTTAGTCCACAGTGGATAATATTTCTTTTTTGTGAAAAATTCCTTTATTGGAGATTTAAAATTTTTTAAACACTTTTTGCGGTAGTTTCTACTTGGCTGATTAATAGTTTTATTCATTATCTAAATCTTCTAAAGTAAAATTAGAAAAATCTTAATTTTTCTAAAAATAAAAAACCTCCGTGAAGCCTTTCTTTGGTTAATTATTGTTGATACATAATTAATATATTAACCTCCTCAAATGAGCGAGCAAGTTGAAAAATCCCTATTATTCGGAAATTTTTTTAATATGAAAGATTTTATAAAAAAATAATTTATATATAAGTGATTATTCGTATGATTCTCTCTCATAAATTCTATTTAATTTTAAATAGCTTCCACTTTAAACATAACTTTTTGCAAATTCTCGCTTTCCAATTTTAGCGAGCTGGGATTGTTTAAAAAAAAATGACCCATTAGTGAGCGAACATCATTTTTTGTTCTTTAAACTGAGGGGGAGTAAGTTTAACTTTAAGATAACTCTTCTAGTCTCGTACTTCCTGACTCCATCTTCGATCACAGATCTAAATAAGGATAGGTGGGCCGGACTAATCATCGACCTGTTTCTTCCCCAAGCCCCTCAGGGCCTCTCTGATCTACAACAAATTCAGTGTAGACCCATTCTCTTTGGGCAGAGACTCTCAAGAAGTCGTGAATTTCTCTCACTGAGTTCGGATATAGGACCTGAGTTCAATCCTTAACTGATATTTTAATTGCTGGAAGAATAAGAATAATTTTCCAAAACTAATCCTATAATAAATAATCCAAAAAAATCCTGCTCCCTCTTACTTGGGAGTAAGCAATATTATCCTTTAACTTTTAGTAATTAAAAATGAATCAGAAAAGAATAATATGTATTAAATAAATTTCTGTTATGAATTGCATAGAAATTATAGTTTTGCATGTCTAAATCTGTTTTTAAGCACAAAAATTGTTAAAAGATAATACGATCCATTATTTTTTAGAAATTATTAAAATATAGTTCAATAAAGCTTATCCAAAAGTTTTCCTATTATATAGTAAACTTTTATAAGTTTAAACTACTATAAGTATAGATGAGAAAATGAATTCATGAAATACTGAAAATAATTGATTCTAAATCAAAAGATTTAATTTAAAAATAAAATATGACTAGCCTTAAACTCATTTAAATAATTAAAGAAAAGTTTTATTAAATGAGGGTTTTTTTATAGACTTCGGAACTTTTTGCGCAATTTCCCTTAAAGAAGACATGCTACTTTTCATGAAGCTAGAAACTTTCACAACTCTTTTAGCTGATTTGGTAGTTAGTAGTTCAGGAGAGCTCGAAAGTGTTCTTTCTGAGCCAAAAGATGACCTGCTTTGAACTCCATCAGTAGTATTTTCTGTATCAGCTTCATCAGTATTGTAATAAGATATGGAATTAGTTTTACCTTTAATAGGAATGCTAAAGGATTCAACTTTTCCAGACAAATTCAGGTTTGCTTTCAGCCTGGAATTAATGATTTCGTCTATTGAGATTTCAATGCCGTCAATTTCGCAAAAAATCTTACCATTCTTTAATAATAATGTAAATATGTTTGATCCAGAGGCGTATTTATTACTGTGAACTAGTTTAAAGAAGCCAGGCGCATTTCTTTCAATTAAATGCTTTTCAAGTGCTAAATGCAAATCTTCGTTTTCAGTCTTTATTCCGACTTCATTGAGTTTTTGCTTTAGTTCATTAATTTGCATTTTTAATATATCAGCTTCTTTATTACTTCCAGTTTTCTCTTCCATTAAGGAAATACTTTTTTTCAAGTTATTAATTTCACATTGCTTCTTATAAATAACTTTATCTTTATTTTCCAATATCATTAATATCGAATTTTCTTTGGCTTTGGCATCATTTTTGGCTTTTTCCAAGTTTTCTTTTAATTCTTTTATTATTTTTTCTTTTTCTAAAGTTTCACTTTTATGCTTTTCATTAATTTCTCCTAATTCTTTTTGCAGTATTTTATTAATCCCAAGAGCTTTCTTTTCCTTCTTTCTAAGCTCTTCTATTTCATAATTTAGTGACATAATGACCGAAGAATTGTTCTTTTTAATTCTTTCTATATTTATTTAATCTATTTGAAAATTTTTTCCCTATAATATTTTCTTATTTTATAATAAAAGGGGAAAACTAATTAAGTTTGCATTTTGGAAAATCAATTGCTGTGATATATTTCTTGCTTCAATGCAAAGTTTTCATTGGCAAGCTGCACAAATTGGGTCTCCAAAAAGCTTTCTTTTAGATGCTCAGGAGATGGAGTGCTTGAAGACTGAATTAACTTTAATTCAGGCATAAATTCATTTTCTGATTCTGATAAAGAGTCATTTTGGGAAACGGTTTCTGAATTTTCTGTTGATTCGTAAATAGGATTCAATCCTTTGAGCGTGCTAAGAGCAATAAACAGTCTAGGAGCATTAACTTTAGTAGGGATTATAATTATAAAAGTCAGGCGCTAGCCATATTGGTGACGCAGTCACCAAAGACCTTCCTACGAGAGGTTCTACTGCTTTTCAACTCCAGCCCAGAGGGTCTATTACTCTTGCGAATGCCCTTCCGGTACCTTCTGTCTCCTCCTTGCCTTGAGGGGGCTTATGGAATTCTGCGGCTCTGCTACGGCGATTTTAGTAGCTTGATTCCAAGGATCTCCTTGGAGTCTATTGGGTGTCGAAGTGCCTTTCTTCGACAGCTACAGGAAAAAGACTGTTTCCCTGTGGCCTGGACCGAAGCCCCCAGTTCCTCGGTAGAGGAATGCCCATGGTTCCTCTGATCCAAAGGAGTTGTTGAGCACCTCTATTTCCAACCACAGGAAAGCAGCCAAAACCTACTCAGATACACACCTCTTGAGCCTGCACTTGATTCTCGGCTGGGAGACCGTCCCCAGTTCGCCGTAGCCATAAGGTCTGAACTGCTGCGTCAAGAGGGCAGGCTGGCACGTGCCGCCATTTTAATGTATTATTTAACTTTAGTAGGGATAGATAAAATTTCTTTATCTTTCTCATTAAATAAAGGAAGCCATTGGAAGCCTTCTTCTGGCAAAATAGAGCCAGATAGCGTTACACTTCCTAGTTCTTCTTCAGTTTCTATTTTAACTACACTAAATTTTATTAATCTGTCCTTTCAGAGTTTCACAGTAGTCTTATCATTGCCTGAGTTTATTGGAGTAATAGCTCCATAAGTTTGTTTATCGATTGATATATAGCAGCTAAGCTGTGATTTATCCTTATCTGGCAAATCAACATTTAAAACACTAATTTCAACCCTATCACCTATCATCAGATCCTTTTTATGGATAAACTTATTAATGTCGACAATAATTAAACTTGCCATTTCAATAATAAATTAATCAGTAAAGAAGATATGAAAAATTTTAGGGATTAATTTTATAAGAAAAAAAGGTTCTATGGCTTTATCCTTAGGCATTTAGACTTCTTTTTCAATTAATTAATTCATAAAGCTACTTTCCTTAATGGTATAATAAATGGTTTATTTTATTATAAAAATAAAATGGCTTTGATGACGCATTGCTTCATGACTCCAGTGGATGCACAATGATAGGGCTGAGCCGACCGTATAAATTATTATTTATCTTGTAATTTTATCAAGAAAATGGCTTATTTATATGAAAAATTATTACATTAAGTTGCAGGTTCTTGATTACTTTAAAATAAGATCGAGATTAAATGAATGCATTGTTCCTAATAGTGGCTGGGTGTCGCTTAATATTGATGGCTTCACTTTAATTAAGTATTGAGTCGTATTGTGAGGTGTTTTGGGTGGGAACATTATTTTTTGTGACAATTTTTTGTATTTCTTTCTCAAAATCGTTGCTGGGGATTTTACTTCTAATTGTTTAGCTTCATTTGCTGGGCTCATCGGAACGAAGCCAGGGGTTAAGATTAGCTGTTCTGGTTGCTTCATAGGTTTTGTTTAGCTGGTTGATAGTGATTTTATTTTATTGGATATTTCTATTAGGACATTAAGTTTTTAGTCGAGAATTTAAAATTGTGATTGGCTAGTTAAGGTTAAAATCGCGCCTCAAAGAATTTTTCTTTAATGTGATGAAAAGAAGTATTTTGGAATAAAAATTGCTAAAATGGATTTTTTAAATTTCTGATAATAAAAGATTACATTAAAAAAATTTATTCATCCTCTCTTATACTAATCTCATGCACACTAATAGGTGAATTGTTGATAGAATAAGAACTCGGGCTTTTTATACTGATGTCATTAACGCTTACTGAAGAGCTGTGATTAATCGAAAAAGAGTGTATACTTCTTTCATCAGGAACTGACTCATTTCCCAATGAAGCAGGTGTTTGCTCTCTTTCATTTTCATTTTCACTTTCTTCTTCGTCATCTTTCTCATCATGCTGGGATATCGTAAACTGTCTAATCCCTTCATCTTTACTAGAAAAATTCAAAAACCCATAAAACAGCTTCACAAATTCATACGAGAAATCCGTAAAAATTATCAAAACAACCCCACAAATAAAAATCGGTATAATTTCTTTCGCAATATCATCCTCTGCATACATCAGCACGATTATTATCACAAACAGCCCTGGGATAAGGGAATGAGTGGTATTGTACATATCATGCACAAACGGCTGATTATACACCACGATAATGCCAATTATTCCAAATAGCAGAATCAAAGGCACAGACTCTTGCCTTCCAGAGCCAACGCAGCCTAAAAGTAGCACGATAGTTCCATAGACCCAAAGTTCGAAAATATAAATCCATTGAAACTTTATTATTTTCATTTGAGGAGTTGACTGTTCTTGCTCTTTTTTTACAGTCATTTTCAAGACAGGTGGAGAAAAAACCTTGTTGATTGGTTCACTCATTCATAAGCTAGGATTTGATTTTCTGTGCTCATCAGTTAGCTCTTCATCTAGTGAGTGCCATTCTCCGCTTTCAGGTTTTTCTTTATAATGTGACAGAATTAAGTCGCTAATGTGGGTGGAATCGTTTGATTTTTCAGACTTAGAAGCAGTTTTAAGGCCAACTGTCATAAGGATTATTGCCTTATTAGGATTCTCATCTCTGACCCATTTTTTGAATAAATAAGTCCATGCAATGATGATAGAGATATAGGTAGTTAATACAATCCAGGAAAGGACATAACTGAATATTTCAGCTGAGTCTTCATTGTCTACTTCGATAATTGATTCTGCACAAGAAAAAACAAAAGGTAGGAAAGTAAAGAATATAAAGAGATTATATGCACAGAGTTCAAAAAGTTGTCTTACTGCTTTTTGAGCTATAAAAATAATTACTATATGAACTGTAATGATAGCGCCAAGGATGATGAGGAAGTATTGGATGTTATTCAGGAAAATCCCATTATCATCAGAGCTGAGTCCAAGTATGTCAAGAGTTGATCTTCCACGATGGATCGTATACATTTCAGTAAATCTTAAATGCGACCATCCAAAAGAATTGTAAAGGTTCGTATTTGTGTCACTGTTTGAAAGTTTGTGCATTGCAAAAAGAGTTTGGAATATTAAAAGTCCATAAAGTAGTCCAGATAAAAGATTTAGTCCTTTGCCTTCGTTAATTCCATACCAACTGGTAAAAAGATAGGATGGAATAAGAACTATTATTGAAGTCACAAACAAGTAGCAGGAAGCTGCTCCTATGTAGCTTAAATCTACATATGAAGATGATGAAGATGAGGTTGAGTTGTGAGGGACGGTGGTATTTACTTTTGTACAAGTGTCTGGTGATGGTTTCGGATCTTCAATTCATGAGGTATTTGTACACTTTCAGCCAGATTCGACTTGACAAGACGAACTGCAGCCATCTCCATTATTTGTATTCCCATCATCACATCCTTCATTGCTGCTTGGCGATGTCAAGCCGTCTCCACATACATCTCCATTTGATTCTGTCTTGCATCTTGAGCTGCAGCCATCTCCATTTTCTGTGTTCCCGTCATCACATTCTTCTCCATTCTCTACAATTCCATTCCCGCAGACTGTTGTATTGGTATTGTCAGTTGAATTATGATCTGTTGAATTATGATCTGTATTGTTATTAGTAGGAGGGATTTCAGTGCAAGAGTCCTTAGATGTGATTGATCCGCCACTACAAGTTCAGCCTGATTCTATTTGGCAATTGGATGAGCAGCCATCTCCACTGCTAAGATTTCCGTCATCGCATTGCTCTGTAGAGGAGTATCTAAGACCGTTTCCACAGGCATCATTTTTTACAATAACAAAAGTGTAGAGTTGAGAGATTGAAGAAGTCTCTGCATGAACTGTAAATTTTAAGCTATAAGAAAGCGAAGAACCGACAGGGATAGTGTAATTTAATACGTTTGAAGGAGTGAGGCCAGATATCCCTGCATCAATTACTGCGTTTTCATCTTGACTTTCGAAGTAGCTTTCTAATTGAGTTGTATAGAAATTTATATAAACCCTATAAGTAAATACACTCGAGCTAAAAGTAGGATTTCACTCGCCCTTGATAGTCGCAGATTTTAATGCTGTATTATTCGATTTCATGTAAAGATCAATTTCTATTTGTTGGCTATAAGCTGAATCTTCAGCTGTAATCATTAAATTTATTTGATTCTTCCCTATAGCTGGCACAAGCACTTTTCCACTACTATAGTAAGGACTATAACCCAAATGGTTAAATTGCATAAGGATAGTAGCTTTAAGAGAATTGGGGATAGCTTTAACTAAAAATCCCAAGCTTGAGGTATAGTCAAAGTTTTGAATATTGTACAGGGTTCGAAGTGGATAAAAGCTTTCAGTAAAGATGATTTCAGTGTAACTTGTGCAGCAAGAACTAACTAAAGCTGATGATGATAAATTTGTAAAGGAATCCAAAGATGAAACTTGATATAAATTTAAGCTTTGGAGATAAGGATCAACTGATTTAACAGGGATATAGATACTGTAAGTAGAAGTTTGGCTGATATTGGCAACAGATTGATACACATTAAAATGGCGTGATGAAAGAGCCCATTCTCTTAGCTACTGTAGCTTGAAGCGCAATGTCAGGTTGGCCGATCGCAAGTTTTACTCATATGTCAATTTTTACCTTACGGGAAATGGGGAGGTTGGAAAGAGTCTCCCAGCAGAGTCAATGACATTAATCTTGGCCAATTGGGACTTTTCCCAGCATGAACCAGGAGCTACACCATGGGCTACGAATGCCATTTTAGCGAGAGTTGGCAAGAAAATTCAACCCTTTGAATTTTCAATGGTGGGCTGACGGTCAGCACAGTGACGCAACCCATCAGAATAAGGGTAGCGAGTGCAAGCCAGCCCTTGTCAGGCAGGAGCAACCTTCATGATGTTAAGAAACTCGAACTGGCGAAGCGTTATTGGTGGAGGTAGTTCTTATGGAGCCACAGCTAACCCCTCTATAAGTTTTTATAAGGCTGATATTGGCAACAGATTGAAGCTGAATTGTAATAGTATCACCTGATCCTCCGTTTAAAAGCCCATTTATTGACTGCCCTGAATAAAGGTATTTTTTACTAAAAAGGCCTAAGCTTGATGATAATGTAAGATAGCTATCAGATGTGGTATTCACAAACAAATTGTAGCTCATACCAGAAGAGCTATCAAATGAAGGTGCAAGAGTATAGCTATAAATATCCGCTGTAAAACGTGGGGATAAATGAAAGTCCTGGCTGATCCCTGTAATGGAGATGGTCAAGTTTGTAGCTTGCTGAGCAGATGGAACTCTGTATGCCGAAAAAAGAGCAATCCCATTGGTTGAGGATAGTTCTAGGTAATTATAAAAATCACTCAGCGGAAATGATAGCAAGCTTTGGATTGAAGTCCATGATGGATGCCGCTGGGCTAATGAAAACACTCTTCCTTGCATAGAAGTGTCATTAGTCTGCACTGAAATATAAGTTTGGCTTGTAGACCCACAAGCAGAGGAGGTGCATTGAGTTGTGCCTAAATAAACTTTATAATAGGAAGAAAGAGTGCCTTCTAATCCGATCAAGATATCATACTCGGTATCTTGATCAGTCAGAGTCAAGGTGCTAAAACCTTGAGGTAGGGAGGTTAAGTTATATGATTGGGAACTGTTAAAGGTCGAGAGATACTGTGAATTCAGGTACATGTTGATGCTAGATGTGGTATCAATGGAAAGTTGCAATGCTGATGATGAAGACTGAAGGACTGGATAAATGTAGGGATCAGCGTCATAAGCTTGAAAAGGTGGATATGTTGGCGAGGGGAAGGTTATACTTTGAAGGGAAGCTAGAACTCCGAGGATTCTTAGTATGAAGATATTTTTCATTTTATAGCCTGGCTTAGGATACGTCAAAAAATCTTTGAAATATTAATTAAATAGCCAAAAACTTTGAAATTAAGCTGCTTAATCACTTTAATTTATCTTCATGCTTATTATACTTATAAATAATTTCGAAAGACTGCTAATAAACATCAAGCGAAAATCCAAATTTAATATTGAATTTATCTTATGATCCAAACTTCGTTAGGGATTTAAGATTTGCTATAAAGCAATTCATTAAAGTCGTTTTATCATTATTAACTATCTATGTCTTAAAGATGGGTACTCAGTTCTAAGGTTCACAACCATACTTGAAACTGACACACATGGCTTTGTCCTCTCTTTATAAGTAGTTTTCCAAGGAACTATTTCTTTATTGTCTTTTTTAATTGCAGGATCATATGGCTCGGGCATGTGCTCAGGAAAAGGTGCTAAAGTGCTTCCCTCTCTCATTGGATTAGGTGGTATAAAGGCTCTATCATGCTGAATCCCTCCATAGGTTGATGGTCTTTTTACTCTTCCCTTACTCCCCCCTCCGTGAGCGAATAAACTAATTGGAAAAATCCCTGTGTTTTTTGCCCAAAAGCCCACCTCCGTGAGTGAACAAATTTTTTTATGAAAAAAAATTCTATATATAACGATAATTATTATAATGAAATCTTTAGTGAATAGGGATTATTTAAATTTTGAAAATTAAAATACTATAAAAATTTATATATAAATTTAATCCCTCAGTGAGCGAACTAAATATTTGTTCTCAGAGAAGGGGGAGTTAGGATTTTCACCTCCATAGGTGGCTTTATCATCAAAAAAAGGTTTTTCCCCATAAACCATGCTTTTAAACGGCTGCTCTTGCATTTTTGCTTTATCTCTTTTAGCTTGCTCTCTTGCTAATTGGTCTTTTCTATTATATGGATCAGCTTGGTGCTCTGGATATCCACCAAGTAGCACCCCAGGAGTGCAAGCAGCTTCTCCTTTTTTGGGAGGATTCGTGAGAAAGTTCCTTGGCTCTGTATACACAGATCCATCTGGGAGTTTTCTTTTGATTTGCCTGAAATTCATAGTAGGCATGCTTGGATATGTTGAATAAACTGCCCTTATTGGGCCATCAGGCTTTCATGGAGTTTCATGAAGTTTTTTAATTTGATCAGATTTCGCTTTATTGTCTTTATTCAACTTTTTAGGGTCGTATTTGTCTTCTATATACTCAAAGGTTGAAAAATAACAGTCTGAAGTTTTGCCTCGCTTGCCCTGAGATGTTAAAAAATTTCGTGGAGCAGTTTTTACAGAACCGTCATCATTTCTTCTTGGAGGTTTGCTTCTTGAATAAGTGTCATCAGAAATCGCAGTGGTTCCTACAAATGAAAACAGCCCTAATCTTTGATAATTAGGGTCAAATTTAGACTCTTCAAAAAATTTTTTTCGAGTTTCTTCCATCTCTTTTTCTCGTTCCTTTGGGCTTATCACCTTAGTCATATTGATGATAAAATTTATAAATTAGTGATTATTTAAAAATTAAGACGGTTTTGAGTCTTTCGTAGCTATATGAAAGATATGAAATCAAGTGGTTTTTAATTATAATAAGTAAAGTTTTTTATATATCATATATTGTTATGATTTCTTATGTAAAAAGATGCTTTACAGAAGCACGCAGCTACATTAGAAATTTTTGTATAGTGGCACACATTGATCATGGGAAATCTACTCTGGCCGATAGATTTCTTGAGCTTACAGGCACAAAAGTCGATAAAGCTCAAGTTCTTGATAAACTGGCAGTAGAAAGAGAAAGAGGTATCACAGTAAGAGCGCAGACAGCTACAATGAACTATGAATACAAAGGACATCAATACTTACTTAATTTAATTGACACTCCTGGTCACGTTGATTTCTCTTATGAAGTATCCAGAAGCCTCAGAGCTTGCCAAGGTGCGATTCTACTTGTTGATGCCACAGCAGGAATTCAAGCTCAAACTTTTTCAACATTCTACCAAGCCTTTGAAGCCAACCTTGAAATAATTCCAGGAGTAAATAAAATTGACCATCCCTCAGCTGTCCCAGAACTCGTTGTAGAGCAGTTAAAAACCCATTTTGACTTACACAATCCTTTTATGGTATCTGCTAAAACTGGGCAAGGCGTAAAAGAGCTAATAGAAGCTGTCATAGAAAAAGTGCCTCCACCTCCAGGCAACACAGATGGGAGGCTTCGATGTTTTTTATTTGACTCCTGGTATGATTGGCTAAATGGTGTAATTTGTGCTATTGAAATTGTTGATGGAAGATTGCAAAAAGGAGACCGTATAAGGTCTATAAATAATGGAAAAACATATCAGGTCCATGAAATTGGGTTTATGAGACTAGAATTGGAGCCTAGAAATTCTCTGGAAAGCGGACAAGTAGGGTATGTTGTTCTTAATATGAAAGAAACCAGTGAAGCTTTGATTGGGGACACTTTTTGTATGGTTGATGATAAAGATATTGTGCCCTTTGAAGGTTTTAAAAAGTCAAAATGCATGGTTTTTTCTGGAGTTTTCCCGATTGATCAAGAAGAATGTGAAGATCTTAATAAAGCTCTTATGAAGTATAACTTAGAAGATAGAAGTTTGGTGATACAAAAAGACCAAAGTGCAGCGCTAGGCAATGGCTTCAGATGTGGATTTTTAGGTCTTCTTCATATGGACATTTTTAAAGAAAGACTTGATAGAGAGCATAAAATTAGTGTAATAATGACCCCTCCAAGTGTCCCCTACAAAGCCATCCTTAAAGATGGCACTGAAATTTTGATAGAAAAATGTAATGAGATGCCTGACAAATTCAAAATAAAAACTTTTCTTGAACCTATGGTCTCAATAACCATCGTCATCCCAAATGAATATTTAGGCGACGTTATGTCCTTTTGCCTTCAGCACAGATCTAAACAAGACGAAATTGTCAATATAGACACCAAACATGTCTTGCTAAGATATTCTTTACCTTTATCAGAAATTATAGTCGACTTTTACGACTGCTTGAAATCAATCACTAAAGGAATGGCAACTATGGACTACGAGCATAAAGACTACAGAGAAGCAGACTTAGGTAAACTCGTAGCTATGATTAATAGTGACCCTATTGATGCACTTACTTTTCTAGTGCACCGTTCCCAGGCTTATGATAAAGCAAAGATCCTTGTAGAGAAACTGAAAGAAAATATCCCTGGGCAGCAGTTTGATATTTCTATTCAGGCCTCATTTGATGGGAAGGTAATAGCTAGTCAAAAAATAAGACCTTTCAGAAAAGATGTATTGGCTAAACTTTATGGGGGAGATCAGACGAGAAAAAATAAATTGCTGGATAAACAAAAAAGAGGGAAAAAAAAGATGAAAATGATTGGGAACGTTGAAGTTGACCCTGCAACTTTTCAAAATATTCTCAGAAATTAAAGTGGACGCTTCATAATAGTAAATTAGTTTACAATAACTTAATTTTTTTTTGCTAAAGGGCTCTTAACGGTGCTTATAAATAATTGATTATGTTATAGTTAAGCCTATAAAATTAATTAATAATTTAGCATTTATAAATGCATTATTTTCAAGCATCTGATAATTTTCATTAATCTATCAATTATGACCATCCCAAATGAAGAATTCGATTTTATTTACAAAATAGTATTAGTAGGTGACACAGCAGTGGGAAAAACCAACTTAGTGTCCCGTTATCTTAAGAACACTCAACCTAAGAACTCAAACCCTACAATCGGGGTTGAATTCTCAACACGCGCTTTCACCTTAAAATCTGGTATCACTATAAAAGCTCAAATATGAGATATAGCCTAGGAGCGATTTTTGATCGCTGGGCTAGAAGATGGTCAGAAGCTCCCCGAGTTGGGTTTTCAAATCAAGTTAACAAGCCAACTTGGGGAGTCTACAAATACGTTTTATATGAGGCATATGCCAATTCCCAGAGTTGGTTTGTCAACTTGAGTTGAAACCCAATTCGGGAGTTTTAAGCCTTCTCTTAGCCCATGGCGATCAAAAATCGCTCCTAGGCTATACTGCAGGGCAAGAACGATATCATGCAATAGTATCAGCACACTACAGAAGAGCAATTGGAGCTCTTGCAGTCTATGATGTTACAAGTTTTAAATCATTTTGCAGTATTTCGCGATGGCTCAATGAGCTTAAAGACAAAGCTGATCCTAGCATTTTGATTATTCTTGTCGGGAACAAAATTGATTTGCTATACAAAAATCCAGCTTTGAGAGAAGTGTCAAGTGAGCACGCAAAGAAATTTGCTGATGAAGAAGGGCTACTGTTTATTGAAACAAGTGCACTTATTGGGACAAAGGTAAGTGAAGCCTTTGAGATTTTAATTGAAGGAATTTATGAAAAAACGAAGGATAGGATTATTGATGATGAAAAAGAAGGGATCACAAAGTCGCTTGCGCAGATAGAACCAAAAAATAGGAGGTGTTGCTAATGAAAGTTGAAATAATATATTGTGTTATATTTGATTGAAAAATTAGGAAAATGAATAAGACTTTTAATCTAAATTGAAATTCAATTCCGATAAGAATAATCCCAAATAATTAACAAGTCTTCTATCATATGGGACTTTTATTTTAATGGAAGATTCGGAAAGTAATGTTTCCTATTCTTCTTCCTTTTGTGAAGAAAACGGAGCTTTACAGGATGAATTTTTCGAACTTTTACTATTAAATGAACTTATTGATACAGGATTACTTGATAATTTCTGAATCAGAATATGAATGAAATGATAGTGATACAGATGACAAAATATTGGAGTTTTAAGTCCTTTAGATGGAGAAATACTAGATGAAATAGAACCTATTCAGGAAACCTTCAAATATAGGAAGACTGAGGTGATCATTGATGATAAGAAGACAATCGATAAGAAAATCCTGAACACCAGAAAATTAAAATCTAAATCAACCTTAAATCTTATCAGAAAAATAAAAAATTGATATCAGAATCAAACCCTATCAGAAAAATAAAAGATAGATCAGATTCAAATTTTATCAGAAATAGGAAATGCATATCAGACTCAAAAATAAAATCAAAATTAGACCCAAGAAATTCAGAAGAATTTTTAGCAATATGAAGAAATTGGAAATCAAGAAGAAACTCAGACTCAGAAATCAAAAAAATCACGAATTACACGGGTTCAGAAAATTTTACTAAAATTTTATCCAAAATTTTAGGAAAAGAAGAAAGTTAAAAAGTTTAAAACGGGACATGGCCCTGAAATAAAGGCCTTTAAGTAATAAAGATCTCTCTCTATCATATGGTGCTTTATGATGAAAAAGTAACGCCATAAAATTTTTGTAACATATTTCTTTTGTAAGGATAATTTCAATATATTGAATTTTTATAAAACTTTGATTCACTTTCTATGAAGTGAAATTCACAAATTTATTTTGTCTATTTAAAGTCAAGAAAATAATTTCTATTTTAAATTTATTTCTGCATTGCAATTTGGGCATCTGTTTTTTTTTGACTCAACTAGCCATTCATCTATACAAGCTGCATGAAAAATATCTTTGCACGAAAGAGTTCTTATTAGCTGGCCACCCTCAATATTACTCAGACAGATTGTGCATACTAATATGTCACTTAAATTTTCTCCAGCCTTAAACAAGCGTGATGGGATATGCTTATTTATTATTTTTGGGCAAATTTTTATTGTTTTTTTATGATTTTCGCATTCTAAACTGTTATTTCTTAGGTTTGTTAATTCTGCAAGGTTTCTATTTGTAGATAACTCAGGATTGCTTGCTTGCCTTGCTGCGCGCTTATGATCTCTTATGATTATAAATATGCATACTCCAATTCCTCTAACTTCTCCTGCACAAGCGAGCCAAATATTTTGCTCAATCATAAGAGAGATAATTTTTTTAAAATTTTTAAATTTTAAAAAAATTAATAAATTCTAAAAAAATTAATAAATTCTAAAAATTGGAAAGTAAAATTAATTTAATTTGCAAAATTTATATTTTAGAATACAAGATGTATAAAAATCAATAAATTAGTTAGAGATTTCGTTAAAGCAATCATCACTTAGAGGTTGAAATAATTTTTTGCTTCCTTATGTATTTTTTTCTCAATAAAAAGGTTATTTAATTCTTTAGTTGCGCAAGCTAGGAGTAAAATAAAATTTACATAAGGCCAAAAAAAGATCCAATAATAGCAACAATAATAACAGTTTTCTTCGTTATATGAGAATCCTCGTCTGTGCATTCATCTCTATCGTCATAGTCGCCTCTGCCGTTAGAACAATCATGACCAGAGACAAAATTTGAAAATACCACAAGCATTGATATAAGAAATATTTCGAGAACCTTCATATTAATTATTGAAAAACAGTAATAATTCCAGTGAATCGGAGGCCATGCCCATTGTTGCATATTATAATGGCTTTCCACCTTTAAAGTCTATTTATACATACAACTAATAGATTTATTTCCTTAAAAGATCTTATTACTATTAGAATATTTATAGTATACTCCATGATCGTCATAGTGTTTATTCGTTTCGACCTCCACTAGATTAGTTAAAAGTTAACTTTAATCTTAAGCATTCCAATTTATACAAAATTGTAACAGCCATCTCATTATATTAAAATCGGTTTAAATGTTTTGTTTCTTAAAAAGCTTCCTCTATAATATCAATCAACAACAGAATTTAATTGACCTAGTCACAGTTTTCGCCTATTAAAGATAAGAACTATGAAATTCTCTCTTAACTATTTGCAAAAAAATAAATATTTCAGAGAGCAATTAATCTTAATCTTAATAATTTATACACATTTAAAGTCAACTGCCAGGTTGCTCGACCACAGCTATCTCCAACACCTCTTTGGGGCGAATTCGCGCCATTTTCCTTTGGCCTACCAAAGGTGTTGCCACCTTGGGCTTTGATCACCAAAAGAGGATGCTAGTCTTGAAATTTTGGCTTCCACGATCAGAGAACAGTTAATCAGTAATTTTACTTATTTTCTATCAATCTAGAGTGACTTTAAATATAATTAATATTATTAACTTTAATTAGCCTAATGTGAAATTTGCAATAAGAATTAAGTGCCTATAGAATATTCATATGAAAATTTCAACATATAAGATAATAGTTCAATTTCATAAAACTTGCGATACAGTAGATATTAAAGGCAGCTGTATAATTTTAAAGATTATTTAAAATAGCACCCCTCATGTGAAAATAAATTGAAACGCACAATCAAGCCTCCACTCACCAATTTATTTTTACACGTGGGGTATTATTCAAAATTATGCCAGCACATTTTATAGATTAAGAAAATTTATAGTAAATCATTAATATTGATTTGAATGATTGTTCAATCCATGATGGAAATATACTTGAAAAATTAAATCGAAAAATGGAAATTCAATCAAATTATTTTTACATGGAAATTATTATGAATCAAATTATTAATATTTCCAGGCTGCTATTAACAGCTTGCAAATTCCTTCAATAATGAAGTATTGATAATTAGTCTTCATTGAAATATTTAAATTGCTGAGTTATGCTGAATTTCACGCACTCGTGGGATCTTATGCCCTATAGCATAAAATTTGAATTTTTTATTACAATTAGGACATCTTAACTCTTTTGAATAGTTGATCCATGAATCAAAACATACTGCATGAAACATATGGCCGCAAGCAGTTTTTCGAATAGGTTTGTTATCATTAAAGTAATCAAAACAGATTGTGCAAATCGAATTTTCCTTTAATTCCCCCCAAACTAAGCAAATTCTGTTTATTCGCTGGGATTTTTATCATAAAGCAAATTTTATATGAATAAATCGAAATTTTCTTTTTGAAATTTTCAGATAAAATATCAAAAAATGCAATTTTGGGACTTATCACCAATAATAAGCTACTCACATAAATTTACTATTTGATATTTTTACGCTAAAACCCCCAGTGAATATGAGAGAACTTGCTTATTGTCGGGATAGTAAGCTCAATTCGCAAGGCAAATATTGCTTTGATATATTTTTCTCTACTAACTCCTCATTCAAAGCAGTGTCAACAAGAAAGCTATTTGATGTATTTAAGGTATCCATAATGATTGAGCGATTCGTATTCCTCATTGACTGCATCATTATTCTAGAATTTCTTTTGGAAAATAATTTATACATTTTAAATTAACAACTAACTCCCCCCCCCTCCGTGAGCGAACAAAACCATTAGAAAAATCGCCATTTTTTGACCAAAAACCCCACCCTCCGTGAGTGAACAAAAATTTTTTTAATAGAAAAAATTTTAATGGAAAAAAATTTTGATATATAAGTGATAATTAGTATAATGAAATCTAGAGCTAATTCTGTTTAATTTTAAACAAATTGCGTTTTAAAACATAAATTTTGCAAATTAAATTAATATTTGCTTCCCAATTTTTGCAAATTAGGATTGTTTTAAATTTCGAAAAAAATATTTTTTTATAAAAATTTATATATAAATTTTTTTTTAAAAAAAAAATTAAACCCCCCTCCGTGAGCGAAACAAAATTTTTTTGTTCGCTCACGGAGGGGGGGGGGAGTAAGTTTTTTAAGCATTAAAAAATATTATGTAGGTTTTTAATTATTGTGCAAAAAACGATAAATTAATTCAATTATATATATAAAATTTGATAATGAGAATGCAGCACACTCTAAATGAAAATTACACTAAAAATATTACTCCGCCTATTGTAAATCCAATGATCATTGCATCATGAGAAGAAAAATGACGACAGTCACCATGGTCATAATCGCATCCGCAAGTGTCACATTCTGGGTCGCATTTATTATTTCCAAGCTGAGCATCACATTTACATTCTTCATTGCAAGATTCGTCATCTTTTGATCCGCTGGCAATAGCTGTCAAGCATGAAATAAAAATAAATCAGCATAACTTCATTTTAATAACTCATGAAATCAGTTTTACTCAGTATAAAATCATTTTTTGCGCGTTTTCATGCCTTTTTAATTGCTTTATGAAATAAGAAACAAAGAACATCAAATCAGATATTTATTTTCGTAAAAATTATTATTAATAATTAAAATTTATATATAAGATTTATTTTTGCTTTATTTATTTCATTATTTTCTCGATATCTATTTTTCACAAAATAAAATTTCAATTTATTGCTCTCAATAATAATCTAAATTTAAGAAACTCAAATTAAATGGAAAAGGAAAGCAGACTTTATGTTTGGAAGGTAAAATAAAAGCAGCTCTTTTTACTTCCAGAAGAACCTGAAGAGTTTTCAATTACTTGTTCATTTGACCAGATAAACCAGCGAGTTATTCGTTCAGATTCAGAGAGAACAAGGATAAAATTGATGACTAAAAAGGAAAAATTTTTAATAGAGCTCCTATTAACTTTTTACTGCAAAAGAGAGCATATAACTTATAAGCAAGGTCTAAACGAAGTCTTGGCCCCATTCTTATTGTTTTTTAGGGATGGGTTGAGTTTATGCAAAGTTTTTTTGTATTTCAGTAATTTCATCAAAAACTACTTGCCATTGATGTTTGTAGATAAAGAATTCAAGGCTTTGGAAACTCAATTTATCTTATATAGGCTACTGTTAAGATATTACGACCCTGAGCTCAGCTCTTTTCTTAATTATTACAAGATAGGGCCAGAACTATATGCAACTCCTTGATTCTTAACTCTCCTCGCAAGCAAAATCAGTGATATTGAGGTCCAATAATTAAAATATGGCGTCTTCGTCTGGGCATGGCCTCCCAGCCATGCAGCCTCGACTCATATTTTAATTATATCCGGCAAGGTTTTACCATTTTAGAGATGGACAGCAATGCTAGGTAAGCAATTCTGGTTGTGTGCAGAGCCTAGCCCTAGTCTAATCTCAGGGTGGATTTTTCCTCGTGGAAAGGAAGGCACGGAAGTTGGAAAGGGGAAGCTCAGCAGAGTCCTTTGGACCAATCGGGCAACTCCCTAGCGTGAAACTGGGCGTTATGTCCCAGGCTACGTGTTTTTTCCTTTTGCCGACAGCTGACCAGAAAATCCATTTTTTTGGGGTTTCGGAAAAGCAACCCATGCTCACAAGCAAGTAGCCTATTCCTAAACCGTCGAAACCGGCAACACTTGCCCTAGGAGCACCCTGGTGAGAGCAAAGCAGGTCAGCTCAGCGACTTGTGGGCCCGATGCGATGAAAGGCGAGCGGAAGACCTGGGTAGAGTCTACCCCGTAGTGGACGTTAAGCGTTATAAATTCTAAGTAAGTAATATGTTGAGGTCCAATATTCTTTATGGGAAAGCTATATGACAGAAAATGATAAACTTTACATACTCTTTATTGCGATCGCCATTATTGTAAAACACCGAAATCTTATCCTTCAAACAGATTTGTCTGACTTAGCTCAAATCTTGTCAGAGATTACTATCCATACACAAGCTGAGTTATCTGAAATTTTGGCAAGAGCAAATGAGCTTAAGCGAAATCTGCCTTACTCCTTGTATATAAGTTTATATAGATCTGACTACAATAACCCTAAAGACATTGAAAATCAATTATTCTCTCTACAACTGAATAGTGTTAGTTTATTATTATCGTTAATCTATTATTCTGAATGTATATTTTATATAAATATTAGACATATTTATATTAAGAAAGCATAATTAAGATTGAAAAACAATTTTGCTTGACTATTCTCCCTCGAGAAATAATTCAAAGATGCTATCCATTATCGTCACTTTGTGCCTGCTCTGGAGGCACCTGCAAGTGGTGCCAAAATTCTCGAAATCAAGTCCCTCTTATTATTCTGGACTGCAGAACAGAGGTAGAAAGAGAAAATGGGCTTCTGCCAAATACCCTAATTTTGGACCCTAAAGCTTATAATGATGTAAAAACATTATTAGCTGTCCCTGATCAGTATGAGGATTTAAAGCAAGTTTTTCACATTACACTATTAGGAAGTAAAGAATTTAAGCATACTGATTTTGATCTAAGAGGCGATGACTCAAGTGATATTGATGTCGTTCAAAATATGATAGAAAATCTGTATCTGGCGTTTTTAAAGAAATCTTTTCCATTTGTAAGTGTAGTCGAAGGAGGATTTTTAGGATGCCATCAATTGATTTCTAACTCCCTCAGTGAACGAGCAAAAAAATTTGCTTGGGGGTTTCATTATAAACAATATTATAAATTATATATTAAAACATTTTTTATATATTAAAAAAAAATTTTTAGTTACATAGAGGTTTTATTTTCACAAAAAATAGAACTGTTTTGAATAGTTTTACCTGTTCATGGATGGGGAATAAGCTTAATCTTGAGCTTGATCGGCACAATCCAGATTATTGTTTAGGGTGCAATCCTGATGGTCCAAAAGTATCTAAAGTCCTCAAACGAAGAATAAATAGTCTCAGGAGAAGTTTTATAGGAAAAGTAAAAACAGCCCTTTCAGCTGCTGGAAGCGCATTTAGGTCATTAGCTCCAAAAACATTTGACAGCACAACAATCTCAGAGTCAACTAAAGAAGAGCCTACAAAACAAAATATTTTGCCGTCAAACTTCATATACAAAAGAGAATTAGATGAATGAAAACAAGATCCAAGAGTCTCTTTTTTTATGTGCAGAAAATTCGATCGATCTACTAATAAAATGCATTTGGAGGAGTGTGTAATGATTGTCACTAGAACGCGAGTGATCATATCTACTCTATTTGATGACTCTTCACAAAATTCATCAGATACACCTGTCAGTGATTTAGTGGAGCAAGCAAAAATTCGAGACCTTGTTAAAATCACATCAAAAAGAAATTCTTCAAGTACTTTGACGTTTTATTTTAAGAACTCAGAAGAATTTTGTTTTAGTTATACCTTCAAAGACACAACTGATGCAAAGGCATGCTTAGCGCAGGTAAGCTCGTATTTCAATTTGCTAAGGTCACAAAGCCTTACTAGTTCGCTTTAGTCATATGTAAATCATAATCCAATAAATAATTTTAATTTGAAAAAATCTAATTGGTATGAAATTTTAGAGACTTATGATAATTTTTTGCATTTAGGAAAAGACAAAAAAATCAATAATCATTAGGGGTTTTATTATTATAATAAAATATATATAGATTCATTGCATTTTACTATTTAATTACATGGGGTTTTCCTTTACACAGATACAAACTGATATTTATTCATATATAGAGGCGTAATTTATCTTTAATAACATTTTTTATGAATAATTTGGGACCCTGACTCTTCATATTCAGATTTTGTAATCCACATCAAATTAAATGTAGACAATGAGGCCAATATAGATCCTCCAATTCATGCAGATGTTAATCTTTCCGGAGGAGCAAAAACCTTAATTTTCTCAGGATTTCCTAAAAGATTTGAAATTTCTTGAGTAAATCTATTTGGAAGTCCACTAAAAAGTGTATTCCCCCCACATATCATAATATTTTGATACATTTCATCTCTGATCTCTTCATCGCTTTTTAGAATTGCTTTATGTGCAATTAAATGGATTCCGTTTTTATCTATATTCATCAAAGATGGGTTGAATACTGATTCTGGACAAGTTATACGTTCGCTGCTTATTGAAAGAGAAGACCCATCTGGCATTTTATAGCTAATTCCTGGGGTCGATTCAAATACTTTCAGTTCTTCACTATAATTTGCAGAAGCATAGCAGATTCTCTCTTTGATATCTCTTGCAAATTCTTTTTCTGCTGAAGTGTTCAGGTTATAGCCTTTTTTTCTAAGCAAGTTTATAAAAAACTCAGTCAAATCTTTACCTCCGAAATTTACAGTTTTAATTGCATATGGCAAAACGTATCCTTCATATATTGGAACTGCACTTGTTATACTATCTCCAGAATCCACGACCAAGCCAGTTATTTTCCCACTTGAATATAACGATAATGCAGGCTGAGACGCTAAATAAAATGCAGGAATGCTAAAAACCTCAAAAATTATTTGTGTTATTTTTTCTCTCACATTTTGAGGATTTAGCGCAATCTCAGTCATCAATAAAGGATGGAGATCAGGCGCAACCCTAAGTTCGTTATAAAATGTATGATGCCAAATCTTTTCCATGTCATCCCAATCTGTAATGATTCCTCTTTTTATCGGCGATTTCAAGCTTAAAATGTCGCATTTTTGCCTTGCTTCTTCACCTGCATAAGAATCCTTTTGATCAATCCCAATCTGCATCCCAGGCATCCTTGTTCTCCCTACAACTGAAGGAAAAATCGATCTTGGCATATCATCTCCAGCAAATCCTGCTTTACAAATTCCAGAGCCATTATCTATTACAAGCCCGTGTACGTCTTCTCCTTCCATAATTATTCATTTTTATCTATTATTCTATTAAATTTTTATAATCTGTTGGAAAATCTTCTTATCCTAATATTTTGCCAATAAGCTATTAATAATAAACTTAAATATAAATATTTAAATAAATCGTATTATTGAGCTTAAAGCCCTTCGAATTTTAATTTTTACAGTTGCATACAAAACTAAAGATGGCAAAAATGTTTTAAAAATTGCTGATCATTTTTGAGATGTGCCTAAATCCAAAATTCAGAAAATTAAGATTTACTAATAATTAACTTATATATAAATTTTTATCAAAGATGTATTATTACTTTGTGCTTCAATTTTTAAAAGAGAGAAAATAGATTAAAAAATGGGAAAATTTTTAACATTTTAAAAATTGCCATTTTCAAAGAATTTCCATTAATTAAAATATAAAATACACTTAAATTGTTATAAAGAGTTTTTATGTCTTTTATAGTCTTAATTTAATTATTTTAATTCGCTCTATATTGACTTATTCATTATCTAAATTTTATTAGCAAAGTGTTTTGGTATTGATGGATAAATGAGAATTCGCCAGATACTTGCTCTTTTCTGGTCAAATCAAGCCCGCTAAGAAATTCTTCTAACGCATTATATTATATTTCTCTATCTTCAGGTTCTTCGTCTTCAGGCCAATAAGAATCAAGACTGGCTGACTCTGGTTCTGGAGGTTTTAAGGTCTCTAATGTCAAATAATGGATTTCTTCTAGCATTTCTTTATGAGAAGCATTTATTTCTTCTTCAAATTCTTTATGTGTATTTTCTATTTCTTTTAGCTCTTGCAAAACTTTGTTGATTTCGGGTACCAAATTAATCGAGCTTTCTATATTCAATGAAGATAAATTATTTGGCTTGATAGAAGCCTTGATAGCTGACAATTCTTTTTCTATAGCTTTATTTCAGTCGTCCAGGAATTTTATTACAGCTTCTTGTGTTTTTTTGTCTATGACTTTGCTTGAGTGAGTTATATATGACACTGATTTCGGAGTGCGGAAGAGTTTCCAGAAAATCCATAGAAATATGATGTAAAATGATACTATGTTATATGGCTCGTGGCTTCTGATACATTCTATAAGTCATAGAATTCAGTTTTCGGTAAAGAGAGCGAATCTTACCATTCAATCAATAAGGAAAAAATCGATAGATGGCTTGTTTGAGTCAGGAAGAGCTTTATTGTTATGACCTGAGTTAAGGGTTTCTTCAGAAGAAGGATCAAGAGCTAATAAAAGAACCAGAAGCAATATCCAAATGAGCTTCGACATATTTTAATTATGTACACATCAGCTCAAAAAATTAATTGTGCAAAATAAGATAATGGTTTGAAAAATTTTATTATCTTTATCACTAAAATGCTATCTCTATATTAGAGAGTCATGTTGATAGACTTACAACTGTGCTTTCTTAAATTCTAAAAAAGCAATGCTCAGGCAATCAATGCTAAAGTTTTTAGCTTCTCCAATGAAAATATTTTTTATCTCAATTTCTAAGTGATGATATTTGCATCATCATACCTTAGCTTGAAGAAAAACAGCATTGAGGAATTCTGATAGTGAAGAAATTAAAACGTCTTATGTAAATATTACTGAATTTGATGCTTTCTATTGGCCATTTAGTAGCTATTATAGTTAGCAAATAGCATATGTGATAATTTTTTTCATAATCAATTTAGAGCAGACAGTTTTAGGAGTTGATGATTCAAAATTTTAAGTATCTTTCGTAAAAGCTAATAGCTTCTTGCTTTTGGAATAGCTTTGACACAGTTTGGTATATTTTCAATTTGCCAGCTGAGAGTGGAGACTTGATTACTTAAGCTGTATTAAAAACTCTAATTGAAATCAACACGTTTATTTTATAATGATTATGAATTGTGGCAGCCTGCCCTTTTAGCTTAAAATATTGTATAAATGTGATTAATTTTTTTATGGTAAGGTAAAAAAAAAGCAATTCAAAGTTTAAAGCATCCTAGTGATCAAATCAGACTAAATAAGAGATAATCGCAGCTTTATACCTTATTTTTAAATCTAAAAATTAATTATTGTCATTTAGATTAGATTTTTTTAAAATTCTTTTCCCACATGTTTGCTTTGATTGTCACGATATGATTAAAATCAAAGCGCCAATAATACCATGATTTTCGAATACCAATTCAATATACAATTGAATGCATTTCATAAAAGATTTTCTCCATATTGGTTTTAAAAAATGTAACAGCTTTGAAAAATACTGAAATGCTGGGACACATAAATATTATAATGAAAAAATTGTTTCTCCTTTTGTTTATTGTGTCATGCATGCAAGCTTACACTGTCCCACCTTCTAATAGTGAAAGAAGTGAGTGTTTGTCTGATTTAGATTGTCCAATTCTTGATTGTTTCACATATCCATGCGGCACCCTTGAGTGTGAAGACAATAAATGCGTTCTGAAAGAGCCCGAAGAAATTTGTGTCGTTGGAGGATGCTCAGGTCAGCTATGTATCAGCATTTATGAAGACGGAGTTACCACATGTGAGTGGAAATCAGAGTATGGGTGCTATGCAGAGTATGGAAGCTGTGCCTTGATTGATGGAAAGTGTCAATGGGAACCTACTGATGATCTCAAGGCCTGCATCAGAGATAGAACCTAAGCTATGGTAATAACTTTCTCTAAATAAATCTGACTTATCTATAACTCTATTTTAGGTTAAAGTTAAATTGGAGCAGCTGTATAATCGGGATACCCTATGACTAATGGTGGCCAGAATAAATAAAAATGGAGGGCAGCGATTAGTAAATAAAAAAATATAACCTTGATACTTATCCAGATTGACTTATATCAACACTATTGTAGACATAAAGATCTAATTCCTCCTCCATAATTAGGCGAGAAGATACTCCTAAAAGTTAAATTTAAAATTTAGATTAATAAAAATTTGCATATGAAATAAATTGAAACCATTTTATTAAAATTTATATTTCAAAATAAATGGAACTATTATTAATCACACATATAAGCATTATATTTCTCCTCAATTTGGATAATTTCTTAAACATTTAGAATTTTTCACTGTATTTCGGACGTTCTGGGAATCATATTAAGTAGATTTTCAATTTTCTTACTGTACTCAAAATCTTCTTTTGAGTGAATCTCTAAATAATCGGCAAAGGCTCTAAAAACTATATATACAGATAAGCACTATTAATTCATAACTTTATCACATTTCATTTAACTTAAAAATAATAAAATCATAAAATTCATATAAAAATAAATTATTATAGTTTATAGCAATTAATATAAAACTCGGTTACTTATAAATTCAGTACAGCAATTTTGATGGCTGACAAATACCCCTTTAAGACAAACTATGCACAAATATCCACACTTTATGCAATTATAATAAAAACTTCCCCTTTTTCTTGTTGAAGTACTTCCACAGTTTCCACATTTTACGAATTTTTCGTTTAAAGATACTTGTGTGCAATAATAATTCTCATGCTCAGGCATGCTTACCTTGCATATATTGCAGTAATCTGTTGAGCATTCTCTACATCTGAAACTGTTTCCATTCTTTGGAATCCTTACTCTCCCAAAACATTTTATATTAGGACAATAAATTTCTGGCTTTGGCTGAGCGATATCTGGTTGAACAACACAATAATTGCAAGTATCACATATAAATGAGCCATATATAGCCAATCTTTGTATAGCGCAATCCTCGTGAATTCAAAATTCACAAAGGCACTTGCTTCTAATTTTACTTTGATATGCATGTATTTCATGGCAGCATACCTTGCAGTACACATTCAAATTTAATGATATAGACTGATTTTCAAGCATTAAAGAAAGTATATTAAGCTCTACAGAGCTAACAGTACCACTGCCGCACTTTGAAGATAAGTAACCTAAAAATTTTTCATTAGAGACTTTTACTTTGAATCTGATTTTAGAGTTCGCAAGAATTGAAGCATTAAATTCGTCACTTGAGTATGACTTTGTATTTACCATGTGGGCTAAGCTTTGGGCATATATATTCAGATTATGCTGTGAGGGTTCTATATTTTGTTTATAAAAATTGTATAAATCAATAAAATTTGGTCTCTCTTTTTCCTTCAATTTTAGCATTCTCCTTAATAATCATCTGATACTTTTATATTTTACTTGTTTCAATCTAGATTTTAGCTTTAACTCGAGGTGTTGAAGGGTTGCTAAATCCATTGGCTCTTTAAAACTTACCATATAAAGAAATGTCAGCCCAAGAGAGTAAACATCAGATTTATAAACATTATGAGCAATTTTCCCACTTAAGTTTTGGCCCTGATGATAAGAGATTCATGCTTCTCTAAGAATTGGACTCAAATATATAGGAGATCCAGAAATCGTTGCTTCAGCCATGAATTGATGTTGAAGACTTTGTATAGAGCATCCAAAGTCTCCAACTTTCATAGATCCATCATCTGCTACAAAAATGTTTTTAGGCTTTATATCTCTATGTGCATAGTGAGAATTTTCGAGATATGCAAATGCATTTAAAAGGTATCCAAAATTGGATAATAGCTCAGCTTCTGATCAGGGGTTTCCAGTCTCTTTTCTTTTTATGATTTCGTTTTCAAGATCGCCACGTTGAAAATATTCTAATAGTATGCAAAGGATACGATATCCACTCTTGCTGTCTCAGTAGTAGCCATAAAATTTAGGTATTGACGGATGATCTAATCGATACATTGCAGCTACTTCTCTGAGTAATTTACGCTCATCTCGATTGCAAGGATATATTTTTTTAATTACAATTCGCTTTTCAGGCATATCTCTGAATCTCCCAAGGCAAATTTCAACTTGAAAATCTATCTTGTAAAGAGTTTCTCCTGTAAACTCGATGCTTTCTTTGCTCACTTCTAAATCAGCCATGATAGTTTAAGAAATCTATAATAATTTATAATTGTCATTGACTATTTTTGAAAAAATACTTATAAATCTTCAGAAATCTTAGTATAAATTTAATTTATTTAATTAGTTAAAAAGACTTGCTTCTCTCTTGATAATTCTGGAATTAATGCCTTTTATGCTTTAATAAATTTTAAATAACACATATTTTCTTTATTTTTCACTAATAATTTCAAATAATCCAATATTATTGATAAATATCAATAAGGCTTTCATTATTTAATTCAATTTTTTAGGTCGGAACTTTATTGATAAATTTAAATTTGTATGATTTATCTATCCCAAATTATTATCTTGCGTGCTTGCCAACTCCAATGAAAAACCTGAAAAACTTAGCCTGTCCCCGCTTGCTTTTCTTAATTTAATCCCACTTTGGGGACTGACTGGCTCCTCAATGCTACATTGAACTGGGATATCCATTTTCTTTTTGACGATCAAGCGGTCAATTAAAGAACTTGGGTTGCTCAAGGCACTTAAGTCTTGCATTTCTTTGTTCTTAAGAGACTTGATTCTATTTTTAATAGCGCTTTCTGTTCTTGTTACTATCCCTTTAGCAATCAAGCTCCAGTGGTTTCCATGCTCCTTATGGAGCTCCAGAAGCTTTAAATCTTCACTTTGGCTTCAGTCCCCTCTATTAATATTCGGATTCAGATGATTATTCCATCTTTCTTTGCACTGCTTGCCAGTCCTTATTTTTATATTTTTGTGTATTTTTGTGTTTAATTCATTAGCTACCAACCCCCATTTTACTGTCTTCGTAAGAAGCAGTTGCTTTAAAAGTTCATCCTCAGCGTCTGACCATATCCCTGACCTCAGTGTTCCACTTGTCATGATTTCATAAATTTTAGCTTGGCATTGTTCAGGGGTTTTATCTGTAAATTTAGCGATTTCTAAGAAGTCAAGATGGGTTAAGTCTTCAAGTTTCTTATCATTTTTTTCACAATACTCTTGAGCCATGACATATATACCTAATTTTATTAATTATAAACTTATTTAAGGCTATTACTCCCCCCCCCCCCTCCGTGAGCGAACAAAAAAATTTTGTTCACGGAGGGGGTTAATTTTTTGTTTTAAAAAAAAATTTATATATAAATTTTATAAAAAATATTTTTTTCGAAATTTAAAAAAATCCTAATTTGCAAAAATTGGGAAGCAAATATTAATTTAATTTGCAAAATTTATGTTTTAAAACGCAATTTTTTTTAAAATTAAACAGAATTAGCTCTAGATTTCATTATACTAATTATCACTTATATATCAAAATTTTTTTCCATTAAAATTTTTTTCTATTAAAAAAATTTTTTGTTCACTCACGGAGGGTGGGTTTTTGGTCAAAAAATGGCGATTTTTCTAATGGTTTTGTTCGCTCACGGAGGGGGGGGGGGGAGTTAGTAAAAATATTTTTTATCAATTTAGTTAAAAATAATTTTTCTATTTGTTCACGCTTTCAGGTTCGCTTGTACTTAGGCTTGGATTCAGTCAGAATTTGATTTTGTGGTTGGAGAGGCTGTGGATGTGTGAGTACTGGTGCTGAAAAAGGATGGGCGTAGACTGGAATGAAGGACATTAGCAAGCCGCAGTTCATTGGAGCATAATTTACTCTTGGGATGATGTACTTAAAACCTTGCTGTGGATTCATTTTATAAGAGATCAAATTAATGCTGCGAAAGATTGGCTTATAATTGCTATTAAATTGAATTATAAAATATTGATTATGGAGCTCAAAATATTATCAGATAGAAAGTTAAATGTAAGATGACGCAGAATTTATTCACCAGCCGCATTTTACATATTTGCTTGCATGCATGAAATTTCAACGTAAAATGTGAAAATAAATTCTAATTGACGATCAGTATACAATTTTGCTGAGTTGGCTAAATTCTTCAGCTATCAAAAGCTTGTCTAAATATCTTAAAAGGCGAAGATAAGACAGAGAGAAAATAATAAAAAATTGATTTAAAGTATTTTTATAATATGCTCTAATAGTAAAACTTTTAATAAACAGATGATTAGTTAATCACTTAAATTAAATTTTATGGGTTAAAATTTATGTTAATGAATATGATTACGTGATCAGCATTGCTATAACCATCAATAATTTTATTTTTTAAGTATTTAATTTAATAATTAAAATGATAAAAGCTCTCGGATGTTTGGGCTACCTAGAAAGGCTTTTAAGTTTTAATAAAATCAACTTTTCATTATTAAATCAATATTTCCTTAAAATTTAATTAAAATATTGCACTTCAATTAAAAATTTATTATTAGATATTGATAAACATAATTATGGCAGTGCCTATTAAGAAATGCGATGAAAAGTTCCAGACTATTATTGACAAACTCCAATCAAAGCCTCCTCAATGAATCGAATCCCTCTCCAGTCGAAATATTGAACTAAAGCCAAAACTTAAAAAATATTCTCTGCCTTTTCTTTCACAAATAAGCAATAATTTTCCCTCCTCAAAAATCAGTCCTATAATATGCGAAACAGAAAGATATAGTATAGAGAAAATGACAAAAGAAAAACGATTCCTAAAGCGAGTCCTTATGCCTTCTCCGAATCCTCCTCATAATTACAATAAAATCAATAGCCAAAAATTATATCCACTTGCAAATAATCGTCATGTTGTATTAGATTCAATAAATTTAGTTGGAAAAATTAACACCAGTAGCAATATTGTTGAGAAAAACGGCAAAAATATTACAAAACTTAAGACAAAAACCCAAAGTTTGACAAATATTTTTAAAACTAAAGAAAGCATAGGAACAATGGCTATAGAAAAAGACGAAAAAACACAGAATGACGACAACCAGAAACTAAAATTTACTAAAAAAGGATATTTTACAGATCGAATCCAAGAAAATTTACAGCAAAACCAGCTTCCAGGATTTTCTACAGAAAGAAAGAAAAATAACACTCTACACATAAGATCTCAAAGTGATACCAAAGCTGTCAACTTACTCCCCCCACCTCTCCGTGAGTGAACAAAACCATTGGAAAAATCCCTATTTTTTGCTCAAAAACCCACCCTCCTTGAGTGAACAAAAATTTTTTTTAATAGAAAAAATGTTTTATAAAAAAAAAATTTGATATATAAGTGATAATTATTATAATGGAATCTGAGCTAATTCTGTTTAATTTTAAACAAATTGCGTTTTAAAACATAAATTTTTATAAATTAAATTAATAGTTGCTTCCCAATTTTTGCAATTTAGGATTTTTTAAAATTTCGAAAAAAAAATTTTCTATAAAATTTATATATAAATGTTTTTCAAACAAAAAATTAACCTCCCTCCGTGAGTGAACAAAATGTTTTTGCTCACTCACGGAGGGGCAGAGTTAGATAAAGGTTTTATGCTTTACAATAAGCTTTATAATGGCAATTTTTCTCAATCGAAAGACCCATCCCCAAACCAAAGTCCTCCAATAATCAGAATACAGGTCGAAAAAAATTCTTCTATGCCAAGCATCCAAAGCAAAAAAAATTTTAATGTCTCATTTAATCTGTCAGCAAATAGTTCAGTTTCTTATTCGACTATTAATAAGGATGAGCCAATGTTGACCCGCCAAAATTCAGATGGATCTAATACAATTGAACTTTTGTCAACAAACTACAACCAAGATTTAAGTGGAATTGAAAAACTACTACAGAAGAAAAAGCCAATTTTAAAGACTCCGATTAGGAAACATAGAAACATTTTTTATAAAAAAAATTTATTATCATTTTTAATTAATAAAATAAAGACTCCAGTCCCTCAAGAACAGCCAAAAGAAAGCATTGAGAAACTAAAAAAAGACCTTCATCTTAATTTTGACGATATCAATATAATGGACCTCAGCTCGATTAGCAGTATTCCAAACAAACAAACTCCAGAAAGCATTGAAAAAATCATTATCAAAGATTTACCGAAATCTCCATTTGGACGGCACGATAGTTATAATGAATATAAAGACTTCAAAACCCATTTTCTGCCAAATACCGAAAGAAAATTATCAATGTAATTTTAAATTCACATTTTTCTTATAATTAAAGATGAGAAGCTGCGTTGAGCTTTGTACAAGTAGCTTCAAGTAGGCTTAAAAGTGGGTGCATATCAAATGACTGTGGATTTTTGATAGTGTCCATTTCACCGAAAAATTTTTGGCCGAAAAATGATCGAAAATTTTTGATAGTGAGACATTTGACCGAAAAAAAAGTTACTTTTCGGCCAAATGTCCGCCTGTCAAAGATTTTCGACCAAATGGATTTCGATGAAATTTACACTGTCAAAAATCCACGGTCATTTTTCATGGAGCCGCTTAAAAGTGTTTTCTTCAGTTGTCTCTCTTTCTATTTTTTCTTTATCTATATCTGCTTTTAAATTAAGGACAACCTCTTTTAAATATTCCTGCAAATTTTCTTCGCTCTCTTCTCTTTGCTTTTTCTCTTGATAAAAAGCTTGGTACAGCTTGTCCATGTCATCATGAAACTGCTTCATTATAGCTCCTTCCATTTGTTCTCTGTCCTCATTTTCAGCTTTTAGTGCTTCGTGGATCTTGGGAATGTCGACATCTAAGTATTGTTGAAGGGTATCGATAGACTCTTGTCGTAGCTGGCTTTCTTTTTTCAGCTCATTTCTAATAATATTTGCTTTTTCTTCAATCTGATTATATAGAGTTTTCCTTCAATTGTCTTATGAATATTAAGCCATATTTTATGGGCTACTGAGTAGAAACTGCATACATTCTTTGCTCGATTTCTCTTCGGGAGTTAAATTCAGCTTCTAAAACTCCTTTGATCCTAGTTTCCATTCCTTTGATTTCTCTAGATTTGGCTTCTGCAAGGGACTCTCTGTTTTCGCTTTCTTCTTCAATTCCTTTATAAAGCTTGGTCAATTGGTCTTTTAGAACGTTAAACTTTCTAGAGGACTGGTCTTGGAAATCATTGAAAAGGTCTTCAATGCCTTTGAGCTTTGAGTCCAAGCCTTCCATGTTTTGGGAGCGGTGATTGTCCATCTTGCCTTGAAGACTTGTAAGCCTTTCAGCTAGTCTTGAAATACGTTCATCGTGAGGAATGCTCATTTTTTTATATTTAATTTTAAGCTAATATTTGTTATATTTACCAGTTGTATATTTTAGATAGCAGTTTAGACAGACTGCAACTTCTTTTTGGGCTGCCTTCCCAAGCTTTTTTGTTCTAAATGCTTCCTTTAATGAATCTCCTATAGAGTTTTCTGAAAGTGAGCTCTTAAAGTTAGGCAAAGACCTTAGCTTGGCGTTTTGAAAGCTAATTTTATCTTCGTTACTCGGGATAAATTTTTGAGGTATCAAAAACCTTTGGGATTTTTTGAATAAAGGAGAAAAATGCTGACTCCCCCCCCCCTCCGTGAGTGAACAAAAAATTTTGTTCACTCATGGAGGTTAATTTTTTTTTTAAAAAAATTTTTATATATAAATCTTATTAAAATTTTTTTTTGGAAATTTAAAAAAATCCTAATTCGCGAAAATTTGAAAGCAAATATTAATTTAATTTATAAAATTTATGTTTTAAAAAGCAATTCGTTTAAAAATAAACAGAATCAGCTCTAGATTCATTATATTAATTGTCACTTATATATCCAAATTTTTTTTCATAAAAAATTTTTGTTCACTCACAGAGGGTGGGTTTTTGGGCAAAAAAATAGCGAATTTTTCTATTGGTTTTGTTCACTCACGGAGGGGGGGGAGTGAGGAAGTTTGGCCGCTTCGTCATTACAAAATTCTCCTGGACAAGGCACTTCATGCATTATCCGTGGCTTTATCAAATTCCCATGCTGAGGCTGTATATGAAGCTGATAACTATATTTCTGCGCTATTTTTTCATCAAATTTGGCTTCGGAAAATGCATTGCTATTTGGCTGCAAATAAGTGAACGATTTATTTTTTTTCATAATTTTTGCTTCTTCTTTTTCGTTAGAAAAATAGCTAAGCTGACTAAAGTCTAGCTGCTGCGAAAAAGGGGAGGCATCGGGGCTTGCATCGCGCTTTTTGATTGTCTGAGAAACTACTGGCCTTAGAAAATTGTTCTCAATCAATAGTTTATGTTTGATTTGTGTAGGAAAGGCAACATCAATTTTCTGTTTTAAATTGCTTGTGGATCTCGAAAAAATATTTTTTATCGGAAAAATTTCAGGAGTTGCATCTTTTGTTTTATGTCTTTTGTGCAATAAACAGTTTGCACTTTTATTTCGACTCCTACTGATAGCTCTTAGAGGATTTCTGACAAAGCTACAATTTTCAGCCCCACATAGTCAAGGGTTAAGCGTTTCTTTTTCTAAATAATACAAGAGAAAAATTCCTTTCAAAGTCAATTGACTTGTTTCTACTCTTTCAATAATAATTCTGCTCATAGTTTTAATTTTTTGGATCCCTTCTTCATTATTATAAACTTCACATTGGTCCTTCTTATCTAAAATATGCTTTTTAAAATACCTTTCCATATACTCTCCTCTTTCGTTCCAAATTTCATGCAAATACACACATTTATCAAATTCTATATTTGGAATTTGGAAAAGCTGCAATGCATGAATACCCTGTGGGTGATTGGTCAATATTTTGGACAGCGAATTCATTCCCACGAAATTCCGCTTGCCTTCTTTATTTATTATAACGATTTTTGCGTTTTTCGAGTGTTCTTGGCTTTTATATATGCTTTCCATAAAAGCTACAATCACATCGTCAACCATTAAATCTCTTATGTTTTTGCTAATTAGTTCTCCTTTTAAATTTGTAAAAATTCAGGTCAATGGCCGGTATGGGTCAATTACGTCAAATACTACAGTATCAAGCACTTTTAAATTCAATGGATCTCGTGTGGAGTCTGAGAGAAGTTCAAATAAAAAGACTCAATCTATTGTTAAATCATATTTTTGTTCATCTAATAGTTGCATTTATTTTAATAGGTTTTTTTGCATATTCCAAGTTTTTATAGATTGAAAATAATTAAAATTAATTTACACCTTCCTCTATGCAGAAAATTTTTTATAATAATTATTTATATATAAATAATTATTTTATATATATAAATAATAATTATTTTAAAGAATTTACAGCTAATTTTGTTTGAATTATAAACTAGTTTCCAATTTTTGGATTTCGAAAATTCTTTTTTAATTGATCCCTCTCTTGGAGCGATAATTTTTTTTGTTCGCTAAGAACGGGGAATTAGTTAAAAGTAAGAATTTCTGCTTTCACAATCTACGAAAAATTGAGAAGGAAGCGAGGAAAAATCTTCACTTGTTCTACGGCTTTCTGTAGGAGTGCTTGATTCGGTGTCTAGTGGATATCTTTCATGCCTAAAAGGGCATTTATGGAGTAAAAGGCAATACCCAAGCTCGAAGAATTTTGCACATTTTTTAATTTTGGATGAGTCGGAAATGGAGTTTATTTGTCTAAGCTGCTCATTTCCATGAGCAAAGGCACATTTTTCACCGAATTCGCAGAACCCTGCCATTCACTTTTTACAGAGCTCTGTTTTATGCCAACCTATAGAAAGCTTAATTATTTACTATAAAAAAATTTGCTAGATATCAATCATTTTCTCTTATATATATTTTGTCATGAATTCATTTTCATACAGTTTTTTATTCTTGGCCAGGCCTTTACTGCAATTATTTTCAATTTGCATGGGTGGCTTATTTTGGAAATCGATTTTAATTATGATACCTTATATACATAAAAATGGTGACGACAGACCACCCGACCTCTCAACCCTATTTCTTCAAAACCTGCAGGCAACGACCCAGTGTCGAGAATTTAGGCGGAAAGGGGCCAGTCATCCTTTATGTATAGTCGGGCTGGGTTTTCTTCGGGCCCAGGGAGCTAATCCCTGGACTTAGAGTTTTTCCTCCGGTACAACCATTGGAAAGGGCAAGGTCGGCAATGCCTGAAGGGCAATATGACCCTCAGACCTTGAAGACAGTATTCACCTAACGAGAAACTGGGAGTTTCGACCCAGGTGGTGGCCCTTAGACTCCAGGAGAAGTCAAGACTGGTGCGCGAATACCTCGTTTGCGACAACGGGGAAGGGTGTCCGCTGGGATCCCTCAGGGATGATTAGCGTGTAGGGTGCAAATCCCCGGCCCTTGCGAAAGTGAATGGCACAATCTAATCTAATCTAATCTAATCTAATTATGATACTTTGCTTGAAGTTCATATTTATTTGGAGCGTAAATGCTGACTCTTTTTGACAAAAATGGGACACAGAATAGCCAAATCATAAGTTTTAAGTTAAAATATTATTTTATGACTTCATTTACACGATTTCCATATGTTTTTTTGTTTTTTCAAGCAGAATTAAACCTCAACAATTTTAATCTAGTTTAAAGGCATCCCAAGGTAATTTTTAAGGTTCATAACAACAAATTCAATTGCTACGTCATTATGCGCCCCGTGTGGAACAATTATATCAGCATACTTCATAGTAGGTCTTATGTACTCATCATAAGAAGGCTTCACAAACTTAAAGTATTGATTTAGAATCCCATCCGGATGTCTTCCTCTTTCAGTAGAATCTCTCAGCAACCTTCTACAGAGCCTAATATCATCATCAGTCTGCACAAAAATTTTTAGCTTCATGAGATCTCTCAATCTCTTGTCATAAAATGCAAGGATTCCTTCAAAAAGAATTAAATTGGCATGCTTTATCATTTGCCTTTCAGGTTTTCTGCTGTGTGTTTTAAAATCATAGATTGGAATATCAGCATCTTCTCTTCTCAAAAGCTTTTGTATGGCGATAAACATTTCGTCAAAGTCAAGGGAATTAGGGTGATCGAAATTATATTCGTGGACTAAGGGAAGCTCTTCTTCTGTAAGTCCTTTGTAGAAGTGGTCCATGCCTAGAACGGTGCATTCTGCACCTAATGCTTCACTTATTCGATTGCAAAGGGTAGTCTTGCCTGAAGCTGTGCCTCCGCAGACACCGATGAAAATAGGAGTGCCTGCCATTCCAGTAATAATTATAATGAAAAATAAGGATTATAGTAAATATGTTATAAGCTCAGCAGCTACTATTGGAGAGATATTGTTTGATAAGTATTGAAAGACTTATAAGTTGATAAATATTGTGAATGTAGCCATTAATAGCTTAATTTATAAAGATACGCCACTTTTTAGTTGCTAATAATTAGTTAAGCATTTTAACCAATTTATATTATTTTTAATTATTCCAATAGGCTTTCCTTCTCATAGGTAAGTTTTTAATCAGCAAGGAATGATTCTTCTAAATATAAGTGGCCAACTTACTGCAACACTTATGTGCAGCCAATATTGTAGTGTGATAAAATAAATAAAGTGCTTCCAAACATACTTCGTTCTAAAAATAACTAAGCAAAAAATCATTAGTATTCTTTAGTTTACTCTGATCCATTTATAACAATAAAATGGACCCAACTCCTCAACCAAAACCAAAAACCACTCGAGACGACTTCGAAACTATCGGAACTCTCGGTCACGGCGCATTTGGTTTAGTTGAGCACGTAAGAAAAAAGGACTCAAACAAAGAATATGCAATAAAAACTGTTGAAAAAATCCACCTGAAAAAAGAAGGCAAAACAGAACAAGCAATGAGAGAAAAAGACATGCTCACCAAAAGCAGACTTCACCCGGGCGTAGTTAAGCTGCACTATACTTTTCATGACAAAGATTACCTGTATTTTGTTATGGAGTATTGCCCAAATGGAGACTTAAACCAATGCATAGAAAGGTATGCTCAGTCATTTCCTTATGAGCTGGCAAGGTTTTATGCTGCAGAACTTGTGAATATTCTGGAATTTATGAGGACAAAAAATATCATTCACAGGGATATTCCATTTAATAAACTATCGCAGGCTGCGCATAAATAGTAAAAAATAATAAATATTTATATACAAAAGTCATATAAAACCTCAGAATATTCTTATTTCATCTGATCATCATATCAGGCTAACTGACTTTGGAAGCGCGAAAATTTATGACGATGACGCAAGAGGAAGAAGCAACACTTTTGTAGGCACAGCTGATTATGTTTCTCCTGAGATGCTTGATGAAGGACCTGTATCGTACGCAGCTGATTTGTGGGCATTTGCATGCATAGTTTTTCAAATGTTTGCAGGAAGGCCACCATTTGCAGCTGAAAATCAATTTTTAACATTTGAAAGAATAAGGTCAGGAGTCGTGCAATTTCCTAGCCATATGACTCCTCAAGCTATTGACTTGATTGGAAGGATTCTTCAAATTCAGCCTGAGAGCAGATTAGGATATAACGATATAAATGAATTGAAATCGCATGAATTCTTCAATGGGATTGATATTGATATACCTAACTTAATAAATGCTATAAAATATTTTTTTATTAAAATAAAAACCTAATAGCAAGCTTAATCTATTTTAGTATAATGTATATTCTTTATCATGCCCCACAATACAAGAAGTCATTACTCCTCCAATTGTGCATAGCACCAACGTCATTAAAAGTGGAATTGTAAAGAAAAAAGGTGTCTGAATCTTCAGAAAAAGACTACTTGTTATAACAGAAGAACCAAGAATCGCATATTACGAGCCAAATGGGCAGTTCAAAAGAGGAGAACTCAACCTCAGCTCAGAAGTAAGAAGCGAGGTGCATGGGAGAAAGAAATTTGTGATTTTTACCCCTGAAAAGCAATATTTATTTGAAGACGAAGAACCTGAAGTGTGGGTTGATACAATTAATAGACTCATTCAAAGATTTTATGGCTAATGTTTATTTTTTAAATAATACCAAAAAACTCATTAATTTTCTTTGTTTTAGCATTAATACAAAAGGTTCACTCAATAAACATGGCACGTCTTAGTTGTATTTTAATAATATGAGTTCAGTTCCATATATTGGGAGCCAAATCAGTTTAATTTCCAAGTCTGATATTCGATATGAAGGCACCCTCCACACCATTGATCCAAACGAGCACACAGTCTCACTCTCCAACGTCAAGTCATTCGGCACAGAAGGCCGAAGAGGAAATGGCAAAGAAATCCCACCCTCAGCTGAAGTCTACGAATTTATTATTTTCAGAGGCTCAGACATAAAAGATCTCACTGTGATCCAGACAACTGTTGCAAATAATGACCCAGCCATAATAAAATCAGAGCCAACTAAAGAATTCCAGCCAAAACCAGTCCAAAAGCCTAGCATTCCTCAACAGAGAGAGCACCAAAATTACGTCCCAAGGAACAATCGTCAAGAAGCTTATGGAGAATTGCATGGGAACACAAATGAAGATTTAAAAGAAGAGCTCAAAGAAGATTTTGACTTCCAAACAGCAGCTATTGACAGAAACCAAAAGGCAGAAACCAAAGGAAAATGCTACGACAAAAAATCGAGCTTTTTTGATAATATTTCGTGCAAATCTGGGGAAAATCCAGAAAGTAGGCCTGATAGGGAAAAACAAAAAGAGCTAGATGCAGAGACCTTTGGGGAGGAATACGTAGAAATGGGAGAAAGGGATTTAAAAAGATATATAAGAGGAGGAAGGAGAGGGAGAAGAGGATATAGGAATGATAGAGGTGATGGAAGAGGATATAGGGGAGGATATAGAGGGGAGCACAGAGAGTATAGAGGGGAGCATAGAGAATATAGAGGAGAACAGAGGGAATATCGAGGAGAGCAGAGGGAGTATCGAGGAGATAGAGAATATAGGGGTGAACACCGAGGTGAGTATAGAGGAGGAAGGAGAGGAGAATATAGAGGCTATAGGGGAGATCGAAGAGAAGACTTTAGAGGGGAATCGAGAGGAAATTAAATAGAAAATATTAGGATAATTTTAAATTCCTATCTCAGCGCGATAATAAGTTTTTATAGTAATTCTGTTTAGTCTCAATTGTGAAGTATATTATAATTATCATTTGCAGTTTTTTATTGCTTTAAATAGTGTTTATCTGTATTATCTATATAAATGAAATTGGTGATCTCATTAATTTAATAATAAACTCACCATTTAAAACTAACGGATTTTATATAATAAAGAATTCAAATCTTTTAAACTATTACTCACAGTTCTCATAAACCCCAAACTATATCTGCTGGACGAAATTATAAGGAAACGATCCCACTTGAGAGCCCAATTTCCCTGTCCACCATCCGCTTTCGGTTTTTTGCAGCACTTCTATGATATCACCTCTCGAAAACGATAAATCACCATCTCTTTCCCCATCAAAATCATAAAGCGCTCTTGCACATTCTTTTTCTGTGTTAAAGCTAACTTCTTCGCCTCTTATTTTATTAATAATTCTTTCAGACAAGCTCACAGGATGCTGCACAACGTCTTCTTCAGGTTCAAGCACTTTCAAAGACTTAAAAGGAAGGGAAAATCCTTGTGAACTATGCTCATCAGATTAATTTAATCGTCTTTAATATTATTTTTGGAAAAATAAGGATTTTATAGCAAATACCGAAAATCGCATATTTTTTTCAGGCGAATCTTCAAAATATTCCACAGTATAAGAAATCGGGGCAGGCTCCTCTTCTTGCAAGTACCTAAAACTTCCAACATCAGAGGTATAAATATGCTCCTTTGTGATCTGTCTTGGCATGTTATTGACTTTAGTCCACCCTTTTACTTCTTGAAGCTGCTGATTCAAATCAACACTTGTCAAAGTCATAACTGCACTGAGCTTTTCACTAATTATTTTCTGTATTTGTTCAGCAATTTTCAGCTTTTCCTCCTCATCTTCATCTTCAGTTGTTACTGTTTGAGACATTATTGACCCTAAAATCACCACAAGTGCATCAGCTAAGCTTTTTATTTGTGAGTTCGTGATCTCAATCACATCTTTCGACTTTTCTAGCTCTTTCGTAAGCCTTTCTCTTTCTGCTGTCAATGCTTTTTGGCTTCCTTTAAGCGTTGTCACTGTTTTCTGCAGTTTTTCTAAGTTCATTTGAGTTTGGGCGAACTCATTCTTTTTGCTTTGTTTTAAGTCTCTTAATTCAGCTTCAAGTTTGCCATTTTCTTTCTTTTCTTTAACTAACTGTGCCGTTAGTTTTTTGATAACATCTTGAAGCTTACTCCTTAGCTTTGATAGAGCATTATCATTGAAAACTCATAAAAATTGGAAAAATTAGCCCTTATTCTTGATCGAGCGAATTTTATATAGTCAAAAATGAAATTCACTATCCTAACCTCCTTAAAGTCTAGCTGCCTCTCTTTGATAATAATGAATCTTAAGGATTATACTGTATATTCTTCAGCACAATATCAATAAGATTTAAAGCATATTTGATAATATATGGCATAGCCTATCTCTTATTGCTAGAACAGAAAAATATATAAAAATTTTTCGTAATAAAAATTTATAAATACTTTCCAGGTTTTTTAGATGGTTCGATCAAAAATGGAGAAGTTAGAAGAATCGTCTTCTTTAGGTTTAAGATCTTCCCTGGTCCTTCCATTTTGAACTCTTAAAGGTGAATGCCGGCCGTCATCAGGAGTTCTTGATCGTTCCACACGCTGAATTTTAGCAGCGCTTGGAGACGTATTTGGACGATTCCTTATTGGTGACTTAGGTTTTGTAGTTCCGTTAGTCCTGATTTGTGTAGTTGACACTGATTGAGGTTTTCTCTCATCGGCCAAGCTTTTAATAAATGTTAATGTAGAGAGTGAAGAAAACACTCCACGTTCTAAATTTCTCGTTTGATTCGGGGAAGGAGTCCGTGATCTTTCAGACATTATAAATATGGAAATTATTTTGAATTGAACTTGACTGTTTAAAATAATTATTCCAGATTTATTATCAAAAAATATGGTAAATTTCTATTTTTATTGATTTTACGACGCTTTATATAACTAAAATATTATATAACAAATTTCATTAATTTTTGATAATAAGATTGTTTTGCTTTCTATGATCTTTTATGATGCCTAATAAGTAAATTATAAGAAAATGGATAACACAGTTCCTTCTAAATTAGATAAGGTACAGTTTTCCTTTTATACCTCAGAAGAAGCAAGAGCACTCAGCCATCACCAAATCACAGAAAGTTTGGCATATGACGAAAAAAAAGTCCCTCTAAAAGGTGGTCTTTATGACCAAGCTATGGGCGTCTCACCCCATTCCAATATTCAATGTCAAACCTGTGGCTGGGAAGCAAGTGGATGCCAAGGACACATCGGACATATCGAGCTTGCTGCGCCCATCTACAACCCATTTCTCTTCGAAATCGCTTATAAATTGATGAAGTCCAAGTGCTCATCTTGCCACAGGCTCCGAATTCCACACAATAAATCAATCCATCTCATATACAAGTTCATGCTCCTTAACAAAGGCAGACTCAAAGACTCAATAGAAGTTGACGAGAAATTGTCAGAAAAAATCGTTAGGGACAAAAGCATTCAAGAATTCAGACATCTGAGATCGGCACTTATTGAGAAAAAAAGAGACTATGAAAATGACTTAAAAGTTGCAGTCACAATGGGAGAAAAACTGAGAACTTCAACCTATGCAAAGCTAAAAGGCGAGTTAAGCGGAAAAGTCTGGAAAAATGTGGTGGCAAATATATGCCCACATTGTAATGCAAAGCAGCTAAAAATCACAAAAGAAGGACACACAAAGATATTCAGGCATCCTTTGAAAGAAAAGTAAAATTTATGTAGAGACCAGAGGGGACAAAACTTGAAGAGCAATAAAAAAGAAAAAATAGAAACAACAGCGACCCTGTTGTGTGCATGGCAAGTGAGAGAGGAGCTCAGACTGATGCGAATTCATGATAAAGACTTATTGACTTTATTTTTTAACAGCCAAATAATTGACCAAATGTTTCAAGATGTGCTGCTTGTGCCTCCAAATAGATTTCGACCTGAAAGTCAGATCGCTGAAAGTGATTCCTATTTGCATGTACAAACAGTGGCTTTACAAAAAATTTATTTACTCCCCCCCCCTCCGTGAGTGAACAAAAAAATTTGTGTTCACTCACGGAGGGGGGTTAATTTTTTTTTTTAAAAAAATTTATATATAAATTTTATAAAAAATATTTTTTTTTCGAAATTTAAAAAAATCCTAATTCGCAAAAATTGGAAAGCAAATATTAATTCAATTTGCAAAATTTATGTTTTAAAAGCAATTCGTTTAAAATTAAACAGAATTAGCTCTATATTTCATTATACTAATTATCATTTATATATCAAAATTTTTTTTCCATAAAAATTTTTCTATTAAAAAAATTTTTGTTCACTCACGGAGGGTGGGGGTTTTTGGGCAAAAAATAGCGATTTTTCTAATGGTTTTGTTCACTCACGGAGGGGGGGGAGTTAGTAAATGAAAAGCTAATTCAAGCTCAGGCAACTCGAAAAGAGGAAGAAATCATCAATTCGTGGACAGAGCTACAGAATACTGTCAATATTTTTATGGATTCTTCTATATCGACAAGGCATCAAGACAAAGATTTAGCAGGGCTAAGACAGCTTATAGAAAAAAAAGAAGGATTATTTAGGATGAAAATGATGGGAAAAAGAGTAAACTATGCAGCTAGAAGTGTGATTTCTCCAGATCCTTATATTGATACTAATGAAATCGGGATCCCTGTAGTTTTCGCTAAAAAATTGACTTTTCCAGAATTCGTCAGAGAAGAGAATGTTGACTTTTTACGAAAACTTGTGGAAAATGGCCCACATGTGCATCCGGGAGCTAATATGATTGAGGACAGAGAAGGCAGAAAAATGGTTCTTGACAAGTTCGACCAAAAACAGTTAAAGGCAATTGCAAGAACTCTTTTAACTGGAGGCCCCGGCAAAATCGTATACAGGCACTTACACAACGGAGACATGCTGATTGTAAATAGGCAGCCTACTTTACACAAACCAGGCATGATGGCTCACAGAGCAAGAGTTCTCCCTCAGCAAAACACAATCAGAATGCATTATTCCAACTGCAATACTTATAATGCTGATTTTGATGGCGACGAAATCAATTTGCATTTCCCTCAATCCCACGTTGCAAGATCAGAAGCCAAAAATATTGCTTCAACTGATTATCAATATACAGCCCCAACAAGTGGAAAACCTCTCAGAGGGCTTATTCAGGATCACGTTGACAGTGGAGTTTTAATGACATCAAGGGACACACTATTAGAAAGAGACGAATATTTGCAGCTTGTGTATTGTGCTACTTCAAATCTGAATATTTCATTTCAGATTCCTCCTTGCATTATTAAGCCTAGAATGATGTGGTCTGGAAAACAAGTGATTTCGACCATCATCCAAGCTTTAGTACAGGGAAAATCTCAGCTGAATTTGGATGAAAAATGTAAAGTGCCTGGAAAACTTTGGGGTTCGAGAGGATTTGAAGAAGAAAGATTGATTATTAGACAAGGGTACATATGTACAGGAGTTATTGATAAAAATCATATTGGAAGCACGGAGTTTGGAATGGTTCATGCGTATCATGAACTTTATGGAGAATCAATGGCATCTCAGCTGCTTACTTCTTTAGGAAAAGTGCTGACTCAATATTTACAAATGGTTGGGTTTACTTGTAATATGGATGATTTATTCTTAACACCTACAACTAACAAAGATAGAGATAAATGGATTGCGTCTATTCAGCAAGAAACTATTAAATATGCCTACACACTTATACTCCCTTATATTTTTTTAAAATAATTTTTTTATAATTTATATATAATTATTTTTTAAAAATAATCAAATAAAGAAGCTAGAGGACTTGCTCCCCCAAGCCCAGATGAAGAAGAGTTTAAAACTCATGAGAAGCTTCTTAGAGAATTGGAAACTTATATGCTAGCGTCTCCAAATAATCCTCGAGATCTCGATATCAGAATGATTTCTCTATTAAACAATTCCGCTTCAAAAACGCAATCAAGATCTCTTCCTGATGGACTTGTGAAAAAATTCCCGAAAAATTGTTTTTCTACTATGGTTACAACTGGTGCCAAAGGAAGCATGGTTAACCATAATCAATGCTCTTTTATGCTTGGGCAGCAAGAACTTGAAGGGAGAAGGGTCCCTCTGACAATTGTAGGAAGATCCCTACCAAGTTTTGCTCCATATGATCCTAATCCAAGAGCTGGAGGGTTTATTTTTGATAGGTTCCTCACAGGGATTAAGCCTCAAGAATATTATTTTCATTGCATGGCTGGCAGAGAAGGACTGGTTGATACTGCAGTCAAAACATCCAGAAGTGGATATCTGCAAAGATGCTTGATTAAAGGGCTAGAAGGTCTCATAGTAGGATACGACTACTCAGTAAGGGATAGTGACAGTTCAATTGTCCAATTTTTATATGGAGAAGATTGTATAGATCCAACCAAAAACAAATATGTTCAAAATTTTGAATTTTTGAACTCCAATGCTGAAGCTTTACTTCGGAAATATAAATATGATGAAGCAAAAGAAAAATTGGACTTAAGCAGATTTAAAGATATCAAAAATGAAGATTTCTCGAGCCCATTTCTGACTGCATTGCACACATATAGCCCAGTTACTCCAGGAGCACTACCAAATAAGATGTTTGAACTATATGATCAATTTTTAGAGGATAAAAAAACATTAAGAAAAAGCAATCCTACAGTGAAAAGAATATCAAGAACTAAGTTTTCATCGTTATTATCCTTAAAATATATGAGAAGCATTGTAGAACCTGGTGAATGTGTTGGAATCATTGCATCACAGTCTATTGGAGAGCCTTCAACCCAGCTGACACTCAACACTTTCCATCTTGCTGGTCACGGAGGTGCTAACGTTACTTTGGGTATTCCCCGTCTGAGAGAAATCTTAATGACTGCTTCAGCAAATATAAAAACTCCAACTATGACGCTGCCATTCCTCCAAGGTATTGAGAAAGCTCATCAGCTGAAAAATAAGCTCCAAAGAATAAATTTTAAAGACCTCCTAACCCAGATAAAGATCCATGAAAAAATTCTCCCAAATCTCAACAAGAGAATTTATGACGTTAAAATTTTCCTTGAGCCAAAAGAAACTATAAAAGAAGAGCTTGGGATATCATGGCGGACAATTTCTAAAAAGGTCGAGAACATTCTTTCTTATAACTTAGATGCAGCCATTGCTGGAAAAATCAGAAAATCAGATGCGAAATCTGAAATTATGTTCCAAGAAAAGGAAGAAATTTCTAAACGTGATGAAGAAGTTCCTGAAATTCCTAAACAGAAAAGGAAAGGCAGTGAAGATGAAATTGGTGAAGATGAAGGACATTTAGCAGCAAAAGTGAAAAACCAGAAGCAGGAAATAAGAACTTATGATGACGATTTTGATGAAGAAGACAAAGATAACATGGATATTTGGTCAAGCATAGGTCGCAACCAGACACCCCCACCCCCCCAATAAGGGAACCCCACCCCCCCCCCCTAGAAATGGTACCCCCACCCCCCTTTCACAGATGGCACCCCCACCCCCCCTCTCGGGTTTATCCTATAGAAGTATTTGATAGGAAATAAGCAGAATAAATTAAACATAACCCAATTAAAACACTATATTTTTAAATTAAGTCCACAAATTACTTTATATTTATGATTAATTAATAAATTTAAATTAACTAGCAATTAATTAGAAAATATATTAAATTTGCTTTTTATATTTATAGATATAGCTCATACACCTTTATAGATTTCTTTATCGAGCAAAATGTATTGGACTATTGAACGAGGAAAAACAGAGTCTCTCAAAGAGATGAGCTCAATCTCCATATCAGAAAGTGCTAAAAAGTGACATGTCAAAGAATGGTAACAAGTGTGAAAAAAGTTGACAAGTAAACGCGCCAATTTTTTTAAAAATGGCGTTATTATTAAAATAAGATATGAACCTTAAAATTTGAAAATGAAAAGGGGGGACTTACCGAGCGAACAGTTGCATAGGTCTCCAAGTGATATAACTCTAGTTAGTATATCATGCAAAATCTCCAGTAGGATTTTGACTTAAGCAATTATAAAGATGGAGTCCATTATTGAAGAAATTGCATATGAACTTTAAAATTGAAAATGGAAAGGGGGGAATTACCAAGGCAACCACTCAATAGGTCTCTAAGAACTAGTGCTTCAGTTAGCATATCGCGTAAAAACTCCAGTAGGATTTTGACTTATGATAGTTTTCAAGATGGTGCCTATTGTAGAGAAATAGGACTTGTAGTTGAAAAATTGAAATCGTAATGGGGGACTTACTGAGGAACCACTCAATAGGTCCCTAAGAACTAGTGCTTCAGCAAGCATATCGCGTAAAAACTCCAGTAGGATTTTGACTTATGATAGGTTTCAAGATGGTGCCTATTGTGGAGAAATAGGACTTGTAGTTGGAAAATTGGAATCACAATGGGGGAACTTACCGAAGCAACCACTTAATAGGTCTCCAAGTGCTGTAGCTTTAGCCGGGAATATCTCGCAAAAACTCCAGTAGGATTTTGACTTAAGCGATTATGTAAGTTTTAATTATTTTAATAATAAAGCCATTTTAAAAATTGGCGCGTTTACTTGCCAACTTTTTTCAGACTTGTCACCATTTTTTGACATGCTACTTTTTAACACTTCCTGATATAGATATCCAGTCCGTTCCTTTAATAGAGTCTTCCTTGGTCTTGCACTTTCTATTACATTTTGCTCGATTAATAAATCTATATCGGTGCATGAGCTATATAATGCCAAAGATATAGATAATGGCGTTAATTATTAAATTAGTCAAGCACAATACAATAACTTGCATTAAATTTATTGATTCATAAATTAAAGCTAATCTAATGACAATTGTATAAGGCAGGATTCAATAGTGGTAATAAAAATAGTATTTGCTATTGTCAGTTTTACTTTTGGATCTCTAATTCGACTTTTAGCCATTGTTCCACAAAGTTCATAAATATATGCAGGGTATATTGCTAATTAATACCAAAGATCATTATTATGCTTGCTAAAAAATTTTTTCAGATTTGGTGAGAGCTACTAATTATAGGAAATTCTCACCCCATTCCATCTACTCCTTAATCGATTGTGCTACGCTATGTGGATATTGCATAAATCAGTAATTTTTAATATTTAAAATAATAATTTATTTATTACATCTGCTCTAAATTGGCATTTTTCATATATTTTATGCTATATTATGGGGATGGGGATGGGGGTGGGGGTGCCATTTTTTAGGGGGGGTGGGGGTGTAGGGTTGCTACCTGTGCTTGACCAGATATTGAAGCTAAAAAAACTGATAAAAAAAAGCCAGGAAAGAAAAAAGTAGAAGAAGAGGTTTCAGACGCTGAAGAAAAAAGATGGAAGTGGCTTACAAAATGCCGAGCAAGCGAAAGCAAAAATTGCATAATCCTCACTTTTGAAGTACCTTTGAGAAGCAATATATTACTACTAAACGAAGTCGAAAAGCAGCTTGAAATCACCTATGTAAGAGAAGTGGAAGGAATAGGCAACTGCCACGTCATTGAAGATAAAAGTGGAGGCGTTCTAATCAACACTGAAGGAATAAACTTCAGAGAAATATGGAACTATGATGACAAAATAAATTTGAATAAAATAAAAACAAATGATGTTTATGCCATGCTAAAGACATATGGCGTTGAAGCTGCTGCGAAAACAATTACCATGGAAATCAATGGAATTTTCTCGCATTATGGAATTGCGGTTGATAAGCGCCATCTAAACCTCATCGCTGACTATATGACTTATAATGGAGGATATCGGCCATTTAATAGACTTGGAATGGGAGAAAACCCAAGCCCTTTATTGAGGATGAGCTTTGAAACCACAATGGGATTTTTATCAGAATCTGCTGCAACAAGAGAAATTGACACAGGGGCATCCCCGGCATCATGCATAGTTTTGGGTAAGCCTGCAAGGATTGGAACCAACATTATGGACATTTTACAAGTTTTACCTAATAAAAGTTAACAAAATAGTTATGATTAATTATCTTCTGCTTTTTTTGAAATCGTTGTGTTTTTTGTGTTTAGATTTTTCATGATGCTTTCTTTCTGCTTTTTCTGTGGATGAAGATCGTCGTTCTTTTCTTTTGGCAACGGCTTCCTGCATTTGTTTTTCTTTTTCAAGGATTTTGGCTTGCCGTAAAGCTATTTGATTTAATAAAAACTCATTTCAGCTTTCTTCATCAAATCCAAAATTAAACCAATCAGAAATGTTAGCTCCTGGGATAAGCCAAGGCTTTTCTGCTACTTCAGTTGCAGCTGGTTTATAGCTATCACCTACGTATTGATAGATTTTCTTTCTATACTCCATTCATTGTTCTAATGTATAATCATTGCAATCTCCCCAATAAATTTTTACTTCTGTATCTTCCTCTTCTTCAGACATGGCTTTACTATCATTTATCATTATTTTTATTAATAAATTAATGGCAAACACATTAAAATTTGATAATAAGCCAGCAATTACTATAAGCATTAGCTGTTAAATTTTCTTCAATAAATTGTCCTAGTGCAATATCATTTGAATAAATTTTTATAAATTAATGAATTTTAGTATAATTAATAAATTTTTTTGAAGCCAAATTAGGGATATTTTCTATTTTTAAAGACCCAAGAGAATTACTTTAAATAAAATGGCATTAGAAATCGGAAAGCGACTAAGGATTAATCAAGACATTGAAGATTTTAAATGCAAGCGGACGCTTAAAGTCGAGACTTCGCACAGTAGTATAATTGAGTTTGGTAGCCAATCTCTCAATGAAAATTTAATTAGGCTATACGCCCTTTTTCCTCTTAAAGGCCGTGAAGAACTGGTTTCAGCTCTTGAGGCGACTTACAACAATTTAGATTCCAGCATCAGCCTTCTTCAAAAAAAAGACAGAGACAAAGCTATAGATGAGTGCACATATGCATATGCTGCAAGCCTCATCCAAGATCTTAAAAGTGTCACTTCAATTGAAGATGCTTCGAGAATCGCTCAAAATTACATGAAAAAGCACACAAGCCAGACTTCAGATATTTCTTCCTCAGCAATGAGCAGTGAAAACAAAGACCTTGAGAAACAAATATCAGCTCTTAATAATGACATAAAAATGCTCAAAAAAGCAGTTTTACAGCTGCATAGGAGACTTTTAGAAAAAAAAGCGAGTGAAGATGAGTATTTTTGAATGGGTTATTTGCTTGTATATTTTAATTTGTAAAATCCTTTTACGCATTCTTTAGCTAAATACCATCATGCTAAATAATTTTTAATATGCCAAGACATATAAAAAAATAACTAATGGGCTATATGAAGTTTTGTATGAACAGTTGAAACAAGAAAGATATAAAAATTATGCATTGAGGTCTCAAGTATATCAAAGTTTGAAAGACTTTAATCAATAAAGATATTTAGTGTATTTAAGACTTTAAATTCAAAATCTAAAGTAAATTTCCTTATTGTGCAGAAAAGCCAAAAATTGTTACCATACATATAGATTATTTTAATTGAATGAAAATGGCTGAAAAGGATTTTCGAAAATTATTTTGTATAATTGCTTCTTAAAATAATTAATAGATTATTTAAAAATTATAAGTGATATAAAATTAGCTTTAATTTAAAAAAAATGGTTTTAAGATCAGACAAATTTCTCGTTTATAGTTCAAATCCATTTAAAATATTTTACACTAATTTCGAAAAAGATCTAAAACTTTTTCTATTCAAAATTATAATTCTCGCTTATATTAATAATAAATCTAAAATGAGCGACAACTCATCACCTTTATCTAAATTACTTCCGAGCATCAGCCAACCTGCACTAAATAGCTTTGTTCGAGTGCCAAGATTACGAAAGCGACCCCATATCTCAACCACAGCAAACTCTACTACAAAATTTATTTCCTCAATTGCAACTCCAGCTGAAAAGCTTTTTCAAGGTACCCCAACTCTCAAAAAATCTGAATCTCAGCCAATCCCAATGACAGTTCCACAAGAAATAAAGCCCAGCTTTATTGATGAACTAATAAAGCGCTACTCTGCTGATGAAAACTCTGAATTTGTCGATTTGACAAATAAAATCCAACGCATCAAGCCAATAAACCTTTTTTGGGAAAAAAAGCAAACAGAAGGTTTCATTCCTGATGCAAGGGTAGGCGCCACATTGACAATGGTTAACAATAACTTATACCTTTTTGGAGGACAATGCGGCGAAAGATTAAATGACATTAAAATGCTTAATTATAGAAATTGGCATTGGGAAGGAGTTAATCATATAAACCCTGACACAATCCAGGAAATTCCTGAGCCTAGGGTTGGACACACTGCAATTGGGTATAAAAATTCTTTAGTTGTATATGGAGGTGGAGGAGGCTTTAACTCGACACTTCACATAAGAGGATGTTTCCCTTTAGTCCATATTTTTGATACCATAAATTCTCAATGAAGAAGCTATAAGCCACTTGGAAGACTTCCAGATGCAAGAAGAAACCATGGGGCTGCGCTTGTAGGAAATACAATGATTATGTATGGTGGAATTGATAGTAATGGGAAAACATTAGCTGATCTAAATGGTCTAAACCTTGAAGCTATGCAATGATTTTCTATCAAGCTTGACAAAACATCAGAAAAGCCTGGACAAAGGCACTCGTTTACCTTAACATCAGTCTACCATAGCGGAATGCTAAGACAGTATTCCAGCGACATTTTTAACCTGCCACATATTTATGATGATATTTTTACTAAAAAAAACTGCGGAGTCTACCTATTTGGAGGTATGAATAAATCTGGCGTCGTTAGTAACGACGTGTATTTACTACAGCCATTTAAAAGCAACCGTGAATATATAAACTCATTAAAGTGGACAAAATTAGAACCATCAGGGACGCTACCAACCCCAAGATATGGCCATGTAGCAGTCTTGTGTGGAGGCTGCTTATACGTTATGGGAGGCCGAAATGATTCTTTATTTAAAGACGGATGTGGAGGCGAAGTCAATGAAATGAGCGCGCTAAATATAGCAAGCTGCCGATGGGAAACACTTAAAATTTATGGACATTTGCCATCACCTAGATGGGGAGCTTCAGCTGCTGTTGTTGGGTCAAGAATTCTGTATTTTGGAGGCATGGCTTTGAATAAATTTAGCCATAACCAACTTCATACATTAGAAACTGACCCAAATTACGTGAATGAGCTTATTAAAGCTTGGGAATCTGAAGAAGAGCTGCGAAAAATAAGAGAAATCACCACAAATAGCAAGTTAGCAAATAAAGTAAAATTTATCCCACACACATTGTTATTGGAAAACAGAAGACCTAGTAACCCTCCAGCACGAAGAGCAGCCATGATGATTTTAAGTGCAAGCCAAGCATTGTAAATACCTATTAGTTAATAACTAATTTTAATTTTAAGCTTTTTAGGAGATATTCGAGGAGATATAATAAATATGGTACTAGGCGAATTACCTCCAGAAATCAATCATATTTTTGCTGAACCTGAGCCACGGCCAAATAAAATTGTAAGACACATATAGCTTTCTGCAGCGTTTTCAGGCATAATCGTTTTTATCTTTCTCTATTTCTCGACCCAAGTTTCCATGCTAAAATTGAATTCTGGGGGTCTGAAGAGTGCAGGTGTCCAAACATCGATCTTGTTTATCTCTATCATTTCTATTATAGGGCTTTATTTTTGGTTTTGGTATGCTGGAAATATTATTGATACAATCAAAATTTTGCTGGTCTTGCTAATTGTACCTATCATAGCCAACTCACTGTTTCAAAGCAATAAAGTAGCTACCGATAAACAAGGAAAGGAAAAGAAAGGAAAATAAGAATAAGCTAAAACTTATAACAGACAATTAATAAGAGCATTATAGCCTATATAGCTACAAGATAACGATTAATCTTTATGGTTAGATAATTTAAGGGAATATAAATCGCTATACAATTTATTGACTATAGCTTTAGGCTAACTTTTTATTAGTTATTCTGCTTTGGTTTCTTCTGTTTCCTCTTTAGTCTCTCCTTCTGCTGCTGCTTTTTTCTTTTTCTTGTTCTTCTTTGCTTTCTTTGGCTTTGCGACTGCTACAGTTGCCATTGGAGTTGCCAATAATGCTTTAACAGCTTCATCAGTAACAGTCTTATCACTCTGGCAAGTCTCAGGGCTGAAAATCAGTGGTGTTATCACAATAGTCCCTGTCTCAAGCACCAACACAGTCACCTTAAACTGAGCTACAAAGTCATCAGGCTTTTCTGTAATAACAGGAAAACTGTAAAGCATATTGTGATTCAGACACTCAGAGACTCCTACCCTCGCATTTCGTTGGTCTGCAAATGATCTCAATGAGAACAAAAGTGTAGGGAACCTTCTATTGACTTCTGTTAAGAAGTTTCTTGAACTTTTCAGCTTTAAGTTATAAGTCATGTCTAATGCTCTCTGGAAAACAGTCGTCCTTTGTTCAGATTCTTTAGGTTTTCCTTCACCAGTTGACAGGAAAATGTCAATAATATAAGCTTCGTTGGCTCCGAATTGGAATTCTTCTACGTGTTGGTCGAAACTTTCTTTGCCAATAATCACATGGTTCCCGTCTATTACATGCTGCTTTATTTCGTGGGAGAGGACTCCTTCAAGGACGTTGCAACCGTAATCTGTAGCGATTTTATTGAAAACTTGTGTGACTTCTGTGTTTGTGCTACCAGGCTTGATATGAAATTTCTCCTAAATATGACTTATTTTCTATATAAAATACCAATATTTCTATTTATTATAATAAGCATAAGTCTTAAAGCAGCTTGTATTGCATTATATGCCGCCAATGTGACGTCAGCTTTGTTGCCTGATATTGGAGCTTCTGCAGATGCCCCTACGATTAAAGAAGTTGCAGCATTTGCAATGTAACCATCAATATGAGCACCAAGTTCGATTTTAATCAGATCGCCAGGCTGAAGAGTGTATGATTCTTCAGGTAATGGACTGTAATGTGCACAAATATGGTTTACAGAAATGCAGGTAGGGACTGCAATTCCTTTCTCTATTGGAGCACTTGTGAAAACTGTAGCTAGGCCTTGCTCGATCAGCTGATCTCCATTGGAACAAAGAGTTGATACATCAGCGCCTGCTTGGCATTGAGGGACTAAAGCTTGTAGAGCTCTATTTACTATGTTTGCGGCCTCTCTGTATTTGCTGACTACGTTTGGATTTGTGAGTCCTTTAGCTACTTGTTCTTCGGTCTCCATTAATTTCAAGAGGCTGATGGCCAGACAAAATCATATGGAAATGAGATTTATTTATTATGTGAGCGAGAGAAATTGTGATTAATTAATATGCAAGAATTTTTGAGGATTATTGAAGGTAATGAATGATTTATTATGAGAGTTTATATTAGCATATGAATGTATTCATTATCCATTTTTCAAAAATATTGAGATTTAGTTTTAGACAGAAATTTTATATTAGCAATTTATATATGGTTATTTAAAGTAATTAAATTTTATTTTTAGTTTTGAATCAAAATATTTTTAACCATTATACTTGCTATTTTTGATTCAATTTTTATAATTCAATTTTCGAGATTGATAATAAGATATTAATTGCTTTGCTCTGTTAGCTCAAATCATTATATAAAAAAAGTAAATACAATCAAAGAATGTCTAAATATAGAGCCCAAGTCTAAAATATCAAAGGCAAAACACAAAAATTGGTAAAAAAATTGATGGTATGAAAGAAGAAAGGGTGTTAGAGAATCAACGATTTCAGTCTATCACAGTCTTTTATTGCCACAAAAGATGATGATTTTGGTAAAAGCTTTATGAATACAGAGCTTGGAATCAAATATAAGCCTTTAAAAGAATAATATCAAAGTCAATAGAAGAAATCTGCAAGCTCAGATCTCAATTAAGCGGTGTTAGATACTTGAGCAGGCCAAAATTTAGTTAGCACTGGAGGTTATACAGAAAGAATGGCCCAATTATCCGAAATCCTTGTAAATGCCTTATTCAATAATAAGAAATAAAATGGTGACGTTGACTGAAATTGAACTCCTATCGCACTTCCAATGGAGCAGGTAGGACCCATCATGATAAAGTGAAAATAGTGCTTCTATAACTTTTTAAAGTAGGTCTCCTGGTTTTGGGATGCCTGCAGAAAAGGGAAGTTTTGCTTCTTCAAGGTTTTCTCTGCCCCTACCAGATGGGCTAGGCAGGCTTTGGCTCTCACTGAGTCCTTGCTTATCAGGATTAACGGGGTATCCGCAAAAGGTGGCTAGGTGGATTTATGTCAGATAGGTAGGTTAATCGTCTATTCGTTTATGTTTTTATGGAACTTAACTTAAATTATTCATAATAACATTAGTTTATAATTTAATAAAATGCCAAGTCTTGTGTCTGGTGGGGCAAAAACTCTTTTAGTTACAGCTTTGCTATTTATTGTATAGTTTCAGCATCCTTCTCGATCACTCAAGCCTCCAACTCCACTTGCCAATTGGAGAGTTTTCATTATCAGCTCCAAATTGACAAGCCAACTCTCAATTTGGCAAATCTGCAATATCTTGTAGATTTACCAATTTGAAGGAATTGAATACTTGAGCTTTCCATAATAATGCTCAAACTATAGCTCCTATTGTGACACTCTTTTCAATGCAGTGTAAATTATATATTAGACCTAACTCAAGATTTAGCTCCAACCACGAGAACTCTTATTAGTGGGATTTCAGCAGTGATTGTAGTGCATATAGTGATAGCTTTCTTTTTATACACTCTTTTCAAGTATATGCGGAAAAATGACTAATTAAATAATCATTTATATTTAAAGGAACTAAATCCTGAGCCATTAGCCTATTCCCGCTTCTAAGCAAACTAAATTTTTGCTTGCTTTTTATAGTGATTAAAATTATACATACATAATTTCCATAAATTAAAGAACAGTAATTTGTCATCTTCAAAACATGCAATCTTTTATTTTCTCATAATTTTTTAAATAACCAACAAAATGGGCTGTTGTCCATCTTCAAAACCAAAAGAACTAACTATCAACAGTTCAGCTCCACCCACATCTCGCAGCATTGGTGATATAAAAATTCATCCAGGAACTTTTGTGAAGCCTCATGGGATTCCTTTCAAACAGCTTTACATGTTAGGAAACCTTATTGGAAAAGGCAGCTTCGGAGAAGTGAGGCGCTGCACACATAGACTTTCAGGGCTATTAAGAGCAGTAAAAATATATCAAAAAGAAGGTTTTGGATCTGAAATTGACCAAGAAGGCAGCATGAACCGAGAAATGGAAATCCTGAAGCTCCTGGATCATCCAAATATTATAAGAATCTATGATTTCTTTGAAGATGAAGAAAACTATTATTTAGTCATGGAATACTGTGAAGGAGGAGAACTATTCAGCAAAATTGCGAAATTGTCAAGGTTTAGTGAAGCACAGGCTGCAGAAATAATGAGGCAGCTGCTATCTGTGGTAGCGTTTTGTCATAACTTGAGGATTGCACATAGAGATTTGAAGCCTGAAAATATCATGATAGAAGAAAGGGGGCAGAGCTTTAATATGAAAATAGGCGATTTTGGGACTGCTGTCAAGATAGGGGAAGGGGAAGAGCTTGAAGGTATTGTAGGGACTGTTTTTTATATGGCACCTGAAGTATTGACTGGGAAGTATAATGAAAAATGTGATATATGAAGCTGCGGAGTAATTATGTATATATTGCTTACTGGAAAACCACCCTTTCCAGGGAAAACTGATGATGAAATTATAGAGAGAATTAAAATTGGGGAATACAACACTGATTTACCAATTTTCCAAGAAATATCTCCTGAAGCCCTAGACCTGATAAGAAAAATGTTGGTCCCACAGCCTGAAAGAATTTCTGCAAGCCAAGCTATAAGCCATCCATGAATCACCAAGCATATAAACTATGAGACAGTAAACAAAGTAGCCCTAGACCAAGTCATAGAAAATTTAAAAGAATTTTCAAACACCCTCAAGCTAAGAGACACAATCATGTCTTTTATTGCCGCACAAATCGTCAACAACCGAGATTTCAAAGAAATCCGACAAATTTTTTCGTTAATCGACAAAGATGGGGATGGGAAAATAGGTCGCGAAGACCTTGTAGAGCAGCTACAAACTCAGATGACCCATGATATGGCTGAATGTGAAGTAGATAAAATAATAAGCCAAGTAGATGCTGATATGGATGGGTATATTCAATATACAGAATATCTTAAAGCGTCAATTGATAAAAATATTCTGTTATCAAGGGCAAATCTATATATGGCTTTTTCAATTTTTGATATTGATAAGAATGGGATGCTTTCTGTAGAGGAACTTATGAATTGACTTGCTGGGAGTGAAAGCCAAGATATTGAGACTTGACAAGAGCTGGTAAAAGAAGCAGATCAAAATGGAGATGGGCAAATTGATTTGGGAGAGTTCACAGATTTTCTTCTTGATAAAATTTAATATAATCGAAAGTTTAATAAATCTGTTTAGGGTGTTATATATATAAGTTTTAACTTATAGCAAATTAATTCAGAGTACTATAAAAGAGTTGCTAATGACAGCATCTGTTTTATTTGGAAACACTTAAAAAAACTGAAATTTATGTCAAAAACCTTTCAGAAATCACTTTATTGTTAATCTATTTAGATTATGATTCTAATTCTGGCTCTGTTTCTTTATCTTCAGATCTTTCTTCACCATTTCTCTTTTCCTCTTCATGATTTTTCTTTTTTACTGTGATTTTCATAGCTTCTTCTTTAGGAGGTTCATATTTCCACGTAGTCGTTGAAGAATAGCTGCTGTAGCTTGATGTATATGCTGAACTTTTATTGAATTTTTTCTTTTCTTCCTCAGTTAAATCTCTCGTTGCTTCAGTTTTATCTTTAACACTAATTAGTTCTTACAAGAATAAGTTCCCATCCATTGTCAAAAACCAAGGATTTTGGCTCATGATGTTCATATTCCCTTTTACCTTGTAAAATATCTCATTAGGCAGGTCAGTTCTTGAGAAATTCCAGCTATATGTAATCTTTGTAACTTCAAGCTTTTCTATCTATTTCTATTTACAATTATTAAATTCTTTTTTAAATAATCCATGTTTCTTATTTTCACAGGGAAAGAGACTAATTTCAATCTTATCGTATTTATCCTATCTCAATAAGCTTACGTAAAATTTACTGGAATATCAAAAGCGGTTGACAGCTTATTGCCGAAGTCTTCAAGTGTGCTTGTTTTCGATATAAAGATCTCAACTGGTTTTGATACCTGCCACGTCGAAGGCCACCATCTTTTCACAATAGTGACCAGCTTGCTAGATTCCACTGACTCAGTATCCAAAATCTGTATCGAAATATTTTTCTTTTCATATAGCGCATATTGCCTCAGCATGTCATCTTTTCTCAGTATTCTTGCTAATTTATCAGAATTTCTCTCTCTTAGCCTTATTTTTTCGACCTCAACTCCCATAGATGGGTACATTTCATTTAATTTTTCACAAACTTTAGTCTTAACTTCGCTAACCATCATTCCTGCATCCAGTGGCATATCAAATAAATCAATAAATTTATAGCAGACTGCGTCACCTTCAGACTCATCAGCTTCAGTTGCCAGGGAAAACAAAATCCTGTATTCATTAGGCTTGGTCGGTTTTCCTCTTTCTATAAAAATAACGCTATTGTTTACTAAGCTTGCTTGGGTTAGTTTAATTGTGAGGTCTTTTATTTCTTGGGAGTGCTTTCCGCCTCTTTTCATAATGAATTCGTCAATTGATAAGCTCAGCTTGGTTGCAATCATTTCTTTAAGGGTTTGCAATGTTGAATAGCAGTCTAGCACGACGCTAAGATTGTAGTCTAGCTGATTTGTGTAATTAGGAACATCATCAGGGTGGTTAAATCGAATCACATATCTTCTTGATTCTAAATCTAACTGCTGCTGCCATTTCGGAGTTTTGGAATTTTCGTCAGATTCTTCTAAATAAAGAATTGATCCTTCATAAATTTTTGCATATGATAAAGAATTCCCTAAACTCCCTTTAGAGTTGACGATTTCACATTGAGTTGTCATGCCCATATACGTTTTCTTTAAAATCACTTGTCGGTCTTGAGGGATGTTAAATTTCGTCTCAAAGATCCCCATCATTCCTCCAACAGTGTCTTTTTTGCTGATTATGATTTTGTGGGGATTTGATGTTTTTTCTTCAAATGACTTTGTGGAGTCTTCCATTTCTGAGCTCCAAAGGTTGACTTTTATAGTGATTTGGTTAGGGTCATAAGGTGGCCATTCTTCATCAGAATTTTTAGTTTCTACTCCAAGGACTTTTCAGTTCCATATCTGTTGGCTTTCAACAGTTTTTTCTTCATCATAAACGTCTTGGAAAATGTCATAATAAACAGAATACCCTCTAATTCTAATATTTTCTGGGGCGATTTCTGTTATTTTGAACGCTTTTATAGCTTCTTCTTTAATGGCTTTGACGTTTTCGTCTTTCTTTATATTTATTGAGATTTCTTTTTTGCCATAATAAAGTTTGAGTGTTAATGATTTATATTTTTCGACTCTTTCAGCTTGTTCTTCTTTATCTTTTTCTACTTGGTTTACAAGCTCTTCTTTAATTATTGTTGGGACTTCTGAGTCTTCTATTTTGATGATATTCTCTGGGGCGACTTTTCTATACATAAGCAAATAGGCATTAGCGGAATACCCTGAGTCCCAGCCTTTGGTGTTTCCTTTGCCGCCATACACTTTTTCTATTTCTCTTTCTTCTATTCCTTTTACATAAGAATCATTAAAATTATTCCAGCTAGCGTCGTCAAATGATTTTATATAAGCGTAGTAATGCCCTCCTAAAGCTGATCCTGAATGAATCATAATTGAAAACAGCTCATACACGTTTTCGCCTTGTTTTAAGTATTCTTCAATTTGTGCGTGCTGCTTTGCTTTTCGTTCTTCAGCTTGTTTGGCAATTATTTTATCTTTTACGACCTGGTCAATTTTTGTGGGCTTTTTATCTCGGTCATCAGACAAGTATTCGATTTTGCTGTTTTTTATTTGTACAAGATTTCTGGAATCTAGATCTGCCGGGACCACGTCAAGATAAGGCAATTCCTCTTTTTTGTCTTCTTCTATATTTTGGGCTGCTGAGGTTTCTTCAATAATTTCTTCTGTTATGTCCCCAACATAAGGATTGGCATTGAGAATTTGGGGAAAAGTCACCTTATCATTAAGCTTGATTCTTTGAAAAGTTGTGTAGTCTAAATCAAATCTTTTAAGCTGCAAAACCAAAAAATAAGGCAGTCTTTCGAACTTCAGCCCCTTCAGAGCATCTTGTTTTGCATTGCAATTTTCACAAAAATATTGGTTATCCCCAGTCAGCTTATCTGGCTTTATATATGACCGTAAAGCTTTTTCGACAGAATCGTTATAAATCTTATCGAAATCGTTTCTGACGGTTAATGAAAGGTCAAGAAACTTGTCCTGACGCTTGGATTCATGTTTGCAGTTTAAACATTTCACATAATCAGTATAAATTCCTTCATACATTGAATTAATCATGTTCTCATCTGGTGTTCCTTTGACACTTTCTTCAATAGCATCAAATAAGACTCTACAGAATTCTTGAACGTCATGCTGTTGGAAGCTTTCTTTTATATCCCAACCGAAACTTTTAGTTAGTGCTTTAGTTTCGACGTATGGGCTTTTCGCAATTTGGAGTTTCCCAAATAGGAGCTGGAGCTGATATGGAATGCAATCTTTCTTTTCACCATGCTTTCGCTCATCATAAGTCCATATATAGATTTTCTTGCGAAACTCTGGAGTCATGAAAAGAGATTGAAGTAAACTATTCATATAGCAAGTGGCTCCTTGGTTGGAGAGGCCTGAAAATTTTTGGTCTCGTCTAGTAGAAGTTGGAGCATCGAAGCTAGTATAAGGAACAAGAGCATACATCATAATAATTAGTGTACCATCAGATTACCCTATTTAATGAGACTGATAAATATACATATGTATAAATACACCAAAATTGGGGTTATGGAGGTCTGGAGGATGGGATTGGTTAAAATTGAAGTCTTGAGTGAAGGGAATGCAGTTATAAATGAGATTTGTTAGTTATTGTAATAATTCATGTAAGAAAAGGCTATTAAATAACTGATGCTTACATTATGAATTTAAATAGTTTTTTGAAAATAATGTATAATTATTAGATCCTCTTCTAAGCTAAATAGTGCATAGAAACTAATTTAAGTTTCTAATAAATAAGTTATTTCGATTAATTCAAAGAGTAAAAGTGTTATTTAGTTTCAAATTGCAAATTATTTTTAGGTGATTACCGCTCCTTACGAGCTGATTGCTCTTTTTGCATGCTCTGATAAAATTCAATATATGCAGAAGTGACATTCATGCTGTCTTCACTCTTAGTTCGCATTCCTTTCGGGTTTTTCGCATTTGCTCTTGACTCGAATTGTTCTTCAAGCTCTTCTAAAGTTTTCAGCAATTCTTCCTTTTCTTGAAGCTCGCTCTCAAGCTGTTCTTCCTTTCTCTTGATTTTTGTGTCCAAGGTTTCTGATTGCTGCTCCAATTGATACATCAAGGAAGATTTAGCATCTATTTTGCTTTTAAAATCGAGAATCTGAGATTCCATGTCTTTAATTTGCTGATCTCTCATTATGAGTTTGTCTCTTAGCCTTTGGGTTTCCATTTTGATGAGGTTAATTAAAGCTCTCTTTTATTTAATTAATACAAAATAGATAGTTGTTATGCTGTAATGTATTAATTTGCATTTGTTTAAATGGTAATTGTTTTATATTTTTAATAATTTTTTGGTCGCAAAAATTGTATTCTCTTTATAATAATTAAAGTAATCGATTTTTAATTTTTTTCATTGCATATGGAAATAACTGGGAAATTAAAATTATCATTTATTATAAATAAAGATATAATAAGAAATTAAAATTTCCTTTATATCATTCTATTTATATTGTATGCAAATTATATTAAAAAGCTATACATTTATTCAAATTTTATATAATTCTTTTAATGCCAAATTCACTAAAATTTGATATATAAATAGAGAAATATTCAATTATAAAAAGTCCTATTCCCTAGCTATTTAAGTTGAGAATAAAAAGGGATTAATTAAATTAAAAATATAATCCAAACTCGCAAACTTCAAAATTTCTTAAATCAGCTTTAAATATACTCTTCCATTCAATTATGCAAACTCTAAAACTAAAACTAATTTATCTCTATATATTCATCAAAGATTATGAATTTAATTAGATTTAATTAAAGAATTATTAATCCGGGTAAGGGGATGTAAAAATAACTCTACAAGCTGTATCTTTTATTGCAACATTCTCGTCAACTGTGACTTCTTTTAAAATTTGGTTTTTCAATGTTTCGTTTAGTTTATAAGGCGGATCGTCCAGCGACAAAAAGCGGCTGACGTCAAATGCATTGCATCTTCTTCTTGGGTGCTGAAGCTTCATAGATTCCCACACTTCTGTATGAACTTTTTGTAAATGCCTGTTTAATCCTTTTTTGTATTTATAAGATTTGCCACATACATCACATAGGAAACTTCTGAGTGAAGTGTGAGAAACCATGTGCCTTTGAAGGAATTGCTTATTCTTGAACCGGGCTTGACAAATAGGGCAAACAAACGGGCGAATTTCGTTTAGTGAAGACATATTTACTAAATTTGAGGAAGAGTTAAAGTGAATTTTGATTTATCTAATGACACCATCTTTTCTTATAATTTAGATAGACAGACTTTAAGTATCTAATTTCTTTAGTTATATTGAGTATAAAAGCAGAAAAAAGCTATTAAAATTAATGCAAAATAGTTGAAATTGATTGAATTTTTTTTAAATAAATATAGATGGGTAAGAAACTAGCTCATATCTTGATCTTCCTCTTCATCAAAAGGGCTATCATTAACTAGTCTAGTCATAAGTCTCCCAAGGCTCGGCCTGCTTACAGGCGTTTCAGGCTTTGAGTGTTCAATTATTTGAATCGGATCATCAAAAATCTCCTGATATGGGATAAAATTAAACGATTTTTTTATTGCATAGCACTGAACTTCAAACTGCTTCAATGCAGTATTTGATAAATTAATATTTAATTGTTGCAAAATTTCTGCTATCTGGTTTCACGTAACACATCCTGTATCTCTGCTATCAACCTCTATACACTTATCAATAAATTCTGCTTTTCTTTCATATATTTGCGTTATTTCATCCCTATCTCCAATTAACTGCATCTCAGTTTCATCTTGGAATAAATCCTTTACCATTACCATTAATTATTTATAAGGTTTAACGTCCACTCAGGGGTCACCTTGTCCAGGACTTCCACCATATTTATCCACCTGTCGGGCCCATGGACCTACTTTGTTTCACCCAGGGCACGGGACAAATACGATGTCCGCTTCGATTGGCTGTGCTCGCCTCGCTCATCCTTGGCTCCTCCTGTGCGTGCTCCGCCTAAGGGCAATTACAATACCTTCCTCGGGTGTACAGAGAGGTAAAACTTCGAGCCTCTTGATGTACTTCCAGCAGTGCCTCGGCTTATCTGCCAGATTTAAACTGCTGTTGCTGTACAGAAGTTCTCAGAAGAAAGCCTAACCCAATAAATAAAATTGCTTGAGAGAAAGAAAATAAGAAGAGCTAATTTCACTCGAACCAAATGCAATTTTATTTATCCATCTTCGAATAAATCATTAATTATCATTTCTATCAGTCCCTCTCTTTGAGCAAACTCTTTTCCTTTCATAAAATAAGATGCTAATTTATTTCTATCAGGCCCATCCTCAATCCTACTATCTTTATCTAATAATAACTTCACCATATTCTCCAGTTTTACTTCTTCAGGAAAAATTTCCATACATTTTTCTTTAAAATTTTGGCTTGTTTTGAGATTTGCCAAAATCTGCACAGAAAATTTGTCTAAAGTGTCAATTATATCACTTTTTAATATTTCAACTGGTGCAAATGATGCAATGTTTTCATTGTTACTGGCTGGTGAAGATATATCGGAACTTTTATTAGACATATGCTCATCTACTTGGACTTGGAGATGATGCAATAAAACTTCTGATTGGACTGAGCCGTCTACTTGAAGAATAGAAAAGACAGTGTCTCTTTCATTAGCCCCGAATAGCAGCTTTTCGTTCTGTAATGCATCATTGAATTGTGTTGATGAAAGAGCATTGCCAAACGATGCCGCGATTTTTTCATAAAAATCAAGAGGTGTCCACTTTCGTCCTGAAATTTGTAAAAAAAGCTTTCTGAAAAATGTGCTCAAGACAAGATCAGGTTTTGTATGCAATTCTCTATTATACTAATCTGTATTAAATATTCGATTAAAAATCTATAAAAATGCGAAAAGGGAGGAATTTTGTTTTAAATAGTTTATAAATTTTCGACTCATCTACATTTATTTCGAAGTCTACAGTGTCAATTAAGATCATTGAAGGAGTTTTCGTAGATGTTATGCAATTTTCATAACCAGGGCTTTTTGGTTCAGTAATTTCTGGGATTTTATTATCAAGTTGAGCTTCTTGAAGGAGTTTTAGCTTTTCTCTCGTTTCTTCAAGCTCTGCGATTTTTTCGTCCAATTGCATTTTAAGGGTTCTGTTTTCTTCTTCTAATTGTGCAATTTTTTGGAGAAAATCAGAGGAATTTGAACAGCCTTCTTGAGGAGACTCCATGTTTTACTTTAAAGAGTTAAGTATAAAGAAGTAGAAAAAAAAGAATTTTCCCGAAATTTTTGTTGCGGTTAGGTGCAAACTATTACAATTTTATCACAAATGTGCTCTTATAATATTTCATCGCATATCCAAATTTTAAAAGAAAAAGAGAAAAGCTTGAAGAATTTTGAGCATGGATATTACCAAATTGAAATATTTGCAAAAAATAATTTTATTAAGCTACTTAATGGCTTAGATTTTTGCTTACTTTTCATATCTATTATCATTAATTAGTCAATTTTCCGCATATACTTAAAAAGAGTTTATAAAAAAACTATCACAATATGCACAACAATTACTGCTGAAATCCCGCTAATAAGAATTCAAGCTGTTGGTTCGAAATCATTAGTTAACTCTAATTACAAATTTGGACTGCATTATAAAGAGTGTTACAATAGAGCTACATTTAATGCGAAACTGTAAATAAAAGAGTTTTGCTCGCCAAGTACAGTAATTGGCATACTATTAAATTATAAACTAATATTATTATTGGATAAGGCATTTACAAGGATTTCGGGTCATTGGATCATTCTTTTCAGTATAATCGCCAGCACTAAACTCTGTCCTGTCCAAGCTTCTAACCCCACTTAACTGAGATCTGAGCTGGCATATTTCTTCTATTTGGCTTCGATATTGTTCTTTTAAAGGCTTATATTTGATTCCAAGCTCTGTATTCATAAAGCTTTTACCAAAATCATCATCTTTTGTTGCGATAAAAGACTGTGATAGCACTGAAATCGTTGAGTCTCTGAGCACCCTTTCTTCTTTCATATCATCAATTTTTTTACCAAGTTTTGTATTTTGCCTTTTTATATTTTCGATTTGGGTTCTTATTTTAGACATTCTTTGATTGTATTTGTTTTCATCAATTGCTTTTGCATTGATTATAGCTTCTTGTAAATTTTTATAGGCAACTTCAGCAATGATAGCATCTTCTTCTAATTTTTTATTTTCTAAAACTTGTTCTCTGATCGCAATTTTTAGCTGTTCAGCTTTTCCTGAGTCTTTTGATTTAGCCTCTTCAATTTCTTTGATTTCAATTTTTATTTCTAAAATTCGTTTTTCTTTATCTTTAGCAGCATTTTCTATGTCATTAATTTTTAAGCTTTTTTCTTTTAATTCTGCTTCTAATTTAAAGTTTTCATCTTTGTATATTTCAATATCCCTGACGAGCTGTTTTTCCTCATCCTCCATGATACTATCGATGTTTTCTAATTTATGTTTAGCTTGTCTTTTCAATTCGATTTCTTCTTGTGTTTCTTTTTTGGCCCTATCATAGCTCTCTTTGATTTCATTTAAGATTTTTTGAAATTCCTGGGCTTCTATATGGTGCTTGCTTGCAACATCAATTTTAATAGATTCAGTATAGCAATTGTTGCAGACCCTTACTGTATGCTGAGGTCCCGAACTTGACGGCTGAGAATTCGAGCACTTTGCACAGACTGTTTCCTTGCAATACTCACACTCAAATTTCTGCACTAGCACAAAGGGTCCGAAATGCAATCCGCATATTTTGCATGTTTTTCCTTTCTTTTGTAAATATTTCTCATTATTTGCCTCACTCCACACAGCCGCTTGTCCACTATTTGATCTTGAGCTTTTTCTTGTACTTTCTGTGCTCTCTGAGCTTTTTTGGTCCATTATTTCAAAATATATTGTGGTTTATGTTAAAATAGACTGAAAATAGCATATATATTGTATTTATTTTAGTAATACTATATAAATGGGTATATAAAGACAGGTATTTATCAAATATTATTAAAAATTTAAATTTTATCATACTGTTTTATCTTAAAAAAATTATACATAAAATGGCCAACCTATCCTCTCATGTGACGGTTATCTATGTATATCCACGCATGGTTTTCGAAGAACCCAAAAGGGCGACCGCTGCCAAGAAACCAGAGTTTCGGCATGGACTTGCAGTGAAAGCCACCCAATTCTTTTTCAAGCTGAACAGAATTCCATTCCGTGAAGTAGAAACTTAAATATACACTGTAATCTAATTTATTCTTAAAAAACACTTAAAATGTTGGGTGAGGAAGTTGCACTCTCATAGGCTGAGTAGCCATCATATCTTTAAACGTCCCAAGCTTCGCTACTTGATCTCTCGTAGAAGTCCCAATTTTCGGGTTGGGAGCGCTTTTCTTTTTAGACGAAATTTGTGGCCCACAAGATTGACTATGAGTATCATATGTCTGATGCCTAGTAACAGATTTTGCAGTTTTCCCTATTTTATCTGAATTTCCAAACGTCCATGTAGGTGGGTCTTTATGTACACTTGTATAAGCTGCACTTTCAGGGGCATATCTTCCTGGCCCTACAACTCCTGGCGTTGATATCTGATTTTCTAGCACAGATCCGCTAGGATTTGTCCTTCTTGCCCCTAACGTATATTTCGGAGCAGATTTTACCTCTGGTTTAATAGGCGGATAATATTGAGGTCCAGGCGTCCCTTGAATTTCTGGAGGCGGCATCCTGGATTCGGTCCCGAATTTTGTGTTTCCATTATTAGGTTTAGTATAAATTTTCGCCTTAATTGGGTCAGTAAACGTATCTTGTATATCATAATGGTAATAATGCTGAGGCTTCCCTAACGTAACTCTTTTGTCTTTTCCAAAAGAAAAATCAGGCAATGTCTTAAAATTGATGTTGTCTTGGACTTCATATTTTGGGCCTGGTCCAGCTTTACAAGGCTGAGCATTGAGCTCTTCTGAGTAAAAAACTTTCTGTAACTGATCACGAGTGCTAGTCCCAAAGCTGAAAACTGGGGCTGATTTTTCATCTGCTAAGGGCAATTTTCCAAAAGAAGTGTGGGCAGCTGGGGAGTCCAGCGCATTTGCTATCATTATGCTGTTCAGCTGTGCTGGTAAAGTTTTTGCCGTCTTGTTCTTGTCTTCCTCCATTTATTTAATAAAGATAATGAAGATCCTTAACCAGAACTTAGTTAAAGGTGGACAAGGCTCTATCACTGTCAAGATGGATGTGCCTGACGATATGTGGCACATTTACAACATTATCAATAATGGAGACGCTATTAAAGCGACAACATTGAGAAAAATAAAAGAAGAAAGCAAAACAGGCTCTGTCGTCACTACAAAGAAAAAAATTTCTTTATTACTAAGAATAAGAAATGTAGACTACGACCCAGAAGGTCCTACGCTGAGAATAAGTGGTCAGTGTATATCCCCATATGTAATGACCAAAGCATAGCTACTATTGCAGTTATCATATAAAAATAGGATAGCAGTTAATAGGGAAAATCTTTTTTCCTTTAAAAATAGCATATCAGAAAACCAATATCTCCAATTAGGCCAGCATCATACTTTTGATTTGCAGCTTCACATTCCTTTCACTTTAATAAAGAGGCAATGGGATGCGCTACATATAGACAGAATTAAAGAAGCATCTAACCCAGCTACACATTGTGAGGTTGCTGCTTTACTCCCCTTTTAAATTGGAACAAAAATTTTGTTCCAATTTAAAGGGGATTAATTTTTTTTTTAAAAAAATATATTTAAATTTTTTCTCTATATTTTTTATAATTTGAATTGTAATTTATTTTTATTAACTCCCCCCCCTCCGTGAGTGAACAAAACAATTTTGTTCACTCACGGAGGGTTAAAAAAAATTTATATATAAATTTTATAAAAAATATTTTTTTTCGAAATTTAAAAAAATCCTAATTCGCAAAAATCGGAAAGCAAATATTAATTCAATTTGCAAAATTTATGTTTTAAAAAGCAATTCGTTCAAAATTAGGCAGAATTAGCTCTATATTTCATTATACTAATTATCATTTATATATTAAAACTTTTTTCCATAAAAAATTTTTCTATTAAAAAAATTTTTGTTCACTCACGGAAGGTGGGCTTTTGGGCAAAAAATAGGGATTTTTCTAATGGTTTTGTTCACTCACGGAGGGGGGGGAGTAAGAAATAATTAAAAAAATAATAGATTCGGTGTGAAAATTATTTAAATAGCATTCTAATTGCATTCTGCCTATTAAAGTATGTCAAAACTAATTTTATAAAATTAGTATTTTTGTCTATAAAATTTTCACATTGACAAAACAAAATTTTTTCCAATTCAAAGGGGAGCTAAAGTACCTAAAATGCAGATTTTACTGGTTTTATGATCCAATTTAAAGGGGGAATTAGTTATGGAAGAAGGATTGGCTCATCTTTGTTTGATTACTAATACAGCTACAATAATAAAATCAAAAATAGAGACCCAGATACCAAGAAAAAGAAAAGGAGCTTCCGGACATGATAAAGCGTTAGAAAAATTCTTTGAAAAATGCAACCAAGGGATAGCTCAGCATATTAATTTCGATGTAGTTAGATGTATACTGATTGCAAGTCCTGGATTTGTAAAAGACCAATTTGTTAACTATTTAGAACAGGAGAAGCCACAATGGTATAGTCCTAATAAAATTATGCTGACTCATGCTAGTAGTGGAGAAAAGCAAGCTTTAGATGAGTCTTTATCTGACCCTAAGGTAAAAGAAATGCTGACTTCCTTTGTGAGAGAGCAAAGCCATTAGAAAATCATTTATTTTTTTTAAAAAACCTCTTATGAGCAAACAAAATGTATTTTAATAGAAAAACTTATATAAAAATATTTATATATAAGTGATAGTATATGTAATCTCTTCCTAATTCTGTTGAATTTTATACAGCTTGCATTCAAGAACATAAATTTTATGGATTAAATTATGAACTTGGATTTTTTCAAATCACCATAAATTTATAAATATTTTTTTTAACAAAAACTCTCTATTTTTTTAGGGAGTGAGATTAAGCAATACAGAATTTTCACAAGATTTACAATATTTAGAAGAATTTTTCAGGGTGTTAAGTGTCGACCCCAATTCAGCAGTTTATTCATTAGCAGATGTACAGTTGGCAGCTAGAATGCAGGCAATTAATGTGCTATTGGTAAGTGATGCAATATTGAGAAACTTCAAGCAATTAAGCGTTAGGCAGTCTATTGCAGAAATAAGTGAAGATGTAAAGGCACATGGAGGTAGCGTTAGGGTTATTTCATCTTTGCATGTGGCTGGAGAAAAGCTGAAGCAATTGTCAGGAATTGCTGCACTTTTAAGATTCCCTATTTATGGGATAGGCTCAGAAGAAGAAGAAAGTCAGGATGAAGAAGAAAAGGTGCCTGAGGAAGAGGAAGAAATGAAAATAGATTTAGAAGAGCTAGGGCTAGATGAAGAAGAGGATGAAGATTTTTTATAAATTTCATATTCTCTCCTTTAAAGTAAGCAGAATCATTGGAAAAAAATGCCTATTTTTGAAAATTAGGCATGTTTTAATATAAAACTTTTTTGTGTAAAATGATTTTATATCTATAATTAATTATTGTGATAATGAGATATCTAGCTAATTCTATTAAATTTTAAAGAACTTGAATTCTTGCACATAAATTTATAAATTAAATTAGATTTTTTCAAATATTTCAAATTAATATATTTTATAATCCAAAAATTGTTTTTTAAAAAAAATTATGCTCATGGGGCAAGTAAGAAATAAATTATTTTTTAATCCCTACTTATAATCCTATTTTGGCTAGGGTTTGTTTATTATTAAATCTCCTTCTATCATTCTCCTAAAGTGGCAGTTTTATTTTATAAAAATTTTAGAAGTTAGGAAGAGTAAAATATCTTTTAAAGCTATTGAGAAGCTATAAAAGTATAAAAATATGGATATCCTTTATAAGCCTCCTATGAATCAAGAGGTTGAGTGCAAAATGCTAGAAAAAAATTATGTGACCTGTCTCCATGAAAAATCTGTGAAGGATGTTGATGTGCCAATGAAATGCAACGTAGAAAGAGTAATGCATATTTAGGTTCTTTGGTTTAATGTAGATTGCCCTACTCGTTATGAGAGATTCACAACCCCTGAAGGTCTGAAATCTGTATATGCTGACTGGCAGAAAGGAATTTATGAGGAAGCTTAATTTTAGCTTAATTAGAGTTTTATAACTGATTTATGAAAGGTTTATTTCTTTAATTAATTAAGAAACATCAAAAGGAGTATTATTTATCAAAAAGCAACTATAAGTTTAAACAATCATCATATTATGTAGAGATTTTATGCAATATCAGCATAAATATAATATAAAACAACTATAAATTCCATATATCATATTATTATTATTCTCATATGAAGTATATCATTTACATATGCTGCAGTTTAGCATCTATTTAAAACTAAAAAATTTAAGCCAATAAAAAATAATCCAAATTATATTGACTTTAATATTGAGAATGCTGAATAAATCTAATCCGCATCTATATTTATTAAATCGAATGATTTTTTGAAGTTTTTGAGAATAAATCTCTAATAAAATCTTTGACTACTTAATTAAATAATTCGATAATTATTAGTAAGAAGAGAGGTTTTAGTTAACCGAGAAGCCAAGAACAAGTCTGAAAATTGAGGCGAAGTTTTGTCCTGCACCTAAGAAATCTCCCTTACTCCTCACTTTCATTAAAATCCACAATTAATTTATTTTTTCCTAAATTTTTTTCTCATCATAAACCCAACTATTATAAGCTCAATTCCCCTTATAAAATTAGCTAACGACTTTTCCATGTTATTGAAGTACCCTTTAATAGCTACTTCATTGCTGAAGTAAAGGAATACTGCATGGCTAAAGTTAACTGGCTCTTTAAGTCCTTGAATATCTGTAACCAAGATTTGGATATCGCATTTATTGTAGCTTTCCATAACTTGTGTGTTGAATAAAGTCAACATGGCTGGAACATTATTGCAAGCAGTGAAGTTGAATTTCAAGCACTTGTCAATCATTGCGTCAGCATTATCATAAGCACTTCTCACAAGCTTAGTGTCATTGTAGCAGTTTGACAATGGGGTAGGTGATTTCTGGAATCCAAGAGCAAGTCCTAGCACAAAGTTGCAGAAGTCATGGGCAAAAGGAGTAAGGGCGTTTCCTACAAAGTTCATGTGGAGCATTGCATCTTCAGCTGGCTCAAAGACCATTCCGAAGAGGGTTCCGAATTCAATTCCAGCTTGGGCAAAGTTTTGTTGGCTGAGGGCTTCAGCTACGCTTTGGGCCTTGACTTGGATTTCGTCATATTTTCCAACGGCTTTATCAAGGATGAACTCAGTGCCAAATCTTTCGAAGTTGTTTGAGATTGCATTGGTAAAAGCGCTGACATCACAATCTGCGAAGAAAGCTTTGAATTCGTTGCTTGACATTACGACATCGAGGTAAAGCTGTTGGAGTGATGCAAAGTCACTGAAATCTGAAAAAAGCTTGATGACGCGGGTTAAGAGGGCGTCTTGTTCAGAAAGGTTGAGACAGTTCTCGTTGTTAACACCTACACCAGTAAAGGCAGTGTGGGCTGCGTCTAGGAAGACTTTGACAGAGTCTAATGGGAGCTGTTGAGAAAATGCGCCGATCGACACAAGAAGAATTAAGGCAACAACTTTCATATTATAAAGGGGAGAACAAATATGAAAAGAAATGCATGCTTATATAGCAGAATATAATATTACTTTGGATTTTAAGGTTAAGGTTAAAGATTATTAATAGCAAAAAACATTATTTTAATCATTTTAAGCGCAACAGAAAGATTTTATTTTTCTCCTATTTTTAATAGAATATTTTGAAGTACCAAGGCAAGAATCTGTTTTTAGGTTATAAGAAAAGCTTAATTTGCTGAACATTTTCATTTAAAATTAAGCTTGAAAAAATAGTTCAAACTATCTGTTAAGATAATGAAATCTAATGAAGTCATAATTGAACATTGGTAAGGCTTATTTTAGCAAGGACTGTAAAACTCATAACTGATGCACAAATCATGATGAAGAAAAATATGTATCGTTGTGTGAAAAATTAAAAGAAGAAATTGAATCGTTATGCCCTGAAGTGTTGGTATTAATCAACCAAGAAACACCTATGGTTAGAGAAGTCCTTTATGGAGCTTCGGTATACTCGAGCCCAAAATCAATATTTCCAAGACTAGGGGCATTTGAAGTGTATTTTAGAGGAGATATTGTAGTATCAAAACTGCAATCTGCACGATGACCAAATGTTAGAATGGTAGCGCAGAAGATAAGGAGAATTTTAGATGGCAAAGAAGCTTCCCCTTATCGACCTAATTCTGTGCTGCAAAATTCAGGGTTTGATTATGGGAAATACTCTCCTTTGCCTCACTCCCTTGGCTGCGAGCAAAGCCATGTGAAAGCCCTTTTTTGGGAAATTAGCCATTTTAATTTTAATTATTTATTCTTTTAAAAATATTTCAAAATATAATTAATAATTTATTACTTTGACTCTTAGCATAAATTTAATAAGTCTCCTACTCAAATATTTTCTAACTTCTATATTTTAAAATCAAAAACAATTGATTTATATAAAAAATTTATTTTAGTGGCGAAAAATATGGCTCACGAGTCAAAGGGGAATTTAGTTTAATTTTGCAAAAAATTCTTGAAGAACAAATAAAAGTATGTACGCAGATATTAGGTCTGTTAGGTCAAAAAGTATTGAAAGCAATCTTAATACGATTAAAAAGCCAAAGAATAATTCTGGCTGGAATCATAAAGTAATGATGCAACAAATTGGCAAAAAAATGATTAATCAAAATTTCCAGATCTCTACCTCTGAGCAATTTTTATACAAGCTTTTAATTTTTTAAATTCTATGTTTAAATAATTAAAAATATTTTTCCGATTTTTATTTGCAAATATTTGACTAATTTAGCTTGGAAATCTATGCTTAAAAAGTAAAATTTAAAATTATTAGCTGGATCTCGTTATGTAAATTTATTAATTATATATAAAAATTTATATTAGCAAATATTTTACTCGCATTTTCCCAGTGATTTTGCTCACTTTAAACAGGATGAGTAAGCTAAACGATATGATTCAAGCTGATACAGCAGCCAATTCTAGTAAAACAAACCAAATTCAATCACCTATAAATCAAAGTGAAGGGCACTAAATTTTCAGTGAATTATTGCTTTAATTAATAGAAAAGTCTTTAATCTTATTATAATTTTTTGATTAACTACTAATAAATTTAAAATAATGTTTAAATAACAAAGATTGGCTAAATAGTAAAAGGAAATTAATAATTTTAGCAATCTTTCATATTGATACTCTGATCAACGGTATATCTTGGCTCATATATAGGTTTTGAATAACTTTTAGAATAAAATTTTTTGATTAGAGAATTTTGTTTATTCTCAATATCCTTCATAAAGTCTGACTTTAAAGGATAGCTTGCAAGAATGAAAATCATCAAACCCAGCATTAAATGTTCCAGAGTTATGAAATTTCACCATCTATAATGATAATTGAAGTTAAAAATGTTATCTCTTAGTACTAGGAGTCCGATATTTGTAATTAATCCTGCATATGACAAAAATTTTATTATATCATTTCATATTCCTATTCCTCCAGAAACCTCAGGCATTGGGCGTTTAGAGTAATATATATATGCATCTTTATAATATATTGCTACTAGTTTAAATTTTATAATCAGAAATGTTTTTTGAAAATTTTATATAGGATAATTTATTTTGCTTTATTTTAAAATAAAAATATGTAAATCGTCAGCAGAAATGTAGCGACGCTATTAAAAGGGTATAATTTTATATGAATTCAGCTTAAGTAAAGCAACATTATAAAGCCAAAATATAAGAGGCCCCAATGGAAACGCAATACAAAATAGCACGATAAATCCATAATTCATTGCTAATGGCAAATATTCATCTATTAAATCAATTTTGCTAACTTCCCTTTAAATTGAACAAAAATCCTATTCCAATTAATGGAGGGTTAATTTTTTTCAAAAACAATTATATTATATTTTCTCAATAAAAATTTTTTTTAAAATTTTAAAAATAAAAAAAAATATAAATTGTCCCCCTATATTTTTAAAAAATTAATCAAAGCAGTTGAGAACTTTTTAAATAATACTATACCTGAGCTTTTCCTCGTCAAATTTGGTCAAAACTAATTTATAAAAATTAGTATTTTTGCCTAAAAAGTTTACTATTTAAAAAAAAATTGTTTCGAATTTAGAGGGGTTTAAAGTACTGGAAAAATGCAAATTTTGCCTATTTTTTGATTCAATACAAAGGGGGGAGTAAATTTTCCTTCAGCTTCTAAGTGGCTTATTTCCATTCTAGGAATTTCTCCTTTATTATATTGAATTTTTATTTTTGAATCTTCTGCTTTATATCTTGCATTTGCTCCCAAAAGCTTCAAAATAACTTGGCTTATGTTAAATATAATATATACAATATAAAAGATCCATAAATTTAAGCTGAGGTCATCGGTGCAATTATTATGGTAGCAGATTTCAAAATGCTCTTTAATAAAGGCTAGATAGATCAGCCTTGAAAAGTAATTCACTAATTGATAGACAACTCTTTTCATAATTAATGAATTTTCAAATTCTGACTGAAGCTTGTGATCTTCATAATTAGTAAGCTTGAAAGCAACATAATCATAAATCTTTTGCATGAAAACAATTTGCAAGGCATTTAAAATTGATGCAAAAATATATGAATTTTCTCCATAATTATTCTCAAATATTTTTCAATAAAATAAATTTGAATTAGATAAAAGCAAAATTCATCCAATTACAAATAAATTTATAAAATTTGAAAAGACTTGTCTCATAGCCTTAGCTGATAAGAGATTTTGAAATTGAATCAGAATCGAGTTTCTATTTGTTTTGTGATCAACATTTTGCCTCACTAGGTCATTTTCTTTATAGTATTGTGCTCCAAATTGAAGTGCATAAAATTGAGACTCCCTTCCTCAGTACACAATAAAAGAGATAATCCATAAAAAGAGTGTCGCTCCAAAGATAATTTCAGTCCATTTATGCAGTAAGCTGATCTGATTAATATCAGCGATATAGTATCCAATAATACAAAATGCTAATCCAGAATAGCTGAGGATGAAAAGTCTATTCGTAAAGAACTGCAGCCATATATAATAAAAAGCAAGTTTATCTCCAAAATAATATATATAAAATGGCGTATGGTCCATGTATATCCGGGTAATTTTTTGGAGATAGGAGCAGCTCAGCAATATCTGATGACCTGAAGCGAGGTCTTGAGCATAGAACCGCAGTTTTGTGGTCTAATTCAATTGGCAGTTCTTGTGAGCAGGGTGAATTACCTGCTTAAGCTCGGGTGGCTTGCCCGAACCACGGAAGCGATTGAATGTTTTTCCAGAGATAGCCTGAAAAAGGGGAGGCAAATTAGGCAACTTGGAGGCGTCTCTCCTGCAAAGGGTAGCTTAAATGGGACGATCTGGCCAGGAGTAAGAAGTAAGAGTTAGCATAATAAGGGTGATAGAACTAAGCTGGAAATGATGTGCTCAGCTACGGTCTGCGGACAAACAGCCAATCACTGCTGAGAAACCAGGATTTCGGGCCTGGGCTCATGGGTACAAGGTAGAAGTTCACCCAATTAGCTTAGGCCACCACACAGCTTCTAAAGAAGCTTTGCAAAATACCCTCGTGGAAGTACTGTAATTGCCCGAGGATGGCGCTATCTTGCGCCATCCTCGGGCAATTTAAAAAATGGCCCCACACCGGGAATCGAACCCACGTGTGGGGCCATTTTTGGTACGTGGAAGTCGATGTTCTCCACATACCAAAAATGGCCCACACGTGGGTTCGATTCCCGGTTTGGGGCCATTTTTGAATTGCCCGAGGATGGCACAAGATAGCACCATCCTCGGGCAATTACTATAGGTAAATATACAGCATTAATCTAATCTATCTCCAAAATAATCCTTAATCGTCAAAATTGGCATCCTTAAATCTATCAATTGATTAGATTCCAAAAGCGACTCTTCAATAGAATCAAGGCTTGATTCTTCATGAATAGGGAAAAAATCAATCAAAAATCCATTTTTAATCATCATTTCAATATTGATATGGGCCTGAATCAATCTTTCCATTATTCTAATTCTATCTATATTTTTCAATATACCTTTTCCATGTTTCGCATACAGTTCTGGGTTTTTTTCATATTTCTGCTTATTAAAAGGAATATAAGGCATTATGAGCTTAACATCAGAAGATTCTTCAAGGTCTGGGTTCATTTGAAAATTATCTTTATAGAGATGAGCTTCTTCCAATAATATGTCGTCAGGGCATCTTATCCTGCAAAAAATCTCTTTATTCTCTATGTTTTGGAACATATAAGTTCCCATCCCACAACAATTGTGAAGGATTTCAATGACGCTGAATCTTATTAGTTCCATCGCTTCAAATTTTGTTAGGGACTGAGAAGCATATAATCGGCATAAAGAAGGCATTCTTTCAGAACACTCAAAGTGGCTAATATCAGTTTTCCCGAAAATATCTTCTAGAGCACCCTCAAATTTTTCATCGGTATCAGATCGCTTTTTTTCTGATGGTATAGGAAATTGCAAGGCAAGTAAATACATTTATTAATGGTCCATTTTTATTCATTAATTATTTCTTTTCTTCTTTAAAAAAATTATTTTTTGGATGCAAGATGATGATCATTGCTAACTACCCCCTGAGTGACAAAAAAATTTGTTCACTTACGGAGGGGTTAATTTTTTTTTTTAAAACAACTTATATATAAATTTTATAGAAAATTTTTTTTTCGAAATTTAAAAAAAATCCACTTCTCGAAATTGGAAGGCAAATATTAATTTAATTTGTAAAATTTATGTTTTAAAACGCAATTTGTTTTTAAATTAAATAGAATTAGCTCGAGATTTCATGATATTAGTTATTATGCGTTGCATAAATTTCTTATGGACGTTATACGCGCCATTTTCATTTGAAATTTCAAATTATGAATTTGCCGCACTAAAATCTGCGTTTTGAAACGCATATTTGGTTTTCATATACCAAATTCAAATTGACATGCATATGCATGATAAGAAATTATTGCAATACATAATATCACTTATATATCAAAATTTTTCTATTAAAAATATTTTTGTTCACTCATGGAGGGTGGGTTTTTGGGCAAAAAATAGGGATTTTTCTAATGGTTTTGTTCACTCACAGAGGGGAGTAAGAATTATATGATCAATCAATGCCACTAGCTAAAGAAAAGATATGAATTGAATAAAGTTTAAATTATAAAATCTTTAATTATATTGAATTAATAGTTCCCTTCTACTCAATTGCTAATTTTTTGAATAAATATATTTTAAATATTAATTGGATTTTGATAAAGCTAAATAAGAATTACAAAAATAGCAGAAAGCGTTTAAATTCTTATTTAAGTTCTTACTCCCTTGCTTAGAATCAAAACCATTGGAAAACTAACTATTTTTTAATCCCTGAGCTTGATAGCAATAAAATATTTTAATTTTTTTTTATAAATCATTATTTAATATATAAATAAAACTATTATTAATAAAAACTTCTCATTCAAATATTTAAAAATTTAGCTGAAAAATTTTTTATAATTTTTATATATAAAAATTATAAAAAAAAAAGTCTGTTATCAAGCAAAAAATCTTATTCGCTAGCCAATGGAGAAGTTAATAAATAAAGCAATAAAAATAATATATGTTATCTCTAATCCAAATAAATATGCTCTTATTTTTATTATTAAGCTTATTCATTATTATGAAATGAAGAGTAAGCTTTCATAATTAAAAATCTTGAATTATATTTACACTTGTTTTCCCATTTAAGTGAGCTAAATCTCCACTTTCATAAGGGAACTTTATAAATGCTTTTTTTGGCTCTGGAACTCTTCTATTTTGATTATTATCAATTCTCCCAGTTGAATCCAATTTAGTAATATAAGTTACATTACTTGAAACATCCTGAGTTCTGTCCAATGGCAAAACTTTAGATTCATCATTTTCAGAAATTTCGATATCAAGATCTCCAGATACTGGAGGAATAACCTTGACTTCTTGTGACTCAAGAATTTTTCTCAAGAGACAATCTGCACTGAGAGCCTAATTATTGTTTACAATGGCAGTTAGCATATAGCCCCTGAAATATTTTAGATCATTATTGGCCATCCATTTTAATTTCCAAAATTAATTTGTCCTTGTCAGCTTTTTTGGAAAGTAAAAACGAAAATGACAGATCTCCATTTATGATTTTAAGGTGCCTAACCAGACTTATACTGTATAAGGCAGGTGCCCTGTACCATATTTTTCAGGTCGGTATTCTGCTGGGCTATAGAGATCTATTAAGGTGCATGAGCTATAACGAATAAACTTGATATATGCAAAAATCCTTGATAAGTTTCTGGCTCATTTACCTTAATGCAATCAAACTTTTTATCATAATCATATAAGCAAATATCAGAAAACGCTGACCTCCCCCTCTGTGAGCGAGCAAGCCATTGGAAAATCATATATTTTTATAAAAAAATATTTTTGATAAATATATATAAATGATAATTTAATAATAAAATTTCTTAATATTTAATTTTAAACTTGCATTGGAAAAATCTGTTTCTTCTTCAAAATGAGCTTTTTTTTAAAGAAAGAAAAATAGAGTGCTGACTAGCCAGTAAACTGTTTTCCGTGTGAAAATATATATTGACTTAAAAATAAACTTTCTTACTCATGGAGAAAAGGAGTGAGCAAAGTTTTAAAGACGACAAGTTCAAGCCAAATGTTATATAATAGGCACATAACACAGTCAATAATGCGATTAGATTCAACGCGAAAAGTTCAAATTTTTTACTATGAACATGAATTGTCAACACTAGGATTAGACCACAAACTAAGCAGAAAGCAAATAAAATCAATTTTCCCCATGTTCTTCAGGCATCCGTTTTCAGCTCATTTTTATATGATTCATATAGATAAGGAACGGCTAAACCACTAGAAATAATCAATAGCACAGATATAAAAAGTACATATCTGACATCCATTTTCTTGATTTAATTATAGATGGAATTAATAAACTTATTTTATATTAAAATGAACCTTTATTCAACTTTACTCTTAATTTTATATATTATTTATATTGAATGAACGCTCTTATTTGCACTCTTTACTGCAAGTAAGCATATTGAAATATTTAAAAAGAGTTTTTTACAACCTTAAATGTATATAATTTTATTTTTAAATAATTATTAAAATCTTTTACATTTTTAATAGCCTACACTCAATGGAAATTTCACGACAATTTTTTTACTGCCTGAGCCCTATTTTATTAACTATTATATACCATTAATACCAAACTCAGGACTAATTTAATTAAAAAAACTATATATCAATAATTAAAAGCATCCCCATCCATAAACTCAAGCGAAAACGATTCTGCCTTAAAAGTAAGCTCTATTGCCATATGAGAAATATCAATTGCCTTATCAACATTAATAACTTGTGTTAAATCATATGACTCACAATTTTCAAAGCTCGGCGTTCGTGCAACTTTCAGCATATTCCCTATAATTTTTATATATCCCATTCCCATGCTTCATTCTTTATGAATCATCACTTTTATTGGCTCAGCCCTTGAAATGGTCTCCTTTTTAGGTCTTGCTGACAGCTGAACTATTTGCTGCTTCCTAGGTGTGTTTTGAGATGGGGCTTGACTCTCATCTTCTTGTATTAGCATACTATTAAACTTTAAAAACCGCTTAAGCTCGTTTGGGCTGAGTTCATTCATAGGCAGGTCTTTTAAAACTATATTAAATGGCTTTTTCAAGTAACTCTGATGCAGAGGGTCAGCAGAATTGTAATTTCGAAAATTCCTAGGCACTCTAGGTTCTAATCCTGGAGGTGGCTTATAAGCGTACACCATTCTTAATTCTTGTGAAATTTCCCTAAGCTGACCTGCAAGGCTTTTTAGATGAGGGCCAAGATAGTCCATTTTCGATATGATATTGCCGATCCCACTGCCATACTCGATTAGTCTTAATGACTGACTTCCTAGCACGGTATGGACTTTATTTAAGCTTTGGTTCAAAATCGCCATATTATGCTCTTGCCTTATAGCCAAGTCTCCTAGTTTCAGCTTTGCTTTTTCTTGTAAAGCCTTGATCTTTTTTAACAAATATTCATCTGGCAAAAATACTTTTAAATTGCTTGAATGTAAAGAAATTACTCCATCCCTTGTCCCAATTTCTATTCTATTTGTAGGATCTTTTTTCTCAAAAGTTAAGAAATAGGTCATTGAGCCGTCTAGTTTTTTGAAATTCATCTTGTTCCCATGTGAGTCACAAAGAACTGGAGCATAGAGCAGAGTTGAAGCATTACCAAACACATTTTGTAGTGCTGTATAAAATTCTGTTGCTGAACAGTTGTCATCTATTTCAAAAAACCTGACACAATCTTTTCCTTGGTCTGAGCGAACAATTTTTAAAACCTTCATTATTTTATTAAAAAATTATTTCGACTTCAGTTAATATTCTATTGGCCTGATTTATTAATTTTTTATTATAATTTCCCTATATATTTCGTATTGGTCGAATGCTTTACCTATACAGAAATTTCCCTTGTCAAGTTCTTTTGTCTTGAGACATTTGCATTGCGAAATTAATATTTTTTATAATTTTAAAGGCAAATAGTGCCAAGAAAATTTGAATCCGGTCAATTTTCTGAGGTAAATCATGGAGACATATATTTGCATTATTTCGCCAAGAAGCATAACTTTCTTGGTTTGATTTTATAAATATAATGGCCTTTCCAATTGAAGGTGATGGGTTACTAGACAATTTATTTTATTATGTATGATTGAAAGCTGCAAGAGATGAAGGCTTAAGAGGATTCTTCCTTCCAGATACTGTAGTTTACAAGTACCAACAGCCAAGAAGTTGGTATTTTACGTCAATTGATGGAACAATTAAAAAGAAATGCAAAGATAAACTGACAACACAATGCATAGAGGACGCTTTCCTCAGGAAAAAATCAGAGTCTGGAATTGTGGCTTGCTATATATTCATGTCAGCTTCAAATAATAGAGTTATTGAGTTTTTCGGGCCTGAAGAACTTAAACATTTTCTGAATTATAGGAAGAAGGCACAAGAAGGAATTCTACAGAAGTGGATTGATCCTAAAGGAGAAAAAAATTCTATAATTCAAATGGTTTGAAGCCCAAAGATCTGCTTATTTGAATATAGAGAAAATTTAAAAGATTTATATGATCAAAGGTATGACATGTATGAGAGAGCAGTTATCCTATTTTAAATTAAATTTCATTGCAGGGACTAAAAAACAGAATTTTCTTCAAGAGTTAATTTTTGAAAATAATAATTAATTTAATGTCTAATACATTTGAAGGAGAAGAATTTCATAGTTCAAGCATAGCATTACGCGGTAACGAATTAAAAAAGCATTTAAAAAACATTGTTGAGCTACTAGTTATGCATATCAGTGAAGTCACTTCAAACAAGTTATCCATAAACAGAATGGTCCTTCATTTCAAACAAGATAAGTATGATAATTTATGGCTGCTCCGGGCCACATCAATACGCTGCTCACTCCACCACTCAGTGGGAAAAAATTTTGTTCGCTCATGGAAGAGGGTTAAATTTTTTTAAAAATTTTATTGCAAACTTTTTAATACATTTTCATAAAAATTGAGAAGCAAAAATTAATTTAGTTTGCAAAAATTTATATTTAAAGTGCAAGCTGCTTAAAATTCAACAGAATTAGCAAGAGGTTTCATTATAATAACTATCACTTATATATCCAAATATTTTTTATAAAAATTTCAAGTTTGCTCACAATGGCAAAAAATAGGGATGCTTCAAATTTTTTTTCTCTCACGCAGGGGAGTCAGAGCACCAAAATAGTCCACTTGACTTAAACTCTGTAATAAAACTGCCAGAAACTGTTAACGGTCACAAGTTTTCCACAAATCCTCAATGCCCTATGGCTTTACAAAAAACTGTGTTATGCCGAAACTGTGAGGAAGCTATGGAAGCTGACCGAATGTGCGAAATTTCTTATAGGATGATTATTACAGCCCAAGACGGTATTCCGCCTCTGCTTAAAAAGATCCATTCTCACATGACAGTAGACGAATTTGAAAAATTCAGGCATAATCCATTATTTCTTAATAAACAAACACTGGTTTGTGACCAGTGTTTTTTAATATTCACAAATCAGTGGCAAACAAGTGGAGCGTTGCCAAGACCTCAGTCTGTGCCGATTTTTGGAACACAGCCATTAGATCCTAAGAAAACAAATAGAAGAAGGGAGGTAACTCTCTTGTCAAGACCTGAAAACCAGTATATGGAAAGGACAGTCAAAAGCAGCAAGTCAACAAGAGCATTTAGACCGAATTCTGCAGCAGGAGGAGAAATTCAACTGGCTTTTACCTCTTTTAGATCAGAAATCCCAAGAATCCCTGCGCTGAATCTGCCAAGGCCAAGGACTGAGCAGCAGTTGCGAGGACAGGTTTCTCTTGCGAGGATGCTTGGGACAGTAGACATTACTTCTTTTCTAGAGGAAAGATATTCCAATAAAAGAAGACAATTGTAATTAATTCCTCTTACTCCCCCCCATCCTTGATCGAACGATTGACTGTAAAAATTCCTAAAAAATTTGGGGAAATTAACCCCATCCTTGATCGAACGATTTTCACATCATGCAAATTTTTTATATATATAAAAATATATTAGTTATCGAAAGCTTGGGAAGATATATACATAATGAAGTTGTTTTCAGACACTTTGAGACAACAAGAAGCTTTGGGATCGTCCGTTCAAAGTGATTTAGTCATCAACCTAGGCTTAAAAACTCTATAATCTAATAAAATAGAGATTCTTTAAAATTTTAAAAAACAAAATTAATTTAATAAGGAACAAATTAAAATTTATACAGTTTAAAGGGTAACTAATAAATCAAAAATTAAAAATTGGTAGTTTTATGAGATTAATTCAATTTTTTGCTTTAAAAAATAATTATTAAATACTCTTAACCCTCTTATTTAAAAGTAATATATATATATTTTTTATTTTATATATAAAATTTTTTTTCCCAAAAAAAATTTTTTTAACCCCCCATCCTTGATCGAACGATGGCGAGCCGTTCTATCAAGGATGGGGGGGGAATTACATAAATTTAGTAATATGGTGGCATAATTAATTATCCTAAAGAAGCAGTGGAGGAGATTCGTCTAAAACATAAGTCGGATTTTGGCCAGAATCAATTAAAAGCGCTTCAGACTCCCAAAATTTTATATTGATATCAATATTTCTACAGCAAGTTTTGATGTTCAGGCTTGTTTCTTCGTCTTCATTCATCATGACAACATATACTACAAAGCTTTTATTAAAATTTAAAAATAATTTAAAATATTCGGATTATAAATTTATTTAAATGCATCGTTAATTAATCGCTTATAAGTTTCCAGAAGCTTAAATAGAGGTTTTACCAAGAAATTAAGAAACCCAACTTGTGATTTTGATAGCACAACTTTTGATTTATCACATAGTGGACTTATTGGGATCCCCAAATTTTTTTCTTTTTCTCCTTGCTCAAAAAATTCTTTTGTAATCAGCGCTGTCCATTTTTTATGAATATCAAGCCGTTTTGCTCCATGCCCCAGATCAGCACATTTCAAAACCATCTGCAGCGCAAGATATCTAAATTCATCATTTTCCAATGTTGGTGCAGGCGTTTTATTTATCTGTTCAGTAAACTCATAATAATAAATGGCTTCATCGGAATAATTTGAACGGATTAGGCAAGGGTTAACGCCCTTTACCCTGTGATAGTAATCATAAATAATGTAATGAAATGATCAGTAAACTCTTTTTGCTTATCAAAATGCTTTTGAAGATCAGTCGCTAAAATGGTCAAGACTACTATTTTTCTATATGCTTGGAATTCTCCTCTAGAAAGTGATGAAACTATATTGCTATTTGGACGTTTTAATATATTAAAAGTAAGAGATGAGTGCATATTCTCTAAGCAGCTTTGGTCATTATATTTTAATGATAATTTGTTTTCGCTGGCTACCAGAAATGCGTTATTTACTCCAGGGTGGCAAATATCGTGGCATAAAGAAGCTGTTAATAAAGCAAAAATATCCAAATCAATCAGGTTCCCACATCTTTGTAAGCAGTTGTGAAGCAAAAATACAACTGAGCAGGTAACGTCAGCACCATGAATGGAATTATGGTAAAAATTTTGAGGCTTATAGTAGCGGTCTACTTCTGCTAAAAAATTTTTTAATTGAGGAGTTGGGATATTTAGCTGCTCAATAATGCCTAAAGTGCTGAAAACATAATACCCTACTTCATAAATAGGCTTTTTAGTAATTTTTACTGTTTCTAATAAGTCTACATCCCATTCACCTACATCAAGAAGTTCTGATAATGCTTCATTTTCTTCTACATAAGAATGCATTTTCACAATTTTCTTCAGCTGAAAAACTCTATGGCTAATCCCTGGCAAATCTCGGTTTGATTGAATATATTTCTGCTGTAGATCTTCTAACTCTTCTTTATTTAATAGCAAAAATTTCATCATTATTAAATTTTATTCTGGTTATAACAGTTTTTCTGACAGATATAAATAGATACTCGATCCATTTTTCCACATATATATTATAAATAATTTTAAAATAAAAAACAAATTTGATAAAAAAATTAATCACTAATTTATTTTTTAAATGGAGAGTAAGAATTTTACAGAATCTTCTGGAGAAAGCTCAGCTTTTTTTTGCCAATTTACAAGTTCTTGGACTAGTAAAGATTGAATAATGTCTTGAAGTTCATTTTCAGATAACTCTGCATGGCGGGATCTTGGAGTTCCTGGCATATTTGGCTCATCTGTAAAGGTCCTTAATAATGAAAGCCGAAAATCATCAGATGACCTGCTTTCATCTGAGCTTGTATAGCTTATGACTATTATCAACTGATTTAGAAAAGTATCTTTCACGAAAATATCTTTTTTAATAGATTTTACATAAATATTGAAATTTTATAGTAGTGCTTAACAATGATGGAAAAATCATGTCCGTACATCAGTAAAAATTACTGCTTCAAAATAGATAAAACAGGTAATGAGCTATATAAGAAGAATTTTCTGAACTTATGCTCACTGTTCTTCTCAGATGTCTTGACTGTATATGCTGCTTTAACTTTTCGATTAAAGTTTTCCTTACTGTTACATCTAGTTTGGGATTTTCTGAAACTTTGGAACGCTTCATAGTATCGAGTTTTAATTTCAATCGAGAGGCTTCTTCACTTTCTTTAAAAAGCTCATTTTTTAGACCCTTAAGTTCGCTCTTCATATAGCTATAGAGGTAGCAAAATGTACAGGAAATGACTAAAACTATAATTTCTTTAAATTTTCATTGAAAACTATAGTAGATGCTAGCAATTGATATTTCGATTATGAGGAGTTTTTTTAGGGCTAAAAGACTGTCTTCTGTAAAAGTTGATGCTGAGATTAAGATAATCATAAGCGAGTAGAATGAAAAAGTTGAGGAAAAATAAGCAAAGAGTAGGTTTAGTTGGAAAAACAAAAGATGCTGCATAAATTGTGTTTTGAGGAAAATCAAAGGAAAAGTAAAAAAAATTCTTACTCCATTTGATATTGATTTAGCCTGAAGTTTATAGTAAACTCATTTATGATATATCTAAATTACTTCTTATTGATTTCCGAGAAAAAATTCCATTAAGAAAAGTTCATTTTGGTATTTTAAAATATTCTGAAAAGTCAAATTTAAAATTTTTAAATGTAATTTTGACTTTAGATTTTCTTAGAATTTTAAAGATCTATAAAGGGCGAGCGCTATGTATAAAATTTATTGATGACTTTATTTAAAATATAGAAGAAAAGCAATAGAGAATTTTAATCGAAATTTAAATTTTTATTTTATATATATTTTATTAAAGTTAAAAAATAATAATTTTGACTTCTAAAAAAGCTATCTAAGGTATTTATTTTTGGAACTTTGCTTATTAAAAATTGAGAAGTTAGAAGAAAATCAGAAGATTCAGCACGCTCCAGTAGTCACAGAGAAATCAATGATAAAAGAAGAGCTGTTGAATTCTTCATATTGTTTACTATATTAGAAACCACAAATTAATTTTGAATCTTATCACAATAATTAATTCAAGCAGTATGGAATCTGAAATCGTCAGATAATTTGATGAACATACATCTAGTTCCATTTTTGCAAATTATGCATTCTTTGCCACATTTTTTGACAGAAATATGATTCAATAGATTTTAGATATAAGAAATCTTTATAAATATAGCGCTTAACCCTTTATAGATCTTTAAGGACAATTGCCATTAAAAGAAAAAATTTGATTTAAATTTCTAAGAAAAGCAAAAAGTCAAAATTAAATTTCATCTTATATATCCTATTTGCCAGTTTTAAATTACACTTTTCACAATATTTTAGTCAAAAGGAATTTTTCTTTAATAGTTTCTTCAGAAATCAATAAGGAGTCAGGCACTATATTTTATTTATACAGTACTCAATAAGATAACGATTAATTACTCATCTTTTTTTGATATAAAGAACATAAAAAATCAACATGCACATTTTTATTCGATTTACTTGATAAATTTAAACGCTTACGTTTTATTCATTCCTATCATAAATTTTATATATGTCTTTTATCATAAATCAAATGAATAATTCATCTTTAAAATTTAGAAATATATTTCAAGGTTTACACTCTATTCTATTATACAATTAGTTCAATGCACAATTATACCTTAGTTTTAATCTTTAAATGTAACCCTATTAAAAAGTCATTAAATAAATGAACAAATCGAAATCTGAAAAAACTTTACCTTTCAAAAATGAGATCATAAAACAGATAGAAAGCTCATTTAATCTGAAATTTCAAGAATTAGCTATAAAACGAAAAAATGTTCAAAATTTAGAATTTAAACAGCAAAAGCACAAACTTCAAATGGAAATGAATACAGAGATCCAAAATGAGATAAATAGCCAAAAAAAAATTGGGCTGGAGAAAAAGATAGAGAAAACTATGAAACTCAAAACAGAAAGAAGAAGGGAAATTTTGAGAGAAATCGCTCAAAAAAATCATAAGTTTTCTGCTAGTGTTCAAGCAAGAAAAATTATACTTCAAAATGATTAGATTAGATTAAATTCTAGCGGATCTTCAGGGATTATTCCGAATAAAACACACCCCGAAATATAGCCCTTCCTCTAAGTCTGGACCAACTCAAGGATAACTTGAGGCCATTTCAGATAACGTAATTTTAATAATTCTCATTCAAAATGAAGAAAAACAAAAAGTCGAAGAATATTTCAAATGAAAAAAATCAATCCAAGACAACCCTCAAATCTCACAAGCCAGCAGAGAAGACCCAAGTAAACTTTCGAAAAAAAACTTCCACAATGAGTCGCTTTTTACCAAAAGGGAATCGATTACAGCAGAGACCATCAATAAGATGAAAGAAAAAACAGCAAAGCATGAAGAAAATAGACTAACTCATCTAACTGAGCTGCTTGATAAACCTGGATGTACAAGGTGGCTGAAATCAGCTTCAGGAGGAAGAATTAAAAGCGTTTTAAAATCTTTTCCTGCATCAGTCTGCAACACCACTAGAAATCTTCCGACTTGAGACTGTATTAATGGGTATACAGGCCCAGCTTTGACTACTCGAACTGATTTTTCTCATAAAAATGAAGACTATAAAATAAATGAAGATCTAGTAAAAAGTTATTGCCACAAGCTCAATCCAAACAGCTCAGTCCTTACCATAGACCAGGCTATGCTTTATTTGCAGCTCCGAGGGAATGGCTGCCCAAAAGAAGAAGCTATATCTTTTAGTTCTCGGCAGCGCTGCCGAATAGATTCCACACAAAGATATGATGGCCCTGTTGGCTATAAAATTCTAAAAAGAATTGATAATAGAAAGCAAGGCCCAAATTGAAATGGCTGACAAGTCCATCAAGCTGAATACCACAGCGAGTTTAAGTATAAGCCATATAAGAATTATGACACTTTTGAAGATTATAGCGTTTTTGCTGATGGCTATGAAAAGTTTACTAGAAAATATGATATAGTAGATGGGGTTTTGGTTAAAAAAGACCAATTTAATGAGAAGGATTTTGATTTGTCATTGTCTCCTCCGAGGATAAAGAAAAAAGAAATTTCGGATTTAGAAAAAAGTTTGCATGAGGAGATCGAAAATAAAATTGATGAAAAAGAAGTGCCAGAAATTATTGAAATAAAGGCGACTAATGTTAGTCAGGAGCAGCCTAAGATTGATAAAATTATAAGGCATACACAAAAATCATATACACAACTTCTACCTAGATTTAGTGTTCAGCAATTGTCTGAAAAGAAGCCTGAGATTGAAAAGAAAGTTGAGTCGAAGCCTCCAGAGGATAAAATTGATTTAGTAGAAGAGAAAGGAACTACAAAAATTGTTGTTCGTAGCGTAAAACCTGTTATCAACCCAACTCAAAGCACTTCTTTTGCTTCTTCGGAGTTCCGGTCTCCAAGAGGTAGTTATAGCAGAGATTTCAGAATTATTCATTTTATTATCATATGTGAAAATTAATAATTAGCTAGCTCTTATTACCAATAGAAATATGGTACCCATTTCTTAAATCCTCAATTTTATTTAGCCTAATTAGATTATGGTATAGTAGGTTAGACATTTTATAGGTAAATAAAAGCAAGACGACCTTTCCACCTAAAAATGAAGAGCAACCCCAAAAACCTTTGATTGATCTACTTAGGAGTAATTTTGAACTATGAGAAAATCAGACTGAGTTTATGGATCAAAAAATTAAAAATGAAAATGAAGCTAACGATAACCCCCCTCAATCTTTATGTCTATTGCAACAAAAATTCAACTTTTTTAATATAAAATTTATATAAAAAAAAGCCGCCCACTCAAGACTGAACTCGCAAAGCAAGGAGGAGACAGAAGGTACCGGAAGCTGGGCTGGAGTCAAAAAGTGGTAGAACCTTCCGTACGGAAGGTCTTTGGTGACTGTGTCACCCATATGGCTAGCGCCTTTCTGTAATAATCCTAATCCTCTTGCAACAAATTTTCGATACGCATCTTAAATTTTCGGTACTTTTTAGCTAGATAAGTTTAATAAAGTGGCGAGCGATGACAATAGCTGTCCAAATCTCGATGAGAAGGTCATTGGCACACCTACAGCAGCGCTGTTTTATGGTTTTTTTGAGAAAACTCACCTAGAGAAAAATGCATTAATTTTTTTTTTAAAAAAATGTTGTGTTGCAGTAGGTATAAAGATTTTTTCGAAAAATTTTTGTTGCAATAGACATGAAGATTGAGGGGGTCATCGTTACAAGCTCAAATTCTGATATTAAAAATTTTGAAGAGAAATCAAAATCTATAATAGCTGAAAATTCAAGAAGTGACATCGCAAAAGAATCCCCATTATTAAGTAAAATTAAAGGTAAAAATCAGAAGAACTTAGAAGCACCATTGCAAAAATTCAAGTTTACTGATAAAGGCGAAGAAATTAATAAGCAAGACAAAAAATTCAAAAATAATAACAAAAGTCATGCAGAAAAAGAGCACAAACCGAAAAAAAGAAAATTTATATAAATTAAATTTCAAGGAGGTTTATTTCAAAAGTTGATTATTTTGCAAATGATTTATATCATCCACTCTTTTTAAAATTAAAAAGAAACCATAATTTTAAAAATTAAAATTATAAAAGTAAAATTTAAAATTAAATATGAGAGAAGTCATAATAAAAATGCATATTAGAGTTATTATATATTATCAGCCATTAAAGAACCACTCTCAATATACAAATTCTTCAAATTGCTTTGAACTACTAAGCTATAATATAGCATAATTAAAATTAAAAATCGCTATTATTATTGTGATTCTGCATGTGGCTTCTCTAATCATGCTTTCATTATAAAAGTTAGAATGGCCTAATATTCAAAAATCATCAAGGATGGTAGGATTGATTTTTGTCAGGAAGTTTAATAAGGCCTGCCACATAAAACATTTTTACTTTTTTTTTGAATTCTTTTAGGCGTCCCTGTTGTCCCTTTTAAGCGATAGCTTAATTCAATTTTTTTAGAATAGTTTTCCTTAACTGAAGAGCCTTCTACTGCTAATTTCTTATAAATATAACTATGCTTATAAAAGTTTTTAGAGCCAGTATCCGGCGAAAAAAAAACTTTATAAATTCAAACTTTGGTGGTGTGGAATAATTAACAAACGTTACAAATAATCCATTTTATTCCTTACTTAAATTCAAATTTCAAGTAATGGTGATTACAAATAATTTTTATAAAATGAAAAATCAGCAAAGCTTTCAATACTTTATTCCAAACTACGCAATGCAGCCAATAAGCCCGTATTACTTTTATGCATTTCCTCAGGTCCCAATCGTGCCTGTTACTATCACAAACACCATTGACACAAATACCAAAGGAAATAAGAAAGCATACAAAAGAACCTGGAAAAAGACTCAAGTCGAAAGACTCTACGAAATTACAAAAGTCTATGCCCAGCAAGCTAACAAGGAAATAGAGCAGCTCACTATTAACGATTTTGAAATTATTTCAAAAGAAACCGAACAGTCTGCTGAACAGTGCATGGCGAAGATCAATGAAATTCAAACTTCTGGCACCCTTCGTCCTGGGATTTGGTCAGAAAAAGAAGATGCAAAGCTTATTGAGCTTGTAGAAAGCTCAATCACAAAGTGGGGAAACATTGCCAACCTCATCAATAATGAAATACATAAAGGACTTAAAATTCGAACAGGCAAACATTGCAAGGAAAGATGGAACAACCATTTGAATCCTGAAATCAGAAGAGGCAACTGGACAGATGAAGAAGACGTAAGATTACTTGAGTTACATAAGGAGCTCGGTAACAAATGGAGCAATATTGCCAAACAGGTAGGAGGCCGAACTGAGTGCTCAGTAAAAAACCGAATAAAATCCCTTTTAAATAAAAAAAGGCAGGAATTGGGAGTAATTGAAAAGCCTGAGAAATTTGAAGAAAAAGAAATTAACCAAGAGTCTCTTTTGGTGCCAACTTCACAAGTGGAAGAAGCAGCAAGTCCAAGAAGTGGGATGGAATATCCTAGTTTTAATTAAATTTGAAATTTTTCTGAAAATGCTTTGGAGTTATCATTAATACTTAATTTTTAATTAGAAATTTAGTGTCCTAATTGCAGTAATTTTCATTGAAAATTTCAATGGCAAACAAATTGGGAATTTCATTTAAAATCAATGATTCCATTATTTTTCTGATAGTGAGTATAATTGCTGATTTAAAAAATTTCTGTTAAGATTTGGTCATTGTTAGAAAAGCTGGGAATTGTATCAAAAGTGAGAACAGTCAAGCCGAACTCTTGGCAGCCTTTATTATCTTCTCTATAAGTTTAAATATAACAAGTATTTATAGTGAAAACATATCGTTTTTAGGAATTTTTGAATTCATTCTCATGAATGAAGATTCAGGCATAAATAGCTTGATTATACCAGCCATTGATAAAATATGGATCTCGTTAATAGCAATCTCTTTCAGTGTTTGCAATTTAAAAAACAAAACTTTTGCTCTTATGCAAATGTCTAATCATTGATTGGTATAAATTTTAAAATGATAATAATATTCTGCATTGAATTAACGATATTTTTCAATCTCAGAGTCCTATCTTGATTTAGCATATATTCTTAACAAAAATGATTTTTTTCACTTATCCCTTCCTATTGATTAGATCAAAAAACACTTGCTCACGAACCAAGGGCTAATTTTTTAGAATAATTTATATTAAAATTATCAATTTTAAAAACTCACAGTTTGTAATATTAAATGAAGAATAATTAATTTATAAAATTCATGTTTTAAGCTGCAAGGTTTATAGCGTCTGCCCGCATTAGGTTGCCTTTGCGAGGGTTTTCCATAGCAACTTGGAGCTCTGACGAGCCACCTAAAGGTGACAAGTCAACTCCAAGTTGACAAAAGTATGCCCTTTTGCAAGGATTTGTCAACTTGGAGTTTGCCACCTTTAAGTGGCTCGTAAGAGCTCCAAGTTGCTGCGCAGAACCCTTGCAAAGGCAATCTAATGAGGGACAGACGCTATATTTGACAGAAAATAGTTGGATATCTCATTGTATAAATTTTTTTTAATAAAAAAATTATATTAAAATTTCCTCGATAATTTCCAATGACTTTTCCAGTGATTTTGCTAACCAAGATAGAGGGTTAGTCAGAAATATCTAAAAGCGCATAATAATTGATGGAAGAATTTTCAACATTCAATATTTTAATAAAGCGAAAAGAAACCAGAACATCTTCTGGGGTAAGTACATCAGGGACATCAGATCCACCAGAAAGCCCGTCCTCTGTTGATTTTGAAGAAAAATCTTCAAGTCATTTCCCTACATATTGCACCAGCAATTTATGTCAAATTACTGTACCAATTAATAAAGAAAATTACTTGAAATTATTTAAACCCATAAGTGTCGACAAATGTGAAGAATATATCAAACTTAATTCAAAAATACGGTTGCTTTTGGCTAATTTTGATGACGTTTTGGAACCAGTTTGTGTAAAAGATGATTGCGCACACCAAGCAGCCACAATAAAATTAGGGCTGCCTACTTGTCGACTTGCAAGGAGAAGAAGGACTGAGCCACCTGTAACGTGAAATGAGGAACAATAATCAATTATTATTTGCGTTAAATAAAATTAGACTATGAAATGATATTATAAAAATTTTCAGTTTGTTTTCGTGTGGATTTGATGAAAATAAATAATTTTTTGAACAGAATTTTTGATATATTATTGATATTGGATATTTAGCAAGTCTGATAATTTATTGATAATTAATCTATGCCTAGTCAGAATGGTTAAAAACATTTAAACTAGCAAACTGTTTCCTATTTGCTATATAAAATAAGATACCAGATTCTAATAAGAACGCTTTTAGACTATTATAACAGGTTTATTTTCTTTTATAATTTATAAATAAATTGTATAAATTATTTTTGAAGTTAAATTAATTTAAATATGATAAAATTAACTACCCCTTTAGCAATTTAAATTAAATTTTAAATTAAAACTCTATTTCTGCAATTCTATAGGCTCTTGAAACGCTTGTTAGTTTCTCTAAAAACTATTAATCAATTATGCATTATATAATAAAATGTTTTGGTTAATTATTGGATTGCTATTTTTAGGGGCATTTATTTATTATTTCAGCATTCCTTCTGCGAAACCTCATTCCCCATCATCCTTAAAAACTTAATCTATTATACTTATAGAAAATTCCACTGTAATTCTGAGGAATGCCCCCATAATACTTCCCCACTAATCACCAGTTCGGATTTCACAACATCGCGAAAGTTGCCGATGCCTGGCGATGGCCTGCACTTGCTATCGGTAGTCAGAGGAGTTGTCTCAGTATGCACCTCTGCATAGGTTGCCTGAAGTTCAAATAGTTGAATCTATAGGAAAAATGAGAAAATATTCCCAAATGTCCAAGAAACTCGCTTCTGGCACTCTGGGAAATATTTTCCAACACTCATATCCACTCTCAATAAGGAAAACTCTGTCATAAGATTGAGCTTAGTATATTAGTTTCATCGTTGTCATTCTATATGACTCCAGGAAAATATTGCCGGATGCACATTCTCGAATAGCATCTTCGATTTCTCAAAATCCCTGTATACCCATCGGATGCCAGCTTCAGGCGGATTATTCTCCAAAATTTTAATGTTTACCCTTCCCGATCATCCACAAAAGAGTTCACTCTTGAAGAATTATCTGTTTATAATGGAAAGAATGCAAAAGCCTACGTTGCAGTCAAAAACAAAGTCTTTGATGTAAGCAGCAGCGAAGCCTACCTCCCAGGTGGCAGCTATGCACAATTTGCTGGCAAAGATGCCACTTTAGCTCTATCAAAAATGAATATGGATCCTAGCCTTCTCAACATTAGACAGCCTATTAATGAAGAAGAACAAAAAGTATTACCCTCCTTGATAGAGCAACTACATTGATACTATTGCCTAATAGTTTCTAGGAAATTCTACTTAATTTTTAGCATAGTTTTAATATATTGCATGCTGCATAAAATATTTTATATTGGAAAATTTTAATAATTATATGAGAAAATAAAAAAATATTATATATAGTAGGGCTATATATAACTTTTTTTCAGAAATATTTTAATTCTATCAAAGCCACAGCGGCAGTTCAATCAAGGACAGAAGAGCTAGACGATTGGGAAAAATATTTTGAAGAACGAAAAGGTTACCCACTAGTCGGAACACTCAAATTAGATTAAGCTTTATGCTAATCACACTATAATTAAAAGTTAAATTCAACCTTTTTAAGAGCTTCTAAATTGCTTTCCGTAACAGGTTTCCCAATAGCAACAAGCTTAAAAATTTCTCTATCATAGTCACTTTTGACTGAAAAAATCGCATAAGCTTGTATTGGCTTTTTGAAAAGTGTTTGTTTTTGGTACATAAATTTGTAATATCCTCTTCCCCATCTCAATGGATTCCTTCAACTTTGTATTCCATAAGGTGTTACTCCGTTTACTGCAGTTACTGGGATTAGGTCCTTGGTAGTGTGTCCAAAGCCGAACCATGGATATTTTTCGATTCGAATTATTTGGCCTCCTTCAATCAGGACGATTTTATAGCAAAATTTCGAAAACCTATGAATTACAAAGCTGCCTAATGCACAAAAAATAGGTAAACTGTAGCTTCTTAAAGCTCCAGACAGAGTGTCAGGGTCAACATGATAGAGGTAATAAATATATCCACAGATTGCAACTGAGCTGATTCTTATTAGGTCATGCATGCCAGTCCAAGCTAAAATTACTTTTTCTCCATTAGTGTATTCGATCTTTGGCAGGATTTTCGGCTTCTTTTTCGCAAAGAACCTTACGACTTTGAAAAATAAAGCCATAATTGTATGAGAATTTAATACTAAATTTTATAAAATATTATATAGTTTTATAATAATTTATCAAATAATTAAAATATTATTCTTAAGGCAAATTGCTTATAAAATAGCATAACTTTTACGAGAAACATCAAATCGATTCATGCTTTTGAATCCAGCCCCTTTCATTTGCTGCTTAAGAAATAGCTCTTCTTGGGGCATTAATTGTGGATCAAAAACATTGGTGTCTTCATTAGTCAAATGTGTGTATTTTGATTGGCCTTTTTTGCCAAAATCTCCTCGTCTCTTTTGGAGGATTTTTGGAAGGGCACTTTTATCAAAATCTCCTTCGACTGGAGTGTTGTAATCACGCATAAATATGGGATGAAGCTTACCATGCTCATCTCTTTCTTGGTAAAATACACCTTTGTTATAATATTTTTGCATAAACCCGATTTTCATTTTTTCTGGTTTTGCTGTTTCGTCAGTTCCTAAAGCTTTGTCTTCTTCCATTCTTTCCCAATCACTTAGCCCTCTTCTTCTTTCGATTTCTTTTAATTCTTTTTCACGGGTTTCTCTTTCATCTTTTGCCTTCATTATTCTTTTGATTTCTCTTATTTTTCACATTGCGAATTCATTAGGGTCATCTTCATCTTCATCGCTAAGTTCTTCATCTTTAGAAGCTTCGCCCATTTCTTCTCTTAATAAAGCTTCAGCGACTAGATATTTTGTATGCGATTTTCTTTCTTCTCTAGCTCATTTTTAATTTTTTATAAAATTAATTTAAATAATTAATATAAAAATAAGTATTTTTTTAGTGATAAGAAAGGAGAGTAAGCTGTTTTAGTTTTTCAAGGATTTCTTGCTCATCCATCTCCATCTGTTCTTTCTCTTGAATAGTTATTCTTTTATCTTTTGGGACAAAAGTAGGCTGAAGTCGAGGAGCTTCTATTTCCTCTAAATTTTCCTCATATTCTTCTTCAATGGGAAGAGGATCTTGAAATTCTTCAAGAACTTTTGTATTTTTGTGCTTTTGGAGTGCTTTCATTTTCAATTCTTGGCGACGGGAGGATTTTTGAGGGATACTGGGCTGAGGTTTCAGGTCAGATTTTGGTAGAGACTCAATAGTATCTATGCTTATGGTCTGCTTTACTATGGCATTGACTTTTAAAGTATCTTTATCTTCTGATTCTTCTCCTCAGGTCGGGGCTTTGCCAGGTCTGTATCTTTCTATTTTGGTGGGATTATACTGACTCTCTCCCCTTTAATAGCGAGCAAAACAATTGGAAAAATGCCTTTTTTTGGAAATTAGCAGCCTTTAAGATCGGCAAAAATAAATTTTCTTTCTAAATTATTTTTATTCATAATTATAATTGCTACAGCGAGATCTTTACTGATTATATTAAATTTAAGAAACCTCATTCTAAAAGATAAATTTATAAGCCAAATTAGATTTTCTTTTTAAATATATGCAAATTTGTATGGCAAAACAATTTTATATATAATCTTAGATAAAAATTAAAAGAAAAAATTAACTCCCTTTAAGATCGAGCAGAAAAATCTTGCTCGGTCTTAAAAGGGGAGGAGTGAGGTATTACTTTACCTCTGTCTGGATCATTATTAACTCCCCTCCTATTGGATCAAAAATACCACAAAATTTCCATTTTTGGATAAATTAACAAAATTTAGGTAAATTAATAATTCCTATTTAAATAACTTTAAAACCAAATATCGCCAAAATCAAACATTATTTTATCATTTGCTCTATTTTAAAGAAGGACGCAAGTAGAATACTATTTAAATAAAATATTCTAATTTGAACCAATAAATTTTATATTAATTTAGATAAATGCTGATAAAAGTTTAATATAATATTTTTTTATTCCAATTTAAATGGGATTAAGAATAGAAAAAGGATCTTTTGCTGATGACATTTACAAATTACAAACAATCCGAAGTGTTATTACTTAATCTCCTCTGTGGGCGAAAAAAAATATTGAAAAATCTCTTTATTTCGGGAAAAAATCCTCTGTGAGTTAACATAGAAATATTTTTAAATATATAAGTAATCTTTAGCTATCGTCTGCAGAGTGGGGAAGTTAATAATTTATTAAATCTTAATTATTCGGTATTTAAGGTGTCTCGTGCCCCTACCTCTTTAAAAAAGGATTAAGCCCAAATAGTGACGTCACAGGCTATCCTGCCACTTAAAATGGCGTACCATATGGGCAAAAATTCTTTGATATGCTGTATCCAGCTAAGATCGCACTTCTCGCCTCGTGAATTGTCATCGCTCTTGTGAGACTTAACTCCTCCGCGCGTTCCGCCTAAGCATCGCCCTCCTCAGATATGCTAACTCCCCCCCCATCCTTGATCGAACGGCTCGCTATCGTTCGATCAAGGATGGGGGTTAAAAAAAAAATTTTTTGGGAAAAAAATTTTATATATATATTTTTTTATTTACTTTTAAATCAGAGGGTTAAGAGTATTTAATAATTATTTTTAAAGCAAAAAAATTGAATTAATTTCATAAAAATACCAATTTTTAATATTTTGATTTATTAATTACCCCTTTAAACTGTATAAATTTTAATTTGTTCCTTATTGAATTAAAAATTGTTTTTTAAAAATTTTAAAGAGAATCTCTATTTTATTAGATTATTGAGTTTTTAAGCCTATGTTGATGACTAAATCACTTCGGATAGTTGATTTCGTAGCTTTCTGTCGTCTAAAAGCTTCTGAAAACAACTTCATTATGTACATCTTCCATGCTTTTGATAGCAAATATATTTTTATATATATGAAAATTTGCACGATATGAAAATCATTCGATCAAGGATGGGGGTTAATTTTCCCAATTTTTTAGGAATTTTTTACAGTCAATCGTTCGATCAAGGATGGGGGGGGGAGTAAGCGATTAAAAAATCCAAGCCTCTTGAATGCGCTGAGGAGCAGTTCCTCTGGCCTTATGGCCAAGAGTTAAACTGCTGTGCAGAAGTTCTCAAGGTAAAACCAAATCCCAGGAGAAAAAATTAGCAGAGCTAATTTCTCTCTATCCAAATGCCATTTTATTTATTTTAATAAATTTATTACAAATAAACTATAATGTAATAATTATAAAACCAGTTGCTTTATATTTACTTGAAATAATACCTTAATTTATTTTTTGTTCTTGCCATGATGGCAGCACATTTCGCAATGGAAGCATTTTCTTTTATTTTCTGGAGATGTGAACGGTAATGGCTGTTTCTTTTTAAGTTTCTTCCGACTCGAGCCTTCAGTCAAAATCTCTCTTGACTTAGGGCTTACAACTATCCTCTTAAGTTTTTTCTTCAGTACTGCACACACTTTTGCAGTCTGGCTTAGCTGTGATTTAATTTCATCAATTGCACTCGAATACCCCGTGCTTTTTAAATCTTTACTATTAAGCTTCAGCGATCTCTTCATCAATGAATTTTCATTTTCAATTTTATTGCATTTCGCATAAAGACCTTCAATTTCACTCGAAAACTGCTTTTCTTTAGAACTCAGCGATTTTAATGACATACTGCCTGACGATTTAAGTATCAATTCATTCCTAAAATCATTGGCAAGATCTACTTGTTTGCTTATAACTTCTTTTTGTTTTGCTATAAAATCATATTTGCTTTTAAGAATTTCGTATTCTTGATATAAGCTTTTGGATTCCAGGTGTTTTTCGTCCCTTTCTCTGGTAAGTTGCTCATTTTCTAATCTAAGCCGCATTATTTTTTCTTCAAATTCTTCGACACATCTGTCAGTTTTTTTGATTTCTTGAGATAGGCTCCGCATTTCTTGGGAAAATTTTTCTGGGCTGAGCTCTTGAGCTTTATTTTGATCTTGGAAATCAACTGGGACTCTGAATTTTGGGCTTTCTAATGGTGCTTGTGGAGGGGTAGAGTCGAAATCAAGCTTCGGAACATTGAAATTTCGCATGCTGCTAGAATATTTAAGTGGGGAACTTTGAGAGTCTTTGATGAATTTTGCGATGCTGTTTTTTCGTGACAGTTCTCGGCTTTTGCTAATAAGTTCTCGACTGTGCATGACTGAGTCTTCGGCTTCTTCGATAGTTTTGTAGTCGCTGAAACGAGAAAGCTGACTTTCAGTGAAACGATTTTGAAAATCGCTCATTTTTGAAAAAAATTACTTGGTTTAATTAGTTAAGCTGCTTTATATTCTGGATTTTAATTAAATTCCAATAAAATATTTAATAATCTTTACAAATTAAGAAAGAAATTGAATTTATACTAAAATGGAAGCTGAAATTCTTCCAGATTCTCCTATTTGATCTTTTAGCAACAGCTCAAACATTTCAGACGTAAATTCATTTTTCATTGCTTACTGCGCAACGTCCAAAATAGTCCTCCTAGATATCGCATCAGGAAAAGCTTATACAATATTGACATCAAACACACAAAATGGAAAACCCCGAAAAGCTCAGCGAGTCAGCCTATCCTCATCAAGCTGTGCAGGTGGATTTAATGATGGATTAATTGCTGTATGGGATTTAGGGATATTCCAAGAATCTTGAAAATATCAAGGAAAATCAGAAATATCAGGCTTGAAATGATGGAATGATTTTATTGTCTGTGCTTTTTCTAATGGAAATTGTATCCAGATAAAGGATGGAGAAGCTATAAAAGAATGAAATTCAAATAATATTCGCTGTATGTCTGCAAACTCTCATTATTTAGCCATTTCTGCAGCTGGAAAAATAAAAATATTTGATTTTGATAAAGAATTTCAAATAGAAAAAGATGCATTATCAATAGACATAAAAGAATGAGACAATGAATTGCATCTAGCTGCAATGGACGATAAAAAAATAACTGGCTACAAAAACATGCAAATTTGTTTTGAGTATTCTTTGCCTAAAGCAAAGAAAAAAGCTGCACAATTAGTTTTATCAATAATTTGATTTTCAAAAGAAAAATGCATTTATTCGTTAATGACAGGCGAAATATTTATTTTAAAAATAATTCCTCAAGTAACGACACAGCTTTTTATTAATAACCCCCATACACGAGCCATTATGGCATTCCTGCCAATTCAAGAAGGAATTGTATCGATAGGGATGGACAGGCTTATAATTAACTGAAAAATCCAACAATTTGAAATTGAAGGGCCTTCTTATAGAGTTTCAAGCGCTCCAATTGGCTATACTGAGCCTTTATGAGTACTCGCCACACTTGAAGGCTCTATTCATAGCATGTCAATAGATCCTTCAGGACAAGTCTACATATGCAGTGGCAAACAAAGCATAATAAAATGAATCCCTTTATCATCTACAATACAAAGCCGGTTTATATGAAAAAGTGAAGAAGAAATCCAGCAAATTTTATGCAACCCTTTTAATTCCGATATAATTGCAATTCTTACTCCCCCCATCCTTGATCGAACGACTCGCCATCGTTCGATCAACGATGGGGGTTAAAAAAAATTTTTTCGGGAAAAAATATTTATATATATATTTTTATTTACTTTTAAATAAGAGGGTTAAGAGTATTTAATAATTATTTTTTTCATAAAAATACTAATTTTTAATATTTTTGATTTATTAGTTACCCCTTTAAACTGTATAATTTTAATTTGTTCCTTACTGAATTAATTATTGGTTTTTTTTTTAACATTTTAAAGAATCTCTGTTTTTTAGATTATTGAGTTTTTAGGCCTAGGCTGATGACTAAATCACTTCGGATAGTTGATTCCGTAGCTTTCTTTCTGTCGTCTCAAAGTCTTTGAAAGCAAACTTCATTAGGTACATCTTCCCAAGCTTTTGATAACTAATATATTTTTATATATATAAAATTTGCATGATATGAAAATCATTCGATCAAGGATGGGGGTTAATTTCCCCAATTTTTTAGAAATTTTTACAGTCAATCGTTCGATCAAGATGGGGGGGGAGTTAGCACAAACCAGCATGCTTCGATTTTATCTATCCCTGAAGAAAAAATCACAAATAAATTAGAATTACTGAAAATCAAAAAAATTGTGTGGCAAGATGCTATAAGTATTATTGTGGCTTCAGATGACCAGAGCTTGTTTTGTTGGGATATAACAAATCAGAATTTAAAAAGTATTGCTCATGTGGGATTTGACGTCACTGCTATTTGTTTTAGCAAAGATATGGTATGGATTGGAACTCAGGAAGGAAATATTTTGGCTTATTTGATTGATGGAACTAGAGTTTATGCAGATACCACACACAATAAAGCGATTACTTGTATAAGTTCTGGCTCAAAAATTGCTGCTGCTTCAGAAGATTGTAGAATAAGCATCCATCAAGAGACGTGCGAACTGGTTATTGAAAAACATACAAGGCCAGTTCTGCATGTAGATTGGTCTTCTCATGAAATTGAGAAATTAGTTTCAGCCTCAATGGATCATACAGTCCAAATATGAGACAGTATCGGAAATCCATTAATAAACATAAGAGAGCATCAAGGCGCAGTTAGATTTTCCTTTTTTCACCCCACAATTCCTAACACTGTCATATCAGCATCTGATGACCAAACTGTTAGGCTTTGGCCTTTAAATAAGGCCTATTCCGCTCAAGTCCCACCACGACTGCCGCTTTCCAAAAAAAATGAGACCTATACAAAATCCTTATTTTCTCACTTACATTTTTATATATACCAACAAAACAGAGAAGAAGCATTATCATCTTTGTTAGAAATTTTAAATGACTCAGGCACAATTCATTGCAAATTATTTTCAACCAATTCTCAAAATGCATATGATTTGATTCAAGATGCTAAAAACTATAAAGATCAAATAGAATGTTTGTTTTGGCAAAGAAGTGCAGAAAGGCAGGAGGTGGTTGATGTGAATGAGCCGATAAAATTAAATAGGGAATGAAGCGATTTAGCACCACTTTTAGGGGAAAATCAGTGAAGAGAAGAATCAAGAAAGAATGGAGAAGAAATGCTTTTAAGAAGAAAAATTCATAAATCAGTCCTGTATTTTATAGCAGCAAGAATGATAAAAAGAGCAATAAAAATATATGTAAGCTCAAATTTATTTATAGAAGCAGTTATACTTGGAGCTTTACATAATGAAGACATAAGCGAAATATTTAGAATGTGGGCAAAACGACTGGCTGATACTTGCAAGCAGGAACAAGCTGCGAAATGTCTTTTAGCAATAAAAGACTATCAGCAAGCTTTAATACTTCTAGAGTCTTTACCTTACACAAATCCACAATTATCTAATTTGATAGAAATTTTGAAATCCAAAATTAATTAAAAATACAATTGAATAAATGGGATTGATAACTAATGCTCTAATTATTGGAGGTACAGTCATTGCTGCAAATAAAGTGCTATATAATATGCTTTTCGCAAAGCAACCAATCCAACGCTCATTTCAACCAATTGGAAATGGAAAAAGCCTTAATTTTACTTATCAGCATTTTGGAAGACATAATTGAATTTCCCCAGTAAAACTAGATGAAATTGAAATATCCTTTTCTATTTAAATTTAAGCATTATAGTAAGACAAATAATTGGATTAATATTAAAAAATTTTAATAATCGACATTAAATTTAATCCAGCACAATATAAATGATTTGCTTAAATATGATTATATTGACTTCAGGATATTTAAATCTGGAAATAAAATCCTTAGCTTTCGACCTTATCCTCATATTGAAAGATTGAATGAAATTCTGCGTCAAAATGGATTTAAAGTGAAATTTATTTAGAAAATCTCTGAAAGCTTAATTTTTGAAAGCTTAAAATCATTTAAAGACAATTTGAATTCAAAAGAAGAGTCAATAATTAGAGCAGGGCTTTGGATTAAAGAAAAGCAAAACACTTACTCATGTGGAGATCTCACATTTTCATTATTTCCTGCAATTCCTGCTCAACCAATAGATATCAGCCTTGTAAATTGTTTTGAGTATCCAAAGCACGGCCTGAGACCTGACTATTTGCTTTATTATGGCCAAAACATACTTGATGGATGAAAGTCAAGTATTTTTTTGGTTGAAAATGATGGAGCTTTAATAACTCCTAAGTTTATTCATCCTGCAATCACCCCATTTCCTATTGATACAACAGTTACAAGAGACAGCATTATGGTAATTCACAAATAAGAAAATTTTTTCAAGGTTTGCTATTGAAAAAGATATAAAAATTGATGAAATTTTTGATAAAAAAGTACAAACTAACTAGGTGAAAGGAGCTTTCCTGGCCAACGATACATTAACTATACAGCCAATTTCTTCTATATCTTTTAATGGTAAAAAGAAAACATGTACCGACTGCGATATTATGTATAAGATCCATGAAGACTTAAGAAAATATATCGTAAGTTCTATGTAGATGGGGAAAGAAAATATCACGACAAAATGTGAGGATAATTACACAGAAGAGTTTTGGAGCCATGAGCTCTAAAATAATATTTAAAAATTGAGTCATAAGGTAAAATATAATGATCAGTATTAAATAAATAACTCTGCATTAAAGCAAGCTTGCGATTTATTGATAGTTTCAAACAAATGCATCATTTAATTTTCCTTTTAGATCATATTTTAAAAATTATCATATTATTATGAGCTACCTTGATCTTTGGGATAAATTCAAAGAAGTCAGAGACCACTGGACAGAAACCAGATCAATATGTGACGAATTTGCTCGTTTTATCACCGATAAATCCTCACTCGACAAAAATTACGCTAAAGGTCTCAAAAAACTTCTAAAAAATGATCTTTTCAATCACGATACCACTACTTTACTCCCTTGCCTATCCTCAGTCAAAAATCTATACAAACAAAGCGCAGTTCAGCTCAAAATTTTGGCAGAAAATTTCCAAACAGATCTAGCTCAGCCTTTAAAACAATTATTAGCCCATCAAGATTTACTAATCAAAGAAAAATTGGAAACCGGGAAAAAGCTTATAAATGATAGAGAAAAAACAATAAAATCACATGACAGGGCTAAAGAAAGGTATTTTAAAGAAATAAAAGAATCAGAGACTTCTGCAAAAAATAAGGCAAATTTGGCTGTGAAATTTGAGGAAAATTACAAAAGTGAAATTGAAATGCTGAATAACTGTAATAAAGCCTATGTGGAGGGGATGAGAAAAGTACTGTTTGTGTTCCAGCAGCAAGAGGAAGAGAGACTTAGGATGCTGAAGGATTCTTTGAGGAAAATAGTTATTTTTGAAATTTCGTTTATGAGATCATCACAATATGAATTGGATTCTTTACCAAATGTATTTTGTAAGTAGGTTATGGAAAGTTTTAATCCACAAGCTGATTTAAAGAAATTCGTAGATGACAATCTTACAGTAACAGGCATAGAAACAGTAAAATTTATGCCTTATCTTCCGCCTACACCTCGACAAAGCATGATAGCACAAAATAATAAAAATGAGCTTATGGGGACTATTCTTGAAAAATGCTGAAAAGGTGAAGACATTTCTCGAGAAGAAGGATCAAGATTTGTATGAGCAATTTCGGATAACGAAGGCAAAAAAGTTTGAGTAACCCTTTTAGGAAGCATCCACACACAAGAAAATGCCAGAATTCCAGAACCAACATTCAGTACTATAGGAGATTTAATGTGATGCACTTTCAGCTCAATGATGGAAACCCAAGATTTCCATTATGCAAAAGATTGCATTAATTTTACACAGATACTCTATACAGAAAATGATGGAGAAAAAAAATTTTTATATGAATTTCTCATTTCACATCCATTATGGCAGGACGAATATAATTGGGAAAAAATTATTTTTTAATTCTAATGAATTAGGTTTCATGATAATAAAATATTTAATAATAATTTGGAAGGTATATAAATGTAGCGATAAATCAAGAAATAGAAAATTATACGAAGCATAAAGAATCAATCAAAGAAGAGGCTTCAATGGATAAAGTAATTATTGTATCACAATTGACTTGATTTGGAAGGACAATGAAGCTGCTTCAAGTAGAAGATGCTTCTGCTCAGCGGTTACTTGATTTATTTACAGAAAGATATCAGCTTACAGAGAACATTCCGTTATAATAATTTAAATAATGAACCTGCTTAATTTTTTATTAATAAATATACCATTTAAGCTATGCATTGTGTTTTTACAAGCTTAAGCTTCACTTCATCTCCTTTGACCTTTCTCTGTATCCCAATTTCCATCCAATTGTTTCCTTTAAAAAGCAGCTTAATTTTTTCATTAATTTTTTCCAGTATTTTTTCTTTACTCCCCCCCCCCCCTCCGTGAGCGAACAAAACCATTAGAAAAATCGCCATTTTTTGACCAAAAAACCCACCCTCCGTGAGTGAACAAAAATTTTTTTAATAGAAAAAATTTTTAATGGAAAAAAATTTTGATATATAAGTGATAATTAGTATAATGAAATCTAGAGCTAATTCTGTTTAATTTTAAACAAATTGCGTTTTAAAACATAAATTTTGCAAATTAAATTAATATTTGCTTCCCAATTTTTGCAAATTAGGATTTTTTTAAATTTCGAAAAAAATATTTTTTATAAAATTTATATATAAATTTTTTTTTAAAAAAAAAAATTAACCCCCTCCGTGAGCGAACAAAATTTTTTTGTTCGCTCACGGAGGGGGGGGGGGAGTTAGTTTTATTTTCACCAAATTCAAAAAATTGAGCAGCCTCATCTCTGCTTATAGAGACACTCAAAATTTCATTTGAGCTCCAAACTATCATAATCCCATAAAATTCAATTTTTCCTTCATTTTCAACAATCCCTTCTCCAATATTTCTTGGCTGTATATCAATTAGCAGCGCTTTGAATCTACACAATTCAACAGTATTCAAAGGATCTCTTAGCTGAGCTTCATCTAATAATGGAGCTGCTGTAATTGAGCTTGTCGTTACCAGAATTTTTATCTCACAAGAGGCCTCATTTGTATAGCTGCAATACCATTCTTGAGCTTCATTTATTATCATTTTAAGACCATTTGGCGACCCTACAATATGCTGCTGAATATTTAAAAACCACTCAGCGACGTGAACAATAGAAGAATGATGGGTATAAATAATGGAATTTCCTTCAATTTTGACTTCTCGCAGCTTCACTCATTCTTCTTCTTTTACATTAAATAAGTTGCAGTAATAAGTCTGCATGACTAAAAATCCAGTTTCGTCGCAGACTAGAATAGTCGATAATGGGATGTCTGGGAATTTATGGTGAACTTTAATTACATAGCAAAATATGTCGACTTCTCTGTATTTATACAAATTGGCTTGGCCAATACTTCTAATGGTAACCCCAGTTGTTAAGTCCCTTTTATTTAATTTTTCCAGCTCTCAGTTCTGAATGCAATATACTCTTTCAGCCATTTCTTCATTCTGCATTATTTCATTGTGGACACAGGCCAATTTACAGTCTTTTCAACTATAAATTCCAAATCCTTTTGACAATTTATTATACGTCCCAATAGCTTTTCCTTTAAGTGTCCTAAACGAAATTCCGCTTCCAGCAAAAATATCTCCGAGGTTCGAAATTTTTAATGAAAAATCATTCAAAAAAATATTTATTTGAATAAACTCCCTTTCTTCTAAAGACTGGTCTACAAGTTTCAGTTTAAATAAATTGTCCTTTTCATGTCTGCTTTCAATAACAAAATCCACAATTACACCAATAATATTTACTCTGGATATCGATAAAGCTGTGGCTAAATTTTTGCATTCTTGAAGGTCTTTAAAGCGAATTTTTGACAGTGGATTAGTATCGACCCTTTCTAGCTCTAATTTGCAGTGTAAATCGTGAGGCTGATAGTGGATATAAAAGTCTGAAACTATTTTTCCTTCTATTTTGGGGGCATAAAAGGACTCGAAATTTTCTGGGACTTTTAGAACTTTGAAAGGGCCTAGGATCAATTTGTCGCCGACAATAATAAGCCGGATTTTGTCGACCCAAAAGAGTCCTTCAAGTAAACAATAAATAACGTCATCTGAAGAATCCGAAAGTAAAAACCGAGTCAGGGTGTCATGAATTTGGACGATTTCTAAGACTTCTCCGCGAAAAATCCTTGATTCATTAAGATTAGCTGTGATATCTCTTATAAGCATATTATTGAATAGGCCCCTTATTAATTAAACAGCACATGAGATATAAATAACAATATTATTTGCTTAATTGTAGGATTTATCATAGATTAAGCTAAAATTGTAAATAATTCAGAGATAAAATGAATAAAAATCATCTTAATAAAATGTAATATCTAGCTCCCCCTCAATTATCCAGTGTATTTTTTTTAAAATAATTTTTTTTTAAATGCATATTAAAATCCTATTTGTTCCTCGCTAATCCAGGACCAAAAGAATTTCCAGCTATTCAAGAGGGGAGTAATTAAATTATGGAAAGCTACTCGTGAACTCAGGATTATCAAAGAACTTGGGAAACGATCACTAAAAAAACAGAGGAAGAAGAAAAAGAGGTCGAGCCTACTGAGCCTCATTTCAGGCCTCTTCTAAGAAGGCTTGTTCTCATCCTCGACTACTCAAAATCAGCTACCAAAAAAGATTTCAAGCCAAATCGCCATAAACTTATGAGCCAAACCGCTGAAGAATTTTATTCAAATTTCTATTCACACAATCCTCTATCAAATCTAAAAATGATAATCGCCAAGTCTGGGAAAGCTTTCCATATCCCTGACGTATCTCAATTACAATTAAGCGCAGATGGGGAATTTTCTTTACAAAATTCGCTTGAAATGGCTCTTTACTTGCTAGAAAGCACAGGAGAGCATTGAAGCTCAGAAATTTTGATAATTCAGAGCTCCCTAAATACCTGTGACCCTGGAAATATATGAGAAACAATAGAAAAAGCCCAAAAAAGACTGGCAAAAATCACTGTAATTTCTCTATGTCCAGAAGTTTTTGCTATGAAAGAAGCTACCTTAAGAACTGGTGGGAAATTTATATTAATTGACAAAGCTGAAAAATTAAAAGAAGAATGGGAAAATATCGCATATACAGGGAATCCTGCATCTTATGAGTCATTAGTGCCTATGGCTTTTCCATACTGAATAGCAACCCCTACACCTTGTGCATGCCATCTTAAAATCAATCAAGGATATATTTGTCCAATATGCAAATGCAAAGTGTGCACATTGCCTATTCAGTGCCCTGTCTGTAATTTTATATTGGTCAGTACTCCTCATCTAAATAAGGCAGCGCTTTCTTTGACACCTTTACCTCCTTTTAACCCAGTTTTGACCTTAAAATGCACAAGTTGTGAGAAAAGCAGTGTTTCACAGTGCCCAAAATGCAGCACAATCTATTGCTCAGATTGTGAAGAATTTGTTAGGACTTCTCTAGGAAAATGCTTAGGATGCTCATTTTAATATAAAATCATATGAAAGCATTTTCGTTAACATATTTAATTTAAAATGGATAAAAGGACATTGCTGAAAATTTATGATAGTCGTGTAGAAATACTAAAACAAGGGCCGATGGAAAAGACAAAATGTGAAGATTTATTAAAGGAATTAGAGATAGACGTGGAGCTTTCTAAACTTTCTTCAATTGTTTGGAAAAATTTGATAAGGCCTGAACTTTTAATAGAATCAGTTCTTCAGAAATTAAAAAAGAATAGGGATTATGAAAAGGAGCACAAGTTTAGCCAGATTTTATTTGAAAAAAGTGAATGTATAAGATATGAAAAATTGAAAGAAATGTTTGGGAAATGGCTTTCAAATATTTATGAAAAAAATGAAATTTGCCGAATCCTGCATGTAATTAAAAAATTTGCTCTTAATTCTCGCTTTGAAGTGGAAAAAGGGTATTTTGTGCTGCTTATTAGGGGCTCCATGTCAAATGAAAGTGGATTTTTGACAGTGTATATTTCATCGAAATGCATTTGGTCGAAAATTAACGGGTTTTTTCGGTCAAATGTCTCACTATCAAAATTTCAACCAACTTTGGGCCAAAAATACTTCGGTGAAATGGACACTATGCCATTGGACCCGCACCCGCTTATTAGGACTTGTGATAATTTCTCTAGCAATATTACAAGTAATTTAAATTACTTCAAAGTTTTATATTATGCATTGAATAAATGCATATTAAGAGATTTTTGGGTAGAGCTTAAAAGTTATGATGGAAAAAGAACAGTTTTAAAGGAGCTAAATAAAGCCCAACAGGATAAAATTCGCAATTTGCCAATAAAAGCACCGAAAATTAACAATTTTTATGAAAAAGAAAATTTCAGCAAAATAATTACAGAAAAGTCATCAAAATCTTTAGGGGAGGGGTATGATGAAATTTATACATCCAAAGCTGTCAGTTTGAGAAACAAGCTATTTTTTAAAATTTGTGAAAAAATCATTGATGGAAGATATAAAACTGAGTCAAAATCTATTTTTCAACAAATTATAGCATTTGCAAAATCAAGAGGAAAATTCATTGACAAAACCTATATAAAACTTTGTATTATTTTGCAGAATTGCTTTTCTCGTTCTTTAAGGTCGACTTTTGATAACTTGCAGAGAATTTCTTTAAGAAAAAATTCTTTTACTGCAAGTAGGATTAGTTTTGAAAGAGAAGACAGCATATGCTCATTCTCCCACAATGCAAACTCAATTGGCTTTATTAACGGGACATATAGAATGAATTATAGTCAAAGTCTCTGCTTATCATTTGCTCTAAAATCTCTATTTCAAAAAAAACTCAACGAAAGTTTCTTTATTTTCAAGAAGGCTCTAATTTGTCCAATAAAAAACCTTACCAAAACTCTAGATACGCCAATTTCCAAATTTAAACGATCTATATTTACAGAGCTTGTCCAATTAACAAAAATTCAAGAAATTACAAGTTCCATTCAAGGTGAAATTTCTCAAGAATTAAGAAAGCTTAGACAGAATGACTATAAAAGTACTAAAATCCGGGCAATTAAATTTTTAAATTCAAAAGGCAAGTCAATTCAATTTTTCAAAAAAATATTTTTATGAAAGACATGAAGAATTAAAATATTGGAAAGTAGGTCTCTGAAAGATTGAAAAAAATTCAATAAAAAGCAAAAATTCGTTGATCTTTCAGTTAAAATGTCTTCTTCTGTACCTCAAACCCCAAAGCAAGTAGCACGGTCACCAAAGAGAGCGTTAAAGAAAAGTAAATGCACTTCATCTCAATTGATTTTAAATAGTCAAGCGACAAGCGAGAAATACGATGATCTCAATAATTCTGTGAAAAGAATAAGGTTCCATCATGGAATTGAGAAATTGTGGCTTGCAAAGAGAATGATAATAAAGAGACTAAAAAATTGAAGTCCACACAGAGCATTCAGCGTATGGCTTTCAGCTGCTCAAATATCAATCTAATATTTATATATAACATCGAAATTTCATAAATAGTTATAATTTTCTTTTCATATAAACTCAAATAAAATATTTATTACAAATATTCAAAATGGCCGATTTTATAATAAAAATTACTTGAATTTTAGTTAAAATCAAATCAAAACAGCATAATTTTCCCTTATATTAAAAATGGAAGAGCAAAATGAGAGAGCTTCAACAATTGACCCATTAAAGACTAATTTAAAAGAATTCGACTGGAGATTTGAGGTTCAATTAGCTGGAAGGGCTACTGAGGACACAATCAATCCAAGAATATTGCTCTCACTCCCCCCCTTTTAAATTGGAACAAAATATCGGTAAAATTTCCACTTTTTTTGGTAAATTAACCCCCCTTTAAATTGGAACTAAATTTAATTTTATAAAAAAAATTATATATAAATTTTTATCTAAAAAGTTTTAATATAAATTAAATGTTTCTTATTAACTAAATTAAAAATTTAATTATATCTTGCTCTTTTTTAAAGATAAAAGTATAAAGAGCATCTTATTTAAATAAATTTATTATCCTTGATTGTAAATTTTAAAAAAAAAATTAATTTTTTTTTTTTAAAAAATTTTCAAAAAAATTTTGTTTTTTTTGATAAAAATGATATTTTTTATTTAAATAGTTTTGATATAAATTCAATAGGAATTCTTTATAAAATTTAAAAAAATTTACTTATTTCTTACTTTATTTTAAAGAATAGAGTATATAATAACATCTTATTTAAACAGAATTAGCACTTTGATCGATAAATTTTCTAAAATTTTTTTTTTTAATTTTTTTTATCAATAAAAATAATAGTTTTTTTGTGTAAATAATTTTGATACCAATTAATAGTGGCGTATTAACTAATAATGAAAATTTAGTTATATCTTGCTTTGTTTTAAAGGATAAAGAGTAAATAGCATTTTATTAAACAAATTTATTAATCTAATTCGATAAGTTTTGGAATTTTTTTTTTTTTTAAATTTTTATATATTTTATAAAAAAATTTATATTGATATTTTTTTTAAAAAAAAAAATAACCCCCCTTTAAATTGGAACAAAATTTTTAGTTCCAATTTAAAGGGGGGGGGGAGTCAGTTGAAACAGATAAAGAAAAGAGAATCATCGAAAGTGATTATGCCAATTTAAGAAACCTTTACCAGCAGCTCAATTCAGCTCTCAATTCATTTGATTCAATTCGTGCTAAAAAGGCAGAAAAATTCTTAACCCAGTCAAAGACATTATAGTTAATATTTTAAGCCCATACCTTACTTAATTAAATATTGAACTGTAAGCAAATTAATTATGATATAAAATCTCTTAATTTCATAAATTAATTGTTAATATTATTGATCCCATTTTGTAAGCCTAAATGCATGTGACAAAATTGAGCTGAGTTTCCCATTTTTCGTAACTTCAGCTTTTCTCCCTAGCTCAGCTAATGCTTCTAACTGTTCTATCCTCCTTGCCCTTGATGAAACTCTTACCATAGAAACGCCATGCATATTTATAATAGTTCTTATAAGCAGCGTCCCTATCATATATTCAGGTACCAGCATATCATTTAATAAAGGTCCTTGTTGAGTTTCATTTGGTGATATATTGACCTTGATAAGCCTATTTTTCAATGGTGTTAGGATTATTATTGTTTTCCTTTTCATCCCATGAGATTCAAGCAAATTTGGAATTTTTGCAGTGTATGGGTCATTTGCTCTTTGGTTCCATAATACCACGACTTGTCCATGAGAAATAATGTCTGGGAGTGTTAAAGAGCTAGTATCAGGGATAATTGCAGGGACTAAGCTTATAAGCTCGTAATAATACCCTGATGTATACAAAGCTGAACCGTATTTATTTATGGTCATTAGAAATTATTGTTTATTAATGTTGAATAGGTAATTTGTTTTTATGTATTAAAATATAAGACTATGATGAGAAAAAAAATTAATCTTGCTAGAGATTGTAAAAATTAATAAAATTAGTATAAAAATCTTGAAACTTGCTTAAAACCTTCAAATTGAGTATGATTTTGTTTTAATAAAACACCCATTTGTGGCAAAAAGTCCTGGAAACTTTGAGAATAATAGTCAACATTGCTTAATGCATCTGATTCTTTAGATTCTGGAGTTTTCAAATACAAAATAGGGCATATAATTAATTCCTTATCAGGAATTTTATCAATTTCAGAAATAATTTTTTCAACTTCATCCCCATTAAGTGCTAACAAACTAGAAATATGATCAGTTTGGAAAAGGCCAAGTTGCGCCAATAATAGTCTATAAGATTTAGGTACATCTTCAACCGTTTTAGGGCTCATCGCTAAGCTTTGGGCGCTATATTCTACCTGTATACTTGATTCATATTTCTTAGTGGTTTCTTCTTGTTTTTTAATAATTTCTTGAAAATTTCTAAACAAATTTTTTTCTTGCTCGCTGAAATCTTCAAACAAGCTTTGTGACAAACTTTCATCAGGGACAGGAATAAGCGGTGGCGGCCTTGACTGGCACACATCCATTTTCCAGGCAGTATTACTAGTATTACTGTTTTCTGCTTTATAAACTAATCCTGCTTTTCATATATATCTGCCTATAGAATTCCTCATCATTACTAATACCTCTTCATGATGCGGGTTATCTTGTGACGAGTCATAAAGCGTTAAAAGGACTTGTCCATTATAAAGAAAATGCCTTTTCGGCAGCTTGACTTCGCTATATGTTAAAAAGCTGCTAGATATTTCTAAAGCATCTAAACTTGTATATGCAATTGGTGGGAGGCTTCTTCCTAAGTTATTCATTAAGAAGTCTTCAACATATATAGCGACTTCTTTGACTCTGTCTAAAGCTTGGGCACTTATTGCTACTGATAAAGTGTTTTGTCTTATAGTTGGCTCCATAAATGCATTAGGGAAGCAGACAAGCCAATGCAAAAGTGAAAATAAAAGGCTGCTTATGATGCCTTCGGTAGAAGATTTGCCTATTTTTTTGGAAATGTAGGAGCAGATTTTGTCAATTATACAGATAACTAAATTTTCACTTGTAATGGGTTTATAGCAGATTAGAAAAGGAAGGGTTGAAATTGTGTCGAGTAAGTCTTGGTAAATCTTTTTTTCTTGGATGTATTTAAGAAAGATATTCGCTTTTTGGAGATATAGGGGTTTTATGTATTTTTTTATAGAAATTAGGATAAATAGTTGGAAAAATAGAGGAAATTTGGATAATGAAGGTTAATCTATAGTCTCCAATCTATTTACAAGCTGGACGACAATATTAGTCAGCAGCTCTGAATCAGAATGAATACTTCCTGCAAATACACATATAGTCCATACCAGTCTATGGAAATTTTCACTGTCAGTTTCATGGTCCAATGCTTTTTGTAGGATATTAGTTACCTGTATTATTGGCGCAGGCTGGTTAAAATATTGTACAACTGCTACAAATGTCCCTAAAATGTAATAGCATGGTCTTTTTACTGCAGGAGCTATATTATTATCAGTCAAGTTATTCATAATTGCTTTAGAAAGCGCTTCTTTATGCAGCAAAATCCTTACCCCTCCTTAAAAATTAAATGGTGGGCGTTAACGGAAATACGACTCCGAGGCAAAACTCCTGATGGAGCGGTTAACCTGCGCGATGGGTGGCAAAAGATGCTCTTCATGAGTTAAGTAGACCATCTCAATGGGAAGCCTACCAAAGCTGGGTGTTTTGTTTCTCCCCTGAAGGGTTTCCAGTTTCTGCTAGATGGGCTAGACAGGTTTTGCCTACCACATAGTCCTCTCTCTCTATCAGGACCGACGGGGCACTTTACAGATGGTGGATCTGCTCAATAGAGTTAATCCCCATGGACAGGCTCTTCAGATCGAAAATCCAAAATGGCGACCTTTATTTTCCTCATTTAACTCTGAGGTGTATTTTAGAGCCGAGAATGAGGAATAGGCTAGCGGGCTGCCCACTTATGGCCAGTTTAACAATTAAATTTAATTTATTACCCCTCTATGATCTAATGTCAAAAGGTTCGGCGAGTGCTTTAAAATATACATGACCACCAATGAGCTTGACGAGCTTTCCATACATTTAAAAATCGTCCTATAAAACTTCCCTAAAAACTCATCTTTATTTGGCCCTCCAGCTTTACACATAATCCTACAAAGTGCTCCAACAGCTTCTGCTCTTCCAAATTCATTATAGCTACCTTCAGCATTTGCATGGAAAAACAGCCAGCCTCCAAACATATTTAGCAGCCCATCCGCACTTGGAATTGGTAGCCTGCTCAGTCCCCACAGATAATGAAAATGAGTGTCTTGGAATTTTCTGGTCAATTCAGCTAAAGCTTCAGGGCCGCTCGCAGTCACTATATTTGGCATAACCATGCCTTTAGCAATAATTCTTTTTTCAGCAATTTCTAAAAATGAGTCTGTTATTGTAGCAACGGACCTTACCAACTCTTTATGGACGTCAGGATCTGAAGGGATTTTGTCACGTGTATTGAGAAGCATGAGATTCAAAAATCTGTACCAGAAATACAAGCTTTGTTCTAGTGAAAAATGCAAAAGCAAAGTTTCTGCAGGCTCATCGTGGGGTTTTGACATTTTTAAGAAATGAAGCTGCAGGGTTGGAGGCTCCTCGCCATATAGCATGGCGTTGATTCTTTGGGTGAGACCGTGGGCTACAGCTTTTCATTGGAAAATAAGCCAGATGTGATGGAGCCAGGAGCTTGAGCAGGTTTGGAGTTCTTTTCATAGATCTTTGTCCCTTGTATTAGACCTCAGCCAGATTTCGAATAAAGTTTTTAGTAGCAGTGGGCACAAGTCTTGTGCTAATGCTGTGATACTTTTAAGTAGAGGGTGGGTTAGCAGTAGCATAATTTTTAATAGACATTTCCAAGTATCTTCTTCTATTGTCTTAACTCTAATGAATTCTCTAACTCCTCTCGAATTCGTAATAAATATTGTTTTATTCGTCATTAAAACTCAAAAAGATCTATTAACCATCATAATAATAGCTATTAAAAAAATTATTATTTTATTATTATAAAAAAAAAAATTTATTTCGGGTATAAGTAAAACCAAAACTTCAACACAAAGCTCAACATGTTTATGTGTGTCTCCTGGCCTTTCCACAAATAGCAGCGACAAATGACCAATTATTTCTCTCTGATAAAAGCCTTCATCTTCTTCAATGCAGGTAGGTCTTTCTCCCTCTCCTATGCTAAGTCAGTCACGATAAATTTCTATAGCAGTCGAAATAATTGAATGGTGCTCTATAGGGAGTGAAAAAGCAAAGCCAATGCATTCCATTGCCCATTGGACATGAAAATGTGTGGGAAGATAAGCTCTGTCTCTTTTTCGCACAGAATTAACGATGTGTCTTGTGATTTCAACTTTGGGCATTATGTCTTGGCAGAGGTGATTAAGAACGTTTGTATTGGGTCGTGCCTTTATAAAAGGAGTGTGACTGTTTCTATTGAAATCCTCGAGAGTAAAATGAGAGACATACATATTAAAATTTATGGGTTTATTATAAAACTTTAGTTACTGACTCTTATAATAAGTTGTTGGCTTTTATAACAAGTTGCTGAGCTTATTATATAAGAATGATGTGCTTAGCAGTCCTTTTTATTTAAATTTGATTTTAATTCAACCTTTTTATTCCTTCCCCAAAAGTTTAAGCTTGACTAATTGATTTTTAGGAATTTGTGAAAATATTTTTACAGTCCAGTCTTTATTTTAATTTATCTATAAGACTTCCTTTTCCTGAATATTTATAACTTATTTGCTATGCAAGAAGCTTACTATTCAGATTAGTTTCTTATTTAAGTAGCTTTCCAGCACAATTTTTCATTTAAAAATGCATTTCTTAATAATTTGCTGTCCTTTCTTGTCATATTTTAAAGCGTTTTGGAATCTATCCGTTTTATCTCAGAATCTGAAATGGTCTATTTTAAACAGATTCTTCAATTCTGATTCAGAAAGGAGAATTCTAATATTTTCCTTTATCATGATTAATGGAAATAATCCATTACTGACCGAATTATCGCAGAATAATTATGTATACTTATTTTTGTTGACAAAATAACTAAAAATGAATTTGCAAAATAATATGACCACGTTGGATCTTGATATGCTTACAATCTTCCTTTTATCGATTTTATTGATCTCATGCTTTTTATTCGATTGCAGCCACAAAGCAAGGCTATTTCAATTGTATATGGCTATTCAATCTTACTTTGTAGGACATTCCCAGACAGTTTGGGATCATCTCAGTAAAGAAGAGTTTTCAGAAAAAAAAATTGTTATAGAGCACGAAAAACTGAAAAAGCAGAAACGTAAAACCAAGAAGCATCTGAATATGAAAATCAATATTGATAAATTCCTTTACACGTAAAATCCTTCATGAAAATGCCCTAAAATTGTATAAATGAGCATTTTTTAATTCATTTTGTGCTAATCAATTAATTTTTTTTTGTTGAAAAAGAGCTAAAATCAACACAAACTTAAATCCTTATATTGAAGAAAATAAAACTGAATTAAATGCATCAGCCAAATTGAAATCAGATGAGGAGAATGACTTGTCTGATTTTGGCAAAAACTCAACTGCAGAGAATTCACCGAGGAATGAAGATAGTGCAGTTGATGAAAAGAAGTGCAAGATATTTATCAATGAAGAAGAGTTTTTTATTGATACCTATAAGTCAGAATTTGGACTTTTCAGTGGACCCTGCATTGAAAGAATCTCTATAGATGCGGCAATGAATGATTTTCAATATCAATGTGTCAATTTCAATTAATTGAACACCGAAAACCTGATAATAACAATAAGTAATTTGCTTATTTTTTTAATAAAAAATTTTTCCTTAGATAATTTGTATTTTTATATACTTTTATTTAGATAATGCTCAATAATTAATTGGATTTGTCGATTTTATGCTTAAAATCAATGAAATCATACTTTTTTATAATGCTTAAATTATTAATTTATTGGCATTTTTATACAGCTTGATCATTATTATCAATTTGCACGTCATATTTTAATGCATTTTTCATAATCAAATCAATGTTCAAATACCTTTGTCCAATGCCAGAAAAATACTCTGAAAGTAATGGCAAATCTCTCTTCAAAATTTCTGATTCAATCATTTCTACAATGGCTAATGAAATATTGATCATAAACCTAATCCCTTTTGTAAAAACACCATCCCAAAACCTTACAACAGTTTCATAAGAAAAAGAATAAGTAAACATCGTAATAAATCACTTTGTAAGCCACAAAGCATCATCAAAATTATGCTTCAGTATGTGGGCTTCAATATTAGGCTTTGCAGATCTCAAAGAATTGTGGAATTTTGAGCACAATTCTTTGACTAAAGGAAACCCTTTTTCAAATAATCTTTCAGCTCCAAATTTTGACAGGACACAATTCATAATGTAAAATGCGCTATTTCTGTCACCATTGCATGTTATAAGAAATGTCGCTGCGATATAATTCATGCCTTGGCAATATCCGATGTTCGGCCTGTGGTTTGCAAATGCTAATAGAACCTCTTTTAAAGTTTTTTGGCCTAATTCAGTTGAAAATAAAGGGTTAGCAGGAAAAGTCCTGGTTATATCTTTTTCTATATCTGATAGAGAAGTTGATAAATTTGAGTCTAGCAAATTTTCAACCGAAATTTCGTCAGAATTTATATTCAAAGCTTGTTGCCAAATCTCAAAACGTAGTGATTTTGGGGTTCCATTATAAATCAAAGATCTGAATTTAGTGAAATTTTGCTCTTTAAAGGTAGAGATTGGGTTATTGGAGTCCTGGTAGAGATTCAGTTCTTTATTTCAGTTGTTTTCTATATCTTGATCAGTTTGATAAGTAGGAGGTATCATTCCCATAGGAACTCGAGATACGTCAGCAACTCTTACATGTTTTAAAACTTTAGAACCACAGCATGCTGCTCCCATTTTAACTTGCTATTAAAGGCAGTTTATGTATTTTTAGAAATTTATTATTAAGTTTTTCTATATCAGATACAATAAATTTCTTAATTTGTTTAATCTTGATGCACATATATGAAGTGGCTTTGAGCATGCCTTATTTTACACCTGTAGATGATGCTAGTGATGATTACCTGAATGATGCAAATGCAAACACTATTTATATTGGCTTATATAAACTGTTTTTATTAATGCTGAATTTATATTTTTTTATTTTTCTGAATGAGAAATAAATATTGTAATATCTCTTTTTATGTGAATCACAAATAATTTTTATGTGTTGTTTTTAAATTAGTTAATATTTAAAAATGATTTGACCAATAAAATAGTGATGAAACATATCAGAAAGCTCAAAATGCATTATTAGACACCAAATAGTCTTATTATCAATCTTTTTGATTTTAGAGGATTTGTCATCTGGGAGTTGATTTTTCCAGCAGATGTTGGTTTGTCGACTCTCAATCTGATGTCTCCCGACGTAGTTAAGAACCAAAGCAGGGATCAGCTATATTATTTGCTATAGCTGAACTATTTTTAGTATAAAAATTGGAATTTGAGCATTTAAAGCATATTTTTGTATTTTATTGCTTAGCTTAAGATTATAGAAGATGGATTTTTCCCAATTTTTTATCTAAAACTCTGTGATAAAAAATTATATTGCAGACTAATTATTTATTAAATTCTAAAGAAACTAATTATTATGTGTTTTAAATTCAATTATTAACAATTCAGCCAGATCGAATAAGCTTTAAAAGCATTTTGGGAAGACATATGGAATTTACTAGAACTCTCTTTAACCATGCATAAAGAAAGAAAATAAATAGAAGATAAACTGGATATATTCTGAAGGATAAGGGAGAATTATGACTTCAGGTTGCATATAGAAATTGAAAAAAATTGAGCTTGAGAAAGCCCCTAAATTTGTATATAAATGGAAAAACATAAAACTCAAAGATTAAGAATATAATATTTTAAATATATTAAAATAGCTGATATATGAAATTTTCTAGCAAAATTTCCTCTGCTGGGCTCATTTATTATTATAAGGTTCGGTTTTCCATACCTCTTAAAATATAAATATCTCATTTATTGTTTATTACCTCCTGGATACTGATTTTTCCACTTATTTCAATTTTCCATTTGAAAATTTTCCTACTTTATAAAAGCTGCACTTTTTTTCTGTTAATTATTGTAAAACCCTACAAAAATTTTTGGATTCTTTAAAGCTATTCCAAAATTGTCTGGTCCCCATATTTATTTTCCAAGCTATCTAGCAGCTAAATTAAATTATTGACGTATGATTCTTCTTCAGTAGATAAATAGATGTCTATATTCGGCAAAATTGATATTAGTAAAAATTTCCAGATTCCTAGTCAGTAGGCAGAAATAAAATGTGCTAAAATCAATACCTAATTATAATTATTATGAGATTTCAAAACATTCTTGCTTATTTTGGGAAGAAAAAAGAACAAATAGAAGAGCAAACAGAAGAAGAAAAAGAAAGACAGAGAAGAAGGAATGAAGAGCACCATAACTCTGTCTTGTCTAAAATTCAGTCATTAAGTAATTCAGATACCAGACATTTGTCGAATAATGAGCTTAGATATATTTTGGAAGACATATGGAATTCAATGGAACTCTCTTTAACTATGTATAAAGAAAGCAAATGGATAGAAGAAGAACTGAGCCTATATTGAAAGATAGATAAGGATTATGACTTAAGGGTGCATTTGGAAATCGAACGAATTGTGTATGAGAGAACCTCCGAATTTTTGTATAAATGGAAAAATATGAAGATCGAAATTAAGCCCTGCGTAATCCAGTTTTAAATATTTTATAACATAAAATTGGTTTCTTAATATTAATATGGATCCTTCAAAATTTAATTGAAAAATCTAATAGCGTGTGAGAGTAATATTTAAAAAGGGGGCATTTAATAATTTTTATTTAAGAAAAAGAAAGTCTAATGTTCTAAAGCCGGGATTGTTTAATTAATTTGGTTTTTTATAAATCGATATTGAATTTAGGAAGCTAGATAATTATTAAATTTAAGAAAAAAAGTAAAAATTTCCTAATTAATATAAAATATTTAATCTTAAAATTCCAACTGTTTCTAATCCTCCTGATATTTCATAATTATTAAGCTATCTGGTCTTATAAATATGAATCCCTATAAATCAAAATCACAAATTATCCTTATCATTTTCTCATAAAAATTCGAACCCAATAGCAATGCTATTTTACATTCAATATAAACTCTATAAAAAAATCCATTATAAAACCAATATGACTTCAGATATCAAAGTTGATACAAATTTTGACGTTCCTTTACACTTATCTGGCTACCCCTCAGGAGGATATAGCTTTATCCCGTCTCCCATAATTTCATGTGGCACTCCAATTGATAAAACCCGGACACAGTCAACCGATGAGTTTACCAGAAAAGGAAAAAGAATTTCAACTAATTTTCTAGACCGTTCCCAAGATATCACAAATAAGCTAAAAAGCATGACTTATAATGAAATTCCTGAAAAAACTGATTATAAGCGGCATTCCGAATCATCATCGAACTCCAGATCTCCTGATAGGTCTCAAAATTTCTCTTCAAAAAATATGAACTCTTCACCACTTTCCCGCAATTCAGTATATTTTTCATTGCCATCTTCACCTGCTAGAAGAAATAGAGAAGAGGATGCGAAGTTTGCAAAACCCCCAATCCCTAAACAAAAAACGAACCACAAATCTTCAAGATCTCCTCATAACGCTGTATTTAATATAATTAATATAAATAATTTTTCCAGGTAATTTTAGGATTATTTATATATATGATAAATTTAGCCAAAATAAGTATAATTTAATAGAGTTAATTCAAGAATCTAATACAAAAGACAATGATCTTTTATTGAAGAGAAGAGAATCACAATATTTTTTATTGAAAGATGATCTCATTCATGATATCAAAACAGTTTCTAAAGAATACAAACATAAAATAAAAAGAAAATGGCAGCAGAGGTCGAGCCAAGGTGAAGAGAAAGACTTGATGAAAAAAGAAATTAAACAAATTGTTACAGGTTGGAGGAGAGAAATGAAGAGATTTGTATTTTAATATTTCAGTATATTTCTGGAGACATAGTTTAGCTTATAATTATAAAAAATATAGTATCTGCAAAGCTGGGACTTAAAACATATTTTATATGTAAATACTGAACCATTTAAATTTTTATTTTATAATAAGGATCCCCCCCCCCCTCATTTGTCCAATTTTCTAGTCTTTTATCATTTGTCCATTTTTCTAGTCTTTTTTATAGGAAAAATAAATTTTTTTAGTACCTCATTTCATTTGTCCAATTTTCTAGTCAAAATTTTGATAGAAAAAAAAAATTTTTCAGGACCTCAATTGTCTCATTTTCTAGTTTTTTAAAGTAAAAAACTAAAATTTAGGAGATTTGAAAAAATCCAAAAAAGACTAGAAAATGGGACAAATCATTTTTGACTAGATTTTGGGACAAATGAGGTCCTGAAAATTTTTTTTTATCCCTATAAAAAAAAGACTAGAAAATTGGACAAATGAGGGGGAGCAATCCTTATTTGCATCATTCAGGTAATCATCACTAGCATCATCTACAGGTATAAAATAAGGCATGCTCAAAGCCACTTCATATAATGATCCCCTCTCTCTCATTTGTCCAATTTTCTAGTCTTTTATCATTTGTCCATTTTTCTAGTCTTTTTTTTATAGGATAAAAAAAATTTTTTTAGGACCTCATTTCAATTGTCCAATTTTCTAGTCAAAATTTTGATAGAAAAAAAAATATTTTTCAGGACCTCAATTGTCTTATTTTCTAGTTTTTTTAAAGTAAAAAACTAAAATTTAAGAGATTCGAAAAAATCCAAAAAAGACTAGAAAATGGACAAATCATTTTTAACTAGATTTTGGACAAACGAGGTCCCTGAAAATTTTTTTTATCCTATAAAAAAAAGACTAGAAAATTGACAAATGAGGGGGGGGGATCCTTACTTTTGCAATAAATCAAGTTATTTTTTATTACTATTATAATTTATTCGAAATTTCATTTGCTCAGCATTTATTTAAAAAAAGAAGACAATATAAAATATAGAGGTTTCCTCTATATAGCGCTAAAAGCGCAGACATTTTCCCAGGAGCTTTCCAAGTTCGTCGGACCAAATCGCTTTTTGGTCCGACCAAGGCATTGATTTGGTGCAACCTACCGATAAATTCCGATCAGAATTTATCGGCCTTACAGCGCCAAACATAGGAAACTTCTATATCTATAATTTTACTCGTGCTCCATCATAAGCTTTTGATTTTCCATTATCATAGCAGTCAAGCTTTGGGCTATTTCGTTCTTCTCCTTCACTACTTCTTCTAGATTTTCATTCAGCTCATCTATTTTGCTTTTACAAGTTTCGAGCTCTAATTGGATGCTCGCTACCTCTTTTTCCTTGCTTTCTATTCCCAATTTTAGTTGAATATTCTCAACAGTTTTTGATGAGACTTCATTTTCGAGACTTTCTATGCTCGTTGTTAGACTTGCGATAGTTCCTTCTTTTTTGCTATTTTGGGATGAGAAGTTTGAGATTTGGGTATTTAAATTGCTGATTTCTAAGCTTAATGACTCTATTTGTTTATTTGAGGAGATGATATTGTCTTGGGCTTTTGATAAATTTTCTGATAGTTTTATTATTTCTTGCTGAGATGATGCTTTTTCTGTTTTAAGATGTTCAATATTTTGTCTCAAATTCTCATTTTCTGCTTGATGCTTTATAAGCAAATCTTTAATTTCCTTGGTGGATTTTTCGGATTCTTGGTTTATTTCAGCATTTTTCCCTTGTAGAAGTATCATTTGTTGCTCGATCGACTCTTTTAGTCCTTTTACACTATTGGGTTTCTAAGGGTGTGGGACCTAGGTGTAGACCCAGTATTGCGCTAGGCATCGGTCCTAACCGATGAAACCTAATATTGAAGACGATAACTGACTGTGCCTTTTTTATTTCCATGTCAGGAGAAAAAAATCCGATGTCCTGCTATTATACCCTATTGCATGGAGAAAACCTCTGCCCCATATACACTAAGAGTGTCGGACCTGTTCTCAGCTTTGTTCCTTCACCTGGCCCTTCCCTGCAGGTGTTGAGGAAAATTTCGTCAAGAGGTAGGGCATTACCTCTGCCATATTAATGTATCCTTTTAAACTATATAATTCTTGCTCAATCGAAATTTTTTCTTTTTCAAGCTCACTGTTTTTATTTTTTTCTATATTTAATTTATTCCCAAAATCAGCTAATATTCCTTCTAACTCCACAATGCGAAGTTCTTTCTTTTTATGTTCCCTCTCTATAAGCACATTCAACTTTTCCACCTCCTTATCATCTTCTTTAGCAGCAGCTAATTCTGACCTCAAATTCGAATTTTCAGTTTTGAATTCATTTATTTTTTCTTCTAATTTCTCAATGCTTGCTTTTGCTATTTCCAATTCTTTCTCTACATTATCATTCTGCGTTTTCTCTATCTGTTTTAGCTGTAAAATTTCTTTGTCTCTTGCCACTATTTCGCTTTCTAATTCTTTCATTTTTTGAATAAAAGCTTTAGTGTCTGGGTGATCTTCTTCATTAATTTGGTCATTGACTTGATAGCTATTTCCTTCATTCTGGCTCTTATGAAAATTCATTAAATTTGCCTCAGCTTCTGCTTCAATTTCCCTTTTCTCATTTTCTAAGTCAGAAACTTGCTTTTTTAGCTTCAAAATTCTTTCTTCGTTCTTTTTAATTCTTTCTCTGCCTTCGTTTCTGTCTTTTTCTATTCTTAATAATTCTGCTTTTAATTGTGCTACTTCTTGCTCTTTTCTGTCCTCAACTAATTTAGCCCTTCTGAATTCCTGAATTTTTTCTTGTTTTAGAGCTGCCGTCAATTTAAGCTCTTCTTCGTATTTTTGTTGTAATTCTTCGTATCGGATTAGAAACTCGTTATCTTTGGATTTTGGGATGTCACTGTGTGTATAGCTCATTTCTGTGCCGTCTTCTGCTTTGAATTGTTCATCGATGACTGCGTATTTCATGATATCGGCAGAATTCCAGTCCTTGAACTTTTTTATGTAGATGTAAAGAGATATTTGGAAGAGAGCAATGCCACTAATAGCGTAGGAGAGAAGAGTTCCTGAGCCAGTTTTTGTATTTGAAATGGAATAGTAGGTGCTGATTGTTATATATAAAATTGTACCTAAACAATAAGCGGGAGTCGCTATGATATGACCGTACTTTAAGAACGGAAAAAGCTTGATCTTTACTATAAGGATCAGGATAAAATGCAGGAAAATTAAAAATAATGAGATAAGCGAGATGATTGAAAAAATAATGCAAAGTATTTCTGCGGCTTCTAAGCTGTTTATAAGGTCATATGTGATACTGGTCAGAATTAGAGCAATGAATGCGAAATCAATACAGAGACTTGTAAATAGATAGATCTTTACTTTATCCATTTATTATTAAAATCAAAATCAAAAATATCAATTTTCATAGTTCTAACCCTTAGAGTATTTTTTTTGAAGTAGCAATTATAGAAATTTCTTATGAATTATTGATCATCGTATCATCTGGCTGCTAGAGGGCTGCAAGCCTCCCTGCGTGGCAGGCTAGTCAAAAGGGCGCTGTGGAGGGATTTGGCCTCGGGAAGGAAGGAGGTCAGTTAGAGTTTAAAAAGGAAACAAGCCAATAAAAAAGCCTAGAAAACGAGACAAGCTTGCTTAATTCTCAAATAAGCACTGTTTCTAATAATCTCAACAACAAATCCAAAGGAACAGAAAATACTTTAAAAATTAGTATAGGGTAACTAAAACTATTCATTATGAATTATTAAAATAGTAGTATAAATCTGAGCATTGTTAATAGTTATTATAAATTTCTAATGAAAATTAGTTTAGATTAGATTAGATTAGATTAACACTAGGTATTTAAGGTCCCCACTACGTCCGAGGAAGCATTCTACGGTTTCCCGTATGGTGGCAGAGCGTTCACCAAGCCCGGCCGAAACCCCGGCTTCTCGGTAGAGGCATCGTCAAGGGTCATCTCATACCGGCTTTGCTGACCGCCTCCATTTCCAACTTGGATCGTCGCCTAAGTTTACGCCAACACTGCCGCGTCGTCCGCCAGATCTGCCCATTGAAGGGCACCTTTTAAACTGGAGAGACCCCCGTTTAGTTGTCTAACCCGCCTTCCCCTTTTCCGGTCATCCCGAGAAAGAACTCAACAGCTTTCGCCATTCGGGGCGAGCCACAAAGGCAGCTTAGGCAGGTAAGTCGCCCTGCCTCATTTCGGGCACTCACTGGGCTGAGCGCTGCTGGCAAAAAGAAGTCACGAGTAACTGCCCAGAGGTCTGGTCACAAAAACAGCGGCTTTTGCGCTTAGGCCTCTCGCTTCGAGGTCCCAGACGTTGTTGGGCTAACTCCTGGCTCCAAAAACCATGCCCGGATATACATGGGTAACCACCACTGAGAGGGTGGGTCGGTCGCCATCCGCCATTTTATGTATATTGAAAATTAGTTTAAATATTATGTATTCTTCATCTTTGATAAGAATTCTCCACGATTTAGCTCAATAATTTTACTTGCAAGTCCTTGGTTAGGTTTTCCGTAGTTTTTTAGCGTATTTAAGGCTTCAACTGTCTGCCCTTCTACAAGACTTTTAGTAAGCTGGTCTATTAGCTTTTGCCTTCTTTTATCAACTTTCCGAGCAGGTGGATTTTTACTAATAAATCTCCTTTTTTTCGTATCATCTTCAAAATTCTTCTCTAATTTCGGCTGCTGCTGTAGATGATTTGCGCTTCTGCTTCTTATAAGTTTTTCTTCAGGAGTGATTTTCATCAATTGGCCATATTTTACTTGCAACTGAAGTAGCATTTTTTCTCTTTCTTTTAACTCTTTACTTTTTACTGAAATTTCTGCCTCCATTAATTTCATTTCAATCCTCAGCTTTTGGTTAAACTCAGGAGGGTTGAGTTTGATTCCTTGAACTCTTTCAATTTCGATTGTACATATTAATTCGTCTAGCTCTTTTCTTAAGCTTTCTTCTGTGTCTGCCCAGTTTTTAGCTTCTTTAGATATTTTATGGTACATTTCGACTACTTCATCATTTTTAGAAGCCGCTCTGTGGGTTTCAGCTTCAAAAAGCATTTTTTTTCTTTCTTCTAATTTTTCTCTTAAATCCTTTATTCTGCCTTCACATTCAAGTATAACTAAATCAGCGTTTTTTAGCTTTTCTCGTTGCTGTTCTTCGAAGTTAAGTTTTTTAGTAATCTCTGAGTACTCAAAAATAGTTTTATTTCTTTCATCAATTAAATCTCTTAGCATTTGGCTGTACTGCTTATTTTGTTCTTCAGCTTGGTTTATTCTTTTTATCAAAAAATACAGATTTGGATCTTCATTTCTGATGCTTTTCATTGATTCTTTAGACTTCTCTTTAGATAAGGTTTCTTTTTCCTCTGCAAGCTGTTTATTTTCATCTTTAAGTTTACTTAGTCCTCTCTCTTGTGAGCAAGCAAAATTTTTTGTTTCAAAAAAAGGTGCATTTTCAATGGTTTTGTTATAAATAAATGGAGATTTAGCTTCTCTTCTAGAATTTTAAGTTCATTTGGCCTTAATAAAAATTACTTTTTTGGTAGTTTTCATTGCAGCCAATCTTTTTCAACTGCAAGTTTTCTATTTTCATCTCTGACTTTGATAATATTATCATGCAGCCCATAAATTATTTTCTTCGAATTCTCTATATCTGAATCCAATTTCTTCTCAGACTCAGACTTTTCTTCATTTTCTAGATTTTTCGTATTATTAAGAACCATTAGAAGCTTTTCTTTTTCTCTAGTCATCTCAGATAGCGTTTCTTTATACTCTTCTAATGTTGCTCTTTTATCCATTTATAAAGTTAGCGAAAATTAAAAATGTTTTATACGGCCAGAAGTGGACTAGTCGGCTGCCTTGACTCCAGGAAAGGCAGCCTACACTGTGGATATACACCTGAGTCCAAATGGTGTAAGGCTCAACCTAAATTCCACCCTCTTAAAAGTTTCTGGCAAAACTCACCTAGCCTAAGGATCAGCTTCAAGGAGAGCTACCTTTTATCGGTGCCCCGATAGCCTCGATAGATATGAGAGGCAAAAACTGTTTAGCCCCTCTGACAGGGACAGGAAAAACCTTCAGGGGAGAAACAAAACATCCCTTTCGGCAAAGCTCCTGAACCTGAAGGCCTACTTCAATAGAGCTCTTTTTTCAGCTTCATCAGGATGATTTCGACCTGCTCCATAGGAAGTGCACCACTGAGACCAATTTCCGTCAATATCACCATTTTATTCCTCCCATTTATAAGGAATGCAGTATAAAAAAGATTATGAGTAAGTAAAATAATAGGCAAATTAATTTGTAGAGAAATTGTATGTGAGATATGAAAATTAGCTAAAAAATCGATTTAAATATTAAATGCGCTGAAATTTATATATTAATAATGCTAGATTAATTATGAGTTCTTTTGAGATAGGCTAGAAAATTCAGCTTTAAAATGCTAAAGATTAAAATGCGCTAGAAACCATTATTTTAGGGCTAGAAATCTCTATTATTTATGAGAAATTCAAAGCATTTTATAAATAAAAGCAAGATCAGGAGGGTTTTTCTTATTTTAAATAAAAAAGTAAGTTTGCCTTAATAAATGTCAAAAAATAATACAACTTATCAAATACAAAGATCTCAATTTTTATTTAGGGACAACATACAGACTCCTTATATAACTAACCCATTTGGAAAACACTTATCTCAATTTACAAAAACCGTAAAACCCCTAAGAGTAAATCCTCATTCTCGAGCAGATGGACCTTTAATAAGATCTCAGCAATTTATTAGAACCCCTTCTCCCCAGAAAACCTTTATTAATTCTTAATTTAAAAGTCTAATGTTTTTATGGACTACTCTTGGAGATTCTGGGCTAGGAAGAGAGGGAAAGTACGGCCATGCCCAAATGGTGTTTACTTCTACCATCCGACAATGTCCAAATGATAACGATAATGATTTTATCAGAAATTATATTTTTAGATCAGACTGAGATTTTATCAGAAATTATTTGGGACAGCTCTTAGAAGGCAGAAGTAATTTAACTAAATTCATTAATTCTCTAAACCTTCTATGTCAAGTTACCTTTCTTTGAATTATCATCTAGGAAGACGCGTTCGGTACCTGTCTAGCCTCTGACTCAACCCAATCTTGATAATTTTTTCTTTTGGAGTCTTAGGCAGCTCTTAGGTCCGTCGTGCGGTCAAAGGTTCTCCACGCCTTAGACTTGCGTTTCAATGATAGAATTAAATTTACTCGGGATAAGACTCCAGCACTGCAGATCTCTGGGCCTGGATACTCTGCCTTTGTAGGACAAATTCGCTGAGAGAAGCCAAACCTCATAATTAAAATTGGACAAAGTGGAATTTCTGTTCGGAAAAAGAAAATTCGGGTGGCTCCATATTTTTATTGTCTTGAAATCCTTTATCAGTTTTTCTCGCCAAGAGACATTTGAAATTTCTCCTTTCCAACGATCTTATTCTCGCACCAATTCCACTCCACGATTGAAGCGACCTCCAACCCAAACAAGTTTTTCAATGACCAAACAGATGTCCTTTCAAAGACTGCCAAGTCCTACAAGTAAAGATTAAATAAGTTCAATTTTTGTCGAAGAATTTATTTTATTTAAAATAAACATATTGTGTATAAGCTATTAATTACAATAGAGTTGCTAATAAAGATTTTACAGCTAAAGATAAGGAATATTAAGTTAAGTCGAATGAATTCTTAAACTGAATATAAAATATGGCTGACTATAAAGCTGTAGACCAAGATTTAACTCCCCTATTTGTGAGCGAGCAGAAAAGCATTGTGAAATCCTGATGAAGCCTCTGTGAGCTGCAATATATAAGTAACGATTATTATAATAAAATCTCTAGCTACTCTATTAAATTTTATAGCAACTTACATTTAAAAATAATATTCACATATTGAATTCATATTTCCTTCAAATTTGGATTTTTTTAGATTTCAAAAAAAACATATAAAAATTTGCATGCAAAATTAAAAAAAATAAATTTCCCTTAAAATTTTGCTAATTCATAAAGGAAGAATAAGAGATGGCCCAGTCAAAGAAAGAAGATGCACAGATATCCTCTGTACTTTCATTTTCACTGTATTCGTAGCTGCCATGATAGTTATTGGCATCTTTGGTTTCAAAAATGGTAACCCTGATATGGTGCTTTACCCTTACGACTCTTCAGGCAACCAGTGTGGGCTTAGCGATACAGTTACAGCAGACTATCCTTACCTTTACTATGTAAATCCTGACGAAAGTACCAAATATACCACTTGTGTCAAATCTTGCCCAAAGAATTACACTGATGTAGTTGAGTGCTATCCAAATACATGGGTTACAAGCTGTGCATTTACAGCGACCACTAAGGATGGAGGCATTTATGATTATGAGCCTTATGAGTCCAGCTCTGTGCTTGGAAAAGCTTGTCTTCCAAACCCTGATGCTATAGGTGGAAAAACTGAAAAGTTCATGGATTATTAGTCTCTATCTTTTCCTTACCTTCCTTGGTGCATATAAATTTAATACAAACAGGATCATACATCTTGGTGCCTAAATTTAAAAAAATATGAGAAAATACAATAAATAAATTTAATATAAATCTTGAATTTTTATTTATATTCTATTAGAGATGGCCAATAACTATTATGATATCTGTCGTAAGAGTTAGAAACATTAATATTTTATCTATTTTTTGAGGCATTTGGGTTTTCATATAGATATTGCTTAAAAGTTTAATTTTATATAAAGAAAAACCTCATAGAAAAAAATTATTTGTTTTTACAAATCTCCCTCACAAGATTATATTGAATCTGACCAATTCACTCAATATATGACTGATATTGCTGTCTGCTGGTCTATGGTGCTTGGTGTACTCGGCATGGCAATCGTTATATCAATACTCTACATGATATTTGTCAGATTTTTCGTAGGATGTGCATTATGGCTCAGTTTTGCAGCAATCATCGGGCTATTTGTTCTATTCGGACTTTTCCTAGATTACAGTGCCAAAGAATACTACGGCGGAGCAGAAAGCACCAAAACAAATACAGCCCTCAGAATTGTCGCTATTTTATGCTATATCATCGCAGGCCTTTCCTTACTCCTAATCATCTGTATGAGAAAAAGAATCGAACTTGCTGTAGCCATCATGAAATCTGCCTCCCTCTTCATTGCAGATGTCTGGGAATCTCTCCTCGTCCCAGTCGTTATGTTTTTAATCAGCATACTCACAATCACTTTCTGGGTTATCGCTTTAGTCTACTTATACTCCTCAGGAACTGTCGAAAAAAAAGAAAAATACTCAGCAATGGCTCACATTAAATTTGACCAGACCTTAAGAAACGCTTTTTGGTTCGAGTTTTTAGGGATTTTATGGATTGATGCTTTTAAAGTCGCCATGACTGAGTTTATCATTGCTTGTGCTTGCTGCATTTGGTACTTCAGAGCTAAAAAAGACGAAAGCCCTATATGCACTGCGACGAAATATGGAATTTTCTATCATATTGGGTCAGTGGCTTTTGGGTCTTTTATACTCTCACTCGTAATTTTGATTAAATGGCTGCTGAGGCTTATTTCAGAAAAAATTTATAAGGAAGCTGGGGGTGATAGCAACCCTGCTTTGAAGTGCTGCTGCAGCTGCTTAAATTGTTTGGTGAGCTGCTTTGAAAGATTTGTGAAGTTTTTGAATACCCAGGCGTATATAAGAGTTGCGATGTCTGGAGAAAATTTCTGTACTGCAGCTCAAAGTGCGTTTACACTGATGATAGAAAATGCAGCAAGATATACAATTTTAGGAGGTGTAGGGACAATTCTTAACTTTTTAGGGAAAGTTTTGATTACTCTGCTTACTGCATGGCTTGGATATGTTATAATCACTAATATGCTATCATTCTTAATTTTTGATATAATATACAGTAAAATTATATCATATTTTTACAAAATATTAAAATAGACTTTTATATTAATATATATTTTATAGATTGTCAGGATACTGATTACTACTCAGAAAACATTTCTTCACCTATTCCTCCTACCGTTGTGTTTATCATTGTCTGCTATTTAGTAGCTTCACTCTTTATGAGTGTCTACTCCATGGCATGTGAAACCATTATCCAGGCTTTCTTAATCGATGAAAAATCAAACGGCACCTCAGTATATGCCCCAGAGCCTTTAGTAGAATTCATGAAGGAAAACCGTGAAGAAAAAAAAGGAGGCTGCTGCTAATAAGTAGCTAATTAAGATTTAAGTTTAAAAATTATGGTAAATTAACTAAAACAAAATAAAATTTTCGAAGATTTATAATCAATAATAATGGCATCTCCGCTGAATCTGAATAGAGAAGGAAGAGATACTGATGAGGTAAAAACATCACATGAGGAAAGCGAAGAAATTGCAGGAAATACAATTAGGCTAATTATAGCGTTACCAGACGGCAGAAGGATTGAAGAAGGTGAAGCGGAAAAACACTGTACTTTTTAAACCCATTTTAGCTAAAAAAATTGCAAATGGTTATTAAAGTCATTTTTTATATCAAAAAAATGAGGTAGAAAAAAGAAAATGTGCTTTTTCCACCTGATTGAAGATGATGTAATATAAATTCAGTTCAAAGCTGGAGTTAACATTGATTGGGTTGTCTATAAAATTTCAAGCCAAACAGACTATCAATTTGAATCAATTGTAAGAGACATGTAGGAACTGTTTTTTGAAGGCCGCAAGCTACTAGGGCCACTTTCATTGGCTGATTACCCACAAATACAGAGTGGAGCAATATTAACTGCAAGAATCTTAGAATAAATGATTAACAAATCTAATAGAGCTAGCTATAATTTATAGTTGGGATTTAATTCACGATTAAAATTAAAGAAAATCTGAGAGTTCTAGATGCCTAATAATTTTATAATAAAGAATTATATGATTATCTTAAGATAGAAATTGCGGGGCATTTAATGAAGGCTTTAGCACGATAGAAGCTTTCAAAATTATTGGAATATAGATATATAGATAAATAGTTACTATTGGATTATAAATAATGAGATAAGGGATATCTCTTATTCAGTGCTTATATTCTAACGTTTAACTCTTGCAAAATTCTCTCATATTTTATAATGAGCTGGAAGAATTTCTTAACTGGCTTGATTTGACTAGACATAGCTAAGTATCTGGTGGATTCTTATTTATCCGTAATATATCAATATGAATACACTTATATATTAAAATTTAAATAATTAATAATTCAATATAGAACTTATGAATTAAATATTTAAATTATTATCACTCAAAGGGTGTAGAAGACATAAAAATGCTCTTTATAAAAATTTAAGTGTTAATAAAAAGAAATTTTTGGAAAATTGCAACATTTTTAGTATCTCAAAAATTTAGCTATTTAATTGGTGTTCTGCTTTAAAAAATTAAAGCTCGAAGAATTTTTAGCGAATAATACGATTTATTTATTTTTAAGTTTATTATTAGTAGATCTTTGAATTTGAGCGCATTTCAAACAAGATGTACTTAGAATACTTTTAAAAATTAAAATAGTAAAATTTATCAGAAATCTCCATTTATAAATTTAGCAAGCTAAATAAATAATCATATAAGAAATTATTTTAGTTTAATAAAACACAAGCCTCCAGAAATAATTTCTCAATCTAAGATCTTTATTTTAGATATCGAAAAGAATATTAAGCTTATAGTCATTATCTCTAGCCAAAATATTTAAATTAAATTATAGATTACAATAGTTTTAATATTTTGAATAATTAAAAAAAATTTTGTCTTGATTTGATGTAAATAGTTCATTGGCAAAAATATGAGTATAAGAAAAATTTCCAACAGATTATATAAAATGCTAAAGCTCGCTAGAATGCTCATCCACCGAGGTATGACTTATATAAATATGGAGCCAGAAGCTACCATCAAAACTCTGACCGCAAAGGTAAAACCCATATAGGAAATGAAAAACCTCGCAAAGCCAGAGTTTGCAAAAACCCCTGAGCTATTTTACCCCACCCAGGTCTTCTCTCAATTCGGCTTTCATCGCGCAAAATGTCCTACCTTCCTGCATAACAAAAATTTCTATTTTTAAATTATTTTTAATAAAAATTATAAAATAAATCCATACACAAGGGAAAAATAAGTGCGGAGCAAACTACTGGCGCCATACTGAAGCTCGTGACACTTGTGGAGATTCTAATTGTGTCGGTTCTTATCAATTCATAGGTGTTGGGACAGGCAAAGGCGCCAAAGGCAACAAAATCACATACGCCCAAGCTTGGGAAGGCTTCAGAAACTCGCTGACGTCAGCACGCATTCCATGCACAGCAATCGAAAGATACCCAGTTGTCGCCAGATGGAGAAACGATGTCGAATACGTCGCAGCAGGGATTTACTGTTTCCAACCTTACTGTGTGACAGGCGAAATGAAGGCTCCAGCTAACCCTCTTATTTGTCCACAATTTTCAGTGAGATTTAATGATCTCGACAATATAGGTATCACTGGGAGGCATTATTCAGGCTTCATTATGCTGGGATTACAGGTCTTTAACCTACCTGGGCAGTATGTGTTTTTCAAAGAAGAATGCGTAGAATTTAACCTAAGATGGCTGATTGAAGAATTACAGATTGACCCTGACCAAATTACCCTTATTGAAGATGTATGGGCTGGAGGCGGGAACTTAGGCCCTTCTGTCGAGTACTTTGTAGGAGGCCTTGAAGTCGGAAACATGGTGTTTATGCAGTATAAGACTTTTCCTGATGGCTCAAGAGAAGAACTCCCAGTCAAAGTTATCGATGTAGGGATTGGACTGGAAAGAATCCCATGGCTTATCAATGGAACTCCTACAAGCTATATGGATGTCTTTAAAAACGCTTTTAACTGGCTCAAAGGGAAGCTGGAAATTGATGTAAACCAAGAAGTCTGGGAAAAATTCGGCCCATTGTCGTGCAGACTTAATATTGATGAAGTTGACGACGTCGACAAGACTTGGCGAGACATCGCAGGAATGATAAACCTTCCTGTAGAAACAGTCAAAGCGGCCATTGCTCCTATTAAAGATATGTACATTGTACTAGACCACACCAGAACTGTCCTTATGATTATCGAAGATGGTTCATTGCCGAGTAACGTAGGTGGTGGCGCCAATGTGAGGAACATTTTGAGAAGAGTTTTTGCCTTATTAAAGAAAAATGGCTGGTGGGAAAAATTAGGCATGGACGGACTTATTGACTTATTCCAAATGCATAAGGTAGATTTAAGAGAAATTTATGGAGAATTTAAAGAGTATAACTCCCCCCCTCTGTGAGTAAACAAAATCATTAGAAAAATCGCCATTTTTTCAAAAAATCCACCCTCCGTGAGTGAACAAAATTTTTTTATGGAAAAAAAAATTTGATATATAAGTGATAATTAGTATAATGAAATCTAGAGCTAATTCTGTTTAATTTTAAGCAAATTGAGTTCTAAAACATAAATTTTATAAATTAAATTAACATTTGCTTTCCAATTTTTGCGAATTAGGATTTTTTTCAATTTCGAAAAAAAAATTTTCTATAAAATTTATATATAGCTATTTTTGGGTATTTGCGTTGAAAGCAATGAGGTTTGGGATTGACGGCGAAGCCTATTTCCTATACAAAACGGGTTTTGTGGCGCAAGAAGAAAATACTGAGTACCTTAACTAGGTCGATAAATGTTAGATTTGCTTTTTTTTAAAACCACTAAAGTGTTATAAGATTACTTTGTCGTAATTCCCTGCTGCTTGAGAAAGCAAGAACTTTGCTACTTTTACCTCCTGGCCCGTTTGAGATTGGTGTGTTGATTCCATTTTATTAAAATTTTGACAAACCTAAATGTTTTAGCTAGCCATTTTAAAATTGAAATATTAAATATGGACTCTGACAACACACTCATTACTGTGAATCAAATTCCTCTAATTTTACGATTTGTGAATTCAAATTCAAGTATGATTATGTTTAATCAATCCTGATCTATTCGGCCTTATTCAAATCCAAAATAACAGAATCTGATTGTCAAGTTTATCTCAAAGTGAAATGTTTAGCTCAACAGAATTTACTCTTAAAATAAAAAGAAGTATTGACTATTAATCGAAATTTTATTAAGTGCGAAACGCGGAAAGTAGATTCTAGCAGCCCTGCAAGTGCTCAGGCTCCAGTAGCAATTTGAAGAAAAATCTCCAGTAGAATTTAGAGATAAATGCATTTCAAGATGGTGATATATATTGGGCTTGGATAAATAGTACATGAAACTAACTTTTCAGCTAAGCAAAAGTGCGAAACGCGGAAAGCAGATTCTAGCAGTCCTACAAGTGCTCATGCTCCAGTAGCAATTTGAAGAAAAATCTCCAGTAGATTTTAGAGATAAATGCATTTTAAGATGGTGGTGTATATTGGATCTGGATAAATGGCACATAAAAAAAAAATTTCAGCTAAGGAAAAAAGTGCGAAACGCGGAAAGCAGATTTGAGCAGCCCTACAAGTGCTAATGCTCCTGTTGTAGTTTGAAGGAAAATCTCCGGTAGAATTTAGAGAAAAATATATTTCAAGATGGCGAAAGTCAAGATGAGAGTACATACAAAATGGTTCATGAAAAAACCCTTCAGCTAAGAAAAAGTGCAAAACGCGGAAAGCAGATTCGAGCAGCCCTACAAATGCTCATTCTTTAGTAACGATTTGAAGGATAATCTCCAATAGAATTTAGAAAAAAATGTATTTCAAGATGGTGATGTATATTGGATCTGGATAAATGGTACATGAAACTAACTTTTCAGTGAAGAAAAAGTGCGAAACGCGGAAAGCAGATTCTAGAAGCCCTACAAGTACTCATGCTCCTGTAGCAATTTGAAGGAAAATCTCCAGTAGATTTTAGAGAGCAATGTATTTCAAGATGGTGTAAGTCAAGATGAAGTACATAAAAAAAATGGCACATGAAACGAACTTTTCAGCTAAGCAAAAGTGCGAAACGCGGAAAGTAGATTCGAGCAGCCCTACAAGTGCTCATGCCCCAGTAGCAATTATAAGAAAAATCTCCAGTAGAATTTAGAAAAAAATGTATTTCAAGATGGTGTAAGTCAAGATGAAGTACATAAAAAAATGGTACATGAAACGAACTTTTCAGCTAAGTAAGTAAGTAAAAGTGCGAAACGCGGAAAGCAGATTCTAGAAGCCCTACAATTCTCATTCTCCAGTAGCATTTTGAAGAAAAATCTCAAGAGAAAAATGCATTCCAAGATGGTGGAAGTCAAGATGCGAGTCCACACAAAATGATTCATGAAAAACCTTTTCAGCTAAGCAAAAGTGCGAAACGCAGAAAGCAGATTCAAGCAGCCCTACAAGTGCTCATGCTCCTGTTGTAATTTGAAGGAAAATCTCCCGTAGAATTTAGAAGTGCAAAACGCGGAAAGCAGATTTTACTATCTCTACAAATACTCATGCTCCAGTTGTAATTGAAAAAAATTCTCTAGTAGAATTTAGAGAAAAATAAAATGCAAGATGGTTCAAGAAATGTAAGTGCATCCAAAATGGTACATGAAACGAACTTCTCAGTTAAGAAAAAGTGCGAAACGCGGAAAGCAAATTTTAGTTGTCCTACAAGTGCTTATGTTTCCAATTGTAGTTTAAAGAAAAATCTTGAGTAGACTTTGGAGAAAATAAAAAAAATAGCATAATTAAAAATTAAAAAATATACACTTTAAAGAAAGAATAAAAACCTTGATTATGAAAAATTGAGTCTTTTAGCTCAATGATTCCTCTAATATTAAGACTTATAGCTTCAGAAGGATTTTTATCTCCATGGGTTAAAATTTAATAAGTAGCCCCCAAAATAATTAATATTTCAATTTTAAAATGACATGCTAAAAAATTTAGGTTTGTCAAAATTTTAATAAAATGGAATCAACACACCAATCCCAAGCAAGCCAGGAGGCAAAAGTGACAAAGGTCTTGCTTTCTCAAGCAGAAGGGAATCACCACAAAGGAATCTTATGTGCACTTCTAGCTCATATCAGATACTTCCTTCCGGATATCTTTCTATACTCTACTCAGTATGTTTCTTCTTGCACCATTCGACCCGCTTTGTATAGGAAATAGGCTTCGCCGTCAATCCCAAACCTCATCGCTTTCAACGCAAATACCCGAAAAAAGCTATATAAATTTTTTTAAAAAAACATTAACCCCTATGTGAGTGAACAAAATTTTTTTTGTTCAATCACGGAGGGGGAGTAAGAGCTTCAGAAGCATCATTGAAGGAGAATATGAAAGATGGACCAAGACTGATCAAGAACAAAGAGTCAAGCTTGAAAAATTGCTAAAGAAAAACAGTGGAAAATTGACTATTGATGACTGGATCTTAGCAATGCAGTCTTGGGGCATCCCAGCTGATGTAATTTCTCAGATATCAGGAATTGAAGTCCCTGGAAACCTTTATTATGAAATCGACTACAGAGCTCAGACCTCTGCAAAAGCCCCTGAAGTTGTTCTTTATAACACTGCCCATTTGCAAGAAACTGAAAGCCTTTACTACGCCAATCATCATTTATCCCATGGCACCAGCTCAGTTGTCGAGATTTTCCCTAATGTGTCCCAAGGCAACCAATTGAATATTTTAATTCTTGATAAAAGTGCATTTTACCCTACATCAGGAGGACAAGACCACGATGAAGGAAAATTAGTCCTTAAAGGAGAAGAATACAAAGTTCTTGACGTCCAAAAAGTCGGCCACTGTGTCCTTCACATTTTAGACCATCCTATCCCAGGTGATCCATCTGAGCACAAAAACGCTGAAGTTGAATGGTGGATTGATATGGACCGACGTAACCAGCTTAGACGTCACCATACAGCTACACATATAGTTTATGCTTCAAGTCGCAAAGTCCTTGGCCCTCACGTCTGGCAGCACGGTGCTAAAAAAACAGTCGACAACGCCCATCTTGATATCACCCATTACCGTTCTCTTACCCATGAGGAAGAAATGGCCATTGAAAATGAAGCCAACAGGATCATTTCTAACTGTGTCAGGATCAATAAATTCTTCATGAATAAGACTGAAGCTGAAAAAGAGTATGGGTTTAATTTATACCAAGGAGGTATTGTCCCTGGAAACAGCTTAAGAGTTGTGAATATTGAAGGAGTTGACACAGAAGCCTGCTGCGGGACACATTGTGATAATACTTCTGAGGTTGGCTGGATCAGGCTACTAAAAACTCATAGAGTTTCTGACGGGATTGTAAGGCTTTACTATGTGGCTGGAGAAAAAGCTATTGCAAGACTTAATGAAGAGGATAAAGTGATTAATAGTCTTAATGAGCTCTGGGGGATTTCACTTAATGAAATTGTGCCGACTGCAGAAAGGTTTTTCAATGACTATAAGAAATTAGATACCAAGGTAAAGAAGCAAGAGCTCAAACTGCTGGAATTGACAATAAGGTGTATAGCATCTGATCCTAACTATAGACTTGCTTTAGTACAAAGTGACCAGAAAAATCCAACACTTTATTTCTCATATTTGAAGACTTACGCACAGCTGTTAAAAGACGAAGGGAAAGGAATTGTTTTTGTTTCAGATAATTTTGTATATGGATTATTAGGAAATCCAAACTTGCTTAGCGTTGACGCTTTGAAAGAGCTTTTAAGGACAACTAAAGGAGAATCCGCGAAATTGACTGTGAAAAATAAAGTCCAAGACACTAGCTCCCCAATAATGTTTTAATAAAGGAATAATTTATTTAAAATCCTAATTATTTCAAAGAGAGAAACGCTGAAAATTCAGTGGAAAATAGTAAGAACAAGAAAGCTAAAGCAGTTGAAGATATCAGCGAGTTTAGTTATGTTGGAGAAGTTCCTCCTCAAGTTCAAGAATTTTTAACCCAACAAGGTGGAAGAACATTCGAGTAAAACTAATAGAAAAATCATTATTATTTAGCCAAAAACAGCGAGTTTTTCTTTAAGCTCTCTTATTTCAAGCTTGTTTTTGACCATTTCAATTCTTGAAATGGTGTGCTCCTGCAGCATATTTTCTAAAGAGCTTTTCAGTTTTTTAATAAACTCTTTGTGTTTAGCAATTTCTTCGTCTTTGTCTCGGATTTGTTGGAGAAGCATTATTTCGGTGTCGCAGGGGGATGCAGAACAGTTTATGCTTTGGAGATCAAAATTTTCAAGCTGATCACTGGTAAAAGTTGAGATAAATTTGTTTCCATTATAGCCAACTGAGCATTCTGAGATATAAATCGGCTCAAATTCAGTTTGACCTAGTGACATAACTCTTCCTTCTTCTTGTATAGCGCTAACTTCATAGCCTTCATCTGCTAGTGTTGGCATCGTAAACTCTTCTTGGTCTAATAAATAAAGCTCATTGGCTACAAATTCATCGATTTCTGCGTTATCCTCTGTAATTCTTGATAAATTTTCAAGATATTGTCTTAAATTTTGTTCGCATTCTAAAATCAGATCTAATCTATACATTTTGTATTTTGAAGGAGAATCCTTTAATGAGTCGTTTTCCTTGTGTAGGTTGTCGATTTGCTTTTCCAGCTCTTTGATATATTTGTCTTTGTTTTTTATTATGGTTTCCCATTTCTTTATTTTCTGCTTTAATTCGTCGTTATATTGATGTAACAATTTTTGATGTTCAAATAAAATATATATATAATTAAATTAAATAATCAAGTATTTTTTTCTAATAGGAAATCAAAATAAATATAGTAAATATTCACTCTATATATGGATAATTTTTATTATAAATGTATGATAAACTTAGACCTTTTTGGCTGGCCCAATATATTTACAATAAATTATGAGGATTATATTTAAAGAAAATTATATATTCTCTTGTTCTTGTTCAAGCTGCATAATGCGTTGTACAAGCCACTTGTTTTCGTTTGAATAATGCTCGACTAAACTCTTTTGAGTTTGTGGAGATTCTCTACTATAAGCTCTTCTATGAAATACAGGAAGAGATGGAGAAGGTTGGGAAAATTCTGGAGTTAACACTAATGTGGTGTTTTCTATCTTTGGTGAGGCTGGAGGACTAAAAACTCCACCTGGTTTGCATGGCTTTTTGAGTGCTTCAAAATTTTGCATTTTTCATTTGAAGTAATTAAAAGAAAATTCTCTAACATAATAAGAGGGCTTTGGATTAATTTGATAAATTAGAAAGTTATGAAAAATAAATAATAATCGTGATTTTAATGTATGAATGATATAAACTTATAAATTATTCTGAAAATACATAGAATTAATAATTTATTAAAAGTTAAAATTGTTTATTTATAATCTATTTTAAGTTTTATGCGATAATCATTGGCAAATTGCATGAAAATGGAAATATTAATTTTTCAATGAACCCTCAGCCTGGGAAATTTAGATTCTTCCTAAGAGAGCTCAAGAAATGAATTACTAACTCCCCCCCCCCTCCGTGAGCGAACAAAACCATTAGAAAAATCGCCATTTTTTGACCAAAAACCCACCCTCCGTGAGTGAACAAAAATTTTTTTAATAGAAAAAATTTTAATGGAAAAAAATTTTGCTATATAAGTGATAATTAGTATAATGAAATCTAGAGCTAATTCTGTTTAATTTTAAACAAATTGCGTTTTAAAACATAAATTTTGCAAATTAAATTAATATTTGCTTCCCAATTTTGCAAATTAGGATTTTTTTAAATTTCGAAAAAAATATTTTTTTATAAAATTTATATATAAATTTTTTTTAAAAAAAAAATTAACCCCCCTCCGTGAGTGAACAAAATTTTTTTGTTCGCTCACGGAGGGGGGGGGGGGGGGAGTAAGACTTTCATCAAGAAATCGGTTTTCCTGTCACCTCTTCCAACTATTACTCAACGACTCAAAGGCAAAATCTACCGAGATCCTTCAACTACACATTTTACTATTAAAAAAATCATCAAAGGAACCCTTGGCTTTATACCAGTCGCTTTATTTGCCCATTGAGTAGGCTACTCAGTCTCACAAAGAGTAAACTTTAATGATTTTATTACTCATTTCAGAAGTGAAGATCAAATTTACAGCGTTGTCGATACAGGGAAGCCAGTGATTACTTTTATGTTTTTGCCTGGAGATCCTTTCTCTGAAGTCCTGCAATCTGATTTCCACAAAGCAGCAATTGAATATTCTCACTCCCCCTCCGTGAGCGAACAAAAATTTTAGAATTTATGTAAAATGTTTTTTCGAAATTTAAAAAAAAATCCAAATTCATTAAAATTGGAAAGCAAATATTAATTTAATTTGTAAAATTTATATTTTAAAATGCAATTTTTCAAAATTAAAACAGAATTAACTAGATATTTCATTTTAATAAACAATCACTTATATATCAAAAATTTTTTTGGTTGCTGGGTTTTTGGGCAAAAAAAAGGATTTTTTCAATGGTTTTGTTCTCTCAAAGAGGGGAGATTCAGTAAATAAAATATATATATATATATATATATTTTTTATTTTATATATATAAATTTTTTTTTACCAAAAAAATTTTTTTAACCCCCATCCTTGATCGAACGATGGCTAGTCGTTCGATCAAGGATGGGGGGGAGTTACTGCCAATATCCAAAAAATTTATATAATAATTTGTTTTACTTAGCCATGTTTCCTTTATGAAAATTAATTGTGCAGAGCATGCATCATTCTGCCGTAAACGCTCCATCAACTATTTTCCATGGATCGAAATCTATATTCCCCCGGCCCTCAACCCTTCTTTTTATGACAAAATGATGGATCGCTTACTAAAAAGTGATGGAAAATACACAATTTGTCCATACAGATCTGACTTCTCCTACCAAGGAATCATAGCTGCTTTACAAGAGCTTTATTTAATTCCCAAAAAAGACCCTTATTCAGACATAAAAATCAAGTTACGTTTCGACTTAGAAGAGCGATCCCATGAATTATCTAAATAGAAACCCTTAATAATCTTTCTTTTAATATGGAAGACCTAAAAAGAGCCAAAGAACTTCTCAAAACTGACCCGGAGTCTGGGATTTCGCTGCTAAGAACTCTTATTCATACTGAGCTTCCTGAAGAAGAAAATGCTAGGGTTAAAGAAGCTGCAGTTCTTGCATTAGGAGAAGTCCTGGCAAAACAGCACCGAGCTAGCGATCTTGCCTATCTTGTTGAAGAAATCCGCCCATTATTCAATGCATTTCCTAAGGCAAAAACAGCCAAAATTGTCCGATCACTTATAGACTATTCTTCACTGATCCCAGACTCTTTGGCTTTGCAGATAAAGCTTTGTGAAGACTCCATTGCATGGTGTAATGAAGAAAAGCGCGCGTTTTTAAGACAAAGGCTAGAGACCAAGCTTGCCCAGCTTTATCTTGATAGTAACAGATATAAGGAAGCTTTAGATTCTTTGAGCGTCTTATTAAAAGAGGTAAAAAAGCTTGATGATAAGCTGCAGCTAGTAGAAATCCAGCTAATAGAAAGCAAAGTTTATCATAAGCTAGAAAACGTCCCAAGGGCTAAAGCTGCTTTGACGTCATCTAGGTCTTGTGCAAACTCGATATATTGCCCACCAATTTTGCAAGCAGAAATAGACTTAATGTCAGGAATTTTAAACTGTGAAGAAAAAGACTATAGGACTGGTTTTTCTTATTTTTATGAAGCCCATGAAGGGTTTATATATAAAATTACAAATTTTTTTTTTAAAAAAATTTGTTAGAATTTTTGTTAAGTTCCTAAAGGGTTTAATAGTGTAGAAGATCCAAGGGCCTTGCAAGCATTAAAATATATGTTGATGTCAAAAATTATGTGCAATAAGCCAGAAGATGCATATGCCCTTATAAATACCAAAGGAGGGATTAAATATACTGGCAGAGAAATCGACGCTATGAAAGCTGTAGCCCACGCCCACGAAATTCGCAGCCTTCACGAGTTCCAAGCTATTTTACAGAGCTACAGAGATGAGTTGGAAGGGGATAGTGTGGTAAATAGACACATACAAGCTTTATATGACACAATGCTTGAGCAGCATTTGATTAGGATTATAGAGCCATTTAGCAAGGTAGAGTTAAGCCATATTGCAGAGCTGATTGGGCTGCCTGAAGATTCAGTCACAGACAAGCTTTCTCAGATGATTTTGGATAAGAAGTTTGAAGGGACATTAGACCAAGGCATTGGATGCTTAATTGTTTATGATGACCCACCTACTTCAAAGCTATATGATACTTCATTGAAATTCTTGGATACTTTGAATTTAGTAGTGGATTCGCTGTTTGAGAAAGCAACCCAGGCTAAAGCTTAACAACTTTTCAGTAATTTTGTGTTTTATTAATTATTAAGAGTAAAATATATAAAATTTTACTTTAGATTGTCTATTAAAAATCCAAATTTATCTAAGATTGTTTATTAAAAATCCAAATTTATCTAATTTTCCTAATAATAAAAATTTTTGTGAATTTTTAAAATATTTAATGGTTTTTAATAGTCAAAAAATTTTGATATAAGGAGTAAGTAGAAATAGAAGGAAAATGGAATATAATCAAAAATGAATGATGAGCAGCTTGAAGAATACAGTGCGTTAGAGCTAATCTTCCCAGACCTCATCACAAAGCAAACAGAAACTTCATTTGATGTCATAATTGAGCCTAATCCTGGAGAAGAAAACTCAATTGGGATAAAACTATCTATTTTCTTAAACCCAGACTATCCAAGAGAAGCTCCAAGCTACACCTTAAAGCCTCTATATGACCTAGACCGCAATGCAATAGAGCCTTTAAATCAAGTTGTAAGTGATATTATTGACAGAGACATGGGTAATCCTATGATGTTTGATCTTATAGAAGGTATCAGAGAATGGCTTAATATAAAATTAAATATTTTATTTTTTTTAGTGTCCATGATAAGGCTGCCTGAGTCAGTATTTCTTCAATTTTTATAAATAATATAGTTTGCCAGATTTAGTAAAAATGGCTTAATAATCAATATTCAGCTGAAGAGGAAGAAAAAATAGTAGAAGTCGTCAAAAAAGTTTATGATACCTACACACCAGTTACCCCAGAATCATTTTTAGCTTGGCAAGAACAGTATAATAGAGAGCTGAAAATAAAAGAAGAAAATGACAGAGAGCTTTTAAAAGCCCAGCCTTACATAAATGGACTCACTTATCAAGATGTGTGGAGCAAACCGTCTGGAAAAGAAATTTTCGAGAAGGGATATCATGCTGGGGATATCTATATTTTCAAGGAAAAATGCCTATAATAGCCTTCCGACCATATTATTCTTATGGCCATTTAAAAACAATTTATGTGCAATTTCCTAAAAAATATTTAAATTTAAAACTTTTCTATATAAAAACTTACAAAACCCCAAAAATCATGCAGAAGCTGATGAAGAAGACAAAGAAGGTTTGGATGCAGAAGATTAAGCAAATTAATAAATATTTCATTATCCATTTTATATAAGAAATAATGTCGCTCCTTCCTATGTTTCTCAAGGAATTCGAAATAGGAGGAATAAAGATTAACATCGAGCAAGAAGGAAACGTAGGTATTGGAGGCATGGTCTGGGATGCAGCTTTTATTTTAAACTCCCCCCCCCCCTCCGTGAGCGAACAAAACCATTAGAAAAATCGCCATTTTTTGACCAAAAACCCACCCTCCGTGAGTGAACAAAAATTTTTTTTAATAGAAAAAATTTTAATGGAAAAAAATTTTGATATATAAGTGATAATTAGTATAATGAAATCTAGAGCTAATTCTGTTTAATTTTAAACAAATTGCGTTTTAAAACATAAATTTTGCAAATTAAATTAATATTTGCTTCCCAATTTTTGCAAATTAGGATTTTTTTAAATTTCGAAAAAAATATTTTTTATAAAATTTATATATATAAATTTTTTTTAAAAAAAAAAAATTAACCCCCCTCCGTGAGCGAACAAAATTTTTTTTGTTCGCTCACGGAGGGGGGGGGGGAGTAAGCAAGTTCTTAGCCAAGCATCAAAAGCATGTTTTCTCTAACGTGAAAAACGTTGTTGAGCTTGGCAGTGGGACTGGACTCTGTGGAATTGCAACTGCCCTGCTTAATCCGAATTGCCAGGTTACGCTAACAGACCATAGATCTCATATCTCTTTAATTGATACGAATATAGACTGCAATTGTCTGAAAAACGCAAGGAGTAAAGAACTAGACTGGTTCCATCCGAGTAATATCGGGAAATTTGATTTAATTATAGGCACTGATTTAGTCTATGATCCTACACTGTTTGGCCCACTCCTTGATACACTTGATATAGTATCAAAACCGAACTCTTTGATTTTGCTGTGTAATGAAGTAAGAATGTCAAGGGATTTAGATTTTTATAAAATGGCACAGGAAAGAGGATGGCAAGTGACTGTAATTCCTTCAGAGTTTAGCGACCCTGAGAACAGAAACCCTGAAAGCCCAGTAATCAGATTTGTGAAAAATTGGAAATAATTAAGAATAAAAATAATTACATTGGGGAAGAATTTTTTATTTATCATGAATTTATATGATAATTATTTTTAATTAATTTAAAATTATGAATTTTAAGTATTTTTTGTATTTATATTATTAGCAAATAGCTTAAATAATTTGAGTTGACGATAATTGTGGATCCATTGTACTTCTCCTTGCCCTTTTCATTGCTTCTACAACTGAGCATCTTCTATTCGTCAAGCGCTTTGTGCTTAACTTTCTTACTGGGACTTTTAAGCTATTATCATCAATCTCTGTACAATAAGAGCTTGAAACATCAGTAAAACCTAAATAATCTTTACAGTTCATAATATCAGCAAAATCTTCATAACTAATATCCTCATCAAATTTCAGCTCAAATTCTTGCAGTAATTCTCGATATTCAGTTTCTGATATATAGCACCCTGCTTTTTCTATAGCACTTTTCAGATCATTTAAACAGATTTTCCCATCAGCGTTAATATCAAAATACCTGAAAGTCATCCATGTGTTTTCTTCGTCAATAATTTTTTTTCTGTCTAGGGCTGCTATGAGAAATTGAGTATAATTTAATTTGCCTTTTCCTATATATATTTATATATATTAAATACAAGAATTAATAAGACAAATAATTTATTGGCTTATTTTTTATAAAAAAATATATTCAATTTTTTGGAGTAAATTATTGAATTCTTCTTTAGCCATTTGATATCCATTCTTTTCCATGCAAGCTTGTATATCTTCGGCCCTCACAAATCCAGTTTTTTCTCTATCAATTTCATGAAATGCAGTCTTTAGGTCTTCTATTTGTTCTTGAGAAAGATTTCTTACTAAAACTTTCATAGCAATATTTCATAATTTTCCTTTATCTTTATACAGTTTATATATGAATTTTCTATTTATTTACACCATATTTAGATAGATGGCTTCTAAAGGCTGCATTTTGAACACACAGTGACTCGGTATATATTTTTTTTAATTGACTGAAAAATTTGTTGATCAATTGGATATATTTTTTCATTAACTGATTTAAACCAGCTATGATTCAGTGCTTGTGCTGCAGTAATACGGTTATCAGGGTCTAATACTAGCATTTTATATATCAAATCTTGTGCTTCTGCAGACATTGAAGTTCATCCAGGATTATTAATACAAAAATCTCCTTTTAAAATTTTCTTAAATTGGTCATGCATCGAATTCCCAGAAAATGGGAATTTTCCTACTAATAAAAAATACATCATAACTCCTACAGACCAAATATCACATTGCTTTCCATAGCTTCCTTTAATTACTTCTGGAGCTAAATATCTTGGAGACCCTACAAAAGAGTCCATTTCTGTTCCCAAAAATTTATTCGCGAACCCAAAATCAATAACTTTGATTTCAGAATTTGGCTGATTATTTAAAAATAAAATATTTTCAGGCTTTATGTCTCTATGGCATATATGCATGCTATGCAGATGATTTATGGCTAATAAAACCCTCTGGATAGTTCTCGCAATTTCTGCTTCAGAAGAAATCCTATGTGCAGATCAATTTTCTAATAAATCACCTCCGTCACAATACTCAGAAACCAAATGAATATACATTTCGTCCTCATAAATTTCATAGAGCCTGGCTATATTTGGGTGATCTAATATATGAAGAATGCTGATTTCGTTCTGTAGAGATTTTAAATAATTTTTTACTTTGTTTTTGTTGATTGATTTTATTGCGTAGTGCTTTTCAGTAGTTTCGTGGATAGGGACTTCGTATGAATTAATGCGGGTGGCTTCTCTGACGGTCCCAAAAGCCCCATAGCCTATTGTACGGATAAAAGTGTAATACTTGGAGATACTGTCAGGGTATGAGGATTTTAATATTGTGGTTTTGGAGTATGAGGTTGGGGAAATAAGCCGTTTTGAAGAAGAATATTCCTTTTGGCAACAGACTCCCATGTTGGTTATTATTTAAAGAATTTATTATTGTTTTTTATTAATAGATTGAAGAGGATTTTAGGTGAGATAATTATGCAGATGCCAGAAAAAAATTGAATATAATATAGTTTTAAGACTGTAATATTATTCAAATTTTCAATTTGATAAAAATAAATTTAATTTTAGTTTTTATATATATATTGCGGATTATTGTAAATATTTAAAAATAAATAAATCATCTTTAAATATCTTCTTAAATTTCAATTAATAATTATAATATGGAATTAAGCTCAATCAAAACAATTTTTCTAATAAATCTCAAGCTTGAGAAATGCTATATTTTTCATAAAAATGCTGATTTTCATTTCATAAACAATCCTTTCTTCTATTTAATTAATTTTTTGCTCTATAAACAGCTTTCTTCGAATTTAACAAGAATTTTTCCTGGTATTAATTTAATTACTTTTAATTTGTGTCACTTATGACTGATTCTTCGAATGATGATCGAGTAAGATTTACCTTTAGGCATCAATCAGGACTGTTGAGATAAGAAGAGAAATCGAAGCTTTAAAAGAAATCCTGCACAATGCTACACAGTCGCCTTTAAAGCTGATTTGTCAGTCACAATCTGACAAAGTTTCTTTACTTTTAGAAAAGAAAGCTGTAAAAGAAACTGAACAAATCCAAAATTTGCTAAAAAACTGCCGAGATGGCCCAGAAATTTATTTATTATTAGCGAATTGCTGTCATAATTTTGGAGTCGATGTAAAAATCCCTGAAACGCTATTATATATATCCTCTCAGCGTTTACCTATTTTTCTCTATAACCACCCTACAGGACCGATAGTTTCTGAACAAAGTAGCAAAGCAATTGATAGATTTTTTGAAAAATCAGAAGGAAATATAGCAATATCTAAGTATAAAGTACCTAAATACATCCATTTTGCGATGAATGACAAAATTAGGGTGTGCTATACAGCAGAAGAAGCAAGAAAACTTTTTGAGGAATGCCCTCATTATTATCATAGACTTCAAAGGTTTATCCCACCTATTAGCAACTATGCGTCAAAGGTAAGAGTCCATTGAGTTTATAAAAAACCTCAAACGATTTACAGTATGTCAAATATAAACCCTATTGAACAAAACTATATATACCCTCGTCAAAATTACTCAGTCCACCGTTTTAAATTGAAATCGAAAATTTGTTACACAATTTAAAAGAGGTTAATTTTTTCAGAAAAAATAATGAAAAATAGTTTTGTAAAATTTAGCAGCTCACAGTGCTAGCTTTTGTTAATAGCATCCTGCTTTACTTAAAACTTAAAATAGAACAATTATAGTTAAATTTTCAAATTGGTTATTAAACTATTTGCATAGAAAATATTATTTTTTACTTAAAAAAATGAAAATTAAAAGATTATATTTTTTTGTTCAAATTTAAAGGAGGGAGTCAAGAAAAACACAAAGCCGAAGCAATAAAGAAATTCCTTATAGCTATACAAGCAATTTGCAGTCTAGCTCATTTTCTGTTTCACTCCCTTACAAAAGCATTTTTAATGGAGGCTTAAAGCCTCATACAACTCCTATGAAAAAAAGATCCCATTTAGCAGGCAGTAAATCACAAATTTATCTAAATGAAGATTTTTTAACCCAAAGCTATTTTCTTGAAAATCATACAAAAGAAACCGACAAAAATCCTTTTCAAGGCCAAAATCCTGAGGAAGATAACCAATTTGAATATCAAAAATTTGTGGTTCAGTATTCCTTACCAGGGACCTATAGAGTTATTATAAGCCACCAAACTATCCCTGAGCTTAGCAAAGCACTTTCTTTGCTTTGCTTTATTATTAACAATTTTTATCTAAAAAAGGTAAATAACCTCCAAGAGCTTTTTACTGATTTTATAAGAGACCAAAACAACAATTGAATTTTATTGTCTTGCAAAGGCCATAAAATTAAAGGAGACTCGAAAGCTGCTATAAAAAAACGAAAAAGTCTGCCGAAAGTAAAAAATGAAAGAATAAAAACAATTCCAAAAATTAAGCTAAATCTGTCTACACATAAAATTAATCTAGAAGAAGAAGGTGAAGAAATTCTAGAAGAAAATAGACCTTTATTTGAAAATCTTTTTATGCAATTTTGGGAAATAAATGCAAACCCTTTAAAAGTTTACAAAAAATGCTGTAAAAAAAGATCATATGAAAAAAAATTTATAGAACCGAAAATAGACACCCTCCAGAGAAAACAAGACAAGAAGACTATTATGTTGATAAGCTTGCTAAAGAGTTTGAAGATCAAGCAAATTTGCTTGAAATTCATCCAAAATTGAATTTCAATTTAAATCAGTCCTCTGAAGAGAACTTGAAATTTTATTTAGCCCAAAGACGGTCAGATAGTTTGGGAAGAATCCCCTATAATATGATAGGAATTTCGCCGAATAAGCCTGATAATCCAATAACTAACTTTGTAGAAACAAAAATAGACCCTCCAGTAAAGCCTGCAAGAAACAAAGATAGATTTAGAAATCTGAGCTTTGTAGGTCTGGAAAAGGCTGAAGGCTTAAAATATATTGATATTGCTTCAAAGCATATTGATGATATTTCTAAAACCTTCGATAAACGTGCCAAAGCTGCACACGAAGGGAGAAGTCGCATTACAAACGTCTTTCTTCTAGCTACCCTCATTAAAAGAATGATATTTTACAATCAGAATAGCAAAAAAAATTACTAATAGGTTTTATTAATTAGCAGGAGTAAGAGAATTTATGAAAAGCTGAGGAAGCGTAGCTGATAAACTAATAAAAGAATCTGTTATTAGGCTGCACCGGCATCCAACTCTATCAATGTTTTTTGAAAATAGAAACGACCAAGAAATGGACGCTCTTTATAAAGGCTTAACCCACTGCTTAAAACCTAACCTTGAAATAGGGATGAGATCAAAACTTAAGCGAACTCATCAACCTTTCAATATAACTCAGAACGAATTTAATGCGTTTATTGAAAATATTTCAGACACTTTTAAATCGAGTAATTTCGATGACAAGGATGTAAATATTATTTTGGATATGCTCAATTCTTTTCTACTACCGATTAATAATAGTAAATAAATTTATTATTGGCTAAAATCATTATTTTTTCTTAAAAATAGGACACCTAATATAATGGATATAAAGATAGGCTACGAATCTTTGAAAAAGATATTGTAAAATATCAGTAGGAATAATTAAGCTATAATTTCTTAAGTAATATCTATTGTAACTCTCTATAAGTAGTGCTAGCTGATGCTATGTCGCTATTATTCCTTTGCTCTTCACTCTTAACAGACAGGGTTTCTTTTTCTCTTTTGACTTCTTCTAATGCTTCTTTATGTATTAACAAAGGTTTTACATATTTGTCGTCAATATTTCTTCACATTCTGTGGACTCAATTTTTATACACTTTGGTTTCGTCTTGTGCTAAAAATAGACTTTTCCTGCCTGATAAAGAACGGGAAATTTCGTCATCTTTTACCTCAGTTCCACGATCATCAGAGCCTTCATCAGGCTTAACAAGGCGTACTCATAGTGGTAATATAGTTCCAAAAACAATTGTGGTGCCTATCACAACTCCTAAGACAGTCGTGCGAAGGATTTTTGAATTATTAAAATCCAAATCAAGCACTAAGGCAAAAGAAACGGCACCTCGAATTATTCCGCCCATCCATATAACTGAAATAGCGCTAATTGACATTTTAAATTTCCCACGGGAAAGCAGCTGCACCATTCAGACTAATCCAAATACAGCTACTAGTCTTGCAATGACATTAGCCCCTGAAACTGTGACTATAAAATTCCATTCCATTCTATCATTTTCATAATAAGTAAACGCAGAAACTCCTAAATAAGCAAAAACTAGTGCTTCTGAGGCTTCACCGATAAAGGCGAAGGCGTTAGCTACAGAAGTTCTTGAAATTTTTGATAAATTATACCAAGCATAGTGCCCTGATATAATACCGCTCACCAATAGTGTGATTACAGCAGATAATTCAACTGCTTTTGATACCATATAGCCTAAAAAGGAAATATAAAATAACAAGCCAATGGATTTGCTAGGCTCATCTCTTAAATCGTAGAATTTTTTTGTCATAAAAGTCGCGATTAGCCCAAAGATGACTCCCATCAAAATACTGGTAATACTTACATATAGAAAAGTTCCAATAAAAGTAAAGGATATTGGATTAGTTGTATATTAACTTATTTTGATCTATAATAATTTCTAAAGTAAATAAGCCTACAAAATATATAATTTTTTTAAAATTCAAAGCATAAAATATAAATATAGCGCTTTCCCGAGGATGGCGCGGAATGGCGCCATCCTCGGGAAAGCCAGGAAGGCATCCACACGGGAACTGGGAGTTCCACGTGTGGATGCCATTTTGACATGTGGAAGTTTGGATCCCACATGTCAAAAATGGCATCCAGACGTGGAACTCCCAGTTCCCGTGTGGATGCTTAGTTGACTTTCCCGAGGACGGCGCCATTCCGCGCCATCCTCGGGAAAGCGCTATACCTCAATTTCGTTAATATCGGTAAATTTTACTGTTTTGACCACGTTTACTAGCAAAATTGCCACTGCATCATTAATGATAGACTCCCCGAATAAAATAGAATGCTATATTAATTATTTAGAGTTTAACGCGTTTCTCCTTCAGCAGGGTGTTTTAGACAGAAGCTCACCCTTTTAATCCCTTGATTGGTAATGCCAGCAGCCTTATTGTCTAGCAAGCATTCCAATAACATACCAGAAGGGTCAGGAATTCTTCACCGGGAATAAAATAGAATGCAATTTGGGAGTTTTATTTTCTTCAACCAAAGCAAGGGCACAAACTACATCAGAAGAAGATAAAACAGCTCCTAAAGCTAACACTTCACTAGGACTCAAATATGTAGTAGGGCCTGAGTTATTTATAATTCCCCATTCACTTAATACATAAGACATCGCTGCAATTAGAATAAAACACACAAAAGTGCCTATCACCCCGAATAAAAAAATCGGGCCAATATTTCTGAAAAATCGCCGTCTTTTCATATTAAAACCTGCAGCTAAAATTAGGAGTGGTAAAATAAAGTCAAAAAAGATATATTGATTAAGAGAGATCTAGAGCTTTTTATAGGAAATGCCCGATGATGGCGCTCAATGTGCCATCATAGGGCAACTTGTATATATAAAAATGACAATTATAAAGGTTTTGGAGAAATTTTTTAGATTTTTTAAATGAATTATTATGTATTTAGTCTCTTTAAATATGTATATCAGAGCTAAATTTTGAAAGAGTGTGTCCAGCGGAGTCCATAATAGCTCCAAGTCCAATTCCAATCAATATAATTATGCTAGATTCATGCAAATAATTTATCTAAATTGGATTTACCTTAAATTTTGGAAGGTATACTGATAAAATCATAGAGAGAGTAATAAGCACCAAGCAAAAAATGCTCTCTATGCCTACAGTTAATGACATTTATAAATAATATGATGAGTGAGTTGTCATGGTTGATCAACCATTTTAACAAATTTTATCTTTATAAATCCAAAGGTTGTGTGCCTATCCAAATGATAAATTAAGATAATGATTTATTGAGCAAGGCTATTGGAAACAACTTCTTTTAATAGCCAATATATAATTGTTCACCATAAAATTGGTGCTAATATAATATGTGAAATATGGCTTATGAGATATTATAAAGAGGATAGTTTGATATTTAGGAAGTTTAGATTCCAATGAATGATTTATTTGAGAATTTTATTGATGTCACTGTTTTAGGTCTTTACTTATATAAATAAAAAATTATGTCTCTAAGGTGATATGTGAGTATTTTAATATTCCATATTCGCTATAAATGCAAGTTAGGCAGGATGATATTGATAATTTTTTCTTTCTACACAAGATAATTGTTTTAATTTATTTAATTAATTTGAAAGATGTTAATATAAAATAAGGTATATATAGGCAATAATTATACTTTAAATACTTTATCATTATTTGTAACGATCAATTCTAGCTATTAGCAATTCTTTTAAAAATCATGGACTGCTATTTTGAGCTTTAATAAAAAAAAATTGAAATCCATTAAGTTTTTTATCAGTTATAAATTTTCTTTATCAGCGATACGATAATTTTATTATATTTTCAATAATAGTTGCTTAATTTCCCATTAAGATAATTATGAGTATATATTTCTTCTTTTCATAAATTTCCTATCTAAATTTATATGATTTTAATAAACAGAATTTCCGAAAACTAAAAAATAATTAAAAAATTCGCCGATATCAAACCATACCTACATTCTGTCATTAAAATTAAAATAGCACTCCATGCTCTGGCATTCTCATATGGATTTTTATTAGAATTACAATTCAAATGGATGTAAACACTGTATTAAGACCCAGAAAAGGCTCGCTCAGTAACAAAAAAAGTATAGTACCAGAAATCAGCTTAACCAAAATTTTCAAGAAAGAAGATCAATCAGTCCATGAAAAATTGATAAAAAACAGCTTCAAAGAAAGATTCTCTAATTCCCCCTCCTCTGCGAGCGAACAAAACCATTGAAAAAATTCCTATTTTTTGCCCAAAACGCAACCCTCTGCAAATGAACAAAAAATTGTTTAAAAAAAAATTGATATATAAGTGATAATTAATATCATGAACTCTCTAGTAATTCTGTTTAATTTTAAACAAATTGCGTTAGAACATAAATTTTACAAATTAAATTAATATTTGCTTTCCAATTTTTGCAAATTTGGATTATTTTAAATTTTGAAAAAAAAAAAATTATTATAAAATTTAATCCCACCATTAGCGAATAAAATTTTTTTCAGCTCACGAAGTGGAATAAGATCACAAAAATCGAAAGTGAAATAAATTCATCATCATCTGATCTAAGCTTAACCAAACGAATTACTCCAGTTGACGAAAAAATTCACAAGATTCCCAGAGTCAAAGGGATATTTTGTATATCCCCAGATAATTTAATTAAGCAGCCTGAAAAAATTGACGTGAAATTTACAGAAAAACAAATCAATAATTTCACTTTTGATGCAAATTCCAGAATAAAATCGGAAACGAGGATAAGCAGTGACGAAAATAAAATTCTGAGGACCTTCACGCCTGAGCTGACTGAAGCAGTTTCAAAACCAAGTAAGGTGGCGATTCCTTATGTTCCGCTTATCCATAACTACTATGGGGAGACTTTCAACAAAGAGAAAAATGCTACTTATACTGGGATTCTAAGTTTTTTAGATGATTTTGAAAAATTAGGATTAGACGAAATTCCTATTAAGCCTATGAAACCTCGAACAAAAAAATTTAATTCGAGCACGCCTGTATGCACTTCAACAGCAGATACAGGACCAAATTCTCCTTACATAAAAAAGCCTAAAACAAAAAACATTTCTGTGGATAGAACACGAGCTTTCAGGTTTGTGCCTTGCTCACCAAGTCAGTCCCCTATATATAATTCAAAAAAAGAAATAGTTGCAAAAAAAGTAGCTCCGGTTAAAGTTTATGATGAAAAATCAGCTGCGGTAACAATGCCTTCGACACCAATACAGCAGTCAGCAAATCCTATATTTTTGTCTAAGCGAGGATATGAGTTCAAAGACTAAGTTAAGCTTCTGATCCTGAAATCATTTTGGAAAACATGGGTTGATTAGTTCATGTAATTAATGATAATAAGAATACTCTTATTCAAGTCCTGATTCGTGTGGTCTTAGCTTGGATTGACAGATATGAATAACGGTAGGCAAGATTGGTCTAACCGTTAAACTGTCCATGTCCCAAGTCCCTTTGGATCACTCTGCCCACAACAGCCTCAGTGTGGGCCATTTCTCTTGAAGCCATAACTCTCAAGAAGTCATAGACTTCTTTCACTGAGCTTGGCTGTAGGACTACCCCTAACTATCATTTTATACTGTGCATGTAATTAATAAAGGTTTCAGTATTAAATCATAAAATCTAAAAGTTTTTACGCTATTATTATGAGATTTAAACCTATTTTCAATACATATTCAAATTTCTGAAATATTGGTATTTTTCTATTTTATTTAAAGGGACATTTTTATTAATTATAGCTTACACCCAGTTTTGGATCGGCCCTGAGCACCCCCTCCTCATTCCACACACTCCCTAACGGTCCCAAGTATTTTAAATGCTAAATATTAATTTGACAAGTTAAAATATTTGAGGGGGACTTGTCAAATAATATTTTAAAATTAAAATTTTCAGGACCGCCAGGAGGCGGGTGACATGGGGAGGGAGTACTTAATGGTGAGCAAACCAAGAGGGGTGTGCTATACCAAATTTAGTTCAATTTGCCAATTTTATTTAACAGTTAGATATGAGTATAATTTCGTTATAATAATGTCTAATTGTTACTTTAATGCAAAATTTAAGTGAAGCTTAACATTTTATATTAGTTTTATCTTTACAAATTCTGCTCTAGTTATGCTAGGGAAGCAACCCTCTCTTCTCATGGAATGGGGAATTCTAAAACAAAAAGCAGCAAAAAAGCCCCTTTGAGAAATATTAGGTCACTTATCATCTAATTAAGTGATTTTAAAGCTTTTAGCTTTATATTGCCCAGAAACTGATATAGATCGGCCTGGGCTGGAAGAATGCCTAGAAAGTTCCCGAGTTGGTTCTCCAACCCAAGTTGACGAGCCAACTCGGGAGTTGGCAAATAGGCTCGGATATAAAGCATATGTCAACTCCCCAAGTTGGTTCGTCAACTTGGGTTGGGGGAACATTTTCGGGAAGTTTCTAGGCATTCCCCAGCCCAAGCCGATCAATATATCGGTTCCTGGGCTATATAAGTTAATTATTAGAGAAATTCTCATCTTAATCACCTGAACAATCTAATTGAAAAACTTTGAAATCAACCATTAGGTAATCATTAGGAGAATTCTTTAAATTTGATAAATAACTAATTAGATAATTTCTTAAGAATTCCAAAACTGATTTATAATATTTTAAATTATTTTCTTAATTTTGAGGTATTTATAATGCATGGAAGACAACAATATCCAAAAGGAAAATGATCTTTCAATGACAAGCCTATATATGAATGTCGGGACTACAGAAGGTTATTATGGTTCAACAGTTGGATCTCCTATTAAATTAGACAAGCATCATCTAAACAGAACAAGTCAATTATGATCCCGTCTCCGAGCTATCGTAAAAACCGCTTCACATCTGCATGGACTAAGCAAAGATATTCATCTTTATGGGACACAGCCCACTTATTGTACAATGGTCCAAGAAACTCTTCACAAGCCAAGCTCCGGCTACCTTTTCCAGCCAGATTCAATTTTTTGCAAAATTTGGGCTTATATCCTTTGGCCGTTTTTAATTTGAACTGCTGTAGGCTTGCCATTCACAGTGAGTTTCCAAAGAAATGACCCTTGGGAGCTTGAAATTTTTATTGATTTTTTGGTCTTTTTGAACATGCTAATTATGATAAATTCAGTGCATGTAAATAGCAGCTACAAAATGATTACGAATAGAAAAGATATAGTTATTATGTATATTAAAGGCTGATTTATTTTCGATATAATTGCAGTTACTCCTGTAGAATTATGAGCCTGAGTTGTTAATGATAAAGACGACTCCTGATACGATTTGTTAAAGTATTTAAAATTATTTAGGCTATTTTTATTATATCGATATTCAGTAACCTACCAAAGTGCGAATTTTTTTAGTAGATGATTAAAAGAAACTACCCGTCGAGGCCGGAACGCTGTACTTGCCCGTGCCTTGGCGCAACGAAGTGGATCAATCCAGAGGTCATGGCCTAACACGCGGAAAAATATGGTGGCAGCTCTGGAAACGGCTACCCTGTAGTAGACGTAAACGTTATAAATTTAATAAGATATGATTAAAAGAAACTAAAGCTTCCAAAAAGAAATCATGAATGGAAATTTTAAGCTCGTTTTTCAGTATTTTTAAGGTCCTTGCAACATATTTTATAGTTGTACACACAATTGGGTGTTTTTGGTTTCTTTTAGGAAGGTTACAGTATTTAGATTATGATTCATGAATTAACAGATACTCAATGCAAAGCCAAAGTGTCTTATCAAAATATATAGCTTCTATATATTTTGTATTTGCAACACTTACTACTATTGGATATGGGGATATTGTCGCATTAACAAAAATTGAAAAAATTTTTGCTATATTTTTGATGGCTTTTGGAGGCAGTTTTTATTCATATACAATTAGTAATTGGATGTCAAAATTTGCATCAATCGACAAAAGACGTGCACTAATTGATTCCAGGCTTAATAGCTTAAAGGATTTATATCTTTTTAATAATATTATCTATTTTTTAAATATTTTGACTTTTTATTAATATTTATAGAAAAATATCATAGCAACTGATATAAACTTGCCTGATGAGACGAAAAAGAAAATCAAGCGTACAATCCTAGAGAATTTTAAAGAAAATTTATCAGGCGACATGAATGAAAAAACCATGCTGCACGAGCTCCCTTCATCACTTAAAGCAGAAGTCACTCTTTATTTATATCGACGAGTTATCAGTAAAATCTATTTTTTCAAATTGCGAGACCCTTTATTCCTCTCCACAATCGTCCCAAGGCTTAAAAGCATGACCTGCGACAAGTCAGAATTTTTATATAGAGAAGGAGAAATTGCTGACGAAATGTATTTTTTAAAAAAAGGAAGGGTCCTATTTCGAGCTTCTAATGGAGTCGCATTCCGAACCATGGTAGATGGTTCTTACTTTGGTGAGCACGAGCTCATCACTAATTCCCTACGGCTCTTTTCTATTGAAGTTTCTATGAGATCAAGCTTCCTCGTCCTTTCCAAAAAAGATTTTAGCTCAATTATGTCAGAATTCCCTGACATATATGAAGAAGTCAGAGAAATCGATAAAATCCGCTCAGCTAAATTTTCTGAATCAATTGCACACAGTCTTAATTTAATTCCGAATACAAAAACTCCGGACTCAGAAGCGTCAGCAAGTGAGTCAATTTCTGACTCATCGTCAAGCTCTAGCTCTGAAGAAGAAGCCAAAAACCATCATTACTTGAGGGCTGATACAGGAATTATGGTGTCAAGTCTGCAGTTTTCAGCAGACAAATTTAAAAATCTCAGCTTGTGGTCACATGTGCTGTCTAGTAATCATAATAAAGGACCGAGACGGTCTACTACAGTTTTCGCTGGAGATGATGATGGGGTGAAAATGATGAAAAGAAGGAAAAGGTCAATTTTGTCGTCGGCGCCTCCAGTGAATATAGTTGAAAGACAGCCTTTGAGGCATAGAAGTGCTACAATTGATTGGAGAGCGCTGTCGAATACGGATTTTCCAGAAATAAGACCTTTTGAGTATACAAGCCAAAGGACTAAAATACCTATAACCTATAGGACTCAAACGACTAAAATTTCTTCATCAGATAAATGAATTTATGATGAGGATACTTTGACTGATTTGCTAGGAGGAGAAGATTCATTAGTAGAAGAAAATGATGGGAGGGATAGCAATATTTTGGTGAAAATAAGCAATTCTGAGAAGAAAATAAATCAAGATCATAAGATCATTAGTGATTCGATTGTTGGATTTGGAAACCAACAAGAAAATACACTTACTTCCTTCGTAATTAGCGCATTCATAATTATTTGTGGGGCGCGTATGAACAAAATTTTCAAATATAAATTTTATATGAATAGGTCTAAATTTAGTTATTGAGGCTTTTTATTATTGAAAATCATCTTGATATTAAGAATATTTTCATCATCTATTCAAAATAAATTTACTATTTGAATTTTAAGCGAAACCTCCCATGAATAAGTAAGAATTTGATTATAAATAGGGAGTTAGAAGTTTATACTATATTGAGGAGTTAATAAAGCAGTAGCATTGCTATATGGTTTTTTACAACTTTTGCTTAAAATACCAATTTATTTGGCAAGATCATAATAATGATTAATCATTACTGCACTTATTTAATGGCCAAACTGCTCATACCAAATATTTTTTGATAAAAATTATGAAGTTATTTAAGTACCCAAATAATGATTGATTAGAAAAGTGTAAGATAGAGCCTATTTATTCAATTTGATATAAAATTATTTCTTATATAAACAGATATTACAATGTTTTCAGCACAAAAGATATCCTGGGTATAAGAATTTTATTATTTTAATTTTATACTTTATTTTAAATCTGTATTGTTTACCTTGAATTTATTATTTTGAAATATGCTTTAATTCATTTTTTTCACAAAATTCAATATTATTAAAATAAGAAGCACTTTATCTATAGAAAATAACAATTAATTATATCATTGCTCAGATAGACAAAATTATTGACAATAAAAGATGTCGGTGCTGGGAATCGAGCCCAGGTACTTACGGCCACAACGTAAGATTCTACCACTAAACTACACCGACGGCTGGCTCTATGCTAATTAAACTGTATTTATATTTGAAATCAAATCAGAAACTATTCAGGCACTAATAATCCAAATATTTTTATTTTCCAATTTGACCATTGAGTTTTATTTAATTTTTAAGTGAAAAATTCTCATTTAAAATAAAACAGCTTATTATAACTATCTAAAATATGTTAACCTTCATAATTTTAGTCGATTAATAGCATAACTCTGCGTTGTTTAAAATTCAGTTGTTAAACATTTAGATAAGTTTAATAATATTTCGGGAAACATATGGAATTCAATTGGCTCTCCTTAATTATGTATAAAGAAAGTCAATGGATAGAAGGTGAACTAACTTTATTTGAAGGATAAGGAAGGAGCATGACTTAAGGGGGCATGCAAGTAGAATGGGTTGTGCTTGAGAATACCTTTAATTTTTGTCTAAACGGAAAACTTAAAACTCGACATTTAAGATTAAGCATTTAATCTGTTTTAAATATTTTAGAACACCAAAAATGTTAAAATTTTATCATCAATTAAATCATTTTATTTTATCGGAAACTATGATTTGAGATCAGACTTAGATCTTTTATCAGAAAATTAATTTAAGATCAGACTCAGACCTATATTTTTATCAGAAAAATCATCATAGATCAAATTCAGACCAAAATTGGAAGATTCAAAATAATTTACAAATTTGAAAAATTGAAGAGAGAGAGATTATTTTATTTTTATTAAAGAATTAATAAAGCAGTAGTATTGCTATATAAGAATTTATTTTAAAATAAGAACATTTTATCAAGAAAACTCACAATTTATCGTATATTATTGTTACAGATAGGTAAAATTGTGATAATAAAAGATATTGATGCCGAAATAAAAACCAGTTTTTACAGCTAAAGCATAAAGTTCTATGTAGACTACACTACGGCGGCTCTGTATATTATAAGACATTTAAATATCTCAATCCTAATCATTCTAACCTTTGATAAGGTTTAACCCATAAGAAATCAATGGAATAATTAACAAAAATCATATCCTAGATCTCAAATTATCTAAAGCAGTCCATTCGTTAAGAGATAAGACTAAGCAGCGCAATTTACTTTTAATTAAAAATAAATTGTCATCTATTGAATACTTTGTAAGATCCTCTACGCATAAAGAAAGTAAATGGATAGAAGAACAACTGGATTTATTCTAAAGGATAAGGAAGGATTATGACTTAAGGGTGCATATAGAAATTGAAAAAAATTTAGCTTGAGAAAGCCCCTAAATTTGTGTATAAATGGAAAATCATAAAACTTATATAATATTTTCTCTAAAGCTTTTATGCATTTCTTGTGATCTTCTTATCCTACGCATATTGAAAAAACAATTGTTAAAATTTTAAGATGGCTAAAGGAGCTAAATTTAATACAGTTGGGAGTTATCAAATAAATCCCAGATTCTTAATCAGTAGGCAGAAATAAATTATTCTAAAACTTAATACCTAATTATAATTAAGATGAGATTTCAAAACATTCTAGCTTATTTTAGGAAGAAAAAAGAACAACCAGAGCAAACAGAAGAAGAAAAAGAAAAAGAAAGGCAGCAAAGAAGAAATGAAGAGCACCATAACTCTGTCTTGTCTGATATTCAGTCATTAAGCAATTCAGATACCAGACATTTATCTAATAATGAGCTTAAAAGTATTTTAGAAGACTTATGGAGTTCAATGGAACTCTCTTTAACTATGTATAAAAAAATCAAATGGATAGAAGACGAACTGAGCTCATATTGAAAGATAGATAAGGACTATGACTTAAGGGTGCATTTGGAAATTGAACGAATTGTGTATGAGAGAACCTTCGAATTTCTGTATAAATGGAAAAATATAAAGATCGAAATTAAGCCCTGTGTAATCCAGTTTTAAATATTTTAGAACATAAAATTGGTTCTTAATATTAATATGGATCCTTCAAAATTTAATAAAAAGTAAGCCCTCTTAAATAAGTCTTTAGAAATGATTCAGATTCTATTAGCTCTGGGGAAAATTTGGTTTGCCAGCGGCGGTTAAGGCTTGCGGCACTGCAAAGCTTAGCAAACCAAAATTATGATGGATATGCAACAAATATTTCTTTTTTCTTATTATATTTTTGCGTTATTAAATCTCAATGGAAAAGGACGAAGATCTCTTATCAGAACTAATGACGAAACAGATAAAAAGTGCAAGCGAAACCTTGAATTCCATAACAGCAACATATTTAGACAAAACTACTAAGCCTTCTATATCCCCGATGAAACTCAATTCTAATCATTTTAATCTCTCTAAAGGCTGAGTCCATAAACGAATCAACACAGCAGGCTTCCCAAATCAAATCCCCGAACACAAAAACTCCACAGATTCTCTTATGGTTTCTGTAACTCACTCTTTAAGAACTTCAAGAATTAGCAGCCCACTCATGCCTCCCAAGACTGGATTCTGCCAAAGCCACTTTCCTGTTTTTTGTCAAAAAATGATGATGCTAGGAAATAAGCCAGACTTGCTTAGAAAAGAAATTATCAGCTATAATCAACTTCTTATGAGCTTTAAAGAAAAAGAGCTGCCAGATATTTGGCCAAAAAAAACAGTAACTGCATATAACCCTCCAAGCAACTTGTATAACAAGCTTAATGTAGGGCTAGCAGTTAAAGAAATCAGATATGATATGCTGCCTAAGAAAATTATGAAAAACGTGAAAAAAAGAAAATTAAAAAATAATTTACGAAAATTCGAAGCTCCTTTAGAAACTGAAAGAAAAATCGAAACAAATTTTGAGACTATAGGAGTACAAACAAGATTGTCGTTTACGTGTAGAAGGATTTATTAAATAAAAATACTAATTTTTCGTATTATTTCTAGATAAGTCAATTCTTCTTTGTCGACTTCTTACTCTGCCAATGGCTTTTTCAAAACCAATTATATGTACATTAGGATTGTTTTTATTTTTCTTTAATGCTTCAACTAAGTCTGTTTTTATGTCATCAATTTGATGCTCTGGGTCTTTTTCTTCTTCTCTAGAATGCTCTTCCACAATCAGCTTGTCATAGTCAACTAAACTTTGGGGATCCTTTGGGAATTTAATTTTCTCTTTTGGCTTTTTTTCTATTTTTTCAGGCTCTTTTTGATTTTTCCCATTCATTACTATAGACATAGGCCATAGCTCGACCCGTCGTGCTAGTCTTTCGCTTAAAAACCCGTATTTGATTTCTTTGTAGCTTTTTTTGTTATTGTTTGGGTCTCTTTCTAGCATTTTAGAAAAATCAACAACTGTCTTTCTGAGCGGAGAATCTGGCAAATAGCTGAATCTATTTTCATTTGGAGGGCTGTCTCGCTTTACAAATGATGATCTTGGCAGCTGGTTCTCAAATTTAAAACTTTTTCTATCAATAATTGTTCTTTCAGATAAATTTATACTGAGCTGACTTGCTTTTGTATCTTTATCTGTTATGGATTTTGATGATAAACTTTGTGGGATTCTTTGTATATTGGGGTTAATAGAAAAAATTACTTTTGGAGTGGAAAAATCTGAAAGCTTCCTTAGTTTAGGGGATGGGGTATGCTTGCTTAGAAGTTCATAAGATGGAGTATAATGCCCAGGCTCTAATTTTTGATTATTTTTACTACTAAGCAGCTCTAAACTTGCTCTTGATACAGCTATAAAAGCAGTCGAAGGTTTAGGCTTATAAGACTGCTGCTGCTCTAAAAATCTTTGTTCTCTTTCTTCTATTCCTTTTAAAACATCATTTATATCTGGCTCACTTTCTATTTTTTCTATATGCGGATGTTTCTTGTCTCCAGTGTATAACGTTGAGTAAAGATGAAGCGAGGCTTTTCCAGCTCTTGAATACATTTTTAAAGAAGGAGGGTTAACATGTGAATTCTTCATTTATTCGTTGAGGTAAATTGTAATAAATTATTTCCTTTTTTTTATCTAGGGAGTAAAAATTTAAGAATTTTCATTGTGAGAATGCAAATAATGATAAATTTTGTAGCAGTAATTTAAAGTAAATATTTTTGATAAAGGGATAAATACAATTAGTATATCTTTGAAATAAATAAATAGATTGTGATTGTTTGAAAAACCCGGATTTTTTATGATGAAATAATTTTATATTAATTGAATAATATATAATATAATGATCAAACTCAAATAAATTGAGTGAAAAATTAAGAATCAGTGAACTATTGACACTAATCACTAATCTCATATCAAAATTAAAACTTTTATTTATAATTTCAATTGATGATATAATTTACAAAAATTCTATAAGATGTTGTTGAAAAAGACTACCTGATAGCAATTTATAAATAAAATGAGTAAAAACTCTACTATCTTTTCAATTTTTACTACATTTAGAAATAAAATAAGACGTTGACAGAAATGGACTCCGAGGCGACTCCCTATGGAGCAGGTAGACCTATCCTGATGAAGCTGAAAATAGGGTGTGGAGTAGGCCTTCAGGCTTAGGGATGCCTTGCCGAGCAGGGAAAGCTTTTTGTTACTCTCCCAAAGGTTTTCTTCACCTAGGCAGGTTTAGCTTGTGGGGAATTCTTCAGATGTGGCTTTGCCCAAGGGAGTTATCCCCTGGACAGGTGGTTCAGGTTGGAAATTCAGAATGAATTGCCTTCCATTTTCCTCATTTGAACTCTGAGATTTATGGAGGCTATTTTTTAGAGCCTAGATGGGGCAAAGGCTGGTGGATTCCACTAATAGCCAGATTAAGGGTTAATTTATATAATTTTACTACATTCGCAATTAATCTTTTCATTAAAACTCAAATTTTATTCATAGGCAGTTATATTAACCATGGCAACATTAGCAGGAGATTATCAATTTTCATCAGAGCCTCGTGCTGTAAAAGGTCGTAATATTAAATACCGTGAGTCCGAACAGTCCTCTGAACCAGTAAAAATCATGTGAGACAAACGTATTGTCAGAGGAAACACCTATGCAGCTATGATTGTCCCTTCAAATGCCCCTCAAGAAGCCGAAAAAACCCAAAAATCATTCAAAAAAGCTGAAGAAAAACAAAGCTCTGAAGAAATAGATAGTGATATAAACACCCCAGATCCCGTTGAAGGCCGCCAGAATATTGACGTTCAGACTGAAAATCTACCTGAAGAGCTTTCAGATAAACCGAAAAATTTTAAAATTGAGACACAAAAACTGATTATAATTAAAATATGGCGTCTTCGTCTGGGCATGGCCTCCCGGCCATGCATCCTCGACTCATATTTTAATTATATCCAACAAGGTTTTGCCCATTTCAGAGATGGACGGTAATGCTAGGTAAGCAATTCTGGTTGTGTTCAGAGCCTAGCCCAAGTCTATTTTCAGGAATGTTTTTTTCCTCATGGGGAAGGAGGGTACGGGAAGTTGGAAAGGGGAAAGCTCAGCAAGTCCTTAGGACCAATCGGGCAACTCCCTAGCGTGAAACCGGGCGTTACGTCCCGGGCTACGTGTTTTTCCTTTTTTGCCGAGAGCTGACCAGAAAATCCATTTTTTGGGTTTTCGGAAAAGCAACCCATGTCCACAAGCAAGTAACTCACTCATGAGCCGTCGAAGTCGGTGACGTTTGCCCTAGGCGCACCCTGGTGATCGAAGTGGGTTGTCCCAGCAACTTGTGGGCCCGATGCGGCGAAAGGTAAGCGGCAGACCTGGGAGAAAATCTACCCCATAGTGGACGTTAAACGTATAAAATCCTAATGTAATGTAATGAGACACAAACTGATTATCTTATAGACAGGCCGCCAACCCCTTTATATACGCCTAAAAAAATAGGGGAAGATGTAGTTACACAGGTTGAAGATGGTGAGCTCTTTGATTTTAATTTAGAAGTTGCGCCAATACTTGAAGTTTTGATAGGGAAATCATTAGAGCAGGGAAGGATGGAAGTGCTTGAGGAAGAGGAGGTGGAAGCCATGAGAAAGCACCAAAGGGAATTTGAGCAGAAGAGAAATGTGAAGCTGATTGAGGTGCAAAAATTGGAAGCTGAAGAACTTACTCTTTTATGATTTATTATTTAATTTTTTAATTTAAAATTTTTTATAAGACTTAAGTGAGATGTCCTGCTGATATTTGGAATAGGATGAAGAGTTAGAAAAAGAGATGAAGCTGAAAGAAGAAAAGTTCAAGCTAGGACAAGAAAAGAGCAGCTACAATTTGCCCATAAAAAATACATGGCTAGAATTCTAGCCAAAAAATACTTGAATAGATTCGGAAATAACGCAACTACGTATTTGTTAGATTCAGAAGTTTTCAGCGATCCCATACTAGTTGCATTTCATGATCAGCTAATTCCTTGGCTGAGCGTTGAAAGCTTGCAATCTTTACTTGAAGAAAACGTTATAGTTGAATTGTTACACCTTTGAAAAATTAATTATATAATCAGAATTTTAAATATTTAGCCTATTGTCTTTAAAAAAAATCGAGAGAAAAAATTAGATAAAATCCAAGAAGAATCAAATAATATGCTTGTAAAACAACATAAAAGCACAGTTGATCAAGAATACACAAAAAGAAAAGAAGCCAAAGAGAACGAAATAAGAACTCAACAAGAAAACGAAGCAAGAAAACAAAGAAGAGCTGAACAAAGGATTATTCGACAAAAAGAAAGAGAAATTGCAGCTTTACGAACTAAAATCGAAGAAAAAATTGTAAATACAGGAATAGTAGTCGATAATGCCTCACTTCAAATTTACTCTGACATTGACGGAAGGCAGACAACTAACATTATCGGCACCCCAGGTGGGCTTTTTGGAGAGCTTCTTCAATTTTTCAGCGCTGTTGAAGAACTCACCGAATTCGCATTAACCCAAGAACAAATAAATCTGTTATTCGACGATTATTTATTAAACTGCTTAAAAGCTCCATCAGTGATTTATAGCAATATCAAGGCTGATCAGTTAGCAGAATTTATCAAAACTTTTGGAAAACCTAGCTTAACTCATCAAAATATCCATTTGGCTGGAGATGATATAAAAAATAAAATTTTAGCCTATCTTCAGAATATTAACAACTCTATTCCAAGGACAACGCTTACACTGTTTTGGCAGCACCCACAAGAGTTTCAAATTAGAGAAGGGCTTTATGAAGGACTTTTAGCAGCATTTTTTAGTCCTTTGGTATTAAAAGATGTAGATGCAGCACATCCAAACCCACTAAGGCAAAAAGTAGAAATAAGGCCGAATGAGTTGCCAGAAGAAGGAAAAGAAATAGCGCTGGTAAGAATTAGGATACCGAAAAGAATTTCTGAACCACGAATAGGTGAAGAAGTTTTAGAGCCTGGGTCTCCGAAAGAAGAAATCAGTAATAGAGCAATTATGATAAACCCGAATAGCAATAGCGATGATATAAGTGTATTTGTTGTACATCAGGCTGCTCAAAGATTAATTAGAGCTGATTTATGTCAGTGGATTAGAAGTGTAAAGGGATTTGAAAATGTTGATGCTGAGAAATTGAAAATAATTTTGGAGGAAAGAGCTAAAAATAGAGAAGCTAAGCTTATCAGTATGATATGCCCAGATATTCCTGTTTTTGATTTCGAGTTTAATTAAATAATAGTAATTTTTTAATAATTTAATAAACTTAGAGATGAAATCTGAAATATTTATATAAGGAAAATATTAAATTTCATATAGACTATAAATGCAGAGTAGTGAAATATTAAAAATTAATTAACGGCAAAGATTAAAATAGAGTTTATTATCAATCATATCGGAAAACCTGTCAGCTGATAAAGCATGACTAATAAATGGAATCAATATAAGATATAAAAAAAAAAAAAATGTATGACTAACTCTTTATAAATTTGTCCAAATTTGAATTTTGTTATATAAAAAACACTAAAAGTATTTTATAAATACTTTGAACTTAATAAATTATTCTGATTTTATCATCAATGATATTATCGATCATATGGCTTTACTATTGATTTATTTTTGTTTATGGACTGCCTATTTCAATTTATCTGAGCTTGAGCACTCCTCAAAAAATTTCAGAATACGCTCGATCACTTGAAGAAATAAACCAAGTTGAATCAAACTCTGAAAATAGTATATATGTAATTGGCCTGAATAATACTTTTCAAACATCATTATCAAATTGCAATGAAAATCCATTCATAATTATTGATGAGACATATAGCATTAAGCTGAGCTATGAAATACAATTATAAAAAATGCATATTCTCATATCATAAATTACATTGAAACTCAAAAATTAGCAATTCTATGAACATATAATATAGACAACCTGCAATTGGTAAATAGCTTAACAAAGGATTTACCTTGCGATATATTTCAGATATTAATCCCAATCGGAATGACCCAAGATATAGTTGATAGTATTATTTCTAAAGACTTAAAAGCCTCAGGAATTGCTAGAATTTTTATTTTAGCTGACCCAGAAAATTGTATAAAAATCCAAAAAAGTTTAATTGCTTTTAATATGAATAAATCTGGATATGCTATTTTGCTTGGCCACTCATGCTTAAACAATGGAATAATTGATGGATCTTTAATGGTTTTGCCAAGCTATGATATTAATTCAATTTCTGAAAAAGAATCTTATATTAATAGCTTGAGCTATAGGGGTTTTCCCTATAAGGGCTGTGGGTTCTCAGTGGAATCCCTCTGTTGGTCAAACCAACTCAGTGCGTTGGTTTGACTAATTCACTGGTTGGCTCAACCAGCAGAGGGATTCCACGGAGAACCCACGGCCGTTATCGGGCTATATAGGGAAAAACACCTATATTTTATAAATGAATTTTCCAGAATAAAGGTACAAAATAAATCTCTTTTTTTGCAAAAATATAGAGATTTAACAGAGAATTTACTATTTAACTTTACTGTTATGAATATAAGAAATAAAATAGCAGTAAAAATAGGAGAAATAAGCAATTTTGGGCTTGAAATTAAAAATGAAATACAATTTCCAGGAGAAATAAGTACTATGCCAGAATCTTCTATAAGTATTTGGATTTCAGGAAATATTGGGTCTTTTAATCCCTTTGGCCATTGTTCTAGTATAGTTAACCAGTTATATAATCAAGGTAGCGAATTTGCAGTGTATAAAATAAATGAATCAAAAACAATTCTCCCGAATTTTATTTTGAGGCTGAATAATCAAATAAATTGTGGAGCTACTGTGTGAAATTATGAATTTGCAAAAGCTTGCTACTTATTCCTTGTATCTAGCAAAAATATAAATATTTCCACCCTTTTAACCCTATATTTATATTTGAAAATTTAAAAAAATAATTAAGTTAGAAAATAAAAATAATTTGGGTGTCGCTTATTTAACCTCTTATTTGTCTTCTGTTGCTGTTGCAACCTTGAATTTATTTAAAGAGCTTAATATCTCTATACCGGTGGTAAATGGGGTTAACTCTGCTAAAGTTTTGTCAAGCACCAAACTATATCCTACATATACAAGAATGGTCATAAATACAGATTATATGGGAAAAACATGGGTAATTTATATGAGAGCAATGGGATGAACCAAATGTGTCGTACTATATGCAGATGATGCCTATGATTTGAGTGTTTATGATATCTTTCTACAAGTTTCGCGCTTTGCAGGTATAACAATACTCAATAAAGAACAATATAGAAAATTCCCGTATTCTTATAATGTCTCTCAATTGGAAAATTATAGAAAAAATTTTCAAAACGCAATTGACCAAAATTGCAATATTTTTTTTATTTTTTTTACAGATCCTGTGCATTTATATGTGCTTAATAGTTTATATGAAATGGGACTGAGAAAAGGCGATGGTGTATTTTTACTTAGCTCATTAAGTGGAAGCGATTTTTTGTATGCAGCCTCAGATATTGATATAAGAAAAACATCAGAACTTTTATCTGGTGTTTTATTTCTTTTTGTATCAGAATGAGTTGGGAGTTTTGGAAAAGAGCTCCAGCAAGAGTATATTGAACGATATCCTAAATATGGTACAAGAATGAGATGCACACATTTTGATGCTGTTTTAGCAATAGCAGAAGCAATTAAAATGTTGCTAAGCTTAGGAAAGAACTATGAAAACTACCAAACTCTTAACTGAGCAATAAAAAATCTTAAATTTAAAGGCTGCTCTGGCCGCGTAATAATAGAAAATGATTCAAATGATAGAAGGCTTGACACATATAGTTTAAATAATGTGTTTTTAGATAACTCTACAAATACATGAAAAACTGTTGATGCAGGATATTTTGCCCCTGACTCTGGGACATTTTTTAAATTAACAAGAAAAATTGTATGGCCGACTGGTGAAGAAATTCCTCCAAATATGAAAAGCTTTGATTGCCCATTTAGATCAAGCCAAATACAGAACTCTACAAAAAGCCGTGGAATTAAAGCAGGAATTTGTGCTTTCATTTCAATTTTTTCTATTATTTTTGCAGTTTTCAACTGAAAAAAATATTTTTCTTATAAATTGGAAATGATTAGCCGAGAGAAATATTTTACTGAGCCTGATTATTGAGTTCTAACTACTATTATAATAGAATCTCTCCAATTTCAAGGAATTGGCCCTTCATTTTATGCATTTAACCAACTTCTTTATGAAGTAGTCAGTTCGAGCTCATATAATATAGAAAGTTTGATAAAAGGAGATATTTTCTGAAAATTTTTTTATAGTACGCTAGTTTTTTGTATCGGATGACTTTTTATGAATTTTTCCATTTATTTGGAGCTTATTCCTTCCTTCCTGTGAATGAGTAAAAAAGATTTGCTCTCTCAAAAGGAGCTAATTAAATTGAAATTCTAATTAAATTAAAAATTAATTTAATGTGCAAAGTTTATCAATCTGCTTAAAATTCAAGAAAATTAGCTAGAGATTTCATATAATAATACCATTTATATGTCAAATTATTTTTAATAATTTTTTTCGCTCAATAAGGTGGGTTTCCTCCCAAGAATATTGATTTTTTCATAGGTTTTGATCACAATTGAGGGCGAAATTAGCAATCATTTTGAAAAAATTGGGATAGGGTGGATGTTTCAAGCTATAGAAAAATCTGAAAAAATAGTTACTCCATTAATAATCAATATTTTCTTTCAGCCTATGATAACTATGCTAATATCCATAATCCAATGCGATTATTCTACAAGTTTAGAGTTAGAGAGCGCCTTTTTAAATTACGATTGCTACTCCTCATGCTGAAATTCCGAATATTTATCTATTACGATTCCAACTCTTTTGATTCTAGTTTTATATATTTTGCTCGCTATACAAGCTAGACCATCATGACAAGAAGGCCAAATTAATTTAAATATTAAATCAGATCCTGCATGCATTATGATTAAAAGTGCTTTACAAGTAACTCTGATTGGAATTTACAAAACACTGAGAATAATCAGCCAAATCCTCCATTGCTCTGTATACTTATTTTTAATAGCCTGCTATTTGATATTTATTATACATAGGAAAAATTTCAATTATGATAGAGCTAATTTGCTACAAATTTTTTGCATAATTTGTGTATTTTGGAATGGAAGCTTAAGTTTAGTCTATTTAATACTAAATTCTGGGCATTATAGCATTTATCTCAGCATTCAATTATTCGGTCTTTTAATAATTATAGTATGCAGCCTTATAATCATGCGAAAATTACCTCCATCACTATTAATTAAAAAAGAAGGCAAAAAAATTTCAAATTTATTTAGGTTTTCTCTGATGAATGGCAGCTTAAGCAATTCCTCATGCCATCTAAGTATGCAAAAAGAATACGAAAATTTATATTATTCGAATTATAAAGAAGCGCTTGGAGATAGTTCGAAAATCATAGAATCTGCTATGCCTATAAGCTTAAGGAGTTCTCCTGAGCTTGTCTATATTTCTGATATACAAGATTTATTTGAAGAAAATTCAGGAGGAGTTGAGCTATCGTAAAATATGAATAAAACTATATTAATTTCGAATAAATTGATTAAACCTATCATTTTTGGTAATTATAGAGTATTAATGGATGCTCCTATTAATCATACTCGCCATTGTCATTAATAAATGATGCTTATGATAAATTGATACATCACTTTGGTACAATAGTATGAGTATTCACAACTTATTAATAGGACATGATTTTATTAAATTTTAGTTCTGCCACTAATTTTGTTTTTAATTTTCGCTATATCAAGAAAAAGGATTTTTTATAATTCAAAATTAAATGCTTTTTTGGCATACTATAATAACATATTTCTAATTTGATTTTATATTGAAGACTCTCCAAAAAAGCGTATTTTTGCTTTACATTTAATTTTAAATTTAATTTTTGCATTAGAATTATGATCTTACAAAGTATTCAATAAATTATAATTTTACTTTTAACTTATCAAAAATTTTAAATTTAAACGCATATAAAAAAAATTATGAAAAGACTGAGTTGCTATTTGATAACAATTTGTATTAGAGCTCTAATTGCGGCAAGTTTACCTATCTTTTTGTATTTTAGCTCTTATACTCCAGCAAAAATTAAATCTTCTGTTGGAGCATTTATTGATACTTATGAGCCTAATACTCAAAAAGAAATATCAAGAATTTTCTTAAATGAAAACTTTCAGCCACGTCAATCAAATTTTGGGGATGATATAATTATAATCATTGATGAAACATATAATCTTAAACTGAGCTATAAAATACAAAAATATGCTTTAAATGCTCAAATCCCAATTTTTTATACTAAAAATAGTTCAGCTATAGCAGATAATAGTCCTTTTACATACATAGCCCACTCACCATTATCATTAATAAATGATGCTTATGATAAATTGATGCATCACTTTGGCATTCAAAAACTAGCAATAGTATGAGTATACACAGAAGAAAATGAATTTTTGGTAAGATTTTTTGATAATGATCCTCATTTTGAGGTAAACTCTATTGTAATTTCAGACAACTTAAATCAAGACTTGATTAATCACATTATATCAAGAGAACTAAAGCCTTCTGGGATAGCCAATATCATAGTTTTAGCTGACTCAGAAAATTGTAAAAACATCCAAAAAAGTTTAATTGATTATAATATGGTCAAATCTGGCTATTTAATTATATTAGGACACTCATGCTTAAATAATGCAATAATTGATGGATCAATATCAATTTTGCCTAATATAGACATCTATTCATCTACTGAAGAAGAATCATACGTCAATAATTTAATTTTGCTGCTAGATAGTTTGGAAAATAAATATGGAAATCAGACATTTACAAAATTACAGTTTTGGCATAGCTTTCAAGAATTCAAAAAATCCTTTGTATGGGATTTTACAATAATTAACAGAAAAAACAGCAATTTTTATAATGTAGGAAAAATTTCAAATGGAAAAATTGAAATTATTGGGAATATTCAGTATCCAGGAGGAGCAGAAGATCTCCCAGTGTCTTCAAGAATAAATATTTTAATATCAGGAAACGTTGGAACTTTTAATCCTCCAGGCTATTTGGAGAGCGCTGTTAATAAATTATATCACGAAGGCACTCATTTTGCAGTTCAGAAGATCAATACATCAAAAGAAATTTTGCAAAATTTTTACTTAAAACTAAACGACCAAATAAATTGTGGAGCTAGCGTTTGAATCAATGATTTTGCTAATAATTGCTACCTAGAAAAAAGAAGTGAAATGGGCGTTGCATATTTAGCTTCCTATCTTTCATCAATTTCTATTGCAACCTTAAATTTATTTAAAGAAACAAATTTTTCTATACCTATGGTTAGCGGTGCTAACTCGGCTCACAGTTTATCAAATTCTACAATATTCCCAGCTTTTACAAGGATCTCCACAAGCTCAGACTATATGGGGAAAACATGAGTCATCTATATGAAAGTTATGGGATGGACAAGCTGTGTCCTCCTTTATGCTGATGACGCATATGATGTAAGTGTCTATCAAAATTTTCTTCAGACTTCAGAATCCCAAGGCATAACAATTCTTAATAAAGAAGAATTTAGAAAAATCCCTTTTATGTATAATACGTCGCAGTTAGAAAATTATAGAAAAAACTTTCAAGAAGCAATAGATCAAAATTGCAATATTTTTTTTCTATTTTGTGCTGATCCGTCATTTTTATATGTTTTCAATAGCTTATATGATATGGGGATTAGAAAAGGGGATGCCTTATTTTTAATAAACGGCTTAACTGGCAGTGATCTTTTGTATGCGACTCCAGGAGTAAACACTGCTAAAACAGCACAACTTTTAAATGGAATTTTGTATTTATTTATTCCAGAATGGATTGGGACGCTCGGAAATAAGCTTAAAATTGAATTTGACCAATTATACCCACTTCATGGGAATAGAATAAGATGCGTTCATTATGACGCAGTTTGAGCGATTGCAGAAGCAGTTCAAATGCTAATAAATTCAGGAAAAAACTATGAAGACTATCATGCAATGAATTCAGCTATAAAAAACGTCCGTTTTCGAGGCTGCTCTGGAAGTGTTATGATTGAAAATGGCTCAAATGATAGAAGACTTAATATTTATAGTCTTTACAACTCATATTATGACAATTCTACAAATAAATGAATAGCTAATGAAGTTGGCCATTTCTCACCATACTCACTCCTCCCTCCTTTAAATTGGAACAAATTATCGGTAAAATTTCCCATTTTTTTGTTAAATTGACCCCTTTAAATTGAAAAAAAAATTCAATTTTATAATAAAAAATTTTTTATTTAAAAATCATAGTTTTTATATAAAAAGTTTTTGATATAAGTTAAATGTTTCTTCTTAATTAAATTAAAAAATTTAGCTATATCTTGCTCATTTTTAAAGAAGAGAGTATAAAGAGAGCAACTTCTTTAAATAAATTTATTAACTTTCATTGCTAAATTTTTAAAAAAAATTTAATTTTTTTTTATAATATTTTATTTAAATAAATTTGATATAAATTGAATGCGAATTCTTTAACAAATTAAAAATTTTTGTGTAAATAGTTTTGATACCAATTAATAGTGGCGTATTAACTTATAATGAAAATTTAGTTATATCTTGCTTTTTTTTAAAGGATAAATAGTAATTAGCATTTTATTAAACAAATTTATTAATCTAATCCGATAAATTTTTGAATTTTTTGGGCTGAATTTTTATATAATTTTTTTTTTTATGAAAAATTTCATTTTAATTTTTTTTAAATAATTTTCTTTACCCCTTTAAATTGGAACAAAGTTTTTTGTCACAAATTTAAAGGAGGGGAGTCAGGAACTTTTTTTCAGCTTACTAATCCTATTGTATGGCCAGGAAATTCTGCTCCTTCTACTTTTAAACACTATGACTGCCCTTACAAAAATAAAAAGGTTCACATTTCTATTAAAAGTAAACTAATTTCAATGAGTATTTGTCTCTGTACAGTGATTTTTTGTATTTTATTTGTATTTTTTATTATTAAAGTCAAGTTTTCTTATGAATTAGAAAAAATCAGTGAGCAAAAATATTTTACAGATCCTGACAATTGAATGATGGCAATTATTTTTATTGAATCTTTACAATTTCAAGGCATAGGGCCATCATTTGAAGCCTTCAATGCCCTTTATTATGATATATGCTCAGTAATGTCTTATAATTTAGAATTTTTTTCGGGGTTTAAAGACGAAACGTTCTGAAGGTTTTTTTATGGAACAATATTTTTTGGTTTATTCTGATTTGCGCTCCAATTAATAATAGTAATAAAAATTGAAAAAATTGGGTTATATTGGATATATGAGACAGCCGTTAAAATTGAAGAAATTATAGGTGCCTTGATGGCTGGAATATTTTTTCAGCCGATACTATCAATGCTATTGAAAATTACTCAATGTGATTATGGGTCAGGAGAAGATTTAACTGATGCATTTTTCAATTATGACTGCCATTTTTCATGTTGAGATTCCCACTATTTTTCAATTATGATACCAACTGTCCTTATTGCTTTTATTTATATTGCATTTTCTCTTAAAATTCGACCTTTATGGCAAGAAAATCAGTTTGACTTGAACATAAAAGAGGATCCTGCCTGTATGATGATAAAAGGTTTGGTTCAAACTATTCTTATTGCAATATATGAAACTCTACATAAAACAAACAAAATTATCCACTGCTCGATTTTTTTATTTATTATGATTTTTTATCTGATTTTTATAGCCTTTAGGAAATGCTTTAATTATGACCGCGCTAATTTATTTCAAATTTGTTTAACTGTATGCGTTATATGGAACAGTATTTTAAGTTTAGCTTATATCATCATAAATACTGGCCATTCCTATATATGGCTTATCGTCCAGTTTTTAGGAATTTTTACTGTGATTATGTGCAGTGTTTGAGCAATGAGAAGACTGCCACCGTCAATTTTAATTAAAAAAGAAGGCAAAAGCATATTAAAGCTATTCCGTTTTTCATTAATGGGGAGTAACTTTTGAAGCCAAAGCTCAAGGTCAATGAATTTAGACCAGAGATTTGTTAATCTTTATCTAAATGAAGAGAACTCAAACAGAATGCACTCAATTGCCCCAATGAATATTGTAGATTCACCTAAAATGCCGTATATTTCAGATAATAAAGGTGAGGAAAGCCCAGAAAAACAAGCGTGGAGTATTTTCCCCATATTTTCAATGCCTAGTGAAACAAATAAAGCTTTAAATTGTAGCAAAGAATTTTGAAAATAAGATAGAAAATTCCACTTTTTGATAGTAATGCCATTTTTTGGCAAATAGGAGTTGCTAATATCTCAATTTTTAATAATTAAGGTTATTAGTGGAGGTATTGCTATTTTCTTAGATTAGATATTAATCTTTTTATAATAAACACCTATTTGAAGCTTGCTATTTATGATTAAATAGAATTATGGCCTATATTTGTTTTATTGATCAAAAGCATGACTGGAATTCTAGAAATAAATAGAGCAATTTGATATTTCCTTTAATTATCCAGTTATTAGCTTTTTAATCATCTTAATATTTACTTATTGAAACTTAGTTATTTTAATGCAAAAATTGAGTAATATAAGTGCTAAAAAATAATAAGTTTATTGGAAGAAGGCACTAAAATTTTATTAGCTAGACTTATACTTAATTGTTTCAAATAATTAAAAAATAACACTCTATTACCTTCTTTATTAATTCTTTATAATTTCATATCTCGATATTAATAATTTTCTAACTCCCCTACAGTGAACAAACGCCAAAACAATTGGAGAAATCCACCGTGAACCAGCTAAAAATTTTTTATTAAAAAAATTTTGATATATAAAGTGATAATTATTATAATGAAATCTCTAGCTAATTCTTTTAATTTTAAACAGCTTGCACTTTAAAACATAAATTTTCCAAATTAAATTAAGGCTTGCTTTCCAATTTTGGAATTTTTTTTTTTTTAATTTTGAAAAAAAATATAAAATTTAATATAAATTTTTAAAAAAAAAATTAACCCCCTTTTCGCTCATGTATATGGGGAAGAAAGAGGAATTTAGCTAAATAAAAATTGTAAATTTAGTGAAACTTCCATATTTTTCTAATTTTAATTATCTCGTGAAACTAACAGTTAATATAAAACAAATAAAACACGTTTAGCTCAGTCATATGTGAAAATAATTTCTACTGGCCAATCTTTTATGATAAGGATGCTATGAGATTTAAAAAATGTACTTTACTTTGCATTATTAAAAGACATTAAGCTTCATCTTCAACGATTAAATAATTGTAGAGAAATTTAACTTTATATGTTAGAATCGTTTTTGAGCTTGATAAAATAAATGAAAGAAAGGATTCTTTTGTGAGTTGACTTTTTCTTATATTGGCATCATCTGCACACTTCCATGTGTATTTTTACCTAAGCCCTTATACTCCATCTATTATAAAACCCTCTGTCCAGCAATTTACAGATACTTACAAGAACGACAACCAAACAGAAATTACCAAAATTAACTTGAATAATAGTTTTCAGCAATTTTTCGATGCTTTAGATGATGAAAATATTTTAATTATTGATGAAACATATGACCTTCAGTTGAGCTATGAAATACAAAATTATGCTTCAGACTTGCAAATTCCTGTCATTTATACTAAAAATATTTCAATTGTGCCAGATAGCAATACTTTAGCATTTACGACTCAGCCATCATTGCAAACAATAAAAAATGCTTACTCCCCATCCTTGATCGAACGATTGACTGTAAAAATTCCTAAAAATTGGGGAAATTAACCCCCATCCTTGATCCACGATTTTAATATCATGACAATTTTTATATATATAAAACTATATTAGTTATCAAAAGCTTGGGAAAGATACATGATGAAGTTGCTTTCAGAGACTTTGAGACGACAGAAAGCTTTGAAATCAACCATACGAAGTGATTTAGTCGTCAACCTAGGCTTAAAAACTCAATAATCTAAAAAATAGAGATTCTTTAAATTTTTAAAAAAAAAAATTTAATTTAATAAGGAGCAAATTAAAATTTACACAGTTTTAAAGGGGTAACTAATAAATCAAAATATTAAAAATTGGTATTTTTATGAAATTAAATCAATTTTTTGCTGTAAAAATAATTATTAAATACTCTTAACCCTCTTATTTAAAAGGAAATAAAAAAATATATATATATATTTTTATTTTATATATAATTTTTTTTAACCCCCATCCTTGATCGAACGATTGCGAGTCGTTCGATCAAGGATGGGGAGTTATGAAAAATTAATACATTATCTCGATATACAAAAATTAGCCATTGTATGAGTTTTTACTGACTCCCTATCCCCTATAAATTGAAACAAACTACCTGTCCCAATATAGGTCAATTTTTTAAAAAAAAAATTAAAAATTTAAAAATTAGTATTTTTGTTCCAATTTAAATAGGAGGTAATGCACCCAAAAAATGAAAATTTTATCTATATTTTGTTCCATTTAAAAGGGGAGTGAAGAAAAGAATTCCTAGTTCGATTTTTTGATACTCGTTTACAGTTAAATTTATTTTCAATTGCAATTTCATGTGACTTAGACCAAGAATCAATCAATAATATTATATCAAAAGATCTAAAACCATCAGGTATCGCTTACATATTAATTTTAGCTGACTCAGAAAATTGTAAAAAAATTCAAAGCAGCTTAATTTTCTATAATATGATTATTTCCGGATATCTGATAATATTAGGGCATTCATGTTTAAATAACTCAGTAATTGATGGATCTTTATTAATTTTGCCGAGCAATGACATTTATTCAGTTACAGAAGAAGAATCATATTCCAATAGCTTAGCTTTTGTTTTAAAAAAACTGGAAAATGGTTATGGGAACCAGATATCTACCAAATTTCAGCTTTGGAATAGTTTTCAAGAATTAAAAAAATCATTTGAGTGGGATTTTACTATAATTAACCAACAAAACAGCAGCTTCTATTCAGTAGGAAAAATATCAAATGAAGCTCTTGAAATCACCGAAAATATTACATACCCAGGAGGATCTACAAATATTCCAGCATCTAAAATAAGCATTTGAATATCAGGGAATGTCGGCAGCTCCAATCCTCCAGGCTATTCACCAAATCCAGTTAATGGCTTAAACCATGAAGGTTCTTATTTTGCTATTAAAAAAATCAATGAATCAAAAGAAGTCCTACAAAATTTTATTTTCAAATTAAATGACCAAATAAATTGTGGAGCGAGCGTCTGGATCTATAATTACGCAAAATCTTGCTATTTACTCCCTTCCTCTGTTGTTCGCTCACGGAGAGTGGCTAATTTTTTTTTTACAAACATTTATATATAAATTTTATAGAATTTTTTTTTCCGAATTAAAAAAATCCCACTTCGCAAAAATTGGAAAGCAAATGTTAGTTTAATTTGTAGAATTTATGTTTTAAAACTCAATTTGTTTAAAATTAATCAGAATTAGCTCGAGATTTCATTATAATAATTATCACTGATATATCAAAATTTTTTTCCATCTATTAAAAAAAATTTTGTTCGCTCATGGAGGGTGGATTTTAGGCAAAAAATAGGGATCTTGTTAAATATTTTGTTCACTCACGGAGGAGGGGGAGTTAGAAAATAAAAATGAGATGGGCGTGGCATATTTGGCTTCCTATCTTTTATCAATTTCTATTAATACCTTGAACTTATTTAAGAATATGAATATGTCTATACCTATGGCCAGCGGAGTTAATTCAGCAACTCCTTTAACAAATTCTACGATTTTTCCGACATATACAAGAGTTTCGACAAACTCAGAATATATGGGGAAAACATGGGTTATGTATATGAAAGTTATGGGCTGGACAAGCTGCGTTGTCTTTTATGCAGATGACGCATACGATGTAGGAGTCTATCAACTTTTTCTTGAGTCTGCAGAGGCTCAAGGTATCAAAATTCTTACTCCCTCCGTGAGTTAACAAAACCATTAGAAAAATCGCTATTTTTTGCCCAAAAACCCACCCTCTGCGAGTGAACAAAAATTTTTTTAATAGAAAATTTTTTATTAAACAAATTTTTGATATATAAGTGATAATTATTATAATGAAATCTAGAGCTAATTCTGTTTAATTTTAAACAAATTGCGTTTTAAACATAAATTTTACGAATTAGATTAATATTTGCCTTCCAATTTTTATAGAAAGAGATTTTTTTAAATTTCGAAAAAAAAATTTCTATATAAATTGTTTTTAAAAATAAAAATTAATGTGAGTGAACAAATTTTTTTGTTCACACACGGAGAGGAGGGGGAGTTAATAAAGAGGAATATAGGAAAATTCCTTTTACTTATAATACTTCTCAATTAGAAACTTACTCACCCTTTAAATCTGAACAAATTATAGCTAAAATTTAAACATTTAATGTTCAGTAGCCCCCTTGAAATTGCAGCAATTTTTTTTCTATTAGAAAAATTTTATAAGCGATAACTAATTTTTATTTTTGGTATTTAATTAGTTTTCTTACTAAATATAATTAAAATGATGGAATCAATTTATATTCACCAAGGAGGAGGAGTTATAGAAAAAATTTTCAAGATGCAATTGATCAAAATTGCAATATATTTTTCCTTTTTATGGCTGATCCATCATATATATATACTTTTGATAGCTTTTATGATATGGGAATGAGAAGAGGAGATGCCTTATTTTTATTAAACGCCTTAACTGGTAGTGATATTTTTTTCAAAGCCTATGGATACAACACTGACAAAATTCAAGAACTTTTTTATGGAACCTTTTTTTATTTATTCCAGAATGGACTGGAACTCTGGGTAATAAGCTAAAGGCTGAATTTGATCTATTATACCCTAGCAATGGAAACAGAATAAGATGTGTTCATTATGATGCAGTTTGGGCTATTGCAGAAGCAGCTCAAATGCTATTAAATTCAGGAAAAAACTATGAAGACCATCAATTAATGAACTCAGCTATTAAAAGTGTCCGCTTTATAGGCTGCTCAGGAGTCGTTACTATTGAAAGCGGCTCAAATGATAGACGATTAACTGTTTATAGTCTCTACAACAATTATTATAATAATTCTACAAATAAATGAGAAACTACAGAAGTTGGCCATTTTTCTCCATATTCAGGAACTTATTTTCAGTTTACTAATCCAACTGTATGGCCAGGAAATTCCGCTCCTTCGACTTTTAATGATTTCAAATGCCCATTTAAGGAAAAAAATGTTAGGGTTTCTTTCAAAAGCAAACTAATTTCAATTGCTATTTGTACCATTACAGTGATTTTTTGTATTTTATTTGCATTTTTCATGATTAGAGGAAAATTTTCTTATAAATTAGAAAATATCAGTGAACAAAAATATTTTACAGATCCCGACCTTTGAATGATGTCAGTTATTTTTATAGAATCTCTACAGTTTAAAGGAATAGGGCCATCATTTGAAGCTTTTAATATATTTTATTATGATGCAAGCTTATTAGTTTCTTATAATTTGGATACTCTTTTAGAGCTTAAAGATGATTTATTTTGAACTTTTTTTTACGCAACCGAAGGTACTTGTATCTTTTGGTTTCTAGTTGAATTGAGGTATGGCAAGTGCCTATATACACCAATGACCTTCCCTTATCAGTGGTTTATCCTATTTTAGACTCCTTTCTCTCGCTTGATCGGTTAAGAAAACTCGCTTGACAAATTGGTCAAACGTCACCTTGCTCCTTCTTATCTCCTAATATTCGAAGTTACTGCTGCAATTGAGGAAATTATGGGTCCTTTGATGAACGGCATTCTTTTTCAGCCTGTGTTAACAATGCTATCAAGAATTACACAATGTGATCATGGATCAGGACCAAATTTAACTGATTCTTATTTTAATTACGACTGTCATTTTTCATGCTGAAAATCACAACATGTTACAATTTTAGCTGAAACAATATTTATAGTTTTCATATACATAGCAATTTCAATTAAAATAAGACCCTTATGGCAAGAAAATCAATTTGATTTAAATATAAAAGAAGACCCATCATGCATGGCAATTAAAGCTGCAGTCCAAATATCCCTTATAGCTGTATATGAAACACTCAAAAAGACTAATCAAATTGTCCATTGCTCTATTTATTTGTTTATTATGATTTGTTTTGTAATTTTCATATCGATCCGAAAAAGTTTTAATTATGACCGTGCAAGTTTACTACAAGTCTCTTTAATAGTATGTGTTATATGGAATAGCACTTTAAGCTTGGCTTATATGGTAATGAATAATGGACATCCTTATATATGAACTGCTACGCAATTTTTAGGAATTTTTGGGATAATCATGTGCAGTTTGTTCGTAGATACAAGATTAAAGAAGAATATGCTAATAAAAAAAGAAGGCAAAAGTATAGTTGAGCTATTCAGATTTTCGTTAATGGGGGATAGTTTTTGGAGTAAAAGCTCAATGGCGATGAGTTTTGAACAGAGATTTAGGCGCATCTATAGCAGTGAGCAAGAATTTATAAGGGTAAATGCAGTTTTCCCGATTGATGCTGAAGATTCACCTCGTATGCTATATATTTCTTATGATAAAGGTGATGATAGCAATGAGAGAATAGGTTTATCTTCAATTTAATAGTAAATTTATTATCTGTGTTATAAATAAAAATATGAGTGGTTTATTCATTTTAAAATTAGAAAATATCTTTTTTAATGAGTATTAAGCTTGACTTAACAATTATAAAAACTAATCATTCCTAAAATTGGTTCGTATCAAATTTTAGTAAATTTTACATTAATTTAGTAAACAAGGGAAAAGCATATTAATGATATTGAGTTTTTATTAATTTGAAGGGGGGTTGATACAGAAACTTAATATGGGGCTATTAAAATAAACTAAAAATGCAGGAAACACACAAGCCAATATTCACGTTCATCCCCAAAGTGCAAATTCACCCTTCAGCACTTGCCAATATAGCTTATTATATGGTTCAATACAGCGATCTCCATCAGCCCAAGCTTGGAATTTTGATGGGACATGAAATAAATGATGTCTTTAAGATAGATATCTCATTTGAAGCAATTTATTCAAATAATCCTGAAGGAAAAGAAATCGATTATAAGAAGACAGAGGAAAAAATAAGCGGTATTTCAAGAGCGATTCCTGATTGCGACATTGTAGGATTATATCTAGATCACGTACCATCACAAAATGAAATGGAAGTTTTTTATAAATTAAATATTACAATCAATTATGCCCTTTTTCTTGTTTGGAAAAGCTGCGTGACTGATGATTTCGAAGCCGAAAATAATCCGATTGATATTTATGGCGAATTCACAAGAAATTACTTGGCTGAGCTCATAAAAGTTCCCTATGAAATTTATGGAAGTCTTTCAAAAAGTCTCAATACTCCTCTGAAAAGAGAAAATCAATCTGAAGAAGTCTTACCGAATATTTACGTAGATGCTATTAACGACTTAGGTGCCAAGCTATCAAGCATTCTAAATGAAACAGATCATAATTTTATATTTCAGGCTGAACACAATTTAAACTTGAAATTGAATGAGCCCGATTTAACAGTTTCCGTAATTTCTCAAGATGAATTAATAGAGAGCACAAGCAAAAATATTCCCAACTTGACTTTGAGTGCTGACACTGATTTAATTAAAATAAAAACACTAAAAAACTTACAAAATTTAGATAACTTGAAATTATCTATAAAGGAGCTGGATCTCTCTGAATCTGAGTTTTATACCACTAATTCAAAGATTATAAATAATTGCTTGAAGAAAACAGTCAATGTGATTATTGAAAAAGAAACTAGCCTAAATCCCACTCAAACCATAAATAAGCAAATGAGCATTGAAATCTTCTAGAAATTATAAAATGTATAACCTATAACGATATAAAAGAAATGTCTTTATCATTTAATCATTTACTCAAATGGTTTGAATGCACCTGGGCACCTTACAGCAATATGATTTTAGAGATAATTTGCAAAAATAAGCTTAAGCTCCTAAATTGTGAAATTGATTATTTAATTTTAAAATTAAATGAATGCGACATAGTCAAAACAAGTTTTGAAAAATGAGACAGCCTACCGATTCATAAATTTGAAGAATTTTGCTTACTTTGGGTGCTAGTTTTAAGGAATAAAGATCGCTATCAAAATTTTATTACAAAATATGCATGCATAGCAGATATAGTTAGGTGCAAAATTGAAGGATTTATTGGTCTAGCAGATAAGGAAATAGCATCATTTGTTTTGTATTGGATTTCTTTGCTAAATGATAATAAAGCCAATAGAGATGAAGCCACAATCAACTATGGGAAATATATTGACAACGCTTTTAACAATGTTAAAACAAGGTGCACGCTTGATCTTATTATGAATTTAAGAGCAATAATAGATAACTGTGAATTTAAAAAGGATTTATTTATAGAAAGATTATCTGATTTGTTTCCTTTATCTAATCAAAAGCTGATCCTAAAAGTGTTTTCAGTTGACAACAACTTTTTGGAACTGTTTACAACCCATTATTTGACATACTTTGACTCTTTTTCTAACAGAGCGTATCAACTCAGGGTTGCTTATGTCCTCAAATTAATAACTATTTACATTAGCCATCATAGAAAATTTTTTCAGCCATCAATTTTAGAAAATCTTGATGAAAAAATAAAAATTGAAAACTTTTGACATGATGAAAAATATAAGATAATACTGAAAAATCTGGCAGATACTCACCTTGAAACTGGAATTATAATTCAAAATTCTTAGACAAGTATTTTTATAAATTGACATTAGAGAGCCATGATCCAAACTGTTGCGAAAACTGGATCGAAAATTTAATAGAGCTGCTCAAATACATACTTTTAAGTCAAGCCAAATTAAAAATAGAAAATATAAGAGCGCTTGTGTTTACTTATATTGCTCGGTTCATGTCAAATATTTTTAAATATATGGATAATTTAGACATAAATAAGCTTATATCAATTTTAGAGATAAGCTATAAATTTATTCCTGGCTTACACAACTATATAAACCAAATGTTAACAAAAATTTATTATAAAAAAATTGCTTCAATTAGCTATGATAGTTTTGAAAAATGAATTTCATCATATATATATGGCATTAACATTTTTGCGAAATTTCAGAACATAATTTAAGCTGGACGAACAAAGAATCTAGTCCTATCCCTAAATTTATTATAGATACTCTTAAAACGATTTCATCTTGTTTAAAAGAACTCACATTTGATGAAATTAAGGCAAGTTTAAAACAAAAAATAGAACAATTTACAAATGATGAGCTCAGTAATTTTAATCTTGGTGAAATAAACTCGGAAGATTGTAAAACTAGTAAAACAATAGCAAAATATTTGATTTCATTATTGGTTAATAGAGGAATTGAGAGAATGATAAGCCAGATGAATGACCTTGTCGCGAAAAATGCTAATTTTAGAAGCTTAGGCAATTATTTGACTATCCAAGCCAAGGTATTTGAAGATTTGCTAGGAAGTTTTATTTTTAATTCGATTTTCGACGAAAATCGTCATTTTGCAATTAGACAGCTGCTTGCTACAGAAATTTCATGCATCTTTTATTGCGAATTAAATACTGATAAACTAGAAATGATTTTAAACGATCTAAACTATGCTGCAATGGTCATATTGGAGGGACCGCCTAAAAGAATATCTAATAAGATTGTATAAAATTTGCGCAAGATTTTATATTCAAACGTTTCTGTATCAGCATTTTTGCTTTTAGGATTTAATAAAGAAGCCCTCACCTCTTTAACATATGAAATTTATAAATTTCCAGTCAGGAGAGAAAATGGTGGGATAACTGTTTTTGGAGGTACAATTTTATTATCTCCAGCATTATTCAAAAAATCAGAATTATCTAAGTGTTTTTTAAAGATCGTTTTTGTGAACCAAATTGCACATCTATTAAGAAGAAGAATAAATCCAGAAAGTTATAATGCAGAAATTTTAATACTTGAAGGCAGTTTTTGCAGTGGAACTCCAGATTATGGAGATTATCTCAATATTGAGTGGTATAGCAGCGAAGGAGAGCATCAAGTTGAAAATGCATTGCTTGGCAATTTTATGACAGAGGTAAATGAAAGGTAAATTAAATATATAAATGATCCTTGAAACTGAAACAAGGATCTTCGAATCTTTAAATGAGAGTTTTCAATAAAGGGCGAAAAAGATTTATTAAAATGCAATCATAACAGAAGCAGCAATGGTGTATTTAAAGTTGATAGACTGCTTCACAAGAGATTTAATTAAAAAATTAATATAATTATAAAAAAGTATAAAGATGTGATTATGAGATTTGCTTCTTCTAATTAATTTTCTAAAATAAGAATGCTATAAAATAAAAATTATTTATCCTTTCTATCTAAGGCCATTCAATCGTACCTTAAAAGGATAAAAGACACAGCATTATATTATTTTATATATTAGCTCTCAATTTTAAAAAGTAATTAATTGCATATGGAGGATGTGCTCTCAAATTTCAATAAAAAAAGTATAAAAGTATCAGATTGTTATGTGAGATGAATCTTTGACAGGTTTTTATTATCAGAAAGCTTTCATACTCAAGCCCTCATATTCCATCTAAAATAAAATTTTATATTGAACTATTTACTGATAATTACAAGACGTACAGCGACATGAATATTACAAAAATTATCTAATAAAATGGCCTGATGCAAACTATCTGTCTTCGCATTGCCCTTATCTATGTCGAGCAATATTTTAGGATGTGATGATAGTCCGTTATAATCAAAAGCCCTCTTACTTTAATTCTAGGGATGTTAATTTCATCTTTTTTACAATTTACGCACAGCCTAAAAATGCCCAATATGAGGTAGGGCAACATACCTGCCTATACGCTGAGTTTTTTCTCGGGGTGACTTTAATATAGGATAAAAGAGAAAGAACGTCTCTTCAGTTGCAAGGATATGTCAGAGTTGGCCTAAACTTCTTCAGTGCTTGCAGATTGGAAATTGATTATCATTTTGGGATCAAAGGGCACACTCCGCCAAGAAATAGTGGATTTAGGCCTAACATTCATGGCCTGCAATCCCACAACACTCCATTACGAAATAGGGACTTTCAATATGATTATGAAATAGTATTTTAAGCTCAGCTTATATGATAATAAATTCAGGCTACTGATATGTATGATAATGCAAACAAATTTAGGAATCTTTATTACAATTATGCGCAACTTTGCTTCATGAGAAAACCATTTTAATTAAAAACAAAAGGAAAAAGCATATAAAGCTATTCAGAATTCGCTTATGGGGTACATTTTTGAAACAGAGATCAAGAACAATTATTTATTTACAATAGATTTTCAATCTATTTTCGTAATGATGGTTTTAGAATAAATTCACAAGAAACCAGTCGAGATCTAGGCCTGATATGTGCTTGTTTATATCCAACTTTTGACTTAGTTCTTGTTGTTGGAAAGAAGTAACCTAGCAATGTCTTTCGGGATCATGGAGGGGGACTCACCATGATGCCAGGAATTGCGTCCTAAGTCAGGGATTAAGGCTTTTCCCTGCAGCTTCTGAAAGCAGATACCCAGTACACATTAGACTTCAGGTTTTTTTTGGGTCAAGCTGCCTCTCCAATGTACCCGAAGCAGAACCGCATAAATCCAAAGTCCGCCTACTCAACTTGGAGTCTTAGCAAGACAAGTAGGAGACGTACCTTCCATGCACGCATTCATTATGACCTATTTTGAGCAGATTATATTAGAGAAAAAAGGTGGTGTAGAGTACTCTCCTAGCAAATCATCATCTTATTTGTCCAAGCCAAGGCGTACGGCATTGCAAGCAGATGAACCCTTGCGGATCCTTTTTGGCTGTGTAAACAATACGCTCCACTCATTTATAATTTAAGATTAAAGATAAAATGATATAAATTCACACAGAATGATGTATATTTCTAATGAAGAAAATCTTGAAAATCAAAAAAATGTGGACTAATGGTAATTTCTTTGATTTTGGATAACCAATTATAATCCAAAATACAAATTAAAGTCAATTAATTATTTTATAATTAATTTTAAAAAATCAGATATTCCATAGCTTTTCATAAATTTTGAAGAACTAAATTTTTTTGTTTTATGATTGATTTGTATTATAAAAATATTCAGCATTCAGTAAATTTAAATTAAATGGCTTTGCTAATCACAAAATTTTTAGCCTTGATTGTTTTAGTAAACAGCGTCACATTTTTTCTATGCTTTAGTTCACAAACTCCTCAAAAAATCAAGTCCTGATCTGAATCATTTCTCGCATTAAATACAAATAATCTTCTGCTAGAATGAAAGATCATACAAAATGAAGCTGAATTTAATTTATTAAAAAAAGAAAATCCATCAATTATAATTATCGATGAGACTTACAATCTCCAGTTTAGCCATGAGCTTCAAAAATATGCTTTAAGCACAAGATCTTATGTTATTTATACAGAAATCAGCCCTTTTGCATATACAGAAACTCCTTTTCTTATAAATCTCAAGCCATCATTATCATGCTTAAAAAGTGCCTATGACGGATTTTTATCATATTTGGAAATTCAAAAAGGAATAATTATTTGGGAGTTTAATGAAAAAAATAGTCTTTTGATCAATGATATTATGAGAAATAATGGATACCAAATAACTGATGTATCAGTTCTTGAGAATTCGAGCCAAAATTCCATTAATGGGATAATTTCAAGAGTGGTAAAACCATTCGGGATTCCTACTATAATTATAATAGGAAGCCCAGAAAATTGTATAAAAATACAAAATAGCTTGTTAAAGTTTAATATGGACAGAGCTGGATACTCAATAGTTCTGGGCCATACATGTTTGAATAATGGAATTATTGATGGGTCTTTAAGTATTGTTAAAAGTATTGATATTGACTTAAAGACTGAAAAAGAAAGCGCAGGCTCAATGATAGTGCCTTTTTGATAGTGCGCATTTCATAAATAATAAAATGGCGACGTCATGATAATTCCTCTTCGAGGAATTTCTCTCCTTGCTCATTTTATTATTATAGGGTTCAGTTTTCCCGGTGAGACCTTATCCAGCAATATCAGGTAAGCAACGGGGAGGGGTGCACAACCTCCTGGCCTGATCCGTGGATGTTTGGTGGGCATAGGGTTTTCTGCTTGACACTTCCGAGGAGGAAGACCCATAGGCGGCACAACGCGCAGGAATCAAGTTTTAAGCAAGGCAACACAGTTCATGAGGTCTGGCCTTCGACTGGCCGTCATTTACTTTGGATGGTCTGACCACCCGATAAAAAGAGTGACGTCGGAAATGCCCGATGACGTCACTAGTTGGAGTCTACTGGGGTGAGCCCTTGTGGCTTTGTTAAATCATCCTGCGGAACCAGAGAAGCACGTTAAACTCTCTAAGTAATTTAAGTTCTAAGTTTTAAGATAGTGCGCATTTCACCGAAGTACTTTTATCGAAAATTGTTAAATAGTGTGCCTATTTTGCCAAAATTTAACGGTTTTTCGGTCAAATGTCTCATTATCAAAAATGATTCGAACAAATTTTTCCCCTAGGAGATGTCGCACTATCAAATTTCCACAGTCATTTGATATGGAGCCGAAAAAGAATCATATATCAACAGTCTAAACTTTTTTGTAGACAAAGTAAATTTCATGCTAAATATTGATGTAAAAGGGGCAAAATTGAAATTATTTGACACTATTTATCAGTTGAAGTCATGCAATTTTACAGTTTTGAATAAAAATGCTAGAAATGTGTCAAAGGTAGGAGAATTTTCTAATGGAAAATTGAATATTTCTGGAGAAATTCAATATCCAGGGAATTCAGCAATCAAGCCGACTTCAAACTCAGTAGTTATCTCTATATCAGCTAATGCAGGAGATGTTAATCCTCCAGGCTACCCTAAAAATTTTGTTAACACACTATTCCATCAAGGCACCTATTTTGCAGTTTCCAAAATTAACCAATCAAAGCAAATTCTTCCAAATTTTATTTTAAATTTATATGGACAAATAAATTGTGGATCAAGTTCATGAAATTACGAATTTGCAAAAAAATGCTTTTTAGACAATAAAAATAATATGGGAATTGCATTTATTGGGCCAGTACTGTCATCAATAACTATAGCTACATTAAAACTTTTTAAAGAGCTCAATATAACGATCCCTGTCATACAAGGAGGTAATTCAGCTAAGTCCCCCCTCCGTGAGTGAACAAAAAAATTTGCTCACTCACGTAGGGGTTAATTTTTTTTTAAAAAAAATTATATATAAATTTTATAAAAAAAATTTTTTTTTCGAAATTTTTAAAAAAATCCTAATTTGCAAAAATTGGGAAGCAAATATTAATTTAATTTATAAAATTTATTTTTAAAACGCAATTTGTTTAAAAAATTACGCAGAATTAGCTCGAGATTTCATTATATTAATTAATACTTATATATCAATTTTTTTTCATAAACAATTTTTTCTATTAAAAAAATTTTTGTTCACTCACAGAGGGTGGGTTTTTGGGCAAAAATAGCGATTTTTTCAATGGTTTTGTTCACTCACGGAGGGGGGAGTAAGCAATTGTCTGATATCGCAGAATTTCCAAGTTTCACTAGAATGGTAGCAGGCACTGACTATATCAGCAAAACATGAATTATGTATATGAATATAATGGGCTGAAAAAGTTGTGTAGTCCTTTACGCTGACGATGCCTATGATACAGGAATTTACAATACTTTTGTTGAGCAGTCAGAATCCAAAAAAATCAAAATTTTAAATGATGAAAAATATCGGAAAATTCCTTTTTCTTATAATTCTACACAACTTGAAGATTATAGACTTAATTTTCAAAACGCAATTGATCAAAACTGCAATATATTTTTTATATTTGTAGCTGAGCCAATATATTTTTTTGTATTAGAAAGTATGTATGATCTAGGGGTTAGAAGAGGAGATGCCATTTTTTTAATAAGCTGTCTAAGTGGTAGTGATTTTTTATATATCACTCCTATATTAAATATGCTTTATAAGACTATATTTGGATTTTTGTAAACAAAAACTAAATATTTAATGCTATACATCATGTCCAAAAAACCTCAGAACTTTTGAATGGAATTTTATTTTTATTTTTTTCTGAATGAGTAGGAGATTTTGGGCAAAATCTTCAAAAGGAGTTTAATCTGGCTTATCCAGGTTATGGGGATAGAGTCAGATGTCTTCATTATGACGCTGTGTGGGCTATTTGAGATGCAGTAAACATGCTAATTAATAATGGAGCAAATTATGAAGATAATACAGCACTTAATTGAGCTTTGAGAAATGTAAAATTTAAAGGCTGCTCTGGGACTGTAAAAATTGAAGCTGGATCTAATGATCGAATTTTGAATTAAGATTAAGATCAATTTTAAGATTAATTAAAGCTTTGTTTAAAGACGGCCGGGGATTTCCTTCTTATTAGTTAATCCGCCTCGTCAGGCGCTCACCTCCGCCATATTAATTTATTCATGAATTTTGAACACTTATAGCCTATATAATGTTTACTATGATAATTCTACAAATAAATGAAAAACAGTTGACATTGGATCTTTTGCACCTTTTACAGAAACTTATTTTAAGTTATATCGAAAAATTGTATGGCCAAAAGGAAATGTAGCCCCAAAAGATATGAAAAGCAGCCTTGACTGCCCATTTAGAAAAATTAATATTCAGGTGTCAACAGGGAGTAGACTGATTACTATGGGTATTTGTATATTTATATCTGTGGTTTCTATTTCTTTTGCGGTTTTAATGTGAAGAAAATTTTTTTCTTATGATATTGAGATGATTCAAACAAAAAAATTTCTTACAGGTCTTGATTATTTAATGCTCTCTATGATTTTTATTGAAATGCTTCAATACCAAGGAATTGGCCCATCATTTAAAGCATTTAATTCTTTTCTTGATCAAGTCTGTGGGGTTGGCTCATTAAGTATACAGAATTTCATAATTTTTGAAGGGTTCATATTTTGATTGTGTTTTTATGCAGCAGTTGGGGTTTCTGGGGTTTGAATTTTAATGAATATTATTGTATATTTAAGAGTTGATAAAAAATGCGAAAACACTAAAGTCTATTGAATTTGTGGATATTTTTTAGGATTTGATGGAACTTTGACGCTAGTAAGCAACGTTCTTTTTCAGCCGATAGCTTCAATATTATTAAGTATAACGGAGTGCGATTTTTCGATAGACTCTGATTTAACTTGCGCTTATTTAAATTATGATTGCTATTTATCATGCTGAAATCCTGAGCATTTAGGAATAATGATTCCTACGATTCTCTTATTGTGTGGGTTTTTATGCTTACTCCCCCCCCCCTCCGTGAGTGAACAAAAAAATTTTGTTCACTCACGGAGGGGGGTTAATTTTTTTTTTTTAAGAAAATTTATATATAAATTTTTATAAAAATATTTTTTTTTCGAAATTTAAAAAAATCCTAATTCGTAAAAATTGGAAAGCAAATATTAATTCAATTTGCAAAATTTATGTTTTAAAAAGCAATTCGTTTAAAAATAAACAGAATTAGCTCTAGATTTCATTATAATAATTATCATTTATATATCAAATTTTTTTTTTCCATAAAAAATTTTTTGTTCACTCACGGAGGGTGGGTTTTTGGGCAAAAAATAGGGATTTTTGGGCAAAAAATAGGGATTTTTCTAATGGTTTTGTTCACTCACGGAGGGGGGGGAGTTAGCAATACTTATGAGGCCTCTCTGGCAAGAATGCCAAGAAAATTTAAACATCAAAGCTGATCCTGCTAACTTAATGATTAAAAGTGGGCTACAAATCGCACTTATTTCGATTGATAAAACTCTTAGAATTATCAATGAGATTCTTCATGGCTCTATTTATTTCGCATTGATGCTCTCCTATCTTGGTTTTATTTTATATAGAAAAAGTTTTAATTTTGACAGAGCCAATTTGCTTTACAATTGCTTAATTTTTTGTGTAATCTGAAACAGTGGGCTAAGTTTATTATATATGATATCAAATGATGCTGATTTTTCTATATGAGTAGGGATTCAGATGGGAGGACTCGCTTTTATAATGATTTGTGGGCTGATTGTTAAGCATAAGCTCCCGCCTTCATTTTTAGTCAGAAAGCCTGGCAAAAAAATTAAAGACCTATTTAGGTTTGCTTTAGCAGATAGCAGCTTTATTAATATGACAATGCGGATGAGAAGCTCAGCACAATTATCATATATGGTAAGTTCTCCGCGCTCAAAAGAACATTTTGAGACTATATCACGAAGGATGGAAATGCCAATTGAATCATAAATCTATTTGGAATGGATTTAAAAAGGTTTATATTTTCTTCTGGTCAATTAATTTTATAAAAGTAAAATTAAAAAAAGATTTTGATGAAAAGTTAATACTAAAATCTTGATAAATTCTTGAAATCTTAATCTTTAAATATAAGCATATCCCTTAGATAGCCAGATATGGGCTAGGGATAGAAGCCAAACTTCCCGCTTGGTTCGGCCAAAATGGATTGGTCGAACCAAGTGGAAGGAGGCTTATTTGCCACTTTCCACTTGGCTTAACTAGCCCATTTAGCCGAACCAAGTTGAAGTTTGGCCTCTATCCCTAGTCCATATCGGGCTGTTTAAGGGATATGCCTATAAGTTCCATTTATTTAGCTTAAAAAGTTAAATCACAAAATTCATTAATTGTTAAAATATTTTCTTGGTATAGATTTTACCTAATATAATGCCAAGTAACAAGCTAGGCATAAAAAGCTTCAGAATTATTTCGTTAAGGAAAATTTATACTTTCATAAAAGAGAAGATAAAATATTTATTATGAATTTATGGTTTTGTAAATCAACTCGCTGAAAACCGCTCATTTATTGGATTAACCTTAATTAGTTGACGGAATTTTGCAATGTGAATACAGAATAGGTTTTCTTTACTTAGATTTTTATGTCTTCAGAGCAGATTTTGCTTATTATAAATATCAAGAAGCATTTCTTAAACTGGGATGAGTTGGCCTAAATTATAAAATAGATAAATTGGATTTCCCCTAATATTTTTAGAGTTTCTTTAATCAAAACTCAATTATAATATTCTACTATTCCATAAATAAAGAAATAAAATCTTCTTTATTAGCCACTTGGCTTTATTGTCCATTTTGCTTGATCTTAGCCTTTTCATAAATCACATGTGAAGTACAAATAGCTACTATTAAAAGCTCCAGGTCAATATTAATTGGATCAAAGCTATTCTGTACGTAAAGGGATCAATATCTCAGTCCTTTTATAAAGTAAAATGAAGAGTCTGGCTTCTTTATGTTCCTTGCTAAAATACTGGATTTTTTGACCTTTAAATAAATTTGCAAAGAGTATATTTTAGAAATTAAAATATAAATTGAAAACTTATTTTAAGTCAATTTTAGTTAAAAAATTAAGGATTTTTTATTGTGGAGTTTGCCAAGATTAGGAATCCCTCAGTTTTGTTTATTTTTATCTAAATTTTATAATGTTGTTATTTCTATTTTATAACTTCACCAGAGCTATTTTTAAGTTGCCTAATTTAATATCGCTGAAAATGCAAAAGGGAATGTTTTGCACTGACATTTTCCATCAAATTTAATTAATACTTCCTGACTCCCCTCTTTACTATACTGAAAAATCCTACTTTTCTAGAATTAATTCTTTAATTATTGAATAAATTCGGTTCTTTCTTAAAATAAATTTATATAGCATATATTAGATTATAGTTTTCAAAATTTCTCAAATTATTATTTTGAAATTCGAAAAATGTTCTAGTAGTTAATTAATATCAAAAACGTAATCCCCACAATGAATGAAATGAAAAATATGCTTCAGACAAGAAGAGAGATTAAGCGGAACCAAATCGTGCCAGCTTTTGATCTTCTCTCTAAATAATTATAGCCTAAACCAGCCTCTCCTTAAAGAATTGTTGTAAAATATAGTCATCATTAAGGTAATTTTTTTTCTATTGAACTTGCTTTTTCTCGCCTTCTTAAAAGTTTGCGATTAATTACTCTTATAAGTAAAAATTAGCCTTAATTTATGAAGTTGCATAAACCAATATAACAACGTTAATCTATATAAAATAGATGTACCAAATTATGGCAAAACTCGTGATGAATTAGGAGTCCCCACAAATGACACTTTGATCTTGTAAACTTTGCCATCCGCATCGAAGTTTAATGTGTTATTTGATTCTTTTACTACCGGCCTATTCGTTTCGTCGGATCGAAGTAATTGATTATTTGATACATTGCGCGAGGTGGTTTCTCCTTCAGATTCTATGAACTTCACATTCACTTTGCATAAAGCGCTGCATCCCATTTTACTTTTATTTATGAATTTTCTTTAAAGGACCATTTTTCCATCACATATAAATTTTGCCACGATGCTATATAAAATCAATAAAATATGATCTTAAATTTTGCCTTATTTTTCTATTACTTAACTTTTTAGATTTCATATTATTTTAATATGATTACTCTCATTTTCAGCCTCTTTATCACAACAGAGTCATGCCAGTTATCTACCTTAGCCAAAGGCAAATGTGTGTCTTCCTCAACTTTACCCCTTGATTTTTGCAGCAACAAGGTCGGAGACCAAGTTTGCATCCCTTTGTCCTACGATAATTGGCCGGAATGGAATGTCTCAGCTAAAGATTCAGCAATAAGGGATGCTTATATAGCAAGTCTAGAAAAGAGGCTCACAGAAGAAATAGACGGTAAAGTTCAAATTGTTTTCACACGGAATTCTGAATGTGTAAAAATATATAAAGAAATTATGTGTAAAGCAAATTTTCCTTCTTGCGATGGAAATAATACTTATTTGCCTTGCAATAATCTCTGTGATTTTTTTCAAAGTGTGTGCTACATTCAAGATAACCCTTGTGATACTTTGAATTCCACTTACGAATATATGAAAAAGTGCAGTTTTTCTGTATCCAGGCGTTTTTAATTGAAAATAAGTTTATTTTGCCTTAAATTTTATGTTTTAATAAGCCAAAAATGGAAAAAAATTAATAAGGATTTCTATTCTGAAATACTAGTTTTTCCTTTATTTTGTCTGTCTCTTTATATTTTCTGTACATTTAAAATAAATTCACATAATATTCACTGATATTTTTATACTTAGTCTATTAAGTTTCATATGTAAATAATCAATATGTATTCCCCGACAAGGTATTATGATTCATGGCACCAAGACCAAGACAAAAAAAGCTACGTAGGCTTATCAAACCAAGGAGCAACGTGCTATATGAACAGCTTGCTTCAAACTTTATTCATGGCATATGATTTCAGGAAAGAGCTTTATAAATGACAATACAGCCCAGAACGCCATGGTGAAAAAGAAGACTGCATTCCTCTTCAACTACAATTGCTGTTCAGTAAGCTTCAACTTCGAGAATATCACTATATCGAAACGACAGGGCTTACTAAAAGTTTCCAATGGGACATGAGAGATGGCTTCCAGCAGCACGACGTTCAAGAATTTTGTAGAGTCCTTTTCGATGCCATAGAACAAAGTGTAGAAGGCACTGACCAAGCCAATATGATTAAAACTTTATATGAAGGCAGCTACATTGACTATGTAAAATGCCTAAAATGCTTAAAAGAAAGCTCAAGAGAAGACAAGTTTTTGGATTTAAGCTTAACCGTAAAGAATGAGTTTGATAAAATATACAATGACTCTATAGAAAAAGCACTTGCTAATTATATAAGGCCTGAAGAATTATCAGGAGACAATCAATATTTCTGTGAGCACTGTGGAGGCAAACAAGATGCTATTAAGGGGCTCAAGTTCAAGACCCTGCCTTATATTTTGGTGCTGCAGTTAAAAAGATTTGATTTAGACTACCAAACTATGCAGAGAATAAAATTAAATGATAAAGTCACGTTTCCTCAGATTTTGAATATGAACCCTTTTGTAAGAGAAATCCCACATGGAGACCCTGAAAGAATGGAAATTGAGTCAAATTCTTCAGAAGAAGACGAAATCTTGGTCATTACCCCAGCCAATATAGAATCTCTTTCACTTTCCCATAAAAAATTTTCAAATTATGATACTATAGGAGGGGATTATGATAAAAAACCTCTTAAGCTTGACAAAATGGCTAAAGAAAAACATATAGCCATGAGAGCTGAAGAAAAAAAACATGAAAGGGCGAAATTAATACACAAATATAGAGAAGATGGAGAAGATGTATATGAGCTTTATTCTATTATGATTCATTCTGGCTCAGCAAATGGAGGGCATTATTATGCTTATATCAAGTCTTTTGAAACAGGAAGATGGTACGATTTTGATGACTCTTCTGTAAAAGAAATTGATGAAAAAGATATAGAAAAAGTCTTTGGAGGTGAAACAAAAAGTTATGGGATTTTTTTATTTTTTTAAAAAAAAATTTTGTGGAATTTTTATAAAAAATAAAAAATTTTTAATCGCCAAAATTATGGATGAAGCAGCTCTTATTCAACCAATGCATATTTACTTATGTACCGCAGAGTTGACGAAAATCGAAACATTCTCAGAGTTGAGGACTCTGAAATCCCTCCTTACATTTTAGAAGAAATTGAAGCAGAAAGAAATAAAGAAAAAGAAGAATCTTTAGCAAGAGAAGAAAAAAGGAAAAATATAAAATTAAGAGTGTTCTACCAAGGAAAAGATAAAGAAATTGAAATAAATCGAGAAGCTTTGGTTAGAGATTTAAAGCTAAAAGTAATGGAAGAGTTTAAGATACCTACCGAAGAAGAAAGCAATGTGAGGTTAAGATATTATAGCCAATACTATGACACAAATCAAGAAGTCCTTGAAGAAGATAGATCAATAGAAAGTGAAAACATTTATTCCCAAAAAAATTTATATTTTAACAATTTAAATAGAATTTTTTTGATAAAGAAATTTTATATATAATCTAATAAGGCGTAGCATTAGAAACTAAAAAAAGTGATGAGGCTTTTGAAGATTATGATCCAAATAAATTCACTATCAAAGTCATAGTCTGGGATCCAAGATATGAAGACGAAAACTTACAATTTGATCAAAAAATCGCTAACCCTATGAAATTCTTAATTGATAAAAGAATCACTGTCAAAAAAATGATGCTTTTTTTCGAAGAAAAGCTTGGAATTCCTTTCGCAAAGCAAAAAATCCTTAAAAAAAGCTTTATTTCTAGCTACTGTCAGCCAGAAATTATTTCTTTGAAGCATTCTTACGACCAATCTTTATCATTATCACGAATTTATGATGGCTCTTTACTATTTATAGAAGAAGTTGACGATATTTCAGTAAAATCAAAATGACAGATTGAGTTTGAAAAAGAACAAAGCAAAATTGTCATTAAATTTAACGACCCAAGCCAAGTGACTAAATATCTCTCTTCACCAGATTTTAAAGAAAGCATAACAATTCATTCTCAGAAGACAGTTGGTGATATGAAAGCATTGATTTCTGCACATCTGGGGATAGCCCAGAACGAGTTCATAATGAAAAGAGGAAGCTTGTATGGGGGCGAGCTCAAAGATTTGACGTTAAAAATTAGCATGGCCAATATCATGAATAATTCTTTTATTTATATCGAAAAAGGAGTCCCTACAAATCCTAATGAAATCAGACTTGTTTTTTCGCTTGCAGTGCCTCCTAAAGAAAGTGAAAGCGATGGGGCTGTTTTCAGCTTTGAAGATACCTTTGAAATGTCAGTAAATGTTTACTCAAAAATTCTGGAAATTAAACAAATGGTCTGTGAAAAATTAAAAAAATTGCACCCAACGATGGATATAAACCCTTTAAATATCCGCTTAAGGGAGCGTGTGACTGAAAAGTTAGCTAAGCCATATGAAAATAGCGACACTTTAAGCACTTATCATACTTCTGATAGGAAAAATATAGGTATTCAGGTGTTAGAGGAAGAAGAAAAGCCTTTAGAATATTATGAACTAATTGTGGTTGTAAAACAATGGAACCCTTCTACATGGGAATTGTCAGCTCCTAAAGAAATAACAGTAAATAAGCATTGGAGGGTGTCTGAGTTTGGTGCAAAGTTAAGTGAAATTTATAATATTCCGGTATTTCTTATGTAGCCTGAAAATATTGAGGTCGCAAAAATTGCATATTCATGAAATTTTACCAGAGCAGATCTGCCTACTGAAAACTTCACAAGCACCAACAATAACTACCACTATTTATCCACACAGCCCTGGCATCTAAGCTCAGACGGTACACTTTTTATGTAACCCCCACTTAGAATTAAAGACAACAGACAAGCTTCAAGAGACATGACAAAAGAAGAAAAAGCCAAGTTCATGCCAAAATCTTCAAGTTCCTATATAAGTGGCTATACAAGTCGGTATGAGCCTGCAAAGGAAAAAAGCGTAAAAATTACTGTAAAGAAAAAAAATATGCAGGAAAATAAAAAAGAAGACGATATGGAGATAGAAACTAATCACAGTGAGGCACAATAATAATTTATCTAGATTTATATAACTCACATTTAATTAGCTAATAATGATAATATCAAAATTTGCTAGACCTAATATCTTGGAGCAGAAAGCCTTGATGCTCTTTCTTGGAGTAAATCGATTTCTTCTCGTAAGTCTCCACCTTTGCCGGTTTCTAGCCTCTGTAAGAATTTAAGAATTAAATCGCTGACACTGATAAGGAGATCTGAGTGCTCCAGTCTAAGTTTTTGGTCGTTTTCTCTGCCTCGCATTTTTTCTTTTATCAGCTTGATTTGCATATCTCGCTGGGTTAGCTCTCTGGCAAGGTCTTTTAATTTCATTTCTAAGGCGATTTTGTCATCTTTTAAGCTCTGAAGTTCTAATTCGTAGCTTTTTTTAAGCTTCATTAAAGCTTGGTCACTCATCCTTTTGGCTTCTAAAAGCTGCTTCTGGGCTGACTTCTCAGTTTCTAATTAGGGCTTACGAGTTATTTTCATTTCATAATCTAACTGCTGCTCCAACTGGATTTTCTGTTGTTTCATCTGCTCAAATTCATTTAAAATTTCCCTAAGTGTCTGAATTACTGTTAAACAAATAAAATGGCGACGTCTCTGACCCGTCCTCTCTGGACCTGCTTCGGGTTTGGGGACCTTGCTGTGGCCTGATGTCAAACTGAGCAGGAAACATACTGGATATTTATGTTTCAGCTGGGTTTTGCCTTACAATTTTGGCTCAAAGCCAAATCCCTAAAGATTCAGGATTATATAGATACTAGCTAGGTAGTTTACCCCTAGATGGAACTCTAGTCACTCAAACAGCAGCCGTCAAGTCCCAAACCTGCATACTCCAAAGCTCCAAAACAGCATTAAGAATCAGGCCTATCTCTGGTAGAAATGCTGACATACCCAGGGAGGTTCGCTAGCAGATTAACAAGTCTTCTACGAAGACTCGTCTCAGGTGAGACATAAAAGGAGGAAGAGCCCTAATCTTTAATCAATGCTAATGTTAACGTCTGAATTTCTGCTGCATTTGCTTCTTTAACTCCATGCCTTTTATCCACAATTTTATTTTTCAATGCATTAATTTCGTTCCTCAAGTCCATATTTTCTTCCCTCAGCTTACTCTGAATTTGCCCAAACTCTTGACTATTCCCAGATATAGCAATTCTTGCGTCTTCTAACGCATTTTCTAACACTTTTTTTTGCTCCCTGGAGTGTTTTCGTTCTAAATCCAGTCTTTCCATTAAATCTTTTTTTTGATTTTCATAATTATCAGATAAAATTTTGGTTCTTTTTCTTTCTTCATCTAGCTCATTTCTTGCTTCTTTAATCTCACTTCTATGGATTCTATTTAATTGTGAAATTAATTTTTGGACAATTCTTGATCCTTCTTTTGAATATGCTTCTGCGATTGCATGGATAGCTCCACTTCCTGGTATATCTTGTATAGCATTTTCATATATATTCGAAAACTCCTCAGGCAGCCAATTGAATTTTTCTGAATTCGCCATTTTTTCTTCTAATTCATCAAAAAGTGTTTTTAAGTGGGCTGTAGCCTGGATTTTTGACTCACTGAAATTTTCGTCTAATAAAGTTTCCAACATACTATTAAATTTTTCTTCAAGTTTTTTTTTCTGCTTATTTACTTCTTCTTTTAAAGATACTATAATTGGGACTGCGTCTATAATCCCAAAGGAGCTTTTTCTAATCTCCCCTTCAATTTCTTTAAGTTTTACCTCTTCCATAGGAATTTGTGATTTTAGCTTACTTTTTATACAATTTTTATAATTTTCATAAGCCCGTTTATAGCCTTCTTTAATTTGGTTATCAAGTGTCCTTTCCCATGCAGTTGATATTGTAGGAACTGCGTTTTGGTTTATAGCGTCTACGTATATTTCTAGCATAGAGGCTAATAATTTGCCATTGACTGCGACTCCATCGATCATTTTTACCCTTGTAGTTTCTTGGACTCTTGCTATAAACTCACTCATTTGCGTTTTGAATTCTTCTCTAAGCTCTTCATAAGGCACTTCTTGAATATTCCTTAATTTTTTTTCATTATTTACAGGCCTAATAAATGTAAAACATTCTCTTTCTTTGAAAAAACTCGTCAAAATTTTTCGGATTTCGTTTTTCTGCTTAATTTCGTCAGTTTGGCCAGGCAAAAGCTCTAAACAATTTTCTAAATATTCATTAGAAGTTATTGAATTTCCTTCATTATCTACTAACTGTAATGAGAAATCTCTCAATGCCCATATGAACTTTGGGAAATATTGTGCATATGATTCAGCTGTAGTCTGCCCCGATTGAGATTTTACATGAATATATTGGGTCAGCTTGCAAACCAACGATAAATCTTCAATAGCCTGCTCATCAATTGCACCCATTGAATTATAGATAAACGTAGAGCTCAATAGCAAAGATAATGAAAAAATCGTCATATCAATTGTTTCTTCTCTTTGATAAGATCGAAGCCCTTCTGTGTCAATTAAAATCAGCCTCTTATTGCTAGACACAAATGGGCATTTTCCCCAAATCCAGATCCCTTTTGTGCAGGGATTTACGCTTGGACCAATTTCAAAACCATGCTGAGTACCCATAAGTCGATTTAAGAGATAAGATTTTCCTGTACGATAAAGCCCAGCTACTGAAATTACACAGACTTGCTCTTGGATATTTCGGATTAAATCAAGGGCTTCGGCGTTTAGAGAGCACTTGCCGGAATCATCTATATCAACTAATATAAGAGGTTTGTCTGAATCCATTTATATTATTAAGAATATATCTTAAATAACTACTGTTTGAAGTCTTTGAAGGTATTTTGCAACATCAAGAAATTTAGTTGGTGGCTTATTGGTATTTTGTGAATTTTTGAATTAAAAGTATCATAAATCAAGACAAAATTTTTGAAGCTTATCAGAAATCGAAAAAAATTATTGAAAATATTGAACAAGGAAGCTATGCATGCATGATATTTAGAATTTCCAAGAATATTGTTTTTTAAATTATCATTATGATTTAATATTGACTAGCACCTCAACAGTGTCTACTGGAATATTCACCCACGGCTGCTTGTATTCTAAAATGATGCTGGTCTGATTACGTGTTCTGCACAAATCTGAACAAAAAAGGGTAAAAACTTGTATCCCTCCAACACCCAATAAATTGCTACGATCTTGAATATAATCTCCATCTAAGTCATTAGTAAAGACCACTTCTAAAGATGAAGGATTTATGAACCAGCTGAATCCTGTTGTTGGATTGGAGCTTTTTGATACCTTAACGAAGCCATCTTTGTGTATAGACACTTCTGAGACTTCGTCTAAACTATAAACTTGCCCGTTAACCAGAACGAGGATAAAGAATATCAGAAAAATCATGATTTTATTTATTTAATGGATTTGCATTAAACAGAAAATTAAAAATATCTTCAGAATTGGCAGAAATGATAAAGGATATGATTTCTAAAAGACTAAAATCAATATTCATAATTATTTTGCCTTAAAATCAACCATATAAGCCACTGATGATTTTTTATTTTAATATTATTTTATTTAATTATAAAATATCTTCTATTTTAATAGTATAATTTGTGCCAATTAATAAAAGCCTAAAGTCTAAGAAACTATATAAACAGTAACATCAACAATCTCAATCGGCTCTTTTTCCCAAGATCTCATATATTCCAGCTTGACAGAAGTATTTTCTCCTTCTACACATAAGTCAGTGCAATATAAAGTAAATATTTGCGACCCTCCAGCTCCTAGTAGATGGCTTTGGCTTGATATATAATCCCCATCTAAATTATCTGTTGTGACGACACCTAATGTTGATTCATCTATATACCAATAATATCCTGTTGTTGGATTTGAACTGATTGACATCTGCAAAGACCCTTCTTTTGATATAGAAACTTCTGATGATTCGTCAAGGTTATAGACTTCTCCACTTATAAAAGAAATCGCAAACAGAAAAACTATTATCATAAATTTCATTTTATAAATGTTTATTAGATAGAAATTTGTTCTTAAATTATTTTATAAATAAAAATTTATAGCACTCATAATTTCTAATAATTTATTGCATAATCCCTATCCTTTATTATTCCTCTTTTATTGCTAAATCCCTCTTTTATATAATTTCTTATCTTATTCACAATGATTTTTCTTTACCTCTCTTTTATGTTTTTTTGAATTTATATGAAACTCCCACTGTCTCAATCCTTTTGCACTTTTATTACAAATATCGCAAACCCTAATCTCTTCATCATCCTCTGTTTCTTTTCTTGTGTTATTTCTATGTTTCCTCGTCTGTAAATGAATTTCATATTTTTCGCTCCCAAAAATCTTGACATTGCAGGCTTCACACCAAAAAGACTCTTTTTTGTCTAAAATTATTTCCTTATTGCCTATACCTTGAGAGCTTTGAACTATTTCAATCCCTTGCTGTGTAATTTCTTCCCAATTGCTGAAACTTGTAGTATCTATTATATTCATATTCAAATAAGGCTGGAATCGATTTTTTATCCATTTTAGCTGCTTTTTGGAGTATTGAAGGGTCGCTAATAATAAATTGTCAATGCATTTTGGCAGAGAATTTTCACCTTCAGTTAATAAAGGCTCGAATTCTTTATAGCCGATAGACTGGAGAACTCCTCTTGTGTAGTCATTGGTGGCGCATTCGTTTAAAATTTCAATGATTTCTTGTGTCCCTCCTTCTTTTATCATTGATTCAATTCTTGCCCTTGCTCTTTGTTCGAGTATTTTTTTATCACATTTAAGCCAAATAATTATTGATTCTGGAAATCTATACTTTATTAATCAATTTAATATAATAAATTATCTATAAAATAGAATTTAAACTGAATATTTATTTAATTTTAAAAGCATAATTTTTGATACTGTGTTTTTTTCACTATACAATTTTCCTGACGAAAAAATATAATTTAAAGCATTCCGGATTCTCCTTCGATCTTGAGGGGCAAGCTTTTTTGCGTGTTCAGGGTCAGCTTCTTCAAGTTTTCTATACAGCTCTTCAGTTGTATCGTTCTCAAAAGAATCTAAGTCATAATTTTCTTTGATAAAAGGCCGATCATATAGCAGAGATTCCACATAATACATTGTACCACCTACCACAACTGGGAGTCTGCCTCGTTTTTGGATTTCTTGAATTGCATTTAAAGCAAGATTTTTCTGAGGAAAAAAGTTAATAATTTATATTAAAATTTTCAAAAAAATATTTTACTAGAAAATTTATAAACAAGATTTTGATATTCACAGACAGTGAACTGTTTTTCTGAAATTGGGACAAAATCGACTAGATGATGTGGAATTTCTAGCATATCTTGAATTGAAGGTTTAGCTGTCATTAAAGAAGCTTTTTTATATATTTGCATAGAATCAGCTGACACTATTTCTCCGTTGAAATGCTTTGCAATATCCATAGCAAGCTTACTTTTCCCAACAGCTGTTGTGCCGATTACATAAATTACTTTGCTGCTGATATCTGCTAACATTTTATATTAAAAAAGGCCAGTTTTATGGTTTTATATCCCTATAACTGCCAAAATCCTATTCAATTGCATTTTTATCGCGCTCTAATAGTTTCTAAAATCTTATTTTCATTCTAACTAATTTCATTTCTATTCAAGCTGATCAAAGCTGCTTATAAAAATATGCACTAGTCTTATGTGTAAACGTTGCATTCCGCCAAAAATGCACACTTTTCTCTGAATAAATAAATCCCAATCCATTACTAGTCAAATACTACCGTCAAAACGGAGATGCCTGCTTTATTTCCGCCCATGACCAAACTATCTAGAGCATATACTCCTCAACTTTTCCTACCCAATGCCACGAAATGGAAGATTATTTCTGCTTTGACTGCCAACTCCGTCACAAGGCAAATATACATTTGAAAAAATTGCATATGTAAAGACTTTGCAGAAAGAGCATGAGGACATAAATTGACTGAATCCTCAGATCACTATGATAGCTGCGGGATTAACACGTATGGAGGGCAAATCCCGTTATAGTGATGTCAAGTTTGGAGTGGAAATATATATATGAGTGTTTTGAAGGGTTTAAAAGATTTTAAAATAATTATCAGCTTGCTATGCAATTTTTGAGCACACACAAATTAAATCTGATTAGTAGCATAGAGTGCCTTAACCCACTGGAGAATTTTTAAAATATGCAAAGTATTATGGCAACTCTTGGGAAATTAGCACACATGTCGCTATTATCAGTTTTAGGTTTTAAGATTTTTTGTATACGATTTATAAAGTGATAAGGATAATTTGAATTTTAATTATAGAGATTTCTTTATCAATAAAATTCTGTTATCATTTATATATAAAGCCAGTATTATAATACTCCAGATACTTGTATTTAATTTATATAATTTTATTATTTATAACTGCTCTTCATTATCAAGAAATTCATAAAATTTTCTCCACATATGCTGATTTCAGAATTTTTATTTAAACTGGCTTTATAAAATATGTTTCTAGTCTTACTTGTAAGTGTTGCATTCGGCCAAAAATGCACACTTCTGCCTGACTCCGAATCAATTGATCCCAATCCATCCCTAGTCAAGTGCTATCGACAAAACGGAGATGCTTGCTGTGTTTCCGCCCATGACCAAAACATACAGAGCGTATATACTGAAGCCTTCCCTACCCAATGTCAGCGTGAATATGACAACATGGAAGATTATTTCTGCTTTGGCTGCCACCCGTCACAAGGTAAATATACATTTGAAAGTAATCAAACAATTTACATGTGCAAAGACTATGCTGAAAGCATATGAGGAGAGAAATTGACTAAGCCTTCAAGCCATTATGATAACTGTGGGATGTACACGTATTGGAGGGCAAACCCCACTACAGTGATGCCCAGTTTGGAGTGGAAAGATGGTTATGCGTTCTTTGAGGAGGTAAAACCTCCATACTTTGAAAATTATACAATAGTAATAAGAGAGCACAATTGTTTTAATAGCTCTTGGGAGATTAAAGCAGATGTGCTGATTTTTTGTATGTTGGGCTGGCTTATGAGGTTTTTAATATAAGATATTTTAAACTAATAACTTGCTTTGCAAATACATGAGATAAATTTATCTTAAAAATTTTTTTTATAAGATAAAAGATCTCTAATAGATAAAAACTATTTAAATTCAGATATAACTATCTAAAATTCTTGTAATTATCCCTAACAGCCTTAAATTTATTAATTTTACGTTTCCCTGCCCTTTAAATTTAAATTACATTTCCAGTAACCATAGTTCATTAATTTATCATCCCACCAATTTTTATAAAGCATTAAAATGTTTTTCCTGCTCCTTCTGGGTGCTTACGCACAGAACTGCACACTACTTCCAGGTTCAGAAGCTGGAGACCCAAATCCATCGCTAGTCAAATGCTACAGACAAAACGGAGAGGCTTGCTGTGTATCAGCTCATGACCAAGCTATCCAAAGTTCCTATAGTAGCCTATTTCCTTCACAATGCCAGCGCGAATACGACAACATGGAGGATTATTTTTGTTTCGGCTGCCACCCTTCCCAAGGCCAATATACTTTTCAAGATAATATGACTATACTTCTGTGCTCGGGTTATGCACGAAGTGTCTGGGGAGATAGTTTGGATAAACCTACGACATCATATGATAATTGTGGGATGTACACCTATTGGAGATCGAATCCTCAAACAGTTATCCCAAGCTTAGAATGGAAAAATGCTTATGAATTCTTCAATGAGGTGAAACCTACTTTCTTTGAGAATTATACAATCGTGATTGTTGAGGGAGATTTTTGCTATAATAATGAATGGAAAATAGAAGCTAGGCTAGCATTTGTGGCAATTTGGCTATGGATTATAGGATTCTTAATATAAAGAATTATTGAATAATTTTTATTTTTTCACTGTCAGATTATCTTATAGGAATTATAAATATTTTCTCCTTACTCCCCCTCTGTGAGCGAACAAAACCATTGGAAAAATCCCTATTTTTTGCCCAAAAAAACACCCTTAATGAGCGAACAAAAATTTTTTTAATAGAAAAATTGATATATAAATGATAATTGTTATAGCTAATTCTGTTTAATTTTAAATAAATTTTGCAAATTAAATTAATTATTACTTCTCAAATTTTACAAATTAGAATTTTTTTAAGTTTAAAAAAAAAATTAACCCTCCGTGAATGAATAAAAATTGTGTTGTTCGCTCACGGAGAGGGGAGTTAGTTTTTTTCTGATAATAAAAGTGCTGATACAGAAGGTAAAGCTGATTCCAGCTAGTATGGCAAGTTTTTCAACAAAGGTAAGCGGGATATTGTTAATGGTATCGTCTGCCTGCTGAGACAGATAAAGTTCACCATTGTTGCCTGTAGAATATCCATCATCTCCACTAGAGCTACTAGACAATACGTTACACTGATGTACATAATAATCACTAGCATTTTGGGATGCGCTTGTAGTGTAACCTTCATCACACACACATTGACTGTTTTTAAAAGTTCCATGATCACAGATGATAGGTTTATCTTCTACAACAGTCTCATTATTGCTGCTAGAGCTTGTAGAGGCTCTCTCAATTTCTGGAAAGTCTTGGCTTGCTAATATGCATTTATTGCTTGATATATCTAAGAATTCACCATAGCTACATTTTAAAACTTCATAACAGTCTCCATCAGTCTTAATCTTAATTACGAGATAATCAGCTGCTAAGCTGTTAGTTTTGACGCAGTCTTAGTCTTAGTTAAATTTTATAAAGTAGCTCCCGGCCAGGATCGAAGGTCCTTTTCTTCCGCCTTTTGGACGCTTCGCTTGCTTTCTTGCCCTGCTCCCAGTGTGCACCTAAGTGCCACAGGCTACCACTCAGCTCATTCCGGTCATGGGGCTTGGTCATGCTATCCCGGAAGTAGGCAGACTGGGTCACCGTGCTTCACGTCGCCAGACTAGGGTTAGAGCTAAGGATTAACTCCTTAGCTCTTGTCGGCTCCTGCCATGCCCTCCAAATTGGCACTAGCAGTCCTAGAGGAAAAACCCTTTTTGCCCCGTGTCCTATCGGGACGACCTTAGGATCGTCGTTGCTGGACTGGGAGGGAAACCTAGTCAGTTTTGACGCAGTCACCCAGACCCGAAGCTTCCCCCGCTTTGCAACGCCGCCTACAGGACTCCAACTTAATGGCTAGCCTGTTCTGTTGAACGTCTCTTACTTGCAAGCTGCAACCTTGCTCCAGTTTTGAGTGGGCAGATTTAGGAATTCTGCGGCCTTGCTTGAGGCTGTGGGATACAAGGTTGTCCACACAGAAAACCCAAAAAAATGGATTTTCTGGTGAACTTTCGGCAAAAAGGAATAGTTGAAGCCCAGGGTGAAACTCCTGGTTTCTCGCTAGCGGCATTGCCCGATGGCCTGGTTGTTCCCTGCAGGCATAGCCGGGTGCCTCCTTTCCAACTCCAACTCTCCTTTACCCTTGAGGAAAAAAACCAACTCCGAAAGCGGACTAAGGCTAGGCTCCTGCCTCCTGCGGGAACTGCTTACCTAGCATAACTGTCCATTTCTTCGTTGGTAAAAACTTGCCGGATATACTTTAAATAGGGCTCGAGACTACTTGGCTGAGAGGCCAAGCCTAAGTTGAGACGCCATATTTAAAGTATCAGTCTCCATCAGTCAGATTATAATAATTTTTCTTCCCATTATACTGTACTCTGCAGTACGTACTGCAATCTGTCGGTGGCTTGCACTCAGACGCCAGAGCTCCGACTATCAAAACTGCGTATCCAAGCTTCATATTTTTACTTTATTTAAGATACTTTAAGTTTATCGAATGATTATTAGCTTATTAGCATCCATCTGGCCTATAGAAGGTAGGAGCAATTGATGGACAGGTCTGATCCATATTACTATAAGGTGCAATGCTTGCGTAATCACTTCCAAGGTTGACTCTATACTTTCCGATCAGCTGGCAATAAGGAATATCAGGGTCTTGGTCCTTGCAGTTCTGAGGAATTTGAGGGTTTGGATCGAAAATGTTTAGGGAGTACACATCTCTTGGGGTGAATTCAGTAGCTTGGAGAACCAAGTTACCAAGAATGCCTGCACGCTTATAAAGGCCGAGCACAAAGCTGGAGCAGACGTAGGCGTAACCATCTGGGTACATCCACCCTTCTTGTTCGACAACTGCAGCAAGCTCAAGTAAAGTCATGTTTTGGGCACCTGCAGCAACTTCAAGTTCAGGGAGGGTAAGGTTTACAGTGCCAGCATGCTTGTTTAAGGAAAGTAACTCCCCCCTTCGTGAGTGAACAAAACCATTAGAAATTCCCTATTTTTTGCCCAAAAACCCACCCTCCGTGAGTGAAACAAAAATTTTTTTAATAGAAAAAATTTTTCATGAAAAAAATTTGATATATAAGTGATAATTATTATAATGAAATCTATAGCTAATTCTGTTTAATTTTAAATAAATTGCGTTTTGAAACATAAATTTTATAATATTTGCTTTCCAAATTTTGCGGATTAGGATTTTTTTAAAATTCGAAAAAAAAAAAATTTTCTATAAAATTTATATATATAGAGCCTTGATATAATTGTAGGAGGCGTCTGGCATGTGGGGAATTTCTCCACATGCCAGAACCCTCCCACAATAATAGCAAGGCATAATATAAATTTTTTTTTAAAAAAAAATTAACCCCCCTCCGTGAGCGAACAAGTTTTTTTTTTGTTCACTCACGGGGGTGTAAGAAGACACTGTTGATCGCGTCTGGCATGATCTTGTAGACAGTCTGGATTGCTGGCATTAAGAAATTAGAATTGAGCATTGCTGGGAAGTTTTGGGTAGGGGTGTCGATCCAGCCGAAGGCGAAATTGTGGAAACCATAAGGCATGCCTTCTACAGTCTTAAACCATTCATAAGCTGAAGTTTCATTGAAAAGAGCTTGTATTTCAGCTTTAAGAGGCAGGACAACAACGTTGAAGCTTGCATCATTAGCCCATTTGACCCATTGGTCGAATTGGTTCATCTGGATTCCAGTTCTAGGCCAGTACCATCCAGCTTGGCTCTCCATAATGTATAGATCTCTGACTCCATTAAGTTCGACCCAGACTGCAACTGTGCTGTGTCCAACTCTGCTTCCACATCCCCACATGATAATTTCATCAAGCCCGTCTAGTCTTGTTACAGCCAAGAATGATCCTGAGGCAATTTGTTCTTTCTGTAATGTCTGAGCTGTATTTGGTCTTCTGATCATTGTATAGTTAATGGCTTGTTGTAAGAACTGTATATTTGATCTTTCCATCCACCAGGTGACGTGGGATCCAACAACAGGAAGCCATTTATCAGTTGTGAAGCCTCCTGAGAAGAGTTCGGCGGTCATAGCGACATCTTCAATGAGGGTTGAAATGTCGTCGCAGAAGGTGAAAACTCTGACACCGTTTTGGGTGATATCATAAAGGTCGTTTGGTGTAAGATTATTGAAGGTAACTGAAACTTTTCCGTGGAATTCTATACTGTTTTTTCTTAATTTTCCTATATAAATGATTATTTTCTCTTTTTTTTATATATAAATCCTTATGGGGATACCTTATCAATGTGATATTGATCTAAGATAGCAATAAGGAAAGTATCGTAGCAGTCGAAGCTTGAAGCTTGGGCAACATTAAGTGTCAATGTAATTGAAGTGCTGGAGCTGTTAGTAATCTGAGCGCTACCCTGTTGGAAACAGTGGTTGGTAAAGGTTACTGCGGGGCCGTTTACAAAGGCAGCTCCTTTGAAGGCTGGGAGGAATCTCCAATAATCAGGACCTTCGCCCCATTCACAATTGATGGCTTCTAGATTGTACTCAAAACGCTGGCCGCTAGCAATTCTGTCGGTGAATCTTTGGATCAGCTGAGTGCTAAGGGTGTTCCAGTCTTTGAAGTAAACAATCGAGTGCTTTTCAGTGTGGGACACCATCTTAGTGTAGCTAATATCACCCATTTGAGTCTTGCCAAGGGTGTAGCCTTGAGAGATCAGGCTGGTATGGTGGTTTGCCTCGATCGGAGTTTTATCAGTAAGCTTGGCGTTTATGATGAAACAGCTTACTTCGCCTTATTATATGGTGACTAAAAAAACCCCAAAAAATGATTATTTTTCTAAGATTTATCGAAAATAATTATAAAGGAGTTAGAGAAAGGACTACGATTAATTTCAACATTATATTTGAGACCATTTTAGAAAATTCACCAACATATAGGCAAACAAATATGTGGATAGGGAGGGTTTCATAATTAATATTTTTTGTGATTTGATTAGAGAATCAACAGAGGAATTATAGGAATTAAGTCAGTTTCATATACATTTTCAAAATTGGCGAACAAATTTTAAGAGGAGTCTTTGATGTGGCCCTAAATCTTCTTTCATAAAAATTAAAAATTATTTGGGAAAATTAAGCAAAAAATTAATTTACATAATATTGTTTATAAATAAATCACAATTTTTTATCGTAAGCTTTATTTGGTGTTATTTCTAACTCCCCCCCTCTTTGAGCGAAAATAAACCATCAGAAAATTCCTATTTTTTTCGCCCAAAAACCAATCTCCATCACAAGAAAACAATTTTTTTTCGCTTCTAAGAGTTGTAAGATAGAAAACCCTCAGAAAAGCATAAATATGAAAAATTTAAAGTAAGCTATAACTATAAAGCTTTATAAAAATGTCAATTAACGTCCCATTTCAGTTTGACCTTATGGTTTTCCCCAAAATGCATCAAAACCTCCTAAATCTCTACTCAAAGCCTCCAGAAAACAAAGAAAATGACTCTTCCTCCTCCGAAGCCCAACAAATCCTGCATCTTCCTACCATAAATGGCAAATATCTTCTATTTACTCCTTTCACCGGTCCTCGTAAGCGTTTTACCGCTACAACTCCTGGCTACTACTACAAATGTATGGGAGACGTTTCTCTTATTCGCAGAACCTGCGAAGAAAACGGCCTCAGAGAGCACAAATCTGAATGAAGAATCCTCTGAGGTAACAAAAATATGCGCAGCAATGTATATACAGGCTTAGCCAGGTGGCAGAAAATCAATCATTTTCCTCGGAGCTTTGAAATTACCAAAAAAGACTGCTTATTTAAAAATATCGCAAAAATGCAGGCTCTGCATGGAATTGACCAGTTTGGGTTTATCCCTGAAACCTATGTGCTGCCTAATGAAACTTATGCGTTGGAGCAGCAGATGCTGGAGGACCCTGGGGTTATGTGGATTATAAAGCCGTCAGCTAAATCACAAGGGAAAGGAATTTATTTGACGAATAAGCCAGCTGAGCTACCTTCTGGACAAAGTTATGTGGCTTGCCGGTATATTGATAATCCTTTATTATTCTATTACAATATAATTGAAATCATATTTTATTATTAAAAAAGGCCTGAAATAATAAGCCTAAATAAGGATAATCAATGAGCTGAAATTTGATTTAAGAATTTACGTCGCCGTCACAAGTCTCGACCCTTTGCGAATATACATATACAAAGAAGGGCTCGTCAGGTTTGCTACTGAAAAATACAGAAGAGGCCAAATAGATAACCGATTTGTCCACCTAACTAATTATTCAGTCAATAAATTTTCCCCGAACTTTGTAAGTGTAGACCAAGATGGACAAGGTCACAAATGAACCCTTACGGCTCTAAGGGAATATTTTAAATCCCATAACCAAGATTTCAGCTTAATCTGAAGCAAAATCAAAGATATTGTGGTAAAAACCATAATTTCTAACGAATCAAAAAACTATGCAAGCATGAAAATGTTTGTCCCGTATCGGCAAAACTGTTTTGAGCTGCTTGGTTTTGATATTTTAATTGACGATTCTTATACACCCTGGCTATTAGAAGTCAACCTTTCTCCCTCTCTTAATACAGACTCTCCTTTAGATTTGCGAATTAAAGGAAAGCTTATAGCAGATCTTTTTAATTTACTCCCCCCACAAAATATTGGTAAAATTCTATTTTTGGGCACTTTAACCCCCCTTTAAATTGGAGCAAATTTTTTTAATGGGAAACTTTTATAGGTGAAAAAAACGAATTTTTATAAAATAGGCTTTGACCTAAATTTTATTAAAAAATACAGTAGATCATTATTTAAACAGTCTTCACACTGAGCCATTTAATTTTTAATTAATTATCATAAATTCAATATATCGCGTTCAGTTTATATTTTTTTTTATTTTTTAAAAAATAGTTACCCCTCCACAAAAATAATGCTCCAATTTAAAGTGGAGACTTAGTAGGAATCCCAGCGAAGCAAAAAAACGCAAAAAAAAGTAAGCCAGTAAGGAAGCCTGCCTGGAATTCTTCAACAATTTCAGCGAATACTCAATTTGAGCTGTCTCAAGAAGAAATTTATGTATTAAAAGAAACTAATAATGAGCTATACTGATTTTAAATAAATATAGCTATATATAAAAAAATTAATAATAAAAATGCAGAAAATAGTATACAAAGATTAGGGGATTTTGAAAGGATTTTTCCTAGCGAATTATCATTTGTTTATATGCCTTATTTTGAAGAAGAAAGGACCATGAATCTTCTGGTCTGTGGAGAACTCGATAAAGCAAAAAGACAGCCTACAAGAAGTGCTGAAAAAGCATTTTTGGGAAACGTTTACCGACAAAGGTTAAAACCATTGACAAGAGAAAGAAAAAACAAGCCGAATTCAGCTGCATATTTAAATCAAGCTGAAAGATACTTGCGGCAACAAGTTTTTAGGCCGAGTATGCTAAATCCTATATAAAATGACATAATTACACAAATTAAGAATGCGAAAATGTTGCATTGAGCTTTATATGATATGAGTGCTTAGGAGGAGACTGCACTTTTTCAATCGTAAATGACCGATTTTTAGGGATTTTTACAAATTGCACCCATTTTTCTGATTTTCCATCTTTAGTTAGCGAGTGCGTGCTGGGCCTGAAATTCCTGGACTCTAGCCTTGAGACTGAATTGTATCGTTTTGCTATGATTTTTATTTTTTTCTTTTCTTTTTCGGTTTCTGTTTCTAGTGTTTTGTCGTTTCTATCTTTTATGGGGTCTTCAGTATAAAAATTAATTCTATCTCTTAAAATTCTTAAAATATTATGTGACTTCTCTAAAAATGGGATTTGCTTACCCCCCCTAAGTTCGATCAAGTAACAGGGAAAATTCCTATTTTTTTGGAAAATAAACTCCCCTCAAAGTTCGACCAAGACCTATATCAATTTACTAGGAAAATAAGCAATTTTTTAAAAATTTTAATCTATGTGGGGTGTGAGCCTGCGATTTTTGTACTCAAGTTCTAAAAAAGCGTTACAAAGCCATCTTGCACTATTTTTTCTAACCCTTACACACAGAAGAATATGATAAATATTTTTTTTTAACTACTAGATTATATAAAAAACATTCTATATAATTTTTTTTAAAAAAAATTTTTCTTAACCCCCCCTCGAAGTTCGACCAAAAAAATCTTGGTCGAACTTCGAGGGGGGGAGAGTTAGGAAAAACTGGCCGGGCTCTTGAGTCTAAGTACTGGTTTTTATTTAGTTTTATTGGATTATGCCCAAGGAAAAACTTCGGGTTCATCAATGCCGGCTTTTGAAACAGCACATTTTGTACCTGCAAAAACTGGCTTTCTTTTTTTACAAATTTCTCTATAAACGAAAACAAAATCTGCACAGTCTCTGGGTAGTCTTTTAATACATAAAATAGCACCCCAGAAACATTTTTCTTGGCCACAATTAGTGGGATTTTCCCTGCTTTCCCAATAATTTCAAGCTTATTTTCTTGCCCAATTTGCAGATCTTCATATAAATCCCAATTATTTTTATATAAAACAGAAAACTCATATCTCTATATATACCCTACGCTTAATCTTTTAGCAAGCCAATGCAATTTTCCTTCATAAGTTATTTTACACTTCAAAATTTTTTCAGAGTCTGGGTTTTCATCATATAAATTATTTAGTGTCAAGTTTCTAGCGTTAACCATTTTGTGGAGTTTTTTATTTAATTTCATCCCAGAATTTACAATGCTTCTCAGCTTTTTTTCTCCCTGATTATCATTTACAAGGCAAGCTTCATAGATATCTCCTGTGATATTATCAAGCACCCATTGTTTATTTTTATAAGCTGAAAAGCTGTCAACGTTGACTTCTTCTATATACTTTAGCGGGCTGCCTGATCTGTTTATTATAGTGCTTTCTCTATCATTTTGTCATATAGGCTCTGTCGCTAGAGTATAGGCAAAACAAGCAGCGCCCATTCCTTCTAAAAAACATGGTTTATTGGTTTTCCTTATAAGGCTTAAAAGTGCTAAAACTTGTTTACATTTGGCTTCTCATGGCCTAATATCAGCTTCAATCCCTATAAAAATAAGCGATAAAGAGTCAAAATTTGAAATTGCTTGATGATTATCAAAACCTAGCTCAGGATGGTAAATAAAGTCACATAAATCACGCTTGTCTTTGGTTATGAATTTCAGAGAGGAATAATTTTCACTGCACAATATAAACCCCTATATATTTTTTACGTCTTTTATGGTGGTTTCAAACTCACTGAAATACCCAAAAGAACGGACACTTGTACCGAATCCATTAACAATTAGAATTTTCATTATAGAAATTAATTATGCTAATATTTGGATAAATAGTGTCTTAGAGGGTAATAGTCAAGAGGCCCAGGGGTGTCTGCTTTAGCAAAATCAATTCTTTTGCCACCGTGGGGGATAACAGCTTTAGGGGATTTTTTTCTTAAATATTCTGGGTCAGTTTCATAAGACCCAGGGCCAGGGCTGATTTCTCTAATCTCATTTAGCCTTCTTCTTTCTCTATTAAATGTGGCTGCGCCTGATGGATAAGAAAAATCTGAAAGCAAGGCTAAATCTTCCCCTTTCAGTGAGCTGAAAATGCTGCTTTCGTTTTTCTTTTTTTTTAAATTCGCGTATGAGAGCCTGTATTTGCCTAGATCATATTCACCTGAACTCATTGGCTTATAAGAGGAAATTTTTATAGGTTTCTTTTCAGCTGTCGGGGAATTATTCAGGTCAATGGTTGCTAGTTTTGGCTGTTCTAGCTTTTCGTAGGAGTTATAAGGAGATGTAAAAGGTGAGTTCAAGCTGTTTGCGGTCGTCAGCTCTATGGACTGGCTCCAGATGACGTTAATCATGTTTTCAATGATCACCTTTAAGTTTTCTTTAAAGCTTTCTTTCTGGCTACTTGGCTTATTTTCATATACTTTAGACAAGCAGCTGAAAATTGCGTCATAGTGCCCATCAGTTTCCAGTTCTTTTAAAGTCTGCATGATACTTGCATACCCATTAAGCTGTGAATATAACTTAGTTTTCGACATTTATTAAAATTGATTTATTATTATAAAAAGCTCAGACATTAATTCCTCTATGAGGTTTGAAAAATGTCGTCACATGCTTTTTTGTGATCAATCTTTTGATCTAGCCTCAGCATCCGGTCTTTGCGGCAGTTCTTCCTGACCGCTTGGTGACGTCTATTTTTGTCAGTTCTTCTGCACAGGTTGGATGAATGCCAACTGTTTGGTCAAGGATTTCTTTTGTAAGTCCACATTTCATAGCAGCTGCGAAGCCTTGTAAAACTTCTCCTGCGTTAGGTCCTAAATAGTGTAGTCCTATAACTTTTTCATTTTCAAGCTTGTTTGTCACTATTTTGCCGTAGCAATATTTCCCTTCTCTTGACTCTAAATAATTCCACTCCAGGGGCTTGAACATTGAATGGTATACTTCTACGTTTTCGTCTCCATAAATTTCGATAGCTTTCTCTTCACTAAGTCCACAGCAGCCATACTCAATTGGTGTGAAAACTGTTGTAGGGACGTTTACATAGTCCATTATATGTGTAGAACCTCCAAAAAGCCTTTTGGCTAAATAGCTTCCTGCTTGAATTGCAGACGGGGTAAGCTCAGGTCTTCCATCTGATACGTCACCTATAGAAAAAATATTAGGTACACTTGACCTATCTGCTTCATCTACAATGATTTTGTTATTTCTGGGGTTTATAACTATTCCTGCATTTTCGGGCTTAATTCCCTTTGTAAGTGCGATACGGCCAATTGCTAAAAAGACTGCTCCATAAATTTCGACTTTTTGTTCTCCATTTTGTTCGTATTCTACCCTTACTTTCCCATCTTCAGTCTTGGAAAATTGGATAGGGACTGCACCTTTTATGAAGACCATGCCTAAGCCTTCCATGAAGCTGCCTATTTTTTCAGCGACCTCTTGGTCAAACCCTCTAAGCAAAATAGACCTGACCATAATAGTGACATGTTTTCCTAACGAATGCAAAAATCCGGCGCACTCTAAGCTGATATAGGATGCTCCGATACAAAGAATGTTATCACGCACACTCTTCATTGAAAACAAATCATCGCTTGTAAAGCAGCATTCTTCTGCACCAGGGTACCCTCCATAAGAAGGTCGCAATCCTACCGCTACAACAAAATTTTCACTTGTGACGTTTTTCACGAATTTCCCTGTTTTATCATGCAGTGCTACTGTGTGACTATCTACAAAGCTTGCATAATGATTGAAATAAGTAATTTCTTTATCAATTAATTGGACTCGGTATCCCCAATTGAGTACTTGTATGTGTTTTTGTACATTAGCTACCATTCTTTCCCAGTTATGAGGAACATTTGTTGGCAGTTCCCATCCGCATTCTCTTTGGTCGCCTTGGTAGTCTCCAAAGATTCCGGCAAAATGCATAAGCTTTTTTGGGATACAACCAACATTCACGCATGTCCCTCCTAGTCCCCAAGTAGTGCCGATTGGTGTAGGTGGCACAAAGTCAGCCAGTGCTACTTTTGCGCCTAATGTGGCAGCTTCCTTGGCACATGATAAGCCTCCTGATCCACCACCGATCACAAATAGATCGAATTGATATGGGGATTTTCGGACTGGGACTTCTTCTTCTCCGCCTCCAGGATCTATTATGCGTCAGGTATTTTATTTTTGGCTTTTTCAAATATTAGTCTTAAAAAATAATTTAAAAAATACTAGAAAAGGGATATAAGAAAAATCTGCTTTTATTATAACATGTTAAAGGACATAACTGGAGCTTCCTCTTCTGGACCACCGAATCCGACCATGTCCATAACCATTTCCATCTCTTCGCCTTGGTCGGGCTGATTACTCTCCATTTATATACAAATTTTAGTAATTGTAATCGTCACTAACGTTGCGAACATAAATTTATTGGATTTTGTGAAATAATAAAAGTGCGGATTATTAATGGGAAAAAATTTTAGAAATTATGGTCAGTATTAAAAAAGCAAAGATGAAGGGTTAAGGTTTTTTATAAATGATATTTAGCAGTGAAACTTATATTAAAAGATTGAGATGAATAAGGACGAAATATTGAAAAATAGCGTCAAAGAAACTGAAAAAGAGAGATTTAACGCTTAGCCTACCATTAAAATCCCTTTTTTTATAATTAATAGACATATAAATTATTAAATGCTTAATAATTAATGCCTTATTTGTCGACTTTATATAAGTGGTGGTTTTTTAAATGATGACTGCTAGAGGCTGGAGAAACAATTTCAGGACGATTAGGTAAAATGCCTCTTTTACTAAAGTATTTTACAACCTCACCAGGCAATTTGCTAACTCAGATAGTAATAAAATTATCATTATAAATTTATTAAATCCCTTTTCTGTAATTTTTTTGATTAAATAGAATTTAGGATAAGAATTTCTTGGCATAAAGCAGCAGGAGAATGGTCAACTTCTCTATAATGAATAAATTTCACAATATCCCTTTCCTCCTGTCTCCCATCACTATCTATCAGTGGCTCTTTATCATCAGTCCCTAAAATTGCTACATTTTCAAAATATTCGCTACCAATCCCAACAATAATAATGGACAAAGGACAAAACGACCCTCTGACAATCCAATCAATCGTTTCTTGCATATCATAAGGGTCTCCATCAGTTAAAATAAGCAAAACATCATATCTTTGGCAAGTCTGAGTTTCGTAAATTCTTTCAGCCTCCATCACAATTTCACTGACTATTGGTCCAAAAAGTGTAGGGCCACTAAGAACTATTTGGGATAATGCATTTTTGTAGGCGTTCATAATACCATCTAAGCCTTGAACGCTATAGTTAACTACACTGACTTGCACGGGGTGTTTTTGGCTCGAAACTGAGCCAAAAGCACCCCGTGCCAGTCAGTGTAGTTCACTATAGGATTTCCGGCATCAAAAGTTAGGGGGAAACAGTGGTTTACTTCTCCATCAATTTCGCCTCCAAAACCGTATATTGGAATTAGTTGATCTGAGTCATAATTTAATAAAATTTCGGAAATTCCAAATAAAGCAGATTCATAATGGTTGTAGCCATATGGGTCGCTGTAATGTAAAGAATTTGGGTTTCTAGGGTCCCCATTTGAGCTTGTAAAATCTATTGCAATATTTAATGAAATTTTTAAGCCACCTGCTATATATTCAAGAAAACTTGGAATTTTTATCCTTTGAAATTTTTCAATAATAATTTTCCCATGGCTCTTGTGAGAATTGCCATGAGGGTTTAATAATATAAGTTCTTGGGTTTGCCTATGCAAAATATTATATAATGCAAATGTAGCAGATCCAATAAATTTATGATTCCCACTACGATGATAATCATAAACTTCTAATAAAAGCTCTCTATGCAAATCACCGTTACAATATTCATGAATTGTTTTTTCCACCGGTTTTCATTCCCCGTTTCTATTTCTTACTTCACTCTTATAGAATTTCTGGACTGCTCCGTTGCTCATATGCTTTCCTAAATAAAAAAGTGGAGTCAGATGGCCAAAAGTGCTAGAAACGTCATCTAGTTTTTCACATGCGAATTGAATTGTAACGTGATCGTTATTTTCTTTGATTTCTTCTACTCTTAATATTATTGCTCCTATGCCATTTTAATGGATCATTATCTTATTTATAGAGTATTTTCAGCTAGTATTGAGTTTTATTAATATAGAATATTCTCTATTAATTTAATTTCTATTATTAAAGCTCAGATTATTTTCTATAGCACTAATTCAGTCAAATTTATTATAAATTATCATGCCTATGATGATTGTGATGGTCTCTTACAAGGTCCTTCATGACCTGTTTTCCTGGCGAAGCCACAAGCTGTCCTAAATTGCATTCAAAAATCCCTATAAGATCATCATCATGAATTTCAGGGTGTCCATGCCTTGAATGATGAATGTCATTTATCTTGATTTTTATATAAGTCTGTTCTTCAAATGAAAAACTTAATACAAAACTCGTCAAAAATTCTGGATTTTGAGTGTCATCAATCATTTCTGTTTGGCCATGCTTTATCCATTCGCCATCTGATGAATGTTTTATAAAGAGCTCTGCTAAAGGATGAGATTTTCCAAAGGTGTGAAGATCTTCTAGGTCTCGGCAGGTTATAAATAGTTCGACTTGGGCTATGTGGATTGATGTCCTTGAGTTTTTAGAAATCAGCATATTAATATGAAACTGCAGAAGTAATTAGCATTATTTTCTGTCTATTCATAATATTTATGGTGTTTACTACATAATAATGATTTATTAATCTTAAAACTAAGCTTAATAATTTAAATTTTACTGATATAAGAAATATAATTGGGCTGAATTTTTTGTAAATTCCTTCTTTTTTATACAAAAAACCTTATTCACACTTATACCCCACTCCCAACCATCAGTAAAATACTAAGCAAACTTCTCAAGTTTATCAGTATTTTTGAATCATTTAATTAACCCCTAATATTTGCTGATAAAGCCAACATATTTATTATGTTTAGACTTCAATCTAAAGGTCTTCTATATGCTTCAAGACACACGAGAAGCGTGCGGCATTTCTCTGAAGGCCCAAGCAGAGTTTCTAGGTACTGGGAGATAATTAAAAAAGAGTGCAAAAAAGTCTGGCACGGTTGCAAACTTCTTTATCATGACGGAAAGTTCATGGTAAAAACCAAATACCGCACTACTTTTTATGAAGACAACTGCACCTTTGAGGAAATGAAAAACATGTCTGCGACGACTTCTGACCTACTGAAAATGATACCTTTCAGCTTTTTCATTGTGATACCATTCGCTGAGTTCACTCTTCCGTTTTTCCTTTACATCTTTCCGAATATGATACCATCAGCATTCCTAACCCAGGCATTTTTTTAAATTTTTATTTTACAAGGCTAATAAATTTATATTAAAATATTTTTTATTTAAATAATGAAGAAGTAGGAAAAACCAAAAGAGATGAAGTTTGAAAAACAATGATTGAAGCAAGAAGTACGCATGCTAACAAGCTGCATATCTATATGTTAGAAAGGATGAAAGCACTTCAAAATCCACAATATGCCAATTTTCTTGAAAAACTAAGAACTAAACCTCAAGGGATCAAAATAGATGATTTGACCAAAAGTTATGAAATTTTCAACAAAACTCTGAACTTTGGGAATATGGACACAGACCTGCTCAAGGCGACTTGTAGATTCCTAGGGATGGAGCCTTGAACCGGTTTTAATACGGTCAGTAAGATTTTGCTTGCCCCAACATCAAAGCTTCTAGGCTACGCAGGGATAAATATTCCAAGAATTTATGACCCTAAGATTTTTCCATTTAGACAAATCCAGCGAAATATTGTTATGTACCAGCTCCGCAGCTTAGTATCCTTTTTACCATAAAAAAGCTCTAATTTACTATAAAAAATTAAAAAAATTATTTATTATCAATAGGAATAAGAAACCTAAGGGAAGAAGACATCCTCCTTTTAGCAGAAGACATCGATACAATGAAGCCAGAACTTTTACTAATCTGCTGCCGTGAACGAGGAATCGACACACTGCACACCACAGAGCCCAAAATGCGAAAACAGCTTAAAGAATGGATTTATTATTCCACACATCCACTAACCAAAGGTCCTGTTAAAAATGAAATTTTGGTTTTTAGCCAAATTTTCAAATACTTTGAAGATACAATAGAAATAGAAGAGCATGCCGAAGAGCCTGCAGAAGTTGTAAACTGGGTTAGTTTTTAGCATAATAAAAACATAATTTTTCTAATTTCTATAAATATTTATAGGGTATTTAGGACTATTTAATTTTAAATAGCATAGAAAAAGCAATACAAATGATTTTTGAAGAGTCTATGGACAGAATTTTGCATTATGATAAAAAGACTGTAGCAAAAATACTAGAGCAGACAGAAGCTGCAAATATTTCACAGATCACTGATGAGGAAAGAAAAGTTATTAAAGATAAGCTAGAAGAAGCATTAGATGAGCAGCTATTTGTAGAAGATCATGATAGGATTGAGACAACTCTCAAGAGACTAGAAGATGTCCCAGCTGAGCCAGTTGTGACAAAAGCTGCAGAAGTACAAAGCTCAGCCGGAGAAGAGCCCAAAGCAGAAATTCCTATAGATGGTGAGGCTCCAGCTGCACCTAAACCTGACATCCCTACTGTAGAAAAGCCTAAATCTGATATCCCTACAGTAGAAAAGCCTAAACCTGATATCCCTACTGTTGAAAATGCTCCTAAAGTTGAAATCCCTACAGTCGAAAATGCTCCAAAGCAAGAAGCAGAAATCCCAAAAAATTCAGTCAAAGATACATCAGAAAATAAACAGTAAAAATTTCTTATCATCTACTTTTTTAATTAAATATTTAATTATGCTTCCAAAAGTTGGTCTACAGGGACCGGTTTTTCATTTATCGCGTATTGTTCATACATTTCTTCTATTCTTTTCCAATTCACAATGCTCCACATTTTTTGGACATATTCCAGTCTTCTGTTCTGGTATTGCAAATAATAAGCATGTTCCCACAAATCAAGGGTGAAAAATGGAATTGATGGATTTTTTTATGATGCCTTTCATAAGTGGGTTGTCCTGGTTAGGGGTGTCCTAGGATTTCTAGTCTTCCTTGGTGGTTTAGGCAGAGCCAGGTCCAGCCAGCCCCAAAAACTTCAGTTGCGTGGGTAGAAAATTCTTTTATGAAATTTTCGAGGCTGCCGAATTCTTTGTTGATGTCAGCTAGGAGACGGCCAGTTGGGGCTTCTTGGCGGTACCTAGACAAAGCCAGAATAAACAATGGTTGTAATGGCCTCCGCCATTATTTCTTAATGGGACTGATTGTTGAGCTCTATTTTGGATAATTTCTAATAAAGGTAAATCAGACTCAGATTTATGAGATTCTTCTTGAGAGTGTTTTACTTGTTCTTTAAGAAAATTAGGTGAATAGTCTCCCATGGCTTCATCTATCTTGTGAAGCACTTTATCTTTGAGTCCTTCAGTGTCTTTGACTGTATCCTGCATTTTTTCTTTGGCTTGCTTCATTGCGTCATCTGCTTTATGTGAAGCTTTTTCATCAATAGGTGGGTGCGGCTGAGACCCGGGGGCACTTGCAGCTTGCTCCATTGGTTTTTGGAGCTTTTCTTTCAGCATTGAAGGAGAAGCTTTACCGAGGGCTTCGTTTAGTTTTCCAAGGATACTTTCACCGACATGGGATGGGGAGGGATGAAGCAAGACACTATTTAAATTGTCAACATAGGTCTGGTGGTGTTTTCCCCAATGGTATACACATTATAAGCATTTTTATTTAATTACAGCCAAAACACTTTTTATTATTTTATTTTGTGGAAGAAAAATTGATTTTGTTATAAAAAATAATTAATAGAGAATATGAGATTGTGTTGTCATCATAAACTGGGGCTAATTCTCTTGTCCCAAACGGTAGCTTTGGAAGTTTGAAGGAAAAGAATCGTCTGATCATCATTATTTTTTAGTTATTTATGTCTAATATTCAATCCATATTTTAATTTGGATGATCCAAAATTGTTAAAATGAGAAAGAAATTTGTGGACTGAGCAGAATGGGACGACATTTTAAATCTGTAGGATATGTGCAATTTCTGATTAATTATATTGAGTTTTTTTGGATAACTAGAAGATATATAATTAAAATAAAAGATTGGAAAAATAGAATTAACCCTCAGTAATAAGCAAATTCTTGCTTATTTGTAGGGGATTTTGCATAGTGATTTAATATGAATATATCGAAAATTGCTTTATTATTGGGGTTTTTTGATAAAAAAAATGCAAATTATGAGCATTTACCACCGAATTATAATCAATTTTCGATTTATTCATATTAAAATTACTATTTGAAAATTGTGCAAAAACCAATAATTTGCTTATTGCTCGAGGTTAAGTTAAAATAAAGAAATAGATATATGAATTTGGCCTAGAAATGTTGCACTTATGCTAAATTTTATTAATTGATATAGTTTTTCTTTGCTATTTTTACCATATTTTATAATTCAGAAAATTTCCAATTATGTTTCTGTTCATTAAAAGATTAATTTTTATATTTCTCAATTAATAAAAGAAAGCTTATTGATTTATTTTCAGTTTAAAATATTAACTAATTATAATGCAGATACGAATATTCGAGCATTTGTAAATAATTTTTATATGAACAAAAGATATAAATTTACATAAAAATAAAAGAAAAATTCCATAAAAATATTTAAAGCGATGCTGCATGATGAAAAATATTTGTATATGTAGGACTTAAGCAGAAGCAATTTTAAAAGTGCATAATTATAAATTTCGTAATTATTTATTTCTAAATTTATTTATCTGTTAATTTTTAATCGTTATTAATTTAATTTTGATCAAATCTTCTCTTTGAAAATTTACCCATAAAGAATAAATTTTTCAAATGCCATTTTTCCATATTAATTTAGAATGCTCTCACTCCTTTTAGAATGATCAATTTTTTCTCTTCTTATAGAGGATTAATTTATTTATTTTAAAATTTATACTACAATTATATATAAAAAATCTTTTTTCGGATTTAAATCACAATAGTTAATACTTGAAAAAAATCTAATTTTATTTATAAAATTTCAGTTTGAGAATTTAAATAACGTAAATTTCATAGAAATAGCTAGAGATCTCGTTATAGCAATTATTAATTATATATAAATTTTTTACTCCTTTTAAAATAAAAGAGGTTAAATTTAATGGATTTACCTTAAAGGAGAGTCAGAGAAGTTTCCTCAAGACCTATCAAATCTCTGGCCAACAGGTGTCACGCTCAATCTTGAAGAGCGCATGAATCTACAACTTTCCTTTTACAAAATCTTCGAACAAGAAGACTTCGAAGAAGTTTTATTCTGGGGAAAAATCAAGGGAGTTACGAAGGATTATTACATAGCGATGGCGCTCAACTACAAAGGCCACTACGAATTTCCCAACAAACGATTTTTCTGGTGCACATCTCAGAATTGGACATTTGCTGAGCTGAGTGCTATTAATCCTAATGATAAAGAACACGTTGAAAAATTCAATACGTTTTTCAGTGGAGAGCATGATAAAATTCTAGTCCCAGCTCCTGAGCCAGAGCAGCAAGAAGGAGCAGAAGAGCAAGGAGAAGAGCATGAAAAAGATTCTTTACTACTTTGGCGTTCAAGTAATAAAAATCAATAATTATATGCTATCTTTATTAAGTAATTAAAAAATAATTTTGTAATAAAAAAAGGTTTAAAAAAATAAATAAATTTCATAAGAAAAAATTTTTATAATTAAAATGAGCATTAGATTTCTGATAAACAAAAATTCTATTTATTATAATGGAAAGTTAGCATCAACTGAAGAAGAAAAAATCCCAGCGAAAAATTTCACTGAGCTTGACAGACTTGCCTATGTCGTCAGAGCTATAGAACAAGACTGCTCTGTCGTCCCTGAAGGCTCTTTCAGAATGACCCCAAGCCACGAGCTAATTAGAAATAAAGCTTTCGAAGGCTTATCAAGACAAGACATCAGAGACATTAAAAAGTATTTTCACTTCAGAAATGTGCAGCTACCAGAAAAAAGAGAGCAGCTCGATAGAGACGATGCACTTTTTACTTATGATTTCCTAGACCCTGTTGAAAAAGACCTGCCTAAAGGCACTTGGAGCTTACAAGTGGACCACTCTGGGAACCTTGCGACTTTAAGAAGCTTCTTATGGCCTGGATATTTCGCCTTCCATAAGGCTAATTCTGACGTATTTGGAGGAGTTTATATTGGAGAAGGGGTAAAGAATGCCGATTTACCATTTATGCTTTAACTTAATTCTTATAGAGATTATTTAGATATATGATGGGTAAATTTGTTGGCAGCGAAAATTATAGCGCAGACGACTATAAGCTCGAATAGGATAGTCCCCATAACCACAATTGGGATGTGCTTGATTTGGCCTACTGGGACTTGTGCCTGGAATTCGCCATTTACTGTATGCTGATGTACGGTGATTTACTTGCCAGAATTATGACTTTAATATTGATGGTAAACAATTTCTGTAAATATAAAGTTTAAAAGTAGAAAATAAAATGTCTATTAGAGAAGAATTTATTTATAATAGGCATAAAAACTTGGCCTTGGTTATATTGTATTTGAGGACCTGGAAGACTGATCGTTTTATAAAGAACATCATAGCTAGGGTCATCATATCTCATATGGATTGGGTATGAAAATTCATATTTCCCATAAAATTCAATGTTAATTGTAAATGTATGGTTTGTTGAGTCAGATGATGGGCTTTCAGTGTCTATTAAAGAATTAAATTCTGGATTCAAGGACTTTGGGATATCTTCTTTATCAATCCACCATTTATAAGGGATAAACTCAGTTAAGGTAATTGAGGCTTTTTCAGTAGGGTTTTTCATTATTATTTGTGTGTGGAGCTGCTTAATAAAGCCGATTCCGATGAGTTCTCGAGAAAAGGTGAATATGGAATTTTCTAAGGTGAGGATTTTTGTAGTCTGAGAGAGAACCAAGGAAAATAAGAGGGGTAAGAGGAAATGCACGATCATTTTAAGGCGAAATTTTTATGACCGATTTAATATGACAGTAAATTTTGACATTTTTAGTGTTTTGAAAGCAGTTATTAAAAAATTTTACAAAGAAATGAAAATTCGGGAAAATATAAAAGATCATAAGATTTAATAGTTATTATAATCTCAAAAAAATTATTCTGCCTGACAGGAAAATTTATTTGAAAATTTTAATTTTTGGTATAATTAGAACGCTTTTATTGGAAACTAAGATTACTCTTATGTAGCCTAGGTGTCTACTTAAAAATCATTTAAATTAATATTAAAATCAGTCCTTTTTAAAACAAAACTAAGAGTTAGGCAATTTGTATAATTTTAAGGATAAGATTTATTGTTAAATCAAATCCCCTTAATTATAACTAAAATTACAACAATATTTACTTTCCTATAAATTTAGTCGCCATTTAATAAAATCTTCATAATAATATTAATGGTTTCCATCCAGGCATTTGACAGCGACAAGGCTATTCTCATTTCTTTGAATATAGTTTTTCTTCATCAAGCCATTTTTACTCATGCCCAGAGGATTATCAAAGATTAGAACTTTTTGTTTGATATCAAAGCCCAAGAATAGCTTTCTGCAAAGGCTGCTCAGATGCAGATGAGCTTCCCTTGATTTCTCACTACTCCTCCGTAAGCGAAGAAAAAATTGTTTATGAAAAACTTTTTATATATATAAAGTGATTATTAGTATAATGAAATCTCTTGCTGATTCTGTTTAAATTTAAAAAATTTGCATTTTAAAACATAATTTTTACAAATTAAAGAAATATTTGCTTCCAATTTTTGTGAATGGGATTCTTTAAATTTCGAAAAAATAATAGGTAAATAGCCTTTTTTGTAATAGTTTCCTCACAAAAAGGAAGCTTATCGACTATAGCTGGTATCGGTAGCAACTATGGCCTAATTGCTATGGTGTAGACGTCCCGAGAAGGAACCGCTCAGGACAGTAGAATCTGCTTCCCTCTCGGCTTATCTTCAAGCCTCGGAACGATTCATACTCTAAACTGAACCGAGGAATGACAGTCGCTAATGTTGCCATTTTATTGTGACCACTCATACCCAAAAAATATTAAATATAAACTTTTATACAATTTTAATCCAAAAAATCTCAGAAAAGCTTCAGCCTCCATCTGAGTACCTTGACTATTTAAATAAACGAGCAGAAGCAATCCAAGATTTTGACCTCAAAAAACAATATTTTAAAGAAATCCTCAACATCTACAAAACCTCTAAAATGCAGATCAGCCTTAAAGCTCTTCCTTCAATAGCCCAGATGATCACTTTTGATGATGAACCGATTATTATTGAAGCAGTCGACGTCCTAAGCCTTATGCTTCAAAATAATGATGAATCCATTAATGCAATGATTTATAATGGAGTCCTTATAGATTTACTCAAATTGTGCGGAAACAAGTCCTCAGAAAAAAGCTAAATCTCAATAATTAATAAAAAATAATTTTTTAAAAAATAATTTTTAAATAATTAATTAAAACCAGAAAAAATTATCAAAGCAGCTATCAGCTTTTTACTAGAAATCACAGAAATTAGCGAGCAAGCAAGATTTCTTTTGTACTTTTCAGGGAAAAAGGAAACACTTGCAAAGTTAATAATGGCTGAAAACAAACTAATAAGCACAAAAGCCATTGACATTATTTATAAAGTCTATTATCCAAATGAAGATGCTATTCGAAAGCTATTTTCATATGAAAAATTATCCATTTCTAAAGAAACTAATGAATCCAAAGGTTGGATAAATAACTATTCCATTGCAATAATATTAAACCCCCGCTCTGTTAGAGAATAAAATCATTGGAAAAATTCTTATTTTTTTGGGTAAAATCCCATTTTTAGGCAAATAAAATTTTTATGATAAAAATATCTTGATATATGCAATTTTAAACATCTTGCATTTTAAAACATATTTTACAAATTAAATTAATTTTTATTTTTTAATTTTTGTAATTGGGATTTTTAAAGAGCTTACTGAGAGAGGAAGGATTAAGCAAAGTTATAGAAAGCGTGCCAGATGAAGTAGAAAGAATTATCGAGCTGAAAATTATTGATTCTTTATTAGAATCTTTAGGAGAGCATTCAATTATCATTGTAAATACTTCATTAATGTGCTTGTCACATATGATTAGGTCTGGAGAAAATAAAGATAAATCGGAAAACCCTTTTGTAGCAGCATGCAAAAGCTCTGATTTTTTTAATTACTTACAAAAGCAGGCAGATATTTTATTTTTCTATTTTCTAATTATTTTTTCTCAAAACTAATAATTCATTATATATACCCTTTGAATCAGTAAAACAAAATTTTCTTTATTATCAGGATGCCGAGTTAGAGCAATTAGCTGAAAGAAATTCTCTTGCAAAATCTCTCTGTGTGCAATGCTTAAAAAATGAAGAAGCAATGAGCTCTATTTATATGGAAGATCTTGAAATGATGCGAAAATCCGAAAAAATGGCACTTAAAGAAAGTTTGCAATCTGTAGATGGAGGAGAGGAAGTAGAGTTTACTGTTAATAAAGAATTCAATTTGATGTTTAGACCAGAAGACATCGAAGGACAATGCTCTAATGAAAAAGATGTTGAGGAATTTGAATTTGAAACATCACTGCACAACAATTTCGGTAGAAATAATAATAAAAAAGCGCTTTTTAATACCTCCAATAATTCCATAAATAATAAAGACAAAGATTGCAAGGAAGCAAATACTTTAAAGCCAATTTCTATATGCATTGAATCACCGAATTCTACCGTAAAATTTGAAGAAAAAGGAGAAGCTAGCAATAAAACTACAAAAAATATTGCTCTGACATCAAATAATCATAAATTCAACATATCTTTAAGTACCCTAACAGAGTCGCCTTCAATTTCAATCAAAATTACAGATGAAAAATTATCAGAAAAAGCTCAAACAATGACTGAGAATAAAACTCTTTTAAGCGAAAATCAGTCAATTCCTATAGAAATAAAGCCAAATCCAAAGGGTGAGCTTTCAGTTGATGAAGCATTATTTTATATAGAAATCAAGCCATGTCCTAAAAATGAACTTTTCTTACTCCCCCTTCCGTTTGCGAACAAAACCATTTTGAAAAATCCCTATTTTTTGGCCAAAAACCTACCGTCGTCAACGAAAAAATTTTTGATAGAAAATACATATGAAAAATAAATTTGGAAAACATAGTGATAATTAATATAATGAAATCTCGAGCTAATTCTGTTTAAGTTTTAACAAAACATAAATTTTGCGAATTAAATTAATATTTACTTTCCAATTTTTGAGAATTAAGTTTTTTAAAACCCATTTATATATATAAATTTTTGTAAAAAAAATTAACCCCAACAAATTTTTTTATTCGCTTACGGAAGGGGGAGTTAGAAAAATCCACTTTTACTATAAATATAAAACCAGTTTTAAAGAAGGAAAAATTCTGCATTGAAAAATCACAATCATCAGTAGCAATTAAGCCGAACCTAAAAAGGACAAAATTTTTAATTCAAATTCAGCCATCTTCAATTATCATCGAGCCAACAAAGAATAAAGTTACTAATGTAATTACTAGCAAACCAGCTTTAGAAGCCTCTCCTAATCCAAAAACTCCTGAAAAAGTTGAAAAGCAAGTGGAAGAAGTTAAAACTCCTAAAACCAGCAAAGTCTCCAATTCAGCTACAACTCTGGCGAGTATAGATTCTTCTCCAAAAACTCCAAATACAACATCATCGTCACCTGAAAGATATAGAGAAAGTACTTATTCCTACTCTCAAGCATCAACAACACCATCATATTCTTACCTTCCTTCAACCTATAGTCAATCTTCAATCTCGAGATCTTCTACTTATTCCGATTATTCTTATACTAGCAGCTCCCCGAGCTGGGCAAGTACCTTTACAGGAAGCGCGACAAGGGAATGGAATGGAAACATGTATAGGCCAAAAAAGAAAGATGGGACTCCAGATATGAGATACAAAGCAAACTACAGATAATTAACTAAATACATAAATAAAAAGGAAACTTATATTAATTTTGAGCTCATTTTTATTAGAAGCTAATTAGTAGATAATAAAAATGAACTCTTTAGCAATTAGGTGGAAGCAGAAAATACGAAAATTAAAAGTAGGGAATGCACACAAACTGAGAGTTTAGAAGTTAAAGGGGCGATTACCAGCTAATAATAATTATAATGACTTAAAAATCATAGAAATACTTAATTTCCTATAAAATTAAATCTCCATATTATAAAAATCTTTATAATAATATTAATGGTTTCTATCAAGACATTTGGTAGCCAGTCAGCTACAGTCTCAAGCCAAACAACCTCAGAAAAGCTTCAGCCTCCATCTGAGTACCTTGACTATTTAAATAAGCGAGGAGAATCAATCCAAGACTTTGACCTCAAAAAGCAATATTTTAAAGAAATCCTCAATGTCTACAAAAACTCTAAAATGCAAATAAGCCTTCCTTCAATTGCACAAATGATCAATTTTGATGATGAACCAATAATTATTGAAGCAATCGACGTTCTAAGCCTTATGCTTCAAAATAATGATGAATCCATTAATGCAATGATTTATAATGGAGTCCTTATAGATTTACTCAAATTGTGCGGAAATAAGTCCTCAGAAAAAATTATCAAAGCAGCTATCAGCTTTTTACTAGAAATCATAGAAATTAGTGAACAAGCAAGATTTCTTTTGTACTTTTCAGGGAAAAAGGAAACACTTGCAAAGTTAATAATGGCTGAAAACAAACTAATAAGCACAAAAGCCATTGACATTATTTATAAAGTCTATTATCCAAATGAAGATGCTATTCGAAAGCTATTTTCACATGAAAAATTATCCATTTCTAAAGAAACTAATGAATCCAAAGGTTGGATAAATAACTATTCCATTGCAATAATATTAAGCAAAGTTATAGAAAGCGTGCCAGATGAAGTGGAAAGAATTATCGAGCTTAAAATTATTGATTCTTTATTAGAATCTTTAGGAGAACATTCAATTATTATTGTAAATACTTCATTAATGTGCTTGTCATATATGATAAGGTTTGGGAAATAAAGATAAATCGGAAAACCCTTTTGTAGCAGCATGCAAAAACTCTGAATTTTTTATTTACTTACAAAAGCAGGTAGATATTTTATTTTCTATTTTCTAATAATTGCTTATATATATCAATAATTTCTATGATTATTTTTTATATCATTTTTTAATTATCATAAGTCTAATGAAAAAGATTTTCTAAAATTCAGGACGCAGAATTAGAGCAATTAGCTGAAAAAAATTCTCTTGCGAAATCTATCTGCGAGCAGTGCTTAAAAAACGAAGAAGCAATGAGTTCTATTTATATGGAAGATCTTGAAATGATACGAAAATCCGAAAAAATGGCTCTTACTCCTCCGTGAAAGAACAAAACATTAGAAATATATTTTTTAGGTAAAAGCCTACCATATACAAGCAAATAAAAATTTTAATATAAAAAATATTTTATATATAGGTGACTATTATAATGTAATCTCTAGCTGATTCTCTTTAATTTTAAGCAGTTGCATAATAAAATATAAATTTCACAAATTTTTACCTATTTGGGAATTATTTAAGTTTGAAAAAAAATTAAAACACTCTAATTGTTTGTTCGCTTATGGAGGGGTGTGAGGAGTTAGAGAAGGCTTGCAATCTGTAGATGGAGGAGAGGAAGTAGAGTTTACTGTTAATAAAGAATTCAATTTAATGTTTAGGCCAGAAGAAATTGAAGCAGAATGTTCTATCGAAAAAAATGCTGAGGAATATGAATTTGAAACCTCACTAAATAACAATTTTAAAAGAAGTGGCAATAAAAAAACATTTTTAAATGCTTCTAATAGTTCCATCAAAAATAAAGAAGAAAATTATATATGTTTAAAGGAAGCAAATACTTTAAAGCCAATTTCTATATGCATTGAATCACCGAATTCTACTGTAAAATTTGAAGAAAAAGGGGAAGCTAGCAATAAAACTACAAAAAATATTGCTCTGACATCAAATAATCATAAATTCAACATATCTTTAAGTACCCTAACAGAGTCGCCTTCAATTTCAATCAAAATTACAGATGAAAAATTATCAGAAAAAGCTCAAACAATGACTGAGAATAAAACTCTTTTAAGCGAAAATCAGCTAATCCCTATAGAAATAAAGCCAAATCCAAAGGGTGAGCTTTCAGTTGATGAAGCATTATTTTATATAGAAATCAAGCCATGTCCTAAAATTGAACTTTTCTTAGAAAAATCCACGTTTTCTACAAATATTAAGCCAACTTTAAAGAGGGAAAAATTCTCCATTGAAAAATCATCAGTAGCAATTAAGCCGAGCTTAAAAAGCAAAAAATTTTTAATTCAACAGCAAACGTCTTCAATTAGCATCGCACCAGAAAATGCTACAGTAACTAATGTGATTTCTAACAAGCCAGCTTTAGAAGCTTCTCCTAATCCAAAAACTCCTGAAAAAGTTGAAAAACAAGTGGAAGAGGTTAAATCCCAGAAAACTAGCAAGATCTCCAGTTCAGCTACAACTTTGGTGAATATAGATTCTTCTCCAAAAACTCCACATACAGCATCTTCATCTCCAGAAAGATATCAAGAAAGTAATTATTACTACCCTCAGACCTATACAACACCATCATATTCTTACCTTCCTTCATGCTATATTCAATCTTCAATCCCGATATCTTCTACTTATTATGATTATCCTTATGCAAGTAGCACCCCTAGCTGGGAAGAGAGTTTTACAGGAAGCCCAACAAGGGACTCGAACGGAAACTTATATGGACGCAAAAAGAAAGATGGGACACCAGATATGAGATTCAAAGAAAATTATGCTTAGCACATCCAAATCACAGCATGAACTGGGAATTTGGATCACTGTTCCAGTAGATTTAATTAAATTTAATATATGGCTGACATTTGCACCTTTAGAAGACAACTCGCTTGTGGGTTCGTAATTATAATTATAATTTTTAGATATGACTTTCCTAATCTTCTAGATATAAATTACTCAGAGATGCTGCCAGGCATTGCAGAATCATCCACACTTGCAAGAGTACAAAAATTTTAACTTTGTCAGATTAAAGAATCAATTAGAGAAAGCTTGCAATCTGTAGATGGAGGAGAGGAAATAGAGTTTACTTTAAATAAAGAATTCAATTTGATGTTTAGACCAGAAGAGCATCTTCATCTCCAGAAGATATAAAGAAAGTACTTATTCCTACTCTCAGACCTTTACAACACCATCATATGCTTACCTTCCTTCATGCTATATTCAATATTCAATCCCGAGATCTCCTACTTATTCCGATTATCCTTATGCTAGTAGCTACCCTAGCTGGGCAGACAGTTTTACAGAAAGCCCAACAAGGGACTCGAATGGAAACTTATATGGACGCAAAAAGAAAGATGGGACACCAGATATGAGATTCAAAGAAAAATTATGCTTAGTTAACTAAATAAATAATAAATAAATAGAAAACTTATATTAATTTTGAGCTCAAATTTATTAGAAGGTAATTAGCAGATAATAAAAATGGGCTCTTCTCAATCTTATGGTAAAAACGCGGGAGATACTTTTTACCAAAATCATCCTGAAAGCATTAATTTACAATGAAAAAGCATAGAAAACCTCATTAATCAAATAAAAGCATCTGACATAAAAGAACATAAGCTAAAAGCTTTCGCAGAAATTTTAACTATTTGCAGTAGCCCCAATTTCCTATCAGCCTCACAAATTCTCCCATCATTTGAGATTATGTTTAGCTTTTGCGACGAAGATTTAATTTTAGATACTATAGATCTTCTATTAAATCACATACAAGCATATCCCGAATCCATAAATTTTCTTATTAGCCACGGACTTCTTCAGGACCTCTCTAAGCTATGCACAATTGGATCAGAAGAAATAGCCGAGGCCTCAATTAAATTTTTAAAAGAAGTTACAGAGAGTAATGAAGATGCAAGACTTATCCTGTATTTTTCAGGCACAATTGAAATTTTATCGAAACTAATAATTTCCGAAAATTTAGAAATTAGAACTAATGCAATTGATATTATATATGCTATAGTACATTAAATACTTACTCCCCAATAATATATTTAAACAGTTTTATAGTTAAATCAATAATTTTTTTTAAATTATTTCTACGTAAAAATAAATTAAAAATTAAAAGTATTGCTCTCGTTTATATTTTTTTAAGGTTTTAAGAGAAAATTTTAAATATAATTTTTTGAAGCAAAAATTTAACCCTCTTATTGGAATCCAATTTAAAGGCGGGTTTAAAAATTATAGGTATTACTACCTATTTTATTAGTTAACAAATTTTGTTGAGTTTTAAAATATCTATAAAATTTGTGCCAAAATATTTAAAAAAATATACAAAGTATACTATCCTAATGAAATTACGTTGGGAAAGCTCATTTCTTCAGAAACGCTTACAAATTTAATCACGACTGCAAAATCAAGCTACTGAATTGACAGATTTTCTATTGCTGTTATTCTGGACAAAACTATTGAAGTAGGGTCTGAAGAGCAAATAGAAAAAATCATTGAGCTCGGAGTCCTTGATTCTTTATTGGAAAATCTAACCAGCGAGTCTGTATTTTTAATAAACTCCTCACTAAATTGCCTTGAGAGGATCCTTGAAATTGGTGAAAAGGACAGAATGGAAAATCCTTATAAAATTTTGTGCAAAAAATCTCCCTATTTTGGAATAATAGAGGAGCTATCAGAGAATAATTCTTTAGCCAAAGCAATTTGTGAAAAATATTTTTCCAATAAAAAGATGATCAGGTTAAATGAATTTGTGAATTTTGCAATACAAGAGTCTAGCATCAGAGAAGAGGAATCTGATGGAGACTTTTCAAGCACAGATGAAAGTATTAAAGATTAATAATAATTTAATCCTTAAATCTTTAATCAAAATAATAATTCATTTTAGCTTTAGAGATAATCATTTAAGAAATGATTAATTGAAAATTAAAGCAAAAAGAATAATAAGTTGTGAAAAATTATATGAGAAAATACTTGAAGGTTCGAGCCTAATTAGAGCTTGAACTCAGTGTTATATACAGTTTCATCTCAAATTAGTAAAATCTAATATGTTTCTGGACATTATCTTTAATGTATTACTTTCAAGACTCCAGCAGCTTTATAATCTGTAACTTTAAGATAATCTTCTAGTGTTAAGATATTGCATTTTTAATATATAATTAACTTATTAGATAAATCAATTTATTATCTTAAACCCAGATAATTCTATTAATTTTCAATCAATTCTAGACATTAACAATTTCGAATTCATGCAATTTATCATATAGGTCTTTTAAAAAGATTCTTTTTCTCCACAAAGACTTTCTAATTAATTCAGGTTCTTGCTGTAAACCACGCCATACTTCTATCATATATTATGGCAATACCCTGATGATTTTCTATTTGCCTATAAGTAAAAGAAAGCGAACCCTTCTGAAGGTCCTACTAAGGAAACAAGCATAGTTCTTTCTTTAATATATTTTGAATATAGAGAAGGATGCTTTAGCTCTATTTTTAAACTTCTCATCTCGATGTTGTAAAGGAAATCTTGGAGCCCAATAATTTTAGAGGCACAGTATTTGGTGATGCAGGAGCCATGGAAAGAATTTTTAATGCTGAAGGATATCGTATATTATCGTATATTAATAGACGATGAGCTCCAAGACTAGATAAAATACAATTAATACATTAACTTAATTAGATAAAATATATGAAAAGCGGAAAAGAATTATTTATAGAAACCAGAGATAAGCTTATACAAGCTAGGCTAATTTTAGAGAGCTCAATAGAAACTCCTACTATAAAATATCTATCAGAAGGTGAAGAAAAAGTATACGATTTAAGTACTTATATAGAAGATTACTTTACTTTGTTGCATAACGTTCCGACTTATGTAAGCGATGATTCTTATGTGCTAAAGTATGTACCGAACATTAAAGAACTTATTACTAATCTTCGCGAGAGTTTTAAATCACCAGAAAACTCTAGTGCAATTGATATTGAGCATAATGTAGAAGTGCAAATGCTTTCTAAAATATTTTCTGAAGAATGAGCTAATAAACGTTTAATAAAGTATATATATTACCAAGCTTTTACAGAATGGCTGAAAGAGATTGGATTTAACTATTTTAAATATCTAGTCCCTTGACTTCCTAATGAAGACAGGGTACTTCATGACGCCAGAATCATAGGAATTGCAATTTACGAAGCTTTAAATCAAGAAGCACAGCATGAAGAAACTCCTATTCTTGGAGATGACATAATACAAGAAGACATGATATAGCAGATTTTTTAGAAAGTCTCTAAAATGCAAGAAAAGATAAAATTAACTAAAAATCCATTAAAAAACAATTAAATCTTAATCTTTTAGCTTACAAATTGGCAACATTTTCCATAAAATTTGTAGTGTATATAAAATTGGAAATTTTTTTTTCTAATTCCCCCTCCATGAGCAAACAAAAAAATTTTACTATGGGTTAAAGTTTTTTAAATATAAATTTTATAGTAAATGCTTTTTCAACAATTGGAAAGCAAATATTTCTTTAATTTACAATATTTATGTTTTAAAATGCAAGTTGTTTAAAATTAAACAGAATTAGCAAGAGATTTCATTATACTAATTATTACTTATATATCAAAATTAGTTTTCATAACAAATTTTTCAGAAAAAATAGTGATTTTTCCAAAATTTTGTTCGCTCACACGGGAGGGGACATAAAACCAAAAATAACTGAATTCTTTGCATCAATACAGGGTAAATTTAGCTTTAATTTCTACTTTAATATTAGCTTATTAACCTTTCACTTATTTTACGTAAATTATATTGAATAATTTATCAAAAATCATCTCTGTTTTAATTATCTGTTTTGCTACCTCGGCAGTTTTACATCCATTTTAGAAGGGTTATCAAAAATATATAAGGCAGATTAGGCCGCTTTCTTTGGAATAATGCTATATACAGCTCTAGATTTAAATCTCCCTTCACTTCTTCAGAACCCAAAACAGTTTCAAAACTTAGAGAAATAGCATCAGCAATTCCCAGTAAGCTTGAACATCTTCTGATGGCACTCGAAGTGACATCAGGCGCAATCCATAGCCAAATAGTCTAACAAAAACTGCTTTAATTGACGAGCAGTTGAAAAAATTCACAAAATTATTATTGTTGCCTAATAAATATGACTATTTATACTCGTACCTAGAGTTCATTAAAAGTGATAAAATTGCTCTGAGCTGAGATTTGACCCCAAAATTAAAATTGCTTTAAGAACAGCCCAAGCTTGCTAAAGGTATTTCAAGAAAGAATGTAAGTATGACTACTCTTTGAAATAGAGAGTTATAAGATATAGGGTAGGAAAATGCGAAAGGGGTTTTTGAGCTTGCAGGAGGAGATGAAAGCATGATGATTTACCTTGAAAATCAATAACCTAATATAGCTGCAACTGTTTTAGAGCTTGCAGGAGGAGATGAAAGCATGATGATTTACCTTGAAAATCAATAACCTAATATAGCTGCAACTGTTTTAGAGTTCCCTGAGCTCATGCTTATTTTGTAGGAAAAACATAGAAAGTCATAATTCTCAAGAATCATAAAGGAAATGTTTTAAATTTGTCCCTACAGGATATGATTGTGCTACTATTAAGCATGCATATAATTAAATATGGCGCCTCAGCCTAGGCATGACCTCCGGGCCATGCAACTTTCAGCAAATATGTAATTATATCCGCCAAGACTTATCGGGCACTTCACCACCGTGAAACCGGGGATTATGGCCTGGGCTACAAGTTTTTCGTTTTTGTGACGGTCGGCCAGAAAAATCCATTTTTTGATTTTCTGCGCAGGCAACTCATCGCTGCAGCCTGAAGCAAGGCCCAGGAACCCGTAGTCTGCCCACTCAAAAACTGGAGAAGGTGACGGCCAGAACCGCAATTCCGGCAATCAGAAGTAGATGTTACCGCGAAGCGAATGAATCCCTGGTTGGATCCTCGGTAGCCGAGCTTTAAAGTGGATTCTAGCCCTCGTAATAAGAAAGCTATTAAGTATGAATTAACTAGGTAGGATGATGAGAAATCTAAATTGCTCTTTCCAATATTAGAGCAGCTTTAAGGAGCGGAGAAAAGCTTAAGTAGCTTGGTATTTTTGGAGGAGAAAGCATTAGAATTAAATTAATTATAGATTAGTGCTCTTTCTCCTTTATATCTAATCCGAGATAAGTCTTTGTAGAAGACTTGCTCAGCTGCTAGCGAATCTCCTTGGCTATGTCAACATTTTCACCAGAGATAGCTCTCCTCTGGCTTTTGGCCTGGCTCTTAATGCTATCTCGGAGCCTTGGAGTATGAAGATTTGGGACTTGACTACTGCTGCTTGAATTGCTAGAATTCCAGCTAGGGATAAACTCCCTAGCTAGTATTGGTGCCAGCTATGACCTCGTCGCCGGCACAGTTATCTCTAGGGGTAAAAGCCTTTTTTCCCCAAATGTCTATCGGGAAGACACAAAGTCATTGCCCGATGAGGGAGGCAAAACCCAACCAAACTGAAATGCCCAGCACTCTTAGACTTAACTCAGTTTCCTGCTCGGTTTGGCTCAATATAGCAGAAAAGTACCCAAACTCGAAGCAGTCCGAGATAGGACGGGTTGGTGTCATCACCATTTATTCGTTTGTAGGAGTTATTTTTGGAGCAGAAATATCCATTTGTTGACCGCTACAATGGAACTGTGAGGTCTTTGGAAGAGGCCAAAAAATAAATTACAGAAGCTGGGTTTATTGTAAATTTTGTAGAGGGATGAATTGGTCAATATTAATATGTAAATCGAGTATGTAGCACATACAAATGCTACCTAAATTATAATTTATGCTAATTGCATTAGAAAATTTCATATTAATATGAAATTCTAAATATTTTTAAAATTTAATAATAAAATCAGTCAACTTTTCATTATAACTGACATTTTTTTCACTTGGTCATTTTTTGTCCGATTATAAATGGAACAAACAGAAGCATTATCAAAAATTTATAAGGCTGCTTATGCACCTTTTTTTGGAATTATGCTCTATACAGCTCTCGACTTAAACCTCCCCTCACTTCTTCAGCAACCAAAAACTGTTTCTGAACTTGCAGAACTGACATCAGCTCTTCCCAATAAACTCGATCGTCTTCTTATGGCACTAGAAGTTGATGGCTATTTCAGTTTTAACCCAGAAACAAATCAATGGTCAAACAGTCCAACCACAGCTGTCTTAACAGAAGAGTCCTTGAAAAGACTAATAAAATATTTATTTTGGCCTTTTAAATATGACATTTTATGTTCCTTCCCAGAATGGGTCAAATCTGAAAAATCATGCCCAGAACTGCGATTTGGCTGCCATTATTATGAAGGCTTTAAAAATAACCCTGAGCTCTTAAAAACATTTCAAGGTGGAATGCAAAGTATGACAACTGTCTGAAACAGTGGGTCAAAAGATATAGGAGTTGGTGACTGTGAGCGTGTCTTAGAGATCGCAGGAGGTAATGGTAGCTTTATGATACATTTTGCCAGCCAGTACCCTAAAATGATAGCAACTGTTTTAGAGCGTCCTGAAGTCGTCCCTATTTGCAGGAGAAATATAGAAAACCATAATTTGCAAGACAGAATTTCTGTTATAGAAGGAGACATGTTTGAAAATGTCCCGTCAGGCTATGATTGTATCATAATAAAACATGCACTTATTGATTGGGAAAATGATAAAGTCAAAACTGTTCTGGCGAATATTAGGTCGGCGTTAAATGTAGGAGGGAAACTTAAGTGGTTTGATGTTTTTGGAGGGAGAAATACTAGGAATTATTTTTGGAGCAGGGTTATGGATATGCATTTAGGGACTATTTTGAATGGGAGAGTAAGAACATTAGAAGAAGTGGAAAAACTGCTTACAGAAAGCGGGTTTAGGATGGAAAACATTGAAATTTTTACTCGAGATGAGTTTGTTAATGAAGAGATGGAGATAAACCCTGAAGCCTCTGAGTATATTGCACATGCAGTGGCTATATAAAGTTAGATATATAATAAATGTGAAAAAGATAAGGAATATAATAAATGGTACTGATAAGCAGCGGAAATAAAGTAAAGAGGTTTTGTCTATATTTTATTATAAAAATACGGCAAGACTTGTTAAAATGTTAATTCGACTTGATATTAAAAAAGTCTAAAAGCGACGGATCAGAAAATTATAATTTATTGATATCCTGAAATTATCATAAATTTTTATCACTGGAATATCATATCTCAGTAACAATTTAATTACTTAAATATCAAGGCTGCATTATTTACTAATTTATTTCCTTATATTTCCTTATTGTATTTAAATGAATCGTTTGCTGTATAATCGTTAAAATTAATTGTGGTTTTTCAACTCATTTCTCAATGCGGCAGCAAAATCATCTTCTATTACGTCATCTTCCCATTCTTCTTCCCATTCTTTTAAGGTCTCTTGATTTATTTCTTCTCGGTTCTTATAAAGTTCGAACTCCTCAAATTCTTCGTCTTCTTCAATGATTAGCTGTGCTTCTTCTTTTTTGGGTGAAGGCTGAGTCTCAATTTCCATAGCAGACATTTTGGTAAAATTATTAATAGTGTTTGGGAATTATAAATGAAGCTATCTAATGACTATAAAATAAATTTATTTTTCTGAAATTTCATTATTTATATCATAAATTCTTCACTGATTTCTCCTTTAAATCTTTTTTGAATCTCATCTTCGCTTCCTTCACATTTTCTTTTCATCGGCTTGAATTCTTTTTCGTTTTCTTCATCACTTTCAAAGCCCAAAGGACTTGAAAATGATTCATCACTCGCAAGTTCTGTAGGATTTAGTTTCAGACTATTCGGAGATGAAATTCCTTGACTTTTCTGCTTGTCAAAAGCATTTATTAAGTCCTCAAAGCAGCTCTTTAGCTTTACGTTTTCTATATTTTCTACATGCTTTGTTATGACGTGCTCTATTAGGCTAGGGGAATTTGTTTTTCTTATAGACTCAAATAAAGCCAAAATTGAATGAAAAACCATGTTTTCTTTTTCACCATTATCTATAAAAACTTGAAAAATTTTGGCAAAGCAGTTCCGAGAGATAATAAAGCGATTTATGAATTGGTCATTTTTCTCTATAACTGTACGGAAAAATCTTAAAATAGCAATTTTTAGAGGATTGTCTGGGATTTCTAAGAGGCTTACAACTTTTTGTATGACTTCGTGGAAAATTAAAAAATATCGGATTCGGCAGCTGTGGCTTTGGACGCATTGGCTTAGTATAGACAAAATTTCAAAAATATTGTCTCTTGAAGAAGTAATGATGTTTGCATCTGCTGAGAACTTTTTGATGAATTCATATAAAACAGTGTCATATAAAATTTCGTAAAGGGAGTTTGAGCTTTGATCTTCATCTCCGTCCAATAAATTTCTTAAAAATTCACCTATGAGCTGCAATGAGCTAATTTCAGGAGAATTGTATTGTATTAGATTAAGATTGATATTTTAGGATTTTTTATTAAATAGATCATTTCTACCCAGAAATGTGATGATTTTTTTTAGAGTTAATAAATTAAAGCATATCATTTCTTTGCAGAAATCAGCAAGAAATGGGATATCAGGTGACTTTTTGCAGGATTCATAGAAAAACTGTTTCATAATAAAAGGTGATATAGCCCGATTTTCCTTTTGGTTTGATCTATAACCGCATGGAGTTGAAAACCATTTTTTGATAAAGCCGCCTCCCAGATAGTAAAATCTCAGCAGTAAATAAATTTGTCGCCTGCGTATGTATTTTTAGCAAATAAAGCTGACATCGGAAGAAATTGGCATAACCCGGGCCAAAATTAGTCTCAGACTCTATTTGCATAATTCCTAAAAAAAATTCAGCAACCATTCCTCTAAACTTTATTTTTTGCTCCTCAGTCCATTCATTTTTGCTTCAATTTTCTTCTATTATTTCTAAAATATCATCTGCTACAATTGTATCATAAAATTTTGATCTAATCGCAATATTTGCTGATTTAGCAATATTTATAAGCTCATAAAAGAATAAAACTGAATTAAAATCTTTTGCTTTGAGTTTCAATATAAGACTAGCTCGTATATTTCCTGAGTCTATAAAACAGCTAATAATTTCATTAAACTCATATATTTGGTAACTTGACAAGAAATATACAGTTGACTCTTCAAGCCCTCTAGAAGACTGAGACTCCTTTAAAAATCCTAGCCTAAAAGCAGCGTGAATTTTAGCCAAAAAATCTTTGTCAGTTATATTGAGTGGGTTAATAAACTTTACGTCATTTTTAAACATTTGTAAATATTGTGTGCATTTTACAGATGGGTCATAGTCCATTGCTCCAATAAATGAGAAAAAATTCTCATCAGAAAGAAGGTCTTCTAATATAGAATTATCTGAAAATTGTAATAGGATTTTGTATATTCTTTTTAAAATTAATTCTACAAAAGGTTCTTTTCTATATTTATATATATTAATGATATAGACGAGCTTCTTTTTGGCTTGGGCTATATTAAAAAGTATACCAAAAAGAATTTTTCCAGAATTTCTTTGTTTTCTTTGCTTTTTGACAGTTGGAACTCTTGGCTAAGCTTTCTAATAAACCCATCATTTATTATAGCTTGAGTATTATTGGCCCGATTTGAAGCATTTAAATCGCTTAAAATCTCAATAACTTCAGTCAAATTCTCTTCATTTGGCTGTGGCAATGCTTGAATTTTCTGAATATTTGGATCCCGCCCTTGTATAGATAAAAAATTTTCTCATGTTATTTGGGCACCAACAGGGTCTTGAAAACTTACAGCGTACGTGCAATGATTATTGCGGCTCTATAACATTTAGTCGGGACTTTTTGCTAGAGACATTCCTTAAAATTTGGCCACAATTTTTTCCTCATGAGGCATCTGCTCACTCCCCTTCATGAGGAAGCTAAACAATTGGAAAAATAGCTATTTTTTGCCCAAAAACCCATAGTATGTTAGTGATCAAAAATTATTTAAAAAAAAATATTTTAATATATAATTATAATAGAATTTCTAGCTAATTCGGCTTAATTTTAAACAGCTTGCATTTTAAAGCATAAATTTTATAAATTAAATTAATTTATTTTTCAAATTTTGCGAATTGGGATTTTACTATAAATCTATATAATTTTTTTTAAAAAAAAAAATTAACCCGCTCGGTGATGAGCAAAATTTTTTTGTTCTCTCACAAAGGGATGGAGTCAGAAAAAAGTTTCAAATTTCGATAATTCACGAGGGAAAAATTTCGACCAGATGTCCTAAAGATAATATCTCACTAGCCAAAAGTCCAGAGAAAAAAGTTTAGCACCTGTTATTGTAAGAAATTGTTATAATTGAGTCGTCCTGTCTGCTGTAAACTTCATCACCGACTTGGTAACCAAGCAGAAATGTGTTGTCATCCTCGCTGAAAATTTCAAAAAAATTGTCTGATATTTTGGCTTCACCGATTCCCAGATCTTCCCATTGGCCTTCACTGGAAAGCTCATATAGCTTGACTCTCCAAGTTTTATCGTTCATTTTAAAATGGTTTAATAAGCTTGGTTTTGGGCTGAAATTTATAGTTAATAGAATATTAAGAAGGAATTTGAGTACAACGAAAATTTGCTAATATTTTGACAAATATTTCTTAAAACAATAAAAAATAGTAATAAAAAAGCTTTTAAATATACCAAGAAATCCCAAAGCATTTATATATTTAATAAACATTTGAAAGTTCTATTGATCTTGTTTCTTCATAATTATTTCTTAATTCTAAAATAATCATTATTTTATTTATTTTACGTTTTATCACGCCCAAGGCGTCTTAATTTTTTGCTTTTCGTAATTATCTTGATAAATTCCTTAGCATGAGCATCAATTTCGTCAGCCTGACTCCTTGTCAATTCCAGCTTGTTCTTTTTTTCTTCATATCTTCAAGAATCCAGCACAACATCCATCAAATTCAAATCTTCATCACTATCTATGCATGTCTTCAAATTCATTAGTAATTTCGTTCTTTCGTTATTAAACCTTGGACAATCTTTTATTAAATGCTTTTCATCCTGTATTTGTCAGTCGCAATGTTCACATATCGTATTTTTCGTCTGATGCCTTATAAATTTGCACAAGTTCGTGCAGTTAAAACCTACTCTTAACCTGAAAAGTTCCCTTGCGCCGTTCACATCTTTAGGATTTAGCTTTGTGTATTCAGCCATTTTCAGGTAACAGCATTCATATCGCAAAATAGTGTCGTGGTTTTTCAGGGAAATAATCATTATAGATTGATTATTTTTTATTTACTTTAATCAGATATTTTGACCTTATTTTCCTACAAAAATTTATATCTTTCTATCATAATCCTTACTTCCTCATATAAACTGAAATAAACTTAGCAGCCAAAGATCCCATATTTTGCATTTTCTGTACAAGCCTAAATATTCTCTCCACTAAATTCCCAATTAAATAATGGACGAAGAGCAGGAAAAGTACCTTGAAGAATCAGTCACCATCGTTAAACAAGAAGCTTTCCAAATGCAAAAAGCACTAGATTCATCAAATATGCCAGAGGTTCTTAAGCATGCAGCGATTATGATACACCTTTTACTATTAATAAAACATAGTAAATAGTAATTATTAAAAAGATTTAATTTATTATAAATAAATGTATCAGAACTCCGAGCCTCTCTGCTCTCACCAAAAGCGTATTTTGAGCTATATATGCAGGTTTTCGACCAGATGAGCAGACTTGAGTCATATTTCATGGAAGAGCACCGTAGGACTGGAAAAATTGCAGAAATTTACGAAAAAATCCAGCACACTACAAATATTTTGCCAAGATTGTACCTGTTGGTGGCAGCTGGGTCCGTTTACATTAAAACAAGAGAACTGACGGCAAAAGATGTGCTGAAAGACTTGATAGAAATGATTAAAGGAGTCCAGCATCCTATGAGAGGGCTGTTTTTAAGATATTATCCCTGCTGAAAATAATAGTCAGAATATTTTTAATAAAAAATAAGGCATATAAGCTAGTTTATATAACTATATCTTAATAAAGTCTGCAAGGACAAATTGCCTGACAAAGGCTCAGAATACGAAGATTCTGGCGACGTGACTGATTCAGTCGATTTCTTATTACAAAATCTCTCAGAAATGAACAGACTTTGGGTAAGAATGCAGCATACAGGCACTGTCAGGGACAAAACCAAGCGTGAAAAAGAAAGAAGCGACTTAAAAGTGACTGTCGGAGAAAACATTGTCAGGCTTTCTAATCTACAAGGCGTCAATTTAGAGCTGTACCAAAGCGTGGTTTTGCCAAGAATCATAGAAATCGTTACTTCCAGCAAGGACGCGATTTCTCAGCAGTATTTAATGGACTGTATAATCCAAGCCTTCCCTGATGACTATCACCTGCATACTCTTGAGCTTCTGTTAGAAGCCTGCACCCAGCTGCAGCCAGCTGTAGAAATTAAAGGAATTTTCATCAACTTGTTAACGAGAATTGCAGATTTTGCGAAAGAGGCAGATTTGGAGATAGTCCAGAGGGTTAATATTTTTGACCTGGTTAAAACTTATTCTGATACCATAAGGTAAAAAATTTTAAAATATAGAATTAATTTGACTATATTCATAAATAATGGAATATATTGATAAAATAATCCAAGAACAAAGCAACCCAGCTGATACTGCCAAGTTTTTAGAGCTAAATGCAGCATTTTTACGTTTATCATTAAGGTGTTATCCAGATAACATTAATTATGTCAATTTGATTTTGGATTCCTGCGTCACTTTAATTGACAAAAATCAGTCTGATGGAAGACTTGATCAAGAATCATTGAAAACGATAGTGAAACTGCTATCACATCCATTAGAATCTTTATCCTTACTCCCCCCCCCCCCTCCGTGAGCGAACAAAAAAATTTTGTTCGCTCACGGAGGGGGGTTAATTTTTTTTTTTTAAAAAAATTTATATATAAATTTTTATAAAAAATATTTTTTTCGAAATTTAAAAAAATCCTAATTTGCAAAATTTATGTTTTAAAACGCAATTTGTTTAAAATTAAACAGAATTAGCTCTAGATTTCATTATACTAATTATCACTTATATATCAAAATTTTTTTTCATTAAAATTTTTTCTATTAAAAAAATTTTTGTTCACTCACGGAGGGTGGGTTTTTGGTCAAAAAATGGCGATTTTTCTAATGGTTTTGTTCGCTCACGGAGGGGGGGGGGGAGTTAGCGATCTTATCAATGAGTAACTATCCAAAACTAATGAACTACTTGCAGTTCCAATCAAGAAAACAAGTAGCCTTCAAAATAGTCAAAGCTGTGGTCGCAAATAAGGTAGAATTATCAGACGTGGACACCGTTGAAAAATTAATTATACTATTTTATGCTATTTTAATACATTTTTTTATTAATAAAATTGATATTTTATAAGTAAATTAGGGTATTAATTTGCTATTGTTATAGGTAAAACATATTAAAACAATATAGCTATATTTCTTCATTGCTAGTTGATGCTAATGGTTTTTTATTTTTTTTAAAAATATTTTTAAAAAAAAAAAAAAATTTAAAAATATTGCAATGCTAATGATACAACAGAATCAGAAGCCTATGAGTTTGAAGATGAGCAGCAAGGGGTCGCAAAAATAATTTTCTTAATTAAAGGACCTGATGTGAAAACCCATTTCCATCTCCTTCACATTTTTAGAACTAAACTTTCACAAGGAGGAAACAGAAGAATTAAATACACTTATCCAGCACTTTTATTCAAATATATCAAGCTAGTTCCTAACCTTGACAGCAACGACTCTGAAATCACTTTTCACCACATTCTGAAGATTTTACTATACCTTCCATAATTGAATTTTATCAAAAATTACTTTTTTTTAAAAAAAAATTATCAATAAATTTTTTATATTATTATTAATGTAAAAGAGCTTACAACTTGTCAATAAAATCATAGAAGTCGACCCAGAACTCGGCCTAAAGTTAAGCTTACAATGTGCCCTTTGCATTCACAACCACGACCCAGAAAAGACCCATGAAGAAATCGCTTACGAATTCATATCTCAAGCCCTCATTTTATACCAAGACGAGCTTACTGATGCCGCCGCAAAATCCAACGCAATTACCCTGGCATTATCAACATTAGCCTACGTAAACTGCTTTGAAGAAGAAAACTCAGAAACCCTTGTCCACAATACAGCCCAATACGCCCACAAGCAGTCTACAAAAACTGCCGAAGTCCGCGGTGCTTTACTAGCTACTGAACTATTTTGGACTGAAGCCGTCAGAAATGACCAAAGAGTTTTGCATTATCTCAAAAGGGCGGAAAAATGTGCTGAGAATATTGGAAGTACCAATGAAGGCGTCATGCTGCTTATTGACACTTTGAATAAGTATATCAGTTTCCTACTTAGAGACGTGCCGACTATAGAAATTGACTCAATAAACAACTTGATTTCTAACATCAACAATGGAGTGAAAAAACTAGGAGGTGACGCAAGCCAAGACATCAAAGTTTATCTAGCGAATACAAATAAATATCCTTTTTATTTATGATTTATTAAAAAAAAATTATTTATTTTTTTTATTTTTAATGTAAACATTTATAGCATATATTCGCACAAGACAAGAGGAAGGCAAACTTAAAGGCTTAAAGCTCTAATTTATCTTAATAAATGGCATTCCGCTTAGCACGACTCTTTAGAACTTTTAGCTTTTCTTACCCCCTCCATAGACTCCCGCCACTTTCATATCAACCAGTCCGATTTTTCGCTAGCAAAAAGAAAGGAAAAGACAATGACAAGAAAGGCAAAGGAAAGAATAGAAATCAATCTGACGAAGAAGTTGACGAAGAATTTGACATTGAGCCTATAAAAAAAGACATGGCGAAGCCATTAAAACATTTCGAAGAATGCTTACAAAGAGTCACCCTTTCTAGAGGCGACCCTAGGATTTTTGATGAGCTTTATGTGACTTCTAAGCATGATAATTTGTCAAATCTAGCCCAAGTCGCTATGAGAAATGCTAGTGAGGTTTCTATAAAGCCATTTGATGCTGCAAATACAGACGCTATAATTACAGCTATACAAGCAGCAAATTTGAATGTCAATTGCAGAAAAGAAGGCTCTGGGACTATTTCAGTGTCCATCCCAAAGCCTACAAAAGAGATGAGAAATGAGCTGATAAAGCAAGCTAAACAATATTTAGAAGAAACTAAAAACTCAATTAGGAATCGTCGTACACATGCTTTAAGCCAAATCAAAGATATCACAAGCATAGGCGAAGACGACGTAAAAAATTTACAAAAAGAAGTCCAGAAAATCCATGACAGCATCATCAAAAAAGCGGAAGAAATGCTTGCTGCTAAGGAAAAAGCTATAAATCAAGGATAAACTTAATAAATAATCTACCTATCTTCTTCAGCTTCTGTATCTTCTACGTCTACAACTTTTCCGAGCCCAATGGTCTTGCCCCTATCCCTTAATATGAATTTTCCTATCTGGTTATTTTTGGAGCTTAATTCGACAGCTATCTCGTCATCAATTCTTATTCTCATAATTACCCTTTGATTAGAATATGCATAAGGAATTCTCAGCTTTTTTCCCTTTTTTTCGTCAATTTTGGATGATGCTTTTTGATCTGCACTTTTTGACAGTAAAAAGTTTATTGGAAAATTTTTAGTAAAAAATAATCAAATCTCTATAGGATTTTTACTATAGAATAAAAATAATACACAATTTTGGCTATAACTTCAGAAATTTCGCATTCTTCAAATGCAGCGCGTGCATGAATTAAGCATCTGTAGCCTGAAGAAATCAAAGGTTTGTCGTCTAAAAGGTCTAAAAGCTGCACATCTCCAACAATTTCGTCTGTAGATTTAGAGTAGTCATGGATATCACATATAATAAACCCACGCTGGACGTTGATTTCTTCTGATAGCTTTAGCTTAATTTTTACGATTTCCCCAGAATTTGCATACATAAGGTAATTTTCGTCAGGGTCAATAATATCAATGATTTCTCCTTTTGCTCTTATAGGCATTACCATCACTTTTAAGCCTTTTACCACCTGCCCGCTTTCAATTCTGCCAAAAACAGTTATGCCTTGATCCTTTGTCCTATCTAATATAGGTATCCTTACTCCTCTTCCATAGTATACCATTATTAATCCCTATTTTTTGAAAAAAAAGCCCTCTGTGAATAAACAAAAATTTTTTTATGAAAAATATTTTTGATATGTAAGTGATAATTGGTTGATGAAATCTCTAGCGAATTCTGTTAAATTTCAAGCAGCTTGCATTTAATTTTACAAATAAAAATTTTTGCTTTCCAATTTTTGTAAGTTGGGATTTTTTTTTAATTTTGATAAAAAAATTACTCTTAAAAATAAAAAATTAACCTCACACCCGAGAGAACAAATATTTTGATTGCTTATGGGAGGGGAAGCTAGTGCATTCCCATTTGCCCTTTCAGGTACATTTAAAGTTTCAAGGCTCTCATAAAGGGTCGGGCCTTGATACCAGCCATTTATTTTTTCCACTATATTTAGTCCAGAAATCCCTGCAGTCGGAATCCAGCTTAAATTTTCAGGCTCATATTTACATTTTTCTATCAAAAATTGTGACATTGCAGACTGTATTTGGAAAAAGCGCTCCTGAGACCAATTTACAGATGGGTCGTCCATTTTATTGATAAGGATGATTAATTTGCTGATTCCTAGCCATTTTGCGATATAGTTAAAGGTAAAATGATTATTCTGGTCATAAGTGTGGATCTAACTACTAGTCGTCCCCACCTTGACTCCAAAAACTCGTCTTTTTGGGTTTCCGACCTGAACCATCTGTCCAGGAGATCAGCTCCCTTGGGCAGAGCCATAGTTTGTGAGATGCCCCGATGCTCCTGACAAGGAAAGACCATTTGGTAGGCAAAAATGTTAAGGGACAGCAAAACCTTATGGTAGAAGTAAAACTTCTCTTTTTGGCAAGGCATTCCCAAGCCTGAAGGCCAGTTCAAAAAGGAACAGATGCCCTTTTCAGCTTCATCATAATGGGCGCCTCGGAGCTCACTTTCCGTCAACGTCACCATTTGATTTCTCTTTAGCGATATAGGAATGTTCTCGAGTTTGCCCAGATTTGTCGAAGTCGTTTTCAAACTCTTGGATTCTGGCTGAAATCACAAGTACAGCATAGTCAGAATGAATGGTACCTTCTATCATATTAGGGATAAATGCTTTGTGGCCTGGGGCGTCAAGAATAGAAAGCCGCTTGGTAGAAGTTTCAATAGAAGCTTTTCCGACCTCAATGGTAAGATCACGTTGTCTCTCTTCTGGGTTTTGGTCCATTATATAAGCGGGGCATCAGGCGTCTCGGCCATATTCTTTTGCTTCTTGTTCATAGGCTTCTAAAGTTCTTTGATCAATATTCCCAGTCATTAATAATAAATTCCCACAAATAGTAGATTTGCCTGAATCTAAATGTCCTATAAATAAAACATTAACAGCTGGCTTTACACTTGGCTCAGCTAATTCTGAGGCTTCTTTCAATTTTACAATTAAAGCTTCTTTATCAATTGGCTTTTCAGTGACTATTTTTGGTGTCCTTTTGGCTTTTGTCACAATTTTTTCTTCTTCAACTTCTTGATTTTCATTGACTTCTTTTATCTCAGCTCCAATTTTTAGCATTTTAAAACCTAGCTTTTGTTTTGGCTTAGGAGGCGCTTTCTTTTTGTTTCTGTTTTTTCTGTATTCTTTTCTTTCAAAGTCACTAAAACTGATACAGGTTAAGTCCTGAACATTTCTTGTGACAGGCTTTGATTTGTCTTTGGATTTTCTTTTAGGTTTTGATTTTTCTTTAGATTTTTCTTTCGGTTTGGCAGGATTCTCAATGGGTTCAGCTTCGCTGACAAGTTTATAGCTGTTTAGTCATTCTCTAGTTCCATCTATAATATCAAACATCATAGGATTTCCTAAGTCTCGGTCTACTATGTCTTTGACAATTTGTGTTAAAGATGAAAGAGCGCTTGCATCCAGCTTGTAGAGAGAAACTAAAGAGTATTTTGGAGGCTTTTGAGGATATGTAGGGGTTAAGACTATAGAAAGCTTGACCCCGCATGGGAATTCTTCATTAGAATCAGACTCTATTGTGATATCAAAAGAGGTGTCATTTATCTTTGTAATGATATCTGGATATATCAGTTGGAGAGCATCATACTCTTCAAGCTGCTCTTGATTCATCTTTTATTAGTAAAAACAATGATATAATAGGTGATAATTATGTTAAAATAAATGGGCTGAGAATGTAAAATACTAAGCCTGCCTCACATTTAATAAGCAATACATAAAATATTACACCTATAGATTTTCAATAAAATATTAAAATAATTATGAACAAGCCAAGCAGTTTAGTAGACTCAGCATGGCCTTCAATGGGCTATTCAAGATACACTTACAATGACACTCAAATAATCGCAGCAGTCTATGGCCCATATGAGTCACGTTTCTCTCAAAAAAGTGACTTCCAATCTGCAATCATTGACGTAGTCCTTTCAGACTGCTTATTCAGTATCGATATACTAAATTCCTGGGGATAGCGCGGAATACGCTATCCCCAGGACCAACCGGGATCGGATCCACACATGGAACGGGGGTTCCATGTGTGGATCCATTTTTGACATGCGAGATATTTACTTTCACGTGTCAAAAATGGATCCACACATGGAACCCTCGTTCCATGTGGGATCCGATCCCGGTTGGTCCTGGGGATAGCGTATTCCGCGCTATCCCCAGGAATTTTCTATACTTCTTCTCACGAGCAGATCTTAAAAACCTTTTTTTCTTCAATTATTGACACATCAAAATACCCATACTTGTCCATCATGCTAAATTTCCAAATTTTGTCCCATGGCTGCAATTTGCTGTCATCTTGCATGAATGCTGGGCTTGAAGCACTGAAATTTTCAAATATCGAGCTTAAAACAGAGTTCCTAGCAAGGGAGTATTCTATATCGAGCTCACAAATAGCGCTAGCAATAGTCCCGAAAACTGACATGATCCTGTTCAGTTTCTGCAAAGTCCCTTTAAGTTTTAGTGACTATAAGAAATGCGTGGAAGATCTTTATAAAGAAAGTTTAAATTTAATATAAAAATAACCCATATTTTTAACATGCATGAAATAGAAACTAGCTTATATCTAGGGAGTTTATAGAAACTAGCCTAAATTTGTGCTTAAATTATATTTTTATTGCTTATTTACTATTAAAATGCAGTAATTGCCTAATAATTATTATTATCTTTTATGGTAAATTATATACAAGATGCTGATAATGAAAGATTAATCAGGAAAACTGGGATAAAAAATATTGTCCAAGTCTTAGACAACCCGACATATAACAAAAGATTTAAAGGCATTAAGTATTACTATGTAAGGCTTAGAGATGAGGAAGATGAGAATTTAATTGATGAGCTGCCTGATGCTATTTATTTTATAAATAGACAAATATTAAAAGGAGAAAAAGTTTTAGTGCACTGTGTAGCAGGGGTTTCAAGGAGTCCAGCCATTGTTATTGCATACTTGATGGCTAAGCATAATATTTTTTATGAGGAAGCTTATGGGTTTGTTAAAAGCAAAAGAGACTTTATCCAGCCAAATTTAGGGTTTGAGAAACTTACTTACTTACTTAATTATCTGGTGTTTAAGGTGTCTAGTGCCGCAGCCCAAAAGGGCCTATGGCAAAACTGATGACGTAGGCGAGCCATCTTGGCACAGGTCAGCCCCGTCCAAGCCTTTCTATCAACTCCTGCTTCACCGGCCTTGCTGCACGTCTCACCCGGCGCGTTGCCGTCGCCCTTGTCGCTCAACTCAGCTCCTGCGCGTGTTCCGCCTAAGGGTCATCCTCCCGTGGGGATGTGCTGAGAGGTAAAAGCCCGAAATCTTGAGTGGACTGAGGAGTGGTTCCTCTGGTTATCCCCAGAGTTAAACCGCTATTGCTGTCCAGAAGTCTTCGAGTGAAAACCTAAGGGTTTGAGAAACAATTGATTGAGTATGGGTATCAGAGATTAGAAGAGTACTTGTAAGTATTTAATTATCTTCTTATTTATTATCAAATTTATGGATAGCTTAATCTTAAATTATCTGCTATAAATTATTGTTTGTGCTCCATTTGCTAGTTAAAACAGATATAACAAGGATAATTTTAAAGAAGCCAAATTGTTTATTATTAAGTCTTGACTTTTTTTAAAATATGGTAAATTCGAAAATCTTTTTGCCTATCAAGGCCTGAATTCTATAATACATTTTGATAGTTGGAGATATTTCTAATATCTGTGAGCGAACAAAAAATATTTTGTTCGCTCACGGAGGGGGTTAAGGTGGGGTTTTGGGCAAAAAATAGGGATTTTTCTAATGGTTTTTTTCTTTCACAGAGGGTGGAGTTAGTCAAAAATTTATAAACTGCAAGCAGCTAGGCTAGTTATGGAAAAAAATAGATTAAAGTATTATTTATTCGTATTTTTATATAAAAAATAATCCCAAAGTTCGCATGCTCGGCATTGAACTTTCTCTCAAAAAGAGATATTGTAAGCTTAAAATTGGGGGCTTATTTTATTTTTATAATTTAATAAACTTATGGATAGCAAGCAAAGAAAAACCTTGCTCATTGAAGAAGTCTTATTGCAAATTTATGAGAAATAGAAGAATGTCTTAATAGTCGTTGTTTTGAGGTAATACCAAGAGGAGAGATCTTAGAAGTCCATAAAAGACCTCCTGAACAAGGCTTTTTGCCAAATTCAAAACCAATAGAAGCATATCTTGATTATCATTGCTTTGAAGCAATAGCAAAAGGAGATATCATTGAAATCCATAAAGTACCTCCTCGTCCTCCTCCTCCTCCAGCCAAATGAACACTAAAAAGCTATATAGAATACTGATATGGTTGTAATGCTCCACTTGTTAGGTACCGCTTATTTGAAGATGATGAAGAAGTATCTGAGTTTTGGCTTTCTGGACAAATTGGTATGGATCTCACACTAGAACTGAGGCCTTTACAATATACAACGTTCTTTTATGATGAATTGCTATCAGCCATAACTGCTTTAATAGGTTTGCATAAGCCAATTCCTAGCAGTTTTGGAAAGAAATAAAATGATGACGTAATCGAAATTGGGACTCTAATGGGTGTTCCATATGTAGTAGGTAGGACTCATCCTGATGAAGCTGAAATTAGAGCCTCTCTCCCTTTATGAAGTAAGCCTTAATGCTTGGGGATGCCATTTGGTTAAACATAGATCCCACCCCAATTATCTAATTAGACATATATAGTACCCCCCCCCTCGTTTGTCGCATTTTCTAGTTTTTTTTTAGGGAAAAAAAATTTACAGGACCTCGCTTGTCGCATTTTCTAGTGCAAATACATTTGTCGCAATTTCTAGTTTTTTTAATTTTTTTTTGATGTCGCAAATCTTAGTTTTTTTAAAAAATAGTTTCTGATTAATTTAATGAGTAATTATAGAGGAGTTTACCTTACATTTGCCTGCAGAGGGGTTAGCAGGCCCGAGTCCTTCCCAGTCCTTCCCAGTCCTTCCCAGTCTTCCCAGTCCTTCCCAGTCCTTCCCAGTCCTTCCCAGTCCTTCCCAGTCCTTCCCAGTCCTTCCCAGTCCTTCCCAGTCCTTCCCAGTCCTTCCCAGTCCTTCCCAGTCCTTCCCAGTCCTTCCCAGTCCTTCCCAGTCCTTCCCAGTCCTTCCCAGTCCTTCCCAGTCCTTCCCAGTCCTTCCCAGTCCTTCCCAGTCCTTCCCAGTCCTTCCCAGTCCTTCCCAGTCCTTCCCAGTCCTTCCCAGTCTTCCCAGTCCTTCCCAGTCCTTCCCCAGTCCTTCCCAGTCCTTCCAGTCCTTCCAGTCCTTCCCAGTCCTTCCCAGTCCTTCCCAGTCCTTCCCAGTCCTTCCCAGTCCTTCCCAGTCCTTCCCAGTCCTTCCCAGTCCTTCCCAGTCCTTCCCAGTCCTTCCCAGTCCTTCCCAGTCCTTCCCCACTTTACTCTCTCCCCTTTTTAGAGAATAGATTAAATTAGCTAGGTTATTAACTCCATTCTCCTTGCACTTCAATGACCTGCCTTGCTCTTTCATTTTTCACCTTAAGAATGGAATTTTGCACTTCCTCAAAAGAAATTTCGTCCCATGACTCCTGAATGGCAGCAATTAGTCTGGCTTTGCTGTCAGGCCTTCTTTTCTCCACTTTCCTCTTCAAATTGGCCCAGATCATCTCAATTGGATTGAGATCTGGGCTCTTCGGCGATTGAGTCTTCACATCAATCCCGTTTTCTCTGCAATATTCCATAGTCTGCCTTGCAGTATGGGCTGTTGCCCCATCCTGAACGAAGGTGTAGTCTCCATCTAAAGGCTCAATATAGCCCTGGAGAATGTCTCTGATATAGACCTGGGCATTGATTGCATACTTCTCCTTCTTTATGAAGAGCATTTTGCCAAAAAAACGATAGAAATTCCTCCCCAGATCATAATTGAGGTTCTCAATCGTTGCGTTTATCCCTTCTTTGCACAAATTAGAGTTACGAAAGAGATGCACATAGCACTCATCACTGAAGATCCATGAAGCGATATCTGAGTCAATCAAAGACCTAGCCCAGGACATTCTCTGCTCTTTATGAGCTTCAGTTAGCTGTAGAACAACCCTCTTCTTCCTATAGACATATCCCCTCTTCTTCAGCTCTTTTCCTAGCTGTTCTTCGCTGATGTCAACTGTCTTTCTTTTGAATTGGGCCCTCAAACTTGCCTTGCTGACAAACCCTGTATCCTTCTCACATTCCTTAATGACCTCAGCAAAGTCTTCATCACTTCAATGCTTTAGGGGAGATCTGGATAGTGCCTTTTCTCTTCCAGCCGCTTCGTCAGATTCACTCTCAGTATTCTCTGCAGCAATTCGCTCAATAGTCCGTTTAGAAGTCCCCAAGATTGTCGCAAGTTCTTCGTTTTTAAAGAAACCTACGTCAATGATCCTCTTGACTATGCTCTCTCCATCATTCCACTTGATTTTCTTAGGAGGAGGCGATAGTCCATGGTCCCAAAGCTTCCGCCTGAGCTCTAAAGTGTGCTCTTCAGGATTGAACTTGTTGGTGTAGTGCCTGATCGTCATCAGGCTCATGTCCTTGCCACAAGCAGCAAGACGCTCTTGGATCTGCTTTGCATTGAGCCTCTCTCCATAGGCCATGCTTTGAATCATTGCCGGGATTTTTATCGGCTGGTCCTCAATTTCGCGCAACTCCATTAATTAATATGGAAGACTAGAAATTAAGCTATCAAATAAGGAAATAGGCATGAAGATAGGGGAATAAGAATGGTGAATGGCAAGTGGTGAGGCTTAAGCAATGGGAGCAGGTAATGGGAAGCAAGCTGTGGGGATTGAGGAATGGGAGCAAGGATTTTGAAGGAAGAAATGATAAAATTTCACTAACTGATCCCTTGACGAATTTTAATTTTTAGGAATTTATAGAGAGAAAAAAAAAAACTAGAAAATGCGACAAGCGAGGTCCTGAACCGATTTTTTTTTGGCTTAAAAAAAAACTAGAAAATGCGACAAATGAGGTCCTGAAAATTTTTTTTTCTCTTATAAAAAAAAAACTAGAAAATGCGACAAATGGCAAAAACATATAAGCTGGATCCTATGGTATGAAGGATTAAAAAGTGACATATCAAAAATTGTTGGGGTGGATCCATGATACTATGGGAGTAGGGATGGGGTTGAATCTGTGCTTGGCTAGATGCCTTGCCGAAGAGATATTTATTCTCTTCCGAAGGTTTTCCTATCCTGCCAGATGGGCTAGACAGGTTTGCCTACCACATGATCTTCCATTGGGTCACTGATTATTAAGTAGCAGTTTTGCCGATAATGACGAGAATTGCGAAGTTAAAGAACTATTAGCTCTGGCTGATGTCCTTATGTATCAAATTTCTTACCAAGAAAGATGATTGTTTATTTCGTTAATCTATTGTGAGAGATTAACAGAAAAACCTGCTCGTATGCAGAAGCCAGCAGAGATGAAGCAATTTTTTATCATCTATCAAGCATAGAGTCGTATAGCGTAAATTTACCTGATATAGGAGGGATCATTGAAATCAGAAACAGCTTTGGAGAAATAGATTTTGATGCAAAAGTCACTGAGTTCTGGATTATTGAAGGCTAAAAAAATAAGCTGATACCATTAAAAATAAAGGGTCTAATTTTAATTGATAATAGCTATAAATATGGGCAGAAAGTCAAATAAAATTTTTAAATTGAAGATTTCATATTATCATTTAAAAACTGCCTAGAATCAGAACAAGGCAAGTTTTATCGTATAAAGGCCTAAAATAAAAAAAACAGAGAGATTCTAACGAAAAACCAAGAATTTCTCATGGAGATATAGCAATAAAAATCTATTTTAAGCATAATAAATTTGTGCTCAAGGGATCTATTATCGCTGGTTTGAAGAAACCTTTCCTTTTTGGATTTAGACGAATTGAGATTGATCTAAGTGTGGATCTAAGATATTTACAGTTTTCAAGACTTCAATTCGGCCTGAAGCTGGCTGCTATAACTGCTTTAATAGGCTAGCATAAGCCAATACCCACAAATTTTATTGATATTCGAGAGAGGCGTGATATCTGAGAATATTTGTCTGGAGCTGGTGTCATTATGTATCAGATTTCTTACAAGGAATACCTATTGAGGTAAAATTGATTGTGTATTTCGTTATAAGTCCAGAATTGTGAGAGAAGAGCTGTTCTTATGTTGAAGCTAAAAGAGGAGAAGCAATTTTTTCACTTATTAAGCATAGAGGAGCTGCATAGTTTAAATTTGCCTGATATAGGGGAGATTCTAGTCAAAAACATATATTTTGATATGATGCAAAATTTCTGAGATTTGGATTATTGAAGTTTAAAAGAAAATTACTCAATTCTTTAATAAATCAATCTCGAGTACAAAGATATTGAGATTATAAAAGTTAACATAAAAGAATCAAGTAATAATATAGAAGAAGATCTTTATATTAAAATAATAAAGTTAAACTGCATAGCTTTTGTTAATTTGCTCGGATAAATAAAATATCGAAATATATAATCAGTTCTGATGCACAAGTTTAACAAATTATAATTTATTTAATTTATGATTTCAGCCCATTATATTAGCAATTCATATTGCATTTTAATAAGCTATAAAGTATGAATTCGATAGCTTCATAATAGTGCTTTGAATATATTGAGTATGAAGACGCGAAAATTACTCAGTTTAGGATCTTGACAGCTAAAATCTAAACAATTAATTATTTTTATTATAATCAAGCTTAATTCCTTTTTCAATTCTTAAAAATTGATAAGTTTTTAAATAATGGAAATTCGAATCTGTGGAAAATATAGGCTAGGAAGAAAAATAGGCAACGGGAGTTTCGGGGAAATTTATCTAGGGACGAATATCCAAACTAATGAAGAAGTCGCGATAAAATTAGAAAACGTAAAAACTCGCCATCCCCAATTATTATATGAGTCACGTATATATCGCATCATCCAGGGAGGCCCAGGAATTCCAGCAATCCACTGGTTTGGGGTTGAAGGAGAATTTAATGTCCTCATAATTGATTTACTAGGCCCATCTCTTGAAGATTTATTTAATTATTGCCAAAGACGTTTTTCTCTCAAAACAACCTTAATGGTTGCTGAACAAATGATTTCGCGTATTGAATACATGCACGCTAAAAACTTCCTACATAGAGACGTGAAGCCAGACAACTTTTTAATAGGACTAGGCAGAAAATGCAATTTATTACACATAATTGATTTTGGATTGGCGAAAAAATACAGAGACCCAAAGACAAACCAGCATATTCAATATGTTGAAGGGAAAAATTTAACTGGAACTGCCAGATATGCATCGATAAATACCCATATGGGCATTGAGCAGTCACGAAGAGACGATTTAGAAGGCTTGGGATATGTTTTTATGTATTTTTTAAGAGGATCTTTACCTTGACAAGGATTAGCAGGATCTAATAAAAAGGAAAAATATGTGATATAGAGATTTCCCTTAAATATTCTTTAATAGATTTAAAAAATACTAATTCAGCTATTTATGGAGATATAATAGAATATTAGAAAGAAAAGTTGGGACAAGCACAGAAGCTTTATGCAGAGGGTTTCCTATAGAATTCCAAACTTATATTACCTATTGCAAATCTTTGGGATTCGAAGATAGACCTGATTATGCTTATATCAAAAGACTGTTTAAGGATTTGTATAATAAAGAATTCAGGGAGGTGGATTTTATTTTTGACTGGATCTTGATAGGACCGAAAAAAAGAGAAGTGAAAGAAGAGAAAAAAAGTGAAAATTTCGGCCAAAGTAAAAAATAATCGTGAATTTTTTTGGTATTGCACTAAAATATATCTAATAATATAAGAATGGAATAATGCATATTGAATTTAACATAAAAATTATAAGAAATATTTATATAAACAGCAAAAATGGCATTTTATCACTCACTAAATAGCAAAAAATAAAACTGAATTAGATTAAGGAAACGATTTCTCCATCATTAAAGTCTTCTGAAAGTGTAATTTCATGATATCCTCTATCTGTTCCTTTATGCTTTTTAGGTTTTCCTTCAGAATTAACAGCCCCATATGCCCATATAATGCCAGCTTGAGCACCTTGTGATAGAACCATATCTTTTTCATCGCCTGTATTCATCATTTTAATCCATGTATAAACCTTATAGTCATCGACAACATTAACTGATTTTTCTTTTAATGATTAAAATATGGCGTCTCAACCGGGCATGGCCTTTTAGCTATGCAGCTTCTAGACATATTTTTTATTATATCCAGATAGGTTTTGTCATTCTGGAAATGAGCAGTATTGCTAGGTAAGCAATTCTGCAGGAGGCAGAGCCTAGCCCAAATTCAAGGATTGGGATGGATTTTATTTCGTGGGGAAGGAAGGCATGGCAGTTGGAAAGGAAAGCCCAGCGAAGCCTTTTAGGCCTATCGGGCAACTCCTAGCATGAAACTGGGCGTTAGGTCCCAGGCTGCGTGCTTTTCCTTTTTGCAGATAGTCGGCCAGAAAATCCATTTTTTGGATTTTTTGCGCAGCAACTCACGTCGCGAAGGCAGTTATCATGCATGAGTTGTCGAAGCCGGTAGTATTGCTCCAAGTGCATACCGGTGCAACGAAGCAAGTCGCCCCAGAGGTTGTGGACCTGATGGATGGAAGAGTGATGGAAGGAAGGTCTGGGCTTGCCAACCCCGTAGTGGACGTTAAGTGTTTATAAAATTTTAAGTAACTAACTCTCCCCCCCATCCTTGATTGAACGATTGACTGTAAAATTTCCTAAAAATTGGGGAAATTAACCCCCATCCTTGATCGAACGATTGACTGTAAAACTTCCTAAAAATTGGCAAAATTAACCCCATCCTTGATCGAACGATTTTCATATCATGACAATTTTTATATATATAAAAATATATATAGTTATCAAAAGCTTAGGAAGATGTACCTAATGAAGTTGTTCTCAGAGACTTTGAGACGGCAAAAAGCTTTGGAATCAACCATATGAAGTGATTTAGTCATCAACCTGGACTTAAAAACTTAATAATCTAATAAAATAGAGATTCTTTAAATTTTTTAAAAAAACAATTTAATTTAATAATAGGAACAAATAAAAATTTATACAGTTTAAAGGGGTAACTAATAAATCAAAATATTAAAAATTGGTATTTTTATGAAATTAATTCAATTTTTTGCTGTAAAAATAATTATTAAATACTCTTAACCCTCTTATTTTTAAAGTAAATAAAAAAAAAATATATATATTTTTTATTTTAATATAAAATTGTTTTCCCAAAAAATTTTTTTTTAAACCCCCATCCTTGATCGAACGATGGCGAGTCGTTCGATCAAGGATGGGGGGAGTAAGATTTTTCTGTTAAACTATCAAAGCCTTCTACCTCAATATCTGGGTCAGGCCTAGCATTCATACTGCTCCAGCAGTCTTCTATTCTATCATCATTAAGATATATCATAGTTATACTGCTCAGGCTTAATTTTGATACTAAATAAAGCGTAAAAATCTGCAGAAAATCAGCAAATAATTTAATAAAAAATCAAATAAATATGGTTTATGTCTGCATCTTTCATGCTGCTTATCTTACTCTTCCCCCTCCGTGAGCGAACAAAACCAATGGAAAAATCCCTTTTTTTTCCCAAAAACCCACCCTCTATAAGTGAACAAAAAATTTTTTATAAAACAATTTTTAAATATAAATGATAATTATTATAATGAAATCTCTAGTTAAATCTTTAATTTTAAACAGCTTGCATTTTAAAATATAAATTTTGAAAATTAAATAAATTTTTGTTTCTCAATTTTTTAAATTTTTTATATAAATTTTTTAAAAAACAAAAAAAATTAACCCCTCCTTAGAGAACAAAAAAATTTTGTTCGCTCACGGAAGGGGAGTTGGATACTTCTTTCAAGCCAAAGCCAGTCCATTCATATTCTTCGGTAAAAGAAAGTGGCACATATAGCTCGAATTTAACGGACATTTCATCAGGGAAGCTTCAGTAGAGATGCTGGTCTTGTGGCAGATGGGTGACTCCTTTTCCATAAGTGATGAGAACTAGAGCAGCTATTAACAGGATGATTTGTTTAACCATATTTAATTTAAAACTTAACGGAATTTTTTGGTTTGAAATTAGCAGAGTTTAATGATGGAAAGTTTTAGAGTTTAAAAATTAAAAAAAATATTTGAGGAAATTTTGTAAAGAAAACCATAAGATGAAGAAGCTTTAATGCTATTTATTTGAAAAATAAGATAATGCTACAATAAAAACGTAATATAGCTTTATTTGTTTATAAATTAATAATTCTACTGTAAGAGCTGCTGTTAATTAAACTATTTCAATAAAGCTGCATTATTTCTTTACTATTGAAGTCTGTCCTTTTTTAGATATAGGTTCATTACTGTATTTAATTGGTAAATGATTCCACTTCTACCGGTCCTTAATAGCATTGCTATTTACTCTCTATTTATTTAGCTGTAAACTCTAATTAAATTAATCAATTATAATCATTTTTGCAAGTAAAATGCATTTAATAGATTTCATATAGATTTATACATATTTAAATTATATTTTCATTTTTATTTGTACCTTTTTTACCTTCTTCAGCTTGCTTTTTTCTCTTGTCAAAATGTTTAGCGATTTTATCGATAGATTTTGACATTATTTCTGTATACTTTATAGGAGATATTTGGTCACTTCCAATTCAGAATAAATTTTTTGATCTTTCTTTGTGCCTGAGCGGTTTTAATGCCGGCTCTTTTTGTTTTTCTATAAAAGAAATCAGCTGATTTGTCTTGTTGTGTGGCATAATTCCTATAATGTTATAAGGAATTCTCCCAAGCTTATCAGACTTTCTTTGCACTAAATAATTATCTTTATTTAATTCTGAAATTTCCTCCAAACTTAAATTCACGTCTCTTTTTATTTCCATTTCTGAGCTTTTTTGTTCTATCATCGACTGTGTTTGGTCAATGCTAATTGCTTCTTTATGCGCAGTCATCCTCGCTTTCTGTAATTTTTCTTCCATTTCTCTATCTCTCCCAGGGGTTGTTTGCTCAGAAATATTGTTTATCACAATATCTGGAAAAGCTACCTTAAAATTGGATTTCGAAGAATCTTTTTTGGTAGAAAAAATCTCACGGGGCTGCTCTCCTTTGACCTTATAGCGTTTACAAGATAAAAACACGAACTTTTCTTTGGAGTCTTTAATGAAATCAATTAAAAGTTCGTCTAAGTAATTTTGTTTTTTTAGAATAAAAGTGTTTATTAAACTTGTGATCGTTTTGAGCTCATGGTTTATTTCTGGAATAGGCTGTGAACTAATAACTACATTAACTTGGCTGTAATTATCAGATTTTACTATAAATTTACTGGAGTCAATTTCTTGAGGATTTTGGTCAATAATATTATTTGTGCTAAAATCTCCCACACTAAAAACTCGCTTATGACTTTTCCTAACCTTGGGGAAAAATGAGGTATTTGTTTCATCAGGGCTGTTATCCGAATCTTTAAAAATCATGCTGTGTGGTGATGACTGCCTTGTTTTTGATATATTTCTTCTGATTGCTTTAAATGGCATAGATAAAGAAACTGAAGTTTCTAAAAGTTTTTCACTATAAGTGTGACTTATGATAAGAGGTTTCCTGATCTTGCCTACTGGAGGAGGTGGGATTTTTGATTTATACTGTTTTAAAACTATTTGCGTCGTATTTGACATAAAAAACATTTTTGATGTTTTGTTTCCAGAAGTTCAATGAACTCGAATTTTTGACGCAAAATTTGTTGAAGGTGGGATGAATCTTTGCAGTCTGTGAGTATAATGAGGGCAATTCATAAATAATTCTCTAGCTTCTGACTTAGAAAAGCATAGGCGGACTCTATCATTCATTGCTATGTGTATAAAAATTGGGTAGTTCTGATTGCCATGATAATTATGCGAAATATTTTCAACTTTATCGAAAAAGCTGTCAATTGAGTTGTCTGAGATTTCAGAATAAACATAGCCTTTATTTGTATATAAAAATATTGGATATTGGATAGAAGAAATAAATAATAAAGTTTCAGGAATATTCAGTGGAATTTTGTATCCCGTTTAATATAAATAAGGCAATTAATAAATAAAGCTTGGCTATTAGAGCTTATTAATAGGAAGGAGAATAACTTGTGCATAAGTTTGCAAGGAGAGAATAAATTTGAGGTCCTTTGGAATATTGCAATAAAATTTCATGAATATTTTCACTAGAGGATAAATGCTTTGCCTGAGATTGATTTGGCAAATTCTGGCTGCTGAAACTTTGCAAAGCTTTGGTAGGATGGCGCCTTTTAGCCTTGTCCATTAGTTCTTTGAGGTTTTCAAGCTCTCTTCTAATTTCTACTGTGCGAACAGATGCCTAATTGATTTTTACTTCTTCGTCATCTGATGAAAGGCTTTGGAAATTTGTTGATTCCATTATTAAAGGCGATTATTAAATTATTAAAAAGAAGCATAACATGGTATTAGAAAAATATATTAAAATGGCATGGCAACCCCACATCTGATATGGGCAACTGGTTTCGTTCTTGTATCGGCCAGAGGCCATGGAGTTCGGGACGCATATCGGTCGGGTTTAACTTGGCTTTGTGGAGCGCAAGGTTGGGCTTAGTAGACCGCAATTTCGCCTATGACATGGTGACGCGAATCGCCCGACTACGGGGAGTATAAGACCTCACCAGAAGAGCAACCTTTGCCGAATAGGTAAGCAGGAAAGGGAGGATCAAGAGTGAAGATAGTCCTTCAGAAATTACATCAAGTTCTCAAAAAGTTTAATAACCGTAAAGGTATTAAAAAAACTGCTATGCTTTACAGACACTATAGCTTTTATAAATATCTTTATGTTTTAATGGCTAAATTACTTTAAGCAGTTTTATAATAAAATATTGTTTTTCTATCTGATAATTTTAAGAACATTTTATAAACAATTAATCTTTTGCAGTAAAAGTATTGCATATATAGTAAACTTATATTCTCCATCTTTATTTTAATTATATTGAAAACAAGTTTTTGAATTGCATATAAATCTTTCCATTTTTCAGCTTATCCAAATGATGAATTCTATTTATTAATTTTTTTATCTATTTAGCCTCGATCAAATTTTTTATAAATTAATATTCAAGTATTTCCAAATTTTTTAAAAGAACAAATTTAGTATGTTACAACTATTCCGTTAACTGCACTTATTTATATAAAAAATTCCGTTAATATTCAAATTAAAATGGCTAAACAAATCACTTTGCTCTTGCTATCTCTGACAATCCTAGCTTACGGTAAAGGCACTATTCACCTACCACGCAATCAAATGTTATATTGGAGTTTTCCAGATGAAAACTCTGTTAAATTCGAGTACCATTGCCCTATGTCTTTAATGGAAGACGACTATGACTGGGTCGGCATTGGCTTTAAAGATATAATGGATGGAGGTGACATGAGAAACGCTGATATTGTTATGATAAACCTACATGACGGCCGTATAGACGACTACTGGTCCTTTATGAACTCTAAGCCAGAATCTGATATAAAATTAGGAGGCCTTGATAGTTTAGCTGAAAAATCTGTAAACGCAGTTGATAAATATAAAATGTTTTCTTGGAGCAAGCCACTAAATACTGGGGATAAATATGACAAAATGCTAGCGAAAAATGCAAAAATGAATTTCATTTGGGCATATGGAAGAATAAACTCTCAAGGAAACCCCAAAAAGCATTTAGATGAGAATAAAGGGTCATGGGAAATCGTTTTATCTGAAGACTATACTGATGAAGAAGAAATTTTTTTAATTTAATATAGAAGCATAATTTTTATCTAAATTAGCATTGGCTTGTTAACAGATTATAAAATTGATTTTGCATAATTTTTTATTATAAGGAGATTAAGTAACTTATATCTCACTAGGAGTTTCTTTAGACTGCAGCTGATAAAGCTTGGTCTCTCCTCCATTTAAGTAAACAGGCACACCAGTTGACAGAACAGTTACACAGTCTGTTGAATAGAAAATATTGCAAAGAACTTGACCAACTTGGTAAGGATGATAAGTGACGTTGTACTGAAGGTTGTTATTGGTGTTACTGAAAGCCATCATCGCTAATCCTCTGGTGTAGCAGTAGAAATTGTCGTCTGCGTATCTTTCAACCCATGGGTAGTTCCAGACTTGGTTGGCTTTTCTATATTGGACAACTTTGGTCACAAATGTATACATTTGAGAACCAGTGTTTCCGAGGTTTGGCCAAAGAATTTCTCTGTTGTAAGGGTCGTTACCGCCTGCATAGGCTTGTTCATCGCCGTAGTATAAAATTCCAATTCCAGGCCAGGTCATACTCCATGCAATTGCATTTTGGAATCTATTTATCATGTTGTACTGATATAAAAATCTAGGATTATCATGATTATCTACGAAGTTTCCTAGATAATTCAAATTGGAAAAGGCTGATGATGCCTGTTGCATGAATGATCTTGCATTGTACATTGACTGCCCTTGTTGGAATAAATCCCTTATCAAGTAATACAAAGGATAGTTCAAGGTCCCGTCCACAATTCCTTGGTATCCTGCATTGGTACTGATACTTGGGTTGTCGACTTCACAAACTGTATAAACTCCAGATGCTTTTGCGAACTGTGACCAGAACCATGTTGGAACTTCCATACATGTATCAATTCTAAGACCATCAATATTGTAAGTGGTAACAATCCAGCTAATCCAGCTTAAAAGAGTATTGCCTACATATGGCACGGTCTGGTTCAAATCAGGTAAACTCGCAAGCCAACAGTTTTCAATGCTGTACTGATTATTCCAATCAATATTACAAAATGGGTGGTAATATGACGACTGGTTGAATGGAGAAATCACATTAGTGTTATCAAGATTTGTATCAACAGTCGGCCCTGCGTGGTTTGCCACCACATCTAGCATAATCCACATGCCTCTGGCGTGCAAGGCAGAAACTAAGTTAATGAAGTCTTGCTCTGAGCCAAAATTCGAATTCAAAGTAAAGAAGTTCTGAGCCCAGTACCCGTGGTAACCATTTGGAGTATTTGTCACGACTGGGGAAACCCAGATGGCGTCAAAGCCCATGTTTTGGATGTAGCCGAGATTATTGGTAATTCCAGCCCAACCTCCTCCACAGTAGTTGGAAAGGTTAGGACAACCACTTGTATCACCGTCTGGACGGGCCATGCGGTCTGTTAAAACTTGGTAAATGGTGCGTGAGGCCCATTCTGATGCCGTGTGGGAAAGGGCAAGGCCGAGGAGACACAATAAAATTAAAGCCTTCATTTTATTATGATAAATGGGAGACATTATTCTCGTCGACGAATTTTTATAGTGAGTAGTTTTGATATGAAACTTATGGAAAGCGATACGCTGGCTTGGCGAGTTAAGTCAGTCCCAAGCTTTCCTAGAAGAAAAATGAGGAAAATAGGCAGGAATTCTTTGATTTCTGTAAAGGCACCTCACACACTGCTTAAAAAGCAAAGAATAATACGGAAAATTCTATTATTTAACCATGCATATTATTTTGCTCTGGTTGAGTTATTAATTTAGGCCAATTAATGCATATTAAGAAAATTTAAGTATTTTGAGAAAGAAAATATAAGAATTTTGAGTAAGAAAATTCTGAATCAGAGATAGTGTAATGGTAGCACAGCTGAGTTCCAAAGCTGCTAGTTCAGGTTCAAATCCTGATCTCTGACATTTTGATAAACTTAAATACGCCATAATTATGCCTATTCCAGTCTGATGACTTCATTTATAAAAAATGCTTCTTAACTTTATTCAAAAAATCTACAATAAAATGCATGGCATACTTTTCTCTTTCGAATTATGGTTTATCCTTAATTATGGGACATTTATAATTATAGCCTAGGCGCCATTCTTGCTTAGGCAATGCACAATATTGCCCAATTAAGTCAAACACCTTGGATTGCTATTCTCATTTTACCAAGAGTTGGTTTGCTATTCAAAAAGGCAAGTTCAACGGTTTATAATACTATATTGGGCAATAAGAGCCTCTAGGCCATAATTTTTCTACAATGAGTTTTCTTTATCTCTGCATTTCTTTAGCTTTCGCATCGATTTCAATGGACCTCCACTCAAAATTCTCCAGCAAAGATGAGATGATGCAAGACCGCATGTTAAGAAAATCAAAAGGCTCATCATCGAAGATCACAAATTATGAGGATGTAATTTCTATTTAGTTGCAATATTATGGTGTCATCTCAATAGGGACTCCTCCACAGAAATTTACTGTCCAAATTGATACTGGGAGTGTACACCATTTATAATAATCTATTTTTTTTCTCCAAAGCTAGCTAATATTCTATTAAACTCATAAAATAGCAGTGTAAATGAGGATAATTCTTTGGGTTGTAGAAAAAGGCTGCACCAAGTGCCATCAATGCAACAATACTTTTAACTCGGCAGCTTCTTCACATTTACTTCTACTAACCAATTGCATTCTATAACCTACGGCGACAATAGCGTAGTAAACGGTACACTAGTGTCAGACGACGTCGTAAGCATTGGCGATAAAACCGCATTTTCAGCTAACAGTTTTAAGTTCCTTTTGGTAGATCATGAAGAAAATAACGATGCTCAGGAAAGCGATGGGCTCATTGGATTTGCATTAGATAATATGGAACCAGGGTATGTTTCATTTGTGACTGCTTTAAAAAACCAAGGCAAAATCAAAAACAGACAGTTTGCCTTATATTTGAGTGATAATGAAAACGATGATATTTCTTCTAGTCTGATAATAGACGGCTATGACTTAAAGAAATACTCGAAGGAAAGCAAGTTTACTTATATCCCAACAGCTACAAACATTCTGGGCTTTTGGACACTTTTGTGTAATAAAGTTACATTTTACGACGCTCAAATTGATTTTAGTGTTCCAGCTGTGATTGATTCAGGCACTAGCTTTATATCAGCTCCACAAGAAGGATTTAATGAGATAGCTTTGATATTGATAAAATTGTTTGGATGCTCAAATAATCAAGGGGGAAGCTTAACATGCTCTTGCAAGCCGCCAAAAGGGAAAAAATATCCTGATCTGATTTTTGAGTTAAATGGAAAAACGTTTGAATTAAACTCAGATGCCTATATGGGCGCTATTGGTGAAGGAAGATGCCTGGTTGCGATTGATGCTAACGGTGAAGATGCTTACTGGATATTAGGTGATGTTTTTATGAGAAAATACTACACTAATTTTGATATGGACAATAATAGAATTGGCTTTGCAAAAGCAAGGACCAGCTCAGCGTGGGTTTCTTACTTATGGAAGCTCATGCTAACTATTTCTTTAATTTTATAGTTATTAGCTAAATAATAATAAACTTGATAATGCTAAAAATCCAGCAGCGTTTACTTTTTCGTACTCTTTTTTGGCTGCAGCGTAATCAGGATATACTGTTGCCCATATACACTTGTCAGAGCCTTGCAAGTCTGAGTAATAATCAACATACAAAGCATAATAGCTTAAAATTGCATAATCGTCCTTATTCCAATAATTTTCAGCGCAGGACAAAGCAAACCTCCTGCCTGTATTGCAATTCTTGACCTCATTGCTGTTAAGCCACTTTTGAAGCTGTTTTCTGTATCTGATAAATGGGGGATCTCCATGGTGCAGGGAGCAGTAGCCATAACCCTCTTCATTTAGCCCACACAGACAAGTCCCGTTTTGGTAATACCCAGTCACCTTGTCTATCTGTGAAGGGCAAAAATCAAAGGCTTCTGAATTGTAACATCTCATAGGAGTAAAAGTTAGGGATTTCAGTTCATTTAAACAATAATAATTGCCATCTTCTGCAATGCTACAGTATCCCGAGCTGCAAAGTCTGCTTTTATTATCTATACAAGACTCAGCTTTAATTGTCTCACCAGGTTGAATTGACCCATATTCGACACATAAATTTAAATAAGAATTCTCAGGATTTGCTACATGGCAGCCTGCGTTATAAACGCAACTTGTGTCATATTCGCAGCCAAACTGACCAATTGGAAGCAAAGAGACACATTTTCCGCTTTCTTCTCCTCCTTGGCACCATTCTCCATTTTTGCACTCATAATCATAGGTGCAGTTAGGGTAAGATTTACCTGGGCTGCAAGTGCCAGTTTTACTATCACAGCCTGCTGAAAAATCTGGGTTACACTGCGAATCTATTTTGCATTTTTCCATAGGCCAGAGCTTTAAGCTTAAATTTATTGCAAATTCGGGGTTTGCCTGTTTGAAGCATTAAAAATCTTCTCACTGTAGACCACTCTGAGATAAGGTCAGGGTGGCCTTATCTCAGAGTGGTATAAAAAATCAAATTAAGGTAAAATATATTTTTATAAAATTAAATCTTTAAAATCTTGGACAATGATCAAATTCAATATTTTCTCCTTCTTGCCTTTTTAGGTTGCATAATTTCAAGCTTTTTACAATTATCTCTTCTTCTCTTTAAATTTGTCGGGAGTACTTCATTTATTATATGTTATAAAAATGCCCCTGGCCTTATCTCAGAGTGGTATATTTTTTTTTTAATGCTCACCACCCTGAGATAAGGCCACCTAAAATTTTACTAATAAAATATGTTATTTTCTTATTAAAAAATGAATTTTTCTTATATAATAGTAGACCACTCTGAGATAAGGCCACCCTGGCCTTATCTTAGAGTGGTTTACAGTCAGAGGATTCAACTTCTCTCTGCGGCAGCAAGAGCTCAAAGACCACCCTCTTTCTTCAGTGTCTATCACCATTAATCGGAGAGGTGATCAGTAATTTCCTTCATAACCTTTTGCATCCTCTAACGAAAACGAAGGTTTCAGCCCTGCCATAAGGGAACAGTCTTGCTCCTGCAACTGCCACAATAGTCCGTAGCAGAGCCACAGAATCCTACAAGCCAACATTTCAAGATCGAAGCCAATGTAAGAAGGAGACATCTGTGCCAGTATAACTATGCCTAGTGGGCAGTCTGTCGCAAAGTGGATGAATCTCCTGTGCTGGAGATCTTTGGTAACTGCACCACCATAATGGCTAGCCTCTGCCTTTAATAATCCTAATCCTGCTGCTTGGGTTGAACGAAGGTTGCCCACGCAAAAATCCCAAAAAATGGAATATCTGGCAGACATTTAGCATAAATGAAAAATTCAAAGCCTGAGGTCTCAGTTTTACGAAAGGAAGCTACTTGATTGGTCTAGACTCACCTTAGACGCTTCTGAGCTTCCCCTTTCTATCTCTGAGCCACTTTTTCTCGAGATAAAATCAAATCCTAAAAAAATGATGAGGGCTCGACTCTGTGCATAACTAGAATCGCTTACCTAGCATAGCTGTTCAATTTTGGGTTGGAAAAAAACTTGCCAGATATTGTATGTGCTCGAGAGTGGCAATGCCCATATTATAGGCCATATTTATTTATATCCATAGGCCAGAACCAATTTTGAGGGATGGGTTTGCAAGTAAATGAATTGTTAGTAGTATTCAAGGTGCAGTAGTCTCCAGATATGCAGTTTCTGAAGAATCATGTATCTGAGTCTTCTTCATAAGCACCGCACAGATTTTCAGGCACAATCCCTTTAGAATCACATTTAACTTTGGAACAGCCTACAGTTCTTCTTTTATAGAGGAGCGGATTTTAGAAAGAGAAAATCCATGGACTGGGGCAAACTTGGAAAGGACAAGAGTAGGGCTGAGGAGAACAATTAAGCTGTAGGTTAGAATAATCATTATTTATGGATTAATGGGTATAAAATTATCGTTTGTAGATTATTGTGAAAAAAGAAGAGGAAATTATATAGAAATTGGAGATAAGAGTTTTTGGTATATAATTTAAAAGGATTTTGAATGTTTTATTAATCTGAGCATAATAGATAGTTTTTTAGCAATTTTTTGAAAGTCTGCAAATTTGAAGACCAGCTGCCAGATAAGATCAGACATTTTGGGTCGAGGATTAAATATGTACTTCATAAATAAGTGAATTTTTGATTGTCAGGAGACATCAGGCAAAAACGATTATAATAAAATCATACTTAAAAATGTCTGCATATTTAAGTATGTCTACACCAGTAAATTACTCCAATCAGTTAGCTATAAAATAATCAGCAACTTCAGCTAAACTATAAAAGTGGACTAAAATATTAAAAATAATGCACAAATCGGAAGTCTTATAAATCAAGAGAAAGTTATAATTGATAAGCATTGATATCATCAATCTCTTAATTATATACTAACTCCCCCCCCCTCCGTGAGTGAACAAAAAAATTTTGTTCACTCACGGAGGGGGGTTAATTTTTTTTTTTAGAAAATTTATATACAAATTATAAAAAATATTTTTTTTCGAAATTTAAAAAAATCCTAATTCACAAAAATTGGAAAGCAAATATTAATTTAATTTATAAAATTTATGTTTTAAAAAGCAATTCGTTTAAAATTAAACAGAATTAGCATTATATTTCATTATACTAATTATCACTTATATATCAAAATTTTTTTCCATAAAAAATTTTTCTATTAAAAAAATTTTTGTTCACTCACGGAGGGTGGGTTTTTGGGCAAAAAATAGGGATTTTTCTAATGGTTTTGTTCACTCACGGAGGGGGGGAGTAAGTCTCTTTTAATAATGCTTTTATCAATTTTACAATAATTTCAAGCTAAATTTCGCTTAAAAAATCAGTCTTTTATTTTGGGGAAATTTAATCAAAGCTATTTAATTTACCTTTCTCACAAATTTTCAAAAAATGGAATTCCGCAGTAGCTACGGAGAATTTAGCCCATCTCGCGCAACACAAAAATCTCTCGGCATAATCAAAGAAGAAGAGGAAGAAGATGACGAGACCCGCCGCGAGCTGCACCCTCCTCAGCGTAACGAAGGCAGCAAATCTCCATCTCGATTTATAACTCATTCTGAAGATGGCCATTCCGAAAGCGCAACAGTCGAAGAATCCCCAGTCTCCGCTTCATCCTCTTCAAACTCCCCAGTTTTTCGCCGTGCTAAACGGTCAAACTCTATTAAAAACTTTGTCCCTTCTATGGAATTTCCAGTCCTAGTAAGAGGAATCGACATGGATTCTCGAAAAACGTCAAATTTATCCTTCAAAGACGCAGACATTGGCTTTCCTTTAAAAAAGCAAAATAATGAGAAAAATAGGTTCAGGCCACAGAATAAAACAGAAATTGAAGCAATTTCAATACCCAGTTCAAGGAGCATCAAAACTGAAGAAAACGTGATAAATTTCTTTGAAAATGACTCTTTTGAAGAAGCTTCGGGGGATGAAAAAGGAGCTTCTCAGCAGCTTGAAGAGTCTTATGGGGTTAATGAAGCGATACCTGAGCTATTTAATACTGGAAATTTGAAAAGTATATTTGCAAGGTCATGCAAGCCTGAAGAAATGGTTTTTCTTGCTCTCAATGACCAGACTTTGCAGCTGCCAGAAAATAAAGCTGCCTTTTGAAATAAGCTTGGGTATAAAGAGAAAAAGAATGATACGACACTTATGGAAATCGCGCTAAAAGAATGGGAAAAACTAGAAAAACAGAAAAACAGCCTATTATCACAAAATTTCGGCCTAAAAGCAGAATATGAACATTTATTGAATCTCAAGAAAAAATGCATGGAAGACTACAGGACCATCAGAATGGACATAAAATCAGTGCTCAGCAAGATTACTGAACAAAACGTCCAAGGAGTCCTAAGATATGACGAGCTAGGTGCCCATCTTGAAGATGAAAAAATTACTCAAGAAGAATTAATGAACGAAGAAGAAATAATAAAACATCACTATTTAATGAAGCTAGAAAGGTCAAGAGAATACGAAGAAATGTGAATGATGAAAATCGAGGATTTAAGATTCGGACTGGTAAATACTATGAGCGAAAGAATAAGATCACAAGCAAAATGCGAAAAAAATCAAATTTTATTAAAAAAATTAAAAACTGAAGAAGAATTGCAGAGATTTCAAAAAGAACAGATTGAGCTGGGGCTTGAAATGCTGGGGAAGACGCTGGAATTTTTTTCTGAGTCACAGGAACATGTGCATTTTAACGTAATTTGTAGTTAGACTGCGTTTTGTGAAGCTTTGAAGAGGCTGAGAGAAGCGAGCTTTGAGGCGATTGAAGCTGAAAAGCAGTTTGAAATGCAAGCAAATACAGATCCAAGAGAGCTCATTCCATATACGAGAGTGTCAGAAACTGGGCCTTCTAAAAAAGCAAACAGAATATCGATGCTTTAATATATTTAATTATGATAATGCTGATATTTTAACTGGAGAAATGGAAAAGACATTTGAGTAAATAATTTTATTTAGAAGAGATATGCATTAAGATTAAGATTACGATAACTCCTTGTAGACCCCCACTTAGCTTAGGATCTATCAAAACAAGCTCTCCCTCCATGAATTCCATCCACTGGCTAACAGCTCTGAACAACGGTAGGTGGAATCGGCCTAACCGTCGAACCGTTACAGTTGCCTATGGCCCGGACGAGTCTCTCTTCGTTCCTTGAATGTGCTTCAAGTACTCTTGGGGCTGCCGGAGCAGTCCCAACGCTGATTTCCTTCAGAAAGATTGAACTTCCCTCACTAGGACGAGTATAGGGGACAGAACCCCTAACTCATTCATTCCATTTTTAATTGTGTGATATGCATTAATTTGTATTTTTTAATAGGATTGTAAAGGTAGAAAGAAAATTGAAGTCTTGATCACTATTTATAGAAGGATTAAAAATTATTTTATAACCAATCAAGAAGTATCATGAATAATATATTAAGCATTCATTATTTTTAAGTAGGCTGAGATATTTCTTTTATTAATTCTTTTTATAATCCAGATTTTACTTATTAATTAAACCAGAGATGCAAGCATAAATAAAGAAAAACATGGCTAATATAAAGCCGGTTCACTTTCTATTGAAGAGCCAGCTACCAATTTTGGCTATAAAACTTTTATCTTGCCAGAATTATAAGCTTACTAAAATTGATCTTCAATGAAGCGGATATCAATATCCTTACCTTATATAAGACATTTTTTTGGCCAGGTGACGCCAAAACAAAAAGGCGTCACCTGGAGGCCATGGAGCAAGGAAGTGTTAGGGGGTGAGTTTTGCTAACAAAATTGGGCCTTTCCCTAGGCCCTTGAGGTGTGCAGCGGCAATTTTGGACGGACTTCACGGCGAGAAGGAAGTGAGGATGCCTCGTGCGGAGCTTGGGGCGTGAAGAAGGCGCGGAACATCATCTCCAGAGCCAATACCCCTCTGGAGTAGGAACCCGTGGCCGCTAGGTCCGGAAGCTAAAGGAACAAGGGTCTCCCCTGTAGATGGTGACGTCACCAGAAAAGATGGAAACATAGTGATGAGAATTTAATTTAGCTGGAAATGAGTTGGTTTGTGCTGAGTGGAAGATGCTTGGCGTGATGTTGATGGTGCTGATGGTGCTAATGGCGCTGCTGGTGCTGCTGATGGTGCTGATTTGGTGGTAACGTAGGGTAGGGATAAACTAAACTCTTTATTATTATATAATAAAGCAAAAATCTTTCTGATTTTTGAATGAATAAATTTGTGAGGTTTAAACCACAAAGAATTTTTAAATAAAGTTTTTATAGTTATATTTAACTATTATAAATCCAGAATTTACCTGCAAAGAAAGGAAAAATTTTTTTCTGGTGACTATTTTTAATCCATCTTATTTTTCTATTATAATTATCAATTTGTCATTTCCTGCTTAAAATGAACATGAAAAATGCAAAAACGATGAAACTTCCAACTGTATTCTTAACTTAGCCCAAACAAATCAAAGAAAGATTAGAAAAAGCAAGGAAGCTGCGGCTACAAACAAAAGGCTGCTTACAAAACTCTCTAGAAAAAGACTCCACAAATAAGTCAACTATATCAATTACATTAAGCATTGATAACCCAGCTGAAATATCAATCGAATCTACCCCAAAACACACAAAAGATTCCTCATTTTTCAAACTGGTTCTAAAAAGACTTTGTAAATGGGATTGCTTCTCAAACACAGTCCAAAATGTAAGATCTGACTTCAAGGCCAGATTTTAGCTTTTTCTAGAATTCTTTTTAAAATTACACATTTAGGATTCTAACTTTTTATATGCATAAATGAATTAAAGAAGGCAAGTGTTTTAATTATATCGGTTAAATTTTTAGATGTGTTATTGATTAAAGCAAGTATATATAAGAACCAATAACACAAAAAATAGTGGACACTATTTACAATAGTTCTCAAAAACAAAATTATAATAGAAAAAAACTTATAAAATCATGATATTTCTGATTATTTAATATAGCGATATTAGTCCGTGATTTTCCAGTTTTATACCAATTTAATTTTAAAAACATTTAGTTTCTTTACTTATTGTGATCAAATTTTGAATTATATTAAGTTTTTTCTGCGACATCTCCGTCTCTTAATTACCTAAATGTCCTCCACATACCCACTGATTATCTCTCAGCACGACAGGCTCATTTACATTTCGCCACTGGCATTGGCAAAAATAAGCACAAAAACCATTTGCATCTGCAAGTGCAGGCTGTAGCATATCATCTCTTGAATAGTTATTTCTAAAAAACAAATAATTACACCCATCTTTCCAGATTTTGTTTTGATACCTCTTGACTGATAAATCACATTTTGTGCATCTCATTTTATTGCAGCATTTCAAAGAAGCTGAACTAAAGCAAATGCCGACTTCTAAATTGCTTCCGCCTATACACAGAGGATAGCACTTCTGCAGCCTACTTGAGTTTGAAACTGGGATTTGGTAGCTAGGCACATAAGCCGGCTTTTCTGGCTCAGGAGAGTCAATATCATTTACAAGATCAAGAAGATCATCAATTTCTCGATGAGAGGATTTATTTTTCTTGGTCTGGACAGCAAGAGGCTGCTGATTTCGCATTTGGATTGGCTGGGGATGCTCGTCAATGTCATTAAGTTCGTCTAAGAGGTCATCGAGTTTTGATCTCATTTTTTAAATTATTGAATTTTGAATAAAAAGCTTGAAAACAATTTTAATAAAAATTAGATGAAGCTGAAGATAGCGGAATTTTTTAAAAATAAGTAGAGAGGGTTTATTGGAAAATAATGTGTAAGATAATTAATTAATTGGAGGAGGAAGTGAAGGACGTATAGGCGGAGGAGGCGGGGGTGGAGGAAAAGATCTTGACTGGCTTGGAATAGGCGGAGGCTGTGAACTTTGAGGGACCTGTGGAGCTTTATAAGCTCCAGTCCACATAGGTCTGCTATAAGGCCGATTAGCTGCTAAAATCCTTTCAGCCATAGACCCGAATTTTTCTCTTTTCGAGTCTCTCTTATAAGCATAAGTCACTGTAATTGGCTTATTACACAAAAATTGTCCATTCATAGACTGTATCGCCCCATCTGAGCTTTCAAAATTATCAAAACTCACAAACCCATACCTATGCGAAGTCCCAGTCATATTATCTCTATTAATCCTCGCTGAAATCACATTCCCAAATATTGAAAAAGTCTCAAAAAGCTTTTTTTCGTCTACTTCTGCATCTAAATTCCCCACAAAAATATTTGCCCCGATGTCTTGGCTTTTTTTGTCCTGAGAAGCCTTATTGGCTTTTATAGGTTTTCCATATAATTTTATCATATGCATGATTTTGATAGCATAATCAGCGTCTTCTTCATTGCGGAATTCTACGAAGCCATATCCTTGATGTTCATTAGATGTCTTGTCCCTGGGCATGTGGACGTTTACAACTGGTCCGCATTGGATAAAAAGTTCTCATAAGAGCTCTTCATGGACTCTTTGGTCTAAGTTTCCTATGCTTTTTCCCCTAAATTTGTTTTATACTTTATTTATAGCTAAATATCCATTAATAGTCTTATTTAGGATACATAAATTGTTGCATCTTGATTCCTCTCATAGATTGGTGTTAGATTAGAAGTCATATTTATTTATTATCTAGATGCCCTATGACGCTATTCAAAATCTCAAATCCATGGAACTTTCGCAGCTCCTCTTTGGTTTCTTCATTATTAGCTAATTTTGATAGCCCAATTGCTACATTTTTTCTTGCAGGGCCAAGTTTTTCTTTAATTACAGAGACAAAACCTTCAATTAGTGGCATAAATTGTGTAGAAGTGCTAGGTATTTTGTCAGCAATCTTTCCGACGCACAAACCTAAGTTTCCCATCCTGTCGTCGATTTTTTTTCCTGATAAAAATTCTGCGATTGATTTTTGTGTGATTTCTAATATTTTTTGGATAGGAATTGCTCTGCAGAAATTATACTGAGAAGAGCCAATGGTAATTATTTTGACTGAAATGTCAATGGTATCAGGGTTTTCTAAAGCCCTGAAAATTAGCTCCATTACAGTAGAGTTTTGACAGACTGTGTCAGAGAGCTCTGGTTTTGCGAATAAAAGTCTGAATAATAGTAAAAATGACCTATAAGTAATACTTTGTATTCCAGTCTGCAGGTTTATAAGTCTTATTACTCCGCTGATGAATTCTTGATAGAATTCTTCTAGTTTTTCTAATGGCGCTGGCAATGTTGCACAGTTAATTAAGAATCCTAAAGCGTTTTCTATTTGTAAAGAATTTGTGCCGTTATTGATAATTTCATTGCAAACAGTCATTAGACGGTGCTGGCCCATACACAAAGATTTTATTTTTTGATCTGCAGCCAAATTGCATAGCATCCCTGTAGCTTCTCGCAAGCTTTCTGGGTTGTCTAATAACCTTTGGAAAGCAGGATAAAAGCTGTTCCATTGATGCCTTATGATAGCTTTGATGTTTCCTGGATTTGGCTTTCTTTCGAAGGAGCTTTTATAGGTAGATAAGCTTAAATTTGTGATAATTGGTGAAAAAGATTTTGATGGCCTCTTAATAAATATCTCAACAGCATATCGGCAGAACTTTTTGCCTTTAGTTGTAGCTGAATGCTTCACAATTTCTTCCCTGATTACTTTATTCTCTACGGCCAAGCACAAAATCTTTGCTAGACTGTGAAAAATTTCATCATTAATATATCTATCAATACTTTCCAACATCACAATTGCCCCAGTTCTTTTTTTATCATAAACATTCGCAATAAGCGGCTCCAGCTGTGCATACTTATTTTCGTCCCCCATCAAAAACTCCAACACCTTTAGCGCCTCAATATCTTTACTTTCTAAAATCCTTTTAAAAAGCACAATATACCCTCCGCTCTGCCTAAATCCCAATATTTTTTCCTCAGAATTAAGCTGCTCAATAATGACCTCAGCTGACTGTATTTCCTCCACCTTTATTTCTTCTAGTTCCTGCCCAGCTATATTGGCTTCTTCTCTACACATGTTTAAAATCCTTTCAATTTCTTCATCATCTTTTAAATCCAGGGCTTGTGTTAAATCTTTTATAGCTTCTGTGTATTTTTTCTGATGCCTTAAAGCTTCTCCTCTTCTAATTAATGCTTTGAAGCAGACATCTTTGCTTTTTTCGTAGCCGTCTTCAAAAACTTCATAGTAATCCAGGACTCGTGAGCAGTCTTTTATGGCTCCTTCATAGTCTTCTATTTTTATTCTTGCGATTGCTGAATTTGTGTAGAGAATCATCCAGTCTTTTTTGACGTTCTGGGCTTCCTCGTATTTTAAGATCGCATTATTGTATTTTCCTTCTTTAAAAAAGGCATTCCCTTGTTCCCTCAGCTCTGTCGCTATGGCTAGTTCCTGCTTTCTTTTTTCAGCTCTTTCTTTCATATCTAACTCTAGAGCTTTAAAATTTGGGTCATTATCAGGAGGGATGAACTCTGGCTCAGCTTCTTCTTCATAGTCATCAAAATAGTCCCATTTCTTATAATTCGTAGCAGTTCTCTTATAAAGCATAGCTTGGGTTTTTTGCCAGTTTTCCCAACGGACTTTTTTTTCTGCTTTTTCTGCGCGTTCTTTTTTAAGCTCTTCTACTTTGGATAAAAGGTCTTGTTTTCGCTTTTCGCTTGATATGCATTTTCTGCCACATACATAGCACATTTCTCGCTCTCGCTCGAATTCACGCTGACAATTAGGACAATAAGATTTATATGTGTCGAATTTTATGCCTTTGCCTTTTCTGCCTCGCTTTTTTTCTTCTTCAGCTTTTTGTTTTTCTTCAAGCTCTCTAGCAATTTTTTGGGCTTCCAGGGCTTTTTGTTGTTCTTCAGATTTTTTGATTTGTTCAACGTCAATGTCGCCTTTTATGATGCCTTCGACTTCGGAGGAGACGTATTCGATGTCTCGAAGAAATTCATCAAGCTCTTTTTCATTGAACATTTTCTGAAAATAATTATGGAATAATAGCTTAGCTTATTTATACTGGCTATAAAAGGATTGATTTTAGGAATTTATAAATAAATGAGGATTTAATGGCCACATTTAGGCATAAATGGGATAATTTCCAAAACTAATACTAAATAATTTAAATTTTAGGCTTATTTTAGAAAATATAAATATAATTTGTATTAAAACGCTCTGTTTTAGATAAAAATATAATGGAATACCAACCATCTCAAAAACAAGAAAAACATTCAATTGAAGAACTTTATAAAATCACACGTGGCCAAAAGGATGAGTGGGGAATAGAAGGCTACCGAGTCCCAAGCGAAAACAACCTTTACCTAACTCGTGAGCACGCATTCCCTAAAAGTCCAAGAGCTGATTCTTATGCAATTGCGAAAAAACGGGCCACTGAGCCAGATCCAACGAAATATACGTTGGAGTACAAAGAAGCAAGCAAAATGAATTGGGAAAAGTCCAATGGCAAATTTTTATTCAGTTTTCGCTCTCTTATAGCTATTTATTAATATAAAAAAAAATATCCCCAAATTGATATAAATTGCCATATATTCAAAACGTGAAACAGTTATTGACGAAGTAATGAGAAAAAGTGCATCAATGCCAGGCCCAGGCGCTTTCTGGCCTAAACCCACTTCGAAAAAAGCAAAAAAGCCTGAAATGCCTACAGGCCATGTCGCACTTGGGAAGTTTTCGTAATTTTTATATAGATCAGGAGAAAGGCTCAGCTTTCTGACAACAACTGAATTTTATGCTGAAGAAACCCCTTGCAGCTGGGCTTATAACCCACATAAAACTGAAATCAATAAAGAGCACGGATGGGCTAAACCTAAGGACAAAAGAGTAGCTACTGAACAAGAGCAAAAAGCTAGAGAGCGTGGGCCTGGGAAATACTCAATTGACAAGCCAATCAAATTTGTGACAGAAAGAGAGCCTTTGTATTCCTTCCCAAAAGACCACCCACCCAATGCAATTGAGCTTAAAGGCCACCAGACTAAAGGCTTCCCAGGAGTTGGCGCTTATAAAGAGATTGACAATGGGTATAAAGCGATTACCAAAAAAGGCCTAACAGCAAGAATATTCCCTTATAAAGTGACAAGAATGACAGACGCACATATAAAAAGTAAGCAATGGGTTCCTGGGCCTGGCGCTTATGATTGGCCACCTAATAAGCTTGATAAGAAAAAAGAATAGAAAAATACTCCAAAGTTCTTAGTTAAGATTAACCCTGTGACATCTCAAAATGGTATTTTATAACTATGATTCTCAACTGCTCGTCGTCTGCCTATCGACTATACTGCTCCATTATTGGATAGGTTTTCGTGTGCCGCAAGCCTGATTTTGGTTACCGTTCCAGAAAATTCGAATAAAGAATTTTCTGATCAAGTTTTAGGCCAAGATGGAGCTCGTTGCCCATGGCGCGACTACTATTATGGCACTAAGAAATTGCCGGATCGATCCTGAGGACTTCCCTTTCCAACACCGAGCATCGTCATCCCCAGAGGCAAAACCTAGAATTAGCAGCGGTCGGCATAATCCTACATTGTGCTTCACAAAGCCAAGTAAGGCCTAGCCAGATATATATCGCCTACGCCATCCTCCCTTCCAATAGTCCCCTGGGTCTCCCCAGCTACAGGCATTAGAAGGTGGGTTGGCTCTCCTCGTCATTTTAATGTAAATAGAAAATGCTCCCAATTAATAAATTCTTCATTATAATTATTCCATAATAAAATATCCCTTCCCCATCTGTATACTAGAAAAATGTCTATTTTTTTCTATAATTACTATCCCACATCATAAAATATGAAAATTCGTTATTTTCCTCAGCAATTCCACATTAATTTTTCTTCTATCTCTATTCATGTTGTAAATTTAAATCACCATCCTTTTTGATACAGATATACGAACAAATGGCTATATTAATATGTTAAGAAGTTTACGGCAGAGCATAGCTCTTGCTAATAAAGCCTCACTGTTAGCCACCCAACCGAGCCGAGGCTTATTTGGTTTAGGCAGTATCTATGCCTCCTTGAAGGGACAATTTAAGCATGCTATCGAGCCAGGTCCTGGAAGACATAATACTCATACAATGGAAGCAACAGAGACCGAACTCTTCGACGAAGACGCCCATGAGGTCCAGGCCATGGTAACCAACAACCCTTTCGATCTAGAAATCATGATGGGTGACACCAACCCTCTGCGCAACTTCGGCACCCTCGACAACCCAGTTCTGCTGTTCTCAGCCAATGTTGGCTGGCGATACGTGATGTGTGCAGGCGCCAACGACGAAGAAGAAGGTCTCCAGCATCAGGGCATCTGGTTTATCCTCAGAGAAGGGCCAATCCACAGATGCCACTCCTGTGGCCAATGCTTTAAACTGATTAACTTAAAAGACGAGATCAGCGCTGAAAATGACTACTACTTGGAGCACTATATGCCAGTATTAGAAGAAGAGATGGGAGATGACGACGATTTGGTCACCAGGTGGTCCTTCCACAAGTTCGCTGAGCCTTATGCAGTCCTGCACCCTCATCAGAACACCAATTATGCCTATATTTTGGTCAACCCAGACGACCATGACAGAATCCTCACAGACCCTGCCTACAGGATGCAGAAACTCCATGAGGGCCATGAGAAGCTGACTGACCTCCACAAAGCTTTAATTGATGTAGAAAACAGAATCCTATGGGAAAACGGCGGCTATTACCCTAAGTACAACTATTCAGTCCAAGACTACGAAGATCTTATTACTTCTGAGCTTGCCATTAGAAAGCTGGACAGGATTTTCCAAAAAGTCTCGCAGTTTGAAAAAAGAAGCATCTTAGAACCAATAGACCATGAAAGGAGAGAAAAAAGGATGCTTGAAAGGGCAGCTGAAAGGACAGGCAAAAACTACGTCTTTTATTTGCATACTAATGAGCTGGAGCAGCGATTTAACGACTACTATCAGACTGACCTAGACCCTGAAGAGGAACTTCAAAACACTCAGGACGACTATGAAGATCTTGTCGCCTCAGGAATTTTTAACTTCAAGAACTACGAGTTTGTAGAAGAAGACTTAATGAACCCTGTTCCAGTCGTCATGGGGACTTATGAAAAGAAAATGTTCAGGTTTAAGCACAGAAAGTGGAACGACGACCCTGCAACCCACTTTATCAGGGAAAACAGAATGATTAGGAGATACCTGGATAGACTGCAAAAAAGAGACCCTAAGGAATTAAGCTTTAAAGATGCTGAAGAGCAAGCCCATAACATGACTAAGGAAAGTGCCATAAGATCAAGAGACTTAAAAAAGGCAGTATATAGCAAGGTTGATGACATCCAGAACTTCATTATGGATGAAGCTGTACAACAGTATAAAGATTACTATGAAAGTGATGTTGAAGACTTAAAGGACTTTGACTATATGACCGCAGAAGATAAAGTCCAGTTTGCAGGTGTTTTTAAGGACTATTCTAACTTCTCCTCATTTAATAGAGAACAAAATCGTTGATGTTTAAACATAAATTTTTCTCTCACGTTTTATAAATTTATTTAAAATCTTTCTTTAAAATATTCACCACCAAGACAATTTTTATAAATTTATATTGCTTATTTAATTATTTTCTCTACTTATACCTTATAAAGCCATAACTACTCCATAACTACTTTTGTTGAAATTAAAAAATTTTATAATTGATAATTCAATTAATGTCATTTAATATGGTTGGTATTTTTTACATTTTCTCGACTTATAATTTTTTAAATTCTATTATTCTAAACATTTAACTTGAAAACAAAATTAAGATTTATATTGATTGATAAGATTACTTAAAATTAAATTCTTGTCATCCTCTGTGAGCTTTTTGATAGAGAACTATCTCCGCTCTGAGCAAAAAATAAGCAGCTACACAACCTTTAGAACTTCAATTGCCTCTAGCTCCGAGCAACTCTCTTTTCGCTATACTCAGCACCTCTGGATAGAATCTCTTTTAGCCAAAACTCTCAGAAAATCATAGAATTCCCTTCACTGAGCCCGAATAAGGGAACTGCCTTTAGAAGGTCTAGCCATTTTAAATTGTAAAGATTAATATTATTTTTTTAAGTTATTCCTCAACCAGCAAAAGGATTAAGCCACTAGGGACTCAAAAATTAGTGCTGAAAGTGCCTAAAGAAATTCCAGGAACTAGTTGGAGAGAAAGATTGAAGAAGCAAATTGCTATTGCCAAGACTCAGATTGCTTCTTATAATGCAGCGACTCATAAAATCAACACTAATTTCAAGTATGCGAGTGGTTCAAAAACTGTTAAGTCTATCAGCCAAGAAACCCTGAAAGAACTATTTGCAAGCATTAATAAAATTGAGCCAGCTGGAGAAACCGGAAATTTCGAAGATTCTCGTAAGTTTCACTAACTAATCTTCCCGGTTTAATAAGTATTCTTTTTAATTATATCTATAGGAAGTTAAATTATGTTGAGAGATTGATTATTTAATTCTCTTTGAGATTGCTTTAATTTTATAATTATGTATTATTTATTGTGATGATGGTATCACAATATTTATGTCGCTAATAAATATTAAATTTAAGCTATTCAGCTTACAAATTAAAGTGAAACACCACTTAAAAACGAATTGATTATGTGCCATGCTTGTGGACGCTTCCACTGTGGAACCATATGCCCACCACCCTTCACCAGCACCCAGGTAAGTCCTTCATACTCAGTATAAAACCCAGCCACTTGATCATCTACATATCATGAAGTATACGGCTGCTTCACATTTAGATTTAAGCCAGTTATCCACTCTCTGGTACCAATAAAAGGTGTAGACCCATCAGCATCTCCTGAATAAATCCATATGCGCAAGCTAGAACGAATAAGAAAAGGATACAAAAAGACTGACCCATGCTGATAATCTGAAATATAGTCAAGGAAAATACAAAAAGTCCAAGGCTGGACATTCGCTGGGATATTGAATGCTTTTCTTACTGTATCATTTAAGAAATAGTCATAAGCGCCTTCCCAAGCTGCACATGGTGGAATAATTCCTGGAGAAGCCATTGAATCTAATGCAGCTCTGAGGAAAATATTGTTATCCTTTTGTGCTCTAGTATCATTTTGATATATGCAAGGCCCATAAATATTATAATAATTCAAGTTACTTAGGAGCTCAGTTTGTATATAATTTGTGTCATTTCCACAAGCTTCGCCATCCCATTCATTGAAATTATCACAGTCATTTACTAGTTTATAATACCAGTTATAATCAATTAGAGCATGAGTTCAGAGTAATTTCATCAAAGCTGGGGTGAAATCATATGTAAAATCAGTAGCTGGACCTCCAATTATCATTCCTTTGAGGTTAATATTGTGAGGACTATAGTTGTTATACATTAGAATGTTATAGGCTAAGTAAGGTAAATACATTCCTGCATAGCTTTCCCCTGAAATATAAAACTCATGGTTTCTATACTCAGGAAACTTTCTGAAAAATTGGACAATGGCAAGAAGATTATCATGAGCAGCAATTTCATCATCGGTGCTATTATTTGAAGGGTCTCCCAAAATTGAGAAGCCAACACCAGCTGGGGATTCAAGGTATAAGACGCTGGCATTGGTATTCCAAGACCACTGATTCTTAAAAAGAGTTGTGCCCTCATCAGGAAATACATAAGGGCCATGCTCATAGGCAAAGCCATCTAATGAAGAGCAGCCTGGACCTCCATTAAGTCATAGTAGCAAAGGATCTGTTGCTGGGTTATTTTGGCTTTCAACAAGAACATAGTGTAATGATTTTCCGTTAGAATTGGGAATATCAAGGTATCCAGAATATGTATCGAAATTGGGAGGAGAGTCTGGTGGAAGTCCTGGCCGATTTTTGACTAAGTCAGCTAAAGGTGCACCTAAAACTGTTTCTACTAAAATAAGAAGAACCCACATTTATATTTTTCACCAAAATAAATATTTCTACATCAAAAATTAAAAAAGCTATTGAACTATAATTTTTCTAGTAAAAATCATTCAGATTTCTTAAAAATTAGGATATTATATCCTCTTAATAATATTTAAAATTAATTATGGTGAAACTCCACTTAAGAAAGAATTAATCATATGCCAAGCTTGAGGTCTTTTCCACTGTGGCACCATATGTCCTGCTCCTTTTACAGTTACCCAAGTCAGCCCTTCATATTCTATATAATATCCAGCGACTTGTTCATCAACATACCAAGAAGCATAACTTTGTTTCACATCTAAATTTAAGCTGTTAATCCATTCCCTTGTCCCTATAAATGGTACTGACCCATCGACATCTCCTGAGTAGACCAAAATTCGTAGCCCTGCACGTATCAAGTAAGGATATATATAGACTGAGCCATGAAGATAGTCATCCTGATAGTCCAAATTCACACAAAAAGTCCACTGCTGTACACTATTCGGTATATTAAAAGCAGTCCTTACAGCTTGGCTTTGGAGATACTCATAAGCGCCTTGCCATGCACAGCATGGAGGGATTATTCCCAAATTTGGATTTTGATCTAATACAAATTTCAGGTATCTATTATTGTCCAGCTGTGCTTGTGTCGAGTTATGATAAATGCAAGGGCCATATACATCATAAATATTAATATTGTTTAGAAGAGTGGCTTCTATATAATAAACGTCATTATTGCAGGCTTCACTGCTCCAGTCATTGAGATTGTCACAATCAGCGACTAATTTTTCATACCATTCATAGCCAATAAGAGCATGGGTCCAGGCTAGTTTCATAAAGGCTGGGGTAGAGTCCACATTCCAATCTGTAATTCCATTTCCAACAGCAATGCCTTTTAGGTTAATGCTATTGTGAGGACTATAGTTGTTATACATAAGGACATTGTATGCTAGCGTAGGGACATAAATGCCTGCATAGCTTTCTCCTGAGATGTAAAAATCGTGGTATCTGTATTCAGGGAATTTCCTGAAAAATTGTAAAATTGCTTGAAGGCTGTCGTGGGCAGTGATTTCATCGTCTGTGCTATTGTTAGAAAGGTCTCCCATAACGGACCAGCCCACCCCAGCTGGTGCTTCAAGGTAGATGACACTAGCATTGGTATTCCAAGACCATTGATTTTTAAAAAGAGTAGTGCCTTCGTCTGGAAATACATAAGGGCCATGCTCATAGATAAAGCCGTCTAGTGAAGAACAGCCTGGGCCTCCATTAAGCCATAGTAGCAAAGGATCAGTCGCTGGGTTATTTTGACTTTCAACGAGGATGTAATGTAATGATTTTCCATTTGAGTTAGGAATGTTAAGATAACCAGAATATGTATCGAAATTAGGTGGAGAGTCTGCTGGGAGCCCTGGACGATTTTTTACTAAATCAGCTAAAGGTGCACTCAGGGCTGTTCCTATTAAAAGAAGGTGAACCCACATTTATATTTTTCTCCAGGTGACGAAATTATTGACTATTTAATAAAAAATGAAGAATAAGGCTTATAGAAATCTAAACTATTGCCTCAGAGTTTTTATATTAAAATAATAATTGCAGAGCAGATTAAAATTGAAATAAGGCTATTAGTTTAAGTAATTAATAATTTTAAAATGAATTAAAGATATTAATGATGTATTTTGGGAATGGCTAATGCCAATTATTTTCAGCGATATAGAATAAATTTAGCTGATCACCAAAGTGAGCAAAATGAAAATCTTGAGCATCTTATGAACTTAATTGATGAAAATAAAGGATACTTATCAGACAAATTTCTCAAACCCAAAGATATTTACTGTTAACAAATTAAAAATCGAAAATAAATTGGCTCATAAAAGCATTTATCTTTTAAATTATGATAGGTTCAACTTCTCAATAGATCTTTGAACTAAATTGAATTTATAAAGAGAAGTGTAAGAACTTATAAAATAAACAGAGTCTTTAAATTGCACAATTTGAGATATAGGGCCCCAAAATGATGAAATTTTTCCAAAGAATTTGAATTTATTTGGATCATCAGCGCTGATTTCAAAAATATTTGAGGAGCTTTCAATTACATAAAATACAGTATTTTTTAAAAATAAAATTTTTCCTGAGCCAGATAAATTAGCGTGTATTTCTTTGTAAGTATCAAGCAAAACATTATAAATATAAATACTTTTATGCTCACTCCCAGTAAAGAAAATTTGATTTTTATAAGAAAAGCCGTTGCAGTAGTTTGCTCCACAGCTCATTTTGCGAATTTGTTTTCATTTATTTTCTGATATGATATATTTTTCTGGAGTTAATAGTAATCCATTTGAAGTTTGACCACCAAAAACATACACTTCATCATTACAGAAAATAGGGCATACACGAATACATGAGAACAAGCGATCAGGAATATAGCTAATTCTACAATCAGGATATATCAAAAAGGAAGTTGATGTATAGCTAGAATAATGATAAACTTTATCATCTCATAAAGTACAGAAAAGAGCATTATCTGAAATTTTGGCTATTGCTAATGCATCATTTTCATTTAACACTTGAATCTCCATTTTACTGCTTTTGAGATCATTGAGATTTACTCGAAGTAGACTTCTAGGCTTATCTTTAAGAAGATACATTTCATTTCGCTCATTTTGATAATTGTAAATATCAAAACCATCCAGAAACTTATCTTTATCGACTCTGCAAAAATTAATTTCTATATGTTTAATTGCTGCATCAAGGTCAAAAACTAAAATTTTACCAAATTTATCTTCTTTTTTTAAGAGAACAGCTGAAGATATTGTTTCTATTAAGGAATGGGCTTCATTTTTTACTCTTTTAATTTCATCAACTGCAATTTTTAGCTGAGAATTCAGTTCCTTAATCTTTATAGAAATATCGCATATTAATTTTGATTGGAAACTATTGGTTGATCTAATTTATACTCACCCATATTATCTCTTGATGCACCATTTAACTCAAACACACTTTAATTATTGTTTTATGTTTTAATGTGCTAATTTTAACGAGAGTTTGGCTTCTATGTAAATCGTCTTGATTTTAGAACGGACATCTTACCATTTTTCTAATCATTTTAAAATAATTTGTTGCTTTATTAAGTAAAATTAATTCATTGCAATGCATATAGGGGTAGGAAAATATAATGCAGCCCTCTAAATTTGTAATAATCATAGTATATTTATTTATTTTAGGGAAACCAACTATTCAATTCTACTATTCTTTTTGAAAGATAAAAAATGAGAGCTTGCTTAGTTCCTGGATGCGGGCTAAAGCATAAGACTTCTGGATTATGAGCTTTATGAGGAAATAGTTTGAAGTGCTCAATTAAATGGGTTTCACAAGAATAAATTCTTTCATCAGAACATAGACAAAACATTGCAGCCTTTTGAGTGCAATAGGATTTTCAGCAATTCATCGCTTTACTATAGATATAAATGGATCATAAAAATTAATTTGGCCATTAAATTATTTTCCAAATTCCGATATATATTTCATATTTATTGTCTATAGTTGCTTATTATTTGATTTATTTTAATGGCATGAAAAAGCAGTCTAAGCTGATTAAAAGCTGATAAAAATCATTAATATTTGCTAAATTCTCCTTTTAAAATTTATAAATTACTTTAATTTAATTGCTGGATATCTAGTTTCAGAAGATTTTTCTCTCATTTAAACATTTTCAAGCATAGAAATATATAGCAGTCAATCTCAGATGAAAGCAATAAATCAAATTAAATTAATCCCAATTTTTGTCCATTATAAATGAGAAGTAGCTCTAAATTAGACAATCTTGTTCTATTCTGATCTATTAGCGACTAAAAATTTAAAAATTCTAGTTGGCTCGTATCCCACACAATAAAAATCCTAACTCTCCCCCCTCCGTGAGTGAACAAAAAAATTTTGTTCACTCACGGAGGTTAATTTTTTGTTTTTTAAAAAAATTTATATATATAAAATTTTATAGAAAATTTTTTTTTCGAAATTTAAAAAAAATCCTAATTCGCAAAAACCGGAAAGCAAATATTAATTTAATTTATAAAATTTATGTTTTAAAAAGCAATTCTTTGAAATTAAACAGAATTGGCTCTAGATTTCATTATAATAATTATCATTAATATATCAAAATTTTTTTCCATAAAAAATTTTTCTATTAAAAAAATTTTTGTTCACTCACAGAGGGTGGGTTTTTGGGCAAAAAATAGCGATTTTTCTAATGGTTTTGTTCACTCACGGACGGGGGGGGAGTAAGATTAACATATCACTAGCAAATTAGAATACCATTACAGACTATCTCATTGCTAGAGAATATTTATTCATCTGCACAAGTATGGTTTAGAATATTGAATGAATCAGTTGCTCATAGACTTTATTTAAGCTTCTTAATAAAATATACAATGTTAAAAATTCTAACTTTTATTTGATTATGAAATATTTGTTTTCATTTTCATAAAATTTGCTTTTCTCCTAACTCTTTGATTTTCTTCCATTTAAAATTCATCTCATTCAAAAATTTAATTAATTAAAAAAAGCTTCAGCTAAAACTATTCTCCGCATTCTAGAATCCTTAGCTTTCTTTATTCTAAATAGGAAGAATTTGGGATTATATTATGGTAAAATGGACTGAGCTTTATATTTCCCTCCACTTTTCTTCATCCCCAGCTTCTTACATATGAGATTTCATATCTAAATTCCTATGGCCACGCCCATAACAATATAATTTGCATAATGGCAAAGCGTGATCGTGATGAAATCAAGCGCATCTTCGTTAGTGGCATCGGGTCAACTGTGAAGGCGGACGCAGTCTCTGAGCTATTTTCAAGGTGCGGGCGCATAGAAAGTATTCGCTTTCTCGGTCGAAAGTACTGCATGATCAAGTTTGATCACCCAGAAAGTGTTTCGAGGGCTCTTCAATTACACAACACTCGACAGCCTCTCCTGAAAGCACCTCTGCTGATAGTCACTACACAAGACCTCCAGCCAAACAAAAGACCGAAGCTGTCAGTTGGGGCTTACGCGGTGCTCGATCCTCCTCGCTTCAATAACTTTTTGATTCCTGTCCTTCCGTCCTTTATGTCTTCTTGAGCAATTTAATTCTTTAACTTTAGTTTTCAATCAACTCTTAATCTAAATACACTTAGACTGGATTTAGCTATTTTTGGAGGTGCCGAATAATTTCAATCAAAAGCTGGAGATATTCATTTTTACAGCTTATACAAATTATTATGGAGAAAAGAAATTGCTGTGAGGAAAATCAGTTTCTGTTAAGATATTGGGCAAAAGATTATGTTTTTTTATATAAATAATTATTTTGTTTCATTTAAATAAATATTTTATGCAGCTTAAATTAGAATATGACAATAAAGGATTTACATATGAATACTGAATTTAAGATACGTTTTTAATTGTTAAGAATTACTTAATTGAATTAGCTATTAGCCCAATATCTGTGGGCTATGCACATTGGGCAAAATTCGATTTTAGATGAATTGATGTTTCCGCAGATTGGGCAACCCCAGAAATTTTCCCTGCCATTAGGAATTTCGGCTTCAGATGGTCTTAAATTTAACTTGAACTCAATGCTGCCCAAGCTTTGATGGCTTTTATCCTTGATCTCCACCTCAACAACTTTTATCTGGCTTTCATTGTTCAGATTTATAGAAATACGGTCTTGATTATTAATTGAAGAAGAACTAATTGTTGTATTTGCCAAGTCTCTGGCTATTTGCTCTGGTTGGCCGGAAGACTGGTTTTCAGTAGTTTCCAACTGCCTAATTTGCCTATTTTCTTCATTAGGAGGCCTTATATAATTTTTGGGTGCTTTCATAGCAGGTCTTGGAGCCTCATTTGAAGGATTTGATGAGTCTTGGCTGTTGGAATTTCCAATATTTCTTTGGCTTCCAATAGGATCATTATTTGGTGAGCTATTCTTAAAGCTAAGAACACTGTAATGCAAAAAAGAATATAATACTATGCTTTGCTGAAGTGAATTGAAGATAACAGTTTATTTATTATAAAACAGACGTCTTTATTAGCTATAAATGATCAGAATAATAAATTGCCATTATTAATTACTCAGGGATTAACTTGAGATGCGCATATCGAAAATAAATTGAATACTCAGCATTTCTTCTGCAAAAGATATAACACTTTCAAGTGAATATTCATTGAAACCAGCTAAAAAAATATTGTACATATAAAGGCAAAACTGAACACTTTTTTGGCACAAGGCCTTTTTGATTCAGCTTGCTTTTTTGCTGGGCTATTTGCATTTGGCTCTAGAGTTGGAGGTGATTGATTTGCTAAACGGAATGAATCTGACTGATTATTACCCTGCTGCAATTCTTGAGGAGAGCTATGATGAGCAACAGGTTCAGGCCTCGGAGGGAAGGGACCTATGTAAGTTGCGGGAAGGGGTCCTATATAAGTTTCTGGGTAATGACGTTGAGTTGGGCTATTCGCAGGAGAAGTTGAAGTAGAAGGAGCTTCGATGATTCTATTTGGAAAAGTTCCGTGGGGCACTAAAATAGCAGAGGCTTGGCTGTTTAAAATTGGAGAAGTTCCATGGGAAAATGAAATAGAAGAGGCTTGGCTGTTTCTATTTGCAGAAGTTTCATGAGGCAACGAGATAGGAGAGGCTTGGGATTTTCTATTTGAAGAAGTTCTGATGCTTATAGGTATTTCATTTATTGTAGTTCTTGGAGGAGATGGACTTGAAGGCGGTGAATCACTTCTCATTCTATATTGGTGACCCAAAATGCTAGGAGAAAGCTTTTTAGCTGGTTTAGGTGATCTGCTTCTACTTCTGCATCTTCTTGGAGTCTTATGATTTTCTTCTTCTTCTTCTTCTTCTTCAGTGAGATCAATAATATCCTGGCTCCACCTTCTTTAAATTGCAAACAGAATTCTGTTCCAATTTTAAGGAAGGTTAATTTTTTGTTTAAAAAAAAATTGAGTTTAAACCATCCATTCCCATTACTATAGAGAATTAGCGTTAAAAACTAATTTTTATAAAAATTGGTATTTTGACCTAATGAAAAAAAGCTTTTTTGTCCAAATTTAAAGGGGATTTAAAGTACCCAAAATGAAAAATTTACCGATATTGTGTTCCAATTTAAAAGGGGAGTGTGGATTTTCATAGTACCTTTCACTATTAAGGCTTGAAGACCTCTCATGATAAATTGCTCCAGAGTCCACAGCTTTAAGTCAATTGAGTCTATTTATGTAACCATTGTAAGTAAAAATTTTTTTGCACACCCCTACTCCCCAAAAAAATTAAAGATATGAGAATCAATGGTCATTTCACGTTCATATTCAACCAGTACGCATATGGTTCAGCTTTCTGGTAAATTCATTTCTCTAGCCACCATCCATTTGGATGGTTTTGGAGAAACATTTCTCATTGCCTCATTAATAATGTCTCGAGGCAAATCGCAATTAAAAAACGAAACTATTCCATACTCAAATGAATTTTATGCAGAAGTTTATCTTCTACATATCGTTTAATCTAGAAAATAGGCTAACGATGCTCTATATCAAGATCATAATGCTTTATATTTATACAGTAGGATATAGTAGTCATTTTGCTGTCAAAGTACTATTAGAATCTTGAGAAGAGAACTCCTGGGAGCGCCTGCTTGGTAAATTTTGACTCATGCAAATAAATAAATTTATTTATATTGAAATTGATAAAAGTCCTTAAGATCTGCCATTTGTAATTTTTAAAGAGCAGACCTCACAAATTTAGCTTTTATAGTATATTATAAGCTTTCTGGATTTTGGAAAAGATATCAACATAAGATGGTAGATGGTAAGTGCGTCAGAGATCAAAATAAGAAGACTTTCAAGGAGTTTGTCCCAAAGCCCGAAAGCAATAATAGCCAAGCTTTCTGTCTAATGTTCCAAAAACGACGAAGATCTTTAAATTGCTAATAAAAACACTAATTTTATAGTGATTGCAGCCATCTAATTATTTCGGATTTATAAGTTGCTGAAATAGCCTGAAATATGAATGCAATCTTTTCAGATTAATGAGTGTAAAGATTTTTACTCCTCCTTTGCAAAGAAATAAAAAATCTTGACTTTTCACTTCCATAATATCGCTTTTTTATATTTTTAGCTTGGCTTTAAACTTATTATAGAGGAGTTAAAAGACTTTTAAATTATTCTCCTAGAAATAGAGCGATGATATGTAAAATTGGGATCAAGTTTAACATAGCTTAAGATATTATTGCCAGCATTGAGCCAAAAAGTAGTTTTGCAGCAGTTGCAAACAATTTATCACTAAAATAAATTCGAAATTTATGCCACGATGAGTAATTTATTATTAGGTAGATCAACATTCAATACAGTGTTGAAATGTGTAACAATTATGTTTTACTATACCAAATTGAGTGCATTGAAGCTGGTGAAACCAGACAAAATTGATGATTATTTATGGTGTTAGCACAACTAATTAGGGTGAGCAGCTTATTTAAATTATGATTTCAACTCAAGCATATAATTTTTGAAAGCAAATTTAAATACAGATTGATTAAACAGGCAATCTTCTCTTATTTACTTATTCCTAAATTATTATAGTAACTAAAGAAGCATTCATCTATTCTTGAGATTTTTTGCATTAAATTATAAATTCAGGGTTATGGCTTTCTTTTTTATTTATTAATTTTTGAAATTTCTAAAAAGAATTGGTAATTAAATTCCAAATTTTAAAATTATTACGAAATCCTAATTTGCTTTTTAAAATATATGAGCTATTTAGGAATCTACCAAGATCGTTGCAAGAAAATCATATCTAGCACCTACAACGCCCTCAAAAATATGCAAAACGCTAACTCTTAATGATAATCCTTATTTATTTCATTAGAAATATCTTTATCATAATGAAAACTTTAATGCGTATTAATTAGTTTTCCTATTCTCTATTAAACACTTAAAACGTAACTTATTACTCAACACTCAATTAAATAAATAATATTCTGGGTCAAACCTATATATAAAGATGATGGGAATTTATCATACCTTAATTTTCGAAAAATTAATTATTTTTAGCCTTATTGAGAGATCCAAAACTAGAAGAATTTTATAGCTTTTTATTATAAACGTTGCAAATTTATTTCCATAAAAATCAAAGAAATATTCTATAATCTTCCCTTTTATATAGATCATTTTATCTACAGTTTGAAGATTTATATCATTCTTACTCAATTAATATTATTTTATTTTTTTGTATCAAATTTTAGCAAATTAATTTAAGGCTTTTCAACGCATTCTTCTTTTTCCTTTTTTGGGCTTAAATAGCTTAAACCTAATTCTAATTTAATTTATGGGTGCTTGCCATTCAAAAAAATCTAAAGATAAGGTAGTTCGCAGCCAAACCAAAAGATTCAGTGTCACAGGAAAAGACTTTAGCGATATGATTAAAGGTAAAGTAATTGAAGACTATGTAATCATCAAAAGATTAGGGACTGGAGGATATGGAGAAGTCCGCTTAATTAATTAAATGGTTAATCTGGCCATAAGCGGGCAACCCCTAGTCTTTGCCTCGTCTTGGCTCAAAAGAGTAGCCTCCATAGACCTCGGAGTTCAAATGAGGAAATGGAAGATAACCATCTTGAATTTCAAACCTGAAATACTTGTCCAGAGAAATTAGCTCCTCAGTGCAGAGCCTCCACCTGAAAAATGTCCCGCTGGTACCTAAAAGGAAGGACCATGTGGTAGGTAAAACCTGTCTGGCCCACTTAACAGGGACAAAAAAACTTGGGGAGAATCAAAACTTCCCGATTCGCAAAAGCCCTCCTCAAGCCTGAAAGCCTACTTCAAAAAGCACCAAGGCCTTGCTTTCAGCTTCATCAGGATGTGCTCTCCTTGCTCTACAGGGAATGCCCCTCGGAGTCCAATTTCCATCATATCATCATCTTACTTCCAAAGTCCGCTTAGGAAGGCATAAAACAACAGATGAGCAAATGGCAGTGAAAACTATAAATCTTAGCACAGTGACGGAATCACAAATAGACCGCATTCTTGAAGAAGTGAAGATCTTGAGATTATTATCGCACCCTAATATCATAGAAGTTTTTGATGTTTACATAGATTCAAAAAGTCTTACTACCACAAATTTAAAAACATATTTTTTTATTTTTTTCCACAAAAATAGTTTAATTTTATAAAAAATCGAGTTAGTATTGTGACCGAATATTGCCGAGGTGGAGACTTAATCGACAAAATCAACGCAAATAATGGAATTCAAGAAAACGACGCTGTCGTCTACATGAAGCAAATCGTCTCAGCAGTTAAATATTGCCATTCAAAAGGAATAGTCCACAGAGACCTAAAACCAGAAAATATCCTAATAACAAAGGACCCTATAATAAAAGTGATCGACTTTGGCAACGCTGTGCACTTCACAAAAGGCGAAGTCATGCAGAAATGTGTAGGAACTCCTGCGTATATGGCACCTGAGCTAATCAAAGGGAAATATGACGAAAAATGTGACGTATGAAGCCTCGGAATTACGCTCTATGCCATGCTCTCAGGGAGCCCTCCATTCGTGCTGAGCAACGAGCAAGAAATTTATAATCGAATAAAAAATAATCAAATTAACATGACTGAAGGCTGCTGGGCTTCTGTAAGTGAAGACGCCAAAGACTGCGTCAGGAAAATGCTGACCAAAAATCCAATTAATCGGCCTACTATAGATGAAATCTACCAGCACAAGTGGCTGGAAAGCTGCGATGAAAGTAAGATTTCTAATACAAAAAACTAAGATTTTTCAAAGATTAAATAAATTAACGCTTTCTCTTAGGCGGCTCATCGTGGGCGCTTAGCCCAACGTATTTGATGTTTACTGTTTCTTTTGAAAATGTCTGTCCGTTCAGGCTAAGCGCGATAGATACGTCAGCTGGTGTTGGGATGTCTCCGAGGTCAGGCACAATTACAGCTAGCCTTTTGGAGTTTTTGTAGATTCCTGGGACTTGGATTGCACTGTTATTTAATACAAATTGAGCTATCATGGTAGGAGTCTTGATAAGGCCATCGCACCATAAGAAAAGCCGAGTGTTTGGCTTGCATGGGAGCTGCATGGCGATGTTTTCTTCTTGTTCTCGCTTAGCTTTGATTTCTGGATCCTCGTGCTCTTCTGGCTCTTCTCGTTCCCAAAGCTCTGTTTTAACTGGAATTGGAAGATTTTCATCAAATTTCACCTTGGAAGCTCTTAGGATTTTTACATCAATGTAATAAAATGGTGGCAAAGCAGTGTACTCGATCCCGTTTAAAGTCAGTTCTAACTTGATTGGCTTGCTTTTTACACTTCTCAGCACAGCTGGATCTGGCTCCTCTCCTCCAAAGAGTCAGCTTAACGGTGGAATCACACACAAGTAAGATTTTGTTTTTCTTTCCCAGTTCACTGATACTTCTCGTTCTCCATACTCAGTGCTGATTCTTACTTTTTTAGCACTGCTATCATAAAGACCTCTTCCAAGAATCCTCACAGTGGTTCCTTCATTGCTGTAGCCTGAGTTTGGCACCATTTCAAAGATTTCGATGTCATAATACCTAAAGTTAATTGGTTTTCCTGTAAATTGCTGTCCATTAATAGCGACATCTACCACATCCCTTCGAAGCCGGAATGTTGCGCGTTTTTCCAGTGGCTCCTTTTGAGAACTCCCTCAAAACCCTTCCTGGCGAGAAAATGGAAACCTCAGAGTGATGACAGTGATAGTAGGAGGCATGCAGCGCCGTAAGAGATGCTAAACGATTAAACTTAATAAGACATCTACCACATACCCCATAGAATTTTCATCATATTCAAACAGAGTCGGAACCTTGCACAGGACTTTTCCATCAATGTATCTTCCACTTGTCATTTGCCAATCTGCGTCTTCCATTTTGCCTGAACTTATGCTTATCCTGCTTTCGTCGTGGCTTTCTCTTCTGATCATGCTGGGTGTTACATCAGTATTGATAGATTTATTCATATGATATCCTTTAGGTTTAGGCAAAAATCCTACAGTTAAGTGGAAAAGTCAGGATTTGTCCATCATATCTAAATCAATGTTGATTTCTAGCAAGGTTCCGCCTGATACTGAAGCACATTTAGGGTTGATTGCATGAGAAATCAAGTTATTGGAATAAATCAGGAATTTTTTTTCACAAGTCACATAGTGCTCGCCATCCATGGTGACGTCTATATAGGATTCTATAGGAAGCTGTATTTCTTCACCGTCATCAATGAACTTTGGAGTGATTAGCTCTAATGAAGAAGTCGCTGGGTCTAGCTTGCATTCACTTTCTATTTGTAGATGGCCATAGCGGAATCTGACCTTTAATTTCTCGGTTTGGGAAAAAGCAGTTCCTATAAGAGCTAATTTTGTACCACCTGAAGCAGGACCACATATAGGGGATATAGAGAAAATTCTGAGGGGAGAAAAGAATAATACAGTGTGGTCACATGCGTAGACTTGAGAATATTGGCGATAGTCTGTATTCATATCAATCTTTTTAGGAGATGATTGGATCAATATATTACCATGACCTATCATGCCTTTTCCCCAAGAGTAAGCTTTTCCTTCAATATCAATACAAAATGTCGCATTGACTGCACATTTGATTTTTTCTATTTTTAGGAGAGGCAGGCCTGAGTAGTCAGTTTTGACGATTTCTGGAAACCATCGAGGGTTTTGGTCTCCAAGGCCGAGCTGGCCATAATGATTATACCCCCAAAGATAAATGCAGCCTTCAGTACTTAATGCTGCAGTGTGCCCAGAGCCAGCCGACACTTCTTTGACTTTGACTCCCTCTGGAAAGCTGACTACTTGGGGTCTTTTAATTTGCCGATGAGTTCCGTTGCCAAGTTGTCCACATCTAGCTTCTCCCCATGCATATAAAACCCCTTCACTGTCAATCGCTAATGAGTGTCTTTGCCCACATGCAACTTTTACCATTGTTTTCCCATAAAATGCATCCACATATTTAGGAACTGATACTGCCTCAATAGAATTCCTGATCCCTAGCTGGCCTTCAAAGCCTCTTCCCCATGCATAGATGTCTCCACCTTCTGTAAGCGCCAATGTATGAGCTTCCCCACATGCAATATCCATGACAACTTTATCGGAAAGCGCCTTCACAATTTGAGGAGTTTTGGTCGCAAATGCTCCTCCATGGCCTAAAACTCCGAAAACCCCATTCCCACAAGTAAAAACAAAGCCATTCTTTGTGAGAAAAACTGAGTGAAACATCCCACATTTGATATTTTTTAGTCCAAGTTTCTCTAGAACTTCGATTTCTGATTCATCTGGGGGTTCTGTAGTGTCTGATTGAAGAGCAGTTACTTGGCCTGCTGCTTCTACGATATAAAGCTTATTAAAGCCTCCGCCTATACAATCAACAGTTCGGCCGTTGTATCCTTCAAGTGAGGCCAAATTGCCATTAGTTTCCATTCCGCAAATCATGACTTCTCCAACTTTTGCCATTGTGTTAAAGTTTATATCATATTTAATCGAAAATTTAAACCCAATTTTATATGATTTATGAAATAGTGCTAATTTTTCAAGCTTTTTTACAAATTATTAATATGATAGTTATATCTACTTAAATCTCTGTATCATCCTCTAAGAATCCTTGTGGCAGCTCATGCTCTCCATAGTCATCCACAATGACAAAGACTGATTTCACTTCTCCAACCTGCACATCTTGGATCCTCTTTCTCGACATCACACCTTCAATCTGTACTTTGCATCAAACCCGATCTTTAATTAGTCGAGGAAACACCACCTCAATTTCTGCCATCGCTCGATTTTCTCTGAAACCTACCCTTCTGACATTGGCAGTCTTAAAGTGGCCGTCCATTACATTGGCCCCAACCCTTGTCACTTCCCAGCCTGCTGGAGCGTAATAGGTGACGACTTCTCGCTTTGTTTCAGTGAATGGGCTGCATATTCTATGGATCATGGGAACCATCACACATGACGGCTGTACGTCGACTTCAAATTCTTCTTCATGAATAAAGGTGTTTCACTCTGTGTAAGGTCTTCTCACAGTTTTGTAGTATTCTCTGGTTACTCTTTTAATCTGAGGTGGCTCAACTCCAGGGTTCAGCTTTAATTGAACTTTCAATTTTTTTGTGTTTTGCTTCAGCTCTTGTGACTTCTGATGGAAAAAGCCTTCCCAGTCACTCAGCTTTGGAGAGAACCTGCAGTTTTTTAAAGGAGTTTTTTGAATGGAATCTAGCAAGTTTCCATACAAATTTCTGATGCCTGAAAATCCAGCCTCTGTGAGCTGATCTATTGCGGGGTAATAGGTTGAAGGTTTATTGTTCATAATGTCCTTGACGATGTCTGACCATTTGAGTTTCAGCCATTTGCTGACTTCTTGACTTCAAGTAAAATTTTCTAATAGTCTTGTGACATTGTGGCATAAATAATCAGTCATTTCACTGTCATCATATGTATGATGGTATGATAGGAATTTATTGATTTCTGAAACAGCGCCTGCAAAGGTCTGACTAGTGATATTGGGAAATGCTTGAAAAGCTGCTTCTATTGAAGTCAATAAGAGTTGAAAAACCACTTCGCTTGCCCTTTCCGATTCGAGCTGCTTCGGGTCCACTTGTGTAGAGTTGCTGTCGACCTGCATCAGCTCAATTGCTTCGTTTTCTTCTGGGATTGTGGGGAGACGATCGAAGTTGGATTGCATTTTTGTATCAAGTTAATAAATTCCAATTAAAAGCAGATTTCTTAGTAAAATATCAATTTAATCAGTTTTAAAACAAAATTTCATAATCGAAATTTAGAACACACAAAATTTAAAATTTAATCCAGCTGGATAATTAGATTATTGATGCAGGAATTTTCACTTTACATATAGGGCAAACAGCTCGAGTTTCAAGCCAGGTATCTATACATTCAGAATGAAAAGTATGCACGCAGTTGATTTTTGTTATAAGTTGGCTTTCTACAATATCGCTCATGCAGATACAGCAGTAGCCTTTCTCTATAGCTTCTATGTGTGGCAGATCAATGATAGCCTCTTGTGCTGCCCCTTCGTTATTGTCTTCATTTCGTAATGATGCCGCATATAAAGAAAGTAGCTCTCCGCGGTAATTTCGCAAGATTTCAATGGCAAGCTCTATGTACCGTTGGCGCTCTTGCTCAGGAGACTCCTCGTGGCTTAAGTAGTAGAGGCGGATTATAAACTGTATGCCAGATGACAGGATTCAAGAGATAAAAACTTTTTTTGGAGAGAAAAGCTGTGAGTACAGCAGAACGATAAAGAATATCGCAGTGGATAAATACCAAATCTAATTATTACATACCAGAAAATACTTCGTCGCGATGAATTCCATGCATTGTTGGAGTTTTTCTATCAGTCCCATTTTGATAGAGATTTTGAGTTTATTGTGCTGAGCAATAGGTTAAGTAATTATTGTCCAATTAAAAAAAAAGAATTGTTTACAATTTGATTAGTCAGAAATCTCTATGATTTCAGGTGATGCCTTGCCGTCTTTCTTATTTGGCCTGCTGCTTAATGGGATTTCTTTATCCATTTTGATACTTTCATCAGGGACTTTTTCTTCTTCCTCTTTCAGTTTTCGCCTTTTCTTGATTTCTTCGTCACTTTGCTCTGAATCTGAGTTATTAATTTCATCCAAAATGATCCTAAACGTCCCATTCGAGAATAGCTCAATCTGGCTCGCATTTTCTATCGTCCTTGCTGCAATTATCATTTGCTCGACAAATCTATCTATTGTCATTTTATTTACTGGCTTCTTACAAATTGGGCATTTTCATCTATTGACTTTGGAGTATCTCTGCAGATTAATATAAGGTCCTAAATTGAAGCAGGGGATGTGAGTGCATCTTATTCCTCTCACTGGGATTTCAACTAAAGTCATGGTGATTGGACATTTTATAGAAAATTTGATGCTGTCGGAGACTACATCAGAGTCTCCTTGAGCTAAAATTGTATTAATAAATACCTTGCCTTCATCCACAGATACTCCTGGCTGGCTTTTAATTTCTTCAATTAGACTTTCGTTGCTTTTCTCTTGTATCAAAGCGACTCCACATATAAACTTGCCAATTTTTTCATCCTGCAAGAGGCAAATATTGTTTGGTGAGTCTGATCTCAGAATTGTGGTTATATTTAAAGGCTGGTCTTTTCGCTTTTTTGCATTTATATTTGGGGGTTGAAATAGCATTGCTAATTTATCATTAATTATGAGACAGCCCGCTAAAGGTCATTGCTGAGTATAAGGGTCTCCTTCTAGCTTGATGCATCTTACTTGGATTTGGAAATTTCCATTCCCAAGCTGGATTTTTTTACGAAATTCTTCGGAGTAGTCAAAATTTTTTGTAAAATGAGGCGATCTCTGCATCCCATTCTCGCATAAAAAAGGGGGAACTAGGAATTCTTTGATCTCTTCTAACTTCCCTTTGATAAGCCTAGAATATTTTGATTTATGATTGTTATAAATCTATTAAATTCTATTAAAATTTAAATCAGCTGCATCTTAATATATATTTTTACGAACTGGGGTGCTTTATATATAAATCTGAGATATAATTTATATTCATAGGCGTTAAGGGATTCATTTGGTGAAGCTGACAAATGAAGCATTCATATGGGATTATGTTAGGATTTTTGATGCATTGCTTGTGCTGAAAGCTACGGCAAAGAGAACACTGGATAAGCTGAAGGCGGGAGAATTTTTGGTTGCAAATGCAGTTTAGCCGAGGCACTTGGCAATTCTGGCTTTTGCAGAGTTGGTGAATTAGTTCAGAGGGATCTTGGGATTTTGATTTAGTGCTGTAATAATTATATAATCGAGCAATAACCTCGAATCGACTTCCAGAACCAAACAGATTAAGGCTTTTGCAAAAATTCCTGAGATCTTCAATTTGAAAATCTTGTAAAAAAGATTCAAAAATCTTTATAGGGAAAGTTTCCATAATATAAAAGCACATGCATAAGACAAGTCAAAATAGCTTGATTAGATGCTATTATCTCAATTTATAATCTGTGCATTTAAAATTCTTATTTTCATAAGCTTCCTTACAATATTTATAAATATTTTTAAAAATCTACCTTTTAATAATATTTCTAAAGAGACCCTAAATCTATATTTAGGAATTATCCAGAGATAATTTTAAATCACACAATGAGTTACAGCATAGAGACATCAGGAATATACTTCTGTCAGATAGGAAAATTTTTAATAAATTTTGGTTTTTATTGATTACTTTCAGGGTCACAAAGCATATAGTTAAATTAAGTGCTATAAGGCTATAAGCTGACAGACCACTAGCCTACCTATCTGGTGTAAACCCACCAAACCTAACGATTAGCTCCCTAGTTAGAGCCACCTCTTGCGGATGCCCAGTTAGCCCCTATAAGCAAAGCCCATGTGGGAGCCAAAACCTGTAGTCTACCGGAAAGAGTCAGGAAACCTTCGGGGAAAAAAAATTCCTCTTCGGCAGGGATCTCCAAATCCGAAGCTTACTTCACAAAATGTAGAGCCCCTTTTTCAGCTTCACAGGATGGGTCCGACCTGTTACATAGGGAGTTTTCCTCGGAGTCCTGCTGGCGTCATCATTTTATTTCTGCATACAGTTAGGGATCTATTTCAAATCTAATAGTTTACTTTTTTGAGTTTTATTTTTAATATTTTTAGCGAATATAGTCTTCAGCAGGCTTTCAGCTCATTTTTAAGATCAATTACAACTATCTTATTTTTCATCTCCTTTATAGAAATGATTAAATACTGTTACAGCCAATAATCACAAGCTCAAATTTAAATTATCAATAAAAATGAATTTAAAATAAACGCATAATTTTAACCCATATACTCACATAGTTTGTGTACAATCAAAATTGCTAAATTAGCATAAATCGCTGATCTCGATATCTTCTATAATGCATTTCACTATTTTCAGATCGACACTCTATGAATAATTTTTTTTGGCATTTGAAGGTCTGTGAAGTTTGGATCTTCACATGCCAAAAAGATAGTGCATAAAGTGCAAATAATAAAAGAGTGCAATGTACTATATCTTCTCCAGAGACTTCGGCGCAGAGATCTCAATAATGTATTGCCCAGCGTTTACATTGAAAACGAATACTTTTGACTTTGAAAAACTTTTGGAATAATCTGCATTTGACTCATTGCAGTTGCTTATTTGATTAATCTGGCTTTCATTTGGTTTAAAAAATTTATTGTTAGACACTTCACAAGTAGGATTCATAGACGCATGATATGATCTTATTACAGAGCAACCCATTTATATAAAACGATTATCAGACAGATCAATTTATTAATAGCAATACTGACAGAAAAAGAAATTTTGAATTGAAAAACGCTAAGTTTGGCTGAAGGTTTGTGTGGTGGACTGAGAATATTTATTCACGTCTGCGCCATCTTTTATATTTGCTTTTGGCTTTAATAACGATATACTTGTGATAAACAATATAACTTTTTTGCTGAATTTTCTCATAACCTATTTAAATGCCTAATTAAAAATCAGAATCATAGACGTTCGAGGAAAACTAATTGAAAAAGCATTGCAGTGCGATAATAAATTTGGATTTATCTTTTGTCTCTCTTTATGGTTCCTTTTAAAACTTTTTATGGGTATTATCATTTTTAGGCAGAAATGAATAATAAATAATAATTGCAAATACTTATGAAGAATTATAAAATTAGTTCCGGCTTATATGAATATTAACTACCTGAAATTATCCTTATAATAAATAAGAGCCTTTTAATTTTTTAATTTGCAATTTCTTAATTCATCATTAAATTCATGAAATCCTGTGGAGTTAGTGAAGATCTTCCAAATTACCTCCGTAGCCAATACTCTGTATCAAACCCATCACCTCCTAAAAAGCTTTTTCACAAAGGGGTCGTTCCCAATATAAGGCAGGGTGTAAGTGCCGAATCTCCTGATTGTTTTCATGTAAAATATGTAGCAGTTCTCAGCAATGAAGAGAAAAATAAAATAATCTCCAGAGGAGATCGTTCTCCAAATCGTTTCATAAGTGACCTAAAAGTGAATAAGGTTGAAGAAAAGCCTAAATTCCAATTTGACGAAACTAAAACGACTTTCGATTGCCACAGTCTCAAATTCAGCAAGGCGTTAGATCTAATGGCTGATAAGAGTCCAAAGCTCAGGAAAGAAGTGCCTTATATTAAAGAGTACGAAGAAATGACACGATCAGGCTTTGGGCTGCCTAGAGGAGAATTCACAGTTGATGCCATGCAGCCTAATGTCCCCAGGTATAAGATTGCTAAACTGAATACGCTGAAAGAATCTCTCTTGCACACCTTCAAGAGGACGAAGACAAGCAAAATGAGCTCCTTGCAAAGCAAGGATACATTTATTACTACAGCTAGGGATTGCTTGAACCTCTCTAAGGCAAATGCTAAAAGTATGTCACCAAACACTCCAAGAAGGCCAATGAAGTCAATAAAACAGAAAAAAGAAAGGCCACTATCAAACCAAAACATGATTGAGGTTTTTGAAAAAAAGAGTCTGAAATCAGCTGCTCCTTATGAAAGCAGGCAAATCTACAATCTTGACGCAAAAGAATTGCTAGATGACAATTAATTTTTAATTATGATAATTCTTGCTAATATATGTATTATTGATTAATAATCAAGTTAGTCTTGTCATTTTTCTAAAGGGCTAAAATTGGCAACTTTCAGTCAAAAAAAGTTTTAATCTAGCTAAAGATCTAGTCAGACACCTCAGCTCAATTATTTTAAACACTCGGCGCTTTCAATCGGAGTGCGAGTAATTATTTTCAAGAACAGTTTAGGTCGGATATTAAAATAAAATAACTTATTATAATTATCATTTTCTAATTTTCGTTGAGTTAGAAAGGACCAGCGAAGGATCGTTTTTCTTGACTTCTTTCATTTTTGCTAGCAGAGAGTAAGACTCTTCCTCTTCTTCCTCTTTTTCTTCTTCCTCCATATCCATGTATTCTCTTTGTTCTGCAATATCAACATTCGCAGAAATTGGCAACAGATATTTTCTTAACAGTCTAGACGAATTTAATGAAATCGGTTGGTAATTTGAGTGGACTGCTTGGACATGTTCTGCCACTTTGCATAAGCACTTTGCTGAATATCCGCATTGAGGAATTGAACAAGTGAAGCTGTGAGCCTGTTTGATGTGCTCTACTAATTCATTAATTGAACTTGAAACAAAAGGGCAAGACTTTGAGGAGCAGAAAATACTCATTTTTGTTTCATTAGACTCAGTTTTGGCAATTTTTCTAGTCTTGGGCTCTTCAGTTTCATTAGACTCAGTTTTGGCAATTTTTCTAGTCTTGGGCTGTTCAATTTGAAAACGTCTTAGGTTAACTTTTGGGGGAGACTCAAAACCATCTTTTTCAAGAGTTTTGTGGTGGATTTTTTGGACTGCTGGGGTCTCTTTTCGGACAACTGGAATAGCTTTTGGGAGTGCTGGAGTTTCTTTTCGAATTAATAGACTTTCTTTTTGAACTACTGAAATTTCTTTTTGGGAAACTGATGTTTCTTTTCGGAGACTGTTTTGAACTTTTAGAGTTTCTTGAGGGATTTTGGAAACTTTTTTTTCAGTTTTCAACGATTTTTTACTAGGTGTAAATATTTCAGGGTTGGGAATTTTGAGGGTTTGCTTTTCTATTTTTGCCTCACTCTTTTGTGGAGTTTTTATAGGGTAATCGTCTATCCTCTGTATGTAGTTATAAGGCAGTTTTTCGTCTTCAGTGTGCCACCATTCTTCTATCATTTTTAAATATAAATAAATCAAAAAGCCCCCTCGTAAAATTTTGATAGAATTCATTAAGTTAAAGATTAATTTTAATTTCAAAGATGTTTTTATTAAAACTACTAGAATCTGTATTGCTTAATTTATATGCCTATTTTTATTAAATTAAAACTTTAACTTCACTATTGGTTCTCGAGCAAAACCATAAAAATTCCGGTTTTTAAGATAATTAAACCCCTTTGTTATCGAGCAAAAAATTTTTCTCTTGCAATCTTACTATAGCCTAGGACACACAATAGATCGTCTGGGGTATAGGAGATTCCCAATGATGGCGCTCAATGTGCCATCATCGGGAAACGTGTTTTAAGGGTCCACACTGGAAATAGATTCCACGCGTGGAGCCCTTTTTGACACGTGGAAAATCCTCACTTTCACGTGCCAAAAAGGGCTCCACACGTGGCACCCATTTCCAGTGTGGACCCTGAATTTTAGTTGCCCGATGATGGCGCATTGAGCGCCATCATCGGGCAACTTGTATATCACTTGGAGCTCTAACTCGTGGAATTAGCAAATATCAACTATAGGAATACTCGTGAAGTATTGGAGTTGGCTGCTAACTTTGGTGTTAAACCAACTCCAATTGGAGCTCCAAGTGATAGCCCAGGTTGATCTATAATTGTTCTGGGCTATATAAAACTTTAAAAAAGAACAAAATTACCCCTCTTTTCTAGTAAGCAAAAAAAACTGCTCGCTAGCCAAGGGGAGTAAATAATTCTCATTATAGTTAATATATATCATTAGCTTACCTTTAAATAAAGTGATTTAAAATTTAAATAAAAACATTTGCCATTGCAATAAATTAAGTGTTTTAGATGCCAGATTGATCCATATAACTGAAATTTATTTTAAAAATGCTTATAGCTAAAAATTCAATTTAATAAGGATCTTTATTATCCCCATGAAGAGCCACTTGAACTGTTTCCCCACGAGTTTCCAGAGCTTTCAGCAGGTTTGGCTCCCCAAGAAGAAGTATTGCTTTCACCAGGCTTTTCATTGCTTTGAGCTGGTGTTGAGTTTCATGATGACTGCTGAGGGGCTGGTGCTGAATTCCAAGATGACGAAGCTGGAGCTTGCTCTGCTGGAGGGTTTCCCCATGAAGAGCTTGCAGGGGTACTTGAAGTTGGCTGCGAACTTGTCGATGATGAACCACCCCATCCTCCTCCTCCGCTTGTAGTTGGTGCAGGCGTTGATGAATCACCCCAGCCTCCAGAAGAAGCAGGCTGAGTTGTACTTCCACCCCAAGAACTGGATGAGGATTGAGTAGTTTCAGTACTCCCACCCCAGCCACCTGAGCTTGCTTGTGTAGAACTTCCTGCGTCTCCCCATCCAGATGAGCTTGCTTGAGTAGTGCTTCCAGAATCCCCCCATCCACCACTAGAACCTCCTGAGCTACCCCATCCTGCAGAAGAACTTCCTGAGTCAGCCCAGCCAGAAGACCCTGAGTTAGAGTTTTCTCTGTCGTTATCTCCAGATTCTCTTCGTCCTCTTCCTCGGCCTCTGCCTCTTCCTCTGTTTTCTCCTGGATTTGGACAGTCTCTTGACATGTGGCCTTCTTGTCCACATTTAAAGCAGCCTTTAGGTTTGCTTTCACCTGGGTTGGGGCATTCTCTTGACATATGGCCTTCTTGGCCACATTTAAAGCAGCCTTTAGGTTTGCTTTCGCCTGGGTTGGGGCATTCTCTTGACATATGCCCTTCTTGGCCACATTTGAAACAGCCTTTAGGTTTACTTTCGCCTGGATTTGGACATTCTCTTGACATATGGCCTTCTTGGCCGCACTTAAAGCAGCCTTTAGGTTTGCTTTCGCCTGGATTTGGACATTCTCTTGACATATGGCCTTCCTGACCACATTTAAAGCAGCCTTTAGGTTTATTTTCTCCTGGATTTGGGCAGTCTTTAGACATATGACCTTCCTGACCACATTTGAAGCATCCCCTTCCTCTTCCTCTGCCTCCGCGGCCTCCTCTTGAGCCTCTGTCTGCTGACTGGTCATTATCCTCAGAACCACCCCAATTTGTGGACGGAACTTGTGGAGCTGATGAGCCCCAAGATTCTCCAGATGACTCTCCCCAGCTTCCGCCTGATTTTTCTTGAGATCCTCCCCATGAAGCTCCAGAACTTTGGCCGCCTTGGCTGCTTCCACCCCATCCGCCTGAGCTCTGTTTGTTTTCTTCGCCACCTCCTCCCCAGCCTCCTGAGCTTTGTTGGCTTGCACTAGAGTTTCCTCCTCCCCAGCCTCCAGAGCTTTGTGCTGGTGGCTGACTTGCACCAGAGCTTCCTCCCCATCCTCCAGAATTTTTAGGGGCAGAATTGCTTGCTTCTTGCTTCTTTTCTTCGCCGCCCCAGCTTTCAAAATTGCTTGTGCTTCCCCACTCATCAGCTCTTGGAGTTTTAGTTAAGTCTTTGCCGCCAGACCATTCCTGAGCACCAATATGCGGAGTTTTATCATAAGGTGTTGCATTGCCCCACCCAGGAGTTCTAGCAGGAGTTTGGGACACGACTTGAGCGTTTTCGTCTTGCTCTGGAGGTTTGTTTTGGGTGAGAAAAGCATTTGAAGTATCAATGTTTGGAGGTTTAGATCTTGAGAGCTGGCTTAAATAAGAAAGATCATTGCAGTGGCGCTTAAACCAGCTTATTAAAAATCCCATATTCGGATGGTAGGCTTCATGGAAAAAGAGACCTTTAGGCTTGACCTTGATGAATTCTTTAATAATTTGGTCCGTTTTTTGATATAAAAGAACAAAATATTGAGGATAATGAGGGGTCACAGCAAAGTAATAAGGAACTGTTGTCGGCCTCGTAGTCTTTTCTTGGGAAATCAAATTTTCTAAAACTGTTAGGCTGGCTGAGTTTGTTTCTTTGAATTTTGGATGAGTGATAGCTTCTCTTACAAGTTTTTCACAAGGTGCTATATAGCGATCAATTAATTACGATTTATAATATACATAAAATGGCGTATGGCGACCGACCCACCCTCTCAGTGGTGTTACCCATGTATATCCGGGCATGGTTTTTGGAGCCAGGAATTAGCCCAACAACGTCTGGGACCTCGAAGCGAGAGGCCTAAGCGCGAGAGCCGCTGTTTTTGCGACCAGACCCATGGGCAGTTATTCGTGACTTCTTTTTGCCAGCAGCGCTCAGCCCAGTGAGTGCCCCGAAATGAGGCAGGGTGAATTACCTGCCTAACTCCCCCCCCCCCCTCCGTGAGCGAACAAAACCATTAGAAAAATCGCCATTTTTTGACCAAAAACCCACCCTCCGTGAGTGAACAAAAATTTTTTTAATAGAAAAAATTTTAATGGAAAAAAATTTTGATATATAAGTGATAATTAGTATAATGAAATCTAGAGCTAATTCTGTTTAATTTTAAACAAATTGCGTTTTAAAAACATAAATTTTGCAAATTAAATTAATATTTGCTTCCCAATTTTTTGCAAATTAGGATTTTTTTAAATTTCGAAAAAAATATTTTTTTATAAAATTTATATATAAATTTTTTTTTTAAAAAAAAAAATTTAACCCCCCTCCGTGAGCGAACAAAATTTTTTTTGTTCGCTCACGGAGGGGGGGGGGGAGTAAGCTGCTTTAGTGGCTCGCCCCGAATGGCGAAAGCTGTTGAGTTCTTTCTCGGGATGACAGGAAAAGAGGGGAGGCGAGTTAGACACCAAAACGGGGGTCTCTCCAGTTGAAAAGGTGCCCTTCAATGGGCAGATCTGGCGGACGACGAAGCGGAGTTGGCGTAAACTTAGGCGACGATCCAAGTTGGAAATGGAGGTGGTCAGCAAAGCCGGTATGAGACGGCCCTTGACAATACCTCTACCGAGAAACCGGGGGTTTCGGCCCGGCTTGGTGAACGCTCTGCCACCACACGGGAAACCGTGGCATGCGACCTCGGACGTAGTAGGGACCTTAAATACCCAGCGTAATCTTAATCTTAATCTTAATTACGATTTATAACGTTTTACGTCCACTACGGGGTAGGCATAGTCCCAGACCTGCCGCTCGCTTTCGCCGCATCGGGCCCACAGACCACCGGGCTGGCCTGCTTTGTTACACAATATAGGTGAGCCTCCAGACGAGTGTTCCGGCTTCGACGGCTCATGAATGAGCTACTGACTTGTAACATGGGTTGCTTTTTCGAAAACCAAAAAAAATGGATTTTCTGGTCGGCTATGGGCAAAAAGGAAAAATACGTAGCCTGGGACGTAACGCCCAGTTTCACGTTAGGGAGTTGCCCGATTGGTCTAGTGGACTCTGCTGGGCTTCCCCTTTCCAACTCCGTACCCTCCTTCCCCATGAGGAAAAATCCACCTCTGAGATTGGACTAGGGCTAGGCTCTGCACACAACCAGAATTGCTTACCTAGCATCGCTGTCCTTCTCTGAAATGGTAAAACCTTGCCGGATATAATTAAAATATGTATCGAGGCTGTATGGCCGGAGGCCATACCCAGACGAAGACGCCATTTTTTAATTATGCTATATAGCGATCAACAGCATCTTGCAGAGACTCATATACTTCAGTCCCAATGCGAAATCTGGATCCCAGCATATTGGCAGATGGCTTTCCTTCTTCTATGATATCGAGATGTGCATATATATAATCATAAAATTTCCACGTGCATGTTAAGTGATCTTGCCCACGACTTGAGGGTCTGAATATAAAATCTCCAATTTCTTTTGACGAGAGCTCATCACATGCAGTCCTCATCCCAACATTTCTATATTTCAAGTGGTTTATTACCCTTGGGACGTATTTTTGGCCAGTTTTCTGCTCGTCCTCCATCACTGTTTTTTCAGTCCAGTCGCCTTCTTCTATGATAAAGGCTTCATCAAGAGTGAGGTTAATAAACTTGCCGTGGTTTATGATGTCGTCTGGAAGCAAGCTTAATTTCATTTTAAAGAATAAGTCTTTTTGTGACCGCAGCTTAGCTGTGACTTCAATGATTCTTGCAGTGAGTTTTCCACCCTTCACAAATTTTTTCAGGTCTGCTTCATTAGGGATCCTTCCTTCTACAAGGTGCCTTTGCTCGATAATCCCTTCTAGCTCACATTCTAGCAGACACCTTAAACATTCACGACGCTCGTCATAGCCAAGAACCATAACCTGGACTACACTTCCACGCTTAAGAGTGCTGGGGGTTTCATTTGTGCACATGTATAAGAGTTCTTCTGGAGTTGGCTCAAAGTACCGTTTTTTGGGGTTTCCAAATGGAGAGCTGAGCTCTGAAACGATAAACTCTAGGGTCTCTTTCATGTTTTTGAAGCCTTTTTCGGCCTGCATTTGAGCGTAATAATCAAGGTCTAGTTCTTGCATTTTCTGAGGAGACCTAAGGATTTCGTGGATTAGAAGCTCGTCAGGGACCTGCTCGTCGTTTAAAGCGCTTTTTGAGACTATTGCAGCTAGCTCGTAGTATTCAGGGTGAATTCTGGTGGAGTCCAATGGATTAGTTTTTCCAAGCTCGTAAGGGATTTTTATGAATCCACAAGCATTTTCGCAGACTCTCTGAGGGAGGATTCTTTTAGTAAGAATTTCTTGTCTTGTAGTCAAAGTACCACCACATATATGCTTGATGCTTTCTATTAATGAGTAAGCTCGCACAGGTCCTAGCCCAGGGATAAATGACAAAAGTCCATATAAATGCGGCTTATGCATGACTTCGTTAATGTCAACCCCAGAGTGTGAGCAGACGCAAACAGCAACAATTTCCATGCTTGCCAGCTTTTTGTGCTCATTAGCTAAGGACTCTAAAGGATGCAGACTTAGATATTTGATCTGCAACTCATTTGGGTCGTTCCATAAGCCTAGAATTTCAGCTTTAGGGTTTTGCAAAGATCTTCCTAGCGAAATAGCCATCCTGGTCAAAACTTTATGATTCTCACACATCTTGATTGATCTTTGGGATGTGGCAAAGAGTTTGGCGATGTTGGTATCTCCCATAGTGATAAGAGGGGTTTTGCTGAAAAGCTGGGCTTTGTCTACTTCTACACCAATTTCCATTTCGTTAAAGCTATCCACAGTTAAAGCTTCAGCCAGCAGTCCAATAGATCTTCTTAGCTGTACGCTTTGCAGCGAGTTGGCCCCAATGATGATCGCATTTGGCTTGCTGGCTAAAAGCAGGTTGATGAATTGAGATCTTTCTTTTAACTCCCCCCCCCCCTCCGTGAGCGAACAAAAAAATTTTGTTCGCTCACGGAGGGGGGTTAATTTTTTTTTTTAAAAAAATTTATATATAAATTTTATAAAAAATATTTTTTTTTCGAAATTTAAAAAAATCCTAATTTGCAAAAATTGGGAAGCAAATATTAATTTAATTTGCAAAATTTATGTTTTAAAACGCAATTTGGTTAAAATTAAACAGAATTAGCTCTAGATTTCATTATACTAATTATCACTTATATATCCAAATTTTTTTCCATTAAAATTTTTTTCTATTAAAAAAATTTTTGTTCACTCACGGAGGGTGGGTTTTTGGGTCAAAAAATGGCGATTTTTTCTAATGGTTTTGTTTCGCTCACGGAGGGGGGGGGGGGGGAGTAAGTATCTTGCCTTGTCAGTTTCATGCAATTCTTCAGGTTTCCGCACCATCAAAGTGTTGAGCAAAGCTATGTCAATAATATCCCCATTTCTTTTGAGCGCCACCACAGCTGTCTGGCCTAGGAATTTTACATCAGGGTCAGTTACTATAGAAACAACACATGGATTATTTGACCCTTCCACAATGTAGCTTGGCCTATTCAGCATTTCACTAAACTTGCTTTGAATTTGTTCAATAATCCAGTCTTCACTTTTTGAAAGCAGTTGTTTCTTGAAGCTGTCTTCAAACTCTTTATAGAGCTGTGCAAATGTGAGCTTCAAAACTTCAGTTCTGAACTGGTTCCATTCTGATTCGACGCTTTCAGTTGTGACTGTTGTGTAGAGTCCTTTAACCAAGTTGAAAATCTTGTCTTCTTTGGCGTCTTCCCATGGCAGTTTGAACTCAATTTTTATTAGATCAGAGCTTTCACATTTTAAGGCTTGACCCCAAAGCTCAGGTGACCAAGAGTCTATTGGTTTACCATTGGCGAGGTTCTTGACTCCATAGAATGGGTGAAACACGTCCAGAACTGTTTTGCCTTTCTCAGTTGGCGATGTATAAATTTTCACATGCTTTTTGTATTCTTCTCGTATGAAGCTCCTAAATGCTGGGAAATTAGAAAGTTCGGCCTGCATGAGATTGCAAGCATTTGTGATGACTTGAATTTCTTCTGAAAAGGTAGGGCTGCGCAGTTTGAATGCTAAACCTTGTGGCTTCAGGTCTGGCTTAAGAGGTTTGTGGACTTGTTTGTTTTGTTTTAGATTCTCTGAGATCTGTGAAGGACTTAGGCCTGCTTTTGCAGCGAATTCATTGAGCTTGTTCATTCTGGACTCTTGGACTGGGTTATATGCTTTTCTCAGCATTCTACTTCCATCTTGGTGAGTATATACATAAGCTTTTATATAGGCTTCGAGGTCATTTATTTCTAGCAAATAGTCATTTGTTGAATGAGAGTTTAGCAGTGCGCTTACACAGTCAGGCAAAATCCCAGGAGTTTCTGAAACTAAAACTTTGTCACCATCATTCAGAGGCCTTCCTTTTGATAATGCATCTCCATTAGCTGCAGCTGAATTAAGTAAATTTTGCAGATTTTGTTTTGTTGAGTACAAGAAGCCCCAATCTTTATCCCACGCCCAAAGCTCTAGTAAGTCATTTTCAGTTTCTATTTCTGGCTTCAGGACATCGAGCCTGTATTTATATATGAAAGAAATTTCATATTTTTCTACCCTATATAGTAACAAGAAAGTATGGATTTTTGCTTTGATTGCTCCTTTAATCCCATGAGGATTCTTTTGAAGAAGCCTTTGCAAGAGCCACTCTTCTTCTAAGTTCAGCTCAGCTTCAGTTGGATATTCGCGGTTTTTTAGGGAAATTTGTAAACGCTCCGGAATGTCAAGCTGCTTTAGCATGATATCTTCTGCTGTTCCATACTGGCTGATGTAGTCATAAGGCTCAAATTCGATTTTTCTTGCTTCAGCTTGGCCTGGCTCTGGGGCTGGTCCAAAGATCTCAGCAGCGACGTCAAAGTTTTCTCCGAGGTGTTCTGGGATTTCTCCGGGCTCCATGGAGACATCGCTTTCAGTGTCAGATGCTATTTTAGCTTGTTTGCGAGGGATTGCCTCGTCAGAAAAGAGCTTTTGCTCAAGCTCTGCTCGAGTTTTGGATCGGATACTGGAGTTTAAGTCAAGATTTTCCAGGCTTTCTTTGAGGTCAGATTCAGAGGCATGAGCAGGACGAAGGCGCTTTTGAGGAGTTTCTGGGTTTACTTCTTGGTAAATAGCCATGGAATCCGGTTGAGCGTGCTTGGTAGCGGGATTTTGCAAACTGGACATTTTATTTATAGACTATAGCCGGAATTCAAAATATGGAAGCTGAGCCCCCTAATTTCAAAAAGATTAGTTAATGCGCTGAAGGAAGCACGTTTAAATGAGAAATATATATTCAATTAACTTATGAACTAGTATGGAAAAAACTGATAAAATATGAACTTGGACACCACTATAGAGCAAGAAATTATGTTGGCGTTAAGCAAGTCGGACTATGACACTTTGAGGCAGCTTCTAAATTCTTCAAATATAAATGAGCCTCTTGACTCTTTCGGGAACAGACCAATACACCTTGCAGCTTTGAAGATGGACATCGACATGATAGAATTTCTTGTAATGATGTTTGGAGCTGATATAAGCATTCTAAATTCGACTAATTGGTCACCTTTGACATTCATTGTGTTGCGCAACGATCCTAATATCAATAAAACTGTTGGTCTACTTGTAAAATTAGGTGCAACGATTAAGAATGGTAAAAGTCCATTTGAGAATTTGGCTCTGGAATATGCAAAATCTCATAAAGAAGAAAATCCAAATCTATACAATTTTCTGGAGAGCGTAGCAAATAGCGATTTAAACTGGGAAAAGCACAAAGCAGCTGTTTTTCTCAGACATTCATTAATAGGGCCTTACTTGCTTTAATTTATGCTCTCATATAAGCCTAAGCTTCTAAGAATTATTGACTATCTAAAATATTTAAAATTTGTTGTATTATCTAGACATTTGAAAGGCATTGCACCTACATGAATTTCGATACTTACTTTTATGACATTTGAGAATATACATAAAATGGCCGGAGACGAGCGACCCCGTCCTTCCGTGGCGGGTGTCCTTATGTATACCGGACATGGTTTTCGGATGCGGAGAGCTACTCAAGGGAAGAGTTAGCCTCGAGGCGAGAGGCCCAGCCCAATTTCCGCTGATTTTGGACTTGACCCCGAGCAGCAGTTTTCGCATTCATTTTGCCAGTAGCGCCGAGGCCCAGACTTGGTGTCCGAAAGAGGCAGGGTGAGTTACCTGCCTAGGCTACTTGGTGGCTTAGCCCCGAATCCCGTAAGGGGTTGAGTTCTTTCTTGGAGATGATCCGGGAAAGAGGGGAGGCGAAGCTAGACTAGAGAACTCAAGGGCGCAAGTCTCTCCAGTTAAAAGGGTCCTCTCACGAGGGCGATCTGGCCAACCGGAGGCAAAGACTGGCGTAATTCGGGGCGGAAGGCTGAGTTGGAAATGGTGGTGCCCAGCGACAGTCGGCTGACGACTCAATAGGGCAACCCACTACCGAGAAGCCAGGGGTTTCGGCCTGGGCTCAGAGAACCAGTGATGGAAGTCCATCCTTTTCGCTCGTGCCAGCACGGCTCCTCAAGGAGCGCGGACTATAAAGACACATCTTAAATCTAATCTAATCTAATCTAATCTAATCTATGACATTTGAGATTTGTAATATTCAAAATGGGAAATATAAACTGCACCAAATATTGTCAAGGGTTTGATGGGAAGTCAGAACTCGACTTAAAGACTTCAGTCAGTTTAATTTAGGTCATAAAGCAAAACTATCCCCAAGTCCGACACAGCATTTCTAACTCCCCCCCTCGAAAAAAAGTTATATAGAAATTTTATAGAAAATTTTTTTTTCCGAAATTTAAAAAAATCACACTTCGCAAATTTGGAGAGCAAATTATTAATTTAATTTGTGAAATTTTATGTTTTAAAAAACGCAATTTGCTTAAAATTTAACAGAATTAGCTATAGATTTTATTATACTAATGATCACTTATATATCGAAATTTTTTGTCCATACAATTTTTTTCTATTAAAAAAAATTTTTGTTTTTGGGCAAAACTAGGGATTTTTCTAATAGTTTTGTTCGCTCACGGAGGGGGGTAAGCAAGAATCACAGCCTAAGGAAGATTTATTTATAAAATTCCCCAAAAGCGATCTTTCCACACACGCTTCAAAAATCCAAAAAGCATGGCTCCGTTACTATTATAAAAACCAATATCAACAATTTAAAAATCTTTTTCAGCCTAATCACGAATACTTTTCAGAAGTTTACACTAAAGAAACTATATCAAATATTCCAATTTCACCAAAGCGCAAGAAAAGGTCGCTTTATACTTATGCAAATGGAGCTACTTATAAAGGAGAGTGACGAGGAGGAATTAGAGATGGAAAAGGAAAAATGGTTTGGCCTGATGGCTGCATTTACGAAGGGATCTGAGATTACGGTATCCCTTTTAGATATGGGAAATTCACACACTTTGATGGAGAATCTTACGAGGGCAATTGAAAAAGCCCAATGATTATCCAAAATAACTCCCAGGCCGAATCGGAAAATGGATACTGTAATATTTATTCAGGCTGGCTGTATTATAAACAAGAAATGTTAAAATCTCTGCCATCAGAGCAAAGATCTTCTAAATTCTCTCTAAAGCACTATAAAAGATTGAAAACCCTCTATGACGACTTCAACAAAATCGAATCCGAGCTCAATCAACCTACAGAGTTTATCAATAATGTTTTTAACGAAAATTTCAAAAGCCAGCTCCAAGAGCACACTTATGATATAAATATAAAATATTATGGAGAATTTAGAGGGAAGGTCAGAGAAGGCAAAGGCCTTAATATCTGGGATAATGGAGATAGATACGAGGGCTTGTGAGCTAATGACATGCAAAATTCCTGACTCCCCCCGTCCTTGATCGAACGGCTCGACATCGTTCGATCAAGGATGGGGGTTAAAACAAAATTCTGGAAAATTTTTAAAAAATAAAATATATATATATAATTATTTGTTTTTATTTATATTTATTTTTAAATAAGAGGGTTAAGAGTATTTAATAATTATTTTTACAGCAAAAATTGAATTAATTTCATAAGAATACCAATTTTTAATATTTTGATTTATTAGTTACCCCTTTAAACTGTATAAATTTTAATTTGCTCCTTATTGAATTTAAGATTTAAGATTACGATAACTCTCCGTTGACCCCCACTTAGCTTAGGACCAACGAAACAAGCCCATCCTTCCTGAATTCCATCACTGGCTAACAGCTCTGAACAACGGTAGGTGGAATTGGCCTAACCGTCGAACCGTTACAGTAGCCTATGACCTAGACGAGTCTCTCTTCCTTTCTTGAACTTGATTCAAGCACACAAGGAACTGCCGAAGCAGTTCCAGCGCCAATATCCTTTAGAAAGTCTGAACTTCCCTCACTAGGATGACCTTAGGGGACAAGGACCCTAATTCATACGCTCCATTTTTAATTGTTCTTATTGAATTAAATTTATTTTTTAAAATTTAAAAGAATCTCTATTTTTTAGATTATTGAGTTTTTAAGCCTAGGCTGATGGCTAAATCACTTCGGATGGTTGATTCCCTAGCTTTCTGTCGTCTCAAAGTCTCTGAAAAACAACTTCATTAGGTGCATCTTCCTAAGCTTTTGATAACTAATATATTTTTATATATATATAAAATTGCATGATATGAAAATCATTCGATCAAGGATGGGGTAAATTTCCCCAATTTTTAGGAAATTTATAGTCAATCGTTCATTCAAGGATGGGGGGAGTGAGGGAGAAACGTATGGGTTGATGGATCAACATATATTGGAGGATATAAAAATAACTTAAAAGAAGGAGTGGGGAAGTATAATTGAGAAGATGGGACTATTTATATAGGACAGTGAAAAGCTAATGTCATTAATGGGATTGGAAAATATATGTGGGCGGACGGCAGACAATATTTAGGAGACTGGGTAGATGGAGCTATGAGCGGATTCGGAGTTTTTTCTTGAAAGGATGGGAAAAAATATGAGGGAGAATGATTTAAAGGCAAAAAACATGGGATTGGGTATTCGATTTCTACTGATGGAAGTGTATCAAAAAATAAATGAAATTATGGAAAAATGATTAAGAAAGATAATGATACTCCGAAAAACTGAGATTAATTTTGAATATAAATATTATAAATGTGCAGGCTACCCATCTAAGTGATAATATAGTTAAAATATTTTTTTTATTTCTAATATTCATAATTTATCGCCTTATAATAATTCAAATGCAATTACTATCTGTCGAAATATAAATTCAACATGAAATTTTAATATTAAAGCAAAAATAGCACTGAGGAATATTAAACTTTTAGTAAATGCCATCCTATATATTAAATACTATAGCTGCTTATTTATATCAGTTTTATTACTCATTTTCATGCATTATCCCAAAATATTTTTAAAAAAAAGTTAATTGGGAGAATAAAGCTATTATGAGATTGATAAATAAAGTGCTTTAAAATATTAAAATACTATAAAATTGGATGTTTTACAAAAGATTTTGTTTAAAAGAAACTTAAAAAATTATGAATTGTGTAAATATACATATTGGAGCAAAATAATTGTCAGATGACATTAGTAAAATGGAGCTTCAGCCTCTTAATAATTTAAGCCAAAGCTCTTACACATATTTTCCAGCGCTTTCCACAAAAAAGCCAGGATTTTTTTCAAAGACTTTCTTCACATGAGTAAAATCGATCCTTGATTTAAGTAAAAAGAAAGATGTTACCGTAGACGATACTTACCCTCTCCCAGATGGAGAAAAAGCAGAGAACGAAGAACTTACCAAGAACTTGAAAAAGCACAAGCTTTTTTGAGCCATTATACGTTCCAATATAAAACTGATACTTTTATCTGTTTTTCTAGGAAATGTATGTGCATTGCTAGATCTATCAGCTCCGTTGTTTATTGATTGGCTATACATTAAAATGGCGACGGTGAGCCAGCCCTATTCTCAACACTTGCAGCCGTAGGCTTGAAAGGCCGCGGGACCTTTTGGAAGAGAAATTGACGCTCGGTAAGTATATCAGACTAAGTTACTTGTTTTTTTGGTCGAGCTTAATATCGAATTTTGTCGACCCAGTCTCACTGCAGATCAAAAGGTTTTGCCTCACTCCCCCCCTTTAAATTGGAACAAAAAATTTTGTTACAATTTAAAGGGGGGTTAAGATGTTTTTTTATAAAAAAAAAAATTTAATATAAAATTATTTATATAAAAAAAATTTATATAAAAATTTCAAAAAAAAATTTCAAAAATTTATCGAATTAGATTAATAAATTTGCTTACTCCCCCCCCCCCTCCGTGAGCGAACAAAAAAATTTTGTTCGCTCACGGAGGGGGTTTAATTTTTTTTTTTTTTTAAAAAAAATTTATATATAAATTTTATAAAAAATATTTTTTTTCGAAATTTAAAAAAATCCTAATTTGCAAAAATTGGGAAGCAAATATTAATTTAATTTGCAAAATTTATGTTTTAAAACGCAATTTGGTTAAAATTAAACAGAATTAGCTCTAGATTTCATTATACTAATTATCACTTATATATCAAAATTTTTTTTCCATTAAAATTTTTTTCTATTAAAAAAATTTTTGTTCACTCACGGAGGGTGGGTTTTTGGTCAAAAAATGGCGATTTTTCTAATGGTTTTGTTCGCTCACGGAGGGGGGGGGGGGAGTTAATAAAATACTATTTGCTCTTTATCCTTTAAAGCAAAGCAAGATATAACTAAATTTTTTATTATTAGTTAATACACCACTATTAATTAGTATCAAAACTATTTACATAAAAATTATTATTTTTTATTGATAAAAAATAATTTAGAAAATTTATAGCCCAGGGCGATCAAAAATCGCTCCTGGGCTATATCGATCAAAGTGCTAATTTTGTTAAAATAAGATATTATTTATACTATATTCTTATAAATAAAGCAAGAAATAAGTAAATCTTGAATTTTTGTAAAGAATTCGCATTGAATTTATATCAAAATTATTTAAATAAAAATGCTATTCTTATTTAAAAAAATAAAAATTTAGCGATTAAGGATAATAAATTTATTTAAAGAAGATGCTAATTTATACTATTTTCTTTAAAAAAAACAAGATATAACTAAATTTTAAATTTTAGTTAAAGAATAAACATTTAACTTATATCAAACTTTTTAAATAAAAATTATGATTTTTTATCTATAAAATTTTTTATTATAAAATTAAATTTTGTTCCAATTTAAAGGGGGTTAATTTACAAAAAAGTGGAAATTTTACCTATATTTTGTTCCAATTTAAAGGGGGAGGAGTCAGTGGAAATGGGATTCAGATTTTGAAAGGGGTGGCTCACGACACTGTGGGTGACTGCACGATCCATCGGACACTTCTCCAGCGCGGTACTGGGCGTTGTATCCTACACTTTAGATTTCCATTTTAGCTGACTACTCGACTAGAAAATTTGTTATTCAAATTTTCGGAGCAACCTCTTTTAACGTCAAAGTGGCGCAACTTATCCGATTACAGGTAGCGAGTGCTAGCCCTTGTCTGTAGGAGCAAAGGTTTAAAGGCCGTGTTAGGATTGGTGGCGGCTAGCCGAGTGGAGCATTATGGGTAGTCCTTCTGGAATTACTGCGGGCTTCTATTTAAGTTAATTAATTTTAACGTTAATGTTTATTGATTGACTCATTTCTTATATTGAGTCTGATGAGAAGCCTCTTATGACAGGGATCTATATTTTATCTAGCTTTTCAATTGTTAATATACTAAATCAGATACTAAAAGGAAAAGTGAAATTTAATGACATGCTCATTGAGATCAGAGTAAAAAATTCTTTGTCAAATGCTATTTATATGAAAGTATTAAAAGCTTCAAAACCCCCTGAAGGCCTTGGAGTAAACATTCTTGAGGTGGACGCAGAAAAGATTTACTCTGTATTCATCGACCTTGGGCTCTTCATCTCATGCCCAGTTCAAGCTGTTTTATCGATTTATTTAATCTACCTGCAAGTTGGATCTGCGATTTTTGCTGGATTAGGAGTCATGCTAATGTGTCTGGTGCTAACTCCCCTCTACCTTGAGCGAACAAAGCCATTGGAAAAATCCCTATTTTTTTGACCAAAAACCCTTCCGTGAGCTAACCAAAATTTTTTTATGAAAAAAATTTGATATATAAGTGAATGAAATTTCTAACTAATTCTATTTAATTTTGGACAAATAAATTTTACAATTTAAATTTGTTTTCCAATTTTTTCGAATTGGGATTTTTAAAATTTTTTTTATTCGCTCACGGAAGGGGATTAAGCTATTTTTCCTCTTCATTGCTTGAGAAATACCAAACTAAATTGATGACAATAAAAGATGAAAGGATAGAAGTATCTTCTCAATTCTTAGGAAATATCAAAATTATCAAAGCCTATGTATGAGAAAACTTCTTCAAAAATCTAATCCATGATATCAGGAAAAGAGAACTTTCTTCTCTAAAATCGTATCATTTAGCTTATTCAGCCTCATCATATTTATTCTGGTCAACTCCAAGCATAACAGCAGCATCTGTATTTATCTACTACACACAAATTATGGGAGAGTCACTAAATCCAGGAGTCACCTTTGTAACTTTAACGACTTTGATCATTCTTCAGGACTCTCTTCAAGTATTTCCTTATATACTAACTAGCTTAATTTTATGCTTTGTAAGCATAAAAAGAGTGCAAAAGTTCCTTGATGTCAGTGACTTGAGTGAACTTCCTAAAGGCGATACTGTCGAAATCAAAAATTGTTCATTTGAGTGTGAAGGCAAAACGCTATTAAATGACATTAGCCTAAACTTAAAGAAAAATGAATTCATCGCTATTGTTGGGCCAGTTGGGAGCGGGAAGTCATCACTTCTCAATGCAATTATGGGAGAGCTCAAGGTCAAATCTGGGGAGATTCGTGTAAGTGACCAAATTGCGTATGCGCCTTCTTTGGAATCTTGGCTCCAAAACGACAGTTTGAGGAATAATATTTTATTTGGAAAGCCATATAATGAGAGCTGGTACTCAAAAGTCATAGACGCTTGCTCGCTAGCACAAGATATAAATTCGTTACCTGATAAAGATTTAACAGAAATAGGAGAAAAAGGTATCAATTTAAGCGGGGGACAAAAAGCTCGAGTATGCTTAGCAAGAGCTGTGTATGCTGATAAAGAAATCTATCTCCTTGATGATCCGCTAAGCTCTGTTGACAATTTTGTAGCCAGCTCAATAATGAATAACTGTTTTCTTAATCTCCTCTCTAACAAGACACGAATTCTTGTTACTCACCGCTTGAATATCTTAGACAAAGTGGATCGTATTATTGTTTTAGAAGATGGAAAAATAAGCCAAATTTCTGAGCCTGCTTCTTTGAGTATTCAAGAATCACTTATCGAGAAGGATAATTCTAAACCCCAAGAAATTCCCCATGAACCTAAAAAGCTGATAGAAGATGAAGAAAAAGAGTCAGGAAAAGTAAGCAGTAAAGTATATAAGGACTACTTTAAATTCTCAGGCGGATACACTATACTAGTTTTAGCTTGTATATCCATAGTTCTCTGAACTGCAACTCGAATGTCTGGAGACATAGTCCTGAAAGAATGAAGCAGCAATCCTAGTGATGCATTCACACTTCTAGTTTTATATTTATGCTTAAGGATTGGAGGAGACATTTTAATACCTTTAAGAGCGATTTTACTCAATTATATCCTTGGAATCCGAGCTTCTCAAGCTATTCATGACAAAATGATAGAATCTTTCTCAAGGGCACCAGTCAATTTATTCTATGACGTGACACCAATAGGGAGAATTTTAAATAGACTAAGCAAGGACATGGATGAGATTGATGGGAGTGTGCCTAATGCTATTGGTTACATAATAGTCCTGCTGGGAGAGACCGGTGCTGTAATTTTAATGGCTCTCATATATATTCCATATCTAGTTTTCGCATTGCCTTTATTCATTTACTTTGCGCTAAAGATAAAAGATGCGTACTTAGGAGCTTCAAGGGAATTGACAAGACTGGAGGCAATCTCAAAGTCTCCAATTCTCAATCACTTTTCTGAAACATTATCCGGCGCTAAACTCATTCGAGCCTTTAAACAAACCGAAAATTTTCACGCTAAAAACTATAATTTATTGAATAAAAATTCAAAAATCTTATATTGACTAGGAGCATGTGAGTGCTGAATTAACTTATATCTTGGACTTCTGAGTTCTGCCTTTATATTTATTTTGCTTTTTGCAATTATTATGCTAACTCCCCCCCCTCCGTGAGTGAACAAAATAATTTTTGTTCACTCACGGAGGGGGGTTTATTTTTTTTTTTTTTAAAAAAATTTATATATAAATTTTATAAAAAATATTTTTTTTTTCGAAATTTAAAAAAATCCTAATTCGCAAAAATTGGAAAGCAAATATTAATTTAATTTATAAAATTTATGTTTTGAAACGCAATTTGTTTTAAAATTAAACAGAATTAGCACTAGATTTCATTATGCTAATTATCACTTATATATCAATTTTTTTTTCCATAAAAAATTTTCTATTAAAAAAATTTTTGTTCACTCACGGAGGGGTGGGTTTTTGGGCAAAAAAATAGCGATTTTTCTAATGGTTTTGTTCACTCACGGAGGGGGGGAGTAAGAAACGATCTATCTGCTGCAACTGTTGGATTATGTCTAGCTTATGTTGTTCCCTTGCCAATAGACATGCATTATTTGATTTTTGATTGAGCATATTTGGAAAATTCAGTAATCTCAGTTGAAAGAGCTGAACAGTATATGAACATTCCTGCGGAAAAGCCAAGTCAGTTGCCGACAGATAAAAATTTAGTTCGGTGGCCAGAGAATCCATCAATTGAATTCAGAAACGTTTTCATGAAATATAGACCTGATACACCATATATTTTAAAAGGAGTAAACTTTAAAATCGAAGGATCAAAACGAATAGGATTTGTAGGGCGGACTGGAAGTGGAAAGTCTTCTGTATTTCTTGCCCTTTTAAGAATTGTTGAAATCGATAAAGGAATAATTTTTATTGACGGCGTAGACATATCACATATAGGGTTAGACAAACTGAGGTCAGCAATTACACTAGTACCTCAAGATCCATTAGTCTTTTCTTCCACTCTAAGAAAGAATTTAGATCCGTGTCAACTGAAATCAGATGATGAAATAAAAAAGGCGTTGGAAGAAGTAAATCTCTCAAAATTCTCAATTGACCACGATATCAAAGGTAGTGGGTCAAATTTATCAGCTGGAGAAAAACAGCTCATCAGTATAGCGAGAGCCATGCTTGCCAATACAAAAGTTATTTTATTTGACGAAGCAACTGCTGGAGTTGATCAAGAGAGTGATCATGAAATCCAGAATTTAATAAAAGGAAAGATTTTCGGCTGCACTATTCTCACTATCGCCCACAGACTCATAACAGTTATGGAAAACGACTTTATTATTGTGATGCAAGATGGAATTGCTGCAGAAATAGGGAACCCTGAGGAGTTGCTGCAAAAAGATTCACTCTTCAGAAAAATCAAAGATCAGATTCATTAATTATTTTACGATTAAAATTGATAATATTAATGAAGATAAATTTTATTAGAAATCAAATTTTTTCAGATTTGTGATATGAGAATTGTTCCGAATATTTATGCATTTTGAAAACATATGCATTAATGGTTAATTAGTTAGACTTCATAATAAATCTTATTAACTTTTCAAATATCAAATCCATTAAACTGGACTTTTAAAAAATTAACCTCGCCTCTCTATTAATAGGAACGATTCTTAAGATTTATTTTGATGGTTTTGGTTGGGTGCATAATATTTTTTGCTTCAATTGTGGGAAGAGTTTTATAATCTTCTAATTCTTTTTTCTAAAATATAATTGCTATTTGCATAAATGATTTTTTGACTGCCTCTTAAATTATTTAAAGAAATTGTAAAAAAATGAAATAGGAAAGAAAAAAGCTATAATGCACTTAATAAAGAGAGCTCTGTTGAAATAATAAAATAACATAAAAGGAAATATATATTTTACTACGATAAAGTTTTAAAAATTAGTGCCTTCAAAGCTTCAAATATCTTAAAGACTTCTGTATTAAAGCAATTTTATCTCCATATAAAGAATTAAAATGGAACTTCAACCTCTCAACAATTTAAATCAAAGCTCTTACACATATTTTCCAGCACGCTCCACAAAAAAGCCAGGATTTTTTTCAATGACTTTCTTCACATGAGTAAAATCGATCCTTGATTTAAGTAAAAAGAAAGATGTTACTTCTGATGACACTTACCCTCTACCAGATGAAGAAAAGGCAGAGAATGAAGAACTCACCCAGAACCTGAAAAAACACAAGCTTTTTTGAGCCATTATACTTTCCAACCTAAAACTTATACTTTTATCTATTTTTCTAGGAAATGCATGTGCATTGTTAGATCTGTCAGCTCCCTTACTTATAAAATGGCTCATCTCTTACATCGAGTCTGAAGAAAAGCCTCTCACGACTGGGGTCTATATTTTATTAGCCTTTTCAGCTATTCATATATATGTGTCCATGATGAATAGCCAGCAAAAAAACTTATTTTGGTAGCCAAATTCAAATGGTATAATCAAGCATTTTTTAACTCGGATTTCCGATCTTTCCCAATAAGAAAGAGGGAGTTGTGAAAGCCAACTAATGATGTTTAGACCAAATCCTAAATGAGGTTTCTGCCATTTTAGGAGTTGACCAAATTAGATTAGTTGGCTTTGGCAACTCTCCTCTTTCCCGTTGAGAAAGATTGGGAAGTCTGAGATTAAAAGATACTTGGGCTATATGACAATCCAGCTGAGAGCTGCCTAATAAATGCCTCTTAGTGGGCTATTTGCCATAAAGTAGTTTACTAAATCAGATATTAAAAGGAAGAGTGAAATTTAATAGCAAACTTATTGAGATCAGAGTAAAAAATTCCTTGGCAAATGCTATTTATGGAAAAGTCTTAAAAGCTTCAAAAGTCCCTGAAGGGCTTGGAGTCAACGTTCTAGAAGTAGACGCAGAAAAGATTTACTCTGTGTTCATCGACCTTGGGCTATTCATCTCATGCCCGGTTCAAGCTGTCTTATCTATTTATTTAATCTACTTGCAAGTTGGATCCGCAGTTTTTGCTGGATTAGGAGTATTGTTGATGTGCTTATCTTTGAGCTATTTTTCTTCTTCGCTATTAAAGAAGTTTCAAAGTAAAACGATGGCTATAAAAGATGAAAGGATCGAGATGTCTTCTCAACTCGTCAGAAATATCAAAATCATCAAAGCTTACGTATGAGAAAACTTCTTCAAAAATCTAATCCATGATATCAGGAAAAGAGAGCTTTCTTCTCTAAAATCTTACAATTTAGCGTACTCTGGAGCATCATATTTATTCTGGTCAACCCCAAGTTTAACAGCCGCTTCTGTATTCGTCTACTACACACAAATTATGGAAAAGTCACTAAATCCAGAAGTCACCTTTGTAACTTTATCAACTTTGCTCATTCTTCAGGACTCTCTTCAAGAAGTTCCTTACATACTGACTAGCTTAATTTTATGCTTTGTAAGCATAAAAAGAGTGCAAAAGTTCCTTGATGTCAGCGAATTGAGACAACTTCCTAAAGGTGATACTGTCGAAATCAAAAATTGTTCATTTGAGTGTGAAGGCAAAACGCTATTAAATTGTATTAACCTAAACTTAAAGAAAAATGAATTCATCGCTATTGTTGGGCCAGTTGGGAGCGGGAAGTCATCACTTCTCAATGCAATTATGGGAGAGCTCAAGGTCGAATCTGGGGAGATTTGTGTAAATGATCTTAGCTTAGATTATTATAGGGTATCTTCCAGTTTGCTGTCGGCTTTGCTTATCATCACCCTCTAGCTTCAGATCCAATTATAAGACCTAAAACTATGTGTTGCTTAATCCGAACGAGGGCTTGCCTTTGCAACATGAAGGTAAATAGTCTAGGTTACAGTCTGTTCGCCAATAGAATGGCTTTTTTCCGAAAATTCAAAAAACTGATTTTTTCGGACAAACTAAGCTTGGAGCCCAGTTCATAACTTTAGTATCGCGCTGGGGAAATCCCAATTAGCAAGAACGATCTCCCTCTTGCCGAGCTGTTCCTTTCCAACTTCCAAGTTCCATTACCCTCTGAAGGTAAAGGCCTGTCTTAGATGTGCGCCTGCAGCAGATCTACCCGGCATCGCGCTCCAGCAGATAAAAATACTTTCACCGCGCTTTGCTCTCCCTTCTAAAGGTCCCCAGGCTCCCGTCTGTGAGCAGGTGTTAAGAGGGCAAGTGGCTCTCCAGGCCATTTTTAAACGTCATCCAAATGATCAAATTGCGTATGCTCCTTCTTTAGAATCTTGGCTCCAAAACGACAGCCTAAGGAATAATATTTTATTTGGAAAGCCATATAATGAGAGCTGATACATGAAAGTCATAGATGCATGCTGCTTGTCTCAAGATATAAGTTCATTACCTGATAAAGATTTTACAGAAATAGGAGAAAAAGGTATCAATTTAAGCGGGGGACAAAAGGCTAGAGTTTGCCTATTTTCCCATTTTAATAGCAAACACTCTTTTTATTAGTTATTATTAATGAGAAAAATTAAAATAAAAGTCTTTAGCAGAAGCATATTCTAAATCTCTTTAATTATTAGATCTATTTTAATTGAAAAAAAAAAATATATAATTTAATTATCCCTTTTAGATTGGCCTAATAATCCTTTTTGAGATTTAGGCTAAAGCTTGAATTTTCAGATAAAGTGTATAGTCCGTTCCCGGCAAAGATCGGACTAAGCATGATCTATAGCCGGGAACGGGCTATAACTGTTATTTGGTGATTGAAAAGCTTGCCAAAAACAATTTGATTTGTCAACCCCCATATGACAGTTAAATCTTTTTGAAAGGGTATCAAATTTATAAGAATTAAAAATATATTATGTTAAATTTTGTTCATTATTCAATTGCGCCCATATGAAATTTACAAAAACTCATTGGTAAATTGGGGACAGTGTTAGCAAGGGCTGTATATGCTGATAAAGAAATTTATCTCCTTGATGATCCTTTAAGCTCTGTTGACAATTTTGTAGCCAATTCCATTATGAATAACTGTTTTCTTAATCTACTCTCTAACAAAACACGAATTCTTGTTACCCACCGCTTGAATATCTTAGACAAAGTGGATCGTATCATTGTTTTAGAAGATGGAAAAATAAGCCAAATTTCTGAGCCTGCTACTTTGAGCATTCAAGAATCACTTATTGAGAAGGATAATTCTGAACCCCAAGAAATTCCCCATGAGCCTAAAAAGCTGATAGAAGACGAGGAAAAAGAGTCAGGAAAAGTAAGCAGTAAAGTGTATAAGGACTATTTTAAATTCTCAGGCGGATACACTATGCTTGCTTTAACTTGCTTATCTGTGGCTCTCTGGACTACTACTCGAGTATCTGGAGATATAGTTCTAAAAGAATGAAGCAGCAATCCCAGTGACACTTCCACACTACTAGTACTTTATTTATGCTTAAGAGTTGGTGGTAGCATATTTGTACCTTTAAGAGCAATTTTCCTCAATTATTTTCTCGGGAACAGAGCTTCTCAAAACATTCACGACAAAATGATTGAATCTTTTATAAGGGCACCAATCAATCTTTTCTATGATGTTACACCTACAGGGAGAATTTTGAACAGGCTAAGCAAAGATATAGATAAAATCGATGCGACTGTTCCACTTGTTATTGGCTACACATTGGTTATGCTGTCAGAGGCTAGCGCAGCGATTTTTATGGCTCTTATATATTTTCCACACCTGGTTATTGCCTTGCCTTTATTCATTTACTTTGCGCTAAAAATAAAAGATGCATACTTGGGAGCTTCAAGGGAATTGACAAGACTGGAGGCAATCTCAAAGTCTCCAATTCTTAATCACTTTTCTGAAACACTTACTGGGGCTAAGCTTATTCGGGCATTCAAACAAACTGAGGTCTTTCATGCTAAAAATTATGATTTATTAAACAGCAACTCTAGGATACTTTATTCACTCGGAGCATGCTATTGCTGGATTAATTTATATCTTGGACTTTTGACTTCTGCATTTATATTCCTTTTGCTTTGTACAATTATTCTACTAGCTTTCCAAACTATTAGAGAGCAAAACTATTAAACGATTTCTATTTTTTTAAAATTAAAAATGTTTCATTCTAAATAATTTGATGCTTAACTAATAATTATTATATTATAAGTAAGTTTTCCTCAACTATATCAACTTTATTTTTTTTAAAATATACGAGTTTTTTTTGTTGGAAATTAGACATTATGCCCAAAAAATATCATAATATATTTTTGCACAAGTAGATGAAGTAAGGTATGATCTATCTGCCGCAACTGTTGGATTATGTTTGGCTTATGTTATTCCTTTACCAATTGATATGAGCTATTTGATTTTTGATTTAGCATACTTGGAGAACTCAGTGATCTCAGTCGAAAGGGCCGAACAGTATATGAACATTCCTGTAGAAAAGCCAAGCCAATTACAGACTGACAAAAATTTATTTCGTTGGCCAGAGAATCCATCAATTGAATTCAGAAATGTTTTCATGAAATATAACCCAGGATAGCACTTAGCTCTCTCTAGGCTATGGATTTTGCTGCAAACTCTTGGAGTTGGTCCGACTCCATAAGTTGTCAAACCAACGCTACAATGGAAAGTAAGCATATGACTGCTATTTATCAACTCGTGAATTTGGTTTGGCAACTTATGGAGTCGCATCAATTCAACGAGTTACAATGAAATCTGCTAGAGACAAAGGCGAGTTAAATGCAATCATGGGATATACAGGCCTGATACACCATATATTTTAAAAGGAGTAAACTTTAAAATCAAAGGATCAAAACGAATAGGATTTGTAGGGCGAACTGGAAGCGGAAAGTCTTCTGTTTTTCTTGCCCTTTTGAGAATTGTTGAAATCGATAAAGGAATAATTTTTATTGACGGCGTAGACATATCACATATAGGGTTAGACAAACTGAGGTCAGCAATTACACTAGTACCTCAAGATCCATTAGTCTTTTCTTCCACTCTAAGAAAGAATTTAGATCCGTGTCAACTGAAATCAGATGATGAAATAAAAAAGGCGTTGGAAGAAGTAAATCTCTCAAAATTCTCAATTGACCACGATATCAAAGGTAGTGGGTCAAATTTATCAGCTGGAGAAAAACAGCTCATCAGTATAGCGAGAGCCATGCTTGCCAATACAAAAGTTATTTTATTTCACAATTAAAAATGGAGCGTATGAATTAGGGTCATTGTCCCCTAAAGGTCATCCTAGTGAGGGAAGTTCAAACTTTCTGAAGGATATGAACGCTGGAACTGCTTCGGCAGTTCCTTGTTTACTTGAATCAGGTTCAAGAAAGGAAGAGAGGCTCGTCTAGGTCATAGGCTACTGTAACGGTTCGACGGTTAGGCCGATTCCACCTACTGTTGTTCAGAGCTGTTAGCTAGTGATGGAATTCAGGAAGGATGGGCTTGTTTTGTTGGTCCTAAGCTAAGTGGGGGTCAACGAATAGTTATCGTAATCTTAAATCTTAAATCTTATTTTATTTGACGAAGCAACTGCTGGAGTTGATCAGGAGAGTGATCATGAAATCCAGAATTTAATAAAAGGAAAGTTTTTCGGCTGTACTATTCTCACTATCGCCCACAGACTCATAACAGTTATGGAAAGCGACTTTATTATTGTGATGCAAGATGGAATTGCTGCAGAAATAGGGAGCCCTGAGGAGCTGTCGCAAAAAGATTCACTCTTCAGAAAAATCAAAGATCAAATCCATTAATTTTGTTTCCAATAATATTATAAATATCAAAATATTTAATTAATGAAGAGATTGTAACAATTCCAAAATTTTAATCGAATTAAAGTCTGCAATTTTTTTAAGATTTTTAATTATAATATATGATTTTGAATCAATTTATTTATACTGCTTGAAGATAAAAACACTAACTCATCTCCCTTTAAGTTAGAAGAAAAAATCCTGCTACAATTTAAAGGGGGGTAATTGATTTTTAAAAAATAATTTCTATTAATAAAAGATCTTTAATATTTAAAAACTATAAATCGGATGCGATATTTTGATTTATAATTTATTTTATGAAGGATTTAATTAATTTGAAAACTGTTTAAATATTATTCTACTTGCACTCTGTTCATCAAATTAGATCAAAACTAATTTTATAAAAATTAGTATTTTTATTCTTATAATTATCAATTTTAATATAGCTACTTGATAGCAAATTAGAAGATTTATCTCTACAAAACTTTCAATGAAAAAACCATAAAAGAGAGGTGAAATTAAAAATGTTTTATTTATGCTGAGAACAAAAAAGATTTTTTATTATTATATTGGAGAAAGGTCTATAACCGTTAATTAAGAAAATAAGCAATAGAAAAATGAATAGATTCTAAACAAATTGGTTTTTTTTTTATCCTCAGTAATGTTTCTAAATAGATAGGTTAATTTTATCTAGCATTTTAAGTTATAATATAAAAATATAATGATTTCCTGAATATGTTGTACCTTACTTCTTTTAATAAGATCTTCCAACGCTAGCGATTATGTAATCTTCCCTCGAGCCTTTTCCCAATATTTTTGTTCAAACGCATCAGAAATAACAATCTCTCTTACCGAAGCATTCTTGTCAGGTGAAGAAAATAAAGGAGAGTTTGGAATATCCCTTTGAATAAAAATCAGTGACTCCACAGATGCGGGACAGATATTTGACTTATATAGAATTCAGTATTTTTTATTTAGAACAAACTATGCCTATATTAACTATTTTCCATTGCTTTACTATGATTCAAGCACAATTAAGCTCACATGGAAAAATTCAGACTATCCAATTCTAAATCAAGTTCTTTCCCACTCAATCGTAATATCTACATAGACATCTCCTAATCAATGAAAATTTATTGGGATTTCCTGTGGCTTTTCTCACTATCAATCCCTATTGTGCATTAACCAAGGCTCTGGGTCAGTTTGTTCTACAGGGACGTGGAATGCTGACGTTGGCATCAAGTTTAACTCCTATCTTAAAATGGGAGGAAGTTCTTCGTTCAATGGCAGAGTAGGAGACTTCAAACTCCACTTGAATCAATATTTTCAAAAAGCAGATTGGGATACTCAATATTCACTGAGAAACTCTTGCCCAAATTCATGCTCTTCTAACCTGATATGCTATTCTCAAGCGGATCAATGATGTCAGTCACATAACCGTTTCTTGGCATTGGTTCAGCCTTATATGTACTCTACAACCCCGTATACAGCTCCTACAGTAACAAGCGACATTATTTATGGGTATGATGAGATTTATCTCGACTGGAGCAGTCCTTTGAGTAGCTCCACTTCTTTTACAGTGACTGGCTGGATGTACAAATCAGGCGCTTGCTCTTCAGGCACTTTTCTGAAAATTGCATCCACAACTCATTCACACTCAACTGTTAGCACTACTACTTCTGGCAGCTGCTATATGAGCTTCAGCTTGCATGATACAATAACTTCAGCTGATATTCAACTTACCCAGTCCTCATACCCAGGACCCTTTTCTAGCTGGACCTTTTTCTCAGCCACTTCAGATGGAAGTTATATGGATCTGTATGTAGCAAAATCACTGGCAAGTATTTCTCATGACACTACAACTGCTACACATTCCGCGCTTCTCCTCAAACCCTCAGAAATGGTCATTTATGTAGGAGGAACTGATTCAACTTTATATGGAGGATATTATGCAGATATTAGACTATATCCAGGAGTTGTCATTAATTTAGCAGATTTAACAAGTAATATTATCAACCACGTGCCGGATTATTTGTTTCCTGCTTGCACGCTAAGTGGCACTGGTGCTTTTAATCAATTTAGCGGAATTTGGACGTGTCAAAAATGCCCTGACGGCTATTGGATGGATACAAATGGAATGTGCAACAGTAAGCTATAATTAGAATGTCATGAGTCCTGCTCCAGCTGTTCGGGGTCTATAGTTGAATATAAGTGCACAAGCTGTGCATCCGGATATTATTCTCAGCCAACCCACAGTAGTTTATGCTTAAACTATTGTCCTTTTGGGTACTATAGAGACTCAACCCTAAATGCCTGCACAGGAACTGCAGGGAATATATTAGATGTATCATTTGAAAACAACTTAAAAGGGGATTTCACTTCCAACAACATTCTTTTAAGCTTTGGAATGTACTCTGATCAGTATTATCCTACATTTGACTACTTGGATCCATCACCAGCTATTAAGAGAGGAATCTTTCTCTCAGTAGACAGAATTGAAATCATCCCTCAGTCATCGACAGACCATAAGCTGTTTGGCACCGATTTCACAATCCAAATGTGGGCAATGCTACTTAGTTACAAGGGATGCTTGTTTTCAAGCAGTGTATCAGATCCAACCTGATACTATGTGAATTATGTCTCAACGTCACAATGAAATCGGACTCATCCAATTGCATATTTTCTGGACGATTATGGCAGACTTGAGGCTTGGTGGGGCATTAGCATGTATGGGGATGGTAAAACATATTTAAGCCCAGTTGCCGCCGATGTCACCAAAACTGAGTGGGCGCTCTATGCAATTTCGATAAAATTTGATGATACGGCAATCACATCTGAGCTGACCATGATGAGAAATACCTTTAGCTATTCTTATTCTTCCATTTCGGGCTATTATAAAGAAGCAGGTGGAACGAGACATTGGATTGGGTCCTCCACTGGAGAAGGCGCGTTTCATGGATTTCTTTATTCTTTATCCCTTTATAACTATGCAAGAACTCCTGCTCAAGTTCAAGGAGGTCTAGGCTCTTGCAGCTCCTGCTCAGCCTGCCCATTATCATTGAATTACTGCATCTCTACGTGCAGTGCATCCCAGTATGTTGATGGATCTGGATCGTGTGTAGACTGCAGCAGCAGTTGTGGCTATCCTTGCTCTAGAAGTGGCACATGCAACCTATGCTATGACGACTTATGCTACTCATGCACTAAATATGACATTGGAACCTGCATAAAATGTGTTGATAATGCAACCTTGTCAAGCGGGCAGTGCAGCTGCTCAGTAGGATTTATTCGAAAAGAAAACACCTGCGTTGACGACTGCGGAGATGGATACTTTTTAAATCTCGTTGAAAATAAATGCTCTAAATGCCCAGATTACTGCAAAACTTGTTTCAATAGTTCTACTTGTATGATATAGGATTTGCCCTAGGATGGCGCTATATGGCGCCATCCTAGGGCAAGCGAAAATTGGCTCCACACGGGAACCGTATTCCACGTGTGGAGCCATTTTTTCCACGTGTGGAATCACATTTTTCCCACGGAAAAAATGGCTCCACACGTGGAACACAATTCCCGTGTGGAGCCGTGTCTCCAATTGCCCGAGGATGGCGCAATATAGCGCCATCCTCGGGCAATTTCTATATGCTATTCTGACTATCTAAAAGTGGATAGTCAATGCACTTGCCCTGATGGGTCTTATATTGATCAATATGGGAAATGCTCTCAATGCAGATATCCATGCAAGACCTGTACTTCTTCATCATACAATTGTCTAACATGCGCTGAGAAATCGCCAGTTCTTTGATCATCTAGCTGCTTCCCATGCAACGCATTTGTAGGTTATGGAACAAAGAACCCGAGTTCAATAGGTTCAAATGATTTATTAGCTGAGCTGGCTCAAAATTGCACAGAAATCTGTGGAGATGGCAGGAATATGGGAGAAGCTGAATGTGACGATGGAAATACAATTAATGGGGATGGATGCTCTGCTAATTGCACTGTTGAATCTGGGTGGTCTTGCTCAGGTGGGAGTATGAGCAACCCAGATACTTGTATAGACCAAACGCCTCCAATTCCAATACTGGCCTACCTTTACGAAACTGGGACAGGCTATGCTCTCGCCTTATCTTTTAGTGAGCAAATTCAGACTTCAACAGAAATGTCTTCAAATATCGAAATATCCTTAGAAAGCACCAGAAAAACTGATTGAACTATACAAGCCACGCATTCTATTTATACAATCAAGCTAAATGTATATGATAGTGTTGCAACTGGGACGATTGTTTCTCTCAAATTCTACCATCCAGAAGTTATAACTGATTTAAGCGGAAACAAAATGGAGACGTCCAAGGTAGAGCTCAGCCTCCCAACTTCTTATACATATTCTTACGGCCAAGCTGTTACCACAACTGTCACAACAGCTACTACGGTTGTTGTTGTCGGAGGAGTCATTGGCTCAACAAGTGGCTCATTTTCTGGTGGGCTATTTAATCTTCAAGCTCTATGGGGCATGGTAGAAATGATGCAGCTAATCAACTATTTGATATTTTTATCTCCAAAATACCCAGACAACGTCAAAACATTTTTAAGCGCACTCAGCATTGCAAATGGGAACTTCATACCCAATCCATTTCAGATGTATCTCGTCAAGGACGATCCCTTTCCTGACCCTCCAGAATCATTTCTCGATGAAAATTTCAATACAGATTTTTTCATGAACGCAGGGCAATTTTTATTGCTTTGGGTAATAATCTTATCAGGCATCCCTATCACTTTTATTGCTTACAGATATTTTTCAAGATTTCGACTAGTAAGATGGATCAAAAATGCCTATTTATACTCTATATTACTTAGGGCAGGCATAGAATCATTTTTAGAAATTTCGCTTTCAGTGTTTCTGCAATGAAGAGAAATCGTCACCCCAGCACAAAACATTGGCTATTTTTCCCTCATATTAAGCTTCTTGACTTTTGCGTATCTGATGCTGACTTTTGTAATCATAATATGGCAAGTTACATTAAAGCCTGAATCAGTCCTTAACAAGGAGCAGCACGAAAGGAAGTACGGGACATTGTATGAGAGCTTCAAGAGGAATTTCAAGATTTCTACCTCATATCTTATCGTTCAGAATTTAAGAAGAGTGCTTTTCGTTTTGCTTTGTGTGTTCTTGTATGAGTACCCAGCAATACAGGTGTCTCTGTCAATCTTGTTATCCTTTTCCTTTACTCTATCTTTAATATTAATACGGCCATATGAGAAAATGATCCTTGGGAATATCGTGAATATTGCAAGCGAAACTTTTTATTTTGCAGCTCATTGCATAATTTTAAAGTTCCTGGATAATGGATTGTCTGATAATGAGCGCACCAATTTAGGCTGGGGAGTTATTGCTTTATTGTCAGTGTCTTTGCTGTTTCATTTGGTTGCTAATCTTGTTACTCAAATTATTTCTATACTTAATGGAATCAAAAAGGCGAAGGATTGGTTTATGAAAAATTTTGCAAATAGGTTTATTAAGAATTATGGAAGAGGTGAAAAAGTTGAGATAGATCCAAAAGAAAAACTGAAGAAGCAATTGGTAACTAAAACTGATGATGATAATGAAAATTTGGCTTATTTTGAAGGTAAAGAGTCAGTGGAAAAGGCGAAAAGGGCAACGGTTATTCATGAGAAAAAAATGGTTTCATTTGAAGTGCAACCCACTTATCAAGATACAGCTGGCAGTGATTATTTTGAAAAGATAAAAAAGATCAAAAAATAAAGTAAATAATTCAAGGTCATTATAAATAATTAGATGTCTAAATTAGTAAGCCCAAAAGTTATTTTCTAAAATTTTTGAATTATGAATGCATTCAATAATAAATTTTTAAAATATTTGATATTTGCATAATTATCGAATAGTAAGAAATTAAGAATCTGTATTAGTTGGCGATTAATTTTGACAATTCTAATAATAGTTAATTTTAAATTGATTAGCCTCCTAATTGAATAAAAAACATCTGTTTAAATTTAAAGGGGATGAAGTTTATCGAATTAAGGTGCTTCATTTGTTTAATTATATTTTCTTATACTAACTTTTAAAATTAAACAAGCTATTGATAAATTTTTGGTTTTGGAGATATTAAATTGGTCATTAAAGTATTCATATAGAAGTTATAGTATTTGCCTATAAAAATATAATTTTGCTTTAAATAAAAGGAACAAATTGAAATTTTTACCAATAATTGGACCAATTTTAAAGTGCAAAAAAAAATTGCTAAATGCTTTACCTTGCTCCATAATTAATACATTAAAATGTGACACTTGCCAACTGCTCTTTGTATAACATTTCAGGACGCAAGGCCACGCGAAATGGCGCTAACTCCAAGCTGAGAAATAAGAAAAAAATATCAGGTAGGTTTTGGAAGCATCCTGTGGTTGGAAATTTAGGTGTCAAGCATTACTCTAGCAGGACTAAAATAATTTGATTAAGCTGAGGCTAAAGTGGGAATAAGTCTAATTAAAATGGGAGGATTCTGATAATATTAATTTAGATTAGTTTTAACTAGAATGTATTACGCTATTATGTTGCTCCTGTGTCAGTATCAAAATTAACTGTTGTGTTACAAATACTCATAGGCCCTTCGTATTGTTTCATATCAAGCTCAATAAACGAATCATATGGACTTGTGTTGATCTTTGAAACTCCATCATGCTGAATTGTTCATAAATCAAAGCTGCTTGCATTTATGGGTAGGTATGAAAATACCAATGGTGATAGAAATTATGATATCAAAGCTAAATAAATAGAATAGAGTAAAAATAAAAAATCAGATTAAAAGATTAAATGATTTTCTGTTTGCTAAAACACAATTAAACGTTTTAAATAGATACAGAAACAATATCTTGTGTTGGCAATTATTTTTTACTGTTCACTTTTTCAAATTGCAAGGAAAAAACCAAAATCATTATTAGGAACTTCAATGCTGAAGTTCAGCATTACTCTCTATTGCTTTCATTATTGAATAAATAACCGTTTTAAAATCTTGTGGTCTGCTTCTATGATTTTTTTCCATATCTTTCTTCAATTCACTCCTCAAATCTTTCTTAGGGTGTTAGGGTGTTAGGGGAGGTGTTAGGGTGTTAGGGTGTTAGGGTGTTAGGGTGTTAGGGGTGTTAGGGTGTTAGGGTGTTTAGGGTGTTAGGGTGTTAGGGTGTTAGGGGTGTTTAGGGTGTTAGGGTGTTAGGGTGTTAGGGTGTTAGGGTGTTAGGGTGTTAGGGTGTTAGGGTGTTAGGGTGTTAGGGTGTTAGGGTGTTAGGGTGTTAGGGTGTTAGGGTGTTAGGGTGTTAGGGTGTTAGGGTGTTAGGGTGTTAGGGTGTTTAGGGTGTTAGGGTGTTAGGGTGTAGGGTGTTAGGGTGTTAGGGTGTTAGGGTGTTAGGGTGTTAGGGTGTTAGGGTGTTAGGGTGTTAGGGTGTTAGGGTGTTAGGGTGTTAGGGTGTTAGGGTGGTGTTAGGGTGTTAGGGGTGTTAGGGGTGTTAGGGTGTTAGGGTGTTAGGGTGTTAGGGTGTTAGGGTGTTAGGGTGTTAGGGTGTTAGGGTGTTAGGGGTGTTAGGGTGTTAGGGTGTTAGGGTGTTAGGGTGTTAGGGGTGTTAGGGTGTTAGGGTGTTAGGGTGTTAGGGTGTTAGGGTGTTAGGGTGTTAGGGTGTTAGGGTGTTAGGGTGTTAGGGTGTTAGGGTGTTAGGGTGTTAGGGTGTTAGGGGGTGTTAGGGTGTTAGGGGTGTTAGGGTGTTAGGGTGTTAGAGGTGTTAGGGGTGTTAGGGTGTTAGGGGTGTTAGGGTGTTAGGGTGTTAGGGTGTTAGGGTGTTAGGGTGTTAGGGTGTTAGGGTGTTAGGGGTGGTTAGGGTGTTAGGGGTGTTAGGGTGTTAGGGTGTTAGGGGTGTTAGGGTGTTAGGGTGTTAGGGGTGTTAGGGTGTTAGGGTGTTAGGGTGTTAGGGTGTTAGGGTGTGTTAGGGTGTTAGGGTGTAGGGTGTTAGGGTGTTAGGGTGTTAGGGTGTTAGGGTGTTAGGGTGTTAGGGTGTTAGGGTGTTAGGGTGTTAGGGTGTTAGGGTGTTAGGGTGTTAGGGTGTTAGGGTGTTAGGGTGTTAGGGGTTAGGGTGTTAGGGAGTTAGGGTGTTAGGGTGTTAGGGTGTTAGGGGTTAGGGTGTTAGGGTGTTAGGGTGTTAGGGGTGTTAGGGGTGTTTAGGGTGTTAGGGTGTTAGGGTGTAGGTTAGGGTGTTAGGGTGTTAGGGTGTTAGGGTGTTAGGGGTGTTAGGGTGTTAGGGTGTTAGGGTGTTAGGGTGTTAGGGTGTTAGGGTGTTAGGGTGTTAGGGTGTTAGGGTGTTAGGGTGTTAGGGTGTTAGGGTGTTAGGGTGTTTAGGGTGTTAGGGTGTTAGGGTGTTAGGGTGTTAGGGTGTTAGGGTGTTAGGGTGTTAGGGTGTTAGGGTGTTAGGGTGTTAGGTGTGTTAGGGTGTTAGGGTGTTAGGGTGTTAGGGTGTTAGGGTGTTAGGGAGGGTGTTAGGGTGTTAGGGTGTTAGGGTGTTAGGGTGTTAGGGTGTTAGGGTGTT